TCTTCGTCATTATCATTATCAGGTTCTGCACTTGATTCAGACAGGGTTGGCTCTTTAGAGCCAGTTTGTGCCAGTTTTGATGTCACTGATGGGTGTGGGTCTTTAATGACTAACTTAATAGATTTTGGTACAAATGGTTTTGGTGCTGAAGGCTTGGTGGTGTTAATTTTGGTCAAAATTGGGGTAGAGATTGGGGTAGATTTTGGGGTAGATTTTGGGGTAGATTTTGGAGTAGAAGCTGGGGTAGAAGTTGGGTTGGACAAGGTTTGATTAGATTTTGGGGTAATTGGATGGGATCTAAACACATTCAACTTAATTCCTGGTTTGGCTGACTCTTGCTTGGTTTCAGCTGGTTTCTCCCTTTGAAGGATTTTCTTTGGTTTGACGGATGCCTTCTTTTTGGAGGCCTTTCTAACTTGATTAACCGGAGGAGGGGTGATTTGATGCTTTCTGTTGATAGCTGGTGTGGTAGTTTGAATATTTTCATAATCATCATCTCTTTCTTTGGATATTAATCCCAATTGGTGGAATGGATTCTTCCATAAATTGCTCAGTTCATTTTGTGGTGGTTTTGACTGTCTGGATCTAGATGAACCATGAACCATGGTGAACTCGGTAGAAGGAACTTCAATCACTGGTGGTTGATTTTGCTTCTGTTTGGGGTTCTCATGACGATCATCTGTAACATTTTTCTTTGGCCGCTTAAAGTAACAGTCTTTAGCTACATGGCTAGGCTTTTTGCAAATCGCGCAAGATGCTTGCTTGCAATTGTATCTGGTGTGTTCTCTTGAACCACAATTGATACAGTGTAAGCATTTAGTAATAACTTTAGAAACAATGTTGTCTTGGTGAATAACCGGGATTTGTTTTCCTGGTTCCATTTCCAAGTAACCATAAATGTAACGATTTTTAAGCTCCTCGTTAGGTCTTTTAGTCATGTCACTTTTAATCACTGAGAATGATGTTGGTTCAATTTGGGCTAGGTCAAGCGCTTGCTTGATGGTAGCATCGACAAAATAGTCGGGGGTTGTTTCCAAGGCTGTTATCTCAATCAATTGGATTTCTTTATCATTCTTATTGATATTGATGCGTGGCTTGTAAGTGGATTGTTCAATGTCAACACTTAAATGGCTAGTGACAAAATCAATAAATGCATTACGTAACTTTTCATTCTTAGTTTGTAATTGACCTTTCAATATTGGGATAAGTGAGGATTTGAGACAAATAGTTTCATTTGAAATAAACAAGTAGTTTTGAGCTTCAATTAAAGCTTTCTTGATGAAGTTGATATCATCATTATCATTCAAATCAGTTTCAATGTTGGTTAATTTAACATCGATTAATTTTTGGAAGGCATCCTTTATTGTACTCAAATGATCATCAAGCTCATACTTCCGGTAGAGCTCAGGTGGGATAATAAATGACATCATGATTTTTTGTTTATCTTGATGGCTCATAATAAATTTAATGTAATCCTCCTCTGCAATATTAGATTGTTTCAATCTTGAGAATTCATTAATTAAATGGGAATTTGTATAAAATTTGAAAAACTTTTCAATGGTGTAGATTTTGACAAATTCTTGATATTTCTCTTCAACATTTTCCACTTTTTGTGTGTCAAATCCGAAAAGTGATCCCCTCATGCCCTTTTCCTTAATAGCATATTCAAGGACATCTTGGTGTTCGAACTTGATTGATTTGAGATATTTAGCCCATTTAAAAACTCTTTCGAATTTGGCTAAAACATTTTGAAAAGTGGAGGTGGTGTTCATAATCAGAGTCCCCTGTTGGGATGCGCCTTTAGAGCCCGAGGCGATTTGGGCGTAGGATCTGCTGAAAGCAGCAACTGGGGCTGGGTTAGTTTTTTTTGGGGTTTTTTGGTTTTCAGAGTTTTTTTGGGTTTTGTTGTTTTCAATTTTTTTTGGTTTTCAGAGTTTTCAGTAACAAAATCAATAGAAACAGAAGGTTGTGAATCTCCTTGAGATTCAATGGTGGCTTGATTTGACATATGCATGTCGACGCTAGTGTCACCTGCACTATCAAGATTGCGATCGCAATCAACTGGAGAAACATTAATTTCCGGGGCTGGGCGGTGGGCAATATCAACATCAGAATCAGCATTAGAGGCCTCATTTATGGTATTAGATGGGGTTGCAAAGGTTTCAGCAGTACTTAAAAAAGTATTGTCATCTTCCTCAGTGATTTCTTCGTCTGAATGTGGTTCATTTCCGTGTTTGTTTACATTGTTTTGATCGGTTGCGTTGGGATTTGCATGATCTAAGTCAACGATAATATCAGAAGAAACCAGGGTTTCTTGAGAAGGTGGATCATTTGTTGGATCAGTGGAGTAGTTGGAAGGCTTTGGAATTCTTTTGGTATTATTAATACTCATTATAATTTTTTTTTTTTTTTTTATATGTGTCTTTTTTTTTTTTTTATTTTTAAAGACAAAATTCAATATATTAATTAATTATATTAAAAAACACCAGGACTCAACCTGAGCATGATCCCATAATGTACCACAGAACAAGTAGTGGCCGCGTGGTCTAGTGGTATGATTCTCGCTTTGGGTAGCGATCTTGGGACACTCAAGAAAAACACACAAGCATGCGAGAGGTCCAGGGTTCAATTCCCTGCTCGGCCCCTTTTTTGAATTTTTTGTCTAGCTCCCCATTATGTGGTTATATGCAGCAGAATGCACTAAATCTAGGCGTCTTGTTTGAGGCTGAAAATTGAAAAAGTTTTATTACTGTTGATCACATGCTTGGCTTTAATAGCGACGATGCACTCTTCTTAAGTCTACTTTTAGAAACCGGCAATAAAAACAAATTAATGGAAGTCCCGAAACAAACGCACTGTAACAAGGTGAGGTCTGATACCGCAGTGAAACACCATACAGCCATAGGCTGAGCCTCCGGGAGACCGGTGGTCCACTGAGGACTATAAAAAGAGGACTCTGGTCCACTACAAGTATATATATAGTATATTATGAATAAAGGAAAGGATCCATTCTTAATACCAGACTCACTAGTAGCCATTGCACGCACGCACGTATAATAACAAACACTTTTATCAGAAGAGGCAATTATAGTACATAAGTGTCCGGCCTTTTTCTCGTCGTAAAAACATCGTTCCACTATAGTACACAAAATCACATAAAGTACCCTTAAGTTAAGTGATAGACAAAATCAAACTATTATAGCTTGCACTTTACTTAAAGCAACATTTCAACACCTCTTTATGGCTGCATTGTCCATCTCAAAAAATTTCTAATATAATAATATATAATTTAGTTTGAGTTTATTGGTTCAATAGTTGAAAAAAAGAGAATCGCTCAATGTCATATGTAAAGTTTAATGCATGTAGGCTGTATTAGATATTACTAACCGCACACTTACAAGAGAAAATTTTCTCAAACAATTTTGAACAACAAAACAAAACAAAAAACTAGATAAGACAAGGGACGGTCTACAAGCAAGACAAACATTAATATATAGCGCCAGTAACAGTGGAGGCACATATTAGGCAGTATCTATTAAATAAATTGCACCCAACATAGCGTGAATGAAGGCCATTTCTTAAATCTTTTCCAAAAGAGACTAAATAATGTCCGGTCAAAAGACATGAGATAGACCCAGGAGGGCGTGACAGCCTTCTTTGGGTCCAGCGAGGATGCTCAGGGTTGTTGGAAAGTGTCTCATGTGATACTAGGTAAAGGTGGGACAGTCAATCCTTCCGGAACCTGGCCGTGGAACAGGCTTCCTATGAAATCTTGAGCTAGATTCAGGAGATTATGACGGATCACTTTGGATCCTGCTGGGGAAACTTGAGATATTTCAAAGGCATTTTTGTGTTACCAATCCTGGTAGGTAGCGTAATCTACCTCCTTGGTTTGGCCGTGGAAATTGCTTATCAAGAATATCTTGGGATATATAGACATGTGCTAATCATGTTCTTGTACTCGCTGTTACAGTCAAATAATGCTGTTAATTGGAATCATTTGTATTATTGGCAATGTGAAATATACCAATAATATATTAGCAGGTGCTGGATATCCAGCACATAATACCTATTTTCATTGATTACCATTTTGGAATAAAGAAAACCTCTAGCTGATTTATTATCGGTATAGATAATAGGTATTTCCAATTTCTTTTGGTTGATTATCACAATATTCAAAGTTTGATAAAATTCCTGACAAAGTTGTATCTCTCTGTTTGCTAAATCCAATACAAACTATTCCGCTTCTGCATAACTATGAACATTCCGGGAACAAACTTCGAGGTGTAAATTATGATGGATATGGTTAAGAAATGGGAACGAAGAAGCGCAAGATGAAGGATATTATGGAAGGAATGAAAGTTGATTAGTGAAGTCATTTCATGGAATACTGTTTCTAGGTGATTGATCCGCAAGATGCTTATTGTCCATTGGTTACAGATTTATTCGTAATGGCTAGAGAGATAGCACAAAAGGCAGGCATGAGCCGTTTTTACAGCTTCCAATAGGATGGACCTTATCATTGTGTATAGTTAGAATGTATGGGCTCACAGAATAACGAAAGTTGGTGCCCTTGGGCATTGCTGTGATGTTATTCTGCGGGCCCTTAAAATTTATTTCATTTTTCTTTGTAGGATTCCAGATTTGTACCAAGAGTTATACTCTATGAGTTTCGCCCAAAAGGGAAAGTCTGTTAAAACGCACCTTTATACAGGAAGATTTGTATTGCATTCCAAAAAAGAATTTGCCAACTGAGATGTAAAACATATTTTGTATTCATTTAAAAGTGCTTGTTCCTTCACTCTACACGATTCTGAAATATTTCAAGTTTTAATTATATATTGTTTATATTATCATAATTAGACATGTACGAAACTCAAACCTTTAAAAGTTTAGACAGATCTATAAGAAGAAATAATAATTATTTTATACTTGGAAATTAAATGGGACAATAACTTTTCAGAATTTTTTTTTTTTTTCCTTTTTTTTTTCTTTGTTATTTAAACTTCTCTCTCAACAAAACTTTGGATCATACCTTCGGAAGTCAATGGATATTCTTTGTACTCGAGAGTGTTGCCTTCCTTTAAAATGATGTTTGGTTGAACAAATTGCTTTCTTGGCAACTTCTTAGATAACACAACGTCTCTGAATTTCGCAATATCTTCTGGAACACTGCTTCTATCCAAGAACAACTTAGAGCCACCTTCAAAGTCAGCACTACACTTGAAGACATGTAATTCTTTCAAATATTTGCCGATAGCAGGCTGACCAACAGTTTCAATCTTGGATTCATCCAAAACAATCCTTAAATCAGAAAAGTTTTCTTTGTCACTGTATTTGAACTTAACAAAGTCTTCACCAGCTTCCAAGAAGGTCTTCAATATGGAGAATCTAGCTTGCATGTGTGGTTGACCCCATTTCTTAGTGTTTGGATCCCAGAATTCTAAACCGACCAAACCGGCTCTGGCCATCAACAAGTATCCGATGTGGATAATTTCATCTTGTCTCTTTTTGTCAGTAATACCAAAGATACTCAATAATTCACGGTTGGTAATCAAATACATGGCGACAGATTCTGCACGGCATTCTTCATAAGGACCAGCTAGTTGACCGAAAACTGAACCCCATGTAGTATTTTTCTTATAGAAAGTTTTAACTGGCTTATCATCAAGACCTAATGGGGGATTCAATGAATCGAAATTATACCTTTCATCTGTTTCCTGCATCAACAATTTACCAGAACCATGACCCAATAATTCGTGAATACCAACCTGAACCTCGAAGGCCTCACCTTGGGTGGATTTGAATAACTCATTCAATTTTTCTTCAATGAAGGTGACTGGTTTATTCGATGAATCTTTGGCATTCAAAATATTACCCAAACTGACATTTTTGAAACCAATGTTGATTCTGATATCATCATAGTTTGGAATATTGATACCTGCTGGAATGCCACTACCAGCGAAAGTAATGACTTCCAAAGAGGTGAAATCTGGTGGAGTGAAGGTATCTTTTTCGAAGGCTTTGTCCCATGGCAAAGTCTTGATGAATTTTTCGGCGTTGTTAACCAAATTACCAAACTTTTCAGTTCTTTCTTGATTAACAGTACTAACTAAACCTTCCCACTCACCTCTAATTCCATATGGATCTCTGTAAGTTTCGATAAAACCAATGTTACTTTCCACTTTTGGACCAATATCTTTGACCCATTTCTTTTGAGATTCTCTGTGGGATTCCAATGAACCAGTTCTAAAGGATTTAGCGTAGGCATCTAACATAGCAACTTGAGTTTCATTGGCGGCGACGGCTTTGGCCTTTTCGAAATTTTCTGCAATTTTAGCAAATTGTTCGGAGTGATCACCGAATTTCATGGCCAAAGTGGCATTTTTGCCATCGATTTGGAACTCAATTGGTTTAGCCGGGTACTCATCTGGAACTGTGTTTGAATTTTCTCCAGAAGCAATTAGCAAATTGAATTCGCTAGAGGAGATCTTTTCCACTCTGGTGTTTTCTGGGAAGATTTTGTGAGTGGTTAAAACTCTGTTGACAGTTTTGATTTCGTTATCGGTGAAGGGGGCCCCAACGTAGTATGAAGAGTTAATATGAGATTGATCCTTATTCAAACCAAGCAAAATATCATTTTCGTTTGTGGAGAATATCTTGGCGCTAATACCATTATACAAGGAAATGATTTTATCATCATTACTGGACTTGATGATTTTGGTGAACACTGACTCATCAATGCTTGGAATGAACTTCACATCCCCAAAAGATTTGAAGTTACCCAAATTTCCCAAGAATTGACTGGCATATTCCAAATAGCCTTCGACTTGGTCATCACCAAATTCTGATTTCAATGCCAGATAATCGCCACCAATGCTCTTGTGGAACTCAAGAATCAAATCGAAAATGGAGTTTGATTCATTACTGACGGATTTCAAAACAGCTCTGGACCCCAAGTGACTGGCTTTGTGTAAATAGTAAGCGTATTTTTGTTCTTTTTCCGTCAAGTTTTCGAAGTGATGTTTGGCGTTCAAAGAGCAAATTGGAGGCTTGTGATCAGCAAAGAATTGGGACGACATTTTTCTTCTGTACACAATGGAAGACACGGGTTTGATGAAGCTTCTCATATGTGAATGATAAAAAAGAAACGACAGGAAACAGTGTGTATTTGTAGTTGGTTGGCCATCATAACAATGATACACGGCGACAGAAATTTTTGGCTGTTTTTGGTGAGAAAAAAAAAAGCGCAGGGAAAAAAACAGGATGCCATGAGGACTCTAAGGCACCAATTAACCTCCCCGAAATCCCACTAAGCGCGGCAACTAGTGCCTTAGGATCATCAAGTCTTCGAACACACAGGGTCCTATTCTCAACCCGAATATTGGCTGTGGTCTCGTCGAAACGAAGTATTTTTTTTTTTTTTTGACTCTTTTTCCACTGCTCTCAAAGTGTGCAAACGAGAATAATTATTAATATCACACATGTATACATATATGTGATATATTGGATAATTCCTCATCTACCACCACCAAAGAACATCAATGCATGAACAGAAGACTAGGAATTATCGCCACACACCAGTGGCATTTTTTGGCACCAACCAACGTGTGAGGAGCTGGAAGATATTTGAAGCCCTGACTCGCATCGTCGATTTTTTTTTTTTTTTTTAAGATGACGATGACGAAAACAACAACAACAACAACAACAACAACAACAACAACAACAACAACAGCAACATCATCAGCCATGTCCAACATATTCGAATCACAGAAGAAGAAGCAGATAATTGCCAACTCCTTGGAAAACCAGGACTACTTGCTCATATCCTCTCTCAATGTGTCTAAGGCCAGCAATTTGACCAATACCGAGAAACAAGCAATCAACATGTCAGGACCTTCATCGGTAGCCCAAGCTAGACACAACTTACTTACAAAATACTGCGGGAATTGATGAATATCATTATTATGTAATATAGAAAAGAGAAAACGATCAATAAAAGGTTAGGAAAAAAAGGAATTGGGAAAGAGGAAATTGAAAAAAAAAAAAGTATCTATAAAATGTCAACATTTGCTTCGGCATGTGTTTCAGGGATCTTGCTCAATGAAAACTGAGCTCCTTGGAACTTTTTTACCTTCATTAATATGCCCATTAGCAACTAGCCAATCACGGATCAACTTGATCTCGTAATATTGTTCATTGTATGTGTCCTTATTTGAGATATCAATATTTGGATATAGCTCTTTGAAGTCAGATAAACTACGGATGAAAAAAGGCCCACTTGATTGTTGGCCATCATCATCACTGTATTCATCGTCATCCTCGTACTTGTCTTTATTATGATTTTCGTTTTCGGTGTTAGTACTTTCTGAAGCCCTAGCTAATGGATTTTTGGCAAAAAATTGATTCATTTCCATTATATGTCTAAAAATTCTATTAAACCTACTAGGATCATAACACTGAATGTGCGATGGCACAAAATTCCTATTATAAGGATGTTTAACACGAATTCCTTTGATATGGTACATGAAGAGACTGTCAAAATGCATTCTTTCTATAACATAAAGATTGTACTTATAACAATATTGGAAATATGCAGTCGAGGTCATTTCTTTTGAGTTTTTGCGCTTTGAATCAAGCATGGTCAATCTTTGATGGTTGCAGGAAGTTCTTTTTCTCTGTTGATAAACATGTGCCAAACTCTCCAGCTTTGATGTTGCTTTGGCTTTCGGTATGTTCACTAACGCCCTGATAAAATCATGCTCATCTCTGGAAAAACAGTTTGCGATCTTCCATTTTGAAAAATTCTCTAATCCGTGATAAGAGCTATTGGCATTTGTTAGCCTTCTATAATGTCTTCGGTTCAAAAAATGGTTATCGCTGAAGCTCTTAATCACGTACTTATCATCAGTGGTCTCATCTTGTAATTCAAACAACGTCACAGATTCTTTTTTGTTTGCGGATTTTTTTGCCACCTCAACGTTTACACTTTGAAATCTGTATATATTGGTGTGCAGAGTTCTGGCAGATGATAAATCCGAGGTTTCAGCTTGGTGGTAATTATTATTATAAGAGTCCCCTAAATAATGTCTCAATTTCAACTGTTTGATCTCTGGATCTTCTTTTCTTAATCTAGCAGAGATTACTCTTTTGCGAGTGTATTCATTACCAAATAAGTGCTCTAAAAGACCATGGTCATATGATTTATCAGTCAACATTGCCTCCTATGGCCAAAGAGAAAGTAAAAAGTACAAGTAAAAGCTCTATTATCGAAAAAGAATATTCAATGGAATACAATGAAGTTATATGGTGCAAAAAAGAATAAGCCATTTGAATGAAAAAAAAAAGAGCAACAAAGAAAAGAAAAGAAAAAAAGAAAAAGAAAGAAAGAAAGATATAATAAACTCTCATGCATGGTGAACGTTTTTCCTGCATTTCATCAGATAAATGAAGGAAAGATAGAAAAAAACGGCCATCGAAATGCCCACTTCATCAAACAAACCACAGGAAGTAAAACAAATGCAAAGTAAATTAGTTAAAATAAATACAAAGAAAATCAGTCACAATTTGCTATGTAGTTTATGCAATTTAAGATGTCCACTCGCTTTTTTTCCAGGCTCGATAAAATCACCCAAGGCCTCCGCATAAACAGGAGGGTTTTCTTTATCCTGATCAGAAAGTAGCTCCAATGTTCCTTTAATAATGTATCTTCTATGGGTAGTCTTTACTACGTATGTCTTTATGACTATGTGACTTTCAACCGGAACCGGTTTATTATAGGTTATGTTCAAACGTCTGGTGACAGCGATGGGGATATCGCCATGAACTAAAGGAAGGCAGCATTTCAATAGCATATCATCAAAAATGGTACTGATGGCACCTCCATGTACCAAGCCTGAATAACCATGAATATTTTCACCCAAGCAGTACACCGCGACCAACTCATTGGGGATTTCCTTGCCATCACCTGGTTTTTCTCTAACTTTTTCGCTGAAATATAACTTGGAATAGACGATTGGATCCGGGTATATCATCCCATCCCTCAACAAGGTATCGTAGGTAAAACTCTTGTTGGCATTTTTTTTACTAGCTGTTATATATGGACATCTCTTAAAACCGTTGGATTCCAATTTCTTGAGAAACCAATGGCTTTCAACTTTTTGCATAACTAGCGAGCCAAGAGGTCGAATAACTTCTCCCATATCGCAAAAACTTTTTTTCTTTCTTGCTCAATTTGTAATTTCCAGAAAAAGAGATCTATATTCTTTATTTCATCTCATTTTTTTGCTTCTTTCCCTAAAGTTTTTTTTCATTTGATCTGCACTTCATATCAAGCTAAAACCGGCCAGGTGGCCTAACTTCGGTTCTTTCGTTGTGGTCTACTTATAGATACAAGCGAGGAGGCAATGATGATCATAAGGATAATGAGGGAGAGAGATGATTAATAATTTTGATGTTCTCACATGATAACCACAAGGTTGGGTATACGAATAGAATATTCCTTACATTTGATGAGAAGTAAGTACTAAACACTATAGCGTAAACACCCGGGGTGACAGTATATGTAACCCGGAGCTCCGATGGCGAAGAACCCTGAAAAAAAGTGCAACGATAAAGGCGATGAGATGAGATGAGGATTTTCCTTATGTGAGTAATACATAATATACAAGATGGTTGAGGTAAAATTAAAATGTATAAATGGATTGCCTGATATAGCCGGTGTTATCATTAAAGAAGAGACTTCGGGAGAACAATTATATGATATGTTGGTGACCAGTCTCCCGTCAACGATTCAAGACACTGCAAGAATTTATTTTGGTAAAAACGATATTCGAGTGTATGAATCCTTGAAACAGATAGATTGTCACAAATTAATCAGGTTGAATCTACGAATACCGCTAAGGGGAGGGAAAGGAGGGTTTGTCCAGCAGTTGAAAGCACAAGGCAACAAGATCGCTAAAGACAGATCCAGCAACCAAGAAATAAGAAATAACTATAGAACTTTGGAAGGTGGAAGAACGGTAAAAGAGGTGGAGAAGTCAAAAAGATTGCTGGAATATTTTGCGAAACAACCAGAAACAAAGAAGAAAGAACTGGAAGAAAAGAGATCAAAGTTGAAAGCTATTATTAATACGGATCCTTTGAAGAATGTGAAATTTCAAGATTCCAAGTATTTGGAAAATAGCGAAGAGCTATTGGAAGAAATAAAAGGCTCGATGGAAATTGCAATGAATGAAAGTGAAGAAGAAGAGGTTGATGTTGATGTTGAGGTTGAAAAAATTGAAACAAAAGAAGACTTCAGAAAGGAAGGAAACCTGCCCCCGACTATAATGTTTGCGGCTTTCTTTGAAGAGGAGGAAAGTGATGAAGGTGAAAGTGAGGATACTGAACATGAATCAAAAGAGGAAGAGCTTCTTGCTGTGAAAGAAGGGAAACAGAAACTCTGAATCAGCCTTTTTTTTTTTTCATTAACATTTCCTGAATAATGATCATGCTTATCTTGTGAAATATTACATATTATTAAATATTATTTGTTATTATATATTATCATATTCTGATGTATAAGTATAATATATTATTGGATTTGCACTATATTGCGATGAGACTGATGAGACTGATGAGACTGTATAAATCTAAACGCACGTATTTTTTTTTCGATGGAAAAACAAAGAAAAAGGTGTTCAGTATATCAAGTGCTATTACTATGACAACAATATTGTTGTCCACGATATCCAACTATCCTTAAAGATGTCATCTGAAAACTTTACCAACTCTACTTATGAAGACTTCGCTGAAGAGGCCACCGAAAAAATCACCAAGATCTCTGTTTACACCCCGTTGATTTATGTGGCAATCATCTTGACCGCGTTGATCACTTTTTCAAAGATCTATAGAAAGAGATATATCAACAAGTTATCACATACCAAACCGTTCTTCCCACCAAACATACAGAAGCAAGTGTATTTTGAATTGGCAGCGCAGGATCCAAAACCTAATGACAAAGTATTGAAAGCCGCGCTCTTCAGATGGGCTTCCGAGTCGATCAGAAGAACCATCAAGTTGAAAGAATGCGAACAATCCATCACCAAGATGTACCAAGCTGGGTCCATTGGCGATGAATTATTCACCAGATACAACTTTGCCAAGAAATTCGAAGAATTGGAGATCCAAAATATCGCAAAAGAGGTCGAAGGCATTAAGAAAGGGTGGGCCCCAAGCTTCTTCCCACTATTACAAGAAATCACCTTCAACGAGGCATTGAAAAGAAGGGTCGGGGCCATCGATCTGTTGAATGCTGACCAGGCGAAACAATGGGGGTTGACAAAAGAATATCTTGAAAAGCTTGTTGCTAATAGACCACAAATGAAAATTGATGTTAAACGTCCATGAAATCTTGGACCTTAAAGACATACTTTTTTGAACATACCAGAAATTTTGTAATTTTATTGAGCTTTTCCCTTTTTTTAAAAAAAAATATTTTCTTGGATATTATCAAGTCGTTTAGAAGCAGAGAGTGGCTTGTTTTCAAATATTTATCTGTTTACAATGTGGGCAGGTTTCCCATTTTTATAGATGAAGTTAATTTCGAATCATAAATCACTCATTAAGCATTAGCACTTTGTTTTCTTTGTTTTTCCTTTGTATCCAAAATGTTCTAATATATATATATATGTATCTCATGATGAAAAAATTAAGAATAAACCATTAAAAGTAAATAAAATTATTATGCGAAATTTTTTTTTTAAAAAAAAAAGATCATTAGCAAATATCATGAACAAAGGGAATCACGGGTTTGTATTGATGTGCCATGAATCAGGAACGAGAATAACATACTTTTCCATCGCAGCTCTAAATCTTGATTTGTACTGCTTTGGGGTAACAACAGTAGGCTTTCTTTTTATCCCACCAACCAAACCTTTTTCTTTTACCCAGCTTTCCAATTTCTTATCCCAGGTGAAGGTTCTGACATAGTCAATCAACCCTGCAACAATTTCGTTTTTCTCCCAATCAATTCCAATCACCAAAGAATAATCCATCACATTCATTTTGCTTAAAAACAATGTATCATTCCATAAACACGCTCTAAGATGCTTCTTATTATGATTTCTCATGAACAAAGGAGAATCAAAAATTAATTCCACCATATTTTCATCCAATAAAACCTCATTCTCTTTTCCAGTCTGTTCAACATGCCTGTTTCTCATAGACCCTTTCAAATCAAAGATCTTAAGGTTCCTACGATTGTAAAAAAGATTCTCCATTATAATGACGTCCATCTTAAAGTTTTTACCGGTGGTAGGATTCTTAATAACAATCTGATAAAACCCAAAGATTTTTCCTAGAGCAGTAGGCAAGTCGTGAAACAAAGCTTGGGCCATATATTCAAAATAACTTGGTGCCATTTTCACAAAAGAATCCAATTCAGAATATGATAACTGCTTGATCACCAATCTATCATCTAAAGTTTTAAGGAATGCCGAGCCACTTTTGCCACCACTAGAATCCCACTTGACACATCTTGATAAACTTTGAATGAAATCAAACTTCAAACCACACTTCTCCCGAAAAGCTTCAAATTGTTCCACAAAGAAAACTTTACAAGACAAAATTGCATTGTTATCCAAAAACTGATATTTCAAATGGATTGCCGTGGTCTTCAACATCTGATTGTGCAATAATTCATCCTCCAATTTACTACCAGCAGTGATTTTGATGGATTCAGGGTTCGGAATGTTTAAAGACACTAAGTTTTCAAGTTTCATCATCTGGACTTTTTGTAAATAGTCTTTGGAACTCAAGGCAAATGCAATGACAGATCCCGGTTCGTCATCTCTAATGATCACGTCAGATTCCACAAATATATGTTCTGATGGACTCAATGGTGATTCAATTGGCTTAAATAATTCTGATCTATCGGCTAACAACTTCTTGAACATGATAAATAATGAATTTTTCTCTTCAACGCTTGCTTTATGATAATTGTTATTACCATTGTTGGTAACTTCAGAATTCCCACTATTATCTTCGTTACTAGTATCATCTTCATTGCAAGTATCTTTATCGTTATTAGTCGATGGCTTATTTACATCTTCGCCAGAAAATTGAATATTTAGGGATTCCAAATTTTCAAAGAAGTTGGATCTCTCATCAGTTGGTATTTCTTTGGAGTTTTCCTTGGATTCAGATTCATTATTCACGTCCAAATTGAGCACCTCGGCAGCCTCACGAACACTGTTATCATCATCATTATCATTTGCACAATCTTCTTGATTCTCCTCGATATCAGTAAATGGATTGGCCTTGATCTTGTCTTCATTGTATTTTAATTCTTGATCATTGAAAGCATCATCGACATTCTTGAAAATCTCTACAGTTTGTTGAGAATCAATTTTTGGAATGGACCGTAATTTGCTTTCGTATAATTTCCTTTCAATTTTTCTTTGCTCCTCGAGTTGTTGGTTGAATTTCATTTGCATATGATCAAAGTATGTTTTCAATTTAGACACTTTTGGATGATAAGACTCAAAATCTTTTTTGATTGGGCTTTGAGAGTCAGCTGTCAATGACGTTGGACTCTTAATTGACGGTGACCTAGACAGAACTATACTATCTGTGGGATTTCCGTTGGCAATCAATGCCTCCATTTGCGAAATCTTCTCTCTAACTTTGGTGTTATTCAATTTCAATTTCGGAATCATAGATACTTTACTCACATATTTGGGCTTTAGTGGAATTTTGGCAGTTACATATTCTTTGTTATTGTCGGTTGATTCATCATGTTGAATCTTTGCTTCGCCGGCGCCGTTATCATCTCCAACTTCTTTGCCTTCTTCCATTTCAACAACTTGCTGGTTATCAATTTTTTCTTCCGTAACGATTTGGTCATTTGGCTCTTTTTCTTCACATTCCAAACAATTCTCTTCTTGCAAGTTTTCATGGGTTTTTTCACCGGCGTTAGCAACCAGTGCCGCTTCTTTATCAAAGAATTTGAGGAATTGTAGCGATGATACTTTTGAAAGCTCTGGTAGGAAATTTTTTTCAAATTCAGCAAACTCTTCATTCCATTGAATACAATACTCTTGGATATTTTTCAAAACAACATTCATTGAAATATAATCTGTGGGAGCCGAGATCTTGAATATTTCATTAATATGGTCCATGGTTGAGTGCTTATTCTCAATGGCTAAACTAATAAGGCTCTCAATTTTTTCCATAGCAAAATCAAGTTTATCTTGGTTTGTGGTATCAAGCTTTGCAGATTGGAGCCGGTCAATGATACTGTCAAATAAGATGTTTGTTTTTTCGATCACTTGATCATAGAGTTCCGTTTTAAGGTTAATACTGCTATCTGGCTTCCATTGGATTTTGTTTAGTGGCAAATGCAACTCAAACAAATCGATGGTTTCGTATTCAACTTTAATTGCCATATCATAAAATCCAAAATATTTGACTCTATCTCTCTGGGCATCATGGCCACATTCTTCATAAGATACAGTCAATGGGATAGATAAAAATGATAATTCCAAGAATTTCCCAAATGAAAATTTCCAAGTTGTATCATTCATGGGTATGACTGGGGTTTTGTGACCACATTTTTTGCAAACACTCCACATTAATATAACATGCTGCAAACCAGGGATTGGACATGCTATTTTCTCTATCGAAACAATCAATTTAGCATTACCATGTGTATACGTTTTGTAGTGATCAATAAACTTTCCTCCGCAACTCTCTGGGCATGGACTATTGGCCTGTGTGATTTCGTGTTCCACATATTGACCCAATGTTGAATCATTGTAGTCGAGATAATACTCAATTTGAAGAATTTTTGGAAAGAAACAATAGTTCCCATTTTTGCTTAAGGTGGTAGAATAAGAAAAACAAATGTTTTGATGAGTTGAAACTTCCAATAAATTTGGTTGGTGGTTGAAGAAGGTATCCCATTGTCTAGAATAAGATTTGAATTGACCAGTCAATGTTTTAAGTTTATATTGAAGAATTAATTTGGCCACTTTATGTAAATTGTTATCATCAAACTTGAAATCTTTTCTGACATTGGAATTATTAATGATTTCTTTGCAATCATCAATTGATAAATTATTAATGGAATATTTAGATTGAAGCACATCCAAATGCTTCTGAAAAATTCTTGCCTGGTCCAATAAATATGGCATAGGGATGATAACTGATGGGGAAATAGAATACAAAGATTTATTGAAGTTGACAAGAAACTCCCAGAAATAACCACCAACATTTTTCAAAATGCTTTGACGTTTTTCTTTCAAATCATCAAGTAATATTTGTTTGTTCATGGAAACAAATGTGTCCCTGAAATAATGGGTTTCCAATTTTAAATGAAACATGCAATATATGATAAATTCCGCAATACTTTTGACCTTTTTCAAGTTTTGAGCATCGTTGTCCCTGATTATTGCGGTCCCGCCCAAATTTACTGGACACTCATTGAAAAAAGCAAAGCTTTTCTTCAAGTTTTTGAAAGGATAGACTTTGATTTCAAAATTGCCGCAATGGCCCAACTTGGGACTGAATGTCAACTTTTCCACTGATGTTATAATATCTGCCAGTGTCAACCTTGCTAGATGTGTTATTACGTGATGTTTAACGTTTAGAAGAACGGTGATGCCTGCATCTCCCAATAATTCTAAAGCGTAACCACTCACATTGGCACCAGCAATGAGTAAATCAGGTTTCGGTTTTATAGAAACAATTCTTTTCACTAATTTATCTAAAAACTCTTTTTCCTGGGGCAAAATTTGTTCAAAACTCATAAATTGGTTAGTAGATTGAGAATATTCGATCGGGAATTTGATGATGATAATATTAGGGTTTCTAATCTTTGTCCTCATTGAATTGATTGCGACATTCTTTGTGAACACAAATCCATTAATATAAAAACTACTCTCTGGGCCACTACCCAAAATCTCTTTGAAATTAATAAAATCGGTGATGTCAAGCCTAATATCCTTGGTCTGTTGCAAATCTATGACCGGTATTTCGCTGATCAAATTAATTAAAGCCTTGGTCCAGGTATTTTTTCTTTTCACATTAAACAGATCAAGTGTTTGGTGCAAAAATCTGGAAAGATGATATTTGCTAAGTTGATTCAATTCTCTATAAATTTTTTCGGTATCAGCTATCGATTGAGCATTAGCATTATTGAGTTCATCAAAATTGTTATTGTGTTTCAAATTTCCTGAGCTAGGGTAAGTAGATAGTTTATGTGAAGATGACCTCGTTGACTTAGCGTCTTCTGGTGCATTAGGTTTGGAAAGGTTATTTCGGCTTCTTTTTGATAGTCGCTTTTTGGAATAGGTAAGTTCATCATGGTTTCTGGAGATTGATACGTGAGGCTCATTCAATTTTTTGAATTCGTGTCGTGATTCAAAAGAAAAAGATGGTACTCTCTTTGGGTGTCTTTCAGTGTTGAAAACATTTTCATCGAAGGTCTGTAAGCTGTCTTCACTTTCAAGAGACTCCAATGAACTTTCTCGTACGTTGCAATTACTTGTGGATGAAATATTGGTAACAGACCGAGACTCATCATTATCACCCTCAGTATCACCTTCATTATCATTGTGATTATCGTTGTCACCTTCATCATCATCATCGCTTGAGTCACCATAATTGTAAAGACAAAGTTTACAAACTCTTAGATCACCATCATGTTTGAACCTTTCACCGGGAATAAGCATAGCACAGGTATTACAAAATATTTGACCGCATAGTCGACAATGATGTCTTCTCCTGAAAGTTGTGAATGATTTTGAGCAATTAAAACAATGGCTGGCACTGTCATCTTGCATCCAGTAATCTTTGGATAGCAAAAGAGCATTACGCTCTAATGGCTCTGTCAGCAGGAAATAATGATACATTTAGACTGTATGTCACTGTAATAGCATTTTATTCTTTGAAGAAACCAGTTGCCTTTTAATTGAGAGTCTGATATAGTTCAACTATTATTTCTGTGTGCAAGTAAAGGTTAACAAGCCAGCCCTCAGAGCATCACTTTTTTTTATTTTTTTTTACCTTTTTGTGGTGCGTTCTCCCATGTGATGATGATGATGCCCAATGCGGAATAAAAAAAAAAAATATGGTGGGGAAAAAAAAAAAACACGCGACGCGTTGGGCAGAGTCAATTTGATATAATCAATGGGACTTACAAGCTGATAGATCATATCCAGACTTGAAAATTGTTGAATTTTTGTCACATTTCATCTTATCATCTGCTGGAGACACTTAAAACTATTTTTCCTCCCAAAATTTACTCATTTTGAGGCAGTAAGTAGAAAAATAGACGCGTCGTAGCTTTTCATCATGCAATATATTTTCTTGCTTGGTGAAATACTAGGATAGGAGCTTGTAAATAGTAGCATACCAACCCTATTGTTCAAGTAGAGTAACTATTCGCTAAAAATGCAAATATTGAAGAAATCAATATAGTATGTTAAAAAACTAAACAACTGTTAGAAAATAAGGCCGCTTATGTAAAGAGAAGGTGATATTTTACTTAGGCTTTCAAAAGTAATTCGCAGGTTCTTTACAATTAAAAAGATTAACCAAAGAAATCTTTTTAATTGTAAAGAAAAGTCTTCTAAACTTATGTATTAGCAAGAGGAAACTGAATTTGTTTTCTTTTCTAGAATTGTTTCTCATATATATCAAAATTATACTTGTCAAAATTTTGAAGCAACAGAATAGAAAGCCTTTTTCTCCAGAAGGCAAGAAATATAGTTTTAATTTCTCATTATAAGCTGAAAACAATAGGAAATATGATTTAGTTATTTCTTAGTTATTTATTATTCATAGAAATGTTTTATTATTTTAATCTAAAGTACTTTTAAAAGCGCACCACCTAATAATTCTCTTTTAAACGAATATATCTATATTATTTCTGTAGGCGCAAACTATTTACAGATCTTCTCAAGGAGAATTAATCCATATAATTTTATGATGCATCCAGTACCTTCATAATTAGAATGTTCATATTGACATATTTAAGAGCAATATTCCAAGTGAATGAGAATTACTAAAATTAATTTGCCAATTTGCCGTTCAACTTAAAAAAAGATGGTTCGAAAATAAAGTCATCAATAATGTTTCGTTATCGAAGGTCAAGATTATTTGACCCCTACGAAACTTTGGAAGCTGAAGAAGGAATATTGATTCTCGGTGAAACTCATCTTTATTTGATTGAAAATTACTTCCATTGCTCCATATTTAAAATTGATTGCCGGCGAACCAAAATCTAAAAATTTGAAAAAGTCTGTGAAGACTCATAACACAAAGTCTTGGGATTTGGAAAAACTTACATTGACTAAGTCCAGAACTCATCTTTTGACGTTGGCGATGGACTGAAAGTAAGTTTGTACGGAATAATAATAATTACAATAAAGATGAATTAGCAAGCAGAAGCTGAATTTCGGCTTTTCCGCTTACTTCTTATAGATATAATCATATATGATTTGCAGCTATATAAATCTCAATCGGGGGTCATAAACCCTCAGGAACACCCCAGGGGCTATCTAGACCAATGTTTATGTGCTAACAACGAAAAAATGATTAAATTTTAAGTAAAGAGTCGATACCCCGAATGGACCAATAACAATATTGTAAAATATTCATCATTTTCATGGCTTTATCATCTATTTATAACTTATAGTCGCGAGATTTGTGTTAGTTAAGCTACAAAACTTTTCAGCGCACTAAAATAATAATAGTAATAAAATTTAAAAAAAGATCTTCTGTGTTGACTCCAGGGACTACGCAAATTAACTTTAAAAGTCGCTCCAAAACCCTTGAACCCTTGAGAGGAATTTTGTAGGAACTAGATTTCTTTGGAGAATTGCAAAAGTCAATGAAACTTGAAATAATAATAATTAGAAAAAAAAAATTTCAAGCAAATTATTATAATTTGGGAAAAAGATGGAAAACCTGAGAATCTGTCGTTGTTTCAGATGTAAAACCACGAAATTTCAGAGAAAAGAGGCGCGCAACTTAAACGTATAACATCGATTTACATTAATCTGGGACTTACATAGAATAATTCTGGATGTTTCAATAGGATTATTTAACAATCGCTTTGTGTCCTCTTTGAATTGTGACTGAGAAGACCGCTTGAAGATGGATGACTTGAATACCACCTGTTCCTTATTGGTAGTATCTTGGTCCTGGAGAATTGCCGTTTCTGGACTTATTTCCAACAATTATCCATTTTTGGGCCGACAATGCCTTTCGTCTGTGCCTAACTTTTCCACGCAATGCAGATCACTGCACGCACCTTGTGAACCGTGTAGACAGGACCCATAAAAACCGTTTTCTTGGAAGCATGGCTTGCTATCACATAATATAATACCTAGAAGTTTGTCTCTTTATAGTAGCACCACTCGAGATCTGTTTGTTGATACAAAACTGAGAAGATGATCTCTTAGTAATATACCAATGCGTTTGTATTATTATAAATGTCTTCGAAGAATATATCGAATACCGTCGTTACTCCGCCGGTTTCCAAATACGGACCTCACAGACAATAGTATTTTTAGTCTGAAATATACAATGTTATTGTTGGTAATAGTCGTAACTTTTGTATTAAAGATGTCCACACAAGATGAAAAGGGAATGAATTTGGAACAGCAAGCAACAATTCCAAAAATAGGATTGCAAAAATTGTCTCCAATCATACGATATTGGAGCTACGTTGATCGTCATTCCTCTATTTATTTATCCTCTTTTTTTTTTTTTTGCTCTCTATGCCCTCCATGTACTGCCTTTTTCTTTTTCTGAGGAATATCACCATCTCCTTAGTTCTTGGATTCTATTATAAATGTCAAAAAAGTAATTAGTGGTTTACATATTCAAAATCTAGATCTTTTGACAACAACAAGGTTCGTATAATTGGATATTTTCATGATTTTGAAACCAGATTTTTTGACAAGATTGCATGCAAGTAACAGAAGGATGATCCCGGTTTAAGAAATGTGATACAATAACAATAGGAGCTCGTAATTACTTAACATACAGCATATTAACAATAGGAACCTGGTAGTATTTATATTTTATTTTTCCTAGTGATTTACGTACTGAAAAAGAACTATTCCTTTGGACTTATAACTGATTTTTATGTGTACAAACACAAACTTACCAGCACTACGGCCTAAATTGTTCAATATACGAAACGATATTGTTGATTTCATGAGGGTTGAAAAGGTAGCCGTGGGAAACAAGATACTTTGGAGATACTCTTTTTCTTTGTATAGGGATTTTTTTCATGAGAAAACGCAAGTTTGAAGGGTGTCTTATTGACTAACAACGCTTATATGTCATGTGCAATGTAGAGTTTGATGGTCCAACAAGAATATTTCCATCTTCAGCATTAGGAATGATAATTTTGAATTCTCAGCTAATATATATATATATAATAGAGATACGAAAGAATACACGAAGCAACAGTTGAGAGTATGCCAATATTACGGGTTGACTGCTTGTCATTTCTCCGGGAAAATAAAGGATGCGATTTAATCCCTAAATCCGTTTTTGTGTTTGGAGATTCCATTTTGGGGACCAGACTTAGATTTAATTGTCCTTTGATATTCAAGAAACAACAATATGTCGTTTCTTTTTTCAAGATATACTTCAAAAAAAAACAACACATATCAAAACGTAAAAAAAGTTAAATTCAACAATTACGCAATTATTCTGTAAAGATGATATGAAACCAGCTAAATAACAAATAATAGCCCTAATTCAACGCCAGTTTTGTGGAACAATAAACAAGTGATAGTATCAAACATACTGCAAGACCTAAATCACTCTATTGAGACACCTTTGTTTATGAATTCGGTATAATCCAACTCAATGATTCAATTGATACACTATCATGCAGACATATTTTAAAGTTCGATTATTTGCATCTCCATGGCTGGGCTTGTGCGTCAGTTTTACCCGTTTCTTTTTTTTTGCTTCTACTATTGGCTCACTCACCTAAAGCCTCAGAGACAGTAAAGTACCCTGTGTACTTCTCTCTTTTTTTCCTGCTAAAAAAAACAAAAAAAAAACAGCAAACCTCCGAGGCTTTGGCAGATTGCTGCTTTCTCAAGGGACAAGGGAACTATGTGACCCAAACACTACTATCACAACTTTTTTCTTTTTCTTTTGTAAAGACACTGCTTTGGTTAGGTAGCGAAACTAGGTAACACCAGTGAACAAAGCGAAGAACCGCTCAAACATTCGAAACGTCCTCTTGCCAGAAATCCCACAAGTTACCGTTGATGGGGATCGTTGGCGGCCACCATAATAATCTGTACCCACAGATTGCACGGTTTGAGGACGCCAAAAATGGCCGGGGACCTGGAGAAACAAGCTTTGAAAGACCGCAGAATAGGGCATACAAATGCATAAGCACACCACAAACTCAAATAGATTTCGAAAGCTGCGCATGAAGCTGCATTGGGTGTTTTGAATCGGCAGGTACTATATGTGCTGAGGTTTGGTAACCTGTGGCTGCTTGGTTCCAATTAATTTAGCTATTATCCAGAAATTTTGTTATTTTAGTGGGTCATCCGTCGCCAGTTATTAAATTGTGTCTTAATTTTATTTTTATTTTTTGCTTCAGGGGACGTTGGGCATATATTATTGTCAAGAACTATTAAAGAGCGAAAATACAAGCTTCCGAATATCTATAGTAATACCCAATTGTATTATATTCCGATTCGTTTTGATCCTCTTTATATAATTGTCAGATATGAATCTCAGATTGACATTGATATCACTCTCTGTCATCGTGGCATCAATAGCAGCCGAGTCGTCGTCATCAGAAGCCTCTGCACATGTCGAATCAACATCAGCTACATTAGCCGAATCAACTATCAAGTCAGAAACCACAGCAGCTCAAACCACAGCAGCTCAAACCACAGCAGCTCAAACCACAGCAGCTCAAACCACAGAAGCCCATACGACAACTTCTGTGATAGCTACGACTGCTAGTTCTGCCATCAAGACATCTGAATCATCGGCTTCTAAATCATCTTCATCAGAATCACAAACATCAAAAGCCATCACTTCCTCCACCCAAGAAGCAACATCCATAACATCCACAACATCTCCTGCCTCTTCTACTTCTGTGCAATCCAAGGAAAAATCCAGCACAACCCCAAGTGTTGTCACCTCAGAAAAATCTAGCACATCCATACTCAGTATTACTTCTGAAACAGCAGCACAGGTAACGGCAATCTCATCATCCTCATCACAATCATCTAAGAACACCGAAACTCTTTCTTCAGATTCCGGCAAAGGAACTCTGGTTATTTCCACCAGTGCTGCCGCTGCTACTCAATCAACAGCTAGTGCTGCTACCTTATCAACCAGTACAAGTTTACTGGGTAAGCAAGCCACTGTGATCAGTTCTTCAGTAACTTTATTCCAAGCTGGATCCTCCGCTGGCTCTTCTTCCACGTTAAAAACTGAATCTTCTTCTGTGATAAATGCAGGATCTTCATCTACCCGGAGTGCGGGCTCCTCTCCTGCGCAAAGCACAGACTCTTCTTCTACCCTAAACACAGGCTCCTCTCATGTGCAAAACACAGGCTCATCTTCTACGATAAATACTGGTTACACAACATCAACAGAATTATCATCTAAAATTTCATCGGCTTCCTCATACTATTCTCTAACAACAGACCTTGATGGTTATGTTCATAGTGTTCTTGAAACATCATTAAGTACAGACACTAGCTTTTCCAGTTCCACCTACAACACCGGTTTGCCACCAAGCAGTGCAACTGGCTATATTACCTATGTTAACTCACTTGGTCAAACAGTAACTTCAGGCAGTACTGGCGTGACAACATCAGGAAATCAAATTTTGGGTTTATTTGATGGTATGCTTTCTACCATTGGTAGTATTGTTGGTCTTCACGGTGATACTACCAAGACTACATCAAGCGATTTGGCTACAAAAACAACCTCGGAATCCTCTAGTTTTGGATTGATTTCATCAAAAGTAACCTCAGACTACACATCGGAACATGGTGACAGACATTCCAAAACTACCTCCACCTCTGGAGATTTTTTCTCTAGTGTGACCAGCATTGCTAACAGCATCTTCAGCGATGTTACCAGTGATGTTGCTAGTGTCGTCAGCGATGCCACCAGTGATGCTAGAAGCATATTTAACCATGTTACCAGTGATGTGGCTAGTGTTGCCAGTGTTGCCACCAGTGATGCTAGAAGCATATTTAACCATGTTACCAGTGATGTCGCTAGTGTTGCCAGTGATGTTACCAGTGATGTCGCTAGTGTTGCCAGTGATGTTACCAGTGCTGTTGGAAGTATTATCAGCGATGTCACCAGTAACTATGGCCACTCAAAGACTCATAGTACCAAGGACCATTATTCCACCAGTTTGGAAACCTCCAGCACTGCTAACAATTGGTACGCTTCCGAAACCTCCAGCACCATTCAGGAACAAACTACTTCTGATAAACATGGTCACAGCCATACCAGTGCTCAGAGCACCTATTATAGTCAAGCAGTCACATCATCCTCCCAAAATGATTACAGTGACGCGGATTCCACTTCTTCCTATGCTCCTATTTATACCAGTAGTACTGCCTCTCACACTGTCATTAGTGTTTCCTCCCCTACCACAAGTGGCGATAGTGTGGTTAGTTCTAGTAGTAAAGATATGAGCGCTGCAACCTCGTACCACACTGAGAGTATTCAACAAGCGACAACCTCCTACCATACCGAGAGTACTCAACAAGCAACAACCTCCTACGACACTGAGAGTACTCAGCAGTCAACAACCTCACAAGTCAGTTTTAAACAAGTAACTACCTCACAAGCCACTAATGATCAATCATCATCATCTGATTACATCGTCTCTTCAATTGTTGATAATGCTGACACTTCCGCTGCAAGTAGCACCATTAATGCCAAAACCTCATCATCCACCCACGATGCTAGTGAGACCGTGAAAACTGAAGCAGAAGCTAGTGCTACCTCTTCCTCAAGATCACAAGTGAGCTCTATTGTTGTTTTCAGCCCAACTTCAGATAGTTATGTGGCTCTGACGGTTGCCGCTTCTGCATACTCTGCTGCTCAATCTTCTGATGATTCCAAAACTTCTGTTGTGGATTCATTGACTACCAATCACGCAGGGTCTGTTTCTACTATTTCCCCATCTCTGAGCTCGAACTGGCTTCCAACCACTCTTCAAGTTGCTTTGAGTAGTAGTGCTGTATCTAGTGATGATTCCTCGAACCAAATCACTGCTATCAGTTCTGGAGCTACAGAAACTTCTGATGCCACAGTTTCTCACTCCACCAAGACTGATAAATCCACTCAGACTTCCAGTGCTGCTGCCCAGCTCCCTAATGCCATCACCCCTGCTATTGAAGCCACTGTCGAGCAAAACTATACCGTGATCACCATTGGTTTCAAAGCTAGCTTGAACTATCCATTTGTCGTCGAACATTCTTTGGCATCTGCCCAAATCTTCCAGTACTTGCCAGGGGTTTTGAGTTTTGTTTTCAATGATAATGATAACCAAGTTTCCGTCAAACAATTGGTTCCATTCCAATCTTCTGACTTGGATTATATTGTCACAATTGCTGAAGTTTACTTCCCTAAAGACTGGGTCAGCACTTTGAATCAATCAATGCAAATCACATATTCAAACTTCTACTTCAATACCGATGCTACCGAAAATGCTTTGGCTCAATTGGTTGATATTAGTATTCCATTGGTTGGTTTGGAAGCCACCGGCACTAGCTCCTCTTCATCCTCCACTTCCACCTCCACTACCGTTGCGTCTGCCCAAGAATCTGCCGAGGCTGGGTTAAGTAATACCTCTACTGGATCCTTCGATTCTGTCCAAAATACTCAAAAAGCTACCAACCCAAAGCTTCGTGCTGTTGTCTCGTCATCTGGTGTTTCTGCTGCAGTTTATATTTCAGTATTGTTGGTCGGGTTCAGAGTGTACAAGAAAAAGAATGGCATGAACTTCTCTTCCGACAAGGATGGTAATATCATCTTGCCAATTTCTGAGCGTGGGGTAGTTGATTTTGAAAAACAACTTGCTCCAGAAGTATTGGTGAACCCTGAATATGAAGACCCGGCTTTGCAAAGAAGAATGTCATATCAATCGATGACGTCTTTTGCTACCTTTGGTGGTGGTTATGCTGAAACCATTCCAGACCATGATGCGGGGGATATTTTCAGTATTGACGAAATGGACCAGTATGATGATGAGGCAGCAATGATTCAAGAAGTCGAGGCCATCATTCCCTCTATTTCTAACCCAACATCTATGAACAGTTGGTTCTGAGCTTTTCAGTTTTTTTTATTTTTTTTTTTATTTTCATTCATGTTCTTTAAAGTTTTGTTTTACTAGAGTATTCCCTTCCTCTTCTTTTTTTAACCAGTTTGTTTGTTTGTTTGTTTTAGATCTTAGACTTTGATTTTGTTGTTTTACTTTTCTCTTCCTTTGTCGATTCTCTTTGTGTTTCCTGGCAAATGAAGAAATAACTAAAGATACAGACTTCTTTAATTTTCGGCGAGATGTTCGATGGCTGTTGTTCTTCAGTTTATCTTTTCTTTCTCGCTATTATTTTTCCATTCTTTTCTTCTATCATTTAGACATTTTCTTAATTGTTATATATTATATATCCTAGAGCTTAATTATTATTATATTTTGTTTAGAATAGAGATCTCCAGTAAACAGAGTGAAGCAAAAAGAAATCTAAGCGCACCGCATCAGATTAATTTTTTTTTTTTTTTTTTTTTTTTTTTTTTTTTTTTTTTTTTTTTTTCTTTTCAAAAATTTTCAATCGTCAGACACCATCACTTGAGCGATTCTTTTCTTATCATATTTCTAGAAACAGGGGGGTTTCTATTTATTTTCAGGACCTACGAGATAATAGTCAGTGATATTTGGGTTTGGGTTTACAAATAAGAACGAAAATAAAATAAATAAAAAGACCTTAGAAATAAAGACGATATAGAATGTCAACAACCGCAGACAAGATCAAGGCCATCGAGGATGAGATGGCTAAGACCCAGAAGAACAAGGCCACAGAGTTCCACTTGGGTCAATTGAAGGCTAAGCTCGCGAAACTCAGACGTGAACTTCTCACTCCAACCGGAGGAGGAGGAGGTGGTGGTGTTGGTTTCGATGTTGCCAAAACTGGGATCGCCACGGTGGGGTTTGTTGGGTTCCCATCGGTTGGTAAGTCTACTCTTCTTTCAAAGTTGACCGGGACACATTCGGAAGCCGCTGCGTACGAGTTCACCACTTTGACCACGGTTCCTGGGACAATTAAGTATAAAGGGGCCAAGATCCAAATGTTGGATTTACCGGGGATCATTGAAGGGGCCAAGGACGGTAGAGGGCGTGGTAAACAAGTCATTGCTGTGACGCGAACCTGTAACTTGTTGTTTATTGTTTTGGATGTGAATAAGCCACTTAAACATAAACAAATCATTGAGTACGAATTGGAAGGGTTTGGAATTAGAATCAACAAGACCCCTCCAGACATTTTGTTGAAGAAGAAAGAAAAGGGGGGAATTAATATTACCAATACCGTTCCGTTGACTAGATTGACAAAAGATGAAATCCGCGCGGTCATGACCGAGTACAGATTGAACTCTGCTGACATTCAGTTCAGATGTGATGCCACCGTTGATGATTTGATCGACGTCATTGAAGCCAAGAATAGAAAATACCTTCCTGCGGTTTATGTGTTGAATAAGATCGACTCCTTCAGTATCCAAGAATTGGAGTTGATGTACAAGATCCCAAATGCTGTTCCAATCTCCTCAGGTAAAGGATGGAACTTGGATGATTTGTTAGAGATGATGTGGGACAGATTGAACTTGGTACGTGCTTACACAAAGCCAAAGGGACGTTTACCGGACTTTAATGAACCAGTGGTTTTGAAGAATGGGAACTCTAGCATTGAAGATTTCTGTAAAAGTATCCACAAGAGTTTGGTGGATGATTTCAAGACTGCTTTGGTGTATGGTAGCAGTGTCAAACATCAACCGCAATATGTTGGTTTAAGTCATGTATTACAAGATGAAGATGTGGTTACTATTTTGAAGAAATGATATATATACATATGAATGGTTGATATTTCCAGGACATTGTATATATATATGTATACGGGCTGAATATGCTCAAAAAAAAAAAAAAGATTGGTACTATATTTATCGTCTTTTCCAAGTAGGTCTCATGGGAACTACAGGTTTTTCTTTCTTAATGCTTTAATGTCTTTTGTTTGCCTTGTTACCAATCATTCTATCTTGTAGTAATCAACTATTATTATGAATGATGCAGTGGTTTTACAATTGTGAGGGTGAGTGTGATGGGTACTTTGTATATATTTAAAGGACAGTCTACTTTTTATACATTCCAGGCAGCAATGATAAAACTTAAAAAGAACGCGAGTTTAAAGCTTGGATTATTCAATAAAAAGTCTCGTAGATTCAATCTTTGGGTTCCGAGCGATAGTATCCCGTTCCAAGGAATCTGAATAATCCCCCGATTTTCAAGAAACTCTATTGACAAAAATGTGGTGAAAGAAATAAGGGCCAAAACGTACGATAATTTCCCAATGATGATACCGAGAGCAAGCCCAAACATAGAGCCATATGTCAAATCGTCATATGAAAGCTTGTGGTGCTTTTTGTTAGCCTGGCGTGTTTCTGGTGATACCCCAGCATAAGTACCTGGTGGGGGTGATTGGATGAGCACATCATTGGAAACATGAGGAGAATTTGAAAATACAAGCAACCCTCCGGTAAATGCTGTTGCTCCAAAGAGCACACTAGCACCAAGTTTTGTCCGCACTATAGGGATAGTTCTGGCAATCACAGGCTTGTTGAAATTGCCAAAGAGGCGAGTGTTGGACAAAGCAAAGCGCCTACCGCAACTAACAGACGTTTTGCAACGAGCCAATGTGGCGAGAATATTAAATTGGCGAAACATAGAGGTGAAAATAGGTTTATCAGTACAACACAACAGCAAACTCCAATAACCTTCAAGTGTTTGAGATATAATAAATAATATTTATTCAATAAATATTTAGATAATCAGAATAGGCAAGAAAAAAATAAAAATTACAGAAAAGGTTGCTGTCAACACACGTGCACTCTGGGGTCCAACCATGAAAACTTACAAGGGTTTGGGGTTATTTTTAATGAACAACTATAATAATATATTTATCGAAGTTACATATTTAGGAACATCAGCATCGAGTATTGACATGCTTATTTGGAAGCAGTCAAGTAACTGGCGTATTCGTCGAATGGAGATGGGGTCAAAACAGTTTCCTTCCACAAGTTTGGAGTCAAGAAACCGTAAGTGTTACCGATAGCAGCGAAGGCAGCCTTCAAGGTGTTTTCGGTAGTTCTGGTAGAACCAGAAGAGGAAGTGTAAGCATCTTGGATACCAGCCAATTCCAACAATCTCTTGACGGCGATGGAAGCAACCAAACCAGAACCTCTTGGAGCTGGGATCAATCTGACAGAGACGGAACCACACTTACCGGAGGTCTTGTTAGCCAAGGAGTGAGGTTCACCCAAGTTGGAACCCCAGTAACCTCTTCTGACTGGAATGATAGACAATTTGGCAATGATGATGGCAGCTCTGATGGCGGTGGCAACTTCCTTAGCGGTCTTGACACCCAAACCAACGTGACCGTTTTCGTCACCAATGATGACAACAGCCTTCATTCTGGTTCTTTGACCAGCTCTGGTTTGCTTTTGGACAGACTTGATCTTCATCAATTGGTCCTTCAAACCTGGCAAGATTTGGTCGACAATTTGGTATTCCTTGACTGGCAAAGAGTGCAAGTAAATTTCTTCCATAGTGGTGACCTTACCAGACTTCACAAGTCTACCAAGCTTGGTGACTGGAACCCAGGCCTTTTCACCATTGTCTCTTCCTCTTCTTGGTCTTCTACCCTTAAAACCACCTCTCTTTGGAGCTTCAGCAGACATTTTTGATAATTAAAGTATTATTTGTCGGAATTTAATTCACGGAACCGCGGGTTGTTGCGTTCAATCGACTTTGCTTTGGGAATCTTTATCTATATATGACAGTTTGGAAAATGGTGAAATTTTTTTTGGTGGTTTTTCGAGGAGTGAGCGATAGTGGGGGTGTCGAGGGGTGCTTGTAGCGGAGAATCATAATTTCCTGCTTATGTCAGCAAATTGGTCACATATACCAGGTGAAAGTCACATGTATATGAAGGGCTAATAGTAATCTCAAACACGTGATAAATAGGGCGCAAATACGTCATATTCTTATCACCCCCTCAATCAATCACATGCCTATATGCAATGCGGTGCATGTGTCGCCCCGGTTGATAAGTGCAGCAGCCGGGGGAGTTGAAGCTTGCTGTGGGTGGGTGTCCAAAGCAATCGAAGAGTGTATGCATATATATATATATATATATATATATAGTAAGCCATCTCTTCTATCTAATTTGTAGCATAAGATATATGTTATTCCTGGTATACCTTGTCAGATCCCATAGTGATAGCTTTTATTATTTTTTTAAAACATTTCTTCTTCAATCAGTCATCTCTCTTAATATTTTTTGAATATTACAATTCAACCTGTGTTATTTCCTCAAAATAAATACTAAACTCTAGAACGAATATAATCATGTCTAGGTAAGTTGGTGATCTGATTCTGGGATCCATCCTTTCTATTTTTTACTTGAATACTAACTCTGGAATTAGCTACGCTGAGAAAGCTGCAAAGAAAGGTCCTTTGGGCGAAGAGATTGCCGTTGATGAGCAGAAAGTTAACGAGGATCTTAGGGAGGCAAAAGCAAAGATTGTTGATAAGTTGGATAGCGCTAAGGAGAAGGCACATCTGGCCCTTGAAAATGTTGATAAAGAAGATATCCATCGCAAGATTGATGACGCTGAGAATGCCATTATCAAGTTTATCAAGTCCATAGGTAGCGGGTTTAGCCACTATGCTAACTTGACGGCTAAGAAGGCCGGAAGCGCCACCTGTACTGCCAAAGAGGAGTTAAAGAACCCTGTTGTTGCTTCCCAGGCCATTATCGCTACCGGTGCACTTATTGGGGGGATATATGCCTACCAAGAGCGCTTTAGACTCAAGAAGATTCCAGAAGACGTGTTGTGTGTTTATGCTTCGGTGTTGACCGCGGTAGTGCTATTGGATGGGATCACCTTCAAGAAGTTGTACCCAAAATACAAGAAGAAGTAATGGATGATGACGTTCGAAAAAAAAAAGATTCAAAACCTCTCATTTTTGTATCCCCATTCTGTTTTCTTATATTTTTTTCTTTTTTTTTCTTTGAAGGCAAGCCCCATGGTTTCTATACCTACTATTTTGTTGCTTTCTCTATAGCTTATATGAATACATCTTCTGATAATATCTTGAATATTCGGGATGGTATATATTTATAAAAAAAAAAAAAAAAAAAAGAAATTACAGCATGTAATCAAATATGATATTTACGCTTATGACTAGTGATCATGACCACATCTTGTCTTTTTCTTGTGTGCTTCTCTCTTTCCTGCTTCACAACAATGGCAATAATAGAGCGATGATGCAAAAAAAAAAAAGCTGTCAAAAAAAAAAAAGTTTGGAGTAATTTCTGAATGCACCCGCTTTTTGAATTTTCCTTAATTTTTGCTAGGTGACTCAAAAGTCCTCATTATTTGCTTATTAATTATGATTACACAATCTACACCGGCACAACAATATCGTAATACAATCATATATTTCTATTGAAGGTGACGAAGAAATAAAAAAAACTATAATAATGAAAAACTAACCAACCAATAATACACTAATGAAGAGCAACTAGAGACTACTCAACCTTGATAAGAACAACAGCAACAATCAAATAACACCCAAGAAATGTAAATAAAATAAATTGAAACAAGAAAAAACAACAGTATAACGTCCAACGGTAACTAGGAAACACCAACAATGTTCATATACTTATGACAAACGATATCAAAAGCAACATAAAATCACAAACTTTTTGTCTGTATTTTCTTTTTTAGCGCCCCTTCCCTATTATAGAGAGACTTCGATGTCACTGACGTTGGACAAGCTGCGACCAGGTTTAGATGTTTTTGAAGTTGGCAATTCAATACCGTCTGATGGAGACAAGTCAATTAAGTCACCTGTATTAGCAGAGGTCTTAGAGTTTTCAGAAACCGGGGAGATCTCTGGGATGACAAATGGCTTAGACATGTCGCAAGTCAAAGTAAGGAAGTGGTTTGGCATTTTGAGAATATGAAAGATCTTGAGTGTCCTGTTCGGAAATTTTTCCTCTGGATTGGTAATTTGTAAAGATATTGATGAAGAACAACTATTGAAATTACAAAATGGCAAATGAAAAATTGGGGAATCGCTGGTCCCTTATATAGTGGTCCCGAGGCAATGCTTGACATCATCGTCCCCGGGGTCATTCATGAGTGACATCGTGCAGGAAAAACGTGACGCTACAAACTCTATTGGTAATCGCTTCCATAACAGTTGCCGTGATAACCACCGAAAAATGGCTCAAGTAGATCCTTCCAGAAGCTTTGGAAAATCCGGACTTTACCTTTACAATATCCAAAAAGCGGTGTACAGTGCCTCCGTCATATTTGGGTCATCTCATTTGGCAGGTGCGGTCTTGGAAGATGACAACAAGATCACGAAGATCGTTCAGATATGTGACCAGCTATGACTCACCACTTTTGATTACTACTTTTGATTGAATACTGCTGATGCATACTCCAAAGGGTTCTCAGCAACTGGTATGGACAAATACACTACGATATATCCTTAATGACAGGATTATCTTGATTTTATCTAGCTGAGCCTCAAGATATACTGTTCTATCCAGGGGGTTATAATACCTCTATCTTAATCCCAAGGGATACCTCCAGTAACTTAAAACCTTATCTATGAAGATTTATAGGTTTGTGGAGTTGCAATTGCTTGTGGAGTATTTTAGATAGTGCATATTGATCAGTGAGTGGAATTATTCCAACTTTTTGTATCTTTATGATAGAGAAATGATCCTATTCTGCGATCATAACGGAGAGTAGCCTGTCGCCAGACGGTCTTGACTAAACCTTACACTGTAGAAAAGCACATTAGATAAGAAACTATTGAAACTATCCTGATAATCAACCTAGATAATTTTTCCGAGAAGTTAGCCCAAACGAAGAATCGGAAAATGGTGGTATGACAAGAGTGACCATCACCCAGGCCTCACCTAAATGTTATTGTCCAATGATTGACTTCAGTTCATAAAGAGTACAGGCCATTATAAAGACCCTTGAATAGCACTTGAAGTTTGGCTGATGATGATGTGAGCTTCTTAAAGAACCATATGTCCCAAAAAAATACAACATTCTAGCTTTTTGTATACATATATGGAAAATAATAGCAAAAAATAATTTCCAGCTATAACAAATGGTGTATTATGATGAGGGATAAAGTATTGCCTCACATGTGATTTTTAAAGGTTGTCAGTAATTTTTTTTTAGACACCCATTGGATTTAAATATTATCCGGTTTCTTAATTCACAGAGTCAAAACAGTATTATTATAAGTATGGATGCGTTAAACCAAAAGAAAAAAGAAAAAATCTGACGCTGGTGGCATGTCAGATATGTTTACAAAATGATTATCACATTTGACTAACTAACAAAAAGTTCCACAAATTTTCATATATATACTGAGAGCTGATGAGACAGTGAAAAGTACAGATGACCCGTTTCAACAAACTCTATACATTCAGTTGATTAATAAACTATAATAAAAACAATGAAAACCTAATAATACAATGTTCAATCAGAATCATTACCAACTTCTAATTCGTCTCTAGTACCCTTTTCTTCTGACTGATTTTCCTCGAGATTCTCACTAGGCTGAGCTCCATTATCTGTATTATCCTCAGCACCATCATCTTGCTTATCCTCAGAATTTTTGTTCCCATGCTTTCTTCTTCTCTTCTTTTTTGGGCCTTCTTCTTGCTTATTATCACCAGCTGTAGGCTTCTTCTTTTTCATACTCAAAGGATTAGGTTCTTTTGGACCTCTTTTCCTCTTTGCTCCGGCTTTTTCTTTTTCTGCTTCCCCTGTGGAGTTTCCTCCCTTGACAAGCTTTCCTGCCTTGATGTCATTCAAGCCACCACTCAATTTCGATTGCTCGAACTGTTTTTGCTTAGCATCACTCGAATTACTCAATGGTTCCATGATCATCACCGATCTATTCATGTAAAGCAATGGCACCCCCGGGATATGACGGAGTTTGCGTCTAAGATCAATGCTCTGAGTACACACTACATATCTATGCTTGTTCTGGCCTTTGATGTCAATGATACTGTCAATACAATCGTAAGGATCAATTGCCTGGTCCTTGTGCCCGCATCTTCTACGCTCAAAGTTTTTGGCAAGGGAGATCGCCGACTGATTCTTGGATTCATAGAGCTTCTGCATGCAACATTGGGTTATCATTGGTTTTACTTCATCTTGCACCGTGTTTTTAAGATATTTCACTAAATCAATCCCTGAGTGATCAGCCACTTCAACAATTTCATGGTCCACAATAATTTGGTACGGAGCACGGAACTTGAACGCATGGTTGTATACAAGCATCTGCTTTCTGTAGGATTTCGATCTCTTTTGTCTCATCTTGGGTTGTTTGAAATTATTCGAATCACAATACCGAAAGTAAAATAGTAATAGAATGAATAATTCGGGACTTGTTTAACAAATAGACAGTGTTGGTATGCCATCACCTCTTTGCAAAAAATTTTTTTTTTTTTTTTTTTTTTAGATGAGCTTCAGATGTTAGCGGCCCTGAGAGCTTCAGTCCAGGGTTCGTAACGACTATACCGTCTCCACGTAGCAAAGAATGAAAGAAACTTACATACAGAACAGCCGAGAATAGTGTGTGATTTAATCTTTTGAAATTTGTAATCCAAAGTAGCTCACAGCATGTTTCGCGAAAGAACCTCTCAAATTCACCAATAGTATATCTCTTAACAAAAACTGTACAATAAGACATAAGTTTCAGTACTTGACAAACTTGAAAACTCTCCGGTTGAACAATAATAGAATTCTGACGTTTGATAATATTACAGAACTTAAAAAACTTGATAGTTTTAGAGAATTAGAGACTCTGATTGTTTCTGGATACAAAACTGACGATATCAAGATGAAATTTTGATCATTAATGATTGCATTTTGTCGGGACCCACCATGGTGGTCCACCATGGCGGTACTTATTCATTGACGAATGATGAATTGTAATAACTTCATTACCCGATTATTCAGTTGTCTGAATTCAGAACATTGTATTGTTATTACACTATAGTTATAACAATAGCTGGGCCCTGAATGTTAGATGGACTGGAAGCAGGAGACTCCAATGGCGGTCGTCAGGAGACTCATGTTTAAATGGACTGGAGTCAGCAGACTCCAATATGTCCGGAATCCAGTCCAGATGGCCACTTCCACTTATCATGGAAGGAATAGAAGTTATTACTTAAGGATCTAGTATCCTTCTATCTACAGTTGAGATAGTCTAATAATAGAAGTAAGCTTAGTTAACTAAGAAAGAACCAATAAACATTTAACCAATCCCAAATCAATTTAATACCTTGTAATGTCTGAGAATACCTTATCCACTCCCGCGGCTACTGATTCCAATGGAGCTCCACAAGCTGAGATCCCTAGTGTATCTCATCACATTTGCTCTCTTTGAAAACATCCAATGGATTTAAACTAAATTCTGAGTACTCACAGATTGACAAAGATATTGCAATCAAATATCCTTCAAATACAAAGTTACTTTGATGAAAGCTAGGTAAAATGGTGCTGGCGTCAATAAGAATCATATATGCTATTTTATTTATTTATTTGTATTCATAAGATCAATCTTTTATTATATTTTGATGTTCAATTATCATTGTGTGTTTGCTTTAAATCTTTTTTGTCTTCACTTAAGGCTAAACTATAGTCCCATAAATAATATAGATATCGAAGAAGATATTGGGGTTGATATTCACAGATATGGCTTTTCGTTAATATATCTTATACCTACTTTTCCTAGTTGTTTCGTCAATCTGTTTCTTCAATTGTTAGTTTAAGATCCTCTGAAATGCCCATTCTCATCTAACTTTTCAGTTAAAAAAAGTTGGCGGGAGTAAAGATATTCCCATAAATTGAATATATTGTTTTATTTGAGCATAATCAGGAACCAACATGGCAACTGTTAGTATTTTCAGTTATCACTAAATGGTAGAGGAGATTTGTATACTTAGATTTTGGCACGGTTTGAGTTTTCAAAGCATTATGGTTTTTTTTTCTCCTCTCCATTTTATCAGAGGGATACTGTATGCTTTTTGCTTTTGTGTAAGTAGTTAGTAACTGCCACAAACATGTTTTTATCTCAGCATGAGTGCAGGATGTAAACAAAGCTGCATCAACTGAAAACACAAAGACAAACAAAAAAAAAAAGAAGAGTGCCCTAAAACTCTTTATTGACCATATCTATAATTATCAGCTCCATGCAATGAAAAGAGAAAAGGGTGATCTTATTAATACAAGAGCGAGTGGTTGAATCAACCACCTTTCAACCACTTCCCCTTTCACTATAGTGTTCACAAACATGCTGAAGACCTTGGTGTTGGGGGACCGTAACCTCCACATAAAACCAGTACACCAGGAATTTAAACCTTACACCAAGATATCTTTGCCAATATTTACCACCACAATGGTATACATGTTTATTCACTAAAACTACTATTAACTCTCTACAGAAGAGATTGAAGATTTCCTATGGTTGGAAATATTCCTCATTTTGGATACTAAGGAGGTTTTCAATTATCGTGGAAGGAAGTATCTACTATTTGAGGATATTTTCCAACCAACTAAATAACCAACCAACTGCATGTCTAATTGATCAGCATCAAATCACTTCAAACACAATAAGCCACATGAGTTTTTCTGTGCTCCCTTAAAATACTATTGGTATGTTTAACTTACCAAATAGGAGAGTAACAATAATAAGAACAAGAATTTGTGCCTAAAGGTTAAGTAAGATATCTAATAAAAGACTGTAAAACAACTCTATTAACACAACACTGATAGAAATATTTCGGTTCTCGTGACCAATTCTTTTTTTTTTATTTTTTTTTTTTTTTTCTTCGTCTTACAAAAACTTGGTGATTTTCGATGGGCGGTTATTCTATGGAGAGATTCCACAGAGTATAGCCATGTGGAGATACAATACCAGGATATATAACAGCAATATCACTACAAGAGTCCTTGCTAGAAGTCTTCAATTGACAAGAAATGTCTCGGATTCCAATGGAGTGCGTCCAGGAAAGAGAAGAATGACTCCTTCTCAAAAGAAGAAGCAGGCGGCGGAACTAGCCAGACTCAGTTTCACTGATATCTTTGATTTCTTGTCACATAATACTCCAGAAGAATTGCATCAGCAAGAAGATGTAGATATGGATAATGTCTTCCAGAACCCAGAGATTTTCAAGAAATTGACGTTCAACCAGCAAAACATAGTGATCGAAGAGTTGGACAGCTACAAGCTCGGGGAATGGCCAGCCATCCCACAAGATGCAAAAAGATTGATGTATTACGTGTCTTATGGTAACTGGGGTCCAAGAGAATCTTTCAAAGACCCACTTTCTCGAAATTACGTCCCCGAAGATATACCGTTCACCCTTTTAAGTATAAAGACCGCATCGCCAACGCCATCGACTCCAATAACGAAGTTGAAGTCGGTGAATTTGATGTCAGTAACAAAGGAACGTCAGAAGCAGTTCGACAATAATGTGAGGAAATTGGATCCTGCGAGTCAGGCAGTGGTTATATTGGGGTTCTTGGTCTCAGTGTTAGCGTTGATCAGAGATAAGTTTCTGGATAATGTTGAAGCAGAAGATCAATGTCTCATTGGTGATTTAGTTGAGGAGCCAGAATCTGTGGAATGGATCAATGATTTGGAAAAAAGGCTAAATAAATCAGAAGAGAATGTCGGGGAAGTTGCAGCGGCAGTGAAGGAAATAACCGAAAATCCACAGCCATCAAGCCAGAACAGAAAGTGGTATTACTTGTGGTTACGATAATGATGATATAGTCAATAATAATCTGTGAATAGTATGGTATGAACTCGTTTTTGTTTTATCTCTTGTTTTTGACGTAGAGGCAGTAGAGATAGTGAGTGATGTTATCTCAGTAGTGCGATTAGCGTATCATCTTTTTTTTTAAAAATAAATTGCCACCTGAGCTTTGGACAGTTCAGTTTTAATACATATAATTCATTTATAAGGAAGTGGTTGGTCTCAGAAGTCGTTTAGGATCATCATTTTTAGAAGGAGTGTGTTTGTAATTTGGAACTCATCGGTACAGATCATTAGCTACAGATCATTAGCTACCATCATTAAATAACTTTGCAATTAAAATAAGAAACATATATTACACTAGCCATGTCCACCCCAGCTAGAAGAAGATTGATGCGTGATTTCAAGGTAGGTTTGTTTATTTCATTCTTCAGCGGTATCTCTTTTCTGCTAAATCTCAGAAATATGGCCATAGTGTTAGTGACCTTGGTACTAATAATTCGATTTATAGAGAATGCAGCTGGACGCTCCGGCAGGATTGAGTGCCTCTCCATTACCTGATAATGTTCTCGTTTGGTATGTGTTATAGGTCTTCTTTCAATAGTTACGACATTCCAATGATTGATGAGATTTTACTAATGCTCTTTTTTTTTTTTAGGAATGCTGTCATTATCGGACCTTCGGATACCCCTTTTGAAGATGGGACTTTCAAACTCAAGCTTACATTCGATGAACAGTATCCAAATAAACCACCAGCAGTGGTATTTCTAAGTAAGATGTTTCATCCAAATGTATACGCCTCAGGCGAGTTATGTTTGGATATTTTGCAGAACAGGTGGTCACCAACGTACGATGTTGCTTCGATCTTGACATCAGTCCAGTCATTATTGAACGATCCAAACATTTCAAGTCCCGCAAACGTTGAGGCCGCCAATTTGTACAAGGACCATAGATCACAATATACCCAAAGAGTCAAAGAAACCGTTGAAGAGAGTTGGGAAGATGATTTTGAATGAGGTAGTGATATAGCATTATAATAACTTAGGCTCGGGAAAATTTACAGAAAAGAAGCACATAACTTGAACGTTCCTTAGTTATGGTTAGTTTCCAAAATTTTCATGTTTATATCTAGATTTATCATTAAAAAAGAAGGTCTCGGGCTGATTGCACCCTAAACACAAGGTTTTTTCTTGGTGGTTTTTCCATTCCCCTAAAAACCCCTTTCTTTTTCTTTTTTTTTTTTTTTTGTTCTCTTTCATTACCCTTTTTTAACACCCAATGTATACTATTCTTAAACCCTCTAAGTTTTATTTTAATAGACACTATCGCTCACTTGATTGTTGTAACATTATCCATGCGATTGGAGAGAGCGCACGCAGAAAAAAAAAAAATTATTAAGAGGAAAATTGGTAATCTTCCACATCATACCTATTATACATCCAAGAAGAGTCATCTAACCATGAAATGCCTCCAGTTGCTCCAGTCCAGGATCTTGGGTTCCTGTGGGAGGTCTCGGGCTCACTCACCTCTTAAAAATTACAATCGCCTTTCATCAACCACCACCAACTCTCAAGCGGTGTTACAAAAAGATCTCAAGTCGTTGTTTTCTAATCCTCCATTGGAAAACTCATTTGTCCAAACACAAGGGTGGATCAGATCGGTCAGATCGATGAAAAAAATCGCGTTTGTTGATTTATCTGACGGAACAACTTTTAATAGTATCATGATCGTCACCAGTCCGGAAATCGCCAAAGATTTACAAACTGGAAGCTCGATCATGGCAAAGGGAAGCTGGGTCAAATCTAAGGGAAAGAACCAGCTATACGAATTGAGTGTCACCAAACCAGAAGATCTCCAGGTCATTGGCAACGTTGAAGAGAATTACCCTTTACAAAAGAAATTCCATACCGCAGAATTCATCCGGTCTTTACCAACCTTGAAATTCCATACTTCCAAGTTGTCAACCGTAATGAGATCAAGATCGTTTATGGAATACAAATTACAAGAGTTTTTCCAAAGTGAAAATTTCATAAAAGTCAACCCCCCATTGATTACCGGGTCGGATTGTGAAGGGGCAGGGGAATTGTTCCAAGTGGAAAGTGCTTCGGTGGTGGCCAAAAAATTGGCCAATCCTCAGGATAAACAAATCACACCATTCTTTGGGAAAAACAGTTATTTAACAGTGTCAACCCAATTACATCTTGAGATTCTTGCGCAGTCGTTGAGCAAAGTATGGGCTTTATCTCCTTGTTTCAGAGCAGAAGCCAGTGATACCAACAGGCATTTGAGTGAGTTCTGGATGCTTGAAGCGGAAATAGCGTTCGTGGACAAAGTTGACCAATTAACATGGTTCTCTGAAAGAATGATCAAGCACGTCATCAACGGTATCTTGACCAATGAAAACGGGGCCCTCGATAATCTTTTGAAGAATTCTAAGCGTTCAAAAGAAGAATTGTTGGAGATCGAGAACCGTTTGAAAGTGTTGCAAGATAATAACAAAAATTGGTATCAAATCACTTATAATGAAGCCATGGACTTGTTGTTGTCCTCTGGAAAGAACGACTGGAAATACTTGCCTCCAGTAAGAGGTAGCTCATTATCTACGGAACATGAAAAATACTTGACCAATGAAGTCTTGAAGGCACCAGTATTTGTCACCGATTATCCAAAAGACGAAAAGGCATTTTATATGAAAATCAATCCAGATAATGAAACCGTGGCCTGCTATGATTTGCTTTTCCCGGTGATGGGAGAGTTGATTGGCGGGTCGGTTAGAGAATCCAACTACGATGTGTTATTAAAAGAGATTGAAAGACGTCAAATGAGCTTACCGGATTTGCAATGGTACTTGAACTTGCGAAAGAATGGTAGCGTACCGCATGGTGGGTTTGGCATGGGGTTCGAACGACTTGTGAGTTTTGTGTGTAATATAGATAATATTAAAGATGCTATTCCATTGTCGAGAAGCATCGATAATTGTGACTGTTGATAGAAAGATAATTCATTTAGGTCGATATAAATAGAAAATAATTTGCTTGTATTTCTTATTATGATAGGAAAGCTGTAAGCAACTTGGCGCTAATTTGTAATGATTTTGATAGTCTGATGACCCATTATTCGAATATCTGAGAGCCATAGTAACTGGGTATAACAAAAGACTGGAATTTGTTTTTGTCAACAGATGTTGAGGAGATCATAATATTCTATATAATTGAGAGTTTCATTTTGTGAGGAGTGCATAATCAGTTCTGCATCTTGTTATGTGCCCTTTCCACGGTACCACAATAATAGAAAAAATATCATCACAACATACAATAGATTATATTTATTCATTACTTTTTGTGTATTGCAATACTAGGATAATAGAGATAATATAATATATGATGAATTTCAAATTACTGGGAAAGACAAATAAAAATACCAACAGAATAATTTCCAAAGGGTTGAAACCATCGATATTCGATGATGGATCATCTGATGATAATAGTGAGCACGACAGCCAAGAAACAAACAACGACCATAAGATGGCATTAAAACGACAGACAGAACTGTTGATTCAGGATCAGAATGAGCTATTGCAGCGACGAGCTGCCAGTGAGGTTGCCAATATTGATGAGTCCGCATATCAGTATGATGAATTGTATGAGGGCCTACGGAATGATCCAGATGATACCAAGAAAAGAAAAGCCGATGCCAGTAGCCGAAATTTGGAAGGATTTTTGAAGATGAAGGAGGAAAGAGAGCGGAGAAAATTACTAAGTCAAGATTTACTTAATAAGAAACGAATCGAGGAGGAAAAATCCACTGGAGAAGAAACCGAGACATTTGTTACTTCAGCGTATAAAAAGCAACAGCTGGAATTACAGGAGATTGTCGAAGAAGAAAAAAGAAAGCAAGAGGAAGAGGAGAAGAAGAAACAGCAGTCTAAAAAGGGCGAAGGTCTAGGAATGAGGGGAATCTACTTGAAATTCCTTGGCGATGAGGTGATGGAAGATGAGAAACAGAAAAAAAGTTTAGTGGATATTCCAAAAATGCCACAGGAAAGGCCCCCAATGCCCCCAATCGTGAAAAAAAAAGGCAGCTTATATAATGAAGAAGATGATGATAATAATTGTGAATCTGAAGAGAGGGATGAGGTTCCGGCTGGTTTATCTGGCGGTTTGAATTTTGCTGCAAAGGATGCTAATCTAAAACCAGAAAACATTGTAAATAGAACCCCGCCAATTATAGAAAGAAGCACTGATTCGAAAGTCGATGAAACCTTGGAGTTTATCAAGAAGGCCACAATTACAAATAAGGGACAAGAATCAACAGATACTTCGGCCGAAGCAAAACTCGAGAAGTTGATCAACCTATATTATGAGACCAGCAATGTGACAGAAGCTGATCTCGCTGAGGCTACAAAAAAATATCATCTTCGTAAAAGAGAAGAACAAAGGAAAAAGAAGAGTAGACAGCAGCTATGATATGGTACTTAATTTTTTCAATATATATCGACTATAGTCGATGAGCTGGGGTGCAGCACCCTGCGTAAGTCTATATCGCAAAGAGGAAAAAAAAATTGATAGGAAAGCAGAAAATTTTTATAGAGAAGACCAAACAAGGACAAGCCCAAACAAATTTATTTTGATATTTGTAAAATATAACCAGAAAGGGAGGAATACGGAATAAAGTGAATTATAATAACTAAACGAGTAGAAAAAATGTCAAGTCTCAAGAATCTCTCGTCAAGAGTGCTTAATATGAAGTTCATGAGGAAGGCGGTGGCTGAAGACTCAAAAAACAACCAAACCAAAGGCTCATCAACGGAAGTAAAACCAGAACAAACCCCTAGTAATTCAAAAACAGCCCCTGGTGGTAAAGGAGATCATTCACATTGGTCAATTTCTTCAAATGCCGAAAGATTCAAGTCGAAGAAGCAGCAGCTAGCCAACAATGACGATTCGATAAAATCACAGTCGTACAGATCGGTAGGATACTCCCAAATGAAGGAGTTTTTTGAAGATTCAGAAGAAAGTGACGATGAACAAACTACTGTCACTGGAAGAAGAGTATTTGGGGCATCAAAAGACAGTGCTAATACAGAAAATGATGATGATGCGGAGGGATTGATTACAGAAACGAGACTCGAAAAAGATACCAATAAGAGAAACAAGCGTGAGATTATTGATGATGTGGATGGATTTCTTGATAACATAATGGCAAGTAACGATGGTGATGATGATGCCGCTACTGACAAGAGTGAACCTAATACTCAAAGAGAAGGATCGCTTATACCTTCGGTGGAAAGTTTTTTGAATGGAACAGACAAAGGTTCAAATAATTTGAAGAGAGAGTTCGATAGCGTCTCAAATAGTGGTGATAGCCAAAAAAAGAAGAAAAAATCAAAGAAATCAAATAAACTGAAAAAGAATTGAAAGTATTACATTGAAGTCTTAGTTTTAATTTGTATAATAGACAGCATCATAACAGTTAGGGTTAGTTTACAAAATATACCATTGACCTACAATAGGTAACCGTAGAAACTCAAATGAGCAAATCGCAAGTTTAATAACCTTTATTATTATTCACAATAGCCTTTGCTAAATAAATGTATATGTACATGCAATAGTTCTATCCTTTTTGCAGTGGAAAAGTCAAACAAATCAGTTTCCAGGTCTTGTTGGAAGCTCCTTTCCTCTCTTTGTGAATGATTCAGAGTCAATGAAAATGTTTTTCTTAACCGGCTCGTATTTGCCAATGTTGATAATGAGTTCATAACTACCCACAAAATCAAGAGTAGGTAACTCTTTCTTTCCGGCATCACTGAGATACTGGAATTTGATTTGACTTTCATTCAATACATAACCAGTCAAATTACTTAAGGTTTCAGAGAATTGAGTCTTTGTTATAGGTTTTTTCAAGAAACCGGTGCTGTCAGCATCGTAGTTATAAGTAAGAGTTCCTGGCAAGTCTTGATAAGCTTCAAGCTTATAATAAACATCACTTGCGGCATCAGCAGCAGGAGCAGCAGCTTCGTCCTCAATTTGTGGCTTTTCAAAGCTGAAACTCAACCCTAATGATTTGAAAACAGATTCTGAATCCGCTGGAGATTTCGATTCTGTAGAAGCGCTTTCTAGTGGTGATTCCACTGGTTTCTTTATTATCTTTTTAACAATCGGGTCTTCTGGGTTGGCCTCTACCACTGGAATTCTTGGTGGTTGACCTTCTAATATATATGCCGCACCGTTATGTGGATGTAGCATGTTTATCATCTTACTTGGTAAAACTTTGACAATTTGACCTCTTCTACCAATACCTTGGAAATCTTTGAGTAATTGAACTTCAATTTTCTGCTTCACCTTGTAGGCGGCAGAGGTTTGGGAAAATGCTCTCTTTTGCAAACAAGTTCTAAGCATTATTAATATATAGTAATATTGGCACCAATATATTTATAATATACAGTGATCGGTCTAAATAAGTGATTGGGATTTGCGTAGTAACATTTTGTCCATTTGAGCTGAATTTTTTTTTTCAACTTCCCCGGTTATAACACGTGACTATACCCTCGAATTACTCCACAGAGGGCCGAAGATCAACCAATAACCAAACTAATGGTGGCATCATATTTGATTGTTGTTCTTCGATGTGGTTACATTTCTTTGTCGCTAATATAAGAAGGTTTCTTGAGCGTTTTTTCATTAAGGATGTATCAAGAAATTGTTGTTGTTGTTATTGTTATTGTAAGCTCATAACTGTGCATTGATTGGAAAAGTGCCAGGAGGTTTTTGTGGCAAATATCAGAAGTTGAATAAATACCGTTTTATTTTTTTCCTTTTGTTTAATTCTTTGAAAATTTTTCTTAATTTGTAAACTATTGATATCAAAAAGAAGAAGCGAAGGCAGTAATGGGCCAAAGTCCTGAGCATCAAACCACCGACGAGACCCGGTATCCAGGGTTTTCGCAAGGTCAATCTGATAGCGGCTCATCTCATTACACTGATTCACCAGAATTTCAAATTCCTGATTGTATGAATTCGTCTCTACTTCCTTTTATATTGAATCTAAAACATTTTATCCTAACACCAGCCTTATCACTTTATAGCGACTATTGATAATAACCGGGAGAAAACCAATCATTTTGCCGGGTCGGCGTTAACTGAGAGAACTACGCAACTTTTCAGCGGCTTCAAGACTCCCAAAATTAATTCCAGTAAATGGTGGAATCAGCAAGATGATAATGAAGTCGACAAAGATGAAGCGCTTATTGAAGAAGGGGTTTATCACACGTTTAATGACTATTATGATCCGTATCCAAACTGGAGTTATGAAGATGATAGCTTACCAATCGCACGAAAAGAGATCGGATTAATATTTATGAGGTTGACAGAAGTGTTCGAGTTTCAAATGGATAATGCCAAAAATATGTTTGATTATTTGTTGAGATTATTGGATTCTAGGGCTTCTAGAATGAAACCGTTGGTGGCTCTCAAGTCCTTGCATGCAGATTATATTGGTGGTGAGAACTCCAACTTCAAAAAATGGTATTTCGCAGCCCAATTAGACATCGATGATCTCTTTGGTTATATTGAAAATAGTGAGCTGTTGAAATCTTACTCATTCGAGGAAGCTGAAAGAACTTGGAAATCGAAGATGCATGATTTGTCTCCAACAGACTGTATCATACAATTGTCTCTCTATCTATTATGCTGGGGTGAAGCTGGTAATGTCAGATTCATGCCGGAATGTTTATGTTTCATTTTCAAATGTTGCAATGACTATTATTATTCTTTGGACTCATCACGTCCACCAGTACCACCACCAAGTAGCTTTCTTGAACATGTTATAATTCCATTGTATAACTACTATAGGGACCAGAACTACGAAGTCGTGGAAGGAAAATATGTCAAGAGAAGTAAAGATCATGCTAGTATTATAGGCTATGATGATATTAATCAATTCTTTTGGTATCGAAAAGGCTTACTCAAATTGCCCTTGAAGAACGAAAAAACGAAATTCATGGAACAATCAAAAAGTGAAAGATATTTACGCTTTTGTGATATTAATTGGAGCAAGGCTTTTTATAAAACTTATAGAGAGACAAGAACATGGAACCATCTCATTGTGAATTTTAATAGAATTTGGATTATTCATTGTTGCATGTTTTGGTATTACATTTCTTTCAACTCTCCTACATTGTATACCAAAAATTATCAGATACAGTTAGACACCCAACCGTCTGTTCATACTACGTTGTCGACAATGGCTATTTCTGGTTCCATTGCATGTCTAATAAATATTGTTGCAACCATACATGAATTTACATTTGTTCCAAGAAGATGGTCGGGGGCAGAACCACTTACAAGACGATTCTTGCTATTATCACTAATCTTTATAGTGAATACTGTACCTTCGATTTATGTATTTGGATTCTTGCAGCTGAATAGGAAATCAAACAGTGGCACTATCATCTCCAGCTTTCAATTCATTGTATCCATTATCACTGTTTGTTACTTTTCCTTTACACCTCTTGGAAAACTATTTCGTTCTTATTGGAAAGACGATAATAAACACACTCCCACGAAAGTGTTCACCGACTCTGTTCATAATTTACAAGGTAGAGACCGCATTTCTTCTTATGGACTATGGGCTGCTATCTTTGTGGCGAAATTTTTGGAATCGTATTTCTTCTTGGTTCGTTCAATGCGTGATCCTATCAGAGAACTTAGTAACTTAAAAATTACTCATTGTTCCGGGGATCTAGTATTAGGAAGTTTTATTTGTCAACATCAACCCAAAATACTTCTTTTAGTTATGTTCGTAACTGATTTGTTATTATTTTTCCTTGATACCTATTTATGGTATATTATTTGGACCACTGTATTTTCAGTTTGCAGGTCTTTTTATATGGGTGTTTCAATTTTGACACCTTGGAAAAACATTTTTTCAAGATTACCTAAAAGAATCTTTTCCAAAATTATTTGCTCTTACGATAAAGCTCTAAACCCAAAGTTTTCAGTTTCTCAGATATGGAACTCCATAATTATTGCAATGTATCGTGAACATTTATTATCGTTGGAGCATGTGGAAAAATTGATTTACCAGGAGGTGATGAAACTGGGAGTAAATGATGTTAATTCTTTCATAGAACCAACTTTCTTCGTTTCTCAGGAAGATAGATTTGTCAAATTTTCTGTTTCCGAGGGTCTTGCCGAAGCACAAAGACGTATCACATTTTTTGCCCAATCTTTATCTACATTTATGCCTGAACCATGCTCCATAAGTGAAATGCCAACATTTTCTGTATTGATTCCACATTATAGTGAAAACATTCTTTTGACTTTGAAAGAAATTATTAGAGAAGAAGATGAGTATGCCCATATTACATTACTAGAATATTTGAAACAGCTTCATCCCATGGAATGGGATTGTTTTGTTCAAGATACGAAAATATTAGTAGATGAGACTGAAATTTCACGCCCACTGGATAACATAGATGGCCAAAGAGAGCATTATAATAACTTACCATATTATTGTGTTGGCTTTAAATCAGCAACTCCGGAATATATTTTACGGACCAGGATTTGGGCTTCGCTAAGATCACAAACGTTATATAGAACAATTTCTGGGTTTATGAATTATTCAAGAGCCATAAAGTTATTATACGATGTTGAGAACCCAAATTTGAGTGACTTTGATGATTCTGAAGTAAAGAAATATGAAGCGGCTGCCATAATGGCTCTCAGAAAGTTTAGAATTGTTGTATCAATGCAGAGATTAGTTGAATTTAGTGCAGTCGAAGAAGAAAATAAAGACTTTTTACTTCGCGCTTATCCAGAGTTGCAAATTTCTTATCTAGACAAAGAAATTGATCCAGATACTGGAATAATTGTTTATTATACATCGTTAATGGATGGAAGTTGTGAAATTGATGAAACTGGAAACAGAATACCTAAATATCGAATTAAACTACCAGGAAATCCAATTTTGGGAGATGGTAAGAGCGATAATCAGAATAACTCATTAATTTTCTGCAGAGGTGAATATATTCAGTTGATTGATGCCAACCAGGATAATTACTTAGAAGAGTGCTTGAAAATCAGAAATGTCTTAGCAGAGTTTGAAGAAAAAGTTCATCCAATTGAATATTCTATTGGCAGCTCACCTTATGAACATCCATATAATAGTCCAATTGCAATAATTGGTACGCGGGAATACATTTTTTCTGAGAATATTGGTATCTTGGGAGATGTGGCTGCTGGAAAAGAGCAAACTTTTGGTACCCTTTTTGCAAGAACTTTAGCTCAGATTGGAGGAAAGCTCCACTACGGTCATCCTGATTTTCTTAATAATATATTCATGACAACTAGAGGTGGTGTCTCCAAAGCCCAGAAAGGTCTTCATCTAAATGAAGATATTTATGCAGGTATGACCACTATTCTTAGAGGCGGAAGAATTAAACATTGTGAATATATACAGTGTGGTAAAGGTAGAGAGCTAGGATTTGGCTCAATCTTGAACTTTACCACTAAAATTGGCGCTGGTATGGGGGAACAAATGCTTTCTAGAGAGTACTTCTATTTGGGCACACAATTACCATTAGATAGGTTCCTATCGTTTTATTATGGTCATCCTGGATTTCATTTGAACAATGTGTTTATAATTTTGTCGGTGAAGTTGTTGTTATTAGTAACTGTCAACCTTTCATCATTATTTGCAAACAGTGTTATATGTGAGTATAATAGATACAAACCTCACACAGACCCTCGAAAGCCTGCGGGATGCTATAATATTGAACCAATTAATAACTGGTTGAAAACATGTGTTCTATCTATATTCGTTGTTTTTGGTATTTCATTTGTCCCTTTATGCGTTCAGGAACTTATGGAACGAGGTATTTGGAAAGCTTTATCCAGATTGAGCAAGCACTTTGCATCATTATCCCCACTCTTTGAAGTTTTTGTGTGTAAAATCTATGCACAATCTTTGATCAATGATTTGGCCGTTGGTGGGGCTAAGTATATTTCTACTGGTAGAGGATTTGCCACGATCAGGGTTCCATTCTCTGTAATTTATTCCAGATTTGCTTCGGAAAGTCTTTATTTTGGTGCCTTATCAAGCTTATTGATTGTTTATTGTACCGGTGTGACATTCAACATCTCAACATTCTGGTTTTGGATAACTGTTAATGGTCTTTGCTTGTCGCCTTTCGTATTTAACCCGAATCAATTTTATTGGAATGATTTTTTTCTAGATTACAAGAATTATCTAAAGTGGCTCTCATCAGGAAACAGCCAAGGAAAGAAAGATTCATGGATTAAATTTACTAGAGAGCTAAGATCTCAGATTACTGGATCAAAAAAGAAATCTTATTCAAAACCAGGTGACAAGCTTTCTTTGAGTTTTAGGAAGCCTTCTATGATGAACATTTTCCTCGATCAAATTTGTGCTAAACTTGTCTACACAATGTTTGTACTCACTGCATTTTTGTTTGCTAGCTCTCACAAAAGGTCTAGAAATCCTACACCATCAGCTGCAATTGCGAGAATTATAATAGCCACGTTTGCGCCAATATTTATTAATATGGTGATTGCACTTTCTGGGTTTACCTTCTCACTCTTGTTTGGGCCTATATTTGGATGCTGCTGCACAAAGTTCCCATCAAGTATGGCGTTTGTCACGCATAGTTTGGGATTCATTAATCATATTATATTTTTTGAAATCTTTTGGTTTCTTGAGGAGTGGAACTTTACAGTCACCATATTGGGTTATGCAGTTTGCATTATGCTACAAGATTTATTTTTCAAAATGATTACTTTATTGTTTATCACCCGAGAACTTCAAAATAATGCAGCCAACAGGGCGTGGTGGTCTGGTACCTGGCTAACATCTGGGTTAGGGTTTAGTACTATGACCCAGCCTATTAGAGAATATTTATGCAAGACTATGGAGTTGAGTTTATTTGTCAATGATTTTGTGTTGGGTCATATTTTATTATTTGTGCAGTTTCCAATCTTGTTGATTCCTGGGATAAACCAATGGCATTCGTTGATGTTATTTTGGTTGAAACCAAGCAAGCAGATCCGCCCGCAGATCCTTACTACCAAGCAGAGAAGAAGTCAAGGAATGGTGGTGATGGTGTTCCTTTTTGTCTTTTTGTTAATTATGAATTTTTTCGTTTTACTATTGCTTGTACCGTTTATCGTCAATGAGGTTTTTGAGATTGATTTGTATTCTATGATACCAGAAAATATAATTCTATTAATGGATTGAACAATAAATTCTCTTTTGACCAAAATAAATGAAATGGACCTTCTTTTTGTAAGATTTCTTATTTTTTCTTTGGTTTATCGAGGGGGGCAAATCCTCCATTTATTATCGCCTCCCTTGAAGTGGAATTGATGTGTTTGAATCTATCTGGACCGATATGAACTCCTCCAAACCATCGAACATCAACCACAAGACAATTCCAAACGTCCATCAATGTCATGAGATGTAACATTCTTCCTCCTGCTGCGGTTTCACCATCATCGTCAGAGTCTTGAATGATAGTTCCATCCTGATTTTTAATTCTCCAAGCACACATAGAATGGCGAGACCTGGCGATTTTTCTATTCGATCTAAGTTGGGCCAAATATTCATTTACTTGGTCATCACTGTGCACGGTACAGGCAAATCCGATAAACGTTGAACCTCTATCAGTCACTGGAACGGATTGGGCCCACACACTAGAGATCTCGTCATCATAATCATCAAGATCGGGCGTTTCTTCATTCTCAACTTCCATTTCTGGTGATTGTTCTTCGAACATTGTCAATTTTTCATCTAAGAAGGTAAAGAGATCAAAAAGACATACTAGACCCTCGACAAATATTTCATCAAGCGTTGATTGCACAAGTGTTTCTAAGGGTTTCTCATTGTTGCGATCGACTTTTCTGGTAGATTTCACGAGTAAGATATTGGGAGCGGATGATTCAGGATAAGAATCGCTGAATGATAATCGTATTTTACACCATGGATGGGAAGGAATGATGAGTTCCATGATTGCCAGGGTGAGTCTGGTGAGGCAATCGGGGTAGATTGCTTCGATTGCTTCTAGTTCATCGAGGAAGTCTGGGGAGGACATGGCGGGGGGTTGCCTGGATGGGATTTTAAAATAGATATTATGTCTATATGGGAGACGAAAAGTGTTTGATCGGTGATAAGATCGATGATGATGGGTGATTTTTTTCAGTAATTTTTTTTGCAGGTGAAAATTGAAGGAATCAAAAAAACAGAGAGGAAAAAAAAAACACAATAGAGGAATCAAAAAACATCAAATGAATAAATAGGGATTTTGGAATTGATCATTTGGGTTGTGACGGAAAGACAGACAGACAGACAGACAGACAGACAGACAGACAGACAGACAGACAGACAGACAGACAGAAAGAAAGAAAGAAATAAAGAAATAAAGACAGAAATAAAGTGAAGGATAAAGAGATACGGAGATAGATACGGAAGCGAAAAACCAAAGGAAGCCCATCTCAAAATATAAAAACAAAACTAGAAGGGCAAAAAGAGGCAAATGAAATATAATATATAACAAAACTCAAAGTTGAAAACTCATCTCAAGCATAACAGCAAAATATAAAGCAAAGATCAAAGACAAAGATCAGTAGAAGACAAAAGTTAAAAACTGTGGTAAGATAATAACTAAATATTGTCCATCATGTCAGAAAAACTCAAGGAGAAAGGTAATGAAGCATTCAAGAAACAGGAGTTCAAAAAAGCCGCGAAATTGTATAGAGACTCTATCAAATTAGACCCACTGAACCCAGTATTATATTCTAATCGGTCCATGTGTTTTGCCAAGCTTGATGATTGGACCAGAGTACTAGAGGATTGTAAAAAAGGGATTTCCTTGGCTACTGATGCCAATGATGAGGATGCCATTAAGAAAACTTTGGTGAAGTTGTACTATCGAAAAGGATTGGCAGTGGTGAATACCGGAGGAGATTTACGAGACGCGGTCCAGGCGTGGAATGAAGGATTGAAGTTGGATGGTGGTAATATTCTTATAAAAAAAGAATTGGCAATATACACAAAGAATGAGGATTCTAGCTTGAAGAAGCAAAAGAAGAAGAAAAAGGAATCTGCTAATAAGCAACAAGTAGAGGATTCTGGTTTGAAAACCATTGAGATCATTGAAGTGGAACAATTACCTAAGGAATTACAAGGATTGATTGACGGGAAATCAAACAAGGAGGATAACAGTAGCCAATCGCTGGGTGATGATACAGTTCGTGAGGACTTTCAAATTACAGAAGGGAACTTGCAAATAGTAGATGGTGGTATTTTGAATGATGGCCAATCTTCCAGCAAGAAAATACAAAAAATAGAAGATAATGGGAAGAAAATACAGATAATAGATGATGATGCTAAAATGGTGAATTCCCAGACACCACTAGTCATGACTCAGAAAGATATGAAACTACCAGATACCCCAACCCACTACTACTTGACCACCCTAATGAAGAACCGGGCCAATGCCACTGCAGTGTACGAGTATCTCATCAATGGTATCACTTGCGAACAATATACTTCGATATTTGAGATTGCTGGGATCGACAACGAGTTTTTCGATTTTTTCCTCATTGCGGCAACTTATTGTCTTGTGAATCATAAATGTGACGCCACAAGAGTTGGTAACTTGGTAATGTGTTTGAGTAATTTGAGAAGATTTGATCTTTGCAAGATGTTTTGTGATGATAAGAATTTGAAGAAATTGTCGGAGCTTTTGCATGCCCAGGGGCTTGATAAACAACTTCTTTGAACAAATGATGACAGTTGGCACGGATGGTAATACTAGGTTGAAATCCTGTTTGACATGTGATTTTTTTAAAGATCGATTGAAGTTTCAGGATCACAACCATACATAGGTAGTATTGAAAATCACAGGTTAGTAAAAGAATAATGGAAAGTCTTGTTACAATTTGGTGGGTCGATCATTTCCTATTTAATGCTTCTTGAGACCAGGCACGATTAGCACAACAATAATTTATAAAACCTTAACTTTACGATAACTTTACGATTACTTTAATCATTCATTAAAGGATCCTAATTATAATATACACTGAATAGCTCTCTCTCTCTCTCTCTCTCTCTCTCTCTCTCTCTCTCTCTCTCTCTCTCTCTCTCTCTCTCTCTCCCTTTCTTTTTCATAGAAGTAGCCGGCCCCGCGGTCAGCCCCATCACTAATTCTTTCTAAAACCTTGGATCATCATCGATCTTTCCAAACTCCTCCAGAATTGTTCACTAATTTCCTTATCGTTGAATCTTCTATTTCTGTCGATCTTCACCACTTCGACGTTCCAATCTTGAGCATTCTTATTCATCAACGCGCCTTCGTAGCCAAAATAATAACCTTTGAATTTCTGGAACAATTTTTCTGGATCCTTGATGGAATAATTTTTGAATTGCCAAAGTTGCCCCGTGGTGAAAATCGCCACCACTCTATCCCAATACTCCATTTTTGTGAAAAAATCTGTAGAATTCACAATTAAAAATTGTTGAGGCCCAAGGTTTGGGAAAACTTTTTTAATTCTGATAAGATTTGTCCCGGTAGATTGCGATGATGCAGCATTAGGTTCTTTGAATACCCCATTCTCAAGAAACTCTTTAATATTTGACATTTGTATTAATGCCGAAGTAGCCGGCGACAATAAAATAATTGGATTATCCACTTTCTTGCCACCACCATTAGCTTTGTCCGGTTTACCAATTTTCCCACCGTGACTCGATTTCAGTTTGAGGGGCTTGACAATTTTAAGCTCGGCCTCTTTCACCAAATACTCGAAATTGATCAGTTTAACCCCTTGGAATAAATTATCATGTAGCAATGGTACTTCCAACTCATTGGATGCAATATTATTATTATTATTGTTATTCTTATTATTATTATTACTATTACTCACCTCCCCTGCTGCTGCTGTTGCTGCTGCCGCACCACTACCCACATAATTTTCCTGTTTCTTCTTGTCCTCCTCAGCTTCATCTGTCTTGATCTTTACCGGGGCGGTTGTGGAAGAGGAAACCACAGACGAAGAATCAAGAAAAGTCGTGGATTGACCATCAAAATATTTGATCAATTCGGATTTGTTGTGGAAACTAATGGTTGGGATGTTTTTGCTTTGCGATTGAGAAATGTAATCGGCAGTCGAAAAGTCCCTCATGACCCAGACATTGTAGAAAGCCTGGAGCGGAAGATCTTTATTGTTGATTTTTATGGTTTCTTGGTGTAAATTATATTGTTTCTCGCCCAACACGATGGTGGTTGCCAACGATATATCATCGATGGCGGTGCCAGCAGCATCCAAGAGGGTGATTGGTGATTTGGCAATGATCGATGATCGAAGATCAGCCAATGCGGTGCTCATTGTATTTGTGAGAGATGATATATATATCGAAGGGAAGTACACGGTGGATGCCGATAATAACAAACAATTTGTGTACTTAATCAAATTGAAAAGATGAAAAATCGTTAAAGATTTCCGGATCGGTTTACCCGGTGAGGGGGGAAGCGTGCGAGAGAAAGGGAGAGAGCACCGCGCCGGTTCTTTATAACTAATATTTATAAAGTGTTATTTATTTATTACAACCAATTATTTTAAAAACTAATAACAATCCGTTTATTTGAGAAACATTATATCAATTTAGAAAATTTTAATGCCCGTGTGGGTCTTCCTTTTCTGGTTCTGGGTCAATGTTGATCATGGTGTCGATTCTCAAAATTGCAATACATGCTTCAAGGGCACTCTTCAAACTCTTGACTTTACTCATTGTTGGTTCAATGACCCCAGCAACGGTTTCATCAACAATCTTTTCATTGATCAAATCCAACCCGTAGTTCTTGTAATTCTTACGCTTGGTATCGTTTGGCAAAGAACTTTGCGATTTAGAATGGTAAGATCTCAACTTGGCAACGAGCTCTGACGAATCCTTAGCAGCATTGACGGCAAGGGTCTTTGGAATCACCAACAATGCAGCGGCAAACTCGGCAATCGCCAATTGTTCACGCGATCCCACAGTGGTGGCAAAGTTTTCCAAATAAATGTTCAAGGCGGTTTCCACGGCCCCACCACCTGGAACAATGTTACCACTTTCAAGGGTTCTCTTAACCACTGAAAGAGAGTCATGTAACGATCTTTCCATCTCATCAAGAGAATACTCGTTTGGACCTCTCAAAACAATCGAGCTGGAAGAATGTTTCGATGTACCTTCGACAACAATACATTCGTCGTCACTGATTTTAATTTGCCTGACACATTCAGCAGAACCCAAGTATGAAGCTTCGAAAGTTTCATCACCTTCCAAGTTGGACATGTTGGTGACAAAAGTGGCTCCGGTAGCTCTAGCAATACGTTTCAAATCTTCTTTGGTACATCTTCTAACTGCCATGGCTTTGGCCTCGACAAATTCTTTCAAACATAGATCATCAATCCCTTTGGTAGTCAAAATCACATTGGCACCGGCAGCCAAGATTTTACGGATCCTTTCAATGACAATTTGGTATTCCTTCTTTCTAACTTGTTCTAATTGTTCAGGGTCTTGGATGTTGATTTGCACCCCAAGGGCCATCTTGGCCTTTTGAAGATTTATATCTAGGACCGCGATCTTGGCATTGTTAATTCTCTTTGGCATGGCTTGAGAAGCAACGGTACAATTGAGAGCGTAACCATTGATAATCATTGATTCGGTAGACGATTTACCATGAGCTTTCAAGATGTTAACGGCCTTGATTGGGTATTTGATTTCCCCCTTGTTGTTAGCGGTCTTGACGGACATGATGGCATCGACCACCATTTTACTAAAAAATTCGGAATCACTACCAATAATCTTTGATGACATTGAGGTTTTGGCAATGTTGATCAATGCTTCTCTACCCAAGCTGTCAACCGGTTGACTGAGCACTTCATGGATATATTTGATGGCCTCACGCAACGCCAAACGGTACCCGTTGATAATAGTGGTTGGATGGATCTTGTTTCTCACTAGTTCGTTAGCACGTTTAAGAAGTTCAGACGCGATGATCACCACAGAAGTTGTACCATCACCGACTTCTTTATCCTGCTGTTGAGCTAATTCAACAAGGATTTTACCGGCAGGATGTTGAACATCTAAAAGCGATAAGATCGTAGCCCCATCATTGGTCACGGTAACATCTCCGATGTCATCGACCAACATTTTGTCAAGACCAACTGGGCCAAGAGACGATTTCACCACGTTGGCCACCGAAAGCGCGGCGGTGACGTTCTGGTTACGGACGTCGTCTCCGCTGATTTTCTGTCCTCCAAGGAACAATGTATCGGAACGAGAAGCCTGATAAACCTGGGACATGGTAATTGGAGGCCAGGAGGATATTCAATATATTATCAATGGAAATATCAACTGGTTTCGTTTGTGTTGATGATGGAAGTTTTGCCCAAAAGAATTTTTTTTACCTGGCGGACAGACACCCAGACACCACAGCTCAGAAACATCCGTACACACGCCACCACCACCATTATCATTATCATTATTATATTCTTATTATGTATTATTCTTATGTATTTTTATATAATCTCTATCAATTCTACTAAATTAATCCTATGCTAATACGTCATCTTGCTGTACCGGAGTTCGACGTCTTCGGTGAAATACTTCTTGCACTGGACAATCTTCAAATCATTCACTTTAATCTTGGTTTCTGGTGCGATGCGCTGGCCCAGTTTAGCAAGAGTGTTGAGCTGCCATCTATACGAATAGTCCAATACGTGATAGAGGACACTAAGTACCTCATTCAATGAATTCGCCAAAATATCAATTCTTGATCCCAGGGAGGCTTCATGGTTGATATATGAGTCCGCAAGCAATGCCCCAAACAAGTCCCCTGACCCAAAGAAAAACCCATTGAATTTGGGGATTTTGTAATAAATGAAGGTATCACTGTCGTTTGTCGACCCAGCACATATTAGATACCCTGGATCTTCTGCCAAATCCACTGACGTCACCACAATACTGTTAATTAATGGATACAATTGCTTGAACTTTGTCAATGCCTGCTTTAACAGCTCGAGGTTGGTGATTTTGGTATCGGTCAACAATTCTAATTCAAAATGATTTGGGGTGACGAGGAACGGCTGGCCTTGCCGTAACAACATTTTGTATAATTCAATGATACTATTCGAGTCATTGATGTATATTCTGCCATTATCCCCAATGATGGGATCGAAAAACCATTTGACGTTCGGATTATGAGTCTTTGCGTCGTTGACAATTTCAATGATTGATTCCAAATGTTGTTTGCTGGTGATGTACCCAGAAAGCACCACAGAATAGTGAACCTGTGCCACTTCGACAATCTTCTTGTATATTTCTAGAAGTTCATTGGCCTGGTACTTGATTCCGTAAAATGATCCATACGCCGGATGATTTGAATATTGCACGGTATTGAGGGCGTCGACGTCCCATCCTTTTAGTTGCAATGGGAAAGTGGCTGCTTTATTCCCCACGTATCCGTGGACCACATGGGACTGTATCGAAAGTAGTTTCTTCATCGTATCGCTGGACCTCGTTGATGATAAATGCTAATGGTGTTAATAAATAAATAATCTCTCGATGAATCATAAAAAAAGTCAAGGAATTATTTCTCCGCAACTGAGGGTCGCACACCCGCTGAGCTCAGGAAACAATCCAAATCGGGAAATGAAGGGTGCCGAATGAAAAACGGGGGGTTATCATCCGGTCAGGAAGGTCTTTCCGAGGGTAATATCCTGTCAGGCAGGCACTCCCGGCCCTCGGAAACCTGCCCGGTGAAAGCACAAATATTTTCAACCATCATCATCAACTATTGTATTTACCTATATATCGCAGCTCATCGTATATATCTTAATTTTATCATGGATCAATGTAATTTCCCAGGAAAGATCCCCACAAACCATCAGAGAAACCAAAAGAGCTTTGAAAATCAATTCAAAATCATCAAACCTGGCGGTGGATTGAACCCTCGGGCCATTAAGGCGTGCAACCACTGCCGCAAAAAGAAGACTCGATGCTTTGCCATCGATGAAGCAAAGAACATTGCTGCTTGCTCAAGGTGTAAAGGCTTGGGACTACTTTGCAGTTTCGAGGAAGATATTGTCGATGCTGGGAAATTCCAATCGGTAGCGGATCTCCGAAGCTTTGAGGCGTCACGCGAAAACAACAACAACAATAATAATAATCATCATTATCATAATAATCATCGTCCTGACATCCTGGGTTATCGACAGGAAATGGATAAATTGAACCAGATTCATGATGACATAAAGAAATTGGCCCGGTATTTAACCACTAACAATGAATCGTTATCTTCGATAATTCCAGCCCCTCATTCAAGCACCACCACCAACTATGACTTAACTACCAATCATCATCAACGTCCAATTATCAATAATAATCTTGGCCCAAGCATCGCTTCAACTACCATCCAGAACGAATTCCCCGAGCAACCCAAAGTAATCACCCCTTCAACCATGATTCCTCTGTCATTTATGACATCGGCATACAATATTCTAAAAGAAGCCCCACCAGCTTCGTTATTACCATTCCCAGTAACCCATCTTCTTAGTCCCCCAGCCCCGGTGCTCGAGAAAGATATTGTCACCCTTCGATTCATTAGTAAAGCCGAAGCCTATTCTCTATTGAACATTTTCAGAGAAAAATACGGAAAATGGATTTCTCTCAAACCAGACATCACCACCGAAGAGCTCCTCAATGAATATCGTACAGAATCCTCGTTATTACTCGATGTATGCTGTTTAGTGGCGTTGCGCAGCTCCAGAAACCAAGCTCTTAAACGGAAAATCACTCAGATACTAATCAATCGGATTTCCAATAGCTTAGCCAAAGAAATTCTTAATAATCCTAGCACAGACCTCAAGTACATTTCCACATTGACCCTTCTTTCATTTTACGGGTACTCGTTATCACAACCCGCTAATTTCAATATTGACCCCTGGTTTTATTCGGGATTGGCATTGAAACATTTTATCACCTCTATCAATTACAATCCTTCATTTATCAATGCCACGGTCTCGTTTCTTCCCGATGCCGACTCGCAATTCGATTTGTTGACCTATATGCGGATCTACGATCATTTAATCGTCACCCATTTGTTCAATTGTGTGGTCAGTGGAAGGACTTGTTCAATTGATAGAATACGGTTGAATAAGATTCGATCGAAGCTTGATATTGTGTATGCCGGGGTGTTTGATGGAAAAATGACGGCCGAAGTATGCCTTAGTGATATCGTTTACGATTTCTTTGTCAATGATATGACCGGGGGTGACGCCCTTGGGAAATTCTACGCCGTTGTTAAGAAACTCGATGATTGGTACAATGATTGGAATTATCTTATCAAACAACCAATCCCTCAATTACTTGAATTTTTCTTCAATTTTTACTCGCTTTTAATTCATTACCATATAAATTTCCAATTATATTTCAACAAACTTAATCAGAACTTACTCGGAAATGTCAATCCAGAAAGTGCCGACCATCTAGATGATTTCCAAAGACTTTTCTCCACCGACCCCACGAATTTCGAAACTTTCTCCAATATCGTTTGGCACATTGGTGCTGACCACCTTGAAAAAATGTGGTACAATTGTTTGATAATCGTCAATGAACTTCTTAGTTTCATCAACAAACTGAACCTTGATATCATGATCGATAACTCCGAGCAGTTCGAATACTTCACCGACCAGATCCATTTTTCGCTTTTTTTCAGTATTATTGTGTTTCTCAGGCTTATGAGTAATTTCTTTAGGAAACCTCAATCTGCTTCAACGATGCCGTCTGTACTGGACACCGCCACCAACACAACTTCCCAGGGGTTATTATTAGGTTCATACCTCGAATATTTCCACAGAAATTTCCAACCTTTTGATATCACAGGGAGCCTTCAGCACCATAAGCTAACCCCCCAGCAATTAAAGGCACGAGCACCATTGCATCAAATGGATAAACTGTCGTTTTTAATTTACATGACGGAGATCCTCATAATTGTGAAAAAATATCAAAAAGTCTCCCAAGAGGTTGGCAATGTCAGCAATGATGGACGGGTGAATGAAATCGACACTAATAATGTATTTTACCGGTATTATTATACGTTAAGACAGAATATTGTGAAAACATTCCCGGGGATTAAGATTGATGATGTTTTTGATTAGTAAATACTTCATTTGCAGAATATCATGTTATATTATAATAATTACAAATTGATTGGAGTCAACGCTTTGTATATCATATACAAAGGTTATCTTTAGTTCCAAATTGATAGATAGTGTCTTGTAGGAGTTTGTATCCCTGCTGCTTTTGGCAAGCTTTAGTATTTTCGCTTCAAGATGGTTATTGTCTTCCATTTCATCCTCACTCCCACCTCCATCACCGGGTATATTATTTTCCTGATCATATATATTTTCCTCAGTAGTTGCCACATCTAAATTGAAGATTGTGAATAAGATGAATAAGTGCCTCAAAGTAATTGAAATGATTATCTTTCAAGAAAGTAATAATAGAAAGCATATTATGAGAATATTTGATATAACGTGACAGTTTCGCCACTTGTTCATCTACTGCTTTTCGTAACATGGCATTGAAAGCCTTATTACTTCTTGGAGATATGACCCGTCATTATTTGCTAGTCTTTGTTTTATCTATTTTGTCATTTAACTGAATTATCGTCCAGCTATGGTGAGCTGTGTTTGAGATATAAAAATCTCTGGCTTTTCCACCTACGTATGAGGATAGTGTTGGTAACCTCCTTTGTTTTGATAACATTTGGCCTGTGGATGGAAACCTAAAAGTAATTATTGAATAATGGTACAACGATGCTCTATTTGTATGAGAAAAACATCAAATTAGCAAAAAATGGCATTTTGACGGAGTCTCAAATGAAAACTACCAAAAATGTCCGAAGTTCCAATGAACCCTTCAAAATAGATAGAAACATAATCACCAACCAAGTCTACAAATTAAATTTGTCAAAACACAAAACTCCATTCCTTCGTCCTTTAGACAAAAATCAATGCATATATTATATATAAAAAAAAAAAGATCCTCAAGATGATAATTAAGACGCACACACAACAAAAAAACAAAACTAAAAATGAAATGCCATGGTTTGCTGATATGTTCTTCAGTGATTTCATTCAAAAAGGCCCTTTGATATTACAAAATCCCACTTAAATAGAACCTAGCAATACCACTTTTATTCAAAAAAAGAACTTCATTAAAAAAAGAAAACAAAAAAAAAGAGCCAAACAAAATCTAACCATTGTTTCTTCCTTTTAATTTTCCTTTCTGGTGGCTTGGAAATTTTCGAATGTGGAATAGAATTTATTGTAATTGTTATTATTATTATTGTAATATTTTTATCATTTTTTTGATCTCTTTTGAGTTCTGCTTTATCTTAATACAATAAGAGTAACTTATTTCTTTGGGTCCTTGATACCGAGGATGGCTCTACCAGTGTAGACCAATGGGACAACCATGGAGACGGCAAACAAACCGTAGAATGGGTAGAGATACATAGCGGATCTTGGGTGCTATTTGAGGGGTTAGTATTTCATAAAGACGATAAGTTCTGTATCTTATGACTATTCTTCAATATTCATTGCTGTTCATTAGCTTTTCCTGAATTGTTCATTGCTGTTCATTAGAATATCCTGAATTGTTCATTGCTGTAGATTATTATTCATTATCAACTATTCTTCAGTGTTGATTATTTGTTTTTACTCATGATTCAATATTCTTGATTCAATATTCGGCATTAATATTCGATATTGTTCGCTGCTGTTCAATACATTTCATTATTATTGTTTTTATCTGATCCAAAAAATGAGCCCGAATGATGTAATACACAAGTGAATTTGGATGAATTGATACATCAATGAATCTGAACGCCTTGATACTACCATATTAAATACATACTCTAGTCCACAATGGTTTGGTGGAGTTTTGGTACAATCTTTGGTATTCGATAATTCTGTTTCTGGCAGCCATTTTTGGGATATTTCTAATAGTTAAAAGTTAGTCGAAAAAGGTTCCTCGTATCAATGTTGAAAAATGAACTCCAGCAAAATAATAATAATAACAACTCACCTTTTGTTGATGGATGTGAATAATATAACACTTAGCGCCTACAAGTCGAGCTCATCAAATTCGCTTTATCAAAAAAAAATCACCAGCTTTTTATTGCCGGGGGCCAATCAGCAGCCGAGAATTTGTTTTTCTTCGTGCTGAAAAACTTCGGTCACGTGCATATTTATCAGCTGACAATGATCACGTGTAATATTAGTCTGGTGTTCGGGTGAAAAGAAAAATCGTGTGGCTCTGGATAACATCCAAACACCAGACGAAAAGTGGCGACTTTATCCTTTACTATTATTATGATTGTTATTATTATTATTGTTATTATTATTATTGTTATTATTATTATTATTATTATTATTACTACTATTATTACTATTATATATTCTTTCCTGCCTCTTCATCTCTTTCGCATCTGGTTGCAATCATTGTACAATGTCTCGAGCTGTTCTTGCCAAAGCATTGAAGAAGGCCTGTGGCCAATCAAAAGCAGAGCCCCTTGTCTCCAAATGTTTGGACGAAACCATTTGCTCAATATGTTCGGATATTATGGTGTATCCTTTCAATGGGGCCTGTGGGCATTCAGCATGTTACTCCTGTTTAAGAGAATGGCTTAGTAACAATAATAGCTGCCCGGTATGTCGTGAAGTGATCACTGTGAAACCGACAATCAATTTGAATTTGAAAGCGATTGGGGCGAGTATTTTAGATACTTGCCAGAAACAGGCCCCGGATACTAGGACACTGATTAAAAAACACGTGGACGAATCGAAGAAAGTGTATCAGAAAGACTTCAATGATGGGAATTTGTTCAATAAGGTGTTCAAGAGTGCCAAGGTCAATCTTGAAGAAGGAATCCCCACTTGCTCGGAATGTGCCTGGGAAGATTGCAATGGGAGGGTATGTGAGGGATGTGGGGCGGTGTTTGTGAATTATGGCGAACCTCATGTGGTCAATACTAGAACGTTTGGTTTTGGCTATGATGACGACGACGACGACGAAGACGACGAAGACGAACTGCAACGATCAAGAGGTCATCATTCGGATGAGTTCTCCGCAGTAGAAAAAGAAGCCCAAGAGATTCTTGATGCAGAAACGGAATGGCTGGAGAATGAGAATGGTGGAGAGCAATTGGAAGATGATTGGTTGAACGAAGACGATGAAGCAGAGTTTGAGGAGCCCGATGATCTTGATTACAACTATTTTTCAGAATGTATTTGTGATCCTGGCTCGATCAGCGACATTTACATGCTAAGGTTTTTCCTCGGAAACACCAGTGATAAGATTTCTGAGTTGAAAGATATGTTGTATGATCTAAATGACGAAGTCATCTATGGAGAGCTTGATGCCCTCAAGGAGATGAGAGTGATCCTGTCATGTTTGAAATATTTGAGGAATCAAATGAAGTTATTGAATAAACGGCATTTTGCCCTCATGTTGGTGAAGCAAGGGGTGTTTGATTCCGATAGTGATGAGGAGCTGCGAGGCGGTCCAAGAATATACCATGTTGGTGGTTTGGGTCAAAATTTCGAGTTTAGTTTGTGATGTTTGATGTGTTATTTTGTTTTGTTTGTTGTTTAGGATGGTGTATATTATAATTTTCAATTCTCTTTGTATCTTTATCTTGAGGATAACCATATGTTTACTAATTTTTTCACGACAATTTTATCTTTGGTATTAAGACGGACACTGTAAGTGCTAAGGTACGTAACATGGTATTTGATAGTATATTTTATATATTTCCCAATATATTTGACATTGCGTTATTCATTAACTAATTAATAAAAAATAAAAAAAATAGAACGAGCATCATTTGCCAAAGAGTATAAGTAACTTCCAAAGAGTGCATCTTGATCTTTTCTATAGTAGATCAATCATCTATCAAGGAATCCCACACATACAATTAACGATCTCAATAATTCAAAATAGTGCTATCAATAATTCAGAATGATAATTCTAATCAATATTTCTAATCATATATACAATTAGCAAGAGTTCTACCATTACACTCCTCCAATCTATAATACACCCCATTCAACACCACCACCTGCAAGTTTTTCAACTCCGGCTGCTGTTTGGCCAACCAATCGAAATATTTCCCTTTAAAGAAATGATCGACACATTGCACAAGAATATCAAAACATTCGTCATCGTAATAACAATCATCACTCTTGGCATCGTCGTCCCTGACAAACTGGGCAAGTTCTTCCGAATAAAACTCATCATCGCCGTCATTTTTGAAGTCCCGACACACAATCTTGGAAAACCCGTGGAAATCCCAACGCACGGCATTGGGGGCCATCAAGGTGATGTTATCCAACATTTCAAATTGGTTTAATGAGCTGGCGGGAGAAGTCGCTGACACAAGTTCCACAAACTTTTGGGGACTTCTATTGGAATAATTGGCGAAAAATGGGATTCTGCTGGCAAGAACGTCGGCGAAAAACCCAAAGAGTCGAGGAGAGATCATGTCTTTGAAATCAAACGTTTGTTTATAATCGAAATATTGATGGGTCATCAAATAAGTATCGAACAACGAGAGATGTTGTTGACACTTGAGGCATTCGCACCCGTTCCATAGTAAATCCGATACCAATTGCTCGTAGCAGCAGATGGACGACATAAGATTAGGAAGCACTAATTGTTGTAAGTTAGGGAACCTTGGGAGCGTGGTCTCGTACAATTTCCTTCTTCGTAGATAATTTCCTTCCAACCCGTCTTCGATGTTCCCATCGATTGGTGGATCATTCTTGATTAATAGTTTAGTAATTTTTTGTTTATTTGGTAAATTTATCAAGAACGAAAACGCTTGGAGGTCCCAATCTTCGTAGACTTGATGCTTGTATATTGGAGAATGTTTGTTGTAGTACTGTTTTTCCAAAATTGCCACGCTGGTCAAATTAGTTAATTGTCGAGACAATGAAGTGAGGAATGTTCCCATACATTCACAGTGAGACTCATCGCAATTGATTTCCATCTCCAATTTGGTTAATTGTGATAAATTGATCAATTGTTCCACAACAATGATGGAGAAATTCCGTAAAATCGAATTATAGTTATGGATTCCGTGGTAATGATTGAATTTCAATGATTTGAGGTTGGTTAGTTTTTCACCACATTGTTTAGCAGATAAGAGATCCCCCAAGAGTTTTAAAATTCTCAATGATGCGTCTTCGTCATCGATAATCACCAATTCTTCAAGCAGCAATAACGTTTGTACCACGGTATCGTTGAAATCAGTAAGCAAGTTATAATCCACCAAATTATCATTCTCGATATTCAAGCTTAAACAGCGTAGTTTGGGGAAATTGGCTAAATGGTTGAGATCGCTAATTGAGTCGACAATGATATTTGTCAAGTTGCTGTTCAGGGACAGTAGTTGATGGAATAAATATTCATTTATTTTCAATCGCAAAGGTTTTTCGAAAATCTTCAATACTTTCAACCCGCCATTTCTTTCCATTAATGTGCAAACTATCCTAAATAATGATTCCAATAGTGGCGAGTCATTAGTGGGCAATCCATCATGAATGATGAGCTCTTCACATTGGGCTAAAGGTTCATGTGCTAAATATTGTTCAAATTGATGTAGTTTTGCCAATAAACTGGAGGTATCTTCAATATTGATATTCTTGCCACCGTTATTGCTTATCGTGGTGTAATTGGTATCGATATACCATTGGTTATCATCGCCGTCACGCAACGTTGGATACTTCTTGATGATGATTCTTTTGGATAATTTCCTCAACACCAATTCCCGCCCAAACTGAGAATTGGTCATTGCAAGGTTTGTCAAGTCATTCTGCGGCAAATATTCGATGATTCTTGTGAGAACGTTGTTGGGAAGTGTGGTTAATGGGGTGACATCATCAACCAAGGTGATGAGGTGATGGGTGGTGATACCTTTGGGTTTCTCGATGCTTTTGACAATCTTTTCGAGCCCTTCTTCATGGATGTTGTCGGGATTGCTGCTAAATAGGTATTCAAGCAATCGAAACATGGTCGATAAACGATAAAAGACCAATAATGAAGATAAAAGAATAAAATCATCCAAAAAAAAAAAAAAAAAAAAAAAAGACAGGGTGATGTGGGGCTGCAGCAGTGTCATTTTTCTACAACACGGATTTATATCGCACAATGTTCTTTAAAAATGTATTTTTAATATGATAAATAAATAAATAAATACTTAAATAAACAAATAATCAACTCAATATACTCGACAAGATCGTCAAAAGTTCGTTCATCCCGGCTACCTGCGACATCGCCCCGGTATCTCCACACTGTCCAGCGGCGACCGTGAATACATTATCCACGATTTTCTCCTTCGATACCGTGCTCCAGAAATCAAACGCTGATTCGGTATTCGGGTTAGAGCTAGAGATATAAATCGATAAATCCATGTGTTGTTTGGACACCGATGGTGGGTGTGCTAAAGTTTCTATCCGGCCTTTGCTATAGTAATTCAAAATCATCGACAACGCTTTGATCGGCAAGTTAATCTGTTGAATCACCACCATATCGTTGATCGCGGTGGCGTGGACTCCTTCATCGCCAAACATCTCGTTGATGTGGGTGACACAATCACTAATGGTCAGGGCTGACCGTTCTGGATCGTCACAACTTTCACAATGCATGCGGATGGTGGCTTCTAATAACTCCATGTACGAACTAGGTAATCTTTCCACCATCGATTTGATCACATCGACCGCTGGTTCCATCCAAATCAATTCTTGGTCTTGTAATAAACAAATCCAACTGTCATTATGTGGAAGTTTAATGTATCCGCCATTTTCGCCAATCAATCCAATATTGGGGATCCGACCGTACATCACATCCAAATCGGATTTCTTCATGTAACTCATGACAAATACCAAATTATTAGGATCGTTGGCGAGTTCCGACAATACCGACAATTTCCGATTGTTAGACGACACTAATTTCGCGGTCCTAGTGTCGTAGGCATCAAAATCCAACACAAACAACCGCTTTGTGTTTCTGGTTTCTTTGGCCTTGGACTCATGATACACTCCAATGAATCGGCTATTATTAAGATTGAGTGATTTGGTATTACTGCGTTCTTGTTGCTTATCCCACGCATGTTGGATCTCGGTCAACGAATTGCTCACCCATTTGTAACAATTCTTATTAGTCAACACCTTGTACAAATTGTTCCATCTATTGGTTTTTTCTTCCAACGACATCGTCAATGCTTGGTGGATTTCATTGGCAATTTGGTTCAAATTCCATGGATTGATCAATAACGCCCCTTGTTGGAAAAGGTGGGCTGATCCGGTGAATTCTGATAAGATCAACGGAGATTTTTTCTCTTCGGTGGCCACGATAAATTCATGGCACGTCAAGTTCATTCCTTCACGCATTGTCGATACAATAAAAGTATCGGCAACGCTAATCAACGCCAAGTATTGTTGGAAATCAATATCCTGATGTAAGAACACCACCGGTTGCGATACTGTGAAATCAGTACTCATACTATTGATCCGTTCGACAATCGTCATGATCTCGTACTCCAAATCGGTGTCGTAATTATTAGATTTCAAACAGATTTGAATAAACGACACTTTGTTGACGTAATCGGGATATTTCTTCAAGAAAATCTCGTAGGCAAGCAATTTCTGTTTGACCCCTCTAAGACGATCCAATTTATCTCTATTGACAATCAATTGTCTCCCGGCCCATCTTTCCTGGATCATCTGTTTCAATTGCCCCACGGTTGGATCGTCAATCTGTTTGGCCAATTTTTTGGCGTCGATCCCAATAGGGTTGGAATACACGCCAATGTACCGTCCTTGATATAGCAACCCATCATTGTTGACATCGGCCAATAAGATCCGGTTACAAGTTTGCATAAAGTGACGACAATACTCTGGGATTTGGAACCCCACGGAATTGGCCCCGATCATCCCTAACAACAATGGTTTTCTCTGGGCCAAGCATCGAAACACTTCTGATGATGGGAATGCCGCGTGTAAGAATAATCCGCACTTCACTTTAGGTCCCAACCGTTCTCTCAACATTTGGGGAAGCAACAATAAATGATAATCATGGACCCAAATCACGTCGTCGGGTTCGTACGCCGCGGCAATCTTATCAGCAAAAAACTCGTTCAATTTCTTGTAATATTCCCATGAATGGTCTTCAAACGCTTTGGATTTCGGATTATCTGGGACTTGGTAGTGTAAAGTCGGCCACAAAATCTCTTTACAATAATTCCGATAGTGTCCCTGGAAAGTGAAATCGTCGGCAAATACCGCGAGACAATCATGGTCGCTGGCGAGTTTCGTTTGAATCTCCAGTTTAAGCTTATCCGATAATTCGTCGGTGGCCATACCTACCGTCCCCACCCATTGTACATTTTCAATGGTATTACCATCCTCGAGCGAGAAATTAACGGCATTTCTTAATCCGCCATTACCTTTCACGTAGGGGGTGATGGTCCAAGGAGCATGTTCAAAGATACTTTCATTATGTAGAATGCTTTGCCCGATATTGGGGTTAGAGAACCCTCCATAAGGCACTAAAGTGTCGGAGTTTTTGTCATCGTTTTCCTCTTCCTCGAGCCGAAGGCCAGTGAGGTGTCTCAGGATAGTGACATTAGAGGACGATGAGTGTAATGACCCACTACGGATGGATTTTCTCCGCAACATATTGTTGACCGGAGTGGTTCTTTTAGGAAGAATGATTGCTGGAGATGGCGATGCTGTGGCGCTACTGCAAGAACGACCACTACCATTGGCTTCAATACTGGCCAGAATATCTGCTCGAGACCGGGGTTGAATGTACGAGAATGATTGGTTCTTGCGTAAGATATACGATTTGTTTGGCTGGTTCACTGCTTCGAGCTCGGTTTCCCCAAGTGGGGCCATTGCCAGAAGACTACTCGACGCCGAAGTCAATGGGTTCTTATAAAAGAATTCCTCATCTGAAGGGTTGACACTGTTTCCATTGCCATTGCAACTGTTGGTGGCGGTGGTGGCTTGATGGGGATTGTTATTATTGGTATCGTTGTTGAACCCACTGGTGATGGGAGATGTCGATGCCGGAGGGCTGGCGTGGGCCGCAACGAGGAGCAGGGAATTGCGTCGTTTGTTGAGCATTGCATTGTCACCAACGATGTTGATGGGGTTGGAACTGCTGCTACCAGGTGGGGTGGTGTCTAAGATGGCCTCATCGATGTCGGTCAGCAACGGAGTACCGATTTCAAAATGGACCGTGTAAGGAAGGAATCTGCCATGGTGTTAGTGGGTCAATAGAGTTGAATAATAATAACTGAAAGGTTAGAAGAATACTTACAAAGATACGACAAATGTCTTCATGGTGGGGTTATCCTTGTGACAGGTATCAAGGAGGGAGAAGAAGGACGAAGGATTTCCCGGGTAGGTTTTTTAAATAAGCTGTAATCATTGCCGGTTGGGGGCCCGTGCGATTGCTTCCACTTTTGTTTGGCATTTTCTCTTCTTCTTCTTCTTCTTCTTCTTCTTCTTTTGATATCTCTGAGTTTAAGAATAAGAATAAGAATAAGACGAAGAATGGGCCCTTATCTCTATGACTCTCATTGCCATCTTTCTCCCTATTGTCTTGCCGTTGATGGGTTGGGATCGACCATCGATAATGATTCTTCCGTATGCCAAATGGCATTGATGTCAACCAATCATTTTGACATGGAATTGGTGCTTCAATTGGCAAGATCAAGTGCTTCTTCTCAGGTAATAATCCCCTGTATTGGGGTTCATCCATGGTACTCTCACTTGTTTGCTGCCAACGGCACGGTATCTCATGAAGACCATTACCTTGGGGTGATCAAGTCCTCAGAGCTGATTTCCCCGAGTTTTTTACAAAAATTGCCAGCACCGGTGAGTTTCCCATCACATATGACAAGAATGGAACAACAAATCACGAAGCTATTGCAAGATGGTAGTAGGAAGGTGGTGATTGTTGGGGAGATTGGAATTGATAAATTGTTCAGGATTCCTTGGAGTGGGTTTCTAGGAAATACTGAGGCGAGATATAATAAAACCGGAGATAACGATAAGGATAATGAGAATAATAATAGTGACACCAAGATACTCACCACCGTCCCTCCATTATCCCCATACAGAGTATCGATGGACCATCAACTATACATCTTCAAAGAACAATTGGCCCTTGCCTGGAGAACCCAACTCCCGATCTCGGTGCACTGTGTCAAGGCCCATGGATTGATCTACGATACCATTATGGAATTCATAACGTCGAACAAGAAACATGCTCCAACCACAACGATTCCCGCAATCTGTCTTCATTCGTATACCGGATCAGTTGATCTGGCGAAAAGATGGGTCAGCAAGAAGACTCGGGAAAAGTTGGGGAAGAAGACTAAAGTGTTTTTTTCGTTTTCCAAGGTTCTTAATTGTCCTGATTCTGATATACTGGAACAGGGGACAGGCTCTGATATTCTGAAACAGATAATAGCCTCTGATACACTGAAACCGGGGACAGACTCAGATGCCCTGAAACCAGGAACAAATTCCGGATCCTTGAAAAACTGTTATCTGAAATCAGAAACAGAATTCATCAAACTAGTGCAAATGTTGCCAGAAGACACCATCCTAATCGAAACCGATCTATCAATTGATAAATACTACAATGGCACCAATCAATCGCAACACTCTTGTGATCTTCAAGCAGTCCTCCGACAGATTTGTAACATCAAAGGATGGAGCCTTGATCAAGGAACAACAGTTCTAAATGATAATTGGAACAAATTCAAAGGGGAAGCATAAAAAAAAAAAAAAAAAGAAGGCCCATGGAAACTAATAATAGATAATAGTGAATAGATATTTTTGTATAATAGACATGGATTTTCAGATGGATATTTTTTGTAAAGGCTTTTCATTGTAGAAAGGTGAAAAGCCTTTGATGTTAGAAAATCTACAAAAACCCTTGATGGATCTCTTGGTACTATAAAAGCCTTTTGCATAACGATGTTTAAATCATTATATCAATATAAAATCTCTTCATCTAGAAATAACCTCATTTGAAAATAGACTCACGGAAATACATAAATTCATTAAAAATATTGAAAGGTCTTCATGATATAAAATTTATAAATCCTTTCTATGAAAAAAAAAAAAAAAAAAAATCTAGAAATCTAGAAATCTATTGGTGAACATATTAGAATCTCTTGACAACAATATAGAAAACTCTTCAAAAATATAAAGTTCCTCTATAAGAACATTGAAATCTCCCACATAAATTCCCTTCTGAGATCAATGAAATCCCTTCATAATATAGATAAAACTCGCTTGTAATATTTCCTCTTTCCACCTAAAATTCCCTTTCCTCTAACTATGCTCAAAATACTTCTAAATAATACTTCCTGACATTGTTTCCTGATATTGCTTCCTCAGAGTAAATAATAAACCTCAAGAAAAAGGCATTTGCAATGCTGAATGGGTCCTGGAATGCTCTCGAGAATGTCTTCGAGACGCCCCTCTTGAAGCACTTCTCGAATGCGTGGTGGATTGCACCCTTGAATGGCTTGATGAATGATTCCGCGAATTGATTCTTGATGGATTGATACTGTTGAACGTCGAATTGATTCTTGATTTCGAGTACGATGATGCCAAACGGAAACTTTTCAGCACCGCTGGCTCCACAGACACCGCCCCGTTCATTCTTACCGGAGCCATCGTCGATGCCAGCTTCATTGGATGATTAGCATTGTTCAAATTAAGTAGTTCTTTCAACGAGGTGGTGCTCGAGGATTTATACCGGTGGGCATCTCTCAACAGAGTATAACTGAACGATTTCTTCATGAGCCCATCCAATGCTGCTGGAGAGAAGTTTGTGGTGACGATATCTGGTCGACGAATCGTTGGAGACGCATACGAATCATCATCGTTATCCATAAGAGTGAAAATCGGCTTGTGTGGTTTACTATCAGTAGTGATGGTAGTGGTAGGTTTGAGACTACCGCGTAAAGATTCTCTTAATCGATCTAAGGCAAGTTGTCTTTCCTCGTCATCATCATCATCTTCTTCTTCGTCATCATCTTCCTCATTTGGCAGGGTTTCCATGCTAGAAGGCAAGCGGTGATGATGATCCATGATACTGGAAGGAGATAATCTATCATCGATCGACGATTCGGTATCCTCGGCAATTGTGGTTCCGATTCGTTTTCCCAAATTCTTCAACCATGGGTTCAGGGAAAGCGCTTCAAGTGTCACTCTATCCAGTTGATCAACCACAAAACAACTGCTAATGATGTCCCTGGTGTCGTGTGATACGTGGTCCCAGTATTCCGGAGGATCAAAAGTGTAATCACCAGTGGCAATGGCCTGCTTGGTTTCATCGTCGGTCTCGCAATCAAATGGCATGTATCCGCAAAACATAAAGTACATCAACACTCCCAATGCCCAAATATCAATGGGGAAACTGTACTGTTGTCGAGCCAAGATTTCTGGGGCCATATAACTAAGGGTCCCGCACAAAATGTTCGACAAATCCGACGCCTGGTGAATGTGATCTTCGTCTTTGGCAAATGTCGATAATCCAAAATCCCCAATCAAAATCTCGAATCGGGTGCTGCTGTATTTGAACAAGATGTTTTCTGCCTTGATATCACGATGGATGATATTGTTCTGTTTCAAGAATAACAATCCACACACCAACGAATTGACGATCCTGAGCCCGTCTGATTCTTTATCATACAGTCCTTCATTGACAAGCTTATCGAACAAGTCCCCACCAACCGCCAAATCGGTGACGAGGTACAAGTTATCGTCGGTTTCAAAGTAATCACGGAGTCTAAGAAGACTTTTCTGCCCCTCGTTGTTGGCACTTTTTGATTGGGAGATCCGCGAGAGGACCTTGAATTCGTTCTGAATCAATTTCACTTTACTGTCGAGTTTCTTAATCACTTTGACCGCGTAATGGGCGTGAGTATCGATGTGTTTGCATTCGTGGACTTCGGAGAACGATCCGGACCCCAAACTTTGGTGGGAAATGATGTATTTGCAAGGGGATCTATGGGCCTTGACGAATGTCGAAGGTTGGAAGCTGGAAATAGGAGGCCATTCCTGTGGGAGCACCATCTTTACATTGAGGGATTGTCTCTTGATAAGCAGAGTTTAGGACAGATCTTTGGACGGTTTTAAAAAAAAATGCTGGTGGGAAAAAGCAACAGCAAGAAAAAAAAAAAGTAATGTACATTGACAGATAATCTATGCTGTTATGGGATGTTACCATATTTATCATGATATATTGTTTATTATATATTATTATTATTATTATTATTATATTATATCATATTATTATTATTATCATTATTACTATTATTACATACAGTATAATCACAATTAATATCACGCATTATCAATCCCCTATAAACTATTACGAACTATTCCATTATAAAAAACCAATAACTAGAAAACAAACAACTAGAAAACAAACAGACACAAAAAAAAAAAAAAAAATATTCTCTAATTTCCTTCGTCATTCTCAGCAAAGGTTTGGACTCTTTCTTTGTTCTTATGGGCCGTCAACACCAACAGTTGGAACGCCTTCAAAGTTAAATCCGACTTGGTAGGAGATGCCGGAGGTTTATCCAACTTGTCTTCCCCATCAAACTCGTTTCTCGAAGCATAACACACATCGTCCATATCTTCTTCCTCATCGGAACTCGATTTGTCAGTGCTAACACTGTCTCTCAATGCCTTGATCCGGTTCTTCAATCTCACCACCTCGATCGCCTGGATGAATTTCCCCTTGGCATTGAACCCTTCTCTAATATTAGGCAACAAATCAACCTTACTATTATCGTTCTCGGTGATCCATTTGGACTGTAACAACTCCTCAGCACTTGGTCTCTGGTTTTGATCGACTTTAAGCATGCTCATAATAAAATGTTTAGCATCGTCACTGATGTTCTTCCAATACTTGTGATGGAACACCACACCATTGTCGTTTCTCACTTCTTCCAAGAAATTACTCACAGTTTCCGATCTAAACGGCGAGTACCCACACAACAAAGTATAAGTGATCACCCCGGTAGACCAGACGTCGCACGGTTTACCATGGCCAATCCCCATCAACACTTCAGGAGCAGCGTACCCAAACGACCCTGCCGCGGTTTTCAATACCTGATCTTTCGATCTAAGCTTCTTGGCAATGCCAAAATCCGCCAATACAATCGGAGACTTCGGGTCTTCTTGCTCGGACCGCAAGTATAACACGTTTTCTGGTTTGATATCCCGATGGACAATGTCGTTTTGGTGCAAATAGGCCAACGCGTCCAAGATTTGCTTGACACACATCGCCGCGTCTTGCTCGGTGAATTTCCCCTTGGCAACGATCCGATCAAAGAGTTCGCCTCCAGTGGCCAATTGGGTGGCGATGTAAAATTTGTCACGGCTCTCGAACCAATCATGGAACCCTACGATGTTGGGATGCTGGACGTTCTGCAACATTTTGAGCTCATCATACACCATGTTGAAATTGCCTTTCAACGTCTTTTTGAGAATGATTTTCATGGCGACGTCTTCTCCGGTGGCAATGTCTCTAGCTTGACGAACCACCCCAAACGTCCCGGCCCCTAAAGTCTTACCAAAGACGTAGTTGGTCTTTCTGGCGTACGACGTTGGTTGGCCGCTCAATTTCTGGATGAATTTCTGGATGCCATGGCCCTGGACTGGTGAAGGCTGGACCAAGTCAGGATCGACAATTGGCATGTTTATAATGATATCTGGGTATCTGGTGTGTGTACTGGACTGGACTGGAAGAACAATCAATCAAATCAATCAATTTTCTGAGACAAGAAAGAAACCGGCGGGTCACGTTGCCGCACCCACCGCCTTTTTTCATAATTGGAGATTATTCTGTTAAATGGGATCATTATTATCATATTATTATTATTATTATTATTATTATTATTATTATTACTACTACTACTACTACTACTACTACCATTATTATTATTATTAAATACTATATCATGTCATATAAATCCCCGTTCGATGTGTTCTTTGGGCTATTGTTCCAAATAACCTTGAATGAATCCAACAACTGCGACGGTTGCCAACGGGTGGTCGCCGGCAATTTATTGGCAGTCGACTTCCAGTGCAACTTATTGATCAACAACACCATGGAATATCTCATGGCCACCAAGGATGGTCAGACCACAATAGTCAAAGAAAGGTACTTGGGGATGCTATCGGTACCGCAAAGCACCATTGAGAAAATCGAGGTGGAGACCAACAAGTATGAACGATTCAAGCAGTGGCAGTGATGTATATATAACCAAAGGGTTATCTAATTTGTATTATAGTTATGATATATTTTATTATTATTATTATTATTTTCTTTTTTTTTTCAATTAATGTCTACTTTTAAATGATAGAGAAAGTAACAATAAGAAAAAAATGATAAAAAATGAAATGTAAACTATGTTGCAAATGTAATGAGAATAGTTGAGCAAAAAAATTTCGTTGAAATACCGTTTAAAAAATGGGACCCTTAATTCGTGAATAAACAAAAATGAAAATTGGTTAGAGATAAAAAATGACTTGACAGAAAAATACAATAAAATAAAATAATAGTAATAAAGCATACCACTATCATTGCTAATAATTATCATCATTATCATCATCATCATCATCATCTTCTTCTTCTTCTTCTTCTTCTTCTTCTTCTTCCTCATCTTCTTCATAATCACTTTCTTCCTCTTCATCCTCCTCAATTGATTCCTCACCAGATGATAATTGACCATCCTCTTCTTCACTAACTTCATCATCAATCTTCAAATCAACCTCCCCGGCATACTTCTCCACATACTCTTTCACTCTGGCATGATAACTATCGATATCATTCATATACAATTGACTAGCATCACTGTTCAACGGATCAGCAGCATTGGGATAGCTCAACAATTGGGGCAAAAACACATCAAAGATGTTGAACATATCAAACATTGGCGACCATGTCTGGTTAATGACGTCCAAGCATACCGATCCACTGGTCTCGTCGATATTGGGATGGAAGATCCGGTTTAAAAATCCGATCGATGGGGATTTGTAAGGGTATTCGTTGGGCAATTCCACATGGATTTTCCAAGTTCCTCCTTCATAAGATGCTAAATTGAAGGGGTTAGTTTCATCATCTAAGAAAAAATCGTCGTTAAACCATATACATGTTACTTACTTCCTTGGGGTCCCTGGAATATCACGTTGAATTCTTGTAAGTTGTCTCTGACTAAGTGAACGGTGTAGTCACTCATCAATCTTGATGGTGTTAATATATATCCATATATATTGCAACTAACTTGATGGTGATACTTACAGCTTCATGACGTCTGACTGGATGCGACTTTTTGAACTGCGATAGAATGGTCAGTGATTAGAAGAAAATAAGAAGAGCTCAGGAGGAGTATAACGTACCTCATTCTCTAGAAAGGTGTCTATAATTGTTGATCATTGGAAGGATCTTGCCAGAACAAGAACAAGAACAAGAAGAACAAGGTGACAGCGGCAAATTCAATGCGATGAGATGCCTTCTTTTGGTCACGATACCCTTGCGCTGCCTAATCGATTATGTAATGCTCAAATCAACATGTTACGTAACACACGACCCCATTATATAGCCAACCGCATTGGGAGTCTGGGATGTCCTCGCAAACTGTTTGGCAATATTCTGGATCGTACCATTGTCTACTTGCAACATTTTGTATCGTCTTCCCTCCCAGTGTTGGTATTCCGGTCGTGAGTCCTCCCAATTATTACTCACTCCGTCACATGACTGGGTGCCCCCGGAATTCCCTGTTTAAGAAGAGGAAGAAGAAGAAAAAAAAAATTCCAACGTTGGTTTCTTTCTTCTTCCACTTCTTTCACCATCTCTATCTTTCCTTCTCTCTACATATATATATTCATCACACACGATGTCTGCCATCAATGCCGCTAAGGACAAGGATCTCCACATCCTTATGGACACATTCATCTCCAAACTAAAACGAAAACAGATCCACGGTTCATATAACGTTGCCATCGAAACCGCCCAGCTACTAGTGAAGGTGGTGTCGTTGACCAAATGGACCTCGCTAGAACAATTGATCAGCAGCATATCATTGATTGGTAAGCGGTTGGTAGATGCTCAACCTCGTGCTTACACCTGTGGGAACGTTGTCAGAAGAGTGCTCGCCCTAATAAGAGACGAGTTGGAAGACGAAGAAAAAACTAAAGGTTCGACCACCGAATCATCGAACGTGGGATCGTCGATGTTCAATTTATTGACTCCTGCAAAAACTGACGCTCAAAATAAGAATAAATCCGGGATCAATGACCAGCGAGCCGTGATCATCCAAAGTATTCGTGATTTGGTCGACGAGATTCGTAATGTCGATCAGGAAATTGAAGGCATGTTGGATGATTTGGTCCATGATAATGAGACATTGTTAACTCCTACCCCAAGTTCCCAGACGGTGCTACGGTTCTTGAAACGTGCTAGACAAAAAAGAAAATTCAAGGTGATGGTAACGGAATGTTTCCCTAACGACACCGCGGTGGCTCACAATTTCGCCAAACAATTGGCTGAAGCAAATATCGAAACCATCATTGTTCCCGACACCTCGGTATTCGCAGTAATGGCGGGTGTCAGTAAGGTCATTGTGGGTACCAGATGTGTCTTTGCTAACGGCGGGTCGGTGACTGAAAGTGGGGTCAGTACCGTGGTGGAATGTGCTAGAGAACATCGTACTCCAGTATTTGCCGTCACCGGTTTATATAAATTAAGTCCGTGTTACCCATTCAATAGAGAATCTCTCATTGAGTTTGGTAATTCCGGTAAAGTTGTCAAGTTTCAAGAAAACACTCTTGTGGAGAATGCAGAAACTGCCAACCCTCTTTACGATTACGTGCCCCCAGAAAATATCGATATTTTCATAACCAATGTGTACGTATTATCATTATTATTATTCACATCATTCGCCATGTTGACTGACATGCAAATTACTAACATCTTTTTTTTAGCGGGGGTATATCGCCTAATTTTATCTATCGTATCGTTCTTGATAATTATAAACAAGAGGATATTGATTTATAATTGGCATACGATATATGACACCAATATATACATACACACATACCACTTGCATACCAAAGGACTTGTAATGCTTTCCTTTGTTCTGTCTCTATCTATTTTCTTTCTTTTTTTTTTTTGTTCGCCTGGTGCCTCGCTCGGTCCTCTTCTTTTCATATGAGGATCTTGAGCTGGATGTCTCTGATTCAAACGAATTTATTTCACCGAATCATTTGATAAAGGGCTACATCAAACTTGCAAAAATTTTTTGAGTACGGTTGCATTATATTTCAATGATGTAATTGTAATTATAAAATTTTACAATTAGTAAATTGGTAGGTAAATGTAATATAATATTCTGATTCAATGTCTCTTAATTGAGAATATCCATCTCTCTTGAATGAAAATATTCATCTCCATATGGCAAAATGTTATCCAACTATTTCTACTACTGATACCCAACTACTTTTGTTTTTTCACATGGTAGATGGTATCAAACATAGTTTTTGATGCATCGTATACCATTTCCACAATGTTCATGCTCTATTAATTAACTACCTCTTGATAATAAACACTACTCATTCACATACGAATGCTATTTATTCGTTAACATGTAAAATAATAAATAAAAAAAAATACATTCATACACATTCGAATATCTAATTGATACCATTCTATAATACAAACAATTCGCTATCACCAGTTTGGAGTCAACCAGAAACTGTACACTCTACCTCTAATATGTTTTGTCTCTTCATCTTCCTCAAACATTGGTTTCCAATTCACCAAATCGATCTTATCAACTTTGAAATTATATGGGTCCTCTTGGGCTTTGTCAAAAAATTCCAAATCGTCATTCAACAACCACGGACGATGAGGCGAGAACACCACCAAGCATTTTCCGGTCTTTGGGTTCACGAGATCACGACAAGTTTTCAAAAGTTTGTGATGTTCGGTATGGTTGAAAACCAAATCACTAAGAATAATCAAATCAAACTTATCATCATTGACGTCCGAGGTAGCGTCACCGCCATCATCTTTGATGAATTTCACAAGATCTCCGTAATCGTTACCCCAAATATACCCTTGCACCAACACATTGTTCAAATCGTAACAACCTGGGTGCTGTTCTTGCAATGTCTGGAAGTTAATCTTGATGTTATTTACTAAATCCAAATCAGGATAATCGGTGCTAATCACTTTTTTCGGTTCGTTCAACGAACAAATTAATGATGGAAGACCTCCAGCCGCTCCTAATTCAAGGATTTTTTTCCCCTTGATAAGTTCAGGGTGTGAATCCAAGTATTGCGCAGTGAATCTACCGGCGTTCCAGAGCAAATGGCCCCATAATGGAGAACTACCAATGAGTCGTAGAGTAATGGATTTTGGAGTGACTTCTTTGGTAGGGGTGGTCGATGATGTACCATTACGAAGATCGGTGGTGAAACGATCGTAGTTCACGAAATGGCTTTCCGGTGGTGGCGGACGAAAGTCCTCAGGTTCATCGAAAAGTGCAGAGGAGATGAAATCGTCCTGTTCGTCAGACATTCTCAATATATGACCTAAGATATTGCTGTTGATGGGTTTATCGCTATTTATTACAGCGTAATTATTTTTTTTTTTTTTTTTTTCTGAAATTTTCCCTCAATTTTTTTTGATCTTTCCGTTTTCGGCAATCGACCCAAAGATTTGGCTACGGGGATCAGAAACTGCAAGAAGAAAATTTGGTGGAAAATTATCATCCAAAAGAAGGAAGTCGATAGATAATTAAAGGGTGCTGCATTGCAATATATATATATATACCAAACAACGTTCAATGCATTGTGAAAAGATGGTGGCAGAGAGAAGATGTGATATTGTTGCTCAGTGACACACTCTTCCTGTTTGTAATTCGCCCTGCTAGCGGGCGTGGTGAGCGTGGTGGTGGTATTTGCAAGCACGTGCTTTTCGTGTGATATTGCCGTAGGGCTTTATGTGACTATTGAGTTCATGCGGGTGACTTCCCTTAAATATCGCAACTTCTGGCAGCGATCATGCAGAGTGCTGCCGCAAAGAAATCCCTCCAACAAACAGGATTTACCACATGGTTATGGTGCCCCCGGTTGGCGGGGACCCCCAAGGACCGACAGTAAGAAAAAATCACCGCCATTTTTTCCTCTTCCCTTCTTGTTTGCCACTACCATCAATAAGCTAATATCAAATAAACATTCAAAATGGTATGTGGAGAACAATAAAATGGAAGGATGCGATGGGATCTGTGGATGTAATAGAGGCAACGAGACTTTGTTGGGAATTTCAGAAGCTATTGGGTTATATTGAGAACGATATCTAATGTGTAAAAGAGTTCGGTAATAAGAATGTTGATTAGTGATACAAAATCCAAAGAGCAATTTTTTTTTTTTTCATCAAGATGTTTGATTAGTATTATGTGAGAACAGTATCAAGGTATCTTTATGGATAGTGTGTTATAATAGAATTGATGTGCCAACGTATTTAATTTGTCGAAGATTTGAAAGTATGGTATTGAAAATGGGAGTGAAGAATAACATGGTTAAGCCATTATTGAATTATGAAACAAAGGAATGAACTAATGATATGAAAACTATCATTAATGAATGTATTAAAGTTGCAAGCCAGTGATATCTCTACAAAGTCTCAACTACCGAATGACACTCCCGATACCCAACTTCTCTCATGTCAAAGATGTTTTTTTTTTACTAACACATTTTTATAGGGTAAAGTTCACGGTTCCCTTGCTCGTGCTGGTAAAGTTAAGTCTCAAACTCCAAAACAAGAAAAACAAGAAAAGGCTAAGGTCCCAAAGGGTAGAGCCTACAAGAGATTGTTGTACACCAGACGTTTCGTTAATGTTACCTTGACCAACGGTAAGAGAAAGATGAACTCTAACAGTGCTTAAATTTCGTTAAATCCACTAAAAAAATAAACCATGCCATATGTACATTGCCCTCCAGCTTTTAAAAGAATCAGATTGATGATTTAAAAAAAAGTCAAGAAGCTTAAATGAGTTGGTAACTTTGTTGTTTTGTGTTATACTTTTTTTTCTGTATCTACTGAATTTATAGTCATCAATGAAATCTCTCTACAAATATTAAAACTCCTTGATTGTAAGCAAACATATCAAAATGATGAATATTGAAAACAAATAGCGATAAACTACTACTTGCCGTGCCTTTAGTACCTAACTTTCAATATTTTTTTTTTTTTTTTTTATTTTCTTAGGATATATATAACGACGCGAAAATCTATGATCATTTTAATAAACAACCATTGATTATTCACAGAATAAGCAGTAATAGTAACAATATTAACATACCATGGAGAACGACACAGAAACCACCATACCCTCAGAATCCCAGTCAACAGAAGTGCCAACTGATGTGGAAATGAAAGATAATAATGATGTTCCGTCCACCACCAACAACAATCAAGACACAGAAGATGAAGAATCACAAGACGAAGACATGGGTACTACTGTGCTACCAATTGCTAAAGTGAAACGAATTTTGAAGATCGATCCAAATTATACCCCAACTTCGGAAACCACGGTATTCATGATTGCCAAATCCACAGAGCTTTTCATCAAACATCTCGCGATGAAGGCGCATTTGAACGCCAACGTGGAAAAACGTAAGAAGGTCCAGTACAAAGATTTCAGTGCTGCCGTGGCTGCTAATGAAGAGCTTGTTTTCTTAAAGAGAATGGTGCCGCCAACCGTGAGTGTCAGAAAGTTGGTGAAGAATGATCAAATCAAGTATAGTAAGAGTAGATCGGCCACTAAGAGTTTAGTCACCAAGACGACAAAGAAGACCACCACAGCGACAAAGGGAGGAGAATCCGAAGAAAACAAGAAAGAACCAGAGACTAACAAAGAACCGGTGCTAGAAAAAGGTCAGCAGGTTCTTAATTTCAAGCGGGCCAAAACGAATCCTGATGCTGCTACTGCTACTGCTACTGCCACTACTACTACTACTACTACTGCTACTTTAGAATCACTAGATCTTGAAGCTGAATTGGTGGACTCTGATCCTGATCGCTCAGAAACTGAGGAGGTAGATGATAATCATGAACCAATGGAAGTAGATAATGAAGATCAGGCGAAACCTGATGAAGATGTGGAAGAAGACGGATCAATTGTACAAGACGAGGCCGTTGAAGAGAAAAATCAGGATAGCTCTACAGCCGATAGTGCCAATACTGCTCCTGCTGATAGCAGTGATCCTGCCACTGATTAGATGGTAACTTTTGTATAGTTCCTCAATGATACATTTAGGAAACTTCATTTTGTAAATCTTTACCTGAATAATGTCCCTTTATTGTGTGAAGCAAAAGAAACCAAATTCACGGGACATAATACAACAAACCATTTCGATACAATTAGGCATTTCCGTACAACGATTAATTAGAATTGTTATTATATATACAGGATCCGAAATGATAAATCAATAGGAATAGAAAGACAAAAAATAATGACAAACCAATCTCTTCATGAAAAATACAAGAGAAATGATAAATAAGTGGAAAAAAAAAAAAAAAAGAATAACTCTTTGTATGCTAGTAAGTAGTTTCATTCTAAGCCTATTTGGCTATCGCCAGATAATAAAACCCATTCGAATTGCTTCTCCCAACTGTTCCCAAACTTCCACAAGAAACAGTACTTGTTGTCACCCTCCTTCACACTTTCGTACAATCCTCAACCCCTTTCAACATTTCTATCATTAATAACATGGTCCTCGGTTTCCTGTGGACCGTAGACGATATACTCGTTCAATTTCTTCAAGTACAATTTTGGATCCGATGGACCTTTGAACCCAGCAAAGCTGTTTCTCACTTCTGGCACGGTTTCACGGATCAATGGACTCAACTCCTTATTCCAAGTTTCTTTAGCAGGAGCAACGTAAGTTCTAACTTTCGACCAGTTGATAACATACTCCCCGAATTTGGTATGGCTACCCACCCCAGAGGCACGGGTACCTTTGTAAAAAGTCTTGTTACCTTGCTTGGTGGTCAATGCATGTCTCTTTGAACCGGCCTTGGTCAACCCATAGAACAAGGTACCATCACGATACTTCTTCCAAGGTCTCTTGAGTTGCGTGGCCGCGGTCTCGTGGAAAAGATTCACACAGGTTTGTTTCATTCTTGAAGGATGCTATTTATCGTTGTAGATGCAATCTTTCTACCATAGAGCTTGTTGATGAAATTTTTTGTTAAAAGACTTTTGGCGGATGTTTGGATGTCGGAGTGTAAAAAAAAAAAAAACGTCACGTGTATGTCTTATGTAAGCAGCCATACATTGAGGACTTCTATTCCTCTGTATATTCAAAATATATCTATTCATATAAATATATATTGATCTATAGATGTCTATATGATAATATTTATGAAAAAAGAGAGAGAAAAGAATTAATTTTGGCTTCATTTGATGTATGTTTTTTGGTATTGCTGCTGCAAAATGACAATTACAGGCATGCAAATGATGAGCCCATGTATGGATTCAACATCCTTTCAGAGCTACTGGACAAACTACTGGAGTATTGTTCAATTTGAAAAGGTTAGGGTTAGAGGAATATCATCATTTTAAAGCACTTTACAGTGACAATAAACGCTTTCATTGCTTAAAATATCAAATACCACGATGTCACCAACATCAGAACTGTCTGTTTCAAAACAAGGAGATATTTCCTTGAGCGAGTATCTTGATTGGATAAGAAGCAGGGGTGTCTATGATACTGATTATGACGATTCGGGTAAATTAGATCTCAAAACAACGATAAAGATTTAGAATGGTTGTAAGGAGTGGCCGTGTATTTCTCTTCTATCTAACTTTTCAAAAATTAGAGTCAAATTTTACTGTAAATTATTTTTTCAATTTTTATATATTTCATTTCAACTACACGCTAACTAATTAAAGACAACTATAGAAAAACATATTGCCTAATTCGCAATGGAAGGCGGTTTATGTTTCTAACAAGAGAAGTTAACTCATCAAGTTTGCAATGATTTTCATTGATTTGAGAACCGAGAAGCATAATAGATTCCTTTGTGTCTTTTTGGATTTTTTTTAACTCATCCCTTGAACTATTAACTTCATTTTTCATATAGTCCTTAAACTCTTCTTGCTTCTCCCCGAGCTTCTCAAGTCTTCTCTGGTTGCCGCCAAATGCCACAGCAAGAGCCCCAACTTTCTTTGTCACATCTTCAACATGTTTCGGAGGATCGGTCTCAATTTTCCTAATAATTTTTTGACCACATGTCTGCAAAAGCAGCATTGCGACTATACCTTCCTTATAAAACAAATCATATCTATCTTCTTCAGGTTTGCTTGAAAAAGAAGGAGAGCCCGGAGGAAGATTTTTTCTGGCTTCCCTTGATACCGTCCGGAGCTGTGGCCCCAAATATCTCCTTGAAGAGGGACCAGAACCTGAAGAGGGTCTTTTTGAAGATGTTTTTGGACGTGTACTTGAGGAAGCACCAGATCCTACTACAGGCTCCGGTTTTGTACCCAAATAAAGCTTCATCTTCCTTCAAACACATTCCATCTGCTTCATAGTGTGGAAAGAAAGTTTCCGTTTCTTTGACTTTTCCATGCCCTCCCTCTCTTTATTGAATTCGTTCAGCTCCTCAGATTCACTTTCATCCTCCTCCTCCTCCTCATCATCACTTGAACTAAAAATGACAATGTTGCTTGATGCTGGGTTTGAGACCTCTTCGTCGGAGCCACTGAGTATTTTAGCAGGAGCTTGCATCATTATCTGCTTTAGATGTATTCAAAAACTAATTAGATTCTGTATAGTGCTTACATAACAAGTCATTACAATGTGGTTCTCCCACTTAGATTTACCCAGGAGATTCCGCCATATTTTTTTTTGGGTACCCTGCTTTGGCATGGTCAATCAGAAAGTTGGCGCAAACCCTTTAAAACAGTTGACAGACAATAATATTATTGGGCATTTTCATGCCAAAGTTATTGATTGCATCACGTGTAACACATGATCACACAAACTTTTGTTATCGCTGCTATACCAACGCCACGGTTTTAATTCTTTAATATGCATATACCATTTCTGTGGAATGAATTGGTGTTTGGATTTTATAGAGTAAGCACCATTGAAGTGGTATACGATTAATATATTGGTGTTGGGATGTGTCTGAGTATACCACAACGGCGGTATCTAAGCTATGCTTCCAAACAATCCTACGTATGATATCAATAGTCAGGAAGGAAGAACTTTCTATAAAGGATTGCTATATCCTGTTTTTACTTCAATGAGTAAATTATATAGAAGATAGATCAAATTAAATTAACTTGACAAACCAAAAAGAATCTTCTCACTGCTATCCATTGAATAATGGTAATTGATAATAATTAATATAGTAATGATTTTATAATTATATAATTTTTTATGTATTTCCCATGACTTACAGGCTACAGATAAAAACAAGAAATTTTTTTTTCTATTTATGAAGTTTAGATATTCTCTTTGAGCTAATTATATGAATAGTTCTAGAAACTACTGGAAGATAATAGAAAGCTGTTAGAAGAACTATTAATATCCGATTTTGTCATAAAAGATCATTAATAACAATTAAAAGATTAATAAATCTAATAACATTAGCGGTCGTTAGGATGATGGAGTCTTTGATGAAATGGTGTCTAAGATACCTCAGTCATAGCTTATGCTACACCCACCCTTACACCCCATGTTTCTACTACCATTAAAGCTCTGATATTTCTCCGTCATTATACTTTCTCCATTCGTCTCTTGGTCTTCTCCAAGAGCTCAAGATCTCTTACTGCCTGTCTCCTATCAAACTTCAAATTAGCCTTGATTCTCAACTTCTCCCCATATTGTAAACATAGAATGGAAACGGAATACCAAGAATGACCCCGGTGAAAAAGAATATTGTGTTACCCCAACCGTACCCAATATTATTATACATCTTTGGAGCAAAAATCGGAAAAACGAAACCAAAAATTGATCTGAATAATGACAATGCGGCATTACTAGAAGCAGAGTATCTTGGGCTCATATCGACCACATAATTTGTCAAGAATGAGAGCATCCCAGTATAGAAACCAGTGTATAAGAACACTCCAATACACGGACAGAGCCAGAAGGTACGGTACTGGACACACCAACCGTAAATAAGCAAACCAATTGGACAAAAAATCCCACACAAGTACAAAGATTTTATTCGGAATTCTGATTTGGCCTTGCCATTATTTGCGAGTGTTAACTTGCGGTATTCATAGTCATTCACAACCACCCAGATTGGATTGAACACTAAGTAACCGGCACCAACTGACAAGTACATAAGGGCGGTAGTCTGGTAAGAATATCCATAATGACCTCTCCAGGCACTAGGAAAAGAGATAAGAATAAGATAAAAGTATCCAAAAAGGAAGGCCATGAAAATCCCAAGACCATAAATCATTGGATGATGAATGAGCAGCATAAGTGGACGTTTAATATTGTCAATGATTTTCAGCGTTGCAGCTTCATTGACATCAGCAATGTGGTAAATAGTTTTCAATTTAGAGTTTCCTGTTTGCTTTCTGAGTTTTTCACATTTCCAATTCAACAAGACTGGACAATATGTTTCGGGGAAAAATAATAATCCAATAGTGACGGCAACAACGTCAACGATGGCAAGAACCCAAAATATCCAACGCCAACTGATATATTCAACAATTAAACCACTACTGAGCCCACCCATGATTGGGGCCATGTTAACACACCTTGCGATAACAAGAAAATTGAAACTATGATGCTGGAGAAATAAGAATTTTTGATACCAAATTCCGCATCAATAAACTCCATCCCCAAAGTGATCCCATTGGCAGCGTACTGACTAGAGAAAGTATAAAGACCTACGATCGCCAATGTCGCAAGTTTTTTTCCTCGACTCCAAATACGAGGGAATTCAGGATCTGATTGGGTAATCCAAGTAACCAATTCTGGATCTAAGGAAGCAAATTCAGAACCATCAGCGGCGTTTGGTAATTGTTGGTTTTCCAGGTTTTTAGCGTTGTTAATTTTTCCGATACCGCTGGATTTTTCATCATCAACATCATCATCTGGTTGACTACCCAGCTCGAGATCTTGGACGGAGTATTTATTATTTGTCAGTTTCGATGTGGAATAGACCAATTCATTATGCTCGAGTTTTTCCACTTCTTGTTCAGCTCTTTTTGAAAGTACGGAAATGATGGTTTGTCTTGTTTTTTGATGATCTATTTCAAAATAGTCTTCCAAGATTTCGCCAGAGACACCGATAGTTTCTTCGCTATTATGTGGATTAATAGGAGGATGAGCCGAAGAATTTCTAGATAAACTGTGCTTCAAGCCCATTGAGAGGGAACCACCTACTCTGAGATTACTATTTGCAGTTTTTAGGGAAATATTCGAAATTTTATGAGTCAAAGGGTTTTGTTGAATTGATTCGTGTTTTGATACTTCTTGACCGAGGGCTTGCGGAGTGAAGTTGATATTAGACTCAGAATCATCAGAAGAAGAAAAGTACGAGGATCTTGAATGTATAGATGAACGATATTTTTTGTTGTCATGGAGTGGAGACATGATGATAAGTACAATAGGTATATGCAATATAAGCCTAAGCTTGTGACAGTATTTCTTTGGTTATGGATTATAAAATTTAAGGTGAATTGTTGTTTTTTATTTGTAGGTAGTGACGATATCAGTGCATTATCTATCAACTGGTGCCAAGAGAGTGATAGAGAGAGAGAGAGTGATGGTGGGATATACCAAAGATGGAAAATGTAGAGTGGGTTACGTATAAATATCATTTTCTGTCCGCAAATACATTACTTATAACAGAAAAAAATAATTTCTTGTTCTTATAATATATCTATAGTTATTGAGCCATTGTGTTGATTAGACCTTGATGCTATACTATTACGGTATCCAGATACGAAAGCCTTTTCCGTAGGGGGCCAGAGGTCGATGTATGTAGCTCTATCGTTCCAGAGTGGGGGTTAGAGACGTCATGGTCCGGCGGTACGGATCACGGCCTATTCAACAGAGTAATATAATAATATAATACCAACACTGCGTGGCCAGAGGAATGAATGAGGATCGTGTCTGAAAATGGGTATCTTCAAGATCTTTGGGTTTTATTTCTTGTCCAACCCAACTTAATTTGTATTGTGATGATGAACTGGTCAAATCCTGACAGTTAACTAATACACGCAAGATTAATCAACAAATTATATTTAATGTGTCTAGGGATCCATGAGGCTAGTATTAGCCTATCGAGGTCATACAGTTGGAATGAAGATCTTATTTATTATTGAAAATATCAATTCACAGCTACCTTTTTGTGGTTTTAAAAGAAGAATACGGAAAAGATAGCGTAACAAGAGGTGGATAAGAATTCTGGTAATTTTTCTGTGCTGTATTTATGGGAGCAAGAAGTCAATTATTTGCGTTCATTACCAAGTATTTCTGTAGCTCTTCTACAAATTCCTTCCTCGTAGAATTTAATCTAGTTATAGAACTTGTGACCCTCTTATTTGACTGAGTATAAATACTATTTATTTATAAAATAGTGGATAAAGTGGAAAGCATGAAAATTAAAAATATATATATATATATATATTAGAACTATCACAATTCCTAGAATATAATTAACGATAATAGAAGATAATATGATGCAATAATATCTAAGCTGCCTCAAGCATTACTTATGGTGCATATTTTTCAATATCTTGTTATTTATCTCATCAAATATGAGCACTCCATTCATATTAGAAACTATGCATAGCTAACATCTGACAGAAAGCTGTATACCGCTTCATTTGCATCCTTACAACAGACTAAACAGAGATGGTAATATATATTGAACATATCTTTTAGATGATGAATACCAGCCTATTCCAAGATTAGCTACACCTATAATTTTGCCTTCAATGGACCAATTTTATAATCTTCAGGGCCTGAGATTTCCTGGATGTCATATCTTCTGTTACCATTTAGACCTTCTCTTAGACCATTAGGATCCTTTTCAAAGTCTTTAGAGTATCTCCATTTGAACAAATCAGTATAGAGGTTCTCACGTCCTTCAATCTTGTCGACCAAGAATTGACCAAGAACTGGAAGCATCTTGAAGGCATGGCCAGAACCACCACAGGCAACGAATAATCCTTTTTTCTTTGGAACAAAATCATAAATATAATCATTGTCTATGGTATCAGTATACCACAAGACTTTACTTTCGAAATTTAGTCCTGCTTTAGCGAGATCTGGGAAGAAAACGGTTAGCCATTCCCTCACCTGCTTCATAATGTGTTTTGTCAAGTATTTGAAAGGCGGATTACTGTTGGCGGTTTTAGGAATTGAGACAACCCTTCCATTATCTAACTCCACTGGGTTTGTGTACTTTGTTTGTCTGATGATCATCTTCATATATCCCTCAGGCTCAATGATTGGAAACATAAACATACCTGCTAAGTAATCATGCTCTCTGGAGTGGCCAGTTTTCCAGCAAATAATTGGGAAGTTCTCAGGAGAATACTTCATTCTTAAGTCTTTGCGAGATTCTGGAATTTTAAAAGTGACAATATTACCAGCAGTTCCTTCATTGATACCATCCAATTCTGGGACTAAAGAGGTGGACCAAGGACCACTATTGATCACCACCAAATCAGCATAGTGTTTAGTTCCATCCTGGGTAACAATACCGCCAACTTCTGTTTTGCCAGTATCTTTGTAAATATATTCAACAAAAGTACCTTTTGGACCTCCAAGAACAAACTTGACCCCCATCTTTTCGGACAAATATTTTGCATATTGACAAGCCCTAGAAGCGTATAATACTCCAGAAGTAGAATCTAAAGCACCTTCTAATTTTGGAACCCTGGATTTCAAGTCTTGGGCAAATTTCATTTTATAACCAAGACCACAAGCATTGGCTCTTTTTGTATCGTCTTTGTTATTGATATCGTACCTCAATGACCCTAGACCTTCATTTTCGTAGTTTTCTATGGTAGCTTGCTCCTCCCAACCCACTTGATCGTCGATTCTCAACATACCACAAAGATCCAACACTTTCAAATCTGTGTATTTTGAAGCTTCGTTAGGTGGTAGGAGAGTAATATCACGGTTCCATTGTTGCCACACATCAAAAGCTTGGAACGCTAAATCTTGGTAATGCTTCTTTTCAGCATAATGAGCTCTGAAGACTTTGTTCATATCGGCAGAAGCGGTGTCAGCACCTTCCAAGAAAGTGTAGTGGTTCGCTTCCATATCTAAACGATCAAAAACTGTGATGTTCTTGTAACCATTTTTGGCTAAATGGAGGGCATTTGATAAACCAAATACCCCTGCACCAACAAGGATGATTTGAGAGTCTTTTGTTATGGATGTCATTTTATTTTGAGAGTTGTTAGCGACGATGGGTTTACCGTTGCATGTAATTGATTCATTCTTCTTCGGAGATTATGAATCATTTATATATATATTGGTGAACAACGCAAAGACCGTAAACTTCCGAGTCAGCGGAAAATTAGATAAGGAATTTATGTGACTTCGGAAATTTTCTCGACCGATAATGCATGTTTCTGCAATGCCCGAAACTAAATTTTTATCAGTCAGCACCTACTACAATAATATAGGATGACTTTTTTTAACGATAGTTAACAACAACAACAACAAAAAAGAGAAAGAAGAAAGAAAAGGGAACACGAGCAGACCAAAAAATCAAATAAAAATAATTTTGGAGAGTTCTAGCTGTGAGGAAAGACTTTTAAGTTGAGTTGAAAAATGATTTTTTTTTTTTTCAACCGAAGAACTTGTGATAAAGGGTTCAAATATGCCTTGGATTTAGAAAGTTTGGAATTTGTTAGACCAAACAACGTGATGCTAAAAGACGTACGATTAAATCAACTATAAATACACGCTACCGTATGGTAAATAGGTAACATTCTGGGCAACAATGTAGTAACCGGATGTACAGTGATCTCTTGTCAATTGATCGATAAGTTATCTAACTCTTATACAACGACAGTTGGTTTGTTTGAGATCTGGCCTTAAAGTGGGATATCAGAACCTATCCCTCGGCGGGAAGCTGTTTTTATTTGGATTGCTTGATGTTATTGTATCCTGCCAAGGTGCTCTTACAAAAAACACATATATTCAAAACCTTGGTACGGTATTTGCTGTGTTATTTTGGGGGATATGGCCATCTATTGCCATGATGCATGCCATTAATCCGATTTTTTTTTTTCTTCTTATTATTATGTTGTACTTTAGCTAGAAGTGTTCTAATATTTTGTGTGATTCAACATATGTGCGTATGACTTCTCTGCTTTTGCTCCAAACAACGTCACTATAATTGGTTGACTAGTACTTGAGTTATTTGGTAACCGCAAGTTGGGGTGGGTTTAAGGTTGGCTGTTTCTTCCAACCTCACTGGACATACTAAAAAAAAAAAAAAATCACTGCGAATACTTCCTTTTTGATTGGATTTTGTGTGTGGAAATTAATACGGCCTCAAGTGGCGGATGAAGCACTAGTTTATTTCATAACTTGAAGAACCACGATGTGTATATATGGTATGGTGGTGATATATATCTCTATTAGCCACGGTTGCAATTTATTGTTTCAGAAACTAGAAAAACAATGAAGAAAATAAAGAACTTTCAAAGTCTTCAAATACCACACTTCTCGTTGGTGATAAAACCGACAAAAAGGATTCTGATTTTACATATCGTTGATGAGTTTTATTTCTTTGTACAAGTTTTTCCATCGAGTTCTTTCTGTTGAGAAGTGCTTATCAATTATCTTTTGATTTTATTTGTTCATTGTGCTGCCTCCTTAGTGAAACCGGGCCTCTTTTTACCTTTGGGCTTGCTTGTATGTAAGTATCATTTCAAAAAGTTGATGAACTACCATAATTACCATAAGTCAACTACTCACACTGGCTTGCTTTTGATGCGATAGGAACTTTTGTGAAACTTCCATAAAGAGACCATACAGCGGGAGAAATTTATCTATCTATTGGAATCACTCTTTTACGACATTTAAAGGTCAATCTTATAGAATCCATTATCACTTTCAATATGGTTCATTGGACGTAAAGCTTTTTCTTATTGGAAAACTAGTAGCTAGCTCTGGCTAACTTAAGAGCTGCATTTAATTCACAATTAATGCCTGTTTTAAATATATATATATGTATAAATATAAATATATATATTTTATTATCGTTGTTCTTCATTCTCAAATGCACTATTCTTTCATCCAATAATAACTTCACCAGCATGAATAGTTTGCAGGAGGTGTTTTTATCCTACAGGCTATTTGATATACTTAATGCGAAGGAATTATTGATACTCACAATAACTCAAAAAAGTCATAATGAAGCAAATAAATCATTACTTGAAATAATTGTGCCATGTCTAAAAAAAAAAAAAAAAAAGAGAATAGAGGAAAAATGGTGCGGATATGTTGTATGTTTCAGTAATGGCGACTTGCGGGTATCGGAACCTTTCTAAAAAAAATCTTTTCTGAAGTGCAACACTCACTGGCAGCTCCAGATGTTCTAGATATCTACAGACATTCATCACCCCTTCAACTTGTGATCCGTAGTTACACAGAATATTCTACTTTAGCTGAGATATATACAGATGTATACATATCGCTAACACCGCGACTTCTCACGTGAAAAAGTGAGCTGAGAGGAAGGAATCAAGACAGTTACTTCTCCAGCTTCCCTTCTCTCATATTACAATAGGAGATCGACTCAACAGTTATTATACAGAAGTAAAACACCACCACAATAGTGAGTAAAGCACTAAAAATGCCCCAATGTAACAGCCCAAAGCCCCAAAAAACAATGAGGCCACATGACACATCACGTGGTGTTTCATCTCTCCTTATTCTCTCAACCATCGATAAAATTACAGCCTCTCATTCTAAATTTATATTAAGTTGCAATATCATCCCATCTAATCTTCATTCCATCTCATCGCTCGCTCAAAACCAAAGATACTAATATATATCTACATATATCTATATCTCCTGCGGATCATCCCTATCTCCAGATATCAACAAAAAAAAAGGATCATCACCTATCTCCTTTTTTTTCATTACTTTTTTTTTTTTTTTTCTTTTTCCATGGATGGGTGGCATACTTTCGGATCTGGATTACATCATAAACATATAGAAAGACACACCACCACATCATCATAAAATAATCACTACAAAATGCCCATTTTTGCGGGTACCAACTCCATGAACTGGAAATGGGAGCTTGACAACAACACTTTTGATTTGGTCAACGTTTCCCAGTTCAAAAACTACCGGTTTTCCACCATTTGCGCGTTATTTCTAGCGGTGGGCCAACATATATTGACGTTAGTCCTCTATGCTTCTGATTGTTACACTTGCGTGAGATTATTGGCTTATAACTCCTGGGCCAGTGAGATCGAGCCAGCGATTCCGTTCAGTATTTCTCGATGGATCTTTAGCGGGTGTATTCTCTTATCGATCGTGTTGTTGATATACGAATCGATTTACGGGATTAAAGTGTGTTTCACGAGAAATATCTCGCTAACGTATACTAATCAAGTGGCCAAGACGTTGTGGTCGTTGAAAGGATACTCATACTTTTGTCTTTACGACCAGATCACCCCGAAAAATTTTTTTGATTACTGTGCGTTTTTCGTATATTTCACCATGAAGAATTGTATCAAGTTACTATTGGCCGATTCCCCAAGACAGATCATTAATGGGTTGACGATCTACTCGGTGATCAAGAACGATACCGATCTTATAGTGTCGTCATATCAATCATTTAGCAAAGACGGGATCAAGGAAACTTGGGCGATTGTGTTCACAATCATGGGATTATCATTTATTATTTGGTTAATTTTCGTGATCCAATTCTTAACGGCATTATTTATTTCGACGTGTGTGGTCACCAAAATCAACAAAGAAGGGCTCAATTTAAAACAATTTGTGTGCGTGAGAATCAATGAAAAAGTCCGTGAATTATCAGCCAATTACCATAAAGAGTCCCTCAAACAACTTCGAAAAGAAAACTCCAAACTCGGGTTGAAACCTACTCTTCCATCGTTACCAGATAACCTCAATAACGATAAATATCTTTATAATAATAAAAATTCCTCTAGCACTACTTTGGGGGCCACCACTACCGGCGGGGGATTCAGCTCCTATAGAAAATCCCTTAGAAAATCAGGTAATGATCTATTACCCCTTAATCGTAACAATACTGGGGCTCCTCCACCATTACCGACCGCCGATTTGCGACAGAAAAGTTCGATGAACACTCTTAGCAACCCTCCACAGAAAGCGATGTCCCCAATTTATAACGACGGAATGTTTGCTAAACCACCACTACGAAACTTGACCAACAATAGCCTTGTGAGTTCCCATAATGGGTTCTATGGCCAAGATAATGATTCAGGGTTTGTTTCGTCTAGTGATAACTTGTTGGCCAACCATAGAACTGGAAGCCAGACAACTATGAAAACTGGAGGTAGTACAATCCAGCCAAGGAGGGGGATGCCAAAACCCTATCCTTTGGAATATTCGACAACTGGTGGTTCTTATAGAAGTCAAACTCCTCCTCAAGGTGATAGATTCAATAGTAATTATACCGGGGGATCTAACTTTACTGGGGGATCTAACTTTACTGGGGGACCTAATTATACCGGGGGATCTAACTTTACTGGAGGTCCTAACCCTACTGGTGGTCCTAACCTTACTGGAGGTCCTAATTACACTGGTGGCTCTAATCTCACTGGAGGCCCTAATAGTGACCTTACTGGCGGCTTTAATATTACTGGAGGTCCAAGTTATACTGGAGGTCCTAGCTATACCGGAGGTTCTAACCTTATTGGAGGATCTACCTTTGGTAGAGGAGCTAATCATCTTGATGGTCCTAGTTACACTGAAGGACCTAATCCTACAGGGGGCTCTACTTTTAATGGAGGACCTAGGTATATCGATGGTCCTAATTACACTGGAGGTACTAACTATACTGGAAATGCCAATTATTCTGAAGGTTTTAATTATCCTGGAGGTTCTAACTATTCTGAAGGTGCTAATTATCCTGAAACCAATTACACTTCCACACTCACTGCATCATCCACTTTTAATAGTGAGGTTGCTCAATCCCCGCCATATCCTTCTAATCCATTTATGTCCCAATCAGCGAGTGGGACTACATCTCAAGCAAATACTCCGGCCCCTTATCCTACCCAACAATTCCTGGGGGCGTCTCCATCTATGATGTCTGCAAGAACTATCACCACAACCACTACTGAACAAAATCACTTTGGCAACGCTCCATATCCGGTAGCAGGATCTGCCACATTCTCACCAATATCCAATACCAGCACTAACAATCATCATCAAGGATTCACCACAACTAATAATGTCAGACCAACGGTGACTGGGGAATCACCAAGATTGCCAAACATGGTTGAGCAACAATCCACGGGATCTACGTATCAGAATAGTCCTAATTCCAATTTACCGTACCCTAACGTGATGGTATCCCCGCCCACCAGCAGCACCACAAAAGCATCAACGACTCCGAAATTGAATACTAATCTCGGGCTTCCGGAAAGTAGAAACCAAGGGATTGTGAGTCCTAATTCCCGGCTATTATTGATTAATAATTTATACGGTGGAGAGGCTGATACTGGGGATACTGGGGTGAGTCCGGTGTTACAGACGTATAAAGATATGGGGTTGGAGGAGTATTTAGGTAAGAAGAGATGAATGACATATTTATGTTTATGTGTTGAACATTTATTATATGTTATAAAGTGCATTCATTATGAAATTTTAATGAGTTTTCGATTGTTTTTGATTTTGGTTTTTTTTTTTTTTTTTTTTGTTGTTAATGTTGTCTTTGCCTCAATTGAATTGAGCTTTATAGGGTGTATTTATTGTTTTCCTTTTTTTTTATTTTCAATTTTTTAATAGGCGTCTTTATTTTTTCAATGTTAGATTTGTCTATGACTGTTTAGATGTTTATTTTGTTTCAATGTGTATGATTGTCCCATATTATTATTATACATCCAAAGTGATTGATTATTATTTTTTTGAAATATGATGTTTTATAACTCTTACAAAATATACTAATAACTATTTCCAAAATCTAACAAAATATTCTCCAAATTGAATATTTCTTTATTTCAACTATATACAAAAAGTCACGCCACAACAATAATCAGTTCTTCTTTGATATATCGACCTGGTATTCTTCTCTCAATTTCTTCAAGTCTTCTTCGCTAACTGGAGGGATTTCAATATCGTCAAACTCATCTTTAGCCAAGAAATGGTAAGTATAGAAATAGATTCCGACACTAAGACCGCCTAATACGGTGAAAGTGATGGCGTTAGGCCAGAAGTATTGGCTTCTTGCCCTGATCATTGATGGGGTCATTTTCCAGGTTCTTTGATCCTGGTATGGGGATACTGGGAAGCTGAGGGGGATGTTAGTAAACAGGTGGAACCAAAAAACAGATGAAAAAAAATAGACAAAACGTACACTGATCTTCTCAAAGGGAGGATACTTCTCATGGTTGGGGATATACTTTGCAATAACAGCATCGATCATCTTCTATCAGCCGTTGTCTGAAATTAAAGAAGAAGAAGAAAAAAAAAAAAGTGCGCGATCGATCAGCACGTGATAAATGGTTATGTGCCCTTGGATGAGTAATCGCTGACATAATCGAAAGACCCGAAGAAATGGTTCATTTGTCACGTGGGAAGAGTCGCCCCGGAATTGTGGGGAAACCTCCCGCGGATGACGTCGTTTCTCCACATCTGTCAAAGAATATCATATCATTGGTTATATATATATATATATATGTATCTGGTGTCTCTCCATCCATTTGAGATATTCGGTATCTCTCTCACCATATTATCTCATATCGATCTCTCTTATCATATCTATTATATCTTACACAGCTCATCATGTCCCTAATCACTAAAAAGTGCGTCTGCTCATAATGAAACAGCATCTCCTCATATTCCCTCTCTCTACTAACACCGCCCTTCATATAGCCTCACAGGATTCGTCCTTGGTGCAACCATTCCTATTGGTATCGTCCAATATTGGCTCTTGCCTAACGAAAGACTTCAAGAAAATCAATCCAGAATGGAATTGGCCCACTTGAGAACCCAGATCAGCGCCATGAATTGGGATTTGAAAATGTTGGATAAGTTCCTGATGTGACGACTCTGTCGTTGATGTTTCTATATCATCTACAATCTATTCATTTTGTCTCTTTGTGTCTATCTATATTATATATTATTGTTATTAAACATCGCTTCGTTGTCAGCTTCTTATTGTATGACCCGTCCCCATGGCACCCTCCGCAATTTAAACTGTCCGGGTTTTTGGATCTCATCGCTTTTTCATGTAGGATTCTTTCTTCTATTGTATTATATATCTCCTACTATTATCATTATCATCACACCATAATGAACTATTTGAACCCCGACAGACCACTTCCGTACATTCTCACCCTCACCCTAATTCTAGGGTCGTTACAAATGGCCTGGACCGTCGAGTTCAGCGAATGTACCCCGTTTTTGCTCGCCAACCTCGGATTATCTAAATCACTTCTCGCCCTTGTATGGATTGCCGGTCCTCTTAGTGGCACCTTGGGACAACCAATAGTGGGAATCTTCAGCGATAATTGTTTTGTTTCTTGGGGTCGTCGTAGACCATTCATTCTTGGTGGCTGTGCCATAATTTGCTGCACTTTGTTGTTGCTTTCCCATTCGCTTGACATTGTTGCCTGGTGGATAAATGATAATGATGAAGAAAAAATTAGGACCGCCACCACTCCCATTGCCATTAGTGGTATTTACATTTTAGATTTCTCGATCTCCGCGTTCCAGGCCGCCAGTAGGGCCCTTATTGTCGATTTGCTACCGGTCCATCAGCAACAGTTGGCTAACGCGTGGGCCGCAAGAATGATTGGGGGTTTCAACATTCTAGGGTTTTTCCTTGCGGCTAGTGATTTATCTACAGTATTTGGCGGTCATGATGAAGCCAGCCAGTTTAAAAACTTGACAAATTTGGCAATTCTTATTCTTGTGGCCATCACGGGAACCGGGTGCTGGTTTATAAAAGAACGTAATCCCCAGTCAGATCCGTTAATCAATATTGAAAGAGAAAGAAGATTGAAAAATATGGGAATCAATGATGATCAACAAAAATCAGCATTATGGTTAATGATATATTCATTATATAAGCAAACCACCATGGCCATCAGTAGATTATCCCCGCAAATCAAAGCCGTCAACACTACCGAGTTTCTTGCTTGGATTGGATATTTCCCCATGTTATTCTATACCACCACTTATGTTGGAGAGCTCTATATTTATCAACGGATTAAATACCTTGAAGTGAACGACCCCCAGGCATTACCATTAGATGAAATCGCGAGAGCAAAGTTGGGAGAGGAAAGCACGAGAGTGGGATCGTTGGCATTACTTGTGAATTCTATCAGTAGTTTGATATTCACCGTGGCGATCCCCAGATTTGCAGAAAGTGCCAAAAATTTGGACTTTGACCGAGTTAGGGCCAAAGCATTTGGAACGGTTGCTCTATCACCTCCTTATCGAGAACACTTCAATACCGATTCGGATTCCCCAATAATATCTCTAATCAAACAGTTTTTCGATATCGGAACGATCCCATACCGTGTTCCAATTAGAGTCATTTGGATGGTGTCGCATTGTATCTTTGTGCTTTGCAGCTTGCTGACATTTTTCATCAAATCATCGACTTGGGCTATTGTGATGTTTGGAGTCATGGGAATTCCTTGGGGTGCTGCTCTTTGGGCGCCGTTTGTGTTGACTGCTGAAGAAATTGCCAGAATAAAAGAAAAGAAAACCCTATATGAAGAATTAGTTCATGATAATAGAGAAAACCCCGAGGAAGACGAACAAACTATGTTAATTGAGGGAAGGGAATCAATGAGTGTCGTCACAGTTAATGAATGGAGTAATGAGGAGACCGAGGAAACCAATAATAATAATAATAATAATAATAATAATAATAATAATAATAATAATAATAATAATAATAATAATAATAATAATAATATTAATAATAATAATATTAATAATAATGAAGAAGATGATATCACTTATACCAGGTCCAGAGATCATTTAGTCAAGAATGATGATGCGATGACGATAAATCTGGCGGTGGTGAGAAGTTTACGAAAATACATGAATTACGAACACGAAAGCGGGATCATTTTAGGGATCCACAATATTTTTGTCAGTGCCCCACAAGTGGTGAGCTCATTGCTCAGCTCGGCATTGTTCAAATTGCTTTCTCATAAGAATTCTGCTGGCGGAGTTTACGAAGGAGTATTGGATGATTCGTTAAGTTGGGTATTTAGATTTGGAGGATTAATGGCAATTGGTGCTGTTATTGCTACTACAAGAGTAAAAGGGAATAGAGAAGTTGAACAACAAGATGATGAGGAGTTGTATAATTGAATAAGTGATTTATTTTTCTGTTTTGAGTATAATTTTGTAAAATTTTCATTCTTTTTTCTTTTTTTTTTTTTATTTTCTTTGTTACATTTTTATTTTAGACTATTTTCAGATTAAGCTCAGACATTAATGAGTATCATTTGAGTATTTTGGATATATTTTTGGCATATTTTGGTATATTTTGGTATATTTTCTCCATTATTTTATATGATCCACCGGATGGTCACAAAACCATCACTGCACCAGATCTGCGGTAATCCAACCAAAAAAGAAAAATCCACCAAATAATTTTAAACCCACCAAGTAAGTTATTCATCAGTTTCTATATGTATAATAGAGGAACATATAGTAGGAGAGATGATTCCTGCAACCATGGACAATTTCATCTATTCTCTCAATACATTCAACCATCTCCTAGTGAGAAACTATTCCCAATGCGATCTGCTCACCGAGATCATCAGGAATGCCTCATCCGTCAGCGACGACCAGACCATCAATGCCGCCACCAAGTTTCTCACAAAATTCTTTAAAAATCATCAGAACCACAAGGATTGGCTATTTCAAACCAATGTTTTGAAAGAGATCATCAATTCTTACAGTCTCCTCACCCTCCACAATAACCTTGAGGCGATGATGAGTCTTGAGAAGTTCCTTTTCGCATTGGAACCGTCAATGACACCGCTGGAGAAGGCCATTGTTTCGGGTGATTATGGTTTAGGGATTACCCTTTGGAAGAAAGTCTCTGAATGCGGATACCTGTATCCCATGTTCAAGAATATTTTGCTTATTTATTCGACTGTCGACGGTGACATTCACAACCACCCGGAAATCATCAAGTTTCATGTCCAGTTTATCGAAAAAAAGATCGTTCCATTTTTAAAAAAACCCAAGAATTTTACCAAACGGGGGGATATTGCAGTGGTAGTATTCAGTATGGAATACCTTCAAGGATTGTATTCCGCCAAAAAGAATTACCACCGTGATTTGATCAAGTTATGTGAGGTGGTATGCCAAATGGTTCCGCCACTTCTTAGCCCAGTACAGAGTATCACGAATTTTAGCCAGAAGAAAATCAAGTTTCAGGATGATGAGATCGTTGCGTCGTGTTTTAGCTTTCTTACCACTGTGTACGTTGTCAAAGAGGCGATCTTGGCCATCAATTTGTTGAATATCGAATGGCGATTCTGGAGAACGTTGCGAGAATACTTGGACGAACCAGTATCTTCAATTGTGATGGAAAAAGTTGCGACTTTTGTCAATGTGGTGATGGTTCAGAAATATTATAAGCGGATGTACGGGTTCACCCTGATAAATGTTGCCAATTTCACCATCAACTGTATAGCTCTGCTAGATGTTTCATCAAAGAAGGAGGCCAAAGGCGAAGGATTATTCATTTTGTACTTGAAGAATTACATGAAGATTCAAAAAATTATTAAAGATGATCGTCCAAACCATACGATGAGTATTGGGGATTTTGAGATTATCTCTCTGAAACTTATCAGGTTTATTTCCATGACGAAGAACAAATTATTTTTTGAAGATACCCAGAAAATTCTCGAGGCTATAACAATAATAATCGAGGATAATGGAGCAAATAAATCAACTAATTTACTCAAACAATGCGCTTCGATGCTACAGGAACCTAATAAATTGAAGCTCGTTGCGGAATTCTTTTTGAATTTACAGTCTTGCGAAGAAAGCGTGAGTATTCTTGTTGCCGCAGGATGTTTTGATTCGTTCATCAAGACATGTATTGGGGAGCTATCTACTCAAATCACCAACACCAACAGTTTTCCCAAAGACATGGTCCCTCCAATTAATCTAATACGTTATATTCTCAAAGTATGCTTATCAAGAAACAAAATTACCTTACTTCGTCAACCACTCGAGTTTGTCCGAGAACAACACTACGCCGAGTCAATTATTAACAATATTGGGAAATTGCAAAACCCTGAAGACTCAACCGAATTGGTGTTATTCCTCATGGAATTGCCAACAACAGATAATGCTAATATAACCTATACTTCCGAATTATACTCCCTTGGAGACGATCCCATTAAACAAAAAGTGACTAACTTGATCACCGCCAAAATCCACAGTGTCAATTCTCTGGATTTCCTCTTTTGGCAACCAGAATTGCTTCAGCAAATGTTATCGACCCCTAGTTCATTACAGCTATTAAAAGAGATTTTTTACTATATGAACCGGGCAAACACCCCACAGTACTTCCAATTGTTCCAACAATTGGATCTTTTAGGAACCATGGTGTCCCCAGGATTAGAGGACCCGGAGATGGTGGACCACGCCCTTCTGATCCTTGGGATCTATGTTGCTTACCCTAATTGTCATGAATACGTCATATCCTCCGGGATTCTTTCCAAGTTAGTGATATCCTTCAATGTGCACTCTTGGTGGATCGAAGAAACCATGGCCAGTTTTTACCAGTTCATGCTTGGTGATGGTCAGGACGCGGTATCCCCACAGAATCTCGAACATCTCGCAAACATCGACGTAGTGGCTACCATTAGAGGAATCATCGCGGTAGTGGACTCCATGAATAGTAATGCCACTGATGGAGTGAATCAACTTAGACAGAGTGAAACCGGATTAAGTTATTTTGTGTGTCTCGTGAGTACCTTGATGCATTTTTCTGACCAGGTCAGAAGAAATGTGTTTTACAATTATGGCACCCAGTTGAATCGGTTGATTGTGGAATTATTAGCCATGCATCACCGAGTCCATTGGGACCAGAATACTGTGAATATCTTGGGGGGATTGGCAAGAGACGTCAATGGAGGACGTCCGGTGGTGGTGAACGGGGAATTTGTGGATATTGACAGGTTGATAGAGGAGTGTCGGTATTAGCGAAAGACTGTATTATTTGTCTGACATTGATTAGATTATATATCAGAACTCCATAGAGGTATTGCACGATATTTGACGAATATAATGGCAATGTTTTGTAATGTTGGCGCAATCCGCGGCGGAACCTTCCGGATGGTGCTGGAAGGTATATGTAAAAACTCTTCCTTTTGTATGAAACAAAATATTGCACTGAGAACCATCTATCTCTTGCTCTTTGAATAAGCACCATAATTGATATAATATATCTCTTTCTTTATCAATATTGGAAACAAAGACATGCCGTCGCAGCAGGTCCTCCTCCATTCCCAATTGATCGAGCATTTGGCCTCGTTGCCCAGGAATTTATCGTACAAGTTTGCCGATGAGGAATTATTACAAACCAACGTTCGCAGAGCATTGAATTTTGCATTGTTCAATGGCACCAAAGAGTCTGCGGATTATTTCCCTATTCTTTTTCCAGGCCTCGAACGAAATAACTTCCCGACTTCATGGGGTAAAGACGTGATTCAACCATCGGCACCGCCAAATAATTACCAGTTCTTTGAAGATTTGGCGAATGACGAAGATTTCAACGACGCCCAACATACTGGCAGACCATGTGGTCGTAAATTCCAGTTTGGTGAACCAATATATCGCTGTGTCGAGTGTGGGTACGACGATACTTGTGTGCTCTGTCTCCAATGCTTCAACAAGAAGGACCATGAGGGGCACGTTGTCTTGACTTCCATGGCCAGCGAGCATAACTCGGGATGTTGTGATTGTGGGGATCCTGAGTCCTGGAATGGTGAACTACATTGTAAATGTGAAGAAAATGATGATGCTCTTCAAGGCACTGAAGGTGACAATGATGACGGATCACAATTTGCTAACCAGGAGTTCGTTGACCATTTACAACAATTATTAGATACTTGCCTCAATTATCTTGTGGGGACCTTCCACCATTCTATTGAAACTTTACCATTTTATTTGAAAAGTCTTGATTTCGTCGACAAGCACGAGTTTCTGCACCATTTGAAATCGCATTCTCGAAGAACCTGGTTAGACGATAATTATCGTATCCATGCCCAACCTAGCAATAAATACGTATTCATTCTTTGGAACGACGAGTACCATGGCTATGATGAAGCCACCAGCACCATTCAGAACGTTACCAAAAAGACTTCTGGGCAATGTGGAGAAATTGCCATGAATATTGACAAGGTCGGAAGAGCGGTGTTATTGAGTAGTGACAATCCACAGGATCTTTATATTACCTTCCGTCATACCTATCAAAGAAGCTCTACTACCGGAAGAGAAGGATTGGTGCCGTCGATCATGGACATGGAGAAATATATGCAGGAAGAAATATGTTTCTATATGACGGAGTGGATCCACGAGTTATTGAAGTATCCTCTGAAGAAGTTCCAAAAAATCGCCAGGGATTGTTTAACTAAAGGGTTCTTGACCCCAAAGAAGATCTCATTGGAATCGGAGATTGAGTATCCGAGACTTAACGAAGAGTCAAGATATACCAGTGGATTATTAAATGACCAAGGAAATATCCCTTCTAGTAACTACGAGGAACATCACAATATTGCCTGTGGCGATAAGGACTCTGTGGTGGAGTATCTTCTTTATTTCGACTGGCGTTTTGCCAAAAGATTTAGAAACTCGATGAAATCGTTGATCATCGACTCTGTGATTATGGATTTATCATTTAAGAATCTCTTTTTGGAAAAATACGCCAACGTTTTCCCTAATCTTGCCCAGAATTTCCTTAGCGATAGGGAATACACTAATAACATCGTGATCGAGACGTTGGTACAATTACTTTATACCCCGTCTGCCGCGCAAAAAACTTTAGTCGATGGGTATTTTGTGAATTTTATGGCCGGGTTCACCGAGGTGGTGATGAAGAAAGTGACCAACCATAAATGGATGTATACTCCCGATGATGCGTTGCTGTCGGTGGTCAATGCCGAAAGATATTTGACGGTGTTGAATTATATGAATAACCATATCACTCTGATTGCAGAAAAGCTTCCGGCAGAATATAAGGTGTTATTTTATAAGCAAGACAACTTCAAAATGTTTTTTGCGGTACTCGAGTTATTCCAAAATAGTTACAAATTCCAAAGAAAGACTGGCGAGCATATTCACATGGAAGACAAAACGTTTGGCCAAACTTTAATGATCTTCAATTCGATCTTGCGAGCCATTTGTTGCGCTTTCAATGGGAGAGAATTTACCAATCTGACGGTGGTGGATGTCAATGTTAAAGAATTAGTCACTAGTAGCTTGGAAAACATCTTTGTACATTATGGCGACTCGGTGGATATCCCAAAATATAAGACCATATTCTACGATGGCAATAGCTACAAGTTGTTTAATAACCCTGTGTCACTGCAAGAGGTGTCGTTATTAAATCCTATCAACTCTTTGTTATCGCTTGTGGTTGAAAATAACGATTTGGAGTATTTTATATCGGTAATTCACAAGGATCGCGAATACTTGGCCACCATGGACCATATCGCCGACATTTCTTTGAGATCGATTGTATTTTGCGGGCAAGTGGAATCAAGATTCTGGGTGAGAAACGGGATGTCCATTGTCAATTATGCATTGTGTTATTCCAAATTATCTGCCGGTTTCAATATCAGCGCCCATGGCTATTTAAGAGATCTTCACATGGTGCAATTGGGATTTTTCCTCCACGCGGCCGACCCAACCGAATATTTGTTGAATGTCATTAATGGATGGGAACTTCTTGGATTATGGGAAGGCGAATCTTTCCTTGATGGGGTATATGGTGATAAGATGAATTATTTGGTCCACGAATTTTTGTTGTTCCTTTATAGAGTCCTCACCGAAAGAAAATTCTTCATTCCCCAAACCAGTCCAGAAAAGGAAAGAAGTTCGATCCACTATTCGTTATTATACGAACTTAGTACCGGACCACAAACATTTAGACAGCTCGATCGGAAAATGATCACCGATTCCGATAAAAGATTGGTGCGGTCCGTGTTGGACGAAATCGCTGATTATAAACCCCCAGTAGGATTAAGCGATCACGGTACTTTTAGTTTGAAACCCGAATTTTATTCCCAATTGGATCCCTATAATTTGTTTTCTCCGTCGGTCGAAGAAGTTGCCGATTGTGTTAAGAACAAATTATTCAAATTGGCCCAGCAGAAAACAGGAGTGCTGGAGTACAAAGATGTGGACGATGTGATTGTTAACCCCTATTTCCTGGAATTACACGACGAATACCAGAACTATTCAAATTTCGTGAGAACTTATGCCTTCAGCAAATTGCTTTATAGATTACTTTCTACGCTAACTCAGGAAGCCGATAGCAATGGATTGCAATTATTGCTCCATTTAGTTCACGCGGTGATTTTGGATAACGAGAACGTCATGGGGGAAAGTCATTTCGATTCATTTTACGATAAATTGGGACTTGCGTTGTTTAAGATTGTCACTGATGGCACAAAGCTAGATAAGGGGGTGAAATCAAAAGCATCGTATTTATTGAAATACTTGATTGGCAAAAATGAGGCCAAAGTGATGGAGTACTTGTACAACACTTGTGATCATACTCAAGTCGAACAATTGAAAAATCAATTAGAACAAAGCACAAAAGATGAAGAGAATATCCGGAGAAAACTTTTGATTCAGGAAAAGAAGAAAAAAGCATTTGCCAAATTGGCAGCGCAGAGAAAATTATTCGAGGAAAATAACAACATGAGCAATGAAAACTTGACCAATTATAATAATGGTGCGGATGATGATGATGATGACGATAACCTCAACCCACATGGCGCCAGTGGTAGAACCTGCATTTTGTGTCAAAAGGCCCAGCAAGAACTTGATATTTTCGTCACCATGACTTCGTTTGCCAAACATAATGCGGTGGCCACCCTACCATCTAACGAGACATCATTCGCCGCGGCTTTCAAAAGATGGGATAGTTCCGTGAGTTATGAAGACTTTGTGTCTCACAATAAAGTGATGTCTTGCCGTACCAGTGATGACGAGAACAGCAACCTGGAAGATCGGTATATCATCACCTCGTGTAACCACGCCATGCACCATACGTGCTTCATGCACCATCGATCACAACAAGGGCTCATTTGTCCATTGTGTAATTTTGAAGGTGATTTATTGATGCCATGTCATTTATCGCAAAAGGTGAGCCCTGAATTCTTTGAATCTTTGAAATCGGACAATGAAGAAATTGATAATACCCAACACTCAGCGATTTTTGAGTTTGTCGAGCACGGGGTAGTGAAAAGTCCCAAGAAGTTGACGGCATTGCCAATGCTTGCAAAATTGTTATCGGTGGATTCTGAAAACCATGAAGATGAAGTCAAATTGAAGAAGTTTAACAAAGTGAAATTGTCATTGAAGAAACATTTTGAAACCAAGATCCAAACTCTTTCCAAGAGTAATAACTCTAGCATGTTTGAAACTTCTGCGGATAATCTTTCTTTATTGATCAGTAACACCATCAGTTCTTTGGAAGTCGCCAGCAGATTTTCTACTAATCCTAATAACAACCCTTACACCGATTATTTGAGCGAGATCCCTGAAATCACTTACACGTTTTTGAGAATGTTGATTTTGTACCGTCTTGATAAGGATTGGTTCAAAAATGGGGAATCCCTGTTGTTAAAAAACATTGGGCAAATGTCATCGTTCACATTATTTGTCGTTGGTTACTTATCTGGCAGTTTTTCATTCCAATTACTTTTGAACTCAATGTACATGAGAAACATCGCCGCGACCCTCAACAGTGTTTTCAATTTGATTCCAGAAAGACCAGAATTGTTCGAAGTGATTGGCAAAGTGGGGTCCAGCAACGCTCGTGTGATCAGCAGTGCAGAAACCATGGACGATCTACGTAGTCTGTTGTCGAAAATCATTAATCCTGCCACAAAGTCCCAGATGATGTCGGGATTAGATGATGATTTCCTTAACGGGATCTTGATCATTATTCAAAGATGTTCATTAGGATTCTTTAGACAACTCACAATTTTCTTGAAAGTGTTGACGTACGATCCTGAAAGTGACAATGTGGTGTACCAACTCGGCAATATCATGAACGATAATATCATTAGTGGGATCGAAGATTCGTTCTTGAACGATGATTTCCCCGAGACGTTGGAACCGTATAATAAATTTTATGGGGTTTCCAATATCGCCGATGTCTTGACAGGGTTAAACCGCGATAATGGTGAAACCATTTCTGCGAACATCTTCAAGGCGGTGTTCGCTGATACTCATAGTAACATCACGCGTTATAGAATTGAGTATCCAGGGGTATTGAAATTGATCCCATTACCTAATAACTTCAAAACATTCACCATTAACGCCAAAGAATATTTCGAGGCGATTGGCCAAGATAATGATTGGCAAGGAGAGAATCGGTACGATTATTCGGTTTGTTTACATTGTGCGAAACGGATTTACAAGGACCATCTTGCCAAGTTTGAATTGCGTTCAGGAAACGAGAGTATGTCGCGACACACCAAATCGACCAATCACACCTTATTTTTGGATACCACTAAGAACGTGGTGTTTTTGATGATGGGGAATGCCCAAGGGGTTCCTGCAAAACTCCAAGCACCATATATCAACGAGTTAGGGGATACTGGGGAGTATTCTTTGAGACAGAATGCCCTGATCACTTTGAGCGAGAACCGTTACAGACATATCATCAAGATGTATTTGGTGGATGGGTACGCTTCTTATTTATCAAGATATTATGGCAGTGCCACCAGATGGCAGGGAGGCCTTGGTGGAGGACTATTCTTTGGTCGTCGAGATGAGGATGAAAGTGATCGTTCAGGGGCCGATGATTATGATAATAGAGGAGGATTGTTCTTCAGAGATGATGATGATGATGATGATGATGATTCGGACGAAGACGATGATGTGATCAATGATGTTGACGACGATGAGATTTACGTTCCAACAAATCAGCGGATTTTGCCTAATGTTGCTGCGATGAGAAACTTCGATGTGGAAATCCCTGAAGATGATGATGACGGAGAGGATGCCGATGATAGTGACTATGATGATGCGTTGCCTCATCAGAATATTAACGATATGTTTCAGACCATCGCCAGAGAAATGAACATTTACGGGGATAATGAGGGTCAAGCGATGATCCAACGGGAATTGGTGAGATTGTTGGCGAATAATCTCAGTCATCCGGAGAATTTGCCCGGGAATGTGACCGTTGAAGGGTTAGCGGAGATCCTCAATGGGGGAGAAAGAAGGGCAGCAACAACTCCTCATTATCCACACCATCATGATCACTCTGACGACGACGATGATCATCATCAAAATGATCATGACGAAGATGTGGAATATGAGGTCATGGGACCAGGGTATATTCATTATTCTGAAGATGATGGTGGTTCACCACAACATGTTGTAGCAGAGTATGATGATGGGAGCTATCATAATGATAGCAACAATAATGAGAGTTATGGTAACCACGATAATGAGGGTCATGAAAATCATGACAATGAGAGCTATGGAAACAACGATAATGGGAGTCATCATAATGCAAACCATGATAGTGTGAGTTATGATAACCATGATGATGTGGGTTATCATAATGGCAGCAACGATAATGTGAGTTATGGTAACAATGATAATGAAAGTAATGGAAACAATGATAATGAGAGTTACACTGGCTCGAACTATTATAATGAGAGCTATGATGATGATAACAATTATACTGACAGCTATGATAATGAGAGCTACGATAATGAGAGCTACGACGATGATGATTATTAGTATTTTTTTTTTCTTCCTCGGTTGTCATTTTATTTGTGTTTTTTTTTTTTTTTTTCTTTTGTATTTTTGAAGAGAGTTACAATATAAAATATTTCAATTTTTGTATATATGGTGATGATCTTATTTATTTATATTTTGTAGATGAATGATACTTATTTAGATGCTATCTGGCTGAAATTATTGTTCAACATAGATGATACTTTGTACCACACCGTATGAGCTCATATCCCTCAAATTTTTTGAAATATCCCACTATACTATTCCCCCAAATCAAATTGATGTTAAGATTGTGCATTATACAATCGTCTTGGTCTCTTTATGGAGACATATTCTCTTGTTCGGTTACTGATAACCAAACTTTTCTTTTTTTTTATATATATAATTACTGACCAGCACTTAGGAAATCTTTAAAGCACACAGGTGATAAAATGACAAATTAGAGAACAACAGCGAAAATAAAAAACAAGAAAAAAACATCACAAATAAAGGAGCAAAAAAAATTACGCAGGCAAAAATAAATAAGTAGGCAAAAGAAACAAGCAGATAAAACAATCCAACTCGAAATTCAAAAAAAACAACAACCGATAAAACTAGAAACACACCCGTATCTTGGTTCCAATGATATAATGACATTAGCTATATATCCGTATTTGAGATTAGTCATATGAGAATCATGATTTTAGCTATGTATCAACCATAATACTGGCTCCATATACATCGTATTGCTAGTTATATATACGTCATACTACTAGCCATATATCAAATGCATTTAATTATAATAGCATACTATCAACATGAAAATCACGCCTCGTTCTATCACGTCAAGTGATAATCGATGGATCCTAACACTTCCCAATCTTTAACCTCACCTTCACATCGCACCAACTTTAAACACCCATCATCAGGCCAATATAGATTTGCCGCATCATCCACCAATCTATTATCCCCATCGATCAACACGCTTAACAAATCTTCGACTCTGGTCTTTATGGTTCTTTCCAATGCCGAATCAATGGCATACACGTTGGAATAAACGAGGGATAAATGCGGATTGAACTCTTCGAGTGACCATCGTTCCGCCGCCTTCATTGCCAACGAGGAAATATCAGCAGGGTTAATTTCCCCAGAAAGGGTTGTTGACGATCCTCCTTCTGTAGATTCGGAAGTGGCGGAGGAAAGAGCACTACTATTACTGGCAACCCGTTTCGAGAGACTTTTCGATCTTTTTGGCCGGTCATTAGACGGAGGAGCCAATGAGGAGGACTGTTGTAAAACCCGTTGCTTGAGTCCTGGAGCCTCAACAAACAATTCCCTGATGATCCGAGCAAACGATACCAAGTTAGGGTTCGGATATACCGAGAGTTTGACTTTTTGGAAATACTTCTTGCCAAATTCCAATTTATCGAATAATATTAACTGATCTGATATGGCGTTCTCCAGAGACGATTCGGAAATATTGGTGTTGTTGTCATTGAGGGAAGTATCTGATTGGTTTTCCATCTGTTTGCGTTGTTGTTGCTGTTCCTCCCGTCGCTGTTGGTGGATTTGGTTCAATGAATTTATGGCAGCCAACGCAGAGTTCAACAATACTGCCACATCGCTGGGGGTGTTTATGACGATGCCCGAAGTTATGGTGATGTGAGGTTCGAAAGTGGGAGCGTTATCGAAGAGAGTGTGAAGGGAGATGATCAATGAATCGGCCGATTCGTAGAAAAGCGAGTGTGATTTGGGTACTAACCAGAGAGCAATGCCTGGTGGGGAAAGAGTTAGTTTGTGTGCATAATATATACAATAGCCAGATACTATTTACTCACCCATTGTGATGTGTGTGTTTTCTATTGCCAGAAGGAAGCACCGTAACAACATGAGAAGGAATGGAAGGAAGGAAGAAGAAAAAAAACATTTGTCCTTCCACCTGCCAGGGCACAAACCACAGTTTTTTTTTTTTTTTTTGGTGATAATCGGCAAACTCATTTCACAGTCTTCTATCTCCATCTATCTATCCACCTGTCATATTTCTCATTATCACCGACAATTGCCGCCCGAATGAACGATCCTTTCACCACAATCTCCCATATGCTCGAGTCCGCAAAGGACTTGACAGTGGAGGCAGCGGCGTCGGCGGCAGCAAAGTTGGCAGACACCCCAAACCACGCCAAACCAAAAGAAATCATCAAGCTATTGAACTCCAGCTTTGAACATGAGATCTTGAACGGGTTGAAAGTCGTGATTTCTTATATGTCCACCGGGAAAGACGCGTCGCAATTCTTCCCCTACGTCATCAAGAACATCAATAATTCCAACTTGAAGATCCGCAAGCTAATATACATTTACCTCACAAGGTTTTCAGAAACTAACCCAGACTTGGTGTTATTGTCGATCAATTCAATTCAGAAATCATTGAGTGATAAAAACCCCCAGATTCGGGCTTTAGGTTTGAGAATCATCTCGTCAATTAACAACCCCACCATCTTGTCGATTTCCATGTTGGCGATCAAGAATTCCGTCAATGACCTTTCGCCAATGGTGCGAAGATCCAGCGCAATTTGTATCTCCAAGATGTTCAAGTTGATGGCCAATAATATCGACGAAACTCAAAAGACGGTATTGATTGAGCAATACTTGAACAAATTGATGAACGACTCAGAGTTACTGGTGGTCAATTCAGCGATTATCGCCTTCAATAACGTCTGTCCTAACAATTATTCAATGATTCACCCATTGTTCAGGCATTATTGCTCAGTATTAAGCGATTTTGACGAATGGACCCAGATTGTATTGATTAACATATTGACCAACTACTGTCGAATATACTTACCGAGACCAAAGATCATCAATTTGGCGGGACCTGGTGAATTCATTTATTTACCAGATGACGAGTTCCAAATTATCAATTACCCAGTGTACGAGGCAGAATTTCACCCAGATTTGCAATTGTTTTTGGACTCCATGAAAAATTTGATCTATAGTCCTAATAATGCATTGATCTTGTCTATCATCAAAGCATTTTATTTCTTAACCCCAGCAAAAACCTTGAAAGACTATAATATCAACACGATTTTGATTAGACAGCTCCAAAACTCTCCAGAAAACTTACAAATTTTCAAATTGCAAATCATCTTGTACGTGATATTGAAAAAGGATTCGATAATGTTCCAAAACCATTTCAAGACTTTTTATTTATTGCCCACCGATACCATTCAAATTGCCAAATTAAAACTCTGTATTCTTTCATTGATCATCAACGAAAATAACATCAAAAGCATTGTCAATGAATTGAAATATTATGCATTGTATAGCCCCGATGATAAGATCGCCATCGAAGCCACAAAAACTATTGGGAAGTGCTCACAAATTAATATCCATTGGAACAAAAAAGTTTTGCAGTGGTTATTGAAACAGGTGGAAATGGTCACCAAAGATGACGATGTTGATGGGAAACTTCTTTGTACCGATAGAATCATCAATGAATGTCTTACGGTCATCAGGTATTTGATCCAACAATCTCCAGAAAATAACGTCAAGCCCATTATCAAGCTTGCCAGTATCATCATCAATGAAAAGTTCAATTTGAACGCCAGCGCCAAATCATCGATTATTTGGCTAGTGGGGGAATTCACCAATATCATCCCTAAATTCCTTCCCGACTTCATCAGAGTATTGGTGAAATCATTTAAAAATGAAGAGGAAATTGTCAGGAGTAATATATTATTGATTGTTTGCAAATACTATACTTACGACATCGCACAATTTCAATTAAAGAACCCGGAAACCACATTACAATACTATCCAAGAGACGCCACCAACGTGATATATAACATTTTCAACCATGTCATCAATTTATGCAAGTACGACAACTCATACGACATTAGAGATCAGGCACGGATGTTTCATCAATTATTATCGTCTGACCGGATCGAGTTGGCGAATTTGATTTTACAAGCTCCCAAACCAATTCCCTTGATTTTAATTTCCAACCAACCGATCTTGAACAATCTTGCCTCGCCAAAATTGAACGATGATTTCTACCCAGGGGTTCCAAAGACCGGGGGCATCATCGGTAATGGTCAGAAAATTATTGATATTGCGGAAAAGAAGAAAAACCAAGCTGAAGAAGCTAGTGCCAATGTCGAAGTTTCCCCACAACCTTCCAATAAAAACTCATTCAGCGAGAAGAAGTTGAATACCGGGTTGACCGTGCCAAAATCTGTGGCCACCGAACTTTACAATAACGGCGATAAAGGCGGGGATTTCGAAAATGTGTTAATGCCATGCTTGTCATCATTTATGACGGTCCCTCAATGGTCTGATGTTTCAAAATTGCTTCCGGACTCTATCAGGGATACTACTACTACCACTTCTCAACGACAACAAGAGAGCTCTTTGATGGCATCGGGTTTTGGAAATGTCAAAGCTATTTCTTCTAGTTCATTCCTTGAAAATAAGTATCAAGCAGAAACTTCAAATCATGCGATGTCCTCCGATACTTTGAAAAGGGGACCACATCAAATGCAGAACTTCAACTTGAAGAATAATTACAAGCTACAAAGTTTGGATGAGTTCTTGAGCTCACAAGATGGGAGAATGGAAATGATCTCGAGAAATAAGAAGTATTTGAAAAAAGCAGACCATCCGAAGAAGAGCTCCAGTAAAATAGAAGACAATGACGAAGATGAGGAATATGAGGAAGATAGCGAGTCTGAGGATGAGTCTGAGGAAGATGAATCTGAAGAGTCTGAAGAAGAGGAAGATGATGATGAGTATAGTGATAGTGACAGCGATTCTGAAGATGAGAGTGCCCAGATGCTCAAATAGTGTAATTCAATGAGAGGGAGCATTTAATGAACGCATTGTTTTTGTTTACTATGGTTTAGTCAAAACCATATGTAAGAATGTTTTCCACACAATGATAACGAATGTATCCAACTTCATAATAGTTTAATATACCTGTCATTGAAAGATAATATACACCATTGTACCATAAATGATAAATTCACATCTTAAATAGCATATCCCTGGCCAGTAATCGGATTATAAATCGAACGGATTATCAACTGTTACTTTAGAAGAAATGATCTCTTTTGTAGACCGAAGTATATCAATACAACGGGTTTTTATTTTTGAGATATTCAACCATTCGGTTAGTCTATATATATATATATAAAGAGAAACTCTTTTGGTGTACAATTTCTATATGTCTAACGCATATTCATCCCTGGTCAATATTCACTAGAGATAAGTGTTAAATACCTGCTGGTCACAGCCAGATGAATGTTTCTACTGAGTTTGCTAGAATTCTACAAGTCTACAAAGTACTTCAATGTATATAGATGAAACAAACGCACTCACGTATAATAACAAGCACTCTAGATAATAAAGTTAAATATAAAGAAAGTAGTAAGGATGAACAACACCGGCACCCAGCAACCAATAATGGATCTAAATATAATCCTGATAGAAACGACAATAATGTTTTATTAGTGGAGATATGATGATCTGGTCCTTCCATGATACTTACAAGGCCGCCATGTTGTCCAGGTTCGGATATAGGAGTATAACACAAACTAATCCAGAACATCATCTAAAAATCAGAGCCAGCGTATTATTACTTAGGAGCTTTGATTCCGATATAGAAATATGAGTGGGCAAATATAGCACTTACAATCATCGTCTGTCAATAATTATATGATCGCTTCTCTACCACGGCAGATAATTATACCATGGATCCCAAAAGTTGATAAGAAGACCATTCATCATTTCTATAATTTATAAATTATACATTTGTTTATGAATAAAAAAAAAAAAAAGGCTCTGTATACGAATACCCGTAAAAAAATCAAAAGTGACAAAAACCAAGAGTAATCACCATTCATTATCAAGATTAACATATTCATCCATATCATTTCAAAACATCTGAAAAATTAAATCAAAAAATCATAATTCAAACCCAAAATGTCAAAAAACAATAAAGAACAAAAAAGCAACATAAACATGAAGAAGAAAAATACGTTTCACAACCATTCTTCATCTATAGAGTCATTATCGGAAAGAACATCATTGCTAATGGAGAATTCTGCTGCTGCCTTCTCGGCCTCTTCTTGAACTTTCGTCAATCCACTAAGATCCTCAATGTATTTGTTATTATTTAACGCTTTGACAACAAATCCCCAACCATGCTTCAAGAATTCAGAGAGAATTGGCAATGAACACGCCGAGCAGTTCTTATAACTTGGGGCTTGTACTTTGACGTTGTTGAAATTGTGCATAAACCCTCGTATTTGATGAGGCAATTCCCCCAATATCGTCGAATTTTCATCATTTACCAACGCGTATTGTTTCTGTGGATGTTGGATGATTGACACCATCAACTCCACTGCCAACGAAGATGCCATTAGGGCCACCCCTGGTCTGGTGACGGTACACATTTGATCCAAAGTTCGATCGGTTAAACTATCTGATGGGGCAAAAACATCATTGCAGAAATAGCATCCAAGTCTCTTATCTTGTTGCAGGTCAACATCCTGCTCCCCGTCGAAATTTACACTTTCAGAAATACACCCATGACGCATGACAAGAAAACTGTCAAACCCTAAAGCGGCATTCACCACGGTCTTATGTTTGACGTTGGCAATAATGGTAGGTAACCATCTAGTTTCTCGGGAGTCCATCAATAAATAAACAACGTCATGATCTTCAATCAATTTTTCCAACAATTCAAAATTCTGGCGCTCCGTTTCCATATCCTTGACTGGATGGCCAATCATAGGAATCTCCAAATCGTAACCTTTGGCATTCACTTGAGGGAAAATCTGTTTAAGGGCTTTAGCAGCGGCTTCGGCTTTTGGAGCTCCACCATTAAGACAATCTTCATAAGTATATAATGATTGCCTAACTGGATTGGAAAACGAAACTTTCCCATTATCGACAAAGGTAATTGTTCTGACTCCCCACCCCAATAAAGCTCTTGATACGTATGAACCTAAAGTACCGGCACCTAACAACAAGCATTTTGTATTTTTGATGGAATCCAAATCAATTTGTGGGATGATTCTCCATTTCATTAACTTTAAATTCAAATCAACCGCCTGTTCTGCCAAAGACACTGGGGATAATAGAGACTGTAAGTCGGCGATTTTCGGCTGTAGTGACCCATTGCTGGTTTTCTCCCATCCTGTAACTTTAGGAACGTTTTGTCTAATGTTAAGATTAATAGAGCTATCCATGGCTGACAAGTCGAGCCAGAATGATGATCCATTGAACCTGTAAACCAATACTTCGACTTTAGTGTAACCGTAATACAACAAAAGGGTCAAAAAGTTTCTCAAGTACCAAGATGGGATCATTGGGTACGTCGATGCATCAATAATCCCTACACGTATGGAATCGTTACGCTTATCATCGAGGACAAGTTCCGACAACGCAATTGGGTTGTTGTCAGCATCCAACAAGAAGAAGTTCTTCTTATTGTCATTTGTTTCCGTTTGCCACCATGTTTGGATCTTATGGTCAAATTCTTCTTTGGCCAGCTCAATTCTCGATGAATTGATCATCCACTCGGTATAAAATGAAGGGAAAGAGAACCAATAATAGAATTTGAATTTCTTCAAATCAGAAAACGATAAAACATTGAGCGACGCCAATAACGCAGGGTTGGTCAATACCTCTTTAGATTTAAAACTTTGGTACAATTTTTCTCCGGATGCCTGCAAATAGGCATTCTTATCCATCTCTTGGAACTGTTCCTTGGTGTTCAAATTCACAAGATTACCGGGGGCAAATAACGCAGAGCCACCGGGAAGCATTCTGTGGAACTCATTGGAATGGTTTTCAAAGCTGGTACCCGAGACGTTTATTAGCGGGGCCAGGTTCTTAGTGAAGAGCTTGATGTTGTAATACGCAAGGATGACCTGGCTGGAGGTGTCAAGCTTGAACTTATCGAGCTTGAGCTCTGAGAGTTTTTGAAAGAAGCTCGAGTCCACTGACGAGTGGAATGGCACGAATTTGAGCTTCTCTGGCATTTACTGGGTGGGATATTACTTTTATCTTTTTGAGATAAGCAGTTGTTGTAGAAAGAAATAATATTAAGAAAGATGCTCTTCGCCTTTTTTTTTTTTTTTTGCCACGCGCGCTTATCATTAACAATCACCACATGTCAATCAAGACAGCCATGAGACTTATTGTCGTGGACTTCGACGAGACAATCACCAAGAAGGACACTCTTCTGCAATTGGCATCGCTCGCCTATCGCCAGAAACCACAATTCCCTGTGAAGTTCCGCCATTACCAGGATGTGTACTATAAACATTACCTGAACTACGTTGCTGGCCATGAATACTTGGGGGGCAAACAATGCCCTTCGTTAAAAGACCTCTTTTCCCAAGAACTACTTTACCAACAAGGGATGTATCCCGTAGAAATGAGTTCGATTGATGAGATTGTGTCTACAGGACTTTTCAAAGGTCTCGAGAGTCGCAATTTGGATTCGTTGAAAATCCCCATCAGAGAAGGATTCTCGTTGTTTGCTAATGAATGTTATAGGCAGCTGATCCCCATCTACGTGCTCAGCATTACTTGGTCAGCGAGATTTGTAAAGCTGGTGTTATTGAACAATGGAGTGGCTCCTAATGCGACGGTGGTAATATCTAACGAGTTGGAGTTCTCCGAAGATGGTACCACTTGCACCGGTGGGTTCCAGGTTGGCAATGTTAGAACTGGCTATGATAAATTACAGCGACTCACTGAGATATTAGCCAAAAATCCATCGTTGCCGTCACTTTATATCGGGGATAGTAGGACTGATTTGTTAGCGAGCTTGAAATGCGATGCCAGAGTGTTTATGGAAAAAGACAACAATTCTCTATTGGAGTCCCTTAGCAAGTCGACCAGTTTAGAAATTGAGCCATTATCAGACAAATTGCAAAAAAATGAAAATATAATATATACTGCAAAAGATTTTGTTAAATTGAACCATCTTTTATTTTCCGGTGGTTCTGACGGCTGAGTTGTGCGATTATTCTTGATCATCATATTTCCCTTCAAAAAAAAAATGTTAAACATTTCTTGTTGAGCAGTTTGGAAATTATAGTTGGAAAAAAATCTCTTGAGAAACGATATCTTATGTTGTAAACATTTTCCGGTGGTCCCTGACAAAAAGATTTTTGTTTCATCATTATTTAGTTTACTGATCGTAGACCATCCAGGCTGTTAGATTTCCTAATACCAACCAACCCATCAATTGGAAGTTGTTACAAATTTCCCAGAAATCTAGCAAATGATTGCATGTCCATAAGACATTTACATTTTTTTAATCAATAGGTTATCTTACTATTTGTTAAGTGATGTGTACTCTTCTCAAAAAAATGATCCATAATCATCAAAAACCAAAACTGCATAATGTTCAACCTGTCCTTTCTTATCTTACTCTATTCTTTTTTTTATTATTATTATTTCATATATTTATTAAATCCAGTAGCAAAGAGCAAATATAAAAGAAGCGTGAAAAGAAAAGGAAAAAAAAAAAAAAAGTAAACACTCATTTATCTCTCTTGAAGAGATTTCTGGTAATTTTTCCTTTGACATTCTTATTAACATTGATTGTTCCTTTAAGAAATCTATGCGAGCCATAATTGATCCGCGAATTAAGAGACATTCTTCTGCTGGAACTGGTAGAACTATGGTTGGTACCTGCATTATGCTGCTGAACAATATCGTACGCAGCTTTGGTATTTGGCCCAATTTCCAACGCCGATAATTTAGGGGTATTAGCGCTCGATTTCAAAGTAGCTTCTAACCATATTTGAAGACCAGAGTCATGAAGGTATTCATCCTCACGAACTTTCCGCAAAATTTCATGAACTTGTTCACCGCTATGATCAAAAATCTGTTGCATGTTATGTTGGATTGGATGGAACTGTTTTGGGGAAAATGACGTGAGTTCGTCCTTTGGTGGGACTGCTGGAGAATCAGCATCCTTATCAGTTGATAGTTTCCTAGGGGTCTCGATATCCTTATTGGCTTCAGTACCTGGTGTTTGTGGGGGTGTTGGGATATCATCTTTTTCAAAAGTTGAGGTCACTTTGGTCAATGGGGTTGTGGTCGTGAAGTTCTTATGGCTAACCTGGCTGACATTGCTGGTAGACCTACTAATTTTGTCGGTTGATAGGTTTTTCTGCACCGAAATCAACTCAGAGGTTCTCTTTTTTGCCATAGGAGTTGTTTTGAGGAGGGAAACTTGTTGCGTAGAAATCAAGTCAGTTTTCACATCGTTGAGTGGTGGTTCAATAGGATCAGTGGATGGCGCAGTATCTATTGTTGAAGCTATAGAATCAACCTCATTCCCTGATTGCTTTATTTCTGAGTCTATTAGGTCTTTTGAAATATTATTGGTAAATACTGGCGCTGAGGTCTCTTCCTCCTTAGACTCCGTCAATTGATTAGTAAATTTCATTTCTGGTATGGGTTCAGATGACCAAATTCCATTACTAGTTCTGAAGGCCGTATCAGCTTCTTGTTCTTCATCATCGTCTTCATCATCATCTGACATGCCTAAATATTCCTTAGCAAAGGAAACAGGAGCAGGAGGGAGACCAAATTTCTCATTCAGAGATTGCAGCCACGATTCATCGTCTTTCAAAATATCCCGTGCCGATGTTGCACCATTATTCGAATCCTGTGTTGCGTTGCGCATGATTGATGACAAGGCAGCAGCATCAAACTTATCATGTGCCTGTTGAGTTCTTTTAATGAAATCATTTTTGTAAATTGATGTTCTGAATTCCGAAGGATTATCGGTAAAGATTGATTCGTTGTCATCGGCAGAAGCAAAATTATCACCGAATACCCTTCCTGTTTCCATGGGATTATTATCACTATTATTATAATCATTTTCCTCGAGATCAACATTGTTAGCGTTCTTCAATTCATCAGCCTTTTCTTCTGGAACCTTAGTCTGGTTGATATTCTCAGTGACATCAAATTGGGTACTATCAGCCATGGAATCTTCGTAACTATTATCGGCAGTTTCATCTTCCAATTTGAGGCTTGGAGGTTGAATAATATTACTAGAACCTTCTGACACCCATATACCTTTACCGGTGTTAAATGCCAGCCCTTCTTCTTCTTCTTCTTCTTCTTCTTCTTCTTCTTCTTCTTCTTCTTCTTCTTCTTCTTCTTCTTCTTCTTCTTCTTCTTCTTCTTCGTCATCCTCATCATCATATTCTTCTCCTATCATTACTTGATCTTCTACTTCTTCTTTTTCTTCTTCCCCATTTGGTTCATAATGGTCAGATCTATTTTTAAAGGCCCCAATATTTGGAGTTTCATTAAGACTCGGTTCTGTGTAGACTTCTTCCATGTTCCCTGGAAGTTGAGCAGCACTCTTGGAAACATCTTGTGAACCAGCCTCTTCCTGAATTTCTGGCATATTTATCTCTTTATATAATATCAGAGAAGGTTCATTGAAATCTTCACTATTGGCAATAGAATCAGCTAGGGAGTTTCTGTCACTCTCCTCCTCCTCTAAGAGTGCCAGAGGTTTTATTGGGCTTGAAACCTTAATGCTCGGTTTAACATCGTCAACAGAGGACCACGCGCCTTGGCTAGTTCTGAAAGCATCAGCCTCATCTTCTGAGTCTGATAAATCAACTTCATCAACGATATCATTAGCATACGCTTCAGGCTCCCTTTCCATAGGGTTCTCATTGATATGATATGGTTCTGGCGCAACATCACCCCCGTACAGCAAGTCATCTTCTTTAATAGATGGCGATCTGGAAGCGCGCAATGGAGCCGTTTCTTCCTCACTAATAGGGTGGATCCCTTCTTGTAATAGTTGACCACTGATAATATCTTTAGAAGTATCATTTGCTGAAAACTGAAGGTTCTCGAAATCTTCAAATAAATCCTCAAAATTTTTATCTAGTTTCGAAACATCACTGATTCTCTTAGTATTTGATATAGGTCTTGATTGAGCAAACCGTGGTGATACTGGATAGTCCATTGGATCAAGTGGTAATTCCTTTTGGTCTGCAATAGTGATGGGTTCTTCTTCTTCCTTTGGGTGAATGATAGTTGGTTTATTGATATCTTCTTGATAATCGTCATCCCAACTGTTTTCGCTTATTTTGTCATCCTCATCATCCTCTTCCCTGTTCTCCAACTGGTTGGAGATACTCTTGTAAAGACTCTCCATCAAGTTCAAGTTCTGTTGACGTTCAAAACGTTCCTCTTCTGTTTTTTGTCTATATTCTTCCACAGAATCTAATGATACATTACCAGAGGTAGCTTCTGGTTCGGTTTCTCTAGTAATTTCAACTTCAGGCTTGGTTTCACTAATTTCAACATCGTGCAACTTCTTGATGTGCTGAGGTTCCTTAAATTCCTGTTGAGCTGGGGGGTTTATGCTTTCGGCCGGTACAGTACTTGGTAAAGGAGCAATTGGTGGGGTATATTCCAATATAGCATGGCTCTTGGGTGTTTCTTCCTCAATTTTCTCGACTTCTGTGTGCTGGGGTAGTGATACAGTATTAGATCTCTCTTGTTGTTCTTCCTCTTCCTCTTCCTCTTCTTCTATATAATCATCATCATCATCATCATCCTCCCAGTCGTCGTAGATATTCTTGGACATGGAACTGACCCACCTTTTGGAAGGAGCCCTCTGCATTGTCTGTGTTTTTGTCTTATTGTATCTATCTAACCGTTAATGGCCTTTCCAAACAGGTGTCAAAAGAAGACGAAGAAGATCGATTTTTACGGCGGCGTTTCATTATTGTCACGTGCACGTCATCTCATCTTCAGAAAAAAAAAAAAAAATCTGTGCAAAATTTTTTTTCAGCTTTTCAAAAAACATTTCTAATCAGCTAAAAGACATACCACCGATATTCAACCGTTTGGAAGTAGAAAATGGAGTTTACAAAGATCCCGGATTATACCCAGAACGCCCACAATGGGGCCGCCACCATTCTTTGTTCGAACTGTGGGGTTCCTATGGATGGTTCCACAGGGTTGGTTATGTGTTACGATTGTATCAAGTTGACCACTGATATCACTAAAAACATCCCAAAAGAAGCCAATATCTCGTTCTGTAGAAACTGTGAGCGTTTCTTGCAACCTCCAACTCAGTGGATGAGAGCCGAGCTTGAATCTAGAGAATTGCTCGCGATCTGTCTTAGAAGATTGAAAGGTATCAATAAGGAAGTGAGATTGGTGGATGCGTCGTTTATTTGGACCGAACCACATTCCAGAAGAATCAGATTGAAGTTGACGGTTCAAGGTGAAGCTATGGCCAATACCATTGTCCAACAGTCTTTTGAAGTTGAGTTTGTGGTGATTGCCATGCAATGTCCAGACTGTGCCAAATCATACACCACCAACACCTGGAGAGCCGCAGTACAAATTAGACAAAAAGTCCAACATAAGAGAACTTTCTTATATTTAGAACAATTGATTTTGAAGCATAATGCTCATGTTGATACCATTTCCATCAAAGAATCAAAGGATGGGTTGGATTTCTACTATGGTCAAAGAAATAGTGCAGTGAAGATGCTTGATTTCTTGAACGCTGCGGTGCCGATCAAATCAAGAAAGTCCGAAGAGTTGATTTCTATTGATACCCATTCCGGTTCCTCGAGTTACAAATTCACATTCTCCGTAGAAATTGCCCCGGTTTGTCGTGATGACTTGGTGGTTTTACCAAAAAAAGTGGCCCGTTCATTGGGTAACATTTCGAGATTGGTGCTATGTTCAAAGGTTACAAATATGCTCCAGTTCTTGGACTTCAAGACTTTACAAACTTCTGATTTACTCGCCAATACTTACTGGAAAGCTCCATTCGCTTCCTTGGCCGATGTTTCTGAATTAACCGATTTCATTATTTTGAATGTCGAACCAGTCGGGGTGTCTAGAGGGAAGTATGTGCTTGCTGATATCACTTGTGCAAGAGAAGTTGATTTGGGGGTAAATGATCGTGAATTCTATATCAGATCGCATCTCGGGGGTATCTTACATCCAGGTGACACCGCGGCTGGGTACTACTTGGTGAACTCAAACTACAATAGTCAATTATGGGACGAGTTGGTCGACAATGATTCCAAAGATTTAGCTGAAGTGGTTTTGGTGAAGAAGAAGTACGAAAGAAAATCTAAGAAGTCTAAGAACAGAGCATGGAAGTTGAAGAGAATGGCTAGAGAACACAATGAAATCACTGCCGATGACAATAACTCGAGATCTGCTAAACAAGAGTATGCTAAGGCCGAAAGAGATTACGAAATCTTCTTGCAAGAATTGGAAGAAGATAAGGAATTGAGAGAAACTGTCAATCTTTATAAGGATAGAGAAGCTGAACAACGGTTGCAAACCGTGGATGAGGATGGTGAAATTGATATCGATGATGATGAGGATACGCCAGTGATCGATGTCGATGAGTTGTTGGATGAATTGGATGACATGACTTTGGACGGTTGATTGTGTGCTGTTGTTGTTTTCTTTTGTTCTATTTCTTTCTGCTTTTTTTTTTTCTAATATACAAGAGGTTTTTTTTTTATTACTGTTATTTTATTTTTAGCCATTTTGTTGTTGTTTTTCATTTCTTTGCATATTTTCGAATCACAATAATTATATTAAGGTAATAATCATTCAAATTTATCAAGACAATAGAAGTTATTCAAAGTAACAGACATAAAATTAATACATAACAAGATGGAGAGAACGGGAAAGAAGAGATGGGGGTGTCACATTTAGACTGTAGGCTGCGCAGGCTTCTTTTTCTTCTTATCTTCCACCATCTCCACCTTGACATCCTTCAATCCTTGTTCCTCCAACAACTTGTGGATAAATTCTTCACACTCGTCGGCCAAATCACCTTGAAGAACAAGGTCTTCCTTCTTTTCTGCGTTTTTGACCACGCTGGCACCGGTAGCAAATTTCGACGAGAACTGCTTAGACAACTTCTTGATGTTGAGATCAAACACCTCTAGCCCACTGATACTGATCACTCTTTTTCTCTTGGTTCTTTCGATCTTCTTGATGATGATCTTCGAGCTCAATTTCTTCTGTAATTCTCGTTCTGCCTTCTTGGCCTCTTTGATTTGTAATTTTTGCAAGTCTTTTTCTATTTGCTCCTGCTTTTCTGTCGGTAACGTCGAAGAGGCTTTAGTTTCTTGTGATCCCAGCAAGTAAAGCTTCTCGTACAATTCAGGATGGGCATCTTCTAGCCATGCTTTACACTGGACAAACTTACCTCCGAATTCACAGTATTCTGGAGGGAACGAGCAGATCCCACAATAGACTATACTTCTTGGGTGTGGTTTTTCCTAAAAACAAAAAGAGTCTGTTAGTATTTCGCACCAACCCAAAAGACCAAACAGAATAAACGTACTTCTGACATGATATTATTATTGTTATTGACGGCAAAACTTGTCTCCTCCCTGTGATGAGAGAAGCAGAAAAAATTGTTTTTGTTTTGTGCGGTAGAAATCCCGTCGCCTTTTTTCAGCGGTGCGCACAGACCGAAGAGGAAATCAGAAAAAAAAAAAAAAAAAAATTTCATCTTCCTCTGCTTCCACTGCCTCTCTCATTACTAAGACATTCATTGACAGAGACAACATGTCCGAACTCCAAGAAGTATGTGCTTGTCTCTTAGCATCATCATCATCTTGCTCCTCCCGGTTCTGTTTACTAACCACAATATCCACAGCTCGTAGGCTTTTTGGGCCATGAAAATACCGTGGTGAAGACTGTGGCGTTGCAAAACCTTTTGGGGTATTCCGCCAGCAATAAGGACGTTTTCAGACCAGAAGGATTACAACCAATCAAAGACTTGATCAAAATCACCCAGGAAAAAGGGGCCACTAATCAAAAAATTGCCCTCACGATTTTGGTCAACGTCTCCGATGTGTCAGAGGTCCGTCAACTTATCATCGATGATGAGGAATACTTGAAGTACATTGTTGGGGAAATACAAAATGATTCACCGAACGCCGCGCTTTATTCTATGCTTCTAGCAAACTTGTCTTTCGAACCAACATTCAAGCTCTCGAAGGATCAAGTGGAAGTTTTGTTGGCCAAGTACGTCCTAAACCAACCTCAACATGATTACTTGAGTCTTGTATTTGTCAACTACACCAACAAACTCGAGGGAAGAAACTTCTTTTTGGAAGACGATAATTTGTCAAGCATTATTGTCTTCAATGACAGTGACAATGAAAAGAGAAAAGAAGGTAGTGGGAAGCTTTTAAAGAACTTGTTGTTTAATATCGATTCGCATTTGAAACTTATTGAAAATGATCAAATCAAATTACTCACTTACATTTTATCACCATTGATCTCCTCCAACTATACCCTTGATGATGATGAAGAATTTGCCTTGCCAGAAGAATTACAGTTCTTGCAAGACAAGCAGATGGAATCGAACCTTGAGTTGGTCGCGGTTTACTTGGAATGCTTGCTATTATTGTGTACCACAAAACCAGTTAGAGTGGCAATGAGAGAAGCCAGTGTATATCCTGTCATCAGAGAATTGCATAAGACCGTGAATGACCAAAGAGTCTGTGAATTGTGTGAGGAAATCGTGCAATTTTTGGCCAGAGAAGAAGCACCAGAGCAAGAAGAGGCAAAGATCACTGAGGAAGCGGACGATGATTTCTCCGATGACGACGACAAGATGATTGAAGTTTTGTAGATGTGATAGTTATTTGTATAATAGAGGTATCGTTTTTTAGAAATAACTGTAAACTAGAGAGATATATACTGGGGGGAGGGTTCTAAACAAGGTTCTACTGGTCGTAAAAGCCAGATGCTATGAAACAATAAACAAGCAGAAACATCGTTTGGATACTGGGAAATTGCTTACAAAAGCATTTCTATAAATAATCAATATTGAATGAAATGATAGAATTTCTGTCCAATTGTTTAGGAATACCATATGATGGTCGACTTCTGGGTCTATCATTTGATGGATCTTTTTTATGGCCAGAAATAGTAATTCACCAAAAACCTCACACTTTGTTTGGAAGGATTATTTATCTTTTGCGCCCATATTATGTATATATGTATATATATATAAATGCAATAAATTATTTCGTTAATAATATTAAGTCTTAGAGTTTATTGTGTTTATCAAAGATTGGATATACCAATACATAGCGTAAATGAAATTGACCTACACTACAATAAATTGTCATAATATGGTGATATCATGGGTAAACTCATAAAGTCAGGGCAATTACCTAAAAGAATATGGATATCGTTTTTAAGAAATTTTCTATCGAAATTTGCCAAAGTTAGACTTCGAAGAGCAACCACTTGTGCAGCTAGTAAGATTATTTTCAGTAAGAAAGTTGCTGAAGTGATCCATATTGGAGTTGCTGAAGAAATTAGCCAAGATACTTTGGATTTCTATTGGGCATATTTGGTCAATTAATTTGAAGAAAATACAAACTCAAGCGAAATCCCACTTAAGAAAGGTGTAAATTTTTCCACATCTCTCTGGGAAAGTATCCATGATTTGGAAGCAAAAACCCTCCTATCTTCAAAGGATATATTAGAGGATAATTTTATAACTGAAGCTGAGCACTTGGTGGTCAATCTCGTCTACAGGGCTTTGAATAATTTTAATATTGGTACTGACACACTGAAATATATTGATTTTTCTTTTTCAATCAACGATAAAGAAGGAAGATGCCATCTCTGTCCTGATATTAAATTGTTCAGGGTAGAAGGTTTTGGATACCGTATAACTTGTGAGGTCAAAAAAACAGAAATTGGGCGGCAGTGAGAACAAATTATTATTAGATTTGAGCCAATTATTTGAATATATTGTTGTGGTCAAAACCAAAATTGGCCTCCTAATAAAATGGATGGAGAAATCTATTTGTTTGTAGAGGCCATAAAGCTTTCCGATAAAGCTAGCAAAATAAAAGTGCCGGAGGGGAAGTTATTTATAGAAAGATAGCTAAGCCGGCTGAAAAAGATGTTGAAAACTATGCTGAAAAAGATTACAGTGATATGAGGAGATGGTTTTAAACTGATGTTGTTTTTTGGTTCCTCAAAGGTAAATGTGCCAAGTTCATTTTTGAAACCTTTCAAAATTCTCATTGGAGAAACCCAACATACAAGGAAGTAGTAATTGAGAATAGAGAAAATTTACAAATGCTTCAATCTGAAATTGGTTGTGACTCCCAAGATTTCAAAAATACCGGTGAATATTTTAACATAAAATGCGTTCAATGCTCCATCATTACAGAAGCTAGCCAGTCAGTTACTCTTGTGTTATTGTCAAAGTTTCTGGTCCTGCAAATCATTATTTAAAAGCTGAGAAAAAACGCAAATTTTGAAGACTGTGTGGATGAAATGCTATTCTTATACTCTTGGGAATGCCATCCTATAATACTATTAATAAGTTGAATCAAGGGGACATCACAGGAATATTAATAAGCCTGAAATTAATTATATGGGTTTCACTTCCCTTTGGAATTATGGATCGTCGCGTTTTGAAGAAATATCTCCTGCAAGAAATCACTGCGAATTGAATCTCTTTGATGGTTTATGGGAACGAGTAGCCGAAAAAGCCAAACAAAGTGAGTCTGAAGAATGCTTGAAGAGTAAGGCTTGACGATTAATAGTAGTGATACATCTATCGAGGGTATATGAACGGAAAAAAAAAAAACAAAAACAAAAAACAAAACAATATAACAATCCAGGAAGTACTGTGCACGAAAGATATAATTTAAAGTTTTGATGCTCTATTTAACGAGAGTACTTCAACACAATATATATTTATAAATACTCTATTTTTCTTTTGATAATATGATAATCGTCTTGAAGAGTTAGTTTACAGCAGTGTAATACTGAATAAGATCATTCAATCTGGAAATCAGTACAAACTACTTTTTTTCATAGATGAATATTTCACTTATTAAATTACATTAGAACCTCTCTGACACATCCTCAAGCTCTCTACCATGATTTAAATACGAGAAATAATATCATCACCGTCTTCCTCTTATGTTGGGCGCGCACGCACACATCGGTTATAATCCCTGGCCATCAAGCATGCCATTTTTTTTCCCTTCCAAATTGAGAAGAAGAAGAAGAAGCAGAAGAAGCAGAAATTTTTGGTTGAAGTTTTTGTTGTTGTGTTCATCGAGAGACTTTGCAATCAGCGGCTAAGGCAATCAATTTTGTTATTGTTTTTTATATTCAATCGATAGAAGATGTCGACCTCAAACAATAACACCCCACCGCCCTCATTCCTTCGCCGCAGCAGCCCGTTTGTCAGGAAGCCTAGGACACCTTCTCGAGCAAGTGGAGGCGCTAGGGGCAACGGCAGTCCTTTGATCAGCAATAGAAGACCGGTAGGGGGTCCTTCCTCTCTAAGATACAGAAAAGACCAGCCTAATTCTGTTGCGGTGAAAAAGGAGGAAGAAAACGAAGGGGTTTTTCAGGAATTCAAAATCACCGCATGCACGAGAGAAGAAATTGAAAATGTTCAATACCATTTGATGAAATTTCAATCGAGAAACGAGGTGAATCCTGTGAAAGACTTCACCAAGCCAATCAGACTCCATAGAAAAGATCCTAGAAATATGCAGTTCCAGCTAACTCTTAAGGAAATTGATGAACGTGAACAATTGAACCGGGAATTGAGAGGGGAAACCGCTGATGATTTGGGAGATGGCAACAACAACGATAACGGGATGGGAGCTGCCCTTGATTTGGACGCTTTGGAGGCAAAGGAGGTTGAAGAAGAAGCTCAGACCGTAGCGCCAGAACCAAAAGCTGGTCCAACAAATATCGCTCCTGAGAAGCAAAAGGGGAAAAATAAGAGAAAGACCAGGGAAGTGAGAGTGATGAACGAAGATGCCAGAAAGTTGAGATACGAAGAATTTTATCCTTGGGTCATGGAAGATTACGATGGCCTGAACACTTTTGTGGGTAATTATGAGGCAGCAACAACTGTGGGACATAATCATGCGTTGTTAGTGCCGGTAGCTGATGGGAGTTTCAAGATGATACCGATCAATAAGATTTACAAGTTCACTCCAAGAAATAAATACGCTACTTTGACATTAGAGGAAGCAGAACAGAGATTACAGGAAAGTAATTCCGTGCCAAGATGGGTGATGGAGAAGATTGATGATGAAGAAGAAGATGGGGTCAAGACCGGTAATACCAAGAAAAAGAATGCCAGAAGAAATAGATTCAAAACCGTGTCGACTGACGATTTATTTGGTGACGATGATGACGACGAACGGAAAAGAAATTCCGATAATGATGGGATGGATTACGATGAAGAATTTGCAGATGACGAAGAAGCACCAATTGTTGGAGATCATAATGATGAAGAAGAAAAAGAATCAAGAAAGAGAATGGAAAAAGAAATGTTGAGTGCTAACACTGGTTTAGAACAAACAGTAGATGACGATGTCAATGATTTATTTGATGAAGAAGCAAAGAAAAAGTTCGATAAAGAAGGTAAGAAGTTGAAGAAGACTTTGGTGAAGAATGAGTATGGCCAGATCATGTATGAGTCCGAAGACGAAGAGAACCCTTACATGTCTGATTCTGATCTTGAGACCAGTGAATCTGAAACCGAAGTTAAAAAAGAAGAAACCAACGGATTGGAAGGATTGAATGATAGCAATAAGGCTTCCAAAAGTACCAGTCCTATGCCACCACACGCTCCTCAGATTTCTGTTAAATTGCCAATCAATAATCCAATAGGGTTTGTTACTTTCACCGCTAGTAAAGCGTTGTTGTCACAATTCCCAGGCGGTGATTGGAACCCGGCGGTCTCCAAGAAGAGATCTATTGAATCTGCCGGGGAGAAGGAAAAATCACACAAAAGACAAAAGACAAAAGCCGCTTCTCCTGGGGCTGCTGCTGCTACTGGAGCCATATCCTCTCCTGGATCTCCAGGCAGTCCAGGGTATTCTTCCGACGCAAATGATCCAACATTGCTTACTCAAGAGGAGATTGTTAATTTGATCAGTACTCGTGAGCTTACAGCTAAAGAGTTGTTTGTTGAATTGAAACCAAAGATTGCAAAGAATAAAGCGAACAAGGAAATATTCAAGACATTAATTAAAAAACTGGCCAAAGTTAAGATCAATGATAAAGGCATCAAGGTCTTGGTATTAAAGAATACAAACTAATGAAAATGGTAAACTTTCTCTACAACCTATTTACAAATAGCTGTATCATATACCACCTTTTTTTTTTTTTCTGTGCCCCCTTTTTTTTCTTGTTTAAGTTTTTTGAGATAATTTTCTTTTCGGTTTTTTGAGTTTTTAATAATAGTAATCTTTGAATTGCCATGGCACTAAAGTAAAAAAAATAAAAAAAAAAGATACAAAGAAACCCTTCATTTTAAAAGTGTATTTTCTCCAAATAGTCAATGTCATACGATAGTAGTCCCATAAATATCTCGTAATATCATTTAGGTGCCAATCACTCCCATGGCCACTTACAGTATACAACAACGTCCCCGCTTCTTCTACTGTCCCAGTGGAAATAACTATTGAAGAACCTGTCGCATTCCTCGTACTTTGAGTTCTGCAAGTAATTCTTCATAAATGGTTCCAATGCTTCGAAGAATACCAAATGAGTTGGCCATTCATAATTATACACCCTTCCTTTTGTACGGAACTGTTTATTGAATGGTGGGAAATGGATATCCAAATAACTTTTTGGGTCATCGTAGAACTTGTCCGACTCATCCTTATAATTCGCCAATGTTGTCTTGATGGACTCGGTGGTGAATATTTCCGGATCCATCATCGATGATGATGGAGGTTCACAGGTCAAGTACCATATTTTATGATTCAAATCTGGACGGTGGAGGTATGATTGAAGCGGCGTCGAGTGGCAGGGGGTAAGGAACCCAATGGAGTCGACGTCAGGATTAAATTTGAGAAAGTTGATAACGTCAATTACTCCCCTTTCCTGGACTTGAGTCAATAACACCCCGAGAGCGAGGTTAATAATAAGAATCGCATATATTACTACCTTGCCAGCCCAGCGTGGGAAAATCAAAGAAGAAGATGCTTGATCGGTGGAAGTAGAGAATTTGTAGAATCGATAAAACCCTTGGGCGGCAATGACCAAAAGAAATGGCATCAATTGATAAATGAACCGGAATTCTTTATGGGTGATCAAGGAAAATACCCCGATATTGACGGCAAGAACCGATAGAAATAACAGCTTAAACTGGAAATCGCCACAAACCAATCCGAAAATGAAAAATGGTAAATAACTGGTCAAAATGAATGGAATCGATTGGGTCAAATGGAAATGCCAGCTGTTTATCCCGTAAAAATCGGCAAAGGAATTGAGAACATTAAATTTCACAAAGTTTACTATTGGGAACACCAATCTTTCATAATAATAAAAGTCGATTGCCGTATTAATGGCGAAAATCACTGATCCCACAACCATTGCGAGTCCCAAAATCTTCAATTTATTACCCAAACCAGATACTTTAAAGAGCATATATGGGCCCAATACTATCCAAATGAAAATATTGGTGGGTCTAACGATCACCGCCAACGCCGCAAACGTCAATGATTTCCCTAACTGTGACAAATCTATTGTTTTCTTTTGCCCCTGTAAAAATTCCCATGGCCAGTAATTTAGGGCAATTATCGTCAAATTCAATTCAAATGTACTGGAAAAAGTCCTGGTGAAGCAAAACCAGTTGAATGATGACACCACACTCAAAAGTAATACCGCTCTCGCTAACGTTTCGTTCCCAAAGAGTTTTTGAGAGAAAGTGTATAGATAAAACTCACTGATTGCCGATACCACTCCTTGGAAGATTTTTGGCATTAATAATACCCCAACGTCACCAAACCCTAATAAATCACTCAATTTAAACGATAAATAAAACATAAATGGATAATTGAACGACCGTAGCTGATCTATCCATTCCCAGGTCAAATCACCGTACCCAAAGGCAAATTGATGAGCCGGCTCAAGCGATTGAAAATATTCATCTGGTTGGAAGAAAGTGTTGACAGTGAACGCGTTGATCAATCTTAAAAGGATCAAGTACTGGATCACCAAAGGTTTCGGGAGAGATTCGTATTGGGTTTTCTGCTTTTCTATCTTTTGAACTGCAACTTGCTCATCCTTGGCAACCACTTCTTCTTGTTCTTCTTTCTCCTTCCTCCTCCGCTTCAATTCAGTTTCATCCACCATTATTATTATAATAATCAAAAAAACAATGAAAAAAAAAGGGAATGTTTTCTCTACAAATCGCCATTTCTGACATCTACGAAATTTCAATTTGATTTCATCTTCCACTCTGCAGAACTGTCGGCCCAATCCGAGGTGAAAATTCAGGCTTTTGGTCACGTTTATTTACCACCGGAACTCCAAAAACTAGAAGTGACGTTGTTCTCCATTTACTAATCACGAATTATTATTATTATTATTATTATTATTATTATTATTATTATTATTATTATTATTATTATTATTATTATTATTATTATTATTATTATTATTATTATTATTATTATTATTATTATTATTATTATTATTTTAATGGTAATTGGCTTCTAATGGGAAGGGAAAGAAAGTGAGATATCCCATCAAGCTTATCAAGGTAATGGCAAAAAATTTGTGGGAAATTGTCAGTGCTGTTAAAGCAAGCGTGCAGTTTTTTGAATAGACCTCTGATGTGTAGAAAATATCCTTGAAAGTTCAGCACAGCCATCAGTTGAGTGAAGCGTGGAAGCCCAGGGGCATGCACCGTAATAATAAGTCATAACTTATGCTACACTCACGTATCATGGCAATTACTGGGTAAGCTAGGAGTAGTCCAATAATGCATTAGGTCTTCGAAGACGATGATAAGCTAAGAGTATTCCAATAATTGACTGGATCTTTAAAGGCAATCTCCTTGGCGATTTCAGTTTCAAGAGGCAGTTTTCATCGAAAGTTTATTAATAATTTGCGGAATGTCGAAATTAGGAAGATACATGAAGAATCTAATGAGTAAATGTTCGAATTATTCAATTAAGAAAATAGATATTATGGAAAATAATGATTGATAATCAAGAAGTCACTAGAATGAAACAAAAAGAAAAAAAGAAGAAGAAAAATTATTCATGCCTTAAATATATAATTATTGGCAATTATATTAGTATTAATGTAAGAATACAAAATAAGCACCTCATTTTCTTCCCATAACATGAGCTTATCGTGATCAAAACAGCAAACCGATCCAGAGAAAGGTTTTTCATCGGCAGAGTAGGTTGGGACAGATTAACCGATTGATGATACTGAAAACAACTTTTTGATAGCTGCTCTATTTAATTATCAAACTGGGCAACGAGGCATCAACAAAGGCATAGAGAAAAGAACAAAAAGGTCGGAAAAAGAGCAAATAAAAAGAAAAAGAGATGACCAAAACAAGAGGAACATGACCAAAACAAAACAAAAAAACTATGATGGGAAAAATAATATAGCTTTGAAACACCCCAATGAAAATGCCAGCAAAGGAAACAAAAATGGTTCCATCATAACTTCTTTCAAAAGATATATGGAAAAAAAAAAAAAAGTGACAAGCAGAACAAAAGAAAGCCTTATTCAAACACAAAATAAAAGAGCAGCAAAATTAAAAAAGAATGAAAAGCGGAGAACAAAAAAAAAACAAAAACGGTACATGTAGGTCAAGATTATCTAACATTGGTCAATCTACTTTCTCTAGTTCTAAATTGAGTTTCCTCAGTTTGAATACTAAATTGAATAGTTTGTCCCATTCTTGCAAATGCCTTGCTTGGACCCTTTTCACGGTTAACAATAACCACACACTTTTTCTTATCACTAAGTATTTTTTGACCGGCCTTTTCCACATATTCGGTACCCTTCTTTATTCTCAAAGGCAAAATGATGATTTTTACTTTCAAAGATCTGCTGCCCGCCAACTTGGCTGGAACAACCGTGTAGATACTATTAGATTCGAATTTCACCTTCAGAACACTACCTTCCTTAAGTCGTAATGCTAATGAATTACGAATCAATGTCTGAACATCCTCAACAGACAAGAATGACTCGTACCTAAATTCCTCCTCTGAAGAGCTGGTAGAAGAGAGGGTTGAAGATACCGATGATGAAGATGATGATGGCACAAAATTATTGATGACTTTAGAAAACCAACTTTGCTTCACTTTTGGATTGGTGATGATAGATTCGGACATAGTCTTGATTGAAGGAGCCTTAGAGCCCTTAGATTCAACAATATCAGTGTCAACCAGAGGAGCAAGATCCACGGTTGGGCTGGTAATCGTTGATGACGACCCATCAATATCAGACTGTTCATTTTTCTCAAGACTACCGAGCTTGGCTTTAGCTGTGATAGTGGAAGGTTTGATCATAGAGCCTTGGCTTGTCTTTGATTTTTGGTCAACAGTGTTATTATCTTGAGTTTTCTTTTCTCCAGTAATGCCAGCAACGGTGGTGCTAGTAGTGGCAGTGGTAGGAGTACCAGGTGTGGCAGAAAGGGAAGTAAATCCTGAACCGGTGGTGGTGGTAGTGGTGGCATTAGCCTTGACTACAAGATTATTACTCTTAGCAACCACAGACTTAACACTGGTTTGAGTATTCTTGGAAGAGGTAGTGATTGTGGCAGTGGTAGAAACTGGGGATGCTACCGAATTCTTAGACAGAGGAGGTTTCGGAGCGTCACGCTGAGGAATCAATGAGATTTTTGCATTGGAGGTAGGCGGATTACTGGAGCCCTTGATGATACTGGAGTTTTGAGCCAGCTTGATTTTATCGGTGGTATGCTTATTATTCAACTCATTCTTCTTCTTCCCTACAGCAGACTCCTTGATCTTAATATCATTTGTAGCTGTTGCCTTGCTTTTGTCAAAGTCAAAACTGGAAGCAACAGAAGTCAGATCGAATTTCTTAGCTACTGGAGATTCTGTAGAACTCAGAGTCACATTCTTGCTCTGAATAAATGATTGCAACCCCGTGGTGTTCGGATCGGTCTCATTGCCGTAACCTTCCTCAACGATAGAAGGAGATCTAGGACCAGCCATTCCTGCTGTGCCATATTGTCCAAACGCAAAAATCGTCTTCTTACCGGTATCACTCATTCTGGAATCAGTAGAAATGATTGAATTGCGCTTATTAGCACCAAAATTGAAACTGAAAGTGCTACTGGTATTAGTCACTTCACGAGCCATAGTTTCCACTGCATCTTGATACCTACTTTCATTGTCTGTATTTGTGGTGGTTGTAGTGATATTAGTCATTTCACTTGCAACAGTCTTAGTTCTGTCCATTGCTTTCTTTTTGGAGGGACTTGCACTCCCTGAATGGCTTTGGCTTAGTTGTCCCATTGGTATAACATTCTTGTTTTTAACAGCTTTGTTTGCCTTTGAGAACTTCACTGGCGAATTCCCAGTATCGTCAACTCTATTATGATCGTCACCGGTAGTAAAATCACTGATGGCTCTTCTTTGTTTTAACTTTTCTGGACTTCCAGATTTGACATCACCATCGCCTGCGAATAATGACACACTGCGATGTTTTTGGTCACCTGTAGCACCTTGCTTCAATCTTTGGTTCTCTAATTCTAGTTGTTGGGCTTTCTTTACCATCATTTTGACTTTCTCGGTTAATTCATTCGCCCGTTCTATTGCCGCCACACGTTCCTCTTCACGACGACGATCTTCTTCAACTCTTTTTTGATATTCAATTTCTAACTCCTTATAGTTTGGAAACTGCGAAAACATAGAAGATCTTCTATCTCTATTATTCCCCGTTTTCTTCCCATTGTCTTTATCAAAGCCAAACACTTGTTCACAAAAGAATGCAAAATCAGAGTTAGATAATCCTGGGCCAAAATCACCTGCGCCGAGAACCTTTTTGTGAGTCTTGGAAGAAATAGGAGATTTCTGATTGTTGATAGTATTATCACTGGTATTCTCAGCATCATCATCATTATTGACTATAGTACCTGCCAGACTTGGAGGAGCACCATGCTCTTCAGATCCTGGAACCTTTGGCAAGTCAGGCAAATGCATCCCAGCTGACTTCTTCCATTCTTTCTTCATTGAGTAACGGATATTCTTTTTGCTGGTTGAACTATTCAAAATGGATCTCTTGGACCTAGAGGAGACATTCAGCAATTTTTTGATACTTCCATTGCTATCTCCCCTCCGTTGATGGCCAGCAGAAATCCCGCCACCTATACTACCGGTATGGCTCAATGATTTTCTTTGTTTCTTCTTCGGAGAAGTTAAGCTCTTGCCGCTAGGGGAGTCCGGTAATCCGATTTGATCCAACATGGCGGCATAGTTTGGAATCAGACCAATACTGAAGGCATTAAAACTATCTCTTTTTGAAGCAGACTTAGTCATTCTGGAATTCGAGCGACCTGAATTCTTTTGGGCAGCGCAGGCTTCAGCAGCAGCTTTCTGGAAATTGAAATCATATTGGACTGAGCCACGTTTTGTGTTAGGGGCATTATTTTCCTTGTCCAATTCGTCAAAAGCAATGTTATCAACTGGGGTGGTGACCGCAGGAGCAGTGGTATTTCTGGAAGCCTTGTTAGTAGTGCTTGAAGCGACAACATTATCAATCCCTTGGTAGGTTTTCATATTGTAATTGCTATTGTAACCACTCAAGTTCTTGAAAGACTTGAAGCTATTAGTCAGTTTGGCTCTAGTATGGAAGGTAATACTTTTACGGTAACTAGAAGAAGCAGAAATCACAAGGTTACCGTCAATATCTCTAGTTCTGCGTTTACTGACATTAGCGCCGGAGTTGCCAGCCCCTCCAGCGATATTAGCACTTGTATGTGAGCCAGTGAGGTTGTTAGTGCGCGATGTAGAGTTATCAATTTTATGCAATGAATATTTGGAATTGGCAAGCTTCTTGTATGATGTGCTCCTAACTTTAGCAGCTTTAGACAATGGCTCCTTGGAAATTTGGGTAGTCTTGTTACCATGCTCGTCAGTTATGGTTGTTGAAACAATACTCTTGGATTTTGTCATTGTCAATTTGTTTTGAGAAATCAAATCCCTAGCTGTGGTTTCGCCAGAAGTGGTTTGAACAATTTGCTTCTTTTTGGCCGCCTTGGACTTGGCAGATTGAGCGGCAGCTTCCATTGCGTGTTCCTGACGGTACTTCAACAATAGATAATAAAATAATTTTTCAGCATTTTCTTCGTTGGCCATTAATTTTTCAACAATTTTCGATTTTTTCTCTCCATGCCACAAAGTTTGAAGATTTTTAAGAATTTCCCTATCAATTGTTTCTGGGGCAATAGGTTTTTTCATAATGTCTTTTGGCAATGGTGGTTCCATATAGTTTTTATTTTTCTTGCTAGAGGACGCCAGGTCAGGATATTTTTTTAAGAGAGGATGGACCAAAATTTCTTCAATTGTGATACGTTTAGCGGGATTAACTGTCAACATACGCTTTATTAAATCACGGGCTTCTACGCTAATGTAACTTGGAATTCTGAATATCCCTGAACGAACTTTCGCTAATAATTTAGTCATATGTTCGTCATCAAACGGTAGGTGCCCAGTGAGTAATGCAAAAAGAATAATCCCACAAGACCAAATATCAGAGGGGCCACCATGGTAACTTTCACCAGTAACCACTTCGGGCGAAGCATAATGGGGGGAACCGCATGAAGTATTCAACATCTTATTGGTTACTTCTAGAGCTGCCATACCAAAATCAGCGATTTTAATATTATGGTTACGATCAAGTAATAAATTTTCTGGTTTTAAATCACGATGGCAAATGTTGAAAGAGTGGCAATAGTTGACACCGGCAATTATTTGCTTGAAATAGTGGACAGCTTCACGTTCGGCGAGTCTGATATGCTTAACGAGATAGTTAAAGAGCTCACCTTTTTCGACATATTCTAAAATGAGATATAATTCCCCTTTATTTTCCCAGACATCATAAAGAGCCATGATATTTGGATGGGATATAAGCTTCATGATGATGATTTCCCTCTCGATCCCATCAGTAAGGCCAGCAGCACTATTGCTAGGGTCTTTGAAAGTACTCTTTGGAATAATTTTGACAGCAGCTAATTGGCCGGTTCTTGAATGTTTAGCCAATCTGACACGACCCGTAGCACCACGACCCAAGGTACGACCCAATTTCCAAGGACCAACGTAATTCTTTTTCACCTTTTTAGTGTATGACGATGTTGTTATGGTACTCAATCGTTTATCTTGTTTATCCTTATCTGAAGCTGTGCTGGTATGAACTTGGGATATCAAATGTTCTGGTATTACGATTTCATCTTCCGAAGGGTTGTGGATTGGATCTATATCTTCAAACACATCTTCTGCACCGTCCGCAGCTTTATGGTCATGACGCTTTTGACGCTGACGAGGTTGTTTTATTTTTCTGTGTTGCTTTGACGAAGATTGATCGTGGTGGTAGCTTGAATGGACCTGTTGATGAACAGGTTTTGTAGGGGACACTGGAGTAACATTATTTGCGACAGCGTCGTCCTCTGATGTCGAGATGACTTTTGTATTTGGGTCACCTTCATAATTCATTTCTCAAGCAGCAACCTCAAAGAGTGACAATTTTTGCTGATGCTAAGGTTCTATTGTTTTTTGCTCTGTGTGATTTGTTAAGTGGCCGAGATCTGAAGGGGAGAAACGAAAGAAAAAAAAAATAAAAACAAAATAACAGAGGATAAGAGAATGGAAGGATAGAAGGTATAGCAAAAACTGGAAAAGGGGTGGCAGCTCCTTTAAAATTGGGAGTACTTCCTGATCGATAGAGATTAGAATATGGCGATGACAATAGGTGCAATAAGTCCTTCTTTGCAAGTGGGTGGATGGGGGATCATCAGCGTGTAAATTTCAGAGAAAATTGTGAAAATCCGCTTTAGTGCCGGGTAACAGATATTCGTTGCTGGCGGCACGCAGCAACAACATCCACAATCTTTAAGGAGACAGCGGTCTTCAGCGAGTCTATATGTACGCGATAACTAATATTATATATATTAACAATACCAAATATATGATAGATATCTTTCCCACGTTATCAAGTTTAATACCCATTGATGAAAATAAAATGACCCGTGTGGGAACAGATGGTTATTACTACAAAAGAAATTAAGGATGAGTGAATGCGTTTCATAATAGATGCTATGAGTGTACTTGGGGCACCAAAATCAGGTTTTGTTTCTTGTTAAGGTATATAAATATAAATTAATTTATGAATATATAAATAAAAGGTGTCTGGGTCTCGATAGGGGCGTTGAGTGAGGTCTTTTCGGAACCACTGATGACAAAAATGAGGAATTCCACTAAACCTTACCAAGTGACCCCAGAGAGAGAAGTTTCTCATGTAAATAGGGCATTTATTTCTATTGTTTGATCGATCCCAACTTGTTGCAAACTGCGATTACTATTGTAGCCAACAGGGGGCTCCGCACCCGGTTGGCTCGCTTGGATGCAGGGGAAGCGTCAGCCGCAGGCGTTCTAGAAGCTTAGTTGGCGATATAATGAAAAACATCCCTGTTGATCTGTAATAAACAGGGTCTTTATTGGGAGAAACCGTAGTGGAAAGGACAAATTAGAGACCGAAATATTTTTGTGCATTGGTTTTTTTTTCATTATCTCAATCCTAATAAAGTTCCATAAGGGAATACTTAAAACAGGGGGATAAAAAGTGAAACAGCAGACAATAGGAAGCTAGGAAGCTAAAAAAGGTAGAAGAATGAAAAATTGAAAATCGCACACTTGTAACAAGAAAGTATGCGTATCAACGTGAAAATAAGCAAAAACCGTTGGCTCACCAGTGTACCTAATATCACATGCGATTGGGCTTCTTCAGATCTGTTGTTTTCTATCTATCTGTATGTATTTACAATGTAAGTTTTCTTTAGACATCGCTATTTGAGAGGGGAAATATATTTACGAACAGTTTACTGTGGTAATGTACTTTTTTTGTCATGACATATGTCGACCTTGTTTTGATTTTGATCATTAGCTTTTTGAAATTTCTTTCTCTGCTTATTCACAAACTTCATATAAGAATACGAATATGAACCCTCGCCAAAGAAAAAAAAAAAAAAAAAAAAAAAAAAAAAAAGACAAAAAAATAAATAAACATAAAAAAAAGACAAGCAGAATAAATAACTAAGTAAAAAGAAGAGAATATATCTTATTGATTGCCTTGTCTCTCCAATTTAATGTGAACTGGTACGCTGCATATACTAACCGCACCCATATTTTCCAACATCGATGACCATCTTTAAATGCGCCTTCAGGAAGAGTGAATAGGATAGATAATGTTCATTCAGTGAGAACATAACGCGGTTCGCGCTGAAATCCTTCAATAAACTGCATGATTTTGGAACAGTAATGATCATTAACATAAAAAATAATGCATTTGGTAGCGATGGGACTCGCAAACCCCATCCAGTATGTATAAGGGGAGCTTCAGTCTAAACTCATCAAAAGTATATAGAGAGAAATACACTATTCAATATTATTTTAACGTACAGATATTGCGTTTACATACTTAATTTGCAATCTCAATAAAAAATTAATACAGGAAAGCTATTTAATCATCAAAAAAATAAAGAGGAACAGAACTTATAAAACAATATCCTTTTCAAGATTATCCAAAAAACAACAAAGTTCTTTAAGCTTCTTCGCTCAACAATGGGGCCCGCTCCTCGCGCTCAATAGTCACCATGAAACTCGTTCCATAACCTACAAAGGCAATCAATGAGAACAAGGCCAAAATTCCTGAAATGATAAATGCAAAGATCCATTGCAATGCAAAAACTTTCGTGGCTATTTGACCAATACCCAATCCAAACATTAATAAACTTGACAGTAATCCAATGGCCCAATCTCCAAAGAACACAATGAACAACACTGGCACGAATAAGAAGTTCCAAATGAAAATATTCGCCAAGATTCTCGCGATAAGCCCAGTGCTGCTTCTAAACACTGCCGCACCATTCCAGAATATCAAATACAAAAGCCAGGAAAATGGTAATGCCGCAGTGGAAACGTGGATCAAAAAATAGTCGGAGAATTGCAGGGTGATGTACGTCTTGTGGATGATAATCAACAGCGTAATGTTCAAGAAATTGGCAATCGCCAACAACTCTGCGAAAAAGTAATATCCTTTTCCAAACAATATTGTCCAGAAGAAAGTAATCGTATTGAACGCCATAAAATGGTTGCTCGCAAGAAACGCCTTCGATTGTCTCGGATCCTCGTGCTCTCGTTCTTCAGATACAAAATATCTAATGATGAATAAAGCTTGGAACAAAAACATTACCATCCAGTATAAAAAGACAATAATAATGCTCCCAGTGAATGGAGTCAACCCCACGTCAAATGGATCATTTTCATTTATGGCTTTCCCAAAAACCAAGTATCTCAAAGTTGAATACGCGGAAAGAATAAGCGTTATTGTTGTGAGAGCAGTTGTCGTATGTTTTTTTTCAAAAGAGTAACTAGGCATGATGTTTTATAATTCTGATGTGTTGTGCCAATTATGAAATAGGGTTATATTATTAATGAATGCTCTAAATTAAAAATCTGGTAATGGGCGATTTGGGATCTTTTTATACCTTGCACAGATATCGGTAGCAACTATTGCTCTTCTTGTATACCGGATCGGTGTCCGCTCTATTGTGTCACATTATCTTACCTGGTAAGGATTTGCACGCGCAAAATACAACAGTTTTTTTCTTTTTTTTTTTTCAGTGTATAATCATGCAAATCTTACTCAAAATATGGGACCTCTCGACACAAAAAATTGTATATATAATTAAGCTGGGGTTACGGATCTGTCAAAAAGTGTCTTTTTCCTTTTTATTCTGCCTATTAGTATACCGTGGTAATGGTATATTTACGCGCACGTGAATTTTTTTTTTTTTCTTTTAATTTTTTTTTTTTTTTGTGAAAATTTTCGATGAGCTTCTTGAGTAATATCAGAACTTTCAAGAAATCATTAATTTATCAAGTTTAGAAGAGGATTTTTTTTTTCTTTTTTGTGATTAATTTTTCCTAGTTATTCTTCATTGTTTCCTCACTATTTTGTATATTTTTGTTAGTTTTTTTGTTGTTTCCATTTCATTTCATCATCATTCATAATCATCACCATGCCAAAAGAAGATACCAATTCCAAAAAGAAATTTAACTCAAAAAAACAAGGCAATAAGAAGCCAAACAATAAACCATCAGAGGAAGGCTCTGCTAAGCTCAAGAAGGCCAAGCGTGATTTGAGCAGACTTCTCAAAAAACCAGATTTACCAGCGGATATACGTACCGCCAAAGAACAATCACTTCAAGCGATCGAACTCCAACTTCAAGCATTGGAACATGTGAGAAAGACCAAAGAGTTGGCAAGAAGGTATCATATGGTGCGTTTTTTCGAAAAAAAGAAGGCTATTAGAAGATATAAACAAGTAAAGAAAGAAATGGAAGACCTTGAGAAAAAGACTGACAAAGAAGGTGAGGATTCCAACGCAATGAAAAAAGAATTGAAGAAACAGAGAAAGAAGCTCGCCCAATACGAACTCGATGTATTATATGTGGTAAATTTCCCAAAAGATCAAAAATATTTGGCATTGTTTCCTAACGAAGGGGCCAAGAAAGCTATCACTGATGAACCCAAGCAGGAACAAGCGAAAACTGATAAGGAAAGATTAGATATGCGTAAAAAGATTCAAAATATGGCCAACGAGGGCAAGTTACCAGTATCCTTGGAGGACATTCTTAGTGGTAATGTGGATCATGAAAAATTGATTCAACATCAACAACAAGGATTCAAATTGGCAGAACCAGACAAGATCCAAAAACGCAAGACTAAAGCGCAAAGTGCCGCTGATGACAATAACGATGAGGAAGATGACTTCTTTGAATGATTGCAGTATTTTGTTTGCCTATTGTTATATTTTTTTTCTTGCTTATTCGTTTGTTTGTTTGTTTTCATAGAAGATTCATTTTTTGATAATACACATGTATAATAGTTTTCAAGTTGCAGAATGTGTAGAATCTTCAGACCTTTTCTTTTTTTTTTTTTTGTTTCCCTAATTTCAAATTGTCGTCAATCTCAAATGTTGACAGATCAATCCTACTTATTCTTTTGTGAAACTTTTCCAAATAAAACTGAATTTAGCGAGCACAAAATACAAAACTATCAAAAGGAAATCATGCATATCTTTCTCAGGTAAACCTATCCAATTGAATTGGTTATCAGTGTTGAAATTACTGATGGTATTCATCAATACTGCATACATTAACAAGCAAAAAAAAAAAGCAATAATTATAGAATAAACAACTGGAATATAAATAGCCAAGGAAAATAATTCCACGCGAAACCAAAAAAAAAAAAAGAAAAAACATTGCAAACTTTCAAATAAAAGAGTGTTTCATAGCATACTGAATATTCATTGCATCATTAACACAAATCACGCTCAATTCATGACCTCTTAATTGCTTTGGAATATTGAAAACTCCGGCAACAACCCCTTTCTTCCCTTCGAACGTAGGATTGGCTCTCTTGATCAAATACAATTCGTTTTCTTCTTCATCGCAAATCATAAAGAACCATCCTTCCTTTTGTGATTTAGGATACTTGGCACACCACGCCTTAAAAGTGCCATTGAGCGGTTGATTATCATGTTCAACAATGACTTCCAACTGTTTCCAATCCTTTTGGGGAACAATCCGCATTTTTCCGGTAGGCAAGCTGGTGGCCACTTTGTAGAATTGATCAGCACGACGGTTAAGTTTCATGATTGATAATTTGGACATTTGTTGTTTTGTCATCTTACCAAGCTTCTCCAAAGTCAACGAATCACCATCTTTCGCTCCCGATAATGGTTTGATCTTAAACCCTGGCAAGTTGAAAACTGGATCATCATCAAACCAATGGCCCTGTTTAACACACCACATCAAACTGATAAACATCTTAACCGCATTGAGGTATCCACATTCCGCAGCCATGTCAATGTACGCTTGAAGAATACGAAGCGCTTGGTCAAGAACGGTGACCGTGTCTTGGGCATAATCGGCAATTGGCAATTCAATACGCGACATATACGCTTGAAGCAATAAGAATGTTTTCACATGAGGATCCCACACAGGTAAGCCTTCAAAATGATCTTCAAATTGGTGTCTCATTTGTTGGGACAATTCTGCATTAATGAGCTCTTCACCATGACGAGTTGGCAATTCATTATATTCGACAGCAGAAGAAAGAATCTTGAGACAGTGGGCAAATGTTGGAGTTTGCTTGATTTCATCAAGGAAAATACGTACCGTCTTATGAGACATATAATAATAAGACGAAATTTGTAAGAACGGAGTGGCGGTGACCACGACCTTATTGCTCTTATTCAGAAGTTTCACACATTTAGACTCTTTCAAGTTTTTAATACTGCTGTCCACAAGATCCGTCAAATAATCACTGGCGCCGCCGTCGCTAGTATCCTCAATACCATAATAGGTCGGATTGTTATAAACTCTGCGGAATAAGAAAGTCCAGGATAAGAAATCTAAAGCCTCTTGTTGAGTAGTAATAGTTCCCGAAGCAATTTCGGCACCAATATGATCGTCGAGCACTTTATGTAAGGAACTTTCCACTGGGAAACCAACGTTCAAGAAATGCTTATAGAAGGTCTTTTTCGATTCCTTGGTATAGACAATCGCAATCCCGGTAGTATCGTAAGCAGGTCTACCAGCACGACCCATCATTTGCAAGACATCGGTCAAATCCATATCACGATAGCCCTCAATTTTCGCGTCAAAGAATTGGGTACCTTTAATAATAACCAAATGGGCAGGCAAATTGACCCCCCAAGCCAAAGTGGAGGTGGCAACAAGAATTTGGATCTTATTTTGCTCAAACAATCTATGAGATATTTTACGATCCAGATCAACCAACCCAGCATGATGTAACCCGATCCCAAACTGTAAAGACAATTTCAAAGTATCATCCTTAACTTGAGCTAGAATATCTTCGAGTTCTTCTTCGTCCATACGGAGGAATCTTTTTGGATTATCTTCCAATCCACAAAGGTGAATCAAATCAAGTGAGGTCAATCTCGTCTGTCTTCTAGAGGCAACGAAAATAAGCACCGGTTTATTTGGTGAATGTTGCTTGATCGCCATAAATGCCGGCTTATTCATCTTCTTCATGAGCGGGCAAAAGGCAAGATTATCTGGGAACCCATCAATATACATTTGTAAAGGAACTGGACGCACCGCTTGTGGGAAATTAAATAAAGCATCCTTGACACCCAACCAACTAGCCATATCCATGGCATTAGACACCGCGGTAGACATACCAAGCAATCTAACAGGTTTTTGAGTTTTTGAAGAAATGTAATTCATACGACTGACAATCATTTCAAGAATTGGACCACGATCACTTGCCAATAAATGGATTTCATCCATGATAACCAAAGAAACTTGTTGCACAAACTTTCTGGTTTGCCAGTTACGTGAAATACCATCGAATTTTTCAGGAGTGGTAACAATGATCGACGCGTCTCTAACTTCACGGGCTTCCGGAGTAGAATCACCAGTCAATTCAACGAGTTTATACTTAGTGTTAGCGCTAATTTTCGCACGCCAATCATCGACTCTTTCTCTGACCAACGCCTTCATTGGGGCAATGTAGACGATTTTAGAACCTGGGAAGTCTCTTAGAGCATGCCAGATTGCCAATTCGGCAGCGATTGTTTTCCCTGAACCAGTCGGAGAGCCCACGAATGCTGACGAGTTGCTATGGTACAAGGAATGGAACACCATCGTCTGCATACCGTTGAAGTAACTGAATTTAGGGTTGTAGATTTTCTCAATTTGTGGATTGTGTAAAGCAGAAACCGGCAAGGGTTGCAATTTGAGTAATTTTGAAGTGACCGTTTCATTACATGGACGAATCAAATGTTGGAAAGAAACCATATGGCTGGTTTCTGAGCCGATCCACGAATCAGATACCGCACTAACAACGATCTGAGAAGGTAATGGATCAGATAATGGGATCATGAATTCCAACTTATGAGGATTTTTGAAGTTTCTAGAATTCAATAATAACTTATCAAAATGTAAAAGAGATGAGCTAGAGTTCGATTCCACAAAAATCCAAAAGAATTGGATGGTGCCATGGAATTTATGATCCCAAACAAAATCAGGCTCAATTGTAACACTAACTCTCATAACATTGGCGGTCACTGGGAAAATTTCCGCATCAATGAACAAGCTAGGGAAACGATCCACCAATCTACCCAATGTTTTACCCATACCTTTATTATGAACCAAGTCGCCGATCTCCCCAAAATCCATTGACTTCAAACTGTCAATAGATGGGTTCTTGTTTCTAAGAACTTTCATAATTTGAGGTTGGATATTGAATTGTGATAATGGATGTTCAAAATGCCACATTTGTTTATCGATACTTTTACAAAGAGACAACATCACTCTACTCAATGACCCCCAGCGACGATTAATACCAATAAACAATAAAGCTCTGCAGATTCTGGCAGAGTTTTGAGCGATATAATTCATATCTGATGATAACGCAGAGTTCTTGACTACCGACTTCGATATAAAAGATTGCAACAAAATATTGGTCTTCGACAGCGGGGTGCTGATCTCACCGGATACTTCACAGGCAGTTTCACCTTCCATTCTTTTCAACTCGTCTTCTTCTTCTGGTCTGAATGTAATGCCATCAAATTCACTACTGACACTGATCATGGCCAAAACGTCGGCCTCAGTAGCCCTAGGACTCAAAACTTTGTTGAAAACTTCGACAGTATCACTCAAAAGATAAAATTCGGAAGCGATTCTTCCCAAATCTTTGGTGATGAAAGCAGAAGATCTTTCATCAAACACAATCATTTGCAAAGAGTGCAATCGTCTTGCGGCGTTAATGATCATTTCCCGTCTCTTACCAATTAACTGGGGGTCATCCTGCAAATCTCTCCAATCTAACCCGTAAGAGAATGGATTTTGTCTCATTCTCACAAATAAGTAAGTATAACCTAACCAACGGACACCTTCGTCAACATTCATGACGGTACCGAGGGAAATTTCTGCATTCAAGTTATCCACCAACTTACCAGCAAACTTAGATTCGATAGGATGTTGTTGGGTGAGTAAGTCCAAATAATGATCTAACTTATTCATTGCGGTAAACAAAATACTGGTACCATATTTTTCAAATTGTGGTCTACCAGCTCTACCGAAAATTTGAATCACGTCTGAAATTCCTAAATCAGTGAAGCCACCCTTCTTTGGATCATAAACTTGGGTCCCTTTAATCATAACTGTGGAGGCTGGTAAATTGACACCCCACGCTAAAGTCGCAGTACAAACTAACACCTTGATGGAACCAGCAGCGAACATTTTCTCCACTAAGTTTCTATCGGTACGAAGCATACCAGCATGATGAATACCGAAACCATCACGGAAAATATCCTTCAAATCTTTACTTCTATCCTTTTTCATGACTTCTTTTTCGAAATCATAAAATTTACTATTTTCTTCACAGTCAAAGATAGGAGAATCACCATATTGACGTGCTAACCCAATATAATCTCTGGCGGTGTTGATAGTTTCTTTTCTGGAATGAACAAACACCATAACTTGGTTACCGTCCTTGACGTATTCCGCCAACTTATCATAGGAGATTTCTGTTAAATTTTCTCTATTTTTCCTGAAATCATTATTCGGTTGTCTAATACCAATAATTTCTTGTCTCAATGGTAAGGGTCTAAAGTTCAGATCAAAATAATACATCCCAACTTGTCTATTGACCCCCAAAAAGTCCGCAACATCAACATAATTAGGTAAAGTGGCGGATAAACCAAGAATACGAATCATAGATTGGGTACTTTCCACCTGTCTAAGGGTTCTCGCCACCAAAGTTTCGATAACAGAACCTCTATCTTCATGCAACAAATGAACTTCATCAATAATCAACAACTTTACTTTAGAAACAAGCTCGTCGTCCCCAGTTGACTTTCTGGTGACCACATCCCATTTTTCTGGAGTGGTGACAATGATTTGGGTATTCATGATTTCCGTCTTTGTCAATTGCATATCACCGGTCAATTCACGTACTTGAATATTAAGCCAACGCAATTTCGTAGAGAATTTTTCAACAATTTCTGCAGCAAGGGCTTTCAATGGAGCAATATACACGATTTTAAAATTGTTATAATCGATATCGATTTTCAACGCGCCCTCTTCAGTGACATTTTGGGTGGTGAATTGTTGAATGGTATGCAAAATCGTCAATAGAGCGATATCTGTCTTACCGGCACCAGTAGGCGCACAAATCAACATATTTTCATTGGTCTGATACGCCACAGGATAAACCAAAGATTGCACTCTATTCAAGGATTTATAACCTTGGAATGTATTGATACAAAGCGGATCCAACTCTTCAATGTAAATCAACCCATGCGAACTGACATACTTTGGCTTGTCTTCATTAATTGGAATAACCACCTCTTCAAACTTCCCGAAATTCTTTCTGGTGGTCCCAGGAGGCAACTTGAATTTTTTCCCTGAAATACTGACGGTATTCCCAATGTTTTGAGATTGGGCGTACACATGGGGATACTTCTTTTCGGAAGCAGAATATTCAGTTGGCAAAAGTTTGGCATTTTTGGCGGCTTCGAAATTTTTTTTAATCATTTCTTCTCTTTTGGCAGGAGTTAATAATCTGGATTTTAAACTTGGTTCACCAGATTTTGAGTTGATAGCCTTGTGTTGTTGCAAGATGGATGGTTTTTCTTGAATCAATTTGCCAATCAAATCAAACTCTTCAAACCCAAGAAGATCAAACAATAAACTTTGGATCTGTTCGTCTGAAGTGTTATTTTCCAAAATATCGATCACATTGTTCAATAAACTTCCCTTTTCATGCAAATTCTTTGATTTTTCAATTCTCTCAAAATCTGTCTGGATCTCGGAGAGTAGACTGCAATCAGGATAAAAATCTTCATCCGCTGATGACGACAGTTCCTCGTCCTCGTCTTCTTCACTAATGGAAAAGTCTGTATCCACAATGGTCGGGATTAATTTATCGAACCTTTTAAGCTTTTCTTGAAGAAATTTGTTTTCCTCTTTATCGATTATGGGTATCGAATTGGAATCTGGATAATCTAAGTCCAATTCATTTAGACGGAAGGTCATCTTTCCCATTGCCTCCATAAAGGACTTGGTAGAGTCCGCGTTGTAGGAGGTGGAAAACATGGTCCTATCAATCTAATCTGTATCTTGTTGTTGGACTTTTGCGTTGGATATTTGCAAGTGATAAATCAATGAAGGTTCCCGTTCCCTAAAGGATTTTTTTTTTTATTTATTTTATTTGATTTGATTTTTCTTGCATAAACAAACTTCAAAAGATTATTAATCAATTGCTGCCAGAGAAGAAACCAGAGAAATGTGAAAAAAGAAAAGAACAAAATAAAGTTATTTAATTTTTGAATAGTGTATCAATTTGGTATAATGCAATTTTTTTGTTTCATTTACCAGAGTTGGAGAAAGCACAAAGAAAAAAAATATTGCAGAAAAGATGCATCCAAAAAAAAGAAAGTGCCCTCACTCAGATTCGAACTGAGGATCGCTACATTACTAGTGTAGCGCCTTACCAACTTGGCCATAAGGGCTTCGATATTAGCATTGTTATTAATCTAATTAAGTTGAGCCATTTATTCAATGGGGGTGCCACACCCCCATTAACTTCATGTTATATTTCCACATTGCACTTTTTTTCCTTAATAATCTTGATTGCTAAGTTTTTTACCGATGATGTTATTCATCATTGAAGCAAGGAGTGTGATTTCGTGAGAAAGTTATAGTATTTTACTTTACCTAATAGAAAGACCAGCATAAAGTGCCCGGCTTGCATGTATTTAAAACCTCTGTGACTTGTCAATATACAATTCATTCATTCATAATGTTATTATTTCCCAATGATAGTAAAAAATCGCTTGACATAGTATTGGTGCTCTTATGAAATATTATAAATGTTATTACTTTTGTTAAGCGATATAGCGTTTACAGCTTACAGAAGTGGCTCAACAACTTCAAGTTTTTATACATTTTATGTGAAAATAAATGCTTTTCCAGAGAATTTTCCCGTTGAAGAAGCCCCTAAAGCTTAGTAATTGAATATAGCTCATTAATGATTTATAATTTGAAAAAAAATATATCATATTACCAACTGATAGGCTTTCCACATTTGCAAATTTTCAAATCAGATTCTTCGCGGGTTTGCAAATACTTCCAAATTCTTGGGCTTAACTTGAGACCTTCTAGGCGGTCTTCAATGCAAACTCTACCAGAGCAGGTTTCTTTCAAATTCCTTAATTTATAAGAGGTTAATTTCCAGCAAGTAAAGCATTTTTGTAATAGCCATCCAAAGGCTTTGGCCAAATCAACTTGAGTCTCCTGTTTAAAATCAAAAAAGTGGAAATGGGTAAGAGCAGCAAGACACCCGCCAGCTAGATCAACGAAAGTTATGGTGACTTTGTTGTTCTTCGGTTTGGAACCTTTTCCTTTGAGAATAGATTCTCTGAAAAAACATATGGCATCATACACCACTAAATGAAGTTTTTGTAATACTAAATTGAAATTGGATTCCGGAGGGATTTCGAAAAAGAATCTTGTCATGATTTCTAATTCTATCTTTAAACATTCTGATTGAAAATCACACATTTCTGAAGCCAAGGAACATGTAATTTTTTCTGTGAATTATTTCAAGATAACGATTCAGCCGCCGATGTGTGCAAGGAGTTTCTTCCAGTTAACAATTATTTCTTATGACCGAGCTCATCAATGTTGCAATGAAATTAAGGAAGAAAATACGAATTAGCGAAGAAAGAAGAACAAAAAAAAAACTTTTAATCAAAAAACAAGTTGAAAACCACAAAGCAAAGGACGCTTCAAAAAAGACGCCGATTCGAAAAAAAAAAAAAAAAAAAAAAAGAAATTGAGCGTAAATAATGAAATAGAGAAAAGACAATAACTAAAAACCATAAACGCTCACCGTTAAAAAAATTGTATATTTAGGAAAATTAATTCCTGATACTCTGTGGTGGGTCTTAAGATCATATCAGAAACTTCCAGTTTTCAAAATGATGAGCTGCACAGTTATAAGTGGCGTTTTAACAACCTGGACACTAATGATTATTTAATACTTGATAAACCTTTGTTAAACCGATAGAACTGAAATGAAATGAAATGAAGAGTGGAAATGAAAAATGTAGTAAGACGAAATAAATAAGCAACTAGGAGTTTTAGAGGAAATAGAGATGCCTTGTTGAAAATAATAAATTATTCCCATTGATAAACTCTATGATTTTTAAACCAAGGAAACCCAAATTAATCAAGATCAACAAGTTTAATTGTAATTTCACATCACTGAGGGGTATTTTATTAATTTTTTCTTCTCCTGTGTGAAGGATCTTTTCATATGTACTGATATGAATATTATTCAAAAGATTATTGCCGTGATTTTTGGATCCGAAAGTAATTTGAATGTCTTTGTTTGTCAAATCATTAATCATGTTGACAAACGTTTTTAAAAATGTTTCATTGTATAGGAAATCGAAAGTTTTGTTAATAGACTCATCAAGGTTTGGATGATTAAAGTTGACTTTATGGAAGATTTGATATTTGAAAGTATCATCAACAATTGGTGTTAGATGATATAGGTGGATAAGATTGACATTTACCAGTTGTGTTCTATTATTTCCTGGTTGGATTGGGAAAAAATCAAGAGGAACTGAAGTAGCGTTATTAAGGTATGATTCTTCATAATCATCATCATCATCTTCTTCTAGTATACTATCCAAGAATCTTTCATCATTAATGTCTTCCTCGAGGTGTAAATTGTTAAGAATGTTCTTGACGTCTGATTTGTTTTTGATGACATTCTCGAGAAACTCATCTGTCGATTTGGTGTTTTTTATGAAACTGATCAAATCATCGTCCAAATCCATCAATTTATTATTCTTTTGTTTGAGGTTCTTTATATATTTTGCTAGACAATATAGAACGTTATTATAATCATGATTCAATTTCACTATTTTCGAATCGCTTAGTAATAGTAGAGACTTGGTATTGATAGATTGTTGGTCTTCGTTGATACTTCTATAGTTGTAATGGCCAGGAGTATCAAAGTACAGCGGATCAAAATTGACTCCTAGGTCAATATTCTTCAGGGCAGAGTTAACATAAAAGAACCGCGACACATCATAGCTAATATAATTGTAAGTGGTAATGTTGATGGGGATGGCGGATGCAAGAGAAACTAGCACGGCAATAAGAACGGTTTTTGAGAACCTCATGATTCATTAATGAGCTTGAAATATTGTTGATAATGGATCATTCTAATGAAATGACAGTTTGAATAGGAATAATAAAATATCTTAAAAAAAAAAAAAAAAAAAAAAAGTAATACACAATGTGCCAACGGGCTCCTATAAGATGGATAGGGGTATGGTGCATTACTGAGCCGTGGACCATTTATTGAGGGTGACAATGTCGCTGCAAAGCCTAAAAATAGCAAATGGTATTTCCCAGTGCTTTATCGAAATACGGCATAACTATCCATTTTTCTTGTTCTCTTCGATTCCTACAACCCTACAATATATCAAGGCAAGGTCCCCAGTTGACTTTATCGATGTTGGCTGCATAGATAGCATGCAGGTGTGAATCTTATTTGGGGGACTGTCCCGTCATTCTGGTGCTATTGTATAATATCATGTGCTGTTGTGTGTGTATGTGTGGAAATCACCGTTTTTCATTATATAATGTTGTTGCAATTTCTTCCTGACCATACGGTACTTGTTGGCAGTAAAAATATCTCTGTTGATAAACGTCACTACGAGTAACCGCCCTCATCACGCCTACCATGTTTAAACAGGTTCTTAGGTCACTCGCCCATGTTCCGCGGCTGGCAAAACCCGCTGCCCGTCGTTGGTATTCTTCATCAACCAAGTCTGCCTCAACTACTACTTCTACCAATTTGGCATTGACGGTAGGTCTTACCCTTGGTGGGTCTTTGGCAGGTTACTATTTCGCCCAAGCCTCCCAAGCTTCCAGTGGACCTCTCAAATCGACCACCTCTCTTGCTGACCTTAAACCTTTGAAATATGCCGAAGGTGAGTCACTCAAGCGTGGGTTCCAGGAAATTGAAGCTTTGATGAAAGATGACTTCACCCGTTCTCCATCAGAGTTGGAATACCACAGTGATAGCTACTTCAACGTCCACAAAGCTAATCCCGATGAAAAACCAAAGTTAATTGTCTATCCTCATTCCACCGAACAGGTCTCTGAAATCATGAAGATTTGCAACAAGTACAAAATCCCAATTGTTCCATTCTCTGGCGGTACTTCTTTAGAAGGTCAATATATTTCCACCATTCCTGGTATTGTTATTGATTTCTCGAAGATGAACCAAATCCTTCAGTTGAATGCCAGTGATTTGGATGTTTCAGTACAAGCTGGGGTTGGTTGGCAAGAGTTGGACGAATTTTTAAAACCACATAACTTGCTTTTTGGTCCCGATCCTGGTCCAGGAGGAATGATTGGTGGGATGATTGGTACATCTTGTTCGGGAACTCAAGCTTTCAGATACGGTACCATGAAAGAAGCGGTTTTGAACTTGACGGTGGTTTTGGCTGACGGAACAATTTTAAAGACTAAGCAAAGATCAAAGAAATCTGCTGCCGGTTATAATTTGACGGGGTTATTTATTGGATCAGAAGGGACTTTAGGAGTGGTGACCGAGGCCACTTTAAAGCTTCATGCGAGACCTAACGTTGAATCTGTCATTGTGGTGAATTTCGAAACTGTCAAGGAAGCCACGAAAACTGTTGAACAATTATTGATCAATGGCTCATCACTTAATGCCATTGAATTATTGGATAGTAATATGATGAAATGTATTAATGCTGCCGGACAAACCACTAGACAATGGCTTAATAAGCCAACCATTCTTTTCAAAGTGGGTGGTTCCAATCAAGCAATCGTTAATGAGAACATCAAACTCGTGAAAAATGTTACCAAGGAAAACAACGCGATTAGTTTCCAGTTTGCCACTACCGAAGAAGAAAAATTCGAACTTTGGCAAGCTCGTAAATTAGCATTGTTTTCGACCATGGATTACGGCAAGCAAGTTCTTGGTCAAGATGCTAAATTGTGGATCACTGATGTGGCGGTGCCAATCAGCAAGCTCTCGGAGCTTATTGCCGATACCCGTCGTGATCTTAATCAATACGAGGGCAAAGATGGGTGTGTCTTTTCTACGTGCTTGGGTCATGTCGGGGATGGTAATTTCCACTCATGTATTATGTACAAACCTGAAGCTCATGGGATTGTTCAAGCACTCACCTCGAGAATGGTTAACAAGGCCCTTGAATACGAAGGAACCTGTACCGGGGAACATGGTGTTGGTTTGGGAAAACGTCATTATTTAGTCAAAGAAGTCGGGGAAAATTCCATTGACTTGATGAGACAATTGAAGTTGAGTTTGGATCCATATGGGTTGTTAAATTCCGGCAAAGTTTTCAAGATGGATATTAATGATAAACATCCTTGAGGGGGAAGAAAAAAAAAAATTCAAAAATCAAAAAAAAATACCCAGAAAAGTTTAGTTAAGATTTTCAAAAAGGTTTGTATGTATATATTCCATAAACTTTTGCATATTAGAAGTTGGTTTAATTGTTTGTCTTCCATGTAAGCCGTGTCTTAAATCGTTTTTCCTCAAGGTAAGTCGTTTCTGTCTTTTTTTTTTCTTTTTTGTGGATCCCATTCCATTGATTCATATATATAAGAAGGACCATTAAAGAGTGACCATTGAAGAGCGATTATATATTTAATTGTATTTCAGTTTAGCTAGTTAGTTTGAACCAGCTGGTTGAACAAACACACAGGAAATTCCTTCGCCTCAAAAGATTTACAGTATCATGGACTAAAAATTTTATAGCAATTGCAACGAGACTATTCATAATAAATGACTGATGAAATATTATTGGTATTCGACAAATTTAAATTGTATTCACAATATTCAAGTATGTGGGCCATGTATACCGCCTCCACGGGTCTGATGAGATGAGGCTGGGGGCTGCAAACCGCAGGAAAATTTTTTTTTATTTTTTCCTTTCTTTTACTGTGAAATTTTATTAGAGTAAATTCTTATAATACACTTTCAGGTATAAATCAGTTTAAACAGGCGCAAACTATTTTACAATGGCCAAGAAGTCACAAGTTAAGAAACAACAAACTGGTGCTGCTACCAAGAAAACCACAGTGAAGAAGACTGCTAAGGTAACACAAGCCGAACCGGTCGAAGATGAATTGAATCAAGATACTCTTAAATTGCAAGAATCCAGCGACGAAGAAGAAGAAGGGGAAGGAAACGATGAAGATTTTGGTGGGTTCTCCAGTACCGATGATGAGAAGGATGATGAAGAAGAAGAAGATGATGATGATAATGAAGAGAGTGGAGATGACGAGGAGGAAGAAAGTGAAGAACAACAGCCGCCACAAAAGAAAAAGAACACAACTAAACATGAGGTCAAGAAACCAGTGAAGAAAACCACCCAGGCCACCACCATTGCCAATATCGAAAAATACAAGCGTGGGATCATGTACATTGGACGTCTTCCAAAACAAGTGGAAGAAAAAGATCTCAAGCGTTATTTCAAGCAGTTTGGCCAACTTTTGAACGTACGGATCGCCCGTAACCGTAAGACTGGGGCGTCCAAGCACTACGGTTTTATCGAATTCCAAAACTACGAAGTGGCAAAGATTGCCCAAGATACCATGAACAACTACTTGTTGTTTGGCCATTTATTGAAGTGTGAGTTGGTAGATAGCAGCAACGAATCGGCTGAAAAATACTTGGGATTATTCAAGACCAAGAACAAGACTTTCAAGAAGATCCCATGGGCCAAGATCTCCAAGCATAAATTCGAAAAAAGCAAGACCGATGTAAAATGGAAGCAGTTGAAAAAGCAACACGATGATAAAGCTAAGGCTAGATTAGACAAATTGAAGGATGCAGGGTTCAACTTTGACTTGGTAAAATAAGAAGATTTCTCCAAGGAGGGGGGTTTATGATTTTATTTTATTTTCTTTTATCTTTCTTTTTTTTGTTATAAAGCTTGTTTATAATGTGATGTCATTATTATTATTTCTATTTATTGAATCGGTATATTATTGAAAAAGATCAAGCGAAAAAAAAAAAAAATGTAGAAAGAAAAGATCAACTATAATTGCCTTTAAAATAACAAGAGTGATTATTTACCCCATCTTTAATTTGTAAATGGAATGACAATAATAATAATAAAAAAATGATTGTTGAAAAGATCCGGTAGTAGAAAGCAGAGAATAATTATAAGAACTGAACAAATATCTAACAAGCAATTAATCTAAAAACGATAAAGTTTTCTAAAGAATAACATGAAAAAAAAAAATCTAATAAAGAAAACCAATGCAAAAATATTTTTCCATAAAAGCAACAAGAAAAGGAATCACAAACCAATAGAGTCATCATAATAGTGTAAAAAATAGAAGTGATAGTAAATGAAAGAAAAAAAAGAAAAAAAGAAAAGCACCCTAATATGCTTCAGTAGCCGCAAGCTTATAATTTTCTGTACCCTGGCGATATGCATTATATCCGTTCTTCCAAACTTCTCCAAAAAATTCATAGACCATTTGTCTATCGTGTTCATATTGAACGAATATCCCACCATCGTCTACCACATCACTCTTAATGACATTTATACCCTTGGTGTTGAAAACAAAACCTCTTTCCGCTTTGCCTTCTCCCAACGCATCACCCTTCTGTACTGTTGAGCTAGTAAGCTTATCACTGGCACAGTATTTGAACCCAAGACATTCGTTCACCATTCTCCAGCCCTTAAGATGTGGGCTTATACGAAGACGACCAATGTTTTCTTTTGGTGGCGGAATAAGGACACCATACACCGATATAGGCTCATTATAAAAATCTTTAAGGGCTTGTCTTCCTTCGGCCATTTGAACTTCAGAAAAGCCACTGACATCCCCTTTCTCATCAGGGGCCGCAGTGGGTGAAGTTGGAACATCAGTAGTGGTACTTTTATGTCCCAAGAAAAGTTTTTTATATTTGATGAGATTGATGTCATCTTGGTAGGCTCTGCTTTTTTTACAATTTTTGAACCCGGAATTAATCCAGAGTAAAGTAGCATTATCATGGTCAGCAATATGGGCCGGTTGAACAGAACAAGCTCTTACTTGATATGAATAACCGCTTCTCCCGGCAGCAGGTTTGGTGATCAAATTACTAGTGGAGTTGGTGCCAAGAATGGCACCCGCACCATTAGCATTGAATTCATATGTTTCATCCCCCATCATTGCCATACCAATCCAATAAGTTTCTTTATCACCCCAGACTTTCTCCCCCATGAGTTTTTCCCATAAACGTATCTGTACTGCGGCAAACATTCCAGAAAAGTGAGTGGAACGCGAATAAGCCATAATCCCCGATTCCATAAGATGTTTGAAATTATGAATAGAGAAAAGACGGCTTGATAAAGTTTTGGAAGTGGTTTCAGGAATCCCAAAAAAGATTTCATCGTATATGGTTGGAAGGAGTTTCTTGAAAAGTTGAATATCTTCGGCAAGAATGAAATCTTCGGCAAGTCTATCTTTGAAGAAATAGGTGCCGGAATTCTTATAGTGAGGCGATTGGAAAAATGTGTTTGGTGACACAAATGGGATAGTGTCGGTATCCATAAGAAGAATTTCATCAAAAGAGTTGAATATAAGGGCAAGATATTTGTTCAGATAGGCATCGAAGAATTGACGATAATCCTCAGCGACAGATTCCGAGGTATCCACGAACCAAATTTCCTGTTTTGGATAACTGAGGTCAACAGGACCATCAGTGACATATTCAAGATGCTTGTGATATTGTTTATGAAGGTCTTGAATTTTGCTTTCTTCAGATAATTCATCACGAGCCACTTGGACAAGCAATTTTTGGAACTTTGGATCCAAGTCGCCTTTATGAATGATCTGAATTGGTAAATGATTGTTCAACACTCTCAAGATTTTGAGCAATGCTACAAGATCATCGAAATGGGAGTCAGATGCTGAGAGCACAATACCACGGCCATTCATTTGGGAGCGAAATTTGTTGACCCAACAATTATCTTCTGATTTAGGAATTAGTGATCCGATATTTGATTCTGGATATTCGTAATAATCATTCATCACTGGAGGTTCTTTGACTACTTGACCATCCCATCTTGTGAAGGTTGGCATGGTATGAGATAGCCAAGGGAATAATGTTGATTCGATTTTTTCGCACATACTGGAGTGTTCCTTTTCTTTAGTCATATAGCTAGTGGCGCCACGCTCAGCAGCCTCTCTCTTTTCATGACCATTCTCATACGAATCAAAGTCTTCGTAATTACTGTCATAGATCAAACTATTGACGGTATCAGTGATGAAGTTTCCAAAAGAGTCAAGCTTTTTATTAACTTCTCCTTTGAGTCTGTCAATGATCAGGACTAATTTATTATATTCATTTAATTCTTTGTCCACAGCATTGGAATCGGACCCATCATCAATTAAAGCACCACTAATATAACATTTATCAAAAACTCTAAAGTGGGTGATGATATCGATCAAGAGATTTTCGGTTGCAATGGTACTGTTCTTCATGGCAAGATAATCTCTCATTAGACCATTCATTTCATCGGGGGTGATCAGGGATTCATCTTCAGTTTTTTGTTTTTCTTCAAGCAATTGATCCTTAAGTCTATTAAGATACCTATCTTCAAGAAACACCCCGGCGTCATGAGGTAAATCATTAATGTTTACCCCGTTTTGATATAAGGAGTTCCAGTTGTCACCTTTTTCGTCATACAATGTCCGGAAATAAAGATTACATTTATCGATGGTGGAATAATGTAAAAGGAAATCCGGGCCATGGACATCGAAGAGTCGTTTATAATGAGATGATGGGATCTTGTAGCTCTTGTTGATCAAGTTCTGGATAAGGTTGGCGTTGATATGGTATTCGGATTCATCAGATAGTGATCCAGTGACCTGAACGTTAATGTTTTCGGTGGCAGACGACAGACCATAGAAGAATAATTGGAGGGCGGAAAGACCAAACAAGAAAAGTAAAAGAAGCTTTATCCTTCTATTGAAAGGGAAGCGTCTTATCATGTTATATTTCTGTACTTTCTTTTATGTAGGACGCTTTCCATACACACACACACGCACAAACTACTAAATCTCGCTTTGCACCAAAAAAAAAAAAAAAAAAAAAAAAAAAAAAAAAACAGGGAACAAACAGCAAATGCGGCAAGGATGTCGCGGTGTTCGAATGTGGGAATGTGATATTATGCGGTGTGTGGGTTTGATGTTGCATCACCGTGGTGCTGGTGTAAGGGTGCGTGGCTCGCCACTGGTGCCGAGCCCTGGCACGCGCAGAGTGTTTCTGTTATAAAAAGGCGATGGAGGAGAAGAAAAATTTATTGATTTCTTACGCTGCGCAGATGTTCTAAAACAATCAACAGATGGACAATATAATAACAAATGGTGTGTGTTTGTCACGTATGAGGACATAGTGCCGGAGACACGCCTTTTGTAATTGTTTTTTTTTTATTTATTTGTTTGTTTGTTTGTTTGTTTGGGACTATATCTTCATAACCTTGCCATTATAAATAGGAGGTTGTGTTAAACGAATCCCATAAATTGAACCGCCTGTTCTTAGAGAAAATCTTTTATACAACCCACAAAATATTTTTTTTGAAGGCAGGCAACATCATTGATCTTGGCTTGGCTGTAGTGGCCCTGTAATTCCACCACTCGTAGGAGGTCATTATCATTATCATCATCATCATTACTTACTATTACTACCACCATGTTAAGGGTTGGCGGCTATCCAAAACCCGGATTATTTCCAAGCACCTTTCTGCACCTCTATGTACAAAACACATGATTACGACCGCAAAGCGCTATCACAGGGTGCGACACCCGATAACCGCCGGGTAACCGAGTCGAACCGACAGGGAGGACACACAAAAAAAAGCAGACCACCCAGCAGCCAATGACAGCGGGCCAATAATCAAGCAGGCAAATTCTGGTGCGGTCTGAAAAATTCTCTATATTAATACTACTAATTATTTCACCATCCTTCCTGTACAACCACCAACCATAACATCAATAATAACAACAAGCACCATCGTCATGTTTGCCCGTCGTATTGTTCAATCTGTTAAGGCCCCATCCACCATCTCCAAGAGATTGGCATCTACTCGTTCCTTATCTAACGCTGTTATTGCTGACATCAACACCAGATGGGAAGACTTGCCAGCCGATGACCAACAACACATCGTCCAACAGTTATCTGACAGACAAAAGCTTCCATGGGGTGAATTAACTCCTGCCGAAAAGAAGGCTTCCTGGTACATTTCATACGGTGAATGGGGGCCAAGAAGACCAGTCCACTCCAAGGGTGATGCCGGCAAGATCTTTGGCGGTGTCGTTATTGGTTTGGGTACTGCCCTCGGTATCTTCCTCGCGGTCAGAGCTGTCTCTGGCCCAGCCCCATTAACAATGAACAGAGAATGGCAAGAAAAATCCGATGAATACCTTAAATCTAAGAATGCCAACCCATGGGGTACTTACTCTCAAATCCAATCCAACTAATTGCATTAGAAAGATTTTGTTCATTCATATTACAACCACTAAACAAACATTACAAATGAAATAATATTAAGGAAAGAAAAGATATAAAAAAAAAAAAATTATTTGAAAATGAAAATGAAAATGAAAATATTATTATACTAATCAAGAAAAAATGTTTTAATTCATATTTCCAATTCCAGTCAAGGCATTAAATTGTATGATTATTACATGTCTGCTGTTACTCATCCCTTACCCCCTCCCGTCATCCCTCCTATCTATCAACACTATTTTTTTTTATAACTCTCCAATTATCATCACGTCATAGAGGTTTGAATCCATTTAATTTCGGCCCGAGGTTATTCAATTTTTTTGTATTGCTCCATGGAGTCAGAGGAAGATTTTTGGATGCCTTCCTCATATTTTTAATTTTGGCTTCTTATTTTTTATACTTTTAATGAAAGTGAAACACTGAAAAAAAAAAAAAAAGGCTATCAAACGTGTAGAAATTGCAAAAGATTGTATCCAGATTATACTTGATTTTTCTGGGAAACCTTTTGTAACAACAACAACAACAACAGAACAAAAAAAAGGGAAAGGTGTATAAGAATAAATCAATATCAATATGTGTCAAACTTTCACTCTCTAATCATTTTTTTGTTATCAATTAATCGATAAGAATTCTCAGATCAAAGAAAAACCTCGGTGTCTGAAAATTTAAATGGGAGTGACTGATCTCCATGTACTTCATGCACCATCAAAATATCTACGAGTAAACAATCGGAAATGATATATATTATTTATTGGTAAAAAATTGAAAAGGATATTATTATAAGTTTCATCATATTATTATCAGAGCCCAGGTTCTACTGGAGACGATATAGAATTTATCCTTTTTTCTTTTTTTCTTTTTTTTTTTTTTTCTCAGTTAAAAGTATTATAAGATTCACCAATGTTTCTTATTGATCCTTTTTTTCAGAGTTTTTTGGTGACGACTTACCCTTTGAAGCCATTTTTTTAGCAATTCTCACCATTTTCTTGAACCAAAACAAATTCAAGACGTCCAAAGAGAAATTCAAACCCACAACAATCGATGCAACGATTTGCTCGATGGACGTCAAGTCATTCCATTGGTTACACAACAAACACATGACCAAATAGATGGCGTAGAAACCCCAAATGATTCTGACACTGAAAAAACTCAACATCAACAACAACCCATTGACGACATTCAATGTGGTGGAAGATAACCAACCTTTGGCTCCCTTAGAGTTGGCAATGAACCAGTTGATATTGACAAATGGCGAACTAGCTTCAAAGATCAAGAATCTTGGGACCCAGTATTGGAAGAACGGCATGAAAGTGGTGGAAAACACAAACAAACTGGCCACGGCATGAAGGAGAAATTCAAACCCGAAAAGATCAAAGTACTTCAAACAAACCAAAAGATCCCAAATGAAGTAACCAACGGTGATCGAGGACACAAAAGTATGGGAGTAATCGTAACCTAAAAGTTGGTTATCATTGAGCACGGTGGAACAGAAGAGCCAAATACAGGCCCCAATGGAAATGATTGCCTGAATCATGGCAATGATATGGATATCGAAATTCAATTTCAATTTACGTTGTTTCGGATCGGATGAGGAAACAAGGCAAGTATAAATTGAGCCAAAGCAGACTCTGCCAATCACAGGGCAGAACAAGAAAAGCATGTTGTAAAAAACGAAAGAATAAAGGACTTCATGAGCATGAGTGGCGAATATTGTTTCTGATCCAAGGTAATTGGCAAGCCATTCTGGACGTAATGATTGGGAGAAGGTCTCGAGTGAGCTCATCTTTGGACGGTTTATTGGTAACTAACGTCGGAAGTGAGAATTGTCGGGTGGTTGATAGAAAAACAAGGTGAAATTTGGCGTTATGCTTGCCCTATGATGATTATCTATTACTTGAATGTTAATAATCGTTACACATGTCGGGCAGTTTGATACTGGAACCTCCACTTTTTACCAATTGGGGGATAAAAAAAAAAAAAAAAAAATATTACTGTTGTTTGTTGTACCACTGCACTGGTAACAAGCGATAGGCACACGGGGCGTGTGCTGGCCGTATTACAATCATGATCATTCAACTATCCTGTGTAACAGACAGACACTTCAGCAACGAGGTTAGTGCGATGCTCGGGTTGCTAATAGGCCCTTGATAGCAAAGTACTGGGCTACACTTTATATTCTATCATTGAAGTTACTTGTCTTTATTTTTTAGAAAGAGTAACCCAGGGGTTGGATCAGTTTTGTTCTTTCTCAAAGACACAACTAGGTGGGACCTTTCTTTTATTTCTATGGTAAATTTTTACAATTGTTAATACACGCTTATTTATTTCGTTAATATCATTAACTAATCTTGTAATATATATATGTATATATGTTTGGTTGTCGCCAAATAATATATTTTTTTTATTTTCTGGATCATTAACCCAATTGGGTGATATTCTACGAGTTTCTGATATCATTTCATCAATTTGCAATACAGATGATGATTCAGATAAATCATGTACAATGTAAATAGATAACCAAAAACTTTTTATATTTATCAAAAAATCATCACCACTTAACAGTTTCACTCAAATGGAATCTTGGTACGTAAACTCTCCATTCTTGAACTTATGGAATGTTTGTTCTAAAACCTCCAGAGTCTTGTCAAACTCCTCATTGATAACATCGTTGTCCCACTGGGCTAACGGGTCTTTTCTTCCCTTTGTGGCTAACGGAAACACTTGGTCGACAAAATCTTGTTTAAGAAGGTTCCATGGGGAGTAATGAAACCCAAGATTATTTCCAGTTTTCCCCACCAAATCCTCTTCCCATTTTCGTTGGATCTCTTTGGATGGAAGCTTCGTAGCCCCACTCCAAACACCAGCGATGGCAACATTAGAAGTTTCAATTGCAAGCCATTTCATAGAGGAAATTTTGACCCCAGAAAACGCCAATGTTGGATCATCAATGGCAAAAATGTGCTGATACAACCCTTCGAGTCTAGACGTGCTGGAGCCAGACTTGCTGTCACCGGCAGATATTGAAACTAATTGACGTCCGTTATTGTCCTTTGGAAGAAATGGATAATGCCAATGATACCCAGTGGAAAAGATAACCTTATCGATATCATCAACAATCGAACCATCGGCGAATTCGATTTTCTTATTTTCTGTATCGAATTTCAGAATCCCGGGTTTGTTAATGATCCCTTTGGTTTCAGCAGCACGGTCCAACCAAGGGAATACCGCCGGAGTTTTTTCTGGGGTACCATAATTACGACGAGAAATATAAGTCTTGTTGGCCACTGGAGCAACATATTGTAAAATATCAATGGAACTTAAACTACCACCAACAAATAATACGTTTTTACCCCGGTATGGTTCTGGGCTTCTCCATGCTTTGTTGTGGATAATGCTATCCGGATAAGCAAGCTCGTATTCCCCAAGACCAGGAACAAATGGAACAAATGGCACAGAATAATGTCCCAGAGCAACAAGAACCGCATCGAATTTCTCACTGTACCATTCATCTTTATTAGAGGTCTGGTTATAACGACGCAACACAAGTTCCCATTGAGAATCTTTTTTGGAGATCGATTCCACTTGGGTCAAGAATCTAACGAGTTTTCTCAAATCATAGGTGTCTGAAAACTTGTGGAGGGTTGCCAGAAGTTTCTTATAGTTTGCTAGCGGGTTGATTTCAGACTCAAACCCGTCATTGTGCTGCAAATCGTCATTTTCAAACATCGAAAACCTCAAAAAAGGTTTTGGGACGTTGGTGAAAAGTCCATCGTAGACCGCACTACGAGACCATTGAAGAGTATCATCTATATGGGTTGTAATGATTGGATGAGACTCATCGGCGTGCTCAATAATTTTCTGGTGGTCTGAATCAAGCTGCTCCCAGTTTTGCGGATGGATTTGGTCGGCATCGTGGTAAGTACCGCTTGCAAGGAATTGTTTTGGAGGCAATCCGCTATCCGGATGGTCAATTTTGGTGTTCCAAATGCCTCCAATGTCATCTTGTTGTTCAAATATCACGATCTTCTCAAATGCTGGGAGATCAGGCAAGGCTGAACCACTGTACTCTCCGTCGCGCGAGGTATGTAAGAATTCATAAGCGGCAGAAAGCCCTGCTGGGCCTGCTCCGATGATGGCAATTGATTTTATGGAAGGAAGTGGGTCCATTACTGAGTAAATGTATGATAGTTTATAATGGTGGCACGTTAGTAAGAAATAACAGACAGAAACCGTTGGAGGCATGTATATATATATATATATATATACATCACCAGGGATGCCTCCCCCGAATTACGTAATTTTCTGTGGAGCTTTGACATATCACTGTGGCAGCACGCTACCTTTTCTAATGGATACAATGTATATTATAATAGATAAGAGATAATAGTTAACTCCGCCACTACTTCCTGTTCTTCTTCACCTTGCCAAACATCACATTGGCAGTCTTCTTCTTGGTCGACCTCTGGTCTCTTAAATCCCTGTCATGATCACTGTCACTCTCATCATCGCCATCGTTATGGTTCATCACTTTTTTACTGCGTGCACCTGATCGATCAGCTTTTTGCAAAGGATTATTATTATTAATATTCTCCCGGACTTTCCGTACGTTATCCTTCCGCAATTTGTTCTTCAATGATTGCATACTCTTGGAATCCCCGGCCACCGCCTGGAGTTTCTTCTCCGTGGCCCGTATGGCATCGTACTTTCCAGTGTCACTTCGTACTTTCAATGTTTTTCTATTCTTGATATGATCATCTATAGTGTTGATATTCATTTCCTTACTGTCTTCCAAGTTTAACCCAGACCCCGAACTAATGATCGGTAGCTTGAAGAAGTCTGAGAACGCCGACTCTTCACTACGGTTCTTGTTGTTGTTACTAGAATCCTGCTTCAATGGCTGGAGCCATCCCATCACTTTTTTATTACTTTGTCCCACAGAAATGAGGAAATCATTCTGAAGGCCTTGCTTCTCCTGGATTATCTGTCTGTTATTCATATTCTGCTCCTTTGTGTCTTCTAATCATCCATCATCGCCATCTCATCGCCGTTAATGTAATTTTTTGAATTAAAAAAAAAAAAAAAAAATCGATCGATCGCTGACAGTGGGGGGTAACGTGCGGGTAAACCACCGTTCACAGCCAGAAATTTTTGATGGGAAAACCAAAATTTATTACCACAAACTCAGTGATTACAATTGCTTAATCATCGCCCATCAATCAATTCCAGGAATTGCTAAAGGATTGTTGTCATCTGTGTTGCACGGACTGCATCCCTTCCATATCATAACAATAGAATTGCTCGAAATCTCTCAAATAAAGCTATAATAACACAAAACAGAAATCCATGCTTCTATTATATCATTCACTACAGCTTTAATCAAATACAAACATTACAAACATAACAATATGGCTGGTGGTGAGTATAATAAAAAAGACCACTACAAGCCTTATTCTTCTTCGTATCATCCATCATATTCGAATAAGAACGGGGGAATTAGAGAAGACAAGAGAAGTGGAAATGGGCCATCTCCAGGGTTGAGACCTTATTCTAGTGCATCTCCATCAGGCTCGTTCTATGGACAGAAGAGATCAATGTTTCCAAAACCTCAAGGAGGTAGTCATTATTCTGGCTCGAGCTATGTCGGTAATGGCTCTGGTAGTGGAGGAACAGGAGCAGGAGCAGGAGGAGGAGCAGTGGGAGGAGGAGGAGGAGGAGGGGGAGGCCCAATGTTTCCGAAAAAAAGATACAATAATACTTATACTCCCTATAATCCAAACCGATCCAGAAGTGGAGGCTCAGTGTACATTAGTGATGCCAACAAGTCGAGAAATAATAACAGGGAGGATGATGTGTACTACAGTGGTAAATCATACGAGTCTCAACAACGAAGAGATTATCTGAAAGACTCCAATGAGTATGGCTCTAGAAGATACGATAGTTATAGAAAAGATGATTACCGAGATCCGTATCAAAAGAAGCAACATGATTGGGAAATAAGCGGTCAGAAAACTTCGCCAGAACCAGTAATACCGACAAAAGGTCCTTCTGATACGAAACTAAAGGATGATAAGAAGAAACCAACAACAACTGCTGAAATTAAACAAGACACAGAGAAAATAAATGAAGTGCCAGTGGAGAAGTCAGCTAGTGAGGAAAAGCCTCAACAGATTGCTACTGAGAAGAAACCAAATGAAATTATTGAAAAAAAGAAAGTCGAAGAACCAGTGAAGCAATCTTCTGCCACCAAAAACATCAACGATTTAAAAAAACATTCGATTTCTTCAGCTTCCAAAGATCACTCAAAAAAGAATTTGAAAACTAGTGATTCCTCTGCAGGGAAATTGGAAGGGAAAAAATCGACTAATGATCATGAAAAGGACATAAATTCCAAAGATCGTGGGAGTTCAGATTCAAAGAAAGAAAAATTTGGTACGGTGAAACTAAAAAGTCTGACAGACACTAATGGGTCTAATAAGCATAGGTCTAAGAGTATCAGTAATGCCCTGGGGCAAAATACTTCAAAGATTTCAAAAATGGATAAAAAGGACAAGCAAAAGGATTCAGACCCAATGGAGAAAAAGAAACAGAAAGTGAAAGAAGTGGTCAAGAAGTTTGAATTAAATAAGGATCCAAAGAAGAAGCATAGTCTTTTCAAGGATACATCTAGTTCAAGTTCTAGTGCTCATTCAAGTCTGAATTCCAAAACGAAAACCACTTCCAGTAAAAAAAGTGAATTGTTCAAAAATCCATCTAACAGTCCAGAAAGTAAGAAAGCTAAATCAACAGAGCCTGTAAAAAAGCATACTGGTTCCAGTCTTTTCAAATCAGAAGAGAAATCTAGCAAAAGTGACGCTCCTACTATTAAACCCAAGATTAGAATTCCCGACGATGAAGAGGAAACGGAAATGGAAAATCATTCTATTGAAAAATCCAAACCTGGTGAAAAGGAAAAAAATCAACGAAAAGATTCTGGCGATCACAAAGAGACAGGTCTTCACAAGGAGAAAAAAAAAAGTGACGAGCATAAAAAGAAAGCAACGACTGAAGAAATAAAACCAGAAGGAATGAAACCACATACTTCTATGGAGAAACATTCAATGGTGAATAATGATAAAGTTGATAATGATAAAAGTACAGAAAATTTGGAAAAGCTATCAGTGCAGCTGAGACCGACGTCCAAAGATGAAGCTAACTCTAATTCTACATCAAATACAGAGAAGGTGAATAATGATAAAAATTCTAATGCTAAAAATGACGAGCAAGTAAATATTGTTAACAAGGCCGCTAAGCACGGGGAGAAAAGTAAAATTCACGGTGATGGGAAGAAGAATCATGATTCGGAAAAGTCTAAAGTGGAAGATATTGAAATGCCCGTTAGAGACACTAGAAACGATATTCAGAAGAGTGAACTTATGAAGAATGACAAGCATAGTGATCAAATAATTAATCATGATAAAGATGATGATAAAAAAAACAATTACAAAAAAGTTGATGACAAACGTGATGATAAGAATAATGATGATGAATACAATGAAAATGATAATGCTTTGAAGCCCAAAGTTACAACTCCTATTGAAAACAATAGCAAGACCATTACAAATGATGAGGAATTGAACAATAACGAGATGCAACCATCAACCAACAAAACCCATAAAGATGATAACCATGAACCTTTAGTGAGTCCACTTCGGTCAAACTCATATATTGAGGGACAGCGCTCTTCTCCTCTCAGCGAGATAAACTCTTCGCAGGATCATGTTTCTGCTGATGAAAGCCAAAATAACGATGCGGAAGAAGACTACAGTGGTGACGAGACTTTCATGCCTTCCGTTTCAAGATCAAGAAAAATCAGTCTCGAATTAGAAGCTCGTGGCGAAGAGGATTTAGAACAATTATCAGATATTGATAGAGATGATTATCCACACAATGGTGAAGATGATTCTGATACTGAAACCGTTATTGCTGACTATCCCCCAAAATCTAGAAGGGGAAGAGGTAGATTGGTGAGAAAATCTGAATATGAAACTTCAAGCCGTGGTGACGCAGAATCCTCTCGCTCCAGAGAACGGCCGAAGAAACCAAGCAGTAATAGCCGAAGTGCTAGCGGGAACCGTCAATTTAGTTCTCAAAAGAAAACTAGAACTGGCCGTGATGCCAGTGGTAGATCTAAATTACAAAGAGCTTGCGACAAGGGTAAATTTGAGATTGCCGAGGAATTGCTTGAGGAAGGTGCCGATGTTAATGATACAGATTATGCTGGGAACTCTTCGCTACACGAAGCTGCTTTGAAAGGGCATTATCGACTTGCTAAGTTGTTGATTGACTATGGTGCTGATGTTAACATGCAATCAGGCCCAGAAGATTTGGATACTCCTCTTATTGATGCGGCAGCAAATGGCCATTATGACGTGGTTGAACTATTATTGGAAAATGGTGCTAATCCGAATATCTGCAATGCCCTTAAAGAGAATGTCTATGAATTATTGAAAGACTCTGATGACCCTGAAAGCCGAGGTGTTCTCAAACAAGTTCTTAAAAAACGAGAAGAATTCAAGGATGTTGATCCTGTCCTGGGTGAAGATGATGGCATGGCCACTAATGATACAAATCACAGAAATGACTTATTTTGGATGGACCTCACCTCACGTTCTGGCAGAAATGAAATTTATAAGAAGACGGCCGAAGGTGATTACGCTTTTGTTGGAAAATACTTATCTGGAGGAGGTTCTGCTGATACAGATACTCTTATTATTGCCTCAAGGCATGGCCATTTGGATATTGTGAGTATCTTGCTAGGTTTTGGTGCAGAAGTCAATGGTATTGCTGAAGATGGCTCGACTGCCTTGATGCATGCTGTTGGAAGGCTGCATTTGGACATTGTAAAGTTGTTATTGGACAGTGGGGCTGATCCTTCAATGAGAAGAGAATCTGACGGCAAGAACTCTGTTCAACTTTCCCAGGAGAGTGAACTAATGGATTCCGAAGAGGTTGCACTATTAAAGGAGAAAATGCCAGGATCACGACAAAAATCGGTGGTTGATGAAAATGATTCTAAGAAAAAGGAGAGTAAGAAAAGAAGCGCCACCCCAATGGAAAGAAGTGATTCAAGTAATAGTAATAATGGTCAGAAGATAAAGAAGAGAAAGCAAGAATTCAAGAGCAAAAAAGAGGAATCCTCTGGAAAATCTCTTAGTACCGAGCCAAAGCACAAAGAGCCTGAACCTGATGTTAAAAAACCACATGCTGTGGATGGTGAAAAGAGGCTGAATAATGTTGACAAAGTTAAAAAGGTTTCTAATTTGGAGAAATCGTCAAAATTCAAGGAACGGAAGACCAATATTATCAAGGATGTCCAGATGAAAACTTCTAAGTTATTCAGTGGTGCTAGTGATGAAAAGGATACTGAAAAGCCTAATGTCCAGCTGAAAACTTCTAAGTTATTCAGTGGTGCTAGTGATGAAAAGGATGTTGAAAAGCCTAATGTCCAGCTGAAAACTTCTAAGTTATTCAGTGGTGCTAATGATGAAAAGGATGTTGAAAAGCCTAATGTCCAGATGAAAACTTCTAAGTTATTCAGTAGTGCTAGTGATGAAAAGGATACTGAAAAACACAATGCGGATTCTAAGAAGGTCACTGACATTGAGAGAAATGATGAAAAAAAGAATAGTATTCCTCTTGAGAAGTTAGTTGTCAAGATTGAAAAAAAGACTGCTGAGAAATCAGATTCGAACAAGAAAGAAGCTTATGAACAGCAGAAGGCCGAAAAGATTAAAGCCAGGCAACAAGCGGTATTACTTCAAATTTCTCAAGCGGAAAAGGAACGTGAGAAAGAGCGGGAATTACAAAGATTACGTGAAGCAGAGCAGCGTAAAAAGGATGAAGAGGAGGCGATCAGAAAGGAAAAAATCCATCAAGAACAACTCGCGGAGGAAAAGAAGCAAAAAGAGATTGCCACTAAGCGGAAGATTAGAGAAAACTATCCTTATTGTTTACAGACTATTGATTTCTATGATTATGATTGCTTTGATGACTTAGAAGAGGATGTTAAAACTCAACTTAGGGAAAGAGTTTTGAAATATTTACCATTATATTATATTGAAATCAATGGGGAAAAATGGGTGGTTGATTTACAAATCAACTTGTTAACTGGTTTGACCAATATTTATGATAAGTTCCCAAACTTGAATGATGATAAGATGGTTGTTAAAGATCACCAACAAGAGAAATTGTGGAGTTTTTTCAGTTCGATTTTGATGAGGAATTTGAGTGATTATAATCCTCAGTTTTTTGGATCATCGTCGTCATCATCATCAAAAAGTACCGGGGCATTATTACCAGTGAAGAGATTTTCTATGGAAAAGAAGTTGGAAGCGTTGACCAATGAGGGGAAAAAATTCCAATCTTTGATGCTTTGTTGGGTGAAATTGTCTTTGGTAGAATCGGAAATTTTCAGCAAGAATGAATTCCTTGCAAAGGTGCCGGGAAATCTTGTGGAAATTGATCAGACCTTTTTAGAAAACGTTCCAATAATGGAATCTGTGGAGACTCAGGGTGCTGCTGAGACGATTTGTGAATCAAAGCATATTATTGCTGATAATTTGCCAAGAAGATTTCGCGGACGTCCTAAAGTGTTGGATGTGGTTAATGCAACAAAGAAGAATATGTGGTGATATAGTATAGACTATTTAAAAGAGGAAAATGTTTAATTAAATTTTACCTGTTTTTTGAGGGGTTGTTTCCCATTAATTTTTTTAGTTTCAAAAGGACTTTGTTACTTTTTCATGTTTATTTATTTATTATTATTATTATTATTATTATTATTTTATTTCTTATTATTATTATTTTATTTCTTATTATTTTTCATTTTATTTATTTATAATACTGGGTGGTTATATGTTAATATATTATTCTATTGGGAGACAATTTTAATTGAGACCATGTAAAGTTAACTTGATAATGTTAATATTTGAACTCAGTAGAAATAGAATATTTAATTTAAATTCAGGATATAAGAGATAAAAAAGAAGATTACAATGATGGTTTGCAAAGATATGTGACAATAAATTCATTCATATTATATCTATATACAGGAATCACAAATTAATATTGTTCCATTTTTCCCCATCCATTACCAGTATTACAATGGTGAATATTGGATGCAACAATGGCGCCATTTTTATTAATTTCTTTTGAAATCATTTTCATCTCTCTCTCTTTTTTTTTTTATTGTTATCGTTTCGTTCAAGCATCATTGTTGATCTTGGCCAAGATTTCATGGTCTCTGAAGATAAAGAATTCTTCTTCACCAACCTTAACGGATTGACCACCGAAAGATGGGATCAAAATCTCGTCACCGGTCTTGACGGAAGTTGGGACAACCTTACCATCAGGACCAGAGATCCCTGGGCCGGCGCTAATCACGGTAGCTTGGGACAATTTAGGCAAGTTCTTTTCAGGCAAGTAGATCCCGTTGGCGGTCTTGGAGGCGGCCTTGGCTCTTTGGACGAGGATTCTGTCGAACAATGGTTGCAAAGCTTTAACGGACTTGAGAGCGGTGGACTAAAGGGAAAAAAAAAGCAGCAATGTTAGTATATTTATTTATATATACATATATTGACAGACACAGAGGTCAAGTCAGCCCCGATCGGCAGATGGGGTGATGATTGATTGTGATATAGATAGGATATATCATCATTGAGGACAGAGACGCCAGACATACCATTTTTAGTAAGAGAGTTGGTGGTGTTGGTTTGATGGTGATAGGATATTGGAATGACGAATAACGAATTTTTTCTTTCGATTTCCCCAATTTTTTTTTTATTTTTTTTTCGAACTTTCCAGAACAGCCGGCGCGGAGGTTGCGGTGCACACGCGCGCACACCGTACCGGAGGGCAAATACACGTGATGAAGCGACATATCCACTGAGATGGTATACCAAAATGTAGCTGTCGTTGGATATAAAGTGGATACACACACCCTTCCTTCCTTTGAAAATAGGGCATCATTCTCTTTTGCGGTACATCGTATCGATCTTTTTCTTGCACACTGCTGGGTTGATGTAGAAACCTCAACTTTTCAGGATTCGATCTCCTTACCTCACTGTATTTTCTCAGCTGGATTTTCAACGACATAGTAGTTAAGCACTACTGAAATCATTTGACTTACTGTCAAGAAGATATCTTTATTTTCAAACGGCTCGGTTCTAGGGTACTTGAATCCATTCTTACGAACAATTCTTTCCACAAAGGCATTGCACTGTCTGGGATCAAGAGACGGGCTTGGGTTGGATGGAACCTCTCTTGGCGATGGTTTGCAAAATTGAAACTCATGGTGACAAGCCGAACTTCGCTATTTGTGTTGATTTTCCTCTTCTAGCTACTATGTGATGATCTTGGAGAACTTATGCTGTTCCTATATAGAGGAAAGTGTGATTGATATTTGTTAAAAATTGAAAACCCCATTGAAAATTGGTCACATCGTAGATGCGTACTTCTGCAGAAAAGAACATATTAAACATTATAAAGGGTATCTATACCCTTTGAAAGCCCAAAAAATAATTTATAGTATACGCGACACAGTCATGATTGTAGCGAGGTGTAAGTTACAGTTCCTGGACTACTCATGCTGTTGTTATTATTATTATTATTATTATTATTGTTGTTATTATGTCATTGAGCACTCGGGCTTAATTGTATATATTTTTTGGCTGCACTGCTGTTGACAGGAAACAATGCCTCCGTACATTGATTGTACTGCTGCAAAGTTTCTTATTAGAGACTCCGGCAACTGGCTTAAGCCTTGGGCCAATCCCAGCTGTTGTTGGTTTCTACCCTTTGACAGCCACCCACCGCGAAAAACAAAACAACACAAAACAGAACAGAACTGAATTTTTTTTGCAGCATCGTTTACTTAAGAGTTTAAAGAGTTTACAGGAGAAAAAATAATGGTACGGTATCCAATGGAACATACCAATATTCAGAGATAATGGTGATGGAATAGTGAGACAAACAAAATTAATTAATTACTCCCTCATTAACGTAACGTCATCATTCATGGAAAAATTTTCCTTTGGTTTTTGCTGATTTTTCCGTCCTCGTTTCTCACGAATGTTTATGTTGTGTGTGCTGGCACCCCCCGTATACCGGTGTTTATTTGTTTTTTGTTTTTGTTTTTGTTTTTGTTTTCGCGCTGCAGCAGCACACGGGACTTGTTTCCTTCCAACATGCCATGCCTCACGTATATATATAAACTTGTTCAATTCCTCAACTCTGCAGTGTCTCACCTTGGGCTAATTAAATTCATCTAAGACAGCAGGATCTTGATCTATATTACTTTCCTTATCCAGTCAGTTAACATTTCTACACTCATTCTCGGAAATTACTTAAAACAAAACATAAATCAAGAGTGTCAAAGTTTCATCCTGATTTTCCCCCAACTTATCTCATATATTCAGGCCAAATGACAATCTCTCCACTAGCTACCATACTATTTGCTTTCAGCTTGCTAGCGTTCCGGGCTATTGATGCCTACCCAGTTCCCACAGCTCGCCCTGCTGCCAATCCAGCTCTAGATAAAAGAGACGAAACAACCACCATATACAAGTACACCTCGACTGATGTGCAAACCATCATCGAGAAGATACACGCTACTCCTCTTGCTACGCCATCTTCCGATGCTTTATCATTATCTTTGGCGGTCTCTCTTATATTAGCCACAGAGTCATCGAGTACTACCACTTTAATTTCTTCATCTTCCTCTTCCTCTTGGTCTTCCTCCTTTACCACCACTACATCTTCCTCTTCCTCTTCCTCTTCCTCTTCCTCTTCCTCTTCCTCTTCCTCTTCCTCTGTATCATCATCATCATCATCATCATCATCATCATCATCATCATCATCATCATCTTCTTCTTCTTCTTCTTCTTCTTCTTCTTCTTCGTCTTCGTCTTCCACTTCCACTTCCGTCACTTCTTCCTCTACAAGTTCAACTGCTACCTCAACATCCTCGTCAGGGTATTATAACTGGCCCAAAAACGGTATTCAAGGGGTCAATCTTGGTGGTTGGTTAGTATTGGAACCATGGATCAACACTGATTTGTTTTCCACAGATAACTTTCCAGATAACGACATCCCTTCTGATGAATTCAATTTTTGCGAGACCCTTGGAGATAATGCCACTGATCTTCTTGAATCTCATTACAGTTCCTGGATCACCGCCGACGATTTCACTAAAATGAAGCTGTACGGGTTGAACGCCGTGAGAATCCCTATTGGTTACTGGGCGTACGAACTTATGAGCACTGATAAGTACTACAAAGGGAGTCAAGATGCGTATCTTGAGAAAGCCATCGGTTGGGCTAAGGATAACGGCATGTACGTGCTTATTGACCTTCATGGCACTCCAGGATCCCAGAATGGTTACGACTCATCTGGCCACAAGAATTACCACGATTGGGATGGGTATGATAACAAGAACAAAACCATTGATATTTTACAAAAGATTTTTGAGAAGTATGGTGGTGAAACCTACAAGGATGTGGTCATTGGTATTGAATTGGTGAACGAGCCATTAATTGGTGGTGATGGTGGGGTCGAACAAAGTTGGGTCAGTGGACTTTATTCCGATGTCATTGATAATGTCAGAAGCAACTCCAGTATTGCTCAGAATATTGTGTTGCATGATGGTTATATGTACCAAGGTGCTTGGAGCAACGAGGCTTATAACGATGATGATGTTATCTATGATACTCATATGTACATGTTGTATGACTCCGGTTATATTGCCAAAGATTTTGATGAAAAAATTGAGCAGGTTTGCACTTGGGGTGACGAGATTGCCACTCTTTCATACAAAGAATTTGTTGGAGAATTCACTGCTGCCTGGGACTCAAATAGTTCTTCTATCTACACTGAAAAGATTGCTAAGTGGGGTGATAGTGATAAAGTCAATATTAGAAAGTTTGTCGAAGCACAATTTACCGCTTTTGAAAAGAGTTATGGTTGGTTCTTCTGGAATTGGAAAATGGGTAATTCTGATCAATGGAATTTCCAAATTTTGGTGGAGAATGACATCATTCCTCAGCCATTGAGTGATAGAAAATACACAACTTGTTAAATGATCCGACTACAAACTCAGAAGCTGGTCTTTTTTATTTTCTTTTTTATTAACATGTTCTAGGGTTATTCTTTTCGTGTATTTTTAGTTAGGTTTTTTTTTTCTTTGAAGTGTGTTCAAGTTTTAATTATTTTTTTTTTTTTTTCAGTTGTTCAATTATAGACTTTTCTTTTTCTTTTTCTCTTTCTCAAATGGACTCACTTTAATTTTAGTTTTAATTTTTTCTTTTTCTCTTTCTTTGGTTTTTACCATTTTAAAATGGTTTGCTTTAATGTTTAGTTTAATAAATGATGTTAATTAATGTGCAAATAAAGATGAAGCTATAGAAAAAAAAAAAAAATCCCAAAAATAAAAAAACAAACATCAGAAGAATTGAAGGAGTTTACAAAATAATAAAGCGAATTGAAAAGCAAAAGAAAATGACTGGAAAAATAAACAATAATAACAACTGAATTGAAAAAATAAACAATAATAACAATTGAATTGAAAAAATAATGATCATTGTATCACAATATCAGTATGTTGTTGTTGGTTGAACTGCGATTGGGCAACCCCAATCTCGTTGTTATCCATTTGGAAATGAACATACGCACTTTGCAAGAATGCCGAACCAAGCTCAAAATAATCAGAAGTCGACTGCTCGAGCCCAAAAACACATGTCTCATAGTTCTTGTTGGTTACCAAAGGAGTAGCGTTTATAACGACGTTATTGAAGGGAACGGTAATCGTGGTATTTCCCCCGAATATGAATTCAAAATCCGGCCCGGTAGCATCACAAGCAATAACGTACGAATCATAAAATGGATCGTAAGTACCGTACTTGTTACCAATGTTTTCAAATACTGCTTTTGGAACCGCAATTCTTTTGTTGGCGGATGTGATTTTCGCAGGATACTTTTGTCCCGTTAACTGAGTGTTGTTGAAGCGAATACCATCGAGATCAAAGTACATTGATGAGCCGTATTCCCCAAGCCCTGATCTGTGGGTCAATGGCAAATATGTTAAACTGTCGCCTGCGAACTTAGTTTTATCAATTCCACCAATGATCATTTCCCCACCAGAAGTATCAGATTTGCTTTCCAAAAAGATTGAGTACGACAGCTTTTCAATCAATGAGTTGGATTTCATGATATTTAAGAGATTGGTATAAGAAAATGACGAAGCTCCCAAAGATTGACTCGATTCACTGCTCTGAGGGCCCATCCCAAGCACGCTATACTCAAGATCACTCTCTGTAGCAAGGGCAAGCATCGTACTATCAACTAGATGGAACGTCCCGTTGTTGTCCATGATCTGGAAAGTGTCATATCCCCAAGAACCGGTTGCAGAAAGCTCATCTTTGGTAAGTTTTGTGTCGAACTTTCCTGGAACCTTGACTAAACTTTTGGAGTACTTGGTATTGAATTTGGTGAGTTTCGGGATGAATGATGTCGAGGATCTGATCACCACATCACCACTGTCGGTATCGAGAATCAATGGCATCTTTCTTCCGTGGGATCCCACCTTGGCTTCGGCTAAAAAATAATTCCCGCTTTGAAATAATGGTACTTGAATATACCCGACGTTGGTACCATCGTCCAGCAGCAGCCTTTTGTGCACCATGGTGGTAAAATCGACCGGTTGATAGCTCATGGTTTGTTCAATTGTCAATTCAGTTCGATTACTCACTTGCACACCATGTACTGCTGGTAAAGGCATTGCAATGACATTAGCTAAGAGTGTGGAGACCACTGCTAACAAAATTTGGTTGGAAAAAAGCATCTTTTTTTGCAAAAAAATTTGGGGTAACGCAAAATATCTTAATCTTTTTTTTTTCTGTCTCTTCAAATGGGATTATATTGTTCCATTTATTTGTTTTGCAAATATATAATTAACTGCATGTGGTCCGTAATTTGCCATGTTGGGGCTGACATTGTGCGCAAAATGCGCCGCATCCATTTCCATGGTGGGGAATTTGAATGGAGAGATGTCACCACTAATACCATTTATCCCCAATCAATATTATTGAGGATAAATTTAGAAGCAATGTTACTATTATATAATAGTAATTATAAAAAAATATAGACCAACAATTTGGTATTTTTTGGGAAAAAAAATATCCACCGAACCTGGGACTCGAACCCAGAATCTCCTGATTAGAAGTCAGACGCCCTAACCAATTAGGCTAGCCCGGCTTTGTTGATTATTCAATGTTAAAAACAAATGCGCCAAAATAAACATTTAAGTACCGGCATTTTGGTATATAAAACCAAAAGATCCGCCATGCTGGTATATAAAGTTGATAGCGATCCTCCAAACTGGTATATTCACATCATCCAAATCATGTTAGAGCTCTAACGAAGGTGAGACTAGGCGATTAAGTGGGTTGATATCTTGTATATCATATTAAAATCACAATTACTTATTTTAGGGCTTAAAACTGTTGGATCACAACTGTTTTGATCTCTGTTAGGAAAGTTCATTATATGAGCATTGGACTTTATTGTTCAAATGATCGTTAATTAATTCCAAATACTTTTTAAAGAATTAGGCAAAGGCCCTCCCGCTACATAATTCAGTAATTGCTTACGAAAAAAGGTGATTATTAAACCAGATGTGGAGAATTATAATTAACTTTCCTGTGTATATTCAAATAGCGAAGAGAGTTGATCTTGTTCGTCAACAGAGAAATCTAACTATATCAGAGAAAATTCCAATGATTTTTAGCAATGTCCCAGTTTACCGTTGTCCTCTATTTCTCTTGTCATTATTATGTCCCTATCACTGCTATTTTCTATGCGGCATCTGATTCCTACAATTCTCCTCCTCATTATATGGATAGATTTTTCCAAAAGCATAGCGAAAAAAGCACTTATTGAAGGATAATATATAACAACCTGAACTATCCAAACCCATATTACAGAAAAATAATAATCTTAATATAACCACCCGTAATCTGGCATAAATGTACTATAGTAAAAAGAATTCCGGATCATCCGCACGTGACGGTACATGTCAATTTTGTGATGTGATTTGAATGGCGTTTTTTCTTTGTTCCGTACAACACAGGAATCAGTCTCATCAGCACTTGTGCACTCAGTATTGGAAGAATAAGATACTCGCATAGGATGTCTGGCGACGTAACTGACGAAGAATACGATTTCGATGATGAAATCTCGTTTGAATACGAAGATGACGATGATATGTTTGAAATGGAAGATGCGGAAAATGAGAATATGTTCTCCAAAGCAAGCACCGCCGATGAGAAGTCTCCTTCTAATCTGAACTCTGCCGGAGTTGTTGGTATGACCAGCAGTAAGGACTCTGCCTTATTCTCAATTTCTAACAATGACAATATTAAGAGAGACTTGTACTCCTACAACTGTTTTACTACCCTCCAGTTTTTCCAAAAAGTATTGGTGGGCCAAGCCAAAGATATCTCTCAAATTTTGAATTTATCAGTCAATCAGGTGCTATATCTATTACTATATTTCAATTGGAATTCAGAAAAGCTCATGGAAAAATATATGGATCAATATGATAAGTTATTGGTGGAAACAGGAATCACAAAGTTTAATGAAGATAAGAACCAGAATCCAAATGACACCCTTGGTGTTTTGCGATACCAGAAAGATGATTGGTATTGTCCAGTTTGTTGTGAGGATGCAGTTACCGGGGAGAAGCAGTTTTCATTACGATGCGGTCATTCCTTTTGTGAAAAGTGCTATCAACGATATGTTACTGGGGAAATTTTAAAGGGAACCTTAGTTCGATGCCCCGAATATAAATGTCCAGTGGCATTGCAACTTGAAGATTTTGATACTTTGTTCCATGAAAACCCCAATGTTTTGAGAGATAAGATGCCTCTGAAGCAAAAAAAATCAAAGCAAAAGACTAACAAAAAAAAGAGAAAATTGAGACGCTTTCATCCAGTATCATTCGGTGTTTTTGTTGGCGATCATACTGATTCTGAAGATTCGAATTCTTCCGATGAGGACGAAAATGACAATACTTCAAACCGCTCAGAAGACGATAGAGATCAAGGGATGGTTGAGAATAACTTCTATGAGGAAGATGATGAAAGTGACAGAGAGGGATTTATCGAACTTGTGAAGGAACAAAGCAATATACTAAATTATTCTGTTAAAGTGGATTACATAAAACAGATAGCGAAGAAATACATTGAAGCACACAAGAATCTACATTGGTGCCCGGCTCCAGATTGCCCCGCATTGATTCAAGTGAATGATTATATTCCAAGCAAAGAGGAATTGGCAACCAAAATCACCCATTTGCCCATTGTTTCATGTTTACAAAGTCATACATTTTGCCTCAATTGTAATTATGAAAATCATTATCCAGTGCCCTGCAGTGTCGTTGAAAGATGGGTACAGAAGTGCTCTAATGATTCGGAAACCGCCAATTGGATTAATCTTAACACTAAACAATGTACAAAGTGTGAGAATCCAATTGAGAAGAATGGTGGATGCAACCATATGACATGCAGTAAATGTGGGTTTGAATTTTGCTGGATTTGTTCGGGTCCTTGGAAGTCTCATGGTAGTCAATATTATAGCTGTAACAGATTCGATGACGCTGAGTCTGTTCAGGCAAGAGACAAGAACAATAATCTTAAGAAAAACTATAAAAAATACTTGCACTTTTTCGACAGATTTCAGGCCCATCAAGTCTCTATTAACAAAGATTGCAAAGTTTATGAGAAAATCTCTGATAAAATCAAGTCTCTACAAAAAAGCCAGGGAATCAGTTGGATGGAAGGTCAATTTTTGAAGAATTCTATCTCAACTTTGGTCAAGGCAAGATCAACATTGCAATGGTCGTATGTGTTTTCTTATTATTTGAAGGATAATAAGACCAATTCTGCGTTAATCTTTGAAGAAAACCAAACGAGTTTGAGCAATGCCGTTGAAGATTTGTCTCAACTATTCAATATTCGAAATGCCCAAAAAATCATTGCCCAAAGAGTTCAATTCATTCAGAAACAACGGTTCTGTGTATCGAGACAGTTGAGTTTAATTAGCTGTGTTGAAGAAGGGCTATCAAATGGTTCTTTTGCTTTTGATGTCAACATTGATGATGACAATATTTCCCAAGTTAAGAGGAAAAAAGACAAGAAGTAACATCGCTGAATTCCCTCCCCCTTCCTTCTTTCTCCCTGTACAGTACGTAATATGAGTTTTTTTTTCGTTCCTATTTCTATGATACCGATGATGATTAGTTTTGATGTTTCAATATATGTCTATAATATATGTATCAATGTACTATTTTATTCTGCTGCACCTTTTTATCAGTATCTATTTTTTTTTTTTTAAAAAGAATAAGACATTTAGCTTTTATTGCTTTAATAATAATATACACCAGCCAGTGAGGAAAAAAAAAAAAAGAAAAAGTTAGACATTACAAAGTGACACAATAATATATATATATATAAAAAAAAAAAAAAAGAAAAAAATTGAATAACAAACACCATTAAAGTTGAACGCGCAAGCAGATTATCTGAAACGTTCAGTGATTAATCTTTCACCACCAACTTCTTCATACTCTTGCTTACTAACCCATAATTGATGGAAAATACCCAAACTCGACAATATACTACCACCAATCCAATTTTGATATTTTCTCTCGCTGGTATTACCACTAGCGTGGATTCTAATCTTCAATCCTGGATTGGTGTCGCCCAAGTCTTTGAAGAGTCGATCAGTGAGCCCTGGCACTAATGATGTTGCTCCAGTGACAACAATGTTATGGGCCACTTGTTGACGGATATCAACATCAAGAGCAGAGATAGTTTTGTTGATAAGACTAGAAAGACCAGCAACCTTAGCATTTTTTGAGGCAGCACTGGAGTTCGAAGGTTTATTGTTATTATTGGTGCCTGTACCATCGGAGGCCACGGGGCCGCCCTCAGAATACTCTGCAGTGTCTTCCTTCTTTTTACCACGTTTCAAAGGAACGTAATCGTTATTGATGTCTAACTCGTCCAATTCACCGTTTTCACCGGTGGACCAGTCGAAATCATCATCGTGATGGTACTCAGGGTGTTTTTTCCAGAAATTGATAAAATTGGTTGGCTCAAATAAAGAATTGGCAATGTTGTAGCGCTCGTCACCAAACTCTACTTGTAAACCATTTGGCAACTCAAAATATCTCGACTGGTAGTCGAATTTCGACGAGTCAGAAATAGGAGTTTCCGGAACCACAATCAATGACTCTTTCATCTCGTTATAAATTCTTTGATTTTCAAATTCTTTGAATGATTCTGTGATATTTTCTGGCACTAAGCTACTGGTTTGGAATTGTGGCTCCACTTTTTGCTTGGCTTGTAATTGCTCTAATGAATATTTCGTAAAGGTTCTAGAGTTAATTTGGAATCTAGGAATCAAATCAATTCCTCGCTGCATAAATGAGCATCTTAATTGTGCATCCAAAAATCCCCCACCGTAATGAGTTTTCATGGTGTTTTTACTCAAACACATACCATCAAGAACCGGGGTGACACTAGTGACGTTGTGACCGATATCCACAATCAAAGAGTTTGGCCTACCGGCAGCAAACGCGGTACAGGATGGTGCTTTACCCAAATAAAAACCCGGGGTTTTGAAAAATTCCAAAAACACTTCTAAAGACTTGAGTTTATTAACTTTGGTATTCCACACTGGTTCGGTCATGAATACTGGTTGTTCTTCAATGTCGGCGTTTAAGTTATTGAACAAGTAATCGAACATTTCAATGGCTGCGTCCCAATCCTCAATTATCTCGTCGTGTATGATCGGTTTGATTTGGGTTTGTGATCGAGGCACATGTATCGATTCATCACCAAAATATGTGTATTCTCTTCTTTTGTAGTTGGTTTTGTAGGTGATACTCGCATAATCGAGAGCGGTGTCCTCTACCAAATCTCCTTTCTTTTGTTCATTGTACCCGTAATAAGACGGAATTACGTATCTTGGTGAGTCTTCTCCAGCATAACCAGCCCTGGTGGAAAAAGATCCAGCATCCAAGACCACGGCACCAACTTCATCACCACCATAAACCTGAGGGGCATTCGTAGTAGCCGACATGTGTTTATTAACGTTATTTATTTGTTCCGATCAAATACTCCTGACCTTCTGATAGACCTGGGTTGAATATCACGGTGCTTTGTTTGTATAATGCCCGAAAATTTGCCCTTCGTGATTGTTTTTGGTGGTGAGAGCTTCCGTGCCGGTGTTACATAACCTGCATAGAAATTTCAACAACATGTAAACAAATAGGTTAGGTGATTCAAAAGATGCTATACAATGGGAATACTTCACTTAAAAGACATGACAATTCCCAATCGATACAATGGAGTAGGCTTAAAATCCACTGAACTATTTTCAAGGCAGATTGGAGGACCCTATAGCGTTGAAAAGCAATATTCTGAGTTTATCCTCAGATTGTAGATAATAGCCCCACATGACTTCTCTCAGAAGAAAACTTTAGACGTCATTGAAAAGACGAAACGTTCAAATTAAAGTAAAACCATAATAAAGGCGAATGAAGGCGAAAAAAATATGAAATGAAATGAAACAAACAACAAAAACAAAAACAAGGATATTTCTGAGCAATGCAAGAAAATGTCAAAATAATGTGTGACTTTAAAAATAAAACAACGAATCAAAGTTCACAAAACAAACTCTAGAAAAATAAATCATTATAGGAAGTAAATCATTAAAAAAAAAAAAAGCAAGCTATAGTGCAAAAAATCGAAAAACGCAACGAGATAAAGAAAAAATGCATAAATATAATACCACAATAGAACGAGCGAGATGAAATGGAAAGATTAAGCAGCATCGAATATTTTGAAAATAAAAAAATAGATTAGAAAAAAAAAAAGTATGATAGAGCTGTGTCACTTCTTTGACAATTTTTCAATTATGTTGAAGAATTTCTCCGCTTCTTGATATTTCTCTGTCGAAGTTAAACTGGATCTAGAAGATTGGCAAAAATTAGGAGGAACAAACTCACCAGATATATTGTACGAGCCGAATTTGCTCTCATCCCCAGTATCCGGAATCAATGTTTCAGCAATGGAATCTATACGCAATTCAGGGTGTCTTTGTGGAGTGCTCCCGCCTTCATCAATATGGCCTGCGGCATTAAATGGGTCAAAGGATTCCATAACAACACTTTTATTAGGGCCAGCTAACAATTTAGATGCATCTTCATCCTCTTCATCACCTGAATTAGCGTGAAACATATTTATATTTGGTGATATATCACCAGAATTGTCTGGAAAATTCTTACCGTCATTTCCGATAAGTGCCATTGGATCAACACTATCATCAATATCATTAAATGATTTCTTCAAGCCAGAACCAACAGTAACTGATTCATTTGGTGACACTGGTCCAATATTCAAAGGCTTCAGATGACCATCAGAAATATCAGTATGCCTAGATTGTTTGTTTTGAAATGAAAAGTTATCAAATTTGGAACCGGCGGCACGGTCAAACATTACCAGGGATTGTGATACTGGGGCGGAAATAGGCACTCTTCCAGGCCATTCTTGATTTACCACAGCAGAATGGCTTCTATTTTTATTGTTTTTTGAACTTTTTTGATTAGAACTGAAAGTACTAACAGAGACAAAACTGTTGCTTCGAAATGCTAGAAAACTTTTAGTTTTACTGACAATCTGCGATGATCTGGAACTGAAACTGCCCAAATTGCTTCTCAGCTTGGAAACATTTTCTTCTGTCAGATATACTTCAATTTCTTTGCTATCAGTTATAGAATTATCACTCTCTTTCTTTGAAGAATGAATTACTTCCTCGGTAGCAGCATACCCATGCAGCAGATCTTTGATAAACTCATTTTCATCGTCCGATACAGCATAAAAATCTAAATCATGGGACTCAAAAATATTATCAATGTTATTCGCAGCTGAATCCTTTTCAGCGTCCATATTTACCCCCTTGAGATTGGAATTCAGAGATACAGAGGATTGCCTCAACTTGATGGCTGAGATTGCAGAATTATAATGTTCTTTCTGGAGTCTAGATGATCCAATTTGTGGAAATTCTTTCTTCCTGCTTTTGCTAATAGCGTGTAAGTATTCAGTAACAATCCTTAGTTCTTCTTCATTCACGTCAATTATATGATTATTTTGGAAAAACATGAATATTAGATAAAATAAATCATTTCCCAAAAAGATAAATAGAAACTTTTGAAGACTTTTTAAATTTTGGAACTTCAAGAAAAAGTCATTAATTGTGGAGGATTTTTTTGTCAAATCATCAATATTCGAAATCATACTAACTCGTTGAGAAGAGAATCCTGTCTTTGGTGACGCGAATGTGTTAGTATTATGGAGTGAAGCCCCGTGTAAGCCGAAATTTGTGTCGATCTTGGAGATTTCCGAATATTCATCTATATTTCCCAGAAAAGTCCCTGATTTTGCAAATGAATGCTTATCAGACAAATTGAAATCCAATTTTTGATTCTTTGCAAGCTTTTGCTCTTCCTTCATTGAGTTTTGATTCAATTTGTTCGGCAAATCTGTATGTTCCGTTATCAAATTAAAATAAATTTGAATTATCATCATCTTGATTGATGTGTTAACAAATGGGTTCTTGCAGCATTTCATTAACGGTTTATAACAATTACTTTCGTCCAACAACATTTTTTGGTGTGCTTTCAAAGAATCTTCAAATTCATCCCCATCAGTAGAGGGAGAAACTCCAGTAGAAATTAATTCAGAGTTGTTCAATAACGTTTTGTTTGGGTCCTCAACAGAGCACGCCAAAATCAACAATAGCTCACGTAATTCAATTTTCGACTGCTTCATCTTGGAAAGGGGTGCTTTCTTAACCTTTTCATTCGATATATCAGAAGGATCAGAGAGAGCAAAAGAAGACGGAACTTTCAAGTGAATAAAACCAGGTTCTTTTGGTAAAGAATTAGAATTTCTAACAAACTGATGGTTCTTTGGCAGTCGAATACGATCAGTAGCGGAAGCCCCCTCTGTAATATACACATCTTCACCATTCGCTTGCCCAGAAATTAAATGCAGAACATGAGAAGATGGAGGAAGGGGTGGTGGCGGAGGCAGGCGAGGTGAAGGAGATACCAGTGCTGCGTATTTACTGTACAAATTCAGAAAGGATTTTCTAGGGCTTAACCCAAATTTTTTGAACGGCGTAGGACCTCCAGTTAGCGTTTTGTGTCCCCCTGAGTAAGTCGCACTTTTTTTTCTCCCTTCTAAATCCCTTCTAGGACCTTTTTCCGTGTCTTGGATATCAGTAATTTCCTCCTTCTCATTAGTAAAACATATACCAGAATTTTTATTCATGAAAACAGCATTATCAGATAATAAGTTTGCATTCGGAGTGGTCGGTTGATTCAAAGCTTCATTTCCCCTATCAACTCTCGATATTTTTCTCCCAGAGCTTATGGATGATGAAAAAGTCTCAATTTGCTCACTCTGCCTTCTATCGCTCACATTACTGACCAAAATTTTAGTTTGTATGGACCGCAAAATCCCAGTTGATTTTGATTTTCTCAAATTGGGTAGTTTTTGATGTGGCATGTTTGATGATGAGACCGGAGTATCCCTTAGACTTGGTGGAATTGATTTATTGTAGTCGAACATTGAGAAATGATTTTGAGAAGTATCAAAATTGTCATTGTTGCTGTCACTGTGACTGTGGCTATGTCCATGTCGATTCACATTTTGGCTGTGTTCATAATTCGGTCTTTGAGAACACTTTTGAGTGGCTGAATAATCCAGTAAAGTTGTCTTTTTGGGTGGCCTTGAAGAAGATTTCATAATTATATTCCTAATAACATGCACAGGCTTATTAAGTCTATGATCCTTCACACTTTCACTAAAATAAGTTTTTTTCGCTTCATTGTCGGCATCATTTGTTGTATTTTTGAACAACACATTAAAGTCCTCATCATCACCAAATGAGCGGTCATTAGCCATAGCATCAAAGTCTATATTGGAGCTATTGTTACCATAATTGTCTTCTTCGTCATCTAAAATTGCACAGTCACTTAAATTAGAGTTTTTTTGATTTAAATTAAGACTGTTGGTCTTAATATCCATGGCAGATAAAGCTTTGGTCTCGTTTTCCCTAATTTGGGTCAAAGATTGTATGTTGCGGAAAAGAAAAAGATCCAAATTTATATGAAGACTTTCACTTGTACTATTAACACTATTTTTTCTTGAGTTTCCTGGGATATCGCTATCTAATACATTGGAAGCAGAACCTGGCAATAGAAATTTTTCAAAAAAATCTGAGATCTCGGTAACGAAGTTCAACTTTTGGAAAAACTCTAATGATTTTTCAAATTGGATACTATCAATCAATTTTTCATTATTTTCATTAGAGCTGTTGCTCCTAACCAGTTTTGCCTTATCCCTTATCTTAGTGTACTTAATCTGATTGTATTGAATCTGCTTTTTCAATTTGTTGATGTTGTCTTTCAAGAAGTTCTTATACTTCAAAAAAAAATTCACTAGCGTAAGAAACAACATGAAATTTTCACAGTTCATTTGGGTAATGGAGTCTATGATATTTACATTTTCGGGCTTGATATCACCAGCAATTTTTTTCTTCCCGATTGATTCAGCAGACGCATCAGACGCAATGGTGTTATGTTTAATATTCATTATAGCAGAATCTTTAATGACATTCAATATTTTCCTTTCTTTCTTTGATTTTGTCGATAACAAAATAGGCTCACCTTCTGAATGCTCAGGGACTGGGGCCATATTTTGCGGCTGGTGCCGGACACCCAAATTTGAGTTTGATAACTCATAAGAAATCACTCCAAAATATCCAACCATGACAATCTCAAAGATTTTTATAGGTTTGATGGAGTAGTATTCAAAAATTGTCTTCATTATTGGGATCTTGTCAGTCTCATCGTCTTTCTTCTTGACATTTTGACTTTTGAAGAAGAAATTGCAATAAAACTTGAAAGGGAGAGCAAGCAAAAGATTTGTGAAATGTTTATAGAAAGATATTGAGAAATCAACATTGTTAGTCCACAATTCCTGCTCTGATGAATGATCCTCTTCATTCGCTTTAGCCATAGTAGTAACTTTATTTATAGGAAATTTCTTATCCAAGCTCAACAACTTCGACAAAAATATTATCAATATATGCAAATTATTGAAATCAATTTTTCTTTGCTCCTGCAAAGACAAGACATTCAGTATCTGATCAATGAAGAAAGATGACTTTCTTGAATTCTTTTCTTCACTGCCAGCCGTAGAGTCACTTAACATTTCCCCAGTATTGAAATCAATATTTTGCTTATAATTATGTAATAAGACATACAAGGTTTTCAATAATTCAATTATTAAATCTTGATTGATATCACTCCCATTCGCTTTCCCTCCAGATGATTCTTGTTTGGCTGAATTATCTTGCTTGAAGTAGCACCATAACATATTTCTGATACTCTCGATGACAATATTGATTAGCTTAATAATCATTAGATCAAAATTCCTTACTTTCCTGTGGTATTGGGGAATTTTTTTGTAAAAAATCAAGAAACAAAGTCTGGTTGGGGCAATAAGGTACTTATATTTTTCCAGCTGAGGATCAATGGATGATGACGGTAAGTCAGGGACATTTAATGGGGATCTTTCTTTCCTTGTTGGCAGTAGAGAATGAGGAGCCGGCTTGATACCATTTGAAATTTTGAGTACATCCATTAACAAAAGAATATTAAGTAATAACTTATGAGGATAGAATGCAGATCTATAAGTTTGAAAAATTTTCTGAATATCTAGATCATCTAATATGGGCTTGTCCTGTCTTTGGAAATGCCCAGTGTCCATATTGACAATGTCCAATAGGTTGAACTTTTCAAAAACATCTTTGTTAATTAATAAAATATTAGATATGATTAAACATAGCTTTGCACCCAAGATTTTAAAGTCATGACTCTCTGTGTGTCCTGTGGTCGCGGCCCAACCAAACAAGGGGATCTTTATTGGGTTTTGTTCTTTTGGAAATGATTTATTGGGTTTTGGTATATAGGCGGAATGGGACGCCAAGTATGGAGAGGTCAGAAGCAGGGAGGCACTTAGTGAGGACAAGTTACACTGTAGAACAAAAACATCTGCGATGTTGTCAAGTGCTATTAATAGCTTCTTGATAATAGTTGGACAGTTGAAATGTGACTTTATGATATCTGGATGCTTTGTCAAAGCAACAAGTGTGTCTATAAGGTGGGTCAACTGATGTAGGTTTTTATTGTCGTGGTTTAATGAGTCGTTTTTTGGCGCTTTGGTTGTATATTGGTGTAATTTTATTGACTTGAGTAATATCAAATTGATTAAAAGACTTGATTGATCGTTCGAAATATTTGTAGCGAACAAAAGCTCACTTTCTTGATCCAACATTTGCAATGCAAGGAAACAAAAAGCAGATAAGCAGAGAATACCCCTCCTCTGTACTTACTGTTTCAATATTCTTCAAGGTAATAATAAACAATAAAGACAAATGGCGGTAGTCAATCCAATATGATTGATCGCTGTCAAGATTTGGTAATTATCCGTGGATAAGGTCATGTGATGAATACGGCAGAGTTCGCGACTCAACGATGATTTTTGTGACACTGTAATGAGAAGTGCTTACCATACCATTTTAATTATTCATACGAACCAGAACCACAACGCTCACTATTGATTTTTATTTATCATTAGCACTATTTATTAGTTTAATACCATTTAGATGCGACACTTCTCTACAGCCTCATCACCACACCAGGGTGTAATACCCCATAAACATATGTAAGTCTGGAAACTGGAAACACTGGCTTGATCTTTCCCTAGAATCCTATCTCGTTGAGATTCATATTTTCTGATAGCAGTTACATTGTCATGATAACTTTTTCATCGTTGCATACTTACCATGGTAGAAGTTCATGATGTATCTCTAATGGCAGATGAGATTCTTCATGCCGATAATTTGGCGTATGTCCGTGACCAGGAAAATAATCTGTTTTCACACAAAATTAATCAAAGGCTGGCCTGAAAAGCTTTGAGAAATTTTTGAATAAAGAAAAGGACACTTCAATAGAAATCAATTTCCGCTTTAAAATTTTACGGAGAAATGATTTTTCACCATTAACATTACAGGCAGTCTTCGCTAGCTTGATCTATCGGAAAGTCGCCCAAACAGATGGAGAAAAAGAAGCAGAGTGTAAAAGAATTCTTAAGATATTATTCGATTGAATTATATCTCCCCATTAAGTTTTCTGGTGGTTTCCACGAATACTGTAGTTTTCTCTTATTCATATACAGATAAAACTTATTAGGTTTGGAGTTCAAGCCGAACAAAATAACACCCTGCTCAATTTTTTTTTTTTTTTTTTGTTTTCTTTGCAGACTTTTCACATGAGGGCCTACTACGTGGGGGCTTTTTAAGAGCATCACCATCAACTATTTACATCCTTTTCTTGCCTAACACCCCAGTTATGCTTAATTCTCAGTTGCCATTTAGTCTCATATTTTGCTTCTTCTTATGCACTCCCTCGAGGAGGTGCCAAAGTCACGGCTATATGCATTTTGACGTGCAGTGATGCATTTATCCCGTGGTGAATAATTCAATCTTTCAGCGAAAGCCACCAGTACAATTCATGGGGAAGCACTGATAGCCAACAGGACAACGGCTCTGATCATAGCATAGCAAGTTCTATAGGAAAATGAAATTGGGCACTAGGTGGTCAATAATACTCTTTCTCACTGTGATCCAGTACATTGGATTCCTTTTGTTCGCCAAGGGATTCTTTCCTCAGAAAGTGTTGTTGCCAGGTATAAATTCTCTAGATTCAATTAATGATGATTCCAAGTCGCCTATTTTCAGTGATATATTGTCTAAGAGTAACCATAAAAATCCCAATAATGAGAAATTTGACAAGTTAATATTTATTGTTATTGACGCTCTCAGATCGGACTTCATGTTTTCTTCTAACTCTTCAATGTTCCATTTGCATGATCTTTTGAATAACAATGCTGCTATTGGATTCACGGGGTTTTCCAACCCGCCAACTGTTACATTACCAAGATTGAAAGGTATAACTACTGGATCTACTTCCAGTTTCCTAGATGCTATCTTAAATATTAATGAGGATGACACTTCTAGCTCTTCGAATTTGGTCAACCAAGACTCTTGGTTGAAACAGTTCAAGATCAGTAAAAGAAAGGATTCAGAGGAGTCCGGAATTCATTTTTTTGGCGATGATACTTGGCTCAAGCTTTTTCCTGGATTCTTTGATAAGCACGATGGCACTTCCAGTTTCTTTGTTTCAGATTTCACAGAAGTTGATAATAATGTGACTAGACACATTAATGCAGAATTGGCTAACGATCAAGAATGGGATGGGTTGATTTTACATTACTTAGGTCTTGATCATATAGGTCACAAAAACGGTCCAAACTCAGTATTCATGCCAGCAAAACAACGTGAATTAGATGACATTATTTACAAAATCTACAGTCAATACGCAGTTCCAAAATACGAAAAGCCAGATAGTGAAAGAGTGTTGATGGTCGTTCTTGGTGATCATGGAATGAATGAAATTGGCAATCATGGTGGCTCCTCTATCAGTGAAACTTCTGCTGCTTTGGCGTTTATTTCTCCGATATTTGAGAAAGAAAATTCCAATTACCTTGACTTATCAAATAAGGATTCATTACCAATTCCTCCAACAGATGATTATCAGTTCCTTGATTCTGTGAATCAAATCGATTTAATTCCAACATTATGCAACTTCTTTCAATTACCAATTCCAAAGAACAATTTGGGTGTGATTCTTAAAAAATTCTTACTCAAAACCAATTCCAGTGGTCAATTGAATTTTGTTGATATTTTCTACAAGCTTTTGGAAAATTCGTACCAATTTAAGAACTTGATTCAAGTAAAATTTGGCAAAGAGTTGACTACTAAATTTGATCCTACAAGAAAATTTAACGATGATTCGGAATTTGAGTTGTTGGATTTTCTTTGGCATGATTCCGTTTTAAAGGCTGAACAACTATACTCAGAGAATGAAGGTTTCGCTGATTGTGATTCCAGTGAATTATTGAAGGTAGTTGAAAATTTTTACAAATTCCTCTACGAAACCCAGGAATTTCTCCAAAACTCATCTACAAACTATGATGTTCCACTTCTTATGAAATCTATTACCATCATTGCAACTGTAACGATCATCTTGCTCGTTTTATTCTTTAAGGGAATTTCATGCAGTACCAGTAGTTTCTTTGTTATTTTTACCCTCACTATGGGTATATCTACTTTTGGATCCTCAATGATTGAAGAAGAACATCAAACTTGGTGGTTATTCAATCTCATCCATCTTATTTACTTATCAATTGGCCTTGTTAAATCCTACTCTTTTAGTGTGAAGAGATCTCTTAGCCATTTGTTTGCTAATTTGGTATTTTTTAGAATGATTCGCTTTTGGAATCCCTCAGGCCAGAAATTCAATTTCTTGCCTGAATTCGTCGAGCTTAAATTATCTCATTATCTTTCTACCTCTTATAAGGTATGGGCTTTGTGGATTCTTTTTGTGGTAGTTTTTGCTCATTCTCAAATCATCTCTAATGGTGGCATTCGGTTATTGACTTCCTCGGTGTCATTTGTGATACCGTTCACCTTATCTCTTGTTGTACTCACTTTCAAGGTGAATTTTGATTATGTGAACACTGGGGGTAAACATTTTAATCAATTTTTCAAGGTTATGGTAGATAAAACTTCTAGTTTCTTTGTTAATCCAAGTCTTAGCAATGAGCAGAATGATAACAAGGAAATGTTGATCATTTTAGCACAGGTATCGTTCATTCTTATTCTTAGTGTATTAGCTATTAGGGTTTTATTGTTGAAATGTTCATTTTTGTGGATAGACAGGGTTATTGAAAAAAGAGAGGAGTACTATGAGAAGAAGAATGAGGTTAGTGATGAAGCAATCATTAAAACCCAGTTGATCAGCAATAAAGGCAAGAAGAAAAATAAGCAAATGACGAACCAGTTGAGGAAGGTTTCCAATGTTAAAAGAACTATTATTGATGGGAAGTTTCGCTTTTTGTCAGATGTCGTGAATACAATCAATATATTATTGATAATGCAAAGCAAACTAGAAAATGTGGGGTTGTATTTAGTGTTCTTTGTCATCAGAGAACTTGGATTAAAATTGATTAACAGTGTTATCAGCAGAGAATTGGAGGAAGCTGCAAAGGAAAATAAGCCTACAGATTTGGAAGAAACTGAACAAGCAAAATTAGCTGAAGAGATTAGAATAAAATCAATTTTGATAAACAAAGAGAAATTTCATCTCAAACTCGCATTCTATGTCACTATCCAAACAATTTTGCTTCAAAATTTGAGTTTTTTCCAATTTTCATTCACTAATTCTTTGTCAACTGTTGATCTTGCCAATGCGTACAATGGGACTAGAAGCTACAACCTTGTTTTAGTTGGTCTACTCACTTTTGTTTCCAATTTCTCTTCGGCAATATACTGGTCCTTTAATTCTTTGGTATGGTTGTTTGAGAATAATTTGATAAACTCGGATAGAACCAAAATGACAAGTAGTATCTTGTTTGATAAAACTTCTCCTTCTATTAAATGGGAGATGTTTTATGTCAGATACTTGACTCAGTTGCTATTTTATTCTTTCTTCGGATTGTTTTTGTGTGTTTCCTGCTTCAATTTGAGGTATCATTTATTCATATGGACCGTATTTTCGCCAAAGTTATTATTCTTTGGAGTTTGGAATTTCTTAATCAATGGACTTGCAGAGGTATTTATTGCCTTTATCCTTTACTTACTATGATGAACAAGTTTAATGATTTCAAAAAATCATGTTTACAGTTCGCTATGAACCAAGAAGTTTTTCTTGAAGCTATACCGGTCCTTTCATTTCTTCTATTCCTCCTTTCATTATCTATAAAACCACATAACTCTCAATTAATATAAATCACCATGGAGTCTAAATAAATCCAAATAATCTAAGAATGTAGTCAACTAAAATACCAACTGTAAAAATTTTAGCGGAGGTCACATTGATATTAAATGCTTCCCAACAACTCTTGATACTATCCAAGTTAGTTCTCTTAATCATATTAATCATTCTGTAACTGAATATAGTACCTGCAATCCAGAAACCAGGTCCCAAAGCACCGTAAACACCCATAAAAGCCAAACTAGACACTTGCAAGCTTGCCAAACCGTAACAGATATTTTTGGTGTTTGCACCCCATTTCAAGGCGGTAGACTTGACACCAGCTTTGACATCCCAAAGCTTGTCTTGATGAGCATAAATGGTATCATAAATCATGCACCAGTTGAAAGTTGCGAAATAAAGTGGCAACATTAAACCCCAGTTCCAATCTCCCATTGCAGCAAATCCAAGAAGAGTACCCCAGTTAAAACAAGCCGATAACGCTACCTGTGGATAATATGTAAATCTTTTGAAAAGCGGATATGTAAGTACTAATGACAAAGATGATGCTCCTAGCAAAAAGCAATCCAAAGGCAAACTGAGCAAAACACCAAGACCTACGGTCAATTGGGCGACAAGGAACTTGGTAGCATTGGTTTTAGAGACTCTACCACTGGCAATGGGTCTTTCAATGGTACGGATCACTTTATCATCAAAGTTTTTATCAAGAATATCATTAATGGTACAGCCTGCCCCACGCATAACGATAGATCCAATGCCAAAAAGACCCAATATATATAAAGTTTGGGAAATTGGGGAAACAAGCTCAAATCCGGCTAACATAATTGCCCAAGCACTAGGTAAAAACAAGTACCAAGTACCTGCGGGTTTATCTAATCTCATCAATTCAGCGTAAGGAATCCATTTCTCGGGAAGCTTAGAAACATATGGTTCAAGCTGCTTTAGACGGTCAGCGGCAACTTTCTTACGTTCTTCCTCTGTGAAAATAGGCTTAGTGACAGAAACGTCTGAAAGCTTTTTATGATTAACAGTCAACGGTCTTTTGACAATAACTCTGGACGCCAATGGAGCAAGCCGTTGCGAAATTTGCCATTTTGATTTGGAGGCAGCAGTGAATAGCCGGCTGCTAACAGGCGACCCGAGAATTAGGTTTCTAAACATCTCTTTAGGGGTTATTTGGGATGATATACATAAGATCCAATCGCTACTAGTGGATGCAAATTTTTTTCAAGATTGAGCAAGCGAAAGTTCCAAGGACATGGTATACCAAAAGAGGTCAAGAGAGCTTCCCATAACTGAGGACACTGTTAAGGAAAGTGATTACCCGACCATCAGAAACACTACTTTTGTGTGGCGATGAGCATCACTATTTGACAAACCAATTTGCTTCATCCCTCAGCTGGCTTATCTCCAACAACGAAACACCAACCCAACAGCGATATAATATAATAAAATAATAATAGTGATGGGTGCCAAGTACGGTCAGTTCAAGTTAGTGTTGCTTGGCGAAAGCTCTGTAGGGAAATCTAGTGTCGTTTACAGGTTTATAAAGGAACAGTTTGAGGAGTTTCGTGAATCGACTATTGGTGCAGCCTTTTTAACCCAAAGCGTCAAAGTTAACAATGAAAAGGGAGAGGAAGTCACTATTAAGTTCGAAATATGGGATACTGCTGGACAGGAAAGATACAAGTCTTTGGCCCCAATGTATTATAGAAATGCCCATTGCGCTATAGTGGTGTACGATATAACCAGAGAGAGCTCCCTCGCGAAAGCCAAGAATTGGGTCAGCGAGCTCAGAAAGCAGAACAGTAACAATGCTAATAAAAACATGGTAATTGCTTTGGTGGGAAATAAATCAGATTTGGAAAGTGAAAGGAAAGTTGACAAGCTACAGGCATTTGAGTACACAAGAGAGGAAGGGTTATTATTTTTTGAAGTGTCAGCAAAAACTGGTGAAGGTGTCAGAGATGTATTTGATCACATCGCGAAACTGTTGGCCGAGAGCTACGAGGAATCTATGAATTCTAACAACGGCATGAATATGAACCCCAATCAAGTTGATTTGATGAAGGGTACGCAAAACAATGACACATGTGCTTGTTGAGTTGGGTTAAGTTGTTTATCTTGATGTAGTCTAATCTGTGACGAAACGGGAACCTTTCGAGGCGTTATATCCTAATATATCGCGGCTTATCTTGTCGTTACTTGGAACACTCGAATCTGTTAATTTGCTCGTTGCAGTTATCCTTTTATTTATTTTTTTTTTTTTTGCTTATTTTTCCTTTTATGCTTTGCACCTTATAAATCGCAGTTTATTTTTATTCAAGTTTAGCCATTCATGTTACATTTTCATTTAAGCTTTTTTTTTCTTATTGCTTGGGGTTAATGAAGCCATATAAATTAATTTATTATATTCGTGTAAACCATTCAAATGGTTATAATCATTTTATTATGTGTCAAATAATTCTATTGTACAAGTTGTTTCTTAAGGCTTAGGTGAAACTTTTCCCAAAAACCTATTTACCACCTCTGTAAATATATAAGCATTCTTTGTCTTTTGGCTTATCCACGAAAGTCATATCATTATTAGCCAACTCAGTTAAGATCATCTGAAATACACTCTCATCCTGTGGATTGCTATTGTTATTGGTATTCATTTTTGTGTTTTGTCTAGCCAATTCTAGATAATGAGAATATAAAACCTTTTTATTTGTATTATGTAAGGTATTTTTGGGCTCAAGATTTTCAATGACACCTTTACCAAACATCGGGATTCTATGATAATTCAATTGGCAAAATATCATGGCAAATTCCTTTCGAGTGCCAACATATTCACTCAACACCTTGAATATATCCGGCAACTTTTTTAATTTTTCCGAGCTTGTTAAATCAAGAGATATAAGGCAATAATCTTTCTTTATTGCTTTAAGAATGTCTGTTGCCTTGGCAAATTCCGCATCGTTATTAAAATCAGTCAATGTAGTATCAAAATCTTCCCGTAATGCTGGTTGTAAATGTTTGTTTGCACTTTTGATTGACTTAGTCAAATCTTCTAGCATCACGCCATAAAATGCACCATAGTTTCTCAATTCCTTTGGTTTGAATGGAAAAAATCCAGAATCATTTCTGTTTGCTCTTTTTCCAAGAGCATCATTTTGCAACGCACTTAAAAACTGGACTTCATCAATACTTTTTAACCGGACAACTCGGCTACCTCCAACACGCAAACTAGATGTGGAAGAGTTCCTGCTATTTAGTCTATTTAGATGATTAGACAATTCAAGATAATTAATATCGGATACTCCCGGCTCTAGGTTCTTTAGAACAATAATCATTGACGCATAGTTCAATTGATTTATGAATGAGTTTATTCTCTTCAAGTCATCCGCATTGATCTTTGCTTTATATTCTTGAATTCTTGACTCTGTTAGAGCTTCGTCAAACTCCGTTAGGAAATTTATTCTCTTCGATATACTATTTATGATCGCTGGTTCACGCAATACTGACGATCGTCTTCGCGTTGATACTTTGTCTGGAGTTTCAATATTATTAACTTCCTCATTTTTATTTTTTATTCGAGTTGATTCATTTTCAAGTGAGCAGGATTCTGAAATTTGCAGGAGTGCTTCCCTTCTATTCTGATTTTGGTAGAATTCATACAATGACTTTAAATGAGTTCTATGAAGACTAGAAATTGATAAATCACTGAAAACCTCAGGGTCATCACGTAACAACTCCACTCCTTTAAACTGATCCACAAATAGTTTCTTACCAAGATTTAATCTTTTTGATTTATCAAATCTTCGAAGTTTCTTGTGTGACACTATATCGAGTGGTGATGTACTTGTATCAGTACTATTGAGACCAGGCAGCTTGGAAAAAACGGGGCCCTTAGGGGCTCCTTCTAGTCGCTGAAGAGCTGATGATAGGTATGAGGAAAGCGAAAGGATTTGTTTTTGCTTGTTTGACATGAACTATATTTGTTAGCGCAAAAAGGTTGGCTCACTTCTGAGATCATCTACAGATTGATATTTTTTTCAGGGTGAAAACTCCGTATGTATTTTTTTTTCTTTGCATGGTTTGATGCACCGCATTTGTGAACATGAATATAATATTGTCACAAATAGAATGAATCTTACAAGTAATGAATGAAAGCTTTTCCATTGAAAATTTATTGAAGCCATTCAATGGTGAATACCAAGCTACGAATATTTAAGTTTCATATTTCTGAAAATCTCTTCATCACCTGCAGCAAGTAATATAATATAATGCAAGAACAAACAATAAAATAAGACATCAAAGTATATGATCAGAAACGAAATAATGAATTAAAATAAAAAATTGATCTAAACTGAGAAATAAAAAAGGTATAGAATATTTGAGAACGGCATGTAAGGAAGTTTGCCATACTTTCGAAAAAGTTACCAATCATTGAAATATTGCATGGCAATTCTATTCCACAAATTCTGAACATTTGGGTGATGGTGTTTGAGACCAAATCTCAAGATGCCCTGAGTTAAGAATAATCGTACCCCTTGGAAGCCTGTACTTTGTAAATATTGATCTAACATAAGTAGTATATTATACTGGACATTATTTGAAACATTTTCATCTAGGAGCAACTCAATAATTGCAGGAGCGTTGTTGTATTGGAATAGCTGAGGAATATAGATATTAGTCATTGTATATTCGTTTCTTGGTATGGAATTCTTATGCATCAAATTAAAAAATGAGATAATATAATCTGGAAATATCGCTTGAGAATTTTATACCCTTGGTTATCAGCGGACAAGTTTTCGTTACTTTTTTATTTCTAAGAATGATATATATGTGTGTCAAAAAAATATCAATGAATTTATTGAGACGAAAATTTAGTTATAGTGTAAAAAGCAGTGACACTATAAAGTCTTCAAAGCTCTACATGAGGGGGGGATAGACTCATCGTTATATATTGGTTATCCAACGGGAACCAAAAAATTACTTGGGATATAGATCACATAATCCTGTGACAATCATACATATCGGGACGTGATGATCAAATATTAGTTCATCACATCGTTCCCTGCGCAGTGATCTTAGACTAATCACCGGTCAATTTGGTGTCTGCGAGTGCTTCTTTCCTGTGATGACGTTAGGGACGGATCGGGGGAGTCACCGTTTTGCAATGCGTCCCCTCCGCAACTACCGTAATCAATCAGATTTCCAGTGACGATTGAATGGATCATCATGTTTTAAGATTAAAACAAACGCCAAGGAATCAGTAGGAAATGAAAGAAAAAAGAACCTTTTTCTTATACATATTAGGAATAAAATAAGATAAAAGAACCCTCTGATGGGGCATGAAATACGCATGCATAAGGTATAATAATAGAACAAACCGCTTGGTGCGCCTGACTTTTCTCAGCATTCATATATTATAATAGATTTTACCTATTTTTCAGAAATTTTGAGCAGATTCTGTTCAGCTAGCTAAGACTAAAATCCTGGCTTTGTAAGGCTCATTGAGTTGCAATAACCAAAGGTTCATCAAGTTTAGCGTTCTGCTAACCGCGCATCAGAGAATCCAATATTCCAAGAAATAGATAATTTACACCACTGAAAAAGTTCTCAGCATAGATAAATAAATACTAAAGAAATTTCATCATATTTGGTTGTGATTAATAGTGAGATATTTGAAAAGTCATACTAGCTTGATAGGCATAATAGTAACTTTCAAAAATTGACACGTAGAATAAACTAAGACGTAGAATAAAAAAAAAAAGGTTGGTATGGAATCAAGAAGAAAATCATTTAAGAAAATAATAACAATCAAAAAAAAAAAAGAAAAAAAGAAGACAAAGAAATATTAATAGATCAGATTAAAAGAAAAAAACAAAAATGAAAAAAACAAACCCGGATTGCAAGCCGAGACTTGGCTTATATGAGAAGGCACCGTCTGCATAGGTTGAAATAGTAGCTGGGGAGTTAGAAGAAGAGCCGGATGGTGGACTAGAAGATGGACTAGAAGAGGAGCCAGAAACAGATCCAGAGCCTGCGGCAGAAGATTGAATAGTAATAAAGGTGGAGGAAGCAGTGCCAATTGCTGTGTTTTCATTCTGTGTGCCAGTTGGAACGCTACTGGAAACAGTGTTACCAGCAGCAGATGCAGAGGCAGAGGCAGGGGCAGAATTGGCAGCAATGGTCACAGAAGGAGAACTAGAAGAACTAGAAGAAGAGTTAGAAACTGGGCCAGATGATGAGGAGGAAGATCCATTAGATCCGTTAGATCCGTTAGATCCATTAGATCCATTTGTACCTGAGGTAGAAGATGAGTCAGAACTGGAGCCAGAGATAGAACCATTAGTGCCAGAGGTAGAAGAGGAACCAGTGCTAAAACCAGTGCTAAAACCAGAAGAAGAGCTGGAGCCAGAACCAGAGGAAGAAGAAGCATCAGACCCAGAGGAGGATTCAGAACCAGACCCAGAGGAGGATTCAGAACCAGGGCTGGTAGAAGGGCTGGAGGCAGAACCAGAGGAAGAAGAAGCATAAGAACCAGAGAAGGAGTCAGAACCAGAAGAAGATTCAGAAGTACCAACAGCTGAGGAGTGCGAAGTAGTAGTTTCTTCATTACCATTTCCAGAGTACATAGTACTGCTACCCACAACCACACCAGTTGAAGTTACTTCAAAACAAGCGTTGTCAGAACAAGAAGTGATGGTTTCAGTTACATGTGTAAAGGAACCCTCATTAGTTTCGGACACAGATTCTGAAGCACTTGTTAATGGACAATACGTTGTATAGGATGTAAGAGTACCATCAGTGATGTAAACGACAACACTAAAACCAGTGGTGAAAGTTGAGCCACTACTTGTAATAACCGTTGGAGAGTAAGCTTCACCGTTTGAAGAAACAGCAGTTGTGGTAGAAACACCAGAACCAGAGCCATAGTTAGCACTAGAAGAAGAAGAACCAACGGCACCAGAGCTAAAACTAAAAGAGGAAGAAGAGCCACTAGGTTTAGAGATAGAATAGGAACTAGAGCTAGAACCAGTAGAGAAGCCAGATCCAGGGCCAGAAGAAGAGCTAGAAGTAGCGACAGAGGAAGATCCCAAGCTGACACCGGACGATGAGTTAGATTCCGCGTTGGTAACAGGCAGAGAAGAAGTAGCCGAGGCTTCAAAAGTGGATGTAGCACCATTGCTGGTGATCACAGAAGACAAAGATGTCACGGAATTTGTATTCCCTGAAACTGCGGCACTAGTAACCACAGAAGCTGTGGAGGATGAGGCACTGACATTTCCTGAAGAGCCACCAATACATGATTCACCATTAACAACAATCAAGTCAGATTCATCACTAGTAAAGCAGAATGCCTCTTGACTACCGGAAAAGATGATAGAATTAATCCTCAAAGTTCCTCTGGCAGACGGATCATCAGAAGTTAATTCAATAACAATGTACAGTTCCCCATTTGCATCAGTGTCACGACGTTGCAAAGAATTGGATGTGCCAGTAGCAAAATCAAAGGAGTAAATCAAGACGCCATCGAAGTAAAAGCTCACACCACTTTTTGTCCAGTCAATCATGTAATTGTGATAGTCGATAGACAAGTCAGCAAAGGCAGTGTATGTGTACTCGTTTGTTCCAACCTTTGCAGTAACGGAGGTACCACTGACGATAAAACCATAATCAACAGATCCAGAAATCAAAATCGAGCTATCAAGAGGAGCAGCACCAGCTTGCATTTGGAAACTGTATGTACCGTATTCAACTGGGAACTTAGATTTCAAGATCACAGGTGTACCATCGTAACTAAGTGCAACAGAATCTGAAGTCAAGCTCACATCAGCGGCAGGAGAAACATCAAAATAAGATAATGGGGTTACTTCTGAAGCGTTGCTAAAGGTTATTTCAGCAGCATCGCCTGAGGAGTAGTTGAAGTATATTGGGCCTGATGATCCAGTAGAGGTTGGAAGTCCGACGTTAACAGTTTTGGTTGTAGAAGCTCCCGATGAACTGGACAATGGGCTTCCTGATGACCTAATGGTCAGAGTACCTGTGAAGGTAATGGAGGCAGATCCAGAAGAAGAACCTTCGGTCAGAGAAGTAGTTTCGCTAATAGTTTCGCTGGACCCTGAACTAAAGTCACTTGAGATTATTCCAGTGCTCGATTCAGTGGAAGATGCAGCAGAAGTCGTGTTGAAATACCCAGATGATACAGAATTACTGGTAGCTTGATTGGAAATTTGCGAGACCAAAGAACTTCCAGAAGAGGTAGATTCTGCAGGGATAGATGAACTACTACCCGCGGCAGAGGCTGATTTTTGTGACGATACACTAATCAATGAAATATTGGAAGTGGAGGCCACAGACGTACTACTCATACCAGTAGAGGAAAGAGCAGTGGAAGTTGCATTAGTATAGATAGATTCTGAAGCAACGGAGGTGATACTAGCAGCAGTAGAAGTAGGGGTCGTAGAAGTTCCATTAGTAGCAACAGAAGCCTTTGACGAAACAGTATTCAATGATATACTAGTAGCGGAGGCTGTAGAAGTGCTGTTGGAAACAGTAGACACAATGGTGCTGGAGTTCCCTTTGGTAGTTCCTGAAGCGACAGAGGTGCTACTAGCAGCAGTAGAAGCAGGGGTTGTAGAAGTTCCATTAGTAGCAACGGAAGCCTTTGACAACATAGCAGTCAATGAAACACTAGTGGCAGAGGCTGTAGAAGTACTATTGGAAACAGTAGTCAATGAAACACTAGTTGCAGAGGTTGCAGAAGTGCTGTTGGAAACAGTAGACACAATGGTGCTGGAGTTCCCTTTGGTAGTTCCTGAAGCGACAGAGGTGCTACTAGCAGCAGTAGAAGCAGGGGTTGTAGAAGTTCCATTAGTAGCAACGGAAGCCTTTGACAACATAGCAGTCAATGAAACACTAGTGGCAGAGGCTGTAGAAGTACTATTGGAAACAGTAGTCAATGAAACACTAGTTGTAGAAGGTTGCAGAAGTACTATTGGAAACAGTAGACACAATGGTGCTGGAGTTCCCTTTGGTAGTTCCTGAAGCGACAGAGGTGCTACTAGCAACAGTAGAAGCAGATGTCGCAGAAGTTCCATTGACAGATGTGGTACTAGCAGCAGAAGAGGTGTAAGATATCAGACTGGTTGTGAAAACACTAGGAGTGGAGGAAACAGAGGTGGTTTTAGCAAATGTTGACGACGAAGTAATGTGAGTACTATTGGAGGTACTAGAAACTGATGCTATCAATGTGGTTGGGGTGACACTGGAGGTTTCTGTAGCAATAGATGTAGACAGCACCAATCCAGAAGACTGACTGGTAGTTGAGCTTTTGGATGAGATAGTTGATATAATGGAAGCGGAAGTACTGCTCGTACTCAAATAGGAAGCTGATGCAGAAGAAGAGGTAACAGTATAATAAGAGCCGGTCGATGTAGTCAAAAGTTGGGATGTGGAATGAGAACTTGATGAACTAAAGGTAGACAGAGTGGTGTTAAAGTAACCAAGAATAGAAGTGACAACAGAAACATCAGAAAGTATCACTGAAGATAAAGCAGAAGTTATCATTAGACTTGAAGTACTCAAAATCATCTTGCTTAAAGATTTTGGTAGAAGTAATGATTGGTTATATTTTTTTTATTGAAAGACAGGCCAAACATGAATGAGGATGGTCTGTTTATATATTAATATCTTTCCTTTCATTATTCTCATTTTTTTGTTTTTAGAATGTAGACAGCGCTTATAGCTGAAATACAGATACTTGCCGAAAGAAAAGGGTCTTTTTGAGAAAAATGTGCTATGAATTGAGCAAATGTCTATATATCTGATTTGCGCAACCAAGCAGGTATAACCAAATATGCTTTCTCACAGCGTATTTTTGTTGATCTTGCATTTCATCTATTCGTCTCATAGGAATATATTCAATTTTCCTAATTATATTGTTTCTCTTGTGCATGTTGGAAAAAAAAAATCTGTGCTCATTTTCGGAGTGCAGTAATATTTATTGATAAAGTTTGTGTACGTACTTGAACTCGAGAAGAAAAAAATATCAGACCTCAAGAAGAAAAAAAAGAGCTTCTCAGATTGCGCTTAAAAAGCAATATGTTATACGCAATTCTAAAACATGTGGTGAAGGATTTTGTTTCATTAGGAATTAACAGCTGATGAAAAAAATGTTTGCTAGGAAGTAATATCAAATTCTAGATCAGCAATCTTCAAGATTAATATCGGGTGATCAGCGAAGTATCACCAATAGGGTATGTCTTTTGGCTTTACACAAAAATAAATTATTAAACTTTCTACTCAGGGGAGCAAAATGGAAAAAGATAGAAGGGGTAAAAGAAAAAATCAATCAAAAAAAAAAAAAATGGTCTGACCAATAGACGGAGAACTTCGCGAACGAGGGATCCAAGCTATATTCACAGTAGCTTGGCGATTTTGTTGGTTGATGGCTGCATTACTTCAAGATTGCATTTCTTTGACGGAGATATTAGCTCAGCATTATCTTTCCTTGACATCAACTGTAAAAAAAAAAATATCATTCAAAAAAAAATTACGGGAATCAAAATAATCAAGAACCCCGAATCGGAACAGCCTACGCCATGCAAGTCAAGTCATATATGCCGAAAAGCTCACAAATCAGCAAGTCTACGGATTTCAGAAACCGAAGATCCTATTGAGTACCGCAATGTTTTAATTGATAAAAAAGATTGAAGATACTCAGAAAAATCCTCCATTAAAATTTATGAGCTTTTAAGCCAGCAGTATATCTTGAATATTTCGTAGACTATTGAAGAGGTGTTTATTAAGGTGTTGAGCCAGATTAAGTTTTTTTTTTTTTTTCTTGAGCAATTGCTATTTTCATTTAAAGGTTTTCTGCAAAAAACAGGCGGGGCTTATTTTAATCCTGGAAATTTTCTAAAAATCCGTCATATATCCTGATTTCAGACATTCATGTGGGAGTGGGATGATAATTTTGCAGATCTTTTTTTTTAGTTCTGTCACCCCTGTTTAAAATTTTAACACAAGGTCTTTCAAGCCATTTTCCTGTTGTACACTTATAATGATACAAAACCTCAAAACACATTGATATTCTTTCTTTCTTTCTTTCTTTTTTTTTTTTTTGCGAATAAATAACGCCACTTTATTGTAGAATACCTCTTTCGATACAGCTGGAACCCACATCGTCTGCGCCATCCTGAAAAAGCAAGCAGTGAACAACATGTACACAGGCAATTGCTGATCAATGGAACTTCAATTACGAAGCCCGGCGACTTCTTTGCCAATCGATTAGAATTTATTACTTTACTTCTATTCAATTTTAGGACGCACCCATCAAAGAGAAGTGAGTATATTTGCTAATCTAAGCCATAAATTTTCATGCTTATGCTCAGAATTGTATGTACAGTCATGTTGAGAAATACACGTGATGAAATACGCATCTGAGGCTTTTAAAAGTCCGATAGAATTCTACCGTATGTTTAAAGCTGAGGAATTGATAATCTCAGCAGCCAGTATTGTTGAGTATCTTATTTTGTAACATAAATAGTATGTTGGCCTCATATTCCTTCCAAGCTGTCAAAGTAAAAGCTCTAGAATCCACGGAATAGTCATGTTTCTGTGCAATACAGCCTCACCCACCGTTCTTGTAGTGAGTGTATACAAATGTGGCCCCACCATGGCCCCACTATGGCCCCACTATGCATGTAGAGAGAAAGTATATGTGTGTGTATACCTATCTGTGATTTGATTTGGACAATACTTATTTTAAGAGAAGACCAGCATCTTCATCTTCAATAAGCAACATGGCTGCTGTATGTCTCATGCTTTGTAAGATTCTTTCTCTTTAAAAACACACCCAGAAAATGAGCAACATAAATGAGATGAATGCTACAAATTATTATAAGTTGTGCCTACCTAACTGTCACTAGAGTATTCGGAAAAGCTATTAATAGGAATCAGACAAATACGATTACTGTTTCATTACTATTATTATCTTTGAGGCTTTATCGTCTATATATACACTCATATTTTTCCATCTTCAGCCTTATATTTGAAAAGTGTTCAATAACAGAATGAAAAATTATAGCTGTCAAGTAATTTGGGGATTTCCATTCATCAAAGCTATAAAATATACATAATATCATAAGAACATATGATCAAAATTGGCTTCAGAAATGTAGACTAGGAATGCACCCAATAGAAGAGGTACTGGATAACCTTTATCACCAATCTCAAATAGGCATGTATACTAAAATTAAACAATACTCCAAAAATATTCCTTCGTGGTATCAAATTAATACTTATTAAACCATAAGTGAGAAAGACCAAGGAATCGATGAATTGGTAATTTATAACAAGTCCAAGATGGAAATATTCAAGCATACTAGGACAAGTGGAAGTGCTTCAAAATCAAAGTTGTCAAAATATCCGTTCTGTAACATATACCACCAGTATTGCTCATCTATTATCAAATTATCTCTTACTCTTATCATCTCCAGATCTTCATCTAATTAACTTATTCCCTCTGTCTTTATTACCCTTCTATTCTTCTTATCCATTTAAAGTCTTACTGAATCATTTGTTGCTTATATATATCTTTTCCTAATAAATTTAAGTTAAATATCATAGCTTCATATATGAAAGTCTATAGATGAAACTTCCTCCGAAATTGATCACCCTATAGGCCGGCTGTGCCAGTATACACGATATACAGCCATACACCACACCATAGATGCATGACCTTACATATGAGAGAGACTTCTATTCTTATAATTATATTTATAAGATATATCTTTATCCTTACTTACCTCTCTCCTTTGAAGTTTTCAAGGGATCACGGAAAAGATTTTTGCAATATAAGTTACACTCATTAGTTATTATTCGGCAGATATATCTGGTATATACCATAATAATGAGAACTGTGAAAATAACAAAGAAATAAGCCATAAGTCATACATCACGTCAAATCTTCAATTATTTGCGCTATTTTCTTCAACCAGTAATAATGACACGAAATAAATACGATAAAGAGGCGAACTCCTTAACCTTTGCTATTTATTTAAGGGTACTATATATAGTATAAGAAAGTAAAAAAAAAAAAAAGCCATAAAATCATTAAAAATTATTAAACTCGACAACAAACATTATTGCCAGTCAAAGCAACAGAGAATAAGATAAGAAATAAGAAAGACAAATGCGCCGCAAAGAAGTCGACAATATATCCAAGGAAAAACAATATTAGGAAGACCAATTTTTATAAGAGAGAAAGTAGAAAACAACAGAGAAAAAAAAAAGAAACACAAGCATTGTTTCAGAGTCAGTGGGCGAAACTAATCAACAAAAATGACCTGAAAAAAATAGTGTTAGTTCCCAGAATCCGCTTCTAGATAAGAAAACAAATAGACAGGAGATTAAGCATGAAAAACATTAATATATTAATAAAAAGAGCGAGAAAAAAAGCAGTTAAAACTCAATTTCCCTGTTTCAACAACCAACTTCTCCATCCCAACAACACCATTTCCCACCCCATTATCAAAGCGACGACACCAACTGAAACATTCAAGGTGAACATTGGGGTCAAACCTCTCCATTCTAAAGCTTCTACGCACTGGTCGGTACTTTCCATAAAGATCATCCCGCCAGCAAGTAAAGCACTAGAAACAAGCAATTCAGTGAATGGCTTAAGCGAGCTGAAAATCTTCAATCCAATGATTTCTTTGGAGACAGGCTGAGCATCTGCTTGGACTGGGGCAAAAATACAAACCAAGTAAGTGAGACAACGAATAATAGCACCATAACTAAGCATATATCCCCATTGAACGTGAATATTTGTGGAAACAGGAGAGGCTTGGGCGTGTTGAGACATCAAGATACCGGTCCAGAAAATGGTAAAAGCAGGGAAAGGATTTGGACTAAAACCAGGGGTACCAAACACAGTTGATTCTGCGGTACTTTGGTGCTTGACTTTTTGTAATCTCCAAGAAGATAAGCCAACTTCAGTAAGCAAACCACAAAGGCCACCACCAATATACATAAATGCAATGCTAACGTGTTGCAAATCTTTTGCAGCCCACTCTCCACCAGGGTTAGCTAAATGCTCTAAGAAAACATTTGTTGAACCATAAAAGAAAATCAAGAAAGATTCCATAAATTCCATGGTGAACAAACCTTGCATTGGAGAAAACTTGATGAGCCAGGATGGATGAGATCTTTTAGAAATAGATGAGTCAAGGGCAATTGGGTTCCAAGCAAACCCAAGAGATTGCCAACAACCGCAATAACGTGCCAAAGAAACAAGACCAAGTAAAAAGAAAACACCGCCTTTAATGAAATGAGCCAATAAGTTAAAGACCTTGCTGCCTTGACCCATCATGTTACCAACTGTAATGCCGGTCATTGCATAAATCAACAAGTAACCAAAAAGAGGATAATTCATAAGATTAAAGATGAAAGAAGAAACAGAAGCAGAACGGACAAGGCCAGATTGCACTCTGGAATTGTGCAATATTTTATGCAAAATAGAGTCTGTGTTTGACTTGACGCTTGGAAAAGAAAAGCCTTTTGGATTATCAATTAATTGATGGGATTCTTGATCATTGACTTCGGAAGCAACACTCTCAGGATCATCAGAAAAATGAACAGAATGATTATTAGTAGCATCTGCTTGAGAAGCCGAAAATCTATGAGAAAAGTCAATTGAATTTCTGCTTGAACTATTGAAATCATAAAGAGTCAGAGAAGGAGACAATGCTGTTGAACCCCTACTGTGTCCAAAGTTCTTCAAAGGAATGAACTTGGTATTGTCCTGGGCGGCTAAGGTGGAATTGTCAGACTCAGATGACAAGTAATTGAAACCAAAATTCATCAATGCTGAAACGTAATGGACAATAGAGGCTACGAACAAAATGTAGCTCATTTTAGTGTAAGCATTATTAGGATACATGTCTGGCACAGAATTACTGAAAACTCCCAAGGATAGCAAACTACCAATCACTGTTGATAAATTGAGGGTTAATACTTGCAAATACCATTTACTTTTTACATTATTGAGGACCAAACAGATTGGATACAAAAAGTAGATGGCCATGAAGAGCAAAGAAACATGAGCGCGCAACGCTGGCTTGTTGGAATTCTCAAGGTTGAAAAAAGTGGTGGTGTTATACGATTCCCAGTAAAGCCTCTCCTCAGGAAGTAAATTGGTTTCAAGAATTGGAACACCATGATGACTATGTGGTTTGTGGGGGACTGGGATAAGGGTAGTATTGGCGGCAGCAGAATCATCGTCAATAACATTAGTGCCCATGTCCATATCCATTTCCATTGGCAAGGCGGTTGCCAAAAGAGCTGAGCTCGATAGAAAGACGAATATCCATTGATGTGTATACTTCATATTTAATGATGGGTTAGATGAAGCTGAAGTTAGGAATTGAGAAGTAAGTGGAAGGGCCAATAAAATAGGGATGGGGTGGAGCGCGGGTATTTAAAGCGCTTGCAAAATCCAGAGCTTCGGAGTAATCGGGAACTAATAATTTTTTTTTTTTCTTTATGGCTTCCGGTGATGCAGACTTTTAAACAGCGTGAGATAAGAGTGGAGAAGTAAACAAGATATTAGGATTATCTATCTATATAAGTAGCTCTTTTCATATGCAATCATATGATTCCAGCCATACGAATGAACTAATTGCTTGGAGTGTTGTTGCCCCAATAGCAATATACACGAATCACGGAGGTTTGCTGACAACAACTTACCGAGCGGCTGGGTACCCCCTGGTTCATTACAAATCACCCCCTGGAGTACCGTCACATTACTAATACCATGAATATGGTATATCATAGGAGGAGTATATATATATATATATTCTAGTATTGATCACATATACATTATTTTCGCCTTCCTATAGATAGAATATTGGGCACAGGGGCTCTCCTGGCCACACAAACCCCTATTCGTCCGCCAGCCGGGGAAGAAGTAGAAAAAAAAAAAAAAAACTCAGGTGATTGGATGCCCATCACCATACTAAGCACTTACGTAATGAAAGATGAAGTACATACACTAATCCTTATACATATAACATATAAGGATTAGTGGCAGTAACCAAAATATATGGCTGAAACTAATTAGGAGGAGTACGGGCTTCGTCATGCTATAAAGTAGATTTTGTCAGATAGAATTAACAACGAAGGAAAACAATGCCAATGAAGTTGGGAGACTAGTCTTTGGGATCCCGAAGACCAACCAGTCTAATACCATCATGAATTGTATAATCAGGGGAAACGATACATGACAATATGCATCGAGAATTACTCCAGTCCTAACATCGCTTAATGTTGTGATTGATACTACAACAGAATCAATGAAGGCTTCCAACTAACAGAACATAAAGTACACAATGTACAAGAATGATATACCGTCTATGAAGAAGATTAAGGATCACTGAAAAAAAAAAAGGATGAAGTCCCAAATAATGGAATACTGGAATAAAATGATAAAATATCAGTCACCATAATCCTCAGAAATCTATCGTCAACACCTAAACCGAGAAAAACAAGTAAAGCAAAATTTCAAGCAAACCATCATGGGAAAGACTATCAACCAGCCGGAGGAAGTCACTAGTTATTTGTCACAATTATTAAATGGCAAGAGAGTTATTGATCATAAAATTAAAGAGATTCCCAATCCTGAAAACACCATCAGTTGCACAGCTTGTGGCAAGGAACGTTATGAATCTCATGCATTTCTACGAATTGAGATATGTCTCAACCGGAGAGGCTAACTGATATAATACCATCGAGTATATTATATTATATGGGGAACATTAGTAACAGGTCGTGCTGAATCTAGAATAGTCCCAGTTTGGTAGAGCCAACGGTGAATGAGTAAAAACATCGCTATAAGGAAACCCCTCAAGCCAAGGTTTTTCTTTCCACAGTTTGCTTGGTGGCAGTACACCAACCTGCTGGTAGGCGTTAACAAGAAAATTTTCAAAAAAAAAATAATTAATGAAGGGCCCTTCAAAAGCGAAAATTATATCAATATCAGTATATTGTTGTAGTATAAGCCATAACAAAGATAATCCGATGAAATGTCACCTTAATCATGACTCTGCTAGTGACTAATAAACTCGTCAGAAGACCTAGCAGTTATCTTATTGTTATTAATGACATTTTTATCAGATCAGAGAGTTTGTTAGTGTGAATAATTATAGTGATATGGTATGAATACTTTCCAGGGATTGAAGCAAACTAAAATATGCAAACTGTCAGATTACTTATCCAGCCAAACAAAGATTGACTCCATCGTGATAACAAACTATACTTTATTTTCCATGTTGGCGGGATGCATAGACCGTCGTGATAATGTCAGAGATTGTTGAGATCTCGGTAATGCGGACAACATTGTCCGCCAAAAGATGCAATTGACGAAAAATATAAAGATGGGACAAAATATCCCAGTTATTTGAATTATTATTTAAAATTTCATTCTGAATAATTAATTATAGAATCATTGCTCACGATGTTTCCTAAAGTTTCAAAAGCCACTTTAAAAGTGATTATTGCTGCCTGCTTCGGTAGTATATCCTATGGTTATGTTTCCGGTGTCGGAGGCACTATTATTGCCCAGCCAACATTTATTGACTACTTTAACTACGACAGTAGTGCTAGTATTGCTGATACTTTTAATGGATTGCTTTCTGGTGGTGGTCTAATTGGTGTTTTTATAGGCGGAACCCTATCAGAAAGCTATGGTCGTCGTTTTGCCATCTGGTGTGGGTCACTTATTGGAGTAATTGGCGCTACGTTAATGACGGCATCTGTTGATATCCCTATGCTTTATGTTTCAAGAATCATATTAGGCATGTCTATTGGTATGCTAGTGATGTTAATTCCTTTATATCAAACGGAAGTTGCCCCTACAGAAGGTAGAGGCTTGTTGGTTTGCATGCACGGTGTACTTATCCTCATAGGTTATTGTATGGCATTTTGGATTAATGTTGGTGTTTACTTTCTCAAAACTGAAGGCAGCTGGAGAATTCCAGCAGGAATCCAAATACTTTGGCCAATTGCTTTGGCAATTAGTTTATTTTTTTTACCAGAATCACCAAGATGGCTAATTGAGCACGGTGAAATTGAAAAAGCAAGAAAGATTATGATGGAACTAGAACCAGAAATGACTAATGAGGAGTTTGATCTTCTTCATCACCAAATTTCAATTGAGAATCAAAAATCATCTTGGTTATCTATCCTCACTACTAAGTCATACAGAAGAAGATTATATGTTGGTTTGCTGGTAATGATTGGAGGACAAGCAACTGGTACACTTGTTGTTACTAATTATGGGCCAACACTTTACGCAGCTCTTGGCTTTAATAACTTGAACCAACTTCTTATTAGTTCTGGCTATATCACATGTGGGGTTCTTAGTAACTTGGCTTCTGCATTTTTATCTGATGTTGCTGGTAGAAAGACTTTGATGATTGTTGGGATTTTTGGATCAGGTATTATTGCAATGTCATTTGAAACTATTATGGTTGCTCTTTATGGCGGCTCAGACAATAAATCAGGAAATGCTGCTGCTGTTTTCTTCATGTTCTTCCATATTTTGATTTATGGTGGTTGTGTGGATGCAAATACTTATGTCTATGTTAATGAAATCTGGCCAACCCATATTAGATCAAAAGGTGCTGCTTTATGCACTCTGGGATTGTTTATTGGTATTTTAGCTTTTACTACTGGGGTCACCACTGCCATTAATACCATTCATTGGAAATTCTTTATAGTTTTTATTTGTTTGAGTACGGTTTTCCTTGTTATTGCTTGGTTCTTTTTCCCAGAAACGAAAAATGTTTCTTTAGAAGAGGTTGGAAGACTTTTTGGTGATTATCCTTTAGAAGATGATAATCAAGTTAACGCCATTGATGGCAAATCATTGGAAAAGTCTTTGAAGGAAACACATAATATCCTTGTTAAAGAAGAAAAATCAATTGAACAATCCGTGTGATTTTGAATCTTCGAATTTATTACTTTGATCTGCGTTAGTGTCTATCTTAGGTCTCTGGAACTTCCAGGGTATACTATTAGACGCTTTTATTTTTTCTTTTCCTTTTCCTTTTCCTTCTTCTTTTCCTATTTATAATTGCTTTTGTCGTATGGTCTTTTCCTTATATCTCTTTATTTATTGATTTCTGCTCTTTTTGTTTTTGGCCATTATTTTTTACTTCTGGAGTTTTCTACTTTCATTAATCAAGTCAATCTAGATTAGTACTTTTCTTCCCTCTTGACTATCTTGTAGTTAGTATATTTCCCGGTATTTGGTCACAAAAATATTTAACATATCTTTGAATTTCCAAGGAAGCTGTATTCGTCTGATAGCACAGGCCTTTGATGACTGTATGGTTTTGCAAAGCATTCGTCAAAATGATCCGCTATAACGGTATATTCTTACAGATCTGTACGCTTGAACGACAAATCAAACCTCGGGAATATCTGGTTTGCAAGCAATCTACCCTTAACCTTCACAATAGCGCTTAATACTATCTTGCTGTGTTTCTGATCAAGCCAATGATTTATTTTTTTTTTTACGTTATATTTGAATCCATGACACTTGTCGCAAATTGGGTGTCATGCATGTCAGGCTTTCATTTTTCAAGAGTTTCCTTATCTGATCGCGAATGGCGGTGCAAGTCAAGGTTAGAGAGGTTACTCTCAGGAGTTATATTCTAGTATTGTTTTATAATGTCCTCTTCTTCTTTGAAGCCTTCATTTATTAGGGACTGAGCAGATCACCACAACGCCGTGTAGCGTACTATCCTTGATCCTGACAATTTTAAGTGCGGACAGCAAAGTCCACCAGGACAGTAAAGTCCACCAGGACAGTAAAGTCCACCAGGACAGTAAAGTCCACCGGGACATGACATTCAATATTTTATTTATTTTTATTACGTGAATATGATTTAGCATGGGATTAGTTTCCTTTTACAGCTGATATTTTTTCTTCATGGGAAGCATTCTCCGAAAGATACTAGTCTTTACATACCGCCGATAGTATTGAATGAAGCAGACAGTTGGTCAATGATAATCAAAAAAAAAAAGTTATATAAGAGAATGAAATCTTTAGATTTTTCAATTACTACTCTTTCTTTTGCTAACATATATCACAAGGACATTCAAGAAAGTTTTAATATTTCTCAATTTCCATTAATATCCTCTTCAATCTCCAATAATCTCTAAATTATAAACATGGGTGCCAAAGTCAAAGTCGCTGTCGTCAATGCTGAACCAGTTTGGTACGATTTGCAAGCAACCGTTAAGAAAGTTAACGCCTTGATTAAAGAAGCGTACGAGAAAGGGGCTGAATTAGTTGCCTTCTCTGAGGTTTTTGTCCCTGGATACGCTCATTGGATTTGGACCAATGCCGCAGACCTTGAGAATAATATCAAATACCATAAAAACTCCTTATCCTACGACTCTTCTGAATTTTTATCCATTATTGAAACCATTAAAGCTTACCCAATCCATGTTGTTTTGGGGCTCTCTGAAAGAGATCATGGCTCTCTTTACATTTCCCAGTGTATTATTGACAACACCGGAGAAGTTGTATTGAAGAGAAGAAAGTTCAAGCCAACCCATGTCGAACGTGCTATCTGGGGAGACGCAACTGCTCAAGATTTGAAGACTGTTGTCACCTTAAACTTTAAGGAAGCTGGTCCTGTTGAAGTTGGATGCTTGTCTTGTTGGGAACATACTCAACCATTATTGACTTATAATAGCGCTGCTCAACGTGAAAAAATCCATATTGGAAGCTGGCCAATTGTTAACGACGAGTACAATGGTCTTTACTGCTTCACTAAAGAAGGATTCTACAGTTTAGCAAGAGCTTATGCTACCCAGACCCAAAGTTTCTACTTGTTTTCCTCAAATACTGGTTCTACTTTTAACGAAGTTTTGCCAAATGTGGTCACTTCCCCACACTTCGAAAAAGGTGCTTCTACTGCCGCTGTTTTTGCCCCAGATGGAACACAAATCACAGAGGATGTTCCAGATGACTTTGATGGTGTTATAATCACTGAGCTCGATATGGATGCTATTATTGCGCAAAAAAATCTTGTTGACATTGTCGGTCACTACTCTAGACCTGATTTGGTTTCTTTATCCCACAATAACCCTAACGATCAGCACGTTAATAAAAAATAAGTACATTATTAGCCTCCAGATTTTAAGAATCAGTTCTTTATCGTTATTTTTATTTTTTAGACCTATTAAATTCTTTTAAGTTAATATCAAATCTTCAATTTTCTCTTTATCCACAAGCTAGATTCATCCATCGTATGGCGTATTATAAAAAACTGAAAATAAGGTCTTTCAAACGCAGCAGCATATATTTGTGCAACCGTGGTTGCAAGGAGTAAACTTCTTTGTATTGAATGAAAATATTTGTTGCGGTGTTATAGCTAAACGTAATGGATAGATAATCTGGGTGGAGTGTCCGGAGCACCGATAATCCTGTCCGGATACTGTAATCAGGACTAGACAGCTTCCGAAATACTAGTAGGCTTCAAGGAAGAGAAGAAAATAAGGTACAGAATGAAGGAATGGATCCATCCACTCAACGCCTCTGAGAATTGGTCGCTGGTATATTAACGCAACTTAACGTGTATAAATGATGGGGTTGTACCAACAGGACGGTTTTCTTGTCGGACGGCCCCAGACGTCCCGGAATAGGTCGGGGCTGGGGCCTGTCAGATCAGAAAGGCGGGATCATCCCCCCACACATCCCATCAAAGACCCCTTACAAGTATGCGCAAATTTGCACTCGATCGTTTTGTTGTTGTTCTATGCGCACCAACCACCAGAAATACCCATTGCAGTTAACAAAGAATGATAATAACAGTAGCGGTAAATATTATTTATACCAGTCAAGAATGATTAGCAAGGGACTCTCACCTCACAACAGTGGCTCTTTAGGCTAGAATCACAGCTCATTGGCAAGTGATGCTTGTGCTTATTTATTATCAATGCTCTGAATACGGATATTAATTTGTCGGGATCCTCTTGAGCCTAAATACAAAAGGGTTAACATTTGCCATGAAAAGTAGAATTTATCGCTCAAAAAGATAGAGCAAATAGAACTCGACGATCTGGACCTAAACTCTTCTCCAAGAGGCAGACTGGGTAATAAGTAAACCAATTGACAGACCCTAGCTATTAACCCACTTTGTAACGGATACTTTATCTAGCTCGCCCACCACAGCATCTAATAATGCTCAACAACCGGATAGTTTTGTGACAGCCAGCACAACTGGACAATAATAAATAACCTGCCCAAACACCCAAATGACGGTTTGCACATTATTCTTTTTGGAAAGCACGTGAAAGGGATACTTTTTTTCCCAAATCATTCTTTTTTTTTTTTTTGCGAGGCTGTTCTCGGTTATCAATCTGAAGTCACTCATAAAAAAGAGTTATGTCGTCGTCAACGCAAGACATTAGAAAATTGAATCCAATATCTTGCTTGAATTGTAAAAAATCCAAAAGGAAATGTGATCGAGAATTGCCTTCATGTTTTCTGTGTATGAAAAGAAATAAGCCTTGCACTTATCCTGGTGTTGATAATAGAAAACCTGCCTCTCATAAATATGTCAAAGCATTATTGGATAGGATTCAAATATTGGAGGCTTCTTTAAGACATTATACATCTCTGAGTCTAAGAAACTTGAATGGAGAACTTCGATCAAGTGGCCAACCCAGTTTATTCTCGGGAATCTTAGCCTCAAAGCTACCAGAAAGAAGAAAACATGAAATGGAAAGAAAGGCGAATCTTTCTCTGAAACTTTTTGAAATTGATGACAGCTCAGCAAATTACACGGGTGCTCATTATAATTTTGATTTTCCTGGAGGCATTGAAAGCTTTGTTACGCTTAATAATATTGAAAAGGCAATACTGTCAAGAATGTCACCATCATCTGGTAATCGAGCATATATTATCCCTCAGTGGCAACTTAACATGGCAGATAATGGGGAAGTTTTATTCCAAGGTCCAACTAGTTTGAGATTTATTCCACCATCAAATGGTTATAGCAATGTTAAAGTTATTGATAAAGTCGATAATATTGAAGTTTTTGATGAATTTCATCAAGAAGTTTTCACTTGGTTTTTTAAGTGTATGAAAAATAGCTTTCCATTAATTGACAGAGAATTATTTTTGACATCAATAAATCAGGCTATTGAAGGAAATGAATTGGGCGAATATAGCTCTTTGGCTTTAATTAATTCAATTGTGAGCTTTTATTACTTATACAACGGAGAGAAAGAAGAATCACTACATTACAAGAAATTGTCAATGGATCAGCTAGACGACCAAGTTGAAACCAAAGCCAATCTTACAATTGTTCAAACTTTAATATTGCTATCACATATTGCGATGACAGAAGGTAGAGAACTCCAAAGTTCAGGATTTATTGCATCAGCTGTGGCCGCAGTATCTCACTTAGGATTGCATGTTAACTGCGAAAACTTGATTAATGAGGGAAAAATCACAAAGCAAGAAGCAGAGTTGAGGGATAATGTTTTTTGGTGTTGTTTTTTTTCTGATAGAGCCAGAGGTATTGTATTGGGTATGAGTCCTTATATGTATCCTATCGATGTATCAGTTGATTTACCAAAGAAACCACTGAGCGTATCTAATGTCGGGTTTGAGGAGTATGATACTTTTAAAGAGGCGGTAATGTTCCAAGATTTGGAGATGGAGAGAGCATATTATTGTTTTTCTTCTGATTTCGCTTTCGGATTTGAGTTAGGTCCTAAACCTAGAACAATGGAAGAAATAACCCGAGAACAGCAGCTAATCGTTTCTAAAGCTTTGATTGCTATGAATGATTTGAGAAAAGAAATGAACTCGAATGCCAGGTTTATCAATAATAAATCAATGATGTCAATGCAATTAGAGGTTGCGAATCTAACAACTACTATATTACTAAATCAAACTCTATTAAGTGAACCTGTTATTGATGAGAATGTGTATTCGACTCATCAGTTTGATCCTCAACAGCTATCTTTGACCTGCTTTACTTCCGCGCAAAAGGTTATTGACTTGTGCTTAGAGTACGAATTAACAGAAAGCCTTTTTCTCTATAGGTTTATTTACTCTATCTACATAAGTTGCATAATATTTCTATTCAATAGGACCTCCTCATCTCCTAGAATTGAAAAATTGAGTTCATATTATGTGCTTAAATCAATAAACCTTCTACAAAAATACCGAATTTATTCTTCTTTTGTTGGCACTTTTGCAACACATTTAGATAAATTTAGAACGAGATGGTTTGAAAATGATGATCAATTGGCCGAGATTTTTAGAAGCTTTAAACCTTAGACGAAGGCACAGCTCTGTTGGCAGACATTGGATAAAAAAAACTGCTTAATTTATTGCTTTGTCACACAAGTCTCGTTCTGGGTACCTCAGGTATCCTATAGTGATGATGGACACTCTCTCCAATTGAGTGTTTCATTTGCTAATAAAACTTTCACGAACTTTACCTATATATATTATCATGAATAATAGAATTTCTAAATTTTATTTTTTACACTTTCATTCGATTGCTTCAGAAAATTAATCAAGCTCATAGTTTTTAAATGTGATGGAGCCGGGTTTTTTTTATTCTCACTTGATTATTGATTTATTATGGTTGTACACAATTTTTAAATTCAAATCAAATATTTTTACATTTCATTGGTTTCATACTTTTCGTATAATTTCTACTATGAAACCCAATCTTGTGGATAAACATGGGGTTGAAACTATATTCCATTAACTGAATATTGAGAATATATTGTAACAGTGAAAGAGAAGAAGTAGGAGAATCTAAATCTTTCAAATAAAACTAGGACACAAGCATGTGGATTTAACCAACCAGAAAACAATAGATGTCACTATCTATTTCAGGGTGCAAATGGTACTAAACCATAGAACCGTAATGGCGAAAAAAAAGAGACAAACTGCAAAAATCTAGAGAATAAAAAGGTACCTATTTCTTAATGACGTGCTCGTCATTAGGGTTGTTGTGAGTTAAAGACAACAAGTCTGGTCTAGAGTAGTGGCCGACAACATCGACGAGATTCTTTTGTGAGATAATAGCATCCATATCGAGCTCAGCGATTGTAACACCATCGAAGTCATCTGAAACGCTTTCTGTGATTTTTGATCCATCTGGGGCAAAAACAGCACCCAAAGAGGAACCTTTGTCGAATTGTTGGGTAGTGGCAACATCTGGCAAAACTTGGTTATATTTAGAGCAAACGTTACAGGAAAACAAGTAGAAACTTTGGGCCTGTGTAGCATAAGCTCTTGTCATAGTGTAGAAACCATCTGTAGTAAAGCAGTAAGGGCCCTTAAAGTCATCATTAAGAATTGGCCAGCTTCCTTGAAGTTTAAGGTGACAACAGTCTTCAAATCTTGAGCAGTTGCGTCCCCCCAGATAGCACGTTAGACATGGGTTGGATTGGGTAAGCTTTAATGGTTTCAATAATGGATAAAAATTCAGGAGAGTCGTAGGATAAGGAGTTTTTATGGTATTTGATATTATTCTCAAGGTCTGCGGCATTGGTCCAAATCCAATGAGCGTATCCAGGGACAAAAACCTCAGAGAAGGCAACTAATTCAGCCCCTTTCTCGTACGCTTCTTTAATCAAGGCGTTAACTTTCTTAACGGCTCCTTGCAAATCGTACCAAACTGGTTCAGCATTGACGACAGCGACTTTGACTTTGGCACCCATGTTTATAATTTAGAGGTTATTGGAGATTGAAGAGGATATTAATGGAAATTGAGAAATATTAAAACTTTGTTGATTATTTATTTATATTGACAAAAAAGTTGAATGTCGGAAATGTACAGACTTTCCCTTCTTATATAAATATTTAATCTGATAACCTGGTGGACTTTGCTGTCTGCCTGTAAGATTGTCAGGATGAAGGTTATAACACTAAACGACATTGTAGTGATCTATGAGACTTCAGTAAATAATCATCAATCCATTGGTAGTTACCTTGAGCTGCGTTACAATCGATAGGGGGCGCAGGCCAAGGGTCGTAGATAGCTGTTATCTAGACGTTTTATTGGTTAATCCATAAACAGGAAGCTTCTCATAAATTCTGCATTTTGTACACTTCAGTCGAATAATAATCCGACGCACGTCAAGGTTCATAGATGACAATAAACAAAAGATACAGCTGATCCCAACGGCTCAATAACTACGGGAATCCCAATCTATTATAAGATAAAATAAGGTGCTTTATCAAGGCATCGACTGAATAAGACTGATAATAGTTCGTAGATATCTATAATCCAGATATTTTATTGGCTAAGCTACAAACAGGAAGATTCTCACCAAGTCGGCATTTTTTACACTTGAACCGAAAGATAACGTACACCAATGCACAATTCGAACGGCTGATCCCAATGATTCAATATCTACGAGAATCCCACGCGATTACAAAGAAAAAAAAAGCAAGGTACCTACCTACCAAAGTATTGACTCAACAAGGCTGAAAAAGATAAGTCCTGATAAGGACAAATGCTGATAAGGATAAATGCTGATGAGGATAAATCTTGATAAGCACGAGTCCTGATAGGGTCTATGGATGAAAGCAGTACCTGAGGCCGCTGTAGTGTCTATGACTGTATTGAGGGATGTTAAGACCAGCGATAGAAGCCACCGCACATATTGAAAGGGATCTTTTTAATACCCCGACAATTAGCATCAAACATTTGGTCTGCTAAACTTGGGGTTGCTTCATCTTTATATCATTTACATATATTTAGTTCGCCCAATTACGAGTTCTATATTGTTTCTTGTTTTTCCTAAATGGTGGCTATAGCTTATTTTTTTCTTCTTCTAACCAGAGTGCCGAAAGCTTCACATGTTTATCCTTTTGTTTAACTGTATCCTTGGGTGAAGTGACCTGTATATTCTGCGCTTTTTGTCTTCTTTGAATGATAAAGTATTGGCACTCATCCTCATAATCGAAGGAAGTTTCATTATCTTCCCTCCTGTATATTGACGCTATTCACCGTGTATTTATTTTTTGTTAACTACCATTGATTTTGAAAGTTCGACGATTTGTGAGAAACAGAAATGAAACCATATATTGGATGCAGCATGCACCAATCTTAAACTTTTTCATCTTATCTGCTAATTTGCGGCTATAGACATTATTGAAAGCCCCAATTTATGTCTACCAACATTAGACTGCCGGGCGTTCTGATTACTGAGTGTCGAAGTGTTAATAATGCATCCCTGGGACTATACACCCTTTCCGGGCTCCGAATTGTGATAGTGATAATTCGCCGCTCGCTATCTTTAGGATTGAGAGTAATAGAAGCGCACAATTATCCAAAAAAGAAAAAATACGGATAATAAAGTGCAATAGCGTGATAGAAAAACGCATACATTTCAACTATTGGACCTTGCACTTCACTCAAAGCTACGGCCCAAAAATTTCGTCTATGACCATATCCAAAATTGGTTATATATACCGGTGATTGATTAGCTTTCTAATATTAAGGCTCCTCCAAAATATACATCTGTTTCATTCGTTTATTAATTTTTTTTTTTTTTTTTTTCATTTTAATCATGACTCTATTATTCCTTGATCATGATATACTATTGGAAGAGCTAGATGGTCTGATATGAAGTACTCTTTGAAATATTCCATTCTCTTTCTATTGATTTAGAGGTGCTAACATGTCTAAACAATTTCCTCCTCTATTTATTGGTTTATCTTTCTTGAGAGTGATTGAATAATATTATTTTGCATCAACATCTTTATTCTGGTTACTCCCGATCTATTATTACTTGATACCGGCTCTTAAAAGCATTTCATTAGCTACCAGTATCTCTCTCTCTGTAGGAGTATTGGCTGGGTATAATATCGGCTTTCTATGTATTTCAGGACTGTCTCCAAGGAATTTGATCTGTTGCTGTCATTATTACTTACTGATGCTATGTATATTTTAAATAGGTACATTTATTGTTGTCTCTGAATATGATTAACAGTAGGCCCCAATTGTGAATTTTAAGCTCTTTTTCCTAAATCTTGTTTGGTTATTTTTTTTATTAAGATACTTGTACACTCATGATGGGGTTGGGGGTCATTATTATCTTTACATTCATTTTGTTTTGTGAAAGCCCAGTGTTCCACGCATGACTTTGCTATTTCCTTTGCTTTGCTTGAAGTTTTCTAACACTTCTTTTGAATTATTCTTCAACTTTCATTACGGCACCATTGATCTCAATGACATTTTCAGTAGTATTCTTTTTCTACAGAGAATGTTTAAAACACATCCAATGAGCAGATCATTGGGATTGGTAGTTGAACTCAGTACAATGGTAAGATAAGCTTGGGCCCTTCAGATTAATTGTTTTTACCTATATGTCCTCTATTTTTTTTTTAGTGATTAACGTACACAAAAGATAAGTGATTAGCATAGTTAAAGGGATTATTGATTAATGTAGAGAAAGGATCTAGTAATCCTTTTATATTTAGTTCTCATTTCGCGACTAGTAAAACGTCCTAAGAATATTTTTCCGACTTGGTAATAGTACTGGCTGGCAACAGTAGGAATTACAACTAACAATCCAGCAAAGTGCAGCAAGAGCAATTCAGTATGGGCTATATACTTAGAATTGAGATGCTGTACTATATATGGTCACTCTACTTTACATCTTATTTTTGTTGTGTTACTTTTATCGTTGATTATTCTTAACCGATTATTATTATGTTTACTCATAATTAAAAGCAATCGTATTTCAATCTTTAAGTTTTTCTAAAATAATAATATATTATACTGTATTCATACCTGTAGGTCGCCAGGGTTATAACAAGTTGTAATATCCCGAACCATTCGTGGAGTTGTGTGTTCATTAAATAGTTTGATACTAATTGCTGTGAAAGCTATTTAACCTATTACTATTTCTAACGCAAGGTCAGCGAAGGTAAGTATTGTCATACTATAAGGAATAAATGTACGTATACACCATAATATATTACCCGCTGTTACACGAGACTTCAGATAGATGTGTGAACTCACACATTTGTTAAATCTGGTTAATAGAGCCTCGTGCTTATAATCATAACTTTTGTACTTATTATTTTCTACCTTCTCTGTTGCTCATTCTATATGAGAATTATCGAACAATTAATTGATACTTATTTATTCTATATTATCTCTTTACGATAGAATAATATTTTACATATTAACCTCGAAAGGTAGATATCATTAAACTGAATACAGTGTCTTGATTGGCTTGGTTCGCTTAACTACCCGACTTAATTCTTATTGCGCACCCTCACACCACTACATACAAAAGTGCATAGCTTAAATACCGTCTTCATGGTATACTCTAACAGATGTCAGCTCTTGATCTAGATCTCGCTAGATACGCGTTTCATTATTTTCAGCAGCGTGCTGGCCCCTATCATATTCCATCATCAAAGAGTACTTACATAGTATAATATTGAAATACAAAAGATATAATATTGAAATACAAAAGATATAAATTTTGAAAAAACAATTCGCTAGATATGTCCTGCTAATCAGAAAATCTAATAAACATAAAACCAAACAAAAACAAAAACAAAAATTCTCAAGGGTATACTTCCTTCAAAATAAAAATGGCATCAAAACACCAACAGGGATCATAGCGAACAAACTGGACTTCAAGAGAGCAGGCGCACCATTAGCTTCTAATGGACTAATTGAGGGCGTGCTAGCGCTAGATGGAGTCGTAGTACTAGATGGTGTGGTAGCACCGAGAGGAATGGTAGTACTGGAAGCAATGGTAGCACCAGGAGGAATGATAACACTAGTGAGAATAGTAGTGATAGAAGAAGACTCAATCTCTGGAGTTGGAACATGGGTACCAGTTTTGGTAACCGATGTCTCTGAAAATCCGGAAGAAGAGGATTCAGGGCTTGGAGCTCCAGGTGAAGAGGACGGAACTCCGTGAGCTGTCGACGATTCGATGTGGGTACCTTGGTTACCAGATGGAGAAGATGGAGTACCTTGAGTTAAGGTTTGAGAGGCACTACTAGCAGTATTCGTGGTTACAGAACTTTCTGATGAGCTCACCGGACAATAGGTGGTAAAAGTAGTGAAAGTTTCAATAGTTCTGCTGGTGATAATTGGATAACAAGTCTTGGTGCCACAAGACGTGATGGTATATAAAACTGTCGTTTCAAACTCTGAAGTAATAATAGAAGAGGTCCATTCTGAATCAGTGTGTGAGGTAGTGATGGAATAAATTGAAGGGTAAGAAGTTTGAGAACTGTCTGAGTTAGAAGTGGATGGAATTAAAGAACTTGAAGTAGTGGAGTTACTGAAAGTAGTTGGAACAGTCGAAGGACCCACAGAACTTGAAGTAGTGGAGTTACTGAAAGTAGTTGGAACAGTCGAAGGACCCACAGAACTTGAAGTAGTGGAGTTACTGAAAGTAGTTGGAATAGTCGAAGGACCCACAGAACTTGAAGTAGTGGAGTTAGTGAAAGTAGCGCGATGGTCCGGGCTAGTAGAAGTAGTCGAAGCAGTTGAGTTAGTCAAAGTACTTCGAATATTCGAAGGACTCAAAGAGCTTGAAGCTGAAGTGGTCGAAGTAGTAGAAGCAGTCGAAGCAGTTGAGTTAGTCAAAGTACTTCGAATATTCGAAGGACTCAAAAAGCTTGAAGCTGAAGTGGTCGAAGTAGTAGAAGCAGTCGAAGCAGTTGAGTTAGTCAAAGTACTTCGAATATTCGAAGGACTCAAAAAGCTTGAAGTTGAAGTGGTCGAAGAAGTAGAAGCAGTTGAAGTGGTCGAAGAAGTAGAAGCAGTTGAAGTGGTCGAAGTGGTCGAAGTGGTCGAAGTAGTCGAAGTAGTCGAAGCAGTCGAAGTAGTTGAAGTGGTCGAAGTGGTCGAAGTAGTAGAAGCAGTCGAAGCAGTCGAAGTGGTCGAAGTAGTAGAAGCAGTCGAAGCAGTTGAGTTAGTCAAAGTACTTCGAAAATTCGAAGGGCTCAAAAAGCTTGAAGTCGAAGCACTGGAACTTGTTGAACTACCAGCTGTGGTTGTGGAGGAGGTAGTAGAAGTGGTAGTAGTAGAAGAAGAAGACGTGGTAGTAGTAGAAGAAGAAGACGTGGTAGTAGGAGTACTCGTAGTAGAAGTGGTAGGTGTAGTAGTGGTAGTAGAAGAAGAAGAAGACGTGGTAGTAGGAGTACTCGTAGTAGAAGTACTCGTAGTAGAAGTGCTAGTCGTGGAAGTAGTGGAAGTGGAAGAACTGCTGGATGACGAAAAATGATACAAATTTTCATTGTCCGTAATTATTGAATTTCCTTCAGAATCAAAGATGTTGATGTCAAATTCGCCAGCATAAACATAAGGTTGAGTAGTACCATCCCAGTAATATTGGACAAGAATTGGGTAATAACCGGCGTCCAATTGCATTGTAACACTCCCAGGTGTCAGTGTATCTGAAGTTGTAGAAAACATAGCTTCACCAATTCCAATAGGGGATTTGGTATAACTAACACCAGCACTCATATCTTTACTACACGCAAAGGCATTTTCAGCGCCTAAATACACATAGGTGGGCATATTCGAGATAAATTTGAAGGTGTAAGAACCTGTAGTGTCTATCTTAAGAAAAGCTTTCACGATATCCAAATAGCCCTTGCTTTCATATATACTCAAATAGTTCAAACTATTAGTAACTTTGATAAACTTGAATTTTTCAGTTACACTTGCAGTGCCAGATGGATTGACCTCGTAACCCCAAGAAAAATCGGCAAGAGAAGAGATGTCATCTTCAGTAAACGAGCAACTTGTTGCACCGAATACTAGAGACACTAAAAATGAGGCAAAGATAAAAAAATTTAAAAACATTGGATAAACAATCTCCTTTCTTCGGAAAGTTCAAGTAAATAGCTGGGAGAAATATTGACTGGCCTCTGATTGAAAAAAAAAAAAAAAAAAAAAAAGTATATCAGCAAGCTTCAGGAGAATAGCCATGTCAATATAAATAGTTATTTTTCTCTGTTTGCTGCGAATTCAATTACTGCATTAATTTAGTTTATCTGTACCATCAATTTACCATTGCTACTTTGAGTGTGCATATTGAGAGATGTTGTGCATGCATGCTTTCCCATTGGAAATCCCCCTTCTATTCCAATAAAAAAGATTTTTCGAAAGGACCGGGGAAATTAATTTTCCATTTCCAAGACTCTCGGGATATGCCAGCTCCTGTTTTATGTTTTTACTTTCTTTTTTTTTCTGCTTTAAAAACTAACAACGTAAGAGAAATTATCCATATTTGCAAGGCAAATAATGTTACACAAATACTGTACGGAAAGGGCTATCCGAAGTTTAGCCAGCATTTCACTTTTAAAAGAGCAAAATTGCTAACCGACATAAAATATGTTTATACATTATATACATATGAATATAGTGTATTCTACGGGTTCCGAGATCTTGCTCCTCAGTATTGCACAGGCAGAACTTCCACCAAAAAGTGGAGTCCATTGGCAAGCTACTGGATGCTTTTTGTTGTATACATCCGTTATGAGGGGAAACCAAATGGAAGTATTATTTCGTGGAAAGTGTTTTAGACCGATGACACATTAATAAAGTTAATCAAAATAGAAAATTAGCGAGATATCTTATCAACCGTATAACAAAGAAAAAAAAGAGCGCTTGTACGCACATAGCTGTGAAACCTGGACATGTTATCACTTCTATGCATGATAGTGCTGCAAAAGTCAACAAACATTACCAGCTTCTGTTAACCCTCCTTCCAATTTAATTATCTTATTGACTCATTTGGGAGGTTTGAACATTTTCAACCGAAAAAAAGTTGTAATTAATCTACACATAATAATATGCAGAATAACTTCTCTACGCAATCAATAGAGATTTCACATCCAACAAGACAATCGGAATGCATTTCGTGCAATAGGAAAGTGAGTTCTATACCTAAACTTTAATAGAGCATGAAAAGTACTATTTTATCAAGCAAAGTGGCTGCACTTCATGCTTTCGGCTCGCTGAACATTTCATTTCGCAAATGCAAGCTCATTGACGACATCTGGGTAAAAATCTTCGACTTTCGGTGTGTACACCAAACATCTTTTTTCGCAATCTTCTGTCAAAATATTTACAACCAGTTTCAGAATTTCCCCGTAATCCAATCTTGCTCATAGTCTTCCAATTTTACATCATCCTTGCTGTAAGTAGGACACTTCAACAGCAGGACCCTAGCAAACCAACATTTGATATTATCATCGTCCATGGATTGGTCCATAGAACTCCCACCGTCTAGCATCATGATGCCCCCAACATGAAAGATTTTTTTATTTGAATACACATTGCTTCCACCGATGGTGGTCTTACGAAGTTTCCAAAAGTCATTCATGTTCCATATCTCCTTTGCTCTTTTAATTATCTCTTCACGATTTTCAATAGCTAATGAGTTGGCTTCACCATTCTCAATTGCTTTGATTTCGTAGCCTGTTAAGAATTTCTGCTCAAATTCTTTTAAGAATTTCAGGGGATTTTTATTTTTCAATAATCGAAGAAACTCGCTGATTTTTTTCTTGGTATTGAAAATATCGGGAGCAAATTTTGGGCTAGTAAGAAATTCATACTGTAAAGTGTCTAGGTTCCATACCAGAGATTTCAAATCCAATATTCTAAGACGCCGCTCCTTAGGCTTAGCACATCCATGGGAGCTGCTTTTATCATCAGTTTCCAAATTATCACTATCCCAAGCTGCCATCCCACCAACAAAGATTAAATGGCCCCCAAGTAACACTATTGAATGATCTGCCCTTCTGAAATTTTCTTCATTTAACCTCTTTGAGGCATAATAGTGGTGTGCACCAATAATATTAGGGTCGAAGGTCACACTGAATGTAGATAACCTCTGCCACTGCCTGGTATTGAATGAGAATCGCCATAAATCTCCCAATACTTTCCCATCAGAGCTAATACCCCCATGAATGACCATTGACTGATCAGCAAATGCACTTTCTCGCTTAGCAAAGTGTGAGTAAAAATCCTCGCCGTAACTTTTCTTCTTTATTTTCTTTTTTTCCATCATTGTAGACCGCTTCATCTCATTGGAGAACTTTGAGTCGGCACACATCACCGCGGCATGGAAACCCCTTACGGGCGGAACAATATCACAAGGTAAGTTTGTTGAGCTGGCAAACAAAGTCAAATCAGCAGGAATAACCAAGGCTTCTGGGCTGAACTCAATATAATTTGTCACCCCTTCTTGGGAAACAATTAGGTCGATCCTCAAAAAATCATTAAGGGGCTCAAGAGGTCCCAGAAAGGCCTGATCAATTGATTCTTTTTCTGGGGTTTTTGAACCATTGGTCTCAGGCACGTTAGTGTCTGGCAGATTCAAATCTTTCCTTAGTAGTACCTCATCACACTTTTTTGGCCCAAAACCACCAAATATGAAAACTGACACAAACAACCGTTCATTCAACAAATCATTAGCGTCTTTTATATCATGATCATCCACCGTGTTGGTTCGAATGGGAACTGCCTTCAATCCTTGGCCTAACGCGCTATGACCAAACCTTGCAAGCGAAATATTTTTATCAGTGATTGAGTGGGTGACAAGTTTGATCTCTTTGAATTTGAAAATAAATGTATCCAAAACCCAACACCTACTGTTAAGCACCAACCGCCTTTCAAGAATTTCCGTCCCATCATCTAGCTTCTTTTGGTTATCCATTAGTTGGAATCCCCCATAGTAGAATATATGTCTCGCGGTGATCTTCGTCATACTGGCGCAGCACAACAAAGGAGGAATGTCTCCTCTGAGAACTGGTTCCTGTATTAAATTGGTATCGGTTTCCAAAACATACAATTTTGAGTTCCGATGGAGCTGGTTATTATAAAGAATCCAAGGTTTGATATTTTCCGGTAATTTGATGTCTAAATTTTCTGCTGCTGGTCGGATTGTGGGCGTTATTCTTGCATGGGTGTTTAGGGGGTCGATATTTGCGGTCAACCCACCAAGAAGGAAGACTTGATTACCAATAGAGTCACATGAACCGTACACCAAAGGGGGAAGGGCCGAGTAGCCATAAAGTACGGGAATATGACGATAATTTATAAAACCGTTGTTTTCATTATCCATATTTTGCAAAGATAAATCGTCTTGATCGTCATCACTATCAAAAGATGCGACAGGTATCCCTTCAACATCCAAGTTTAATGAGGGATCCCACACTTGGTGATTTGCCACAAAGCCCAAATCAGAATCGCGGTTATATTTTTTAATTTCGGGAAAATAATAATAGTATAATTTATTCAATTCTTCCAGCATCGGACTCATCAATTCCTCGGATATTCGACGCTTCTGCTCCAATGTTGGCAAGGTGTCTCCACATTCCTGGATCTCCTTTGAATTGCTATTATTATTTTCAGCTAACGCATTGTAAAATGGGTTATTGTAGGTTATAAGCAGCATGATTTCCTTCATTACGAACCCACTGACGAGTTCTGGCGCCAATATATTGAGACATCGCTGCTTTTCACTAGAATAAAAAATAGCCAGATGTATAGGAATTATTTGACAGTTATTATTTAGTTGCTTTCTCACCCTTCTTCACACCCCAGTAAAAAAACAAGAAGACGTTATGTTGCTGCAACTTCAGGCAGGGTAATGAGAGATACGCTGTTATCGGTAACCTTATTTGGTGTTCAGACATACTCCATGGTACACACCGTTCGATATAACTGCAACTACAGCTATTATTGCGTTAAGAAGAAAAAAAAAAAGCACCCATAAACTAGAGTCTCTATCAAAGAATCTAAACAATAACCCAGCAAATTCATGGCAGAAAAAGGACAGCCCCAACTCACACCATGAAGTTCTTTAATAGCTTCCAAATTCTTTTAACTTTTTCACCTTTTCTTTTAAAAAACAACGCTACCAAAAATACCACCAAATTCAAAATTAAAATAGCTATCCAACTCTTTGCCCTAGTATTAACGAGTCGGTATTGCACTAAGACTTTTATATTTCTGAACAACGAATGTTCAGTAGAGATTTGTGACTTTATATTGTGGTTTTTTGCTGGAGATGAAAGTGAATTTATTTTTTCATCCATCATTATATGTGGATGTTTGCGTGAGAATTTTTTGTAGACTTGAAGCTTCTTTTGGACAATCAATTCATCAACACTAGTTTTATCACTGCTTGTATATGATCCTATTGTAGGAGGAATGTTATCATTTGCCTTAGTCTTAATATTAACCTTAGCATTGGCTGGCCCAACTGCTTTATCTTGGGCTACTGAATTTTTCTTCAGTTTCTCAAAATCTTTTATACTTTCTTCCAAATGCCTAAGCCATGAACGACGATCCCTCGCCATAAAACCATTTTCTTCCACAGATTTCTTAGCCGAATCTAGGATAAGACCTTTATCAGAATATGATTCTTCCATTGAAAAACAAGTCAAGTCCCCGATATAGAATTTCAAGAGTCCATAGAGTGCTTGTATTTTCTTTGCTTCATAATTGTCATATAATTTGTCGTGTTCATTCAGCAAACCGCGATCTTCTGCAAGGTTTTTGTCTGTATTCAATAATTCAATATTAATTGAAGAGCCATCCTTTCTTATCAATTTTTTGCCCGTCAATTGAGACTCCAAGTCGGCAAATTCCTGGAAATCCAAGGGGCCCAAATACTGCCTTATATTGTTTCTAATATCGCTTGCTTTTTGAAGTTGGTATTTACAAGCAATTGCCTGGGTGAGGTATTCCAATTGTGGATCAACTTCATAAATTCTTGTTCTGGAATGAGTATTTGCCTCTGAATTAAAAGCGTCATCATCATCATTATACGATTCATCACTTAAAAACTCGATAGCATTCACAAAATATTGAAAGTTTTCTTTCACCAATCCCATCTGACTTAGATCATCATGTAATAAGGTATCAATTACCCATCCATATAGATTAAAAAAATCTCTAAAGGCCGTCTTGAATGTAATATTCTTTATCATTTTGCGGGTCATCCCTACCGCTATTGTTGAATTCCCAGCCATGGTACCCTTTTTTGGTACGATCATCAACTGAACGAAGTCGGTCATTGATAGGTATGCCTGTTTGAGTTGCTTGTTGCCCAATGCTCCTATTATAACCAGTCTAAGGTCATTATTTTGTTGTAGGTTACTGTAGTTTATTATTTCAAGATATGCTTGCACGATAGACAATGTTTTCAGAATGCTAGAAATATCCGGCCCCGGAAATTCATCAGGCAGTGGTTGGAAGTCTATCTGGTAATTTTTCCTTAACTCACTTGACATATTAGTTCCTGTATTGCTTTTGTTACTTATTGTTGGCCGATAAGAATCAAAAGTTGTCTTCCTAAATGGCTCAGTTTTTCGGGTCCACATTCTACAATTAATGGGATGGAAGAAAAAAAAAAACGTGAGTCACCCCCTGTTTCTTGATCTCCCCAATATGTAAATTTAACACCTTAAGAAAACAGTGTCAAACGCACTTTGAGACAGTATTTGTTTATTATTTAGCACTTAATACGAAACCAGGATCCAAAATTCTTCTGTGAGTATAACTACGTATATTCATTCCTCTGTTATCTGGGTCCACGTTACAGCTTTTGCGATTATATCACATGCGTGTTATTACAGAAAGCTGGGTTTTCCTGTTATTCTGGGTGGATTGATACCTTACTATACGATGATCTAAGTCAGATGGTATTGGGATTGGTGCCATAAGACCAGAAGTTGAGGAAAATAACAGTGTATATAGTAGTAGTATCGAGAAAAAAAATAATCTTCAAATGATGATTATTAGGAGAGATTTGAACACACTATTTTTATGATCTGGGCCAGCCATTTGCAAGACTCATCATCAATCAAAGAATTTCTTGGATTAACGAAAAAGACTATGGATAAGATTTTATTTTTTTCTGTTTGAAGGAAAGGAAAACGAAACAATATTGAGCATTTTCATTTTCAACTTCTTTTTTTTTTTTTTTTTTTTAGTTGTCTTCTTTAAAATCAATCTTTCTCTATATATTCCTTTAAGAATGCAACTTTCTCCTCAAATTCCACTTCATTGTTTATCAAGTAATACAATACTGCATCATTCTTTGCCACAATATTACCCAAATGTAAAAAATCTCTGGCATTTATGATCCCCAAGCTATGTAGATGACGGAATAGAGAATTGCAGTCCTCCAAATGGCGCTGGTGTTCAAGGAAGACTGCAAAAAGTTGGTTTGTTTGAACTGATTGGGTTGCTTCAAAAGAGGACGGACCTAAAAGTCGAGGATTGATATGAGATGACAACGTTAAATTCCCGGGATGAGCCATATTAGAGGAAATATGAGAATGATTAGATGTGGTCTCATTTGAGAACTCAGGATATCCATCCTTGGCCACAATATTCATTGATGAAATATCATCTAATCTGGGAACACTAGCAGTAGATTTTTGAGGGTTGGGGGTTGTGATAATATCCCTAGAAACAAGATTTGTTTCTTTGTTATAGTAAGTACGCCCCCTGTTTTTGGGACTAGGAGTTGATGACAATTTAGAATTATTTGATATCGTAGAAGGCACACAAACATTGTGGTTCTCAATACTAAAATCTTGATAGCTGGCCTTTTTATTTGTACTGTTACGATCATCAGTTGAATTTTTATCATTATTACTATCATCCATACTGTTACTATTAGTTTTTTCATTATTACGACTCTCAGAGGTAGTACTAGAATAGCCCTGCTCAGTTCCAATCTTTGTTTTCATTACTGCTGGTTTTATTGCAGCCACTGATTTTAATACCGGGGTTATGTTTTGGGAATGATTTGTTGGTAAAGTTTGATGACCTGCAAGGTCCATTTTGCCCATCTCATTCCATATCCAGCTTCCATTGTTGATATTGCCTCCATTTGTGTTCCAAAATGTATCCAATGACGACGTGGGTCGCTGCAAAGAGCCACTGCTTTGATGAGATCGAAGAGCATACGGTACTTGATTTTGTGGAATCAATGGTACTGGTTGGTTCTCGATAAGACCTAATGAATCTCCATTCTTGTAAAAAGGATCCTGTATTAACTGATGGTAATCATTTGTATGTGTTGTGGAGTTTTGGTGACTGTAGATATTGGTATTAGTAACAGGGAATTGTGGGGGAATGAGATTGTGAGAATAGATCATTGGGTTGTTGATTTGAATGGGAACATCACCGACAATCGGTGTTTGTTGATATGGACCGTTTGGGTAGACTGACGGAAGGATGACAACAGGAAGAGGTCCTGGATATTGAGGCATCAGTTGCTGATGATTATTATAGAAATATGGATTCTGTTGAGCAAATGTTTGCGGTTGTGGTATATGGACCGGGAGATTCAAGGATGGGGTTTTGTAATCATTATTCAAATCTTTGTCGTCATAAAATGATACGTTATGAACACCAATATCTTTGCCTTCTGGTGAATTGACATCATTTTCCTCTAAATCTTGGATGAGTTGAATGATTTTTGGAGTCTCAAGTGGGTGGAAAGCTTTTTGTAAATTCTTGTTGCCAAATAGATCCTTCAAACTCACTAAATCACCACCAGAAGGTTCATAATAGAATTCTATGCTATGGAGATAAATGTAATGGCAACCCCCTTGCATGTACCTTTTGATGTTAGTCCAGGATAAGGCAGGATATTCACTATTGGCAGCTTTTTTCCAAAGCTCGTGAACTTTGGGTACTGAGCCTATATACAATTTCCCTTCACTGATTGACCATATCACCAATTTCTCTGACACCAAGAAGTTCTTGAAAGCCATGATCTCATTGTTCATTTGTTTCAATTTCTCTCTTAATTTTTTGATATCAAACTTGTTCATTTCAAATTGACTGGGGAACAAATGTTTCAACTCATTCTGAATTCCCCTGAGGCCAGAATTCGTCAAGGAGTTTGTTGAATCAATTCTTTGAGATCTGTACTGTACCAACAAACGACTGAACTCGTTGGTCATCTTGACGCTCCATCTTTTGTATGGTGTTGAATTAGAGCCATTAGTTGATGATGATGATGATGATGATGATGATGATGGTAATTGAGTATTATTATTTAGTGGGACTGATGAATAAGATGAGGGTGAAGGATTTCGGGGTTGGGGCATTGGGGATTTTCACGAGATGAAATTGGAATTGCCGGGGGCATCTAATTGTATTGGCAAATAATAGTACTTGGAATGAACGGATATAAGGGCCTATCAAGCTATACCAGCGCTGATAAAAAATCATAAAGGGTAGAGAAAAAAAAAATATCAGGAAAAGAAAAAATCAAGAAAGTGAAATAGAAGCACTAATTTCTCAGAGAAAAAAAAAATAATGCCAGTGAAGAAATTGACAATAGAAATAAGGTTGATGTTGAAATTATCGTCTAGTAGGTTGGTTAACCTGCTATTGTTAAGGCAACTTGGTGCATCAGTGACAACAAGTTGTGTGTCTCATATTCAGGAGAAGGTATCCAAAAAGCCACACTCACTATAATTACTAGATGTGAGGAAAAGGAATGATATCCATGAAAATGAATTAGATTACATCTGTGTATCTGTATAGCTGGCTGATCGATAATGCAAACAAATTTCATCTGCTGCTAGTCACCAACGGCATGTACACATTCGTTTAGGTCACAGGAATCAACACCCAGTCACTCGGGGCATTTGAACAACAATAGAACTCCAGGGGGACTAGCGTGATTATTAACCAGGAGAATCCCGAGATACCCTGGGGACCAGGGTATCTGCCCAGAAGCGTTACATTTTAACGTTATACTCGTGCTGCTGCAGTGATTAAACCATGTAGCAATCTGCACGCACTTTCACCGGGATTCCTTTTTTTTTTTTTTTTTTTTGTTGAATTTGAGGGCTGGTTAGGAATATTCCTCTAACTCTGATCACATCCCTCCATATTATACATACTTCCTCATTGGGGTGCTCCTCTTATTTCCAATTGCCATCACCACCAACATAGACTTCGCTATTCTCTGTCGCAATCGTCTATTATTATTTTCTCTCTCCTTCTCTCTCTCTCTCTCTCTCTCTCGTTCAATTGGCTTTCTGTTTTTGTTATTGCCATCGCTACTTCCCGCAGTTCCCGAATTATTTTCTTTGCACCCGTTAACTTAGTACCCAAGAAGATCCCCAAAAGATGATTGTTTCTTTAGCATCTGCTCTACTATTGATATCTCCTGCCTTTGCTTGGTCTCCTACTGACTCATATGCCCCAGGATCCTTGTCGTGTCCTGCCAATGTTTCTTTGGTTAGAGAAGCTTCCGGCTTGTCGACTAACGAGTCGGATTGGTTGACCAAACGTCATGCAAACACTGACCAAGCTTTGAAAGACTTCTTGACTTACAATATCTCTCTTACGGATTTCGATGTGGATACATTTTTCAACTCTCTCAACAAATCAATCAATGTCGGTTTGGCGTTCAGCGGCGGTGGGTACCGTGCCATGACTTGTGGTGCTGGGCAATTGGCCGCTTTAGATAATAGAACCACAAATGCTTTTGAAAATGGTCTTGGTGGGTTATTACAAGCTGCCACCTACCTTGCAGGTTTGTCCGGTGGTAATTGGTTAACAGGTACTATTTCTTTCAACAATTTTACCTCTGTCGAGGATATCCTTAATAACGGGAGTATTTGGGATTTATCGCATGCAATTTATAATCCAGGCGGAGTCAATCTTTTTAAAACCGCCTCCGTTTTTGATAGTATGGCTGATGATATTGAAGCCAAAGAAGATGCTGGATTCAATACCTCCATCACCGATATTTGGGCTCGGGCTTTATCTCATCAGTTTTTCGATGATCCTTTGTACGGTGCAGCCTTGACATTCTCCACTTTGAGAGACGCCCCGGTTTTCCAGAACGGAGAAATGCCATTCCCAATCAGTGTTAGTGATGGTCGTTATCCACAAACCAAGATCATCAGCTCTAACTCGACCGTGTTTGAATTCAACCCATTTGAAATGGGGTCATGGGATCCATACTTGAACGCTTTCACTGACATCAAGTACTTGGGGACTAATGTCACCAATGGTCAATCCAACATCACTGGTCAATGTATTGGTGGGTTTGATAATGCTGGATTCATTATGGGAACCTCTTCTTCGTTGTTCAACCAATTTTTATTACAATTAAACTCCACCGGGTTATCCGGAACACTCTATACTCTTGCCGAAAAGATTTTGAGCAGCATTGATCTGAGTGACAATGATATTGCTGACTACACCCCAAACCCATTCTATAAGACCACTCACGGTTCTTCCAACTCTCTTTCTGATTCCGAACACTTGTATTTGGTTGACGGTGGTGAAGATCTTCAAAACATCCCATTGGCTCCACTTATCGAACCAAAGCGTGAATTGGATGTTATCTTTGCCTTTGATAATAGTGCTGATACCGACCAATATTGGCCGAACGGTACTTCAATGGTTTACACTTACCAGCGTCAATTTACCGATGCTAATGGTTCGGCATTTCCTTATGTTCCAGACATGCATACTTTCCGTGCCGCCAACATGACCGCCAAACCAGCGTTCTTTGGATGTGATGCTTCCAACTTGACTGACCTTTCCAGTATCCCTCCATTGGTGGTTTACGTTGCCAACCGTCCATTCTCTTACTGGTCCAACACCAGTACTTTCAAGATGTCTTATGAAGAGGACGAAAAGAGAGGTATGATCACCAATGGGTTCGAAGTCGCCAGTCGTTTGAACCGTACTTTAGACAGTACTTGGAAAGAATGTGTGGCCTGTGCCATCATTAGAAGATCCCAAGAAAGATTGAATCAAGCTCAAACTGCTCAATGTCAAGCTTGTTTCGAAGAGTACTGCTGGAATGGAGACTATGTCGAAACTGATGTTGGGATTAATTTCACTAATAATGGTACTACCAATGGAGACGAAGAAAATTACAACGCCACTAGCGGAGCCGGCAGTTTGTACGGTAAGAGTGAACTTAATATGAAATGGGTGGCAGTTTTCGGGTTAGTGGTTGTCGGCTTGTTGATTTGAGCTGACTCAATTGTCCAAATTTCTTTCGTTTCTCAATCTACTATCTACCCATACTAATGAGTGTTAAAATTATTATATATATTTTCCTTTTAAAAACTGTTCATAACATTCTCACTTTTTTATGATTTAGCCAAAGAAAAAAAAAAAAAAAATAATAATAAGCAAACAAATAAGCACATAAAATTTATACTATTGGTCAGAACACCTTATTCTTATTTTTTCACATATATGTACACATTAGGCTTCAATACTCCGTATTAGCTTTTAATTTGCCTTCAAATGGTTTTTATTACTTCCCAATTCACATATGAACTGGGTTCATGATTCTCTGATGATTTACCTTATATTTTTTTTGAGTGGAAAGTACACACATTTTATTATTATCGATATTATATTGTTGACTAAGATATTATTCTTTTTAATCACCACTCTTCTTTACCAAGAACATCTGCAATATGAAGTAAATAATGTAACATAACTACCACCCAACAACTTGGTCAAAAATTTGATGATCTACCTTACAAACATCTTTCTTCTTATAAACTATCATAGAACTCTGCCTAGATACAAAAAGAATGAATATTTCATTTAGTATAATAGAAACATTACTATGACAAACAGGATACAAAAAAGAGAATAAGAGAAAAAGACAGATAAAACAAAAAATAAAAAATGAAATGAAATGGATTGCAAAAGTTGAATAACCAATTAATGCCTATTAAAAGAATATAATGAAACCGCAATAAAACGCAAAAACACTGGCTGGACAGGCCCCTAAAAAAAAAAAGGAATGTAAGATGTTTAGGTAGAATTCTAGCTCAATTTCAAAAGTTCTATAGGTGTTATTCGCTCTTTTTAAATCCAATGAGCAGAAAAAATCATGATCTCCCTTTTTTTACCATTATTATTAATATTTATACATTGTTATTTTTTTGTTTTGTTTTGCTTTGTTTTTTTTTGTGATGTTGAATTATATCCTTTTTTTTTTTCTCTTCCAAATTCTCATCTTTGTTTTTAGAAAAAAAAAAATGCAATACAAGTTCTGAAGTTATTATTATATAATTGATAATGATTGTTGGAAAACAAAAACAAAAAAATAAGAAAAACACAAGAGATATTCCCCATGATCATCTTCTTTTCTTTTCTAGTCCCTTTTATTTTATTTTTTTATTTTTTTTTTTTTTTTCAAATATTTACTGCTTTTGTTCACTGGCAATTTCTGCTTTGATTTCCTCAATCAACTTTTCATTTCCATGGTATGGGTGCTTGACGAAATTGAACCATGGGATGACACTCAACATAACTTGAGAGTTTTGAGAGTTTCTGTTGGCGATATCCTGTAACCATGGGCTCAAAGAAGATTTCCCGTGAGCTGGCTCACCCTTTATCAATTGGCTCTTAATTTCGGCCTTGTATTTTGCCAATTCTCTAGAGTTTTCGGACCACCCCCAAAATCTTTGGGTTGATCTATTGTAAGCAATGAAAAACCCACCAACTAAACCTAATAGCCCTCCAAGTCTGAGAATCGAGGCTGGTGGTCTCTTGAAGCTCTTACCGTTTACTGGTTCGGCTTTTTCAAAAGCAGTGAGTAGAGCAGGAAAGAAAAATGTCGAGGCAGCAATGACTCCGTAATCCGAAGATCTAAAGTATCTTACAACTTTAGAGAATTCTGGATCGGTATCGATTTTCTAGAAATTGTAGAGTTAGTGAAAGAACGTCAAAAAAAAAAAAAAAAAGGTAGAGTAGTTTGATAGAGAAGAAGTAAATCAGGGTGAAAGAGCCTAGAAACTGAAAACATAAAAAAAAAAAAAACATAACTGAGAAGAACTCTTCATTTCCACTGTTTCCCAAGTTGATGAATAAAAGTCTTTATATTATCCAGGTGTTCCTCCACTATGTTTCTTCTTCTTCGTCTTCTTCTTCATACATCAACCCCCCAATTGAAACAAATCCATAAACCAACAAAACACTTACGGTAAATGATGTAGATGGGGCTGGATTAGACATAATTTCCAATATATTGATTGATATTGACGTTGGCGTAGGTATCGTTATACTGTTTCTTCACCTCTATATTTTCTCAATTTCGTTTTTTTTTTTGTGTGAGCCAATCACAAATTCTCAGATTGTCACTTGGGGAGGTGACGTTGCCCGGTGTGTGATTGGTGCATAAATATGTCTCGAAATGCATGACAGAAACATCCGGGTGTGTACAGTGTTTTCATTTTTTATTCGTACCAACCACCGGAAATGTTCATACCAGTGGCAAAAAATAATTCATACCGACCCCCGGTATTTTTCGTACCACCGCAGCGGGATTTATTCAGACCATCTAAGAAAAATAATTCATACCATTGCACTTTAATTATTCATACCAACAGTATATAAAATTCATATTAATTCCTTTCTTTTTTTTTATGTGACTGGCTCTATAAGCCTCTAAGCTACTCAGTTTAATCAAATTATACTCATTTTTTCCATAATTCTGTGCTACTTTCTTTGAAACCGGATATCTATAATAATATCAATAATATCACGTGATTACGGTTTTCAAGAAATGGGAACGAATGTATGGTAGGAGCTGTTCTCCATTTAAGATGATGAATTCCCACTTTTGACATTCAATTTGGTCTTTATATGATCACCAGATTACTTACAAAAAAAAGCATAAGATTTTACCATCAAAACTAAGTATGGACCTGAAAGCCAAGCTACTAACTGATGGGTATGTTGATGGCCTAGGTAATAGATTCTATGCTGAACCCAGTGAAATGACTTTAGAGTCTGAAATAGCACCAGTTGAAGCTTGCTTTAGTTACAGTGACTATAAGCATTTTGAAAAACCAGGTATCATGGATATCATGGAAATTGATCCTATTTTCGAAGAAGAAGAAAATGCCGAGATGGAAATTGAAATGAAAGAACGAAGATATAGAGGTTCGTACCGGTATTATAATCAAGCTGTCAAACAAAGATTTTGGCACTTGGTCATGGAAGAAGGTGTATCAGCTTACAAGGCTGCAAAATTAGAAGATATACCTTTGCAAACTGCTTACACATGGAAAAGAAAGTGGAACAAATTACTTGTCAATGAATTAAATGGTATCTCGAAGCCAATAAAGAAAAGAGGTCGTAAACCCCTTCTCACTGATGAACATAAGGAATTCCTTCAAAAATTGATAAAGGAAGATGCTACAGTGACTCTCGATTTTATGTTGGAGAGACTCAAGAAAGCCTTCACCAATGTAAGAGCCAAGGCTACAACAATCTATAACTTTGTAACCAAGGTCTGTAAGCTAAGTCTCAAACGTATTTCTAAATGGGCTTTGAGAAGAAGTCTGGAGGAATTGAAGAAACAGAGACTCGAGTGGGCAGAGAAGTATAAAGACAAGCTCGACTTTAGTCAAAACTGTATTTTCATCGACGAAGCAGGTTTCAATATCAGTATGCGGCGTGAGTATGGATGGTCTGCTGTGGGTGAAAAAGCAGTTCTTACTGTTCCCGTAACCAGAGGGCTTAATATTTCGTTCATTGGGGCAATTTCTGTCAAAGGTTGTATTGAATTAAAGGTCAGAACTCCAGTGGCTACATCCAATAAGAAGAGAAAACTTGATTCAGAAACGACCATTGACAAAGTGAGTAAAGGTACTACAGCTAATCACTTCTACAGTTTTGTAAAGTCAGTGATCCAGCAAATAGAAAATAACGAGGAGCTCAAAGGTATGAAATATTTGATCCTTGATAATGCTGCCATTCATAAACGACGTGATCTTCAGTTACTAGTGGCACTGAGTGGCTTGGAACTTGTGTTTTTACCTCCTTATTCTCCAGGGTTGAATGCTATAGAAGAATTCTGGTCAGTGTGTAAGAGTAAAGTCAAAAGATCAAACTTGAGCAAGAAGGAGCAATTAACTCCAAGGGTGAAAGAAGCCACAGAAAATATTTCCCTTGATAGTTACAAGGGATTCTGCAGACATGCTTCTAGACATATTGATCTCTGTTTACAACAGCAGCTCTTTTGAAAACAAATACCAAAGATGAAGAAAAAAAATTAGAAAACAAAATACAGAAAACAAACCAAAAAAAAAAAAGTAAAAACTATAAAAAAAATTACATAAAGACGCAACAAAGCTCCAAAACAAATTAATGAAAATTTAAAATTTTAAGGAAGGACGAAACCACTCCAAAATTTGGTTATGAGCCTTTGAAATGGTAAATGAGTATTGCAAAGGGGCTTTATTGGGTGTGCGGGTCCCCTATAACATGTTTAATAATATCAAAGATAAAATATTAATGAAAGCATAAGAATTTTATGCATTTAGTATGAATTTTGTATTCTGTTGGTATGAATAATTAAAGTGCAATAGTATGAACTATTTTTCTTAGATGGTCTGAATAAATCCCGCTGCGGTGGTACGAAAAATACCGGGGGTCGGTATGAATTATTTTTTGCCACTGGTATGAACATTTCCGGTGGTTGGTACGAATAAAAAATGAAAACACTGTAACTTTGGTGAATATCAAGAGAAAGAAAGAAAAACAAAAAAACAAGAGAAGTTTTCTAAATGATTGAGACACTCCAGGTAATTCGTGTCATTATCTGTTAAAGCCTTTGTCAAGTGAAGGCAGAAAATGACGAAAAAAAATTCCAAAATATTCTTTTAATATTAAATAATAAAATTAAAATATTCCCAATAGTAAGCAAAAAAATTGAAATTTCCTATTAATAGAATAGTTTATCACAACACGAAAGGAACCAAAAACAAAACAAAAAAAAAGAGAGAGAAAAGCAAAAAATATGATATCTATTATAGTATATTTAATGGTTGTAATTGCTAATATTTGCGAACCTCGTTCCCCTGATATATATATATATATATAAAGAATAAAACACAAATGGGATGAATGAAAACGAGTATCAAATAAGTGCAAAGTTATCAAGGAAAAGCAAAATGAAAATGAAAAACTTGACGATATAAGCAAAACGTCAGCTTGAAAGCAATGTAATAATGGATAGCATACGAATCTCCTTGTCATGTAGTTCCAAATTTGAAAAACATCACTTCTTATGGCAACACCCACTTCTTGTGATGAGTTATTATATCGAACAGTTTTACAACGGTGTTAAGCCAATAATTACTGAATAAACAATTCTTCTTCTGTTATCAAAGCGAATCACATCAGTATCATTGACATATATATGTTCAGTCAAAGAACATTGTGATTTTTCGTGTCGTCTTTGATGGTTTCATTGATGGCAGCTGATGATAGAGGGGCATGCGAAGGAGCTCCAATGATTGGAGAGCTTGCCACAGATGGCTCATGGCGGGCAAAAGAAACTGAGCTCAGAATCACTGAACCGGTAATATTTTCATGGTTTATCCCGCTATTAATAAATGACATATTTGAAGAAGCGTTGGAAACAAGAGAAACTTCCAGAGAAACACTAAGGGTTCTGGATAAAGTGTGTGGCATTCCAAATCCTTGGCCAATACTCCCATGGTGTGGAGGATGGTGCAGGGAGATTGAGTTCAACCTACTTTCTCGACCGATTGGGATGCTAATGGGAGTAGATACTGAGCTAAGAATACTATTTCTTCTTTCACGATCATCAGGAAGAGCAGTCGAGTTACTAAAAACCGAACTTCGTCTACTGCGTTTGTCCCTGTCGATCCCCTTTTCTTTTCCTTTGATATTCTCTTCCAAAGTTTTCATCCTTGCGGAAATCTCCTCTTCGGATCTGTAAGGCATTAAAATGCTTAACTCTATCAAAGATAACTGCTTTCCCTTTTTTGATAACAATAAATCGTCTTCTTGGGTGGTCCAAGGTTCAGTGTGGGATTCTCTGGAATTATAATACCATGGTTGTTGGTGATGATGGGAATATAGGCTTTGGTGGTGATGTTGCTGTGGAAGTGAGAAAGACGTGTAAGGTGTAGGCAATGAGCTGGAAGATCCAATCGAGGCTGTAGAATCAAGAGATGTTAAAGAGGAAATACTATTTGATAGTGTATCGTTCCCCGTAGGAGAATTATGCCCACTAGTATTATTTTTATTATTATTATTATAATGAGAGCCTGATAAGTTATTATGACCAACAAAGGTATTTCCCGCCTGAGTTAGTGCTGCAGGGCTCGAAGTGAAGCTCCATTGAGTGTAGTTTGGTGGTTGGATATAAGATTCATTGCCAGTAGATCCCAGTGCCACTAGGTCGGGTTTTGATTGATCGTTCAATCCATTGGTTAGAGCACTAAATCTTGTGCCGGTAGCTTTTATCGCCGATAAACCTCCAATTGGGCTCGATGATGTTAGTTTCGAACTGGTAATTGGTGAAGACAGAGTTGGCAAAGTGTTAACTGCCGTAGAATGCTTCAAAATTCCGGATTTCAATCTTCTCCAACGGAATTGGCAAGCATTAGGGGTTCGATGGGAGAAATGCGAGGAGATTTCTTTCCAGCCCAATTTTTGTTGTTCTTTCAAATGGCGGAGCAACAAGTCATCTTGAGGGTCCCATGAAGAGGGGGTTCTAGAAAATGTTCTTTTTATCAATGCAGAGGCGGTGGTGGGTCCCGCAGCAATAGGCTCTTTGGGCAAGGTGTCTGAGGATGACGATGATGATGATGATGATGATGGCGTGGTTGCAGTCACATTCATATTAATATTTAATAATAAAAAAGGAATAGAAGAAATTATATGGAACGGATGGGGGGCTTGAAAAGTAGAGTGATGGGTGGGCGTTGTTGTAAGCGACAGCCTGTGTCGAAAAGCCGTTATTAACGTTGATAAATATAATTTCTGTAATTCGACAAGAAGTGGATTGTGTGAAGTGTTCTTATTAGAAGTATTCTAGCGGCAGTGACAGCTATTCTTGTTGCTGTTGTATGATTATTGTTCGCTTCTTCTTCTTCTTCTTCTTCTTCTTTTTTTTTTTTTCTTTTCTTTTCTTTTCTTTTTCTTGAAGTGGGATCGATGGATCGAGATGAGATCGAGATGCGATGAGATGCGATGAGGTGTTTTGGCGAGACGAAAAAAAAAAAAAAAAAACGGACGTCGAGATTTGTGACGCACAATAAAACTGTCACACTGTGTAGATATATCAGACAGAATAGGACAAGAACTTGTAGGATTTGTAACTATTTGGTGATGGGACTGTGGGTATAAGAGTGTATACTTACCAAGTGGTTGATGTTAATTCACTACCACTAATTTGTGCAAATTTCAGGCACCAGAGGGAGTAAATGAGATGGTATGTAAAACACAAGGTAGGATAGGACCTTGGCACAAATGTACAATGAAATATGAACCGATATTCCTTTCAATGAATGGCAGGAACACTATGGAGGATGTGAGACGCAGTCAAGAATGGCGGGAGTAGGAATCCGGTAGGTGAAACGTCCAGTGACCTTGAAAGTTGCCAATAATAGTGATAATCAGAGGGGTATACAAACCGAAAAAAAAAAAATTAAAATCAAACTTTATGGGCAATTTTGTAGCTATATCGGTGCTACTATGTGTCTGACTGATCGATCAACCTGGCGGTGAGTTTCTTAAGCTGAAAAAAAAAAAATCCATCAGTCAACTTTGACAGAAAAAGAGCCAATCTAGATAATGGGCCGCCGGGGGAGCAAATTCAAGAAAGCGCACCGTAGAAGAGGTCCACAGAATAGTGGCCAAGATGTAAATTACGGATATTTACCTACCAGAATACTAACATGTAATATATATATATATATATATATTATATGATGGCTATTCTAATGTATAATATTATCACGGTAGGGCGTGTATATGACTTGGTGTGTGGGTTTTCTATTCGGATTTTCTTGGGGTGTCTGGGTGTGGTAAGTTATTTTTTGCAGACCATCCCCCGGGTAACGACTCCTATTACCCTTTCAACGCACAGTAATATCTTACTCAGCAGCAGGCGCCCATCTTACTAATCGATTACCCGGGCACCCGTCATCATTCTGGTTAAGGAACCCTTAAACAGGTTACGGTATATGAAACCACTTTATGATGATGATGATGATGATAACAACAATAATATTAATAAACATGCTATGACAAACTTTCGTATAATCTTTCGTATACAACTCAAACAAATAAACAAAGTCACTCCCCCATTAACAAACGCCAAATTAACAAGTTTGACCAATCTCACAGCTATATATATCCATTGCACTTATTACAATATCAACAACCATTTGAAGGTAAGCCACTGGGGTTCAATCACACAATTAATTGGAAGCGATCATTCGTTAAAGTGTCCTTATTCACCCATTTCAATTGCTTTCTACTATTCATGCTGTGGCGCCCCCACTCCAGTTTTTTTTCTTCTTTCATTTTTTCTTTCAAATAGCATACTTCTTTGTCCATTCCTTGGCGGTAGTTTCGTACTTCTGTCTGTCAGTCTTGTAAACATTAGCGATTTCTGGAACCAAAGGATCGTCTGGGTTTGGATCGGTCAATAATGAACAGATAGATAATAACAATTTGGATACAGTCAAGGCGGGACTCCATTCTTCCTTCAAGATGTCTAAACAAATGTTACCGTTGGAGTTGATATTAGGGTGGTAGATCTTAGTAGTGAATGAGATCTTTGGTGGTTTGAAAGGATAGTCAGTTGGAAATTGGATGGTTAAAAAGAACACCCCACCGGCGTATGGAGAGTCTGGTGGGCCCATGATCGAAGCTTCCCAGAGATAAAGATCATCACCACTTGGACCAGCAGAGCATGAAGCTGGTGGGTCTCTATTTGTTTGTTGTTAGTGGCAACGTCCTAAACATTAACACCTCATCGTCTCATCTGACTTGACTTCGGTTCGTACAACGTCAGAGCAAGCGCAGAGAATAATACTCACCTTCCTAAATCCTTTATTTCCTTATTAATTCTCCTCAATGAAGACATATTGTGTAGTGTTTATGTGATATGAAGTTGTTTTTGTTTTTATCTCTATGATATAAAATCAAAATCAGATTCTATGTGTGACAACAATAAAGTATCTGAGAGTTTCCCAAAATTTTGTCTTGTGGCAAAGTGAGAAAAAAAAAAAAAAAAATAAAGAAAAAAACTGCCTGAGAAGTCACAAGACGAAGGCCGGGTGTCCTCCTTCCCTCCAATCAAAAGTTCCAGAAGGTTCGATATGTGGTCACGTGTCTTACACTCCATCTACCACCAAACTACCATTAATCTCCAGATGATTCAATTTCTCTCATTGATTGCTTCAATAGGTGGTGCATCTTTCTCTCGCTCACTTTCTTCCTCTACTGGCTTAGATTGTGCCAGTTGTTTTCGTGTGTCTGCCTGTCATTTAAAAAAAAAAAAAAATAAAAAAAAAAAATGGTTATTTCATTGACCCGTCTCTGTGGCACCTAAAATTTTTTTTATTTTCTTATAAACTTTTACGGTGAAAATTTTTGAATAGGAAGATATATTAATCAAAAGCAGACTACCACAATATTTATAGATATTTAATAATGTCGAATCCGAGAAACAAACATAGAAATAATAATAATGAACAGGGTTTAGATAAAAAAACATTATTTGTTCGCCTGATTCCTTTTGATGCCACTTCAGAAGAATTATCCGATTTCTTTTCCCAGTTTGCACCAATTAGACATGGGGTTATTGTCACTGATAATGAAAATAATTCCAGAGGTTTTGGGTTTGTTAGCTTTGCTTTAGAAGAAGATGCCCAATTAGCCTTAGAAAAAGGAAGAAAAGAGAAATTCAAGGGAAGAGTATTAAGAGTTGACGTTGCTAAGAGAAGAGAAAGAAACACAAAGAAAGATCCATCCTTAGATGATGATGAGGAAGAAGAGCAAGGAAATAAGCCAGCACCAGTCACCGACTATAATGATAAAGAAGCTTTTTTCAAGAATGAAATTGAAGATAAAAAGAGATCAAGATTAATTATCCGTAACTTGCCTTGGTCAATACGTAACCCAGAAGAATTAACTAAGCACTTCCAAAGATATGGTACAGTTCAAGAAAGTATTATTCCAAGAAAAAAAGACGGGAAAATGTGTGGGTTTGCCTTTGTTCAAATGAAAAAGTTCAGTGGTGCCAAGTTGGCAGTGGAGAAAAGTAAAAGTTTGAAATTAAAGGGAAGAGAAGTCCAGGTTGAATTTTCCATCGAAAAAAGTAAATGGGAGACCATTCAAGAAAGAAGCGGTAAAAAGTCAACAAGAGAGAGAGTCGAAGGCGAAGATGACGAGGAAAATGAAGATGAAGAAGAAAAAGATGAAGAAAAAGATGATTCAGATAGTGATAGCGAAAGTGGATCAGATGATGATGATGATGATGATGATGATGATGATGAAGACAAGGAAGAAGAGCCTGCTAGACCAAGACCAAACAAACAAGAGCCATACACTATTTTCATTCGTAACTTACCATATGATGCGACAAAGGAAGGACTTACCAGCCATTTCGGTCAATTCGGTCCTATCAAATATGCCTTGCCAGTGATCGACAAAGAAACCGGTCTTGCCAGAGGTACAGGTTTTGTGGCTTTCACCACAAAAGAAGGTTATGAAACTTGTCTTGAAAATGCTCCAGATATGTCACATTCTTCAGCCTCATTGTTATTATCAGATGATGTTCCGGCTGCTTATGTGTACGACGGGAGAATTCTTTCAATTACTAGTGCTGTGAACCGTGAACGTGCTGGAGTCTTAAAGGATAAGAATAGTGAGCGTAGAGCACAATTGTTGGGCAAGCAAGTGGGTAACCAAGATAAAAGAAACTTGTTTTTGTTGAACGAAGGTAGAATTTCACCAACCTCCAAAATTGCTGAGTTATTAACCAAGACAGATTTGGAAATCAGAGAAAAGAGTTATAAAGTGAGAATCGATCAATTGAATAAGAACCCATCATTACATTTATCCCTCACCAGATTAGCAATCAGAAACTTGCCAAGAGTTTTAACTGAGAAATCCCTCAAGGCCCTTGGTCGTAAAGCGGTGGTTGAGTTTGCCAAAGAAGTCAAGACTGGTAATAGACAATCATTGAGTAAAGAAGAACTTCAAAGATCTACCAAACACAAAGAACTGAATAGTTTGGAAGACCCTAACTCTAAAAAATCTAAGAAAAAGGGGGTGGTTAGACAAGCCAAGGTGTTGGTCGAAGTCAGTGCTAGTGGTGAAGCTGGGAGATCTAAAGGTTACGGGTTTTTGGAATTCAAGGACCATAGAAATGCGTTAATGGCACTTAGATATTTGAATTGTCACGAAATTACCAGAGAAGAAGTGATGGAAGGTTTGACTGATGAAGAAAAGAAATTCCTTAAGTACGAAGGTGGTAACAAGAGAAGATTGATTGTTGAATTTGCCATTGAACATGCCAACGTCGTGAATAGAAGAAAGGAAAAAGTGCAAACTGCTAGACAATTATCTGAAATTAAGAAAACGGGCAAGGAAGAGGAAGAAAAGGAAGAGAAAAAGGAAGAGAAAAAGAATAAGAAAAAGGACGCCAAGAAGAGAACTCACGAGGAGGAGGAAAAAGACAAGACCCAAGATATTATCAAGAATAAGAGAAGAAAGAAGAATGCGCAAAAGAAGATGAAGAAGAATTGAAAGAGGAAAATATTAATTTACTTTGTATTATATAATAGTATTTGTATATTTTTAAGGTCATTTTTTTATACTATTTTTTTTTTTATTATCATTATTGTTATTATTACTATTTGTTATTATTCTTATTAAATGTGTGTTTTTTCATGATTTTTTTCTTTTGTTTTGTTTTGTTTTATTCTTTTCAGATATATAATTTATATCTGGTAGCTGCCAGATCCACTAGTGGATAGATATAAAGGTCCATACAAATGTCCCAACCAAAAATTTTAAAGGGCTCAAAAAAAAATAAAAAAAAAAAAAAACGTGCCAGGTTATCGACTCACATTTCAATGGAGGTCCGATAGGAATCCTTTTATCTAAAGTCAGTTCCAGCAGCACAAGACCTGTGGGGGGGCCAGTCACAAGAGGACCAAATAAAGGGGAGAATAGGATATAGACATTTAACAAATATTAGAGCGTAGTCTATATTGGAACTTTTTTATCACTTGTACAATCATCGAATAATTCACAATGGAACAACCACGAATAGAAATTGTTATTGGTGTTTTGAACAATGAAACAGAACCCACACCCCCAAAGAAACCACAGACTAGAAGAAAACACTCCAATTCAAAATACGGCTGTTTGCAATGCAAAAAGAGAAGAATCAAATGCGACCAGTCTTTTCCACAGTGTAAACACTGTATGAGTTATAGGGCAAGGGAATTGAGATGTTCATATATGGACTTGACTGAAGAGCAAAAGCAAGTGATTTTGGAGGCCAATAAAAAAATGGGGGACGATGCAAAGAATCCTGGGAATGATTCTATGGGGTCAAAACCTTCGCCAATTAGAACCACCTCCAAGACTACGAGCTTGCTATCCAAGTTTGAAAAAACATCTGGCGAGAAGCATATCAGGCATCATTCACCTGCCACTTCCTCATCTTCATCACCAACATCCACTTTCCCAATATATCCTACACCTACCTCGATCAATGATCCAATGCCATTACCAGGAGCTTCTAATATCCTTACAAAGTTCCGCGTAACTGGGATTAGAAAGGCCTGGGATGATGAGAGACTTATTCAGGCAGTGATTTCGTTTGTTTCCAAGAACTTGAAAATGCCAATTGTCAACGCGGCGTATACCAGATATTTTGAATTAATCTGGAATATTTGGGGCAATACCACCATTGGTGACGCCTCGGGAAAGAGCCTTGTTAATTACTATACGTTGATATCTTGGGCGTCCAAATACTTATCAACGGGTGTTTACCTTTCAGTGAGACGAAATAGTATGAGTCAGTTAGGGAAAAACCTCAATCGAATAACCAAACCGTTGGAAAACATTGCGTTGACCTCAAATGGGGTATCGTTGAGTTTGTTGACCGATGCCATCAACAAAAACGATTATCGATTACTCATTGATTTAATGACCTCTAATATATTCGTTTCAAATTCAAACTATGGAAAGGACAACTATATTGAGAGAATGACTCACTTGAACGGTCTAGTGGCCGTCATTTACGAACTATATTGCCACAAATCAACGATTTATGTCCCGTTGAGTAATACTCAAGAAATTGAAGACTTGACACTTCGAAATGCCATCAATGAACTATATCCTCAAGAAGATAATGAAGAGTTCCGAAATACTGATGGCAAGCACGACCATTTATTATCATCTCCCGATCATTTGGGAAACTTAGCTCCGGGGTACAGTTATTTCAACAACTTCACGGCCAGAGAAACTGTATTGATCAAATTCTTTGAATGGCAGATTTATTACGGGGTGGTGGCGTCATTCTTGCCTCCTTATAATCATCATTGTCTTTATGAATTCCGTGATAACTTCATATCATTTAGAGATTTACTATGTGATATTGAAATGCCGTTATTAGTGGCAATGGCTGACAATTTATGGGATTATTTGCAGTATTTGATCGACGAAATTTTCCCTATACTAGAGCAAAACGGTATTAATGATCATAGGTTCTTTACTACGAGTCCTAAGATATTTCATAGCATCTACATGAAATACTTGTTGATGACGCCTCCGGAGACATTTGTTTCGACATCAAAGTCCAGCAATTTGTCATTAGTTGAAAGAATCTTGTATCGGTACTACATCAATCTAGGCAAAATTTTGGACCATATTTTCCCTCAGGTGAGATATTTGTTCATTTTCGGTTTCATTACCACTTACACTCAATATTCCGATGACCAAGGTCATGTTCTTGAGGAAGGGTTGCAACTGCTTTTGAAGTATGGAACCTACGATAAGTTGTTTCCTAAATCTTGCTCAAATCGGCCGGTAGACGAACTTTTCAAACGGAAAATCATTTATCACATCCATTACTGTTCGAGAGTATTTGGGTTTTTCCGGTCAAGAAACATGTTGCTTCATCAAGGGATTTTTTTCAACGATCCATTTCCAGAATCGATTAAGAATGATCGGCTTAGAACCAGAAAAGTCCAGGTTAATGAGATTCAAATCACCTCATTTGGAAAAACGTTTATTCATCCAAGAAATTTCCCCCATGTGGTTGACCGCCCACATAGCACTGGTAGCAATTGCTCCGGCAGTGACGATGAAAAACCGGTGTTCAAAGGAATGACAATTAGTGAATTAGAATCTCTAAATCCTAAGTACCTGCAGCTTCAAAAACAAAATGTAGTTCCTGCAGGATGTACGGTGAACCAGATCTTTCTAGATCCGTTTTTTCAGAAAGATATTGATATTGATGGGAACATTGTTGGTTTCGATTTCTCCGTTGGTTCTTTAAGTGTTCCTATTATGCTCAAACATTTAGTTGGAAGAAGTGTGAGGGATTTCTATGATGATCGTTCTGCGATTTTCAATTATTTTGCAGTCCACGATTTGTAATGTGTTGGCCTTTAGTTGCTTTTTCAACCATTACTTGTCCTCTCTTTGATTTAATATTCCTTATGTTGTCTAATTTGATTTTTTTTTTTTGTCTATTTGTTTGTTTGTTTGTTTATTTGTTTGTTTTTACGCTGGAAGGGTTTTCTTTTCTTTTCTCTTTTTTTTTTTTCTTTTGCTCTTGATGTTTTTCACATACATAAAGCTTTGTTTTGTTTGCTGCTGTTAGGTCGGATAATTGTTTTAACTTTTGATGGGACTATATACCTAATTACCTGTTTATAGAATGTAATTGATGAATATTGAAAGGGCATTGAAATCTTCGTAGATTTTCTTTATCTTGGAAATTGATGGTCCATTCTAGATTCTTATTATTTTTACCATCATAATTACTATCATTACTATGATAACAATAACTTATGTTCGTTTCTTCAAGAAATACTAATAAATTTACTTACATTCGTCAAACGATTGAGCCTTGTTAAAGTCTCCAAGTTTGTATCAATGAAAAATTTGATGATATTCTGTTAAAATAAGTTATATGAACAGTGGGAGTCTTTTTCAAATTAGCCAAAACACCTGTTCGTGGCATAATTGATCAGTAAAGGGCAAAGATGGTTGACAGAAATTGGTTGGTGTAGATAAATAAATAAAAATAAATAAAATGGGCTCTCCCAGAAAACAAATAAACCCTAATATTTTCATGAAAACAATGGAGAGTGTATGTTTAAACGGGGGTTTTTATTTCACTTTTTTTTTAACCATTTTTATTTATATTATATGACAATATATTTTTATTTTTTTTTCTTAATTTTTGATATTTGTGAAGGAATTTTCGTTGTATCATGTTTATACTTATTTCTTAGAAACGACAACCATTTCATCCAATTCCTTCTTTTCGGCAGCTTCAGCTTCAGCTTCCAAAATGTATGGGATCAAGTATGGGACGTCTTCTTCTGGCTTAACTTGCTTGCTCAATGGTAACAATTGGTGGGACAAAGTACATTGGTGGGCAGTAATGATTCTGAAGTTTCTGGCATAAGATTCAGATGCTGGCAATCTGGAAATGGCCTTTTGCATGATTGGGGTTTCTTCAGCAATCAAATCATCAAATCTGGATTGTTGTTAGTAATTTTGTCAACACTTCTGATAAAAAATACAGAAAAACAAACCGCTTTCTCTAATAAAATGGATAATTACAGTCGTCTTTCCTAAGATATAGATTATCATGACCCATGGTATCTAATAATACTCACCTCAAACCAATCTTTCTGTAACCAGACAATTCGGTGAAAACCTTGGAGACTGGGACAAGGACAGAAGCCAAAGCTGGGGTCTTGAGAATGAAATCAACAGTCTTGACGATAGAAGTGACGGATTGTGGCATCTTTGCGGTATGTTCAGACGATGTCTATGTACTAGTTTATGGGGCTTCCTATGGTCTTTGTGGTGTTTTTCTCTCAATTTTTTTCTTGTCAGCCTGTTTTTGCAATTTTCTCATTGGCTCGCTTCTCAGGTGATTTTGTGGGGTGCCGCACACCTATTATATCAGATCAAACACTACATCTGCGAAAGAATTTAGTATTACATTTTATTATTATTATTATTGTATCATAAAGAATCTCTAAAATTAATCAGAAGAAATATAGTATAGTAAAAAGCATCGAAACGTGACTAGACAAATTGTAGCAAATAAATGTGTAATAAAAAAAAAGAAAACCAAATGAATGATTGGTAATAAAGGATATCTAAGAAATAATAGCAAAGGTATAATATTTAAAAGGGCTCTTTTTTTTTGTTGTTTACTCTTGTTTGCCACCATACTTCTTTCTCCAAGATTCAACCATTTTATCATCGATTTTAGAGAATAAATAATCGGCTTCACCAATATTATGGCCTTCATCGATGCTGAACACAAATTCGTCTGGAATGTACAATTCCTTGATGTTCAATTGCTTATTGATATTTTCTGAAGTTGCTGGCATGAATGGAGAAATGACTTGAGAAACAGTAACGAGAATGTTAAGCCCGATGTACACCACCAAGTCACTCTTGTCAGGTTCGCCATTGAACAAAGAGTTATCCAATTTATTTTCTTGCAAGAATTGGTTACCTCTAGCAGAAATAGCCATGGCGTATTCTAATGCTCTTCTTTCTTCACATTTTATACTGGCATCGTTATATTTCTTGAGTAAAGTGTTTAAGTTGTCAATCAAGCTATCGTAGTCCTTGATCAATGAGAACTTCGATCTGTTAATGGTTGGCACCACCCCTTTATAGTTCTTGTTGACAAATTTAATCAATCTGTTACTAAAGTTACCCAAATTGTTCAACAATTCGGTGTTATTGCATCTGACAAAATCGTCCCAAGAGAATTGAGAATCAGAAGTTTCTGGACGAACATTGATCAAGTAATATCTCCAGACAGAAGCAGAAATACCAGTTTCCTTGGCTTGATCACCAAAGACCCCAATCTTTTCAGACTTGGAGAATTTACCACCTTCATATTGCAAGTATTCGGTAGTGTCAATATGGTAGTTCTTGGTCCAGTCATCGCCAGTACCGATCAAAGAAGCTGGGAAAATAATAGAATGGAAACTGACATTATCCTTACCCATGAATTGGTATAAACGAACGTCATTTTCCTTGGTCTTCCACCATTTCTTCCAGTCATCAGTAACACCCTTGTTCTTGAAATAGTTGGCAGTGATAGAAACGTAACCAATAGTGGCATCGAACCACACGTACAAAACCTTGTCACCGTACTTTTCCAATGGGACAGGGGTACCCCATTTCAAATCTCTGGTGATGGAGAATGGTCTAAGACCTTCTTTCAACCAGTTGTTGGTGATGTTGTTGGTGTTTTTAGTCCAGTCCCCTTCGACACTTTGTTTTTCGATCCAGGCCTTGGTTTCTGGTTCTAATTGGTCCAAATTCAAATAAATGTGGTCAGAGTACTTAGCAACTGGAACATGACCATCCAACTTACATTTTGGATCAATTAACTCCAATGGATTTAACAAGCTACCACAGCCATCACATTGGTCACCTCTGGCCTTTGGATATTCACATTTTGGACAGGTACCGTTGACATATCTGTCAGCCAAGAACCCTTTATGATGTTCACAATACAATTGTTGGATGGTTTGTTCGGACAAGTAGCCGTTTTTCCACAACTTCATGAAAATGTCTTGAGAGATTTCGGTTTGAAGTTCAGTGGTGGTTCTACCAAAGAAGTCGAAATCAATGTCGAACCACTTGTAAATTTCATTGTGGACCTTGTGGTATTTGTCACACAAGGCTTGTGGGGTAGTTTTATCTTCAAGAGCCTTAGTTTCAGTAGCAGTACCATATTCATCAGTACCCCCAACAAACAAAACATTGTATTGCTTCTTGGCCTTGACGTATCTTGCAAACACATCAGCAGACAACACGGAACCAATAATGTTACCCAAATGTGGGACGTTGTTAACATATGGCAAAGCAGAAGTAATCAAAATATTCTGCTTGTCACTCTTTGGCAAAATGACATCTTCAGGGGCAACTTTCAAATGTTCCTTAGCATTAGCAGTGAGTTTTTGTTCACCAGTTTTAGTGGCGTTAATCACTCTAGTGTTTCCAGAATCCTTCTTTGGTTTAGAAGCGGTCTTCCCTTGGTTATTCTTCTTGTTAATGGCAGTAGTCACCGCGAAAGTATGGGCCTTAACTTGCTTGACCAAACCGTTGATTTGAGGGTTCTTGAAAAACTTACTGAACCATTTGTATTGGTTAACAAATCTGAACTTGGCGACGTGGAAAGGGTACAAAGAGCCAAAGATTAATATTTGGAAAGGATCGTTATAAATAGGTTCATTGTCCTTGAATGCTGGTAAACCTTCGATGGCGAAAGTGGCCCTATCAAATTTGGATTCATCTTGAGAATATTCAAGCAAATAACCTCTCAATTTGGTCAAGATCGCAGTTTGTTCAGGGGTGATAGTGGCAAAAGCATTCTTTTGAGTGAATTTTGAGGCCAAGTATAACACTGCAGCATTAGCTTCGATCAAATCGATCTCTGATTTTGAATCTTTCAAAGAAATAGTGGAGTGGGATTCGTCGACATTTTCAGAGATTCCAAGTTTTTGAAATTGAGTGTTGGCAATCAAGACCTTCAAATTTTCCGCTTGAGCTAATTGGGAGACACTAAAGGCGAGCTCTAATTGTAAATCGGAACCCATCTTTTGTAAATACCTGTATATATGTATATCTATGTTAATGTTTATCGGCATTCACCCATGAGTCTTACTTTTTGCAGAGAAATTTTTCAGGCCTCAACAGAATGCAGTTACCCGTCGATTTTCAAGATGATGCCATGTGACAGTGGTATGGGTGGTATGACATGCATATCATAAGTGTTGGATTCCTTTTCTTCGGTGGTATGGGGTTATATTTAGGATGGTATAAATGAATCTATTTGCAATGGCGCAAGTTTTCCTTACTGTACTTGGTGTGTAGGACCGTTAACTTTCGAGTACGTGATTGTGGAAGTTAAATTAACTTCTGAAGACATTTTCTTCCAAAATATGTTTGTGCTTGTTCCATTTATTGGGCCTTAGTTTCACATATCAGTTTTCTCTTGTCGCTTGTGGTCAGAATTGTACAATTATCTGAGTTCGTGTCTATAGAATTTTTCTATACAGCTGAACAGAAAACTTAAATAAAGTTTAAAATATCAAACAATCCAAACAATAAGTGCCTTTGACGCCAGCAAGAAAGAAGTTAATGCATTGTGTGGTAATGGTACTCGTCAAGCTTGATCCTTCATCCTAGGGTGAAGGATACAAAGACGTTTTTTTCCTAGACTTTGGCACCTCCAGGACCAACATGAGTGTGTATCAAGATGGTTTTGAATCGCCTGAAGTTAATGACTTATTCTTGAGTAGCATAGTTCTGCATTCTGATAATTCGGTTGAGGAAAATATTGAGAATTAACAGATATCGCAATTGCCTTTCGAACGATTATCCCTCTGTCTGAAGATGGATATTAGAAAAACTAGGGCACAATTCGTTGAAAAATAATGTCTATTCTGATGGATCTCTTATTAAAAAGAAGAAAGAAACAATACAGATATCCGAATTGAGTGGTTTTGTCAATCTTGTAGTACGATTTTTCGGTTAGTAAAGATCAGCTGCTTTTTTCGCAATTTTTGAACTTGTTGATATTGTTATTGTCATATGTGCTGGGCTAGGCAGACTTTCAAGTCGCTCTGATTGTTATGAGTACATCCGAAATTTAGAATGATTGAATGCTTTCTAGCTCTATTAGGTGATGTTCTGCTAGCATTTTTTTTTTTTTTACCAGGCTGCGGAATCCTTAGTGTTATCTTTTTTATTTGTTGTCAACATTCTCAAGCTTATTTGAACAACTATATATTTTATTCTATTGATTATATAACTTAGATTCTAAAGTGAAAACATGAGGGCAACATTTTGGATATTTAACCTTGGATTATATTTAACAGAAACTCAAAGAAATTGAGACAGACATAATGACTCAGTTGACATTTTGGCTCGTCTTTATATCATTTCCAGAAAACGCATGCATCTAGAAACACCTAGATTATCTTTGCTTTTTTTTTCTTCAAGCTCTGAATTTTGATCTCAAGAGCCTCTCCCAACACCTTTCCGGCATGCAATTCAAAAACTAGAGAAATTTTAAAGATTGAGAATCAAGTATTGATGCTTTACAAATACAAACATATGAACTCCAACATGCCATGCATGTCATTTTAACGAGTCACGTGTGCTGCATTTGAATAATCACGTGATTTCCATTTTCATATATACCAACCTAATGGTTGATTGTCTCAAAAATAAAACCCGTTGAATTGGTATACTTTGGTCTATTGATAGGGATCAGTTCTCCGACAACAATAGTTGATAACCCGTTAGATTTATAATCTGATAGATAGCTAGTGTATGTTACTTCTGATGTAGATCCACTATTTATAATCACTGGGCTTTTTTATCTTGAAGTTATAAGTATATTAAAGCACTATGAAGCTGGATATATTAAATGGGTACAATCTATAAAATAAATTACGATTTTGTGGTGAATAAATCTCATGATAATACAGAAAAAGTTACACGGCCCGCTCCTAAATTGACAAACTTTTTTAACGGTTGTGCTTTCTTGTAATTAGACCGTTAAACATATCAAAAGAATTTCCATCGGGTTGCAATTCAAAAGTTTTCCCAGTTGGGGTATCATCTCTATTCAATTCTTCGACCACCAAAAGCCCATTTGTACTACTGATGCCCCTTATCTGTGCCTTGGTCGATCCTATCGATCCTAGAGTAACAATTTGATCTTCATGCAACCAGTAGTTGTAATACTTCGGTAACAACAGGGTGAATCCTGATGTCTTGAAGATTGCAAATAATTTATCCAAGCTCACCATAAATTTGGCCGCAAGCTTTTCAGTGGTATAATTTGGTAATGGAGGTTGTCCTTTTGCAGCTCTAAGATGATTTAATTGATTCAATACCAAATTCAAAGTGGTGGTAGGCCCGGCATTTGAAACATTGATTCCCGCACCAATTACCATCACATAATTGTCCTGTTGAGCTACTGTGCTAATCAACAACCCTCCAATTTTTGCATATATCGGATCGATTTCGTTCACGTATTTTGGAGGACCTTTATTGCCATATTTTGCGAGGAATGAAGGTTTCATCACGTAAATATCATTTGGCCACTTCAATCTCACAGGCATCTCATCGTAACCTTCACCGTAACCTAATATCGCATCCACCATGGCCATACTGGTTAAATACTGTGCGAAAATCACCGGGGAGTTTACTGCATCCTCAAAAGATAATCTCACCACAGTCGAGATGGCAAGGGTACCCATCGGGCTGACCCAAACATTTCCTCCACGACCTCTTCCAGATATTTGGGTTGTACCAATGGCAGTGTACCCATCAGGTAGATATTGTAAAATTTTGTAATTTTTTTCAATAAGGGTATTTGTGGAGGTGAGGATTTCACCGTACAACAAAGTTTTCCCATAGGTGAAATCTTTTGGGTAGAATGGAGTTTTTTCGTTTTCTTCTTTCCAAATAGCAGTGAGATTACTATAATATGCTGTAATGTTGAAGTAAGGAGTCATTCTGTAGTAAGGAACTTCGCCATTTTCAAAGATCCAAATCTCCTTCACGGCAGCATCGGGGTCATCATAATCATCCAGATTCATTTTGGAAGGAATAGAAGCTTGGCTGTCCAGAATTTTTGTAACGTGAAAACTGTCGTTTGCATCCTTTATGATGCTCTTTTCATCATCCTGGTATCCAACATTCGCTTCAATGTTACTAACCATGCGTCTTAGTTCCTCCTCATTAATGGAGGAAAGCAACAACGGAGTCAATTTTGGCACGATGGCGTCTTCGGCATTGTTGACTTTTAGTCCAAGCTTTTTCAAGCATAACCGCAAGAAATAGTCTCTTTGAGATGAATTTGATTCTAGTCTTTGTATCATCGCACTATCCTTCCTTGAGTGGCTATATTTAAGCAAAGAAGGCTCAAATTCGACATGAGGCCCAAATAATATAGCTGAACCATCACCTACTTCGCAATGAATGATAGCAGCATTGGTTTTAGCTTCTCCGGAATCAGCATCTATAGGTTCAAGATACCTTGACAAAACTTCCACTTTATCAAACTTCTCAGCATCATAAAATGTTGGGCCACCATTGTAATGAGAGAAAAAAGTGTTGAATGAATGTGTTTCTCCATCCGCAAGGGTTGGTTCGATGCTGCAATAGGCGGCTCTTTCCCCATTATTAGAAGAGTATCTAAATCCTTTGAACGCTGTACCAACTGCGGTTCCTGGGAAAAATTTGAGCTCTCTAGAACCACTAACCTCGATATCAGATCCGGTTTCAAATTCTAATCTTGAAGAGGCATAGTAGGCTCCGGCACAAAAACCCATGTATTTACCACCACGCTTGACAAACTGTTTGATCTTTCTGTTGCCTTCGCCGTTGAATTCGGAACAAAATGGCAAATCCGCCCCGCCAGGGAAAACGAGCAATGAGGTTTTTTCAGCCCAAGGCTCTTTTCTAATTACATTAGCATCGACGCTGATCACAGCGTAATGTGGTGATAAGAATCTTCGGAGCGTGTATAAGCAATGTTTGACAGATTCAGCAGTTGTTCCGTTACCTTTCGTTGATGATGGTTAGTAAGAATTACGAGGACAGAAATTTTTCACAACACTTATAAAAACTTACCTGAATATACAAGAACATTCATGATGTATCAATTGAGCTTGAGAGATTATCCTGAATGTCTTGAAAGAAGAAGACTGGGGTTGTGGAAAATATTTAAGAATGAATGATAATAAATAAGAATAAGAATAATTGCCAACAATAAATTCAGCGAGTCACGGGTTTTGCGTCGAAGTGCGTTAGGATTTCGCCTAAATTGGAAGGACTCTTGAGTCATTTGGGAGGGATGTCTATGAGACAGGAAAGACTCAGATGGTAGTTACCGTCTATTATGTGACAGGGATATTCACTAGTGCGAAAATCAGAAATTGGGAACTTATATACATCTCTCATCTACAACTTGAAAAATGTAGCCAGTATAACCAATTTAGTACCAGTGCCCCTCTCCATTGCCATGATTAAGCATTAAATGAACTGTATTATCAATTCCTCCACAACAACCATCGCTATCATCATCATTACTCGGTCTTATTTCACATTTATTGTCTTGTTGCCAATGATGAGCCTTCAAGAGCACCATATTACTATGGGGTAGGGCTCCACCGTTGCCATCGCCTCGTAACCTCTCGGTGTTTTTTCCTCTTTAAAAAAACCGACCATTTTTGATTTAACAGACCAGGCTACTAATATGTATCAAAAGAGATCGAGATACAAAGCAGCATGGTTGGTGCGAGAATCTTAGCACAATCTTCAAGGATACGCCTTCTTACGGCCGCTGGCTATAAAAGATCATTTGCCTCGTTTGTTAATACTGATTTCAAGTCTGTCAGGCCATCCAATTTGCATTCTAATGGGATTCTTCACAAGCAGGAACACCCCAATCTCCTTGCCAAAAGGCTTATCACTAACTTGAGAGTCTCCAGAGACCTCCAAGATAAAGACACTGGGAAGAGTGATGAACGCTTCAGAAAGATCAAGAATGGTATTGTGTTGTCTCTATTAATTCTTTTTCCTATTGTCTGTTTGAATCTCGGTAATTGGCAATATAAAAGACTCCATTGGAAAACTGATTTAATTTACAAGCTTAAGGATCGGGTGGACAGTCAATCTGTTGACATTCAGAAAGTTGTTGTTCCAACCGACACCGACGAGATTACACAGCTAGAAGATGATCTAGAATTTACGAAATTCAAGATCAGGGGGAAGTTTGTCCATGAGGAGGAATTGTTTGTTGGTCCAAGAGTTTCTGATGAAATCAGAGGTTATTTTGTTTATACGCCATTTATCATCACTAGTGAAGGTCCAAATAAGGGCAAAAAGATTATTGTGTCAAGAGGCTTCATTGGTGAAAAGAAAGTGTCCCCACAGTCAAGATTAGAAAATAATAAACTAGCAGAGCTAGCATTGCCTATGGGAGAAGTTACAATTGAATGCCTTCTTAGAAGACGTGTGAAACCAGGATCCATGGCTTTGGATAACGATAAGAATATCAGATTATTGGCGTATGTTGATATCTACGATATTGCTGAAAGAACCGATTCCATCCCGATTTACTTCCAACAGATGCGTGATTTGTCTGATAAATCACTCAATACGTCCCTAAAACATGAGAGCTCTCCTAGTAATGATTACAAACCGTGGTGGAAGCTCTGGGGAAGCAATGCTACTCCACAGCCTAAGGTTGAACAACTTGGTGGATCAGGCCGTATCCATGAGTTTACTAAGAGCCAGTTCCTTAGAAACGGGGTTCCTCTCGGTACTACAGGTGACATTAATATCAGAAATAACCATTTGGAGTATTTGATCACCTGGTACAGTTTGGCGCTCGTATCGACTGTCTTGATCTACTTTGTCGTGAGAAAGAAGACTGTGAATCCTTTGCAGGAAAAGCTCAAGCACGCTAAGAGATTGCAATGATTTGGGCACTGTCTTGCCCTATTATCTTGTACATATACATTAGTATTATATATATAATACAATAATGATAATAACAATAATATAGTTATAGCCGTAAGCAGTGTCATGTGATCACACGGGGGCACCCAACCAGTTTTTGGCCCAAGAAGCAAAAAAGACGTGTTTATTTCACCAGGAACCTTGGACACTTGTATCCAGTCACCGCAGGCTAATAAACCAACCATCAACAACTCATATCTATCGCAATGAAGTTGGATATCAAAGTGCGTTCGAAATTCATGTTAATTACCAATGGATCATTGGTCTCTCCCAATGATTCTGGCTTCTTCCACCCAATGATTCTTATCAGTGTGTTTGTTTGGATCAAAAATACTAACACCTTCTAGAAAATATTCACCACCAGAACCGATAGAGTTAAGGCCTTGGATTTCCATCCAACTGAACCTTGGGTATTATCCACCTTGTACTCCGGTAAGATCGAAATATGGAACTACGAATCCCAAACTTTGGTCAAATCTCTTGACGTTACCAACGTACCTGTCCGTGCTGGGAAATTCATTGCCAGAAAAAACTGGATCATTCTTGGTGCTGACGATTTCCAAGTAAGAATCTACAATTACAATACCTCTGAAAAACTTCACCAATTCGAAGCGCATCCAGATTATGTTAGATGTATCGACGTTCACCCAACTAGACCATATGTTATCACTTCTTCTGATGATATGACTATTAGATTATGGAACTGGGAACAAAACTGGAAACTTGAACAAGTCTTTGAAGGCCATCAACACTATATTATGGGTTTGAAATTTAATCCAAAGGATCCAAATACCTTTGCTTCTGGGTGTTTGGACCGTACCGTCAAGATTTGGTCACTAGGCTCTCCAACCCCAAATTTCACTCTTGAAGCCCACGTCACCAAGGGGGTCAATTACGTCGATTACTACCCATTAAATGATAAACCATATTTGATCACTTGTTCTGATGACCGTACCATCAAAATCTGGGATTACCAAACTAAATCCTGTGTTGCTACTTTGGAAGGACATTTGTCTAATGTTTCTTTTGCCATTTTCCACCCTGAGTTGCCATTAATTATTTCTGGTTCCGAAGATGGAAGCATCAAGATCTGGAACGCCAACACTTACAAATTAGAAGGATCGGTGAATTTCGGCTTAGAAAGAGCCTGGAGTGTTGCCAGTAAGAAGGGTTCTAACTTGGTGGCCTTTGGGTTTGACGCCGGCCATATGGTTGTTAAATTAGGTAAAGAAGAACCATCAATCTCAATGGACCCAACTGGTAAAATCATTTGGTCGAAGAACTCTGAAGTTTTCACCACCGTCATTAAAAATAATTCTAGTCAAGATATAGTTGATGGTGAAATCATCCCATTACAAACTAAAGAATTGGGTACCGTGGAAATCTATCCAACAAAGTTACAACACTCTCCAAACGGTAGATTTGTAGCTGTTAGTGGTGATGGCGAATATATCATATATACTGCATTGGCATGGAGAAATAAAGCCTATGGCTCAGCCCTTGATTTTGTTTGGGGACAAGATTCAAATGACTACGCCATTAGAGAGGCAAAAAGCCAATCGGTCAAATTATTCAAGAATTTCAAGCAAAGAACCAACGTTTCCATTGATTTGGACTACAAGCCAGACAAGTTATTCGGTGGTGCCTTATTGGGAGTTGAATCGAGTACTACTTACGATTCTAGCTTTATTCATTTCTTTGACTGGGAAACTGGAAGATTGGTTAGTGAAGTTGATGTCTCTAACGTCACTGATATTGTATGGACCAGTAATGGTGAATTGGTCGTTATTATCTGTTCTGATATTTCATATGTGTTGAGATACGATAGTGAGGCCTTCCATGCCGCTCTTAACGAAGAATCCGAAGCCTTGAGTAGCGGTGGTGAATCTCCATTTGATCCACAAAAGGGTATTGATAACGCTTTTGAAGTAATTGAAGAATTGAACGAACAGATAACCAGCGGTAAATGGATTGGTGATGTTTTCTTGTACACTACCGCTACCAACAGATTGAATTATTTTGTTGGTGACTCCGTTTTCAATGTTCACAATTTCGATAATAGCATGTACTTGTTGGACTACTTGCCTAGAGATAATAGAGTTTATCTCTGTGATAAGGATGTCAATATTATTTCTATTGGGTTGTCCTTGACCGTTCTTGAATATCAGACTACTGTGTTGCGTAGTGGGGTTGAAGACGCAAGAGAATTCTTAGAATCTATTCCTTCGAGTGATATGATCAAGATTTCCAAGTTCTTGCAAGATCAAGGGTTCTTGGAAGAATCATTGAGCGTTTCTACCGATGATGAACAGAAATTCGAATTGGCCATGAAGTTGAATAACTTTACCTTAGCTTTGGAGATTGCTCACAGTTTGAATAACCAAATGAAATGGAATAAGTTGGGCGATGCCTTATTAAAGAAATTTAAATATAAATCAGCCATCCAATGCTTTGAAAAGTCGCAGGATCATGAGACTTTATTCTTGTTGTACTCTTCATTCAATAACCTCAAGAAATTGACTGAATTGGGTTTGAAGGCTAAAGAACTTGGGAAGAACAACTTAGCTTTCAACTGCTTCTGGCTAACTGGAAACAAGAAAGAAATCATCAAATTATTAGAAAAAACTGGCAGACTTTCAGAAGCCTCAATATTCGGTTTCAAGTATGGTCTTTCATATGAAGAATTGGAAAAGATTGTCAAGGTTTGGCAAACAGGGCTTTTGAAGGAAGGTAAAGTACGTGTTGCTGAAAAACTACAGATTCCTAATGTCAATAACGATGCCTTCCCAGCTGAGACAGGTGTCCTTATTGATGTCGACGAAAGTCCTGTTGATGCTGCTCTTCCTGCTGATACTGCTCTTCCTGTTGATGCCGTTCCTGTTGAAGCTGAAGCTGAAGTCGAAGTCTAGGAAACTGTCTGAGATATTTTGTGAAGTGTATAAAATGAGTAGACCTGCATTTTGCATATATATTTTTTCTTACTATTATTATGACTGTGCAAATCCCCTTTTTCTTTTTATAGTAAACTTGATACTTTTTGTGATTTTATCGAAACGCGCATTTGTAAGTGTTGGACAACATGCATATTGATGATGCTAGAGTGATCCATCCATGGAAAAATAGAGAAAACATAGACTTGCAGTCCGCAAGAAGCTCTATTGACTTCTTAGTGAGGGCTCTTTCTGAAAAATTATAGAAGCTTCTATTTCCTGTTGGGAAGGCGCTTATGGAACCACCGCGAAACTACTCGAATCATCAGGAATCTTCTAGAAATGGGGTGATATACCCCTCTATTCAAATATAAATATACCCGTTAGATATTTCCCTCTGATTAAATGGTTTCCTTTTTTTTTTTTTACAAATAATAATCACTATTAACAATACTTAAAGCAAAAATTCTCAATTATTATTTCCACTCATACAATTTATAATCATTCATAATGTCTTTGACTCTTCACAACTCACCTTTCTTTGAATTGTTCGATGGTTTTAACAGACAATTCTCAAGAGGCAATGATCTTTTCGACAGTATGCTTAAAAGTTCCGACTTTCATATCGTTCCACCAGTTGATTTAGTCGAAAAGGAGGATTCGTTTGTGTTGCATGCTTCGGTTCCTGGCGCTGCTCCATCCAACATCACTGTTGACTTCCACAGAAGCAGCAATGAATTGAAGATCGCTGGTACTATACCTGAAACAAAACTTGAAAAAAAAGATGATGGCAACCGCAAGTATTATAGAGAGATTAATACCGGGTTATTTGAAAGAACCATCAGATTCGGTAAGGATACGGTTGATGAAGCTGGTATTTCTGCAAAATACAACAACGGTGTGCTTGAAGTCTTGGTGCCAAAAGTTAAGCCTGTTGTCGCTGAACCAAAGATCAAAAGAATTCAAGTCGGAGGTGTTGAGAAGAAATCAACCGAGGAATCTGCTTAGAATTGGATGGCCGAGTCTCTCTTTGCTGAGGTGTGTGGCTAACTTATCAGATCCGGTTTGCATTATATGTTGGCTGCTGCAGATTTGAAGTGATATTGATTTATATCGTGCTACTTTCCTTCGTAGTGGCATCCACTGTCACTTCTCTTTTCTTTTCTTGTGTAAAAAGGTTTTTCGGAATATATTTTAGTTTAATTTTATTTTAAAATCCCGCGCAATTGTAAGATGATGATATTCGAAGATTGATTTTTATAGAGATAAGCTACTGGATTCATCTACAATTAACAAACAAAAATGCGAAGGCTTCTTCAGCTTCGCCTAGATTTTTTGGCCTCATGTTGGCAAGTTTAGAAAGAATTCATCATTATTAATCTCCTAAATGACAAAGCAACAATTCTTTTGCATGTAATCTTGAGATAAATCTACTTCTGATGAGACCCATGTGAATAGATACAAGAAGTGTAATATCTACATAAGTTTCATGAGAAATAATAAATCACCCATCTCAATACAGCTCAGTTTATGAAAGCCTGCCAAGCCAGCCCCTAGAAAGCCTTACGACTGTTCCATCAAAAGAAACGAGTCATAACAGAAGCTTTTCTAGTCTCTTCTTATTCATACTTTCTATATATATATAAACATAAATTGGAAACCTTCCAGAAAAACTGAGCTTGACTCACACTCGGACTTTAGAACATACAAGGAAATAATAGTATTGAAGGGGAAAGGTTGATCCCTACCAAATGGGTTGATCAAATAAAAAACTATAGCTTGTTTTAGAGAGTGATGATGTTTTGTGTGTAACCCGCTTGTGGGCGCTCTTACTACGGCCGGGTGCCACTAAAAATTTGGGAGGGCAGCGGTGAAATTAACAACTCACTGATTTGACTTGAATGTTTAATTGGGCTGAAAAAAGTTGATCTCGTGTTGGCCAACCACTTATTTTGTCAATTATATAACCATGTCCCACAAGAGAAGAGCGTACCCAAAAACTGGGTATGATTACCAACAACAAGCACCAGCTTTCCAACCTCAATATGGCGCTGCTGGCGTACCTCCTGCCGCTAGCGGCGTGGGTTACTCTGGCCAACCTACCAATCCTGCTTACGGTGGAGCCCCAGCTGGTCCAAGTGTGATCACTCCAGCTGGTACCCCGGGGTATCCAGGTGCTGCTGCTGGTACTCCTAATGCTCCAGGCGGGGTCTCATATTTTCAACCGGCCGGTGGCGTACAACAGCCAGCTTACGGAGCAAATGTCGACCAAGCTACTCAAGCATTCCAACAAATGAATATCGGTGGAGCAGCTGGTTCTCCTTACGGTGGTATTCCTCCTGCTGCTGGTGCTCCAGCTCAACAACAATACTCCGATAACCAACCACAACCTATTGGTGGGTTTGGTTTCCAAGGAGCTCCTGTTGGGGTTGGATCTAACAATCAATTATATCCAACCGATTTATTGAGAGAATTGCCTCCACCAATCAGTGATTTGTCCTTGCCTCCACCTCCAATTGTTTTACCACAAAATGCTTCGGTCACTCAAAATCCAGAATCAAATGCCAGTTATGAATATTTTAGATCAACCATGAATTCTATTCCAACCACCAACTCTTTATTAAAGAAAACCAAATTGCCATTGGCCGTTGTGGTTAGACCATACATAAGTTTGCACGATTCTGAAAAGCCTATACCGGTTGTTTCTGACACATTAATTTCTCGTTGTCGTCGTTGTCGTTCCTACATCAATCCATTTATCTCATTTGTCGAAAGTGGCAGAAGATGGAGATGTAATTTCTGTAATTTGTTGAACGATACTCCAACTGGCTTCGATTATAATGGAGCCACTGGTCAACAATTAAACAGATTTGAAAGAAGTGAATTGAACTACGGGGTGGTTGACTTTGTTGCGCCATCTGAATATATGGTTAGGCCTCCTCAACCGTTAGTATACGTGTTTGTGTTAGAAGTTACTAAACAAGCAGTTGCCTCCGGCTTATTAGCTACTGCTGCCAGAACCATTTTGGAAAGTTTAGATAGAATTCCAAATAAGGACGGTAGAACCAGAATTGCCATCATGGCCGTCGATTCTTCTTTGCATTTCTTCAACATTCCAAACTCAAAAGAAAAGACCGACACTGAAGGTGGTGAAAAAGAAGGAGAAGACGAAGAGGAAGAAGAAGAATCTGAACCAGAAATGCTTGTTGTTTCTGATTTGGAAGAACCATTTTTGCCTATTCCTGAAGGGTTATTGGTTAATTTAAGCCAGGCGCGTTCGAATGTCGAAAAATTATTGAATAACATGAATAACATGTTTATCCAAAACAACGAGATCAAGTTCGCGTTAGGTCCTGCTTTAAAATCAGCTCACAAGTTGGTTCAGTCCTTAGGTGGTAAAATTGTGGTTGTTTCTTCTACTTTACCAAATGTTGGCCTCGGTCAATTGAAGGTCAGAGATGAAGAATCTGTTACCGGTAAACCAAAGGAAGCCTCAGCTTTATTGACTAGTGCGAACGCTTTCTACAAGTCATTTGCTGTTGAGTGTAATAAATCACAAGTGACTGTGGATATGTTCTTGGCTTCATCAAGTTATCAAGATGTTGCTTCCTTGTCCAATTTGCCAAGATATACCGCTGGTCAAACACATTTCTACCCAGCTTGGTCTGCAGCCAAGGAAGAAGATGTCACAAAATTCTCAAAAGAATTGTCTGCTCACTTGTCTATGGATATCAGTCTTGAAGCTGTCTTGAGAGTTAGAGGTTCAAATGGTCTTAGAATGTCTGCATTCTACGGTAATTTCTTCAACAGATCAAGTGATTTGTGTTCTTTCCCAACTTTCCCAAGAGACCAATCTTACGTCATTGAAATGTCTATTGAAGAACATATCACTAAGCCAACTGTTGCTTTACAAGCTGCTGTCTTACATACTACCTCTTTTGGTGAAAGAAGAATCAGAGTGTTGACTTTGACCATCCCAACCACCGTAAATATCAATGAAGTCTATGCGTCTGCCGATCAATTGGCAATCGCCAGCTACTACACCCATAAGGCTGTCGAAAAGGTATTATCGTCATCCTTACAGGACGCAAGAGATTTGTTGAACAAATATTTGTTGGATATTTTGACCGTCTACAAAAAGGAATTGGTATCTGGTAATTATGGTACTGCATCTCCTTTACAGCTATCCACAAATCTCAAGATGTTGCCATTATTGTTGCACTCTTTGCAAAAACATATTGGTTTAAGAACTGGTAGAGTTCCATCTGACCACAGATCTGCAGGCTTGAACTTGTTGTCATCTGCTCCAATTCCAAAATTGATTAAAAGCATTTACCCAACCATTTACTCTTTACATGATATGCCAGATGAGGCTGGTTTGCCTGCTGTTGTTGAAGACGGTGAAACCGCTACTAGTGGTGAAATTGTCATGCCTGCCGGAATCAACGACACTGCCTCTTCCTTGCAAAGCTATGGTTTGTACTTGATCGATAACTCCAGTGAATTGTTCTTGTGGGTTGGTGGTGATGCCGTTCCTCAATTGACTGAAGATGTCTTTGGTATTCCAGACATATACCAAATCGCTATCGGCAAGACCGAGTTACCGGTTGTTGAAGGTTCAGAATTCAACGAAAGAATAAGAAATATTATTGGTAAAATCAGAGAAGACTTTTCTTCTATTACTTGGCAAAACTTGTACGTTGTTAGAGGCGGTTCTGCTAGTGAACCAGTCAACCAAGCTAATGCCAGAGAACTTGTGGCTTTGAGAATGTGGGCCTTGAGTGAATTGGTTGAAGATAGATCTAACAACACCGCTAGTTACAGAGAATTCTTGGGCTCAATGAGAGAAAAGATTGCTAATTAGGCATTATTATTATTTTTTGATGTTGGTCTTTAACTTCTCGTGTGTATCATTGTTACTCTTTTTTTTGATTTTTATTTCCACAGTTTTATAAAAGAATATTTTTTTTTTTTACCAGCTTCCCTATTATTGTTTAATATTTTTTTCTTTCTATCACTTTTTCTGTTGAAAGTAAAATAAGACAGTTAATAAAAGACCACAATTTGTTTCCATAAATGATAATGACAATTGGCGATTTTGGTAAGGGACATTGTACTCTCCGCGCTGGTGGTATACTTCAGCTACACCGGGTAAACGTTCTCGTGCACAAAAAATTTCCCATTTTTCTCCAACAAAGTGAAAATTCATTAGCCGATCAATCAAGTTGGGCCTTTTTGGAAAACTATATATCACTGAAGATGTTCAGATTAGCCAGTTCTATTGCAGGCTTGACTGGTCTCGGCAGACTCACAGGCTTGCAAGCACAGCTGCTGCTCGTGAGATGTCTCGCCACCACGGTCGATGCTCCACCTGCTGAGAGCATAAACGTCCAAACCATCAAGATTGTTCCTGATACCACCGATTTGACTGAATTGGAAAGACAGGACAGAATCATCCAAGAAAAAAGGAACAACGGGAAACTTATCAAGATGAGAAAATACAAGCCAGTTTCTCCAGGTATCAGATGGTACAGAGCCCCAATTTTTGAACATCTTTGGAAGGGCAAACCATACAGACCTTTGACGACCCCAAAGAAACAAAATGGTGGTAGAAACCACTCGGGTAAGATTACTGTTAGACATAGAGGTGGTGGGCATAAAAGAAGAGTGAGAATACTTGATTTCCAAAGATCTGAACCGGGTCCAGCTGAAATTTTGAGAATCGAGTACGATCCGAACAGAACCTCTCACGTCGCGTTGATTAAGCATAAAAACTCTGGAAACATATCGTATATTCTTGCGCCAGATGGCTCGAGAAGTGGTGATATCATTGAATCTTTTAGAGCCGGTATTCCAAAAGAATTGATGGAAGAAATGGGTGGGAAGATTGATCCTGCTATTTTGTCTACTAGAACATGTCAAAAGGGTAACTGTTTGCCAATTGATATGATTCCAATTGGTGCTATCGTTCATAGTATTGGTGCTAGCAAAATTGGTCCAGCTAAATTCTGTAGAGCCGCTGGGTCTTATGGGAGAGTCATGCAAAAATTGCCTGACAAGAAGAGAGCCATCATCAAGTTGAAATCTGGTGAACTTAGATACGTTGCTTTGGATTCCTGTGCTACTTTGGGTGTTGTGTCTAATGTTGAACACAGACATTTGAAATTGGGTAAAGCTGGTAGATCAAGATGGAGAGGTTGGAGACCAACCGTTCGTGGTCTTGCCATGAACAAATGTGACCATCCTCATGGTGGTGGTAGAGGTAAGAAGAAGTCTCACAAGTTGACTGTTTCTCCATGGGGTCAATTGGCCAAGGGTTACAAGACCAGAAGAGGTAAGAATATCAACACAATGAAGGTTAAGGACAGACCAAGAGGTAAGGAAAAGAGAAGAGCCGGTGGCTAGAGATTCTCACGGTTGTTACTTTTTTTTTTATTATTATTATTATTCTTGGGGGTGGTTCCCCCTTCCATTTTTCCACTATTGTATATATATATATGAATTTTTAGGTTTGTATATAATAATCCTAAACATTAAGTATTCTGATTTCCATATCTTTGTAGATGTTTTGTGGTAGAAACCAATAGCATTTTAATGTTGTGAAATTTTTTGATCTTACCCGTTCCATGATTGCCTGCGCCTAATTTTTTTCCACAATCAACCACCTCAACGATAACCATAACCATATCTCCAAAGTTTTCACATTTGGTGTTGGAAAAAAAAATAGTTAAAGATGCAAGTGGAAGTCGACCCAACAGAAGATACCGAATGGAATGACATCCTTAGAGCCAAGGGGATTATTCCTGAAAGACCACCCTCACCAACTCAGCAATTGGAAGACGCCCTTCAGGAGGCGGTGCAAAAAGCCCATGACAATAGATTGGAAAACAAGAACTTCGATGAATTAGAAGAACTTGAAGACGAAGAAGACGAAGACTTCTTGAACATTTATAAGCAGAAACGGTATGCGGAAATCAAGAAATTAACGGAAAAGTCCAAGTTTGGATCAGTCTACCCAATTTCCAAAACCGAGTACCAAGAAGAAATCACCGACGCCAGTGAGGATACGTTTGTGTTCGCTCATCTATCCTTAAGCTCCAAATTGCAATCGAGGCTTTTATCGGACCTATTCATCCAGCTCGCCAACAAGTTCAGAGAGTTGAAGTTTGTGGAAATCCCCGGTGCCAGAGCCATTGAAAACTACCCAGAATCAAATTGTCCTACATTATTGATCTATCACAAGAAACAGGTTATCAAACAATACATAACATTGGTGCAGCTTGGTGGGAATGCCACTAAGTTGGCAGACTTGGAAAATGTTCTTGTGGAAATCGAGGCCGTTAAGCACAGCGATGAACGGCTATTGATGAATCAAGAAGATGATGATTTGAAAGAAGCTTATAGATTAAGGTTTGTCAAGAAATCTATAAGAGACTCCGAAAACAAAAATAATAATGATGATGATGACGATGATGATTTTTTTGATTAGATTGTTTGTTTACTTTTTATTTATTTAATCCACATTTTACTTTACATGACTTACGTTATTGTCATTCATTATTCGTTTACAGTAGGCCAAATAATTCGCAACAGATAATACTTCAATTCCATAATGAAATAAAACGTAATCTATTTAATTTAATTCACATATTATTTAAGAAAAAATAGCGAATCCGTTCATTTATAAACTAACTCCAAAGATGTTAATTTGATGTATACTTCCTTTGGCATTTTGTACTGTATCATCCCAGCAAATACCATAATCTGCTTAGCAATTTCTTCTAACTCGTTAACCTGGGCTAATCTAACATTATTGAAAAACTGGCTTTGATCAGATTTGCTGATCAATTGATTGATACAATTCATAGCAATCAACAACAAATTACCCACATTCTTCATCAAGTTGTAATCCAATTGTTGTTGATTGATCTCTTGACACTTCATTCTTATAGAGGTTAAATTCTCCTTAGTCAGAATTGGGATTAAATCTAGTTCTTTTATCAAACCCAATGTAGTTTCATAGTTTCCACTGACAAAAGTCTCTTTAATTTTAGCGATATCCAATAACTTCTTCAAAATTTCTCTGGAGCTAGAAGAAATTTCTAATGAAGATGGGCTTAATTCATAGGTCTTCAAAAGTTTTTCACCTATTTCAATAGGAGAGCATTCCTGTTCGTTTGTTTCTTTGGAAATAGGTTGGAATATGTCAGTACTGCTCAACAAGTCACCCAACAATCTATTGATTATCTTGATAACTTGGTCATGATTTTCTGATAATTGGTATAATAACAAACTATCATAGACTCTGCCTTCTTCGCCAATTCTCTTGGCAGCTTGTTCAATGATTTCGTAAAGATATGAACTCTTATCTGATTTATTGATGGTTCCGGATTTTTCATCCTTTTCATTTTCAACATACAATAACTGTTGACGATTTTCAATTCTTCCTGGATATCTAGTACCATCTTTATTAATAGTACCCAATAATATGCTGAATTCCTTAGTCTCAATAACCAATTCCCTTATGGCCTCAAGACTCAACTTGTAATATTTATTATTTCCAGCAAGGTTAATCAACAAAAGATATTCTAGAGCAACAATTGTGTCTGAGACTCTAAAACTTCTTGTGTAGTAACCAATTAATCTTGCGTAATTTATTTCATACAATCCATTTTCGTTAGTTGCCGTTAATTCATTTGCATTATTTCCGTTCTTTTTGATGATAGAGTCATAATCACTCATCCTCAAAAGGCCATAGTATGCCAATCCAATGGCCAAATGAACTGCCTCAAGTTCACCAATTGAGAAAGCATATTTAACTGCCAACTCAAATAAGCCACCAAGCAATAAAACGTGGATATATGTTGGAAAATTAGAGCTGCCATTGAAGTAAGCAGCACCATATTGAATTAAGTTCTTTTGGAAATCAAACAAAGTATAGGATTCATACTTGGAGAGTTCCAAATAATCTTGGTTTCTTTCATTGATTAACATAAAATTAGTCCATAACCAATCTTCAGTACTGGCAAAAATCTTTGGAATAGACTTCTTGCTCAAATCACACTTACCAATGATTTTGTAGACAGCATATCTGTAAGGATCAACCAAGTCATTGTTCTTGATATTTGTATTGAACTCTTGTTGAATCGAGTTTTGTAATGATGTAGATAATGAGTGGTTTCCAAGACTATTTTCATCCTTTGTAGAAACAATAAAGCTCTTCAAGTATGTAACAAAATTCGAATCAATTTTCTTAAAAATGGAAGCGCTCTCTTCAGCAACTTCAAGAGCTTCTGTATAGCAGCCAGCTCTGATTAAGTAGAAGATTAACGCCCAGATTGGGACATCGTTAACCATCAACAAACTTCTCTTGATTTCTTCTTTTTCAAACAATCTTTTTTTCTGCGACTTGACATAATATTTGATTTTATTCAAATGAATTGGCAAACCATTTTCCATTTCATCCGTGCTAGCACCAGAATTATCATCGCTGTTCACTCTTTTGCGGTAGATGACATCTACGTGCTTCAAAAACTGGCTCTCAAGGTACTTGATACTATTCTTGATGATTTTGCCTCTTAAGTTGGCCGAATTCTTACTCTTGAAATCATTGTATTGGTCAAAGTAAGAATTTTGAGGCTCCGATTTGTCAATCAATCCATTCAAGATTTTCCAGCATTCATTTATTTGCCTTGTACGGCTGTCGGTGGCATCTTTTGTGGCATCATAAAAATTATTGATAATGTGCACAGGTTTGAGCTGTTGACGAGAGTTATTCAATTCATAGATAATGACAGCAAATTTTTCAAATTTTTCTCTCATTGATATACTATTAACATTCGTAAGCTTGGTATCCTTTGGTAGATCGCTAAAATCACCACCACCTAATCTTGGTCCTAGTACTGAATGACCAATAGTTGACTTACCCCAGTTGGCAAATTGCAGAGTTGAATTTTCAGACTCAACATTGGCAGAAGAAGAGCTTGAGGATACAGAAAACATTTTTGGAAGTGAAGAAGCTTTGGTCTTTTCCCCTTTGGAAGATTTCAAGTACTTTGAACCAAAGCCAAAAGATTCATAAATTTCTTGTTTACGTTTTCTCCAATCCATGGTGATGTTTTGGTTGATGAAAATATCAAAATCTCTTGATGCAGTGGTTAAGGATTGCTCGATGGCTGCCAAAATATTTTCCTCTTTCTTGTTGTTCAAATGACTGTCAAAGTCAACACCATTGTGACTTGGGACTATGGAATTCTCTAACGAGTTCTGTAACTCGACTGATTTGATCTCTGATTCAAGATCCTCAATAACTATCCCACTTCCAGCCAACAAATAATGCGCTTTAGTGAAGTTAGCCTCTTTTTCTGACTTGGAGGTCCTTAAATCATGAATTCTTTTCTTCAATTCTTTCGATCCCAATTCAATAGACCCAATGTCGGATGACCCTGTAGGCAAGTTCTTTGAGGATTCCACTAAATCCTTGACGGCGCTAGACCATTTCGAAAAAGACTTGAAATTCTGCTGGTCTTTTATCATCTTTGGCCCAACAGTTTCTAGTAATTAGTTGCTATTTAACGATCGTTTGAAAGAATTCGTTCTTTTGTTGTTTTTGTTTCTTCTTCATTTCTGTATTTTTTTTTTCAATAAAGGCTGTTACCCGGAATGATATTCATCACTCCTTTGTGGGTGTGCTGCTCTGTGTATGCACATCACAAAGACTAATATAAATATATATAAGTGGCTTTAAGTATCATAGTGATAGTCTCTCTGGTCATTATTTCCTTCCTCTTCTTCTTTCTGCCAAAAAAAAGGGTTTCTTTCTCTTAATGTGTCAAAAAACTCATCCAGCATCCTGATTTCTGCATAATTATACTTACAGCACAGAAATTTCTATTCCGATTTAAATAGAAATTATTTAGCAGCTCCTCCATCCATTAGGGATTCCGCAGTAACAATAATAATAAAAATAATATAAATAATAATAACATTAGCAGAGAATCATGTCATTGGATCCTGTTTTATTCATCACAAAATTCGATGTCACTAAAGGTTATTCGTCAGTGTATCAATCAAGTTCTTCAATTCATGATAATTTAGAATATAAATCTCTTCCTTCTGGCTTACACCAATCTAGGTTTGATATTATTCGTTTCTTGCATTCAGGTTATAATGGAATAGCCATTTTCAGACAGAATGGTATGAACAAGGACATTGATTCAAATGATCGTCAAACAATCAAAATGTACTCGCTAGGGTTGCTTTATAAGGATGATGAGCCAAAGTATTTGAAGCGGGCACTTGAACAATTCGACGCCATTTTAAGCAAATTCATTGATGATGAAACCATAAATGAAAATGTTTTCATCGAAGAATCTAAAGAAATGTTTCAACGATACTTGAAGGATTCTAAAAGTGTATCGAATGGAGCACCAATTAATCACGATATCAGTGATGATTCTTTTGCAACAACATTCAACCACGCTGGTCCTTTCGTGTATGACTTGTGGAGATATATGCTAAATAACAAGAGAATTCTAATCAAAAATCATTTTGATAGAGCTGGAGTATTACTGAATGACAATATAATCAATTTAAACACTGCCTTAATCAGGAACCTAGGCCAGGTGATACATCATTCATCAGAAACTTTCAAACTGAAGGAGCAAATTCAAACCTCAGAAATCCTATACAATATTTCGTTACAAGATATTGATACCCTTGAAGAGCTTAGTAAATCAAAATCTGGATACCTAGCTTGCACCTCAGATGATGTTATTTTCACAAGAATGAATTTGTTTGACTATATGGTAGAGTTTGATCATTTAACCAAAAAGCCTATTCTTAAAAAAAATATTTATGATCGCAATTCTAAAACCCACTCTTTCAAAGAGATCAAATTCTCAAACGTTGACTTGAATAGTTTTATTAAATTGCAGACAGGCATGGATTTTGAGTTATTCAGATCAATGTTTGATGAATGGAAACTTTCTGCCGATAACTCGTGGGCCTCATTACTAAACTCATGGATTTATGGAGTCCCTAAATCTCTTTCGAATGTTAATAATTACGGGATAATAGATGAAAATAAGTCATTTGAAGATATCAAAAAGAATGTTGGCTCAGCTGCTTCAAATGCGACCAGCGAAAGTACTACGGCCTCATCTGCTAGTAAAAAAGGTAAATTGTTGAACAAAGAGTTGGTATTAGCTCATTTTGACGTAATTTTGTCTCATTACTGTGACACTATAAACGACATTATCAAAAACGACGATCAAGACTATGAAAGTCAAAGACATGGAGGCGAGGGTTCTTATGACAGCGAAGTTGACGAGTTTTTCGGCAATGACGAAAATGATGGTCTAGTGAGTACAAAATTGGATGATAATGGGCTACCAATAATTGAGCTAACCTTATCTGATATTCATCAACTATATTTGAATCCTTTCGCAGCTGATGATAAACAGTTTGTTTGTGAATTTGTGAAAAATAACTTCAAACGGACTGTATCGATTACTAGCTTTGCTGGCTTGTCATGGCAAATATTTTCTTGCTGTGGGTAATTTTCTATGAGTCTCAACTGTCAATTGTTTTCTATGTATACTCGCTTTATACTAAATGCTACAAGAATCATAAAGTTTACCTATATTTAAAAATTTGTAAATTAATCAATTCAAAGTACTACCAAAACAAAGAAAAAAGGAACAGAAATAAAAATTGAGGAAGGGAGAGGAGCAAAATAAGAATAAAAATAAATTAATACTAATAGAAAATTAGTTGACACAAATGTAATTATTAATACGTTCCTTTTGGTTTTGAGCAATACATTCAGCAAGCCAGGTAATATTTCTAACTTCTTGTTCTCTAGATTTGACCCAAGCCCATATGGTACTAACGGTAAACTGTTGACAGAAGGCGTCAGCACATAATTCCATCTCTAATTGATAGAAGTGATCTTCCAAAGTCTTGTCTCCGTTAAGATTGTCAAAAAAACCTCTGTAATCGATAACGGTTTCAACAACTGATCTAATCTGTTCAAAATCTTCAGCACTGGCCAACATTGTTATGCCTGCAGGATATAATTTACCAAATTGAGGTAATAACTTCATTTTGTCTTCAGTGGACAATTCCAACTCAAAAGAGTTTAATGCAATATTTATGGATCTTCTGTCAGCTTCAAATTCCAACAAAGTTTTCATTGTTTCATTAGCTGGGTATGGCAATTCTCTTTGGGTAAACTCATAAAAGTCTTCCAAATAGGCCTTATAAAGAGTGTTTCTAATAATTTCAATGTTTAAGTCATCCAAGTCATCAGCACTCAAACAGTCTTTGAAGTATGGCGCCAAAGGAGTATCAATCAATACCGAAGTATATAAAGAGTCGATATCGGTAGCAACACTCAAAGCTGGCAAAGTGTCAAACCATCCCAATGGATGACATCTTTCCAATATTTCACTTCTATCTCTTTCGTGGATAGTACCGGTGATCATCAATGCAACGTTATCAATCATGTAACCATAAGTAATGTAGTCCATGAATTTGGCTAAAGGCTCAACTGATTGATTCCTGATGTAGTTAAATTGATCATACAATTTACTAGATGCCTTTTCTTGAATTATTGAGGTGGATAAAGGTGATGGGACATTAGCCAAGAAGTTACCATAATCAGTAGAAGATAATTGCAACTTCAAGTCATCAAGAGTATCACATTGAGTTAAATTGGCATATTGAGCCTGAGTCAAAAGACCATTTCGGTAACCCCTGACTAAGCCTTCGATGTAACCGAAATCGACATTGAAAAATAATCCCTCCATAGCGAAACAACGACTAACAGATAGATTTATACCTGGTTAAGTCTCTAGGTGTTTATCAATTTTCTCACTTTTCAATTTCACACAAAAAATGCTGGAGCCTGTACCCAGGGCTTCTGTGCAAAAAGTCCAAACTGTTAAACTTGGCTTTGCATATTTGGAAGGTGATTGAATGATATATATCAACAATAGATTCCACTGTCGTCAAAGGGTATCAGATCTTCAATTATAATGACAACCCTAGGAAGTGACTATTCAAACTCACAGTTATTGCTTGACACTTTGAACTCCGATTTTCCTAAGGAAGTGTCTGGATTGATTAACAACAACGAATCATTTAAAGAATTATCATTGAAATATTTAAATGACTTATTTGACAGTGATTCCAAAATATTGAGCAATGATAAAAACTCTGAGGATCAAATTAGTTTTTTGGTCAATGAAATCGCTGAATTAGACAGTGCACAAAGCTCTATTGAAGACAAGTTGAAAAAAACGGTGGTGAATTCAAGTAATGATATCGTTGAATCGAGATTTCAGTTAAACAACATATTGGTAGACTTTGAGTCAGATTTCAACTTGCAATTGACTGATGTTAATAATTCATTAGAATTAGCTTTGGATATACAAGCTTCCGATGAGAACCTGCTGAATCATAAAATTAACTTTGAAACTCTCAAATCAATACGGAAAAATCTTGAAACAAAATCATCACTGTCGACAATACTTTCCAAAATTGATTTGATCATGGATATTTTAGAGCTCCCTTCTTTGGCTGGCGCCTGTGTCAAGGCAGGTTATTATCATGAAACTTTGGAAATAAGCAGCTATACCAGACGATTATCAATCAGATACCCAGATGTTAACGTTATTAAGAAGATTGAAAATGGAGTGAAAGCAGAAATTGAAGTGATGTTGGTCGGGCTTTTGAAATTGCTAAAAACAGATTTAAAACAATCTAACATTGTGAAGATAATATCATACTTGAAAAGAATCTACCCGTTCAACTCAACAAACCAAAAAGTGATTGGAGGTACTATAATTGGAGACGGCTCTGAAAATCTGAGTTCGCTACTTGATGGTGCGCTAATGGAAATAAATTCGGGGTCAATGTTACGCAGGATCTATTTTCAATCAAGGTATCAGTTCATTATTAATGAGTTGGATGTTCTACAACCATTGAAGAACCATTCTGTGGAAAAGTATTTGAAAAGAGTAGTGGAATTGATCAGAGAACACTGTTATACTTCAATTCTTACTTATCAATCTCTCTTCTCGGAAGATGATGAATATTATCCATCAACTGCTAAGGGGGCTACCGACACCAGCAACGAAGAAAGTGAAGATGAAAAAGACACATTCAATGATAATGATGAACTTATTCATGATTTCATAAAACATATAATCCAAAAATTAATTGAATTATTACAGGCGAACTTGCCACTAGTCAAGGAACGACAAGCCAAAGACTCTTTAATTTTGCAGATAATATATTGCTCACAAAGTTTAGGGAGAGTCGGAGGTGATTTTAGCAGTTTGATATTAATGTTTTTAAGGAAGAATATGGTAGCATCATCAAATGGAGATTGCAGTGGTACTATCAGTGAGGCAGATTGGTTCAGAATCCTCAAAAAACAAAGAGCATTGATTAAAAACTTGAATAATGTATAGTTTATAATTCAAATTAAGTATACATCCTGATACTTGATCGAACTCATGCTTGGCCTTTACCTTTATGTAAAAAAAAAAAAAAAATTCTTCCTCTGTAACATATTTCATAGTTTGAGCAATCCAAATCCAACAGAATTAATTTCGGTGGAGGAGAAATTAGCATTATTTTTGATTATCTCTCTGACTTTTTGCCGTAACTCTTTTTTTTTCATTTATTCAATCCATTTTTGAATTTTATTGTTTTCTTGAATCACTTATCTGCTTATCTTAATATTGAAGTATTGCATCAAAGGAATGGATATTCCTATTTTTACATAACCATTCTATGAATTACTAGAATTAAGATTTCGTAGCTGGATTCTATTTCATCTTTCATTTTCGTGTTGAATAACAATTCAACTCCTGCAATTTGTGCATTTCAGGTTGTAGCGAGCTACACAAAAATCACCCCACAGGACCATCATTCAATAATTGACACTTGCACGATCTACTTTCTTTAATGAAGGGTAGTTTCATTCCTTTAGAAGGAATTCGGTTCCTTTCAAGACCCGCGTCTTTATTCCTGAATCATCGAGTGGATACAACAATCAATATTAAAGTACGTATTGAAAATAGAAAGACGTAAGACACCTCTCTCTCTATTTATATCTTCAGAAAATACATAAGCAGACATTGCAAAAAATGTGAATTGTGGTAACAATTTTCTTAAAATATTCTACAATTTTCAAAAACAATCTACATTAATTGCATATTTTTAAATTATAAATGTAAGAGATGATTCTTTGTAATACTGCTGATCTAAGCGAGGAAGAATATTTAGTAAATTTTATTTAATTGTGACAGCTTGCGACTGTTGCAGTACCATACCCTCGTGTTAACCAAGTAATCAATGGTCCTTACTGGTAATCATACACGTAATCGATAAACGATGACTTTTAAGGATATGTGAGAGAATCAATGAGGCATATTCCATTCCATAGAGATCGCACAAATTTCATATATTGGAATATCCGAATGGAACTTTCAGTTGAGAATCTACTATTCAAGGATCCAGTTTTCTTAAAGCCCATACTCTATTTTTTTTTAACAAAAAAAAGAAGAAAAAAGAAAAGATAACAACTAAATAATCATAACTATATTAAGCAACAAATATACAATCCAAAAATAACTTCTCATATTTGCCAGATTAATCGATAAATCAATTCCTCTATGGTCGCATCCAATGATGGAAAACAGGTGTTATCAACGAGCCACGAGACTTGCTTCTGAATAACACTTGATGAAACTTCAATAATAAGAAAATATCCTTATTGTTTTTATGATTATGCTTTGATAAACCACATTATTTATTATTATGTTATAGCTTTTTGTCGCTTTAATTATTTATTGGGCCTAACCACACTATTATTACTTTTTATTACCATTTAAAGTCTTGAAAATCCCTCGATAAGTATCCCATATATTCTAGATATAAAAGCCTAATTTTATATACTAAAATTAACTCGAATAATACGTTTCTCGCCAATATATAATGTAAATGAAAGAGTATAGAAATCTATATACCAAAACGGCGGATCGTGTAATTTTAAATACATCAAATGAAAGTGATTAATCTCTATATTATACGAGTCCGTGATAGTTTAGTGGCTAGAATCCCCGCTTGTCGCGCGGGGGACCGGGGTTCAATTCCCCGTCGCGGAGGTTTCTTTTTTTATTTCCTCATATTTTATCATTATCTTCTCAACACTGCTAGTTGAGATCTTTTGTCAATTATATGAACTTCATTCCCATTTTCTTTTTTTTTTTAATTGAAAACATTACAATCTATATACTTTCATTCAATGTAAGTACTTCCCATTCTGTGTATGCACTGTTATTCAATAAACATCACCAAGGTTTGGCAATCGATTGCCAATCACAATAAATTTTCCAATTTTTGTGAAAATTGGTGAGCATCATTTTTCATCTACTACCTCATTAGGTTATAAAGAAAAATAATATATATTAGCAGGGAATACTTAGCAAATTCATATTGAAAAAATAAAATAGATAAAAAAAAGTAGGAAGAAAAAAAAAAGAAAGAGAGAAATTAAAAAAAAAAAAAAAAAAGCCCCAAAATCAGAAGTAATAAAGAGAGAAAATATGATAAATTAAACTATAATTTATAGCAAAAAAAGACAAATCGTATAATGAAAATGTAGTAGGGTATTGGCGAGCTTCTTCATTCTTGTTCAACGACAAGAAAAAAAAACAACAACAATAGAAACTAGATAGAGCAAGAAAAACAAAATATCGAATTCATAATAATCAGAACAATCATCACATTTTTTTTTGTTAATATTTTTTTATTTTTTTGTTGTTTTTTTTTTTTAAAAAGAAGTTTTTGTAATTTTTTTTTTATGTTTCTCATTTTTTTTTTAATAATTCCAAATCAAATTGACGTTAATATACATTCATAGTACACATCAATGTTCAACTGCACTTCCGCCAGTATTGTTATGAATATAGTTGGCCATGGTTAACAATCTTTTCTGCTCATCGTCGTTCCAGCTCATATCGCCCTTACTTTTGCTTCTGCTTAACCCATAAGTTTCATCATCATCATCAATATCAACATCATCATCCACGTCCAAGTCTTCCAAGTCTTCATCTTCCATGGACTTATCAGCGTCATTTTCGGTGGTATGAGAGATGATACTTGAATACAGATAAAGATCCTTGTTGTTGTTAGCATAATTGTTTCCGTCATCATTTGGATCAATATATTCATCATCATCATCGGCATCACCGACATCACCATCTCTATCACCATTGATATCATTACCGGAATTGTATTCCGATTTATCCAAATAATGCCACTTATATTGATCATTTTTGGAAATATCTGTATCACCTAGAATGGCATCCGACCCACTGATTAGTTCATGTTCTTTATCGCTGTTGATGGATTCGTGATTATAGTCATCGTCTTTATCTAAATTATCATAGTAGAACGCTTGAGAAGTTTCGGTTCTTGCATCGGAAGCTTGGTGATTACCAGTATCATGAGTAAATTCATCATCGTTGTTGTCAACTTCGTGATCGCCATTAGAATTGTTCCCATGATATTCATCGTCATCATCATCATCGTCTTCTTCGTCATCATCATCATCATCATCATCATCGTCATCATTATCGTTCTCTTGTTGAATATGGCCATTTTCTTTGTCGTCTATATCATTATTATCGGCATCGTTTGAATCATCAACAATTTCATAGTCATCAGTCAAGCTTCCTCCTCCAAGAACAGAATTGAATTGCTCTCTTGTTTCAATCAATATGTTATTAACATAATTATTCCATTCTTCACCATTATTGACAAATTCATATTCTTTATCCAAATTTTCTTGACCTTCAAGTGGTTCCCAGAATAAATTCTTCAAATTGCTAAACGATAAGAACTTGACGATTTCTTCACTAATCAATGTTAAATGACCCATATACCCCAATCTCAACGATCTGTTCAATTTTTCGTATTTCTCGGAAAATTCATACCCTCGGAGAATTTTCTCCAAAATGAACCCTCTTTGTTTCAAAAACAAATTGATGATCAAATACTTGTTGAAGCCAACGTCAATTGAACCATTCAAGATTTGTTGAATGATATCGTACACAACATTGTGCAAGAAGTTATTCCAAGGGAACTTGAAGAAGAAATCAATGATGATCAAAATAATGTTCGAGTCCTGTAATGCGATTTTCAATTGATCTCCCACCACAAACTTATCACGAATGCTTTTCTCTTCGGCATCGTAATACTGACGATCTTTGACGCGGAATTCATTCTTGTAGGAATCAGCTTGAATTAAATCACCAAAATCAAAAGTAAATTCATCACCTGCAATCTTAGTATCCAATTCATCCTCGCTACTGACTTGGTCAGATAAATCAATTTCGTAGACCGTATCACTGTCATCATCATTATCATTTTCGGAATCTTCATCATCGGTGATAGTATCATTATCGTCATCCAACATGGTGTCTTCATCATCAGAGTCAGTGTTGGTCACTTCAGAATCACTGTCATCATCCGATTCGGATTCAATGACCCCTTCCTTAGATTTAATGTTCTTATTCACCTTGGCTCTCTTGTTCTTGTTATGTTCCGAACGAATAGACTTCACAGAAGCACTGTCTTTGGCTTCATCGTTAATACTCAATCTATTGATGTTAGACACGATTTCATGGCTATGATCATCCTTGATGATTTCGTCTTCGGAATCAGTAGCATCGACCCAGACATTTTCACTAATTGGCAAAGTGTCGTTTTCGATATACCCAGCCAAACGCTCATCTCCATTCAATTTAAGTTCTTGCAAATAATTTTGTCTAACTTCATCAAACATTTCAAATTCTGATTTCAACACTTTAGCACGCTCGATATCACGTTCCTTGACCATCTTTTCTCCCGTGGCCTCATTTAATAGAGCCATGTTAGAACAATGCAATAATTCCGCCACCAATTCACAAATCTTGAATCTTTCAAAGCCCAAAGGTTCAATTTTTTTACCAAAGCTGGTATCGACCTTAGTTTTTTGATGATTGTCCAAAGGATGCTGAATACTTCCATGAAGTAGCATCTTTTTGAAACGTTTGATGTTTCTCGAAAACACTTTGACCAAATTACCTAAATAAATAGGATCTCTCAATTGTGGAGGATGGGTTTCAATGGTAATAAATAACACCTGGAAAACATCGTAATCAGAATTATTCTTACGAATAATTTCAATGACAATACCAACCCCGTTGGATAAAGAATTGCCACCACAAAGCATGTTGTTGACCAACTTTTTGACCATTTTCTTGGAAACCAACTGTCTCGTCAACTCATTAGGGCCAATGAGCGAGTTGTCAGCGGCACCATTACCATCTTGACCACTAGCAGAGTTGCCGGAGATCGTGATGAAGGCCTTGAGAAAGTCACCAGCAGAGGTTTGAATGGCGTTATCGTACTTTGGTTTAAGGAAGTTAATCAATTTTGGAATAAATTTCTGACGCTTCAATAATAGAATGATACCATTCGAATTGTTGGACTTGTCAGTGGAAATCAACTTCAACAAGAAATCCATAAGCTGTGGATTGTTGATGTGATTGAAGAATCGGTTTGTCAAGTTTCTTTCATGATTTATTATATACGATACCAATTCTTCCAATTTCATATCCAACAAATGCTCATTGATTTTCGAGAAAAAGGTTGATTTCATCATAGACAACGGCTTTTGCGAGTCAAGGATCGTCCAAAGTTTAATAAGAAGTCTTGGGTAATTGATGAACGCGTCAGTGATCGACCAAATGTCAGAAGACAAAATCTCTGCCGCTACTTGGCAACGACGGGAATAGATCTCCTCGGGACCATCATTGAGATCCTCATTTTCATCATCGTCGTCGTCATTAGTACCATCTAAATGGTAGTAAGAGTTGCTATCAAGGAAAGAAGAAAGGGAATTATCATCCATGGTTGAGGATTCAGACCTGTGAGGAGTCACATTACCATCTGACTCCGATGGAGAAGACAGCGATGACGAGCTGTATTCGTTAGCATTTTCACTTTCCTGTTCTTTAACAACAACAGTATCAGCATCATTTTCTTTTATCTCATTGTCGGCTTGGGTATCAAGGGTCTCATCGCCACTGTTGTCATTTTCACGGTTTTTCAAACTCTCCTTTTTCTTTTTCTCCTGCCTAGCCTTTAATTTATTATATTCGTCGAAATCAAGGATCACAAGCTCCACTAATCGATTTAAGATTTTGAAATTCTTCAAAAAGTCAATCAATCTGGTGTTGGAACTCAACAATTCTTGCAAAATATCCTGCTGATCTAACAATTTATCCAACACCTCAATATCTGAATCTTCTTCGATTTCTTCTATAGTCATTTGTAATGTTTTATCCTGGTCTTCCACCGAGGGGTGATAATTCAATTCTCTGGCTTCGTCGGAAATATCGTCGAGCAATTTATTGATCGCTGACATCACCTGGTAATCATTACCAAATCTCCAGAATGCCCCCGACATTTTGCAATCGTCAAAGCCACTAAACGCAATACTGATCTATATCAAAATACTCAAGACGAATGTGGTTTGATCTGGCTCAAATATTTTGTGTGAGCAGAGAAAAATACTTGCTAAAAACAGAATTATCAGCAAACACAGAAATTCCTCTTCTGAAATGAGAATAATAATCTAAGAAGAACAACTTCTGATTTGCTTATTTGAGGATATACTCCAAACTTTCAACAAGCAAATACTTCTAACAAGAGCTGTTAACCTCTCCGTTATTTCTCGTATGTGTACCACAACTAATGTCCCGAACTTTCGAAAGTTGAGTGGGGATAATCAATCATCCAAGGAAACAATGTTGTTGAATGCAAAGGAAAAAAAATTAAAAAAAAAAAAAAAAAAAAAAAAAAAAAAAAAAAAAAAAAAAAAAAATAAAAAAAAAAAAATATTCAGACACAAGAATAAAGTTCCAGAGTTTCCAAATGAACTCGTGAAGAAGTAATTTTGCTAATTGCTAGCAGATATGGGTGAAAACAAATGATAATTTCTGTATTTCTGGCGATGAGATGGGGTGGATTTTCTGGTTTTTGGTCGTCAAAAATTTTTTCTGGTCGTCAGTTCGTCGGCTTCGATGCCGCCCTGGCTGCACAACCAACCGGTCGATGGGCAAACTGACTAATAATTTTGCAACCTGAACCATTTGCACGGATCCTGTGTGTGGAGAACAAACAAGTAGACATTCATTCCAAGTTTTTCAGTGGTGGTCGTACAAAAATAATGAGAAAGATTAGAAAAACAAAAAGACAAGGAAAAAAAAATCGGTCAGTTTTGCTTTGAAGTAAAATAATAGGTTTGTGAAAAAAAATGGTGATCGAAAAGAAATTGAAAGAAACTGAATGAACAATAGTAACAAAAAAGAAGTGATTGAAGTGAAGCAAAGAACAAATAATAATAATTTTTTTTTTCTTGCATTAAATACAGGGAACAATAAACATGATCTTATCAATAAAGAAATGGCACTGGATAAGGCGTTGATATGGTGCAATTGACTTCAGATCCTAATTCCTTCAAACAGAACAGAACAAAACAAAACAAAACTAAACAAAAAGAAAATAACACGAGGATCAGAGAAAAAAAAAAGCTTTATAGACAGTCCTTGATGATATTAAAAACAAAATGTAACAATGAACAGCGTGATGTAAATCTCACAAGAACCTAATGAATAATATGTTGCAAACAGGAAAACATAAAACGAAATTTGTCCCCAAAAATAATAATGTGAATTAGACGTCCTTAATCAAAATTAATCCAAGAAATAAAAAAATATATATATACAAGGAAATAGATAATAATCCATACTCTGTACAAAATTATTTCCTTTCCCTTTGCTCCTCCAAGCCAAGTATATCGCCATTTTCAAAGGCAACTTTCACAATATCAAATGCTTTCAATAATTTACGTCTAGCTCCCAATGCAGTAACACCAATTTTTTCTAGCTCTTCGTCAGAGAAATAAATCAATTTTTCCCATTGATAATTTTCCAAAATTTTTGTGTACTTGTGCAATCTTAAGTTCTTTAACCATACAGGCAAGTCGTTCAAATTCTTCAAATCAATCAACTCAAGCGAATTTAAACCAGGGGATTTTGGAGACAATAATGATAAGGTGGAATTGGAAAGTTGCTTCACCGGAGTGCCAAGACCTCCGTCATTTGGATTGAGCGAAGTATATATACCAGCATTAGTCAAGATCGCGGCGCTCTCATTCGAAGCAGCTTGCAAAGATTTCAATGCTTGGGCCAAATTATTATTGGTGGTTGGTGTCCCAAGTTTATCCTCTGGCAAAGAATCCCCCATCTTCTTCGGGGTAGAAATTTGTAATTGCTGCTGAGGCTTCTTGCTATTATTGCCACCAGCATTCATAGGATTAGATATGCTTCGATTTTGTTGTGAGCCAGGTCCCTGTTTAAGATTGGAGTTTGATTTGTAAGTTTTTAACTGATGATTGCTTCCTGAACCCCCACCGTTGATCACACCTCCATTGCCGTTACTCGATGATGATTTTGAAGTATCATTATACACTGTTTTCTTCAAAGCATCTAATTTTGACCTTGAGTTAATGGTGCTCAATGCTTGCAACTTCAATCTTGTAGTTGGGTCCAATCCATCCAAATTATACCCACCTGGAGTCATTGGCGAGGATGGAGAAGTGATGCCCGAAACTACACCATTTCCCACAGTAGCTGAAACAGGTCCATTGACAATATTAGCACTTTGAGGTCCTTGACCGGAAGAAATATTGGTATTGATTGATAAGTTGTTTGGCCCTCTCTTGGTGCTAAATGACGTAGTCATTGGTGACAATAACGTAGGGGTTAAAAGATCACTTTTTTGACCATTATTGGTAGAGTTATTGTTACCATTGGAAAGGTTACTTGAGGCAGTATTTATGTTCAAATTACTGATTGAAGCGGACTTAGAGTGGGTTCTGGAATGGCTATTACCACGATTACCATTAGCATATCTCATTGCTTGATTTTGCAAAAAACCTGATTCTGTCAATAATGGTGAAAAAACCTGAGATTGTTGGTCCTTAGCATTACCATTGGTCGAGATAGTGAGAATTGTTTGCTTCAAGTTGCCGTTATTGTTGCTATTGTTTGTGTTGGCAACAGAATTAGAATTAGAATTAGAAAGATCAGACGCGTTAACGTTGAGCGGAACATGAATTGAATTAGATTTAGAATGGGCAAAATTCTTAGATAACCTGTAATCTGAAGAAGAATTGACATTTTGGAAAGTCGAATCCAAAGGAGTAGTAGTAGTAGTTAAAAGAATTGAATCTAAATTGTTAACAGATTGATGATGAGAATGCATAGCAACATGGCCGTTGTTGTTGTTGTTGTTATTATTATTGTTGTTGTTATTATTATTGTTGTTGTTGTTATTATTGTTGTTGTTGTTGCCATTTATACTATGATTATTTGGAAGATGGTGATGATGATGAGGAGGAGGATTATGATGGCCAACATTTTGCTGATTCCTGACATTTGTCGTGGTGGTTGGCGAATCTAAATCGTCATTAAAGCTCACTCTATCAATCTTCATTTTGAGGTAATTGATTAGATCAGTTGAATGATCAGGAGAAAACAAAAAGTAATCAATCAATTCATCAATAAACGAATGTTTTTCATCTAAAGTTGACGAGTCAAGCCAGTTCTTGAGGAATTCCAAATTTTTATCGAACGAGTTGGCGCCACCACCAACCACAGGATTGTTATTGGTAGAAGAATTAACTGAACCTCCAGTACTAGAGTTCGAATCCCTATTATTGATTTGATCACCGGTATCATTTTCATTCAATAATTTATTAGTGGTGTTCAACTCGGGATTGGAAGAGTTGAAATTTTTCAGCAACGAGAAATCCAAGTTTAAAGACCAGTCATTACCCAAGTTTGAGTAATTACTTTTTGGGTTGAAAAACGAAGGATTGGCCGCGGTGGAATTTTGAGCGTTGTTGTTATTATTGTTGATGTTGCTGACATTACCGTTATCAAAGGCATATCTAGAAGCTGGAGGTGAGAGAATTGCCATCCCTGCAGAGTTATTGGAAGCGTTAATAGTCTGAGACTTAATATTTGGATTAGCGCCATTTCCAGATATACTCAAATTTTGTAAACCATTGGATGGCGACAGTCTTCCAAACAGATGACCTTTTGGGGCAAAATCCAAGAATGAAACTGATGACGCCTTTGAATGGAGGTTCAAATGAGCAATAGACCCACTTGGGGTATGACGACCGATGTTCCCGCCTGGGGTAGTCGGTGGAAGAATGGGGTTGGTCGTAGAGCCAGAGCCAATGGAGTTCTGAGTACTTGGATGAACATTGGTACTGCTTCCCACTTCCGGGAGGAAAGATGATAAAAGCTTTTGGTCAATAGACGAAGAGTTCTCATTAAAGCTGGAAAAGTCAGAGTTAAAGACCGACATAGTGAATTTCCTCTCTTTCTCTCTCTCTTCTCTCTCTATATATATAAAGGACAAAAAGACAAACAAGAAACAAGCGATGGCCTCAAAAACTAATGGTGAACGGGAAATTTGCAAGGGATTTATGGAAAAGGCGTTCTTTATTTTCTCCTTTTTTTATTTCAGCTTTTATTTTTTTTTTTTTTAGTTTCCAATTTTTTTTTTTTTTTTTTTTGTATTTTTTGCCTTTTATTAGTTTTTGGATATTGATGAGTGACGGATGAGGACCAGCAGTCTTGTTGCTGTGAGTTGTTAAGATTTCACCAATTTTTTTTTTCCCGCTCTATTTGGTGATATGTTTCATTTTTTTTTCTCTCTATTTTTTTTTTTTTTTTTACCATCGGTGGAGAGGAGCACGGGGTTGGACACCCTGCTGGCCGGGTACCCGTGGCGATATTATATCATATTCTAACATAGACTACAACCCAACCATTATTATGTCAACGATATTTACAGCCAGAGTATATTATATCACTAGTATCTAACAATATGTGGTTCACCAGTCTACTGTTCTTCAGCAGCAGGTTGTGTTTCAGCAACAACAGGTTTACCGAATTTGGATTCGGCCAACACTTTTTCATAGATGTTGGACTTGCCATTGGCAGCACCAACCTTTTGTTCAAAAGTCTCCACAAATGGAGTAATTTTGTCCAATATCTGCTTGGATTTATCAGCAAACTGTTCCACACTTTGCAATTTCAAAAATTGTTGTTGCACCGCCTTCAATACAAAATACTGAATCTGAGTAGAGTTTTTAAACCCGCTGGCTTTACTTTCCAATGATGATGTTTGTAAAATGTTTAAATCGATATTGTCGAGTATTTCTGTAATCTTTGGAATGACAAAACTGGCAGACTTTGGTTTAAGTGTCATGTAATTGATGAGAGCAGCACTGTAACTCAATGCCAACTGAGGGTCTTGTTTGAATATGTCATTCAATTTCGATAATTCCTCACCTTTCAATTCTGTGATTGGAACATTCAATCTGCGAATGAATTCTTTCAAACTCAAGCTTTCCAAATCGTAACCTGGGGTATTGAGTCTAAAGACCCCGTTCAAAACATGGATCACTTGAACGATCTTTGAATCCAAGAATTTCAATATTGGGGAATTGTGCTTGTACAAAAATGATAATGTGTGGGAAAATTTGTTCAATTTGGCTCCTGAAAACAACAAGTTAATGAAATGTTCTTCTTGTACGCAATGCTTTTGAGCATCGGCCTTGTTTGCCGCAGCAAGCGCGAGGATCATATCTTGGGATTTCTTCAATTCGTCATAACTAGAGATATTCAAGGTGAGCTTGTTCAATGCGCTCTTACGAATAGTCCCGGCGAACTCTTGGGGCATGATTCTTTTACCTTCTTCTTCATTGTACAATTCTGCCGCCACGAGTCTTTTGGCATTTTTTGGACGGTACACCAAACTTCTCATAGATTTTTTGGTTTTGTAGTAATCCAAGCCATGCTTCAACTCCTTGTAGGCTGATTGGTATAATTCTGATGGTGGGAAAGCGGAAGATTGTTCTGCAGCTACTGTGGTGTGGAAGCCAGCACTAGAGAGGCGAATGGCAGAGCCTGTGGTGATTCTTTGCGCGGAATACTTCAACATTGCTGGTGATCTATGACGAAACCTTTCTATTGGGTAGGCTCGATAATCTCCCAATTTGCAAAGTATTAAAAAAATCGGTGAAAAAAAAATTGGAAAATCGCCGCAGGACTCATAACCATTTCAAATTACATAATCGATGACACATCAAGCGAGCGATCTGTCACATGATAAAGGGGTTGCACACCCGCCACAGCTTGCTTCTTCTCCTTCTCCTTCTCCTTCTTCTTTTCTCGCTCCTCGTATATTTCTGAAATCCGTGGCAATAATGTTGAGGCATATTGTATAATCTGACAGGAACCAACGCTACTGGTGCGTGCTACTGCCCTCTCTTATCGCCGGCGGTCACGTGTATCAATGTAGATTTTACTGTAGATCTTTTATGTGGCTCAGGCTAAAATGCTTTGTTTGTTTTATTTTACATAGGGTCTATCGATTGCTGTGAATACCGTTCTGTTCATCTTACTGATTTGTGATTGTGAAGGTCTGCCTCGATATCTCAATGGCCAGTGCTAGTAATCGTGGGGTGGGGGAGGGAAACCTCACTTCTCAGGTACCGATTGAAACCCAACAACAAAAAACAAAAGAAAGGTTGGCCAACATCATGAGAGCCCCTACTTATATATATCTATATATCTATATATATGAATAATTGAAAAAAAAGCAACAGCTGTTATGCCTGTGGCTAAATTACCTCAACATCCATCCCCATCCACCGCCCGCTGGGTGTTCCGTGATTGTCACCATATTTCATACCGCCAGCAGCTGCAAATAGCGCGCCCCGGATATTTTTTCCGAACATGCATGAACATTTAGAGTGTGTCCACACTGTACTGTACTATGCTATACATGCCGATGGCTGATTGCAATTTACCGTGGACGTCAAAACACATTCATCAGTGGATATCCCAATCGTCATACGCGCTTTTTTTTTTGCCCCTTTTCTTTTTCCTGTCGTTGCCAAAAAGCACTAGCTACAATTATGGACAATCGTGCATGATACAACTGAAAAAAGTACAACAATAACAAAAATAACAGAAAAAAAGCCCTCTCTGTCTCTTTCACTTCCCGCGTTCCATTTCTCCATTTCCATTTCCAGTTGAGGACATTTCCATACCACTTTACCCGAGAAATATTATTTAAATACAATACCATCCTGCCAAAACATATCAATACACAAAAAACATATTTGGATTTTAATCTATCTTCTGAACTTCTGATTTAGAGTTTTTTGAAACATCAACACACTTTCAATCATGTCTTCGGAAGATAAGCATACCAATGCTTCGAGTTTCTCGAACGACGCAGAATCCATCAATTCTGACAAAGTCGAACGTTTTGATCCAGATTTCCATCCTGAAGCCATCACTGAAAACAATGGTAACAAGATCTCCAAATCGTTGTCCAAAATTTCTTCAAGATTATCCAACACTTTCACCAGAGCTAGTGATGTCGAAGGTCAAACTGAAGAAGCCATGTTCGCCAACCACTTGCAAAATGCCATGTCTAACCCTCAAGGTATTGAAAAAATCCAATCTTTGGCCAGAACTTTGTCTAGAAAGACCAAGAAGGAAATGCAACATTTTGAAATCGATGATGATGATTTCGACTTGAAAGCTTTGCTTGGGTTCTTGCAATCCAAGTCAGACGAAGAAAACATCATGTCTTCCTCTGCTGGTGTCGCTTTCAAGGATGTCATTGCGTGTGGTAAAGATATCAACGCTGCCTACGCCCCAACCGTGCAAGAAATGGTCTACGATGGTTTCAAGTTTTTCCCAAACTTATTCAAAAAAGATACCACTCCACACAGAGATATCATCAAAGACTTTGCCGGGGTTCTTGAAGCTGGTGAAATGTGTCTTGTCCTCGGTCGCCCGGGTGCTGGTTGTTCTTCATTCTTGAAGACCTTGACTGGTGAAACCAGTGAATTCACTTCTTACGGTGGTGACTTCTCCTACGATGGGTTGTCCCACAAAGAAATGATCGACCATTTCAAGAGTTACATCATCTACAACCCTGAACTTGATGACCATTTCCCAACCATCACCGTCAAGGAAACTATTGACTTTGCCTTGAAGACTAAAACTCCAAACACCAGAATCGATGGGATGACCAGATCTCAATACGTCAACAACATGAGAGATTTGTGGTGTACCGTTTTCGGTTTGAGACACACTTATGCTACCAACGTCGGTAACGATTTCATCAGAGGTGTTTCCGGTGGTGAACGTAAGAGAGTCTCCATTGTTGAAGCTTTGTCTTGTAACGCCTCCATTTATGCCTGGGATAATGCCACCAGAGGTTTGGATGCGTCCACCGCTTTGGAATTTTCTCAAGCCATCAGAACTGCCACTAACATGTTGAACAACTCCGCCTTTGTTGCCATTTACCAAGCTGGTGAAAACATCTTTGAATTGTTTGATAAGGTCACCGTGCTTTACTTGGGTAAACAAATTTACTGGGGTTCTGCTAGCAAGGCCAAGGCTTATTTCGAAAGAATGGGTTACCAATGTCCATCAAGAATGACCACTCCAGAATTCTTGACCGCCGTTACCGATCCAAACGGTAGAACTCCAAAACCAGGCTTTGAAGGGAAAGTTCCAGAAACTTCTCAAGAATTCGAAGACTATTGGTTGAACTCTCCTGAATACCAAGAATTACTCCTTGAATACGATAACTATGTCTCCCAACATGGTCATGATGAAAACTTGCACCGTTTCCAAGTTGCCGACTCTCAAAGAAAGCAACAAATCCAACGTAAAGTGTCTCCTTTTGCCGTTTCTTACTTTCATCAACTTTACTACTTGATGGTTAGAGGTTTCCACAGAGCCAGAGGTGATTTGACTTATATCGCTATTTACATTTCTTCTTTTATGGTCAAAGGGTTGATCGTCGGTTCCATGTATTATAAGATTCCAACTGATACTTCTGGTGCTTATTCTCGTGGTGGTATTCTTTTCTATTGTCTTTTGTTTTGTGCTTTAACCTCCTTGGCTGAAATCGCTAGATCGTTTGCCAACAGAAAAATCACTTTGAAGCAAAAATCTTACTCCATGTACCACATTTCTGCCGAAGCTTTGCAAGAAATCATCACCGAAATGCCTGTCAAGATTGTTGCCGTGGTTATTTTGGCCTTGACTACCTACTGGATGCCTCACTTGAAACACGAAGCCGGTGCTTTCTTCATGTACATGCTTTTCTTGTTTTTGGTTAACCAAGTGTTCTCTTTCACATTCAAATTGATTGCTACCTTGACCTACGATGGTGAAACTGCTCACGCCTTTGGTGGTTTGTGGGTTCTTATGTTGTCCGTTTATGCTGGTTTCATCATGAAGATGCCTTACGCTAAGCATGTCCTCAAGTGGATCCATTGGTTGAACCCTATGTACTATTGTTACGAACAACTTATCACCACCGAATTCCACGGTAGAATGATGAAGTGTGCTGAAATGGTTCCAAACGGTCCATCTTATAATGCTGTTAACATTGCTCACAAGGTCTGTTCTTTGTACGGTTCTATTGCTGGTAATGAATACATCAGTGGTGATGCTTACGTTAAGAAACAATACCATATGGAATACAAACACACCTGGAGAAACTTTGGTATCAACATTGCTTGGACTGCTGGTTTCATTATTCTTAACACCGTGCTTTCCGAGTACTTGAAGAACATTGTTGGTGGTGGTGATATGTTGTTATACAAGAGAGGCCATCTTCCACAAGGGGATCAAGAAAACGTCGATGGTAGAGTTGCCACTAAAGACGAGATGATTGTTGCCCTTAACGGTGAAGGTGTTGACTTGGAGAAAGCTATTGCTGAAAAGGACGTTTTCTCGTGGCAAAACTTGGATTACACCATTCCTTATGACGGTGCTACCAGACAATTGTTGGATAACATTCAAGGTTACGTTAAGCCTGGTACTATGACTGCTTTAATGGGTGAATCAGGTGCTGGTAAGACTACTTTGTTGAATACTTTGGCTCAAAGAATCAATTTTGGTGTGATCACTGGTGATATGTTAGTTAACGGTAAACCAATCGATTCATCTTTCAAAAGAAGAACTGGTTACGTCCAACAACAAGATTTGCATTTGGCCGAATGTTCTGTTAGAGAATCCTTGAGATTTGCTGCTGACTTGCGTCGTGGTAAAGATGTTCCTCAAAAAGAAAAGTATGACTATGTTGAAAAGATTATTACCTTGTTGGGTATGGAAAACTATGCTGAAGCCATTGTCGGTAAGATCGGTAGAGGTCTTAATGTTGAACAAAGAAAGAAGTTGTCTATTGCCGTTGAATTGGTCTCCAAGCCATCTTTGTTGCTTTTCCTTGATGAACCTACTTCTGGTTTGGACTCCCAATCTGCTTGGTCTATTGTTCAATTCTTGAGAGCTTTGGCTGATTCTGGTCAAGCTATCTTGTGTACCATCCATCAACCTTCCGCTACTTTGTTCGAAGTCTTTGACAGATTATTGCTTTTGAAGAAAGGTGGTAAGACTGTTTACTTTGGTGATATTGGTCCAAACTCTGAAGATTTGTTAAGATACTTCGAAAGACAATCTGGTGTCCAATGTGGTAAGCAAGAGAACCCTGCTGAATATATTTTGAACTGTATTGGTGCTGGTGCTACTGCTGCTTGTCAAGATGACTGGCATGACCTTTGGATCAACTCTCCTGAATATAAGGCGGTTACTGAAGAAATTGCCATCCTTCATCGTGAATTACCTCTCAGACCTGTTGCTGAAAATGCCGATAATTTGAAATCCAAATTTGCTACTTCATGGGATCGTCAATTGTGGACCGTTACTAAGAGAACTTGGATTCAATTCTGGAGATCACCAATTTACATTAGAGCTAAGTTCTTGGAATGTATTGTTTGTGCTTTGTTTGTTGGTATTTCTTATATCGGTTTCAACCATTCTGTTTCTGCTGGTAACAACTCTTTCTCGTCTGTGTTCATGACTTTGTTGATTGCCTTGGCTATGATCAATCAATCCCATGTGTTTGCTTATCCATCCAGAGAATTGTACGAAGTTCGTGAAGCTGCTTCCAATACTTTCCACTGGTCCTGTTTGTTGTTGGCCCACACTTTCCTTGAAATTTTCTGGTCTACTGTTTGTCAGTTCATGTGTTGGGTTTGCTTCTACTGGCCAACCGTCCAAGGTAATGGTTCTGTCGAAAGAAATGGTTACTTCTTCTTTATGTATGTTCTCATCTTCCCAATGTACTTTATGTCCTATGGTTTGTGGATTCTTTACCTTTCTCCAAATGTTCCTTCTGCCTCCATGATCAACTCCATGATTTTCGCTGCTCTTATGTTGTTCTGTGGTATCTTGCAACCAGAACAATACATGCCAGGTTTCTGGACTTTCATGTACAAAACCTCCCCATTCACTTACTTCGTCGACTCTTTTGTTTCCCCTCTTATTCATGGCAGATCGGTTCGTTGTACCAAGGATGAATACTTGACTTTCCCACCTCCATCCGGTCAAACTTGTGAAACCTATATGACCGATTACATGAACAACGCCACTTTCAGAGGTTATCTTGAAGATCCAAGTGCTACTGATATGTGTAACTATTGTCCATACAACACCCAGGATGAAGTTGTTTCCCAATTCCATGTTAGCTGGCACCACAGATGGAGAAACTTCGGGTTCTTCTGGTGTTACATTATCTTCAACTTTGTTGCTATGTTGCTTTGTTACTACATCATGAGAGTCAAGGTTTGGAGTCTTAAATCCGTTCTTGATTTCAAGAAATGGTTCCACGGACCTCACAAAGATAGACACGAAAAAGATACCACTATCTTCCAAGCCCAACCTGGTGATGATAAGATTCTCAAAGCCAAAAAGCAGGAGTAAATTAATTTTATTCATTCTTCCATTTTTTTAATTTTCTAATATTCGTTTAATTAATCTTTAATAAGATTTTATCACATTTCTCATATTTCATATAGATACTCCATATTCAATTACACATAATTCATCGATTCAAATATCTTCGATTTGTAGAGTTCAGTTACTTTTGCTAGGTAAGCTTGTGTAAAACTTGTTATTTTGGTTGGCAGTTGGTTGTCATTTTTTTTTTTTTTTTTTTTTTTTTGAAGATATAAAAAAAAAAACCCCCCGGAGGAAAAATACAACAATAATAATTGTGGAAGACCCTACATTACTATCAACAAAAACAGAGTCATAACCCTATATTACATTCAAAATGATACAAATAGAACCAATACGATCAAATTGTAAGTTCTGACTCTGATATTTTTTTTTCTATTACATTTTTTTGGGAGTATTCACTAACAAATTGTGGCCACTACAGATACCGATCAGGAACTTGCTGAAGTCAACTCAAACAGCTATAATAATGCTAAAGAACTAGTGAAACAAGAGCTCAATCTTATGAAAATAGAAAAAACACACCCGCTAGTACGACAAGAGTATCAAACAAATAATGCAACCACCAGTAATGGCTCACTTTTACAGGGTGATGCTCAGCTATTGAAGAAATTCAATGCGCAACGGATCAACAACAACAGCCCGGACAAATCCCCAAGTTTGATTGATTCTATAGATTTGAAAAGATACACAGAGTTTACTACAGAGAATGGAGAGGCAGATTTATCCAAAATATATATCAGTTTGGCCTACCAAAATCACCGGTTGAATAGTTTGAAAACAACCAAAGAAATCGAAGAGCTGTTGAAGTAAGGTGAAGGTTATTTCCCTCTAAGTTTTTATTCTTTTTAACATCTTGACAAATTAAATTACGGTTACAATTATTCAATATACATTTCAAAAGCAAAAACATTAATTCCATGTCACTATACAACACCCTTATACAAATTCTGAGATTAGAAGAAAACTATATAGAACCATACAATCCCTGTCGATAATTTTCTTGAATTTGTAGAACCGCCTGTCGCTGATCCTCCGGTAATGACAGAAGTTGATCAGGCGTTAACTGGATAACTTGCTTGATGGCTTCAAGTTGTGCTGCGTCGGTAGAAGATGCAGCAGCATTATCATTGTTGTTAGTGTTGCTATTATTCTCCCCAGCCCCATTACTGTTCTCATTATATTCATTAGTTCCATTATTAGTGACCTCATTATTACCACTTTTTTCATTCTTGTCATTATTATTACTGTCATTAACATTGTTGTTATCATTTTCATTATTGTTTATGTCCCTCTTATCACCATTATTATTATTATTATTATTATTATTATTATTTGCGGAAGTATTATTATTGACCACTGGATCTTGGACTCCAATGGTTGTTCGCTGGCTATTCGATGGCGCATTCTCTAGTAAGCTACTAATCTGTTCAGGAGTTTTCACTTGGAATAGCAAAATCATCTCAATAATCGCCGACGATAGCTGGGGACACTGGTCTAACAAATCAGCCATTAATTGAGGATCTCTTTTTGACATTTCTTTAGCATCTCTTACCAAATCTAGTAACCTTGCTTGATCAAACGTTTTCAAAGTTGAGGAAATCAAGGATAACGGAGTATTCCCTTCAGGAACCTTCACTCCTAGAGGCAATGGAGGAATATCATTATTTATTTTTCTCTTCTTTCTCATCAAATCATCGTTATTCGAATAACCATCTCCCCCAATTTTCACCAGTGAATCTTCAAATTTACCATGTCCGTCAACCATGGATCCTCCAGTATTGGCAGAAGAGTTTGGACCAAACCCACATTTTAATGTTCGGTTGCCCACAGGGTAGTTATTGAGGTTTCTCACTGCAGAAGCAGCAGTGGAATTATCAGCATACTCAACAAAGGCATAACCTTTACTTTTCCCGGTCATTTGATCAAATGCAAGCTTGATCAGAATCACCGTCCCAACGGTGCTCACAATTGACTGAAGATCAAACTCCGTGAAATCAAACGGGATGTTCCCCACATAGACGACCCTCCCACCTCTGTTATTATTGCTCATGATTATCAAATGCCTTATTTATTTTATTACTTCAATAGCATACCACCCCAAACCGCTAGTGCTTATTGTTGTGGTTGTGGGATTTTTCTCTCTGAAAACATCTCACAAACACCTCGCTCTCCCCCCCCGGGTAACGGAAGTGTCAATGTACCATTTTAGCGGTATTCTACATACTTCTTCTCCTAACGACGCCCCCAAAATAACCAGTAATAATCGCAGAAAATAAAAATAAAGAAAGATTAGTACTTAAAAGTAATGGCTAGTGACAGAGGGGTAATTACTGTATTCATTGAAAACCAAAGAAGAAAAAATGATAATATCGCTGTTGTGTTGTAAAAGATGCTGCATTACATTAGAAAGTTTTTGTAATGATTTCCAACAGGATCACCAAAACATGAGCTAAGGGTTCTCCACAAGATAATGCTGTGATTCAAATACTAGATATTAGCGAGAAAAAAAAAAAGAAAAAATAACATCCCTGAAGCTCATACTCTCTGTGTATTTATTCACTGGATCGCTGAGAAACTCAAATGCCATTGAAATCGTTAGAGTCAAAAGCTCTATCAAAAGTTGTGACCTCTACGAGCGCAGACAATAGGCATACACCCAAATTAGAAATATTATCAGAAAGTGTGGTATTAACATAATTTGAGAGTAATAAGACCCTCACTGTTTCCGTGGATGGGTTAATTTTAGAATTTTTAAGGGTCCTGTACGCACAACCCATCACAAATGGGGCCAACATGCATAATATAATAGATGGTATAAAAAAAACAAAAAACAACTACGTACTCGAGGAATTTAAGGATTCCTTAAAAGCGAAATAGGAAAGTGAGGGATGATTAACTAAAAAAAGAATAAGTAAATGTATCTAACACAGTTGAACGATGTTTCAAGATGTCTTGAGAAAATTTCTTTTTTCCAATTTTTGAACTATATAAATACAAAGTATCACCTCGCTTGATAAGTCCACGGTTTAGTTTTTCCAAAGACATAAGAGCTCTTCAAGATTTCTATTTCAACTGAAATTGTTTTTTTTTTTTTTCAATATATGCCTGAAAAGAAATGAAATTCTTTACGATCTTCCCTTCAGTCATTGCGGTTGTTACCATATTCCCGTTTTTATCGGATGCCCGGTACCTCAATAGTACTTATAACTTAGAAAGTATTAGTGGCTCAGAGACAGAAATGTCGTATGTTACTATCACCCATGATATCACCACGGTTATGACAGTCACTTCCTGCGCTGATAATGCTTGTGCTACTTCTTCCATCACTACCGGTGTTACAGTGATTACCGAAACCATCGATAGTTATACTACAGTTTATACCACCTATTGCCCATTGACTATGACGGCTGCCGTAATTAGTTCCACAGATACAATAATTTTGAGTGATACCGGCGCCACTGCAATTGATGCCTCGGGTACTCCATCGATTGTTGCTTCCTCTGCTGCCATTTCAACTTCAATTACCTCCCCTATCATCACTTCAGAATCCAGTGTAAGCTCTACTGAAGCTCTGAGCATTCTTGGTGCATCTGATTCTACAGGTTTGTCTTCACCAGCCAAAACATCAGAATCTGCCAGTGATGCCACAGATATCTCTTCAAATATTAGTTCCAGTGCTCAAAATACTGACGAAACCGATGTTTCAATGAGCTCTACAGAAGCTCAAAGCATTCTTGGTGAATCTGATTCAACAGTTTCTTCAGTGTACGCCACTTCCACTACCTCCCCAGAACTCACTTCATACGTAACAAAGACTGCGGAAATCACCACGTTCGTCACCATCACCAGCTGCTCTAATAATGCCTGCTCTACTACTTCTTTGGAGACAGGGTTAACGGAAATTACCATTACTACTGATGAAACTTTAACTATTAGCACTACGTATTGTCCATTGACCTATACTGAAGCCGTTATGGGATCAGGCTCTTCTGTAACTACTTCTACTGTTACTGAACTGTCTTCAAATATTGTCACTACTACCACAAGCGACTATTCAGGATGCTATGACATCCCAATTCCCAGCACCGATTATCATGGATCGGAATCATCCACTTCCAACTCATATACCAGCTCTAACATGATTTCTTTAACCCAATCCTCCTCTGAAACCAGTAACAATGAGATACTGTCATCTACTGAATCGTCTATTGAGTCTGGTTCCAATATAAGCACTTCCAAATCCACCACCGATTCTAAATCTCTGGAAGTAAATGGTATTACCGCTTCTACTGTTGTTTCAGACACTGATACATCAATTGTCCCACAATTGACATCATATACTACGAAGACCGCCGAAGAAACCGCTATTGTGACGATAACCAGCTGTCCTAACAATGAATGCTCTACCATTTCTGTAACCACAGGAATTGCAAAGATTACAATCACCACTGATGAAACGTTAACTGTTATAACTACTTATTGTCCATTAACCTATACTGAAGCCTTGCTGAGCTCCGGCTCTGTAACCAGCACAATGACTGTGGAATCTAGTGCTTCCATTGATGTTTATACTAGTACTACTGATAGTACTGTTATCAGTCTGGAGACCTCAACCTCATCTTTTTCATTGTCATCATCAGGGTCTTCTTTGGCATCATCTTCTATTTTAGGAACGTCAGGCTCTACATCATCCTCTTCTGTTATGTCCAATTCTCTCACTTCATCGACTTCAACTTCAGTTTCATCCACCACCTCCAAATTAGAGTCCTCAATGAGCTCCCTGACTTTATTAATTTCCCCTTCCTCTACTTCCAGTATATCAACATCGACTCCGACTACTGAGTCTCTTTATACTAGTACCTCCGTTGAAGCTGTTAGTGGAACCACCGTCTCTACAAGCTCTACCTATACCACGAGTTCCCTATCAACAAGCTCTACTCCAAAAAGCTCATCAATAGAATCTGGTTCTGCCACCATTGCTTCTGCTACATCTCAATCCTCATCTATCACTAGTACCTTATTAGAAAACAGTGCAAGCACAACCGTTATTGTCTCCACATCTTGCCTCGAAAACTCCTGCTACGCTTCATCAATTACCACTGGTGTCACTTTGGTGTATCATACTGAAAGCGGTACTGTTACCTCATATACCACTTACTGTCCATTAACCCAATATTCTTCTTCAGATACTTCTACCCCAAGTACCACCGCTGTGGCCACCACTTTGTCCTCTAGTATGGAAAGTCAAATCACTTCTAGTAGTAGTACTTGGTCAACACCTACCGATTCTTCAATTAGTACAGGTTTCTCAGTGACTGAAGCATCAACTATTTCTTCTGAAACAAGCTCGGTGGTTAGTATTTCCACCTATTCGGGCATGGGTATGAGAACCATAGAAGCAAAAAGTTCTATTTTCACCGGCTTGATGGTATTCTTGATTTCAACTTGGATGCAAATATAAGTTCCATTTTCCCCTCTGCCTCTAATTTGCTTTTGATTTTTTTTTTTTTTCTTCTCTATCTCTCTTTTTTTTTTTGTATGGCTGAAGTCCAGTCAAATCTTTTTGAAGTCCTATTTAATTCTTGTAAACCGTCAAATAATACATTAGTTTTCGGATTCGATGTGTAGCATAGAATCATTAGTTTTCTAATTTGATGAATATAGCATTACATTCTTGAAAATACCTCGTAGTTTGGACACTGGGATAAAGGAATTTTCCCAGTGTTCAGCTTTCACAATGATCCCTTTTGTCATGATGGTGCCCTAATGTTTTACCGTTTGGGCAAATTAGAGTTGATACATGCTTGACAAAAAAAACAAGAGAAAGTTAGGAACCTCTTGAAAGTCTGTTACTGCTGCCCTGTATTCACCCTACCAGCAAATCATCGTATCTCCTCTGTCAATGTTTAGATTCCATCTACATTATTACCTCTCACTGATAGAGATTTTATTTTGATTTTGCTATTGTTTAATTTCAGGATAAAATCAAAATTTCCAAAAGGTTATGTAGATGTACACAGGAAACGTTGAACCACGCAATTAGAATCGAGAAATTATCAGAAGAAGTAAAAGGATCCACGGTTACAATTGAAGTGAATGAACACAAGAGTTCATCAAACGTGAATGTTACCATTCAAGATATTAAATCAATCGAAGCACAGATTACTGGTCTCAAAGTAATGAAATAGCTTTGATAAGGAATAATAAATTAATTAACTAGTAAGTAAAGACTAATTTAAAAAGTATGAGGTAAAAACAGATAATAAACTGAAGCATAAAAAACAAAAATGAAACCGAAAACGAGAACAAATTAATACAAACTTTAGTTCTTGACCTTGTATTCTCTCTTGTATTTGTCATCGATGTTGACCAAGTAGTAGGTTCCGGATCTCAAGTGTTCAGTGGTACCCTTTGGTTCGTAGCTCTTTTGCAAGTGAATAGATTCTCTCAAAGCGATGGCAGCAATGTATTCTTCTGGAGTTCTCTTGAATCTGTTGTTCAATTTGTTGTCAATGTCCAAGTTTTTAGTGATGGCGCTGATATCACCAACAACCTTGGCAGAGAACAAAGAGGAGGCTAAACCAGAACCGTAAGAGAACAAACCAATTCTCTTGCCTTGTAATTTTTCGTTACCGATATAGAACAATAATGAGGCCAAAGCACCGTAAACAGAGGCAGTATATGTGTTACCAATGTTGGTTGGAACGTTCAATGATTGTTCAACTCTTTCCTTGAACAAAGGCTTACTCAAACCGACAAAAGCCTTTTCGACGGCCTTATTAGTCAAAGAGTCAGTGTAGCTCATAGTCGAGAAAGCAGGGTCAATTTCTTGGCCTTCAAAAGCCTTTGGATCAGCAAGATAGTCATTGTACATCATTCTACCGTAAGTCTTGGTGACCAATTTACAAGTTGGGACGTGGAAAACATTGTAGTCAAAGAATTGCATACCAACAACGTCTTTGGACAAAGGCTTGGAGTAAGCGGCATCCTTTGGATATTCCAATTCTTTCTTGATGGCCTTGGCAGAGTAAGCTCTGTAAGCGTGGTCAAAGGCCTTGACGTAACAAGCCAATGAGAAGTGACCATCGACGACAGGGTATTCAGAAGTGAAGTTTGGCTTGTAGAAATCGTAAGCGTGTTCCATGAAAGAACCACGAGCGCTTTCAAAAACAATCGGAGCGTCTGGACCAACAAGCAAGGCAACGGTACCGGCACCACCAGTTGGTCTGGCAGCTCCTTCAGAGTAGATGGCAATGTCACCAGCAACGACAATAGCGTCTCTTCCATCCCAAGCATCGGATTGGATCCAGTTAATAGAGTTGAATAAAGCATTGGTACCACCGTAACAAGCATTGACGGTGTCAATACCTTCAATATCGTAGTTACCACCAAACAAGGTCATCAATAACGACTTGACAGACTTTGATTTATCCAACAAAGTTTCAGTACCAACTTCCAATCTACCAATAGAGTTTGGGTCAATGCTGTTGTTCTTCAACAAGTTAGAAGTGACTGTAAGAGCCATGGAGTAAATATCTTCACGGTCATTGACAAAGGCCATGTTTGTTTGGCCCAAACCAATAGTGTATTTTCCAGCAGAAACCCCATCGGCTTTTTCCAAGTCAGATTGGTTGACAAACTATTGTTTAGTTAGTATTTTCTTTCCATATATAGATCATGTAATTAGAGGGCAGATTACTCGAGCAAAAATCAAAACCTCCAGTATATCTTCGAGAAAACATAGAACAAAAAAATCCAATTGCAAGGTATACTTACTTCAGAAGGAATGTAGATTTCAATAGCCTTGATACCAACGTTTTTTGGAGACATGATTTAATGTGATAAATATAAAGAGTGAGCAAGGGTGAAGGGGAAGTAATTGAAAAAGCGCAAGAAAGAAAGAATTGAATGAACCAGAAATATGTTCTTTTAGTCTCCTCTTTGTGTTTTAATGGTCTGCTGATGAGAACAGGTCAAGAAAAATTCAGAAAAAAAATCTGATCTTCCCGATCTTGAAAATCTGTACGATCGTTTACTACATAGAGGATCCGAGACGGTGAGAGTTATCACCGGGACGGAAATATATTATCACTGTCAATTTCACTACTGCTACTACTACAACAACAACTGTTTGAATTGAAACCACTGAAGAATATTCTATTATAAACAGAAAGGGAAATGTAAAGAACCGACAAATATCCAATAAATTTAAATAACACTCAATGATTAAGATTTATCAACCAAAGAACGGTAAGACGAAAGGGACAGCTGGGCAAAGATAGGCAAAACTAAGGTCATTATAACTGTCAATGGTACGCCTCGTAGCACAAAATTGGAGAAACTACCTTCTGGCGAATTATTCTCGCGAGAGGAATCGAAATCATCATCATTTCCAAGCAATAATCCCCCAATACAGTAGACTTTGCCTTCCGAAAAACAAATACAGCCTCCCAAAAGATTCATAGTATTGGTAACCATACCTTTGGTTCGCCAAACGAAAGCCAATTTCTTCAATGTAGCTTCATCAAAATAGCTTCTATTCAGTAACACAATCTTTCTGAAATCTTCCCGATCGCTATCGTCGATGGCAACTCTGAGGCGTTTGAATAATTCTAAAGGAAGAGGATTTTCTTTGTTAGTGAAGATTTCTTCATAATCCACATAACTCGATAGCTTGTGGATACACTTGGCGAAAATCCAAGTGTTGGTCGATAAATCCATCATGATTACTCGAAGGTATACACCTCTCAGAATCATAACTAGTTGTTTTGCCACTTCATGCGCATCATGACCCCAAGAGTTCTTATAACCTGTGACATTGCTACTGTTATACCGAAGCCTGGCTTTTATTAGTTCTTTTCTAATGTATTCTTCGGTGAAGCCTCCAATGAAGAACAAATATTGATCGAGCATTATCATCAGGTGGTTTGCTCTATGTAATTCACAATCAATGAATTCGCCTGTTGGGGCAGCATTTTCATCAAACTCGTTGGATCTTGCCCTGATTCTTTCCCAGCGTTTAGTGCCAAAAGTATATTTCCAAAAATCTCCAAATAGGTTACTCAAATTGGTACCACCATGAATCATCATCACCTTATTAATTTTGGAATCGTCCATCTCGGGATTTTGGATCCCCATAGAAGAATTGGCAGCAAAATGATGAGTTTTCCCATTGATTTGAACTTCGTTCAATAAAATTGACGCGTGGAATGCTCTTGGAGTTGGGCCTTCATTAACTGATTCAAGGCAACTATAAAGACCCTCTTCTTCGAATCTCAACACGTTACTGGTACCATCATTGACAAAGGAGAGATCAATCTTCCAATTATAATTGGAACAAGAAAATTTTTTCGTCAGAGTGTTGTAGCTGTAGCCACCAAAAACGTATAATGATGTGGTGTATTTATTTATCGAGCCGATATTCTGAAACGATTGCTTATTATTCATATCAAAGAAATTCATATGAGAAGAAGTCAACATACCAATCATTTTACTGAACTTCATTTCTGACGCAAGAGTCGAATGCCCGAATCTTTCAAGCTTGATAGGAACCTTAAGGGCTGCATTTTCATCTGGAACCAATTTAATTTGTTGAAATTTAAAAGTCACGGTATCGAGAATCCACGCCTTGTTGTTTACCACGAAATCTCTTTCAAAATACCGAGTTCCATTACCATCGATATCATATTGATCATCAATATCAATAGGTTGAGCCACTTTACTAGTAATTTGAAATCCTCCATAATAGAAAATATGTCTTTGACTGATCAAGGTGGCACTTGCACAGCATAAAGCAGGAGGAACATCACCAAAAATCTTTGGAGTGGTAATAATGTTAGTTTCATCATCCATCACGTACAATAGGTCATTATTAACGTAAACTGGATTGTTTAACACTTCATTTTTGAAAGGGAAAGGATAATCAGGGCCTTTGACTTTAATTGTGGAAATGTCGCAAAGTTTCTCACCAAAAATCAATTTCACCCCTCCAAACATGAACACTTTATTACCAATGGCCAATGATGTATGATGGATTAATGATGGGATAGGGGATTTACCATATATGGTTGGACAATAGGAGTAATTGATGAAATTGTTTTTGAATTCCCGGGTTCTAGTTTGGTTGGCCATATCGACTCTTTTTTTGGTCACTGCCCCAGGATTGGCAGCCTTTGCCAATTCCTCATCGACTTTATTCAAATTCTTGAGACCAATGTTGGGATCATCTATCATTGACGAAATATTGGTAACGTCATTCATTAAAGGAACGGTATTTACTTCTGGAAGGGCTGCATCTGAAGAATATTTGTGGGTATCAATGAAGGACTGCTTTGGACGTAATTCTCCCAATTCAATATTATTTTTCACTGATTCACGAGAAGGACGACGAGCTTCAGGAGAGGCAGGAGCCTCCAGCAGTTCTTTTTGATGTTTAGATTTTGAAAAGTTTCTTTCATCAACCTTCAATAATTCCAGGTTCTTATTTAGCATGGAAATGTCTCCGGGAAATTGCGACTTATCATCAAGATTGATGTCTATATTTTCAATAATATTTTTAAAGGCATCTAAATGCATTCGAGCGTTCCAGATTCTTTCATTTTCGATGTACTTGTGGGACACATTGAAAGAAAATGCGCCTGAATTGTTCATGAACGAATCAGCAATGCAACTAGATTGCACCAGCTGATCAAAGTACAGTGTCGTTGAGAGTCTATCATTGAAATTAAGCTTATGAAAATAATAGTCTTCAAGCTTCGATATTTCTTTGGATTGCCTGATGTACGACTCGTTCGACAGCTGTTGGTTTCGGCTCACATCTGTCGGAGATGTCAGAAAACCAACATTGGCTTTCAAGATCTCGCCAAAGTATTCCTTTTTGATAAGCTCCTCCTTTAGTTCGTCAGATCCTTCTTTGGCAGTTTTGTGGTTAAAATAATCAAATGGCACCAAGAATGGTGTAAAACTTTGGAAATTAGTGGAATCAAACGTCATCTTCTAGTACCACTGACAATCTTTCATCCAAGAACAAACAACAGTAAGAGACCAGGCCAGCCCAAGAATTCACAGAGCCCACTGGATATATCAGACGAAAAAAGAAAAGAAACAAAAAAAAAAACCAAAATTCCTGGGAGTCTTATCTTTAATTTGAATTTCTTGGAACAGAAATATATAACAAACCGCCGCCTCTGTGTTTAGACTGTGCTGTTTATTTTTTCTATTTTTTTGCTTGTTTTACCGTTTTCTGCACATACGCGCACCGCAGGGGGAAATAAAAAGAACCTATCAAACGATTTTAGTTAGTTCTACAGAAATAATAATAATATATAAAGACATCAATTCTATCATTAATTTGCTGCTATACGCCTAAATACACATCATCAATTAGTTTTGTATTCACGAATAATCACAGGAACAGAAGATGGTGGCAAAGCACCCAATTCAGTAATAATCTTATTGATGTAGTGAGCAGGGGTCAAATCATACATGATATTAAGAATCTTCAAGTTACTAATGTTGGAAATATCCTTCTTCAAAGGCGATTCATCACTGTCCCCGCCTGGGATTTCCAACTTGAAGTTCTGGTCCTTCTGCGACTGGGTATTCTTTTGCTTTTGGGTTTGCTGCTGCTTTGAAGGTTTACTTTCTAATTGCTTTTGCTTTATGAAACTTTCAAGGGCAAAATTCTTCTTCTTTGGAGAATCTGTAAAGAAGTCCATAAGGTTATTATAATCGCCAAGTTCGTTCTGAGTGACACTGTCTAGCTGGATTCTTTCTGAGAATTTGATGGATTCACAACAGACCAAAATTGGAATATCTCTTTTATAAGACATCATAGAAATCAAGGCAGTACCCACACGAGAATAAAGTCTACCATTTGACAACATAGAATGGGCACCCAAAAATACATAATCAATTTTGATCTCTTCCAACACATTGGATAACGCGGTAATGACGTAGTATTTACAATTCTTGAGCCCTTTGGCGATTAAGTTCTTCAATAAGGTCTTCCCTTCAAACAATGGTCGCGAATCAATGATAATAATCGTGATGTTTTTCTTATTTTGTTCATTGTAACAATGTAAAAATAATTCCTCCAAGACCTTCGAGTGCCCAAATGTCAAGATGGTGGAATTTTCAGTGATGTGAGTTGACGCGAATTTGATAATCATTTTGTCAGTATATTCGATTTTTTCCTTGATGTAAATGTCAATTTTTTCAGCCATTTCCTTTTTGGCATCCAATTCCGCCATATCTATAGGTAACACGGATATTTCTTGTTTCATCCATCTAATGGCATTCCCCATTGTCACGCTCAATGGTCTAGAATTTTTCAAATAATCAATCTGATGTGACAAATAAGCGGTTAAACTTCTGGAGAACATCGAGTTTTCCGGAGTTTGGTAGTCCATAATCACGATTTTGAAAACTTCTAACATGGCTTTACAACGAGCTATGGAGCCAACGATAGAATAGTTGGCGCAAAGACCAGACAATTCTAAGATCTTTGGGTGTATTATATTGAGCAAATTCAATGGCAATTTTGCAGTTCGTTGTTCTCGAGTGCTCAAATGGGAAAAGGCAGAAGGAACCTTGGATTCCACGGTGCTCGCTTTCACTGGCTTATTGATAGACTTTTTGATTTGGGTGGTACTAGGGGCTGATACCTGTTTCTTTGACTTCTGTTTTTGTTGTTGTTGCTGTTGTTGAGGTTTGTCACCACCACTTGGGGCTGGAGCGTTAGGGTTTTCTCCAGGTGGCTTACCATCTACTTCCTTTTGAGCAGCTCTTCTTGCGGCCTTTTCCTTTTTTTTGAGCTCCTTGAGCTCCTTGTTAGACAATTTCTTCTGCTCACTCATTATTGTTAGTCTTTTGGGCAGATCGCTGACCTCTATTCTTGATCCCACTTCAAGTCTGCCATTACTCACTAACAAATTTTTTTTTTTTTTTTTTTAATTTTCGCTTTCTTTTGACAACCAAGGCTGATACCCGGATACAATAGTGGAGTTGATATCCGGGTAAATGAAAACAAAAGCATTAAATATGAGGTAAATAAACAGCAATTTGAGAGTAAATCATACCAGCAGCCCGTATATTGTTTTCCTGCTGTGAATTGATGATGGTAATGGTTTATTGTTTTTTTTTTTTGTAAGACTTTGTTGTTCACTCGCACATAGGCAGATAGATGTAGTTGGACAACATGCATATTGGTAATATTAGAGTGGGCAACCCCATAAACAATAAAGGAATAGGACAGTAGCCATCAGAGAGAGCCTCCTTGACTCGTTGTTCGAAAGACAGTTCTAGAAAATTCTAGCAACTACTGCTTCCCCTCCCGATGACACTGGTGGAACCATCCTGTTGCTGCTCGAATCTTCACGAATCTTCTAGAAAGAGGGGTGCCACACCCTATGATTGGAATATAAATATAACTGTTAGATCTTTCCTTTTTGACACATTTGACTTTTGTTGCTCTTTTATAATAATCATCACTATTAACAATAATTCCACACATACAATTTTATACTTATTACAATTTATCACCATTAAAAATGTCTATGACTCTTCACAACTCACCTTTCTTTGAATTGTTCGATGGCTTGAACAGGCAATTATCAAGAGGCAATAATCTCTTCGACACCATGGTTAAAAGCTCCGGTTTGGATATTGTGCCACCGGTTGACTTAATTGAAAAGGATGATGTGTTTATGTTGCATGCCTCGGTTCCTGGTGCTGTCCCATCCAATATTACCATTGATTTCGACAGAAGCAACAATGAATTGAAGATCGCTGGTACAGTTCCTGAAACCAACATCGAGGAAGAAGACAAGGACACCCACAAGTATTATAGGGAAATCAAGACTGGTTCATTTGAGAGAACAGTTAGATTTGGTAAGGACACAATCGACGAAGATGGTATTTCTGCGAAATACAATAATGGTGTGCTTGAAGTCTTGGTGCCAAAAGTGAAGCCTGCTGCTCCTGAATCAAAGGTTAGAAGAATCCAAATTGGGGGTATTGAAGAAGATTCATCAAAAGAATCCGCTTAGGTAGTCGATTCCAGAAGCTTTCTTTTTCGGACTTTATCGCTGAGTTACCAAGTATAACCTGTTTCTATATGTATATAGCTAGTAGGTACATATTTGAAGTGATAGGGTATTTCAATCATATCAAACTACTATTGTTATATAGTTTTCCATGATACTAAATAATTGTGGCCTTCCCACATTTTGTTTTTAAAAAATAACACCTTTTTGCTTTTCTATTTTTGCTCTTTTTTTTACAAAAAGATTTTTCGGAATATATTTTAGTTTAATTTTACTTTGATTTCAATGCAATTGTAAGACAATACTAATTCACTTGCCAAAGACAATTTTTAATGATAATCTTTTCAAATCCACATAACGAAAAAAAAAAGGAAGCGCCTATTTGGTCAGGGACATTCATAACAGTTATTGACAAGACCCGAAACTCATCAGAGAACAGATTTTTGTAAACTCTGGCAGAAATAATATACTTCGGGTACAAATACATCAACAGTGCCTACCTCAAGAATTTTACCATATATTCACATGTCTTCTAGGCAGTGGTCCAAGCAGCAGTACTGAGGAAACCAGTAATCACCATATATGCACGTATCTTCTAAACAGAAATAGGGATCAGTTACCTTCTTCTCACTGTTATCCATCATTAACTGGATTCAAATGTGAAATGTGAACGAAAACACCTATCTTTGGACCACGATCCATTTTGACAATAAGTGATTTCCATAGGTTTATGCCGGAATAGCCCAACAAAGTCATATTATATGTAAAGGATAAGCATAAAAAATACAACGTATTAGAATTAACCCGCTGCAATATCATTTAGGGGTGGGTTAAAAACAGCTAAGTAAAATATAAATCCCCTATGTCACCATCTTCAATTCCTTTCTAGCATACCACACACAGAAAATTATTAATAGTCCGCTGAGAAGATATAATACAATGACTTTATTTCTTCGCTCAATCGCAATTTCCAGCGCCCTCTGGTCCTTCAATGATTCATCCAACTTTGTTTCAATATCTCTCAAGATATTCAGACTATTCTCCACATTAAGCTTCAATTTATCCAAATACCCTTCAAGAATAACAACATCCCTCAAATAATCTTGCAAATCTTCTGGGGATTTATCATCATGGACCAAACCCTTATCGCCATCATCATCATTCCCTTGGATAATACGAGAGTTTGCTGCGGCATTAGCCTTTTGGATTTTGGAAACTAATAATTTTTTGAACTGGATTAAAAATTCATTAAGCGTCACCAACAGACTCTTGTATGATTGAAAATTCTCATACATTGTGCGTAGTTCCATATCACGAGATGCCACTTGCAACGCAATATCAGTGACAAGGTTTCCTAATTCTAGCATTCTGTCACCAACCGAAGAAAAGTTGCCGGCTTTTCCCAGTGGTGATTTGCCATCTAGTACATTGTAGAAGAGTAAATTATCATAGCGTTCTTTATTCTTCTTCTTCTCCTTCAAAAAATCAGAATATTTCCTGGGAAATAACTGGTGTGGGCGTCCTTGCGATGGTTTAACTGGTTGAACCTTGTAACTTGGCACAACCAATGAATTTTTCTCCTCAATTTCCGCCAGGTCATTAATATGAGGATCATTTTTAGTATTTCCAGAACCAGCATTATGGTTTTTATCATAAATGTTATTAATATTTTTATTACTATCCATCATGAACATCAATTCGTGATCGACAATTAATTCAGATGACCCACTCCTATCAGACCCATCACCATTGGTCATACCTAAAAGTTCCTGTTGATTCTGTGATGAAGCCACTACTGTTTCATTGGAAGTACCATTATTTAATCTGTCAATGTCGAAGTTTATCCCTTTGAATGCAAACACCAACTCTCCAATATCCTTCAATGCCTGCTTGAACTTCCCGTCATCACCATCAATATCTTCATCGATACCAGCAAGGTGATCTATCAGTGCAGTAGAAGAGTCAGTCATAGATGTGTTAAATCCATTATTTAAGGAGCTTCCTCCTCCTCCCGCTGCTCCTCCTATTGTCAACTTTTCAGAAGTAAAATAATCTATTGCCCCCAACCTATCCTCCGGAGAAGATATTTTTATTGCTGGTGGCGAAGGGGTCTCGCCCAAACTTATATCTTTTTTCCCTGTATAAAACTTCTGAACAAGATTATTCATTTTTATGTTTCTGAACGATTGGTACCGCGAAGTGCTGCCTACCACCACAAGCTCCAATGTCGTTATAATTGTGTTATCGATGCGAGACCACCAAAGACACTTTTTCTCTGTTTTTGGTGATGTGTGTCTAGACGCACTTCAAACAGTGAGCATTCCCCGAGTGCAGAGAGTCTGGATCATTATTCTCTCAATCTATGAATAATTTTTCTTTGATTGAATTATAACTTATTAGAGTTCACTTCTGTTTAAATTATCAGCTTAGGAACATTAATAGCGTGATCAAAGGTGTTAATATTTGTGATGGTTACCCATTTGCAACTGAAGATTCTGGGCCTAACAGAAAGAGCGCAGACATGAAAAAGCACCAGGTATGATGTGCAAAATTGTAATTACTAATATTGCTATTTTGGTAATAGTAATAGACTTTTTAACCTTATTACATGTTTTGGGGATGTCCCTTAAAATATCCAATATGTCACTTTTCCAGCAAAGAACTCAAACAATACAAAATCTATTGGGGATGACATCTGCTAATGATAGCATAAGATTTGACTATCGCATTATTTTACATCATGATGCAATGAAATAATATCTGTTCTTTTTTTTAATAGAGCAATTAGACTTTACTATAATATTTTGAAGGACGAAGAGCTTTTCCACTTTGCAAGTTGCAGAAGGAACGAGTTCTCCATTTCCAATTGCAGTGTACTATAAGTCATGCTTAAAATTTATAGTACATAAAATGACATGAGAAATACTTTCCACAACTCTTCATCATATCCAGCATTCTTTTCCAATAATGCGAATTCGTAATACGAATTCATCCTCAGAGAGCTTATACAGAGTTTAAGTGAGAGAGATAGAGGGAAAAAATAGCGACGTCTCTACACTGGGAATCCACAATTAATGCCTGTAGTATAATCTATCTAGATAAAGCAAAGAGAGTTCTTCATGAATTGGTTGTATCAAGTCCAGCAACATGAAGTTTCCATGTAACGATTTTGGATATTTTTGCCTGAAAAACGCCTATGAAAGAGAAGAAATGAAAAGAGGAAAAACCAAAAATAGCCATTAGTTTCAAGAATGTAGTCAAATCAGAATAGTAAAAGAGTAATATAGCAAAGCACAACAGAACAAAACATAATGGAGCAACATATATATAAAAACACAACAGAGTAGTAAAATAACAAAAACACAACAGAGCAAAGTACAACAGATCAAGTCTAATCAGCAACAAAAAAAAAAAAGGGAGAAAAAGAAAGACATTTTTGCAAGAAGAGAATTCCCCCTTCAATAAATGATATATACAGCAGAAGAAGCATTTCATTGAAAATGATGGGCATCTTGTACAGTAATCACAATTATTGCATTACACCTTGTGCTTTTTATGTCTGCAGTTGGTACAGAATCATCAAAAGCAATGACGCAGCCCTCCCGATATTGAAACCACAGAATCAAAATAACCAGATATTCTCGCCTACTTTATCATTATCTTCGTAAAAATTCTTTGGGTGTGAGAAAATTGGTAACTCTAACGTGGTAATTGTTCCCAATGGATGACCACGCTCCAGAACTTCTGTAAAAGGACTGTTAGGATTTATTTTTTTTGTTTCTCTTTTATGTGATTCTGGAACCAACAATACTCCACCAATGCAGCAAATCTTCCCATTAGAATATACGGTGGTGGATCCTATAGTCAGAAAATGTTCCGTAAAGAGCGGTCTAATCCTCATGGCGAAATACAACTTCCTCAAGATTCCTCGGGCCTCGATAGCGGCTTTGGAGTTCCGAGGTACCGTTTGGATATACTTGACTAATTGCTGACACAAAATCACCATCTCATCATCCCAATGGCTTGTAGAGAATGATCTGATTCTCGCACATAACCGTTCATTATTCAAATAACTTCGCAAGTTGGTATACGCCGTGACATCGTTAGAAGAACGAACGTACATAAACGTGTTAGTGGTCAAATCAAGGATGATGATACGAAGATATTTTTTCTTAAGGTTCCGAACCAATTGGCTTGCAATGTTGGTAGCATCAGGAAGGGTGCGTTCATTCAGGTGGTCCAATACATACCCGAAATCTTGCTGATGCTTTACTTTTTGAGATGAGTCTGACTGTTCATTGTGGGATGTGATGAAAGAGTTGTAAAATTTTGCCTTTTTCCTAGAATTCTGTAGTGGCTCAACTACGTATTCTTCATTAAACCCACCGGTGAATACCAAATATTTATCAATCAAAGAAATTCCGTGACTGGCTTTATCAAACTTGGTGGGGAAAATCTCGGACCGAGGAGAGCAATCAGCATTAAATGAATGACTCAAAGTTTCGATTTTCGACCATTGCTGGCTTTTAACGTTAAATTTCCAAAGATCTCCAAGAATGTCAACAAAGTTGCAACCACCATGGATAAGAACTGAGTAATCAGGTAATTTATTTTGTGGCTTGGGAGAGTCGGTTGCCACAGAATCAGAATAGTATTCGCCCAGTCTGATGTCCTTCAAAGCTTGGTCGTCACATAATGTTGAAGCATGGCAACTTCTGGCGCATGGTAAGGCGACATTATTTGGGATTAGAACCTCAGAAATCACCGCAGGGAATTTGAAATTAAGGTATCTTTGGCTGCCGGTTGGGGTATATTCTAGCTCAATTTTGTACATTTTGTTGGTACAAATTGGGACTGGTTCATTATCTACCGCTGGTAAAATGCTTGATGATTCAGTGACACCTCCAAACACATACATTTCACTTTTTGTCGAGACACCACAAGCTTCACAACTGGACGGAGAGGAAGTCAGTGACATAGTTGGAATAATGGTACATGAGTGACCTAATAATTTGAAATCTGACAAACCATCATGCATCAAGGGCACTTCGATGAACTCCATGAGACAAATATCCAAGATCCAAGCTTTTGTATTGTATTCAATGGATCTATCCAACATGATAACCCCATCATCCAACTCTGACTGATCTTCGGCGTATTCTGTGTTTAGAGTGAATCCACCAAAATAGAATATATATCGGTCGTTAATGACGGTTGCTGTAGCGCCACTAATCCCTTCTGGAGGGATATCCCCCATTACTTTCGGTATGGATATAATGTTACTTTCGATATTCAAGACATAGATATTTCGATTGGGGACGGTTTCTGGGTTATTAAACACCGAGCTTTTGAGGGGAAATGGATAGTTTTGATTATCTTTAGCTTTAAAATACGATGACGTTGTTTCGGCCACTGTGAAATTCTTGTTATCGTAGTAGTAGCTTACCAACCCGCCAAAAATGTAAATCTTCCCGTTGATTGCGGTTGAACAGTGGTGCATCAACGGAGGAATAGGAGACGGTCCGTACATTTTGGGGCAATACGTGACACTGATGAAATTTTCATGAGCTCCGTCAGTAGTCTGATGATTCTCAGAGTATACCGAAGCACTCGAGGGCTGCGAGGCAGGTTCTGGTTTGCAAGTATTGTATTCTAGAAAATCTAGATTAGAATTATCGGAAATGTCCTCCACATTTGAACTTTCTAAAGGTTTTAGATTTTCAATGTAATCTTTATATAATGGGAGCTGGCTTATAAGGTGAGTAAATGTGACATAATCCCCCTGTGGTATCCAAACTTTATGGTCTCTAATGTAGTTACAAATCTCATTATTGATTTTCGATTGGTAGATCTTATCGACCTGAGTTGAATGTACTAGACTAGAAAGAGTGCTGCTGTTATTATTGTCCCCATCATAATTCTCCAAGGCGTATTGTTGATCCACCTCGTATGCAAGCATCTGGAGAAATTGCAGTTTGGAAACCATTGGCTCGGGGTCCAAGCCATTAGATAGTAGAATACCCTTTATGGCCAGCAAAGTTGTTTCTGGAGTGCATTCTGTAGTTGATACCAGCGATAGAGGGTTGACATACACCAAAGGTAACAACCAAGGCTGTATGGGTATATATTTATTGTCGTTGTTCTTGGCGAGATATGTCATTGTTCTTTTTTTTTTTTTCCCCCGCCACTATTTGCCAATGGTGATGAGAACGTGGTTGAGTTGGCAGTCCTTTTTCCCAGTAATGCACAGCTAATAACTTTGTCCTGGTAAAGGAAGAAGGGAAACTTAGGTGGGTACACAGAAAATCCTGGCGCCGATGCAAAGGGGAGAAGACTGATGATGATGACAGCGTTGACAGAAAGGGTATTTTTTGACACGTGACTTTTCTCAGTTTCCGGGGAGACCTTATTATTATCATTATTGTACATTTACACCACATAGTGTTAGATCGCTCGGTTAGAGAATAATAGGATTATATATGAATAGTATCTGGAACATCCCAACAAGAAGCCTCGCAAGATGGTTGTATCTATACGGAAAGGCTTTGAGGGATCACAAGTGCTAAACGGACTCAGGCATCTCGAAGATGGCACCTATCATGAACTGTTTATTACTGCTGTTTGTTGAAGGGTCTGGTATTAACAATAATAATGCACGATGCGAGAGCATGAACAACAGAACATCGAATTGGTACTCATAATCTATAATATATATCCCTGCTGGCACACACACACACACACAAAAAAAAAAAAAAAGTAGAATAAATAATCATCAGTTCATCCAACATCTCAACATCAATACGTTTGTTTCATTAAGATTCCAAAATAAAAAAATGGAAAAGTAGTTTCTCAATTATATAATAGGTGATATATATCTCTATATATAACATAAATATGACTAAGCCTTGTTGGCAATAATATTAACTGAACAGCGATAATAACAGGAGTGAGAACAAAAAGAAAAAAAAAAAAAAATACCAAAATCAATAGTCACAGTAGCCAAATCAATAATAGACAACGACAGAAGACACATGCGTTCCAAACATATCATCTGCCTGAGAAGCATCACCAGTCCAATAATCCCCCCGGACAATAAAAAAAATGACGATGAAAAAAAAATCAACACATACACACCCACACAGAGCACAACTGATGAATCAGATCATTTGAAGTGAACGGCAATTGGCACAATAATCACAATAAGCAACACAATCACGGCAACAATCAAGCACATCTTCATCTTCACGTTTTGCCACCAGAAGTGTTTTCTGACATCATTAGCACCGCTCTTGAAAGCCCCTGCGGAAGTACGGAAGTCACTGGCTTGATTTTGCAAGCTATCAAGATTCTCACCACGTTGATTCACTTGGTCGATATTCTGTCTCATGATATTGACAGTATCATCGATCTCCTGTTGGACCTGGTTGATCTTGTTATTTGGTTCATATGGGTCGTAAGGCTGATTGTGGGACATTTTGTATTATTTAGACTTTGAATGCTGTTCTGCTTGATTATATCAGGGAAATAAAATAAAATGGCTTTTTGGTGATTTCAACAGGTACAAACAAATATGGTTGGCTGTGTAGTGGCACTTTTCCTTTTTTTTTTTTTTTTCTTGCCATGTTTTCGTTTGAGATTCTGTGTTTACGCCCGTTGCCCGGCCGCAGTAGATCCCCCAAAACATGAAGCATCCATGGGAAAGTTATTAATTTCTCCTACAGTTAATCAGACGATGGTATTATCATTAGTAAGATTGGCGGGATTAATTTATAAAATGATTCTAGATAAACAAGAAAACCAAACTATGAGTCGAAGGATAGAAATGCAAAAAAAAAAAAAAAAAAAAAAAAAAGCCACCAATAATCTCCATAGACTAAACAGTCTAAAAATAAAGAACAAAAAAGAAAAAAAAAAAAATATCAAAGAATGTCTGAACCACACATCCTTTTGAACAACAAACAGATCTCAGGAATTGAATTTCAGTTCAAGTCATCTTCCCATTCAACACACTTCCCCAACCAATTGAACTTTTTGCACTTATGCTCAACACTACTACTGCTAGTAGCCAGACAGGTAGTACAAGACTTATACTTCGAAGAGGATGGAACCTTGGTAGTACTTGTTTTGTACTTATCATCTGAATCGTCAACCACGTACTTCCAATTGAAACAATCCTGACATGGCGATGGCATACGACATTCAGCAGTCTCGTTATACTTCATGATCACATCATCAATAACCGCATGGATCCTATGATTGTAAATGCTAACCGACCACCCCAAATCTGTAACTGTATCATAAATGCAAGTTTTCCCACTGTGACATTGTGATTCCATAGCATAGCCACCAAGCGAACACGTAGAACTGGCCCCATTGCAAACCCCCATAAATATTGGGTCACCAGTGTTACCAAAGTGCCACACATGTTCCCAATCACTTGGAAGTCCTGGTGGTACAGGCAAGTGAAGTCTTTTTGTAGCAAGTAGATCACCAGGAGCTTGAAAAGTGACGGCTGGCAACCCGTAAGTTCTGGCTAATAAAGCAGATAAAGCTCCTCCTAAAGAGTGGCCAGTAACCCAAACGTTAGCTTTAGGGTAATGAGAAGTCACATTACGATACAAATCTAAAACCGCTTGGTAATATCTATCATCACGACGGAGTTCCTTTTCGAGACATTTTTGATCACAGGTATAAGAGCTTTTGTAACAATCACAAACTGTTGTCCAAAGGTAGCTGACCCTAGCACAACAGCAAGAAAATAAGAGATTGTCATTAATTTTATCGTTATTCACGGTATCACTACCATCTAATGTGGTAACTTCATCATTGTTGTATTCCAAACTTTCGATAATCTGAGCCCCATCAACATCTAATTTGGAAACATATGCGGCGCTGGTACCCTTGATGGAAATCACCACAATTGATTCATCTTCATTTACAAACACATGGCCTCTAAGACCGTCACTCATCCAGCCATAGCTACTCTCATTGTGCCAGGGAATACCAACATCCTTCCAATCTCCGGTGCCTGGCAAACCAACATACGCATTAGAAGCCATAATTGCCAAGTTCAAAACGGTATTTTTATCAGTAACGTTTGGCACCGGCGAAACTTCATCGATCCATTCAAGCTCCACCTTATTGATGTTGGCGATATCAGAGTGTATATATTTGAGATAAGACTCTATGGTATCGGGAGAACGATCTTCGAGTCGGCGAAATGGGAAAGCAGGATCAACATTTAAAGGGATTTTAGCAGTCCAGGGACTGACATCTTGAAAGGAATCTGGAACGCTCAGCTGCTGTAGATCAGAACCAGAGAATCTTTTAGCTTCAAGCTGGTGGCGACTTATGAAATCCGGGGTGATATCAAGCCGGCGATGCACTTTATAGTGTTCTCCTGCTCCATGGTGATAAATATGCTTTATCTGGAAGGTTTGGTTGGGAATGGAAGAAGTGGCAGCTGCTCCACTGTAATCAGGGTTCTCTGTATTTGCTTTTGAATGATGGGGCTGATATCCCGAGAGAAGACTAGATAATCGATTATCGACCTGACTTATTATAAAAAGAAGTGCTACCAAAGCAATTGTTTTGGGAAGACCATAGCTCATTTGTAATTAGGGGCGTTTGAATATGTATTTTTTTCTCTTTGGGTGTTTGTATTTTTATTGAGAAACCAGAACTACAGAAAGAATGTTGATAAAATTGGTATTGGAAAGAGGAAGAAGCGTTCTTTTTTTGATGATCCTTCCCGCTTCACACTTTTTTTTTTTGATAAGCTCCACGTGATAGAGGCTTACCAGATAAAACGTCATTTTCTAATTATCCCAATATATTAAAGAGCTATAAAATAAATATTGTATGTATAAGTTTGTGTTACCTATTTAAATTCTGCCTCAGTTTCGATAAGCGACTTCTTCAAAAGGGACACAATCTCATCGATAGTTTGCGCATCGACGTTGAAGTTTGGTGCCAAAATGATATGTTCACCAGCTTCCCCATCAATAGTACCATGACAAGGCATGATCCCAAGACCGTTCTTCCAGGCATTTTCTGTAAGAACATCGACAAAATTCAAGGATGGATCATAAGGAATACCGTTTTCTTTATCCTTCATGAATTCCACCGCCCAAAACATCCCTTTCCCTCTAATGTCGGCGACACTTTCCATCCCACCAATGCTTTCTTGCAACCCTTGTTCCAATCTTTTCGCCATTTTCTGAATGTTGTCATAAAGGTTATTGGTTTTAACGTATTTTTGAACCGCGTAGCCGGCAGCACAAGCGGTTGGGTGGGCTTGGTAGGTTTGACGACTCATGAAATTCCCACTACCTTTTTCAAGACAATCGGCAATATCTTTGTGCACCACAAGGCCAGATAATGGAAGATACCCACTACCAATGGACTTACCAAAAGTGGAAATGTGTGGAGAGAGTTTATGCCAGTCAGCTTCGTCGGCCAATTGCTCCCAAGCGAAAAAGGATCCCAATCTACCTGAACCGCACATGACTTCGTCAGTGACCAATAAGGCCCCATATTTTTCACAAACGGCCTTGACCCCTTCAAAATAACCAAGGGGTGGTAAAGCACAACCACAAGTACTACCGCTCATGGTTTCGGCGAAAAAGGCCAACACGGTATCAGGGCCGATTTCTTGGAATTTATCATCAAGTTCTTTAATCAATCTGGCACAATATTGTTCTTCAGTTTCGTCTTTTTCCTTGAGATGGAAGCTGAATGGGGTGCTAACTTTATGAAATCTTCTTTCATCGAACATTGCTTTGTAGTCTCTCATTCTGATTTTATGACCACTAAGAGACATGGCACCAAATGAGTTACCATGATACGATCTGTCTCTGGAAATGATATTGATTCTTTGGGGTTGGCCTCTTTCGACGGTGTATTGTCTGGCCAACTTGAGAGCGGTTTCGTTGGCTTCTGATCCAGAATTGTAAAAACAAGCTTTATCAAACCCAAGCTCGGCGTATCTAGGATGTTCTAAAATAATCTCTGCCAATTTTTCAGCGGAGTCAGAAGTGTAGGCGGAAGAATGAGCGTATTGCAAAGTGTTGAGCTGTTGAGTGATAGCATCGATAATTTCTTTATTGGAGTGACCGACAGAAGTAACAGCAGCACCTCCAACGGCATCCAAGATTTTGGACCCGTCTTCAAGATAGATGTATGGACCTTCAGCTTTGACCGCCAATGGGGGCTGACTTGTCAATTTTCTGTGAAAGACCTTTGTGACCATGTTTGTGAATAGAGGTAAGTGAAATTTGTTTGCTTGTAGTGTAACGGTTAGTTATGTTAGTTGTAATAATTAGAAACTTTCCTGTTGTTCGGAGTTTCGAGGTTATTATATAGTTGAATTATGCGGAAGAATGTCGGTGATTTTTCCGTCACTGATAAGCATGCGCAATCACTGGTACCATTTTATCTGGAAATCATCTCCAAAGTCTTCATTGAAAATAGTCTAGCAGCCTCACATTATGGAAACACTATATATATTGTTTACAATTGGGAACGAGTCTATTCACCACCAACCAATGTACGGTGTCATATTGAATCACAAGGGGGTTTCCCTAGGGATATCTATCGCCAACATAAAATCCCGCTCCACCCCCTATTTTCTCGGATCTCTTGCAGTATGGGGAGAGAAGTTATCGTTAGTCATTTCATTTCATTGCCGGTGGTTTGAATGTTTCGTACTAATCTAGAGACTCGCTCTACTGATTTTGAACATCCTTAAGAGTGTATCCATCTATCAGTAAATAGAATACCAAATGAATGTTCGAGTGAAGTGTTTCTTCCAAAGTAATGGCAATGTCTTATCTTTGGAAATCAATGGAAAGATAAGATGGGGTATTGCAATGTCAACTTGGCAATATTTCTAAATGAAAAATCTTTTCATAATTACATGGGAGTTTTGAAGTTGGCTCACTTTTCTAAAGAGAAAGACTAGTCCAGGGGTTGGATTGTTTTTTGTTTTTTTTTTATTTCTTCTTGTAGGTAGTAGAAAGGGTGGAAACATTCCTTTTCATCTTACATAGGCTACATCATATCGGCAAAATGTATCAAAGTAGTGGTGTGATTAAATAAGACGACGAAGTAAAAAGTTTTAAATGTGTTTTTAACTTTATCAACTACAAAATAATAATGTAGAAAGATAAAGCAAACTTCTGGGTAATAAAATAAGGATATGCAAATTGCAAATCATAAAAAAGGCATAATAGGAATCAAGCCCACGTAATCTCATCTAAGCATAAGTCACGAAGGTACAGAGAAATGAATGATAAATGTTTTGTGTGTAGAGTACTCATTCAGTGACTTCTTAAACTTTCATTTTTTAGTGTGTCACAGATATCATATTCCGGAATGAATATCTCCAAGAAAAAAAAAAAATTTCTGCGGCTATTTTTTTTCTTCTCATTTGCGATTATCAGAGAAATAGACGGGCGAGTGGAATTTTATAGCAGTACTAAAGCGTCGAGTATGATAACGAGTTGACCTTCTTTCTGTAGTTGTTGCCTTGGATTTAGGAGATATGCTGGGCACTTTTCCAACTTCACCATGATACCTAATTCCCGATTTATCTTCATTATGTTTATTACTGGCCGATGAAGTACACCTCTCATGATTCCCGCTAAAAGACAAAGTGCTTAAATCAGTCAAGAAGTAAGGATTATTGTCATCATTAAATACAATAGTAGTATCTGTTATGGATTTCGTTGGTGTGACCACCAAACAACCTTTTAAAGGTTGATTGGCTCTTTGGTTGTCATTGGAAAGTGTACTGGACAGCGAAGTACTGGATTGGATTCCTAGAAGATAACATTCACGCCCGGGATCCTTGATTATCATTTTTGTATATTGTTTGCCGTGATCGTAACTTTGGATGTTTATCTTTTTTTGGGTGTGTCAAAAAGGTGGGAGGGGTATCTTTAAATGTTTCAGGTATAATATGTGGAAATATTTGGCAGTTGCTCAACACAGGAAAATAAATATGGACAAATCAAGCTGTAAATAGGACAACAACAAAAAAAAAAAAAAAGTAGTGTACAGAAGTCTGACGTTTCTTTTATCATATACACTCATATATAAAGCCTCGGTGAACTGCGTTGTAATGAAAATAGCTTTAGGAGGATGTGTTCCAGAATATTTGGCTGTTATTCACTGAGGTATATCACAGACCCCACCATTCAATGGATATGTGATTAGGCACTGGTGATGATACTTTCGTTATTGTCATGTTGGGAAACTGTGCGGGTTACAAATACACCAGCACGTGTTGGGCGCATTTTTGTTGTTGTTTGTGCCAAGGCTGGATGGATTACAATCTGACCTAAATTGCAAAGGCTCCAAAAACACCTGCGCATTTTGCAGAGCTTACAAAAATTTTTTCTTAAAAAAACAAATCGTAGAATGGAATTCAGACTTTCTGTTTATGTCTCACTGTAAAGAGATTTTCTATAACCATCGCCATTGGTACTTTCGTTTGCACATCTTCTCCAAGGTCTGGATTTTTAAAGCCTGTTAGTTTGTCTTTGGCAATAATATAAGCTCTCAACACCAAAGCCCAAAAGCCAGACATGAAAAAACACAACCCAGCAAACATCGCCACCCAGGTATATTGTCCTGGCGCCTCCTTATGTTTCCTCAAGGATAAACCGATCACCGGAGACACCACCCCAGACGCCCCAAGAACCAGATATGCCATACCGTATGCCACTTGAAGTTTTCTTAATCCAACAATACGAGGAACGACAGCAGGAAGGGCACCAAGCACGAACCCTGCGATGAAGCCAATAACTATGCCAAAGACATACATGGTAGGCAAATTGCGGGCAGGAATCCACATTGCAAAACAGAGAAGGGATGCAAAGAAATAAATAAAGGTTGCAGTGGTCACTGGACCAAACTTATCACTGATCACCCCCGTCGATGGACGACCGATTATTGCCCCTACGTTGAACAACACAATGGTAATGGAACCTTGTCTGGCTGTATAACCAAGGGCAACCGTAGAGTTAGTCATACTGTATTGAGTGGTAACGTATGCCAACATAGTGAACATGAGCCATAATAACATCACAATAAATGGGAATGAAAAAAGAATTTTAGTGTCTAAGGGCTTGAATTCTGGTTTGATTTTTTCATTTCTGGTGCGAATCAATAAAGAGCAAACAGTACATACTGAAATAACCATAAATGATTGAATTCTTCTAGCCCATGCAACTCCCCATTCTTCAATAATCTTTTGAATAGCCAAATTGAACATGATTCCACCAAGACCAGTACCACTTGCACCCAATAATAAAGCTCTCGAACGATACTTTTCAAACCATTGAGGGATAATTACAGGAATAGGAGTGGATACTAGGGCAAGCCCAAACCCCATAAGGATCCCTTGACCTAAATACAATTGCCAAATCTCCTTGCAGTACGAGGATGTAAATAGGGCGACAAACTGAAATAATCCTGCAAGAAACACCACAAAGTTAGCAGAAGTGATCCCCACTAAGTACGTATTAACTGGAGCAAAAACAAACCCTATTCCGAAAGCTAGACCACCGATAGCGGCATAATCCACTGCTGATGCGTGGAATGTGTTGTGTTGAAGATAGTTTGATAGATAGATAGAGAAAGCAGTATTACCACCCCAGCAAATGAACGAGGTCATGAAATACGAGAAAACGCACATCCAACCCCAGAATGTCCCGTCAGGAATCGCAAAATCCTTGACACCAAAGGTTTCTTGAGTCATTGTGCTATCTGAGGGTTTTTCACCTATAAAGGACTCAGGATCATGTGTATATTCTTTGATCCCTCCATCATTCTGGGATTTCTTACCAGAGAGGTCTTGCAGAATTCTGTCAGCTATCATGTCTTAAAGCAAAAGCTGAGATAGTGAATAATCTCTGAAATTGCAATTCATAAATCCTTAATGCCTGATCATTCAATAGGGTATGCGGTTGTAGATTTATATATCCTTTTCTATTTTTTCTTTTTTTTTCTCACTTTTTATAGTCATACATGGTTATTGGGGTATATCACCACGCATTATTAAACCTTCTGTTGAAGTTGTCAAAAATGCTCACAGCTAGCAGGAGTCCGATAATTAATACAGACGTGTTGCATCAAAGTAAAATAAACAATAGCTGAGACACAGGAGTCCGAAAATCATACATTACAGATACATGTATGTTGTCGAGCCAGGCAGCAGGTGAGAGACACGGCAACCATATACGCAAATAGAAAGCACCATAAATGAGAATATGAAAATGAATATTCTCGCAAATGTAATGATAAGGTGACCAGGATGCATGCAGACAAAAAAACAAGCTAGTCTCCGGCAATAAGAGCAGGGAGCCTGAGCCTGAGCCGGAGCTTGAGATTGGCTTCGAGTGCTGGCAATGGCCTGGATGAGGTGTTGCTATAATTACAGGACATTCGTCCTTATCTTACATAGTTGTTGAGATACAGCTAGGTACTCTATAGAGTCGGTACGATAAAAAAAAAACAAGATGTCTATAGAAAGATGAATTGCAAAGCTAAAAAGACACAATTGCCAATTAAAAATGAAAAATGGAAAATGGAAAATGAAAAAAAAGGGCGTAAAAAAAGAAAAGAAAAGTCTATGAAAAATATCTATTTGCTAACCGATAATACCCGCTCACAATCCATGTTCTTCTTCTTCCTCTTCAAGATTGGATTTCAGTTTGGTTTTCGTAGACTTATGAGTAGTGGTCGGAGTGTCAATATGAACAGACTCGACAGTAGGAGTGTTGATGTGAACGGAAACTGTTGGGGTATTAATATGAACGGAACCAACGGCCTCCGTGGTGTCGATTTTTACGGATGTTGCAACCTCTGTGGCTTGGGCAGTGGCGGTAGCACTAGTAATAGTCACTCCGCTGGATGCTTTTTTTATTGCTCCGGCAGCATCGACGGCTCCAGCGGCACCAGCAATCTCAATGGCTCCATCTTCAAGTTCCTTGTTAGCTGAATTAGTGGCCTTGGTCGTGGCAGTTGCAGCGGAATCATCGGCGACCGTTCCAGTAGCAGAGCCGGTGGTAGTAACAGAGTCAGTAGCGGTAGCAGAATCTGTTTCACTAGCGGACGAAGACTCACTGGAAGTACCGGTGGCAGTGGCAGTGGCGACAGTAAAAGTCGAACTGGTGATCATCACCGGACCTTTCCCAGCAATGACCGATCCAGCACCTCCAGGAACCACAACGTTGGATTCAGAGACAGATCCCACTTTAAGAGCTGACAGAATAGTACTGGATTGGGCTAATCCGATGGTATCCAACTCATAATCATAATAAACATATGCAGCGGACAAAAATGGAGCCCCCAACACAAAATCTTCACCTCCCATAAGTTTAGTGACACAATAGTCGCCATACCCTGTCGTGGTAACAAGCATTGAATAAGGAACAATGATCGATTGGGTACCCACAGTGATGATCAAATCTGCACCATAGCCGTTTTCTGCTGCTTTTTCAGTTTCTTCTTCTGCTTCTTCTTTTTCGGTAGTTGAGGCTTTCTTAGAGTTTTCAGCGGCTTCAGCTTCCGCAGCTTCTATCGTAGCGAGACATGGCCCTAAATATTTGTTGAGTTCGGCATTGTATGTTAATCCAACAAACTTGGTTCCCACAGGAACGTTAATAAATGGCATTCCGGTATCAATAAATGTCTCTTTGGTCAGAATAGAAACGACATCTTTCCCGTATTTCATAGAGGAAATAGTGAGCATCAATTGGTATTTTTCGGAATCGGCGATCGCTTGATGAATCACCATGTCGCCGCTGAATTTTTTGGTATCAACACCGCCAAATAAGACTCTCCCTTGAGTCTCACCCGTAACATACGCTGCATTATTACGGAACACCCCAATGGAATTCTTACCAATGGTTCCTTGAGATTTCAAACTCCCAATCCATGTTTCGTGGCTGGTCCATTTATCTACCCCAGCACCAAAGATCCCGAATGTTGAACTTGTGTAAGCCCATCCAAAGTCGGCTTTTTTAATAGAAGTTCCTTGATCCAACTTCACAGTGTCACTAAACCAATCACCAAGGGCCCAATTTATATTCTCACCACTTCCATAGAATTCATCCATGATTTCCGATAAATTACTTTTCGTAGAAGAAAGAGTAGGATTCCAGCTGTATATGTCGCTTGATTTACTACCTTGCAACGTCAGATTTCTCAAATTACTAAGAACAAGAGAATAAGCAACGGTTCCTGTTTGCAGCGCCTCCAAAACTGTGTTGGTAGAACCAGTACCCGAAAGCAAACCACTAAATAAGCCACGTTTGTTGATCATCAGGCTGAGGAATTTCCCAACAGAATTGGTGACAAGAGTAAGGCCATCAGTGGATGGAGTATATTTAGCGCCCATCCCAAAGATCAGGGGCACCCAGGAATCACAACTTCCTGTATCAAGCATCATAACAACCGAATGGCCAGGAGTACCAATCAGAACTTTATTGAACACATATTGGCCAACAACGATTAAATCCGACTCAAGGTATCTTGAAGTGGTGGTTGTTCTTTTCAGAAGCTCTTGAGCATAACCTGGAAGCTCTGTTAAGCCATCAGAGCTAGAATCATTTGCCTTAAAATAGGCTGGGGCACCAAGGACATTATGGGCTTGAAGAAATAAGAGGATAAGGATCTGGAAGCTTAAACTGTACGATAACATGGTTTGTTTTTTTCACACTTGTCCTTTTTGGCCAGCAAAATAGACAAGAGTAATTAGTTATTATGTGCGATCCATATTAAGCATTTTGGAAAATAGAAACTAGGAAATTGAACCATATATTTATATATTTTCTCTTTTCTTTTTTGGAATATTTACGAATCGCATTGCGTGGCGCTATATGTTTTATTAATTATGGCGATCCGTTTTTCATTGCAGGGCGATGCGAGGGTGCAGATTTTGGATTTTCCGGAGTTTTTTTTTTTTTTTTAGTGTGTTCACGAATAAGAAGAGGGATAGATGGCTGATTCCGTACTTTATAACAATATTTATTATCTTTGACCTCAATTTAGATATAATATAGCATAGCCCGGCAGATATTGCTGCGATTATTCTCAAATCATTCGGTGATAGCACCATTCAACACGCGGCTGTAATATAACAACTATCAATACGCTGGAATAAATCACAACAATATGATCAATAGCTACGGGAAGTAATTAACTCATTTTTCTCAGAAGTATAGGAACAATGGGGAGTTGAAACGTCGTACTATGATGTCTCGGTACCAACTAATGGTAAGTCGGAGTTACCATAGTCGCGTCATGTAACATTTTTTTTTTCTGACACGCATCCTTGATGGTAACCCATTGGGTGTTATAACAACGACTTATTTGACTGATGATTGTTTAGTATTGACTTATTTATGGATATTTTCCAGAGAGAGATGTCAATTTACGAGAAATAAAAACAAAAAAATGCCAGACTTGCTTCATTTAATTACGAAAAATATACTTTGTGAAAGAAAAAGTCAGAAAATTTTTACCACCATAAGTACACACCTAGAAACTAAGTACTTCAATTGGACTGTAACCATAAGTTTGTTTTACAGTTTAGTAAAATATATCCAATAAACTCAAATAAGTCGTTTTTTGAGCATTCCAAAGCCATAATTCAGAATCATCAGATGAAATAATGAATTAATTAATGGGAGTGCTGTATAAAACTCAAAGTGAATTCCCCATAATCGTCACACGACCAAAATTGATAAAACGATAAATAAATAAACAACAGATAAATTAATTCATTGAAACTAGAATTTAACTAAAATAGGCTGAGCCAGCTCACAGAAATTAGAATTTCACTGAAAGTAAAAAGGGTCTCATGCTAAAGTATTTTCAATGCGATTCAAATGAACAAAAATAATAATGCCAAACTAATTCCTGAGAAAAAAACAACAACATAATAATGACCTCGTAGTTCCTAATGAGAATGCTTATTTCTTATGAGAATACTGTCTTCCTTAAAAATCAACCTACAAAAATTCATGAAATATAATTATGGAAATATAATAACAGCCTGCCAGACTAAATTTGGAAAAGAATCCTCACAACTAAATGATAAGAAAATACTTTCCTGATATTACCATACATTTTAGGATCTATTAATTAATAAAACGATCATTCTGATTGTAATATACATCTAATCCAAGTGAAAAACTTTCCCTCTCAAAACTAGGAAAATTGAAAAGCGAATGAATAGGTTTTTGATAATACAGTTATGACGGTCTGGAAATATTGAATCATAGCGAGATCGCGTAACCAACATTTCAACCCCAATAGCGAATGTTTCTACCATTAAAAAGAAAACAGTGTCATTCTATCAAATCTTAATTCTTTCATAATTCAAAAAAAAAAACAGAAGCAAAAACAAAAACCCAAAATTCTTGACAATTAATTGTTTCTCCCCTTCGAGGATCCAATTATCACTTCTGTCCCAAACTGCTGGTATCATCCCATTGTCACACCCGGGTAACATCAACGATCCATCCCAAGGAAAAAAAAAAATCCACCAACGACAACACGAATGAACGATAAAATGAGTACCAGATCTAACACACCCCAAGGGACCTTTAGAAAAGTATCATGTCACTCAATGATGCCCTTGGCCAGTTGGCCCTTTACGAAAGTAAATCGGATTTCCAAAAAGTTTGTGAGGTGGGCGCCCAACTTTTACGTCAACCGAATGCCAAATTCGATATTTCAGCGTTCCAACAATGCGTGGTCACCTTGATTCAGAATGACCAATACCAACTCGCTTTGAAAACAATACAATCGCTTAAGACCAACGAATCTAAGAAAAGTGTGGTTCCTGATGCCAACTACTTACTGTTTGAAACCTTGTACGTCCACTACAAGTTGAATCACAACCAGGCATTCGAGGAAACTTTCCAAACAATTGATTTATCTACTATTCAATCTCCTGTGGTCAAGAGGGCTTTATTGCACCTCAAGGCGCAACAGTTTTACAAGTTGGGATATTATAACAATGCTGTTGCGGTATATGATGTTTTGATCAATAACGATTTAAGTAATTTGGATGATGCTGATCTTACAGTGAACAGTAAGGCGATTGCTTCTCAACAACAATTGCTCGCGGTAGAAATGTCCGAGCCAGACAATCTTATGGATGAGGACCCAAGTGAGGCTGATTCTTACGATTTGTTATTTAACGAGTCGTTGATGCAGTTCAATGAGCGTCATTACACCAAGGCATTGGAATTTTTAAGTTCTGCCAAAGACAAAGCTGAGACCTATAATGCTAATGAATCATTACTCGATGTGTTTTTAGAAGTTGCCCCAATGTATTTACAAACCTCTTATATTCACGGGATCTTGAATGCCAAAGAAGAGGCTCTTAGAGTCTTGCAGGAGTTTCATGCCAAATTCGAATCGGTGTTGTCTCATCCTGATGCTAAACTTTTCAGATTGATTTATCTTAATAATTATTATTCTTTGGTGTCTAACAAAGGTGATGAAAGTATCATCTTGAACAATTTTGGCTTTACCGAAGCGATCAGCGCCTTGAATAAGGACAACAAGTTTTTGAAGTTCCAATATTATTTATTGAAGCGTAATGAAGCTATCTTCAATTTCAAAATTGGAAAGAAAGTTTCCATCACCAAAGAGTTGAATTATGATACTTCTTCTGCCAGCACAGATTTCAAGAGAATTTTGGATACAAAAGTGATTGACGATAATGAAAACTATGATTTGACAATTTTGGGATTGGCATGCCTTCAAGAATCCGGAATTGCCATTCTTGATGATTTGAACGTTGATGAAGAACTGAAATGGCAAAGAGTTCCTAAACAATTTTACAATTACTTGGTATCTCAAGTTGCTAAAATCAATAGTGACTCCATTTCCCTTACTAAAGCCAAGAAATTGATTGCAGGTACATTATTATCGATCCAGCTTCTTGTTAACCATTCAACCGACGCTAACTTGAACTCTCATTTGAATAATGGGATCCAGCTTCTTGAGAAGCTTTTGGCAATTCCAAAGACTCAACAGATCTTGTTGGCTTCATACTTTGGTATCATCACATTATTGGTGAGTTTGTATCAATTAACCTATAACCAAACGTCTTATCTTACAAAGTTCCAAAAATTATACGATATTGTTTATGAAAACTATTCGTCGTTTGAAATCACCAATAAATTCCAATATAATTTCCTTAAGAAACTCAATTTTGAATTCTTCAACATAAACGTCAACAATCCTGATGAAGTTACCAGATCCACCAACAACAAGAAAATCATTAGTGTGTTTGACACTTTGCTTGCCTTCCAACCGAATGATAAGCTTGTGGGGATTCTTAAAGCCGAACTAACTAATGAACAACAACAAGAGGACACCGAATCTTTATTGATCCCTGTGGAAGAACTCACTTCGGAGCTTGATTTCACCCAAATCACCACCGAAGGATTGAATAAGGTACTTGCTGAATATGCTAGTGGCGCTGGTAGTGCTGCGGCAGCCCAAATATTCAAGAAGAAGGCTAAACGTGTTAGAAAGATCCCTCAACATCCATCAAAGGCTGCTGCCGAAGGGAAACCATTAGACCAGGAGAGATGGTTACCAATGAAGGACCGTACCTATTATAAGGTGAGCAAGAAGGATAAGAAGAAGATGAAGCAGGCCACCCAGGGGGCACAAGGGGGATCTGCGGATCATACTACTGAAGAAAGTGGGATTACTGGCGGTGGTGACAATAGGGTTGGTACCAGCTCTGGTGGTAGTAAAAAGAACAAGAAGAAGAAGGGTGGGAAACGGAAATGAAGAACCAATATTTTGATTTTTCTTGTTAATTGAACTATTATAATGAATACCGAAGATTTTTTTTTTTCTGATCATCTTGATAATATTATCTTGTAGGTGGATTGTCGTAGATTTGAAATGAAAATAACAAACAATATCTCATTTTGAGATATCCTCCTATTATAGAACAAGTGGAAAAAGTTTTAGGCATTTTACAGACTTTGGCAATAAATCTCAACTTGATTTGCCTTTTAGAATCCTGCTGAAACCAACTTGCGATTTCAGTAAAACAAAAAAAAAACAAAACAGGTTGTAATAAACTGTATATATTACATATAGTGTGTGCCGTGAAGTGTCCCACAAGACTAAAGCCTATCCTCTAAATTTAAACAAAAAATACCAAGATTAACGACACTTCCCAATAATACAGGTTAAATTTGAACTATTGTTTACGAGCCCAATGATGATAGGTACCATACGAATATGATTATTTTTTTTTTTTTTAAAAAAAAAGGGACAATCTATACCAAGCAAAAAAATATCAACCCAATGAAGCTAAAGAAGTAAATGTAAATGTAAAAAAAAAAAAAAAAATAATAATTATGAAAAGAGAATATATATACCAATGAAAAAAAAATATCCATCACATCTTGGCTGGATTTATGATCCAGTCTTTTGGAGAAGCCATTCTCAAATGATGCAAAGCTCTAGCATCATTATCCCCCATGTTCATGATATTCAACTTGACTCTTTCTCTTTCCCAACTGAACAAATCCCTCAAGAACTCATCCCCTTCACCCAAAATGGTATCCTTGATGACTTTGCCTATAACACCAAACATCATGAACGCATGACCTGAATCGCCACACCCAACAAACAACGAATTGTCTTCGTAATATGGACAATAAGAGATCAAGAAATCGTTATCGCAAGTATCCGAGTACCAACAGAGTCTGGTCTTAGAAATTCTATCGAGTTCAGGAAGGTGTTCACGAACGAAATTCTTGATCAACGTCAAGCCAAATAACGGAACGTTGGTTTCTCTATCTTCGGTGTACGCGGTCTTCACCTTGGAGTTGACATTACCCGATGGATTAATCCATTTGGTTCCACGGTACCCGATCTTCATGTATCCTTGGTTCACCGGGAATCCATAAAGACCCCCCATGGCCCCATCACGGACTTTATAAGTCCAGGCAGGGAAATTATTTGGCGAGAATCTCTCAAGATGTTTTGGATCATCGACTTTGAACAACGCCACGGTCCCCCCAGTGGCCTCAACTTTTTCCCCGGCTTCAGGAACAATTTGTGCGGTCCAGGCCCCGGAAAGCACCACCACGGTTTTGGAGAAATGAACCTCGCCATTCTTGGTCTTGATCCCCACACATTTCTTACCACCGGTAGTCTTGTTGTATTCCATCAATAAAGTTTGGATTTCTCCGGATTTCTTGCCAAAATGAGGATGGAAAGAAGAACCTCCAACACGTTGACATAAAGTCAATACCCAACGACACATTTTTTCAGCCACCATGATCCCCCCGGTGGTATCGACAATACCTTGTAAATGGAGACCTCTTTCCTTCGCCAAAAACGGATCTACTGAAGCTTTAGGCAAACCTTTTTTCATGGCTTTTTCCTCAGCATCGGCATCAGCAACACAAATGGCTTCATCACCCATGGATTTCAAGGTCGCTTGTTCAAATGGTGGCAAAGTCTTTAAATCGGTCAAGTGGATGTTACCGGAGTTGATATACACAGGCTCACCGCCTTCCCAGTTTTCCTTTTTAATCATCTCGTTCCATTTGAGGAAAGTGTCTCTGCTAGCAAGGGCCATCTTTTGATAATGGACCTGATCACCATAAGAGGCACGGAAGATTTTGTTCATATCGGAAGAAGCACTATCACATCCTTTGAAATACGAGTAGGATTGGTTGAAATAGTCATTTTTGTCAAATACGTGGATGTCGGTGAATCCAGATTCGAGGAAAGCAAGAGCAGTAGAGAGACCATATACTCCGGCACCAACGATGATGATTTTATCGGACTTTGCAAAAGGCATTGCTGATATATTTCTTTTTTTGTGTTTGGATTGATAATGGCTGTAGATCAGTTGATTTGGAAGGTAAGAGCAAGTGATTGGTATATATGTAAACAGGAAAGGTTGTGTGAAAAGTATATAAAGATCAGGCAATTTTGAGGAAATGCGAGAAGGATATCAATGAAGAGTTGACTCGCGGAACTTTTAACATTTTTTCACTTTGGTTATCGCTATGCGTCGGGGGAAAGCGTGCGTCTTATCTTAGTTTCCCAATTAGGCAACCGGGAAGGGCCGACAATCTTGGCTTTTTGTCCTGCCTTTACAGATTAAGTAAATATTCCCAGAGTTCTGGCAGTCTGTCAGCCCAAAGATAAGGCTCTTTAGCGTTGATTCATTTGGCATTAGTTGTTGTTGTTGGTGCTCGCTGTGCTATTCCTTATCTTATTGACCTGTGGCGGGAATGTCAAAGTTTAGTTTGGAGTAAAGTAACTTAATCAATAAGCATTATTAATTTTGAAGCAATTCCCCGTATCTGTTGATGAAAGAAAAACTGGATTGAGGAAATCTGTCGGAAATTTAGGCATCTTTTTCTTTTTCTTTTTCTTTTTTATTTTTTTTTTTTCAATGATTAGGCGAGATGTCCCTTACGAAATTTCAAGTTTAAACTCATGATAATTATATCACAAATACCAGCACCATTAAGGATGACAAATTGTAGGATTACGAGAAAGTCTATTGGATAGAGGATTCTTTTTTTTTTCTCCTCTCTCCATAAAAGGTGGAAGTTTCACAGTACCCAGATAGATTTTTCAGTGCCAATGTTTCTACACCCTTACACCCTTATTAAGCGATCCAATCATCCGTCAACCATCGACAAAGAAGCATAATACTGTACCACCCCTATATAAATAATAGAACCACAACGTCGCCAAAAGGAAAATTGGCTACCCTTTTGTGTAGTTTTTGCTTATCAATAATCAGAGAAATTCACACGTGACTATTATTACCATTTTTGGTAGGTGACGACCTTTTGGATTATTATTATTATTTGTAAAACAGCCTACACAAACATAAAAAAGCAAATCAGGCATTATTACAGTAGGTAAAGGAAAAGAGTCTATAATAATTAATATTTTTGGTATACTGTGAATTTTTAAATGATAATATGATAATATGAACTGTGGAAACAGAATGCAAAATGTCAACAAAATCTATACCCCTTTATATGGGTTTTTCTGTCTGATGGCAGCGCCATACTTGTAGAACACAAAGGGAATAGGAACCATCCCCAAAGCAATAAATCCAATGACACTAGCACCCCAGTGCACTCCGAGATTAACAAACAACTGTTTGGCGAACAATGGATAGCTGGCGGCGAAAATCGATCTTAAGAACGTGGCACAGGCAATGGCACTAGCAGAGTACTTGGTGTAAGTATCGACCAAATAATTCAAACTTCCTTGGAAAATGAGAATAAAGGAGAACCCAATACAAGAAATCCCAATACACGGCACGACCCAATGTATATTTGGCGACGAAGTCCAAGCAAAAATGAAAATCCCAGTGGGCATCAACCAGGCTCCATACATGAGAATCGGGAACCGTTCTTCAGGAATCGGTTTGAAGTTGTTGGCTCTCAAGAGTATCCCGTATTTTTTCGCCCAGAACATGTTGGCAACACACCCGCTGACCACCCCAATAAACAAGGAAATGTTGGGTAAAGTCGAAATAGTGCCTTCCCAACCTCTGGTGAGGGTGAATGATTCGGGCATCGTGGTGATGATCAAGTAGAATACCCCGTAAACGTAACTGGCGAAAAGGGTGATGGTGAACACGATCGGGGTAACCAACATTGCAAAAGGTCTGACTAAATGTACTGAAGCAAGGTCTTTGAAATCCAACTGCCACATATCAAGACGACTATGAATCTCCCATTTATTTTCTTGGATTCTCATTTTTTTCGCTTGTTTTTGCAACAACACTGGGACATAAGTTTCATCAAGTAATATTTCACATATCACAAACAACACCACATTCAACAACCCTGAAAAATATTGAGGGATTCTCCATGCTGACGGTTTATCTTCACTATACATCAACAACGATGCGATGGTTGGCCCATAACTTGGTCCCATAGAGACAAATAACGCGTACACTGCAAAATATTTCCCACGCACCGAAGCATCAGGGTACAAATCAGCCAATACTCCCCCAGCCGACACAATTGGCGCTCCTGCGAAAAACCCCGACAAAAATCTGAAAATCATCAAGCTGGGGACGTTGTAACAAGTAGCCACTGCGAACGTGAATATGGCAGAACATAGAAATGGAATTAACACTCCGATTTTACGACCGTAAACTTCAGATAGGGGAGCAAACACCATTGGTCCTAGGGCGATCCCCAAGATATAGAGGGAGGATGTGAGCAATGAAACTTCTCTTTCTATCCCGAACTCTTCGTTAATAAGGGTGGAGAAAGAGGCGGTTGACATGGCGGTGGAGTCTAGTTGAGCAGCAAAAGTGGTGAGGCCGAAAAGTACGGTGTGATATAGTTTTTTCTTCTGGGACCAGTTTCCTGGTTTGTCAGGATTGGAAGGCTCGTATTCCAATAGACCTTCTTCATTGATGATGTACAATTTTTCATGGTCGGAGTATTCTTCAGAAGTGTGGATTGATTCAGAAGGTTCTTTTGATTTGTCCATGGTTGGTTGATAACGAGAGAGCAGGGAACGAACACAACAAAAACAAAACAAAACAAAACAAAAAAAAAGTGCAAATGAAAGAATCTGGGTCTCAAAGGCTTATCATGAATAATTTAAAATTTGTCTTGGTATTTTCGGTATATTTCAATGATACGAAAAGAGTTCCCCCAACGAGAGTTTACGGAGTAGCTATTGCAGAGATAAGAGAGCCCTGGAAATACTCGCCATGTCCCACAAGCACCGGGCACTTTGTATGGCACACCCTTACACCCCCACAGTGTCCTCATACTGCGCTGTTGCACAAAAACAGGGAATCAGCGATGCCGGTGAAAAATTTCTGTTGTGAGCCCCGGGGATGTCGGAAAGTTTACTCTGCCCCCCCAATCGAGAAGATACAGTGTTTTCATTTTTAATTCGTATCAACCACCGGAAATGTTCATACCAGTGGCAAAAAATAATTCATACCGACTTCCGGTATTTTTCGTACCACCGCAGTGGGATTTATTCAGACCATCTAAGAAAAATAGTTCATACTATTGCACTTTAATTATTCATACCAACAGTATATAAAATTCATATTAATTCCTTTCTTTTTTTAAGTGACTGGCTCTATAAGCCTCTAAGCTACTCAGTTTAATCAAATTATACTCATTTTTTCCATAATTCTGTGCTACTTTCTTTAAAACCGGATATCTATAATAATATCAATAATATCACGTGATTACGGTTTTCAAGAAATGGGAACGAATGTATGGTAGGAGCTGTTCTCCATTTAAGATGATGAATTCCCACTTTTGACATTCAATTCGGTCTTTATATGATCACCAGATTACTTACAAAAAAAAAGCATAAGCTTTTACTATCAAAACTAAGTATGGACTTGAAAGCCAAGCTACTAACTGATGGGTATGTTGATGGCCTAGGTAATAGATTCTATGCTGAACCCAGTGAAATGACTTTAGAGTCTGAAATAGCACCAGTTGAAGCTTGCTTTAGTTACAGTGACTATAAGCATTTTGAAAAACCAGGTATCATGGATATCATGGAAATTGATCCTATTTTCGAAGAAGAAGAAAATGCCGAGATGGAAATTGAAATGAAAGAACGAAGATATAGAGGTTCGTACCGGTATTATAATCAAGCTGTCAAACAAAGATTTTGGCACTTGGTCATGGAAGAAGGTGTATCAGCTTACAAGGCTGCAAAATTAGAAGATATACCTTTGCAAACTGCTTACACATGGAAAAGAAAGTGGAACAAAATACTTGTCAATGAATTAAATGGTATCTCGAAGCCAACAAAGAAAAGAGGTCGTAAGCCCCTTCTTACTGGTGAGCATAAGGAATTCCTTCAAAAATTGATAAAGGAGGATGCTACAGTGACTCTCGATTTTATGTTGGAGGGACTCAAGAAAGCCTTCACCAATGTGAGAGCCAAGGCTACAACAATCTATAACTTTGTAACCAAGGTCTGTAAGCTAAGTCTCAAACGTATTTCTAAATGGGCTTTGAGAAGAAGTCTGGAGGAATTGAAGAAACAGAGACTCGAGTGGGCAGAGAAGTATAAAGACAAGCTCGACTTTAGTCAAAACTGTATTTTCATCGACGAAGCAGGTTTCAATATCAGTATGCGGCGTGAGTATGGATGGTCTGCTGTGGGTGAAAAAGCAGTTCTTACTGTTCCCGTAACCAGAGGGCTTAATATTTCGTTCATTGGGGCAATTTCTGTCAAAGGTTGTATTGAATTAAAGGTCAGAACTCCAGTGGCTACATCCAATAAGAAGAGAAAACTTGATTCAGAAACGACCATTGACAAAGTGAGTAAAGGTACTACAGCTAATCACTTCTACAGTTTTGTAAAGTCAGTGATCCAGCAAATAGAAAATAACGAGGAGCTCAAAGGTATGAAATATTTGATCCTTGATAATGCTGCCATTCATAAACGACGTGATCTTCAGTTACTAGTGGCACTGAGTGGCTTGGAACTTGTGTTTTTACCTCCTTATTCTCCAGGGTTGAATGCTATAGAAGAATTCTGGTCAGTATGTAAGAGTAAAGTCAAAAGATCAAACTTGAGCAAGAAGGAGCAATTAACTCCAAGGGTGAAAGAAGCCACAGAAAATATTTCCCTTGATAGTTACAAGGGATTCTGCAGACATGCTTCTAGACATATTGATCTCTGTTTACAACAGCAGCTCTTTTGAAAACAAATACCAAAGATGAAGAAAAAAAATTAGAAAACAAAATACAGAAAACAAACCAAAAAAAAAAAGTAAAAACTATAAAAAAAATTACATAAAGACGCAACAAAGCTCCAAAACAAATTAATGAAAATTTAAAATTTTAAGGAAGGACGAAACCACACCAAAATTTGGTTATGAGCCTTTGAAATGGTAAATGAGTATTGCAAAGGGGCTTTATTGGGTGTGCGGGTCCCCTGTAACATGTTTAATAATATCAAAGATAAAATATTAATGAAAGCATAAGAATTTTATGCATTTAGTATGAATTTTGTATTCTGTTGGTATGAATAATTAAAGTGCAATAGTATGAACTATTTTTCTTAGATGGTCTGAATAAATCCCGCTGCGGTGGTACGAAAAATACCGGGGGTCGGTATGAATTATTTTTTGCCACTGGTATGAACATTTCCGGTGGTTGGTACGAATAAAAAATGAAAACACTGTAATCTCCAAGTTTATCTCGATAAGATAATCGAGCACTAGGTGAGCTCTCTATTAATGTCATCTTCTTATCTGAACAATAGATAATGCATCGCCCGTTGCACCCCCAATTACAACATCCCTACCCCCCACCTCTGGGCGTCGATTACTTAAATCGTCCTGCTCCTCTCAATTTCCATCAACTGTTTTTTTTTCTCTTCTTTTAATATCATTATCACAATACAAGTTTTTATAACCAATGTCCGATATCAAAAAATCTACTGATATTCAGCACACCATCAGCATTGCTGGCGGTGAATTTGCTGATGCCGAAAATGTTCTCTCCACCGTTATTTCTCCAAATGGTCAAGAGATTCAAATCAACTTCAACGATGTCGATGAGGCCATGAAATATGCCGACGACGCTGCCGGAATTGAAATCCCTCCTCAAGAAGAGAAAAAGCTCCTTCGCAAGATCGATTGCGCATTACTCCCAATTATTGCCGGTTTGATGAGTTGTAATTTAATGGATAAGACCACCAGTTCTTACGCCGCCTTGATGGGGTTGAAAACCGACTTGAACATGACCGCCAAGGACTACACCTGGGTTGGGTCATCTTTCTACTTGGGTTACTTGGTGTTCCAATACCCTTCAACTATTTGCTTGCAAAAATTCCCACTTTCCAAGGCCTTGGGTACTATTGTCGTCCTTTGGGGTGCCATCTTGATGCTTCACGCTGCCACTAGCAATGCCGCTGGTTTCATTGCTTTAAGAGTTATCCTTGGTGCTTTTGAATCCGCTATGAGTCCAGCTTACATTCTTCTTACTTCTCAATGGTGGAAAAAAGAAGAACAATTCATGAGATCTTGTATTTGGGTCGGTATCCAAGGTCTTGGTACTCTTCTCGGGGCCGGTATTTCTTATGGTTTGTACACCCACAGAGGGGTCACTGGTCATGCATTTGAATCTTGGAGATTACTTTATATTATTACCGGTGTGATCACCATTGTTCTTGGTTTTATTTCCTTGATTCACGTCCCAGATATTCCAACCAAGGCTTGGTTCTTGAACTCTACTGAAAAGAAATACGTTGTTGCAAGAATTAGAAACAACCAACAAGGTTTCGGTAACCACCACTTGAAGATGAAACAAGTCAAAGAAGCATTCAGCGATGTTGCTTCTTATATTTTGTTTTTCTACGGTATGAGTTATGCTATTCCAAACGGTAGTTTCACCAACTTTGGTACCATTTTGCTTCATCAAGATTTCGGTTTCACTTCTGCCCAATCTTTGCTTATGAGTTTTGTCGGCGGTGGTATTGATGTTATCTTCCCACCACTTGTCGCTCTTATTTGTGGCAGATTCCTCGGTAACAGAAGATTGCTTGCCGCTATCATTGTCAACTCTATTGTGTTTGTTGGTATGTGTCTTCTTAACTTCACTCACCACAAGGGTTCTAAATTGGCTGGTTACTTTACTTTCTACATGGCCACTGCTGTTTTGGCTTGTGTGGCTAGTGTCGTTAGTTCTAATGTTGCTGGTTCCTCTAAAAAGACCACTGTTACTACAATTTATTTTATTGGTTATGCTGTTGGTAACATTATTGGTCCTCAAACTTTCACCACCGCTCCATATAACGGTGCTAAGATCGCCATGTTGGTGTCCTTTGCCGTTGGTACTGGTTGTTTGACTTCATTGTATTGTATCTACATGAAAAGAAATAACCAACGTGATGCTCACAAGCTCGCAATGGGTGATAAATATGAAGTCCCTGAAAACATTGAATTCACCGATTTGACCGATAAAGAAAATCCAGAATTCAGATACAGTTTGTGATTTAGTGATGGGTCTACTTTTCTGTTCTTTTATCTTGCTCTTTTTTTTTTTTGCGAAATGTTGGTATGTTGTTAGGTGTGCTGTTTAGTTTTTTATCTCCTTTTTTTTTTATGATATGTTTGAGCTCTCTCTTTTTTTCTATTTTTATTTTACTTTTTCAATCAAACTTTTTATTATTTCGTTATTATATTTTTTAGTAAACTTCTGTTAAATAGATGCTTTTTATCCATTTTAGTTATTATACTTGAATTTTGTAATTCATTTTATGCTCTGGAAATTCAATCCAAGAAAATATAATAAAGAGTGAATTGATAGATCTAAATCCAAGAACCACTTGAAAATTTGTTGAAAATATTGAAGATGTTGAAATCTCAGCAAAAATCTTTCCTTCGAAACATTGAATTATGGTATACAATTATGGTATAAAATTGATAGAAATAGAACTGTGATGAAGCAAGTGCTCTAATATCAAAAACTGAGGAATTTTCTTTGAAGATAAAAGGATCTTTCTTCTCTTAATAGATCTTTTTTTTTTTTGGGCGGATAGATACACAATATGCTATATAGATCTATTTTCCAATTATATCAATTCCAGAACTTTTTTTTTTTTAATAAATCCGAATGTTTTAGTCGTCACAGAATTGTGAAATTTCTAAAGCCCTGCTTGTCATTAACATGAGCGGAGCAAACAATCAACTAATGAGAAGAGAAATATCAAAGAGAGATACAGTTTTCTATTTCTACATTTTTTTTTTTTTCGTTTGTTTTCATTCAAATGTGAATTTATGAAAGCTCATAATTGCCATAAAAAAAAGTCTATAAAATGAATGTAAGGCCTCTATTTGTAAAACTTGTCGGAAATTGGTCTCTTTTCTGGCACAGTAAAGTATCCTTTGCCTTCTTTCAATCTATATTGCACCACTTTCAATAATTCATAAAGAATTGTCAAAGTTGGGGTGACAACACCCAATTCTTTGGCGACAACCAACAAATTACCCAAGATAACTTCCAATTCAATTGGGTTACCTTTTCTAACATCGACCAACATAGATGGACTGAACCAGTCACCATCATCGGAATGAACCACCGAGTTGATGACATCTTCTGGTAATTCAACCCCATCGGCCTTGGCAACAGAAATCACTTCTCTCATAGCAGGAATAGAAAGCGCAGCCAAACCACCACTAAGATCAAGACGACCGGTATCAACCCCAGTAAGGGCAGCAACGGTGTTCAAAGTGGCATTGTACACCAATTTTCTGTAACGGTACCATTTGGCATCGGCAAAGTAAGTACAGTTGTTATTTTCGTTAGAATAAAGGGAAATGAATTCTTTGGTCTTGGCTTCTTGGTATTCTGTGGATAAGTTTGGGTTGACGAAGTAGGAAATCAAGGATTTGTCCTTTTGGGTTTGCTTGATGGCCCCACCGTGGTTATGCGAGCCGATGTGAGAAACCCCGGAAATACACACGTTTTTCGGATACTTAGCAATGAATGGCCTACCAATATCAAAACCGTTTTGCATAAGGATCACGGTGGTCTTTTCCGGAGTGATGACTGGAGCGGCCAATTCTTCGACCTTGGTGACATCTGGTAAATTCTTAGTGGTGATAATGACGTAGTCAAAGACAGGCTGGGCTTCGGCAGCAGCTTCGACCGTTGGGTAGATGTTATCTGGTTTCCAACCCTTGATTTGACCGTAATCACAAGAATCGATCTGCCAACCATCCTTGGAGACCTTTTGATAATCACGACGAACAACCACCGAGAGGTTTGATTTACCAACGTAGTGGATACCGTAAGCAACGATGGTACCAACACCACCAGTACCGATCAAGAGAATATTTGGCTTGGACATTTGTGTAAGAGAAAATTAATAGAAGAAATTAGGAAATTTGAGATAGTTTTATGTAATCAATCATATATGAAACAATTGTAATTATCTCTGTCCCCATATATATATATATATATTCTTGGGTATTGATAGAGCCATGGCACTGGCATTTCCTGATCGCGAAAATTTCCTCATCTCTTATCGCGGAGATTGGCGATAGCGAGAGTTTCCGTTTCTAGTGCGATACCCCCACCCCCCCTTTATTTTCGGATTAGGTAGACGATTAGGAGATCATATTTTCTGACTCATTACGATAGTAATACGATACAAGAGTCACTATCCAATTATAAATACAGTTTTTCAGGGGGTTTTGTTTCTTTCTTCTTGTATTCCTGATGGTCTTGTGTCAATAATATTAAATCTCCAACCTATAATTGCAACAATAACCATAATGCCTCTCGATCTCAGTCATTTGTTCTCCACAGAAGTAAAAGCTCGTTCTCCTTCAAAGCTCAAGACCATTGCGTCTCATAGGGCCACCCCTGATATCGCCTTCTTGGGTGGAGGTCTTCCATTACCTTCATACTTCGCCTGGGATACTCTCTCGGCTACCACCAGAAAACCTCCATTTGAAGGAGGTCTTCCTGCCAGCGTCACCGCATCTAATGAACTCAGCTTCACCGTCACCAAGGAGAGCGATGAATTGGATATCCCATTGTCAAAAGCTTTGCAATACGGTACTCCTAAAGGCCCAACTCAGTTGTTAGACTATCTTGTTGAACACACTAACAAAATACATTCGATCCCTTACAATGATTGGGAAATCATCACCACCGTCGGTAGCACCCAATCTTGGGATAGCTGTATCAGAGTGTTCTGTGACCCTGGTGACACCATTCTCGTTGAAAAATACGCCTTCACTTCCGCTTTGGAAACTGCGGTTCCTCAAGGTGTCACCACTTTGACAATGGAAATGGACGATTCTGGGATTATCCCAGAAATGCTCGAGGAAAAGTTGGCCAAGATCAAAAGTTCTGGTGCCAAGTTACCAAAATTGATTTATACTGTTCCAACCGGCCAAAACCCAACTGGTAGCTCCATGCCATTTGAAAGAAGAAAGGCCGTTTATGATATTGCTTCTAAATACGATATTATCATCATTGAAGATGAACCATACTATTTCCTCCAATTGGACCAATACGTCAAAGCTTCAGAGCGTACTAAGCCAACCCACGTTTCTAGTGAAGAATTTATCAAGTCTTTGGTCCCATCTTTCCTTAATTTGGATGTCGATGGTAGAGTCGTCAGATTGGACTCCTTCTCGAAAGTGCTTGCTCCAGGGTCTCGTCTTGGTTGGATGACTGGTCAAACCGCCATTCTTGAAAGATTCCTTAGAGTCCACGAAACTTCTATCCAAACTCCTTCTGGGTTTTCCAGCGCTATGGTCTACGGTACTTTAGCTCGCTGGGGTCAAGATGGTTTCCTTGATTGGTTGCAAGCCTTACGTCATGAATACACTTACAAGAGAGATTCTGCCATCGACTCAGCTCTCAAGCACGTTCCTTCTGTTGCTGAAGTTCATATCCCAATTGCCGGTATGTTCTTCACCATTAGCTTTGACACCACTAAACACCCAGAATTCAAGACCAAATACAACAGCGATCCATTGGCTTTGGAAAAAGATATTTATGAGACCACTATTCAAAAGAATGCTCTTTTGGTTCCTGGTTCCTGGTTCGAAGTGTTAGAAGAGGGAGAAAAGCCAAGCACCAACATCTTTTTCAGAGCTACTTATGCTGCCACTAATGTCGAAGTGTTGGATAAAGGTCTCGAAAGATTTGGTGCTGCTATCAAGCAAGTTTGGGGTTTATGATTTGGGTTTTTTCTTTTTTCTTTTTTCTTTCTTTCTTTGTGTTCATTAAAATAGACAATATTCTTCTTTAAATTTGATGAGCATTTGTGGTGTAATATATCGATGAAAAACAGAGAACAGTTTGTTCTTGCGAACATAATACAGTGGCCAAAAAACATGGGAGATCAGAGCGACTGGTATTATATTGTGTTCAAGTAGTAGGAAGTAAGAACATCATTTATTACTGATCTTTTCAGCCCGACCCCTTTTTATTCGGCGATGAAGAATTAAACCTTCCCAGTGAGTGTGCTTCCCATCCTGAATTTTTTTTTTTTCATGACCTTGTCCAACAAAATAAGGAAGTATTTAAAAGGAGACCAAAATCTCTAGATAATTTGCCCCTCATTGCTTTCTTTCTTTTATATCAAATATCCAGACTCTTTCCATAAGCATTGAAAATATGGGCATCACAATAAATGATTCTTCTTTCAACTGCTTGGATTGTCGGAAGCGCTTCCCATCGGACAAGGTTATGTCCCATTTGGAAACCACAACTCACAAACATTTCACCCTTTTTGACGACCATGAAGTTCTCAAATGTGATTTCTGCTTTAAGGTGAACGCTCGCCGTCTAGCCTGTGTCAAAGTCAACGAATGCTTGTTCGTCTCCTGTGATTCCTGCATTGCTGAATTGGATTCGCCGGAGGCTCAGGAACCATCAGTTTTCCAAATGTTCAAAACTTATCAAGAAATCAGAAGAGATATGTATGGAAAAATGACTGATTTGCTTTCTTTCTCTACCAAGAAATTCCTCAAAATTGAAAAGCGGTTTTCTAAAAGAGGTTTGAAAGTTTGGAAGGATGATTTGGGTAATTTCACCATTATCAAAGGTCAACCAAAAGGTCAATATTACAAACAACAAATCAGTGCCACCGTTTCCAAAAAAATGATAGGCGATGCAAATATCAAGGAATTAACTCAAGATGACAACAATCTCCCAACATCTGAAAAAATTGCCGAGGTGATTGATGATCAATTAGCACTCGAAACTGCTCCTGTTGAGCTGGAAATGAAGACTTGTTCTTTCAAAGATGTCGAGAAGATTATTCATAAAATGTCTAAAAAACCACCGAAACTTCATTATTCTACTCTTGGACACTACTTGCGCGAAATGAGCTTTTGTGTATATCTTGAGGAACTTTTTGAAACCTTTCCTTCTGATCCTCTTATTTATAACAAATCCAATGCTAATAAATATTATGTTGAGTTGGATTACCAACAAGAAATGGTGGAAAGACTCAGTGACAAAATGAGGAGCCTCAAAGATATTCCTTTTTCTCCACATCAATTATTTATTTTGGCTAACGAGCAAAATGTCTGGTATGGTTACGTGGAATCACGCTGGTTGGACAATGCTGACAGTCCAAGCAGAATCAACGTGATTGTGAATTTGTATAATTGGAACAGCAAAGGCTTGCCAAGAAGATCAAATGATATTAAAATATTCCCGTGCTCGTACAATGCTAGCAGGATCTTAAATTCCATGGATAAATTATATCAGCTGCAGATGAAGACTTTGTTGATTGGGAAATCGGCACACTCACTTACTGATTCTGTGAACTACGATATTGACAATTTGGAATTTTTCAATAGTGCATTCAACCAGTATCAAAGACTGGCAGTGAAATATGCATTGAAGATGTCTGTATCATTGATCAGAGCCCCATTTGGTACTGGAAAGACCGTGCTTATTGTCGAGTTGGTTCGTCAATTATTGCGTATGGGAGTCTATCCCATCAGAGTGGTTGCCGCTTCTAACTTGGCTGTTGATAATATCGCCCAATTAATGATTCCACAATATAAAGATGATATTTTACGGATTGTTTCCCAAGGAGTGGAAAGTAAATACAGAAATAGCCACCAATTGAGTGGTGTTTGCGTGCACAATAAAGTGGGGAAACTTTTAGGCGATAAGTGTCTTGAAATCAAAAAAAAATTGGAAACCAAGAAGCCGGTGAAACCTAACGAGTTCAAACTTTACAGACGGGAATGTTACGAGCTCAGTTCGAAATTGGCATCAAAAGCCAAAGTTATTTTTTCAACCACGAGTTGTGCAGATAGATATTCGGATAATTACGGATACAAGGTTCCAGTGGTAATCATGGACGAAAGCACCGAATCTTCTGAACCAAGCTGCTTGATTCCATTATCATTGCCAGGAGTGAAAAAAGCGATTTTTGTCGGAGATGACAAACAGCTTAGCTTTTTCAGCAAATCGAAATATTTGACTCTTTCCTTGTTTGAAAGATTAATCGAAAATAATAAAGTTGGAGAGCCAGAAATGTTGCATACCCAATTTAGAATGCATCCTATCCTTAGTGCGTTTCCTAATGTTCATTTTTATAATGGGTTGTTGGCTAATGGGGTTAGTGCTGAAGAAAGAACTATCACAAGTATCCACAATCCGGTGGTTTGGTGGAACACTGCTTCGCTCGAAAAGCATTCTGAAAAAGCAATCACCGCCCTGGAAAGTGTTGTATCTGTAGATGGCCATGAAACCTATGACAATGAAACTGAGGCTGATCTTGTGGTGAAAGTGATCAAAAAATTAGTGTATGAAAAGAAGGTGAAGAGAAAAGATATTGGGATCATTACCCCATACAGGGGCCAGAAAGTGAGGATTGCCAATGCTCTCTTGAAAGATATGAAAGTCCAGAATAATAAGATTGTGGATATCAGTGATGATAATGAAGAATTATTCAACGACAAAATAAGCTCAACCATTATGAAGCTTGATGGGGTGGAAATCAGTTCGATTGATGGGTTTCAGGGGAAAGAGAAGAAATTCATTGTATTGTCATTAGTTAGATCCAATGATAAGGGTAGTATTGGGTTTTTAAATGATAAAAGAAGAACCAATGTCGCTTTGACTAGGGCCAAGTTTGGATTGATTTTGGTTGGTGATTTGACCTGTATGAGAAAGAAGGATGGGACGTGGAAGGCATATGGAGAGTGGTTGAAAGCAAATGGTAGAATTATCGAAGGAGATGAGTTTACTTATTAACTGTTGAAGAATTTCCTAAATTTTCTTCAGAGCTGAAGTTGATTTCTTTTTCTTTCTAATTTTTTGTTTGAGTTATATTTATTAGCAGTATGATAATAAACTAAAATTAGTTTGGTTGATGATCCAACGAAATAATCTTTATTAATTGAAACGACCAGTAAAAAAAAAACAACAACAACGACAACAACCAAGAAGACTATAGCAGGATGACAAATTGGTGACCATAAAACGTGTGCTGTTGTTATTGCACATACGCATAGATATATCTCTCTCTCTCTGATTACTCATGCGTCATTTTTTTTCCCCGATCCGTCCAACTAAATTTCCTAATCGCCTGTAATACCTTCATGCGAATAATCAATCCAAAGATAAAATTTTTCAACAATGGAAAGTCATCTTGATCCTCCTCAATAGTGTTAATTTAATTTTTTTTTTACTCATCAATACGAGTTGATGATTAGTAATTGCTCCACAATTCACAGAAACCCCTCAGGCGATACAGAGAACTTCATGTGAGCTTGGCGTTTTAAACTAACAATTTTTCATTGGCATTGCATTAATGAATACATATAAGTTTGCCATTCCATATGTATCTGGTTAATATCTTATCGCTTTATACTTTTCTTTTTTCTGATCACCCAAAATGACAATAATCATTGAGCTCGAAGATGAGGTGACCACATTGTTCACTAATGGTGATAAAGTCACTGGACAAATCGTCCTTACCACCACTAACCCTCATCAATCGATGACGATTAAACTCGCGGGAATTTGTCAATCCGGAATCGGTCTGGTGGTGGAGTCTCACGAGATCTTCACCAAGACAAGGGTACTAGAACCGGATAATACACTAAATGAGAATAATATCCAAGTATATCCTTTCTCTCTATCGTTTCCTGAAACCCAATACCATAACAATAATTGCCAGGATACAGTTCCAATCCCTTTGGGATTTGGTTATACTGGTCCATCGTTCCCCAATACCACATCACCGTTTTCGACATTACCCCCCACGTTCCATTATTCTGATCCAAAAAGTTTGGTGAAAATCAGTTATAGCATTACTGCAAAGGTGGTATTTGATGACGGAACCAGTTCCAGTACCTCGATCGGCCTCCATTTCGGACCTCCTAATAGGATCTTGACGTATTGTTTATCACATCTTTGCAAACGCTTGGATTATGGCAAAATTCTTCTCGATGATATTTCCATTGGCCAAACCTTGGTGACGATTCCCCGGAAAGCTTCGAAGAATCTTTTAGATAGAATCACCCCGAATCAAAAGTTTTGTATCCCGTTGGCGTTAGTTTGTGAATTTACTTCGTTGGCCAGAAGACATACCAACGCCGGGATTTCCAATCGATTTTTGAAATGTGGTAGTTCATTATCAAAACAACTCTCCTTTAAGCTTGTCTCTTTCCTTTCTCCAGAATCCCTTGCATCGTACCTTAACCTTCCATCATCCTCAATAAAGATCACGATTTCTGGCCTTCGAGTGACTTTACACCAATTGGTGGTGTTCGGGTCCACTAATTCCGTGGGGAAAGGTCATAATGAGCTCATGGTATTTGATATTCCGGTTTCTCATGATCTAGATTTCAACAAACATTTTGAACCGGTGCATTCTTCTGAGATCCCAGTGTCACCATATTACGATCTGGAGTGCTGTGCCAACTATCTGGGAGACATTTGGTATCAATTTACGGTCCCCAAAGATTGGTATAATGTTAAAATTCCCGAGATCCCTCAACTGTTCTTATGGAACAATGCTCAACTAGATTACGTTCTCCGAGCACAAATGACTCTTCACACCACAAAGAAAAACCGTACTAAATTGCGATGTTTGGCACCGTTGGTGGTGTTACGCTCGGAAGAAACCACTGATGACACGGTCCCTGCATATTCTGCCATTGCAGGAGTCGGGGAGAAAGTGTTGAAGGATTTTCGGTATAGTGTTTCTTCGACACTTCTTGTGTGATCAATATATATTTATTTGATTAATATACGATTATTCGAGTAATGTTTTGAAGTGCAAGTAAATTTTGATCATTCTTCAACACTTGTTAAGGAAGAAAATTGCACTGGACACACAACCAATTGATCCACCAATGGCCAGTGAGAGCTGAAGATCTCTCACTCTCAACTGAAGTAGTTTGCTAATATTATTCTTTAGATGTTCTATTTTTTAGATTACAGGAACTCATTATTTTCCACAAATTTAGATAAAATAGTCAATTCAAAACTGTCCAAAAAGATATAATATATTATAGATAGAAAACAATACTAATCAAAATAATAATAATAATAATAATAATAATAATAACAATAATAATAATAATCTATTAATTAATTACCTGGACCTTTTTCTTTGGCACTTCTCTTCTTGGTTTTGTACCCTTCTTCCTTGTTTGGATCTTCAGGGAAAGTCTTTGGAACCAACCCACTATAGAACCAGTCAATCATGGTGACGACATTGTAAACTGGCAAACCGGTGGCCTTTTGAATTGCCTTGGCAGTTGGTGGCATCTGGGTACATTCCAACACAAATGCTCCGACAGATGGAGTATCGGCCAATGCTTCTTGGGCCAATTCGACCATTTCCGCTTCAAAATCTTCAGCAACATAACCTGAACCTTCAATGATGATGTTCTTCAATGGTTTACCGGCTTTAGCACCATATACCACGAGTCTCTTTTGGTATTCTTCAGGAATTCCCACCCCATCGAATTGGGCTTTTCCGAGATTGTCTTTATCAAACGTGAGGATGGCCAATTTTTTTTGTGGAGGCAAGAGGGCCATGACAGAAGGAATTTGCAATAAACTGGAAGAGGCAATTGGAATATTGATCAATCCAGAAATTCTACTTTGAAGTTGAGCAAGGAACCCACATGAGGTGATCACCCCAATGGCTCCTTTTCTTTCAAGCTCATTGCACCCTTCTACAAACTTGGCAATGAATTCGTCATCATATACACCACTGAAAACAACATTGGTAACAGTAGCATCCTTAACAAATGCGTGGACTAATGGGAACTCGAAAGAATCTGGGTTCAAAGGATCTCCAGGAGGTCTGTGGATATCTTCAGTGTAATCGAGGCATAAAGCTCCCAATGGGGGAAGTTCTTGGTTTGGAGGATATTTGGACATTATTAATGGATACTGTATATAATAGTGATACTGAATGATAATAGCAGACAACAATTTCCCTAAACTCCGAAAGATCTCTTGATATTTATACGATTTGATTCCGAATGATTCATCGCTGAAGTTATCGCCAGGAGGCGCGTAGTTACGGTATTCGGGTGTATTTCCCGATCAGGCAACCAACTGATAAGAGATAACGGATCTGCCTATTTTATAAAAAAACACGGAAAGTCTCGATAAGCAATTGGCAGACCATCAAAAATTTCACCACCACAGACCAAGACCAAGGACAAACGAAAATATGTCTTTTGGTCAATTCAACTTCAAAGTGCCCGTCAAAATTCCTGGTATCCAACCAAAACAACTGCAAATCAGAGATTCCATAAAAAAATCATCACTGCAACCGCAACCGCAACCAACACCACCACCACCTCCCCTGAAAAAAAGATCTACAGAAGCAGCAGATACCTCAGATGAACCACAAAAGGTTAAAAGACGGTCTGGTGGGAAACATCAGATGGCAGCATGTTGTGCGTGCAAAAAGAAACGAAAGAAATGTGATGGGAAGTACCCAATTTGCTCAGGGTGTATCACTCTGAAGGTCGAATGTACGGTTTTCGATGGCACCACTGGACGAGTGATCCCAAGAGACTATATCCAGAAATTAGAAGAAACCATTTCCCTGTTAAACAACCAGCTCAAAGATGCCAGTAGCAATGGTGATGGCGGGCCGAACGCGGAAAATTCCGCCAAACCATCATCAGTTGATAATGATGAGGATCTCCTAAAACCCTCAATAAATAATACATCCAATCAGACAAAGCAATCTATGATCAAAAAATCCCCAAGATTTGAAGACGAAGATTTGGAAATGGAAATTGGATACATCACCCTAGGTGCCGCTGCCGAATCACGATACATTGGCGATAGCAGCGCGTATTCCATCGCCAAAGCCATCACGAGTTCCATCGATTATTACAAGAAAGAAAAGCACGCTTCTCGGACCAAATTCACCAATAATACCAATTCCCCACCGATGGTCACTGAGATCTTTGATCCTCCAGTCACTAAACCCAGCTTAGTAGTGGCACAAAGCTATTTGAAAAATTATAGTATCCACGTTCAGTGTCAATACCCGTTTCTTGATTGGGATTGGGTCCTCAAATGCTTTGATGAAGTGATGAATCATGATTCTTCAAAACCTGAGGAGATTTTCTTCATCTACATGATTTTTTCCATCGGTTCACAAATCGCCACCAGCAATTTACTGCACCTGAATCTTACGTTCACCAAGGCGTACTACGACAAAGCCATGGAAAGTTTGACCCCGTTGGTCGAGGTCAACACTCTTAAAACTGTTCAAGCATATTTGATCATGTCGGTGTTCTCCCAAAAAATGCCTGATGGCTCATCGATTTGGCAAACCACCGGGCTTGCGATCCGTACTGCGGTGGCCCTTGGGCTCCATCGTGAACCGTACCGAAAAGAATACATGTCGGAAAAGATGCAAAAATTGAATGAGCTTCGATACCGGATCTTTTGGTGCGCTTATGGAATGGAACGGATTAATGGAGTAGTATTGGGGCGACCATTTGGAATTTCTGATATTGATATTGATGCTCCTATTCCCCAACAAACCTCGGAGATCTCCGTCGCGTGCCACGTTTTCAAACTACGAAGAATCCAGCTGAGCATTTGTACGTTTGTCTATAAACCAGTGGTGATCATGGATTCTCCTGAAGATATTGATTCCACCAGAGTGCAAATCGTATTGGAGTTGAACGATTGGATGAACACTTTCCCATCAAAACTGCACCCGATTTCGGTATTCGAGTCCCGGAATTGGTGTCAAATCTCTTATCATAACCTGATGTTGTTGCTTCTACGACAAGTGGTTTTAGAGGTGTCAAAGTTGAAAGAACGAAGCCATCCACGAACCATCGAATGGTTCAAAGTGTTCACACAACTGGCGTCGGCAATTTGTATGCATTACAAAGCGATCCATGTGAAGGGGAAATTAAGTTATACTTGGTTAGCAATGCACTGTGTGTTTGTCGCAGGATTATCCTTTTTGTATTGTTTATGGATAGATACTTCTATTAAAGTGCTTGAATGGAAAAGACGCGGGTTGATTTATGATACTATTCTGGCGTGTCTGAGTATCTTATACGTGCTAGCCGAGAGGTTCGGTCTGGCATCGATTTTCCGTGACACTTTTGAAAGAATTTCCAATAGTGTATTGCTAAAGGTTGAGAATGATGATTTAGGTTTGAATGAATCATATACGACAGCAACACATAGTGATAACCCTGATCAAACTCCGATCAACAATTATGGTGGTCTGCTGGGAGCCACCCCGCTGATGCCAATGATGTCCGAGAGTTTTTTCCCTTCTGGGGTGCTTAATGAGCAAAGTATTGGGATTGATCAATACTTGGGGTACGAGATGAAGGATGTTATTGAAGGTCGATGCAATGTGGAGAACTTGTTGAACCCGGAAAATACCAATATTGCAATGCAACAGGAATTGAACCTTGATATGGATTTGTCATTATGGGAGTTCTTGGATACTACGGGAGACAAATTCTTGAGGGATATTTATTATGATATGGAGAGTAACTTGCATCTGTCAATGGGGGCTTCATGAGTGGTTTATTGTTGGGAGATTTTGTAAACTAGTGATGTAGACTGAAATGTTTTGTTTTTGTTTTTGTTTTTGTTTTGTGCTCTTTTAGAATTTAGGTTGCTTCAATTTTTTATTAAAATAAACAGAAATTTAATACATAGTGAAAAAATACTTAATAACAAGAATGTAATCCCCAGAAATGAAAGAGATGCAATTTTTGAAGATGACAGCAAATTGACAGAAATCAATGAAAATGTCCAAGTACAATCGAAATAGTCAGTATGTGATGATAATTCATCAAATAATAATGAAATGAAACTTTACAACAATAACATTTCCTGGAATTCGTTCATGCTAAGAAAACGGCAGATGGCAGTTGGTTATTAAAAAGTCCGCATTAAAAAATCCGCATTAAAAAATCCGACTAATTTCATTTGTTAACGGATTTTTTGTGCCTTCCGCCATGAACATGAACAACAAGAAAAAGGGGGAAAAAAAACCCTAACAAAAATTTTCCAAGGAGAACAGAGAAATGAATATATATATATATGGTTATCTTAAATTAAGAATAAGAAATACATGAATTTTGGACGACTCTCTTATTTTGCTTCAAGAATATAATGCGCAGTAAGCGTTAGAATTATCCGCATTCCTCCCTGTGAACATGCAGCAACGTACATCTCAACATGGGGCACCGTTATCTAAAATTAGCCAAGAATGACAGAGACTGATAAACATTGACGATGCAATACCTATTATAAATACCAATATCTTCCCCAGCTTTCAATTTAATTATTTCACTTATTCCTTTACTTTTCATTATCCAACAATTACTTTTTTTTTCATTTTTTTCTTTCTCTTCTTCACCAAATATTAAAGATGCAATTGTCTAGTACCATTCTTCTCTCCGTTCTTGCTTCATTATCCTCGATCACTTCTGCTGCTCCAGTTGACAAGCGTGATTCCAAGTCTTTGAAACTTGATTTCAACGTCCAAAGACTTCCTTCCAACGCTACCGATGCCATTGGAGCCAGAAAATCGATCTACAGTGCCATCAACCTCAATTTGCAAAATGAATACTCGAAATATATGGCAGAAATCCAAATGGGTACTCCAGGCCAAACCATCCATGTTGATGTCGATACTGGATCTTCGGATTTGTGGGTTCCTGCCGTTGGCACCAAATCTACCGGGGGTACTTACGATGCTTCCAAATCCAACACTTACAAGAAAGTCTCCAATGGTTTCATGATTGGTTACGGTGACGGTTCCAAAGCTTTCGGTGATTGGGCCACTGAAGATGTCACTGTTGGTGGTGCCACTGTCAAGGACATGCAATTCGGTTACGCCACCAATCAAACCGTGGGTACTGGTTTGTTGGGGGTTGGTTTCGAAGGTAATGAAGCCCCAGTGGCCATCAACGGTTCAAGTTTCGAATATCCAAACTTCCCAGCCCAATTGAAGGCTCAAGGAATCATTGAAAAGAATGCTTATTCGTTATACTTGAACTCTCTTGAAGCGCAATCCGGTTCCATTTTATTCGGGGCCGTCGACAAAGCTAAATTCGATGGTGATTTAAAATACTTGGACTTGGTCAACATTGACGACGAAGGGCAAGCCACAGACTCACCGGTGGCCTTCTTTGTTGATTTGGACACCGTTGCTACTTCTTCCGACACTTTCACCAATGGTACTTCTTATCCAGCTTTGCTTGATTCTGGCACCACTTTGATCTACGCCCCAGGGGAAATCGCCACTAATTTCGGTAAGAAGTATGGTCACAAAGTGCCATTCAATGATATGTATTTCACCTCTTGTGACACTGAAGGGGAACCAGTTGAATTCACTTTTGGTGACAAAACTATCACCGTGCCATTCAAAGACTTGTTGTACCACTTCAATGGTCAAGCTACCGGATCATTTATGAATCAATGTCTTCTTGGTCTTGTTCCAAACCCATCAAACTACTATATTTTGGGTGATGGTTTCTTGAGATCCGCATATGTCAGTTATGATTTGGATGACAAGAAGGTTGGTATTGCTCAAGTCAAATACACCGATGAAACCAATATTCAATTGATCCAATAAATGGCCTTTCTTGCTTGAATTTTGAAATTCATATATATATTTTCAGTTCTATATTTTTTTTTTTTTTAGTTTGGTATTTATATCAGTTTTATGGTGTATTGATTGCATCAATTACCTGAGTTGTTTTTTTTTTATTTCTCTCTGGTTTTTTTAGCTCATTAATTCATAATAATTACAAACTTATTTTAAAAATACATTTTAAAAATAGTAAACAGGATCAAACAAGTTTTGTGCCTTTGGTGGTGGTGGTTCCAACATCATTCTGATTAGAAGCTGCTTTGCAACATATAGCGAATGGTATATACTAAAAGGCCAATATTTAGATATATTTTTCTTAAGTGGTATACATAAACCTCATCATGAGATCATCTTTCATTTCCGGCCTTTAGAGAATGATGCAGAGCAACAAAGTGCTGTAATTTGCTTATCAATTTTCTACAATGCACTTAATAAATTTTGAATTCTTGCTTGAGAAAACTCCAACATGAAAAAGTGAACAACATTACACAAACACAAAAAAGGTAAGGGTCAAACCACACAAGTAAAATAACAATAGCAACAAAAAGAAGAAAAAGAAAGGAAAAAGAAAAAAGCCAACAACAACAACAACAAAAAAATAATAGGAATAAGTATTTCAAAGGATGGATGTGTTCGACATAAGCAAGAAGGAAATCGGTATCCTTTACCAGTATGAGCTTGCTTCAATGAAAAAAAAATAAAAAGCTGAGGGGTATGAAGAATTGTGGAAGAGTATTTCTCAGATTATTGCAATTAAAAAAGCTGAGCTCATTCCATCTGCGACTGAAAAAGTGGAAAAGTTCTTTAGTCTTGAAAATGTTATAGCAACATTCAATGGCTCTATCAAAAAAAAAAAAAAATAGTTTTATTTTTGAGCGTTTAAAATACAATGAAATCCGTGACCTAATGTAATTCTTTGATTTCTTTATTTGTGGGGAGCTTGCAGTGATTATTAGAAAGCAGCTATCAAACAAATTCATTGGTAATTTGGAACCATTTCTCATAGAATGCCCGTACGGGGGAATTTATGTCGATAGTCCACTTATATACGAAATTATGAGCTCGATGAAATTGAAAATATTTCTTCTCACGAATCCATCTATTATTTTGGATGACAAGCACCAGTCAAAGAAAGTAAAGATCAACCTTTTGTATCCAATTTCTCACAACAGTATCATAAAAGTAAACAAAACCTTTTCCTTTTGCAGATATTGTATATTTTCGGGAATCAGTGATTTGAATTTAGCCATTGAGTCTTGGATAACCAATAATGGCTGTAAATGTGATCTTGATACCAACGACTATAATATCTATTAGTAGAGATATAGTGATTTGGCTCCTAGCTTTAGATCTCGAACTTGCAACACCAGAGCACACTTTTACCAGAAGAGGTAGTTACTACTGTAGATAAGTTTCCGGTCTTTCTCACTTTGGAAAAACATCGTTTCACTATGATACACAACATCACATACAGTAGTACTACTCCTCAAGTTAAGAAATAAAATCAAACTATTGGAGCTTGCATTTTTAATTCGATCTAAATTTCAACGAAAATGGGGCTTGAGATTCGACTTTTTGTCTATAAGGTCGGTCTACTTGACGTCATTTTCAAAAATAATAATTCCTGACACATTTTTTTACAGTCCAATATCAAATAATAAAACCGATATATTTCAAAACATAAATAACCAATAGATAGCAAAAAACAAAAAAGAAAAAAAGAAAAAAAGAAAAAACAAACAAACAAACAGAAAACCACTTAATGGAAACTTGAACTTTTAAAAAAAATAATACATTCAATTAAATGTGTTATTAATTGGAAGCCCCAAAGCTTCTCTTTGAGTCTTTGAATTCTTATCAAAATACGGAACTTCTGCCAAAGAAGTGACTCTGGTACCATGGCGAGGTTCAGTACCTTCATGATCCCACACCACTTTATGTTGAGAGACTCTGTTATCCCAAATCGCACTGGTACCGTACCCTGGTTTACTCGGTTTCCAATTGAAACGACATTGGATATCGTAATTCTTTTCGCACAAATCAAACAAGAAATTCAAAATCAAATCACTTTCCACGGGATTGAGCCCGACAATTCTTCTGGTCATGCCTCTGTTGACAAACAACGATTTCCAACCGGTGGCGGGATGGGTTCTAATCAATGGATGGGCCCGCTCCACGTTTTTAGGACCGGAAAATGGATCATTACGATCGATATAAGCGTGAGCCGAATGGTAAATTGCTTGCTTGCCATCCAAGAACTTCCGCAACTCTGGAGAAAGTTTATCATAAGCAGCGTACCCGTTCAACCAACAAGTATCCCCGCCAACCTCTGGAATGGTGTCATTGTGTAAATGGGTGATGCCTGCCGGTTGGTGTTCGTGGACCAAATCGGTGTGCCATACTTGATTCCCGCCGCCGGATCCAAAGCTTCTATTGAATCCCACCCAGTTGTTATTTTCAAAAGTAAGATTCAACCCTTTTTTACGACGGTAGTCCACCCAAATACTGGTGATCCCCGGGTATCCTGGAACGTGGGGGGTTTGTGGGTGTTCTTCGACTTGCCCCCAATAACGACCCAATTCCAATTGTTTTTGCGGGGTCAATTTCTGATCTCTGAAAAACACCACACATCTTTCAGCCACCAATAACGCCAATTCATCTTTTTGTTGATCAGTAAGGTCTTCCAATTGTAATCCCACAATCTCGGTACCAATGCTTCTGGTCAAGTGTTTGACTTCGGTAGCGGCGGAGAACAACGCTTTTTTTTCAGGGTCAGCGTTTTTGGCACGTTCAACGTATGGATAATCTTGGTTTCTCACTTGATATGCTTCGTCAACGTATACTGGGACGTCAGATTTGTTAGGACGTTCAGGGTACCCTTTGGAGATGTCGATCCCTGATTCGGCAAACCGTTTGCGGGCTGATTCTGGCAAGAGTTTTAAACCTTCGGGATCAGGGCCATAGACGTTGGCTTCGGAAAGGCCTGGAGTATCTTTGACCCCTGATTTTGTTTCGATAATGAGGTTTCTGATTTGTTCTTCTATTGGGGTGTCATGTTTGGCGGATGTGGCGGATCCTGTGAGGGTTATTGTTGACATGATGAATAATGCTGATGATGATGATTTATTGTAGATGTTATAAACAGAGAGTAGAAGATATTTTGTATACTGCTGATAATAGAAAAGGACAGGATATATATAGATATATATATATTTGATAAAACAAGATTATTAATAAGCAATACTCCACAATGTTGTGCTGCATGGTGGAGATTATCACCCAGCACGTGAATTGGTGCTCCACACCCCCCGGACACAGTTTAAAGTGCAACCACACACTGTCTGTGTGTCCAATCTGATGTTATGACAAGCCTCCATTCAGGGAGGGATATAATAATGTGATATAGCTGTTTATTACAATATATACACAGGCAATGCTCTATATATTCCTTGCCATATATCTTCGATAATCCTTAGCTTTCTTCCTGTAAAATAAAATACAATTTATTTCATAGCGATCTCCGGTGTGTATGTATGGGTATACCCACCCAACTGTGGAGATCCGATACACCATAACGTAATGTCATCATGATCGCAATAAGAAGATCCACAGCGTGCACAAATTCTTTAGCTTTCGGGCAATGATGATGCTCTTATTATAGATTAGATTATTTTATTTAGTATATACAAGTTATAATACATATATATATATATATAAATATATTTGCATCACAATTCCAACGCCATGGAATAGCTCGGAGGCTTGCTCCAACAACTACCATTATTCTCCTCATACACAGAGCAAAGTAACTTCCAATACTCCATCCTGTTAATTTTCGGAGTCATCAACCGATTCCACCACATATTCTTCTTCCAGTGCCTGGAATTACTCAACTGCACCGATTTCAGAGAGCAGCAGCACCCTGCCTCCCCACTACCGTGGGAATTCTTGAGATATGGCGCATAATTCGGTGGGGGTAAATTGGCAAATCGGGTATCTTCTGGCAATAAGCAAATGGAATTCTTGAAATACAATTCGGTGGGTTCCATCTTATGTTTGGTTTGTGAAACTAAGCTACTTAACAATTCCTCAGCACAAGTGATCACCGAATCGAAAGATCCCCGTGCAGAATAAAAAGTGGATGCGGACGACGACGACGACGACGACGACGAAATGGACTCTCTTTTCAGACCTTTATTTATGGTATTAGCCCCACTAGAATAAGAATCAACCGTCTTGAAAAGTCTTTCAAGCACCTCTTCATCTTCAAAAAGCTTCTCTTCAATAATGAACATCGATCGCAAATAATGTTGGATGGTAAAAGGGGCAATACGGGCGGAATTGCCAAATGTTGGATAATACCCGTAGAAATTGGCTTGGATTTTCTGGAAGTTGATTTGCATTGAGAATTTGTAACTTCCTGATGACTTGCACCAATCTTGAGATTTGAATTTATGCTCGGCCACCACCAACTTTCTTTTCTTAATAGATCTCTGAGGGCAACATCCCACGTTAGGATTATAGTTTTGCAAAAGAAATAATTGAAATCTCTTCAATTTGCAAAATTGGTGCTCGGTGAATAGTTTTGATGTCGGTACAATTTCAACCGTGCAATCGACGGTATCATCCAAATAAATTATTTTATGAGAGAAGTTAACGGAATAATGGAAATAATTCTTATAAGATCCCTCAATAATCGCTTGGTTGCCAAACTCAAGTAGCAGCGGATCATGAAGGATTCTCATGATGGCAATCGGAGCAGTAACGGTGATTTCTTTGTAAGGTTTGTCCAAAGATTTTTTCGGAGAATGAAATTTAAGAGTGGACGTTAATGAATATGACACTTTATTAAAATAAGTTTCGATGGTTTCTGGGAGTTTTGAGTCCACAAGAAATTGAAATGGGTATACCAATGTGTCACTGGATGATAATGACGATGGGTTTATATCCGATAAGTCCCAATCTAGCTGGTCTTGAATGACAATGTCTTTTAAGGTCTTGGTATCTTCACCAGAATGTGATGGGAAGACTTTGGTAAGAAGCTCACCTTGGAACGATATTTTCAACGACTGTAGGTGCTGCAAATAAAATGGTTTTTTCACTTTCAAAGTGATGGAGCCTCGGAGAGCCGTTAAACTATCACCTTCATTATCAAAAATGTGGAGACCTTTAAGGTACACTTCATTGTCGATGGTATTGAGAGATAACTCGATGGCATTTTTGTAAGAGCTGTGATGACTTGACACCATTTTGTGGGGGAGGGTATAATATATGTGTTTATGTTGATGTTTATGTTACGACATTGAAGTAATATACCTTCTCAGTTACAAAAAATACAAAATATTTCCAAAGATTCCGGAAATTAATATATAATATAATATAAATATCATGATGTATTTTTTTTTTTTTTTTTTTGACAGTCTAATTAGGGCCCATAGTGCGGGAAAATTGTTCCGAGCAAAATAACTGCGAATACACTTGCCATTCCAAACTAAAAAAAAAAAACGTAGAGCAAATGAAGGAGTCAGAATACACAAGTATATACACATGAATGAATAATTGAATAAATAAATAAATAAATAAGTAAATAAATAAATAACTAGTGGGTCTCCATAAATGAGGGAAATATATCTACCCGTTTAAAAGAACGAACACATAAAAGTACAATATATATTCCGGTCAAAATACCCTTTTTGATTGACATTGACGTTGACGTTACTCACATATTGGTTCACCCCACCACACCACACCACATTATCATATTGAACCCTGGAACACACTCATAAATGAAGCAAACTGTCTGTCCCAAAAATAATTTCAAAAAAAAAAAAAAAAAGTCTTTGTCTAAACATTCATTCTCCGATCACGGCCATTTATTTCCCTCTGCGTTTCCCCATCCGAGTGACAGAAAATCTACACCTAATAATAATAATAATAATAATAATAAAAAAACTAACCTGTAATATATTTGAATGTTCAATTGTTATTAAATTATTTACTATCCTTGTGTGCTCTTCTATTTCTAACTGCCTGGGCAAGATCTTCCAACATCTTTTCGGTAGTTTCCCAACTGACACACCCATCGGTGATGGAAACCCCGTATTTCAAACCCTTCTTACCTTCGGCAGGAATCGATTGCTTGCCTTCATTAATATTACTTTCAATCATAACCCCAATGATCTTTTCTTCACCATTGCTCACCTGCTTACACACATCGGTGTTAACAAGCGACTGGTTGCGGTAGTCCTTGTTAGAATTACCATGAGAACAGTCCACCATGAGGACTTTTTCACCCAATTTTTCCTTGACCGCGGCAACGGACTTGGCATCGTAGTTTGTGCCTTGCTTACCCCCACGCAAGATCACAAAACAGTTTTCATTACCCTTGGTGGTGGTGATCGAGGCCAACCCGGATTTGTTGATCCCCATGAAATGATGTGGGTGTGAAGCAGCCATCACCGCGTCAAGGGCGACACCGACGGTCCCATCGGTCCCGTTCTTGAACCCAATTGGGAAGGAAAGACCCGAGGCCAATTCACGGTGCAATTGTGATTCGGTGGTTCTGGCACCAATGGCCCCGAAACTGAGGGCGTCGGCAAGGTATTGTGGGGAAATGGTGTCCAACATTTCGGAACCAATTGGAACACCCAAATCGGTCAATTGGGCAAACAATTCTCTGGCAACTTTCAAACCCTTGTTGATATTGTAACTGTAGTCGACATCAGGGTCGTTGATCAACCCTTTCCAACCGACGGTGGTACGAGGTTTTTCGAGGTAGGCTCTCATGATGATCACCAATTCTTGGTCGTATTTGCTAATCATTTTTGATAATCTTTTGGCGTAATCCAAGGCCGCTGCTGAGTCATGGATAGAACATGGACCCACCACCACAAGAAGCTTGTCGCTGACTTTGTTGATGATATCAATGGATTGTTGACGCGATTTGACAATGGTACGGAGGGCATTTTTCGACAATTTGACTTCATGAGTCAATATTTCTGGCGACACCAATGGGTCGTAGCCGGCGATTCTGACATCGTCGTATTCTGCTGGGGCAGGTGTCTGGGAGCGGCTCATTTTTGATATGTTTATATTTATATTTATATTATATGTAAATATATTTTATTATTGGATTCTTTTTTGATTTGTGTTAAACAAGAAACAAAAGAAAGAAAGCAGAAACAATATATCGATGGTATTAATAACAATGTGGGTTGAAATGACTGAAAAAAAAAAAAAAAAAAAGAAAGAAAAATTTTTTTTTTTTAACTTTCCCGTTCCTTTCCCTATGACTGACTGAGTGACTGACTGACTGATTGACTGTGTTTTGTAGCCGGCTGTCTCTTCCACAGTGGAAAAAAAAAAAAAAAAATTAATTCTCTATGGGGGTGAGTCATTACAATCACCTCCACGTGGTGTGTGGTTGTTCGCCCTAATGACTGACTGACTGATTGACTGACTGACTGACTGAGATGTTTGTCAATCGGTGTGCTCCCATCCAGGGTTCTGGCACGCTATTTCCAATTCCATCTTTTTTTTTTGACAGGTTGCGGCGACCTTAATTTAGTTGAGGTTATTTTCTCTGGTGAAGATCGAATGGGAGCATTGCAACGTCTCGTTGAATGTCAGTTTGGGCTGCCTCCCTCCCTCCCTCCTTTTGCTCCCCCTCCAGCGGTTATTGGTGGCTAGGCCGCTGCCAACAACTCTTAGCACACCCCATAACACCCCAGGGGGTGCACCACAACACCCCACTGGAAAAATCCCCGCCGTTTGCCGGGTTTTGTCACGTGGAAAGTTACCCGGATATTTATCAGTCACATGCTGTTGCACGTGGTAAGTGCATGACAACCGAGAAACCTCTTTTTTTTTTCATCTCCTTCGGCGTTATCGGGGGATAACTGCTTGTTGATCCACGTTTATTATTATTATATATATATATATATATATAATTATTGTTTTCAAATACCAATTAGCTACCACTCTTTCTTAAGCACCCATCAACCACCTCGGCCAAGCCAATTGCCGTCTCTTCTTGCCAGCGTGGCGCAACCACTTGCACCCCGACCGGGCACCCGTCCACTAACTCCGCGTCGTAATACTCCCAAAGCTCTTCATCCTTATCACTGACAAACTCCAGTCTTGATGGCTTTGTATCCTCCAACTTATCAGCACAAAGCACCGGAACCACTACCACACTGTAATCCAAAGTATTGAACTGGGCAACATAGTCCCCATAGAACTTGCCAATGTCCCGAGTCTTGAACGATGGAGTGTCCCACACAGGACAAATTATCCCGTCAACTGGGCGTCCAGTACCGGTGAGTTTCGTAGTCTCATTAAACCAATAATCATCTACCGCTTGCTGCACTTCATACCTTCTTTTGGCATGATCCCAATGTTCGTGGATATGGCCAACGCCTTTGGGTAAGGTCGCACCGCCGGCAAGCGACAAGATTTCCGGGACGATAGGTTCCCCACTGGCTTGGGTATAATCAACCACTTCTTTATACCCATCGGCCCCATAAACGTCCACGGCAACTTGAGTGGCCGTCATACTGCTGATTGGTGGATCCCACTCGATAACGTCATGTCCGGCATCGATCAATTTTTCCTTCACGATGGCCAATGCCCGTTTCACCGGTGGACTAGGCATCACAAGTTTATTCCAGGATTGTAATGCAAACACCAATTTCCCAGCAGGAACTTGTTGTTCTGGGTCTCTCCAAGGGATCGGAGGGCATTTTGGATCGAATTTCCAAGGTTCTGCCTGGATCACCAATTCCATAACGTACTTCAAATCTTGCAAATCACTCGCCATCGGTCCCACCACCGACGAAAGCACCGGTTGATCGGCAAATGAATTAGTCAATTTGCAATAAGGTAATCTATTAGTCGAGCCTCTTAATCCATAAATCCCCGCAAAACTGCTGGGCACCCGAATACTCCCTCCAATATCGGTGCCCCAACCCAAAGGCGCTCCACGCCCGCCAATCAACGCCCCTTCACCCCCAGATGACCCACCACAGGAAACTTTCCGGTTATAAACGTTGACGGTCTCCCCATAAATGTTCGAAGTCGTAGTGTACGCCATCATTGCTGGTGGGGTGGTGGTCTTGATGAAGAAAATCGCCCCCATTTGTTGCAAAATGATCGCGAGTTTTGAAACATCTTGCTTCTCAATTGGGTTGTTTATCAATGACACAAACCCCATGGCAGAATCAATTCCTTCGAGGTTGATTTGATCTTTTGCCGAAAGCGGGATCCCGTGCAATGGACCAATGGTTCGGCCATGTTGGGCGAAAAACTCATCTTGATAGGTGGCGGTCTCAAACGCTTTATCAAAGAATATCTCGGCACAACAATTGGTCAATTGATGCAACAAGGCACTGCGATGAGCAAATGCTTTGGTAACTTCGAGAGCACTAAGTTTACCGGATTGAATCTGCGGTTGAAGTTCAAGGATGGTAGAGTAAGTAATGGCCCGCTCTTTCTCGGTGAGCTTAGAGTCAATGAATAGGATAGCATTGGGGACTTCAGTAGCACTGGGGATGGTATCAAGGATCCATTCTTGAGGAATGGCAGCCATTACCGAATCTCTTTTGTTTTTTGCAGTTTCTTGCCAGGTCATTTTTGTTGGTTTATATCTTCAACCGATTCTAAAGAAACTTTATGTTATGGTGTTGAATATGCAAAGGAATATACAATATACAATTCAAAGGATTTTTCTCTTTTTTTTTTATCAACAATGATTCAATTTTCAAAGTTAGTTCCAAAGTCTTCAAATCAGCAATAATAATCTTCAATCCTGTTGATATAAAATATATTTTATATATTTAACCAACAATCTTGCAAACAGGAAAAAAAGAAAAAAAGATCTTTCAAATTGCCACAGTCTTGAGGGAAATAAATCCCGGGGGGTGTTTTTTTTTTTTTTTTACACTTTCATGATGATCTGCGATAAGATAAGGAAGGAAGGATGAATGAATGATTTTGATAAGCATAATTATTAAGGATAAATGATTATTATATGATAAGGGTATGATAAACCTTCTACTATATAAAGTTTCTATCCTTATCTTATCTTATTGCCTTTATTATTGAAAAAAAAAAAAAAGTTTGATCCCGGATACGAAAACTCCTCAAGACATTGAAGAGATGATAACAAAAGTAAAATTACGGACGTGCATAGCAGCAGATGGGATCAATATTTTTGGTGACGAGGACATTTTTCATTGATTTTCTTCTACTCCCTATTTTTTTTTTTTTTTGATCTATGATATTTGGCTGCATATATTTGATATTTGGATAAATATAGTTTTCAATAAATATTATTCATGATTTGGTTTTTGGTGGTTACTGATAAGCGTTTCCCCCCCTGCTATTTCTCGGCGAAATCCGACAGTACCAACAACTAACAATAATAATACTACTCGTCAAAGAGATGTGAAATAACAATACGTAGTAATCTTGAATTGAAGAAAAAAAAAAAAAGAAAATACATAAAAAATCTATAATCAACAACAACAACAAAAAAAAAAAAGAATACCCCTGACCAGCAACAAAATATGAATATACAATATAGAAAAATAGAAAATAGAGATAATTTAATTCCTCAGTCATGATTAGTAGAATTGTTCATTCTTGCCGGATCTTTAAGTTTATGAATATGTACATCATCAGCATCAATCCCTTTGACATGCCCAATATCCTGTGGGGTGATGAAAATCGTTTGCGATTTTGGTTCTTTCCGTAAACTTTCCAACATCAATCGCATACTGATTTTTCTATTCACAGTATCCATAAACACATCAAATTCGTCTAACCCTCTAATCTTCGATCTCATAGGCTTCCAAATCGCCAATAATAACGCAATTTGCGTGAACGATTTCTCCCCACCCGATAATGCCGTCACCTCTCGTGGGGGCTTACCATCTTTACCCACCAACATCTTGAGTTTCTTTTGCACGTAATCAAAATCTAGTTTCCCTTCAAATCCTCGTTGATGTAACGAACTAGAGAAATCTTGATTGGCCGCCAAACATAATAATTCACGATTGGTTTTTGCGGCATGAACACGGTTGGTGATTGCCTTCGTCAATTTTTCTCGCAATTGGTGGGCTTTCACCAATTCCTCTCTGGCTTCTTTAAACACCATGGTCTTGGAATTATATTCCTCGATGATCTGGTCTTCGGCTTTGCCTAACGCCCGATTAACTTGGGACAATTGTTGATTAATCACTTCGTATTGATATTTAATATCATCTAGCGATTCTCGACTCAAATCAATGTTAGCGGCTTCACGACTACACCATCTTTCCGCTTTAGGGGTCTCTTGATCAACTCTTTCACTAAGTTCGGAAATATTGTGATCAATGGCTTGGGAAATTTTCGTACGTTTGGTGATGGTAAGTTTCGTATTGTCAATTTCATCCTTGATCACCATTTGTTGTTGTTTCAACTTTTGGGATTTCCGTTCTAATTTTTGCAAGTGTTGCTCGGCATTGCTGATATTCGCGTTGAAAGATTCATATTCTTGATAGAATTCATCGAATTCTTGCTTCATCATTTGAAGCTCATTGTTGGAACCATTGATAGATCTTTCATTAATGATGATTTCTTCCTCGATGTTACTCTTCTCTTGCTGGTACGCTTCCAATTTACTGGAATCATCATTTCTATCTAATTTCACTTGAATGTTATGGATTTCATTATCGGTCATTCTGATTTTTTTCTTCATTTGTTCCAATTTTCTTTTGGTAGTTTCCATTTCTGCCTTCATTTTCCTGAATGCACTAGTGTTTTGAGATTCTAGTTGTCTCAATTCCAATGTCTTCTCCTCGATACTGATATCAATTTTCACAATTTGTGCGTCGATGTTATCATTATTGCCACCAATCTGGATCTTGGAATATTGTCCAAAATCGTAATAGAAAGGATCTGATCTGAACGCATGGGTGGCCGGGTTAACCGAAAGTTTTTTCCCAGATCTCCCATCGAATAGCGATAACATTGCCTTAATCAGCGGATTGTTATGAAGAATATTAGCAGCATTGTCATCAGACTCACACAACACCACTTGTTCGATGAATCTCGCATCAATTAGAGAATACATCGCGTCAACATTTTGAAATTCTAAAGCATCTAGCATGGTTTTCATTTGTAAATCTCCAGTGATAAAGTTATAAACCTCAGAATAATCAAACTGTTCGAATTTTCTGGTGATAATCCTACTATTTATGTTCCGTCTTTTCATCATACCTTTTAAAATTTCCAGATCGTGAAAGTTTTCAACCACAAAGGAATCAACTAACGCTTTCAAATGTCCTTCAAGCAACTGGTGGTAATCGTCATACCCTGGTTTTATGGATATTAAACTACCAATTGGGCCAATTGGTTTGCTGTGGAATCGGCGATGTTCGCGGTCAATGTCTTGCAACAATTTTCGCATGTTGTTACCAAATGGCGCCAATTTATCCTTTTCAGAACTCAAGATTATGTGTCTGTTTTGTCTGAGTTCTTGAATTTCCTTTTTACGATACCCAACTTCCGAGTTGGAACTGTTGTATTGTGATTTGGATGAATCTTCCAATTCAAGATAGGCGTTCACAAGCTCTTGCTGTTCTACTAACTGTGATTCTCTGGATGAATTTAATTCATTGAGCCGCACTTCAAGCGATTCGCCATTCTCTGCATCGTTCAATTTCTTGATTTCCACGGCAATTTTACTTTCCAATTGCTTGATTTCCCGGTGTTTCGAATGAATATCTCTTTGTAAATCATCAATTCTATTTTGAACTGAACCAATCTTATTCTCATAGTCTCTCAGTTTCTGTTTATATCCCTGTTTTTCACTGCATAATTGGTGGTATTCTGTCTTTTTGCCTATTGCTTCCTCATCTACCGTGGCTTGATCTTGGATCAACTGATTCAAATTTGAACCGTAGGTTTCTATTTTATTTTGTAAATCATGAATATTGGCGTCGAGTTCTTGTTTTTTGTCTTGTAAGGCTTGGATATCAAACTCTCCACGAATAATTTGATGCCAAATTAATTTACCAGAAATGATTTTCTTATGTTCTCGAAGATTCTTAAATTTATGGAACTTTTCATAAGTTTCTTTGGCCTTTTCTGCGTCTTCTCTAAGAGCCTGGATGCTAGAGTTTGCCAATTCAATCTGTTTACCAATTTTTTGGATTTGGGCGTTGGAATGGATATATTCGTTAATTGTTTGTTCCATTTGAATCCCCTTCATGAAAAACGAGTATTTATCATCGTCGGTGCTGGCGGCCAAGAAAGTTTTGGCGGCACCTTGGGACAAAAACGCCAAAGGGTTATTGATTGTGATGTCAAAGAATTCTAATATCAAATCCAAATCCATCTTCTTATTGGAAACCAATCTCCCTGATTCCGAACGTAGCGAATACCCACTGGTACCTTCTAATCTTAAAGTTCTTTCCACCACGATCTTATCCCCATATTTATCGTGTTCAAAAGCTTCATCACCCCGGTTGGCAAAAGTAATGGTGATCTTTGACGAGTTGGTACCTCTTTTAATTAAAGCTTTCAAGTTTTTCCCACGATCAGTCTCATTTGCTTTACAACCTAACCCAACGCTGATACTGGTCAAAATCGCTGATTTCCCACTCCCATTACGGCCAATGATGAAGTTCAATTGTGGCCCTAGTTCAAGTTCAAAGTAGTCGTGACACATGAAGTTCTGAAGAACAATCTTCTCGATGACTCCTGCGGTTGCAGGGGACTTATCAATGTCACTTTCACTAAGGGTTTGGGTAAACGCTTCCGTCGCTCGTGCTAGTTTCCTTTTGGAGATCGAAGTATGTTGCGAGAATGTTGACTCGATGTCTATTTGAGTGGCTGCCATAGCAGCTCCCGATGCCATTGGTAACGTAGACGATACTCGCTGGATGCTTTATTGTTTGTTAGATTTGGAAGGAAATTCACAAAAGCTTTAAGAATTTCAAAAAAAAAAAAAAGAAAAAAAAAAAAAAATGACGCGTGCGCGCGCCCGCGTCGCATTGAGAAGTAATTTACTTTACTTTACACACAAATGGGCAGCAGCAATATGAACAAAATATTAGCTAGTAGGTCTATGTAGAATATGTAGAATATGTAAATAATAAAAACAGAGTAACTCACTGTTTATAAAAGAGAAAGGACAAAAAAAAAACAACCCATCACCAACACACGTATATACATTTATGAAATACTGGGTCAAGTCATGTAGTATTTTGGTCCATCACCACCTTCTGGAACACTCCAGTTGATGTCTTGGGTTGGCACTTTAATGTCACAGGTCTTGCAATGAATACAGTTCTGGGAATTAATCTGGAACTTCATTTTATCACCGTCTTCCAAATATTCGTACACCCCTGCTGGACAGAACCGATTCTCTACTCCCTGGTACACCTGATAACTGGATTCGACATGATCATTCATGGTCTCTTGATCATTAGCTCCCTGAGATTTGAAAGGTGCCGATGGGGTGGTGAGTCGAAGATGACTTTCTTCATCTTCTGAATGGTAAGTTCCAGTACGACTGACCGAAGTCAAGATATCAAACGAGATCTTCCCATCCGGCTTAGGATACTCAATACGTTGGTATTCTGACGCAGGCTTAGTTACATTAGCATCAGTGACACCAGGGGCACGATGTGAAAATGTGTAGTTGAGTTGACCTTTAAGCAATAATGTGTCGATACCAGAGTAAACAAGCCCACCATAAAGACCAAATGGAGAGTTGAACGATGGTCTAACATTACGCACTTGATCCAATTCTTCGTAGACCCAGGAATTCTTGAACGCAGTTTGATAAGATGATAAATCAATTGGGGGGATGTCAACTTGTGATTTGGAACTAAAAGATTGTGCTTCTCCTTCTTCTTCTTCCATTTCTTCTTGCTCTGCCAACTCATTGGCACTAGGGAGATCCTTAATTGCTGCGAAAATCGATTCGGCAGCCAACATTCCTGATTTCATGGCAGTATGAGTTCCCTTAATTTTTGGAACATTCATAAAACCAGCAGTGGCCCCAACTAGCACCCCACCAGGGAAATGCAATTTTGGAACCGATTGAATTCCCCCTTCGTTCAAAGTTCTGGCACCATAAGAAATACATTTACCTCCTTCAAGGAATTGCTTGTAGAATGGATGATGTTTCATCAATTGGAATTCCTGGTAAGGGTTGATCCAGGGATTTTCATAATCCAAACCAATGACAAGCCCGATACTGGCTAACCCATCGCCAAAATGGTACATGAATCCCCCACCGTACGCCTCGTTATTTAATGGGTACCCTACACTGTGGGCCACCAAACCTTTTTCAAACTTGGCAGGATCAAGTTCCCAGACTTCTTTGATCCCAAGACCATAAGTTTGGGGCTCCGAATTGGCACGCAAGTTAAATTTAGAAATCACCTGCTTTGACAATGACCCATGGCAACCTTCGGCAAAAACTGTGATTTTGGAATGGAATTCCATTCCTCTTTCAAAAGAGTCCTTAGGTTTCCCAGTCTTGGAAATCCCCATATCCTTGGTGGCGATCCCTTTGACAAATGACGAGCCATCATCTGATTGTCCATAAATGACTTCCGATACCGCGATACCAGGGTACACTTCGATCCCCATTTCTTCAGCAACCCCAGCAAGATGTTGGACTACTTGGTTTAGTGAGACAATGTAGTTCTTATCTTTATTGATCATCTGAGGAGGTTCAGGTAACGGAACAGAAAACTCATCAAATAAAAATCTCATGGAATCTTTGGTGACCTTGGTGACTAATTCTGGTGGGAGAGGAATACCTTCACCATTCTCATCATAGAATTCACTGTCAGGGAAAAGTTCTCTAAGGGCCCTTGGCTCAAGGACTGCCCCGGAAATGATATGAGCTCCCATATCCCCGGCCTTTTCGAGAACTACAATTCTAAGCTTATCATCGTGATCCAATTGCTTGAGTTTGATTGCGGTAGCAAGCCCTGCTGGACCTCCCCCAACAATACAAACATCCACGTTATCGATAGCTCTTTCTTCATTAAGGATTTCCAACTCTTCTTCGGTAATGCTAATATTGTAGGCGCGGGAAGTACTGGAAAATGGACGAGACGACGAGATTTGATGACGATGTAACGGCGACGATGGGCCATTAGAAAAAGTGACTCTTAGGGCGTGTGAAGAGGCTCTTTTGACCACAGGCCTCCATCCGGCCTTAGGAAACACTCTAATTAAAGACAGGGGTTTCCTTAGCATTGTATGGTACTTAATAAACGTCGATATTTGTTGGTGTTGGAGGAGGAGGAAGAAGAAGGAGGACAAAGTTGAAATTTTTTAATTTTTTTCTGAGGCCAATGAAGCAGCAATAGCCTGATGCCACCATGACCGCCCTCTAGTGAAGAGAGAACCATTGCTAACCATCGATAATATAGTCAGTGACAAAATATCTTCTATTTTGCACCCAATAAATAGCCAATATTCTGCCAAACACCGCCAATGCCCAGCATTTCACTACGATTTTCGTTTACTTCTCCCATCGTTTTTTTGACTCCGGAATCCTTTTTTTTTTTCCCTCTGAGAAATTGGCGAAATTCTCAATGCCATCAGGGATCCTTTTCCTCCCTGCCCCCTGCCAGCAAGACGAAGAAGAAGAAGTAGAAGAAGAAGAAGAAGAAGTAGTAGAAGTAGAAGAAGAAGAAGAAAAAGCACTGTTTGCCCATTCCTCGCTCCCTCGCTCCCCTATCTCTATATGCCGTTCTCCGAGACAAGAGACCACCGTGCCAGTATCTTGGCCACCAACCCTCAGCTCATCCAAATGGAGTCGAAGGCCCATAAGCACACCTTCAACGAGTACAGCGAAGACATCTTCGCAACCATTAAGGAGCAAGAACGCCGCTTTGCCCCCAATCTTAAAGCATTCCGGTCGCAACAGGAGCTCACTATCGATCTCCGGATGATGATGGTCGACTTCTTGGTGGATAAGTGCCACAGGCTAGGGTTGCCCCAAACAACGTTGTATTTGACCGTCAATCTTATTGACCGGTACTGCTCAACTCGTCAGGTCAAGCGGATCCATTTGGAATTGTTGGGACTTACCTGTCTATGGATCGCTTCGAAATACAGCGACAACAAACACAAAGTAATTCAGTTGCTGGAGCTCATCAAGTTTTCCAATAAGCAATTGAGCAAGAAATTGTTTATCGAAATGGAATCTCACGTCTTGGACAATTTAAAATGGTCGGTATCAGCCCCTACTTATGATTTGTTCATCGATTATTTCTTGAACAAGAGTTTCTTCAACTCGATACCTGACTCTTCTTGCTCGATCGGCTACGCAAAATTCTCTAACGATAAGCATTATTACGATTTTTTGAAAACTGGTGCCAACTTCTTGTGTGAACTCTCGTCGATGTATGCTAACATCTCATTGGTGTATCGTCCTTCCAAGATCCTGCAAATGGCCCTTAGTGTGCTCCATAACTGCTACTATCTCGAATATTACAATAAATTGCTTTTACCCCCCGCGTCAAATAAAACCGAAGTCCAATTGTTTACTCTCATGATGGAATGCTTCCATCATCGATTTCCTAAATCATTCCACGTCAAATATTTTGCCGAATCAAACCCCAAGAAAAGAAAACATTTTCAACCTACTAATAACGCCACAAACAGTAATGCCACCTTAATTTATTCTCTGCTTATCAACTATCTCAAGCAAGTTGGCGAAGGTGCCAAGAAGGCAAGTCAAGAATCAAGCACCGCCACCAGTCAAATTCCAACGAACGAATCATCTACCAACTCATTCGAATCATCATTTGTCGGAACAGTTCCTCCAAACAGCCAGGGTAATGATTTTAATGTCAGAAAAGATGGGACAATGTACTCCTCAACCTCATATTCATCTCCAAATTCCCATTCCCATAAATCAAAAACAAGGGTTTTGTCTTCGACCATTTCCAGTATGTCATCTCCATATTCTATTCCATCGACTACTACCCCGATTGCCTCGCCGATGACCTCCTCATTTTCACCTTCTCCTAGTCTGGCGATGTCTTCAAACACCAAAATCTCTAGAAATTTCAAAGCTCATCAATATTTGAACCTTCCGATAGATAAATGCAACTCGTTGAGTCTGACATCATCTTCATCAATCAGCATCTTCTCGAAAAACTCTTCTCATTCATCTTCCTCTAGTGTCAACTCTCCGTTATCTGCCATTGCATCACCGGAAAATTCAAAAGACTATCCAATGTCCCAAAAACCCCATCGAAGTAATACCCTTCATTCTTTCACATCCTCATCTAACCTGTCTCGTGGTATGCCATCTGAAGGATATGGTCATTCCCACTTCTCCCAGTATCACCACCAACCTGCAAAATCAACCACCCTGAAACGTGTTAGTCAGACCCTACATCACTCAAAATCATACGGAGGTATTGGACTTAATGCTGCGCCCCTGACTTTCCAACCATTCCCTCCCATAACCACTGTCAATCCTTTAATGGGCCAGAATAATTTCAGACATGTGTCTCTTGGGGTTCTACCACCGCTTGGTCAAGGTAATGGTACCGTACATTCTCAACCGCCAATCCCTTCGTTGATAAATCTCCCTCCATTATTTGGTATTGTTGATCTGAAAAATAGGGCCAGCAATATTATGATGAACCCTTCAGACAATTTTGGTGCCGGCATTGGAAAGTCGTCTTCTCATAGACTTTATAAGAGTATTTCAAAGCCAGACATGATGTTCAGCTCAGGACCAGCCCCGGTTAGCCATGCATTGCCTCAACGCAATCCTGAACTCTTCTCAAAGGCTAGTTATCTGAGTTTGTCTACGGTTCGAAGTGATGGAGCATTAAGACACGGAGAAGAATCTAAAAAAAAGAAAATTAAAGTGAATGAGGACCTCGAGCTTCTGGAGTATCCATTTTCATAAACCAGATAAGGGTCGGATTAATCCAAGGGAGACGAATTTTTGCTTTGGGTTACTTGAATTTTTGTGCCGTATATCAATACCCAGTAACCGGTTGTTATAAATTCATGGAATACATCCAGAACTGGGAAGTATTTTCAAGAAGATGTTCGTTCAATAGTTCCTATAATGATTTCCAAAACATATTGTGATTCTTATAAATTAGCTCACTACCTTGTTTTATTTTATCTCTGTCTCTGCATTTCGTTCACTAATTATCACCAAGAAAACACAAAAAATTTGGACTCACAGTTTTTGCTTTTTCAAATTTTTATTCAGAACTACTATTATTTTGCATTACTGTTTTTTTTTATTATTTTTTTTTCTCAGTTAATTTCTCCGTTCGTTATTATAATTCTTTTTATTTTTATCTGCTCATGCATTCTAGCTCTCTCATTATCATACCTTTCCTAGTTCTTTCTGTCACTGGTTTCTTTTCATTAAGCTACTTCCATTTGCTTTTTATTCATTCATTCATTTTTCGTCCACTTTCCATTTCTCATAAAATGGTTTCACTTCATCGAGTTATTTTCTGCATTGTTTTATTCATTCATATAACATCATCCAATGCTTTCAGCGCTTGTATTGAAAATTTAATTGATCAAACAAATTAAAATAAAATAAAATAAAAGAAGTATCATATTCTATAATATATCATATATACACTTTATGACTTTAGTACGTACTTTTTCATTTGCCTTAGCGTTGAATTACATTGAATGGTTAAAATAATCGGATAAATCAGAACGAAGAAGTAATTAAACGCTTAATTGAAATTATAAAGCTTGATGATATTGCTCTGATAATTACTTAACAAGATGATCATTCTTTCAACGTTGATGTACCACTAGTCAAGGATACCATTTGTTGGTTGATGTGATTTTTTTCTTTTTTTTTTCCGTTCATTAATCAGTAGACTGATAGTTCGATGTTAATAACAATAAATACTCTGGGACAATTAGAAGTCAATTCCATCCGTAACCATTCAATTGGCGACTTTTGCGTTTTCTGCAATGTTGGGGGATCAATCCTTCATTCGGTCAGAAGCCCGTGCCGGCGGTGCTGCTGAAAAATCGTGAAAAGGAAAAACAATCTGAATTCTTTATGATTATTGATGGATGATGATGCGTCAATCTGAAGTGTCACTGATTTATTACATTGTAACTTGGCAATAATATGAGTAGTGTGAACTCAGTTGGTCCTGGAGTCATGCCTTCTACCGCCCCAGGGGTTACCAATAATCCAAACCCAGGTTTGCAAACCATGGCTGGAGGAAACAGTAATCATAGTATCCCAAACCCAAATAATCCTAATGCCTCAAGATCCCAGCAGCAGCAGCAGCAACAACAACAACAACAACAACAACAACAACAACAGCAACAACAACAACAGCAACAAAAACAACAGCAGCAGCAGCAACAACCGAAGCAGCAACAGCAACAGCAACAGCAGACAGATGGATGGCAGTATGATTTATTGAAATTCATCCGGGTTTATAAAACTTTGGGAAATAATCCAGCTGCAAGAAAAGAGTTGGCGTCAAGACTATACTTCCCTCAGGATACCCGCCATATTCTTGAAAAGTACCAAAATCACTCGCCATCGATCGAATTCAACATCTTTCAAAACCATTATCGTTTCGGCCATCAGGATGGGGTGATCGATAAGAAAGACCCTTCGATAAGAGATTTCTTGATCCACGTTGCCAGAGAGGAAATCCCTCCAGAAATGGTGGAGATCTTGTACGATGGAGGTATCAGATTATATGATGGGTGCGTAATTGTGAAAATTAATGATCATCGACAATCAGTAAGAGGGGTCGAAAAGAATAATGAAAATAATGGTGCTGGTGGGGAGTCCGATAATACTGAAGCTGAAAAACCAAAGGACTCGACAGTGGATCATGTGAAACCTCAACCCCGAAGTTATCGAACCGTGTTGAAACCTACTGCTTTATCGATATATCACGATTTGCTTTACATTTCTGATCGATTACCTTTACAAAAGCTCGATGATTTGCTACTCGACATGGAAGCCAAATTCTTACCAATTTGTCATCCGCAGCTAGATTTAACCATCCCATTGAACCCGCTTGATAAAAGCTGCCCCAGCTATATCATTCCATCTATTGAATTTCCTAAAATTGAGCTGCTGAATGATAATGAGGAAGTGATCAAACATTTACACCGTGATGACTCTTGGATGGGCAAAGTTACGAGGGCAGACTTACATGACAACCTCAATAGTATACATGGTAGTGAATACGAAGAGTTTATGTTATTACTATCTGACAAAGATCCTAATAACGCATTTTCCAATAATAACAATAATAACAACATGAATAAATTCCTGAGATTACGTTTTGTTGAACAACTTCGGAAACGTCTTGGAAGGAATAAGCTGCAAGTGATCTCTGCAAAACTCCAAGGCACCACCAATAACGGCAGTGCAGCAGGGCACCCTGCGGTCACCGCTGCTGTCAATGGGCAATTGCAACAAATGATGGCTTCTGGGGGTCCTCCTGGCATGGTGAAACTGCCAGGAATGATGAATAATAACTCAGTGAAGATGGAGGCCCCCGACGTGAAAAATATGAATATGCTGCCGATGATGAACAATTTCAATGTCAGTAGTCCTCAACAGATGGGAGTACCAAAACCATCGAATAATCTCAGGAACCCAAAGAAGATTGGGGGTACTGGTGGTCAACAAACCATGGCGGGAGGTCAACAACGTACTAAGCAGCAAATGATGGTAGGTAAAGGTATGCCTGGGGAAATTCCTGTACCTCCAGGAAGTGCGGTGCTTGCGAATTTTCCCCCAGGTCAAGTTTCGGGGCAAACTAGTGGTGCTGGGTCACCTAATATGTCTAAACCTCAGCCACGTAAACGTAATTACTCAACAAAGAAGCAAAGAGATTCGATGGCTGGGGGCCAGCAACCAGCGACGCCTCAATCACTCCAACAATCTCCGGTCGTTGGTAACTCGGTGATCATGGGTACTTCGCCAGTGATGCCTCAGCAGCAATCGAGGGTTAGCACTCCAGCGGCTAGTGAGACCAGTTTCAGTAATTTCAGCCCACAAATTGCCGCAGCTAATATGAGTGCTGGTAGTCCAGTGATTGGTAAAATGAATATGCAAGATGTTGCTCGTCAAAAGCTTCAACAACAACAGCAAATGGGTAACATGGCCCAGCATATGCAAATGATGAATCAACTCAATAAGCAAGGAATGAATGGTGCAAATGGGTTGCTAGATAGTTTGAATATGAATCCTATGGGAAATATGGTTGTTAATAATGCCAATGGTGGAGGAGGAATGAATGATAATGCCCAAATGCTTAGAAACCAGCAAATGATTTTGAATAACTTGCGGAATTTGCAAAATATGAACCAAATGAATGGGAACGCTGGCCAACAGCAGCAGGTGGGTGGTATAAACGGTATAAATCTCTTGGATAATTTGAATAACGGTAATGGGACATCGAACGATAGTAATAATAACCTTGACAATGCCAATGATGGTAATAACAATAGTAATAACAATAATAACAATAATGACAATAATGATAATATGAACAACAATTTCCAGAACATGATGCAAATGCCAATGAATTCAGGGAACCAGAACATGATGGGTGCCAATAACAATACCAACATTCAAGCGATGATGCAGAGTCTCGCTCAAAGACAACAAATGTTGAATAATGCCAACAATGGGAATAACAATACCAATAATGATGGGATTTCTGATAAGAATTCGGCAATGATGAATAATATGAACATGAATTTGAACATGAACCCTGGAAATATGAATAACATGAGATTCAACATTCAAAATATGTCACCCCAACAAGTCCAACAACTCCGGTTCTACCAACAGCAACTCCAATTACGGAATGCCATGGCAAACGGTAACAATGCCAATAATAACATGAACCTCAACGCCGCGATTAATAACATGAGACGTACTAGCAACGTTGGCGCGATGGCCAATGGTGCCGGAGGGGCCGGAGGACTAGGTAATAGGAATTTGAACATGATGGGTGGGGTAGGGGCCCTTAATGCTCAGCAATTGAATCAATTGAGTAACCAGTTGAATTTGAATCAGTTAGGAGGAGGGATGATGGGGATGAATATGAACAACAATGGCAATAATAATGGGAACATTAATAATAATGGGAATTGAAATGCCATTACCAAATCTGTTTGATGTGATTATTATTATTATTGCATGCTATTCTGGTTTGTTTTTTTTTTTTTGTATTTTTTTTTCTTTTTCTTTCACTTCTCTCTTACTTTTGGTCTACCCATTTTTTTTTTTTTTTTTTTTTTTTCCTACTATCCCTCAATCATGTTTGCTCAATGATCTATCTGTTTAGTTTGGTGTTCCCTACTGGTTATATAATATTTGGTGGTTCTTGTTAATGCCCAAACACAAAAACGAAAACAAAAAAAAAAAGAGCCTCAGCGATTTTTTTTTTTTTTTTTTTTAGTTTTGCTTCCTCAGGAAATTAAATTGTAATATAAATGTATTTTTATCCACTACTTTAAATAACGACAATTGTAGATTGTTTTGTTTTGTAATAATAATAATAATCAATCAAAATCGAATGGTGGTGAAGTTTGATACACCCTCGCAGACGGTATACATCCCACCACATCGCAGCAAAAAAAATTTTTTTTTTTTTTTTTTTTATACAAAATTTTCCAAATAAGTTATACATCAAATGAATATTACTTATTTGCTTAAATATCGTTAGGGAATTTTCAACTGAAGAAGAAGACAAGATGGCGAAGAGTAAATCACAAAAGGAAAACAAGAAGGAAGTCATCCCAAAGACTGAATCCAAAAAGGAATCTAAAAAAGAATCTAAAAAGGATTCCAAAAAGTCTAACAAAAACACCGATTCCAAAATTGTCAAACCAGAATCTAAAAAGACCACTAAGAAAGTTGTCGTTAACAATGATATAGAAACTAAACTTTTTGGAAATGTTTTGGAAGAAGGGAATATCAATAATTCTATTAACTCGCTTTTTGGCGCAGGTGCCGGGCCAGTGAGTAGACCAATGAAACAAAGAACTGTGTTGCCTGCCACTGTCAGAGAAGAGGAAACACAACAGGAACAACCAGAGGACGATGAGGAAGGAGAGGAAGAGCAAGAGGAAAAATCAAATGATAACACAAGTGAAGAAGAATCGAAACCAAAGAAAAAGAGCAAGAACGAAGATGATGATGACGACCTTGAAGCCAAGTACATGGAACGTTTAATGGGAAGCGATGAAGAGGAAGGTGAAAAATCAGACTCAAAGGACAAGAACGAATTGGAAGAAGAAAAAGAAGATGATGATGATAAACCACAGGCTGCCAAAACTGCAAAAGCCATCAACCTTAAAGAAGAGGAACTTGAAAAAGCCGAACGTACCTTATTTGTGGGTAACGTTGTGTCGTCAGTGATGAACAACAAAAAACATACCAAAGAATTGAAACAAAAGTTTGGAGCCTTTGGGGCTATTGAAAGTGTTAGATTCCGTTCTATTGCTTTCAACGAACAAATTCCAAAGAAAGTGGCATTTATTCAAAAGAAGTTCCACGACTTCAAGGACACCATTAATGCCTATATTGTTTTCAAATCTAAGGACTCCCTTAAAGGTGCTCTTTCTCTAAACGGGGAAATGTTCATGGAACACCACTTGCGTGTGGATTCCGTGGCCCATCCTTTCAAAAAAGACAATAACCGTTGTGTTTTCATTGGGAACTTAGAATTCACCGAAGTCGAAGAGACTTTATGGAAGGCGTTCGAAAAATGTGGGAAGATTGAGTACGTTCGTATTGTCAGAGACCCAAAGACAAATATGGGGAAAGGTATAGCGTATGTGCAATTTGTAGAACCAGTCAGTGTTTCCAAGGCGTTGTTGTTGAACGGTAAGAAGATGGAAAATAAGAAGAGAGATCTTAGAGTGGCTCGTTGCAAAAAGAGTAATAACGATAAGAAAGCATTGATTGAAGCCAAGGAATTTAAGGGAATGAGACTCAATGATAAACAAAAGACCAAACTTGGTAGAGCCAAGAGCGTTCTCGGGAAGAAAGATAAGAAGGAAGCAGGTAAATTCATTATTGAAGGGGCAAGAGCTCAAGAAGGCACTGGGGTCAGTGTCAAGAATGGGAAGATTAAGAAACCAAAGGTCAAGAAGCCTCGTTACACTGAACGTAGTAAACGTTTTAAGAAGCTTCAAGAAGAAGTTAATTCAGGGAAAGTGAAAGTTTGAGCTGATTGTTTTAGTTGTATAATAGTATATTTTGAATATTATAGCATTTATTTTTGGTAGTTGTCCTGTGTAAGTAAGTGATCATTAACTCATCATTTATGCTTCTGCAAAGATAGTCTGAGTTTAGTTCCATTTTCATCCTTTAGAATTATGGTTTTTTTTTTTAAAATTACGCATTCGATAGACAGCCGTACGTATACTACAGATAGATAATTGAATTAAGACTATAGAAGATGTTCAAATTTGAAGTTACAGTTAACTGAAATAAATGCCAGGGCGCGCGTCATTGCTCTAACCACAGTCACGTGTGTAATTGATCAAGTGTTTTTATGCACAATAATGCATGTATCAGCTATACATCAAACGTTAAAAGGCCGCTCAATGATCCACAGACAAAGAAACAGACATATAAAGAGAGAGACAGGGAGACAGAGAGAGAGAAAGTGATAGAAAATGCCTTCTGGTCACACCACCAAGTTGTTATTGTCTACGGGAGTGGCTTGTCTTGGATCTCTCCAGTATGGATACCATATGGTGAGTGCCCTATTTCACTGTCATTATTGTTTAAATCATTTCTCATTATTTTTCCATCATCGATGATCTCTAACCAAGTATATATAACAGGCCGAGCTTAACGCTCCTGAATCAGTTCTATCTTGCCGTGATAACATCGACGGTCCAGGCCCCTCATGGTTCATTGATCATGGTTATTCGCCGTGTGTTCCTCTTGACTCTTCAGAAATAGGTCTTGTCACCTCAATATTCTCAATTGGTGGTCTTATTGGCTCGATGATCGCTAGTCCACTTAGTGATAAATTGGGCCGGAAGAATTCTAGCTTTTTCAATACTTCATTCTTCATTATTGGCTCATTACTCGAGACATTCTCAAATAACAAATCCCGTCTTGTGTTTGGTCGTTTTATTTCGGGGTTAGGGGCTGGCTCCAGCATTGTGAATACTCCTTTATTCATTAGCGAAATCGCTACTAATGACTCAAAGGGTTTCCTCGGAAGCTTGAATCAGTTTTCTATGAATGTTGGTATTCTTCTCACCCAATTACTAGCAGTCAGATGGGCAAATACCAGTCAATGGAGATATCTATTGTTTATGGGATTCTTAATTGCTGCCGCCAACATTGTGGGGTTATTATTTATTAATGAAAGTCCAAAATGGTTGGTTCAACATAATAAGATAGATTTGGCGAAAAAATCCCTTAGAGATCTCAGGCATCCTGATGATTATTCTGACGAGGACGTTTCCAATGAAATTTCTCAGTGGGTTTCCGAAATATCACGTTCAACTGTAGCGATGCCTACCATTGAGTCCGAGTCTTTACTCCCATCATCTTCTGATGATCCAATAGAGTTTGCTCCAAAACCCTCTAATATCACCATCTTACAGTATTTGACCTCGCCGGAGTATTATAATTCTCGTCTTATTGTGTCGATCATTATGGTTGGTCAACAGCTATGTGGTATCAACTCAATTATCTTCTATGGAGTCAGCATTATTTCATTTCTTTTCCCACAACATGCGGTTTCACTCAATTGTGCCATTTCCTTCGTTAATGTTATGGTGACGTATGTGACAGCTACCATTGTGGACCGTGCTGGTCGCAGGCCTTTACTCATTGGATCGATATCAGTCATGGGAATTGCTTGTTTGATAACGGTTCATGGGATTGTTGGTGAACATTCTTACCTTACGGTTTTTGCAATCTTTTTGTATATTGCGGCGTTTGCCATGGGTTTGGGACCGATTCCATTTTTACTCATATCAGAAGTTACTCAATTACAAGCTACCTCTGTTGCCCAAAGCTTCGGTACCGTGCTTAATTGGGTGGCAACATTTTTGATTGGGTATTTGTTTCCTATTTTGCACACAAAACTTGGAGGTTACGTCTTTGGAATTTTTGGGATTAGTTGTGCAATTGTTGGCATACTGGTTTGGTATTTATTCCCAGAAACTAAGGGGAAGAAAAATTACGGTGAAATTTTTGGCGTCATGACAAGATTGGATTGAAAGTGTTTATGATAAATAGTATTAATCATTTATTAAATAGTATCACAACAAACGACACTGTTAGAATATAAACATTTCAAGCTAGAGTTGACCCAAGAAGTTTTCGGCAAATTGATATATAGTATGATCCAAAAAGCTCAACAAATCAACCAACCACCTTACTCTTTAAAATAATTCAATAGACTGTAAATTAAGATATAGTTTCATTTATTTACCCTGCATTTTTGCATCAAAATATCATTACTAAGATTACATAAATTGAGTGCAATGACGAGAAATATGTCTTTATTGGAGCATATCACTCCAATATGGCATGCCGTATATACTATCAGGAACTATCGTATCAAATTAAGAACGAACTTGATCAGATATATGTGAAAAAAAAAAAATTCCCAGAATGAAAAAGGAAGATCCCACCTAACTTTGTCTTTTACAGAAAGAAAAAAAAAAAAAAAAAAAAAAATTAAACCAACCCCTGGACCATCCTTTCTATCTGGAAAAGTAAAGCAACCTCAACGATAGAACAAAAAGCATGGTCCAGTTCTTCCTTTGCAGATGAAGCCATGTAAAGATTTCTCTCAACCAGGTACATGTAGAACTGTAATATACAAAACTATATTATAAAAAAAGCTCAACATGGTACGAATTCTGTTGACTAAGGATGAGTTAGTTTGGAATAATATTTTGATTAAAAAGCTACGACTTCAGCACAATTGATCACTGTGGGGCACTCACATTTGTAGTCGTAAGTACCTTGCCAAAATACCCTTGAGGTTCACCAAAAAATTGGTGATTCGAAAATGAAATTGGATTCCAATTTTTCTAACTCTGGACTCAAAACGAAAGACGTTTCCTCATCAACTTAACCTACTCAAAAGGTTGCTACCTGGTTCGATGGAACGCCTACATCTCATGATGTTGGGCCTAACTTTGTTCAAAAGTCCATGAACACAACACAAGTATAGTAAGTTGTGATGCCAGTGTGTGTGTGTGTGTGGTCAGGATCCACCCACGTACGAAATTGCGGATTATTTCTGTGGTCACGTTGAAGAGCGAGTCACACCAATAACGAGGAAGGGTTATTTATCCCTCATACTGTAACAATACTTGTCTTCGCTGATCTCGCGTTAATTACAGTAGTAGGAAAGTCAAATAGCTATCACAGTAATTAGTCTCTAGCTATTTGATGAACTCACAACTCGACGAATAATTCGGGATGTAACAACTTGGTATGACACTGGCTTCTGCAGGTATAAACACAGTAACGTATATGATTATTTAGTATAAATCAAATGGGGTGAATAATTATTATAATATATAAGGGCCCAAAAAGTAAGAATAATCAACTATTGATATATGGAAAATAAGACAACAGAATAACGGTGTGTAGAGTAGGGTGACCATGCTCGCGCACTATACATTATGGTCAATAACTATAGTTGTAACTCCGGCACGTACAGCAGGATTTTCCACGGATTTTTCACAGGACCCTTTAATTTCATACTGTAACAAACAATGGCTAGCCATCACCTGGATGCACATTCCTTCCCCCTCCCCCCCTAGACTCCCCATCGTCAGTCCATCCATGACTAAATAAATAGAAGCACAGTCAAGTCCCATGCCCCGAGAATACTACCATCAACTACCGACATCCGGAAACCAGCAGTTTCCTTCGAACCCTCCCTCGTATGACGAGACCAATTTTGTCAACCATCGTCAGAGTATCGGGAGCCTCCAAAGTGACACAAGCGATCTTGAAGCCAATATTGATTTTGAGGAGTTCGAAATTGACGACCCCGATAATAATTTGCTCACCCAAAATAACGCCCTGAGGTTATGGGACACCGCAGGCTCAGTATCGCGATCTATTGGCCACGGATTCTGTTCGAAAATTGTCCTACCTATCACTGGGCTTCTAGATCCGATATCTGAAGCATGGCACACCATCTCCGTCAAATTTGACGTTCTGGTAAGCAAGTTTGTCAACCCGTTGGTATTTAAACGGTTCCTCTACGTGGTAATTGTGTCTGCAGCGATGTACGTGGTGATCTCTTCGGAACTTTCAAACCGGGCCCTGATCAATGGTTTATTCAATGATCTAACAATAATGCTGGCATATATTAAATCCAATTTGGATCCCCAAAACATGCAAGAAAACTTGGAATATTTAAGCTCGATTCCCCATATGGCAGGAACTGCTGGCGATTTGGTGCTTGCGAGGTACATTTATAACGTTTTTTCGAAATCAGGAATCGATGGCAAACAATTTGATGAAATGAGGAGTTTTATAAATTACCCAGATAATGTCAAACTTGAATTGAAAAAAGGTGAAGGATATGACCAATATACTGCCGAGTTAATGGAACCTCGGCCGCCTATGAATAGCGATGATGCCACTGGTCAATATTCACCCTATGAGGATTTGCCGTTCAAATCATTCAATTTCTTATCCAGGGATGGAAAAGTCGATGCTCCAGTAGTTTATGTCAATTATGGGCGAACCATTGACTACCAAACTCTTGAAAGTCTTGGTGTTAATTTCCAGAACTCCATTTGTTTCACACGATACGGTAAAATTTCTACCCCTTCGAAAATCAAGATTGCCACAAATAATAATTGCAAAGCTATGGTTTTCTTCAAAGATCCCAAATATATGGACCTTACAAAAGATGAGTATCGATCCATAATTGAAAAGCAGATGGTATCATTTCCCGCATCGTCCCCTGGAAATGTGTTGACCCCAGGATGGCCATCATTCGATAACGATCACCGTGTGCCTTTGGAAAATTCGAAAACTGCCCCCGAAATCTCGTCTATTCCTGTATCTTATAAGGATGTATTACCATTTTTCATTGCCTTGAAATCCAAAGGAGTGAACATCAATACTCAGGATGAGAATTTCAAAGACTGGGAATTTGGTAATGATCAAATGGTAAAAGAACTTGGGTATTCGCAACCATGGACTGGCACGGCTGATGAAGGTGCAGCAGAGGCGTTGCTTGAAGTTGAAACTATCAAGCGTGAACTGAAAGAACTTTGGAATATTATTGGGAAAATAGAAGGTTCAGAACAGGGGGAAAAGGCCATTCTTATTGGAGCTCAACGTGATTCTGGTTGTTTCGGAGCGATCAATCCTAATACTGGCACAGTTGTTTTGCTTGAACTTATAAAGATTTTTACTGGAATGCAAAGAGAACTCAATTGGCAACCCCTTAGGTCAATTTACTTCATGAGTATTGATGGCAGTGAATATAATTATGCAGGAATAACGGAGTGGGCAGAGGTAAACTACAAACAAATAAGTGAAGAAATTTTCACCTATATTGATTTGGGGGATACCGTAAGTGGGGATATTTTGGAAATCATGGCTCATCCAGCTTTCGAAGCATTGATTTCGGATGTTTTAAATGATGTGAATATTCCAATCCCCGACAATAAAGAGTTAAATGAAAATGAGTATGAAAACGATAAGAAATTATCTACGGTTTTCAATGATAATTACCAAACTATCAGAACTTTTGGGAACTCTTACCCATTCTTATCATTTGTTGGTACTCCAGTGGTCCAAGTGAAGTACACCAACGCCAAATCCGAATCTCCTGATGAATATTCCCACAGGTATCCTGAAAATAGTTGTTTCGATACATTCCAGCGATTCCAAGACTTGGAAATCGATCCTAATATGAAATTCCACTTGTCTGTGGTGGATATCATATCCCAAATTATGATCAAGCTCGTTGACGAGCCAATCATTCCGTACTCCCTTGATTCTTTGGTCGAACGCATGAATTCTTATCTCGAAGATTTGACCCAATACTGTTCGATGGTATCTGAGAGGAAACATGTCGGAAATAATAAAGTACTAAATATCGCTGCCCTTAAACAATCCATGGAATCTTTCAGGACAATCGGCGACCAATTGACGGTCTGGCTCCGCACTTGGACCGACATTGTGTTTGCTAAGGATGGGGCGGTGGAACCTTCCATGCTTACAGCTCATCGTTGGGAATGGAACCGCAAACTCATACATTTGCAAAGATTCTCAATTAATGAAAGCAGCATTTCCAATAGAACCTGGGTTAAGAATATGTTGTTTGCTCCGCAAATATATGAGCCAGAGTTTTACAAACATAAGGAGACATGGCAGAAGTTTGAATGGTGGACGTTTCCGAGTATCAGGGATGCTGTCTATCAAGGCCACTGGGACGAAGCCCAAAGAGAAGTAGATCAACTTACTCTGATGGTTAGATATGCCATCGATGGTTTCTTTGGCCGGTGATGCTAGTTGGTTGCCAACTCTTTTAACTTAACTTCAAAAATTATTATTTTCAATTCAGTTCTTTTTCACATTATTCTCTCTTTATTATCAGCACTACTCATTTTCTTCATGAAGACCATGACTATTTATTTTTGGAAACCCCAATACATACATTATACATATAGACTCTTCTTTCTTTCTTTCTTTGTTCTCTTTTTCCGTTAATTACTTGCTATTTTTTTTTTTTGGATTTTCGTGGCTTTCTTTTGGATTCTCGTAGCTTTCTTGTTATCTTTGTTCTCCTCAATATTTTTTTGGTATAAAAAGGGGCGATTTAGAGAACAAAATTACATATGAAGTCAAGTCACTTTCGGAAAGAAAGACAATAAAAAAAAAACCATGAATTAAGAAGTCACATATACTGACATTATCAAAGAAAAGTTGGAGGAGGAAATTGTTTCAAGAAAACTGAAAGCTTGAAAAGAATGGATTGGTTGAATAATGGTATATCTTGAATAAAAAAATAGCACTTATTTGTCAGCAATTTCTTGATATGGGCAATTTTTATACGATTATTTTCAGATAGAGGTACCGAGATGGTCATATGTATATAAATCAAAAGATTATGTTAGTGTATCCATCCAGTATATTGACTGAATCTGAATGAGGTTAAGCAGTTTGAACCGGTTGACCATTGACATAGACACCACCTTGGGATAACATCAACCAACATTCAGGACACACTTCAGTAAATTGCTTGTCTTTATATCCAGTGTTATCGCATTTAGTACAATAATAATCAGCCGGGAATTTCCAAGGGAGATTAGGATTATTATTGATGGCTTTCCCATCAAGGTCTTTGAATTTTTTCTCGAGGACTTTTTCCTGGTTCCCCTTGCTGATATCTTTAATCGCTGAGGCTTCAGCCACCATACCGAGGGCTTGGTCTCTGGCATCTTTAGCCTTTGCTTTAACTTTTTTCAAGAATGACATGGTTGTGATTTGTTAATATATTGCTCTAATCAACCTTCATACATAAAGTTGATTGATAAGAACAAAGAGAAAAGAAGAAGAAACATTCATTCATTTTTCTTTTTATATTTTTTTCTTTTTTTACCCCGTTGTACGCCCCCCACTTTATGTGTTCATTCCTCTCTGTTTCTTTCTATTTTAGGCGTTATATAATAACACTATTGTTTACAACGGACCCTGAAACTTCCAATCGTTTTGGGGTATAGCCGTGCGCAGATCCGAAAGCATCTGCCGCGGATACGTAACGATTCGCCATTTTTCCGCTAATTTTAATATTTTTTTGAAGCAAAACTTCATGTAATGAGTACCTAAATAACAGTAAAAGGGTTCTGATTATAATGAGCTTCTAAAAGTACCAGAAATCGCTACATTACTCCATTTATCGAGTCTCTCCTGTCACTGAGTACGGCTCATGCTAGATTATGTCATCATATGCTTCCAGCCATGGTACCTCACTGATATAGAAACAATTGCGTGTATATCATACAAAATTACATGGGTATATTCCTACAACTAATATACAGTTATATTGCGCATAATAAATTATCGACCTTGTGTTATTAAATTTAAATTGGTTGATCGAAATCAAAAACGTAAGCTTTTTTTTCAATTAACACTAACTAACCAGCAACAGTTTAAACAACAACAAAAAATACTCATTCGTACTTGATTTCCGGAAACTTCAAGCCATTCTGGGCTCTAATTTCATCCAAAACTTCCATCACCAACAAAGTTTCGTCCAATGGACAGATACTACTTTCAGTCTTACCTTCAGCAATGTCTTTGGCACAAGCATCAGCCTCGTGAATCAAACCATTAATGGCACCTTTACTAACGGTCTTTTCAATTGGAGCCAACCCGGTTTCTGGCTTGAACTCGATTTTGTACCAAGATGGTTCGGATAACAAACGTCTGTCCCCACCTATGTACACAGTACCTTTCTCCCCATCGATTCTCACCATTTCTTTAGGAGAGTTGTTAAGGAAAGAGTTAATACAAATGGCACTCTTACCATCAGCGTGTTTAATGATCGCTGAAGAAACAACATCAATACCATTTTCGATAGTTTGGAAAGATTTGACCTCAAATTTCGTGGTATCTCTACCGAATTGGTCGTCCAAAAACAAACGCCAGAACGTCAAGGTGTAAACCCCGATATCAAGAAGTGCCCCACCAGCGTACTTTGGATTCTTCACCCGAGATTCCGGGCCCAATTTATCCAACCCCATATCGATGGAGAAGTCACACACCATACGATTGAGATCCCCAATGATCTTGTCTTCATGTATGAGTTTTTGCAATTCCAAAATAATTGGGAAAAAACGAGTCCATACCGCTTCCATCAAAAAAAGTTTTTTAGATCTTGCCAATTCCACCATTTCCAAAGACTGTTTGCGGTTCACGGCAAGTGGTTTCTCACACAACACATGCTTCCCTGCTTCCAAAGACTTGATGGTCCATTCGTAATGCAGGGTGTGAGGAAGCCCAATGTACACAATATCCACATCCTTATCAGTGATTGCTTCTTCATAAGAGAGAATCTTTGGTTTGGCTTGACCATTGACCACATATTCATTGGCAAACTTCTCGCCCTTTGCGGTAGTTGAAACCCCGATGACCAGAATGATATGGTTTGCTTTTGGGGCTGCTTTCTCTTCACAAATATCCTGGACAAACTGAGTAGAAATGAAACCTGTGCCTAAAACGGCCCATCTGAGAGTTGGTAATGACATTGTTATTATTATTATTTTTTTTATTTGGGGTAGTTGGTTGACATTGAGAGTAATCAATAGAAAAGAAAAACCCGAAGGAAATCCTTCATGATTTATGAACATTGCGGTGACAGGATGAATATCGGATACGACCGTTCCGAGGTGCACCCTTTTTTTTTTTTTTTTTTCTTTTGTTTGGGGTTTTTCCGGTTACATGGTAGGTAGGTACTCTTTTAGCAAATAAATAGCTCACAACAACAATAATAATAATAGTAATAATAATAATGCTCTTAAGGGAATATTCTAAGAAGAAGAAAAATATCTTTATTAATGTTTATATCAGAATGGTTCTAGAATTTCATCACCGACATAATAAGGTAACCCACAGTGACAGCCACCACGTAAGAAACAGCACTGGCAGGCACCCCTCTAGTAATAAACGTCTTAACATCGACATAATTACGCCCCACCTGATCAGTCATACAAATCGCAGTGACATTAGGGAACCCGGAGGTTGGAAGCCCCATGGCAATTGAGCAAAGAATCACATTGAGCATGACGAGTAAACGAGAATAATCTCCCGTAGTACCATCTTCGAGTTCGAATTTCATGGTTTGACCAATCTCCTTGACCAATGGCAAAAGAATAAGCGCACTAACAGTATGGGAAATAAACGTTGAAATAACAAGACATAAAATCCCAAAGATAAGACATACTTGGTACACTTCAAGACCAGTGATTAGCCTTTCTTGAATCACTATGGCAATAGTATTAAGAAGGCCGGATGACGAAACAGCTTTACCAAGCGCAATCCCGCCCATGGCGAGGGCCACAATTGTCCAAAGGAAATTATTCCAGTCCTCTGAAGTCAAAATTCCTGAACCAAAGAAAAGAACAATTGGAATGAGGGAAATAACCCCAATTTCCCCAAATACGGATGATAATTGGTTGGCAAAACACCAAAGGATAATGGTCACTATCGAAACGGCAATGATAAACCATTGAACTGGGGTGAATTTTTCAGTGGATGCTTGGATTGGAGCAATCTGAATGACTTCAGAGTCTTCTTCACTATTGTCTGAACCAGTAGCATTACCATTTCCGTTAACCTTGAATGAAACGAGTAAAAACATCCAGATCAAAACGAGAGAAATGAGACACACTGGGGCGGAAATAAGGAACCATTGAATCCAAGAAGGTTGAGGGTCCATTAACTCGATCGCAATAATGTTTTGTGGTGAAGAGATCGGAGAGGAGACACCTCCCAAGTTACTAGCAAATGCGATACCAAGAATCAAACTCCGGGCGAAATTTGAGTGTGTTGGCAATGTTCTGAGTAACGGTTGAATAATTGAGTAGCATAAAACTGGGGCAGCAACATTACTAACCACAGCAGACACCAACAATGAAATTAACATGATTGTCAACAAGATTGCGCTAGGATTGGTACCTGATTTGGATAAAATCATTGTAGAAAGAATTCTGGTGATTGAGTATTTTGACAATGCCGCAGCAAGAGTAAACCCACCTAATAAAAGCATGATAACTGAAGACCACATTGTCCCCAAAATATACTTAGAAGCGTCGGTGGCGGTCATTGCTTCACCATAATTTGTGTGAGATTTATCATCGTACTTAAGAACTTTAAGGAGAATAACAAATAATGGCATGGCGAGAGAAGTGACAAAAAGTGGAACCGCTTCTGTGGCCCAAAACATCGAGGCACCAATGAGCAACGAAAAACAGTGGCGCTGTTCAGGTTCATCAAATGGAGAAACAAACAAAAGAAGAATACTGGTCAATAAAATAACCACGATCTTCACACTGTACACCGAGGTCAAAGGGCTAGTTGCCGCTTGATCATCAGATTTCTCCACCGAGTCAGGTTTTGTAGTATTGAAAATATTAGCTGCTTGGGACTTTCTTTCGATATTGATCATGTCACGCCAAACGGTATTACGTTCCCAAACAACGTGCTCACGTAAGTGCATACTCAATTCATTTTCTGCCACGGTCATTGAACCATTGGTGGAGACGGTTGCATAGAGCTTTATAGTTGAATCAATCTTTTCCTTGAGGATTTCCAAGGTGTGAGGCTTGAAGATATATGATTGCTCAATAAGAGTATTGTCCATATAATGATTTTTTAGTTTAACTATAAGAGTTTTGTCAAACTTTTTGAGGATTTTCTTGAAACCAGTATGGTTCAATTCAATGAATGATTTCAACTCAGAAAGAGAAGTGTATAGCTGAATGATTCTCTTCTTAAGAGCGATTTTGATATCTGACAAAATAAGGAAAGAGTCTTTCAACTGAAGACTGTTAATTAGTGAGTATTTCAATGGGTTGCTGAGGGTACGATCTAGTTTGCTGTGATTAGATTTCTTCTTTTTGAGTAAATTAGTATTGTCATCGTCATCATCGTCATCTTCCTCACTATCATCATTACCATCTCCATAGATTTCTGGGGCTTGGTGTGATAACAAATCACTTCTTTCACGTAAGTCCGACGACAATCTGCTGAACGATGGTCTAGCACTGAGAGCTTCATCGAGCGCCAATTTCTGTTTTTTTCGAGATTCAACGGTGGCCGACTCTTGCTGCTCATCATTGTCCACAAATACTTCGGAGTTGAACATCACATCGTTTCTTAACTTTACCTCATTTTGAAATTCCTCGACTTCGTCTGCCAAGGTCTGCAAATCCTCGAAGAATTCTGCCTCTTTTCTTTGATAAAACTTGTCGATTTTCTCGAGATCTTTATCAAGAGCCTGGGTGAAAATCTGGATTGGGTCAGTTGGATCGAGCAACGATGATTCTTCGTCCTGAGCCTTCTCGATTAACGTTTGCTTTTGAAGGGCATAGATGAGTTTCTTAAGAGAGGAATACGTAAGATACTGAGATGACCATTCTGGGACAGCATTGAATTGAAGTGAATGGGAAAACTTCATCTCAACAAGTTCGATAGCTTGAGTGTCCTGTTCTATTGGTATTTCCGACAGCTTGAAAAGGACTTGTTTTCTATAACACAAATGTAAAGACACAACGCGTTCCTTTAAAGGTGATAAGGAACTGGTTACCCACGTTTAGTGATTCGATGGATAAAAACCTGGTCGATGGCGTGCGGGTAACTCGTGCCTTCATAGCAAGTTCTATCAGAGCCCAATATACCAACCACCCACCTACCCTTTACAAAACACTATACTATACTACAACCACTAATACAAATTAATATACGGTTGCCTACTTTCACTGGTTAAAAAAAAAAAAAAAAAAAAAATGTCATCATCTCTGATACTCGTTGGAAAGAATAAGACAGACAGACCCCTAAGACACCCTGTCGCCTGGACCATATCCAATGGAAACTTCTTTTGTCTTGCCAACACGCAGCCACTGTTAGACTTCATCTTCCATAAAATGATGTAAAGCACACAAACTGTAAAACACAGAGGAGCACAATACACAGTAATACCAAAGACATCCGCCAGACAATGTTTGGAATACCAGGGTGACAAAACTTCAGAAGCTATCCCCACCTTCAAAATGATCCTGGCATTTTATCATAAAAGCGGTATCCTTTTTTGACAGTTGAATGGCAATCCTCCAGTAGGAAAACCCTAAAGGAGGACCACCAGAAGCACAACTGCAAAAATAAGAGATCTTAGTCCCTGCTTTCGAAGTCACGAAAGCTCACCAACGAGCAATGATTAATGAATAAGAAAACTGGAAACCAGTACAAAAACTTCATTATATGCATCGTGACACATTGATTAAATGTAGAAATAAAAAATATTAGCATTAAATCAACTTAAGTAGATGCAATAATGAAGGAAGATTGGACAAAGGAAAGAAAACCACCAGAAAAAGAAAAAATTTTCTTTTATAATTGTGAGAAACCTCTGGTCACGTGATTATGGCTCTCTTTCTGTCACTTCCCTCCTTTCTTCACCGCTTAGATATGATTAGAAGATTAATAGTAGTATCATAACACAATGTTCTGGAACTGGCAGGTATTCTAAATTTGATGCGAGTATTTATTTTTGGGCAATTATCCCAGGAAAGCTCCAACTAAGACCATCATTTCCCAAGATTGAAAGCTCTGGATAACTTCAAACCTGCTGCGATACTAGCAACCTTAGAATCAACTTTATAACCTTTTTCACTGAGCTTCTCTAATTCTTCTGGTAACTCCGCAAGATTAACCAAGAAAGTCTCGATGAATTCGTTTTCCTCCAATTGAGGAATAGGATTTTGGTTTTCCTTTGTGCTTAAATCGACTTCAAGCATCACCGAGATTAAATTAGTGTTGGTGAAGCCAGCATCATTGAACATGATTTCCGAGTTACCCAAATGTTGGTCCTTGGTAACCACATAGCCAGTTTCTTCATGAAGCTCACGGATAGCACACTCAAGAGCAGTTTCATTTGGATCAAGAAGCCCAGCTGGGAATTCAATACATACAGCCTCTACCGGTGGACGGAATTGCTTCTGAAGCACAATCTTTGGAGAATCAGTTGGGTTAGAAGGATCTTTAACAAGAGCAATGATTCCCACACCATCGATTTCTTGACCAGGAATCCGTGTGGTTCTGGCAGTCATTTCCCAATCACGGGCTAAAACGTATTAGTAAACAATTCATTAACTAAGAGCTATATTATATTGACTGACAAAAAAAAAAAACAAAAAAAAAACACAAGATCTAACATACCTTCACCATTTGGGTTTGTGTAGTGAATCTTTTGCAATTTGACCCATTTAGCATCCTTGCTTTCTAGGTCCACAATTTTGGTAATTTTGGCTAATTCAGATGGCTTCTTGGTACTCATTGTTCTCAATTTTGGAATTGTCGGTTTAATCGTTTTAAAAATATTTATTCGGCTTTTAACAATATTCATCAATCTTTTTCAAAGAATTTGTTTTGTCCTTTGACGTTATGATGATGTAATAGGCGTTGTGGGTCATTTGTGTGCTTTCAACTTTGGGGATATTCATCTTAGGATTTACCCGGCTCTGGACTCTGACAGCACTTCTTCCTTACTCATAGAATGTCGAAAGAATTCCTATGGGGCCACCATAGCTTGGTTAAAATGGCAGTTACTATGGTCGTCGTTATTATTTCAGTTCTTATGGTTTATTAGAGAAGATCTTAGTGTGAAATACAACCTGTGGACCAATCTCTAGTAATCTTGGATGCATCAATGCTTTTCTTTCCAAATCAGAGTTCATCACATAAGCACAGTTAAAAGAAATGATAAAAAAAATGTGAGAAAATGTTTCTTTATAATTAGAAATATAAACGGTACTAAGGAAATGTAAATTGCATACCGATTATATCTCATCATACGCAGCTACTTAAAATTCTCGGTTGTCTGATGCTTGGACCACTAAGAGTCTCTGGGTATATCTAGTATTTGTGATACTTCCTAAAATTAATACTCATACCAACAACAAAACCGCTCTGCCAATATATATATCAAAAACAAACCGTCAACAATTCGGTGAAGGCCCTGGTCCGCCATGTCACCCAAAATATGCATCACTTTGATCACGTGCATGACAAGACAGATTTCCTGTTGTTATTTTATTATTAGAATTCATCACCTTTAGCAGTGTCATTTTGACCTCAAACAATTACGTTCATAGAAATATATAAATAAGAAGAAGAAAATAACCCCAAAGCTGAAATGTTTAGGAAAAAGAGTCAGAGGTCTAGCACGAAACGGAAACAGCGGGAGGTCAATTTCAAAAGAAAGTCCATAGCATTATCCAATTATTTGCAGCAGACGTTCAACTCTTTGACTATCGAAAGTGAAACGATTCCTAAAGAAATTCTAGACAATATAATCACCTATTTAAACTTCAAGGATCTTGTGAACTTTTCACTTGTCAACCGTGCGGCTTATCACTACATCCATAATGAACAGACCGATTTATGGAAGAACTACCTATCCATGATTGAGCTCTTTAGCATTCCGGACAATGAAAAACTTAAACTGAAGCACCTTCGATTGACCGAAAGAGACTTTTATCAAATAAACTCCGAAGTGCTTACCGAGGAAAAGAAATTGAATCCATTACGTATTTACCACAATATGATAAATAAAGACGACCCAACATTACAAATCATATACAATCCAAAACTTTACAAACTCCAGTTCAGATTGATTTATTCTGCGTTACAACCTCTTTACAGTCAGCTTATTAGCTCGAATTTACAATTCGGTAATACAGTATTCATCAAGAATTTCAATAACCCCATCCATCAATCAATATTGTTGAACAACTTTATGAAATTTTCAAAATTTCAACTATACCAAGTTGATTCCAGAGACTTCAATCTAAATTTACAAAATTTACAATCAGTGGTGGAATTCTTTGAAAATGCTTGTCTTCGAGAAATTGAAATTGGTTATGATAATCAAGATTTCAATACTAAAGTTAGTTATTATACCAATATCTTATTGAATTTGAATGATAACTTGATTAACAACAATTTGGTGAACTTTTTCTTGCAAAAGCTTAATTTGAACGAGCTAATTGTGGATAATGTCGATACTTATTTCATTCTAGACGAATATGCTGAGGGTAAAGAAGATCAAATTTACAAGATCGATACCCTTAGCTTGAATAATTATTTTGGGAATTTGACCCAACTTTTAAACTCGCAGATTGAAATCATCGATCAGATATTTAGCGACGACCAAATCCAATTGATTTTAAAGATTTTTGAAGAAATCATCCAGAATTATATCTTGGAATTTGTCGGTCTATTGAGCCAGAAGGCAAAGAATTTGAATATTGTCAATGAATCAGTGATTTTCAACTCTGGGAATGATAAGAAGGAATTCGCTACCAGTGAGTTCAATCTATCAATAACATTATTACCTCTTGTGTATTCGAATCTTATAAATTTGATATCCAATAAGATTAAGGATTCCAAAAACGGAGGGAAATATTTCAAACCAAACTTAGTCAATTTATTGAACTTGTACATGGAGAACTTGATCAATGAATACTTGGCTGACGAACTGGACTTCTTTGAGAAAATCACGGAATTTAACATTCAAAATTGGGATGAGAAGACAAAATTGGAAGAAAACCAAATTGAGCAAGAAATCTTGAAAAATGTGAAGGCCACTAATGACGTTAACAACAAAAATAGTAGCTTTTTAAAGATTGACTTGGTCACAGGGTTCAAAAATATTTTAAAACCAATCAATGTTACCTTTGAAGGAATGATGGGATCGCATTCCCATTCCCACGATGATAATAAAGAGCATGATGAAAATGCTGTTGAAATTGATCAGCATCAGCCGGCCCCTGAAGACGACAATATGATGACAGAATTCGAAGCCAAATTAGCAATTATGAATAACAAGCTTATTCGTATTAAATCTTTCTTCTCGTTAGATTTATCGCTAAATATTTTGAATAATGCCCGAACCTCAATTCAGAGAATTACGGTATTCATCAATGAAATTAACAAACTAAATGAAGAGGTTGAATCTATTCTTGATTTGGACTATAACAAGAATATTTTAAGAAGTTGCAAGAAGCAAATCGAGGTAATTTTCATCAAAATCACAGAAATTTTAGGAGAACAGCATGTGAAAAAAGGTTTTGAAAAAGCCATCAAAAGATTGAAAGACTATAATCCAGATGATAATACCAATGGGACTGCCTCGGAAACTAACAATCAGAACTCTCAAGATTCGGTCCAACCGTTGGTTATGTTTACTGAATTAGTCAATATTGGTGATTTGATCCAAAACTTGATCGAAGTGTTCTATACTGAGGAATTGGTCAACAAAAAAATCATCAATAAAAATCAAGATTTCTTGTCCAAGGTTTTGCAATCCAAGAAGAAGTTTGAATTGATGTTGGATGATAGCGTTGCTGATGGTTTGAATATTGGTATCGATGCTTTGATCAACAAGATTCAATATATTTATCATAATTTCCAAAATCCCAAAGACTTCATCCCTGATGATGCTGATAAACACGTGAAAATCGGGGTAGTCACTGTATGTGCCATGAAAACTATTGATTTATTATCAACCCATGTTAACTTGTTGATTGGGGTCACTGAAAAATCCACCATTGATGTTTTCCAACAAGAAGTCTCGCAACGATTTTTTGGGTTGATTGTAAAAAACTTGAAGACTTTAAAGATTAATACCACTGGGGCGTTGACCTTGATTTCTGATTTGAATTATTACTATGATTTTATTGTTACTCTCAGACAAAAGCAGATCTTGCCATATTTCATTGGTTTGAAAACTGTGGGACAAATTTATTTAATTGATGGTTCCGATGCTAAATTGATCGGGAAGACTATCAGTGATTTAAATCGTTTCAATGGGATTTTTCAACAAGAGGAGATCTATGAGTTGGTTCAATGCCGCGCTGATTGGTTGAAAGTTAAAAGAGAAGTTGAGAAAGAAATGTTTGGAATGTTGGAGTGTATTATTGTTTAGAACTTTCTTCAATTTTCCCGTGTTCTATTTTTTTCAAGGCTTCTAGTTCAGTTCTTGATTTATTTTTTTTCTATCTTTTTTTGAATGTTTTGTTTTGCCTGGATGTGATTTTTCTTTGTCCTTGCTGCCCTGTTCTAAAAACTTTGTGCTTTAAATTTTCATATGTTCTGTAATAGATTATACATTTCAATAAATAATGATGACGACTTAATAATTCAATCCAGATATTTTAAGTAATCTTTGAACGGAATATATTAACAATAAAGGAGGAAAATAAAGAGAAATTTCAGTACCTTGAAACAAAAACAAAAAAAAAAAGGAAAATATATGTGAAAGTTAAAAAGATATATACTACAAAGATCTTAATCAAACTTGATCTTGGTGGCTTTCTTTGACATATCCACATCCTTGAAGAAAGCACCGTAAGCAGAATGGGCCTTCTTCTTGGTGTGACTACCAAACTTCAACAATTCTTCTGGCACAGCTTGATTAGCACCGTTCAAGATGTTGATCAAAGCCCCTGACAAGTGTTTTTCTTGATCAGTGAACAATGTGTGGGCGACCCCAGTCTTACCGGCTCTACCAGTTCTACCAATTCTGTGAACGTAATCTTCCGCAGTCAATGGGAAAGTCAAGTTAATAACGGTTTTAACATTTGGAATATCCAAACCTCTAGCAGCGACATCAGTGGCCAACATAATGTTCTTCTTACCTTCTTTGAATTCTTTCAAAGACACAGTTCTTTGACTTTGAGACAAATCACCATGGACAGAAGCGATTTGATAACCTCTACGAACCAAAGCTCTTTCGATTCTTGCGGCTTCTTTCTTGTACAAAGCAAAGATCAAAATCTTGTTTTCTGGGTCATCTCTCTTGTGGTATTGTTTCAACAATTCGAATAATCTTCTTTCCTTGACATCTGGATCAATAACTTCGACAATTTGGGTAATACGCTTGTTGGCGGTCAATTCGTCTCTGTTACCAATAGTAACCTTCACTGGTTCGTTCATGAAACTGCTAGCCAATTTACGAACTTCTTCTGGCCAAGTAGCAGTGAACATGACGGTTTGTCTATTACCGGTCTTGGTACTCGACAAGATTTTCTTGATATCTTCTTCAAACCCTTTTTCCAACATTCTGTCTGCTTCGTCTAAAACCAAATATGAGACATCGGATAAATCGATGGACCCTTCTTCGAGCAAGTCAATAAGTCTACCTGGAGTGGCAATGATGGTATTGGAGATTTTGATATCTTGACGTTGTTGATCTTTTGGAACCCCACCGTACACACAACAACAGTGGGTATTTGTGGCGTCAGCAAGGATCTTGTAATTGTCGTAGATTTGAATGGCCAATTCTCTGGTTGGGGAAACAACCAAGATTTGTGGCTTACCTTTATTGTATTTGGTATTGAGGACGTGGTTAATGGCTGGAACCGCAAATGCAAATGTTTTACCTGACCCAGTTTCGGCAACCCCAATCACGTCATTATCATTGAAAAGATATGGCCAAGACGCAGCTTGAATTGGAGTTGGAGCCTTGAAACCAGAAAAGCATTTTTGGATTCTTGAATCAACGTTGACTTCAGAGAATGACAAAACCGGTTGCAACTGAGAGCTGGAGGATGGGTCTTTGATTTCCACTTCATTATCTTTAAGGAATTTCTTGATATCAGCTTCAGAAGAAGAACTGGTGAAAACACTCTTAGAATCCTTTGACTTGGTTTCAGTTTCCTCGGTGTCATCATGCTTCTTGTCCTTCTTGTCCTTCTTTTCCTTCTTTTCCTTCTTGTCCTTCTTGTCCTTCTTGTCTTTCTTCTCCTTCTTTTCCTTCTTATCCTTCTTGTGCTTCTTGTGCTTTTTCTCTTCCTTCAAACCATCATCTGAGGTTCTTTTCTTAGACTTCTTGATTTCTTCTTCGGCAGACATTTTATAATAATTGTACTGTTTTGCCGTATATTTTTATTCGGTACTTTTGACAGAAAAAAAAAAAAAGAAAAATGTCCGATCCATTAACAAATTCAGATTAACCCCAAAATTTTTCATATTGAAAAAAAAAAAAAAAAATAAAAAAAAAAAAATTTTCGAGACTCATCGCATAAGCGTTCTGACATGCAGATACGAATAGGGTAAGCGGCCAATTGAAACAGATTATTGGAGCCTATTCCTTAAACATTTCTTCATTTGCTACACAGTCACTAAATATACATTGGAAATTTCATGAGTTAATGCAATAGAATGTTTCCAGCACATGCTATCAAATAAAAATGAAGGAATTCTCATCAAAATGTTAATCCAGTTATGAACAACCGATTGAAATTCTTAAAGATCCAATTAATAATCACTTTCAAGTTCTCCACTAGATGATTTTTCTTTGAGGTGGTCTGTCGAAACAATCGAGTCTCTTTCACGATCACAAATAGTTCATAATTACTGTTGGAATAAGCGATCCCTATGAGGTTAATACCATTGATATTCCATTTGGAGTATATCAAGCTAGACTTTCCCCCGATTGGGGAGTACCCATGGGGGATACCACTATTGGAGTCCTCTGATAGCATTGGCTTCTCCCGTGACTTCTTTCGATCGCTTGGATTTGATTGCTTATTATTGGTTACCCTTGATGGCGCTTCAGTGGTTGCTTCACTGCCACCAAACATTCCTGTAAAAGGGTTTGTTATTCCATTGAATGCCGAAAAATTTGTGTTTGAGTTGTTGTTATTATTACTACTATCATTGTGTTGAGGTTTCATGGTATTTGACGTGCTAGTACTTGCAAAAGGAGTGAATGTTGTTGGTGAAAGTTGTGATTGGTTCAAATTATTGGATAATTCTTTATATAAGAACATCAATTGTTCAAATGATACTGTATTGATGGAAGAAACATTAAGAGAATTGAAGCTAGGGATGAAAATTTGGGAATTTTTTTTGGATTTGAATATGAAATGGAAGAAATTGTTTGCCAAACTACGTGGGGTTGATCCGGTGATATTCATATTTGGATGTTTTTTGTTAAATTCATCCAAAAAATTCAAATAATTGAGACAATAGTTGAACTTGAAAGCCTTTATTAATCGGTTCCAGATTTGCGAATTCGATGAGAGCATTATTTCAAGGATTATTTTTTTGGAGACCTGACGGATGTTGAAAAATGCATTTTTATCCGGTGACAATACAATAAATACCAATTTGTTCGGATCATTAGAATTGGCAGGTGGAGTATTCACCTTTTCATCGTTTTTTGAAACAATTTCGATATTATTGATATCAATGTAGTTCACAAAGCAATACAAGAACCCATTGGAATTGAATTCCGGCAAACAGATAGGAAACCACAATTCTTCTTCATTAGAAAAATCGACTTCTAGATCCTCAAAGTTTGCGAAATCAACGCTATTGTTCGAAGTTTCTTTAGCAATTTTTTTATTAATAACAATCTTCTTTCCTTTTTCAACCGATTTGTTGGATTTACTGAAAATAATTGAAAATAAAATTTGCAAGTCCAGAGTATGCAAAAAATGCTTTCTTGGCTTCATTATTGTTATGACTTTTCCGTTCAAATCAGATAAAATTCCGTATAGCATTTCATTAGGCTTGGTAGTACTCTTGAATTTTTCAATAATCGCATTTATCCTTAGTTTCATGGAATGGTGCAAGTAAAAAGACTCTATCCCATTCAAGAAGAAAACCGGGTTCAATATTTTGGAAATCAACACTTTGTTCAATAAGGAATAATCAGAGGCATTCAACACATTTGCCAAATCAAAGTTGGGTTTGAGCGAGTAAAACTTCACTAGCTGCTTTTTGGAAAGGATCGACAAAATGTAATTGTATAAAACATATAGTTGATTTTTAAGTTCTATTGCAGATTCCGAGCTATGTGAGGATATAGCAAGCAAATAAATTGGATCTTTGTTGAGAACAACAAACAGAGTTGGCCCGGCCTTAAATGATTTCAAATTATCATTTCGCAGAGATGCTATGACAGGATTCAAATCTGGATCATTGAAGGAGGAAATAAGGGTTTGAATTATACTCATATAATTAACCACCAACTTGTCGGAACCAAAGAATGAATAAATTGGCTTTCCCGAAGATGATAAAATAAAAAACTGCTTCTTATGGCTCAAAAACTCCAACTTTTCATGTTCATAATCATTTTCATTAGTGTCATTAGAATCTTGATTGATTGCTTTTGGTTTGAGTTTATCTAACTCAAGCATATTCAATTGGTTTTCCATCCCAATGTTAGATACCATAATCTTGTTTAGTAAGTCATAAATATTGATTTGGCGATTATCAATTTGATCTTGTGGAGATTTGAAATCATTCATTAATCCGTCGTCATCATTCATTAGTTCATCTAATTCATTTTCCATAATACTAATTTGATCCTGTTCATTATTATAAATGGTTAATTTTGGTACTCTAGTCTCGTCGGCTTTTGATAATAGTGACAATTGACTTTCTCCATCATTGAAAGTATAGTCTTGAATATTGGTGATGTTGCTCCTAGGGCTCAGAGGAGAATGGCTTCTATCCTGAGATTCAAATCGTATATTATTAATCTGTGAGTTATTGGGAGAATTGACATTTTCCAAATTGATTGATACTGATGGAACGACCTTCAAGACACCGTGATTCAACGTTGGTCCATTGTTTGACGAGTCGAGAGAAAAGTTTCTTGAAGGACGGGCAGGTTTTTGAGGAGGCTGTGAAAGTTCGGGCATTTCACTTTCATCACTTTGGCTTGGTGGGGGGAGTAAAGAAATTATTATTACCCTCAAATTGATACATTACTTCTTATTGTTTTGTGTTGGTTGTCCGTTTAGCATTTCTTATCCAGTGGGGATCCCCGGGTAAGAGGTGAAGATTGTGTCATTATATTGGGTAAATAAACTGTATAATATTAAGAAACTAATTTGTAATAATGATAACTGTTATGGTAGCTTGTTTGTTTTTTTGCATTTTTGTGTGATGAGTAGTTCCTATTGCTCCCTTACCCTCAAACAAGTTATCTTACTAGAACCGTAAAGCACATTCGAATAGCATGCATACAAGATAGACCAACAAAAAAGAATACTTTAATTAACATATGTAAGGGTTAGGTAAATCAGTTTTATGAAAATTGTCCAATACACTTATATATGTGATCATAGGTAGTGGAAAAGAGGCTCAGTATTCTCAGTATTCTCTACTTTCAAAGAACTTTTTGATGAGAATTGCTTCATTTTTCACAATATAAAAGCCTTCAAGATAAAACCCACTACTAAATCTACCACTGCTATTTTCCAATATATGCGGCCACCAAGATGTTTTGAATAAGATCTTCAAGTTTCAGATCTAAACCGCTATTATTTACATTGCCATTGGCACTGGTGCAGCTGAAAAGGGTAAATGAGGGAACCTTTAGTATCGCCTCATGGGACCCGCACTGGCACACAAGTGAATCTGGTAATCATTAATCGCGCAATTTTAATATTGCTGGCCAGTATAGGAAAAATGTCTTCCCCCTTAGTATATGTTTGGTGAGAGTTTTTTTTTTTTTTGAACGACTTGCCTCCCATTATCAAGTATTAAACAATCAAAGTCATGTGGTAAGTCAATTTCTTTCTCTCTTTGTCCTCTCCATCATTATTCCAAAAGATATCTTCCAAATAGAAACATTCACCCTTTATCATGACCACACCTTATTACAGAAGGAGCAAAACAACCTTCGTTTTCTTCAGGTTGGGAGACATTTGAGCTTTATATTTTGACCAAGACTTCCTATTTTTCACACTTTTTCTTGATATAGAGATATTACTAACAGCTTCTGAAGGATTATGAGAAAAAGATTGTTTTCTGGAATTCTGAAGCTTCTATCCTCCTTCGATCCAAGGTGGTGACCTTTCTAAGTTTTTTCAGCTAGCTGGAGATTCTTTGGATTGGCATAAATACAATTGTAAAGTTCATACCTAGTCTTTCCAAGAATTTGTAAAGTTTGCATATCTATATGCTAGCTTCATCTCTTCAACATCATGGAGGGAGTCTATGAAGACTAGCCAACGAATGACAATGTCATCGCCACGTCTTTTTGGCGGGACACATCTATGTTTTATCAACTCAGTATTGTCTAATAAGTATTATAAGCCAGCTAATTGTAGTACACTGTCCAACTTGGAGCGAAAATGGGCAAGTTTAATGGATATCATCTGGATCTTCTGGAATCCTAAGTAATCAACACTCTGCTAATCATATCATCGTCACACAAGTCTGGCAACATTTCTGAGCAAATAAATATAACTGAGAGGAATTATTTCACATTGTAAGACCCAAGAAGATCGTCAGACACTAGCAGATCTATGATATTCAACAATTCATCAATTAAAAACCCCAAAACATAATGTATGATAAGGCATCGTGTAGAACGGTCGTCTGCGCTACCCCCGGGTAATCACCAGTGTTGCTGCTGACAGAGCAAAACAGAAAAAAAAAAACTCGAGGTCCAAAGGGAATCACCCTATCAGTTACATATCATCATCATTTGGCAAGGACTCCAAAGAATTCTTGTGTCATTATATTCAACTATCTATTGAGACTCATATTTCTCACTCTCCAATTTCAAATTTTATCTTTATCGGTGGCACTTCTTTTTTCAATCGCGTGCCCTTATAATTTGATCTGGTGATAATATTTGTCTATTATTTTATCTGTTCCCCTTATCAAAATTTTGACTTTGATCTTAACAACACATATCCGCAAATAAATACAAACAAACAACAAAAAATGAATGGTGAAGCTTGGCTTTTCATTTTTGCGGTGATTTTGAACGCTGTCAACTTGTTTTTACAAGTGTTCTTCACAATTATGTATTCTGATTTGGAATGCGATTACATCAATCCAATTGAATTGTGCAAAAAATTAAACAATTATATCCTTCCAGAAGCCGCTCTTCATGGTTTCTTGACCCTCTTGTTCTTGATCAATGGATACTGGTTCACCTTCTTGCTCAATTTGCCATTGTTCGCCTTCAACGCCAACAAGTTTTACTCTAACAACTACATGTTGGATGCCACCGAAATATTCAGAACTTTGAGCAAACACAAGAGAGAAAGTTTCTTCAAGTTGGGTTTCCACTTGTTGTTGTTTTTCTTCTACTTGTATAGAATGATTGTGGCATTGATTGCTGATGATATGTGAGGATGATGCGATGCTTTGCTATACTAACGTTATCAGCTTGAATGAGGCTTGAAGAAGCGATCTGCTTTGTTCTTTCTTACTTGAATTACGAGAAGAATTTGTTGTCTTTTTGTACTTTTCTAATTGTCACGTCTAATCATTTCATTTCTATGTTATATATCTTAATTGACAAAATTGTAATCATGCTAGTTATAAGAGGGGGTGTAACAATATTAAGAAGCGTAATATCAACAATTTATATGGTTGGAAATAGCGAGGAAACTATTATTTCTTGAGAAAGCAATCACAGTCATCTTTCTCTCTTAGTATGATATGGGCATCAGCATTTGAGTTATAAAATGTAAACTTCTTTGGGTAATGCTTTTAGAACTTCTACTGAAGTACACTTTCGTCTAACTAAATAGATTATCATCTCCAATAATTCAAGTTGGTTTGAGCTTGAAATGATCACTTACGTAAATATTTGATGAAATTAATTTTAAAATCAATTCGCCTATGTAATAAAAACATTCCTGAAATAGCTTATTCATATTTCATAAAAAAAAACACAAGAATAAGAGAAAAACAAAAAATCCACTTATAAACTATCAACATGAAAGAGAAAAATTAATTAAAAGAAGAATAACAAAAAAAAATCTATTCACCAAGTTCATAATAATTCGTACAATTTCTTTGATGTTAATGATAATATGACATGGAGAAATGAAAAATTAGTCCAAATAGACATTAATATGTTCATATGAGGTTGTATCTTCAAGAGAATAAAGATGAGATTACCGCTTGTGCTTTGATTTATGGTTGTGACCTGACATAGCATTGGTGTTTTTCAGCTTTTTCAAATCAATTGGTTTTAAAAGCTCAAAACTGCACAATAAGTTTTTGTCAATGCTCATCACTGCTCCCCAATTATTGAATTCTCCACAATAATTTGGGGCGCTGAAAACCGTGACTAGTTTCTTTTTATTGAAAAACTCATATCCATCTTCTACCACCATATGGCCACGAACAATCAAATCGAATTGGAATTTATTCAAAAATTCATTGACATTCTTCTTTGAAAAGAAATAAGAAATTCCTCGATCGTTAGGACTCCAATCACTGGTTTTGGAATTAGGATCACTCCATAATAAATCTGACAAAAGACCAACTTCAGGAATGTCGGTTGGCCGTTTAATTTTATTGATTTGTTTCATGTTTTTCAAAACTGGAGATAACCCACCATGGACACAGAAAATCTTCTCGCCAATGATTGCCGCTATTGGCAAAACATTGAAAACATCAACAAAGCTCTTCCAAATCTTGACCGAACCGATTCTTCGTTTACATTCATCATAAAACCCATAAATCTTGCTGATATTGCCTGATTCATGATTCCCGCGCAACATAAAGAAGTTGTTTGGATACTTGATCTTGAAGCAAAGCAACAATAAGATGGTTTCTAATGACTGTTTACCACGGTCAACATAATCACCTAAAAATAAATAGTTTGAATGAGGTGGGAACCCAGAGAGCTTCAAAATTCTCAATAGATCATTAAACTGGCCGTGTAAATCGCCCACAACTTTAATTGGGGAAGAAAGCTCTAACAACGTTGGTTGTCTGAGAAAAATTTCCTTAGATTTGGCAATTATATAATTAACTTCCCTTTTCGAAACTACTAACGAGCTGTTAGAATACGATTTTGAAAGACCGATTTCAATAAGTTTTTCAATAATCGAATCAATATCGTTTTCGTAATGGTTCATCACTTTCCTATTATATTTTGGATTGTAAAGCTTTTCAATATTTCCAGATGGCTGCTGTTCGGTATTAGAGTTCTTGATTTTTGGCTGTTTTACGGCACTTGATCTGTTTACAGGAACGTTCACATTATAGTTTTTTGGTAAGCCCATCATTGATAATTTGGCATGCTCCTCATTAGCGTCCAAATTGGTTGAGTTTGGTGTGGTTGACAACATGCTATTATTGGAGAAATCGCTAGACACTGATGATATGTCTGTCATTGCACTGCCAGATATATCATGCGGGTTGGTCTCAAAGCTTTGATTGGCCAAATTTATTGGCAAAGACCTACTAGTATCAATATTGGCTCTGGTCTCCGTAACAGGTGATTGAGATGATATGGTCTTTGTCAGAGTACCCTTATGATTAAGAGAATCCATTATAGTATTGAGTTTTCCATCATTTTTTGGGGAGAATGACATTCCATCCTCAAAAGAATGGGCCAAAAGATTAAAGTAACTCGCATCTTCGGGTTTTCCCTGTATTTTGAAATTGATCGGATCTTGTAAAGTGGAGGTTGATTCATCATTAGAACCGAGAATTAAACTTGAATCTTCCTCGACAACGATATCATTTCCGGCAGGTGAAAAATTTGACACCTCGGATTTTGTGGATGCAGCACTACCGCATGTAAGGGTGGTGGCTGACTTGAATGAGTTCAACTGCTGTTCTTGTTGACTACTTTTATTATTAATGGGTTGCGGATACCTCGTCGGAGGGGGTTTTGAACTATCTTCTTCGCCAACAGCGGCAGACATTACACCTGCGCCGGAGGCACTGGACTCATTAGAACATGACGACGACGATGATACTGATGACCTCGACGGATTATTTCCCATTTGCTAGCACTTCAAATAAGAGGTACACCTAATAACGACTATACGTGCTGATAATATGGAGCGGAGAGGGGTGGCTAAGGTAATTTCAAGATCACCACAAGGAGTTAAGGTCAAAAAAAAAAGAAAAAAAGGGTGAAGATAACCGAGTCCACCTGAAAAATGGAGATAAAAAAGGTACTATTTCGGGGATATTTTTTTTTCTATGCCAATATGAAAGAGACAGAGAAAAAACTGTGAAGATTTCTCAGTGCCTCTTGTTGATAAGTGTAGACTGCGTAGGATGTCTTCGATGACCAGGGAGGTTTCGACGTCTGTGCCACCAAAATTCGAATTAATAATATTCTTTGTGGGCTGTGAAATCTCTGCTTCAAGGTGCCACCCGGGTGTGTCACATGTTCTGTGATGCGGGTTATGTTTGCTTCTGGGAGCTGAGGGTTCTGGGCCCTTTTCCACGCACCGAGGGGGCATGACAGATCACGTTCTGGTGGGTTTGGTGTTGTTATTATTAACAATAGTTGTGGCCAGCATTCACGACGAAGTATCACTAACCAGGATAACTGGGCAAGTCATTCGAAACTACCATGCCTAAGAAGTTAGAGGCGGCTCAGCCGGTATGTGCTTCCATAATAGATCGTTTTCCTTAGCTATTCTTGGACTCTCTCATATTAACAACTTTTAGGAAATGTCCCAAGTTTGTATGTCTTTGAAACTTTTACAATGATTCTGGCAGTTGATTAAAAAAAGAAAAAAAATACTGACCAATTGTTAGACCAGAACGAGTTTATGTTCGGTGAGGGTGGTGGCAAGGGGGCCACCATCAATTCCTTTTTAAAATCCTTGTCAAAGTCAACGGCTGGTCGTTCAACATCGTCTTTGTCGTCGCAAGGTACCGCGAAATCGGTAATGGCTGATGATCCGAAGATCATTGGTGCCTCATTTTCACATTTGAATATTTCCTCATCACAACCAAAACCAAAGAAATCGCATTCGACAACAAACCTTCATAGTTTGCATATTTCGCAGAGTACTAATTCTTCGGATAAGAAGAAGAAGGATAAGAAATCGAAAAGTCATCCTTTTCAAAGCAATATTTATATGGATTCTGATGATGATTGGGATGCTACCGTCGATAATGACAGTGATGTAAATTTAAGTAACCATAACTCCTTTGATTTGAGCCACTCAGAACTAGGATTGAAAATTGCAGGATCACAGCGAAATTCGTTGATTAACAAACCAGGCACTGGTCACGTCAACGACTCTACCAATGCCGCGGGCTCTACAGACGTTGATAATCCTTTGTTAAAGAGAGATTATCAAAAGATTATTGAAGACCCTACATATATAATGATGGTGGTTAGTGGGCCAAATTTAATGAAATACGATGAAAACATGATCGACACTAGCGGGGCCAAAGAAGAATTAAATGCGTTTATTTCGAGATACAATAGATTCAAAAGGATTCTACTCCATGAACCAACAATAAACCTAGATGAACTTAAAAAGTTGTCGTGGAATGGTATACCAAATGAATTAAAGGCGATTGTCTGGCAATTACTTCTGGGATATTTGTCCACTAATGCCGATAGGAGAAGTGCCAATTTGAAGAGAAAACGGAAAGAATATCTTGATCAGATTGCCAACGTTATGAAGAATGAAAAGGATAGTGTAACCTGGCACCAAATCACCATCGATATTCCAAGAACTAACCCCCATATAAAACTCTACAGTTTCCCCACAATTCAAAGATCCCTTGAAAGAATTTTGTATCTTTGGGCAGTCAGACATCCTGCCAGCGGATATGTTCAAGGGATCAACGATATTTGCACCCCTTTCTTTCAAGTTTTCTTGTCTTGTTATTTGAAAATCGACAGGCAGAACTGCGTCGATATCAGTGAAATTGACCCCTCAAATATTCCTGAAGAAGTGTTGAACGTTGTTGAAGCAGATACCTACTGGTGTCTCACAAAGTTACTAGATTCAATCCAGGATAACTATATACACGCTCAACCGGGCATCATCCGCCAAGTTAATGAACTTAAGGATTTGACAAATAGGATTGACTCCGACCTTGTCAAGCATTTAGAAAATGAAGGAATTGAGTTCTTGCAATTTTCATTCCGGTGGATGAACTGCTTGTTGATGCGAGAGTTGAATATGAATCACATAATTAGAATGTGGGATACTTATTTAACCGAAGGCTCAAATGGGTTCAGTGAATTTCATATTTATGTGTGTGCTGCCTTTTTGGTGAAGTGGTCGGATACAATAAAGCAAATGGATTTCCAAGAAATAATGATCTTCCTTCAAAGCCTCCCCACAAAGAACTGGAGTGATAAAGATATTGAATTATTATTAAGTGAAGCATATATGTGGCAGACTCTCTATAAAAATGCTAGTGCTCATTTAAGATAATTTTTTTCTTTTTTAGAAAACAAAAGCCTAAACTATCCCGCTCCTTTTACGATAACTGTTGTACTATTAATGATAAAGTCATAAATTCTTATTGTTTTTCAAGTTTGAATACTTTTCCCTATTTCAGACCAATTGTAAGTACTTTTCATACTGTTCACCATCTACGAAATAAATAGACAGAAAAAAGGAAAAAATTATATTAATAAAATTACACTGAATATCACAAAAAAATCAAAAATTATCAACCTGTTACTTTTAAGAATTCATAAAAAACATTAAGCAAAAAAAGAAAAAGGAAAGAAGAAAGAAGAAAGAAAAAAAAGGATTTTCTTTAAATCAAATCAATCCGTATCACTTTCATCACTCTCAAATTCTTCCAATGTTTCAAGGGCAAATTCCATTGCTTCTTCATAATTTTCCTGGAAAACATCATACAAGTTATCACCCATTTCACTTTTTAAAACTCTACCAAATTTTCTTCTTGGTCTCTTATTATAGTTATCATTATTATCCCAAATTGGATGCTTCTTGGAAGTGAACACTAAACTATTTTTGTAAAACCAATCAGTCAAAGACTCGTCAACTAATGGAATTATTGGTCTAAGTTGATTATGTGAATTGAGGAAATTAATCAGACAAGCCCTTTCAATCTTACCTCTTACCAATCCTAATGTATTGTCAACCGAAGAAGATATCCCACTAGAATCGGTCGAGTTGTCTGAATTACCACCACCATTGGGAGAAGCACTACCTTCAGTTTCAAAACTAGTATTCACAACTTGACGATGGCCAAGTAGATATACAATCCCATTATATGAATCACCAATCCCGAAGAAAATCAAATTTTTTAGGTTTGAAAAGAATTTAAGGTAGTTATCCCAAAGATAAAGTAACAATTCTTGGGAATATAAAATATTATTATATTCTTCCATTGGTTTTTCCTTTTTAGTAGATGCACCATTGGTAGAGCCAGAAGCATTTCCTTGAGAGTTAGTCGGATTATCAGCTTCAATACCTTTATCTTTGTTATTGGTTATGGCGGTAGGAATTGAAACATCGATCAATCCGAAATTCTTTTCGCTGATTACCCAATTAATCAATTTTTCAGTTGGATCCATGTACACTGATGAATACGATTCTAAACTCCCGTACAATGGATCAATATGACCGTAAATTTCAAATGGATCGTGAACCAATATACAAACAGTTTCTTGTTGGAAAATATTAGGAGTGGCCAAAAATTGATTGTCAAACGATGAAGAATTGGCGTATAGATTAGAGAATTTGATATTGGTTTCATTGTTGGATGACAAATCATTTAGCAACATTGGTAAATTCATTAACCCGTATCTTTCCTTCAAGTTTGTAGCTTGATGTAATCTGACAGCATCGGATAAACAGGTGGTGTTTTGCGATATCAAATCTTGTTTTTTCCCAGTCTTTGATGATCCTTCTTCAGTGGTTTTCTTAGTTAAGTTGACGACATTATTATCAGATATTGAGGCAAACCCAGGTCTCATTGATTTCCAATATCTACTTTGGAATTCCCGAACTTTATAAATAGTTTCGACGGCCGCCACGCTAGGAATATGAGTCTTTAGTTCATCAGGAGGTTCACCCAATAAAGCTTTGGCAACCGCCAAAGCACTTATGCTGATGCTATCTAAATTGTAACCACCTTCCAACGCAACACAAAGATGACCCCTCGCCAAGTTCTTGAGCAAATTGACCATATGACCATAACACCCTGGACTAACATGGCATTGGCCAATCATATCACCATCTGCGGCATCAAACCCTGAAGACACCAAGACCAAATCGGGGTTGAATTCAAGACATATTGGTATGATTACATTATTAAACGCGTAGATGTAGTCAGCATCGCCCATGCCACCGGTCGGCCATGGAATATTGATGTTAAACCCTTCCCCTGCACCTTCTCCTGCCTGATCGTAATCACCCGCAGGGGTTCCTGGATAATATTTGCCCAATTCGAAACGATGCAATGAGATATATAATACCCTTGGATCATCATAAAAGCATTTCTGAGTACCATTGCCATGGTGGACATCCCAATCAAGGATGACAATCTTCCGTACGGATTCGCTGTAATTTTTTAGAATATTTTTGGCGGCCACTGCGACGTTGGAAAATAAACAAAATCCACCAGGAGCTTCCGGCTCTGAATGGTGACCTGGCGGTCTAACAATTGCAAATGAATTTTTTACTCTTCCTTCAACAACCGCTTTACAAGCTTCAATAACCCCACCACAAGATAATTTGGCACAAAAGAACGAATCATGGTTGAAATAAACTGAATCTCCTGATTCTGTTATTTTTAATAGTTGTTCCTTAGTCATGGCAGTAGTTTCCTTAAGGAAATTCAAGTGTTCTTTTGTATGAACTTGTAAGATTTCTTCCTCACTTGCCTCCCTGACCGGAATGCTTACCATCAAATCGCCAATATCGTCTGACCCTGAAAGAGTTGGGTCATTGATAAGACCCTCTTCCGCCAAAATCTTGTAGATTCTATAAATACGTCTTGGATCTTCTGGATGGGGGTCTATATATTCGTAATATGATGTGTATATCTTGGCGTGGTATCTCATTCTCACATCATAACACAACCCTGTTTTGAGCGGGATATACCTCAAGTTTGGTTTGCGGGATGAAACAATAACAGAGTTTTGCGGGTACTTGACTTTACTGATTCCATAAGTCTTCACGACTGGCCCATTATTAATTGACTCTTCTTTCTTCTCGAGTTTGATGGTTTTTTCATCAGAGGGTTTCTTGTCATCCTTGTCTGATATTTCATCGAACTTTCTCTTTTCACTGGCATTGTTCAAATGGGTTTCAGATTCTGTCATTGAGGAGATACCATTGTCACCAGGTGAAGCCTTTGGGACAGATTCTTTACTCTCTTCTGTCAGGCTAGACATATCAATATCCTACTGTATTTTGCTGTGTCAGTTTATAGGGTAAAGGGCGAAGAGAGATGGCAAAAAAAAATAAAAAAAATAAAAAAAACAATCAATATGGTATAACCTCGTTCTGGGGGAATTTTGAAAATTGAATTAATCTGTACCTTTGGGCGCACGCTACCCGCAAGGGCCCGTGTGCTTGGTATATAATATATAGAATGTTACACATTTGCAGTCGACCAAAGGAGAATAACTTCATAAATAAGATTACTAGAAAGATAACTTTTCAAAAGAAAAAAAAAATGGGGAAAAAAAAATTAAAAAAGAAAAAAAAGAAAAAAGAAAAAAAAATAGTAGACATACATTAATTAACTATCAAATTCTGATAAATCCTCGATGGCCTTTTTCACAAGGTTCTTAGTCACATCTAATGCCTCATCATCTTTTTGAAGCTTCTTATTGAAGTAAGTAAGTTCATCCTCATCAAAAATGTCACTCGCAGCATTAATTAACCCCATGGATTTGGATTCGGAAGAAAGGTTTTTGAAAAAACTAACCTGTTTCGACGCATTTGAATAATTGATCTTCATGCTATTAAGTCTTGATGAAAGTTTCTTCATTTCAAAGAAGAAATCTTTCTCAACTTTAGATATCGGTAAATTGTTTTGGAACAACTCGCCGTCTGCTGATTTGGTGGTACTGTTGATCTTATGAACCTTCACTAAAAGAGAGTCAAGCTTTGCATTCAACTTCTCTTGTCTTTCGAACACTTTTTGTAATCTACTAAATGGCGTAACAGAACCAGTTGCTTCGGCATTCTCGTCATCAAAGCTTTGGTTTAATTTCTTTACCAATTCAATCACTTCGTTGAGTTTTACCAACTGATATTCTAATTCCTCCTTGAATGATGTCAAATTAAAGCCCAAGTTGATTTGATATCTGATTAAAAACGCCAAGTTTTCGACAAATTTCTTTGCAAGTTTATCCACAATCAACAATAAATTTGAATTGAATTCTTCAATTTGACCAACTTTGAGATCTTGGTGAAATGTTGCATCAATTTCTTTAAGATTCACAAAGGCAAATTTGCGAACTATAGGATCATTTTCAAGATCCTTGATGAATTTTTGGATAATAAAATTATTATCTCGAAATTGTTTCTCAAAAAGCTTGAATTCTGTATGACTATTACTCACTCTCATTGACAACGCAAATTGTCTTCCTTCATCAGATGATTCAGTGGAAATACTTGAACTCGACATCTGTAAATCATCTTCGTGCTTTTCAAAGTCAACTGTGAAAGTTCGATCATTAACCATATAAAGAATAAAAGTGTCATTTTCATCATTAATAACCATATCTATACCCACTTGATCATTAGTCCGGCCTTGTGATTCATAAACTTTCTCGATTTGCAAATAATTGTCATCCTTTTGATAGTTGATGATCTCGTTGAGAAGTTGCGGTTGATCCACGCCGACCTTATCAACAAAAAAATTATTCAATTGTCTCCCCCATTTAAAGAAATCAACCTTCAATATGAACTGGCGATCTGGCGAATCAAGCAAAACAAAAAATAGGCAAGGAATGTCGGTAGGAACTAAATTAATCGCCAACTTCCCCTTGCTTCGTGAAGAAAGTCTGAGATATTGCAATACACCACAAGATGGTGTTAAATAATAATCAAGTTCTTCGTCCTCCGAATTACCATTTTCAATGTCGATGAGTCTCCATCTCATAAATAAATCATATTGTTGGATCAACATCAAGAGGTCACCATTATCGAAAGCCAATTGCAAAACATTTATATCTCCATTATTTACACTGATGATATCAGTTCCGTTAATTGAGTATTCACTAGTCAAAGCATTTGGAATATTGTCAATTAGAATTGGACCTTGTAACTTCAATTGTGAGATTCTGGTAACCGGAGACAAAATAGTATACTCTTTCAAAATCTTCCCATCATATCTATATTCCTTCTGTGATGATTTCACCAGCTGTTTAAGACTAGATACCCAGTGTAATTGTAAAGTTATATTTTTTTTTTGAAGCGTGAGCTTATGGAGTTGTTCTTCTACTTCATCATCAACTTCTTCATTTTCGGCCTTCTCCATTAGCTCATAAATACAGTCATTGAGTTTATTGTATAATACAAGGGAATAGTTGAACAAAAGCTCGACAAAAGAATCGTCGACCGATAATTTTGTTGGGTGGAAGGGGAATAAAGAATACAAGTCGCCTTCACCAGTGAAGACGTACAAAGTCAAACAGCCAACTGGATCGCTCAAATTATTGGAGCCAAAAGTAATACTGATTGGTTTCTGGATGCTATTGACAGTGGCGAGCGAGAACGATGTTTCTCTACTTTCTGCTTTTTCTTCACTAGGGTCCGATGACCTCAAATTGAACGAACCAATTGACTCTTGGAAAGACAACCCTAGTTCGAAGGATCTAATTATTGAATCGGAGGACAAAACCACCAAATTAGAATCATATTTGGCAACTGGACTCCAAATAGCCTTTAGTATTCTGGCATCTTTCTTGTTGTACATGAACTCGCCAACTTGATAATGTTCCACAGCTAGCAGCGGGGTATTACTGTTGATTTCGTTAAATGCATTAGGAGGAGGTAATACTACTGCATACACTTTGAATTCACAAATTACTGCCAAAAATGTTCCGGAGTTGTTCAAGACCAAGTCCTTGATATCTGAATCAATCAACGAAAGAATCAAAAGAAAAGAGGTTGCGGCGCCATTCAATGACACCCGAATAGTGTTTTGTTTAGCAATGAAAATCTCATTTCCATTTCTCACACAAATTTTGTTTGGCATTTTTGCAATCAGTTTTTCCAACGCTCAATTGTGTTTATTTGTGAGTAGTCAACTGTGTGTTTGTTTGGTAAAGTCAAGAAAATGGTCAATTTTTTTTTTTTTGTTTTGCAGAAGGATTTCACTTACCCGCTGCACCACCAACGACGTCTACGATATATCTACACACTCCATCGAGATAATATTACAATTATTACACTGAAATTTATTTATATACAATCGAAATAAAGGTGAGCAATTAAGAATTAAAGAAAAATGGTTGGTCGTATGTACATCTCATGGCAAAGAAAGTTTGGGAGATTGATTACCTCACAACTGGGTCAAGAAGTTATTGTATCTGATCTTCTTTATATTCGACTTTCTCATTTCTTTTCTCTTGAGCTTAATTGGATCATTTTTCAAGTTATCCACCTGTTTCTTTTCATCAAGTAGCTCCCACAACCAAGATGGGTATTCTTCATCCTTCTTGGCAAGGGGTTCTTTACCAGACTTCTTTATGTGGAGATTCAATGGAGTGCCTTCTGGAACACTGGAGATATTCAAAGGAGCAGCGGCAGCAGCAGGCTTAGGTGCAGCATTTCTGGCAATCAGTGATGAACTAAGCAAACGTCTGGTGAAAAGTCTGAGCATCGTTTCTATGAAGGGTTGGATAATATTGTTATTACAGACGTTCTCACAGCACAAATCAATTTTTCAAAAGCATTTTTTTTTTCTGCTTTACATGTCTGATGTGCGGATGCCATCCGCCATACGTTCATCCGTGCATCACATACAACAATAACCATCTCTATTTTTATAACCTATTTACAAAATGGTATTTAAGTATATACGTATCTAATAGTCAGCCACTAACTCCCATTCCTCGTGACAATAATCTCATTTTCCACAGCGCTCAATTGGTGCACCTTCACTGGCACAGTCTCACCAATTTCCGGTTTAATTTCATTGATCCCAATCTTTAACTTTGCAGACAATTTATATTCCTCAATAGTCCCATAAACGTACTCATCCATGATGGTATCATAATAACGGACCTCAAACTTGAACTTGTTATTTTCTGATTGGTAATTGATGTTGACTAATGAATCAAGAATATCAGTACCTTCACCATTCAAATTTTGCAACAACAAGATAATCTTCCAATAAGACTCTGAAATTCTTTGAACACGCTTAATATACTGATTTTGTTGTTGAATGTGAGGAATTATTCCCGCCAATATGTTGAAGTTGAATGGATAATCATGTTCTTTAGTCAAATATTGGTGGGTGTGCCAATGGCTTACCAAGTCTCCAAATCTTCTCAATGGTGAAGTACTTGGGTTATAGTTTTGAATTCCCAAGAATGAATGGCCGCTTGGCTTCATCGAGTAAAAGCTGGTATTCCATAATTGGATCAACCTCGAAATTTCCTCGAAGGAAATTGGAACACCAGTAGCCTGGTAACGTTTCTGTAATCCCTTGTAGGCATCATAAATATAAACCATTTCGGGACAATAATTTTTTGGCTTCTTATTTTTACTTAGTTTATTCTCCAACGATGCGTAATAACCAATCATTTTTTGAAGGTTTCTAAAGATACCCGGGATCCTATTCCCTTCAAATACATTACCGGCAATCGAATTTGCTAAAACCATCAATTCACTAACCAATATGGTAGATTCTGTTTCCTTTTGTATTTCTAAATCTATGGCGTGGGTAGTTTTATCAATTACCGGAACCATTTTGTCGCTTCTCATGATTAGCCCTTTTCCTGACCGCTCTTTCCTCAAAATTTTACTGACATGTAAAAGATCATTTAAATCTCTATAGTACACATGACTCGGATCTTTCAAAATCTCATCAACCTTATTGTAGGTAACTTTAGGGAATTTCTTTACGATACCACCGACAATTGCACCAGTTTCATAATCAACTTGATTCGTAACTGGGTTGAATTCAACAGTATAAGTGATTGTTCTAGTGTCCTTGCCATCAATTCCCAATCCCGAAATATCTGAAAGCAATTTAGGCAACATTGGCACAGTTGTCTCTGGTAAATAAATGGTCGAGGCTCTTTTCAACGCAATCTTAGCAATGGAAGAGTCTGGGTCAAAATATGAAGCAGGATCAGCGATATGAATAGCAATAATCCATTTAGAAGAAGATTCTCTCATAATACTGACACCGTCATCAATTTCATGAGCAGTTTCTGAATCAATACAATATACTGGCAAATCACCAAAATCTCTTCTTTTTCCTAACAAAGGATCCGCAAATTGCTTAGTTTTAGGATCTTTTAAATCTTTCTCGGTCAACGAGTCATAGTAATCTTGTTCTAGCATAGAAATTTTATCCTCGTTGAATTTTAATTCTGGAATATTAATTGTTTTTGTCCAATTATTTGGATTCTGATAAATTAAAAAGTTCTCAGGATCCTCAGGTAATTCTCCCATTTTTTTTAGTAGATGAAATGCACAAGTCCTGTCAAGTTTGTTGATATTGGAAAATAAATCAAGCTTTCTCAATAAGTATAACACCACTGAAATATGCTCATTATCATTAATATTGCCTGCTGCATATTCTCTAATTAGTTGAATCACTTCATCATAATACCGTGGTTGAATATTAATATTTCTAGTTCCTTTTAGACTTGAATTTATATAGTCGATAATAGAATCGGCATACATTTGCCACTCCCTTTCGCTCAACGTTAATAGGGGTGTCAACGCGGATTTCACTTGAATCATCATTGGAGATCTTATTTGACTATTAATGGTATCCGACACTAAATTCCACAAGTCTGTTTGCTTTTGTAATGCCAAATATATCGCAAAAAGACCTCTCTCATCCACGCTCTTATTATTACCTTTTGAATTCTCTGCGTAATTGATTCCTAAACTATATTGATTTTTTGAAATGCGGAAATTAGAGACAAACTCAATTAGCCGCTCAACATCCTCATAAGAGTTCAACCTCGATTCAACCGCATCTATCAAGCTTTCCTTGTTATTAATTTTATTTTTCAGAGACTTTCCGCTAACTTTTTCTATATTTTTCTTTAGTTGTTCTTGAAAATCCTTAATATTAAAACTTCTTGCTATAGTTGCTAGATCAAAAATTGAGATAGACTGGATGCCGCCAACTTGAAGAATTCTGTGCACGACTTCAAGTTTGTATAGCATAGACGGTAGAAGAGTCCATGCATTTGATGTTATATCCTTAAGTTTCTTCAAAACTAATAGACGGCCAGCTTCTGATATCTCTACTGAATCATCGCCATTTACCAGCTCACCAGGATCCTTAACAGTCCTTTCTGTTTTATTTATTTCTGTATCCTTTAATTTCTCAGTTACTAGAACATCTTTAATGAATTTTCTCTCAAATACACCGGGTATTCTAAACAGAATGTTTTGTTTTGTAGTCTTGTAAATGGAGCCATTTTGGCCCAATACAGTCAACTGGTGATCGTCGTTAGCAAAAATTGGCTCCTTGATTATAACACCTAGCTCTCCTGTTAATGAGGAATCGTAGTTGTCTATGTTAGATGCCTGTATAACATCCCCCAAACTAACGGGATCAAACAAGTATTTGGGATTCCCAGTTATACCTTTAACTAAATACAGGCTTTTTCCAAATTCGTTTTTCAATCTTTCCTTGAATTTCTTATTAGGTTCAAGATACTTTTTCTCAAGCTCTGTGGATGTGCGGGCCACAATTTGTGAAAGTGATAAAATGTGGAGATTCTCCAAATCTTTTCTCACGTCAAAAGCATCATCGGCAGACACCTCCTCATTTGTCAAATGTTTTTTTGAAATTTCACTGGAGTAAAGCCGCGACGAAAATATTTGCGAAGTCTTCTTACGAAGATTATGGTGGAGAAACCCACGCCCAAGACCGGCAGTCCTTATCATTATCGATAAATAGATAAAGTCAGTAGTGATGATTATCCACCGTAAGCTGAATTTTTTTCCTTTAAAATTTTTGAAGATGATGGATCCGCCAATATGGATACTCACGTGATGTGCCTATAAGTTTATAGCATACATTGCCATCAATAATTGGTTCAGAATATTGCACAAATCTCTGATTTAGAAGCCGCTATTGCTATTTTCATATTTTTACCATCTACGGATAGATTATAAGATCAAGGTGCTTGTTCCCTGGTGAAAAATGGTTGAATCTTGTTTATAAGTGATAGATCACACGCAGGCCCTACAAGAAAAGAGGGAAAAAAAAAAGTATAGTGCGATTCTCTCTCGTATAGGTAACATTCCTGAACCCCCAATTGTCTGCTACCATAATAAGGACAGGAAATCCGTTATTGCACCATGGGTGGGAAAAAGAATGCCAAAAATGCTAGGCAGAAACCCACTAGGAAAGTCAGTACGCCTCAGTACTTGGCCATCATTTTTAAGAACACATTGCGCAGTACATACAAGGGAATAATCGGTGTTTTATTCCTGGTGAATTGGTTGTATATTTTCTTATCACTTTTAATTTATCACTCCTTAAAGCTTTTTTGGAATAATATGTGGGTTTGTTATGTCATCTTGTTCTTATTCTGCGTGACTTCTGTCATTCTTCTTTACTCTAATTTCAAAAAACTCAATCAACAAAACAACATGTCTGTCAACTATACATCCTTCAATGAAACCTCAAAACCCAAGCTTTCGAAATTCGCCTTTGTGGATCCAGATAATTGGCAAAATGAACTAGAAAATCTCAATAAAAGATCTCCAGATTTGGATCGTCTAATATACCCTGACTCCATGTTGATTTCTTCCATTTTGGATCAATTGGTGAATCTTATCATTGGTAGCTTTATAAAACCGTGGTATAAATCCATTAACCAAAGCAAATATGAAGCAGATGATCTTTTCACTGATGAGGTTAAAATCAGTATCAAATATGCTATTGCATCGCTATATCTCAAACTTTCTGGCCTTGATTTCACAAATTTGATGGTTCTTAGGCTTGTGCCTATTATTACTGATCATTTCAACAACTTTGTATCAGCAAAGGCTTCAATCCGCAAAAAATATTTGCTCAGTAATAGCAATTCTAAGGCAACAATTAGTGGACTTGGTATTTCTAGTGGAGTTAGTGGTGGCAAAAATACCAAAAGGCAGACGCTGGCAAATGATAAGCTTTTGAACTTAACCGACGAAAGCCAAATTAATTTGTTGATCTCACAATTTTACAATCATGGAAAATTGCATGATTCTGTCAACTCTTTCCGCGAAAATTCCCAATTCAGCACGTTTAGTCAAAAGGCCCATCTTAGAGCCAAACTCAATAAAATCCTCCCTTTAATTTTGGAGAAAAATGAGATCTCCTGTCTGCCTGTCAACTTACTTATTCGGGAAATTGTTATTAATTGTGTGTTTTTACCAGTAGTCAATATGGTGGTAGACCCTGATTTCTGGAATCAAATGATCGTTGATAAAATTGGTAGTACCTTGAAGGATCGTACCAAAGTGATACAGTTAAGAGCAGAGTTACAAAAACATAGCAAGAATGCTACCAAGGGGAAAAAGGCGAAAAAAAATGATGATTCTTCTACACAAAATGGGTCATCCACCAGCAATAAGAAGAAAAATCAAGATAATACATTATTTGAGTTCAAGCTTGGCTTGAGTACCACCCAGTCATTATTTGAAAAATTTTTGAAAAAAATCAATAAGAATACCTCGATTGTGGATTTAAGACAACTCAAGTTTTACATCAACTTGCAACTTCAAAAGACCTTAAGAAATGATGATTATAAGCATATGTCGAAAGAGTTTAGTGAGCACTCCAATGACCAAAATAACAAATCTGAAGCCGTCAAAAAGAATAAGGATTTGTATGAGCGCTACAAGATTCTTGTGAAAAGACTACAAATTGTGCAACTAACTTTAACTAATAGAATTAATAATTTGAATTTTGAAAATCAAACAAATAACCTTGATAACTCTTCGATCCATTCTGCCCAAACTGGGTCTTCTAAGAATGTTGGAGGAGCTCCTGAAAAAATTAATTTGTCATTACTCACCATATTGAACGACTCAAGTTTGTTGACTTATTACATGGAATACATGGATCAACACGGTAAAACCATATTGCTTCAATTTTGGCTTGTTGTTAACGGTATTAAGAATCCTTTGGAAGATTCAATGTTAATAAATACCGATGATATTTACGCCGAAGATACTTTGATGGATGCTAACCTAACTGGGGTTAATGATGCGGAAATTAATCAAAATTTGAACTTCGCCAACGATATTAAACTGATTTTCATAAACTATTTCAACAGCAAGTTGATTATTGAAAACAATAAAGTGGTGTATGAAAATGTGGAATCTTTTGTGAAGGCTTATGACTCTTATAAATCCTACTTGGAAGCTTACAGGAAGTTCAATTCTAACGGTGCTTCTGAAGAGACCAATAAGAAAGACTTAGAGTTGTATAATGATTACGAGTTGTATAACAAAAAGTTCGAGCTCAACAAACTCTTCGTTAGAGCTAGAAAATCTATTTTGATACTCCAAGCAAAGGCATACAAATACATGGAAAGCGACTTGCCAATTTTTAAAAATTCTAATGTCTACTTGAAATTAATTGCGTCTGAAAACAATAGGTTGGGTGATACCAATAATATCAGTGGTAATCCCTCTTATCAAAATCTCGATATTTTGGACAACAGAGCTCACTCGCGTTCAAATTCAAATATTTCGACTCTTGGTGCCAAACATGATGAAACAACTGGTGATCCTTTGGCCAATTATAACACCTATGAGGACAATAGTAATACCATCAAGGGTGCCACAATGGGAAACCATGATTATAATAATGTTGATACAGAGAATGGTATTACCGGGTTATCAAATTCTATTTCCTCGTTGAAAAATATGGGAGGCGCACATGATAACAAAATTTTCAATGATAACGATGATTTGGTAGTTTCATATGATGTTATTAACGCTGTTGAACATGCTTTGAACGAAATTATTGAAAATAATAATGATTATAAAAGCTCTGACGCTGTTAAGTTGAAAAACGACATTTTAGAAGGCTCTTTGAAAGATAACGCTAATAATGATGATGAAGTTGATAGTGACGCCTCTTCTGGGAAAACAGGGGCGTCATCAAGGTTATTTGGAGCTTATAAGGATATTTTTGGACAAAGCTCATTATTATTCAAAGGGGATTTTGCCAGAAATTCCAACTCTGATAATGAATCTAAAAAAGACGATTGCTCTTCTGGACTATCTACTCTTGTTGAAAGTAACGTTAGAGATAGATTTTTGTTTGATAATGATGAAGAAATCAATGATATCGATGATATGGATTCCGTCATTTCTGAGATGATTAATTCGGAAACCATTGGAGAGTATGAAAGCACTGAAGTTCATTTAGCAGCGCCTGGTGATTTGAACTTGGCTGAAGAAATCGAAAAATTAACCAACGATATTGAAAGTTTGAATAATCAGGTCCAGATCCTTCAACCTTTGTTGAAGAAGGCGGAATTGACCAATAATACTGCCGAGTTGAGGATTTTGCGAAAGGCCAATGTTAGTTTGCAACGGGAAGTCCAACTCAAGGAGTTACAGAGACAACAATACATTGTCCAAGAAAATGATAATAGCTTGTTTGGTAAATCTAGAGTTGGTATTCAGTCTTATATCATTAGCAATGACGAGAAGTCCGGTAAAGAATACACTTCGTATATCATTGAAGTTCAAAAAATATCCACTAATGAAGGAGCTGATAATCAGGAGACTGTTCTGGCGGGTTGGATTGTTGCGCGAAGATTCAGTCAGTTTTATTTATTGAATAAATACCTTAGATCCATCTATCCAAAAGTGAAACTATTGAACTTCCCCAAGAAGAATGTTATTTTGATGAATCAGGCACAACAGAAAGTTTTGATTGAGACTAGAAGACAGTTATTGGAAGTTTATTTGAAAGAGTTACTTAAAATGCCGGATGTTTGCAAAAGCAGAATTTTTAGATTATTTTTATCGTCTCAAAATTTTAACAGTGGTATTTTGGCTAATAAGAGATCCCCTGAGTATGCAAAAGTTAAAAATAGTCCAACTTTGAATTCAAGTGTCGATGATGTTGGTGGAATCAGCAATAAGTATAAAGCTATTGAAGACGTCACTGCTAAATTATACAACGGTATCACTAATGGTATTGAATACTTGAATGGATCTTTGATTTTTTCCAATGCGAATGCTCAAAATGCTGGATTAACAAATGGTCTTTCCAAACTAGATGAAGATGGTATGGATGGTCTTTCTAGAGGAAAAAATGGTTATAAAAACTCTAGAGCCATGAATGGTGCCGCAGTTAATGAAGATACTGGGTTGCAAAGCGACGAATTGCAAAACGAATTGAATTCATACGATGACGATAAGACTACATTTGTTAAGCCTATCTGTGATTTATTCCTTTCAATATTCGCTCTTAATAGAAGTAACAGCTGGCTAAGAGGTAGAGCTATCTTGGTTATTTTACAACAATTATTGGGCAGTACCATTGAGAAGAAGATCAGAGAATATTTATCGGTCATCAAAACCGAAAACAAAGTTATTGATCTTTTGAATATTTTCAGGGATAAACTCTGGCCAAATAATGTTTTCTTTTTGACACTCAGGGCAGAAAGCGGGGAAACTAAACAAAGAACTGAGCTTGAAAAGAAAAATACTAAAGATGAATCTCGAACATTATTAGAGATCATTATTACTGATATCAGTAGTAAAATTGTGGGTTTAAATAATTCAAAGTTTGCGGCAGCAGAAATCCATAATATGTTACAAAACGATATTCTTAATACCCATTTGATTTACAGCTTGATCGATGAGTTATTGGACGCCTTATTCCCGGAAGTGTCCAATGTCCGCACAAATTCTAATACGGGAAATTCTGGAAGTGGGAAACACAAATGAGACAAAAAAATTTTCTTCACAAAGAGTGAATATATTTCTAATGACATATCATAAAATTATTTTAATTCTAATTATTACACAGTCACATTTGATATAGAACTGTTATTTGTTTTTTGTTACTTGGTTTTTTGTTATTTTGTTTTGTTTTGTTTTGTTTTGTTTTATTTTGTTTTGCCGTTGTTCTAATATCTTCTAATTTTTAATGCTTATTTAGCTTTTGCTTTTCTAAGATTTTTGAAAGGGTAGGCAGTAGAATTTTAAAAAATCGGAGTGTTTTTTGGATTCATCTATTTGCTCCAATAAGGACGTATGTGCAGTATTAGCGGCTCCAAAGTTGAACAAATAATTGGAGCTTGTGTTACAAACAGAAGATTTTTGAAGTATATGCAGAGGTCTAACGTACATGTTGATGAAATAGATTATTTGTTACAGCAGGCCATTCAAAAAAATTATGAAGAAATAGGACAGGCCTCAATAAATTCCAAAGTGATCAATCGATCAGAAATTTTAGTCTTTTTTTTGTAATTCATTTTTGATTTTATAGTTTAGACAAAGACAACCATATGCTTGTATTCAAGGAAGTATAAGGTAAAATAAGAATGGTTGTAAAAAACAATACTTATGAAGATGTTACTCTATACCGGTCAAACCTCACAGAACTTAAATTTTATTCTATTTAAATCATTTCTAATGTGTTAAAAAGGCATATAATACCTAAATAAAAAGTATTCCTGTTGATGAAGAGCAAAATATCTCTACAAAAAATCATCTCACAACTTACCCAATTGTCACCATTGCATTTTGACAACACGGGTATTCTTGGCGGGTCTATTATTCGGGCACTACTAACATTTGTATACCATATCTCCAGCATTTATTTTCATTTCATTGCTTTTTTTTTACTATGTTATGTTTGGTATCAACTTCATACATCATCAGAAAGCTTGTATCATTAGCTGAATTACCTTTCTACGTCATCAGGAAGCTTGTGCTCTTATACTTTTACTGGTGGTGTCTGTCTTTCTCTCTCTCACCTACTTACTTTTATTGATTTTTTTTTCTCGTGCGATTCGGCCATGCGCGATCGGCCCGATCCACTTTTATGAAGGTCCTATTGAAGGGCATTCATTCATTGCAATTGGAACATATAATTATTACTTTTCTCGCCATGTCGGGAAAAATGTGTGTCTTTAGCATAATTTGGGAACGAATAGTTGGTAAAACTACTGCAATTTGAATCACACGCCCTGCAAAATGGAGCAGATAGTGTCGTAATTAATGGGCGGATCATGGTATATATATATTTATATACGGCTGTATTTATCATTTTATTTACATTCCAGGATACAAGATTTTTACAATCAAACGATTCTTGAATTATAAATTCAAAAACTACAAGCTGTGCTCTCTGACCATAGAATATTTCGCCAAAAAAAAAAAGATAACCCTTTTTCTTAAAAACTTTTGGTGACACATAGAAAAATGTCCCGCAAGTCTAATTATTCAAATAACGATCCTACTGAGCCGATTAATGGGTTTCCAGGTTATGATGGATTTCCAACACAAGGCCAAGCCTCACCGCCATCTTACGGATATGTTGACAGTAGTAATCATGATTGGCAACGACAGCAATACCAAAAACAATTGCAAGGACAGCAATTACATCAACAATTGCAAGGACAGCAATTACATCAACAACGTCAATATCAACAACAGCAACGGGATCAGCAACTACAACAATTACAAAAACAACATAACCAACAATTACAACAATTACAACAACAACATCACCAACAATTACAACAATTACATCAACCACAAGACGTCAATGAATCTTCATTAAAAAATCCTGTGAATCCTTTGGTACATAGTCCAGACTGGTCCCCTACTAATGAAGACTACAGACTTATGGCATTCCCCCAACAAGATTTCATGACAAGAGTCAAGAAGAATTTCCACAAGAATTCAGGCGACCCATTGGTGGACCAACCAATAAGCTTCCTGCGTAAAGTGCCGCCGCACCTTGCAGAGCAGCCCCAAAGAGCTTTCCGCCCACTTATCCTCAAAGGGATCAACAAGATGGGGCTCATCGGACAAGGGTTTAAGCCTGCGTATATAGGGCTGGTGTTTGCTCCCCGGGACGTTAGTGTTGCTGATTTCGGGCAGTTTTTGGAAGATATCACCATTGCTGGCAACATCAGCGGGGGGTCTAAAATAGGCGCCCAGCTCGCCCCAACCACCATGCATATGGGCCTCAGTGGCTACTTTGTCACCAAGGCCATTCTTAAGGGACTCCACCGAAAGAAAGAACCGCTTGTTATCTGCACCATTGAGGCCTGGCAAGAGTACTTTTTTGGACCGCGGGGACTAGATGTTTACGTGGTGGCGGAAGGTGAGCGTATCACGTCCCGGTACGTGAACGGAGAGCTTGATCCTATTCCGCCAGAAGTGGCTAGGTTGTGCGGCGGTTCAAGGGGTTCCAAAGATTATGATACAGATAAGTCTTATGAATCCGATAGTAGTATCGATAGTAACTCATCCAGAGACTCAAATGGGCAGAAACTCTCGCGCGATGAGCGCAAGTGCAGAAAAGAAGAAATTAAAGAAAAGAAGAGACTCAGAAAAAAGAGACAGGAAGACAGGAAAAAAGAGCACGAGAGGAATAAAAAGCTTAGAAAAAGCCAAAAGGAAGAAGAAAAGAAAACTAGAAAAGACTTTGATGCACCAAAACTTGTTGTCACTGCCCTTGTTCCTGGGTATTAGGTTTTTATCGTTTATTTTTTTCAATATCTTTACGTTTGAATCCATCATCTTTGTTTTTTCTAAATGGGCCGTATTCTTATGTTGAATCTGCCCTTTATTCCTGAATTGACCATATATATTTGAGCTTATACTCTGGAATCCATGTTTTTGATCTGTATAAATCACTTTGGAATAAGTTGCATCGTAGGACAACTTGCTCCTTCCCCCGTGGCTTCTAATACAATTGTGGGTGAATGGGAGTGGGTTCCACACAGCTGGTATTTTTTTGCTTTATGGGTACCTAATTAGAGTAGGAAACTTGAAGAAACCTCAGTTTCTAATTCTCAATACTCTTGGTAACAAAGAAAGGTAAGTCAAATGCAGCTTATACTAAAGTAATGTAATACATAAAACGTGTGATAAAGATTATATATATAGTAATATATAATAAAGTAATAATTAAAAGAAGAAAAAATAAATATAAAATATACATCCTTTGAGTTATCGCTTAACAAAAATTTAATTTTCTCATATCTTTGCTGATATTTTTAAGATATACAAGGTAGTACTTAATAGGAACCTTGAAGGTTCCACAATGTTCATTATTTTCTTGTAAATCTCATTTTTACTTCTCATAGGTTCACAAATTCTAAAATTCGAATCTTTAATGAGTAATTGTTCATAATATTGTATTATGACAAATTGACTTGGGTATAATTAAAATATATTGATTTCTTGATTTCAAATATCATGTTGACCATCCATTAAATTGGTGGTTTGGCTGGATATGACATACCCTGCAAATTCTACCTGTCCAAGTACTAGATACTTAATGATTGCATTTATTAAATGGCAATTTATGTCTTTGCTCCCGCACAAGTTTGTGTAGTAATCAGACATTCCAAGCAAAATAACCAGGATAATATTTTAGTTCTAGTAACGAAATAACCAATCTGGCACCTGTAATTATGATTTTAGGTGATCAATTAGTATACAAAATCTATAATTGTAATATAAGACACTTTAACACTATGGAAATCAGTAGTTTATATAAACTATATCAAGGTAAATAGACTGGGATGTTAAACCATTTATATCACAAATAGAATAGTAGCAACATATTTAGAGTGCTACGATCAAGTTAATAACGTGTAGCTAAATGCGATAATTGATAATAAAGGTTTCTGAAGAATAGAGACTCTATATGCTTCAGATATAACAATAGTAAGTAAGTAACTACTACGGAAGTTTGAATTCGCATCGCATAATATGTTAAAAATGAGCAAACTGTGTGAAACAAAAAGAAAATTGGCCATAGAAAATCAATAGTAAACAATAATGGGAGTTTATTAATGAAATCATACGATTCTTTACCGGAAAATACCAGTATTTGAAAAATAAAACGAGATTATATGAGATAATAATTTGTGGGCCGGGTAACCTTAGAAAGTTTACAGAATATCATTTGTGAAAAACCATTCTCTCAAGCTCCATCCTTATTAGCTCAGTTGGTAGAGCGTTCGGCTTTTAGAAATAAGGAACCGAAATGTCCAGGGTTCGAGCCCCTGATGAGGAGTTTCTTCTTTTGCATTTTTTATCATCATAGTTTTTTTTATTCCATACATCTAATTAGAAAATAATTTGTTGTTTAATTCTACTTTTATAGTTTTTATGGTCCTTTACACTTATTTTCTTGCGCTAGTAGGATTACCGAGTTTTCTGGATAAGACGATGATGCTTCTTTCTTTTTTTGTCCTCACTCTTGCTGTACATGAGTGAAATTTCTAGAGGTATTGCTGCAAATTAGTTTAATATAATGAATGACTAAAGCTTATATTCCACAATGGAAAAAGCTTGGATCATGATTTACTTTCCTTTTTGACTCTCAAGATCTCTAAGTCATCCTAATGTGAAAATTGTCACACCTGGTTAGCAATAACGAAAATTGACCATGTCAGTGGAACCATGCTCAAATCTGTACCATGGGGTTTGAAAAAATTCGGCATTGCTTACATACAGTATATATATTTGTGAACTGAGTTAAATTTTCTGTATTCGTCACCATATTTTCTGCTAATGGTTTCCTTGGCTGGGGGGTATGCCAAAGCTCTCCCAATACAGATCTACTAGGTTTTGTGTGGCTGTCACTGTTAATAATAGTGTTTAGTGAGCGTTCTGGCTGGATCCGTGGATTATAGAGAAATAATTATAACACGAGAATGAAACAATCACAAATACCATAATAGGTCCCAAAATATGTCCCATAATAGAATCAAAAAATTGCAAACTTACAGAACGTTTTGAAGGTTTGGACATGTTTTATACCTTCTGCAGATTCTCACTGATTGCAAATACAAATGAAATAACAGCATTAAAATACGTCATGTACATTAATTAATATGTGTATATACAAGTTTTAGGAGAAGCAGAATAGGTTTGCGAAGAGTGAAATAGAAACAGAAAAAGAACACGATGCCAGAAAGAAATTCACAAAACCATAATCTGATAAACCATAATAGATGAAAAAAATGATTTCCTAGAGCTTAAGCAAGTTTCCTATTTTTCTCTTTTCACTAAACTTGGAACAGTTGATGTGGATGAATGGAATATTCTAATAATTTGATCTTGAATAATTTAACTCAACAATAATGAAAGGGAACTCAATGAGATCGTAAAAAGGTAACAAGTGAGTAGTCAATTATAGCACCACCTGGATACCCATACTCTTTGCTGTGCCTATTATAGATTTACAAATCCCTTGGAGCTCTAAGTTTTTATGACGGTCGTCGGTTTTCTTTATTTGAGCAATTTCATAAATGTGTTTCAAGCTAACTTGCCCAGCGAATTCTTTACCTTCGCCAGTTTCTGCGGCACCTTTTTCAATACCAGCAGCCTTCATCAATAAGTACCCGGTTGGTGGGGATTTCAATTCAAAAGTGAATGATCTGTCTGGTTTCACGGTGACTAAGGCAGGGATTGGGGTTTGTGGAGCGTAATTGGCGGTTCTGGCATTGAATTCTTTACAAAAATCAATAGCCTTAACACCCTTAGAACCAAGGGCTGGACCAACAGGTGGAGCTGGGGCAGCCTTGCCGGCTGGGACTATTAGTTTAATTAACACATTCTTTCCTACTCTGGCGGACATATTGGATATTCGATAGCGTTAGTATGAAAGACTGAGCGATCGATAGCCACTACCTCAACCGGTGGAAATTTTAAAAATTGAAGATGAAAAAAAGCACACACAGGTTTCCCGGACGCTTTGAAGTATACCATCAGCGGGGAAGAATGAAAAAAACCACACCAAAAAAATAGTATCACCCACGCCAGCAGTTAGCATTCCCAAAAACAAATATGATAAATAATCCCCCTGGAAAGTGAGAAGACTAGATGGGTTTTGGGATATGAACTATACTGTCAGAGCTTCTACAGGGGATGTATTCACATTATCACTGTTTTCAGACGTATGGCGTCGGGAATCTTATTATCATGAACGATTGAGGTTGCAATCACAAGATTACCAATACCCAAAGTTGAGATCACCGATATTCGATGACCGTGACCAATGTGCTAGTTCCGAGACCCATGATATAGTCAAAGATTTAACCTGGTCGAAAGATGGCAGCACTTTGGTGAGCGTGTGTGAAGATTTCGGGGTGAGAATGTATGTGATGCCAACAGATTTATGTGATGGAGAGCACGAAGAACAAGAAAATAAAATTGATGCCAAGTTGTTGAACCCATTAAATCGAATATTTATGAATAACTCCATAATATCACACAGTGTCAACCCCGGTTTTGATTTATATGGAGAAGAATCGTACCTATACAACTTTAATAATATCTTGATCTCAGAACGTCAGCTACCGATAAAGTTAGTATCGTTGATCCCCACCGAAGACAATGACAGTCCGGTAATATCGCATTACCAATTCAGAGATATACAAAATGACAGATATTTCGATAGTTACTCGTTGAAATTCATAAGTGGGAATAATTTTGTCGCGGGGTCTACTAACTATCTAGGGGTGTTTAATGTCGATCATTTCGAACCGCTAGCGACATTCAAGTTGACGAACTTTCTTTCGTTGAAAAACTTTGGGATAACCAGTTGTATTGAACCGTTCAAAGAACCAGGGTCGAATTGTGTTTATATGGGGAGCTATTTGAATCAGTTTGCGGCCATTGATTTGGATTCGCAAAGTACTATTGTCACCAAGGCACTCACTCCAAAAGAACACGGGATTGGTAATGGAATATATCAAATTATCGAGTCTGACAACCACAACTTTGTATATCTTCTTTCTCGAAAGACAAACACGATACCAATCTTAGATCGAAGGATGGGATATGAAATGGTGGATCAGTTACAAGATTGGCATGGTGGGGCTGCCGCTATTGATCTTACCAGCCAAAAGTGTTTTGGGGATTTGTTGGGAAAAAATCAGGGACTTCTTGTTGGTAACCAGAGAAACGAAGTCAAAGTGTGGAAAGACTGTGCCATTGGTATTGGTGGAAAACCAGATCTCTATCTAAATGTTGGCAATGATCTTTGCAGTTTGAACACTAGCGAACATCATTTTGGCGATGAGCCTTGTGACGATGTGAAGAGTGAAGCGACGGCGATTGGATCGGTGAGAGTGAATCCGAATGGTGATGATAATTACAACAAGAAGAACATTGTGGCCATTGCACAAGGCAGCCGCCCACCACCATCATCATCATCATCAAATGTTGTGGTCAATGGGATAAAGGTGTACGGGTAACTCGTATTATTATTGACAGGACGCGTCGAATTTTTTTTTTTTTTTTTTCTTTGTCTAAATTTTTTTTGTCTGCGCGCACCGCTGCGATGAGGAAGAAAAAAAAATTTTTTGTGCATTTGGGAAGTGGTCTACTTTCTTTTTTTTTTTTTTTTTTTGGGATAGTAGTTTGTTGAAATTGACACAAAACTAGTTTTGCCAATCTCCCAAATAATCATCTTGATTATATATTTATATATATATATTTACTCTTTCTTTTTTTTCCTGGTTCTATTTGCCTGCTGGGATCACTTGTATATAAATAGCACTTCTTATCAACCAGTTTGTGAAGTCGCTTGCCGGTACCCATTGGATTTCCACCTTTCCACAAGAATCAAATAATATCTTGCTATACTATAATAAAGAATAGAAAGCACCGCCTTTTCTTTATTCTTTTTCTTTCCAATTTCTGCTACAGATCTCCAGCAAAAGGTTCTCAAATCAAAAGGGAAAAAAAAACAAACAGACTCTCCCCCCCACAGTTTTGCCATTTATATCACTGTATTATTATTATTATTATTATTATTACTATTACTATACCTGCCGCATCAATTTGATATATTTTCTAAATGGACCAAAAAGCCGGAAACATCAACACTGCTAACAATTCTAAATTGCTCCTTGATAAGATTCATTCAGTTTCTTTCAAACCAGCAAAGCATTCGGAATCAAACAATTTGAAACCATCATCATATATCTTGATCTCCAACTCTCATAAAAAGAAACACCACAAACATCTATCATCATCAGCTTCTGGAAAACCATCGAATATCCAAGCCAGTACCAAATCAATGCTTGCTTCTCCGAAACCAAAGTCCATGGCTGAGGCGGTGGCTGCTTATGCTGGTAAAAAATATTCCTCGAAAGCCGATAAAAAACTCAAGAAGAAGCAGGAGAAAGAATTGAAGCTTAAAAATAGCGCTATTAAGCAAGAACCAGTCAGTTTAAACCATAATATCGATGAAGATTTGGGCGAAGAAATTGGCGAAGAAATTGATGAAAAGCATGATCAATCATCGTCCGACGACGATCAGGTTTACGAATCAGCAGTTGATGAGGTGCAAAGTGATGATCAAGAAGATGAAGATAAAGCAAATATTGCTAATGGAACAAAATTATCAAAGCCAATTGGAAAGATTGAAAATCATGTCGAGGAGAAGAAAGAATTAAAAGAAAAAGATGAGGAGGATGATAAGGACGACGACGACGACGACGACGAGGACTATAATGATGAAGAAGAAGAAGATGATGATGCTGAAGAATCTGCGGAAGAAGAATCAGATGAAGATGAGGAATCAGAACAAGAGGAACAATCAAAAGACGATGAAGAACCAGAAGAAGACATTAGTGGGGGCTCAGTTGATAAAGGCTTGTCATCTGCTTCAGTAAATACTTCATCTATTTCCATCGATGATTCTGACCAGAACACCAAGAAGAGAGTTAATGATAAATTTGAACTCAAGCAAATTGTTAAGAGCCAAAATTTGAAGAGTCTCAACCTCGAGCTTATGAATTCTGACCAGCAGGAAACCAGCAGCCAAGATAATACTGAAAAACCTGATAAGGTATCAAGGAGCGCCTCTCCAACCAGAACTCCATTACCAGAGGAAGATAACGAATATTTCTACGGACAGAATTTAGATTTCACTAAGGATGACTTTTATCAACTTGAGGAAGATCCATTAGATCATGGTTCAAATGATTCTACAAGAATCTTGAAGAATTGGAATAAAGATTATATTTCCAAGAAGCCTTCTGGTCTTTTGAATCTTGGTGTCACTTGTTATACTAATGCTGCCGTTCAAGCAATGTTTCATATTCCGGCCATACAACACTACCTTGATGATGTCAAGAAAAAGAAGTATAAAAACTTGATTGATAATAAATCGGTGACTTCTGTTGTCGCCGACATTTCCGAAAAAATGTGGAAATCGGGTTCAAACTCTAAAGGCAAGTATATTAATCCAAAAAGCTTGATCAGAAGATTGGACGATGTGAATTGTATGATGTCCCAGTGGCAACAAGAAGATTCACACGAATATTTCATGTCATTGCTTTCAAGATTACAAGAAGATTCAACTCCAAAGAAACAAAAACTCAATACCAGTATCATTTATGATGTATTTGGTGGTTTACTCAACCAAGCTGTGGTTTGCAAGAACTGTAACCATGTTTCTAAGACCAAGCAAGAATTTTATGATTTGTCTTTATCTTTAGACCCTAAAAAGAAGAGAGAAATTGTGCCAAGCTCCACTGTTAGCAGAGTCAATAGCAAAGAACCATCTCCTGAATCGTCGTTGAAGAATGAATCATCCTTGGTTCCACAAAATATTTCGAATACTGTTGATAAACTCAATGATTCTGCTGTCGACACCACCAAAGATGAGACATCTTCTCCAAAGAAGAGACCTAGATATTCTGTCATCAACGCCATTAATGATTTTTTCGAACCAGAACTAATTAAAACCGATAGACGTGACAAATCTAGTGGATATGACTGTGAAAATTGTAAAAAAACTACCAACGCGTTAAAGTTTTCTTCGATTGATAGAGCCCCAGAAACTTTAGTGATTCATATCAAAAGATTTAGGTTCAATGAAAATCTGAATAGTTCATCGAAATTAAAAAGTCCTGTATCGTACCCATTAATTTTGGACTTGACCGACTTTGAAAATGAAGAGTTATTGAATTACGAGAAGTTGAACGATAAGAAGAAGAAGAACAAGCGGGATGAAGAGGCCCAAGAACCTTCCAAGAAGAATGAGCCAATTAGATACCAATTGATTTCTGTGGTAGTTCATGAAGGTAGATCGATTTCTTCAGGACACTATATTGCCCATTGTCGTCAACCATCCGGTCAGTGGATGACCTATGATGATGAATATATCAATTCTATTTCGGAAAAGCAAGTGTTGAAGGAACCTAATGCTTATTACTTGATATACACCAGATTGAAGCATAAGGATCAATCTGCTAAAAACAAAACAGGCAAGCACTCTCTTGAACCAGTTGCTCAACAATCTGGTAGTAATAAGAGACAAAGAAGAGCTTAAACGAGGACAGTTTGCCTGTACTTTTTTTAGTCGGCATTTTTTTTTCTTAATTAGAAATTTGTGTTTTATATTCATTGAAGGTTTGTAATTTTGGAATATTGCCAGTGCAATGGCTCATTTTTGATTCTTATTTCTTTCTCTATTAATCGCTGTTGTCTTAATCTTTTAAATTATCTTAAATTTCTGAGTTTCTTCACAAGACCTTATAATTTGTTTTTACACCCTAAACTTGCATTTCTTTTTTCTTTTTTTTAGTACATCTCATTTTAGCATCTTTTTTCTTTGTCGTGATTGAATTTGTGTAATAGCCATATATTTTTTTTTTGTCGTGAACTGATATCTTGAAAACTTTCAGTCTTTTCTTTACACTTTTGTCATCATACTTATCCTTATTACTTAGGTGTTTTAATATTAAATGGATTCATTTTTCTTGCAGTTTAATTTCTAGTAGCGTATCTAGCTAATACCATTTGTTGTATGTACATTAAAAATCAAAAATTCTTGGCTTACATAGCACTGTAAAGTAGAGAACAATTACACAAAACATTTATTGATATGAATATAAAATATATGCAAACAACCGGTTTGAAATTTTTCATTTTTTCTTCATCATTGCTAATCTTGAAGGATGAATACCGGATGATGGTGCAGCGTCGGCCACGGCCTTTTCTGCTTTTCTTTTTTCTCTTAGCTTCTTATTTTGTTCCTCAATCTTTACTTTTCTTTCCTCCATCAACTTTTCATTCTTCTCCTTGATTTTTTCCAATCTGTTTTTAGAATTACCACCCCCACCGGCGGTCAATTCGACATTGATTCTTCTATTCTGGAAAATCGAATGATGTTTCGTTAAGGCAATGTCCATTCTTGATCTTAAAGTCGATGATCCATCATCGACGATCTTGAATTCCACAAACGCAATCCCTTTATCCTGTCTAATTCTCACGACATCAGGCTTGGAATTCTTGAAAAGGGTTCGTAGATCTGATTCGGTGACGTTGTATGGCAAGTTCCCCACGAATAAAATACTTCTTGGTTCTTTGGACGATCCTTTTCCTTTCTTTCCTCTTCTGGTTTTACGCTTCTTTTTTGGTTGTTCATCTGTTATTTCTGGTTTTTCATGGGATGTTGTATCTTTTGATTTTCCCTCACTTTTATCGTCTGTGGAAGGAGCATCAGCATCAGCAGTAGGAGCAGGAGCAGGAGCAGCGGCATCAGCAGCATCATCAGGGTTCTGAGATTTCTTCTTACGAAACTCAAGGGCCTTTCTTTGCTTCTTTGTAAGTTTCTGAGCCAGTTCTTCTGCCATTTTGTTTGTGTCTTGTAGCTATTACCTTATTGCTTGTGGTCCTCTTTAAAAAAAAAAAAATTTCATCTCATCGCCTAAAAAAATAATTCACTGCAGAGCCCCGTGACCACCCACACATGGGTTCCAAAAAAAAAAAAAAAAAAAGGTATAAACTAATTTATGATTATTAGTCCCGTACAATCGATATTTTTTAGATAATTTCTCTGAGAAGGAATCTCAAAATATTACCAATTATCACTCTTTTGCAAAAACAAAACAAATTTAAAATTGACCAAAGTAATGAGCAGAAATGAACGGGTTTCTAGAAGAGACCATTTTGAACGCGAACAGAGTGTAATAACCTCACAAATCCCAATGGTCTCGGATAATGAACCAAACAACAATATTCCACCACAAACCACTGGCCGATCTCGCAGACCAAGCAACAACACAAAACACCACGATGATCGAGATGTGTTCAAATCGAAATACACCAATGAGATCCGACAAAGATCCAGCGATAGAGATTCAGGGGCCCAGCATCAACGGAAGAAGATCATTGAACACCACGACCAGCAAACAAATCGAAATCGAAGATCCAGTAATAGTAATTGCAGTGGAGGATCTGATGAGGCTGACACTCCAAGGAGTAAGAAATTCCAAGAAGAAGCTGATTGCAAGAAGAGACAACAATATACTGCTGCTGACCAGCCGTCAGAGTCAAAGAATGATACTGATGATATAGATATCAAACAACCATCAACCAATGATGACGATACAATGATGATGGAAATGATGGGGTTCAGTGGCTTTGGATCTACAAAGGGGAAGAAAGTTGGGGGTAACAATGCCTCTGCTGTGGGGAAGGACAAAGCTGCCGGGTCTTTCAGACAATACATGAACCGAGCCAAAGGGTTCAATAGACCATTATCGCCACCTCCTGGTGAAAGACGTCGAAAGAATTAGTGCTTTTTTGTTTCTTTCTTTTCATTACAGACTACTTATTGTTATTATTGGGTGTTATTATTGGGTGCTGTTGGCGGGAGTACCTGGTGTATCGTTTATTATTATTATTATTATTGTTTGTTTGTTTATTTTTATTTTTTTAGGGGGACATTTCCACTCTTTGTATGATTAATTAGCATTTGAGAACTGATTACCTTCACTTCTTATATTACATTTTGAGTAGTCGTGTTGTTACGAAGCGTTGGAACCATTGCCGTTTCCAGAAAAAAAAAAAAAAAAAAGGAGCCGCAATGTTGTTCCCTTTTTTGCATAGCCCATCGTCGACAATATATTTATATTATATCGTGTAAAGTATTTATAGCATGATTATAATATCAGCTTGTTTCTTTTTATCCCCCATATATATAAAATACAAATAGGGGGGAGATTGTAAACCGTCGTGAACGAGGCGCTAGGGTAACCACGTTCCCAATAATTAATAACAACGACAATAATGTTGGCCCATCACCTCCAGCCCAACACCTCTTCGCCACTAATCCGCAGCAGAAGCAGAAGCAGCAGCAGCAACAATTTCTATTACAATAACAATAACATTGACCTGATGTCGATAGAATTGAATGTCAAACAATCGTTTCTGACATTTAGCATCCTCCTCAGCAACTTGGATGATAAGCAGCAAATCACCGCGATCTTGGGATTATCGGAAGACGCTTTTTTCGCACAATCGCTGGAGTTTCTCTCAAAATATATCCAAAATGACCAGAACGATCTTGTCCCATTGTTTAAGAGCCAGGTTTTGCCCCAACTTATCTTCAAACTCCATCATCTATGTTGTCTAACTAATGGCCATAACTCCCCTACTACCGCCAAGATCACCGACGCTTTCCAAGTGTTGAGCAATCGCTGTGATTCTTCAGCAAAACTCGCGGTATTAGTGAACTTCAAGCTAGGAGAAACATTATTCATAGCAATCTCTAAATTGACCGATAATAGAAAATGCAAATCAAAATATAAATACCTACTATTTTCCTATTTGGACTTGGATGATGTGTGTACAAACCAATTCATCTCCTCGGAGTTGTTCCACTTACACGTCATCAACCCAATATTGAAATCATCACAAAAACTAGAAGTCAATATCAATTCGGTTATCATTGCTATCGAGGCTTTGTCGTTCACCGTACCCTCGTGTTCCAGCGATTCAAAACAGTTTTTAGTAAACGTCAAGATCTGCGAGGGATTAGTGATTTTCTTACAAATTTCGAAATACGATCATGATCTAGAATCAATATGCCATAACGTTATAAGATTCTTTCGGCTCTTGAGTATTGATTTCCAATCGGTATTATTTCAATGTGATTTCGTGCCAAATTTACTCAGAATATTATTCGAATTTACGAATTCTCCAACTGGCAAAAGTCAAACTTTTCTAATGGAATCTATCACCTTAATTTTTTCAATCATTCAATACAAAAAACCAAAATCAAAAGACATATCTCCTGGGGTATTATTTCACACCATATTCAAGCTTTTGATCAAATCGACCACCATCAACAACGATCTCATTATGATAAGGTTTCTCATTGATTCGGCGGAAATTCTTCTGGCAAATGATTTATCAATATTAATTAGCAAAAATCAGTTTACGCAATTTCAAAATAAGATTGGTAACTTGGTATATATTGTGACGCATACTCATTTTTATGAAGAACAATATCAAGTGGGGAATGGGGAAATTATACCACCAGTGACTGGTCACCACCGTTGTTTCCGAGGATACATTAAGCTATTGCTGCTTCCGAATTTCCAAAAATTGATAGGGTACAACATAGGGTTTGCGGATTTCCTCCTTATGACGTCGATTTTCCAGTACCTGGATTTGTTATATGAAAAGTTTCGCGATGATTCTCATGTGACTATCAGACTACTAGAAATGGTCAACGACTACAAATATGATATTTCGGTGGTGCGTGAATGGGGTGAAGGCGCCAGTCTTGGGAATTTGTTGATTTCGTTGATTCGTGATGCCAAAACTTCTGATCAACAATGGAAAGGATATCTTCTTGATACCATTTATAACTTGGTGAACATTTTATCTTTATGTTCGAGGAAAAACGTCGTGGAAATCTTGGAACCACTTTTGGATGACGATGACGATTACGATGATCATGAAGACCGCTATCACTGTGATAAGCAATTTGTTCGTTCAATGTTGCTCGAATTTATCACCTGTTATTTACAATCCAACGACCAGGCACAAAAGAGAATGGCGATTAAACTCTTTAATTGCGTGTGCATGACCGATAGTGGTGCCATTGCAAGAATAATTTTAGAATCGCACCCTGAATGTTTCAATGATTTGACAAATATTGTATCGCACACCTTTGCCGAAAACATGAATGGTGGATCGATTGTCCAACAAATTCCATTATGTTTATCTATACTTGAAATATTCCAAAGTTTGATGGTGGCCGAGAGCTTCACGTTGATCACCGGCAAAACCTTCTTTTCCGAATTGATGAAAACCATGACAATTTACATGGGGCATGGCTCAGTATCTGGTCATCGAGGGGTGCTTAAAATCCGCTGTTTAGAATTTATTAGCAGTTTGATCGACCCTAATGTTTTGGAACCACATCAAGCGGAAAAAGTTTTGTTTGTCAAATCGTTTGATTGGTTAAATACCGTGGTTTCTCCCATGCTCGATGCCGAAATCAAGCAGCGGTTGGGAATTGATAATCATCACGATAATAATGATGACGGGATTAAAAATACTGTGGAGATCGATGTCTTGACATTGCTTATGGATATTATTTCCCACTGTATTGAACTTCAAACGAAAAAGATGAAAAATGTCATTGATTCTATGGTACTTGGTAAATTATCGACGATCCTATTTGAATTCCGGTTAATTGATACCAATCCAATCATTTTGACCAAATGTTTAAATATCATCCATCCGTATTTGAAAAGCAAGCTTCATGGGAATGAAGTGGAGTATCTAGTGACCACCATGAAACTTGATATATTTTTCATGAAGGCCATCGGGGACATTGATTCGGGGAAACAATACGTCACAAAGATCAAACTTGATAATGATGATACAGATGACGATTTGTTCGTTGAATTCTTTGAAAGTTTGTACCGATTAAACCAAATCTCCATTACGTTTCTGAAGAATATCATGATTTCTTATAAAATGACAATGATTTTCAGGTTAATCACCATTGCCGAAGGATTGCTTGTTACTGCTCCCAATACTACTATAACTCTGAGAGAAAAGATCACCCAAAAGCTCGATTTGCTTTTTTCGGTGTTCTCACAATTAACGGTGGATTTTGAATTGTTTGATAAACGAGACAAGAATATCATGTGCATGAAGCTTATAAATATCTTTGATTTAACTTATTTCCAGAACATCCAAATTAGCGGGGTGCTCAATGATAATTTGTTTTTGTTGTTGTCGTACAATATTTTGGATGACCCAAACACTTGTTATATCATCGATGATTTATTATTGAAAATGCTCCAAATCATGAAAAATCGCAGCGGTAATTGTTTGAAATTGATGGAATTTTTCTGGAAATTCTTGTACATGTATTCGTTGATCAAGACTTCATATTTCAAACGTCACGTCATGGAACTTATGGAGAGTTTCAATCGGTTGAAGACCTCCAATGAAGTGGCACCAACATTATCCGAAGAACCCTTATTGATCGATGACCATACTTGTAATCGGTTAATCAATGAGTTACTTTGGGAGTCATCGGAGACGTTACAGTACTTTATCTTATCGACGTTTGTTGAGATATTGGTAAATGAGAGTATCAATGATGATGACGAAGAAGAAGAAGAAGATAATGATGAAGATGTGAGGAAACATCAAGAGACAGAAGAAACCCAGAAGACCGGGTATAATACCATCAATGTGGCGGTATTCCGGACTTTGATAAAGACTGCTGGGTTGAGTCAAAGATCAATTGATGAATTGTCAATGAAGTATCAGTACTCTTCAAAGATGAATTTTGAACAATTGAATAATTTACGGAACATTTTTCTATTGATACCTCAATGATTGATTGAAAAATCGTTGGATCTCTTTTTTTCTTGCTGTATGTATATTATACCCCACGTTTTTACCATAAGAGATAGAGACATTATCATTATTATTATTAAAGAGACATTAATATAATTGAGACATTCTTTTATTGAGGCATCATTTGATTGTGTAAATGATAAATCCACCAACTAGTAATAAAAAAAAAAAAAACCCTCCCCGACCGCCAAAAAAAAAAAACCGTCCGTAACTTGGCTAATAATTTTTCATTTATTTATTGTATTCTTTTTTTTATATTTATGTCTTTATTTCCACTGATCCAATAACGAGACCCTGGCTCCTCCCCCTGTCAAATTCAACAATGATACAATTGTTCGACGGCACCATCGTAATACTGTGTAGGGGTATGGGGGATGGGGGATGATGATGGTGGTGGTGAGGAGTTGCCGTATATTATTTATTTCCCCGTATACCGTAACATGCCACCACATGCATAAGCTCGTTAGTTTTCCAAAGTCGTTTATTGTATCTTTGGGAGAAACTAGGTTCTGGTATCCGGGAATTAGTTAGTTATGTCTTTCTCCTAACGGTCAATTCCTTTCGGAGACACACGGAGAGAATGCCTTTTTAACCAGCATTCCTGACTTGCGTTCGATGAGAGGGTTAAATAAAGCATATATACACACATGCTTACATAAGGGGCCCAATTAATTAATTAATCAATTGATCGACGCCATTTATTTCTCAACGAGGAGAAGGACAATAAAATCCGAGGGAATTCCTGGGATGATTGTCCGTTTTTTTTTGTTTTTTTTTTTCTTTCTTGTGTTGACTTTCTTTTCCCTTCATCGTATCGCTCTTAGTATTGGTTTAAATTACGACGATTCGTCTTTTCCCTCTGTTGGATATTACAACGATTTCTTTCTGTTCAAGCAAGAGACAAAGATTCACTACTAACTACCACTTAGCCATGCCCACCGATCCTGACAGATCAAGAAAGACTCAAAGCGTGGTGACGATCCAGCGTGATAAATATGTGATCCACCACGGCCACATCGACAAAGAGTACCAGCTCTATTGCGATATTTTCGGAGAAGACATTGGCGAAAAATACGCAATCTCCAAACAATTACAAAAAGACCATAGCCAAGATTCAACGTTGAAAAGTGGGGGAAGAAGATATTATAATTGTAAACAGTTACGGATCAACAACAATAACAAATCTAGAAGATCAGTAATCAAACCTTCTAGGAAACTAGATGCCAAGGATGTTTTCAAGGACGATAATCCTGATGATGATGATGATGATGATGATGATTTTATCGATAAACTCACGTTGAACAATGTTTTTTTGGATAATGATGCCGCCTCAGTGTTTAGTGCCATCACCAACCCTCCGGAAGTCGATACCAATACCGCGGTTTTGCAATACTCTTATAAACTCAACAAGAAAATCCAGGAGAAAAAAGGCGGGAAATTAAAACAAGTGATTGTTAGGAGATCTCCAAATGCTGATGACAATAAAGAGAACGAAGATGGTAATGGTAATGGTGATGATCATGATGATCCCCTGGGGCAAAAAAAAAGCGACTTTATGAAATTTGAAGGGTTTTTAAAATCGAAATATTCCGCCCGTAACAAAAAGAAGTTCGAATCATTCCAAAGGTTACAACCGTTAGACATCGATTTGAAGCACTATTATAATCCGAAGTTCGTTCCTCAGTTACAAGATCTCCATAAACCGAACCGCAATGATTACTCAAACACAATTATCGAAGAACATGATCAAATAATCGATGGTAGAAACCCAAAGTCATCAAACACTACTACTACTGACAGAAGAAGATCAGCACCTCAATTTAGGCCGCCAATCATTACAGGTGCTGATCGCAGAAAATCATCACCCCAATTCCGGTCACCAATTCCTACTATCACCACCACCACTAATACTGACCGAAGAAAATCATCACCTCAATTCAGTACACTAATCACTACTACTGGCCGGATAAAATCATCGCCCCAACTCAATTCCCCGTCAATGACGAGTTCCAGAAGGCCTAACTCATCACCTCTAGTTAATTCATCACTGGTTTCCAATTTGAAATCCCCTACTATGGAGGGAAGATCCGCGCCTCCTCCAATTTCAAATCCATCTTTGGCTTCCAATGAGAGTTCTAAGTCCATTGGTAATAAGCGTGTTGAAGTGCCATCTCAAATCGCTGATAATAAGCCATCTCAAACCATTGACAATAAGCGTGTTGAACTACCAACTAAAGCTATTTTTGATAAGCGTGCTGAATTGCCATCTAGAGTTATTGGTAATAAGCGTGCTGATTTACCATCTAAAGTCATTATGGATGCTATAGATAAGCGTGCCGAAGTGCCATCTAGCACTTTCATTGATTCGCGAACTGAACCATTTCCAACCATCACCAGGCATGCTGAAGTTTCACTGCCAACTGTCAAAAATCATGCAGGTGCTTCACCACCTACCATCAATAAACGCCCCGATGGTCTGCCATCTAAACATACCACCAATAACCATGATAATAGATTACCATCCAAAGTTCGTGCGATCTCAAAGCCACCAGTTCTTAGGCTTGCTCCTAAATCTAGCCGTCGTCATCTTGGAAATAGCCTGGCATTGAAACTTGCACCGGGAGGGAAGGATAAAAACGCGGCCTTTAGTCAATCACTGAAACAGCAGCAACAAAAGCCAAAACAACAACAACGGCGATCCACACAACATAAGCTCCATCTGTCTGGGACCAAATCACCTTCAAAACAGCATGGTCACACCAAATATCATTATCCAATATACTACCAACAGAAAATCCACCATCACAATTCTTCGCAACCTAATATCTCCAGAAACTCTAACTTTGGCAAAGAATCCACCACCACCACCACCAGTAATTCTTTGGCGCTGAATAATAATAATAATAATAATAATAATGATGATGCTAGATCGCGCAGATCAAGTAGTAGCTCGTTAGAAGTCGATAATTCAAAAGCATTGTACGAAGATACCCAACCATTTTATAAAACTCCTAGTGAAATTGATGCATCACAGGCCCAGAGATCAGTGCCGATCATTTGTCCTAGACCTAGAAGGGTCAATAGACTTAGTGCTCATACCCTTTCTTGTTATTAGTTTTAGGGTCATTTTTGGTATCATTTTTGATATTCTCCTAGCATCACTTTACTATCTTTTTAACTTTTTTTTTTTTTTTTTTTTTCGCTTCATTTTCCTTTCATAATATTATTTTATTACACTAGAAATTACGCCAATGACTTTACTTGTACCATAAGTTTCGAATGGGGTTTTCCCTTCTCCACCATACCTTATATTATATTGAATATATACTACACAAACTACTACAATGAAAAGAACCACATGTATAAAAAAACAACAATTCTATTATCTAAAAGCATCTATGGAAAAACCAATTAAAATAAAATAAAAAAAATGAAAGATATCAGGGAGAGGGAAAAAAAAAATACAAAAAAAAGTAGTGAACTATTATACAAACACAGAAATAAACGAAATCAAAGATGAAGAAGATGACGAAACAAGGAAAACTATCAGATTAAATAACAATAACAATGACAATGATGATGATGATAATGATGATGATGATGATAACCAATTGTACTTTCCATATTCACTGTGCTCCATCAATTCCAAGAAAATGAATTTTTGGCAGCTTGCCTACTGGCCAAGATCGCTGCTTCGATATGCGCCGATCTTTTGTCGTGCAATTCTTCTTGGAGCTTTCTTTTATCAATATGGTGGACTTCACCATTTGCCAATAATATCTTTCTGGTACGAAGGTCCAAATCTCTTTTTTGGTGGTCGATCTTTTCTCTGAAGTATCGTGATGGTAAAGGTCTAGCGGCAGCGGTGCGGAGGATGCACAAGGTGAAGAGAGAAATGAGCAATAATTGAAGGTTGAGGGAATGCATGGTGGGATTTTATTGATTTTATTAAGCTATCTATCACGATATATAAGTCAATTAGGAGTATCAATTTGAGCTGGGGTTAGCTGACTATTTAGTTAAGTGGTTAATCAATTTGTTGGTTATCTATCTATCCTGTTGAGAAACAACACAAAAAAGACCGATGGAAATGCGAGCAAATAGAAGAAAAATTGCTGGATATTAGTATATAATATATCATTTGGGGGTAATTTAAATCATATATATATATCCATGGAGTATCCATGGTTCATTAGAACTTGCATTCGACGGTCTATGGGTCTTTGGTGGTTCTACCACGCAACAGGATTGTTTCATATGAGGGACAGACATAACGGGCAAAACAAAAAAAAAAAACAGAACAAGTTTTAATCAGTGAATGAATAAATGGTTTAGATGAAACATGAGATGGTAATATATTATGATTATTACCATGGTTTTATGTGGTGCTGGCTAATCAATAACGAATCCGATACCGTTTGGTTTGCCAGTAGTAGTAGTAGTAGTAGTAGTAGTAGTAGTAGTAGTAGGAGTGGTACTTATAATGTTCTATACAGGGACCAGCTGTAAATTTCGAAGATCAATCCTAGTCTAGTCTACGACAATATCTTTCTCCATGATTTTCTGAAATATCTTCCTTCATAATAGCAATATGAAATAGATATAATATTGGCAGACCACGAATGATGGAACCGTCACTTAGTGAGCGGGGTGGCAGTGTGTGAAACGATGTTTCATATCAGTGAATAAAATAACTGACCTCGTAAAATATACTAATACCGTTTGATAGCCATGTTTTCTTAACATTATCGAAACCACCGTTCCTTTCCTAATGGCTTTTTTTTTTTGTGTAAATTCATAAAGAAGGTTTGCATCTATGAGAATTTGTGGCGATGTTGAAAATTTTCATGGTTGGCTTGGAATGTGGCTTTTTAGAATTATGATTTCCTCCTCATAATGGAGTGAAACTCTTTATTCTTGTTATTGTTATCCATCATTTCTTTTGAATTGGTTATTCGTATTATTATCATCATTTTTATCATCGAGATATTTTGATTCGTATTTTTTTTATCATGATCATTCTCTTATGATATTTTTGCTAGTTGGCCATATATACAATAAACATTAAACATTCTCTTACTTGACCATAAGATAAGCATTCCCTTACATTATACCAGGACATAAGTTAATCTTTCTCTAACAATACATTGTTATTTGACGATACGGTTAATCGCTGCAGGTTATTATATGTTGTTTGTCTTTGGTTCGTCGGTTGGTATGACAGTTAATCTCCAAGCGTTGTTGTTATACTTTACTTCTAAACTTTATTGCACCTCTAAATGGCATTATATTTCACCATTCCTATTTAACACACAACAGAATAATAAACTAACAGACAATCTAATCCATGATAGTTACTTCTTGAGGTTGTATGAGGATATTTCATCGCAATGAAAAATGGATAAGCCACTGAGATACAACAGCCAATATCAGCGAAAAAAAAAAAAAAAAAAAAAAAGAATAAGTAGATTTTTTTACAACTACTATGCCAACCAGAGGAAAGAGACAAGGTTTGGATCGTCGGTTACTCATTAGCCATTTATCTTTAATTATTCATGTAAGAAGTTCCATGTGTGTCATTGGTTATGTTATTTCTTAATATTTATTCACGTAAGAAGTTCTATGTCTCATTAGTTATTTATCATTATTTATTCGTGTAAGAAGTTCTATTTATCATTATTTATTCGTGTAAGAAGTTCTATTTATCATTATTTATTCGTGTAAGAAGTTCTATTTCTCATATCTAATGATGATTCTAAAAAAAATAAATAAATAATGCATTTAAATCAAATCAAATCAAATCAAATCAAAAAAAAAAAGGACAAACGAAGGAAGAAAAAGAAAATAATTCTTTCTTGTTTTCTATTTTCCCAATTCATTGAAGGAATCGATGGTGCTTTGCCCGGAAAGGATCGATTCGACTTTTTGGTGAATATCTTTGAAACTCTGGAATGTGGTGTATGGGATCTTCTCGGCTTCACAATACTTGATCAAATCTTTTCCTGATTTAGCAAACAACAATTCTGATTCCCTGGCCGCTGATAAGTCACTTACCCCATCACCACAGTAGAAGTAATGGACTTTGTGGGATTGGTTTTTGCTGGCGGCGAATGAGTTCTTGTAGTTGATGATTTTCTTGATCTCGATCGATTTGTCATGCCCGAAATCGGTGGTGTCTCTATAAACAATATCCCACGATTGTTTCTGTTCATCGGTGATTTTCACATCGTTGGCAATGATTTCCAAAGGATGTTGGTTGTAAACGTTATCTTCCCCGTTCAATAACTTGACCAACAAGTTGTGGATGATTGGTTTCATCCCACTAGACACAATCACCACCAACACGTTATGGGCAAGACACCATTCGTAGAAATCTTTGAATCCAGTGTCCAAATCAATATGGTTTTTAAGGTATTCGATACATTCTGGCCATGGGGTATGGACCGAGTCCAACATTTGTTGGAACCCATCTCTGAAACTGGTCTTTTTGTACAAGATTTCGTCATTTAGTCCTTTACGTGTTTCGTAACCCATTCCCAAAGTGTCAGTTAAGAAATCATTACTATCCTTGAGTATAGTTAGTAAATGAGAAAAAAGAAAAGAAAAGAAAAGAAAAGAAAGAAAGAAGGGATGTAGAAGTAAATTAACGTACTTGTAAAGTGATGGTTCCATCGAAATCAGAAAACACAATATGATCGGCTTTTTCGACTTGACGGTAGAATTCAGGGGACAAGGTATCTTGGGTCATATTTTGTGTGTATATATATATATATATATCTTTGATTTGAGTATAAAATATAAATTATTTTTGAAAAAATCAACAACAACAAAAAAAAAACGAAGAGAAAGATGAAGATGAAGATGATGAAATAAAATGAGGAAAAGAAAAGGGAAAAAAAAAAAAACGGATGTGTGTCAAAAAATGTTTCTTTTGATCCACGTGGTGTGCAGTTGGTGATTATGATGATGATTATTATTATTATTATAGCCGACACGATTATTTAATTAAGTATCTATTTGTGAGATTGAGAATATGGAATAGCTGGCATAATATCGGATAGATAGTTTGATTTTCCCGAGAAGGAAGTCTTTTTGAGAGGACCGTTTTAGTATACATGAAGATCTAGGGATGATTTCGTCATCATTTTTCTTATAATAATAGAAAAAATCGAAAAGTTTCTTAAGTCAAGTTAATGAGCAATAATACAATATAATGAAAATAAAAAGTACTGAGGGTGGAAAAGTAAAAAAAAAAAAAATAAAATACATGAACAATACTCATAATATAATAAACAGTTAAAAAAATAAAAATGATGACAGGAAGTAATAATGCCTGATGTGATAGGGATAACAAAAAAATGGGAGAGATGATGATCTGGTGAGGTAGATATAGTATAATTGGTTGGCCATATGATGATGGGAGATGACGAAGATGAAGATGAGACGGCAAACCAGAACAACAAGAAATAAAGAAGGAAGACAACAACAAATAATAATAAAAAAAAAGATGGATAAAATGGACATGATTGAATTGAAACAAAAGAGAGAAGCAGCAACAACAATAATAATAATAATAATGATAACAACAAAAAGGACATGTCAAAAGTGGATTTGGTTTATCAAACAGCACAGAGAGGGAGAGAGAGAGAGAAAGAGAGAGAGAAAGAGAGAGAGGGTCGGATAGATAGATGCAATAATATGATTTTTTTTTCTGGGTGTATCAAGCTTGTCGGTTTTTGATAGCAGCTATTAATACCAACAAAATAATATCAGCGAGAGGGGGGGGGGGGGGAAATGAAGGGGATTAATACAAGAAATGAAACAGGAGTGTAAGGAATTCAATCGACCCAAGGGTAATTGCATTTACCACAGCTCTTCTTTTTGCAACAGGTACAATTCGTGAAGAAATCAGGGTTTTTGGTACGACAATGGCAGCAACACCAGTAGACGATATTTGGGTCATCACAATCGTAACCGTATTCTTTACTGTAGACAAAGTTTTTCAAACTGGTGGTTTCTGTTGAAGTTATCATGGTGGATAGAATGGAAGATGTAGAGAAGAAAGATATTTGTTGCTGTTGTTGTTGATGTTGGTAAAAAATCGAAGTGAAATGACAACCGATGCGCTCTCGATCGAAGAAAAAACGATGATGTAACTGGGCGTGTAACCGAGGATGAGATTTGTGATGTTCACTAGCGATGGTTGTTGTAGTGAAATGAAACAGTGGTAATAACGAATGATTATTAATGATAATAATATTGATGATATTGATCAGTGGTAAGAAATATTAACGGACTAATAATAGGAAACACAAACAGCACTTGAGGGTATCTATTCCTAAAGGTTATAAGATAATATAATATAATATAAGTAATATAATATAATATAATATAATATAATATGGAAGAGTATAGTGGTATAGTATAGTTATGTTTATGGAGAGATAACTTAACACTTTATTATTTTTTTTATTTTTTATTTTTTTTTGATCTCCCGAGGATTGGGCCAAGGGGGACCTGAGGCTTTTTATACTCTGAAACTTGAGAGGTTCCTATACTGCCCCCTCGTCCATCCATCACATCATCGTTTCGTTCATTCACCAAGTGGTTCCTGCTAATCGAAAAAAAGCTTTTTGGAGGACGCAAAAAATTCGAGTTTAAAACACCTGCAAGGCCCTCTATGCGTCCTACGGCAGAACGATGCGCAATGCAAAACACAACATATATACGATGCAGCATGCTGCACTCCGCAGCGTATACCTGTGCACACTCCCGCTGTCTGTCGCTGCAGCAAACAACCACCGCGAGGGAATGCGTGGGCGATATCGGGCGGGCACTCCTGGTGGTGGTGGGTTGAGAGAGTGGAGATGTTGTTGTCATATATATTTTTATTATTATGGGCACTATGGATGACGATCATTATCATGTAGATGTTGGATGGGTGGATGGTGTTTTTTTTTGTTTTTTGTTTGCCATTGGTCATTTTCATCCTTGCGGCGTGGCTTTCTTCGGAAACACTTAGTGCTTCGGTAAGCCTCTTGGTTGTTGCTTTATGTACATCCTTGGGGGGTTTATCTCCGACAATTTTAAGTACTTTTGCATCTATCAATGTCCTTGAAAAGAAACGCCCTGTTAACCTGTTTCCTTTTTTCAATAGCCGGAGGACAAACGAAACGAAACGAAACGCTTACGAATAAACAGCCATGTTTTTTTGTTTGTGTGTCAGACTCTCATTTCTTTGTATTGCGTTATATTATTATTATTATTATTATTATTATTAACATTAATATTAATATTATTATGTTGTGCTCACCATCGTGGAATTTTTGCGACCTTTTTGACGTTGTGGAAACACAATTTCTCATGAAACTGTTGTTGTCATTGACTAATCTCCATAAATGTGCCAAAATCACGCTAGTTCTGGAATTATCAAACAGTTACCTTAGCACGTCATACATCGCAGGCTAAACCAATAGTTTGAGGTACGAGACCTCACGCATCGATATGATGGATCATTAATCCCAGATGAAACAGCCCTAATTGCTGGAAAAAGAAACTCGGCGGTTGTTATCAGAAATTTGAACAATGTCCCAAATAATAAAATTAGCAACCACTAACAAAAATGATAAAAAAAAATAATTCACACTAACAACAAAAAATTTCAAATAACAATAATAATAAAATTAAAAATAATAACAATAACAACAACAACAAAAATAACAAAAACAACAGCAACAAAAAAGGGGTATTCCACAACCTTTCTAATAATACCGACACGAACAATAACAACAACAATCTCTATCCATCATGATAATAATAATTACAATCAATCACTAACATACTCGATGATCTTCTGCAGGAACCATTTGATTTTTTTTTCTTTTTTCTGTTTTTCTCCCGTCGACGTCGGGCTCTCTGACGTCATAAGAAGTTTTAAAGGGTTTTACTGTTTGTTTGTGCCTTTGCTAGTGAGACACTTAAGCACCTCGCTGAAACCGACTGGGTTGTAGTACTAACAGGTATATATGGTTGGTCTACCTAAGAGGATATCTGTACTTCCCACCAACTGTATACACTGAATGTTGTTTTCTGTGTTGTTTAGAAATCACACACAAAAAGTCGGAGACTTAGGTGTGGTGCTGCTACACCTATCGTATACTGTCTAAATAAACTGAGTTGCATCATCATCCGCGGAAAACGACACCATTATCCATATTTTTTTTTTTTTTTTTTTTTAAAAAAATAAAAATATAATTAGACAAAAGTTTAAAAGACAAAAATAGACAATTTTTATCTTGCCGATCAATTAATTTAATCACTTTTGAGTATTGTTATTATTATTATTATTATTATCATTATTGTTATTATGGATGAGTGGTTTTATGTCATAGGCTCTACACATCAAATATTCTTTTAACAACAACAACAACAACAACAACAACACATGGTAGTTAGCAGCATTATATGAGATCAGTGCATTTCTTTCTTTTGTTTCTGTGATTTAGTTTTCTATTCAGGAACACAAAAGTAATAGGATTTCTTGGCCGATTGTTTGAACAGAGAAGCAACAACCCATTTTTTTTTTCAAGGACAAAAAAAACAAACAAAAAAAAACCGTACAGTTGTTACAGTTGTTCTGGTTTTTTTTTTTTTGTTCAAACAATTGTTTGTTTAAAAATAGAAACTTTTTTTTCTATTGTATATTCGCCAGCTCCTGCGTGTTTTCTTGTTATTCATGATGAATTTGGTTTCCAATCGGGCCATTAATTAGCCAGAAAGATACGCAGATAGATACGCTTGTTGCAAAAATCTCTGTATTGTCGATTCTTTATTAGCCATCCATCCAGGGAAATGTATCGTACAGGATCTCTCTCTCTCTCTCTCTCTCTCTCTCTCTCTCTCTCTCTCTCTCCCAATAATCGTAATCTAATAATAGATCATCAATAATTAATCCACACTACTACAATTAGTTTACTCTCTCTTCTACAATTATCATACCAATCTAAGAATAGACCATCACAGCAGTGATGCTACAGTAAAAAACATTTCTTCCACAATTACAATTACAATCATAATAATAAGCGCGCATGTCATGTGTTTTATTGTAACATAGGATTTCCGCCCAAGACGGTTGTTGCTAAAAATAAAATAAAAAAAAATTGCTGCTTTGGGCAAATTGGAATCCTGCTATTGGATAAATTGAAGGTGCCACTTTTGACAAACAGCCTTCCTTCAATAACAACATCAACTGTAATAAAGAAAAAGAAAAAAAAAAAGAAAACTCATAAACATTATTATGATGATTGATTCTTCATCATTTATTGACTTCTAATTGTATTGTCCGTATAGATGTTTTGAACACACTCTATCTATCATCAATCATTCATAGCTATTTATCATCAATTGTAAAGAATCTCAGAGAGTCCAATAAAAGAAAAATACATCACGTCAACAATCAATAATATCCAGATACATACAAGTACAAAATCAAAACACTAACAAAAAGACGATTAGTTTCTTTTATTCTTTTTAACACCCATCAATAACCATATTGATAACTCTTAAAAAATAATAAAAAAAAAAAAAAAAGAACGACACAAAGAAAATTAAATTTCTTCCTTTTCTTCACACTTCATTCAATCTTCTTTCTTCTCAAAACTACCCAAGAGAATGTTTTTAATATATCTCAAAGATGAATTAAAGAAAAATATAAATCAAAAATTATGAGACCCATCAACCCGTAGTATAGAAATACTACAAGAAGTGGTATCTATGTTTTGATACGCTGTGCAATGTAAACAAAACTAGACAGCCATAACGAGCTACTTGATCCCCGATGACTTCCCAAGGTAAGTATGAAGAAAAGGAAAAAAATTCAAGACGGCTGAATAAGAGTAAAAACACTGGCGATTTCCCAGTATTTATAGCTGGCAAAAATTTTTTTTTTTTTTTTCTTATTCCATCACCCGGAAGTGGCACGTGGTTTTTCATCTCTCTCTCTCTCTCTCTTTCTCTACATATACATATATATATATATAGACCCTCCACATTCCTGTAAGTTTGCAGAAGATTACAATCATTATTACAACTGTTGTGCCTTGAATAATGATCTGTTTAAAACAGCTCTTCATACAGGTCGAAGCTACAGCTCATAGTAAACCTTTCATGACTTGAAAGTTCCATCCTCGTCACAATAGGATTTTCATATAATACAAATCTCCTATATATATATAGATATATAAAGTGTATGATACCTTGAAAAAAAAAAGCAGAAGGAGGAGTAAATATAGGTCATAAATTGTGGTTTGAAAGGAATAATAAAAATAAATAAATAAATAAATAACAATAATGTATGGTAGCGTGAAATGAGATACACACGCTTGGGTATATTTCGAAAATCACAATTGGAACTTCTTCAAGAGGAAAACAAAAACTAAAACTAAAACTAAAACAAAACAAAATACAATAAAATGAAAAACTTATAAAGATTGGAGTAGAATAAAAAAAACAAAAAACGAATAAGAGCAATAATAAGCAATCAAAATATATATATATATATATAAAAAAAAAAACACAAAGTAAATCTCAATAAATGAATAAATAAATAAAAGCATTCACATATCAAACAAACTCTTTGCGAGCAATGATTTTCGCTCTACCACTAGAGTTTCGTTTCTTTGACTTGCCAGTTAACGATCTTCTGGTAGTTGGAGCTGCCGCAACGTTCCCACTTGAAGATGGGTCAGAAGGAGACATCAATCCTTCATTATATGAGCTAATAGTTTTACTGGAAGAGCTTCGAGACATCACGCTGGTCTTTGGTTGAGGGATCCATGAAGATCTCTTATCCGAGCCTTTCTTCAACTTCTTAATTCTCTCCATGGTCTTCATACTTTCTTCGTCCAAACTGGAATCAGCACCAACGGGTTCTGGATGATGTTGTACATCGAAATTCAAACTCTCGGGACTTCTAATCCTACTAACTTGTGATGCAGGAATTGGCACTAACGAGCTTTTCTTGGTCAGCGACGTAGCACTGGTAATCGAGCCATTTCTCGAAAGAATCTTCCCAAATTGTTGTTGGGGTTGATCTTCGTTTATGGAAATATCATTGGCACTACTATCGTTCTCAAAGCTACTAGAGTTTGGGCTCGAGATATTGAATCTTCTATAAGCTTTTGACGATACCCCACTACTCCCATTATTAACTTTGGCCACCGGCAATCTCGAAATCGACGATCTTGGAGAATGCAAAGAGTTTCTGATTGTTGATGTTCGTTGATCAAAGGTAAACGTGCTTCTATTGCCGCTATGGTTGTTACTAGCACTAGAACTGGCTTCAGAAATTGGCGATTTGATTTCTTCGGTGGACTTCAAAGTTTGCTGTAAATCATCCAAGGTCAAACTATCCAATTGATCCAAAATATTATGGTCTAATTGATTTGCCCCACTGTGTTGGCCATTGCCCAATCTGCGCAACGCTTCTAATCTTCCATTTTCAATAGCGGATAGATTGGATTCCATCAGAATTTCCGATTGAATCTTCACATCACCATATGATCCACGATGCATAATTGGCGAGGTATCATCACTGGTTAAAACCACTTTGCCATTTTTCCCGATCCTTTGAGTTTTTTGAGTCAATGGGCTGTCAAAACTTTCGTCAATAGAATCATCAAAATACCTACTATCCTCATCGGCAACGCTTTCCACGGTGCTCAAGACTTTGAAATCTCTATTGACCCCTAACAATCCCATTCTTGGGGTAATCCCATTAAATTGATTGCTTTTCATCATTCTTGGGGATACCATCAGTTGATGATGATGGCTTGTCTTCAGATCTTGCTTCGATTCTTGGTGAAAGCCTTGTTTTTGTTGCTTTTTCTCTGGAGAAGTAGGAGTTCCTTCCACTAAAACTGGCTGAAGGTTCATTTTCCCAATTAACAACGAGCCTGTAATTGACCTTCTTTGAAGATGACGTTTCCCAGTTTCAGGAGTGGATTCGGCATGATGACCACTCAAGTTATTGGCAAGCGAATTGAATCCTAAACCAAAGGTCCTTGTCTCATTATTATTATTATCATTATCATTATTATCATTATTATTATTGTGACCTTGATCATGTTTATTATCGTTAATGGCATCAATGTTGTTGAAAAGAGGAGAAATTGGATTCGTGACCGATATTGGTGATACCACTGCCTCTTGGTTATTGAGAAGATATGGACTAGCAATGGAACTGCTTAGTTGATTCATAGTATTGCTACGACTAAGACTGAATGATCTCGCCTGGAATTCTGTTTCACTATTTGGAGACACGACTGTTCCAATAGACATCCTTCTATTTATTGCAAAATCCTTTTTGACAAACTTATCTTGTGATACCCCCGACAGAGTTCGGTTATGGTTTTGAGGAATGATTGATGATGATGGCACCAGTGGGCCACTAACGGTGTTTCTCTTTGACCTGAGTCTCAAAACTCGAGGCTGTGAATGGTCATGGACGGAACTACTACTACTATGATGATGATGATGATGATTATTATTATTGTTGTGGTTGATGCTGTGGTTGTTGGTATTGCCCACAAGGTTCATTAATGATTGAGGTCTCTTATTTCTACTTTCTTCAACCCCAAACCATTCACTTAGGAACTCTTTTGGCAACTTGTGGTAAATTCTGTTATTCCATCTACTAAGAACTAATTCCTTAAAACTGTTCTTTAGTGATTCATTTTCAATTAACGAATGGTCAAATGCTTTTTGAATGATCGTGATATCTCGATTAAGTTCTTTCAAATCATTTTCCAATTCGATCGGCACGATCGCGTGTTTATCAATGTTTCCGAAATTCTCATCCAGTAATATCCCCAAAGTTTGCAAATCTTTTATGGTTTCAGAAAGATGCTTGTCAGTGACAAAGGTGAAATATTCAAAAGTTTCCATCCATTTTTTCTCCACCAATTCAAATTTCAAATCATCCAAATCATTGATTAAGAACACGAATTTTTCCTCGATGGAATCAAACTTTATGTTCAAGTTTTCTATTGATGACGGGTAAAATTCCTCGATTTCTTCTTGCTGCGAGTAGTTTTGGATTTGTGGTTTGATATAATCGATAGATGCCTTGATTGGATCGATGGAGGCCTTCAATTTCGATAAGTGGGCGTATAATTCACGTTCTGAATCATCAAATATCGGGTATCTAGCGTTTGTTTCCAGAAAACTTTGCATCATTCCTGGATTTGCTAGATCGACAATCGATGATGATCTCATCCCCGCAGATTTCCTCTTGCTGGCTATTTCGTGCAAATTATCAACGATCTTATTAATCTTCTCCCCAAGTTGAAACATATCATACTGATTGATTTCCTTCACTTGCAAAGAGAATTTCACTTCGTGGGTCCGGAAAGAATCTTTCAAACAATTTTCAATTTCGTCATTGACAGAATCAAGGATCTGATAATACAATTCATGATATTGAATGGCAATATCCAATCTTTTCTTGTAGCCGATCAAGTATTGCTTGACCCTGAGAGACAAATCACTAATTTCGTCAAAATTGCCCAATAAATGTAAGTACTCTTGCTTTTTCTTTTCACAATTATGGCCCCCTGGGGCTTGTTCTACTCCGTATTCGTCAAACGACAGCAGCACACTATTATTGATCTCGTCAAAGAATTCGTCATCGTTGGTGGTTTCGTCGATTTTGCTCTCGATGATATGCAATAATTGCGAAATGATCAGATCAATCCCATCGACATTCTTCGATATCTGAGAAATCTCGGTTTTCCCCTCGAAGATCCACTCGATGTTATCATAATACTTATTCAATGGGGAATTGTTATTGGCAATGGTATCCAAATTCTCCAACAACAAGATCAACTCGTTGAGATAACTGGAAATATCGAGAATCGAATTGTTTATTTTGATCAAATCGTAATGTAACAAAGTATGTGCCTGTTCTATCGATTTGATATTGATCAACTCGTCGAAAAACGAGAAAGAGGGGCAAGTTTTCAAAATATCCGATAACAACAACGAATCTAAATGGAAATCCTGAATATAAACCTCGTCGCCTGCTCCTCCTCCACTGTATATTTGCCCGCCACCACTGCCGTATCTTTGACTATCAATGGTTCCTATCCCACTAACTTGATCAAATATGTGATGAGAATTGATATCATAATACTCGTTTCGATGACTGCTTCCCCCAGTGAACACCGAGACCTTGTCAGCCATATGATTCACTGAGTCCTGGTCCGATGCTTGATATGCTTGATACTGGTGCATTATTGTCAATTCATGGGGTGTTATTCTATGATTGTAAGGGCAATTTATTCGTTATTGATTATGTGGTACAATCAATCACTGGCTCAAATAATATATACACACACACACACACTCACTCACACTAGTTTGTCAGACCTTTGCAGCACTGCTACTGTTTCTTCTTCTTCTTCTTCTTCTTCTTCTTCTTCTTCAGGTAATTGATTGATTGTGTGGGTTGATGTTAATACTTCAATTGATTGATTAGATCAAACACCAGTATTCTCAAAGAAAGAAAAAACGAAAAAAAAAAAAAAAAGGAGGAAAGAAAAAAGAATGACGAGAATTGCCAATTATATAGAGAGTAAACTGATAGTAAAATACCAATCCAAACGAGTGAATTGTATGTTATCTTGTGAGTTGAAATTGACCTGGCAGTTGTATTTATCCTGTATTATTTTTTTTTTTTTTTGATTTTAGTTTTCAGTGCAAAACAAAACCTGCGTGGTGAAAGAAAAAAAAAAAAAATATGGTCGATGTGTCCTGTGTCCCTTAATTAATTAATTAATTTTCCCTTATCCCTTTTGACGTCGACTAATGGCAGGTTTTTTTTTTTTAAAAAAAAACTCCCGAAAACAAAATGTTACTTAATGGTGTATAATTATAATAATAGTAATAGTCTTTTTTTTTATATTTTTTTTTATTTTTTTTTTATATTAGAACAGAATATTGATAAATTACAGGCACTTTTTAGTTGAAACAATTAAAAACAGAGCAAAACAGAGCAAAAAAAAAAAGATGATAAAAGATGGAAGGAAGGGGGGGGGGACAAAAAAAAAATGTCATTCACAAACATAAACAAAGAAGTAAAGCATATTCTCTCGTAAGCAAAGTAATAAAAAAAAAAAAAATAGAAGATAAAAAAAAGAAGAGGAAGAAGTGATGTGTCTATGTGTGTCAAAGGTATCTTCCGATCTTTAAAAATTATATATCTTCACTGTAATGAAATACGTCGCCGCAGCAATACAAATCATTGAAATCAAAATACCAAGAAACCAAGTCAAACCTTCTTGATCCTGTCCTGGAACAATCACATTCATCCCCCAGAGACCAGTAATCACATTCATTGGCAACACCAAAGTCCCCAAAATCGAAATCTTTCCCAAAACATCATTCATATCATTATTCACTTTGGTCATATCGATATTGATTTGTGCCAAGTAGTTGGAATGTGATCGGGCTAACAATTTCTCATAATGATTCAATGATTGAACCATGGTAATGATATGATCCTGAATATCTCCCAAGTACATCCCAATTTCCGATCTTGGGGCAGCATCAAAGTTCTCATTACATCTCTTAGCAAGCCCCTTAATGACATCCGCTTTGGACCCCAACAAACGGAGTAATGACATGATTCTTTTTCGAGATTCCCCGATTCTTCTCAACATATCACCTTTCCTTTGCCATTCAGCAGAAGATGTGGACAAATAAGAACTGGTAGAGGTGGTGGTCACAATACTAGACGTGATGGTTTTTGTTTCTGAATTATACAACGACAAATTATCATTCAACCCTTCATCATCCGAATCTTCTGAATCACTTTCACCTGAATGAAGTTTTAGTATTGCATCTTCAAAAGCGTACACTTCTTCTTCAATGGTTTCAATCATTGGACCAAAAGCATCGGTAATATCATCAATCAAAGCATATGCAATCCAATCGGATGAAACTGTCAAGTAATCTTTTAATAATCTGGCTCTTCTTCTGACAGTGACAGGATGTGGGGTTGGGGAAAAATGGAACGTGATAACTCCCTCATGGAAAACTATAATATAAAAATTCAAAGGTTCAAGTTCTCTATATTTACTCTTCTGCCTTTTGATTTGTTGTTTCAAGTTAGTGATGGTCAGTTCCTTCTGTTTTTTTGTCATATTTTTTCCTCCGATTTCTGGACCTGCTTCTAACGACTCATAATCATCATGATGGCTACGTGTTTCATAATCATTATTGCCTAAGCCACGGGAACCAAATACTTTACCAATGGCTTTTTTCAAATTCGAAAGCTTTGAAGCATCAGCAGAATGTGAGCTATGAATTTCCTCAAGATTCAAACTTTCTAAGTTTGATAACTTCTCATTGAGTGCCCTACGTTTCAACCGTTCTTGAACAATATCAAATGATCTGAAACATACAAAATAATAGTCCTTGAATAATTCCACCTTTTCACGCACCTCATTCAAGAATATATCTTCCGTGGTCAACGGATGGATTCCAAAGGCTTTACTTAATACCTTAATTTCTTCTTCTGTTGGATCTAAAACATCCAACCAAAAGGGAATAGGGTCCTCGGGCTCCACGGTAGTGCTATTAGTGGCGGACATCATTGGGGTGGCTAGTCCTACCCCATTATTATTACCAATACTCTTTGGGGTGGCCGTGCCTTCTTTATGACTGTCAGCGCTATCGTCAAAATTAGCGATATTATTATGGGCTGTGCCAGCTGCATGTGGTGGGATTTTTAATCTCGCTTGTTTGGCATTGTTAAGTGGAGCATTGAGGTTTTCTTTTAGGATTGGAGGAGGCAATTTTGCCTTTTGATACTGTGACACCACAAACAAGTCTCCAAAATTTTGACCGTCTTGCAAAAGTCCTGAAATCGAAGGAGAATGGATTGTGGAATCTAAATTTGGACGGAAGTATGTGTATCTAAATTGCTGGAATTTCTTTTCCCCAATGACTGTTCCTGGTCCAATTCCATTGTCATTGATATTTGCACCATTATTTTTCAGATACTTCGCAGCATTTTCAAGATCATGATTATGTAAATAGTTTTTCAAATTCTGTCTGGTAGATTTATCCCAAGGACTGAATCTTGGAGGTCTGAGCCTTCCCTGGATGGCTTCCGTTTCGTTAATTTTCCTGGTAGCTAGTGACGGGACGGCCATAGATGAAGGATTATCAATTTTACTGATTAAAGGGTATTGGAAGCCTACCGCCTTCAAAGAATGCTCCTCATCATCCACTGTCGAGTAATCAATATCAGCTTCTCCTGTGGCAAACAGGACATTGTGTTTGTTGGCCTCAGCAATTGCCAAATTTTCCCGCATCTCTTCTTCATAAAAATCTTGCAACACTTGCAAATCTGGCCAATTTTTGGTGGTCGAGGACGAATCAGCATTCAATGGCAAGCAAACGTCGTCAAGAGAAGAATCGTCTGAATCGTTATCTGAGGAACTTGGATGCGAATCATCAAACTCGAAATTACTATCCAGGAGATTCTCTGGGTCCGAATGGAAACGTAGCCCGTCCAACAACGATGATGTCTGTTGGTTACTGGTAAAACTAAATCTTTTTCTAAAGACGTTTCCAGCACCACTATTACCCGAGACACCATTTCTTTGGTTCACTGAGTTGCTTACTGCACCATATTGATTTGGTAGGCTGAATCTTCCATTGGCAAAATCACGGCTAGTGGTGTCGTGTGATGGAAGTAGCTGGTCTCTTTCATATGGGGTATTTTTGAACTCACGGGATTTCGATGGTTTTCCTCCTTTCTCTTTTCCTCTTCTTCTTCTAGAATTATCCTCGTGTTGCTCATTATACAATTCTTCACCGTTTCGATTATGATGGTGGTGCTTGCTGGGAATCAAAAATGCTTGCGACTGGCTCTTTGGTGATGTCATGTTGGCTGGAGGTCTATAAGAGTAAGTTGGATGGAAAAATTCACAATAGTATTCTAATTCAAAAGAAAGATGAATAAGAGATTTTTATAGTGTATTTGAAGTTTTTGTTTTTTTTTTTGGTCTGACTGGCAATTATTATTGTTATTATTATTATTCTCTTATGATGGGGGACAAGACCGAAGGAAGGATAGCAGCCATCAACTAATTCTGAGCAAGCATATCAACGGCCACAAATACAAGCGAAGAAAGTCGAAAGTATTGGTTGGTTGGAAGGTCGAACAGAGTATTAATACTGCTATTAAATGGTCACTTGGAATATGCTGTTTGGTTGGCGGCGGGTATTCTTATGATTATGGCGTGAGAGTGGTGGCAATCGCAGCGATGTTAAGAAGATTTTTTTTTTTGCCGTTGTTTTTACCTGGGATGTAATGGGGGTCCTGCACACCTGCTTATCTCACGAAATAGGCGATGATTCTTGGGATAAGCCATCGGTGGTAGGACAGGACATCGCCATTGCCAGTGAAAGCGATGTGGTGACGGTACTGTATATATATTGGCCAGTGTTCTGGAGAATGCCAACCATCACCCAGCACTAGCAAACGTTGCCGCGTAATTACAAGTAGATAAGGAATAAATCCCCCCCACGGAAACTGCCCAAAACAGCATGAAAAAACGGGATAACGAAAAAAAAAAAAAAATTATAAAATGGTGATTCATCTTCTCTTATTCAACTCTTCTTCGGATTCTTTCTTATCTCGATCTACCGATTCTTCTTAATAAACATCACAGATAATTAATAAAACATCACAGATAATTAATAAAGCATGAGCAAAATCGAATATTGGCCATTGTCTAACGGTGTCAAGGTCCCAGCCATTGGGTTTGGGGTTGGCAGTGCCTGGAGAGTCCAGAAACAACAATATGATCCTGATTATATCATGCCGGAACTCGTTGAAAGTATCGAGCATGCCATCGATGCCGGATACGACCATATTGACAGTGCTGAGATCTATTTGACCAGAAAAGAGTTACACATCGGCTTGACCAACAAGAAAGTCGACAGATCCAAGATCTTCCTCACCGATAAGCATTTCTGTGGCACTGATAGGTTGCCAACTTTCACCAGCAGTCCTTACGAATCACTCGAGATTTCTTTGAAGGATTTGCAAACCGAGTACATTGATTTGTATCTTTTGCACTCTTCCAATGTTAACTACGGGGAAAGAAAGTACTTGACCAACGAAGAACAATGGAAGCACATGGAACAGGCTTACAAAGAAGGTAAGGCGAGGGCCATTGGGGTTTCTAACTATTCTGCCGAATCCATTGAAAAACTCTTGAAAGTCGCCGAGATCAAACCTCAAGCTTTGCAAATCGAGTTCCATGCCATGTGCCAAGAAAAGACTCCTAAAATTATGGAGTTTTGCAAAGAACACAAGATCCAAGTGTTTGCTTACGCCCCATTGGCCCCACTTACTCTTGTTAAGGAAAAGACTCCTTTGGGCGAGTTCGTCAGTGAGTTGGCCACCAAATACGGCAAAACCGAGGCCCAAATCTATCTCAGATGGGTGTCACAATCTGGCGTTGTCCCAATTACTACCTCTGGTAAAGTCCAAAGATTAAAGGATGCAAGAGACATTTACTCTTTCAAACTTGAAAGTGAAGACTACGAGAAAATTAAACAACTTGGTAAAGAACAAGCGGAAACTTTCTACAAGTGGTAAGGTAGCAACTGTATTGCTTTGTCCTAATAGACTTTAGAAAAAATTTGAGCAAAATTAAACTGTATTGGATTAAAAAAGTCCGAATTGAACATATTCTATTTTCTTAATAAAACTACTTTCTGCTTATATATGCATGATTTAAATTATCATATAATGGTTAGCCAAAGCAACCCCTTTCTTTCTTATTATGATTGAAATTGTTGGTTTGGAGGACTTGTAGTAAAATAACAATAATGTTAGCATCGGGGGGCTGCATAACCTTTTTTTTTTTTTTTTTCTTGTATAACAAAGTATAGTTGAAATAATTCTCGGCTACTATATTACGAAATAATAAAATTCTGCGTAGCTGTTATCTTAATTGTGTTAAAGCTTTGTTTTGCGTTTGTTTTTTTTTAATTAAAGAAGATCCAACAAATAGAGAAAGTATATCGTTACAATGGATTTTGAATCATTCATGAAAGATGCAGTATCGAAGAAACGCGATGAGTTTTTCAATACTGCGATGCCAGAATCAAATCAGCTGGAAAGCGAAGAAGAAAAGGATATAGACAGCGTTGAGGATGAAAGAAGTTTCAAGAAGAGAAAACTTGATGATGATAAACAGGTGGTGACCGAGGCAGTTAAGGCTGAAAATAGTGAGAATGTATCAACATGCGAAACCAAACATCTGGAAACCAAAGATAGGGTTGAATTAAACGAGATAACTGAGGTGACACCAGCAAAAAATACAAATGAACTTACCAACAATAAAACTAGCTCAAAAGAACAAAATAATGAAATTGAATCCACGGTAGTGAATAGTAACCAGTCTACAATGGAAAATAAAGATAAAGGTTGTACCCCTAAAGAAACGTCTACTACTGATCCTGGCAATAGTGCAAGCACCAATTACATTATAAACCCAGAAGATATTGCCAATGATAAGCCTAAAGTATCACTTCAACTTCGAGAATACATGAAGCACCTTCTTCTTAAGTGGCGTGAAGCACAGTCTTCAATTGAAGGTGATCAGGATTTGGTTATCGAAACTACTAGGAACTTAGCTCCATTATTTATCAAGCTTCGGAAACTGACTTTGTCTGACTCGATGTTCCCAACACTTGCCACCATAATGTATTATCTTCAACAGGGGAAATTCCAATTGGCTAATGAAACATACATGAAATTAAGTATTGGCAATGTCGCCTGGCCAATTGGTGTGATCAGCATTGGGATCCACGCAAGAAAAGCCCAGCTGAAAATCACTGGGGAGAAAACGGTTGCCAATGTCATGATAGATGAAAAAACCAGAAAATGGATCACCGGAATAAAGAGATTGATCACTTTTGGTGAAATCCATCCTGATTTATTGCTATGATTTTTGAATTCAAATACTAACAATAAATCACCTTCCATAAGCAACGTGATGATTTTAATGGCTAAAGTAGCATCAAATTAGGATTTATTTTGTCCTAAAGAGACTACAATTTACGAAAAAAAAAAGTCTTCAAAGTGTGCTACAAAAAAAAAACGTAATAAACATCATTAATTACTATATTATACACCATACTTCTCAATCTTTCATCAAAATTTCATAGATCGAACTCATTTCGCTGCCTGGTCCTTTAATAATTTTTTTTGCTTGACATTCCAATTGTACAATCTAGCGGTATTAACTTCCATAGTGGTGATATTTTCTCTCAAAAACATTGAATCTTCTTCAGCAATGTTCAAATTTTCCTTCACGGTCTTCAATTTCTTCAGCAATAAGTCAATCGCCTCAGCCAAAGGATATTCCATCATCACGTCCGCTCCTAGCCAAAGACACACTTTGTCAGTTGGTTCGATTATAGCTTGTGAGTACAATGTATCATTTAATTCGTAATTTGTGTGGATGGATTCAGATTCCTGCTGCTTTTCACGGAGATATTCCACCATGGACAAAGATTTCTCAATATCTGGGATTTTGGCTTTGTATGAAGCAATTGCACTTTGTTTTGATTGTTCCATGAATTTGTACTGTTGTAAACGTTCTTGGAATTTTTGCATAACCGGTTCAAAATCTGTTGGAACTTTAATTAGATCTTCCACTTTGCTGACAAATGGGGCCTGAGGAATACCACGAGGATTCTTGTCTGTAACTCTGCAAATTGTTAATATATAGAGATCAGATAATAGAGAGAGAAAAATTTTTCTCTGTATAATGAAGATAATTATCTTGGTTTTCGTTATTTGATTTGAATTCTATAATTCAAAATATTGTATTATCATCATAGCAAGATTTATTGCCTCCACGGAATATCACTGGTTCATTGTAATTGATAAATATGATTTTCTATACATATTACATTGAATAATCTATCAATCGTAATAGACACAAGTTCATCGCAATACATTTTTTCCCAAAATACAAATAAAATGCAGCATCTAATATTTCCCTATCTTCACCAAAACAGAAACCACAACATTCACTCTGAAAGAAGAACTTACTTATCTAGTATATCAGCCATATTTCTAATTTTATTGATTGGTTATATTAGTTTTTGGCTTCCAACAAGTTCGGGGCACTCAAGTGTTTCTTTCATTTTTTCGATTTTTCCCTTATTATCATCAGAACCCCCCTCCACCCCCTTGATCAGGGTAAAATTATCTTTGAAAGGCTTATTGCGTGGATTAAGAAACGCTTCGAACAGGTGAAAGGCCCAGCGATATAGCTGAAAGTATTTGCTGATACTTCCTCAATATGTTATGTGTATTTGTATTGTCCTTTTGTTTTTGTTTTTTTCAGTGGGTGTATTAGGAAAGTGAGAATCTTCTTCATACCTATTTTTCATCAAATTATTTCCCTTCAACTTTATTCCTCTTTGATGAAATACTAAAGCTCGTTAAAAAATTACAAATCAATAATCACACATGATATTCCGATTACCAGCGCAGTATAATTCTAATATTGTGCTCTTCGAAGGCTTCTATAACATGCATTTCGTTTACTATTCTATGTTCATGACCTTCATCGAACCATTAAGCAATAACCACTGAACAGTAAGCTTTTATGTATCAAAAATCTTTATAATGAGATTTTCTTCATCCTCTACTTCTTATGTAGTGACTTTTTCTTGCTTGAGTCATTTTGCCTTTATTCTAAGAAGTTGAGAATTCTCACCTTAGACTTCTTGAGTTCCTCTGGTGGACGAATAGTTTTGAAGCTTCATGTAGATCGCAAACGCCGTACAGTTTTTCACTTTGAATTCCTTGAAGCTTTGGTAAATTGAATTAACCAAAACACGGAAAGCATCCATTGTTCCTTCTGTATAAAGGGGGCTGCCTGGATTGTAAAAATAATACTGTAATGTTGCGAAATTCCTGAGTTTGCTGCGAGATTGCATCCATCTTCATTTTGCTATGCCCTCCAAGAGAGAGGATTTCTTATCAGTTATACTTTTCAAAATTATATCAATTACTTTTGGGCCATTTTTAAGCATTTTGATTCGTTCATCTCTAAATATAGGGATATGTCAAAGATGAATTGTACATGCATTAAATATGGTATACCACATCAATGGTGTATATTATTTAATTATTATCATATGCCATTCTTAGGGTGTTTATTCTTCGATTTATGCATACTGTTATCACGGTATTTGTTGTTTCGCCTATGCTACTATTCGGCAAAATCATACTAAATGAATCTTGCCGCACGGTTGGGGTCTGTTAGCTGAGCTGGTTGAGTTGGAGCCATTCGTTTGTTGATTAACGGGGGAAATCAGAATCAGGCAGATTAGTTTGGGCCGGTCAAGTTAATTATGTTTAGTTTGAAGGATTTAGTAATCCTTTTGTATTTAATTATTCCTTCGTGACTTCTTTTTTGACTTGCTAAGAGAAAATTTGCCAGAAATAATTCATTATAGATAGCAATCCTTCAACGTTGGACCACAACAGAGGTATTCTCTGACATGTACTTCAATCATTTATACTAGACTACTTTGCGGATGAATCTAGTAGTGAAATTGTGATATCGTGAAATCATTTAACATTATTTGAAATAGTAATATAGATGATCATCACTGATAACAAGGGAGCTATAACATTTTGGTTAAGTTTACATAATGATATTTTTTATTTTGTAGAAGTATTTTGATTCTAATTACGTTACAGTGTTTCATTTGAAGACTACATGACTTTCTGGTCTTTCAAAAGGACCTATTTCTTTCATGCTGTGACCATGCCATTCCGTTACCAGACCCTTGTATATTTCTCTCTGAAAATAAGCATCTTTGATGGTAAAATATAGTTAACTATCCACGATGAAAGAAAACTTCTCTACTTTGGAAAAAGATCAAAAATTGAAAAATAACTTACTAGTGCAGCTCACATATCACAGTATTATATGTTGGTGACTCTTTGTTATTTTGGTTGGTGATCCAACTGATGTAGCAAGTTAAAAGTAGTTTTCAAGAAAGGTGGGGGCTTCAGGTATTCTGGGAATCAAATATCACAAATTTTATGAGTATTTCAAAGTTTTTAAGAAGGAAAATTAACATAGAAGCCAGAGCATCCTGTTCGATCATTTAGAGAGGTGCATTGATTTACAATTCTTTAACAATAATCGATTAGAAGAAGCAAATTTATCATATCCCAGAAGCTTCTTCCTTTGGGAACTATTGAATTGAAATAATTTTTAATTTATCAATCCAATACTTGTGGCGCAATTTATTATTATCCATACTGCCTTTACCAAGGCAGAAAGGAAAGGAAAAAGAGAAAACAGGTATGGCAATGTGTTTTATGCTATGACTAGAGTCTGCTACAATAAATTCATGAAGAAGCAGCAAATGTTACTAGCTTTTACATGGCACTGGCTTAGTATGCTACTACTCCTCAGGTCATCGGACTTTCGTTATTTTGCACTCAGGTGGGTTATTTGAGGAACCTCTGCAAAATTTTACTGAATATCCTTATAATTGAGATCATTTTTTTTCTTGAATCTCTGATAATTTAGAACATTTGTGCATTTTCCAGATAATCTGATGAAAAGCGACTTGTGATGAATTCACAGGAAATGTCTTCTAGTCGCAAAAGCCTTCGTGTTAACACACAGGGTTGCCACAAATGTAATAAATATCCATGAGAAGAAGAAGAAAAAGGTACATGATTCAAATTATTACCTGGGTTCACCATTGTAAATAAAGAACATATGTGTATATATTGAAGTCAATATGATTTTCCATATCCATGGACTGAATGTCTGAGGTCCATAGATCTTCTGGGTACGTGAATGTTACATGGATGTAGATCAAAAGTATTGGTGATGGATGAACAACAGGGTTACAGTTTGTACAGAAATAAACCAAACTGTTGCAGAGCTTTCTGGGTTTACTGTTAAAATTTTTCTATTCTGAATCGACATTACACATAAGTGGATATTGTTGTTTATTGAGCCCCCTAATCAGTGGTACCAAAGTGGACCTTTTTGTTTTGGCTTATCTATGAGTGCTTTCTACTTTTGGTGGTGTGCTTTTTTCTTTTCTTCCCCTTTAGTGCCAGTTCTTCCCAATCGAGACTAGATTAGGAACGCATTTGGCATATAAGGTGTCCCGTGACACACGATCAGAAGCGTTTGAGGAAACTTCGTGGTTGTGAAACTTTGTGCAGACAGTATGGTATAGAATCTATACATTCATTCACTATTGAAGATGTATGGTCGTTGAAACATCTCAACTACTTTAGAAACTGTCTAATAACTTTCAAGATATACTACCATGAAATACTCAACAGCTTTTCTTTTTTCTTTTTTTTTTTTTTTTTTTTTTTTTTTTTTTTGTTTGTTTGTTTTTCTTGGATGGGACACCCAAAACCAAAAAAATGGAAAAAAGAAAAATAGTCACTTATCTTTTTAAAGTTCAATAATCTGCCGTCCCACAACACAAATAAATAGATATATTATATATGATTCTCTTCCATCAGTGGGACCCCATTCTCAAATAATAAACAAAACATAGCGATGCTATCCTCTAGTAAACATCCCCTTTTGTTATTTACAGGCATTCTTTTTTTTTTTTTTTTTATATATTATTTCGGGGCAGTAGATTCTGTTCCCTATTTGTTGTTGCTGGCTCCCAAAGCAGCAGCACAGGGGAAAAAAGCTTGTGATAGATGAGAGAATATGCGGGACCATGCGGTGACCTGCGCTAACGCCATGTGGCTTGTTTCTGCGATTGCAAAGTCTAGATCTCGAATCACAGCCACAACGTTGTGAAAATTGTATAAAAAGATGGCCAATTACTGTCATCTATGCACATTTTTCTTCTTGCCTTTTTTTTTTTTCCTTTCACCTACCTATCTAATTTACTGATCATACTTGACACACAAGCTACTACTTCTCTGTCTTTCTAATAATAATACACATCAAAATGCAATTCACCAAGACTTTAATCGCTGCTACTGCTTTGTTCGCCACTGCTCAAGCCACCAACAACAGCACCATCTCTTCTAACTCTTCCTACAACGGTTCTGCTAACGCTGCTGGCTCCGTCAAGGTCTCTTCTTCTATCTTGGGTGCCGCTGCTGCCGTTGTCGGTTTCGCTTTGTTGTACTAAGCAAATGATTGTTTCTTAATCAAAATACTTTTAGACTTTTTCACTTCTCTTGATGCTTGTATTTTTTTGCTTTGTTTTTGCTGAATAGACTTGTTATGGATTGTTGGTTTTTTTCATCTCTATCTCTCCTGGCCCTGAATATGCGAAAAATACTGGCCATTCACATCTAATTACATCTTTTTTCAACATTCAAATCTAATAGATAGTTCTCGTTGGCTCTCCTTTCCTTAATATTTTAATTTCTCGTTTGTGCTATTGCTTTTCCTTTTATTCTCGGTGTTTTCTGCTCTTATTAAATCCACTAATAATAATAATGTTGTATACTATTATATATTATATCAATACCTCTACTAATTAATTTTGGTCTTTCTTTTTTATCTCACACGAGTTTGATTGTAGTGATGGTTTTATGGTACTCCTAATTTTCCCGGCAGTTCCTTTGCTCTTAGTGGCGTATTGTCCCAAACGCAAAGTGTTTCTTTTTATTTCAACCAATTTTTTTTTCTTTTTTCACATGCATCAATAACGAGAAGTGTCCGTCCTATTCTCAATATATTTCAATATATCGAGTCTATAGACTAACTAATGCTATTTCAACAATATTTATCTCTCATTATTGTTTTTTTTTTTCGTGTCGAGATGTTTGCAGAGTTAGTGTCGTAGTTTCCGTTTCATTTATCACCGATGGAACATTTCTCCTTACAGCATGCAGGAGAAGAAACCAATGTAAAACTATTTCTTTGTTCCATCTAATTTTTGACATCTGCTAATATATTTCATGTATATGTTAATTTTGCTAGTCTCTTTTTATTATTCAATTTCTTCTGAATGAAGAGATACTACAAGCAACTTACTTTCCTTAACCCCAAATTGTAGAAAATTTATAAAAAAAAAAAAAAATGCTATCTAAAAGTAATCTCATACATTCATATAAATTATCGTGGCAGTAACCATTTTAAAGTATGGTTCAATATATAAAAACAAGCTAATAATACAGATATGTACAGGAAATGCATTATGTTCAGTCACGACGTCTTTGCATGGTACCTATCAATTTAACATAATCAACAAGGAGCTTTTTATGGGTGAAGAATATCCGACCTTCCGTTTTACGTCCAATGTTTCTCCAAACACTTCTTGGTCTCCTTGACTCACGATCAGCCTTAATAAAGTCAACTAAATCTTGGCACACTCTGGACATGTACACGAATATAAGTTTGAGGGTATCTAATTTTATAGGAGAAATTTGGTGGCCTTCAATACAATCACGATCAAGATCCACAGTATTAATGAATCTTAGATACTTCTTCATAACTAACTTGCTTTCTCTCTCATTGAGCTCGACGTTGTATAAAGTAAATAAATACTTTTTAAACCACTTCATATCCTGTGATGGATCAATACCAGAGAATGCGAGTTTGTTTTCTAGTAACTCCAGGATAGAATTGAACAAAGCTCTATTACTGTAATACTTCTTTTCCAAAAAGGCTCTCTTCTCTTCTTCTTCTTCTGGAATTAATGCATCACTATAGATTTCTTTGGTTGCCAAAGCCTGTTCATTATAAGCTTCGCACACATTAGTCAAGGCAAAGCTGTCCTTTCCAATGAACAAATCATGAAGGAATTCCACAGTTCTTTCATCATGTTCTCCCAAATATTTGGCTAGATCACGACGGAGCTTGAGAAGTTCGTCTTTTAAATCATTAGCCATGGTAAGAGGCTCCAATTCCGTTTTCTTATAGGTAATCCATGTGCTTAGAAGAACACGGTCCATAGCAAGAGGGTTAACGCTTATAATTCTGTCGAAAACGGTATTCCAATCCACAGTTTCCATGGATCTGGATAAAACCAATATAAGGGTTAATAGTTTCCGTGTTGGAATTAGTTTTGAACTCTTGGGATTCTGCAATAATCTGTCAAGGCTAGATCCTTCCTCAACAGTAAGTTTTTCAAAGGGCAAAATTTCCTCAAATTGGTACTTCCCAAGCGAAACAAAATGTTGAATGACCTTGAGCGCTTTCAACTGTACCACAATATCATCTGTTCTAGAAACTGCTCCGACCATAGCACTCAATAACTTTGTGTCAATTTTGAATCGTATGGCATTTCCACCCAAGTCAAGAGATTCCAAATATTTATTGACGATCAAATCAAGCATTCGATTTACTTTTTGATTTTTTTCCTCTTGTTTTCCTATATTCCTTGTACCTTCAAACATAATACTAAACGTGATATTACTAGCCGAGTGTGGGCCTGATGATGGCAATGACTCGAAAATATCCCAAGCATTATTGTTTGAGCTGCAATTATTCAATGCCTTCAAAACAGTGTTGATATGATACTCGGATAACTCTATTGTTTCCTTATCATTATCCTTTGCCCTTTCTCTATAATTTTTTTGAAGATTTTGATAAATTTCGTAAATTTTATCAGAAGTAGTCCTAGACAATGGCCGTTTCGAATCAGCACATCCTCGAAAAAGAATGGTAAATGTCTGCTCATTGCATGGAATATTCCATTTTTTTCTGTAATTCATCGATTTGATGGCAACCGATAAATGTTGGCGATTTGTATAGTACTCTAAGATATGATTCATCCCAACTACCCCATTACCTTTGGCCAACTTACAAAGCAAGAGTGCCTTGACATCGGCTCCGGTTTTCAAAAACTTTAAAACATCTTCCGCCACCACATAAGAGTCCTGAATTTGGTTACCGCTGGTTCCAAGGAAATTATACAACATTCTATGGCTCGATTGCCTGAGTACTGGAATTGTCAGGTCTAGCTGAGAATCTGGATCACTAACGCCGCTGGACTCCATGATTTGATTGTATTTTTGTGGATTTAGAGGCTTCATACGGGTTTTAAGCGCTTTTTTCTTTTCTTTCTCTTCCTTAATCATGTATTCCTTCTTGGTCAATCCATAATCATCATATGATTTGACTGCATGGTGTAACTTCGTTTTCACCGTCCCATTGAGTACCCCGGAGGTAGAAAATAGTCGAGCACTTGGCTGACGTGCCATGAGAACAATACATTTTTTCTGCAAATAAGCCATTGCTATTTGCCAATATTATTCTATGATTTATCTTCTAGAGTTAGTAAAAATACCTGAAAAATTTTAGAATTTTTTTTTTTTTTTTTTTTTTGGCTTTACTTTTTAAGAGGTGATAATATGTGCGCTTAGTATTTTCAGACACACTGGGCAAAACCCATTTTCCCAAAGTTTCATGTCATATGCCCATCATCATACTTTTGATCCCATCTATTTGCCAATTGCTTTACTTGAACACAATTTCCATTTTGTTTTTTTCTTTTATTTATTGTTATTTTGGATATTTGCTAAAAAATGGAGGCTCATGTTGAATATTATGATAGTGAGTGAATGTGCGATCTTTTTTTTATTTTTTGATGATAAAAGGACATAAAAAGTATTAACAAAGCATTCCTGTTAGCCCCTGCCAAAATAGAAGCATTGAAGTATATTGCCTCGTCAGTTCCTAGCGGTGCACTTGATGCAGCCATTATAGCGATTGATTTGTTGGAGATTACTAATTACAAACGCCAGCATTTTCCCTTTTTTGAGAAGATCGTCGCCAGCAACGGAGGCAAAGTTATTGATTTGACAGCAAGCGAATTGGAAACCAAAATAAATGAAAAAATTAAAGAATATGAGGAGCAAGTCCGGGAAATTTCAGAAATCCTACAAAATTTAGATGTGGATGATAATGCTTTCACCATGTTGGATGACAGTTCCGAAGTGGCAACCGTAGGATCGCAACTCAGAGACGCGGTTTTCAGTTATGCAATCCAGCAATTAGCAAATGACGATTACTCAGGGGCCTCATCATGCTTGAATATTTATGTATCGAATTATCCAGTGACTTTATTCGGTTTCAGAGACCTTGAAAGATCATGCTATGTCGCCTATATTTCTGGCCGCTATGAATCGGTCACTAAAATGAAGGTCAAACTTGAAAATATTATTTCTGGTGATCTCCGGATGGAATCTTTGCCACAGGCGGAAATTATAAGTTATTTTAAAATTCAATGGATCATATTGATGGCCAACTTCCGGCTAAAGAAGTATGAGAATGTGAAAGTATTATATAATGTTGTCATCAATGCTCCTCCTGTTGAAGGGATCAGTGCGTGCGATGTTTTAGAAACTTGTTTTATCCCAAGAGAACAACAGGATGCCAAGATTTCTAACTGTGATAATTTTATCAGCAAAAACGATATATTAATCGCGACTTTAGTATCGACGATTTTATCTAGCAAAGATAAAGAAATCAAGCTGTTCCTAAGACAACACATTTATGAAGATTTCTTTGAAGAAAATCCCCAATTCTTGAAATTTCTGGAAAGCCTTGTGAGGAAAAAATTTTCTGCATTTGAATCCTCGACAACTGAACTTTGCACCACATACTTTCAGTATAATTATAATTTCAGAGTTGAGGATTGGGCCCATATCAAAAAGATTCTAATAATGAGATGTATTTTATTCTATTTTTCTCTAATTGATAAAATCTCATTAAGTGATCTATCTCAGAGGTTGGGGATTGGCAAGTCCGAACTAATCACCTTGGCTCTTCAACTCATGAAAGTTTTGAATCTCAACATGTCTTATGATCCAGTTGATAAATTATTTGTGCGCTCACAGTCAAAGTATCCTACCCAAGACCTTTCCTCTATTGTTAAGAACCTTGAAAATTACATTCAAGCTACCATGATACAGAATACGGTTCTCAAAGCTTTAGAGGAATGAGCACAACTACACATATATATCACTTTCTAGTTTAGGATTAATTTCAAATTTTTATTTCTACTTACATGTATTCATTCAAACACCTTTTGTTCTTCAATCTTGCTCAAGGATATCGACAATATCTGACTTATAAGGAGAGGAAAGACCATTTTCCGCAATGGTTTCTATGTCAATGATCTCTTTGGCTGCTTCAGTTGTCAACACGGTATTGGTGTCCCAACCAATAGCAACATTATCCTCAACTCTAATACCAATACCTCTGTAGTAACTAGGCAAGCTGGTATCATTAAGAGGAAAATAAACCCCTGGTTCAATGGTGATAACTTGATTTTCTATGAGTGGGGCACTTCTGGAATAAGATGGAATGTCGTGAACATCAAGCCCCAAATTGTGGCCCACATAATGAGGATACAATTTGGTGACGTCCCAGTATTTTAAATCACCCAACCCTGGAAGTTGTATCAATTCTTTCAACAATAAATCCACACTTTTGAGATGAATGTCATGTAAGCTCTTTCCACTATCAGCACGGCACATTTTGATACATTCCTTGTTGACATTCAACACCGCTTGATAAAGATCCCTTTGTGGATCGGTAAACTTACCACTAATTGGCCATGTTCTAGAAATATCGGCACGATATCCTGCCAATTTACCCCCGGCATCCACCAACACTAACTCATCATCATAAAATACGTCGTCATTTCTGGTATAGTGAATTGAAAGAGCATTAGGACCTCCAGCAACCACAGGAACGTACGCATGGCCATCACAGCCTCCAGAAATAAATTTATGTTCCAAAAATGATGCTAAGGTTCTTTCATTCTTGAATCTGTTCGCGTAAGCTTCATTGTACGCCCTACCAGATATCTTCCCGGCGGTTCTGATAAGATCAATCTCAGCATTGGATTTTTTCGCCCTCAAATCACGAACTAGGCTCGTCAATGACTTTATTTGGCTTTTTGAACTCTTCACAACGTCAGAGATGGTATCCCATTGTGGGCCCTTTTCACTGATGGAGAAAAATGATTTGAAGATAGAAGATCCCGAATTGGTCCCCGCAAAATTTTGATCAAAGTAAACTGTATCGTATCTTTGAACTATTTTCGAAATATATTGTTTCAAATCCTTGTTGGAAGCCCCTTCATCGGCATTGAATATTTCAACAGCACCATTTACCCCAGTTCTGAACCCTTCCCACTGCTCGGTGTGGGCGTCTTTTGGAGGAACAATCATATGAAGAATGATTCTATCAGCGGGATCAAGAGACTCGTCTTCCAAATGCTCAATCAATGCTACGGAATCCGGTTCTTCCCATCCTGTAAGGTAGAAGAGATCGGTATTTTGTTGAAATTTGTAAAACACCGCTCCAGAAGCATATTTCACTTGGTTTCCCGGAATCACTGCCACAGACCCTTTTTTCATTTTGACACCAAGTTTCAACCTTCTTTCAAAATATTCAAGTGCCGTGATCCCCGGAGTAAGTTCTCCTGGTCTCAACATGTGAGGTCTAGTCTCATATAACGGTTGTCCAGCATTGATTTCAGGAATTATTCTTTGGGAGTATCTTCTTAGATTAACATTGTGTTTGCACTGCCCGTTTAAGCGATTGAGGTTCAGCGTTAGTGAACGTTTCAAGTAAAAAGAACTTCTTATCATCTTGAAAGGGGATTAGTCTTATTGAGCTTCGAAGACATTTTGCTATGGTTGATGGTGCATTTTTTTTTTTCGGTACTTTTTCCCCGTAATTTTCTTATATCCTACAGGGTAAGGTATCAGTCATTTTTCAACATGCGTATACCTCAAACAGCCGAAGCAAAATAGAAGCAAGGAAAAATCCAGAAAAGAAAATGAAAAGGAAATATAGTAGAGAAATATATAGCTTATATGGTTCTTCCATACCTGTTTTGACAAAACTGATAATAATCACTAGTGTTTTTCCATGTGGCTCACAATAGTAGTGTCTTCAGAGACCATCGACTTGTCCAAGCTGAACACCGAGTTCTGGGATGCGGTATTTTCGGTGTGATGATGATCGATTGACAACGCTTGGGTTTCTTGGATCTCTCTAAACTGCAATTGGTTAGCCATATTTTCAAGGTATACTAGATTGGCGTTTTGCAAAGCACAGGTTTTTGATCTCTGGGTTGGAGGCAACAGACCTAAACTTTGAGTGCGTTGGGCCATGCTTTCCAAGTATTTGACATTTGGATCATTTGCGGTATTTTGTTCTTCAATTTGATAATCAAAATTTCCTTTTATGAGTATTTGGTTGTTGAAAAGCTGGGCTTTAAGAAATCTTTTATGTCTCTCGCATCCATTCCAAGCAATAATATTGTAAACGGTAAAACATTCCCCTTTTTTAAAGTTTCTTTGGATTGGCGTGGAGTTTTTAATTTTATGATGGGTATCAATCATGAAATCTTCAAATAGATCATTTTCAATAAATGATTTATTTTCTCTAGGCAAACCAATTAAGCTACCGAAAAGAAGCATCTTCATGGAGAAGAGGTTTTGCAAAGCACCGTGGAAACTTCGGTAGCTCAAATCATCTTTTTTAGAAAATCTCAAATCATTAAAAATATCAGATAACTTTTCAGGCAAAGATGCTTTACAACAATAGATGTTAAAACACTTTCTCACCAACAAAACAGTATGCACAGTGAGAGGATCAAGTGGTTGGTTTACCTTTTTCGAAAAACAAACCACACACTCAACTTTGGAATCATTATCATTTCTATGACTTGTTAAATAACAATTTTTATGGCAACTGCTTCCACAAGTATGACATTTAATCTAGAGAAAGGGTTAGTACAAATAGAAAAAGTAGAGAAAATGTTGTTGTAAACCATACCAATGATGAGCCATCACTTGTACCGCAAGCACAATCTTTATATTCATCTTCTTTTTTATAAGGCGGATTCCTTTTGTTGATATTTGTAAAAACCTCTGTCAAGGTGATTCTTGGCCCTTTGAAACTTGAATACATTGGACTGAGGAAGGTCTGCCTTTCATGAATATTATATTCCGAAGGATTTCTTGTTATAACCCCGATGGATGTTCTGCATATGTTAGTAATGATGGATCTTTTTTCGGGGAAACAGAAGTCAACAAAAAACATGCTGATGGAAATTGGTGGTGAACGAACCACAATCTTGCATTTTTAAATTACGGTTTCTATCAACTTTCAGTTTAGCTTTTTGAAAGTCCTCTTCTAAAACATGAAACTGCTTAGTTTGTTTTGGACCATGATCTTCTTTGAAGAGCAATTGTATGGAGACACTTCTACTACCAGGCAAGGGATCCAAGGATTGGATGAAAAGGATCAAATTTTTCAAGAGCGCTTGAACTTGTCTTCTAAATTCAATAATATCTTCCTCATTTCTTTTCTTCTGGCTGGTCTGATGATTTTCAAAAGAAAAATTATAGGATTCCATAACGCTGTGGTGAGACAAGATGACAAACGCAAATGACCGTAGTTCACCAGATTTGATGGATTCCAACACTTCAACGGTCAACCATTTGAGCAACTTATCAGACTCCTCATACACACCTTGTTTCAACGTTTTGATTTTCAAATATTGTTGGTCCCGTTTTATTTTGTCTTTTTGATAGTCGTTGGGAACAAAATAGACCTTATCCGTGAATGCCTTGTCTGGGAAAAGTCCTCTCAAAAAGCAAATACATCCGATAGAAATCAACACAATGTTCTTTATAAACACGAAAGAGCTAGAATCATTCAAAACTTGACTGTGATGGGGAGCACTAGACATCCTATAGCTATTGTTTTATTTTCCAATTTTTTTTTCTCTTGTAATAAATACTTAATGTGCGATGCCACTTTGTTCAGAATTTCAAATATTAATTAAACAAGACCAGACAATCCATTTATTGATAGAATAAACAAATGAAAAAGTAAAGAAAATTTCAATAATAAAAATGGATACAAAAGAAAAAGAAGAAAAAAAAAAGAAGAGAAGAGAATAGAAAAAAAAATCAACATGAATAAAATATATTTTTACGTAGAAAAATACCCTCATCTTCTACGTCCGCCACCGCCACCGCCACCACCACCTTCCTTTCTGCTATCTTCACGCGCCGCCTTTCTTTCCATTTCATCCCAGTCTTCACCTTCATCTGTTTCACTGGCACTAGCTTCACTTTCCTCATCAGAAAATTCTTCCGAACTATAGTCATCTTCCTCCTCTTCCTCCTCATCATCATCTTCTTCACCTTCTGATGAGAGTTCAAAGGCAGATTCTTCTTCAGATTCACTTTCTTCTTCATCACTACCGTCACCAGTCAAAAAGCTCCACCCACCATCTTCGAAAAAACCGTGCGGGTCTGCAACAATTGTCTTCATAATTTGAGCCCAGTTCAAGGAAATTCTACCTTCAGAGAATGGAATATCAACATCGGTCAACCAGTTCTTGACATCTTCCAAAACGGTCATTGGAATAGTGTTAATATGGACAACTGGCTTAGAGAAATCTTTGAAAACGAAAACCAAATCAAAATTCTTCAACCCGAATTGAACTCTTTCCAAATGTGCAACTTCCACTTCTGCAAGCGTCACCACCAAGAATGGAGTATCGATCAATTGAACTAAACAATCTCTAGATGGCATCAAGAAAACAGATGACCGAAGGGGCACACCATCAAAACCTAATTCTCTGAATGGGATATCCAAGTCAACTAAACCATTGGAAGCATCACTGATAGTTTCAGCAAAAGTCTTAAATTCTCTATCAAGAATCATTCTTCTTCTTCTTTCTTCTTCTTCTTGTTCCAATTCATCATCATCACCATATCTGTACTTACGTCTTCTACCACCAGTCTCATCAATACCACCATCGCTGGCTTCTCTGTAAAACTGAATGTCGTAAGTCTTCTTCTTACCAATCATGAGTGGATTCTTCAAATGGCAATGAATCAAAACAATTAGTTCATCTTGAGATGGTTGGAAGAATAAATGCTTAATATTGCTGAACAAGATATCCACCTTTTGGTCCGGTCTGATAGGAGATTGGTATCTCAAACCATTTTCATGGATGAAAACGGTACCGAATGCCTTCTTAGAATCTGGAGCAGGTCTGATAGCAACCGAGTCCAATCTCTTCACTCTGCCTGGCTTATTAAGAATCAATTTAGCTTGTTCAATAACACCGGCCATTGCCTTCTTTTCACTTTCTCTCTTGATTGCAGCCTTCTTTAAATCGGAAATTTGTTGAAATACACGACTCAATCTTTGCCCATCTTTCGATCTGAAAGTAATACTTCTTATAAAGGTGTTGTCATCACCTTCTTCATAAGGAAGATCACCTTTTCTGGCAGCAATACCACCAGGGGAGTTGAAGTTCAATCTGATATAAGTATATTCACCTTCCTCGGTCTTGGACCCATTCTTATAAGCGTTAACGTGGAATGGAACCGGTCTACCACAGACTGGAACGAGAATGGTTTGCGATTTTGGATCAACATGGATTCTCAAATCTTTAACATTGGTTGGAAGCTGTGTTTCTCTAACATATGATTCATATCTCTTGAAAACAGGCTTTTGTTCGTCAGGATTCATTTGATCTGCTGCAGAAAATCTTGCTAAACCTTCCTTTTGTCTCTTCTCATGTAATTTCTTCTGAGATGCCTGTCTGATCAATTCTTGGTCATGATCATCCAGATTTTTAGCTTCACCTCTTAATTTAGTCTTTAAGATCTTAGATTTACCAGATAGAATTTCCTCATTCTTTCTCTTTTTTGGTACCGATGAAGAACTTTTAACCTTTGGCTTAACATCTTCACCTGATTCGTTCTTGATTTTTTCATCTTCACCATCATCCTTAAAGAAGAATGAAATATCACTCTTAGCCTTTTGGCCCTCTGTAAGAGTGACTGGTTCACCATTAGTCACACGAATTGTATCAATCAAAGACAAAGCATAAATCTTATCTTTAGGATCTTTTGCTTCTTTATTTTCAAGGTTATTGAACCCGATGACAACATCAAACACAGAACCAGCGTGTATAGTTCTTTCGTTCTTAGCATTCAAAACACATGAGTTATCTTTGAATTCAATCCCGGATAACCAACCAACGTTCTTCACAAAATGAGATTCCAATTCCGGTCTTTCTTTTTTGATGAGATCAATGGCAGCACCGTAAACCGCTTTACCAGTGACGCCATCTTTCAAAAATGAAAAAACTCTTTTCTGAATCTTCAAGAGGAAGTCATAATTCTTTTCAATTTCTTTTGTAGGATCAATCAAGAAAGATCTACCAATAGTAGAGCAATAATTCTTGTATCTGAGACCAATGGAGGCAAGAATAACGCCGCCGTTCAATTTATCTTTATTAGACTGGGCGGAAGGTTTCAAATCAAACTTACCACCAGATTGAATGATTGGACTATAACTCCAGTCCAATGAGTTAGGATCAAAATCATTACTGAGCTTCTTCTTCTTGTCATTGAAGAATTTCGCATCATCAATTTTATTTTCAATTTTTTCGCTCAATTTCATGTTAGTGATGGATTTCTCTTCATCAACAATGGTGACCATTTCATCACTGAAATAATCGAGCATAATAGACGAGGCTCTACATGCCAATCGAGTATATCTAATTTCCTCATCATCTTTGACTTCCATTACTTGGGATAACCCAGCACCAATATCGACTTTAGTGATAGCATCTTCCTCTTTAGACCAGACAGAATTCCATTCATCAACGAATTTACCTTCGAACTTGTCCTTGGTAAGCACACCAACTTTATCGCCGGCAGATTTGATTTCTTCAACTAAGTTTTCAAAAAGTTTCTTATTGTGTTCTGGGTCTTTGTTTCTAGTCCAAATTAAAACGTTTGGAGATTTGACACCACTAAGATGTCTGGCCTTTGGGCCAGAAGTCACGAAAATAACTCTTTGCTTGGTGATTAACAAAGCTGTCGCTGGAAACTGGTATCCGAGCAACCAATTGTGCAATACTGTGGACTTTTGATATGGATTGCCTTCGTCATTTGCCCCAATGACAATCAATAATGATTGCGTGTTGTTGAAGATGGCGGCATCAGAGAGTTTTCTTTGAATGTGCTGGACTCTCTTCTTGAAATTCCCTGGATCAATATAGATTTCTGACATAGTGGAGTAATTGATTACCACTTATTTGACGGAAAATTAAATAAACGAATAAAACGTTGTACTGGATTTCAAGAACTGACAATTTCCAAAGCTTTTTTTCCTCCTCCTGTCGACGCGTTTTTTCTTTGACAAAAAGAAAAAAAAAAAAAAAAAAGCTCGCGTTGCTTGAATTTAGTCACGTGTATTTTTTTGTGCAGCTCAACTGTAATTCTACGGCAGTTTTGGGGAGGAATGAAATATTGTATTAACTAATTATCAAGGAAACATCTGCAAATAAACAAACAAAGATTAAACATAAAGAATGATAAAGGCAATAATCATTCTAACTAGTAATTATGAATTTCTTTTGCTAAACTTTTTCAAAACAACCGAGAAATTCTTGAAAAATGGTTGTGTTCTTGATTTATTGGAGTTTCTGAAGGCGTTAGCTTTCACAAGAATTCGCTCATTGCCTTGAATATCATCTTCTTGAGAGATTCTACTGGCATCGATATAACCAACATTTTCCAAATGCTCATTTTTCATCATCTCAAGAACTTGCTGTCTGCGTCCTTTTACCGGAGCCCCGAATGGTTTCTTCTCAGGAACTACTGAATTAGAATGTGGTTTTTTGGATGAAGGTTTGTTAGAAGAGTGGTGATTGGAATGCACTCCTGTCATTTCTTTGTGGTTTTTTTGATCCTCTAGCTGGTGTGACTTTCCATGACCTGAGGCATCACTACCAGCAGACCTTGCATCAAAAAAAGGGTCACTTTTAGAAGATTTAAGAGAAAGGATATCTTTGTCATGAGCCAATGGGGTCTTCGCCATGGAATTCTCAAGATTGTTAGTGGAAGTGGTAGACAATTCGGAAGACATTGTGTTGCAATAGGTTAGACAGTTTACAGTGTATACTTCTTTTTTTATCTGTCATTTGAATCATATCTTTGGAACAGAAACCAGCCATCTTATATATTGATCGGGATACAGATCTAAAGAAAATGAAAAAAATTTCCCGTCTATTGTGAAGGAAATCATTCTTGCTTTCCTTCATGTTGGAACTCAGACGCATCGGTTACGGTGCCTCACCCCCTTTTCTGGCATCGCTCAGACCTGAAAAAGTTTTTATCGTGAAGTGAGAAAACATCTACCAGCGTCTTTCAAAACACTGCTTTAATTGCCATAATCTAGAAATGCCAGCAATTACAAGAAACAATAAGAAGACAAACGCGGATAATACCGTTGATTCACAAAACAAAGTTTCTCAGGATCGATCCCCAAAAGTGGGCACTGCCAAAGAGGATGACAATGTTGCTAATCCAGATACAGAAGCCACAGAATCTACAACAACTAAAGATACTGAAAACGAGAAGGTTGCTTCTGATATTGCTTCTCTGAAAAAGAGAAAAAATCCTGATAGTAGTGACAATAAAAATGATGACACGATTGAAAAACCTCAGGAAACAAAAGATTCTGCATCTTCACTTCCCCTTACGAAAAAACCAAGATTGAATAATAATATTCCGCCAAATGTCACATTATACATTAACAACCTCAATGATCAAATTAATACTGTTAAACTACGAGAAAGCCTCTTCATGTTGTTTTCGACCTACGGAGACATTATCGATATCAACATGAAGCCCCAGGACAAGAAGATGCGAGGCCAGGCTCATGTCACTTTTGCAAAACTAGATGCTGCCAAATTGGCATTGAGATCGTTACAAGAAGAATCTTTTTTTGAGAAGCCTTTGAATATTCAATTTTCTTCAAACCAAAATAAGAAACTCTCGCTAATTTAGTCCTATTTTATCTACTACTCTCAAGTGTCTATCTAAATCGACACACTGGATAAACCTATTTATATATTTAATTTAATGAGCATAATTATGACGGGGATCACAGCAATAATTGTCAGAAGTCTAGAACTTCTGCAATTCAAAGTATTCAATAAAAATAATGGCTGTCAACATTAATTTACCCATGTGATGGATGATTCACAGCGACGCGTAAAAAATAAAATTGAAAGAAAAAAAAAACGCGCTCCGTTTTTGGGGAATTTGAAAAAGTACTTTGTCCAAATTATATAAATATTCTTGCATATTCCTCTTTTTGCTTGGTTTCCAAATTCTAAAAAATTTATATCCATTTCTTTCTACATTCAACAGTAGCCAAAATTTTTATCAGGACTCTCAATAGACCGATATTTATAAACCCAATCAGATTCATAATGACCACAGAAACACAAAACTTCAAGAAGGCCAAGTTGGCTGAACAATTGAAAGTCTTCAAAAGATCTGAAAATGCCACCTTGCCAACCAGAGGCTCTCCATTATCTGCAGGTTATGATCTTTATTCTTCTGAAGAAGCCATGATTCCAGCAAAAGGTCAAGGATTGGTCGCTACAGATGTCACCATCATCGTCCCAATTGGTACTTATGGTAGAGTTGCTCCAAGATCCGGTTTGGCTGTCAAGCACGGTATCTCCACTGGGGCCGGTGTCGTTGATGCCGATTATAGAGGTGAAGTCAAAGTGGTCTTGTTTAACCATTCTGACAAAAATTTCGAAATCAAGAAAGGTGACAGAATTGCCCAGTTGGTCTTGGAAAAAATCGTCATGGCTGATGTTGTTGAAATTCAACAAGCTGAATTAGATGAAACTGAAAGAGGTGCTGGAGGGTTCGGTAGTACTGGTAAATAATCGCACTTTATCTGTCTCCTTATATATTTTTCGTGTATTATGTATTATTATTAATGTTTATTCTTGTTTTACGGTAATCTTTTGATCATTGTAGATTTCAAAATTATCATTATATTTTATTTTGTATTTTTCATGATGATATTTATACTATATACATATAGACATGTTTATTGTTTAATTGAATATAGACTAGCCGGGCTTATGAATAAGATTCAAGTCCCATTTCTCTTTGCGCTCTAAGACTTAGCAAATTAAGCTTTCTTGTCTTTTTGAGCTTCCTCTGAAGCCTTAGATTCTTCAACTTGTTCTGGCTTTGGTTCTTCAACATCCTTAACATTCTTGTGATCCTTAACAGGTGCGGCATCCATTTGCTTTTCTTGTTCATGTTCTTCTTGGATCTTTTCTTGTTGTTCTTTCAAAATGTTCAATTTCACCTTGTAGTCATCACTCAAACCCGCCTTGGCAACGTCATAAACTTCATCTGGGATGGAAGACAAGACATGCAACAAAGCATCGTAGTAACTGTTAACTTCGGATTGACCATATGTGTAAATAGAACTCAAAATCAACAAAGTGGATGGGATTTTTTGGTTCAATCTCAATTCTAACCAAGTATTCAAGTCATCTCTCAATCTACCTGGAGAAACATCGATATTCTTCAAACCTCTTGATCTACAGGCAGCCTTCAATTCAAGGACAGACAAGGAGTCAACACCTTCGTATCTAATGGCTCTATCATCTTGAACCACATTGATCAACTTGGTTCTGATTTGGTATCTGATGAAAGTATCAGTACCAAATGGAGTAAGAGCCATATATTTGGCCATAGCAACTAACTGAGGACGGGACAAGTTATCCAAAACTTCATCATCCTTGAACAATCTAGCAACCTTAACAATTTGCTCATCAGTTGGTCTTTCATCGACAATGTTGATTTTACGGAAAAATTCAACGAATGCAAATTTTTCATCTTCAGAAATTTGGACAGGTAATTTCATCAAGTTGTTACTTTCTTGAATAGTGTTTCTCAAGAATGAGGAAGTCTTGGCTCTAGTTTCCAAAAGCTTGGCTCTCTTCTTTTCTTTGTCAACGTTAGATTCGTAAGTGGAAGGCAACAAGTTTGGGAAAATTTTCAAGGCAATTGGCAACAATAATTCAGCAAATGGGATCAAGACAAACGCAGAAAATGGAACAAGTCTAAGGACATCAACGATGGTTCTCTTCAACTGTTGGTATTCTCTTCTAGTCAACTCGTAACCACTAAGCATTCTCACTAACAATTTCGTGGCAACCTTAATTTCAAATCCCAATAATTTAGTCCCTGACCAGTAATGGTGAGCTTCATGCTTGACTTTTTCCCAGAGGGTCAATTTTTTAGCTTCTTCTTTCTTTTCAGCTACTGGAGTAGCAGTCTTAGCTGAATCCAAAGGTTTGGTATCCTTGCTATTCAAAGAGTTGAATCTTCTGGTAGCCAAGTTAATAGGCAAACCAATAGTTGCTTGATTCGGAATTAAAGCAACTCTTCTTCTTTCCACCACGCGCAACTGGCGGAGAAGAACCAACGCAGACCTCTTGCAAATCATTGTTCCGTCTCTTATATACTCAAAATAGCACGCTATAGACGGGTATGGAGAGCATATAGAGAGTGAAAAAATTCGAAGGATCTCAAAATTTGACGAGAAAAGTTGCCCACAGGAATGAATAGAAGACAACAGGGTAACTTTCTCCACACATTTCAACATAGTCACGTTTAAACACACGTGACTGTTTTGTTTTCTTCTTCTGTTTTTCTGTCTCATGTGTCAATTCGACTCCCTGTATATATATGTGTGACAGCATATCGCCCATCCCATAATCACAAGACTCTCTTTCTATCTCTCTCTCGCCAACAACAGCAACTGGCTTGGAGTACACCACAACCGCACTCCATAATCACGCCTAAACAAGTCAGGTGGAAAACTAGAGGGGCTGCAATTCCCGCATCGGAAAAAGAGATAGAGAGACAACCTCACTTTTTGCCTTCAGATAAGGAAATATCGTATAATTATTTTTGATAGGATAATCAATCAAACAAGACAAAAAAAAAAAAAAAAAAAAGAAAATTAAAAAATTAAAAAATTAAAAAGATTATTAAAAAGAATTACAAGATAAAAAACGAAAAACAATCTGCTTTCAAATTTAAATGTTTTAATATTTGTCTGGAAGATATATTATGAATAATACTGATCCATCGCCCAGTATTCTTCCTCTAGCGGCTCCTGTAATATCTCCCAATAAGATGGCTGAGGATGCTACAGAGAGTGAGAATGGTGCCATTCTCAAAAAGATGGTATACGTGAGTATCAACTGTACAACTCCAAAAGATAACTGTTAACTCTTGGGTTGTTATTGGGTCATGTTTTTTAGGTCATAGTACTAACATTAGTCATTAGCAATTTTTTTTGAAGGCTTCCTCGCTACTTGAGAACAACAGAGTCTCAAAGTTGGAGAATACTTTACAGAATGAGGCTCAAAAGCTCAATAATTGGGTATGTCATCCTTGTTTGTTTCACTTACTTTATCCTTTTCTGTTGTGTGGGGAAAAAAGTGGCCATATCACATCACTAGAAACCCCTGGTAACATTTATTATTAATTGAACGTGGTTACTAACATGAATTCTTAGTTCAATATTTCTACTGACACCTCCAGTATTCCTTATGATCAAATTAAGCCTTGGAAGCAATCAACTATAGAAGCATCGAAGTCCAGCATCCCACCACTTATAATAGAGACTTATTTGGATTTGCGTGATATCCATCCAAAGCAAAAGGTGTACCTTAATGACAAAGATGCTAACCCATGGTTTGTAACTAAGGGAAAGAAGAAGACAGAGGTGGTTTTAGAGAGATGGCTATTTGAATTCGAAGCTGATCAAGCCAGCGCAGAACAAAATGGCGACTACAAAGATGAAGACACATTAAATGAAGAATTGAGTTCAATTTACAAAAAATGTATTGTTTTTTTCAGAAACTTATTTACTTGCGTGAATTTACTCCCAGCCACCGATTTAAGGAAGGCTATTGGGATATATAACGCCTCTGAACAGCAATTCCATGAAGAAATCCCAACTCCACAGGAGCCTGGTCAGTGCTACCAAAACTTAAAAGTCAATATTAGGTTGCTTAACGGCCTTAATCCTATCTCATCTCGTGGTAGGGTAGGGTTAAGCAAAGAATTGATTTCTACTTATGCTAATATTAGCAATGACAATGATGACACCAATGCCAATATTGCTGTTGAAAGCTTCGATTCCATTAAAACTCCCAGAGGAATTTTAAAAGGATCGGTGCAGTATCGGAAGGACACTAACTTTTTCTTGAATAAAAGAATTGACCCGGATTTGAAATCCCAGGAACAGGTTTCACCAGATCAACCATTACCAACACCAAAGACGACTTTGGATCATGAAGCCACCACTAATAACAATAGCATTCAGCAGCAACAAAAGAGGGTATCGATTTTGAGCAATCAACTGTATTCTCCATCGATTGGAGAGCCCCCAGAGTATCAACCAAAGCAAGTCTCTCCTAACCCTAGTGGCGGTGATGATTTGACCAAAAAACTACAAGCTAAAGCGATCCCCATCATTAACCGATCGAGTTCCAATGTTTCTTTGGCTGCCTTGTTACGCAGTGCCAAAAGTGTTAATCAGACTGGTGGAGTATATGGTATTGGATCATATAGTGGAGCCGCAGGTGGCGCAATTACTGGCGGCGCGGCAATGTCGATTCCAAAATCGTTCACTTCGTCGTACGGAGGCTCATTAATTTCTAATAATAATAACAACATAATGAACATTAATCAACCAAGTGTTAGTGATTTTCAGGTTGGCTCGGCAGGAAAGTATTCTTCATCTTTCAGTTCCAGACATCAGTTGCCCACTGGAACCAGTGTGGGAGCAAATGCTGCAGGCAGTGCTCTGGGAGTGGTTGCTGGGACAAACCAGCAACAGAGAAAGAGTTTATTGCTCGGAAATGTCCACTATGGGGGCAATCTCTCAAGGAACCCAAGTTTGGATAGTTCCCGCAGACGAGATAGCGAAGTAACTGATGGTGGACAAAAACTGCAAAAACAACCGCCAGGATTCCAAAGTAATTTGTTTGCTGATGATGATATCACTGACTTCATTAAGTCAGTGGATAATAAAGCAGACTTGAAGGTTGGAGGAACCCCCACTGCTGCTGATTTTGATGAAGGTAAGTTTGGGCTGGGTGCAAAGAATTCCAACTTGAATGATTATTTGGTCAAATTCAAGTCAATGAGAACTGCAAATAACCTATTAAGTGAGAGTTTGGAAAACAGCGCTCTTATTAATAACTCTCCGCAACCATCTTACGGATTGAAAAATACTTTCAGAAGTAGCAGAGGTAGCGGTAGTGGAGGGGATCTTGGTATTCCACAATCTACTTACAGCGGTTCGAGTTATCATTCGGTAGCGATGAATAAAGGAGGAAGTTATTCTAGTAATATCAGTTATTCGAGAAATGCTGGAGTACCAGTCACCGGTAATTATCCTCTGGGAAACTCTGGCATTCATAGATATTCATTCACCTCTCCAGGAAATTCGCCACATGTCGGCAATACAGATTATACTCCACTAGTTCCTTCAAGATTATCAGGGACTTTTATGGCCAGCGGTGAAACAAATGTTGCCAATGAACCTATATCCGTATCTCCTTCAGGTAATGATATTTCCAGACACCCATCTTCATACAATCCTTCAATTCATCAACAATCATACCAACGACAAAATATCACTGGCGGTGTCGGAATGTACCGTAACAACTCTAGCTCGAATAGTAATGGCTTCGCTCATTCTTTGCAATCACAGCATCGTCGTCAAGGAAGTGGAACCAATTTATATTCGTATGAGGGAGCAGGGGCTAACAATTTCTCAGGATATGGTATCCAAGACGCTTATTTGAATGAGGCGCTAAACCCTGGATCACTAAATATTGATATCTCCAAAGATCAAAACAGTAACACAACAAACAATAATTATTATAGATTTAATGGAAGCAATTCCAGATTTCCAGCTTCTGCCGGTGGAAATTATATCAATTACCAAAACAGTAATGATAGCAATGCTTATGGATACAACATGAATACCAATCCATATGACATTGGATCAGCACCATTGCCAATAATGATTGGAAATGGGCTCAATAGCGGCAACATGAGCCGTGGTGATACCGCACCAATGAACTCCAATTCGAATTTATATGGTGGTACAAACAATCAATACAATGTTGATAAAAATTATCATGGGAATACCGGTCCTGGAGGGGCGATGTCCTACAATGATGGTGGAATCCAATATTATGCTACAGAAATGGATTATCATCACAATAAAACTACTACCAATGACTATGGAAACAACAACCACAATAATAATAATAATAATAACCATGTGGTTGGATTAGGAACCAGGTCCGATGGTACCTCCTCCCCAATGATTGATCAAAGACAATTGATTGCTAATCGTTATAATCCTTCTCGAAAAAGCCAGAGATATTATCAGAAATCCCATCAACGCCATGGTATATCTTCTTTGTTAGGTAAAACTATTGATGGTCCTGGATCGATGGGGATTAAATTGCCATCGTTACAAAGCTCCAGTCCTTCCATGGCCATAATTACCACCACCAATGCGTACGCTAAAATGAATAGTGTCACTGATGCCGGAAACAATGATGAAGTGGCTGAGCTAACCGGTAGAGCAAATGTTATTGCTGAAGATTTCTCTAGAGAAGATCATGAAGAGGTGTTAGAAGATGATGATGGCCCGCACCCAGAAGAAGAATATATGGAGAACATTGGATGTGATGAAGATGAGATTGTGTTCGATATTTGAGTTTAAAAGGTGATGAATTAGCACCTCTTGGTTGATATCATGTTTGTTCTTCTATTTATTTATTTGTTTTGTTTTTATTTTCCCTTTTTGGAATTATTAGTCTTGCACTATATTAATTATGTTATTTTTCTGCTCTGCTCGATTTCATTTTTTTTTGTGTTGGCTGCAAAAAGTCTTCTTTTAGAAAACAAAACGAAATATTCTCAAACTCAAGGCAGCTACACTCCTTCAACTTCAAGTTACATCTCCTCTATATTTATTAGTTTAATGTCATTTTTTTTTCAAAAAAAACAAACAAAAAAAAACCCTTATTCTGATGGTTTTTAACCCTTTTTGTGATAGTTTCCATACAATCTTGATAAAAGTTTAATTACTTTTACATGAAAGCATGTAGATTGCATTTCAGTACATTGTAACTATTAATGGATTTGCATTATTATTATTATTGCTGTGGTTCTTAATAACAGCACCCAATCCGGACCGCCCTAGGACCACCCCAGGCCGGCAGACTCTCCTCTGTTGACATGCATCTTCCCCATTTGGTCACCGCTGCGATTACCAACACACTAAAAAAAAAAAAATCACCCAAAGCAACAACAACAACAACTACTTAGAAAACAGTGGGGATCCTAAAAATACCTTGATAAACACTAAATTATTATCATATATATAAATGGAAATATAATTAGCTGCTCTCTCTTTCAGACCAAGTTCAAATCATCGTGAACCTTCTCATAAATGTATTCCAAATTCTCGCTACCTTTTGTATGAGGGTCATGGTGGCTTCTCAGCATGGCAAAAGTCTTTTTTCTTCGTTTTATCTCCATCACTGACGATAGCCTGGTGATGGTTGGCATTCTGGCCGCTGATGTTGTGATGAGTTTTTTACCGATCATTGTTGTGTGTAGTGTAGTTTAGTTTGAAGAGCGTTGTCGTTGCTAGAGAGAATCATATACCATGATTGGATTATATATATTATGGATACACTATATTGACCATGATCAGTGTCAGCAATTCCATTAATCCTTTTGTGAAGCAGTGGTGGGTGACACAGCAAGAGATCACTTGGAGGGGGAGCTGTGATCATGTGACGGAGTTTCTTTGTGCGGATCTTTTTTTTTTTTGTTGATGTTAGATGATGATCACCGCTGACCATGAGAACATTACTATAATACTATAATATTCCTACCAGTGTGAATATCCTGTTGGTAGCAACCTGAAGGATCTGTATCGCCATCGTCATATCCATATAATATATAGAATCGATAATAGTCTATATTTATATTCTGGGAGTGGCTCTCTTTTCTACACCCCCCTGAAGATCACTCTATCCCAACTTATCATATGCTTGGATCATGCTATGCTTTGTTTAGGTAACTTGGTAACTTTGATAGACACCGAAACACTGATCAATTCTATCTTCTTCAATCTATCATATATAAACCATAAAAGGTCCTGCAGTAAACTATAGCAATAACAAGTTTCTGTGTCATCACTAATCAACCATGCAAATAAGATACCCCGAAGACATCTTCACCATATCCTTTCCTTACGAGCTATTCGAATGGATAGTATACTGGTTCTTGGTCCATGAGATCGTAGTGATTTGCATACTATATTTCTTGTGGTTGCTCTACATCTCAATGGAGAATTCAAAGTTCTATTTTGGATGAACAAAAATAAAAAAAAAAAAAGCCAATCGATGGAATCAAGACTCTTCTATTATATAATGGATCAGATCAACCACTAGAATCGAGCTAAATCCTACAAACTATCATCAAATAATTTGCACCACCAATGATGGATCATTACCCTCTCCCTCAACGTATTGGTCCTTCCCCATGAACTCAAAAAAGTTCTGCTGATCGTTTATTATGGCTTTTTTTCAGCCTTGTTTTATATTTCTTTCCGCCTTTTTCTCTAACATTTTTAGTTGCAATGAATGATTAATGAAGTATTCATAGGAACTGCGTAATATTATTAATACATGACGGAGTGCGCTTTATAAAAATCCCGTTGATGAAAAAAAAAAAAATCCAAATCCAAAACTACCATAATTCGACCTTTGCTACAAGTCGCCAAGTTACTCCTCCTTTTTAATATATTCACTCAAAAATGTTGAGAAACTCCATCGCTAGAAATGTCACCTCCAGGCTCCTCCTGAGAAATGGTCAAACCTTGAGTAAAAATGTTGCAACTGGCTTGAAATTCACCCCGGTTAGATACAACAGTACTTTGAAATCAGAAGACCAAGTTAAACCAGTTTTCACTAGATTATCAGACGAAAATGATCCAGAAAGAAACCTTTTTTTCAAGTACACTTGGGGTACCTGGTTGAAAAACGACAAACAAGAAAAGGAAAAACGTTTCACCAGCTTCTCTATCGAGGGTTTGAACAAGGTTGTCCAAGGATTGTTTCAAGCCGAGCCAGTCGCTGATGGGACATTGCCAAAACCATTGAAAAATTCTGACAACACTGTTTCATTCACCCAAAACATTAAAGATTTGGTCGGGGATGTCAAAGAAGCCGATAAGCTTTTTGTCAAGACCATGTCCAGTATTCATGAGGGTAAACACAACAGGGTGTACAAGATCGAGTTGAGTAATGGAAAAGCACTCGTTTTGAGAGTTCCTTACAAGTTATTGACCGAATACGCCACCTCCAGACAAATTCAAAGTGAAGCAGCCACTCTTGATTTCGCAAGATACAAATTAGGCGTTAGAGTCCCAAAGGTTCTTAGTTATGGTATGCATTCTTTAAACCCCGTGAGAACTCCGTACATTTTGATGGAATATGTCGAAGGGGACTTGTTGATGAAGCAATGGGACCCTGCTGTGGAAACTTCTGATCCTTCTCACAGAGACACCTTGAACAAAGTCATCAAGCCATTGTCTAATTTCCAAAAGAAACTCTTGTCGGTAGAATTCAACCAATTTGGTTCGTTATATTTCACTGATGACGTCTCCCCTCAATTACAATTGAAAGGTGAACCATATGCCGGGGAAACTGATGACAACTTGAAAGGTAGATGGAGAATGGGATTGTCTATGGACAGAAACCTTTGGAGAAATAAAGAACAATTGCAACCATCCCAATTTAATCCTTTATTGGGTCCTATTGACAAATCTCAACCTGAAAAGATTATTCAAGACGCCGCTAATATGGAAATTGAAAACTTGAGATCTAGATTAGGTCTCACTGACGCCGATGCCTCTAATAAGGTCGAAGATCCAGAATTGTTGAAAAGAGAAATCAAGGTCTATGAAAAGCTTGCGCACATTGCTCCTTTCTTAATCGATGATAAATCCAATGCCATTCCAAAAGTTGAAGAATTATTCAAGCCACGCTTGGCCCACCCTGACATTGATCCAATGAACGTCATCCTGAGCAAGAATGGTGAATTGGTATTTTTGGACTTTGAAAATGTCACCGTTAAGCCATTTATTTACACCAAATCTCCAGACTTTGTCAACTACGACGGGTATAAGATTTATGACTTGGCAGACATTCCAGATTTTGAAAAATTGTCGGACCAAGAAAAGTATGAGTACTCATTGATGCAAAAGAGAAGCAGAAACCAACATTTGTGGGAATTTGCCTTGAACGAAAACAACAGGGAATTGATCTCTTCGGTTTCCCCATACATCAAGGAATTGAAATCACCATACACCGTCCTGCTTTTATCAAGAAATGATAAAGACTATCTTTTTATTGAAGAAGCACTCCTTAAACTCAAGCATAACTGGACTCCATACCTCGATAGTGGATTGGTCAAGGATGATGGGTCTAAGGAATATCCTGTCAAATGGTCAGAAGAAGATTTGAAGTCATTTGAAGCTGCTTTCACAGAATACCAAAAGGAATTGATGAACAGACCATTTGCCGCCACTCAAGGATGGGTGCCTCAAGACACTTTTGAAAAATTGTTAGGCCAAGGGTTCCTTGAAAAAGTTGATGATGAATACAAATTCAAGAAGGATTAGAGATTTTGGTGAACACTTAACCTCTCTCTTTTTTTTTCCCCCTCCACTTTTTCATATTTCCTGTAAATAGATAATAAATATTATAAATACTACTGTACGAAATAAGTGTAGTAATGGATGATGAACGATAATAACTTATTCCGGTAGACGTTGTATTGTACACTATTACGAATTCGTATTAGTACGTATACGTAGTAATTTATGTAACGATAGGCGATGAAATGCATGCATCAACACACCAGGGGGAAAAAAAATAACGACACACAGAAGGGGGACTAAATCAAAAAGTTGTCAAAATGTCAGCTTCCATCACTAATTGTGACATATGAACAGGAACAGCACACTTCTTCCACAATGTCTGATGAATCGGTAACTAAGGACCCACAAGAGGAAATCTTGAAAGTTGAATCGAAACAAAAGATATATTTCCGTTTTGTCACCTACTTGGCGTTCTTTTTGGTGATCTTTGGGGTCGGGTTGCCAACATGGCTTTCTACTACCAGTATTCCAAAAGAGTTGCTAATGGTGGACAAAATGGTGGAATATGAACACAATATCTACGATAATTTAAAGATCGCAGTTCCTGTATACGTCAACCTTCCTTTAGAATCGGCAGATGACTCCGTCATTGAACAAAGCCAGGCGTTTTTGAACAAATACCTTGATGAGCTTATTAGTAATGAATTGCCATTGCAATTCCGTTACGAAATCAACCTTATCAATAACCATAATGATAAAAATTTGGATGCGTACAAGCATTATATTGTTAATATTCAACGCCATCAAAACAACAACGATGGGGGATCGCTACATATCTCGCCGTACTCTAAGGAAATCACCATTTCCACTGGTGATGATTTGTTGGCCATTGACACCGCTGATTTTGTCGCAAAATCTCTAGTTCATGAGGTTTTCCGTTACGAATTAGAGCTATACTCTGGAAAAAGTAAGGACACCCAGATGGCGTTTGAAACGGGGGCAAATTACCACTTATCGTTCTTTTTATTGAATGGCGATGGTGATTACATCTCATGGGACTTCAAGGATTTCTACGACCAGTATCTTGGGGGATTCTTGGAATTGATCTCAACATTTGCCAACTTCACAGTCGATTCCCAAATCGAATATTATTCCACTTTGACCAATGTCCCAAGATTCAACGAGTCAGAAAACGCTTACTTATTATACGAAGGTGACACTTCGGTGTTTGTCAACCACGAAAAATGGAACCTTGACAACAACGTGTTGATCTCCTCTAGTAACGACAAGTCGTTGGCATTCTTGAACATGATCTTGTACGTCCCATCAAAAGAATTCCAGCCGCTCAAGGTTAAGGGATCCAAAACCAATAGTTTCATCACCCCACAATACGGGGGCATTCAGATATTGAACTTACGAACCGATGAAAAGTTCCAAAACGCCAGCGCCAATAATATCTTGACAGTTGAGGACTTACAGCCAATTTTTGAAATCTTCATCTCCCAAATTTTCACATTGTTGGGTTTGCCAAAACATCCTAAATCACCATACATCAGACTCGACTTCTTGACCAGGTACTTCATCATAAATAATTTGGTCAAATCAACCAATAACTTGGGGTCCTTGGTTCGTTTGATCAACAGCTTGCCATCAATCTCCATTCCAAATAATACTCAAAAACATGTCTTGAACTCTTTTGAATCAATCGACAGATCTATTGCCTACTTGAAAGAATTTAACTTAAAGGAAAGCTCCCAATCCGCTAACACTGCGTTAGTCGAGTCCAATTTAGCATTCTTTGAAAAAGAAATGGTTCAGCAGATATATTTCCCAGAAGAGCATAAATTTGCAGTTTATAGTCCTTTATTGGGTCCAATTGCCACAATTTTATTCCTTGGATTAGTTAGACTATCGCAGGATGTTAAAACTTTGAAGAAACATTACTGGAATAAGAAAGTTAAACTAAATTGATTAATTGACATAGCATGTCTATTTGACAAGAATATCACGACTCTTTGGCTACAAGCAGCATTTATATTAAATTTATTAACGTAGTTTCTAATAGTAATAATAATAATCAGATAGTAACTATCATTTATCTCCCGCCCGCCTTCAATAACTGAGGCCAAAGGGTTCGAAATTGCATTTCTAATCTTTCATTCGCCAATCCAGCAAATTGGAACGCCTTATCACACCAAGGCGAACCGTTAGTTAAATCTCCAAGTATAATCAAGCTGACACCAAAGTTCCAAAAAGAAGTTGCTAGCCACACAAGTTCTTGTTCAGGATAAGTTTTTTCCTTCATAGCAATGATTCTCGAGAAAATCAAATTTGCGATAGAAGCACATAAATCATTGTCACTTTCTAAAAAGTCACCAATTATGAACCTCCCCAATTTAGAAACAAAAGAAATGGAAATAGACTCTCTTTCAAATTCATGGTTGAGAATACTTTGTAGAATGTTCTTATATGTGCTCTTTGGGCAATTGCTGGTTTTCGTAATACTAACAAATGTTTCACCAATACCATACTCTTTATTTTCATATGCTTCCTATAATTGATATTAGTATGTATTCATTAGCAATATGAGAATAATGATATTTTAAAACGGCATACCTTAATAAGAGGGCACAAAACATCCCAGTTTCCACACAGCACTTCCATTTCATATTGAACTGATATCACCAGTGAAAAGCATGTTTTATAACTACTAGCATGTTCTGAATCACAAATTTCCAAAGGATATCCTCTCTTGGTTATAAACTCTTTTAGAAGGATTGACTTTCCGATGATTTTTTCCACCGTTATTTTATCAACGCTTTGGTCTTCCTCCCCTTTCTTATCTAATTTATATAGCTCATAGTCACACAAAAGTTCTAGCAACATTGTTTTCATCTGCCAAACTGCCAAATCTTCTTTATGGTTTAAATTATCGCATCTATTTAATAATAAAATTGTAAACTTCTGAGAAAAGTTAGCTAAACTTGATCCCTCCGCGAATAGTTTAGAGTCATAACAATATCTTGCAGTATTGAATAAGTTGCTACTCAACCACTCAATCTCGACAGCAGAATAAATTTCTATGGCTTTCTCAACATTTGAAGACGTCTGTGATTCCGTTCGTTTTTCATAGCCACAAACATAACCATAAGTTGCTTGAAGAAGGCTAGCTAAAAGCTTAAAGTAGCTTTTCTTTATATTAAGCTCATTAGTTTTCACAGATTCGCTCAAAATTAACTGTAAATTGCATCTGATAGCAACTGCAACTAATATTGAGTCCACTTCTCTTTCAGAATGCTTTATTAAAGCCATAAGCCCTTCAACAATAATTTCAACATTATTTTTAAACTCTGCAAGACAGGCTGCTAAAACAGTGCCAGAAAGATTTGAATCATCATCAGCAAGAAGCTTGATGCATTTTCTAAGAGACCCCTCATCTTCACGAGCTTTAAAAATTTGGAAAATCAAGTAGATAGTCAAAGGATTTTTTTGCTCCTTATCTGTCATTTTCTGATAAGTCTCAAAAGCGTGGTCATATTGATACAATTCCAAATAGCCTTTGATTAAACTTCGCTGGATTTTGCAAACATCTTCAAAATCATCCAAATTAGGGATAATCAATCTGTGGGATGCCAATCTTAACCATTCAATGGCATGCTCTGCACAGTGCTTCTTCAATTCCTTTTTACCAGTAGTCCAAAATAACACAATTGCCCCTAAACAAGCTTCCTTAGAAAGACCTTTAGTAAGCATCTTCTCAACAGAATTCATGAATCCTTGAAGATCTTTGGCTTTCGTACTCACCGAAACTTCGTACTCTTTGTTAATTGTAATCCAAATCCTAGTATTTACAGCCAACTCAAAGTTATCACTGTGCTCTTCTTGGTTTAGCTTATTGGTTATCAAGTAATCTAAACAATGAAGGGTATTCAAAACATCCGAATTCGAAAAGTCGTTGATAGTACTAAGCATAAAATCAAAGCAATTTTTCATGTCAACATTCATAATCATCTTCATCACAATTTGCTGGAATAATACTAGATCAATTGGTTTAGTTTTTTTCAACAAGTTAATTCCCAAGATGTAGGGCTCTGCTTTATCTGGGTATATCATCTCCAAAAATGAAATGCAGGATTCACATTTCATCAAAGATTCATTGTCACCCTTTCTCAAATAACATTCAACCAATAACATCAAAATGTTGAACTTGACAGTTTTATATATGGCTATCGGCTCATACTTTATTTCTAAACTTAAGAAATTGGCTGCTTTCTTCAAAAAATCAATTACTTGGTCTTCTAAATTATTATTGACAACTTTTCCAGCCTCGCCTTGGGTAGATTCTTTCACCGTATCATTCAATAAAACACAGGCATTGAAGATTTTCCTACAAAATTCAATGATGGATGACGGTTTTGAAATATTTGCCTTTTTTTCTAACTCACATCTTGAAAGATAGATGTTGGCCATTTTGAAATCCTGATCCTTGATTGCCTGTTGAGTGTTAGTATCTTAGAAACAGCACTGGAATGATCTAATTTAATGAGAATATATTCATACCATTTCAACATTTGTGAATAGTAAATCCAATCTTTGAGATTCTAATTCTGTCTTTTGAGGATCTGAATCATGTACTATTTTCTCGAGTGATGTCAAATACTTGTCAGCATATATTTGTGCCTTTCTGGCCAAAGTGAACTTATTTTCATCTTGAAAAGTATTAGTAGGCTCATAATAATTCATTGAAAAATATATATATGCAATAATAAAGAAACTTACCAACACAGTTAGAAAATACCTTAATCATACACTTTAGACACCTAAGTTTCCCATCCAAGGACTCTTTAAGATTCTGATGGATAGACAACAAAATTGAGCCCAAGAGTTTGACTTCACACATGAATTCTACTAAATCGGGATTGCAATCCTTTAAACATATGGTAGCAGCATTCCACAAATTTGACGCTGTTGAATGGTTTGTCAGTACTCACTGTTGTTGCCAAAAACTCATAATTGTGAATTAGACACTAGATATGCATGCTTACAGTTTGCTTCTATCGAGGAAATAAAAACATCATCCAAACCAGAAACATCCTCTTTCCCAATGGTCCTTTCCAAAGTTTCTGTTATTGGGAATAATATGGCCAATCCATTCACCAAGGGCGCTAAAGATTCCGTGGTTAACTTTTCTTTTGACTTAAAGATACTAATAATGTTTGAAGAGAGATCTAAAGATTAGTATAATCAAATCGTGTCTAGGGAGAAGGGGTCCTTTTACAAACCAATTAACTCTTTCAAAGTAGATTTAACTGCTGACATAATTACGCTTAGAATACAGCAAAAATTGAAGAAACTCAACTCAGTAAAGGATTAAAATTTTGATTCTTAGCGCTGTTGAAATTAACGGAATAATAATATGTGACTTAGCTCTCACACCACGCACGCATTATTGTACATAATTAGGAGGTTAACTAACTTCATACCGATAATAAGATGCAGAGCTGTAACATTTTTTAGAAAATTAGGAAAGAGAAATGGATTTGGGTATTTGACCAATTGCAGCGGTAATGGATAAATATATTCATCCACCAGTGTGGAAATCAGAGAGAGTTGAGAAGATGCAAAGGTCGGTCTAAACGCACGGCAGAAAAGGTTATATGCCGACCCGGACACTGTCCACCGCACCGGAGGAGCTAATGCGATGGCAAGACAAAGTACAAACACACACGATCCCGCTCCTCATCAAGGTCCACCTTGAAAGTACCGAAAATCAATAGGAATCATCCCACTTTCTTTCTCGTTATTTTGTTCTTATTAGTATTGACTGACGTAATAGTCATAAATTGTTTAAGATGGCAGCCATGTATGTACCCTATCTTCTCCCTGTGATATAATTTCGCTAGATACTAATACCATTCAAAAATAGACCTAGAAGTTTTAAGCTCTTAGAAGAGTTAGAAAAAGGTGAAAAAGGTTTAGGTTCTGAGTCATGTTCTTACGGATTGGCGGACAGTGATGATATCACTATGACCAACTGGAATGCCACTATCATTGGCCCACCTCATGTATGTATAATAACCATATCTTAGCCATTTTTAATAGGATACTAACTTTGAAATCATGCCAACAGTCTGCCCATGAAAATAGAATTTACAGTCTTTCCATTGAATGTGGTGAATCATACCCAGATAAGCCACCAACTGTTAGGTTTCTTTCAAAAATAAATTTACCATGCGTCGGCACAACAGGGGTGGTTGATCCTAAGAAATTAAAGATATTGAACTTGTGGAAGAGATCGTATTCTATGGAAGTTGTTTTGCTAGAATTACGAAAGTATGTAATTGTGTATTTTATTCAATTTTATGCTTTGAGGAATTTTACTAACACATTATTATCAGGGAAATGTCTGCGCCAGCAAATAGAAAGTTGTCACAACCACCTGAAGGGTCTGTTTATTGATTAACTATCAATGCTACTACTAATATTATTGATATTTATATTATGTTTACCATTCTTTCTTTCAGACTTTTATTTTTGTGCAATAATACATTCAACTATTTATCATTCCTTGTATTGTGAGCTTGTATTTTCACGTGTCTCTCATCAAAAATTTTAGTAATTCATTTTTATTCACAGAATGGAAACGCACAATAGGACAAAGAATAGAAACCGCAACCGTTATACATAGAAATGGCCCCTCCAGTACCTGTTATATCTAGAAGTGAAGCTGATAAGATTTTCAATAATTTGAAAACTAGGGATTGTAAATTAAAAGAAATCGCTCAATTTGAGTGTGCTTTTGCTAAGGATGGTGGTGTTATATGTCAACCCTTCACTCGATTGTTCAATGATTGTGAGGTTGAACACAGAGATAGAAGAACTAAGGAGAAATATTACAGAAGACAAATGTTTGAAATAACGACTCCTGAGGACAATAATCCTTTTAGGAAATTAGAGAAGCCCGAGATTGTGGAATTCATGCAGAGCGTCCAAATACTTCAATCACTAATGAGAGAAATGCAGTATCTAAAAGGCGATCATTAGAACAGAATTAATAAAATCTGGATAGAAGGGAATTAATAAACTCAGAAAATAAAACATATTTGACCAGATAAATGAATTTTGAATCTTTTCATTTGGGTAACCAAGAAGATGGATTGCTACAGAAAAAGAATGAAGAAATGTTAAAGAAAAAGGATATCTCAAGTATCATACTATAACAGACAAAATAAATAAAAGAAAAATAGAGGGACATGGGAAGGAATGCCATCTAGTCAATATATCAGTCACCCACACAAATTGTGAAGCATACTTTTAAGCCTTAGTTTTAGAATAAAATAGTATGCTGTTTGTGCAAAGAATTCAAAACATGAAATCTGTATCAATTTATCGAGAACTAGACATTTCATACCCTAATATCCATTCACTGCATTCGCGATGGCAACTTGAAAGACCTCATTGCGTTATTTAAATTTTTCAGGCGCCATATCACTTAACTAAAATCAATTTGGTGGAAATATCAGTGGCACGATATATAGCTTCTTACTGACTAAGAACAAAGATAATATTTTATGCAAATGTGTGATTCTTGGACTGCTCTTCGCTCATGCGCGCTTATTTCATGTCGCCCAGGAGTTATAAAGATGCTCATTGAGCTAAAATTGGAACATTTATATTCGCAATAGAGAATATGAATCTTCATCTGATCAATAGCGTAGTCATTTTTTTATTCCATCACTAAGAAGGATAATCTTTTTTTGGTCTTTGGTTTTAGAAATCACATCAAAATACACAAAATACACAAAATGGGTAATATTTCTCTGGGCGACCTATATACAGTATAATATATTGAGCCTCGTCATCTCATTAAAATTGGGCTCAGCTCTCAGTAATAGATGAATATTTAGACATGGTACCTTGAATTTATCGTTTATAACGTTACATATAGGAAGCTTGCTCAATCAATTGATCAACTTCCATTCTAGCATGAGCTAATTATTGTTACTGGGAAGAAGAGATTTTAGCGACCAAATTCAATAATAGGTCGCCATTGTTCAGTAACATTGAAGAGAATTTCAACACAAGACAGCTGTAGAATCATAGGCGGATATTGTTAAGACATATTTTCCAAAAATAGTATGTAGTGTTGTTGCTATCATACTATGACTTCCCATATACAACAGCTAAAAATTGGAATTAAGCGCACGCAGACAGCATTCTAATCGCAGAAAAGTGACACAAAAAATACTATCAGATGTGAATCAATGTAACGCCAAACAGCACCCATAGCAGTGTATTGTCTCAAGAGGATAGCCACATTAATATCCATAATAACCATCTACCAGCTTTTTATCTATAATAATTTATCCAGTACATTTATTTTGGTGCTTGGGCCTCTTTTGTTGTTTTATTGAGTAGTATATCATTTGCTAGGTATTCCAAAAACATTATCAATGAAAAGTCCAAACTATGAACTTGGACAAGTCTCAATATAATATTAATTCCTCAAAGGAATTTTATGGCTTTCTCGAGACATATCTTCTTTCATTGGATCAGAGCCCGAGTTTTGACCAGGCGAACTCCAATCTTGTTTTCTTTCTATCATTTGTTGCGCTATACATCGATACCCCATCAGATTCAAACAAAAATTCGTTCTCAATAATTTTATCTAGAAACCCTGAGCATATATTATACAGAACATCTAGAATTCTAGTCAAATCCAAATTGTTTTCCAACAACACAACGAAAACATTTCTCATATCCAAGTTACTATCGATGTTGAATTTGAATGTTCACCTTAGTAACATTAACTTGAAGCTTTTCCTTGGGTTTGTTTTTATAAATCTCATAAAAAAAGATGATGATGCCTTTGATTCATCCTACGAAGATGATAACTCTCGTAATGGAAGAAACGACGCTGAAGAACCAAAATTCAATATCAACGATATTAGAATGGACGAAGATGAAAACGGTAATAATATATCTAGCTTGAATGATTCGGTAATAGATATTTTGAAGAGCTACTCATCTTTTAAAATCTTTTTTAAAATATTATATTTCAACAACTTTATAAATATTTATCTGAAACCAAAGAAAAGTGTTAAAGAGAAGAAAGTGGTTGAAGCAGGAAAAAACGGTGAGAAAATTGGCAATGATAACCTAATAAATGAGAGCTTAATAGAATATGAAGACATCCTGGAACATTGCAAATTCATTGAAGAATATAACACATATATTAAAGGAAACAACAGAAATTTGGAAATTATCAATTATGATAAAAGCTTACAACTGGAGCTCGTCAATGATGAGGATTACTTTATAAAAATTTGCTACTCCCAAGAGAAAGCTTTGTTAAACCCGGACACTTCAAAAGACTTAGATAGAGCATTTGAGGCTCTCTCAGAATTCGACTTATCGAATCCGAAGAGTACTGATAATATTCTCCAGAAAATTATTGACAACGATTCGGAATTCAAAAGTATCATTTACCGAAGTAAGAAAATAATATTATCAAAAATTTACATGAAATTAATATCCAATTTTTTGAAATTTTTCTCTTTAACATTTGATGAAATCATGTGTGTTAGCAAAAACTTTGTGATTGACTTTCTTTTGAAGAATTTATCGATTTTTGAAGCTGATCTGGACCAAGAGGATCAAGAGGATCAACTTGGCGATGGCTTGCATCGTCGCGCCAGTGTCAACAAGCGTGGGAGTGTCAGATTCGATAACGGTATAGTTTTCAATGATAATCTTTCTAAAGATTTAATTCAATTTGGCAGCTACAAAAAGTTTTTGGTAAAGTCGAACAAATCAGAAATAAAGAATTTGAATGAACTCAAATTTGAATTGTTGTTGTTATTGAATGAACAATATATGGCTGTGACCCATCTACAAAAATCACTTCAGCAAAGATTTGAAAAAAACACCCTAGGAAAGCTATTGTACTACAAACATTTAAAACTAATACAAATTAAAACAGAAATCAATAGCATCTTGAACCAAAAATTGCAAATTAATGAGAATTTGCAAAAAACATTTGAAGCTCAATACGGAGAAGAGTTGAGTGCGGTTGAGAAGCTTCAAGCTGAGCAGGAGTTCAATCAAAAATATTACGGTGTTAACGAACAAGTTGAATATCTGGTTGATACCACTGACTTGTATGAGAAAGTCTCCTCACAATTTAAGGATGAGTTTGATAAATTAACAACTTTTGAGAATAATTTACAAAAATTGAAAGAATTATTTGAAACAAATGAGTTCTTTTCCACCGGAGATAAGGCAAGTGATCAAAGAAATTTACATGAGTTTCTAACTATTTTACGAAAAGACAATGCACAAGCTCAACTTGTATCTGCTGAGGATTTGAACTTGTATTTGAAACTTAAAAAGTCCGAAATATTTTTGATAATTGGCCCAAAACTTCAAAACAATGTTTTTGATTGTTTGATTGGTGCCCATTATTTTGACAAAAGTCAGAAAACTGGAAACAAAAGCGAAATTGATGGTCTGTTGGAATCAGCCTTAAGAATTTATGTGAACTTCGTTGGATTCCTAATTTACAGTTTCAATCGCCAAACTAACAATTGCAATAAGATATTGATTTTGAAGATGCTTTACTTAATTCTTAAGGAAATGAAGCGGAATCGTGAAATCCGTGAAGAGAAGAAAGCAGCAAATAGACGTCTGTCAATTTTCAACCCAGGTGATATGAATTTGGATATTGGCAAAGATCCACGTTCTTTGACTTCTCTGAATTCTGCAAATGGTACTAATTTCTGTGAATTTTATCTTAATGACTTGAAGGTGTTAGTTGATATTTTCATACGCGAACTATACAATCTTTCCCCAGAAACACAGCTTCCGGTGATAAATAATTACTTGAGGGTTTTTTTTCTATTGTTAGATATTACACCTTTAAATTATTTGAAATTTAATCTGAAATATAAACATGTTGGCAAAGATGATATGAATTTCAATTATGATAACGGCAGTGGGTATAAAAGAAAAGAGATTTTGGAATTGCTTGTGTATTTAAGCGATTACAATATTAACGAACTAGCAAAGAAGTGCTATGACAACGACGGGATCCCTCCCGATATTTTGGCGTCGGAAGATGAAAAACCCTCTTCTACACCTGAAACACAGTCTGAAGACTCCTTACTTACAAGAAAACTTGCAAGGAAATGCCTTTGTATTGGTTGGTTGGGCCTCAGTAGTTATATTGTCGATAAGGCATTCCAATTGTATGGCCTTGGTAATATAAATGACTCAAAATTCTCTCCTAACGCCATTTCAAGAACCTCTACCGCTTCATCATCATCATCATCAATTTTCAATAACACTCATGCTAACTCAGCCGACAGAATGACATTATCCAAGAAGCTATCAAATTTAAGAATAACCAACAATAATACTGGGGGAAGTACGAAATCTGCGGCTCATGGTGGAGTGGGGGTCACTAATAACGGGCAACCTGCTTATCAAAATACTGCTTCACCGATACTGTTATCACCAGCAAAAATAGAGAGCCCAAGTGGTTATGGAGTTGGCAGTCCAAATGAAGCATGCTTGAGCCCTTATTATAATAAACCAAATAGGGCCAGTCTTGGCGGCTCACTCAGCAACCCGGAAGTTAATATTAGTAGAAGAAACAATATTAGTGCTGATTTCAATACCACTAGAAATGATAGAGTTAGAAATGGTCTTCAGAAGGAATTTTATTCTCCAACTTTTCCTGATTCCAGTCACTCTCAGGTAAGTCTTCCTGTTAGCACTGCATCTTCTTCTTCTAGATCAACCAGAAAGAAGCCACCACCACCACCTCCCCCTTCTGCATCGCCCTCAAGGAGCTCAAGACCATCGCCTATAACTGAAGGAAAGAGGTTACCGCCGCCCCCACCACCTCCTTCGAGAAAGATGAGAGTCATAAAATCTGCGGTTGAATTATCGTATTCATAAACGGTTCTTTGCCTCATTTGAATTTCTTCTCCCCTTACCATTCATAATAAATCTTCTTTTTGTTCCTCGTTATCATTTGTATTATTACCATCACCATTTTCATGACTACTATTATTCCAAAGTTATCAAACTCCCTCAAATGTACAATATAATGCTCAAAATTTACGGTACCTAGAACACATCTTGATAAATAAGAAGCTTTTCTTTCCTGATGATATATATGAAAAAAAAAATAGTAATAATAATAAAATGTAGACAAAAGAAAAAAAAAATGAAAACAAGAACAAAAAGAAAAAAAAATTAATAGAAAAATATTTGGTAAATTAGAGACAATATTAAGCCACGAGACGCAAACTTGAGGCTGGAACACCAATCAATGAAATACCTGTAATTTTACAAACCTTACCCTTTTCAGAAGCTTGATATTCGGCACCAACAAGCGATTCCTTCACTGAGGCAGAACCCTTATATATAGGAGTTAAGGTGGAAGCACAGATGGTGAAATCGGCATACGGATCAAAGTTGGTTTCAATGGCATCACGAGCAATGGTATCGGCCTTGGCCTTGATCTTTTGGGCTTGCTCAGCTCTACTACCGGTGGATACAATCTTGAGGAACTCTCCGGCAAAATAAGAAGCGGTGGCATAATTTTTGTGCTTGAATGATTGGGTCATGGCGACTTGCAAAGCATTCATACGGTGGGCTGGTTTCAATTTAGCCTTGGTGAAGTAAGCTGCAAGCTCCAAGTTACGTTGGATGGCATCGGCAGGTAACGAACGACGCGCCAATTCGATAGAAAGCCCCAAAATGTATTCACGACACAAATGTAAGGCTTCCACACATTTAGCTTCGGCATCTTCATCAGGCACCGCTAACACGGAAACGGTGTAAATAACCTGGCGGAAGACTTCGATGGCATCTTCTAATTTATTGCTACGGAAAAGTCTAAACGCTTCCTGGAGACTAGCTTCCAAGGTATCGTAACCTGGAATATATGGTTTGAGTCTAGAAGCATCGTCTTCTTCTGGGTCGGCGCGGATGTACGACAAGACTGGAGGCAATCCATCATTACCTGCCAAATAAACCTTGTTGGCTTGGTAGACCTCCATGAATCTGGCACGTAATGGTTCAAAGTTGACAATACCAACTTGACGATGCAAAAGTTGAGCAGCAGAGTCGAATTGACCAGCGGCAACGTGAACAGCAGCATTAGATGGTGCATTCTTAACCCAGGTACCAGTTTCCGTTAAAGAAGCCTCAGTAATTTCAACATCCTCTTCAACATCACTGACCTCAAGGCCTTCATCATCCCAACCCATGTCATCTTCAGCTCCATCATCATCAAAGAAGTCCTCAGCTTCACCAAGACCCTTGGAAACATTAGCTTCATTATCATCATCATCAAATGGATCGGCAGCATCTTCCAATTGTAAATCTTCCAATTGACCCAACATAGCCTTTTCGAAGAAGGAAGGAGCTGACTCTTTGACTGGCCAGTTTCCTAACTTTCTTGTTGGTTTCAAAACTTCAATTGGCTCGGAAATGTCATCTGGCAATTCAATTTCATCAACATCGATACCAGCAGCTTCCAAAATCTGTTGAGCAAATTCGCCCAACCCGTTGGAGTGCGCAAGTGCATAAGCCAATGGCAAGTTGCCAGCTTGTGAAAAGACAGCGGCACGTTTTTCTGTACTATTCAAATACACAGAGTTTTGAATCAATGAAGAAATATCAGTACGGTGTTCAGCAATGGTTTGCATTTTACGCAAACGCTCAAAATCACCATTGATAAGATAGAAAAATGATAATTTTTCAAGTTGTTTTTGATCTTGGTAAACGAGCTCAACAATTTGGGTATTACCTTGTTTGAGGGCTTCTTCACCAAGAGCCTTCCAAGCAGCAGGCAACTTCAATTTTTGAGCTTCGGCAAGAGCAGCTTGTAAATCACCACTTTCAAGGGCCAACTCAAAACGGGTTTCTGGATCTTCAACAAACTGTAAAGCAATTTCTGGATAACCCTTCTTTTGCAAGTAAGCAATGATATTTTGGCCCACAAGAGTGGAGTTCTTGATGATACGCAAGACTTCATTGAAGTTCTTGTTGACAAGAGCTTTCTTGAAACGGTATTCAGTTGGATCAATCTTAATGGTTTCAACCTTACCACTTCTTGTCAAGCAGAAAACGTTCTTACCTTGGACCTTAACAACGTAAACAGTGTTTGGCAAAGTCTTGATGATACCATTATCGCCATTCAACAAGGTATATTTGATATGGTTTAAAGTGGAGTAGAGCAAAACCCCAGTCTCGTCCCAAGCGGCACTCTTGATACGAATGGTTTCATGCATCGATGTAATCAATTCTAATCTCTTGTTGACGATAGTGATAGTATGTTTGGATAAAAGGGCAAGATATTCGCCATCGTGGGACCAAGTAACGTATTTGACGCTGCTAACTTGGAATTCAGCAACAACCTTTTTTTGTTGAACATCAAATTGAACAATAGAATTCTGCTTCAATAATAACACATGACCTGGGCCAGCATAAAGAAGATCTTTAATTGGATCCTCAAGCTTGATAGATTTGGTAACTGAGTTATTCAAATCCTTGACATTCAACATACCAGTTTCTTTACTGTAAGTGACAAATCTATTTCTGGCAATGAAAATCGCAAAATCGGCAGCATCTTGACGAATATCCAAAGGTTCAATAGCTCCACTAGCATCCTTTGGTAATTGAATCAAAGCATACATTGGGGAGTCTTCTGGACCGGTCGTAACGATGATAGAGTGTTCGGATGGATTATAGGACAAGGATCTCAACATAGTCCATGGCTTACCAATCTTTTTAAGACTCAAAACTGGTAATGAATCCTGTTTGGTGTCAAAATTATATGTTTGAACCTGTCTTTCATTATTGACAAAAAATAATTGATTTTGAAATAATGTACTTGGTGGTCTTTCACGCTCTAATTTGAAAACCATTACACCAGAATCATGAGCGGCGGCGAATAGATTGATCTGCGGATGAGCAGCAATTAACCAGAAACGGTCGTTTTCTCTGGTATATTGTTTGATCGAAGTTCTTTTATTTAAATCCCAGGTACGGATAGTTTTATCTTCAGACACGGAAATAATAAGGTCTTGTGTTGGATGAAATAATACCGCAAGCACATTATTAGTATGACCTCTGCAGGTATCAACTTCCCAAGCCTTAGTTTCACTCATACGCCATAACTTGACCACTCTGTCATCACCACCAGACACAATCAATGGCAATGTTGGATGAAAAGAGGCCCAATTGACACCTCTATCGTGACCTTCCAACACAAACTTCACAACCGCATCAGTGTTACCAAAGATATCTTGTTGAGGCATATTTTGTCTTGATAATTGGTCTTCGAAGGATCTAGTGGCAGCTTGGGCACCAGATGGAGCAGAGTGTTTTTTGCGCAACCCGCTAATATCCCAAACACGAACAGTTTGATCCAATGAGGAAGACACAATCAAATCTTGGGTAGGATGGAATTCAGCACTCATAACGTAATGGTTGTGGCCAGTCAAGCACGCAATTTCTTGACGGTTTTGCCAGTTCCAAATACGGATGGTTTGATCATCAGAAGTTGAAAGAATCCATGGTAATTCATTATGGAAAGAAACAGTACGCACGTAATCAAGATGACCAGAAAGGGTAAAGATACACTTACGGGTGATTGTGGACCAAACCTTGATAGTATAATCATCACCACCGGACACGAAAAGTGGTTGGGTTGGATGGAAATTGACACTACGGACGGGGCCGTCATGTTCTTCAAAACGATCAATTAAAGTACCCATACGATAATCCCACAATTGTATGGTAGAAGAATGAAGAGAGACAAGCACCCAAGGTCTGGTTGGGTGGAATGCCACACCTTTTGCCCTCGATGAGGACTTGGATTCGAACTGAAAGATGATTCGTTAGTATGATTTCAATTCGCGGATAGCTTGAAAGCCAAATACCCATGATCCGATTGACCATTGTCGTATGACGCGATAATATCCGCACAATTGCAGCAAACATACCTTAGTGAGCATCTTCATTTTGAATGGGACGATCCTGTTAGTTCGTTATGTGGTGTTACAGTGATCTACCAAACAAATAATGTTTTTCACTTTGGGCAGAAATCGGGTTCGTGGCCAGTATTATAAGACGGGTAACACTGTATAAAGCCTGACGATTTTTCACCAACATGCATCGTTTTCACCACCGATTACTGACTACTATTAGCATCACTATTATTTCTATTATATTATATTGTCATTATTATTACCGAATAAAGTACAGAATACTGTTTAGTTTATGAAAACACGCAAAAAAATTGGTGAAAGCAAGAAAAACGTAAATTGTAAAAGATAAATGAGGAGAAAAAAAAAATTCTTCGATGTTCTAAGAAGAAAAATCCAGTAATTATAACATGTCATAATCACATCAAAACCATGGTGGCAATAACAACAGCTGCAAGCGAAATAACATTAAAGAGGTTACTTGCGTCCACTCTCACGCTCGCCAAATTCGACACATTGAAAGCAGAAGAAGTGCTACTCGCGAATTGAATAAACCCTGAGCCAGTGTAGGTATAAGTAGTACCATCGTTATTGCTATCCGCCTCACCATCATCACCATCAGCATGTCCACCGGTACCCAAACCTGTAGGGGTGGAACCATCAGATGATTTTGTAAGTGTTATATTACTGGTGTTCCCACTATTCTGAGGATTGAAACCTGTGGCATTAGTAGAGCCAATCCAGGTCTTATCGTCAGTGATTTCCACGTCACTTTGATTACCGGTAGTACCGGTATAAATGTATGCGTTAGTACCGGATTGCTTAGTTCCAGAAGGTGGATCGTAACAGGTGATATTTGCAGAATCGATGAAAGCATAATAGTAACCAGGATCAGTTAAATCAGGAGCCGACCAATCAATGGCACCACCAGCCCAGTCAACCGTACCGATATCTTTAGAGGCACCACCGGCCCATAAAGAAATTTGGATTCTGGATGGGGTTTGTGGATAATAGTAAGATTGGGAGGTTGCATTCCACGTTTCATTTTTGTAGAGAGTACGTCCGACTTCTCCATTAACGATCCACTGAAGACGGTCTTCAGTCCAATCAATCCCCAAAACGTGGTAGTTGTCAAATGTTGAATCGGTGGTAGTAATGTTTTTAGAGTGAGTCCAGTTAAGAATACCCTGATAATAGTAATTGGTTTGCCACTTGTAAAGATCTACTCCAACGTTTTCGTAATCAACTTCATCCTGAACATTGGAGAAAAGAATGAAAGCAGTAACAACCCCGGCCAAGTGCGATGATTTGATTCTGGCATCGATGTGACCATACCAAATAAATCTTGTCGAAGAAACAACGGTAGATGATGCTGATTCGGTCATGGCTAAGATAATGGAGTCATCGTACTCAAGAATGGTACCTTGATAAGTCCAGTCTGATTGCAGAGCATCACCGTAGTAGTCGTCTTCCGAAAGGAATTGGTTTGTTTTTGTGAAAGAAGTATTGGAGTTCTTGCATATTGGTTGTGGCATGCACGCCAGCATATTGTAAGACCAAAGTGGATTACAACCAGCAAGGCAGAAAGAGCCAACCCCACATAGCCCGTACTGATCACAACATGGAGTATCGATAGGACACGGATTTGTGGCGTTACAAGAAATGGCAGCACTGCTCACTTTAAGAACACTGGCCACCAATAGTACCAACGATAGAATATGCATGGGATCTGTTGTTGATTATTGAGGGACCTTGAGACACTAGCAGACCTATGGATAAGATAAAGTCAGATACTTCTTTCTTCTTTTTCTATCTTGCGGTAAGAAAATAATATAGACAACCCAGGTTTATTTAATTATACACCTCAATAAAATTCTCACACTAGCCTGACACATGTGCCACTCAACACAAAAAATTCTCTGCAGAAATAAAACAAGAAAAGAAAAAAGAAAAATCTATCTGCACGTGAGAGACACAACACAATAAGAAACACAGATATATATATATGTATATGTATATGTATATAATAGTATATCATTTCCACTGCTTTTTCACGATAAAATGTCCGGAATATTTAATTAGTATAGTCATCAAGGTTTTTCATGTATAAATAGTAGAATGCAACAAGATTCAAATGGCCCTCGATCCACGCAAACTCATTCGCACCATGGATCCCATTGAGACTCATGCCGTTTTTCATTATGACTTCTGGGAAATAACGGATAATGTTATCGGTCAAGTTCCAATAGTGTTTACTATCGGTATTAGCTGTCATCACTGCCGGGACCGGAATGAAACCTTGAGGTTGATGCTCTGCCACAACCTCCGGGTATGCAAGGTCTTCATACAAGAACCTCAAAGATCCAGTATAAACTTCCCAAACAGAGCCCTTTGTGGATGTGATTGGAGCTGGCTCAAGAGATCTAAGTGGGACAGAATAGTTGAAGTATCCATTTGGTGTGAAAGGACGGATAATTTCCTCGTCAACAATGAGACCCAAATCAAAGAGATCGGCACTGGTTATAAGGTTATCCACAAATTTGGCCCTAGTCTCTGCCACTGAAGAGTCCACGGCAATTCTTGAGTTAATATTAATGGCCACTGATTCAGGTAAAGCGTTGGCTTTGATTCCCCCATTGAAAATGGTGGCAGCTTGAGAAGTACTGATGGTATACTTCATAAATACATCACCCATAAGTGAGTCGACAATTGCTTTATTGAAAGTAGCATCTTCTGCCGCCTTGCCAATGGCAAATTTCCTCATTGGCGAAATCGAAGTAGAGTATTCTGCATAGCATTGAAGGAGCTCCATAAGTGGATTGATACTAGTCAATGATGGCTCGAACGGAGTTTCATCGACGAGACCAACAAATTGCGACATAATGCCTATAGCGGTATGTTTTCCAGGGGGGTTTGAGGCGTGGCCACCAGGAGTTTGTAGAGTTATTTTTGAGTCCAAATAGCCCTTTTCAGCGGTACAAATTGGAATCAAGTATGTACCGTCCTGTTCTAGAATCCCACGGGAACCTTCATCAAAGATTGCATATATCGAATTATCACCGTACCTTTCAGTTAAAAATTTTCCAATATGAGCCGCACCATGGGTGCCTTCGACTTCTTCATCGAAACCAAATGCCAAAATGATGGTTCGGGAAGGTACAAATCCTGTTTCAATCAAAAGCTCCACTGATTCCATTTGACCAATAAGCAAATCTTTACAATCGGAAGCACCACGGCCCCAAATTTTTTCTCCGTCAAAGTGACCAGAATATGGAGGATACTTCCAGTCCTTAACGGTGTGTTCTTCCACAGGAACAACATCTTGATGGGCGGTTAAAACCACAGGCTTAAGGGATGGGTCAGTACCTTGCCAGGTAAAGACAAGGCCGTGGGTGTTGACAAGTTCCTTTGTGAGAGTTTTATGGATATGAGGAAACGTTTTTTCAAGGTAATTATGGAACTCAGTGAAAGGGGCAAAAGATGGATCATCCATGTTGGTGATGAACTTTGTATTATCAGTGACTTCGGTGACGATTTGTACCGCCTTTGACAACTTCATGGCGGACTGGTTTCTAAACAAGGGATCGTGAAGGATTTTGTCAAGGATTTCATTTGAAACACCGTCAAAATCCTTTGGAGAGATTTTGGTAGCAATTGGACATTTCAATTCGGCTATTTCTTGAGTTAAAAGGGTTGTAGAATAATAGCTGAAAGCCATGTAGAGCTTTGAGGAAATATTAGATGGGATGTAGACCGTGGCCAAACATAGCAAGCCGACAACCAAAGATAAAATCAACGATTTCGACGCCATATTTGTTGTAGAGGTTTCTGTTTGACAGGTTGCACAGACGCACTCACGGAATCAATGGCAAACAGTATGAGATATATATGTATATATATATGATATATACACCCAGCAACGCTTGCTATTTTTTTGAGTCAGCAGGAAACAGTATGCGGACAGTTGCCGCGGATGCAAACGTGATCATCAAGAGCTAACTAACATTGTGGAGAGGTATGTGTAGAGTTAGTCGGTAGTAAGGCATGGTAAACAATCGAGGTTTCCTAACAAATGGGGGTCAATCAGGAGTTGTTGTTAGGCCCACTTTCTTTGGGATAATGGGCGTATGGTTGAGTAGAAATGGAAGGGTGTCTGCTCATACAGCTAGCGGCCCTTCTTCAGCACCGCTAAAGAAAGAGGATAGAAGGAAACATCAAATAAATAAGTGAGATGAAACATTTTTTCCATTTTGTCGACAATTTTGCAAGATCAAATACTTCTCCAACTTCACAGCCCACATTTTCCCAATAAAGAATGGCTTGGGAGGACAAAGAAATGGCTTTGTTCTGAGTGCTCTTAGTAAAAAAACAAATGGGGCTTTCACCAACCTTTCAAAATTGCAACGCTAATATTTATGTATTATAACCGATGCTTCTTAGGTTGTCCACCAGTAGAAAATGACCAAGAAAGAGCAGCAGAAAGAAAAGGGGGACAAGGAAAAGAAACCAGTTACCACAGTCGATGATCTATATCGACACTCCACCCAATATAGACTCTGGTCATTTACCGAGAACCAACTAAAAGAACGCCGTACAAAAGTCAATGTCCAAGGAAAACGAAGAGCCCTTAAGAAACTCAAAGTGTTTTGCGAAAGAGACGATAATGATCACAAGTTTGAAACTTCTCGTGACTTGCTTCAGCTCGTGAGTGAGGACGAGGAACTTCTTGAAGTCAATTATTATGTTGATGTACTTCAAAAATTATCTTCACAAGTCCTTAAACTTCCATCCCAAGTACGAGCCACTGCTGTGGCATTTCTAAAAAGATTCTATCTCGTTCATTCAGTGATGGAACATCATCCCAAGAAAGTCCTTGCTACATGCTTGTTTTTGGCAGCCAAGTCAGAAAATTGCTTCATGGCCCCAAAGACTTTGGCTGAGTACCTTGGTAGTAAAACTACTCCTGAGTCGATTCTTGAGCTTGAATTCACATTAGTTCAAGCTCTACTGTTTACAATGCTCTGTCATCATCCATACCGGGCCCTTCATGGGTTTTTGTTCGATTTTCAAGGGATTCTTATCCATCGACATCCAAACGGGGTGGTGGTTACCAGAAAAGATGAGTCCACTGGAGAAAAGAAAAAATTGAGAATCAAGATCAACAAAGACAGAATAATGAAAGGTTACGTTGCGGCTAGGGAATGGGCAGACGTAAGCTTGAAAGGGGATACAGCATTTTTATTCACCCCACCACAAATTGCGTTGGCATGTTTTCTAAAAGTTGATGAGGAAATGACGGTAGCGTACCTCACATACAAATTTGTGAAGGATCAACATAAGGATCGACAAGAGGAAGGAGGAAAAGAAGAAGAGGAAGAAGAGGAAGAGGAAGATTCTGATGATGAGGATAATCCAGAGACTAAGTTTGATAATGATGAAGAAAAAGATGAAAATAAAACTGAAGAAGAAAAACAGAAAGCAAAAGAGGTAGAAAAGGAAAAAGAATTGGAAAAGGAATTGGAAAAAGAACAGCATATTCAGTTCTACAAAAAAATGATCAAGACCCTTAGATCTTGTATACGAACCATGGATAGCGTAAGGGGCCCTACTCTTGATGAGGCCAAGACCATTGATAAGAAGGTTCATTATTGTATCAATCCAGATAAATTGCTTAAGAGAAAGCGTCAAGAAGGAGCGGATGGTGGACAGCACGATGCTAAAAAGATCAAGTTAGAAGGGTAAGCGTTGTGTGTTAGGGGACCTTGATATCCATATCATTTGATGTGTCATATTTTCAAGACAATATATTGGCAGTAATGATGCTTAACCTGATCATTTTTCTATAGTATTACAGCTATTCAAAAACAAAAAAAAAAGCAGAAGAAAATCAACATGAGTGAACTGCATGAGACTAATTGTATCTCTTTGCTGGTGATTTGATGTACTCAAAGTAATAATTTTTCGTAAGCCTAGCTTATTATTTATCTCCATGTAACATAGGAAATATACTCATTGATTGAGATTTTGAAATATTTTTTTCAAGTAAGTGAATAGATGACTTCCTTCAATTTCTAAATAGAAGGAGTGGTAGAGGGGAGCGCCTGGTCGTTGGATCTCCTCTCATAAACTCAAAGAGTTGCTGGAATCTTTTTTAAATATATGGAGTAAGTGTGTTTTAGGCCAAAGCCGAATTTCTAAGATGCAATTTCCCTGTTGAAAATAATCAAATTCCGCCTATAGAGCATGATACAGACCTAGATAAGAGGGTTGAGAAGGCATATTATTCCCGGCCAACAAACAAGCGAAGTCTCTTAAAAATCAAGATATAAGAGACGTGTGTGTCTGTGTGTTTCTGAGAATCAAATCAATATTACTAGTCTCTTTTTCCTTAAAGTCACTATTAACCGTGATCAGGTTCTGTAGAAATCACTAAATTCTAAGCTCATGTTTGGCATCACAAATTGAAAAGCTCCTTATTGATCCCCAAACAGACTAATTTTTGAGCAGAAAAAAAAATCTGTGCTATATGATGTAGTTCCACCAATATTCCAAAGAAGCAGTGCATTGCTTCTATATACTAGTTAAGACTGGCATAACACTTTTTTTTGTGAATGTTCGCCAAGGGTGATTAATTTTTTTTTCTTTTTTTTTTTTTTTGATGTGCCTCAATTGGGAAAGTGACAAAACCATGGGTTCCATCTTTCCCCATTTTACGTATACCTTGTTATTGCCCAAAGCCATTAGATATGTTATTTAGATGGTAAAATAGAAATATTAAGTGACCGAAAATTATATGGAGTGTAAAAGAATTAAATTTTATCAACGGTAACTAAAAAAAACAAAAAATGGGAAAAATTCCAAAAATATAGTAAAATCTAAAGTAACTCAACAATTAAACAGATAAAAAAGAAAAAGGTTGTAGAAAAAAAAAAATGATACTATCACAATGCCCAATAATCTAACCCATTTCAGAAATTCTAAGCATAACAGTAATTCTCGTGCGCTTGTCCTAGAAGAGAGAATCAAAACCAAACTGTCTTTCAGCAGTAACCTCATGTTCATGGAACATATGATCAATAATCGTCATCTTCTTGTTAACAGATCCTATCTTATTTTCCGGCTCATCTTCGATCTCTGTTGTAACAGCGTCAGTAGTAGGTTCTTCCTCTTCCAAGTTTAATGCGGAAAAGTTCGTTACGGGGTCGAACTTCGCAATTTTGTAGTCACCAGTTTTCACCCTGTCACTATTTATCATCCTATCACTATCATTGATCAATGCTGAAACATCCTTGTCATTTCCATAATGACTGTAGAAATTTCTCCACCATAATTTCGTCAATTCGTCATATTCACTAGAACCTTCCTCAACATCTGAAGCTGCCACTTTTCTATACCAAGGTTTTGACGATCCAATGAAATGAAGAGCTTTAATGTCTTTGAAAAATCTTTTATATGCAGGATTGTATTGATATTGTCCCGATGGTGTTACGTTATATAAGAATGGTAACCGTTTCCATGACCTAGACCCATGGGTATTGAATCTCCCAAAAGATTGGAAAAATTCATTGAGGAGCCCTTGGTCTGCCCCATCAAAAGATGCGTTCGTTGCTTCATCACTGACAATGGTGTTAAGGGCAGCATAATTTTCAGGAGAAGGTGCCACCATGAAAACCCCGGTGTTGAAGATATCTGGCCATCCGGAATCTGGAGAAGCCATGATCTCACCATCACTAATATTTTGCTCGAACAAATGATCCAAGTTAGCACAGACCAAGACATCACTATCAAGATAGACGACTTTTGAGTAAGGGAGGGAAAATACTTTGAGTTTTGTCAAAGTTTTAAGGAGTTCTGGTCGTTTGAGAAGGCAATTTAAGTTGTGTAAATCCGCAGGGGAGGAAGGGGAAACCGTTTCCACTTCGATAATTTCATCGTACACTGATGTAAGCAAGCGGAGTTGATGGGATGAGAATAAATGGCTATCATATTTGGGCACCAATACAACAAGTTTCCCCGCAACACTGTGAGTATCTCTAATCGAGTTGGCGAGAGTAAGTGCCCCTGGGAGATAAGAAGCAGAATAAAGAAGTGTAACGTATGCGTTGGTCATATTCCCACTATGAAGATTCTTCAATGAAAATCGAGGTGTAGGAAGGGAGCGTTGTACTAATATTTGTAATAATGTTCCTATCAAGCCTTCTTTTAAAACTAACCGAAGGATCGGAGATCAGACAGAACAGATCTGGTTTCAGAAAAAGATAAGGGCAGAGATATAGCTATGGATATGCCTCATCACGCACTCTTCTCGTGGTTATTGCATAACCCGGCATGGCCACCCAATCACGTGGTCAGCATCCTTTGCAAGAAAAAAAAAAATTTCTGGGTAAACAGTGAAGAAACTCCAACGAATCGATATTATACATATACTATTTGTTGTTGTAAACGATCAGTACAGAATGGTACGTGGGTTATTATTTTTTATAAGAATTTTTTTGTTTTATATCATTCTTTCTTTCATTCTTTTTTTTGTTTTTTTGAGAACAATTGTACTAACGAAAGCTGTCCATAGTCCGTGAATATTTTTGGTGATCAAGTAACTGAAGAAAGAGCTGAAAATGCCCGTCTTTCAGCGTTCATTGGGGCCATCGCCGTCGGTGATCTTGTCAAGACCACTCTTGGACCAAAAGGGATGGACAAATTATTACAATCAGCATCATCAGATAGCTCATTGATTACCAACGATGGGGCCACAATCTTAAAATCGATTCCTCTTGATAATCCAGCTGCAAAAGTGCTTGTGAACTTGTCCAAAGTCCAAGACGATAATATTGGGGACGGTACCACTTCTGTCACCGTTTTGGCGAGTGAGTTATTGAGAGAAGCCGAAAAATTAATCAACCAAAAGATCCACCCTCAGACAATCATTGAAGGTTACAGAATTGCTTCCAAAGTGGCGATTGATGCGTTAGAAAATACTGCGATCGATAATGGTACCGACGCCACAAAATTCCGTGAAGATTTGATTAATATTGCCAAGACCACTTTATCGTCCAAGATTTTAAGTCAAGATAAGGCGCAATTCGCCGAGCTTGCCGTGAACGCTATCTTGAGATTGAAGAACAATGTTAATTTGGAACATATCCAAATTCTTAAGATTGTTGGTGGGAAATTGGCCGATTCTTATTTGGATGAAGGGTTCATTCTCAACAAGAAATTCGGGATCAACCAACCTAAGAAACTCGAAAATTGTAACATTTTGATCGCCAATACATCAATGGATACCGATAAAGTCAAGATTTTCGGGGCGAAATTCAAGGTTAATTCGACCGCTAAATTAGCAGAACTTGAAAAATCCGAAAAGGAAAAAATGAAGGCTAAAGTTGAAAAGATCAAGAAGTTTGGCAAAGTAAACTGTTTTGTTAATAGACAATTGATCTACGATTATCCTGAAGAACTTTTATCCGATGCTGGTGTCAGTACAATCGAGCACGCTGATTTCGACGGGGTTGAAAGATTGGCCCTTGTCACCGGTGGTGAAGTGGTTTCTACATTCGATCACCCAGAAAAAGTCAAGTTAGGATACTGTGACTCCATTGAAGAAATCATGATTGGTGAAGATCTTTTCACCAAGTTTTCTGGGGTTAAGGCCGGTGAAGCTTGTACCGTGGTGTTGCGTGGTGCCACCGAACAAGTCCTCGATGAAGCAGAAAGATCTCTCCATGATGCTCTCAGTGTACTTTCTCAAACAGTCAAGTTCACCAAGACCGTTCTCGGTGGTGGGTGTGCTGAAATGATCATGTCTAAAGCGGTCGATCAAGTTGCTTCCAACATTGATGGTAAGAAATCCCTTGCCGTGGAATCTTTTGCTAAAGCTTTGCGTGAACTTCCAATCATCTTGGCCGACAATGCTGGGTTCGACAGTAGTGAACTTATCACTAAATTGAGAACCGCCATTTACGGGGGTTTGCTCACTAGTGGATTGGATTTGAATAATGGTAAGATTGCCGACATGAGAGAGTTAGGAATTGTTGAAAGTTATAAATTGAAATACCATGTGGTTAACAGTGCCACAGAAGCTGCTGAGGTTTTACTTAGAGTGGATAATATCATCAAGGCTAAACCAAGAACTGCTGATAGAGCTCATGGGCCAATGTGATTGATTGTTATTTGCTTTTATGTTTCAGTATGTTTTAATATATTTTTATATAATGTTGATATTTATAAATTGTAAGTTGATCTGACCAGCATATATATCAGGTAATACAAAAACGACATAATTCAATGGGTTCAGAAATTATATTTGAAATAAATATTCCAAAAACAACCCTTCATATTACTACTTTTTTCCGCTTACTAACTATGCAAATTATTATCATTATTATTATTATTATTACATTAACTATTGATATATCCTATATACTCTAATTTCCGGGGAATTCTTATTGAAAAACACCAAAGCGTCGTCTTTATTTCTCTCACCAGGATGCGCTTCACTCTGCCATATTTCCCATCGGAGTCCTCGTTGATCAAGCTCATTTTCAAACTCTTTTACCGTGGCTTCATTTCTCACGGTTGCCGCCACTAACCCTATGGCCCCTTTATTGATTGCCACCGCTAAGGTTGTTGCCAAATCACTCAAAAATGCCGAATCATAAGTGACATCGGCGGCCACCACTAAATCACACTCCGGTACCGCTGATTCCGTGGTTTCCCCCCACCATAACTCCATCATTTGCACTCGATCATCATTGGTATCGACCCCATTATTTTGGAAATTATCCCGAGTTTGTTCAAACACCTTGCTATCACCATCGGTCATGTAAACTTTTGCCAATTGATCTTTAAAATTTTTCAAAAGGGTAAGGCTCAACACTCCGGTGCCCGCTCCCAATTCTAATACTTTGATTTGATTTTTCTGCTCACCATCAAGAAACTCAGGGAATCGATACACTAAACATTCCGAAAGATACAAACACGCCGCCCAGGTACGTCTTCCAGTGGTGCCTGCACCGTTCAATAGCCTTGGAGTCTCGGCCACCGTCAACCCCGGAGACGTCAAAGTCAAAGAATACTGGATTGGTTCTGGTTCATCTGCCGATAATGGTATCGCTGAAAGAAGCGGCACATAAAGGTTGTAATATTCACCAATATCGAAGTCTAGTTCCGTGGGATCGAGGTGTTGTTCAATGGAATCGATCACTTTCTTGAGAACCATCCGCGCATAGTACGGATTATGAGGAATTATGTCATTGAGAGTTTCGATGAGTTGAGTTTGAGATTCTGGTTCCACTAAGGCTGTTAGGAGAGGTAGCAGTAGAGGTATGTCATTGACAAGGACTCTTTGAAGGATCTTTCTCTTGAAAACCTCCATTATTGTGTGAATATAGAACGGGAGGCTCCTTGTAAAATATGATAATCCACTGAGATGGGAAGAAAAGAAAATATTCCATGGATGGTGGGAAAACGGGCTGCATAACCTCATTTTATTTTTCTTCTACTATAGCTATAGTAGTAGCAGTATATTTAACACAACATAATATACTCATAATCAATCAATTCGTCAACAATGAGCTGGGATTTTACAAACAAAAACTTTCATAAACAAAAACAAAAATAGATTAAGTAGAGAAGTTGAGATCAGAAAAAGTTCAAAAAAAAAAAAAAAAAAAAGGGAAAAGATATAAATTAAAGGAATAAAAACAAAAAAACAAAGAACATAGTAATTACGATAAGGATTGTCATACTAAACAAGTAGTGAGAGCAGAGCAACAAATAAACAAAAAAAAAAAAAATACTTGATAAAAAAAAAGAAAAAGAGAATGTAGATAATGAAAGTATCGGATCGGAGTTAAATGAGATATTAGTTGGCTATGGACATTTCTATTGGAACATAAGTGTTTGGACATGATGACGGAGCATTTTGAGAATAGACTTTTTTTTTTGTTTGTTGTTCTTTTTTTTTCAGTTTCAGTTTTATGGGAATATGAAATTATTGGTAACATAAATTGCATAAATCATTCTTGACCAAAACCCATAGTTTCTTCAACCGCCAAGGTGAGCTTTTGTGCCAAGCTCTCCTTATCGGCATACGGAGGCAAATCCACTCTATTGAAACAAGTATGAGATTTAGGCAATTGTTTTGGCTCCCCAGCCTTTTCAATAGTGAACCTTCTTGGCCCATCTGAACCTTGTAAATCTTTAAACCCGTTAACTGGAATACGAGAGGTACCTGTAGTGAATTGCAAAAGTCTAGCACGAGTTTCATTACTCCAATCACTAACAATTTCCCAGAACCATTGAATGACTTGATCACTTTCTTGATATCCTCTATAATCAGTATGTTTCTTCCAATCCTCAACGTCAATCTCCGCAAGACCACCAATCAACAATTCAAGCTCACGTTCATCAAACACATTGACAAGATCGTTTGGAATAAGTTCATTAAACCCAGACATAAATGCCTTGAATTGTTCTTCAACACGTTTATAGATCTTATACTCTGTAACGAGTTCGGCAAATTCTTTCTTGTTGTCATTAGTGACATCAATGTTACGACCGTTTGGTTTGAGATCGACAGTTTCCGTAACCCCGAATTTTTCAACTTCCAACGAAAATGTTTCGAAAATCATATCCTCTATATCATTATCTAACATCCAAACAAGAGAATTGTAATATTCTGGATCAATACTTTCCAAATCTTGGAGAACAATTTTCTTGTTAAGCATGACCTTATAGAAGGCCCCGACAAAGAAGGTATCCAAGAATCTTCTGTGGAAAACACCAAGACCAACAACTCTCCCAATAAACTTGAAGTACAGCAAGTGCTCGTTATTAATACCGGAGTTTGGATTGATTTGTAAAGTATAATTATCATGAGCCGCGTATTCGAACAAACAGTATTGCGGGTTGAACATTTGATGAGATAATTCAAAGAAGAATTCACGGGAAACCCCACCATAATCCAAACCTTCTTCGCCATCGAAGCGGATCATAAGACGCTTTTTAAGCTCTTCTGGAGTTTGACGCATGATTTCTTGATAAGCGTCATCAAAGATATGATCTCTTCTAACCTTGATATGGCACTGGCCTGGTTGAACACGCAACCCTGGTTGGGATCTGAAATAAATGACTTTTCTTCTGAAATCCCGCTTATATTGTGGAACGTTCTGATCTAGGGATGATGGTAATCTTGGGTCATCCCATGTAGTAGTCTTAGTGTTATGATCAACGAAATAAACACGGGCGGTATTGGTCAATCTCATTTCCCAACCACTTGGTAATGGACCCAATTGTGATACTGGTTGTTGTTGAATTGTCGCGGTTGGTCCATATGTTCTGATATATTGTTGTCTTCTTGGGTCGACCCACGTCGTAGTTCTGGTGTTGTGGTCGACAAAATAAGGTCTACCTTCTGGAGTATGACGACGTTCCCAACCTGGAGGTAAATCCCCAAGCCCTGGGGTTGTCGTGCTGTCCAAAGACATTGACAAGGCGGCGCTCCCGTTAGATGCCGGAGTCAGGCCAACAGTATTAACTTGGACATTAGAAGAGTTAGATTCTTCATCCCCTGGCAAGGTTCTACTTTCATGTTGACGACGTTCTGCTTCAAGTTGGGTAGCGCGTTCTTGGGCACGTTCGGTTTCACTTTGATTTAGAGAAGGTCTGCGCCAGGTTGTGGTTCTGGTATTATGGTCGACGTAGTAGGTACGGCCAAAACTATCAGCTTTACGTTCCCAACCGGCAGGCAAACGGCCATATTGGTCTTCAAATGACGAGTACTGTCTGTTAGTATCGGCGGCAGTACCATTTGGATTCGGGGCAGCACCATTCGCATCAGTATTGACACCATCGGGTCTATTACCGGTAGGGATACTCAGTTGGGCGGCGGTGGTAGGGGTAGCTAATGATGGAGGATTCGTGGTGGTGGTATTACCGGCTGTTTGGTTGGTAGCAAGGGGGGAATTGGCAACCACCAAGATCAAGCGGCCACTAACTGACAACATATCGTTGGATTTTTGCAAGTTTCTAGTGATGGTGTCCTGGAAGTTTTCAATACTCAAATCCATGACGTCGGAAATCCGGATATTCACCACTCCCAAGAAACCTTGGTCCTTCTTTTTGAACTTCTTTTGATCAAAGACTTGGATCAGTAAGAGCGAATCTTCATTGACAAAAAATTCCAATGTCTGGTTCCAATATGGGTTCAACGTACGCTTACAAATCTTTGTTGATGTTGTTTGGCCGCCGTCGACGGTAAGAACAGCAAATGGGTCAGGAGAACGGAAGACATCTCGCTTATAAAGTGACTCCGCGGCCACTAATTTGACAGTTATTCTAGAATAGATAATTTGGTTAGCTGGTATGATCTAACATAACAAATATTCAAATGGGGTTTAATATCCTAATAATGAAAAAAAAAGAGCGGAAACAGCCAACAAAAAGCGGTGTTTTCGCAGTGTCATAAAATACCGCGATGGCAAAACTTAGCTACGTACCTAGTGCTGCCTAATGGCATGGTGGAGGGATATCTTGGTTGTGCGAGGAGGGCGCAATTGGCGAGGGTTTTGAGGAAGGTCTATAGGTAAGGGACGGTTATATGTTGTATATGGACTCCGCCGGGGCTGGGATGGATGTTTGGTAGGGTCTATATATGGGTGTCGTAAAGGTGGCACTGGGTGAAAGATTTGTTGGTGTGCCAAACAAAACCATTTTTTTTTACTCTGTGAATTATTTATTGTGATGGCTCCAACCCACCGCACGACATCAGTCAGGAAAATCCCACCGCCCACCGGGCCGGTTTTCTCTCGGCACGGGATGTCAAAATTGCTCAGCTAATAGATTACCGTTAGTATGAGTATTACATTATATTATACTATATATCTACATTATCATTAATATTATATTATATTGTATTATATTATATTATATTATATTATATTATATTATATTACATATTTCATAGTATATCTTTATTCCTTGGCTAATGTCCTGGTCATCAGCACAACCACAATATATTATAAAACACGTTACACTAGTATTTACATCCGCTTCAACTCCTTAAGTGCCTCCTGGTACAACAATAACATGATACTGCTCTGAATACTGGTCCATACAAACCGCGGCTGTACTCCACTAAACAACCCAACCACCCCTTCCGTACGATACACAATGTAGAGTCCCTTCATCACCGACGAAGTATTGAGAATCGCCGGGCGTGCCGTGGTGGGAATCGTATACTGACGGATCGCCTGTGTCGTCTTTATATTGTTAGTCGCCAGTTTGCTGGTGAAAATTGACGCTCCTTTGAAATCGATACTTGGGGTTCCTGCTGCCGCCCTAGCACTCGCCGGGTTTTGTGTTTGCAATCTGGTTTTGAAAACGTCTAACGGGGTGGTGATAACTCCGGCAATACCCCCGGCAGCAGCCCCAGTAAGGATCTCTGACACCAAACTAAGTTCATTCTTGTGTCGTCCTTCCAAATCGAACGCCACTTGCCGGAACTTTTCGTAAAATGCAAACTGAAGCGCACTAAATGGCAAATCACGACAGAGCGTAGCTTTATACCCATAGAAGAAAGTCCTGAACCCTTCATTTTTCCCAATTACCCCCATGGCATCCACTAGTCCTTTATAATTATACCCACTCTTGAAAAATGGATTATCGTGACGCCCTTGCAATTGTAATCTGGTCTTGAGAACTTCTGAAGGCACGTATATGAAACTCGTGGCAAGATCCCCCATGAACCCCGCCACCAAATGGGTGGCGGTTTCATCGATCTGCCATTCATTGATCATTTTCCGCTTAAGGTACTCGTAGGTCCCAAAGAAAATCATTCCGCTGGGTACTGATCCAAGCATCGCTGCCCCGTACCCACCGTACAACCCACGACAGAGCCCTTCTTCCACAAAAATGGTACGGTACGCCGCAATGGTGTTCTTATATTTAAGAATATTTGGTGCTGCCTGTTGTCGTGTCTTGACCGTATCAAGAGAATGCATCGAACTATCACCGATGGCACCACCCACAAGACCAGCAATCATGCAGTGCCATATTGGAGGATCAAATTCATTGCCCCTTTCTGGGGTGTTGTTATTGTTATTGTTGTTGTTGTTGTTGTTTATTGAAGAGTTGTTGATATTGTTGTTGTTGAGAGTGACTTGCAAGTCATGGTTAAGCTCGACATTGGGACAGTCGTTGTAAATTATATTATTATTGGTTCGTAGAAATCCTGATAAAACATTTATAAGGCCATCCATATTGTGTCAATTATATGAAAGATTTATAAATATTGGATATCTATCTGATAGTCTTTGTTTCTTTTTTGTTATGTCAAATGCTATATTGGATGGCAAGCCATATATGCTTTTCTATTTGATAAGATGTCTGTGGATTTTTTGAGAATAACGAGCAGCAATCGAATGTATAATCACCCTTATTGACGTATAATATAGATTATTGGTTGAATATCGGCTAGCAAAATATCAAACGGAAAAAAAAAAAATGGAAAAAGTATTTTGAAATCCCTCAATGATGATTACTTTTTGATCTATAATTATATCCGAAACGTCACAGAAAACAAAATACCCAGAAAGAAACGAAAAAGGAAGAATAGCAAGACGAAGAAACGGAAAAAAAAAAAGGGTTGCGAAAGAACTGAATAATGCAAACACAAAAGGCACTCAGCTGAAGTTAATATACCCTTTTCCTGATAATATATCTCGGTGGTGGTGGTGACCACTAAACAATCCTCAACCGAATTATTCATCCACTGCGGAAATTTTTTTTGTTGTGGATGGATGGCTCATGGTCCCGTGACTATACACGCGTGTTTGATTGGCCAACCTGTATTAACCGTTGGCATATACTCGCTTATGTTATCGATGATTGGAAAACCAACGGCAATAACAAATAAATAAACAAATAAATGCCATTTTCCCCTAGTGCCACTGCCACCTTCCAGTTTTCTCGTCCTCCGCTCCACCGCTCACTTTCTACAAACTCATCGCAAAGCTCGAATTCCGAAGACCCTTCCTCGACCTTGCCAGAAGATGACATCCACCCAATCGAGCTTGTGGTCCAAAGTATCGTGGGGGATTCTTTAGACGCATTATCAAGCCAATTAGAATCATTGCAAGAAAGCCAGATCATTTTGGTGGGGAGACTCCGGATGTTGGAGCGGAAACTTGCAGAGTTTGAAAGCAATATTAGCGTTGTCGACACCAAACGGATGGTCGAGCGGATCAAGGCGTTGAAGGCCAAACTTACTGGGATCATTGCTACTTTGAAAATCGTCGAGAAAAGAGTGAAAAGCTCTCTAGAACGTTTGGAATGAATAGAGATTTATTATATACCGCACATGCAGGATGAAAATAATTTGAATGAATATTCTGGAACATCCAATAAAAAAAATTGAATTTACTGGATGGATTAGTTGAAATTCTAACACACAAGTCAGTGATCATGCAAAACTTCCACAATGTATTTAAGGACTACTTTTCTGATATTTAAATTGGTTACAAATCAGTAATTAGAGGTCGTTGTATTGGTGAGAATAGCATGAATGAAGAGCCATCATATTGGATAGTACATATAAAAATGCTTTGTGCTTAGCTGTTAGTTCATAGTATTCGACATCTTTTGATGCTCAGCTGGACTATTGAATCTTGATAATCTTTGACTTTCTGGTGGCTGGTTATTAACAATAGTTGGCTCATACGAATGGTTTAGTCGTGATAATTGGGGATTTTTCAATGGTTAAGGCGAATATTTGGGAAACTCTCAGATCTGTCAGTATCAGTTATGGTATTATTTTATTGGATCTTGTAATATCGTTCCACAGTTCACTATGTTAAAAATCGTTTAGGAATAAGCATTAATTTGCACCAAGTTGGAAAGAGCGAGGAAAAGTTGAATTGTAGAGAACTGTGTGGTTGCTCAATTAGTATTGTCGATTTGTTCAATGAAACAACTTCAAAGAGAGAGAGAGAGAGAGAGAAATCTCAACAATTTCAATTCCCATTCTTCAAACAGTAGAAAGTTTTTAAAATGAAAACAATTGTGTATAATTTCATCATTTAATGAAAAAACCCCATCATATATAATATATATTTCTACATTATGTGGAATATTCCAATTACTTTAAAATCCAATAATACATTTTTAGTAAAAAGAATGCCATCATTGACATTTTTTGTCCCAGACCAAATATGACAAAAGTTTTAATATACACTAGAAACTGAAGAATCTAAGCAAACGGAATGGGTACCCATGACTCTTCTTGGCAAAGATATCGAACAACAAGCTGTACCCGAGCAATAAAAGGAAAACCATGACAAAAGTGGCGATGGCGTTGACTTTTGGATGCTCAATCTTTGGCACTAACGTCACCAATGCCACGGTAAGGAACGCCAACACCCCATACACGGTGCTCATGATATTGGTCTCGATACCGAATTGGTTTTGTTGGCCTTGCATAAAGTATTCAGGCATCCCATTATTGTGGGTACCAATGTACGGAGTGCCCCTGATTTGGTTGAACATGTACCCAGAAATGAACATGAGAATTGATAAGATGATCACGAACCCCCAGAGTTGTTTTGATAACACAATTGTCGACACTTGGGTTCTGAACTTGTAAACCCCGCCAAAGAAGAGGGCGGACACAACAAGAGAAAAGATCAAATTGTCATAACGCACTGGTTTGACAACGTGGATTTGTTTCCCGGTGTGTTCTTGGATGTAGCTGGTCAAATGTTGAGAATGGTCTCCTTCGAGGAATGGCAAGTCAACGAAACCGGTATCAAGCGGAGTTGCTTCGCCAGTCGGGGTGAACAAGAATAAACGAGGCACCGAGTTAAGCTTGAACCGTTCAAACACTTTACGGGAAGAATCACTGAAGTCGGCTTTGGCAAAATAAAGCCCGTCATTGGCTGGATGTTGCTTGACCCAACTATCGGCGACCGCAGAGTAGTCAGGGTCGAATTTTGAACAAAGAACACATCCTACCAGGGGAGAAGAAGCAGTGAGTAACACCACCATGTTAAAATCACGAGGCCCATTAAGAAGGGATTCGTAATTGGAGTTCTTAAGGGTGATGATGGACTTTTTCTGCTTGGCACGAAGTTGCGTTACCTCTTTGGCGGTGATGGCCAGCGTTGTGGTTGCAAATAAGCAGGACACAACAAGAGTGAAGAACACGGAAAGTTTCATTGTATGTGTGGACTTCTCAATGGGCAAGGAGAAGGTGTGGTTGTTTTATCTATATATATATTGATACAAGCGCAATTGGGAATTTTCAAACACGTCGAACATTATTGTCACCTGGGGCGGTGTAAGAAAATAAAAAAAAAAAAAAAAAGGATACAGGAGATACCAGCGCTGCGGGTGCTCTTCCCAGTAGCAAATTGAATTTTTGACATCAAAATGATTATTGAGGATTCTGCTATTTTTATCGATGAGGGTCAACCATATCAACTAGAATAAGATAAAAATATAAACAAATACTCTCAGACAAAAACCGCAGCCAAGACTCCTCATACCCGTGTGCCACCCGCAAATAAACCAAAAAAAAATAAAAAAACTACAAAAAAACAAATAAAATTGACTTGGCCAGACTACTATTATCATCATATATATTTAAGGAAAGAATCGCCACCCTAGGAGAGATATATCTTACAGTTATTAGTATTATTACAATTATAATTCAATTACCTTCAAACAATGTTCTCGTCACTTAAATACTCGATGTTCGAGTACGATTTCGTGGCCGCAGCCCCAGCCATCGAGCCAGGCAATACCAACCCTTCACCACGTCAAATCTACCAAAACCGAAAGAATTTCGGGGTGAATCTTGGATCAGTGTTTGTGCTTGAGAAATTCATCCACGATCGATTCTTCATCAACGACACCGGAGCGGAACTTGAAGCAATCACCGCACAAATCCACGGTTGTGGAGAATCCAACACCAAAAACGCCCTAGAAACTCATTGGACCACGTTCATCAGCGATGATGATTGGCAATGGCTTCACTCCGTTGGGGTAACCTCGGTTCGGGTGCCAATTGGGTATTGGGACGTCAATGGTGGGGCATTCACCGAAGGAACCCCTTTTGCTTCGGTGGCCGCGGTTTACAAGAACGCTTGGAACATTTATAAATCCCATTTTGTGGAAAAAGCCGGCCAACACAACATTTCGGTGCTTGTGGATTTACACGCGGTGCCTGGGGGAGCTAATACTGGGGACCATTCGGGTCAAAAACTCGATTCCCCAGGGTTTTGGAACTCGTCAAAATATCAAGCGGTGGCCCTCGATTGTCTCAAATTCATTGTCGAAGACTTGCGGAAATATGATAACATTGCGGGGATCCAGGTGGTGAATGAGGCGACGTACGATAATCCTGCTCCATCGCAAAGCAAGTACTACAAAGCGGCGCTTCACAAGATCAGAAAACGTGACGCCAGTATCCCAGTAGTGATTTCCGATGGATGGAGTCCTGGTCAATGGGCAGAATGGGTTTGTCAAGGTGAGCAACAAGCTGGGGGAGATTTAGGGGTGGTGGTTGATTGTCATGTTTATCGATGCTTTGACGATAGTGATAAACTGAAAACCCCTGATGCGATTATCCATGATCTTGACAACACCGTATTGCAAGGCGTCGATTGGAAAGCCGACACCATTGTTGGGGAATATAGTGGGGTGCTTGATGGGCAAACCTGGGACAAGTTTTGTGGTGATCGTGGAGGTAAAGTTCAAGAATATCTCGAACATCAAGTTCGTTTATTCAATACCCGTGCCGCGGGGTCATATTTCTGGACTTTGAAGTTCGAACATGGTGATGGTGGTGAATGGGGGTTCGTACCAATGGTCAACAGTGGAGCAATTCCTCGGAGACCCACTGCAGTAAAAGATTTCCCTAGTGCTGAATTGCGCGATCAAATCTTGAATGCAAAATTACAAGAGCATTCTAATTATTGGAACGGCGCCAACCCAAATGAATCATATGAACATCATCGGTTTGAAGATGGGTTCATGATGGGGTGGAATGACACTGCGGAATTTGCGAAATTCGATGGTTCTACCATTGGCAGACGCCATGCTTGGAAAAATGCTAGACGGGCAGAACATGCTAGGGCTAAAGGAAATTCGGGGTTCCTTTGGGAGTGGGATCAAGGTTTTGATGCCGGTGCCCAAGCTTTTGAGGAACAAGCAGGCATTATTCAGTAGGATTTTTTTTTTTTTTCTAACGTGGTGATGGAGTAGAGTTTCGGTTGAAGCCCATTATTGCATGTTCTTCTATATGAATTCAAATTTGCCCAAATAATGCTTTTGTTTGTTTGTTTGTTTGTTTGTTTTCAAGATATACTACCAAAACTTATCAACAAGATATAATAAAATAGTTTTTAAATTGGTTATTTGATATAAAATAAAAGAAGCCGTAATGATGATACAATTAAATAAAGAAGGAGAAGAAGAAGATTAAAGAAGAAAAAAAAAAAAAAAAAAAAAAGAAAAGAAATTACATAGAACTAAAAATACAACCATTATTATGTACTGATTTTCAACCCATATGATGATGGTGATGGTTTGCCCCACCAAGATGAGGGCTAACACTCATATGTTGACCAGCAGAACTCATATTATGGGTGACCCCAGCACTTCCTCCGGCACCTCCCATATGACCAGTAGCAGGAATCACGGCATCAGTAGCGATCTCAGATTTCGGCACTTGGAACCCGTTTCCCGATTCTTTTAATTGCTGGTTGATTTCGGCGTTGATATTCATTTTGATTTTGCGGATATCGTTATAAATATCTTTATCGATGATCTGCAAATCAGGGAACCGTTCCTGTAATCTGCGCTTGAGGAACTGAGGCTTGGTCATCCCTTGCAAATACAAGTCGGTCATGTACTTGATATGTTCATCGGTACGTTTTCTCAAGATCGGATGGTCTTTCAAGTTATTGTAAGCCAAAGGATGGTTATGCTCGGCAGATGGCACCGATAACTTATAAGTATTGGTTTTTTTGTCCATCTTGACGTGGACTTTGAACGGACAATTCAATTTCCGGGATTGTCTATTCCGTTTCTTGATCACTTTCCCTAAACTATCAACGGTCTCTCCCTTTTCATTGACGTTGATCGCGGCTTGCTTAATACTACTCCGACGTTTCACAAGGTTTTCTGCTGGAGTACCCCCACGCTCGCATCGATATAATGCGTAACCCCGATTCTTGCCAGATTTATAAATCACAAGCCCTACTTGGGTCTCGGCCATGTAAGCCTTCAAATACGCCTTTGCACTTTCCATGGTTTTGAAATCTTGTTCCACCGGAGGAGGAATTTCCATAGAGTCTTGGTTCGCCGATGTCATTTGGTTGTTATTGTTATTATTAGGAAGGTGGTGAGGAAGGTGGTGAGGAAGATGATGAGGAATATGGTGAGGGAGTTGGTGTTGGTGTTGTTGTTGTTGTTGTTGCTGGTGCTGGTGCTGGTGTTGGTGAGGATCCATCGCTGATCCCTGGGGGCCAACATTTTCCCGAGCCGACTTAAATGATTCCATCATGGTACTGGCAAGTTGATGGTTACTAAGTGAAGAAAGGGCGATTGCTTGACTGAGAACATTCGAAGAAAATGGCATTTGCAATTGATTTTCGTGGGGTTTATCATTCTCTTCTTTGACGATGGCGTTGGAAATTTCTGGATCAATGTTTTCGGAGCTAGAAAACATGTTGGCCGCCTCAAGAAGCAGGCGATTAACTTGGCTAATCGGGGCATTACCAAGAATATTATCGACAAACGCTTTAAGTTTGAAACACCGGTGCATACCGTTCCTGATGGTATCATCAGAAAGCCCGGAGACTTTAAAAGTGTTGGCGACAAAGAACTTGATGCTTTCGAAATCACTAATGTTCTCGTAATAAAGCAACTTATAAATCAATTTACTCAAATCATCAAATGATTGCAACGCAATACGGAGCTCAATGTCATGGTCTTTTTCGCCGATTTCTGGGGAAATCGCGAATTTCGACTGAACCACCGTCTTGACTTTTTCAGGATCGACAATCCCGCTACTGTGCACCAAATCAAAGATGGTTTCCACCGCCTCGAACGACTTGATTCTTGAAGGGTCGTATCCTGCCACCGGATGCGAATGAAGTGGACATGGAACCGATAATTGATAGCGGTTGGTGTACCGGTCGTGTTTGATCGACACGTTGAACGCGCAATTCTTGTCTTTAGAATCTTCTCCATGCTGTTTACCGCCACTACTCATATGGCATCGGTAATTGACGGTGCCACGAGACCGATTAGACCGATAAATCACCAACTTGGTGTTGGTGTGCGCCATATAGTTCATGATATAAGTTTTCGCTTCATCGATGGTTGCAAAAGATTGTTCTGGTGGGGCTGGAGGTTGGACAATGCTATGGTCAATCGATTCTGGAGGTCCAGGAAGTTCACCATCATCAATGTCGTCTTCATCATCCCCAGCAGCAGCAGCACTAACATCATCATGAGACTGGTGATCGTCATTGTTAGGAACCGCGTTTGTAGCGGCGGCATTATCATCATTAACGACGTCGTCGTTGTTGTTGTTCAGAGTAGAACCGACAGCCACCGCGGCAGCAGCAGCAGCAGCGGCAGCAGCAGCAGCACTATCGACAGCGGCGGCAGCAGCAGCAACAGCCTCGGCAGCAGCAGCAGCACTATCGACGGAAGAAGGGTTGTTGGAGGGATCCATCGTGTTGCGAGAGGTGGTTAGCAATTTTGTGATATTTTGTTGCTAACAGCACAGAAAACACTTTGACAAAAAAACTTTTTTTTTTTTCTCAAGGGAAGACAGAGACAGAGAGACAGAGAAAAAAAACACACACACACAATCTGTTGGTGTGTGTCAGGTGACTGAAATATCCGTGATTAATTTCACTAATAATATGTACGAATTGTCCCGATAGACTGAACAAGATAAGTCGGGATTTCCTTTTTCTTTTCTCTTTTTATGGCCCTGAGAAATGAACCATGGCACAGTCTGGTGTTCTGATCGCTCAATTGCCGCAAGATGTATGGAATGAAATCTTTCAATTCGTGTGTCCCGCCACTATGTGCTGTCTCCGGCTTGTATCGAAAGAGTTCGACCTCGTGGTGAAAACTAGCAGGATATGGCGACAATGGAGTGTGGCCCGGTGGTTTACGATACACGATATCGATAAACGTGCTTTGACTGGTGTTGATGACTTCTTTTATTATTATACTCATAGACGTACCAAAGAACGTCGGTTCTTGTCCGATCTAACCCATTCGATAAACAATCTCAACATTGACGCGACTTTTGATCAGCTATGGAGAATTTTGGAAGATGAGAATATCTACGACATGATTCCTCTCCTATTCAATTTATCTCGGGCTAGTCCCACTGGTTTAGAAGGCTTCCCTCGAAAACATATCATTCTCAATTTACTACGATCGCTTAGAAGCAATGTGGGGTTCCAATTCATTCACCACCACACCTTACAACATGACAATACTATGACAATTCCTCTTGAAGAATGTTTTTTCAAACTTTCGTACTTTGATCCTTGTTTTGATGTGTTGCTTCCTTATAGGAACCTTGTGATCGATGAAGTGTTACGATTATACCACGATATTGTTGATAACGCTACTATGCCGTATTCCCATACCCATTCGGTGGTACTACTAGGAACATTGTTATTCAAAGTCAAGGAGAAAAACTATACTTCCAAATTATCAGCAAACCATCTAAAAGTCATTGTTCAACCGTCGCCTCCTCTGTTGGAAGATAATTTTCTACTACGGGTGTACAGTGGAGAAACCCGGGGCAGTACGATCTTATTGAACAGTATTGTCGCAAGATTAGCCAATAAATTGGGAATCCCTTGCCATGTTTCAAGAACCGTGATTGTTGTCAATGATTCGATGGCGGAAAATGGCCGATCGATGGTGTTTGTTAATAAACGAAACGTTCAAGTGTTCACCAACGCCCAAATCGCCCAACATGTACGACATCATGGAACCCATCGTACCAGAAGAATCAGAGGTATGCGAATGGTAGGAGGAGGAGGAGCGTCGATGGTGGAATCATTGGTCAAAGAATATTTGGCACCATTACTGGTTCAAGATGTTTTAAGCTACGTGTTTGATTTCAAATTCCCGCTGGTCACCGAGCTTCTGAGTCTTGCTAATAGACGAGATGATGTGCGGGTCAGGGAAATGTACGAGACGTTGTTCCCAATTTCTGGGTCCGAAGTCTCGCGCGATCGATTCGAGTATATTTCTGCTTACTATAAGCTCATGGTCGTTGCCAAAGAGACCTCGACCTCGACCTCGACCTCGAGAAATGATCCATTACTGGCTTCTGAAAGTTTAGAACGGGTTCGGGCTCATGAGAAACTCGTTGATGACCTTAAATTTTCATATTTCACCGATTTACCATTCATTAAAAGATACTGGCCATTGGAAATTGACCCCCACCAACAGGAATATTTCCAGCGATTCGCTGAGCAGCTTAAACAAGAGTATTGCGATTTATTCCTAAAGCACTTCAACATCCATCCCGATACCGGCGGTTATCCAAAGTCACGCAGATTCCAGGTCGGCGATGTGGTGTACCATCAACGATGGTCGACGTATGGGATTGTTGTTGGGTGGAAAGCGGTGCCGAACTATAGTGCGGTGCTTGATGGGACTGGGGAGACCACGTATACTGTGTTTTACAATGTTTACAGTAGTGGAGGGGCCAGTTTTGTTGGCAGTATGGGCAATGATGGCGGGGGAATTGGGGGATCGGTGAGCGTTTACGCACAAGCAGGACTTGTGGGTCGACGAGGCAGAGGTAATGAGAATGATTACGATGGGGTGGTTGAAGGAATTGGTGAGTTGTATTTTGTTGGCTCAGGTGATGATGATGATGAAGAAGAAGAAGAAGAAGATGGGTTAGTGGGGCTGATGATTCTCCCAGAGATTGATGGCTCAATCATTAAAGACTTGTGCAGCCATGAGCTGATCGGGCTATTTTTTGAACGATATGATGATACCAGTGGTAGGTTTATTGCCACGAAGCTTCTCAAGAAATTGTACCCTAATTTATAATGCTGATGTAATATATGATTAAATTTAGTCTAATTAGTTGTTGTTGTTTATAAAAATAGTAATTTTTTTCGCGAGTATCGATAGGGGCTGGAAAAAGAAGTATCAAATGATTGGCAGCTTACTACATATATTATCTTTTTTTTGTCTTAGGCAATTAGATATGGTGGAGACAGAGAGACAGAGAAAATATAGAGGTGAAATTTCATGACGTTAATTAGATAAATTAGATTGACATTTCTTTTTAGTTAATTAGCATTGTTAATTAAATTAGATGAAGGCTGTCGGATACACGCGGTCCATAATTATTATAATTCACACTAAAAAAAAAAGCATTAAATAAATAGTTTAAACATTTTGCGGTACGATAGATGAATGGGCTAATGTTGTCCTTCGATAAATGCAGAGAAAGAGGAAGTAGTGTCAGATAGAGACGATGGAAGCAAATTATCAATATGTAACAATAATTTACAGAAGGTTCAATTGGGAATGATGCAAAAAAAAAAAAAAAAAATGGGGCCGATCATTTTTGATCGACTGGCCGCAATTGGTAACAAATTAATGAAAAATGTTTATTATCATTATAATTATTATAATTATGATTATAATTCGGTGTGCAATAAAGAGGAATTTCAACATTCTTGAAAAAGCATTAAAGAGGGAATTTTCAAATTCGATGATGATGGAGTGGCAGTTCATTCCTTAATTACTAAATTAATTAATTAAAATGGGAAAGCCTCGTATATTCATTAGGCATGGTGGTGGAGAGAAAGAAGAGAATCATCTTCTTAATAATAATGGCTAAATGACCATTTGTGGTTGATCATTCATCCAGTATTAAACAATTGTAAATAATAGTGTTTTGCCCTGGGTGGCCCCATGTACCCACCATCAGAGAATGGTGCCGAGGGGGACTGTCCAAGCACCGCACGGCTGGAAACTTTCACGAAGCACACAGCACATCGAAAATATTGTGAAAGGTAGGTGTTGATAATGAAATGACTGTAGAGAAGGTATTTCTTGTAAACGTGAATCTGTCAATAATATTAATTGTATCTTATTATATATAATCTAATTATATCTCATTATATCTCATTATATCTCATTATATCTCAATATATTATTATATAGTGGTCTTCTTTTTCCTTTTTTTTTTTCTTCTTTCAGAATAGAATCTTTTGGTGTGGGGTTTCTTACTTTTAACATTAGACATACCGCCAACCAGGAATCTTGGAAAAATATCTAGGGGTCCAACGGTTACACTATATATATATATATATATTATAGATGCTATTTCATCTTTATTAATTTGTCTTTGTAATAAAATAATCATTTGAAACAGCATATATACACAAATAATAACCATGTACTGGCCACACTCGATTGTCGTTACCATCAGCTGCATGATGGTGTTCACCAACGCTGCTCCCACCATGAGAAATGGCGATACCTATGATCCTCAGCGTATTCTCGAACCACCACCACCACCGTCGTCGTTGTCGAACCAATCCACCTTGTTTGCTAAAAGATCGGCTGAACCATTGGGTGCCCTTTCATATTCGAAGTTTTCCGCCCTCGAAGAAGACGTCCTCAAAGCAGAAAAAGAGGCTGCCGAGGTGAAAAAGGCCAGTGGTAGTGCCAAAACCCACAAATCAAAGTCGTCATCGTCGTCTACTACTTCCAAGATTTCTTCTGAAGTGGGGTCAAGTGCGGGGATTTCCAAAGCGAGCGGTGGTGCCAAGTCTGGCTCTTCTTCTTCTACTTCTTCTTCTTCTTCTGCCGTCAAGAAATACGGTCCGGTGGCGATGGACGTGTCAGAAGTGGCGATTGGCGCCGGGGTGCTCGGGGTTGCTGCTGCTGGGTACGCCGCCGACAGGACAGAAGCCAGTGATGAGCTCAATGATTATGGCAGCAGCACCAACAACAACAACAGCACTGCCACTTAGGAAGACATAACTTAGACTATTAATAGACAGAATAACCCTACCAAATTGTATCATCATGTAATAGAAAATAACTACTGCTTGCTCATCATTCATTAATTGATTGATTGATTGATTCATTCATTCATTCATTCATTTGGTCAATTCCTTTGGGTTAAATTAACAGCCCCCAATTAATTTATTTTTGTGTTTGATTTCCACGAAAACCTTAATGTGGTGGTGATATTTTTTATGGTTTGGGCCATCCCAATCGAGCCAGATACTCGGATCAACTAGGAAACCCCACCAAATAAATTAGTCATACCCAACCACTCTAAAATTAAACTATAATCGGGGATCACAAAGAAAGAAAGAAAGAAAGAAAGAAAAAATATTATTGGGGAATTTGTTTATTTCCCGGGAATTAAGAAATTCCTATTCCACTAATAATAATGATGATGAAATAATTTACACTAACAATCGTTCAAAACAAATGAATTATCCACGTAATAATAATAATTGAAATACTCAGCTCAAAAGACTTTTCCAAACTAAACAAACAAACAAACAAACAAAAAATTAATAAAAAACCACACATCAATAGAATAAATAAAAGCAATAAAAGATATAATATCGATATAAACAGTAAAAAGAGAATGGGAAAATTAATATATAGTATAGTATAATATAAGCTAACATGCAATTCCTCTCCAATAACAAAAAGAAAGAAACCAACCACAACAACAAAGACAATAAATTCTTTTTTTTGTTTTCTTGTTGATAACAAAAACAAAAGCAAAAAATTAAGGATGGCCGTTAATATTAAATGGAAAAAAGAACAATCAAAATTTTAAGCAAAAAAAAAAACCATGTAAAGTAACAAGACAAACAAGAAAAACATAATAAATTTGGTTGTAGGAAACAAAACGAAAAACAGGCACACAGACACACGCAATTATTTTTCAATTCTTGGATTCTTCAGCAACTTCATCATCTTCCGGATGGTGCATTCTCGTCATTCCAGCGGCGACCATGTTTGGAGGAGCCATCAATGGTTGAAGTGATGGAAGATAGCTTTGCATTCCTTGAGGTGGTTGGCCAAGAGGAGCGTTGAATTGTGGTGGAGGATAATAAAACTCCTGACCCCTTTGTTGTTGTTGTTGTTGTTGTTGTTGATGGTGCACCATGTACCCAGGTGGTGGTGGCGGTGGTGGGGCATGAGACATTGGCACGCTCATTGCCACCGCACTCATATGACGTTGAGGAATTGCTAGTTGTTGAGGTGGTGCCGAACTAGGGGAAATTTGGTGATGTTTTGACGAAGACACCGGGGAAGATCTTGATCTCGAAGGAGAAGTGATGGCTTCTTCTCCAGGTCCTCCGGCGGTTGGGGCGGTGGTCGGGGTAGGGGTATAACCTGAGTTAGCTTGGTATCCGGTATTTGGCGCCAGCATGTAATTCGAGGCCTTATTGTAAAGATTACCACTAGAATTATTGAACCCGTAGAAATCATTGACCGATACACTAGTAGGAGTACTGGCAGGAGACGCCAAAGAATACATCGAACCAGAATGACCGTGGCCAAGCCCGGAAGCAGAAGCGCTACCAATACTACCAAGGTTAGAACCAAAGTTTGCGCCGACAAAGTTTGACGATGGTTCAGAAGACGAACTGGTGATTGCTGATGGGAAACTGTAGCTCGATAACGAGTTTTGTGGTTGGTGATGAGTATGGGCGACCGGAGGTGGTGGTGGATACAAAGAGGTATTATTAGCCATTGCAAGTGGAGGACCATGAGCAGCAGGAGGAAGATGAGAAGGAGGAGCAGCAGGAGGACCAGTAGGAGGAGGACCATGAGCATGAGCGCCATTGCCACTACCAAATGACATTGTGTAGTTATTGTTGATCCCGGTATTGTTGAGATGAGGAGTTTCACAATCAATATACTTTGTGATTTCTTGTTCAAGGATTTTCAATGCAACGGTTCTCCCAACAATTTTATGAGGAATCGATTTGCCTCCAACACCAAAATAAGCGTTTCTCACTTGGTGATCGACACTGAAATCTTCGGAAGGGGTCCACATGGCTCTAGCATCACCCATGCTACCAGGAGAGTTTGTATCTGGAAAAGTGAAGTATACTGCGAACCGTGGACAGTTAGAAAGACAAAGGGTGAGCTCGGAGTTTAATGGGGAAGGGTTGGGATTGAAACTTGATGAAGAAGTTGGGGTGGTTGGCGATGACACCGAGGTTTGATAAGACGAAGAAACTTTATCGATACCATTACAAGTAACCGAATGGCAATCGGCAAGCGAGAAGTAGATTCTGAACAAGATTTTTTGACCTTTGTTGTAACTGGTGAAGAAGTAGTTGATTTCTTGGTCTTTTTTCGAGTAAATGATTGCCAAATCCAATGGATCACTCATGAGAGCTTCGACACTGATTGGAGAGAGCGAGAGCAACTGAGGTTGGAAATGGTGGTTGATGGCCAGGTCTTGTTTGATCCGTTGCCATGCACCAATGGTGATGGAGTTTGCGTGGATGAAATCGTAATGATGGTTGATATGGACGGGGATAACTCTTCCAAGATCATGAGGGGCTGTAAGCGAATTGTAAATTCCGCGGGACGACCCGGTGACCACCGATGGATCCATTAAGCCATGACCGCCACGAGCATCACGTTCGCGTTGTTCTTTACGGTTTTTGGCTCTTCTATTTTGGAACCAAATTCTTACCGACCGCTCGGCAAGCCCGACTTTGGCGGCGATTAATTTTCTGGAGTCTGGCGATGGGTTAGGATTGATATCATATTCGGATAACAAGATAGCTAATTTAGATCCGGTGACTCTGGCCCTTTTTGGGCCAGATGTTGGGACGATGGAGTTAGACACGATGCTTGATGAATCTTCTGGAGAAGATGCCCTGTTGGATATTGGTGGGCTTACAATTGATAGCTGGGCTTGCTTAGGTGAGAATATTGTTGAGTTGGTAATGGGATTAGTGCCGGCGACGACGCTAGTAGTGGAAGTAGAACTGGCAGTAGAAGGATGTCCTTGAGCAAGATTATTGATAGAGGCTGCTATTTGATTGTGGTGAGAGTAAGGCACAGGATGGTGGTAAGAGGACATAATCATTGTGGTTGAAGGGGAGAAGGATGAAGGTAAATTAGCAGATCAGGTTGAACAGATCGACGAGGCTGTTTTTTTTTTTTGTTTTTGTTTTTGTTTTTGTTTTCTTGACTATTATTATTGATATAATATAATAGGAGTATGAGAGGAACCAGAAGGACTAGTTATCACTTGGTGGTAAATGATAAAGATGAAGATGATCTGTGTACCGCGGAAGCTTTAATAGATAGGACAATGGTGACTTGGGATATGATTAAGACAGTAATAATAATAATTAATGAATGAATGACTGGTAGGAATATAATAGGAATGAACAATAATAATAAACCAAGGAATATGAAATGAGATCAAAAAACAGTGTACAACACAAACAAGGGAACAAAACGAACGCACCGTCAATTGAAAACAGCCTGAAAACCAAGTGAGTGAGGGAGGGAAATCAAATTATATTATATATTATACTTCCCGTGCTGTATGTGCAATAGGATTAAAGTTATACGAGCACAACAAGAACTACTGACGGAGAGCCAGATATGTATGCACAGTGTTAGGGTTTTGCATACACAAGAAGGTGATGCAGATAATTAACGCAAATGTATGTGGGGGAAGCATCAAGGAGCTATATGGGCCACTACCTACTGAGGTTTTGATTTTTGATTTTTGCTTTTTTTTATTTTTAGTGGAGTATATTTTCCTGCTGCTAATTGCATGCATCGAGATACGCAGTGGTGCGTGGTGCATAGAGACGCATGGGGACGCATAGGGACGCACAGAGTGTTGGGCAGAACCAGAGTAAAGCTAAGCTTTGCAAGCGCCGGAGTCAACAAATAGGGGGTGGGGGGTTTTTTCTTCCTCTTTGACTGCCTTTTGGTGGTGCGACCGGATTGATTGATTGATTGATTGATTGCTGAATATGGAGGACAATTAATGAGAATAATAGCAATTATTGCCTAATTCTTTATTACTATGTTGGCGATGATAACAGTATTTGCTTCTTCTTTTTCTTTTTCTTTTTCTTCTTATCTTTTGAGACCCACCAAGGCTTACAATAGGGAAATAAATGCATTTATTATATCATCCTGGTAAGCAAGTGAAACATCTTCAATAAGATCCGAAATGAAAAAAAAATTACATCGCTTTGTTTTATCTCTGTGTGTCCAGTTTCAATGTTTTTTGACGTTTTCGTATGGATCGACGTCGTATCTTTGCCAATGGAAAAAAAAAAAAAGTGCACACAAATTTAAAAAGTCAGATGCCAGCGGATCTTGATCAACCGAAATCCAAAATGATGGACACCCAAGGCAAGAAAAGGCTTCTTTGTACCACTAGTAGACACCAAAAATAAAATATCACCCTTAAGCGGTAAAGAAGAAGAATAAGCAATTATCATTTGCAGGGTTAATCCTATGTATCTACATGCTGAGTGAAAAAAAGAAAAAAAATAGTTTGGATTATGGAAATATAGCTCATACTCCGAAACAAAGATTGAAAAGCAAAAAAAAAAAAAAAAAAAGAATTACAACAAAACTATTCGCCGTCCATCGCTGTCAAAGTAAAAAAAAAAAAAAAAAAAAAAAAAAATTCCCTTCCCCACCGGGCAATTTGGTTGACCTTTGCCAATCAGCATAATTCTCATAGTGATGGGGCACTTTTGCCCGCGGGGGTTTGTTGTTTCAAATTATGCTGTTGTTGTCTTCTTTTTTTTCGCCATTACCATAGAAGAGTTTTCCTGAAACGATCATCAGTACAGTACACAAATGTGAGTGAAAATAATTGTTGGTGTTTTCTGTATACCTTACCTTACACAAATGTGAGTGAATGAATCACCAACCTTTTTCAATTTTTCTTTTTTTTTTTTTACCTTTTTACCTTTTCACTTTCGATTTCTTAATGTGATTTTTTATATATTTTGTAGAGTTATGGTTTGCACTTTTTGATTTTTTGTTTCATATGTCGTCCCACACATTGCGGGGACTTTCCTTATACATGGTTCTCTTCGAACCACTTCCCTCAAAATTTTATAATATCTGTGAAATATATGCTCACTATTGTTGGAAGTAAGTGTCAGGTAGAACATTGATCTTGCATCGATGAAAAAAAAAAAAAACTAATCGAAAAGATGAGTAAATCCGACGCTTAAGCCTTCCGTCGGAATTGTTATTATTTCATATAGCCTGAATTAATCGGGCATGACCGGCTCCAGCTGGATGGATGGCCCGCCATCAATCAACGTAATAATCATAATAATTATCACTATTATTTATGAGTGTTTTTTTTTAAATGATTATGATTATGATGATGAGGTTGCCGCGCGTTCCATTTCCATCATTAAACCTTCCACTCTAATTATACTTTGAAACAAAAGGAGACCGAAAGTAAACATTTGGGAATAAAGAAAAGTATCCATTTGGGCAAAGTCTCATTTAACAAATTAATTCCCTCTACATTGAAGTGGAGGGGGGCAGACTGGAAACCATTTAGTAGCAATACGATAATGCTAGAAACTTCTAAATATGCGAAAAAAACATTTCCTCGTATTTGATGTATCTCCTCTGTTCTATCCAATCGACAACAAGCAGTAGTATGGTGATATTTATTATCGCTAAAATGGGAAACCTATGAAACCTTGTGCAAAACTTCTTTTGTATTGTTATGTTCAAACACTACAATAATAATGATCTTCAACCTATTGATTGATACACCATGAGTATTCTCTCTGGATAAAAAATTATAATTCCCATTTGTTTGTTTTTTTGTTGCTTGTAGAACTACATGAGTGAAATTTTTCATAGGTTTTGTGGTTTCAATTTATAGAAGCGTATCCCACTGCAGTACAGGATATGGGAATGCATCTTTTGTCGAGGAAATAACAAGTATATATCTTACCCACTCCATACTCCGGATCAATATATATATATATTACATTAGCAGAGATCTGGTGGCTCATTTGAAGGCGCTACTTCCAATGAGGCTCATTTTGTATAGTATGTGTCCACTCTATAGCGCGCTTGCAGATTAGGTTCGGACGATGATGATATTTTTGCGCCTCAAAAACCACCATCCGAAAGATTGTTTGGGATAACAGCCATCATTGTATTGCCCCTGGCAAGATCTAACATATATAACCCACTGGGCATTCTTTGGATATATATATATATATAGATATATATATAGATATAGATATAGATATAGATATAGATATAGATAACCCGCTAAGCGTTATAAGGGTGATGGTTCACAATAGAGACCAATGTCATTTCCTAATTCGGGGTTAAATCCTTCCCCCTTCGTAAAAAGATAATACGAGACACCCGCACACCAATCCCAGGGAAAACAAAAACCCATTCCGTCATCCACCAAGAATTAGGGTTTCTCGCCAACTTTAACCATCGCCGCTACGATCGCACCCAAAGAAAACAAGGGCGATTGAACGAGCGATGAATGATCATCATACGGTAATGTCATAACTACAACCACCAGATTATAATCACCCACAACTATACATTCAAAACAACAGAGTGCAAAAAGGGAGGGAGGAAGAACAAGAAAATATCATTCTCGATAAATCTATCTGCTTGGTACGTATTATATTTTACTTCATTCTATTTTATCTGTGTGGGGCAGAGATACACACCACCACACGTGATGGAGGGTATTTATGTTATACTCCTCTGCCGAAACGGGGTGCAACAACAAGGATCATTGCCTATTAATCATTCCTTTGAAGATCCAATCAACCAACGCCTTAAGCTAGGGTACACACCCAGAAGGAGTGATTGTAATTTAATACACACGGTACCAAGCAATTATTCATGGGGGACTTTGCCAGAACGCAAAAAAAGAAACAACGACGATCTAGTTTCATCCCTTGTAACCAGGGCGATCACCTATTATGTTCAAGAACAATCCACCCTATTATGTTTTAGCAGCATTCTCTGAGATTATGTCACTTTCTAGCGATCGTCTTGTAACTTTCCCTAGACGTGTCCAATTATCCCTTTTTTTTATTTTTTTTTTTTTTTTTTTTATTTCTTCTTACCTCTCTTTCTTTAATTCCTTTTTTTTTTTTTTTTTTTTTTTTTGACACACACCATCTTTTTAGATCGGTTTTGGAATCCTTGTAACACATATAGTCCTTCGGTGGCGACTCATTCCTCCCCGAAAGAACATTTTATTCGCTTGCTTATCATCGATACGAGAGTGAGAGAGTGTGTGTGTGCTTTCCCCCTTTTTTTTTTTTTTTTTTTTCATGTGAGTTATCTTGATCGTGGTCTCCATCGTGGTTATATCTTTGGCTTGACTTGAGATAAGTATTTTTCTCGAAGTGCAAAAAGTCAAGCTCCCTAAAGTATACATCTAACAATCCGTCACCTTTACCACGATTCTTCGGAAAAATTCCTACTGTTCAGCTGCTGGTAATCCCTGGCAAGCCTCTATCTACGAATATGTATCGGCTTTTTTTTTTTCTTTTTGTACTTGTAATCCCAGTCAAACAATGCCTCCTATTTTTTTTTCTTCCTCCTTTGACACCCATTAAATCTATTGTACGAGATCCACATAGATAGATCCGTAGGTTGTTGTAACAACCTGGAAAGAATCGGTTGTTGCTGGATATCGGGATTCTGGAAAATAACTGGCTATTCGTAAAGTATTCCTCAAGATGTAAATTCCCAAAGTCAAAATTTTGCAGTTGACGAAACTTCCCTGTTTAACTTTGGACCCTCCGACTATCAAATCCTAATTATAACCCAAAAAAAAAAAAAAGGGCAATCATGAACAAATAAAACAAGTACCAAACAATCGACAGAAAGAAAACATCCAAAAAAAAACAAAAAAACATTAAACCCCAAAAAGGTTAAAATTGAAATTAAATTGTAATCAAAAAGCCAATCAACCAAATATGGTGGTGGTGGTCTTAACTCTGCAAAGCTGTGCATCTCATCCTACATATATTTTTTTTTTGTCCTCATCCACAAAGAACAATAAAGTCAAGACCTGTATATCTAGACATATACTCTTTCACTATCCGATACCAAGATACGATATTATTCGTAAATTGATGGAAAAAAAAAAGAAGATCCCTTTTTTTTTTACCACCTCTTTCCAGAGGTGTATATTCCTTTAGCTGTGTAATTGGACAGAATATACGCTTGATCCCTGCATGGGATGATAAAGTTTTTTTGTTTTTTTCCTTTCTTTTCTTTTCTTCTTGATAAAACAAAAATCAAAACAGCAGTTGTGAATCGACGGTTTCAAAATTACCAATATTTCATCCTTGAATATAAATATGTAATATGTACTATGTACTATGCAATTTCCTAAGCCTTTATGTAATAATAATAATAATAAATAAAATGATATAATAATAAGAAAATGAAAATAAAACAAAGAAGGTCAAAAAAAAAACGTCAAACAAAGATACTATAATAAATAAATAATAAACAAAAACAAAAACAAAAACAAAAACAACAAAAAAACAAAAAAACAAAGCATAATCATAAAATCAGAGATAAGATGTCGTGACCTTAAATAATCAATTAACAAAGTATCACATCCATCTATCCATCTCTCACTCATCTCCCCCTTCCCCAGCCCCTCTTCTTCTTCTTGGGTTACCAAAATCTGCTTCATCGCTCGGCTCTCTTTGTCTCATTACTTCATCAATGTAAGTATCATCCTCATCCTCAGTTTCATTGACCTCAGCAATCCCTGCCAAATCATGATTATCACTGTCAATTAATCCCATCCTCTTACCAATTTTCGTGAGCGTAGTATCCTGGATACGGCGTCGATGAACCTTGCCACTTGGAAGGACATGTACCCTATATTTTGGATTCATGGTATCGATGGTCCCTTTCATATCAGCATCTACTACCCCATTTCCGAGACGTGGATTGACCAGGGTTAATGATAACGACGGATCTGGAACCCGTAATCCATCGGCGTTCGATCCGCCACCACCAAACAAGTTGCGGACTTTGGCAAAATTCTTATCTTTTGCAAACTCCCAAGATTGCCAAAGGTACCGATACGCCAATTGTTCAAACCGACTCCTTAGTACAAAATTCTTTTCAAACTCTTGGAAATAATCCGTGGCGGTAGGGAACCACCAATTACGCAACACCTGAATCACGATATCCACCAATAATCCTACCACCGTCAAATACGCCAAACCAGCCCACCAGGACCAATCTTTGCCAAATTCCTGGGTGATTCCTGAACTCACCCGATAAATTAACGACGCACTATCATTGTACAATTGAGTGATCAAAAAGTTCCAAGCAAATACCCCACCACACTCGATAATCACCGATAAAAACGCAAAAACGTTACGATTCCGCATATCCAACATTTGACACTTCACGTTCACCAATATCACAAACACGGTGTACGTCATCACTCCATTCGGCATAATAGTATTATCTCTGGCGGCACTGTTGCCCCATAATTTCCAAGACAATAGTGTCACCATCGCACTGGTGGCGGTCGCCAAAAACATATTATACATGAAAATCGGTAAATTAAACGACCGATTCTCCCGGCCTTGACGATACAACCAGGGGTTAGCAATCAAGGTTGCCGGACGTAAATCTTTTTCAAAAATACCAATACACAATACCGGCAACGACGTGAACAAAGTGTTAAACATCGACAATGACCACGGCTCATACAACGAGGTCCCGGTCCATAAAGTGTTTCTTTGGAAAATCGCTTGGGATAAATAAAACATGAATTCTTTGTAGAAAGTGAATAACACAAACTTGGTGGTTCGAATATAATTATAACGACCATGAACGAGCAACAACTTGACAAGGAATCGGAATTGGGCAATAGAGTAATCTGACGATCTAGCAGCTTGTAACCCTTCTTTACCAGTGATCCCAATGCCAATATCGGCGCTTTGAATCATCGCAATATCATTGGCCCCATCACCAATCGCTAAAGTGACTTGTTCTTTATACTTGTTCTTAACCACCCCAACAAGTTTGGCCTTTTGTGATGGCGAGGCACGGCAACAAATCACTGCGTCGGCAACACACCCAAATTCAATAAACATGTTCATCATGGTAATATCGTTTTCCACTTGAGTTAAGGTCATTCCATCGATTACCACCACACAATGGGCAACGTTCTGATCCTTGATTTCGAGGATCGCCGCTTCCATCTTCGCTAATAATCCGGCTTCGTCATCTTCATCACCATTGAGAATCACCACCGTGGAAACATTCTTGATCAAACCACACGAATAACCAATATTGATCGCGGTTTCACGCTTATCGCCCGTCAACATCCACATTTTAATTCCCGCATTATGGAATTTTTCAATAGCGTCGGGAACCCCTTCTTGAAGCTTGTCCTCGATCGCGGTGGCCCCACACAAGTCCAAATCGGCTTCAATTTCTTCACCCACCGTGTCCATTTTCAATTGCCGATCCACAAGCGCGGTTTTCGCTTCATAATATCGCTGGGAAAACTGATCGTAGTCAGAATCACTAAGCCAACGGTACCCGTACAACAAGGTTCTCAAACCATCGGTGGAAAATTCATCAATGTGTTCCAAAGTCTTTTCGGCAATATATTGATCATTCCCAAGTAATTCATCATCAATGAGATAACCACCAAGAGAATTGTGGAATTGCCCATCCCCCATTTTAGGAGAATCGGTGGGAGTGAGACCGTACCGTCTTTGTTGATCCAAATGTAATGATTTTCGAGAATTTTCGGCAATCCGATCGATTTCTGATGACATCCGATTATCCTTCTCCGCCAATATATCGTTGACCAACTCATTGGCAATTTGATCATTATTAGTCCGCTTCATCGTCATCGATTTCCTAATGTTCAGAATGGTGCTTTTCTGGAATAAATCAGCACTATTAGAATTTCTTTCATTGATCACGTATTCTGCCTCTGCCTCTTTTCTAAGCTTGGAGTTCTTGGCAATTTTTTCCGATGCCTCACTGCTGTTGTACGAGGCCTTCAACCGTTGCAAAATCACATTATCTGCCCCTTTACAAATCAAACATTTTCTGCCATCCGGGAATCGAATGATACACGACATTCTTTTCCGAACCGAATTGAATTCAATAATGTCCAAAATCACGTAACTCTCAGACACTGCCGGCTTGTCCAATCCCGATGGGTAGGTCTTAAGAATCAAAGTATTTTGACGCTTGTCGTACACCACAAACCCCATATCGCGGGCCGCGGTGACCAACGCCAATTCATCAGGAGATGAGGATTGATACTCAATATCATCATTATCATCATTACCCGCGAGTCTTTTCGGGAAGCAAGTATGACACAATGCTAAAGATAAAATGAAGAATTTCGCCCGTTGAGCGTATGGCAAATGTGGGTTAGTTTGGATGAAATTGATCAATTCAATTGACGATTTCAAATGGGATTTATTGGTCGTGATCTCGGTGAAATTGGTGGCGGTTAATTTCAACGATGGCGAAGCCGCATTGGAAGAAAATGACTTGACATCAATCACCGCCATTGACGGACGCCCACTATAATGTAACGTCCCGGTACCACGACGAATATCCACCGAGCCTTTTCTATCCAAGGAGTTTCTGAAATCATGCGACCCTTTCCGACTAACATCGTAAGAAGAGCGGCCAAAACTTGGCGAACCGCTAGTATACGGGGTAATATTATTATTATTATTATCAATACCTTCAGGGCGGGCTTCCAATTCTTCCAATATTTGGTCCAAATCATGGATCCACGGAACCCCAGAAATCGAAAATTTCCGGAATACCATCAAATTATCGGTCAAAGTACCGGTTTTATCACTAAAGATATAACTCACTTGCCCCAACTCTTCCAAAATTGTCGCGGTTTTCGCTTCGGCAGGAGTGTTGGTCGGTCCATAATACAAATCCACATCGAATTGTAAAAACAAAAGTTGCGCCACCTTGATTAACTCCATGGTGACGTATAAAGATAACGGAATCAAAGTGTTGTACATGATAATAAATGACATGAATGTCGGCATCGACCCCACGTCTTTTCCCATGAGATACTCGAACCGGTTCTTGGTTCGTTTGTAAATCACCTTTTCCGCGATAAACGAACCAACAGACAACCCCACCACCACGCAAATCATAAACGCAATAATGATATTGATGGTTCTTTGCATATGTGGAGCTTTAGTACGAGGATTCTTGATGGCGTTCATTCTGATCTTTGATTCTTCCCCACTGAAAATCACCAACCCCAAAACACAATTGGTATTTCTGATCACCGACCCACGATATACAATATTATCGTTCGTTAGTGGGTATTTCTTATTATTAAGGATGAAATGCCCTTCAAAAGAATATAAGTTCTGGTTTGGGTCTTCGGTGGTAACTACCCCTTTGACATTAGATAATTTCGCCGCAGAATTACACGCATCGTTCAATTCACTATGCGGGACCTTAGTTTTCAAGTTAGTTTCCCCGTCCAAGTCCATAGTCTCCACAAATACTTCGCTGTTTTCATTATCCGAGGTCAAAATAATGATATCTGAAGGTACTGCTTCATCTTGACCTAGTTTGATTATTGATCCAACTCGAAGATTCTTCCAATTGGTTTTCTTTTCACAGATATCCACATCATTTAAAAGAGCGCTGTTCGCAAACGAATTTACGGAATGCACATGATCATTCTCCAGAGGTGGAGTACTGTCTCTGCTGGCGGTGGCGTTGGTGGGGGACTGAGGATTATTGAAATCTTGATTCAACTCGGTAGTGGAATTGTCACTTCTATCAGATAGTTTACTAACCATACTCATTCTTTTATCAAAATTCTTATCCAAAAGTTGACGCCGCGCTTCCTCGGGGTCTTCAACGAGTACCCTGACTTTTTTATTGTTTTCTTGCTTGTCCTGAGAATGTCTTCTTAAATCATCAATACCTTCTCTGGCAATAGAAATACTAATGAAAATCGACAATGGGATGATCGTGGTACTAGTACCGGTGGTGGACCAATTTGGTACCAATTGCATGATGGCAATGGTCATAAAATAAACGTTGGCAAGTTTGGAAAACTGGGCATATAGTTGCTTTGGTAAAAAATTCAAAATATTGTATCTCGACGACACAACCTGGTTATTAACGTACGGTTGTGAGCTTCGTTCATCGACCAACAAATTCTGTGATCCATCGTAATAATAGGAAATATCTCCCGGGGAAAACTGGTCATGAAAATCGGGATTATCGTCAGAAAATATTTGGAAATCAAATTGTTCCAACCCCAATGGGATTTTTCTTCCATCTCTCGTTGGTCGTAGTTTTGCCAATCCAAAAGTATACTTGATACTTTGAATCATTCGGTTGATACTATACGTCTTTTGGTGGGCTTTAGGATAAGACGCAGTTTTCTTTAAATGAATATTGGTGGATGTCGAGGATAAGTTAACCAGTGAGCCGCTATTTTTATTAGAGTGGTTCCTCGATACCGATCTCTCATGGACATTAGGGCTCGATGAGGTTTTTGTCAGAGTTGACGGTTTGATGCTCGATTGCAATTCGATGTTGTCGATATAGGTTTCTTCATGGTCTTTATTATTGTACGCGGCCTTAAGGTTGTTCTCTAAAGTTCTATTCAATAATTGAGATCTCAATGACATACCACGACTTCTTTTTGGAGACACTATCGGTGGTTTCATCGAAGGCATGGAATTTCTGTTAGGGGCGGTTTCGAAAGTCCCCAGTGGTCTTATCACGGTGGTCGCGGGAGAAGAATGGGAAAATTGTCGACCATTCTCATTAGCTAATGTGGTATCGATGGTTGCAGGAAACTGGGTTGCACCATTCTCTGGGGTCATATCTAATGACGGAGAGTATGGAATATCATTGGTGTTGTCAACGTTTTGCGAATCAGTAATGACGGTGCTCGGCGATCCTGATACATCCACATGATTTATATCTGAAGTCTGACGTTCCTTGTGGTTGATGTGATTGTGATTATTGAACATTATCAATATACCCTTTGGAATTAATCAAGACACACACAAAGAAGAAAAAAAAGAAAACAAGGGGTCCAAAGCAAGGCTTATTCCAGGCTAATTAGATGTATTATAAGAACTAGTGGTAGAGTATTATTTCCCAAACAAGTTTCAAAATTAAAGTGGTGCGGGTCTCGATAAAGGTCTTGCAGATTATAAAAAAATATCCAGTACTGATGATTTGAAGAAAGTACAGCCTTTTATGAACCGCTAGCGATGCCTATTCGTCGTCGTCGATGATGATGATGATAATAGTTGTCTCTATCTTGATCTCAAGTTTTCCACGCTTCACAATTTTGGGGCGGAGACGGCAGTGCTGAAGGCCGGACTGCACGTGTTTTATGGCCGGGAATGCCCAGAGACCCACCTCGGAATCTTCGGGAGCTTCTGGAGAAATCCTCAAAATGGGCACGTGCTAGTGGTCGGAGGGAGGGAGTGCACAAAAAAACGGGCAGCTCCCCCCGTCTAACCAGAGTTTCCTGAGCCTTCCTTATTCGATGGTTTTACAGTAATGGTCCTCTATTACACTGAATGGTGATGATGATGATTTTCCAGTCCCCACAATAATCATAATAATCATAATCGTTATTGAAAATAGCATCAATTTCCCTCGCCCAGATGGTTTTTGGTGGTATCAACTATAACATCCTAACATTCACGTTTTATGACACCCAGACATCGGAAAGTGTGATAACAAAGCAAAAGAGAAGAAAAAAAAGTAAAGGATAAAAGTAGTGGCATACATACAAAGCAACAGTACGTCTATCTCCGCCTTCATTCACACAACAATAATGGTTGACTTAACCAGAATTTCAATATTAGTTTGCTTTCACATAATACCCCAAATATCTGCTTTTCCAGCACGCTTTGATAATGATGATGATGATAATAATAGTGGCACACGAGTGGAGGCAAACACATTAAGATTAGACTTAGGAGATGGCGGGGACCTTATCAGCAATGACCCACCCGAGGATTATGATTCCTCAGCACTATTAATAATCATCGGAATATTCGTGGGGCTTTTTTTCACCATGACGGTGGTATTATTGGCAGTGATATTGAAGAAAGTGCTTCTGAATACTGGTCCGTTGCAATTAAGTAACAATACCCCCGGTTCGTTTGCTGATGAGCAAGAAGAGGAAGAAAACCTTTTGAATTTGCCATACGAAGAACAGCTGTTGTACAGACAGGCCAAACTATTTCTCCATTTCAATCCTCCTGAATTGGCTACCGATTTGACGTTGGCTCAGTATTTGAAAATCGAAGAAAAGGGGATCGGGGCCTGGGATTTCATTCCCGATCCTAGCATGCCGCCAAATATCATAAATGTCGAGAATCGAACGGAATTGGACTTCAGTTTCCAATCAAACACCTTCAAAGTTAATTATCCGTGCTCGATCCAATCTAATTTACCAATCCCTAGAACCCACGAGGTTTATTATTTTGAATCCAAGATCTTTGAGTTGCCACATCCTGAAGAAACCCAATTATCCATCGGGTTATCGACAAAACCGTATCCTTTCTTTAGGTTGCCAGGAAGACACCAATTCTCTATTGCCTACGACCATGATGGTTCCAGACGGTTCAATAATTCTTTTGAAGTTAGCGAGAAGGAAAACAACGTTTTCCCAAAATTGGAAAAAGGAGACGTCGTGGGAATTGGTTATAGAACCAGGACCGGGACGATTTTCTTTACAAGAAACGGGAAAAAATTATCTGAACGCAAGCTTGGCGGGCATATCAAGAAATTGACTTGCTTATTATACCCTACAGTTGGTGCCACCAATGATTGCAAAATCCATATCAATATTGGGCAAATCGGCTACGTTTTCATCGAGGCCAACGTTAAGAAATGGGGGTTTGCGGGAATTGAGGGCACACTACCCCCACCACCGCCTTATGGCCAAGTGCACGATGATGTGTTGATTGAAAGCAGATCCGACGTTGATGAAACCGATATTTTGAGTAGAGATAACGAGGAGTTTTTTTCCTTCAATAGTAGTAATACTCATCATCAACAACAAAAACAACAACAACAACAACAAACCCCGGGAACTAGGGCGGTCAGTGCCAGCTATATTGAAGATCGAAATCTCTGCGATACTAGTGAACGAGGTTCCATTCCAAACTTCCCACCTCCATTCTGGGCAAGCAGTGTCAGTATTGTCGATAATATCACTCTAAATACTTTAGAACAGGAATTGCCGCCGCTTTACACTTCTGATAATGATTTAGAGAGCGAAAACGAATATGATAATTTGTCAGTATATGGGAATATAGTGGACACTTCTGAGGATGTTACTAGGGAGGTGATAATAGATAATAATGATATAGAAAATGAAAATGAAAATGAAAACGGTGCAACCGAGCAGTGATAATATTGGGGCTTGCTTATTTTTTTTTTTTTTGCTTTCTTCATACTGGATCTGGAGAATGTATTACCTTTTTCAATAGCGTTTTTTTTAGAAGAATTGTCAGCCTTGATAGACGTGGCTTCCTAATAGAACTCCTCGGCTGATTATAATACCATCAAATTCGTTCTTTCATACATTTTTTTTTTCCGATTCATTGAAAGGGACACTTTTTCAGCTTTAATCATTTTTTTTGTTATTTTTTTTTTCTCTTATTCATCTTACGTATATAATTATTTTATTTTATTTTGGGCTATATTAAATCTGGTGATATATTTTCTTTGGTTTTGGGCTTTTAGTTTTCCTTTATTTCTTTTGTTAGTTGTCCTATAAATTTTTTTTTTTTGTTCTTCTGCGTTTGAAACTTGTTCATTACACTTTAATAATTATGTAATTACCTTTGCTAATCTGATTTTAGTCACACACATAAAATGTATAATATAACAGTGGTTCCAATTGCCATGAGTCATTCATAGGTGCTTGGACTATCATTCCACTTGTGTGTGTATGTGTGTGTGTGTGTGTCTAGAGAGGATAAATATACTACAAGGAGACAACAACTCAACTTAAAAGTGGGATTTTGAAATACTCTCATTTGTCATGTACATAGAACAAAAAGAAATAAGCTCTTCATCCAGCTTTTAACATTATCCTGAATAACTCATCATTCTCTATAGCCAACCTGCCACTCAAGTCCCAATTCTTTTAAAACCGGTTCGTGCATGTACAATGGAGGAAACCCGATCACTTGTCCGGTTTTAATGTTTTCCAATATCGGAATTGAATACTTGTTTGCCATTTTGCAAACCGCGTCGGTTATATCGACATTCTTCCCTTCCAGCTTCTTGGTGCCCCATTGGTTTTTAATTCTCCCTTTATCTTGCCTTATCTCAAAAGGCCTAATGACATAATTGGGATAGTAACCTGAATCATCACGCTTGTTTTCTTTAAACTTGAAATAAAAACGGTTGTCATAATCAATCCAATGATCTGACCATTCCTCTAATACGGCAAGACACTTATGCTCTCTTTGAATATCATTTCTACTCATTTTCTGTCTGCTAATTTCTATTTCAACTAAAGTGCCCCGATTGTGACGGCAGTTTATATACCCAAATGTTTCATCAAGCTTCTGTTCCTGCGTTAATGATAATCTTTTAGAAGATTTCTTATATTTGAAACTCATATTCAAGAATTCAGATGGAGATATTACTCCTTCTGCTTCGAAGGATAATGCCAGAGACATCAAATCTTCAGAGAGATTTGAGAGTTTTAGGAATTTGTAATGATAATCCGTGGATGGGGAAATCGATTCCAAAAGGTCAAAAAAAAGCCTATTGAGTGCTGGAGAAGTCGAGTGAAAAAGTATATCCAGAGGAATCTTCATGGAAATCGAAGATATCTCCCTATTTTTAGTGATCCAATAATTTTGCTTCAAGAATTCATGGATCATATTTTTTTCATGATGATAATTATCAACAAGACCATTAGATCTCTGAATCCGCCCAAGTATCTGCTGTTCTTTTTCTTTTCGAACCTCCGGTTGCATTTCTTTCAAATCGTTTCGTATTTTATTTCTCTCGGTAATTTCAGGGTCCACATTAGTAGGGTCTTCGAACCAGCGAATGTTTTCGTTCTTACAAGTTTCCATTAAATCTGATTTAGAAAATTCAAGAAGCGGTCGAGTTACCATTATCTTGTTGAACGATGGTGGCGGGGCATTGTCCCTTAGAGGAAATTTCGACTGGCTCTTGATTCCACATTGGCCAAACACCCGATTTGCAAGATACCTCCCGTACAGCCTGCTGTCTTCTGAAAAATATGGATTTCTTGGTTCCCTTAAACTTCTCAAGATATACGTTTCAATATTATCATCTCTTGTATGACCCGTCAACAAATTAGTGATATCTTTTTCCCCACAAATATCCCGTATGGCCCGATATCTTAGAATTCTTGCCGAGTGTTCAAAATTATTCGATGAGGTATCGTATCCTTTGGGCCATTGCAAAGGATACGAGAGATGCTTAACCCCAAAGGTGTTCGTCACGTATTTACCAATAGCCTGGGCTTCCTGAGAGCTCTCTTTTCGTAGCTTATGGTCGATGGTGATGGCAAGCACCAGCGCCGGCGACATTCCTTGATTTTTGAGGTATTGGGAAACAAGATAGGTCAAACACATCGAATCCACTCCTCCTGAAAGAGCAATGGCGAGTTTCGATGGTAAGCCATTGGGGAATAAGCTTCTGATGGAAGTGCTAAACTGCTGAGGGGTGATCATCATATAAATATGGGACACATTCTTCTCACAGAGATGCCCAATGTAAAAAATATATATATGCAGGCAGCATTGGATTCAATTATTTTTTTCTTTCAAATCAACAGAAAAAAAAAAAACATACTGCATGGCAGCCTTTCAACATGAAAGAAAGCAAACAACAGAGACTTTTTCTTTTTATTTCTTCGTTTGTACTGGTATTGTATTGGTATATAGTACTTTAAGGAGGAAAATTTATTTTCTTGGCTCAAACTTCAAGAAATATACTATGGATGATGCATTTTTTTTTTTTTACAAGTTACACACTCGATTTCCGAAGAGGCTCCTTTTTTTTTTTTAATCAATATACTGTGAATTCTATTATACATTTAGAAGCCTTTCATCTTGGCTGTATATAATAATAATAATAATAATAATAATAATAATAATACATCAGGTTTAAATCTACCAGAAAAGACAAAACATCAACAAAAGAATATGCCCGAAAAAAAAATAAAAAAAAAAAACAACATATAATTAGCACCACAACACTTAGCTTTTCAATAATCTCTTCCAAATAAGGGGGATGGGATGTGTCTCAAGATGCTTCAAATAAATCTGGGACACAACGATGGAAACACCATGGTCTGTCTCCCAGAAGTTCTTGATCAATTTATCAGCAAACCTAATATACAAGTACGAAATGGTCTCATGCTGTGTTAAAGGTAAATAATTATGATCATGCCAACTTTCTTCTCTTGACGCCAGATTTTTTCATTCTCAAACCCAATATCAAATGTTTAACAAGCTCAATTCTCAAATTTAGTTCAATCTTCGATGCAATGTGGAATTTTTCTAAAACTTTAACATTGTATACCAATGAAGAGTCATTCCTCAATCGCGCCTCTTTCACCAACTTTGCGAATTTTTTCCATTGCTCGACTGTCCAATCACCATTTGGTTTCGCCACAACTATTGACGTACTTGATTCAGTATTGATTTTTGGGGTGCTTTGGTTAATCTCCGCAATTTTCGCAGCACCATCCAAAGTAGTGTTTATTGCCATTTCCATCTTCTTTTTAGTTTTATCCATCTCTTCAAATATACTCTCACTATCTGATTCTTCTTCCTCATTCATGAACAATTTTTTCGTCGGTAAACTATCCAATTTCTTCAATACTTTAGCAGTGGCTTCGCTATCATAGTCTCCCTCACTAGCTGAGGATTCCTCGTATTGTCGTTTCTTATGGTTCGTGATTTCTTGGTCCTGTTTTGTCTTGGATTTTGTAATTCTCTTATTCAAACTGTCAACAGTCGATATATAAAAATCGGTCTTCAATGCTAAGCGCTGACTGGAAGTATTCAAGCCCTCTTGCCTCTGATTTCCATTATTCTTATTCCTATCTTTTTCTAATATTCGTTGTCTTTCAAACTTATTATCTTCATTATAATCATCGTCATCGGCATTTTTTGGATATAGGTTATGCATCAATGGCCTATCAAACTCTCGCGAAGAAATCCTAGGAGTGGTAACCTCACTAGCAATCGCGGTTGCTTGACGTGACCCTAGGCCACCAATCTTATCAATACTAGTATTGAGAGTCGATTTAATACTACTTAATAGCATTTCCCTTTTGCCAACAACCCCCAGATTATCAAAGGAACTGTCATAATTCACCAACTTTATGGGCGTCGAGATATTTCGAGAATTTATACCGGTGGTTTTCCCACTCCTCTGGATCATAGTTCTTGCAGGCGTAGGAATTCTTCTGAATTTTGACGCTGACGTTCCAGGAGTGGATTTCAATGGAACCAGTACCGTGCCAAATGACGAGTTTGTCTGGCCCGATGCACCACCACCAAACGTTCGAAAACTATCATCATCATCATTATTATTATTGTTGTTGTTTGTTCTCCCATCATCATCATTTTTATTAATCTGGATCTTCTTCGCACCGGAGTTTTTCGTCCTCCTTTTCGGACTGATCTTTCGATAATAACTTCCATTAGTATCATCATCGTACTCATCTTTATTATCCTGTCTCTCTACCTCATTGACAAAACTATTATACTTGGTTTGTGATTTTGATTTTGCTTGTGTGGTAATTAATCCATTAGATCTCACGCGTCGCGCAGGACTCAGGATCCCTTGAACGTCATCGGTTATTCTATTTCGCTTTAACGGAGTGTACCTCAGACGTGTTGGGATGATTGCTCCTCCTTGTTCTTGCTCTTCATCTCCGTTCCCGCGCTCGGCAAGTTCACGACGTTTCTTGATTCTCTGCCCTTTTTTCACTCTAGACTGTTTCTGATGGGTCTCAAACATATCAAACAGTTTATGCTGTGGTGCTCCAAATTCTTCTTCGGTAGACATCTTGTTCCTATCAAAAATTGAATTTCAACAACAACTTTTACTTGCAATTTACCAGGTATTATTTTTTTTCCCTCTGCTGTTCTTGATATTTCATATCATTTTATTTTTTTGTTCTTCTTTTTTCCAACCCAAAAGATGATTCAAAAAAAAAAAAAAACACAAATTCTAGGTATCTCGAAATTCCTAAATACACAAAAAAAAAAAAAAGAAAACCAAGTAGAAGATATGGAATGGCTGATTTGTGTATGTGGTATTGCAGAAATGGTTCAGTTGGATACTGTTTGGATTGATCCTATCCTACAAGGGTGTTTTGGTTTTTGTGATTATCATTTTTCCCTGATACCTTTTTTTTTTTTTTTTTGCTAGTTCATTCCCACACGCGTCGCTCACCTAAAATATAAGTCAAAGATATCTACAGATAAAAAGAAATAAGATACAAAAGAATTATAATGACTAAAGATGAATTGATAAAAAGAAAATTAAAATGTAAGAATGCATACTAGGAAAAATTCTATACTATTAAATCCAAGTGAGCATCTAACCAAAGATGGATTAACTTGTGGAATCGTGACAAAAGAAGTTCAAATAAAAAAATCTTAATAAAAGAGCAATAGAAATAGAAAAAAAGAAAAAGAAATAATGAAGAGAAAAGGATGAATAGCTGGGTAAATTATATATGATGATGGAATGAACATCTTTCTCGCTTCAATAGAAAGTATAATATGTATGATGTGCAAAAACAAACAAGGATTGAGAGAAGAACAAAAAAAAAAGATGGAAAAATTAAAATTAAGTAGTTGGAAATAAATAAGACCGAGAAAAAAAAAAAAAAAAGGTTAATGACTGCTTCAGCACAAAAAGTCAATCACCTCCCATTATCGGTTAAAAATATACTAGGACTTAACCAATACTTGTGACAGGGATAATTATTTTTCATCATTAAGAAACATGATGATGATACACGACATTGGCCACTTCTCCTGTCTTCAGTGCTTTTGACAAAGAAAGAAAAAAAAAGAAAGAAAAAAAGAACAGGCTCTGTAGCTTATTCACTAACTGATATCAAATATTTGCCTTAGTGAGACCAGGGATAGATATTCTCAATCTATGGGTAAAAGCCATCTTTGGGATACAGCCAATCAAGCACAATACACCATTGAACACAAAATAGTTCAAATTGTATTTTGAGTAGTGTGTGGATGCCAAAAATAAGGCAATTGGCACCAAAAACAAAAACTTCTTGGTTGGGGTATATTGGTCACCATTGTCTATTTGTTCCCACATTGTCAAATTATCATAGGCCCCAGAATTAAAATCAAACGGAGTGCCCTTGACTTGATGAAACATTATGTAAGAACCAATTATGTAGGTGGTATTGGTCAACGTCCAAGATAATTCGGTTGTTGATCCTGGCAAGACGTTAAAGAACATTTTAAGCAACAAAATAATACAAATGTGGATCAACCAAGCACCTTTCGAATGAACCCAGTTGGCATTCAAATTTGGAACTAAGTTCTGATCATTGAGCTCCTCATCGCTTTCGACTTCCACGTGTGAAATGATCGATGAACTTCTTCTTCTGTTTTTTGGAGACGATGTTATTGGAGACAATGAAGCATGATGTGACTTATTGGCAGCAGAAGCGGTGGTAGACATTTTTTGTTCTTCAAACGTTTGTTAATAAATGATAAATTGGATATTTTTGTGGCAAATTCCTCTTCTGATTTTCAGTCGAATGTATGGCCAAGATTTGTGATCTCTAGACAAATAAAAAAAAATCACTATCAGTTCTGATTATTTGTATCTTTCTGTTGACAAAGAGGTATACTTCAGCACTTCTTGTTGACTGAATAAAGCTGGCTTAGCACAACAATAAAAAAAAAAAGAGAAGAAGAGGGGGGAAGAAAAAAAAAACAGCTAGTCGTTTAGCGACACAATCCACGGTAATAATACGGAGTTGGGAAGGGGGGCAAAAACACAAGAATGAGGCAGCCGGCTCACTTATTAAATAGGCAGTAATTAGGAAAAGCGGTGGCGGTTTAATCTGATGGGCACACTTGACTCTTTCCTTTGGGTGCGGGGGATGGAGAAATTACTGGTGGCAAGAGGTACTGTCGTTTGAGGTAATCTACGATGAGGTTGCTTTTCACTTTTTTTTTTTTTTTTATTTTTACTTTCTGTGTGGAGTCACGGGGCAGAGGCCACCTATACAACCCCAAAATCACTTCGCAGAAAAATGACCCATTTTTTCGGATATTCTCTGACTAACTCCACCCACTCAGCCTACATTATTATAAATAGACAGACACAAGTTTAAAACACAATATCAAACTAAAAACAATAAGTAAGACAAAAAAAAAAAACCAGTACATATAGAAGAAGAAAAGAAACCAGAGTTAATCAATAACAAAAATAGAAAAACCAAATTGTGGACAAAAAAAAATAAAACCAAAGTGAGAATATAAAGAACCTGCAAACACTGTCATGTCATGTCCTTTGGAATAAACACAAAAAGGAAAAGGAAAAGAAAAATCAAAAAAAAAAAAAAAAAGAATAGAAAAGTAATGCAAATAGAAAATCTTGACACATTCTAATGAGCGAAAATAGTAGGATACAAACTTTCTGGCTTAGCAGCAGGAGCATCTTTTTCAAGATCCATTTGCTTCAACGACTCAGAAATCCAGTTGCGAATCGCATCAACAAGGGCCTTGTGTTTCTTCAATAATTCGTAGTTGTTGCTGCTTGATTCTTCAATCTTCTTATCAAGAGACAAGCTGTTCATCAAGTTAGTGATATCATGATCCACCTCTTCTTGTTCCTTCTCTTCCCCCTCGACCTCAGCATCCTTCTTGCTAGACTTTTGGTTGACGCCAACATTATAACGTCTAATATTGTCATATCCAAATCTAGAGCCAATCTGTGGGTATTGCATAACGTTAGAAGAACTCGATATCGATGGATATAATTGACCATTACTGCTCAAGCTACCTGTACTAACAAAGCCATTTGAGCTGTAGGTATTAGCATTGTCCGTAGTATTTCCGTAAGAAGCAAATTGTTGTGATTGGGATGGCTGCGCCTGTTGTTGGTAATGTTGTTGATATTGAGGTTGTTGGTATTGTTGAGGTTGAGCTTGTTGAGCTTGTTGAGGTTGGGGCTGGCGAGAAACGTCAGATCTTAATGACATTTGCTGATCTATAGAATAAGACAACTGCTTGAAAAACTTATCAGATTCTAACAAGTCTGAAGATTTGATGTTAGAAGTATTGATCCCACGAACAGACATATTATTCGAACTGTGGCTCAATGGAGGCAACACATATTCACCGGAAAATCCAGCATGATTTGATGGCATGGTGCCACGCAAACTAGTGTCCAAATGATTCAATCTGTTCATTATATCTGGATTATAATTAGCCGAAATTTTTGATCTCTTGACATCATCATAGAAGCTGCCAATCAACTCACCAGTTTGTCTTCTCTTCTTTGATTCGTCTACTGTCGAGTACAAATCGTTACTGCCCAAGTTGTAAGGATGGTTATTGACGGTGGTGGTAGTGTTATTGTTGTAGATGTTACCAGTAGGATATAATTGACTAGGGTAATCTGGTTGGTTCTGCCCATAAGTGTTGGCTCTTCCACTGACATTGAAAAGATAATTGTCAAACGAATTCCCATAATCATTTATACCTGGAGCGTTAGCAGCAGCATTGATCAATGAGCTATTAATAACCCCGTTTTTGGCATACAAAGCGGCACCGGCATTAATGTAGCTATAAATGTCGTCTGCATGGGTTTTCATGTGTTTTTTCAAATCTTGAGGTCTCTTGAATTTCTTGCCACAGTTGTCGCACCCATATGGCTTCAAAGGCACATGAACTCTTAAATGTGAGGTGATATGGTCACGTTTAACTGTTTGAACTTTGCAATTATCCCAGCGACATGTCAAATTCAAATTACGGTTGCATTTCCGCCCCACATGTCTGTCACACAAATGATGGTACAAAGTTTCGGCAGACTCAAAGATTTCACTACAGCCTTCCCACTTGCACAATAATGGGCCTTTCTCCTCCTGTTTTTTGCTCTTTTGCAGGAAAGTTTCCTTCTTTTGAGTGATGGCGGCAATGGCGGCGGCGGCCGCAGCGGCCGCAGCAGCATCTTGTTCCTTGATAGATTGAGAAATGGAAGGTAAAGCGTTCACTGGGGGCAAGCTGACTTTTTTCGGTTGACTTCCAAACGAGTCATAATTTAAGGGAGCTCTTGTGTCTAACACTGCAGATAACGATGGGATAGATGTAGGATGTGTAGTTGAGCACATGGTGTTTATACCAATTTGATGGGTTGAGTCATTGTATTTTGGACTGGTTTTACCCAACTTTGGCGAGGAAAAAGAGTTGGAAGAAGTCGAAGAGGCTTCGGACTTAGGAGAAACCAGATTGGAATAAGTGGATAGATCGACACTGGTCTTTGACGAGTAAGCGTTGCCGGACGTAGGGGTGGTGATACTTTGAGGTGAAGTATTGTTGTTGTACTGGTCGTTGCCAGGGCTGACAGATCCTTTCAAGAGGTCTGATGATCTAGGAACGTCGTTTTGTAAAGGCAGCATGAAATCCGATGATCTGATGGAAGGCAAGACATAGCCGGATAATTCAGGTCTGATGTCCATGGTAGATTATTAATAAGTGGATGACGCTTGCTTTTTTTTTTTTCTCTCTCTCTGTGTGTGTGGAAAAAGAAACGAGAGGGCCTTTGTTACTGTGGTGTGCGCAAAGTAAAAAAAAGTGTGAAAGATAAAAAACAGGGAAAAAAAAGAGAGGATCACAGAAGATAGGCAGGTGAGATGGCCGGTGTAATATGGGTATTTCGCGTTGCTTGGGGGGTTCTGGAAGGGAGTATTGTGTGTGATAGGAGGAAGAAGTAGCAGGAAGAAGGAGGGGGGCACCACATCAGATATATACTACCGACTATGGGCATATGCCAAGAAGCACCGCCAGTGGTGGGTGTGGGTGAATGGTGTCCGGGTAGCCATTTCTCTACCCCCTCCCTAAAACAGCAACCGCACCGGGTGCTGTCTGGGTAATATCCCACACCCCCTGTCCAGTGGCGGAGGGAGAAAGGAAAACAAACCAAACCACCCAAAACTCACTACATGGACATCGCTGGCACATACGTCCACCCGTCGGTCTGCCCAAACTAAACCCCTAAGATTATGAACAGCTACAGCAATTTGGTCTCGGAGTACGCCAGTGCCCAAACGTTCCACTCAGCCGTGCCTTTGGCCAACCAGCAATTCATGGCTGTCGTCTGCTTATTGCTCGCGGTGGTTTTTGTGTTCCTCAACTTCTTGATCCCAAAGACCTCTTCTACTTTGGCCAGCAGTATCGCCAACAATGCTCAATATATTGTGTATAGCTTCTTAGCTAGTGGGTTATTTGGTATTGGTGCCATCTTCTTGTCCAATTCTGTTGGTGTTTATGCTTGATACATATATATATATATATATATATATATAGTGCACATAACCATTGATTGGTTAGTTCACTTTTGGCGTCTTGGTTCCTTGTATGGGAGACGAAGGCAACCATCATTTAGCGGACACCATTTAGGCGCTGCTATCAAAACTGCATACTTTTTGGTTTATCAAACGCTGTCCATGAAATGTTCTTTATTTTGTAATATATGCTTTATCGTTATTCATTTGATCAGTTTTATGTATGTTAGCCGCTGGTTGACTGTTCCATTGGATATAGTGTGGCTTACTGTCCTAGTGATCTGGACTCTCTTTTTTTTCTCTCCCTGTGACGATCTATAATCAAGTGGGTAAGTAGGTAGGTAGGTAGGAGAAAGACAGACAGACAGACAGAGGAAGAACCACCCACATCACATCTAATGTCGAGAATGTCGAGGCATCTGTTTGCATGTACCACCGTAAGGGTTGCACACCCCCTTTTTTTTTTCCTTCTCTTCTCGTTCTCGGCCAAACTTCCTATTACAGAAGACGGGAGACTTCGCTATTGGCGAGGTGTGGGCAATCCCAGAAAATAAAAGCCAAGGACAAGAAAAGAAAGGAAGAAACCTTTTTGAGAGGCCTATAGTACAGTATGTGTAGATACATACACTCGGTGTGTGTAATAAAATAATCAGACCCCCCACTATTGCTGTACCAGTTTTAGTAGTACAGAGTTATTGTTGTTGTCTATTTTAAATTCCATTTGGGAAATAGTTTGTCAAATTAGTAAGTAGGTGGTTGATACCCCAGGTTTTTTTCCTCATCCTGCAGCGCGATGAATAGGAATTCTGTCATGATTCACACCTTGGGGTTTTCGAAAAAACTCATGTTTACACTGCTTTATTTTAAAATAAGATTATCTATCACTATTTACTAAACCAAAAATATAAAACTAACGGGAAGAGAAAAAAAAATGTTAAGAAAGAAATGCAAAATGACAAGAGTAGAAACGTGTATATCGATTAAGAATTCATGCATGTCGCCAACCCTTTTTCCAGGTCAACCAAGAATCAAATAATGATGCTGAGAATAACAGAAACAAGAAAAAAAGTATGCACGAGATAATTCCGGCTAAGGAAGCAGCAATGACCCGTATGGGTGTTGATTTAGCAATGGGGTATAAAAATATGATTTGCTTCCGAACGGTATTGAAGAGATAATTGGACGAATTCATGAATAAATGAGCAAATGAATGAATGGGCAGCTGTAGCAAAAAAAAAAAAAAAAAAAATAATGATAATAATAATAATAAGAGTCATGACCTAATAAAAGAAACATCCTTTAGCTCTTCAACCACAATAATGAGAGAAAGAGAGAGACCAAACGCCGAATAGAGCAACGAAAAGGCAGAAAATGTATCATCAGCAGGAATAGAGGGAAAGGATGGCCGATTTCATGTAAAGCCTTTTGTCAGATGTAACAAAACACTGAGTAATTGATGTTCATAAATCATAATAAATAGAATATGGGGTGAGGATAAGGTATACGTCAAAGCTTGAAGAATCCGAAAGAAATTGCTTGTTTTTTTTCTCTCCCTTTTCATTCTTTCACAAATGATTCTTTACTATTCAAGCTTCGTAATCCAAGATCCGATTCGTCGGGATTTGCAACCCTGAGAAACTTTCTCAGATAGTCGTTTTCATCACTGATGCTCTTCTTGCTTGCTTCATCTATCCCCAAATTGTTGTAGAACATTTGGCCCGGATCCAATCTTTGATCAACATCCCCACCAAATGGGATCGGGATAAGAGTGGCAGCAGTGGCACTTTCGGATCTTAAGACAATACTAGACCCTCCAAGGAAACGAGATCTAGGTGATTTCTCCATCATAGGTGTGTTCATTAAAGATGAATTATTCACAGAAGGAGCAATGATACCCCCAGGAGTTGCCGCGGAAACCAAGTGAGTTTGAGAGTATCTGTGGCGGATGTAGAAGAAAAGGATTAACCCAATAATAATCAATACTATGATACCAACTGAGGCAAACGTCCCACCAACCTTTCCTGGAGAGTCCCAAAATGACGACGAAGATTTCTTTTGACTATCGCTGGAACTTCCTGCGGCTGCGGCAGCTGAAGATGTCTGTTGAGAAGAAGTAGAAGATGCTAATGAGGATGATGATGATGATGAGAATGAGGATGAGGATGAGGATGATAAGAGAGACGTTGAAAGTGAAGTTGAAAACGAGGTTGCTGAGGAAGAGGTTGCTAGTGCTTCCGTTGACATTTCTGTCACGGTCTGCGACCCATTTGTATATACGCTAGTTATAAAACTAGTGACAACCTGTACCAGAGATCCAGCATCATCCATTGTTGTAGTTAGTAGCACCACTGTGGTTTCTGTATTTGATTCTGCTTTGGTTATCACAACCAAAGACGTCACGGTTTCACCATTGCTAGCTGTGGGCGTTGCTGTCGAAGTGGAAGTGACCATCACTACTGATGTTTTTTGTGACAGTGATGAGGTGGTTTTTGTTGCTGCACTGCTAGACAGAGAAGATTTAGAGGAAGATGATGAGGATGTTGAAGAAGATTCGGACTGTGTTCCACTGGCAGTGCCAATTAGAATATAACCATATGCCCCATTGCCCGCACACTTATCACTAGGATACCCAGGACAGTCGACTTCACATGTCAGGAGATCCTCGGTTGTATCAGAAGGAGGATAGTAATTTGAGCAGTAACAATCCTTGTACGATACTATTGCAAAAGCATATCCCGAGCAACTATTGATACAAAGGCCATTTGATTGGTATTGTGAACTCTGGCTGAAGGTCCCTGTATTTTTAGTAGCACAAACGGAAATATCAGCAGAAACCCTGACAATAAATAGGCATAGGAATATCATCCAGGCGGGTAGGAAAGACCTGTTTGATAACATTGTTTCTGTTGGCATTGTTTCGATATAGGTGGTTGTCGTTGTTTGATTTTGTCGGCGCCTTTTTTTGCTAAAATATAAAAATAGAATTGATAAAGAAAAGAAAAGAAAAAAAAAATTGAAAAGGAGGTGATAAAAGGATCTGCAAGATATACGACTAACAATAATTCATCCAGATCAGGTATATTATATTAAACTGTGGTGATTGTAGTGGCTTGGTTATCTCAGTGTTGTGGGTATTGGCTTGTTTCAGTGTTGTAAGTTAAATTGTTCCGACACCGAAAATAAGGGATACAGATCTCCAAGGATAAAATAGGGAAGCGAAGGTCGATCGATGGCTAGCAGTGGACGTAAATGGGAAACAAATCAATGATTGCGTGTATATCCAGATTGAGATATGACAATACCTCTGTGTTTGCTGGTGTTTCCGTTTATTTGTGGATATTGGTTTGTGGTGGGCAGGAGTACGGCAAGTGCGTGTGCTGTCGTGGGATAACAGTTGCTTTTAGAAGATTGGTGGTTTCTCGAAGTTTTTTTTTTTTTTTCATTCATGAAAATTTTCTGAGCCTCGCTCAAAGGGTTACGTAGGCACTTACTCTAAAACAACAACAGCAACAACAACAACAATAATAATAATAAACAACAAAACTAAAAATCACAACAGTGGTGTCAGTGGTATATATATATAATATATATAATCCACAATAAAATAAACATTGTGTATTTGGTTATGTACAAAAAGTCGCCGATTATGTGTACTACCAGAACCGATTGACACATTCTCTATTGCCAAAAGTAGGCAGACGTGGTTTGTGTGCACACAACCCAAAAGCAGTTGTTGGCGAACCAAATGCTGCCAAATAACTAAAAGCAAACAAAATGAAATAATAGCCACACAAATGATAACGACAAAAACGGTCAAACAGAGGAATACGAAGAAAATAAACTTATCATGCCATAATTATCGCATAGCAACAACACTGGCAACCAACCATTTCGCCAGCCAGGTGGCAATAGCTGTCAAAACATTGGGCTTTGAATAGTGATCTCGCCTATCTCGACAGACCCTTAAGAGATGTATATTATACGAACCTGTGTAATGTCCTTGAAAATACTTCTGTTCAGAAGTGTAGTCAGGCCCTATATATGGATATAGATATAGATATAGATATAGATACGCTCTTACAAACAGAACACTATTGAGGGATTCAAACAGAAAAGTCAACTTACCAAATCTCCTCAAGATTTTATTGCTGACTAAAAATGAATCCTCAGACTTATAACACTAAGAATGTTATTATTCAACATACTAACCTCTAGGGGGGTAAACATCCAAATACGTTTAGACAACCATGTAAGTATAAAACGTGTGCTATAGAAAACAATAATGAAAATATGACAGTGTTAACCTTCACCCTATAAATATTAAAGCAGTCTACTGACCTGTGGAAAGTTCAAAAACTTTCTTTGGGACTAGCAGTCTCCTGTGAGAAAGAAATCAGATCATAATAGGCCATTTCCCCACATGTCTACACTTTATTCAACCTTAGCCCCCTAACACGTATTAACATCAGCACAATTAATAACCAATTCATTAAAAAATCGCTAAGCAAAGAAACAAATATAATGAATATATATAAACAAAACAAAAAAAAGCATCAATAATAAAAGGAGGAACAAAAAGGTATTAGTTATTAATATGAATTCAAACAAATAATAAATAAAACAAAACAAAACAAAAGGTCTGTAGAGGAGAGCAATGAGTGATGAACTGTTTCATATCTAAAAATCAAGTGGTTCTAACATTAAAAATATCAAGGAAGAATTGAAAGGGTTGAAAGGGTTTGAAAAGAAAAGAATAGGCGGCGCGTTATGTTTAACATCTAAAAGTTTAGAAAATGCTCTTGACCTTCAACATAAAGCTCTTTCTTCTTTCCTTCTTGGTGGTCTTTTCAGCAGGCTTTTCAGGAGCGGCTTCTGGTTCTTCAGCGGCCGCGGCCGCGGCTTCAGCTTCTTCAACTGGGGCAACCTTAGCATCCTTGATTTCTTCAACTGGTTCTTCAGCCTTAACTTCTTCAACTGGCTCTTCGGCTTTAGCTTCTTCAACTGGCTCTTCGGCTTTAGCTTCTTCAACTGGCTCTTCAGCCTTAGCTTCTTCAACTGGCTCTTCAGCCTTGGCTTCCTCTTCTTCAGCTGGGGCAGCATCTTCCTTTGGGTCCAAAGTAACTGGAGCTTCATCAGTGACAGTATCTTCAACCTTTTTAACTTCCTTTGGTTCATTGGATTCTTCCTTGGCGGCTTCTGCAGCTGGAGCAGCGGCCTTCTTCTTACCAAAGAAGGAAGAAACTCTCTTCTTGGCTTTGATGGTGGAGAATCTCTTCAAGATTTGTTCCTTGGCTTCGTTTGTAGATTTCTTAACTTCCTTAACGGCTTCAGTGGCCTCTTCCTTGACTTCATCCACAACTGTTGGTTCTTCAGCAGCTTCTTCTTCAGCCTTTGGTTCTTCAACAGCTTTTTCAGTAGCTTCAACTTGTTCTTCTGTCTTGGCTTCTTCTTCAACCTTTGGTTCTTCAACCTTAGCTTCTTCTTCAACCTTTGGTTCTTCAACCTTAGCTTCTTCTTCAACCTTAGCTTCTTCTTCAACCTTTGGTTCTTCAGCCTTAGCTTCTTCCTTAGCTTCTTCGACTGGTTCTTCAACCTTAGCTTCTTCAACTGGTTCTTCAACCTTAGCTTCTTCCTTGACTTCCTTTTCAGCTTCAGTCTTTGCTGGTTCTTCCTTCTTGATGGTTTCTTCTAATTTCTTCAATTCCTTGGTACCGAAGATGGAAATTCTTCTTCTAACGGAAGTCAATTTTGAGGTCAACTTAGTCTTTTCCTTCTTAACCTTTTCTTTGGAAATTGGAGCAGCTTCCTTGGTTTCTTCTTCAGCCTTAGCTTCTTCAGCTTCAGCGACTGGTTCTTCTTCCTTGACTTCTTCTTCAGCCTTTGGTTCTTCGGCCTTAGATTCTGGTTCAGCAACGACTTCCTTAGATTCTTCTTCGACCTTTGGTTCTTCAGTGGCAACCTTGGTGGTCAAGCCAGCGGCTTCTGGGATGGCGACTTCACCTTCCTTGGCATCAGTAAACAAATCTTCCTTAGTGAAAACATTGTTGACATTACCCTTGTCATCGGTATCCTTGGAGTGTTTGTCAGAGATTTTCCATTCACCATCAACGAGGTACTTGAAGAAGTTCTTTTCTTCGACTTCCTTGATTGGAACGGTGAGGGCAAAAGAGCCATCGGCTTGTTTAACCAATGGTAAAGACTTGCTCCAAGAGTCGAAGGAACCAGTAACGATGACTTCCTTTGGACCTTCTGGCCTATTGAGAATGTTAGTAAGATAGCTTTAATAAAAAGGGGGGAGGGGGGCCACAAAAAACTCTCCTTATTCATAAGAAAGGACAACGAATGAACAGTGTAGAAAATAAAGAAACAAAAATCACTCACCATTCAAAAGTGTAGCTAGACATGATTATTATTATTATTATATGTGGATATTAGTAGAAAAAAAGACTAGGTATACTAGGTATTTAACAAGGTTAAGAAAAAAAAAAAGGACTTTTTTAGCAAAATAAGGCGAAAATGTGTAATATATATGGATGGGAAAAAGACACGGTATTTATAGTTTTGCAAGTTTACTTACTACAGTGCGTGTCGCAAGTTGATGCAGGTTAGTAGGTAGCCATATGTGCGGTAAGTATTAGCATTGGGTAGAAGCTGAGAAATCACAGACATCCCATATATAACAGTGGCAGGAGACAGGTCGAAGAAATTAATTGAAACAGGCTAGCGTGGTGGTAGCGGTTTTTCTCTCTTTACTAGCCTGTGTGGCTTCCTCTAGTATCACCGTCCCAGCGCTTGATTCTGCTTACTTCTGGGATTCTTTTTTTTTAACATATGCAAAGATGCTACGATTCTACCCCGATTTGTTAATTGGAATTTATATGTTTTAAGCATTCCTGTCGAAGCCAAAGGTGCTAGGAGACTCTTGGATCGACCTTGAGGCTTATTCCTTGCTTATTGCTTGAGGTCTGGCTATGCTATCTTAACGACCCATAATTATGGGTTGTTACCAAAATGACCGTTTTTCTATTTTTTTTTAAGCTTTTTTTTTTCTTGCTGATCTCTAAACACCTTACATAGCCAGCCATTCTATTCTATTCTGCGCTGCTATACCCCAATATTAATTGGGGGGATAATAATTGGGATTATTACCAATAATAAAAATAAGGCCACAATACTGTATATTGTGTTGATAGCCTGTGCTATAGGTGATGATAATATAAAATACTGCCGATAACCGTAGCTGTGGTGAGGGGTTGTCTCATCTCCTCATAGCATCTATTTTAGTAATATCAACGCCCATGCCACTCCTGTGTCTTTCTGCTTTCATTTGGGACGTTTCAAAATCTATTATGTGTCCAGAAAACACGAAGTATTTTTTTTAAAGTTTCGACCCATAAATTTGGAAATTTTTCGTGATGCGTTAATCTGCATGCTTCTCACCCCTTGTAGAATTATTTCTCTTGGTGTTTTTATGTTATGTAATTCTTTCCGGATAACAGAAACAAGAAAGATTAGAGAAAAGCCTGATCTAAGTATAATCAAGAATGATCTGTGCTGATCCACCCTAGGTGTGTATATATATTTTCGTCTTCCAATCTGGCACCTTTACAATTTCGCTAGACCTTCACGACAGTAGGGGGTGAATGAATCCAAGAAGATACAAAAAGATTGCCTGCTGGGGGCGAAGTTCTATTAGAATAATTGCCTAAGAATAAAAAATATTCTTATGATTAGAATGCTGATTCTTAAGGATCCATGATTGTTGATCCATGATTTTTGATCGCTCATCATCATCATTTATACTCCAAAATGAAATGTAGGCACCCTCACCGCCGCCAGAGGTCAACCCAAAATGAGGAGTGTGAATTTTGTGGAAAGTGGGTACTCTGCTAGACAGAAATCGCCTCTTGTAGGCCCTTATTCTTCATCTTCTTCTATAAATCATAGGATTAAATTGGGGAGTTTCAAACCAATGCTGTAAAAAAGTAGAATAGTAATAATGGTGGCGGGGTCGAAACCGGCCAGAAAACTGTTGATCATAGAGAAAGAGGGGAGTGGATTGAAGCCATTGATTGAGGTCTTTATTTGTTAGCTTTTTTTTTTACCCCAAACTTTGTAATAATTAATAAACCCTGTTTTATATTTCTGTAATGATCTTCTATTATATTTATGAAGGATTTCTTGTGAAAGGGCAAGCACGTCAACATCGGTTATATTGTAAACTGACGCTCGAGAATCACCAGAGATCACGTTACACAATCCATATCAACACACCTTCAACACTTGAGAACTATTTGATAAACTGTACTCTTAGCGACAGCACATCAGGGGGGGTTGATATTTAAAAGGTATCTACTACATCTATAGTACATCATGGAAAGGCCTTCTCTTAAATCCGCTATATATAAATTACATATATTGAATATATATTTTTACCACAACAGGCCAATGAATCAGCATATTTTTCAGATAGAGATTCCCTCAAGCAAAAAGATAGTAAGAATTGCAATTATAGATACAAATGTAAGCATTATTTGTTACTTCCAATTTCTCAAGTACTCTTAGCCCCCTTAGCTGCGTTCTTTAAAGCCATGTTTCTAATATAAACGTGTATATTGTAATTCAGCTTACTGGCAACCGAAGAATTTTTTTTTTATTTTTGACAATTATGATCAATTCGGTTATTATATTTATAAAACTTAAAATCCTATCATATTGCGTACCCCAACTGTTGATTCGATGGCCCAGTGCATTTGTGTGTGAGGACACAGTATGGAGTCACCGTCACGTCTTTTTTGGAGATTGTTTAAAGTCGAAGTGAAGAATTTTTTGGGGTTGGAGTACTGGTACTACTTCTCCGAAAGATATAACATATCAACAATTTTGCCAATATTGCCAGGTTATTGACCAGTTGATTCTAATCTACTTTCAATTTGTTTTGAAAGTTGGTCAAAACAAGTAAACAACAACTATTTTAATTCACATTGGAGCTCCAAGATTGTGCCACCAAGGGGGATAATTTTTCCTACTTTTTTTTTATTATTTATTTATTTGATTTGTATTAAACAAAACAAAGTATCACAAAAAAAAAAAAAGATTCCATTTGCGTATATAGTTTGTTTTTTTTGACGTCTTTGTGTGGCACAAGATGCAGCAACATGATGATAAAATTTTCCTAATCATACTGCAAAAGGACTTCGCTAATGATATCCAATGTGGAATTTAATAATTTCATTGATACTTTGTTTTCTATTTCCTTGTTAGAAGTCTCAACTATTGTTCGCCAATGGTCACTAGAAATAGATAATACACTCTTCTATTATAATGTATTATTATTTTTTTAATGCTGGAAGATTTTAGTCCTACACGATCTTTATATAATATAAGCCACGGGAAATACTAATTGAGTAATTCAATATAATAGCGAGAATCTTCCTTCACCCATCTCGCAATTAACTTCAAGATCTTGGGAATGGTACATCCTCAATCGATATCACCTATTCTTGGTCAGGGGTGGGACGCGATGACGACGACCTTGCGGAGAAATTTTATCATCTAATCTCTGTCGCTAAAGCTGCTATCAATTACATTTCGAAACAAAGCCCACTATGTCACATCAGTCAACTCCGCAAACAAAAATACATTACAGCAGAACTCTTCAAAGTACCACCAGCTACTGCTCAGCAATTCCGGTCTTACAAAGATGGTTATGTTAATGTCGAGAATGATGGATGGATGTAACAGTTATTATGTGTAACGCTATATTTTATTCTATACCATTCGTATTTCGGATTTTTTTTTCTTGTTATGCCTTTCTTTATTGTCTTATTTTCTGCTGATAAAAATTCATTCCTTCTGATTTTCAAATCTTTAATATGTACTATTCGAACAGCACCCTCTCCTTTCACGAAATTGCCAGTTTTTGCAGCTTTTGTGGGATTGATAAAAAGCAAAAAGAGAAATACACTTACTGACAGTAAGAAAAATACAGAGAGAGAGAGATATATATATATATATATTAAGTGATTCCTTCCCTTCATAAGGATTTGATACTGAAGTTTCAGACTAATGATGACTGTGCGCATTCGAGTCTGACTCATGGAATGTAAAATAGCTCTATTTCATCTTGAGCTACCTTCCTCGACGCAAATAATCTAGCCAATGATTTAGAATACATCACACCATCAAATATATGATTTTTTTGACTCGCTTGGGCTTTTAACTAATCTTTTTATATTGAGATACCTATTGGTACAAAATTACAAGTTTGTTCCGTAGGATGAAAATACGACCACAACAAGATAAACAACATACGGTCATGGATAAGTCCAGGATTTTACTAGTTACCATTATGTTATACATAGAGATATTTACCTGCCATTTTCAACAAAGTATCGCCCCGGAAGTCTCCAGGTACGCGACTTTCAAGTGCAAATGATTTGCCCATTTATTTGTAGCTGTCTACACCAGTGAGACGGAAGAAATATACGCAACGCGCACACGCGTTAAAAAGAAAAATAGTTTGTGTTGAATTTTTTTATATTTTTATTTAAATTAATTAATAGTACACGATTGTTAATTCGCGAAAATACTTTGCTTCAACTTTTATTGAAAGATATCAGAGCAACAGTCGTTAAATTATTATACTCTACCACTCGAAAGGTTATTGTTTTGCTTTTGCTTTTTATTGTTCTGGAGTATTGTTTGTCTTTTTTAACGCGCTTGTTTGTGTTTTTGATAATCCTGTTTAATAGCTATAAAATAGAACACTCAGTATGGCGGCCTTGAAACCACTTACTCAATCAAACCAGAATAGTTTGAATAACAGCAGCAAGCAGAAGGGCCAAGATACTGCCGTTACTGCTAGTGCTACTACTACTACTACTACTACTACTACTACTACTATGACTACTACTCATACTGCTGCTGTTGAAAGTTTTACAAAGTTGAAATCAACCAAATTATTTATAGGACCTGGTAAAAGCAACAACACCAGTAATGATAATAAACGCCCTAACACTGATAGCACTCCACTATTCCCCCCACCAAAATCACCATCGAAGTTCAATACCAGAAACCCATTGCTTTTGAGGACTCCAAGAGTCAACCGCGGTCATTTGAGCCACACCAATAATAAAACATCTGATTCAACCATCCAGCTAGATTTCACCCAGGTCACTGAAAAATCACCAATAACTTCTACGCCTTTGGTTAATAACTTCAAGAACGATGTGTTGGTACATGAAGGTGAATCAACACAAGTCGAAGGACAATTTACTGCTGACTTACATACCTACAATACCATATCTGCTGGTAATGCTACAACATTAGTTGCGAGTACCGTTAACCAATCTTTTATTGAGAAAGATATATTCATGGATAAAATAGACAAGTTAATCAATGTCAGCAAAAAAAGATTGGGAGAAGATGACCAGCTTTCTAGCAATAAAACATTTTACGCAGAAAATGAAAACTTGTTGAATGAATTAGATCTCATTGATGAAGAACCAGAATATGCAGGTCAGGATAAAGTATTGATTAAATTGCTCACGGACGCGTTAGTGAAGGTAAAAAACAGTTCGAACTATCAAAAGTTAGAATCCAAGTTGCTAGCTCAAAATAGCCAAGACTTGACGTGCAAAATTGAAGTGGAAAATAAACTAATGAAAAAGGAATTGGAACGATTGAAAGTTGATTATTCCTTGGATAGTAGCAATACTACAATAGGTGAAGATCTGAAGATTCACAATCAGAAATATGGTAGGTTGAAGAAAATGACTAAGAACTGTCTTGAAAACTTAGAGACGTTGGTGGACAAAAACCGCGAATTATCAAAAAGGGCTCTAAAATACAAAGTTAAATACACTACTGCCAAAGAGCTTATTAGAGAGAAGGATGGGGAAATCAGAGCTTTAAAAAGATCTCAGAAACCTTCACCGCCTAGGTTCAAGATTGTCCATCCATACGATTATCAACACCAGTTTGACCTCTCCAAGCAAAAAGAAGCACAACAACAATACTCTAAGAATAATAACATTGCCAATAGCAGCAATAAACTACAAACACAGCAGAATGGCGACGACACAACAATATCTCCAGATCATACTATTATCACACATAGTCCAACAGGCACAACGTCATCTGCTTCATCCAATAGCGGTGAAATTCTTAACAGACTTTTGCCTAATCCATTACAATCTTCGAATGGCCCATCATCGCCTTCATCATCATCAGCTAACGCAGGTTCAAAAGTCAAGAATACTAACAATATGAGGGCTTTCGATACATTGAACATGTTAGCATCCCAAGCTCTATTGGCTTCAACCTCATATGAAAGAAGTCAAAAGTCAAGGAAGCTAAATAATGAATCCGGGGTGCCAACTAAGAACTCGTACGATGGTTTTGGATCCTCTGAAAAAATGAATCGGAAATTACCGATGAACGATCTTACTACTAACTTGCCACCATTGAGTAATAGAAATCCTGCCACAAAGTTGCCTGGTATTGATCACCTTTTGAACAGACCACCGGCTATGAATTATTCGGCACCATCACCTGGTTTCCCGATGTCCGTTAAAGGGAAAGCCAGCCTTGAATATAAGTTAAATCAGGAGAATAGTGATACTGAGTCGAGTAACTTGAACTCTAATGACACTATTGACGAGGATCCAACTTATTAAAGTTATGTTAAGTTTGTATTTAGTTTGTTATGATCAAAAGCACTCATGTTTATCTTTTCTTGATTAATTGTTTTTTCTTTTTTCATTTTACTCATTTGTTAGTTTATATTTCTGATTTTGTTTTTTAATTTATGATGTATTAGAGATTCATTCATCTTCGATATGGCCATGTATGCAAAATATAAAGTTTACATTTTTGGCAATGCTATAATCTGCATTTTCTGATGTGAACCGGAACTTGAATCTATAATAATATACATTTAGCGAGTTGTAGAGATCAGGTGCGCAGGTAAAATAGTAACACTTTTCTAATGCGTAGTCAAATGAAATAATATTTAATCCTAAATAACATCCGCGTTGAAGATATTCCACATCATGAAAAACTCTGCAACTCGGTACCGAAGCAAAAAAAAAAGTGACAATCAAAATGTGTGGGATTTGCTATTGGAAAAATAACGAACGTCCAAGGTCCAAGGCCCTGTTTCAACCTTCAGAAGATAAAATAGATCTCAGCATTAAATGTTATTCTCAATTTATCCCTCATAGCGAACTTAGAGAGATACAGTGCCAGTTACCACTACCTCAAAAGGAAAAATAACCAGCCTTACATTTAGGATTTTCTACACTATTGTAAAGTTTTATAAGGGAAGTCGTTGTTTTAACATTATATTAGACAAAGATGAGGGAGAAAAAGAAAATGATAAAAGTTAAACAAATGATATATTAAACAATAAAGTATAGATTCAATCTGTTTATTTCTTCTTCTTGTCAGCTTCAGCTTCAGCCTTTTCTCTAGCACGCTTTTCTCTGATACCAGCGTACTTCTTGTCAGATCTGGCCAAACGCAAGGTCTTGTAAGCTTCGAAAGACTTAGCTTCTTCGGAGATAGCCTTGGTTTCAACTTCAGTGGAAGCAGCAACAATTGGGAAAACAGCGGCGGCGGAAACTTGTTCAGCAGATGGCTTCTTACCCTTGGTTGGGAAGACAATCAATTTAGATTGGTATTCCTTCAATCTGTTAACGTTCAATTGGAAACCTTCTTCAGATCTGTTTTGTCTTCTGTGGTCAACGGCGATACCGACGGATCTAGCCTTAGCTGGGGTCAAACCGACAGCCTTGATTTCAGCCAAAGTGAAACCTCTACCAGCTCTAACCTTTCTGTTGTATCTGATAGTTGGAGCTCTGACAATAGGTCTCAACAAGTCAATTGGGGTTGGAGCAGAAGCAGCAGCCTTCTTAGCTCTTGCCAATCTTCTGGAAGTCTTCTTACCGGCTTGGTCAAAGTGAACCTTGACTCTTTCTTGCCAGTGCTTTCTGAAGTGGTTTTTTAAAAGTGGTAAGTTCTTAGAGATAGCTAAGAATAATTGTTAGTATACAGTAATAATATTTGCGAAGGCAACTGCAGATATATCTTTGGTAAATTATAGCCATGATTGGAAGTTCCAAACCAGTTGAGAATCAATATTACTTTAAGCTTAGACAGTGTGAATTTCATTTCCAAAAAATCATCTCAGTATTTTTCACTTCAAAACATTAAAGAAACTCAACATCAAAATGAGTGGCCGATGGACATTAAAGTTAAATATAACACGGAAGCCACTGAATAACCAGATGCTTTCCACATTCCAAAACACTCTTCCCCTCATTACTTTCATTTGCATTTTGATGATTGTAAGTTGATCAATTATAGAATTTCAACATCACCTATCCATTCTCCATTAAAAAGGATGTCCACTTCCATCTATTGTCATTCCAATATACATTTCTCTATTGATCAAGTCATATCTTGTGCTTTTTCTTCCTTTCTAGTATTCCACTTTTATGAACTCTGACCATATTTCAATATTACTCCTCAAATTATCATCAACATTCACCAAACTTTTCCAATTCAAATAACGGTGCAAATTCCAAATCATTCTACTATCAATAACGATATATCCTCTTCAATATCTCCCTGTTATTTACATACCCATTTTTCCTGTTACACTTGGTTGTGTTCTATCACCTTGAGCCAGGGCCAATCAAGAAAATTTTGAAATTTTTAGTTTTTTTTTCTCCCTCGATTCGAGAGCAGCCTGGAGCAGGGCGAAAAAAAATAAAAGATGCATATTGCACAGTCACATACAGAGTCCCGTGAGTTGCACATGTACAGAAAGTGATTATATGCGCCCTAATACAACAGATCACTGCAATAAGCGCCATGAGATGAAATCTAGCTATCGGTACAGCGGTCAAACGATCAATCCACAAAGGATTGATATCTATTGCTAATTCTTTGAGAATATCGAAAAGCTTTGCGAATTTTCCTCTGCATTCTATTTTGGAATTATAAAGTAGGAATAAAACAACTACCCAGCACGTACCACTGTAGTGGTGTATTGGTTTAGCTTCATGAAGAGATCTACATAATAATGTTGTTGGGATAACTACAAAAGAGTAATTTGCTATTTTCCAACCCAAGGATTGCTCATGGCTAGTGAAGTGCATGCCCTCATATATGAAAATACTTCTGCCTGTCTTCCAAAGAAGATACTATTCTTTAAGATTTTTTAGTCCTGTAGGCTAGACCAGGCTCGTAAATTATAGACAAAGTGATAAACTGACTATATGGCTACTTGACTAACCAAAAAGTTATTACAGACTGTGATGAATAGTATAGCTAATGCTGCTTGTCTGTTGTTGCCGGTGGAGCATTACAAGGTAGTTCTACTGAAATGGCTAGCGCGCGTCCCAACACCTCCGGTGCACTACAATAAATCTTGGAGCATGCATAAGTTACATAATGCCAACTATGTGTTGATAACTGGGTAGGAGAAATAAGCTAGAGTTTACTGATGCTATTAACGCCAGTATGCAACTTAGGAAGGTCATTAATTTCTATGTCATAGCATAGCCAAACACTAGACATTTTTTGCATGTTGTCGATCATATTTACAATAGCATTTGGAGGACTACGGCTGAAAAACATCCTCACACCACAACACCCGGTTGTCTATGCGGTTTGTAGCACTGCTACTTGACACATATCCGTCCTCTTTTCTCCAATTTAATAGTTTTGGAGACTCAGCTTATGTAAAAGAACATAGACGACATGAGAAACTACTGTGAGTTTCCTCTTATATTGCTGTCTTGTGATTAATCAGTTACAAGTAATTTAAAGAAAACCTTCCTGTGGTTATTAATTGTTCTACATGCTTTTATCCCTAATGGATCCCATTCTATTAGTGTGAGATCGAAAACTCGAGATGGTGGATCAAGCTATATTAAGACGTGAGTGATGTGGTATGTAGACTGTCAGTAACAATTACCTTTGATTTAGGGCTACACACGCAGCCCTAAATGTTTTTTTTTTATTGAGTGGGAAAAAAATCAGTGACTGCTAGATATCCATCACACTTATATCACACCTTAACAACGTGATAATGATTCACGTGACTAAAATCCATCCAAACATCGATTCTGTGTGAGGGAGCTCAGTCTGAAAAATTATCAAGAAAAATTGAAACGCTACTGACGAAGGCCCGGTCATAGAAGACATAGAACCAATACAACTAATAAGAATGTCTACTCCTAGTGTTCAAGTATGTTAAAGATGGGATTAATAACGGAATTGAGATAATGAAATAGGATCGTTTTGCAAGGTGTTTGTTTAAAAGAATATTAGTGGGTTGTGACTTCTATGGAAAAAGAATTGAATCGTGTATTGTAATATTTCTGAAAGGGCCAAATCAACATAATATCAAAATCAACAAGATAAATAGAGATTATCCATAATCAAAGTTAAAGATCAATCATCAAGAGCATGAAATAAAGGTGTATTCTCATAATAATAGAATCAAGATCTCAAATATAATATTCAGAAAATGTTTTCATCAATTAGACTTGTATTATGAAGCAAAAATGTCATCAATTCAACCAACTCAATTAATTTGCAACCAAATACCATGGATTACTATAGATCAGCTCGAAATCATTTCAACAATGCCAATATAATGGATATGGGCGATATTAATCGAAGTTGTTCGACATTCTTTTCAACGTTAATGAATATTCAATTAGACACCTCGAACTTCCCATTTTATCATCTTGATTCTTGAGCATGTGCTGATGTATATATTTTTACTAACTTTTTATTTTAGACTTTTGGTAAAAAGAAGAGTGCTACTGCCGTTGCCCACGTCAAGGCCGGTAAGGGTCTCATCAAGGTTAACGGTGCCCCAATCACCCTTGTTGAACCAGAAATCTTGCGTTTCAAGGTTTACGAACCATTGTTGATTGTTGGTTTGGACAAATTCGCCAACGTTGACATTAGAGTCCGTGTCACTGGTGGTGGTCATGTCTCCCAAGTTTACGCTATCAGACAAGCCATTGCTAAGGGTTTGGTTGCTTACCACCAAAAATACGTTGATGAACAATCTAAGAACGAATTGAAGAAGGCTTTCACTGCTTACGACAGAACCTTGTTGATTGCTGACTCCAGAAGAATGGAACCAAAGAAGTTCGGTGGTCGTGGTGCCCGTGCCAGATTCCAAAAATCTTACCGTTAAAGAGCTTTTGTGTTTCATATTTTTCCAACCCCATCTTTGTCATACTATAACTTCCTCTTTTATTTGTATTAATTTTCAAATATAAATAAAGCTAATGATGTTTTAAATTCATTGTAGTTTTGTAGCAATTTTCAAATACAGATAAAGCTGCTGATGCTGGCCAATGTGCTGTGCAGTAAGTATTGTATGAGGTTTACAAGATATAGTTTTACAACTGGAAAGCAGATACCCAATTCAATCAAGAATCGATGACTTGGATTAGGAGTCCAATTTCCTTTTCCATATCGAGAGGACTATGCTGGTCATCACAGTATTGTTATACTGTACCTACCAACTACATGTTAACACTTTTCTGAAACGTTGAAGGAACAACATAAAATTACAATTATACAATCAAACAAATACAATGAAAGAACAATATTACCAAGATAAGATAATAACGCATCGTCCATGTTTGTATCTATTCGCTATTATTACATGCTTGCAAAATTATTTGCTCCACTAATAGAAGTTTTCTGAAAGATTTGCTTTTATATTTTTTTGTTTTATTCAAATTAAATTGATTCAAACTGTTTAGTCAAACAAACCGAAACCCATGTCATCATCGGATTCTTCAGCTTCTTCTTCAGATTCTTCAGCGGCAGCTTCTTCAGCGGCACCAGCAGCAGCAGCACCGGCACCAGCAGCACCAGCTGGGGCAGCACCAACGCTCATTTGGGTCAACAATTCCTTGATGTTTTGACCTTGCAAAGCCTTGGAGTAAATGTCGGCCCAGATCTTGTCAACACTGATGTTAGCCTTGGAGACCAAAGTGTACAAGTTTTCTGGGGTGATTTCAACTTCACCGTCAGCCAAGATGAGGGCGGCGTAGGACAAGGCAGATTCGACTTGAGACATTATGTAATTTGATAGTTTCTGAACTAGATATAATCACTTTTAAGTGTTAATAACAGACTATTCTTAGATCAGCTATTGTGGTACGGTTTGGTTATATCGCAGTCTCATTTTTGAAAAAAAATTCCCAATTTTCCGTGAGGGAGAGAAAAAAAATAATTTCGAAAACCACCACCAGGAGTCACGTGCTCGTACTTAGGGCTAGTATATGTGACAACGATATTCTATGTCAAAATGGTTTTGATGTATATCGTGGATAAGGATCAAATTGATAAAGCACGAATATCGTGAATAATGCCAGCAACAAACAGTATTAGGGCGTTGGGTTTTTGTAAGCTTTACGTGATAAATATACCGAAGAATTGGAAGAAGAGTCCGAAAAATAGTTTTCAAAATCTTCAGACATGGTTTTTTTTTTTTTGACTGTATTTGATTGTATTTGACTTCTTGTAACTATTTAACAAATTGGGAGGTAGATGGTGCATACAGGACATTGTTTATTCATGTTAACAGGCTTTCTAAAGAAGTTTGACAAATATGGTTCTTTGTGGAAATATAATATGAATGTTATCTTTTTCGTAATACTATCATAATGATGTTAGGTATCAGAATCCAATGGCATAATGTGTTGAGCATTCTAAACAAGCATTTGAATATATATTGGGTAATTCTTCATCCAAGATCTAATCATAATTAATCTTAAAAATGAAAAAAAAATAAACAAATAAAAAGAGGATGAATATCATAAAGAAGCTGTTATATTCCGATAAAATACCTCTCTAAGAATTAGCAATCAGCATCATGGACCTGATAAGTTAGTGTTGGTGAACGACCTCATGCATGCCGACCTAATGCAAACATCTCTTTCAAGTATCTGTGGGGATCGCAATTCCTCTTCATATTTAGCATTCTACAAAACATCACATTTTAAGCTTATTAAATGATCCTTAAACAAAAAATGTTTCATCTCTAAGTGAGATCAGATTCGATCATAACGGACGCCTGAAAATATAAATCATCATAAAAATAGCAAAAAAAAAAAAGCTCCTGGATAAAAGTGATAAAAGTCAAACTCCCTTGAAATGGTAATAATAATGGTGATAGTAATAGTAATAGTTATAGTTATAGTGATAGTGATAGTGATAGTGATAGTAATAATAATAGTAATAGTAATAATAATAGTAATTGTAGTGACAGTAAAGAGGAATAATAAAGAGGAACAATAATAGTAGTAAGAGTAAGAGTAGTGATAAGAGTAACAACGAAAATAATAATAAGAAAGCCTGTGTTCAAACTAGTAATGATAGTATGGATAAAACTAATAAGTATGATAATAATGATATTGATGGTACTGACAAAGACAAAGATAATAAAAATAATAATTTTAATTCTTCAATTTTCGGCAAGAGCATACTGAAAGTAACCAACCTAAAGCACATAAAAACAAACAAATAAACAGAAAACTCATCGTCAACAGTGTCTAGCTCTTGATGTTTTGTTTGGACTTTCTTTCTTCTTCTTCTAATAGCGAAAGTCTAAGAGCTTGCTCGATCATCTTCTGCTCAAGATCGGCACTAGAGTCTGCCCTTGAACTTCTAACTTGACCATTTCCGGTTTCATCCATTAATAAAGAAGAGGCATGAATAGCAGTAGCCGCAGCACTTCTTCTGGCCAATTTCATTCTCGCACTATTTAATTTTCTTTCCCAATCTGGTCTTATGAAATCCGTCGATATAACGCTTTGATGTTCTGATGGTAATGAATGACGACGAGCTCCTTTCTTGACAGGTACTTCAAGGGTATCATTAGTCTCCACAACTGCAGAATCGTCATTGCCAATATCCTTTCCTGGAGTGTTAATCGAGGGCTTAGTAGTAGAGCGCTTGTAATCACAAGGAGGAATGCCATTTATCCCAGTCTTGATATCTTGAGGTGGGGTGTAAGTGATTCCAAAATTAGGCATGGCACAGAAAGGACATATTGCTGGTTCAGATATCAAGTCTTTTGGAACCACAAGTTCACCTGAATTTTGGTTCCTTTCTTCTTCTTCATCGTGAGGAGGATGAGGATCCAATCTCTTAATTTGAACAAAACATTCAGAGCATATTGGCTGAACACAACAGCGAGTATAGTTGAAATTATTAGGATAGAACAAAAAACAGATTGGGCATTCTGTGGCGTCTTTGTATAATCTTAGCAACAAGTCCCTTGAAGGAATGTTTTCTTTTCTAAACCCGTTACCATAAGCAAGCTTCTTTTCTCTATCATATCTTGCTTGTGCTTCCGTTTGTAAAGCAATTCTCTTTTGGAGCAACGCTTTCTCAAAAAGCTGGGCTTGTAAATGCTTTTGATAGTGTTTCGAATTCGGATCGAGAATTGTGGTTTCCTCAATTTCCCCGGATATTGGGGCATGCAATGCAAGGTCATCCAATTCCTTAATCAACTGTTCATCAGTCCAATCATCATCAAGATCTTGCAACGGCAAGTAAAATGGAGAAATCCGTCTTTCAGAGATTAACCCCCTTACAATAGCCGTCGCATAGTCTTGGTTATGAGTGTAAACCCCATACGGTGCCAAAAACCCACCATCAACGTTTTCCTCATGAGACACGATTAAATCTTTTGTCACTTGCTCTTTCAATCCTTCTTTATCCTTGTAATACTTCTTCTTCCTGTAAGTCGCCGATGGATTGAGGATTTCTCTCACAGTTAACGAATTGACCACCGGTCCACCTCTTCTCGCCGCGTCATCATAACTGCCAATGGAGCCTCTATCTTCTTTAGTCGGAACGTTACCCATATTATACACGGCCAGGAAATATCAACTATGAGAAAAGTGAAGAGAAAAAAAAAACAAGCAAACAAAACAAAATAACAAATAAATGGGGCTGGAAAAATCTTGGGTTAGTAAAATGCTCGAAGTCAGCGATTTGTTAATCCAGGGGGAGCAGCAATGACCGAGTGTCTATAGTGTCTGCCTAGTTCACGTCTTGTGACTCCCTTAAATGCTGATATCTTTGTTCCTTAAATTGAAACTTTGGTCTATACCAAGTATTCTATATAAACAAAGTCTTGGAACCACCAAAAATGATCAATCAATACTTGAAAATGGTAGTTGCTTCCCTGTTATGATTGACACTTCAGTTATACAGAGAGAAAAAAATACATACACCTTCGCTATCAAACCTTTGCGTTCCTTCAGGATAAAAAACGGCAAAACAAGATCTCAAGTTTAATTTTTTTTTCTTTTTCTTTTTTCAGGATAAAACCAAAAATATCCTGACAATCTTTGACTGGTGGGTTGGTTTTGGAAACTGAGGGGTTTTAATGATTTGACGTGGTGCGGGCCCAGGTTTTGCAGAAGCACATCAAAATATCAAAAGAGAACTTCGATGAGCAATGCCGGGAAGAGGTCACATGATACAGCGCCGGAACGAGCGACTAACATTCTCATGAGGTAATATATTAGAACTTACACCTTAATTATCGATAAAAACTGAAAGATCTATTTCTAAAAGAGCAATGACAAAAATCTAAACTGACTGAAAGAACTAGAAAAAAAAATAAGAAAGCTGAAATATAGGTAGGGGTTTCACGATTACTCTTAAAACCCTGAAAAAGAAAATAATGGACTAGTTAGAGAACATAAACCCAAGCATAGAGAAGAAAATGCTCTCCAAGAATAATAAATAAGCGGAAGAATGAATAAAATAGAGTCTCAAAAAGTAAGAATGCACAGAAAAGAAAAAAGAAAAAGAAAAAACGTTAAAGATAAGAAGAATGACTAACAGGAGTAAAAGACAAATGAAGAAAATCAAAATAAAAAAATTAGGAACATTATCATCAAGCAAGACCCACACCAAGACCAACACAGATACCGACAATACTCAAAATAGTGATGAACATCGACATACCGGCAGCAATTAATTTATATTTTCTTTGAATGTACCCAACGGATGGATCCAAGAAACCAAAGCACATCACTAGATATAGTGGTGGTACAAAAATGGCTATGAATAATAACAAGATGGCGGTATTTGGGGAGCAAACAGTTAATCCAGAACTGTGACCAGGTGAGCCATATTTCTCGCTACCATAGTCAAAGCTCAACCCTTCGGACACCATTGTTGCATTTTCGTTAGTAGCTCCAAGTGACGGTTTCAAATTGAATGATCTCAAATTGCTTTTGGAATTGGATTTGAATTTGCTGCCACGGTTCATGGAGTATGTAGAATCACGGAATGACTTAATTTGGTCAATTGATTCATCATTGATGGATTTGATATATTTATTATTTTGGATGGAGAGAGGAGAGAATGGAGTGGTTGGAGGAACAATTGGACCAGATTGGTATTTATTATGTGTATCAGGGGTGCCATAACTATCATGATGAATCCCGCTGCTTGGTTTAGGATATCCGCTGTTTGAAGTTGATCTGATAGTTGGTTCTTTCCGGTAGTTTTGGTATTGCTGATAAGATACTGGCTTAACAAATATTTTCTTGTCATCTGTTAGGAGATTTGGTATATTTGTGCTAATAGCAGATTGGTTGGCCATAATAGCAGCATCAGTTGCAGCAGCAGAGGTAGCAGCGGCCAAGGCAGCAGAAGTGAGATTATTTGATTTAGATGACTTAAAACTCTCCTGACCTTTTCTAAGGGAAGAGAAGCTACTTGATTGTGTATGGGCAGTATTATTCAAATAAGGAGGGACAAAGATCGAGTCATCATTGACGTTATCAAGATTATTGCCGCTACCACTTGATATAATTTTCCTAGCATTTTCATTTTCATCTTCCTCATCCTCAAGATCCTCGTCAACTTCTCTAACGTTAAGATCGCTTTCTAACTCTTGTAATCTTTTATCATAAGAATCAAACCTATGTGGGTCATCAATACTTTGAATTCTGGTGTGCTGTTGCAGTTGATTCTTGCCAGTCATAAATGTATCTGTTGGTGAAGTGATATTAGTTTGGTATGATGATCTGTAGTTGCTGCCATAGTAGGAACTGTAAGTATTTGTGGTTGTTGCGGTATCTCTCTTCTTGCTGGTTGGTGTGCTTATTCCCATACTCAATGGTGATGATAATAATGGGAATTTTGTTTGAGCTTTACTGTACATATTAGAAAACCTTTTTGGTTGTGACGATGTTTGAGAAGTGAAACTAGTACCAATGTTACCGATAACTGGTTCTTCACTTTCGAAATAGAAACCTTGAGAACCATTGTGATCAGAAATATTTCCAATAGCATTTTCAGAAGCCCTCGATTCTCTTTTTCTACTGATGTCTTCAGACGAAGAAAATGCGCTTGAAATGCTTCTGGATCTGGAATGTGTAGAACTACTTGAATGACGAGGTCTTGCACCAGATGCATATGCAGCAGCAGCCTTTGCATCATCTGAATTTATCGACACTGTAGAATGTGAAACAGTTCTTCTATGTGGCAAACTTGTCAGTTTATCTCTGACCAGAAGAGTAGATGTTGATCCAAAGTTGTCAAGTTTTGGTAGAGGATTATTGTTGATTTCCGAAGTCATGGCGTCCAATAAACTAGGAGTCGCGGTATTTCTGTTTGAAGATGAGCCAATGGTACTTTCCCTATGATCACTGCCCTCATAAATACTTGAGCCTCTTCTACTGTCGTCTGGGTTTGGAGTTGGTGCTGGGGCGCCTGAATTCCTCACACTCTCAGGTTCATTGAGATATAATGAATACATATTGTTCAAAGTGTTGCCGCTATTCACCGAAAACCGTGGCCTCTCGTTGGCTATTACTGGGGCTGTCAAGGAATTTGACAGTAGCGCTGATTGTGATTCTTCTGCTCCAATTTCTGTGCTCGACATTGATAGCTGTCGGCTGTTAACACCTTCTTTTTGCTCGCTGTTTAAGTCGGTCAATGCAGAATGGAAACTTTCATTAGTGGTAAAGGTATTGACACTGATGGCAGATGGAGGATGTGATATTCTTCTATTTGAAGTCGATGATTGTGGCAAATTACGGATATCTGAAGATAATGGGAAAATATCATCGCCTCTTTCGTCTTCATTTTTTTGCCTCTCTATTTCTTCATCGTCACTGAGAATATGTTTGTTGGTTTTTTTCTGATTATCAGATCCCTCTGTTGAAATACTAATAATATCCAATTTCGATTCCACTCCTAAAGCAGGACTTAATCCTATACTTGATCTAGGGGTTCCTTTTGACATTACTTCATCTTTAATATTTCTTCTGCTGAATTGCGGACTACCAATTTTTGTAGTTGGGGTAGTAGCAAATGTTCCACTGATATGTTCTTCATTTGAAGATCCACTGGTGTCAAAGTTTTCTATTAAATGAGAAGACGCCCCTGGATGCTGCAGTTGATGGTAATTATAATAGTAACGGTAATATTCATAGTCGTCATCTGCCTCCATTACTGAATTCGGCGGTAGTGGGGAGGTACTATTGAATTCTGTGCTGGTTTCAGAGAAAGTGGAACTCGATTCTCTTTTTTTCTCACTGTCAGGACTATTGTCAAGATTATTTGTTTGGACGGTTAAATGTGAAGTTTGAGGATTATCTCTTCCTGCAAGGACTTCAAAACTTTTAGTCTTTGAATTGAAAGAGCCGAAAGAAGCTGTGCTGGTTCTGTGAGATGCCTTCAATATCATTGATCTGAATTTGTCTTTTATTGGGGTCTTACCAGTGATGGACGAAGAGTCTTCTTCAGAGTCCTGAAAATCAGTGGATTTTCCCAACTTTTTTGGAGATTCAAACGACATTTTTTGTTGGAATTCGAGTTGATAAGTTGAAATTTAGTGGTTTTATGTTTGGGTAAGGTAAAAAGTGAGTGGCTTAGTAAAGATGTGAAGGAGTAAACGAATGGATCCTTGTGAATAACGAATGTGAAACTTATACTAATTTTAAGCGAGATTGCTCATGAAAATAAATGATTGACAAAATAATAACGAATGAACTGTTTTTTTGTTTTGTTATTTTCGCTTGCTAGACATCTAGTTTTATTGACGGTATTCCTTGTTATACTGGCAAAGGATTCAACTAATTATTCAATAAACAAAAATAAAAAACGAATGAATTTGAATAGGATTAGGGCTCCTTATGGATAATGACTGCCAATGGAGGCCTATCTTTTTGTTGGTGATGTTGTATTTTCTGGATGATCGTGAATTGGTGGTTTCTTCCTGTCCTCTTTGTCTTCAAAAGTTATCCCTTATTTTGCAATACATATAGTATATGTGTATGTATATATTTGAAGTGAAGGATGACGGGATTACTGGAAGCAGTGTAATATATGTGATAGGAAGGGTCTTTGGTAAATGAGAGACGATAATTAATGTTGAAGGAATGGGTGTGTTGAGGAAACAATCAAAGAACAAAAAATTCGATAGGATCCTGTTTTTCACAAATTTTGACCACACACCATCCATTATTGCCAACACCCTGTCCGAATTAGGAAGCGCCGGTGCCTCGACGCTAAAACATTGCGGGTGCATCACCCCTTATAGCGACGCGACTAGACGCGACTGCCGGCAGACTGCATTGTCTGGTACACGTGATTATTGCTACTTGTGCAATGTTGACTGTTTCTATTGTGTATAGAATATAATAATATGAGGTTTTTTGCTGTATTCTGAGGATGCTCCTCTGGATGCTTGGCCTATACACTCGCTTATTGTCAGCGGGGTGACACCTTTTTGTTTGTTTGTTTGTTCGTCTTGATTTTTTTTTTCATTTTGGAGTGGGTATGTGTGGATGAACCATTTTGTCTTTTTTTAGCGTCCAGATTGGGTAAAATTAGGTTCTGGTATGGGAAGAAACCCGCCCTTCATTAGTTTTAGTGCGTTGTGTCTTACGTCCTAACCCAAAAACCCTCCGTTCATACAGCCATTCACCACTATCTGCCGTGGATAGTGACTATATCGATACTATTTGATCAATCGTTAAATATATTGGAGGGTTTACTAGATAACTCCCGTAATGTGACTTCTTTCTTCATTCTGTGGCTGTAACTGTAACTTCTACTTTGAACTACTGATTATTGTTATTAGTTATTCGTCCCATCAGATGGTGTAGCAGCAGTAATAAAAAAATTTTATTGATCAATTTTATTAAAAATAGTAAAAGTCATTGAAACCATTATCATTTAATTAATAGCTGATATGATAGAAGCCTCCCAGTTGACACATAATATAATTTACATCTATCAGTATTTGGGGCTCTCGAAAATAGCTTGCATATTGGTTTTGAAAATAACCACGCAATTGACATAACCATGATTTCTGTAAGCACAATTCTCACATTACAATAATAACATAAATGAATATATGGTGATAGTAATAGTAATAGTAGATGATTGAGATAAAGAGGAATACCAATAAGATATGTTTATAATATTGCTTTTATTTATTAGCAATATGGTGACTAACAGAATTCTATTCCAGAATCTTCAAAAGGAAATTAAAAATTGAGATCATTCATTCACAAAAATATCTCCAGTCCTAAATTCTTTGAAGTAAATCTGACAACAGTTTTTTAGGCAGCTTATTCTTTGCGTGAAAGAATGGAATCTCTAAACTAAATGATCACCCTGCTATGATATTGTCAATCTACATTCTCATCTTCGTGAATAGGGGAAAAAAAAAGAAAAGAAGGAGGAAAAGCAAAGAAATCAATAATATTACAATTTTGTAATCTATTAAATGAGTCTAAAATATTTTTTTCAAGAACTAGCTAAATAAAAAAACAAAAAAACAAACCAAAAAGACTTCCAAAAGAATCCCATTAATCAAACGTTGCAAAAGAAGTCCATATCCTTTTCTGTTGAAGATGAAAATACCCAATTATTACTGAAACATTGTAACAAAGTATTAACTACCGGAGATTCCAAAAATATGATAAATGGAAACCTCTTCGATGAAATATTCACACCCCTCAGTCAATTCGTGATCAGAGCTACAAAAATAATGTGAAAAAAAAAAGAGAAAAAGGAACAAGAGAAGCTCTCAATCATGTTGAAAGACTGCAGGAAAATTCTCCCACCAAAAAAGCGAAAAAAATATCATCAAAAAAAAAAGAAAATACAATTACCGATTTCTAATTTGACACCACCAATATTCCATACATGTATATAATATTCTGGTAAAAGATGCTCTCTGTATTTAAGCCATCAAAAGCTATTATATCTAGTATCTCTAGAAGTTTTTCTAGACCTGTGGTCGCGGCAAAATCACGGCCATCATTTGCCAAACTTACTTGCCAACACAACTACTCAACTAAACCGCGTGTGCAAAAAACTTCAAGCTCTGGCGAAAGGGGCCCAAAATTCCGTTATTTGATAATGATTGGGGTGGTTAGTTATGGTGCCTTGCTATTGGCAATTGATGGGGTTGACAAAAACCGTCCTAAGAACAAATTCTCCGAAGAAGAATATGATCAGCTAGTCCAGGATGGGTTGAAAAGAAAGCAGAAAGCCATTGCTGATAATGAAAGGGTAAACGTTTTTCTCTTACCAAGGGCAACAGAAGCACAAACATCAGAAGAAGAATTGACTAAACTAGGTGCCGACGTGAAGGCGATCAAACTTGATGATTTGATTCAGGAAGAAAAGAAAGATAAAGAATCTAGATATGGTCCATTATTGATCGAATGTGAGCTCTATGATACTAAGGTTCCAGTTGGTACCTATAGCTCAATGATTGGTACCAAATTGCAAGAATTGAAAGAAACTTCAGGAACCAAAAACTTTGTAGTGATCGGATTCCCTGGATCAATTAGCGAGTCTATCAAGTTTGAAGACAAGATTGTTACCGTTAAAAATCTAATCACCTTTGATGATGACAGCTCAAAAGACGATGTTGTCTCCTACTACAATACTGTTCAAAAGGTGAAGAGAATTTCTTCATTGGATCAATTGAATGGCCTTGTCGCCAAATAGATGGAGGTTTTGCATGTAAATACGATAAATATGAACGTTCATTGCATAATGATTGTATTAGAGAAAGGATTATGTATATACCAAAGAATAATCCTGACTTTGGTAAATATTGTAGTGTTATATTAATAATACAGCTACCAAATCATGTCAAAGAGAATTTAGGATACACCAAGTAAGTGTGTGATCACAAGATGACACGCCACGAAAACTCTGATACTTTTTGAGCCTACAACGATAAAAAGACAGAACAATTTCAACCAGAGTTACGTGTGAATTATGGAAAGCAAAGATACAAAAATAGAAAAAAAAATTGTAGTAGATTCTCCTTCAACGCCATATAATTACATTATATATCACGCTTAAGCTAAAGAAGAATTGGCAGTGAGTTCAACATCATACTTGAAATCAAAATAGTGCTTTTCAAAATAGTGCAATCTAATAAAACCATCTTCCCCACCAGAAGCATACCCAGAACCATTTGGATGCATGGCAACATAATTGAGAGGACCGAAATGGCCAGCAACTCTACCGATTTCATCTTGGAAAACCTTGTGGAAAAATCTGGCTTCAAATTTACCTTGCTTTGCACTGGTTGTGGTGACATCTCTGGCTTCTTGACCACCTCCAAGAACAACAAAGTCTTTGACAGGTGTGATAGTGGCAGAATTCATTGGTGCATCAGTTTCGTAAGTCTTCAAAACCTTAAAACTATCAGTATCAACCAAACAAGCAGTCTTATCCTTAGAAGATGTTATAAAGTATGTTCTGTCTTCTGAAAATTGGATATCGGTAATTTGTTTTTCGTGGATTTTCTCCGATGCCATGAATTTCCCGTTTTCAGCATCATATTTTGATATAACACCATCTTGGTGACCAGCAACAATATATTTACCACCATAAGAGTAACCCACAATCATAGCCTTGACAAAGTCCTTTCTGGTAGGTATGTCTAAGATTGGTTCGGTCGACTGTTCGCTCAAGTTATCCTTGTTCAATTTGAATACAAGTATTCTACCATTGAAACCCATGACGGCATCGATGGCCATGAGGATCTCATCTTTGTAAGGGTTGAATTCCACTCTTCTGACAGGTGTTTCTAATGACCAAGTGAACAAACATTCACCAGTTTCAACGTTCCATAATTTGGCACTGAAATCAGCAGACCCGGTAATTGCCAATTTGCTGTCTTCCGAAACATCAATAGTCCAGATGGTACCACTGTGGCCCTTCAAAGTTCCCAATCTTTCACCGTTGAAAGAATACCAGATGGAAGCAACGGTATCCTTACCTACTGAGAGAATCAAATCCCCTTCTTTATTGAATTTAACCTGAGTTAAAGATCTTTCGTGACCTTTTCTTTAGTAAGAGGTGTTAGTATCATACATTCCATCAGCACAGATCTTGCTTGGAGCAGAGTAGCCTGCTGTCTAACAAGCTAAGATAGGATCTTTCACTATACGTACAATAATATTGGTCTCATTGTGTCTGGCTTGAAACTATTGGACTTGAATCAAGGTATTTCTCATCATGAAGAATTTTTTTTTTTTTTCATAGTGCACTGGAAAATTTGATTTTCATGAAATCGCCAGCTTTGGTCACGTGTCGGGAAACAGAAGGAAAGAAAAGAAAGAAAGAAGCAGAGCGGAGTCGCGATGTGCCTAAAGTTAGAGGTTCTTAATTATCTTACTAAAGGTGGCAAGCAATATTTTTCCTGGCAAATAGAACATGAGTGGCAAAGAAGAAAAGGAGGAAAGTTTGAGCTCGGTAAACTCTTACGGACGAAGAACATGGAACCGCGATGCCTATGCAAAACTAGCACAACAGAAGAAAAGCCGACCTGTTAGACCCGATGAGACCTCCAAGAAAGATATCACCCAGCGGAAGGTAAATATTGATTTTGACGCTAACATCAATAAGGTCCAGCTAGTAGATCAGTCGGCGTCTGTGTCGATACACAAAGGGAAAAGCTCGGGGTTTTATTGTGAGATTTGTAACTTGACCTTCAAGGATAATTTGAGTTTTTTAAATCATATCAATTCTCCAAAACATTTAGAGAATTCAGAATTCAAAACCAGAAATTTGAACAAGAACATTACATTAGAAGACATAAGGAAGAAGCTAAAATCGGTACACGACGCAAAATTGCGACAGAAGGAGAATGAGAATGATTTGGAAGTATTCAATTTAAAGAGAAGGATTGAAAATAGGAAAATATTCGAAGATCATGAAGCTGAAAGAAAGCGACAAAAGAAGAAAGAAAAAAAGACTCGTAAGTATGAAACGAAAATAAATGAGGAGAAAAGCAATTCCGTTTCTGCAACCAACAATGAAATGATGGAGGCCATGGGGTTTTCCAGTTTTGGAACTTCAAAAAAATGATCTACGTGGAATGCCATCGGAAGACATATTTAATAACAGGAAAGTGAATTTCTTTCATTTTTTTCTTGGTTCAAATTTGGTGAGTTATAATGTGTAATTAAAGGAAAGTTAAAATGTATAGTAGCGAGAAGAGAAATGTGATTGATTCCCCCTTTTTTAAAAAGAAATACAAGGGCAATAAAAAGTAAAATATAAAAATAAGCAAGGCTCGTAATTCATTCATTCATTTTGCTTTAACGATCAGAAAAGATCTTAAAACGGCAGGTCCAAATCAAGTGGACTTATTACTTAGCAGCCGTAGCCGCTTCAGCTTTTCTGGCATCAGCTGTGGAATTAGTTAGTATATGAGGTTACAAAAGCCAATAAACAATACTCTTCAAAGAACAATCTTCCAATCAATTACTCACCAGCAGCTTGTTTGGCTCTTAATTTCTCAGCATCTGCTTCTAATCTCTTCTTTGGGTCACCGGATTGCTTCTTCTTTTGTTGTGCTTGCTTTTTCAAGTTCTTTTCTCTGGACTTGTCTCTCTGGTTACCTCTGGCCATTATGTTCTGTACTGTCAGAAAAACTATATATATATATATACAAACTCAATAGGATATGAAGCAAAATGAAAATCAGAATCGCGTTTGTCCACTTGATGGTGGTAAAATAATTTCGATGGTATTATTACCCCCCGTGATCTGAGGATGGTCAGGCACCCCTGGTGAGATCGATTGTCGGGAAAATAAAACAAAAACAAAATAATCAGAGGCTGTTGCTGGCGAAGTCAATCTCTGCCTATTTGATCCAAACTCAAAGAGAAAGTTAGAGTTAACAATGTCAGAAGAAAAAGCTACCACACCAGAGGTTTCCAAAGACCCAGAAGAATTGTCTAAAGAAGAAAAACTTGAGGCTGCTAGAAAAAAAGTATGTTTGACATTTAGTATGTATGCACCCTTCATTTGATGTTGAAATCATGATGTTAACATGGGGAATATAGTTTGAAAAATTGAAGAAGCAGAAGAAGAAGAAATCTGGCAAGAAGAAGAAGGAAAAAGAAGAGCAAAAGGACTCAGAAGAAACTAAAGAGGATGACGAAGGAGACGATGATAAGATCGATGATATGAAAGCTCAGCTTGAAGAGCCTCTAGAAACAGATAAGGAAGCTGAAAAGGAAATAAGTAAGGGAGAAAAAGAAGAAGATAAGGAAACAGAAAAAGAAAAGGAAACAGAAAAAGAGACCTTTAAAGAAACAGAAGAAGAAGAAGAAGAAAAAGAAAAAGAAAAAGAAAAAGAAGAAAAAGAAGAAGAAGAAAAAAAAAAAAAAGAGAAGCTAAAGGAAACACAAGAAAAAATAGATGATATTGCAGAGAAACCCAAAGGTGATAGTAGAATGGATGAATTGTTCACATCTGAAAATGCTAATGAAGAATTAGAAGATGTATTCAATAATTTGGATGCCAATGCTGATCCTCCAAAATCAAATGTTGTGCCGACTGCCCCAAATCAAACACCAGCCACTGACGACAGTTTCAATAAAGATGCTTTGATTGAAGAATTACGGAAAAAATTGAAAGAATCTGATGAACAGCTTACAAAATACAAAAAGGAAAATTCTAACTTGAAATTTGAAAAAATGGATTTGTTAGATGAAATTGAAACTTTAAAAGATACTGTCGACGAATTGAATATTAAACTTTCAACAAAGGGAGTCGATGGCCATTCCGATGAAGGGTCAGAAAGAGAAGTTTCGTTATCTCCTGGACCTCCTCAAACCCAACAAAAAAGAGGGTCTATCTTTGGAACTTATACTCCACAGTATCAAATGCCTCAACAACAACAACAACAACAACAACCATCTTCTTTCCAAGCACAACAAAACCAGTACCAGCCACATTACCAAAAACCTACCTACTCTTATGAAGAGATCAAAGCTCAGATAATGGAGAAAGCCAAAGATTGGACATTAGATATGAGAATGTGGAGATCTATTGGATCTGGACCAGTGGTCGAAATATAATGGGAATTTTTTATCTCATTTCTGTATAAATCTACAAATGTCTTTCTTACTAATTTAATGCGTAAGATGATATTCCTGTGAATAACTTCGTTTATTACAAGCGTACTTTAGTAGATGTAAATACGAGCATGTCTCCGCAATTTGATATATATATACAAGTGATTCCACTATACTGAAATCCCAACTCTTGTGTCACAAACACAAAAATAGAAAATGCATTTGCAAAACAACAAAAAGACAACCACCTTCTTTAATTTTATTCAACGTAATAATCTTATCGTTTATCTGAATCTGCAAAGTGGCATACCACCTAAATTCTTTGCTGCTACCTGTTGCAAGTCAAGAATTTCATTGTCATCTGCTTTCACCAATATGGTTTCAGCTGGCTGAAGAGGCTTGATCTTTCTGACATAAAGACCGGAAGCCAAAGCTTTAATTTCAGTAGGACTCAATTTAATTTTCAAATTTGGTTTGGAGACTAACGATATATGACTTAAAACTGGTTGATTGTCTCTGTATTTTAAACTCAACCATAACTTTCTGCTTGATATGTTGTCTGGCGTTATATCAACTGGGGAATTTGGATCATCTGGTGATATATCCGAACCTTTCTGAATGGCAGAAATGAACCCCTGTTTATAAAGATGAAATGAAAGATTCAAATGTAATCTGCTAAGAGGGATTTTGGCAACACCATGTTTGACCATGGTGCAATTCTTCAAATGCGCACAAACATTTGCCAAGTTCACGAGAGACATCTTTAGTTATAATATTGTTGGTAAGCTCAAAGAGAGTATGAAATTTCCTAATTGAAAAACAAACCACACACCTAAATTACAAAATAACGACACAGGTCCCCCTCAAGAATATTATCTCTCCAACTTGTTAGAATCGTCCTCTGCATTTGATTGATTTTCTATGAAAATATTTTTCTTAATTTTTCAATCAAGAAAAATCGGATACCCGCAAATTACTAAACGCACCACCAACATACACCCCTATAGAAAATGAGCGGAATCATTTACAAAAGAACATACTAAAACAAAACAAAAAACAACTAATAATTTTTTTTATGAAATATCGTGGAAAATGAAGTACACAAAATGATATGCTTATAACTAAGATAAGTATTTATCCAAACTTTCCCCAAGAACGTCTTCAATTACCTTCACCAAACCACTTCTGACTTCCATTTCAATCTTTTCATCATCGTCTTCCAATAATTCGGCGATGAATGGAACCAATTGTGGCAACAAGCTCAACCAGCTGGTACCAACCTTAACATAAATGTTTTCAAACACCTTGATAGTGGAGAATTTTTCTTGAGCAGAGCAATCAACCTTCAAATGATTGATTAATAATTTGTTCAAGGCCTTATTATGTTCTGCAACCTTGCTGTTCTTCACGGCCAAAGTAGTGATGGCCTTAGTCAAATGTTTACCAAGCTTGGCATTGGTGTTTTCCAATTGGTTAGTCAATGCCAATGTTATCTTTTCAAATCTAGTATTAACGGCCCAGTATTCATCCTGATCATATCTGAACGAGGCATTCAAAGAAATAAGAACCAAACGTTGGACATTGACAGAGTATTCTTCATTGATAGATACATTCTTGTTCGAGAAATTATCCAATAATTTGTAGACATGGTCAGCAAAATAGGAGTAGTAGTTTGTAATAATGGATTTGAGGTTTTCTTGTAACTTGACAAAAAATTTAAGGAAAATAGAGACTTTAACAAAATCATCTTGTGATTCCAAGTGGTTGTTGTCAAAGGTCCAGTTGACCGCAGAGCTGAAAAGTGGTCTGAATGCTTTGTCATTCAATTTCATCACAAATTGAAGTTCACAATTGAAAATTAAGGTCTCAATTCTGGCAATGGCATTTCTATTGAAGATGGTTTCATCATTACTTCTGATAAATTCAAAGCACGAGATCATAAATTTCAAGAAAATACCAATACAGCCAACTGTGGCAGATCTTTCCAAGCCTTCAATAGTTTGGGTCAAAAGGTTCAAATATAAACCAATTGTTGAAGAGGAAGTTCTTTGGAAATCCTTCGAGTCCCAAATATTGAGCAATGATTTGAACAACACTTTGAGGTCAACATGGGTGAAAACAATATTCAAGATAGACAATTTGATGTCTTTCTTGATCAAGTTTTCATTAAGCAACTCTGTCAAAATTCTGTTCAAATTCGAGCTGATGATTTGTGGCATCTTCTTAATGAAGCACGAATACATCAAACCCACAGAAGTTTCAATCAATTGATAGGTATTAGATTCATCATCATCATCTTCACTTTCATCTTCCAAAGATTCTTCATCCTTGGTGCTTTCCTTCTTCAAGATGTTGTTGCACTTGTCAAACACTTCGAAACTTGGTGGCAAGACCTTCGAAAGGAAGGCAATACTCTTCATACCGATAACAGAGACGATGTTACTGATCAAATTCAAAGAAGAAATAATAAGCTCAGGAGTGTCAAAATTGTTGATCAAGCTAAGATTGTTAGCACCGGTTTTGGTGAGCAAGGTCATGATCTTGGTCATGTACACATTGTCAATACTTTGGTGGAATTTATCAACTAAAGCACTCAAGGTGTCCAAAGAGTTTTGAACAATTTCAAGAACCTCAACTTTTGGAGACTCGCAGTATTCTTCCACAATCTTAACCAAAACCCCACACAATTTGTTACCACTTTCAATACTGACTTCGTTGTCAGAAGTTTCCAATTCAAACTGTCTGGAAGCAAGGAAGATGACATTGGAGATTACAATAGAGTTTTCTTCATTGTAGGTCAATTCAGTCAATTTGATGATTGCTTCAACGAAAAATTTGACAGGCAACAAACTCAAAACATCATTCAACAACTTGTAGAATTTTCTATTGATTTTGCTGGCAATTTCTATCACAGAATCATTTTCACTGGTGATTTTTCTGGAAGACCCGCTCAACTCAAGCAAAATATGTGAGATAATGTTATTGAAAATTGCCAAAAGAGAATCAATATCTTCTTCGGAAGCTCTCGGATTCAACAATAAAGTAGCAACTTGCAATTTCAAGTACGGCAAGCTATGGCTGTTAGTTTCTGAATCGGTAATGATGCTTCTATCGATGAAGTTGATCAAATTCTTTTTCAAAAGCAACAAATCTTGATCATTCATCTCCAAGAACTCTGGACCAAAAATTGGTCTCCACTTAATTTGGTTAACAACCTCCTCGTCAGAATCTTCATTTATTGAAGAGTTAGGAATGAAAGACCAAAGCTGGATGAGTTTCTCAATTGAGGTCAATTGATCAGCAATAGGGAAGTTCTTCATCAATGACTTGACAAAGTCAACCAACAACTTGCATTCGTTGTATTTATGCTTGATTGATGCCTTAGAATATTGTTTCCCAATCAAGAACATAATAATATGAATGGAGTTTTCTGGCTTCAAAATTGTAGATAAAGTAGAGAATAACTTGACTCTACGGTGTCTCGGAACATGGTTGAAAGCGCTGATGAAACTGGTCAACAAGAATTCGATTTCCTCCAATTGGTTCGAGCTAGTGCTTGCATTCAAAGCCAAAGCTGGAATAACTTTAGAGATTGTTTGCTCAATAACATAAGAAGAGTATTCATCATCTTGTTTAATAGTGTAGGCACCCATGAACGTGAATATTGGCATGATGGAATGCAAGATAAACTCTGGTTCCAAAATCGCCAATTCGGAAATGACCAACAATAATTTATTTTGCAATTGTGGGGAATTAGAAGATCTAATAATGGAAACCAACACATCAGCTCTAATTGAATTGGATTCCAACTTAACATTGTACTTGTTCGAATTCTTAATGCTAATAATCAAACAGTTGGCCAAGGATTCTTGAGCATACAACACTGGTAAATTACCATCAGCACCCAAAGTTTCCAAATCGGAGAGCAAGTTGAATAAGCTCACTAACAAATCAGAATTTGGTTGCAAGTCAGTGCCGATTTTTTCAAAAGTTTCCAACAAGATGATGACATTTCTTAAATGAACCTCTGCCAACTTAGTCACTTCGGTCTTCTTCATGGCCTGTCTAGTGCTTGCGGAAGAACGTCTTCTTCTCTTTGGAACATTTTCATTGTTGTTGCCATTCTCACTCATATTGTTTTGGGATCCATTTTTGTAAAGTTGGAAATTACCAAACAACTTAACGAAAACATCTGTGGTCAATGGTAAAGATTGAAGAACCAATAAAGCATCGTATAAAATCACAGTGTCCGCTGAGGTGGAGCTTTCGATAATGCTTTGAGCCAACGCAATTTGGTAATCGAACTTCAAATTAGAGAAACAGGCAATCAATTTCTTCACTGACAAGTCCACCAACTCTTGGTAATTGGAGTTCAAAGCCTTTTGTAAGAAGGTCAAGGAAGTAATGACTGATGTCTTCTTGGAGTCATGTTGTTTGGATTTCTTTCCAAAGTCTAAGAGGTTTAAAATTTGACTTTCAAAATAGCTGAAATCACACTTTGAGTCAGCACATTGATCAATCCAAAATGGTCTTCTTGTCAAATATTCATTCAAGAAATCAGCAAAGATAACACTGGAAGCAGCAGCATTTTTCAAGCTTTTGGTACCAATATTAACCAATCTCATCAAGTTGATTTTGACAAATGGTAAGTTGATAATCTTGGAGTTTTCAGCCAAATAAGCCAATATAAGATCGTTGATCTTCTTGCATAATGACCCAGTATAAATTAAACTTTCAAAGATTTTGAATAATTGATCTTTATCAATGACTAAAGAACTTTGGTTGTCGATCAAAATATCAAGGACTTTGATGGAGTCTTTTGGAGCCAAGACAACAATCTTTGGCCCATTCTCCGCACCAAAGATATCATCTTTAAGAAACAAGTTTTCTGCCATGGTAGAATTTGACTTGGCAACAACAGCATTGTTCTTCAAGATAATCAAAGCCAAAGACGCTTTTTGCCTAATTATTTTGTTCGAGTCGGACAATATGGCCAAGAAAATAGGGAAAACGGTCATCAAGAACATTGAGTCATGCAAATTTTTGAACGCCTCATAAGTCTTGTCCAACGAAACCACACGGACAACCACAGGGCAGTTTTGAGTAAGGGCCACTCTCAAAAGGAAGGTGATGGCATATATTTGGTTTTGCTTGAAAATGTTGCTCAAAAATTCGTCAACAAAATTAAGCTTGACGGCCTTCATGAATAATTGACACAATTTCTTGAACTCTTCATCAATCTCTTTTGTCAATACCAAGAATGAGCCAGCGGCATGCGATGATTCACTAATGTTTTGCTTGAAACTTTGTTTCTCTTCCTCATCAACATCGATTATCACCAGCTTACTCAAGTCTGCGCCGTCAATTTCGGTTTCATCAACCTTCAAACTCGTCAACACATGTTGCAAGTCCATCTCAAATTGGCTAACAGAGAGATTGTACTTTTCAGACAAAATATTGATAAATAATTCCTTCGAATCTTTGGAGACATATTCAATGAACTTGATCAAATTAGATTTATCTTCTATGGAAGTAGTGCTAATCTGGATAACGTCGTTGATGAGAGCCGATCTAGAGGCTGTAGATAATGAAATTTTGCCAAGAACATCATACAAAGATGGGAAAGAATCAAAAGCATCTTCAGAAATGATTCTTCTAGTGATAGAAATGAATAACTTATGGCCATCAGTAGAGTCTGACACCACTAAATTCTTGAAAACTTCTTCGTCATCACTCTTAATAATATTGAACATACTGTCAAAATTTTGACTTGGAAACGCATCTGGGACGCCTTGGATAGATTGATAAATCTTGAAAACAGTAGTAATGGCTGATTTCTTGTTTAATGGGTTGGCACACACTCCTTCAACAACAGCATTGATTATTTCAGAAGAAAGAGGGATAGTAGCAGACAAGACAACCAACATGGTATTTGCTGCCACCTGACTCTCCATCTTGGTGGTTGCCAATAATTGGGCTGATAATTTCAAAACAAGACCCGCCAATTTGTCCAAAAATTCTTCGTTAGTGGCATTATAGGCGAAAGATGACGCCATGGAACTGACTAAAAATATTAATTGATTTGGGTAGACAAAATTTTTGGCAAGTAGGTCTTCCAAATACTTAGTGTACAACTCAACAAATTCAATATCACAGAAACCACCCTTAACCAATGATTCTCTGGTAACTGGGCTACCAGACTTCTTCAAACCAGTCAACCATGAAAACAATGGTGGTAAGTTTGGAATTATCGAGAGCACCTTGGAGAAAATTGGGGTACGATAATAAGGCAAAATCGAAAGAAGCAATGATTCAGCATTATGAATATGGATATAGAAACGACGGACCAACCATTCAACAGAGTTGTAACTTAATGGTGAATTCCAGTATGGGGCTACCAACAATAAGAAACTATCGATGGCATTGTCCAAATCATCATTCTGTTCTTTGGATTGAACATTACGATCAATACCGATCGCAGTTTCAGAAAATAACGAGAACTTAAATCTTTCAAATTTGCTATTGACTTCTTCCAAGTCTTCCAAAGCTTGCAAAGAATGGGATAAAATTGAACTATAATCTTGGGTAGCTGCAACCTTTGGCTCAAAAATTAACGAGGTAGAATGGATCTTTTGACGCTTCTTTCTGTCCAAAACAGTACTAGTACTGCTGGCAGCAATCTTGTTAAGCTGGTTAGCCAAAGACGACATCGCTGGACCTCTTGATATTCTAATTTTGCAATAAAGAAGTTCCGTGGAAAATTATTAAATTGCATGCTCAAAATTTTTCTGCAAAAAAAAAAAAAAAAAAAATTGAGATGCCCAAATTGGCACGTGAGGAGATCTTTTATGAGGCGACGCCAAATCTTTCAGGACAATTATTAGAACCGGTGTTTATATCGAGAAATAATATTGAGGAAATGGCCAGAGATATCTCGAGTATTTTGTCACTGAAAGTAGGGAAAGTCACCCAGACTGCTGGTGCTTCCAAAAGAACAAGGAAGCTTCCACCATCGAAAGTACCTAAGCTTGAGCAGCATCTAGCAGCCGCGTCGAACGCGACCCATTCATGGAAGATTCAACCGTATTTAATCAGTTGCAAACCTTACGGTTTTGATAAATCATGGAGCTATTCTAATGAGCTGAAGCTATCTCTTTGTTGTTTTGATCTTGACGGAACCTTAATAAATACGAAATCAGGAAGGAAGTTTGCCATGGGAGCGGATGATTGGAAATGGTTCAATGACAAGGTCGTGAACAAGCTAGTTGATGCGAGTCTCACTTATGACTTTATTGTTATATTCTCTAACCAAGGAGGTATTGTTGCCAATGACCCGGCTTCAAAATCCTATACCAACTTCAACAAGAAATTGACCAGTATATTGGGTGTATTGAATAATAAGGAAGTCAAGAATGTCCTACTATATGCAGCACCAAAGCTACCGGCTGCCTTGAAAAAGAACCCTGATTATTGTGATAAGCTGCCAGAAAAGAACCCTTTCGTGAGGAACAGGAAGCCAAATACCGGAATGTGGGATCAATTGATGAAGGATCTATCTATTAAAGAAGTGGTAAACACTGCCGTTGATTTCGGTAGTAGTATATTCATAGGTGATGCCGCCGGAAGAAAGAAAGACTTCAGCGATAGTGACAAGCAATTTGCAGAGAATATTGGGATTAAATTTTCCACACCTGATGACTTTTTTGTATAAATAAAATAAAACAATTGCCAGACGTAGATCATATATATATATATATAAAACAAAAAACAAAAAACAAAAAAACAACAACCATTTGACTAATCAATAGACATACAGGCCAATAAATGGACCTGGTAAAAAAAGAAAAAAAAAAGGATTCCCAGAAGATTTCTTTTATGAGTTCTAATTCTTCTTCAAGTAGCTTTCCGCCATAGATGCAAATTGAGAGAAATTGGCACCACCAGAAGATCCTTGTCCACCTTGATGGTTGCCACTTTGAGAGCCCAAGAAGCTTTCGGCCATAGAGGCATACTGAGAAAGACCACCACCAGAAGAGTTTTGACTACCTTGCTGAGAGCTCTGGTTACCTTGCTTAGAACCACTGGAGCCTAAAAACCCTTGAGCCATGGAAGCGTATTGTGAGAAACCACCACCTGAGGAATTGTGACCGCCTTGTTGCTGAGAGTTACTACCTTGAGAGCTCAAAAATCCTTGGGCCATGGAAGCATATTGAGAGAACCCGCCACCTTGTTGAGAGCCATGCCCTCCTTGTTGAGAGCCATGCCCTCCTTGTTGAGAGCCATGCCCTCCTTGGGAGCCCATAAATCCTTGGGCCATGGAGGCATATTGAGAAACCCCACCAGATGATTGATTAGAGCCATGATTGCCTGAAGATTGATTGGAACCGTTACTTTGGCTACCAACAAAACTATTGATCATACTAGAAAGACCACTGTTCCCTGAAGAGCTACCATTACCAGAGCCACCTTGAGCAAAGGAGCCAAGTAATGAGGATAATCCACCAGCACTACCACTACTGTTATTACTACCACCACTACTACTACCCATGGACGAAGCAATAGATGCAACCATAGGACCTAAAGAACCTAAACTTTGGGATCCAGAACCACCGGTTGAATGACCACTGTTGCTCATAAATAATTTAGACAACATAGAGAACTTACTGGAGGTTGAACCACCACCGTTCAAAAGCTGACCCATGATCATACTAGAAAGACCTCTTTCGTTTTCTCCTAAGGATCTGTCCTGAGACACAGAACCACCCAAAACACTGGACATATGTTCCAATCGGTTGTTCAAATGGGTTTTAAGAGATTCATCACGCTCATGTTGCTCGTTGAAAGTCGCCGCTTTTTCAAAAGCGTTGGCAGCAGATTCGTACTTTTGTTGCTTCAATTCCATTTCCCCAATAGCAGCATGAGCATGAGCAGAGTTTGGGTTAGCATTTAAGGCCTTTTTGATATCAGCATCAGCAAGATCAAGGTTTCCTAGACCAATATACGCTCTAGCTCTGTTGGCCAAGTATTGTGGGTTGAACTCTTCATTGAGTGCACCATTGAAATATTTCAAGGCTTCTTGGTAGTTTTCTTTGGAAAGAGCGGCTTCCCCCTGGCGATTATTGGACGACATTGTGTTTAGTTTCAGAGAGTACTTTGAAATTGCCATCAACAAATGGCGGGGGGCAAGTTACCAGTATATAAATCTATTATATGGGGAAGGGCAGTACCCGACCCAGCAATAAATTACACACGTGACAATTTTCCCCTCCGTTCTAAGCCTCTGGCGATGGAATTTCGTCACCAACAGACAGGTTACGGGTTGTTATAGTGGTAGAAACATGAACGATAACATGGCCAGACCGATTGTCCCAATTCCTGATGTTCCTTCGGAACCATACCCATTGAAAGAAGCTAGCCATATTGTGTCGGGTTTCGGCAGAGGCTCGTCAGATTTGGGGATCCCAACGGCGAATGTGCCAATTTCCACTTTGTCGGAAGAGTTCAGAAGTTTGGAACCCGGGGTGTATTTTGGGTTTTGTCGGTTGAAAGAAAACAAACAAACCGAATTAGTTCAACCAACTAAAGGTATTGAAAGGAAAGTGGTTTTCAATTACGGGTGTGAGCTTAACTCTGACCAAACATCTACAGTGTACCCTCATGTAATGTCAATCGGATGGAATCCATTCTATAACAACAAAGAAAAGACTGCAGAAATTCATATAATCAATAAGTTCTCTTCAGATTTCTATGGGGCCAATATCAACTTTAATATTCTAGGCTATATACGCCCAGAATTAGACTATACCACCAAGGAAGCGTTGATCGAGGACATCAATATTGATATCAAGACGGCATTGAAATATTTGGAGAAGAGGGGGTACAAGGACTTTAGTGAATATCTATAGAGATCAAAATACGAACTATCTTGGATAAACCATTATAATAAATAAATGATTACAGCTTTGTAATGGATCTGTGGACCCACTGGTGCGGTGCACGGGGTGTTACTGCACCAGAGAAAAAGGGGGTGCGATGAGTAGAAAATTGCACAAAAAAAAAAAAATTTTTTTCATTCACCTAAACTTAGAATATTATTATCATTATATCACTTTGATTGCAGGATAAAATCAAGTTACAATAACAAATATGCCTAGTACACATAATAAAGATAAGCCTTGGGATACCCCAGATATCGATAAATGGAATATCGAAGAATTCACAGAAAAGGACAATATTTCCGGTAAACCTTTTGCTGAGGAATCGTCGTTCATGACATTGTTCCCAAAGTACAGAGAAGAATATCTTAGACAAATCTGGCCAGAACTCACCAGAGCCTTAGACAAAAAAAATTTGGCTTGCACGTTAGACTTGGTGGAAGGGTCTATGACTGTGAAGACCACTTTAAAAACCTATGATCCGTACGCTGTGTTTAAGGCGAGAGACTTGATCAAATTGTTAGCTAGATCGGTTCCTTTTCCACAGGCAGTAAGAGTTCTCGAGGATGATATTGCTTGTGATATCATAAAGATTGGTAACACAATCTCGAATAAGGAACGTTTCTTGAAAAGAAGACAAAGATTGGTGGGACCAAAGGGTAATACTTTGAAAGCGCTTGAGTTATTAACCCAATGTTACATCTTGGTTCAAGGTAATACAGTCAGTGCCATGGGTCCATTCAAGGGATTGAAAAATCTCAGAAGAGTTGTGGAAGATTGTATGAAGAATATTCACCCAATTTATCATATCAAAGAACTTATGATTAAGAGGGAATTAGCCAAGAAGCCTGAACTAGCCGAAGAAGACTGGAGTCGTTTCCTTCCTAACTTCAAGAAAAGAAATGTTGCTAGAAAGAAGCCTAAGCAAAAGGCCAATGAAAAGCAGAAAGATAAGGTATACACACCATTCCCACCAGCACAAACTCCTAGAAAGATTGATTTACAAATTGAAAGTGGTGAATATTTCTTGAGCAAGAAAGAAAAGGAAGAAAAGAAGTTGACTGAAAAGAGAGCTCAACAGGAAGAGAAGCGCAAGGAAAAGGAAATTGAAAAACAAAAGGATTTTGTCGCCCCAGAGGAAGAAGAGTATGTGAGGGTCTCAAAACGTAAGAGAGACGAAAAAGATGATGGCGAAGAAGAAGAAGAAGAAAAGAAATCAAAGAAGGAGAAGAAAGAGAAGAAAGAGAAGAAGGACAAGAAAGAGAAGAAAGAGAAGAAAGAGAAGAAAGAGAAGAAAGAGAAGAAGGAAAAAAAGGAAAAGAAAGAAAAAAAGGAGAAGAAGGATTAAGAGTGATAAATATTCAACATTTGTATCTATAATATATGACGGTTTATTATTAGATTACTGTATATTATTCTAAGAAAACAGGTCCACACCCAGTGAAAAAGATTTTTGGATTCAGTTGCAAGCACCGGTGAGATTTGATGCATAGATATTCTCTCAGGAACGCAATTGCTCTTCGTTATATATATATATATGCCTGTGTAATTCTTAGAAGTATATAAAAGGAAACCCCATCAAAATGCTGGAACTCCGCACTGAATAAAAATGTTGGAGTTGTCACATGCACGTTCTGGAATTTCAAAGGAAAAAACAAAAAATATAAAAAAAAAGGGCGTAACTTCCCCATTTTCCCTTGTTCTCATTCCAATCAAAATTTATCTTACTTAAATTATAACATCAGGCAATTGTTGTTGAGTCTAGAAAAGATATATTATTGGAATTATACCAATTTCCGTTTATTTTTAAATTCCTTTGGCCACCAATTTCACTGTCGTGTCCTTGTTTGCAAATATCTTCTATTTCCAAAGTAGCAAATTTCTATTTTCATACAAAACTTTCCCCACAACGATGCCTTCTCAAGAACAAATTCCAATTTCCTCCGCTCTTGATGAAGACATAGCCTCTTCTTCTGCAATTGAGGAAGTCGAAGGAATGGACGATGAATTGAGACCAACTTTGTTAAAAAGATCCTCCTCTTTGTTTTCATTGTCCCAGGGTCCTCCTTTACCGCCTCCAAATGAGAGTGATTACATTGGTTTCTTCAATGACACTAGACATTTCAACATGATCAGATCATTACACTTGGCTGACTTCATCACCTGTTTAAACGGTTTCTCTGGTTTCTACTCAATCATCTCCTGTCTTAGATTCACCCTCACCAACAAGCCACATTACGTTCAAAGAGCCCATTTTTTCATCTTGTTGGGGCTTTTCTTTGACTTCTTTGATGGTAGAGTCGCAAGATTAAGAAACAGATCTTCTCTTATGGGACAGGAATTGGATTCATTGGCTGATTTGATCAGTTTTTGTGTGGCTCCAGCCTCAATTGCTTTCAGTCTTGGTATCCAAACAACCGTCGACGTTCTTCTATTAACCTTCTTCGTGCTTTGTGGCTTAACTAGATTAGCAAGATTTAACGTCACCGTTAACAATATTCCAAAAGACAAGGGAGGCAAATCTAAATACTTTGAAGGTTTACCAGTCCCAACCAGTTTGGCTTTAGTTGGTTTAATGGCCTACTTGGTTTATAAGGGCCAATATGAATCAGAATTAGGATTGCCTTTTGGAACTTGGTTAACAGGAAGCTTCTTTGAATTCCACCCTTTTTCTTGCTTGTTCTTTTTTCATGGCTGTATGATGATTTCTAAAAGTTTGCACGTCCCTAAGCCTTGAAAAATTCTTGCACTTTGCTTTCTCATGATTATTTTAATAATTTTTTTTTGTTTTATTACACTTTTAATCAAGTATATCTATCTGTGAATATGTATATCAGGATATCTTCTCCTATAACAATAATTACACGCAATTCTCATCATGTTTTGATATTGTAAGAGATGAGCTCACAAAACTCAAGCTGTATTGGTAGGTGAAAACAATTAAGTAGAGAAATTTATATTGTTAGTAAATGGTTTCAACACACACTTATGCTATTCAAAATAAAACGAAAACTATTTTGGACTATAAATGAGAAAAAAAAAAAGCTCAAAAAGTGAAGAAGTCAAAAGAGATAAAAAAAAAATGACAATAAGAATAGTCTTAACAAAAATATATAATCATCTCCCTTTATCAAGAATAATAATCGTAATAAGCATCAGTTACGGATCAAAGAAAACAGTCAACTAAAACGTCTTTACCAGCAAGGACTTTAAACCGCAAGAAATAGAAAAGGAAATACCACCAAATAACATTGTCCTTATCATAAGTTGAGGTCAGTCAATATATGATCAGCCAATGTCTTATAGGCCCATGCGTTACCACTCAATTTTTTCAATTGAACACCAAGTAAGCTCAAAATCGGAATTTTAACAATAGATATCTCAAACCTGATTGGATTTCTTTGAACTGGCTTGCCACTCTTGCCTTGATTGATTCTGGAAGATAAAATCATATCACTAGCACCAATCCCACTTAACGACTCTAAAGAAGCACTGGATTCACCATCCATGGAATGATTTGGATTTGGTGAGGTTGGTGAGAAAAGGATTGGAGTCGCAGGAATCTTTGGAGTGGCTGGTTGCTTTTTAAATCCAATACTAAACTTCCGTCTGTGGCCTTTACTACCAGTACTAATAGAAGAAACGGCATCCTTGGTGTCTGAGTGAGAAGAGTTATGTGAAAAATTGGATGTTGAAATCTTAGTTGTGATAACATTATCTCCCTCAACGGCAGTGTTATTACTATTAGTAGTTGATGCATTATGTGAGCCTGTAAGAGCCTGTTCTTTCTTATTAAGGAAAGTGCAGACAAAGCCACCCTTCACTTCTAAGAAATCCACACCAAGCTTCTCCAAGCTGTTGATAATACTTTGTCTGATAACGGCTGGTGGCTTGGTAGAGGTAGTTTGTACACTGAAAAAACCTTTAAGATATAAAGTTTTGGCGAATTCAATGGAAGGCATTGATCCAGGTTCGGCATTTTTGGCCCTTTCCACAATAGTTGCTTCCGAAAGCGGTTGTTTTTCGCCGCCATAGTTTTGATGAACAAGTTCACCATAAAGATTATCATTAATTTGTGGCAATGGAGGAACAATTTCTTGAAATCCGGTGGACTTCTTGTAACCAATAGACTTAGATCTACCATGCCCAACAGATTTAGCCCTCATAGTTGAAGCTCCATTCTTGTTTGCCGAACTTGGTGCACCATTGTAATTAAACTTATTAATATTGTCAGTATTATTGGCGGTCTCATTCATTGCAGCGTCATCATAAGAATTATCAGTAGCAGAGGTGATAGTATCTTTCCCACTTCTATTATTAGGTCCAGAATTCTCAGCGTAGGTAGCTGCAGACGCACTAACAGCTCTATTGTGGCCGGCCCTAGGTTTTCTTTGGCCTCTCTTTGGCATGTCATTGACAATACCTTCATCAGTTCCTCCAACAAGTCTCAAGGAGCCACTCTTATGGAGACGGGGTTGGCTACTGCTTTCAACAGTGTGGCCATTATCAACATTTTTAGAGACACCGTCATTGCCCCTAGCAGCAGCAGCGGCAGCAGCTTTATCATAGTTGTAAGAAATAATATTTGGTAAGTTTGGGAGCGGTGGCACTGCACTATCCGGAACATAACTTTGGTGCTGACTGTTGTTCTTGCTTCCCGTCCGACGGTGACCGCTCAATCTTCTAAACAAGCCATTTATGCCTGAACCCTTATTTTCATCATCACCACTAGGACCATTATTGATGGATTTCGCTCTCTTTGGCGATAGCTGTTGCTCTGGAATTACGGCTGAAAGTGGAGGTATATCAAGATTTCCTGGTTTCTTGGTACTGAGGATTTCATCATCATTGTTTCTCAAAGTGTGAGCAGCTTCTGGGAAAGATAACACTTCATCCAAATTCTGTGATTGTTTAGGACTACCCAAGGCTTTATCATAACCACTATTAGTTGTTGGCGATTCACGGATCTCCGGAACATTCTGTAATTGTTCACCATGATCCACAGCAATTCTTTGAGATTCCTGGCCTTCCAATTTCTGTTGTCTCAAGTGCCCTTCCTGTGGATTCATCTGAGCCTGTAATTCTGCCTGTTTTTGTTCATGCGATGAGCTGCTAAACTTTTCTTGGAATGGAGAAGTTACTTGCTCTTGATGGGCCATCTCCTTAGCTAGCTGTCTCTTTTTCATTTCATCAACCAAGTAATATATACTTATCAATGGATGTATCCCATTGGTTGGATCTGGAAAATGTGGGTCGCTATAATCTTGTAAAGATCTTGGGATACCACTGGCTGTGAATTTCGCATTCTTTTCATACCATTTTTGAGCACAAAGGGCATACTCTGGAGAGCCCAAAATTTTGGTTAATTCTCGGGCGGTATTTTCCACAGTTCCTAATTCTAATTTCTCAATTTCTTTCAAAACTTCAGGGTTTAAAGGCAATTCCAATGGGATACGGTAAGGAACATATGAGTGAGGTCTTGAATCATAGTTCTTGTTCATCCATGGATGGTTGATGATTTCTTTCAAACTGGCTCTTTTCTTTGGATTAACAACAAGCATTCTAGATAATAAATCCACGCATTCTTGGGATAACGAGGATGGATATTCGACATTACCTTTTTTGATTTTCTCGTGCAAGACACTTACTGACTGGTCATCGAATGGGACCTTACCACAAACCAAGACAAATAAGACCACTCCAAAGGACCAGACATCCACTTCAGGGCCGATATAAGGGTGGGCAGATAAAAGTTCTGGTGCAGCAAAATACAAGGATCCACAATAAGTTTTTAGCAATTTGTGATAATCAAACAAATTACTCAACCCAAAATCGATAATCTTTATATCCCCAGTTTTACTGATCATAATATTTTCAATCTTCAAATCTCTGTGGACAACGTTATTTCTGTGACAATAATCCAATGAAGAGGCAATTCCTCTAGCAAATTTTCTGGCATGACGTTCCCTTAACGAGCCGTGTGAAACGATGTAATCTAACATTTGACCCCCTGAAACAAATTCAAACAACATATAATAGTGGTTCGTCATCGGGATCATTTCATATAATCTACAAATATATGGGTGGTACAACAATTTGCCCAACGCAGCTTCTCTAATGGTTCTCTTATCTCTAGCCACCTCTTTCTCGAATTCTTTCATTCTTTTTTGATGTTCGGCATTATCTGCTGGGGGAGGATCATTGGCATGGGCCCTTTGATATAATTTGGCAGCTCTTGGGACAATTTTCACTGCACAAATCTCCTGAGTACGACGATGTCTAGCTTCTTTAACCTTACCCATTGATCCAGCACCAATAGTTCTGATAAAGTCCCAGTCACCAATGGCCCTACGATGAAACTGTGGAGGTTGTTGTTGTTGTTGTTCACCATGGCGATGCGAAGAGTGTTGATGATTATGATTATTACCATTGGTATTTGGTGGAGATGAGGTCTTACTACTCCCACTTTGGTTCGTTTGATGTCTTGATTGCTGTTGTTGTTGTGCTTCACTCGGATTATAAGGTTGTGACTTTTGATCGATGACTGGGTTTGCGGTTTGCGTGTTCAAAGGTTCTAACTTTGGAACATTTTTGCTTTTCGGTGGTTCCTGCAAAGGAAATATATTTTGGGTAGTATATTGTTGAGGAGGGCTTGGGAAATAATTAGGCATAGAGTAATCATGACCAGAGAGTGTTTCTGTTTGCGGAACCGGTGGTGATCCAATTTCGACGTACTGTGGCTTTTGCGGATCATTGACCGATAACCTAGATGACGCATTCTTGAGCATTCTTGGAGTTGCTGGGACCCTTGAAGTAGGTGAAGCAACAGTAGTGGCTCTTTTTCTATTTCCTGGTTCCACAGGGGAAGCGAATTGAGGGTTGTAGCTATTGTCGTGTTCCATTGTTAACAGTTGGCAAAAATCAATCAGCTAAAAATATACATCAAATTTTTTGACAGATGAAGAGTCTTGAATCACTAAAAATTATCGGTGATTGCAGATAACGCCAACAATATATCAACTAGAGCAAGTAAATCAGCTACCTTTGATATAATTGGACCTTGAATCTGAACTTTTCTTGATTCTGGGTGCTTTAACTTCTGTCTACTCAACTGTAGTTCGCCTCGTTTGTGCCACTGGAGACGTTTAAGATTTGAGTACGATAAGTATAAGGAGCTGTATTGGCGCGAGAAATTGAGCACTTTCCTTTAGACACTGAATAGTGGATACTGTTCCAGTGTTCTAATTTCGCTAATCGAAAGTGTGTGATTCGCGGATAATTGCAATTGGAATCTCAAACAATGTGTTTGTGACTTCGAATGCGAGTTGTTGTTATTTTTTTTTTTTCAGTAGCAATTGACGTTTCTGGAAAGGGATAGACAGACGTGTCACGTGTAGCAGGGTTCTGCACCCCTGTTACAGCCCACTAGACGAGGTTAATTACAATTTATAAACACGTAGAATGTATATATTAATCGTTGATTCTTATTGGAGATTGCAAGTATTGTTCAATGTGGAATTCCATAAATCTCTGCCCTGTACCTCATGGAGGAAGAGATAACGTACAATGCAAATATTGAGACGATTCCGTAGGAAACCTTGCTTTTTTGCAATAGAAGTTGAAATGTTTGTCCTAATATCAAGAACAAGAAGAAATATGCTGACAAGTAATTATGAGACATATAGGTATTCCCCAAAAGCAAGAATGGTGCGTAATGGAAAACCCAACCCAAAATAAAGTCGAGCACGTAATGATTGAACCTTAGAGTGGCAAGCTTTTCCTTGACCTCCTGAAGGGTTAATTTAGAAGAGTCTCTCTCCGATTTTAGTTGAGCACTGGATAGAAGCATATTACCATACCATTTCAAATTGATGATGAGCAGTGCCACATTTAACACAATAAAGATTGCTATTATAGCAAGACCAGCATACTGGACAATCAAACTTGTAAAGAACCTCAAATTGATTGAATGAGGCTTCTGGAAAAATAAAAGAGAGTTGTCACTCACGAGCCATTCCTCAGGTGATGTCATGGTTGGAACATCTCCAATAAACATATTGCGGTTCTTAGCATATTTTACCACCGATTCGCAGTATTCAATGAATTTTTCTAGCATGTTCAATTTATGAATTTTGACTCTAGACTGTTCCACATTGTTATCGAGTAATGGATGGGAGTTCTTCTCAACGTAAAATAAGGATTTGGTCTTAGAAGCTTCTTTAACGCAAACAACTTCTTGTTGATTGGACCCCCAATCTGGCAAGGTAATATCATGAGACAATAAATGGCACTTATGAGCTCTGTTCCAAAGCTTGAAGACTGAGCCAATAGGATGGATAATACTATCGCCAGGAGCATTGTCGATTCTATAATCAGAATGATTGATCTCATAACTAATGGACCAAGTATCCTCACTATCAGATTGGTAATCTTCACCGCCTTTAGCACTGACTTCATAATGATATTCTTGTTCAGAAACTGGACCTCTGATATCACTGACGTGTAAATACTTTCCAGTGGTAGCATGTTTCAATCTGATAATTTGGCCTTCAGAAACAAATTTTTTTTTCGAATATAGATCAGCGTTCAATTTTTTTGACTTATATTCAATAATCCATTCGTTGTTCTCGTCCCTAAAGTTATAGAGCGTAACTTGTTGCCCGTGAGATCCTGAGGAATAATTTTTCTCGTGAGAATGTAAATAGCCACCAAGAGATTCTAAATGGCGAATTGTAACTCTACTACCATAGAGAATATTTAAAGGAATATCACCGAACTCCTTATCCTTCGCGACTCCTAAATCGTTTCCCAACAAATTACCTTGGAAAGTAGTACTCATCAATGAGTAACCTTGATCATCATGAACAGAATTGACCTTTGATAATAACCGCAAGCTTAAAATATTGATCGAAAAAAATATGGCTAATGGGACGATTATCACAAAAAAAAATTGTGCGAATAAGTATTTTATTAAGAACCGTGGCTGTTGGCTTTTAAGGGTTAAATCACCCATAACGAGCCATGTTTTTTTCAATTGCAAAGCCAAAATCCACCCAAGGGTTAAGAATCCCGTGTATTTGATTGAGCAGGTGATTCCCAATCCCAATCCCAATAAATAAAAGAGCTTGAACCATGATCTGGAGAAAATACTCAATTGACCAAGTTTCACATAGCATAAAGTGACAAAACAGATTGAACTAATCAAGAAAGGTTCAATAACAAAAACTTTAGAGATAACAATATTTGCAGGATCAAGTAACAAGAGAATGCTTGCGGCAAGAGATGTATATAAGGCACAACCAGCCATCTTCAATGTGAAGTATGTCATAAAGACCGTGAAAATCCCTTGGAGACAAGTGACAAATCTTAACAACAAAAATGGAAAATCTGGAGGAAATTCTGGAGAATTCTCAAATTCTGAAAGATTCCCATCAAATCCGAATATTGATACCACAAATGCAAACACCATTTTCACTAATGGAGGATATAAGTCAATATAGAATTGATTTTGCAAATAATTCACAATTCCAATCACACTGCTCTTCTCTTTAAAAGTCATTTTTGGGGGAAAATCGAGTTTATACATTCTGGCAAATAGCGACAATAGTAATAATATCCCCAAGTTTATCAAGTCCTTTGTGTTAATCGTAAATGGCACGTTTTTCAAAGTTGATAAATAAAAAGGTCTTGGGAACTCATCTTTATACTGCAATTCGAAATGTCTCAATTCTTCAATCAACCTTTGTTTTTCTGCAGTATCACCTTTGGTCAGATTTTTCGTTACCGAAGACCCTTGCTTCTTTGATTTCTTCGTGGAGCCCATGGCACAGTATAATGTGTCTGGAAAGTTGATCTAACCTTTATGATCTGCCAAAGTTTCACTTTCCTTGAAGTGTTCAAAAAACGCATACTGGGTATGAGCCCGGTATGCACAATAATAGTAAACAGTGACACTTGCAATCTCCTGGAAGATCTACATGTTCTCGAGGGGTTTTTATTGTGCTGTGAGGAAATTGAGGGAAACTGAAAAGTTAAATGAGTGAAAAATGATGTCCAGACAGAAGATCTTCAAATCCCTTCAAAAGCAAATACGACTCTTTTCTCTGACATCCGTTTCGAATGCCGATTATTCCCATGTGGTTATTGGTGGTGGGGCGGTGGGGATTGCAATAGCCGGTGAATTATCAAAGCGTCAGGACAATAATGTTCTAATCATTGAAAAAAACGATAAATTAGGTCAAGAAACGTCTTCTAGAAACTCTGAGGTTATTCACGCTGGTTTATACTACCCAATTGACTCTCTCAAGACCAAACTTTGTATAGAAGGTAGTAGACTCATTTATGATGAGGCATCGAGAGCAGGAGTTCAAATGTCCAAAGTTGGGAAATGGATAGTTGCTCAAAATGACATTGAAGATGCGTACCTTGAGGGCCTACACAGTGCTTGCAGTCATAAAGGTATTCAGACTGAGTTTCTCTCATTACATGACGCCAAGTACATCGAACCGGCCATCGTTGCCAATCGTTCTATCTTGAATTCGCCAAACAGTGGAATTGTCAGCGCTCATTCCCTCATGGACTATCTTTATAGTATATTTCAAGACAATGGTGGTGATCTTGCAGTCAATTCTGAAGTTCTTGGACTTTCAACTGTTAATAAAAATGACGGATCTGATGGGTATGAAATTCAGGCCAAAGATACTGTGACTGGTGAAGAAATAACTATCACTTCAGATGTGGTGATCAATTCTGCTGGGTTATATTCCGATAAAATTTCTAATATGTTACTACCTGAAGATCGTCATGTTAAGTATACTTATGCAAAGGGAAATTATTTTACTCTAACTAGAAGCCATTTGCCAGTGAAAAGACTTATATACCCAACACCAATCAAGGGTCTCAAGGGTTTAGGAACTCATTTGACAATTTCTTTAGATGGTCAGATAAAGTTTGGTCCTGATCATGAAATCGTCTCTGAAATCGACTACTCTCCCAATTCAAGCAATATTCCAAAGGCATACGAGCAAATCATTAAGTATTATCCAGGTATACTACAGGAAGATCTTGTTGCTTCTTACTCAGGAATTAGACCTCAGTTGCCAAACCCTAAAGGAGAATTCCAGGACTTTATAATTAGAAAGGAGGAGGGATATACAGGTTTCATCAATTTGTTGAATATTGATAGTCCTGGGTTGACAAGTAGTATGGCCATCGGCAAATATGTTCGCGATTTATTATACAAATGATCATAATACTTTTGGTCAGGCATTATAAGAGAAGTCTCAGTTAAAGTAAAAAAGTCGTATAAACTTACATAAACATGGAAACAAGAAAAAATAAAAATATATTAGTATTGCAATTTTGAGAAAATAACGATGGCTTAAAATAGTTGTAGAAAAAAAAAAAAAAAAAACAATAACAAGAGATAATAACAAGAAAGAACTAGAGAGAATAAAAAATAAAAAATAAAAAAAAGGCGAATTGAAAGAATAAAAAATAGTGTTCCTTAATCATACTTAGATTTAAATGCCCAAGATGACCCAACATCTGACTCTCCATGTCGGGTTTTCATAATTCTATAAATATGAGCAAGTCTTCTCTTTCTATGGAACTTACTTTCTTTCCCGTGTTTTTTACCAAACCCATACCCGTTGCTCAACCCTTCAACTGCCATAAGACAACAATCCCTGTCGAATGATAAATGGGCCGACAATTCAAAAATGTTGATGGCTTTGTTGAAATATTTCTGAACGTGACATGAGTTTGCAATACCATAGAGGGCAAGACCCAAAGAAGTTTGGTTATCTTTTTCAACAAAAGTTGATACAAACATATTGAGCTCTTGGTTAGTGATTGAAGTATTCATAGAGGCGAGAGATGGGGCGTACACGGAAATCAGAGTAGGAATTGACCCTGTTGGATTTTTCCGCTCGGCTTCCTTCAAATAGTCTAGCAATCCATCAAAATAATGACTATTGTGCAAAATTTTAAGCACCAAACTGTTTCTTGCGCTTCGGCGGAAATATCTCATGACATCCTGATCTTGAAATTTCTGCTGAGAAGAGAATTCGTCATTGGCAGCCCCATCGGTGAATTGAATTAGCCAATTTGCATATAGTGCCTGGGATAAGGGGATGGGAAATCCTCTTTTATTGGAAACACTTTCTAACACTTTGACATTGTTACTCTTCTCTTTCAACTTCTCATTATTATCAGTATTTTCTTTGAAAAATGAGACTGCTTGTTTGAATAGATCTAAAGTTTTCACCAAAGGCGCAAAATATTTCAAAAGTAGCGCTAGCTGTTTTGAATCCTCAAGGGTGTAGATATCAATATTATCAATGAACTCGTGATCAAGCAAGAAAGTCTCTTCACCATACTTATCACCCCCTAGTAATAACCAATTCATCAAAACATTACATTGCTTTTTGGTGGTTAGAGAAACGCCTTTTTTAGAGAAAACATGAGAAACCACCCCGCCAAACAAGTATATTTCTGAAATTTCTTCCCAATTAAAGTTATCAGAATCGTAATAATGATCCATGAGATATTTACTGATCATCATCAGTTTATGATCATGTTCTTCATTTTTATCAAAATTATTTCTCATCATTTTCCACTTTGTGCTTATTTTTGAGGTTGAAGATGCGGTGAGTGAGGATTCATCATCGGATCTAAAGCTTGCATCGCTCGCGATACTCAAATTTGGGGATAATGGCAGAGGGATCTGCAAGTTTTGTCTAGAAGCCGTGTTGATTTTGAGGGCATTGAGATCATCTTCAATTCCAAGAGGTCCTTCCAGACTTTGAGTGGCCTTTACAGGTGACGAACGTCTGGAGGAGGAGGAAGATGGGGCTGGTTTCTTCTTAAAGAAATTCCTAAATGATTTCTCACGTTTTGGATGATCGATGGAGACCCCGTTATTGTTGTAGGCTATCACCTCATTATGTTCGTTCTGTACTTCAATGTTTAGGAAGCTCGGTCTTTGTTCAAAGCTGAACTCCGTATCAGATCTCCCTGGCTCGTTGACCATTGGGTGTTGATTGGCATCCGATGAATGGTAGTGGGTATTTGAATATTGTGTCATTATTCCGCAGCTTCCTTGTAGTGGGGAAAAGAGGGGGGAAATGAAAAAAAGGGAAATGAAAAAAGTAAAAAATAGATGACCCAAATAAATGACCCAAATAAATGGTTTTTGCTATCCAGTTATAGATGAATAAACCAGTCAGCACTTATATATAAAAACACAGCTTCCTCCAGCAGCGGTCAAGAAGCCAAGCCTCGTCGTCGTCATCGTCTTCCAGTTGGCAGCGGTCAGAAAATAAAAATGCCCTTAGCACTTTTTCTTTTATGTCACGTGCACAGATTGCGACCCTATTTCACCGCCTCTTTAAAACATTTGCACGATGGCGATGGGCGATGGGGGCAGCACTAGGTAGCCAGGCAAGTTCGTGACAATGCTGGACATAGCTGCGAATTACACTAAAGAGAAGAAGGTTGGTGAAGGTACATATGCGGTGGTGTACTTGGGGAAGCAGGTCAAGACCAAGAAACTCATTGCTGTGAAGGAGATCAAGACTGGGATGTTCAAGGATGGTCTCGACATGTCGGCCATTCGGGAAGTAAAATACTTGTTGGAACTACGCCACGAGAATATCATTTCATTACTTGATGTATATTCCTCAGAAAATGGGAACTTGAACTTAGTGTTGGAGTTTTTGCCCTGTGATTTGGAAGTGTTGATCAAGGACAAGAATATCGTGTTCCAGCAAGCCGATGTGAAGTCTTGGATGTTAATGATTCTACGAGGGGTCCACCATTGCCACAGAAATTACATCCTTCATCGAGACTTGAAGCCTAATAACTTGTTAATATCACCGACAGGGGAGATCAAAATCGCCGATTTTGGGCTTGCTAGGTCACTTGGCAGTCCCGGGGAGAACTTGACGGCGAATGTGGTTACCATCTGGTACAGGGCCCCAGAGTTATTGTTCGGTTCACGACATTACACATCATCGGTGGACGTTTGGTCTGTCGGGATCATCTTTGCCGAATTGATGTTGAGAACTCCTTATTTACCTGGGACCAGTGATGCAGAGCAGCTTGAAGTTACATTCAGGGCCCTCGGTACCCCAACAGAGAAAAACTGGCCCAATGTGTCTAAATTGCCATGGTATAATAGTCTTAAGATATACCCACCACCTACAAGGAACGAATTGAAAAATCGTTTCATTGCTGCCTCTGGGAGTGCGTTAGACTTGATGATTTCTTTGACTCAACTTGATCCCGCCAAAAGATGCTCTTGTGAAGAGGCGTTACAAACAGTTTATTTCACGGAATTTCCAAGACCTACAAAACCAAAGGACCTACCTAAGAAAAGTTCGTGAGAATTGGACATATATGATGGGTTGCTTGTCTTTTGTATTTGTATTCTATTTTTTCAACGACCGTGTTAAATATATGGTAAATATAAGTACCCAGAGTAACGAAAAAAAGAAAATAGAAAAAAAAAAAAAAAGTAGAATAGAGTATCTGTCTATTTGATAGTAAAACATAAACTTGTAGAAAAGTCCTGTCAATTTAACAGAGATCATCAATAAAATTACTATTCGCACAGCAAACAATCTGTAATTTTTTGTGCGTTTTTTTTTAAAACCTAGCGCGCGTTTGATCTGTTCACATAATCTATTCAATTCTTCAACTCATTATGACCCTATTATCATCATTTCTTCTTTTACTTTTACCTCTTTTGAGCATTGTTTTGGCCAACACAGAGTCTTTGCTTCTATCTTTGCCGTCACACTATACTTCGCTTCTAAGGGTTCCAAAGTCATACATTACCCAAGATGTCGAATCGACGCTTTCTCCAAATACTAAACTCCCACTAACGTTAGTGGCAAACCATTTACATAATAGAGAACTAGAATTTTCTGGTAAAGAAAAGCTCTTAGGAGCCTCCGATGGTGATATGAGTATGACACAATACTTCAAAGTGGTGACGGCGGTCAATGATGGAAAATCACCAACAGATGGCAGTTATAATATAAGGATCTGCTGGCCGGCTACCTTTCCGGTCCTGATAGATATTGCCCCAGTGGTTGTGTTTGACGATGATCCGGTGAAGAGTATTCAGTTATCTAATGAACAGCAACAGCATCCACTGTTAAAAGCCCCAGCACCAACAGACAGCATTTATATTGCCATCACTTATCACCCAAGATTCTATACTGCATCTTCATCACTAATGTTGACAGATTTAAAGGTCCCGGTGCATTTACACATGGTGGAACTTCTATATGGTGTTCTACCAGTGGATATACTTCCGATTATTGGTTTATTGGTAAGTCTATTTGTGATTGGACTCCCATTGAGTGGGAAGATCTATAAAATCATTAGTAATGCTAAATAATCTAGTGATACGAATAAGAATTTATTAATTAGAATTCTCAATGCAACGGTAACACTTCGTTATTGTAATCTTCCTAGAATTAAATTATAACGATTGTTCTTGAACCATGTCTAAGTAAAGAAGCACTGTATTATTATTATAAATAGACTTTTTAAATAAGTAAACAAAAAGAAATTATTCTTAGAATGATTGGTCCCTTCATTAGCCTTTTGCTTTATTGGCCTTACAAGAATTACGCATTGTTACTGAAATCTCATCGAATCAATGCGTAATGTGAGAATCTTATATTTTCTGTCTTTTTGGTATTTAACATTGTCTTTTTTGATTTTTTAAGTATGGCTCTTATCATTTCTATGAACTTTAGAGCCAAACAATAAGTCGAATGTTACAAGTTTAGTGATTTTGAGAAAACTTTTTCCAGATGTGGAAGAACTTTTTCCTTTTCCAACATGCATATTACTCTTCTGGTTGCATTCATCTACATCATCGACGAAAACAAGAGGGGGGAAGGAATATTGAATACCATATTTTATTCTAGAAAGGGGAGCAAAAAGAGATAAGAAGAAAAACATGAGAAAAAGAAAAGGAGGATAAAAAAAGAATAAACAAAAGAATAAAACACCAGTTACACGCGTTGGCTAGTCTTCACTCGTGTCGCCAATTCGCTTGCCCGTGAGTAATTCCCAAATGATGACTCGACTCTCCCATACTGGATAAATCACACACATAAAAAATGTACAAAACAACCAAATGAACATTAACACAATGATAAATGTGTAGAACCGTTTTGAAAAAATATACGGGGAAGCCGACAATGGCACAGAAATAATCACAGCGATCACCAAAGCGAGAATGATACAGTACAAAATATATTTCTTGAATTGACGATCAAGGTATTCAAATTCAATAGAATGGGCCAGAGGCAAGTCATCAGAGACAACCTCAATATTCTCAACTGCTACTTTTTTAATTTCTTTATCATAATTGGTATTTTTAACGAGATCGCTAGGGGAGGTAGACTCCTCATCCACGATTTCATTTGGCTGTTCATTCAAAATTGTGCGGTTTCTTGTATCATTGAAATCGTAATTATCTGGCTTAATCAAAGAGAATCCAATCGATATGACACCTCCCATGACCAATGCGGTAATGTTACCAGAGAATGAGACCCATTCATTACTCAAGTTTGTTACATTTATTTCCCCGACATAAACCTTGCAAGTAACCAACCACACCATGATTGCCAATCCCATACCACCAATAGCTCCAAAAATTGCACCAGTAGCGTTCAATTTTTTCCAGGTGAATGTCAAAACAACCGGGAAAACCATACCACAAGTGGCAGTTCCTAAAAAGTAGAAAAGCCAACCCAAAGTGATGCCAATTTTGTTGAAAATGGTTGCAACTACCGACGAAACAATTGCCCAAATGAAAACCGAGACTTGAGAAGCAATTAGAACCTTTTTAGTGCTTGCCTTTGGTGCCAAATACTTTTTGAAAATATCGTAAGCGAGCAAAGTGGCGGTGGCGATTAATTCTCCTGAGAAAGATGAAATAACCGATAAGAATACCATCAATAAAATCAATGTAGATCCGAGCTTCCCAAACATATAAGTAGCGGCCAGAACTGCTGCCAACCCAGCAGACACCTCTTCATCTGTCAATGGCACCCAATCGGAGTAAGTTGAACACGCGCGAGCTGCAAGCCCCAACACCAACCCCATGCTCACCGGAATAATGAACCAGCATATTGCTCCCAAAAAGTAGGCCCTGGAAGTAGTGGATGACTTACTGGCCATTGCCCGGTTCCAATAAGTTTGATCAACACAAACCAAACCAAACCCAGTAGTGATTGATTTAAAAGAAAACATGCCACCTGCATGCGAACGGAAGGTCAAGTAAGATCCATGATAGTTGCCTTCAATAGGTTCTTGGTGACCCACCTCCGTCAACAACTCCCACATTTTACCTGGACTGCCAATTTTGTCGGACTTGGTGAAAATAAGAAAGGCAAACGTCAATAAGAATACCAACATCACCAAAGTGTGCGAAGCATCACTAATGAATGTTGCTCTTAATCCTCCAAAAACCACATAAATGGCACAAACAAGAGGAATCAAAAAATAAGCAGCATATATGCTCATTCCAGTAACCGCTGCGAAAACCGCTCCACCGCCAATCAAGATACAACTGCTAACAATAACGTTACAGATCAATCCACAAAACAAAAACGTTAAATGTCCAAAGGTCCCGAATCTAAAGTATGCCATTTCTGGAAATGTGGTTACCAAGTTTGCGTTCAGTTTAACTTTTGCAGCGACAATAGAAAACACCGATACTTGAAGCAAACCACCAACCCCATACCACCAAGAGCCGGAGATCCCTATGTTATAAGATTCGGTAGCTGATTGAAGCAATGTCAAAGACCATGTCCAGCTGGACACGATTGATACTACCATAAGACCCATTGGGATGTTACGGCTGGCAGCGGTAAACTCATCAGCATTGCTGGTCTTGTGCGTAGATCTCTTGTTTTGGAGATACGTGACATATATCATGAGAAGGGCAAAAAAAGCACCAAGTCCGAGAATGATACCATATCCTACACCTTGAGAAAGTGTTGGTTCCATCTTGAAATTCTCTCTTCTCGATATTTTTTCAGAGGAATTGTGTTACAATGTGCAAATCTAAAAGGTGAAACGTAAAAGAGATAGGTGATGAGAAAATGTAAAATGGTCAAGGGTACACATTCCGTTCTTATATAAAAATAGTATGAATAGCGAAAAAGAAAGGGGTTTTTCTTGCTATTGAAGATTTACAGTAGTAATTGTCCTGTTTGAACCACACTTTTCGTAAGTGCTGCATTAGTAACTCAGGAAGAAAACCACCATCATCATCATGGATGGAGCATGCCACAGTTTATAAGGATTTGCAAGAAATAAAGAAGCATTACTACCGCATGAACAAAAAGGGAATAAAAAACCGTATTACAATAGATAAGAGAAAAGCGCAGCAGTCTAGACTGACCATTTCTGTGTCTTTTAGGGAGCACACAGTCAGTAGAAAACCCAACAAGGGGTGCAAAACCCCTTATAAAACACAAAAACTTTAGGGGGTTTTCCACCACAATTGTTTTTGACAGCAGAATTCCTCGTGATTAAACATAATATAACAATACTAAGAACAAAATCAGTGTTAGATATAGCTATGGTACACTATGCATGACTCTTACCAATAAGCTTCCCCCAGTTTGTCAAATAAGGGGGGAGATTGAGATTTCTGCTCGCATCCCGATGCAGGCCAACCAAATCATCACGTCTGCTAACTTTGTTGATCATGAATCATGGCTCTTATTGACCTGGAAATACTTAACTATGTATCATCATAACACGAAATATGTATCATCATAACACAAACTACGATATCATAGATAAAACAATGTAAACTCATTCATTTAATCTCCATTCGACAGCATAATAATCAGCCTCACTTAACACACCTGTGATAAATCACGTGAACAAAGATCAAACTACTCCTCGAATGAATAATTGGAGGCCCCATGTAGTACAATGTGAATGCCTACGATTGGCAAACCATTAAAACAGGATCCAATAGTATGGTTTCAAGAAATAAGATTCTTATAGTTGGGTCACCGAAATCTGGCAAATTAACATTCATAAATAGCATATTCCAGTCAATACCTGACATTGATAATCCAGAATCACACTCAGGAATCATCCACGATGTGGACTTAAAGACAAAGTATTATACCAAAAAACTACAGATATGGATTGATGAATTCACCCAAGAGGAGAAGAACGGAGGGGTAAAAGATAATACCAAGACAAAGAGCCCTGCCAGTGAATTAGAACTACTAACAAATTGGTCCCAGGAGTTCAAAACCAGCGAGTACAAAGAAATTAGAGACGTTATTTCTGGTATAATATTCTGTTTTGATCTTGGTAGATCACCGTTTAAAAATGACAAAGAGGTGGAGAGTTACGCCAAAGAAGTGGTATCGATTTTAGATATTTTTAAAGAGGATGAGACGGCAAATAAGAAACTTGTTTCGCAAATGTCAAAAGTCAACATTAAGGAATCTACTGAGCAGGAGGATTCTGATGATGACAACCTTGATACACACTACGATATCTGGCAAGGTTTTTCCATGATTGTTGGTTTTGAACGAGAGAACTGTGATCCAAATTTGCAAGCTGATATTTTGAAAGAGATTTTTTGGGATAATGATCTAGATTTTGTCAATTACAAGCAAGGTGACACCATTGATGTACATGCCAGAGATGAATATGGAGATCGTATGGGTTTGGGAAAAGCCAAAGATATTATCGAATGTTTTGATTGGAATGACATCGAATTAAAAGTTCCAGATGCTGATCACAAATATGACACCGAGTATATTGATTCAATGAAGGTACCGCTCATCAAAGATGACGAACAGAAGGAGGAGAAACCCATAGAATTGGGATTATTGGTTGACAAAATCAAAAATGCCAAAGAAAATGTCAATAATCTTGAGTCTACTGAAGCAAGAGAGAAATTTGCCAGAGAATTTATAAATGATATCATGAAGTATTTATGAAAATAATTTCAATAATATATGTCCACAGTAATGAATCTCTTTCATCTTCTTACAACACTAATTAAAAAACATAAGCAGGAGTTGTTTTTCATTAAAAGATTACATATGTGATACACAGAAAAAAATAGAACAAGTTTGTTGAAACATCTAAAATGTATTCAACCCACTTAGTGGTGTCTTCTTTGTTCAGCCATGATCTTGTTGATTTCTTCCAACTTGGCCTTAGCTCTCTTCAAAGTACCCAATCTCTTCTTGGCCAACTTCTTAGCTCTCTTTTCACCAGAGTTTCTCAACAATTCAATCAATCTTCTTTCGTATGGAGCCAAACCACCGACTTCTCTGACAATATCTCTGACAAAAGAAGTTCTCTTGGAGAGAGCACCCTTTCTGTAGGAAATCTTTGGGGCAACAGCCTTGGAGGTGACGACGTGACCTTTGTTCAAACCAACAGCAATACCTGTAAAAGAGAAATGTTAGTATTTATAATTCTCGAATTTGATTTTTCAATAAGAGAATTTGAATAAATAGGCCAGTATTATTTTCAAAATATATTATTACTGCAAAATCGTCTCGATATTTCACAGCATAAAAATTCGAACTATGGTTGTCTCTAATGATTCTTCGCTATTCTTTTTGATTGAATTCTTCGGCGCTAGTTTTTTCAAATGATGCAAGATGCTCCAAGTCCTTAAAAATTTTTTTGAATCTCAGGGCTAATGATGTATTATCTCAAATCGACAAAGCTTGATGAATATAGATGTGTTCTTGATACTTTAATACGGCATTTGTTGAATTTATGATGAATATTTTCGCCTATGATCATTGAAAAAAAAAGTTGATGATTCTACCAATAACTATCCATAAATTGACGGTTCCACAAAATTAGACCTCTTAAATATATTTCCAATACTGATTATCTATTCATTATTCCCTTGACCTTTCACCACATACCAGATTTAGCCATTTTGTCTATTCTTTATTTGTTGATATACTTCAATATACTAAGCTATTCCGTGTAGTTACATTCAAATTTTCAAGAACTTTTTTCCCAGTTTCCTCGCAGAAGGGCAAAACGAGTGTCACACATATCACATGATATACTGTTGACACGTGCTATCAATTATAGCCCTAATTTTTATAGACGTTTGGGCTGTAAATTTCCGCCATGAAAAAAAAATCCGCAAAAATTATTAGGGCGCAGACAAGAACAGTTACTTTGATAGGTTTTGATTAGAGTGTACAATAAACATAGCGCAACATATTCAATTGATAATAATAAAGAACTTGACAACATGGCAGACCCTTGTAAACCTCAAGCTTGTGCCATTCAAGGTATGTTTTTATTCTATACGCTGACATCTACCATCTTTTTTTTGTTTTCTTTTTTGCATACTAACATTTAGTGTAGATTGTTTGAAGCAAAACAACTATAACGAATCCAAATGTACCCAGGCTATTGACCAATTATACGCATGTTGTCTGAACTTTTACAATCAGAATGGTGAAGAAGCAAGAAGCCCTTGTTGTCCGATTCCTAGGCTTTTACGATTCAAGATTAAGCAGAGAGAAAATGAAATGGTGGATGCTAAACTTATGGAGTCTTAACACAATAAATTTTACAGTACTTGAAGAAACTCATCTTCACAATTTTTACGATTTCCAAAAAATATACCAAACAGAAAAAGTTTCCTTTTCCTTTAGTTGTAGTGTACGAATCGAGCCGCGATACCAACAAGTAGATCTTGAATGATACGACATAATAGGCCGGAAACTCAGGATATTTCTACCCTATTTAATCTGAGGCTGCCGCGAGCACGAAGATCATTATAAATGATATAGTTACGACCAGAGAAAGAAATGGTTCGAACCGTGACTCTGGGCGCCTGTGATAAAAGACATTGTATAAAGAAAAAGAAAAGAAATCAAGAGAAGGTTTGTTATGAAAATTCAAATATTTCCAACTTTTTATACTTAATGAGAACCCAGAGTGCGCTTAGAATTTTCCTAGCCAGCATTGGGCACATAATTTATTATGCGGGTAAACCAGGTAGTTATCGTCTGTTCAGCATGGCTGATATATATGAGGTCTCATTGTAATTAGTTTGCACGTTGGTATTTAAACAATAGTCCATCTAACAATTTTACGTCTTCTATTTTATTGGAGCTCAGACAGTTTCTCTAAATTATAAGGGTTTATTCATTTGCTCTATGTTAGTCTTTGGTAAAGATCTTAATTTAATAATTCATTACAATCATTCTGGACAAGATAAATTCGCTAAATCAATATTTTTGAAACCAATGCTTTTTATCTCCCTTCTTTAAAATTACAGTATCAAATCGTACTTAATATTATATATTTACATGCAAAGTAACTGAAGTATACAAGCAAAAAGGAACCAAATTCTTTCAAACGGTAATTTGAGCAACATCATAGTTAAGAGATTGTAATTGCTGTAGCAACTTTTCTACTGGCTCGTCTCTATACTTCAACATGAAATCTCTGAAACTCAACTCAGTGTTACTTTCCAATTCAAGACCGTAGATGGTTTTCAATAACTTTCTTCTTCCGACAGTGATTTTCTGATCTTCAACCTTGAAATACACTGGGATTTCCTTGTCACCAACTTGCACGGTTTCAAGGTAATTCTTCTTTGGGTTTTCAGCTTCGGCTCTTTTCATCAACACTCTGAAACGTAGTTTCCAACCGGATGGACCCAATTCTTTTATTCTGGCTGGCTTATCTTTGGTCAAGTAGTTGTCAATACCACCTTCTTTGGTGATGGTTCTCAAAACCTTAGTGGCAACATTAATTCTAATGGTTCTTTGTAAAGCTTCACTCCAGAACTTTTTCTTCATGATATTTAATTGCCAGGTTCTTCTAGTCTTATGTTTTGATTTTTCAGAGATTTGATTCCCAAATTGAAGGAAACGACCACCGAAAAGACCTTTGTTACTTCTTTTGAAAATTCTGGATTCACCATATTTATATTCAGGAAATTCTGGCTTTTCTTTAGGAATGTATAATCCAGCAGGAATTTTTTCCCCAAGGTTTGGTAATTCGACTTTGGCGACTCTTCTAGCTTCAATAGTTTTCCACTCTCTGGAAACCACTGAGCTGGTGGAAAACTGAAAAGTCCCTCTCAAAGTGGAGGGAAAAATTTTAGCCAACCCACTAAGCATGTCTTGTATCTTTTTGGATATTATTGTTTATCGAGAGTGTCCCTCCATGTGCGATCATATAGACCTTTCACATTTGTTGAAATTTTTCCACCCGCTCCAAAATGTATTACCCTGTACATATCGTTTGTACCGACAGAGCGGGTCATTTGAACTGTCAAATTAGTATCGCTTCATCAACCATATTGAATAACTGTAGTACCAAGAATTATAGATATAGATATAGATCTGGTGATCTGATTTCTTCTAAAATCATGAAGTAATCATGATCAGTGCTCCAAATTACAAAAGGATTCCACAATGTGGCATTAATTGCGCGAAGGCCTACACATTTTGAAAACAACAATAAATAGAAAAGAACAAAACTTTTGTTTAGTCAAGCACAAAATTTTGAAGATAGACAAGCTACTATGACAATATTATTCCCTTATAGTTCTCTTGTTCGTAAAGCAAAAAAAAAGAAATGAAAAAAATGGGTATGATTGTTGTTATTAGAACTTGGGAATATAGGCTCGCTGACAAATGGCGACCAATCATTTTGATGAGACGGACATTAAATTCTATTGTAGGAATTTGCAATCTCCACTGGTTTTATTATCATTGCCCTATTTTTTATCATATTCGTGAGTGCTTGGTAGATGTGATTTAATATCCGCATCATCCACAACCCACAAACTCGTACCTGTAATATTCGATAATGAGTTCTCCATTTTGACATTCTTTTCGAATTCATTAATTGCTTCATTTATATTGACAGGTTTGACTCCAGTGGCTTCTAACTGTTTTCTCAATAACGCAATATGTAACGCCATCTTCATCTCACGCTTTTGAAAATTCTTTCTTTCGTTCAAGATCTGGATTTCCCGCTTTTTTCTGGCATTGTTGAATGAAAGTTGGGCCAAAGTAAGAGCCTTTTGGTGCTCCATAGAATTTTTGAATGATTCTGTTTGTAATGCCTGACGACTAATGTAGTTGTCGATTGCAAAGTACGTCAACACAAAAACCGCCATGCAGAGGGCAACATCTTTTCCAAATCCTAGTTTCCTTTGAGTAGGCATATTTGAAGCCGGGGAATATGTGATATGAGAAGGAGACGCAGGATTGCTGGGTATTAATGGTGATGATCCAACCATGTTCTTTGGGGCTGGTGAAGGGTTAGAGAAGTATGTTGGGGGATACTGGCTAAGTCTCTTAGCACATGTTGATAAATAGCGAATGCCAATGGTTTGCGAAGGCGTTCTAGGAACCACTAGTTTCCACATGATTATAACAATTTTCTACTACTACTATTATTATTATTATTATTATTTCCCTCCTGGTGTTGTTTCTGTAGAAGGTTTAAAGGATCAGAAGAAGGTGATTCCAATGCTGGGGAAATGGCGATTTTTAAGTGATCTCCGTCATCCCGGCGCGGAATATCCTCCCAGCCGGTGCGGTAGGCTAACTACAGAGAGTAGTCCGACCAGGCGATTCGATAACGGTGTTGCTTCCAAGGCCCCGTATTAATTTATTAAACAGGAAAAAAAAAGTGTCTACTACATAGAAGCATATGCTACTCATTATTGGTTTCTACGTATGCTAGTAGAAAACTGAGCCAAAAATTAACCTTGTTCCTTCGCATTCCTTTCTATCTACTGCGAGGAATAATCCAACTACATAGAGAAAAAAAAAATGTGGCAGTTTCTTATGAAGAATGATGATGAAATGGGTAACCATGAAGTGCCGCCGAACCAAATGACAGACGTCACAAACACCACCACCAATAGCCAACGAATCACCGCAGCAACTACTGCTATCACTGAAGAAAATATTACTGCCAGTAATAACCTTGGTGAAGAAGCTATAAATACGACGAATAACTTGGGAGAAATGAAAGAAGACGGCAACCAACAACAACAACATACAGAAAATGTCGAAAAGAGAAAGGAAGGGAGAGATCTACCTGTAAATGAAACCACGCCAGAACATGATATTGATGCCACGAAACTAACTATCTCCAGCGACCATTCGACTGAAGTTGATTTACCAAGCCCACAGCCCGAAATACTGAGCTCTATTGACTTCCAGTTCGATCACAATGAATTCGATGATGGGATTCGGCCGGAAACCTCAATTGAAGATGATCAAGACGCTGATGAAGATGAGGAAGAATATGGAGATTCTGACGATGTTGAAGATAATGAAAATAAATTATTTCAAATGATAGACTCGGATGACATCATGGTCAAAGTCCTTGGGTCCAAATACAAGTCAAGAACATTGGAATTTCTTAGTAAAGATGACAATATAACTAGGCTTCTAAACGTTGTTGTGAACTCTCATGATGCCTTCTTGAGAAGATACGAGGATAAAAATCTCGAATATTTTGACGAAGGCGATGATTCTCCAAAAGATGGGAAACAGTATTTTTTCCAGGATTGTGATGAATTAGACTACTATTTTGACAATGTTATGATGAAAAGGGACAAAGATATTCACGAGCAAGACTACAATAAAGATGATTACAATATCAGCAAAATACGAGCAAGAGTGAAGATTAGTATTGAATCTAATGGTGGACTGTATGATAAAATGGCCTCCGTAGTTGCAAAAACTGGAAATCTAAAAATTAGTGATACTGGTGATGAACAGCCGCCTGATAAGGCTATGAAATCTAATGAGACAAAATTCGGAAAAGATGATGAGAAACTAATAAGACGAAGCGCCGTCATTGCGGAAATCTACAGTTCTGATAAAGAAAGTATCATTGAAGCATTTATTTCTAACCCTAAACATTTGACAACATTGTGGAAAATGTTGGAAAAACCTCAACTTTTCAAAGTAATACCCTATGTTCAAATTTTTGCTAAGATTAATGAAACCATGTTGACAAGGAGAACAGAACAGTTTTTGAACTTTATTAGAAGAAATGTGAATTTAGTTGACTTGTTTGTGAGGACTAACGTGGATATCTCTCTATTGAACGAGTTCTTGATAAAGTTGGTCATCACTGATAGGGTCCATAAGCCCACTGGAATAATAGATTTGTTGATGGAACAAAATTTGATTCAGAATGTTCTTAATTTGATTGATGACAAGTACCCATTTTTTATCAGAGAATTTGCTGGTGATATGATCAAGAATTTGATCAGCTTTTCTACCTATGCATCCGAGAATGAGAATGAAGATTCCTATATTATAGGCCCCAATAATTTGACTAGAGAGTTGGTTAGTTACAAAAGTGTTTGGAAAATGGCTAATAGACTTAAACAAGGGGGAAAAACATTGTTCATCTTGGTAGATATAATTGTGGAACTTATTCGCAAAAATAACGATGATTATGAGAAGTTTAATATTCTTGGGTTCAGCAAGTACCAGGCGTTCTTAAATGAGTTTCAAGCCTCGAAGTCTCCTGAAAACTTGAAAGACGAAGGTAAATCCCCTGCAACTATCAGTTCTGAAAGCGAATCAAGAAAAGAATTCAATAAGTTGATGGACGTTTTCCCGCCTGGTGACCATGATCCAATTTATCTTAATAATATTTTGAAGATATTCACATATAACTTACCTTGGATTTTTGATAGATTGACGGAGGATTTGGGATTTCTGGATGAAGATTGTTTATTTGATGAGACCAAAGTTGACTATTATTTTTTCAATGAAGATCCTTACAAAGATTTGGACTCCAAAAGCGAAATAGACCGCAAATTGATCGAAGGTAAATTATTCATCAACCAAACCTTTGGTTATATTGAAAAATTGAGTTTTGATAAATTAAGGCTTGTTGAGCTTGTTGCTGAACTACTACATTGTTCTAATATCAAATTATACAATAATAGAAATGCTGAGTGGTTGATTATCCAAAGAAATCAACTTATTAAATCGAAATCGAAGTTTTTGAAAGAAGCTTTGAACGATGATCTATCTTTTACTGAATGTATTGATGAAGATGGCGATACCGGAGTTGACCATCACCAAACGTTTTCATTACCATTAATAGACAAGCAATCCGTCAACAATGAAAGTTTCATGGCCGAAAATGACGAAATTGACGATGATGATGAAGACGATGAATCATTCGAAAGATTTCACTATGAAAATGGTAATGTGAGTGATTTCAGAATTAATGGGCCAAATGAAGCTGATGTTGATCAAGATAGCGCTACATCATTACCTTTCAAAACCGAAGAACTTTCTGAGGCTGTCAGAAAGGCCAAGAAAACTAAAATGCTTAGTAAACTTGCCCTCAAAATAGACAACAATATCAACACCAAGGTTCCGGTCTCGGAAAATGTTGCTGGTAAGCCAAATACCTTGACGGTGAAAACTGTGCTAGATGCTCCAGCTGAAGATGATGGCTCGCATGAGGATTTGTATAATGAAGATGACGATCTGTCAAATGCTGATGACGATGATTCGAGTTTGAGTAAGATGCTCCTTTTTACTGTTTCGGAAGAGGAAGCGGATACTGATTGTTTGGGTCTAAAATGCGATGTCAATAATCCTTTTGTTAGTGAAGAGAATGCGTCAAAATTGAGGGAGAATGCGTCATTAGGAGATTTTTTCAAGATCAAATTACATGACGTTGGAATTTTAGATTTAATTTTCAAGAAGTTATTTTTGAGGTATCCTTGGAATAATTTTTGGCATAACGTGGTGTTTGACTTAATTCAGCAATTACTCAGTGGAAGGATGAATGGGAATTTTAATGCTTTCTTGGTGGCTGACTTGTTTAATAAATCGAGATTGATTGATTTAATTTTGGTATCTCACAAAAGAAACCTTAATTTCTTAAAAAAGAACAATATTGAGTTTGCGTACATGGGTCATATCTCTTTGATTAGTGAGGAAGTTAACAAGTTTACGTTGGAGAATAATTTGGCGCTTATTGATCCAAATATTTTGGATTTGGCTTGCCGTCAAGACTGGTTTTCCTATATCAACAAAAAACTAAATGAAACTAAGAAAAGTTATAATCTGTTGTTGGGAGGTGAGAAGCCGGAAGCAGAGATTTACAGAGATCCTGGGTCTATTATATTGGGATCAAGTGAAGAAGAGATTGAGAATCAGGATATTTCAAAGAGTAATCCACAAAAATTGAAAGTGTTGAATGGAGATCATGATTCGGATGAAAATGATGATGATGATGATGATGATGATGACGATAATGAGGAGGAGGAAGAAGATGATGAAGAAGAAGAGGATGAAGAAGAAGATTATGATGATGATAATAATAATGATGATGATGATGATGATGATGATGATGATGATGATGATGATGATGATGATGATGAAGATAATGATAATGAGCAAGATATTGATGATGATAATAAGGTTCATAACCAAAAGAATTCTACAAGAGGCTCTGACAAGATTTCCCATGCCAATGACTTAACCAATAACAATGATAATGGTAACAGTGGTAATAATAAAAATAAGGATGAGAATGACGAGAATGGCATCGAAGATGATTCCTCAGCAGACAGTTTCCCTCTCAAATTTGAACAAATAACTACTGACAATACCAGTTCGTCAAATACTAGCAATTTACAATTATTTGGGGAATATGAAGATCTGATTCAACAACATAAGCATCATGGTAGTAAACTTGATAAAAAGAGTCTGAAAAATACAGATAAGAAATGAGGTGCTCTATGCAGATTTTTTTTTTTTTTTTTTTTTTTGCTACTCATTATAAAGCATTTGTGTTTGTTTGTTTGTTTGTTGTTTATTTAATTCATTCTCATTCGTTTGGTCAATTTTAATCTGTTTTATATCATCTTTTTTTTTTATATATAAGTATCAATTATTTAGTTGTTGTTAGATTTTCTATTTGCTATTGTTGATGAAAGCTTTGGTGTTTTATGTAAGATTAGTTGTTTCCATCATGTTATGGATACAATATATTATATCTCAATTGTTGAGTTATTAACTTCCAATAGGTTATTTTTACCTTTCATATCATATCATCAATAGGTAATCTTCCAATTTGATGGTTTAATGAACTCCAATCATATCACAAAAACAAAAAAAAAAAAAAAAAACAATTGGTGATATATATCATCATAGGTGGCGTTACGTTACAAACAAGCATAATTTTTTTTTTAAGATCCGTTGAGGAATTTTTATATTTATAGAAAAAGGAGAAAAAAAAAGAAAAAGAAAGGAATGGAACAAGAATATAAATCATCAAGACATTCATAACAACAAGAAAAAAAAATGCAAAAAAAAAAAAAAAGAACAACCCATAATAACTTGTTGAGATAAAAATCGTGAATTTTTTTAATTTTTATTTTTGAAAAAGTTTCTATTTCTTGTCTGCTAGAAACATTAAGGTCTATTTGCAGTTGATGCAGCAGATGCAAGGATTAAAAACAAAAACTCCAAAAACCATTAAAAAAAAAAAAAAAACATAATAATAACCGGTTTAATAACAAAAATATAGTCGAATTGAAAAGCTTAGTATCTGTAGATGTCAGCCTTGAATGGACCTTGAGTTGGGATACCCAAGTATTCAGATTGAACTTCGGACAATTGGGTCAACTTAGCACCCAAGTGGTCCAAGTGTAATCTGGCAACTTCTTCGTCCAAAATCTTTGGCAAAGTGTGGACAGAAACACCGAATGGACCGGTCTTTTCGAATTCAATGTATTCTTCCTTGAAGGCCTTGTTGTTGGCGTTAAACAAAGCAATTTGGGCCAAGACTTGGTTAGAGAAAGAACAAGACATGACAAAAGAAGAGTGACCGGTGGCACAACCCAAGTTGACCAATCTACCAGCAGCCAACAAGATAACGTGCTTACCAGAAGACAACAAGTATCTGTCGACTTGTGGCTTGATTTCAACGTGTTCCTTAGCGTTTTCAACTAACCAAGCAACGTCGATTTCAATGTCAAAGTGACCAATGTTACAGACGATGGCGTCTTCAGGCATTTGCAAGAAGTGCTTAGAGGTGATGATATCTCTACAACCGGTAGTGGTGACAAAGATTTGACCGATAGAAGCAACTTCTTCCAATGGGGCAACTTGGTAACCAGAAACGGCGGCTTGCAAAGCGTTAATTGGGTCAATTTCGGTGACAATGACTCTAGCACCCATGGATCTCAAGGCCATGGCACAACCTTTACCGACATCCCCGAAACCAGCGACAACGGCGGTCTTACCGGCGATCATAACGTCGGTGGCTCTCTTGATCCCATCGATCAAGGATTCTCTACAACCGTACAAGTTGTCGAACTTGGACTTGGTGACAGCGTCGTTGACGTTGATGGCTGGGACCTTCAAGTCACCTTCCTTAAGCATCTTGTACAAGTGGTGGACACCAGTGGTGGTTTCTTCGGACAAACCGAAACAGTCTTCCAACATTTCTGGGTACTTCTTGTGGACCAAGGAGGTCAAGTCACCACCGTCATCCAAGATCAAGTTCAATTTCTTACCGTCCTTGAAGGCAAACAATTGTTGTTCCAAACACCAGTTGTATTCTTCTTCGGTTTCACCCTTCCAGGCAAAGACTGGGACACCAGAGGCAGCGATGGCTGCGGCGGCGTGGTCTTGGGTGGAGAAGATGTTACAAGAGGACCAGGTGACTTCGGCACCCAAAGCGGTCAAGGTTTCGATCAAGACAGCGGTTTGGATAGTCATGTGCAAACAACCAGCGATTCTAGCACCCTTCAATGGTTGGGCGGTGGCGTACTTCTTTCTGATGGCCATCAAACCAGGCATTTCGTTTTCGGACAATTCAATGTCTTTTCTACCGAAGGCGGCCAAACTGATGTCGGCGACTTTGAAGTTTTGGGCGGACATGATTCTGATGATAGGGATGAGGTGGTTTGTTGTAACTAGTTGCAACGTATTGATAGAAGGAAGAGAGAAGAAAGAAGAAGAGAAGAAGAAGAAGAAGAAGAAGAAGAAGAAGCTGAAAATTTTTTTATGGGTTTCCACCATCCATCAATCATCACATGCCACCCTCAACAAAAAAAAAAGGAAAAGAAAAATTGCCTGGCGGCGGCGCCCCCCACGGGGGGTGGGTGCTTGCAGTAACTGGGGTGCCGCACCTACATGGCCCTCGTTTACCATCGTATATCCATCCATCTTACTAGAACACCTATATTATTTTTATTATGTTGTATTGTACTGTATTGTATTGTATACATTATATGTTATACATTATGTTATATTATATCACATATCATCTAAACATACATCCCATCAGTAATAAAAGTAGAACTCCTCGTAGGCCAGACCACTAGGTAATGACTCCCCCTTCATTCCAAACAACGCAATAACCACTAACACTACCACCACCACTAATACCAGGTAAATGGCTATTATCGATTGCACAACCTCTAATCCTCGCTCAAAAAGCATCCTAGCAATCTCCGCATACTCTCTATTCTGTCCTCCTTCATATTTCTGTTCATCGACAATGATTGCTTGATCCCCATCACTGCCAAATGTCTTGAGCCGCACGGGATTCTTGGAGATCCGTCGCCTTAACTCTCCGGTAAAGTATTTCATATCATTCCCATGAGAGTTTCCTGGTGAGGCTTCTACGCTCGTCATAACCTTACTGAAATCTTTGTATAAGAACTTGTTTGGGTAATCGTGACCATCCAAATGGCTGTGGTTCTTTCTTTCGTCCTCAATTTCCTTCTCGAGCACTTTGATATCCTCATCGTCATCATTATTACTATGCTGAATATTATCATATAATGGCAAAGGGTTTCCCAATAGTTTCTTCAACTTTGGGTCTGAAGATGGGATCAAGTTTGGTCTAATCCTGGGCACTGTATCACCATTGCCAAGATGGGATGTCTTTGCTGGAATATTTTCCTGGCCATGGGAATGATGTTCCAAAGATCGGTCATTATTATTATTGTTGTTGTTGTTGTTGTTGTTGTTGTTGTTGTTATTATTGTTATTATTATTGCTGTGGTCGTTGTTGTCTTGCAACTTTTCATAGAGGCGGGTGGTGGGGTTCTTCTGCTTGTGCTTAGCCATGATGTTGGCCAATGACGTGCGTATCACTCGGATACGCTCGACATCGTTGGTAAGTGTAGAACTCATTCATTCGTTCCGTCCATTCATATCAGTTACCACAGGGTGTGCTGTCTGTATTATTACTGTATTATTACTGTTATTATTATTGTTGTTGTTGTTTTTACTCAATTTTTCGTCTTTTTTTTTTTTTCACGCGTCGCCTTGTCATCGCTCATAATTTCATGCCCTATCTTTTATATGATAACCATTTATTGTTGTTATTTTTATATACTTCATATTAATATATACATAGATATCAATTCCTCTTCTTTCTCGAACCAACTACCGTACCGTTAGGTAAAGTCTTCTTCTCTCCAACTTGCTTCTTGGCCTTCTTTGGCTTTTTACTACTACTAACTTCTTCTACCTTTTCTTCCTTTGTCGCCTTATTCACCCGTGGCTTAACGGTATAGTACAACCCCGGGACAACTTTCCCGACAGTACTATTCCAAATCCAAATAGGACACTTCACCACAAAGTTATCACACACCTCTGGGTCCCGGATATCTTGAGGGTTCACCGAGTGCAACACCGAACTGTCGAGGTTATCCACCACGTGCACCGACCCATCGATCTTCACCACAAACGTTTTCCCCGTGGCCTCGTTGGTCATCATACGGTCTCTGCCATCCGAAGGAGGAATCCCCGTGGGCCATGCTTGTCGCTTGATCTGATCAACGGTGAGTTCAAGTCGTTTACGGTTCTGGGTGTTTTGGAGCTTCGAGAGCACGTAGTGGAACACCCCAATGAGGAAATAGAGCCCGACAAACACCATCACTACCGATGGTCTGAATTTCTGATAAAGCCAGGTGTTGTTCTTGTAAGTAGGGAACCCGTGGTCATAGAAGAAATCGTATCTGTCCTTTTTGCTCGACCGAAGGATTTCCCCAACGATACTGAGACGCTGGTACCGTTCGGTCGATCTTTTTTTCACTCTCTTGTACTTTTTAGCATCGGCACCAAATTTTGAACGTTTGACTTTATCAGGGTGGATTTTCCTGGAGAGTTTCCGATAGGCCTTGTTTATTTCATCATAAGAAGATTTTGGGCCATTTGGCAATTCAAGCCATGAGTAGAATGTGACATCTTCACCAAGATCTTTCTTGACCTCGTAATTGATCTGGAACAATTCTTGGTCGACGTTTGACCATGCAATGGCAAATGTGACAAGGCACCCAAAGAATAGGGCGATGTTTATTCTCATGATTTGTGATGGAATTGTCTCCTGTCGATTGATTGATTGATTGATAGATAGATAGATTAATTGATTAATTGACCGACTTTTTTTTTTTTTTTTCTTCTGGGAAGGAGTTGCAACCAACGGGGAAAAAAGTCAGAAAGAACCGTCGTGGCGGTGTGTCTGTCTGTATGCCACCTGAAAAAACACCGCCAACTGAGAAAAATTTCCAGATCATCGATGGTTCACTGCTTGGAGCATTTATCAGTGTTAATCAACCAATTGTAATATAATAATAATAATAATAATAATAATAATGCCCGCCTCAACGACCACCACTGAAAAAAAACCAAAACAATCAATCCGTCGGTACGGGATCGTGCCTCGGTTGGTGCTCTTCAACAACACGATATTCTTCTTGCTCTGGTTCAGCTGTCTTATACGATTCCTAATTCTTCTTCCCTTGGTTGGCAGAAGATTCCTTCCGGGGGCCATCTCCGAGTTCTACCAACTCATCCTCACTTGCTCGTTCATCTCCCAGGTCGGGTTGTCATTGGCCGGGATCATCCCAGTGTCTCGTAAGAAGTTGGGGTTGAAAGTTTTCAAACTTCTTCATGGTTTATTAGTGACATGGGGAGTGATCTTCCATTATCCAAAGATCACCAAGCACTCGGCTTATGGGGTCCTTGTCTTTTGCTCATGCTGTCAAGAGACATTGGACTACCTCTACTACTTGCTCCCAAACAGCTTGTGGCGATTCTTCAGCAAGAAACTGTTTGTGTTATTGTTCCCGGTGCAGAAGGCGTGTGAAATGGTGTTGATCATGTTGTGTCTCAAGTTCAATCGACAATACGATGCTGAATACCTCCATAATTACGAGTATTTCTACGGAGTGTTCTTGAAGGCGGTGTTGATCATGTACATCCCTGCCTCGTGCATCATCTTCCGGTACTTGTGGAAATCCAGGCAATGATTGGACATACCTTAAATAGAACAGTATATTTCAAACTATTGTCAGATATCAAATGAAAAAAACCAATGTTTTTTGTAGATGGAAATGATAATCTCTGGCTTACAAATTAACTCCTCCGATTGGCGTAGGGAAAGAGAAAAAAAAAAAATAAAGCGAAAAAAAAAAAAAAATTGTGAATCACAAATTACATTTATATTATTATCACTATCTTTATTATCTCAATATATTATCTCTACAATAATCAAACATCTCCAATATATCATGAGTGCCCTACTATCCAGTGATGATCTAAACGACTTTATCAAACCCAGTGTGGCGTGCATCAAGCCTGTTGAAGGGCCTGACCTCCAATCAACCTCATCGATCCAAATCTCCGGTGACGATAGTAATCCTCTTGAAGTTTTCACTGATGGCACTTCCAAATCTTTAGAACCAGCCCAGATCTCCCTTAGTGACTGTCTTGCCTGTTCAGGATGCATCACCTCGGCAGAAGAGATCTTGGTGGCCCAACATTCGCACAAAGAATTGCTCAACGCCATCAAGAATAAACACGATACCAAGTTCGTCGCCAGCATTTCCCATCAATCAAGAGCCTCGTTGGCATTGGCGTACAATGTCTCAATCGAGGTAATGGATATCATTCTTATTGATTTGTTTTCCACAAAATTTGGCTTCCAATATATCGTGGGCACAGAACTTGGTAGACTCATCTCCCTTCAGCAATCAATTGAAGAAATTGACAATTATAAATCCCAAAAAAATAATAATAATAATAATAATAATAATCACGGTGGCCCATTAATGAGTAGTGTATGTCCCGGGTGGGTATTATACGTTGAAAAAACCCATCCTGAAATCATTCCCAACTTATCAATCGTGAAATCCCCTCAACAGATCACTGGATGCTTGTTGAAACACAGTGCTTCTCAATCATTAGGAGTCCCTATCGATAAAGTTTATCATGTCTCCATCATGCCGTGTTTTGACAAAAAATTAGAAGCCGCTAGACCAGAAAATGATGGTAATAGCAATAATAATAATGTTAATGATGTCGATTGCGTTATCACTGCCAAAGAATTGGTCCAATTGATGAACGACGAGAATTTGCTGTTTGAAAATTATGTCAATGAAATAACCAGCAACCCAGAATTACCAAAGTTGCTACAAACAATCGACATCATCAGGAAAAAATATTCTCCGGAATTGTTCAAATTTGGGGTGGAGTCTTGGTATTCCAATCTCGGGTCGGCGTCTGGCGGGTATGCTCACAATTACATCAACTATTTACAGAAAAAACATTGTTCAAAATCCACCGAAGTTGTCACAATTAATGGGAGAAACGAAGATATCTACGAAATTCGATTGGTCGATACCGATTCCAAAGAATTATACGGGTCAGTAGCAATAGTCAATGGGTTCCGTAATATTCAGAATCTCATTAGAAAAGTTGGAGAACTAAATGGTGGCAAGAAACCCATCCGTAAGAAAGGAGGTTTATTAGCCAGAAGAAGGGCAAAATTGGCCGGCGCTGCTGCCACCGTTCCTGCAAAGACCGTGGTGAAAGAAATAGCCGATGGTTTAAATTGTGATTATGTCGAAGTCATGGCGTGCCCTGGTGGGTGTATTAATGGTGGTGGTCAGATCAGTGCTCCTGGAGATAATAATGTTGGTACCGCCAATGCTGCCAAACTCTGGCAACAACAGAGTATTGTGAAGTACCAATCGATCGTGACGATTCAAGACGTGCTTGATGATTCTTTAACCACAGGAGTGCAACATTACATGAAAGATTTTGGTGGGTATTTCGGGGTGTCTATGTCCAGAATAACTGAAGCCCACTTCCAGAAGGTGCAATCGACTAACGTTGACAACTCTGCCATTGCCTTGACCTCTACTTGGTGATTACTGTGTATTATATAATTTAATCTCTAGATGATAATGATTGATATAAAAAGTGTGTTATCATTAATATATATGTGTATAAAAGGCCGTTACAAAATGGCTATATGTCCCCGGGTAACCGGCGGTGGACCCTGAAACTTTTTTTTTGTGTTTCAGGAAAGTTCTCAGTACTAATCGATGGGGATGGCGCATTTGTGGTAGGAACACCATCGATTTTATTAACCAGGCCATTCCCCAGTTAAAATTATTCTTCAATAATTATTATTTTTTTTTGTTTGGTTGGCTGGTGCTGTTTCTCCTTCATTTCATTCGCGAGCTCCATCAGTTTTTATAAACAAATGCGTTCGTTCATTCTTTTAACCCTTTTGATATCTACCGTCACCGCCATTGGTGATTTGGCGTTCAACTTGGGAGTTGAAGCCACCGACGGTTCTTGTAAAACCGCTGCCGATTACAAACAAGATTTTGCCTCGTTGTCACCATACAGCAAGATTGTCCGGTTCTATTCTGCCAGTACTTGTAACACTTTGTCGGTCCTTGGTCCGGCTGCCGAAGACGCTGGGTTCGAATACTTTATCGGGATTTGGCCAACCGATTCTTCTCATTTCGCCGCTGAAAAGTCTGCTTTGACCAATGAGTTACCAAACTTGTCGGTTTCTTCTGTCAAGGGTATCACCGTTGGTTCAGAAGCATTGTACAGAAACGATTTGTCGCCATCGGCCCTCGCCAGCGCCATCACCGAGATTAAAGATTTAATCAAGGATATCAAGGACAAAGACGGTAATAGTTATTCAAGTGTTCCGGTCGGTACCGTCGACTCTTGGAACATCATGGTCGATGGTTCTAGTGAACCGGTGATTCAAGCCGCCGATATGGTGTTTGTCAATGCGTTCTCGTATTGGCAAGGTCAAACCATGGCTAATTCCAGTTACTCATTCATCGACGATATCATGCAAGCTTTGCAAGTGATTCAAACCACCAAAGGAACCACCGATCTCACTTTCTGGGTCGGGGAAACCGGGTGGGCCACCCAAGGTTCTGCTTATGAATCGGCTACTCCAAACACCAGTAACGCCGCCCAATATTGGCAAGACGCAGTTTGTGGTATCAGAGCTTGGGGTATTAATGTCATCAGTTTCGAAGCCTTTGACGAATCTTGGAAACCAGACACTTCTGGAACTAACGATGTTGAAAAATACTGGGGGGTGTTTGACTCGAGTAGAAATCTCAAGTACAAATTGACTTGTGACTTTGATTAAAAATGTGTTGTATCATTTTTTCATTTGCTTTTTGTTTCATGGATATTATAGAGTATTTTTTGTTTTTTTGGTTCATTTTTTTTTTTTTTTTGTTTACCATTTATGGCTTAATCATTATATTTGTTATCAACATTATTTCAGTTCTTTTTAATTTAACTTCTGACCCTTTTTTTTTGTAGCGATCATCATGAATATACTCCATCTTTTTTTACATTTATCTTTCTTATATGGACTGAAGAGTTTCAATATTTATAGTTTCTTTACAAGCTTTGAAAAGTATTGATTGGAGAATTAAGAACTAAAAGTTGATATTAATAATTAAATATTGAGATTAAATTAGCAGAAAAAAAAAAAAAGACCATTTAAAATTACCTTCTACTCCAATTGGATTGCAATCTATTTGCCGTGGCAGAAGAAGTGGTACCTCTTTGACGAAGTCTGTCTCCAATACTAGAATTCGCTCTATTGACAGAAACCGGTTGGTTTGAGCTCTGTGGTGATCCATTGGAAGTTCTGCTTGATTTGTACATATCCCTGAACGACGCACTAGCAGGGGTTTGAGTTTTCACTGATTGACCCATTCTAGAGCCAATGCTACCACCACTATTGTTATTACTATTATTATAACCATCATTATTGCCCCCAGGTCTGTTGGAATATGAGTTTGGCTGATACGATCCGTTGGAGTTTTGGGCCCGACCATCACCAGGACGGTTGTTGCTCACGGGGTAGAACTTGTTGTTAGAAGGTAGGTTAGTGTGCTGGAAGTTATTTACGTTCTGGTTGAAATTAGGATCGTTTTCCACCAACCAGTCCGGACACTGGCCTCCAGCGTGTTCTTGATAAAAGTTGACCAACGATTTATGGACCAACAGCTCGTATTCTGCTTTACCATCGCTGTCGTTCCCGATCGAGAGGTTGCTGATGTTGATATTCGAGGCGTTTTTCTTGACTTTGTTCCAGAAACTGTTTTGCTGCATCGTGAATGGGTGGGTGTGGAAAGGTTTGTACGGTTTATCATCCATCATGTCTTAAGGGTTGTTTGACGTTTTCGTTTTAGAGTTGGTGCCATAACCGGTGGTGAGTGGCACGTGGGTTTGCGGCCGGATTTCCTCTAATTAGAGAAAAAAAAAAAAAATCTTTTCGGATTGAAACTTTTTTTGTGGGATTTCCCTTGGAGAGATTACTTTATTATTCAACTATTATAGAAGATTGACTATTTTTTTATTTTTTGTTGTTTTTGTTGTTGATAATGAGTGAGAAAGCTTCTAAAAGACCCCAAGAATCCGTAATAAATGATGGCTTGAAGAAAAAACACAAGAAAACAAGACCGATCAACTACACCATTTGTATCCCTAGCACCATCATCGCCAATGCCAAATCGCTTAATCAAGTAACACAGATAGCCTATGAAGTGGCCAAGAGCTTGACAATCTATAATGTTTCGGAAGTAGTGATTTTGGATATTCCGGAAGAGTCTCATAAACCTCAATCATCGACAACGGCGGGGGTGAAGGAAGGGAATAAGATCAAGTTCAATTTCGACGATAATAAACCTAAAGATGCCACTGCAAAAAATAATCAGAAAAAAGATAATAAGGATAATAATAATGATAATGATAACGAACCATCAATGATTTTGGCTACGTTATTGCAATATTTCATCACCCCACCATACCTTGTCAAGTCGGTATTCCAAGAAAAGAATAGAAAGTTCCTCAAACATGCTGGGAATTTCCCAACCTTGACCACTTTACCATTCATGGCCACTAATTATCTCGACGAAAACGAAACCCTGGGAACTTTCAGAGAAGGGATCTCCGTGGCGGAACAAACCAGTAAACCAAAACACGTCCCAGGCACCAAAGTGAAGAAATCAAAAAAGAAAGAAAGATTGTCGATGACCAAGTACGTCAACGTGGGGCTCGATAAACCTATTGCCTTGGCCAAGGATAAAATCCCCGTCAACGTTAGAGTCACCGTCAATGTGAAAGAAGGTAAAGTGGTGAGTCCATACGAGGCGTATTATTCTGATAAGATCGGGGCCAAAGTGGCCGTGGGGTACCATGTGAGAATCGCCAAGCTGTTCAGTTCGGTGTTCACCGAATCAGCGTTTCCTGATGGTTATACCAGTGCAATCTATGTAGAAAGCAATAGTTTTTTCAATAATAAGAATTCCAAAGATCCTTTCGGCACCACTTTGCCAGAATTGACCAGTTTGGATAAAACCGTCAAGGACAATAATGTGATCATTTTCCTCGGGAAAAAGAAGGATTTTCAACTATCTTTCAAACAAGATGAAACTTTGAAAGAGGTGGAACATCTAGGAGAATTCTTCAATCATGAACTCAAGATCCCAATCCTCACCAGAATCGAGGACGCCATCTTGATCAGTCTTACAAAGATAGAACTGTTATAATCTAAAAAGTTCTAGTAAAGTTCTGTATATTGTATAACAAATAAAAAATTCTATGATAAAAAAAGAAAAAAAAAGGGGGGATATAAACTATCAATTGTAAACAAATTCTATGAGATAAAACTGCAAAAAAAGGAGTAAGGAAAACAACTACCAAAAATAAGCAAATCACAAAAACAAAAATTTATAAATCTCAACTTTTTTATAATAATAATAAAGCACCCAAACCAACAACAGCGCCATAAGCCGCTTTAAAGTTTCTGGCACCACTACCATAAGAGGACACTGAGGCGGTTGATGAAGCATTTGTCTCTTCGTGAGCCTTAGTAGATAAAGAAGTAGACACTTTGTTGGTGGTGGCATGATGTAAACGAAACGCTGTAGATCCGTACGCATCAAGGGAGATCAAGCCTTCTTTCTTGGTAGCGGTCGATGTTGTTTCATGATGATAAGATGTGGTGGCGTTGGTGGTTCCATTTTTGTATATCGAAGTTTTGGCAGCTGCTTTGAGAGATGATGATTCTTTGGCCTCAGCAGCGGTCAATGGACAGTATACTGTGGTGTGGGTGACGACCCCGGTGGTGGTGATGGTCTTCAAATAGTATCCGGTAGGTTTCACGGTTTCTGAACAGGCATTGTCTTTACAAGAGGTGATGGTGACATGGGTGGTTTGAAAATCGGTGACATAATCGACTGAGGCGGTCAAATTAGTAGCTTGGGCAACGGTGGCAACAGTCAATAATGAAGTGGAAGCAGTAGAGAATTTCATCTTGTGGTGAGGAGGGTGGTGGTAAATTACGGGGGAGATAATTCTTACAAGATCAGTTTTTTATGTCAGAAGAACGAAACAAATCATGGCGAGCTTATATATATTGATTTATAAAAAGACTTTTTCGAGCATTACCAAGAAAAAGCATCCACTAAGGCAAGGTACGTGTGTCAGTTATATCCTTTGACATCTGGTGGATCAACCTGTCTTGGGAGGTGACATTACCACGGGACGCACGCGATTCCAAAACACCCACGTCGTCTCAGATCTCCTATGGCCAATCATTCATGGCACACTAATGATGGATAATTGTTAATCGACTCATTCACAAAAAAAAAAGAAAAAAGAAAAATCTCCTCAAATTATTATGGAATATATATAAATTAAAAAAAATGGCTCTATAGTATCAATAGAAATCACGAGAAGGAGGACGATAAACCTCTGAAGATTTCGCCTTCAATACAGGAAATCTGAATGGCAATCTAATGGCAATATCCAAATCTTGGGCATGAGAAGATGAAGTTAATGACGAGCCTAAAACCTGTCCACTATATTCATCAGTGTTCCATACTGGCCTGAAACTAATCTTCCTTGTTTCACCAACGTCTCTGTAATGTTCAGGACTTAATACCACCCCACATTCCCAGTTTCTTCCTGTCCATCCACCGTCTCGATTATTTCTTGGTGGAATTCCCCACGCACTTTTACTCAAATTGAAGGATCCCATCATCACCCACTTAATCGAATTAAAAGTTATCAGTTTATCGCCATTATTTCCAGTGTATTCACTATAGTCGTCAGAGCACATGTACACCTTTGTATGGTTATTGAGAAACTTATCTTTGTAATGTTCCAAATGATTTTTTTTTTCATTCTCAATGTCTCGTTTGTAAAACAAATTTTTCGTCAACTCGTAATTTGGGGTACCATTGCCTGCCATATTGAAAACAAATGACCCACTAACCCCATCACCTTCGGCATTCTGTATGTCAGATTCGGTAGGAAACAATATCATCGGTTCGAAATTTCCAATTCTTTTTGCATCTTTGTACGAACGTGTACCTTCCGGTAACGGGAAATCTAACCCAGAGATTATCGGGCATAATACATGGGTCAAAATGTTGGCCACCGGCAGCTCTTTATAAGGACCAGCAAGTGATGACATATGTGCTAATATTCGAAGGGGTGGCTTGGTCGAATCATGATGTTTTAGGTTCCAAGTGTCCAAAATTGTCGATAGTTTCGGAAACCCCAACCCACGACTAACGGTGGTAGTCTTTCTTGGAGCTGAGCCAATAAAGCTGGCTCTTACTGAACTGAAATCGTAGTGTTCAAGATCAGTGGCCAATGATTTGATTGCTACATCATGGTATAGTCGAAGATAATCCCGAAGATCTTTCCCAAAACTTGTGTTCTGCTGAGTAGGGGTAGTAGTAGGGAAAGCACTCCCAATATATGGCAACAATGGCGATCGCCAATAACAACTTCCCATAAAACTGAATTCCACCGGGGTCAAATTACAAGTCATAATAACAATTTCCACAAATTTCTCCGGTCTCTCTAAAGTACCCTTTTGATGAAAATTGATCATCATCTTACTGTGATGAAGAGTCCATTTAGGCAACCCCAAAAATACTTTCTTTAGGCAACCTTTCGGATATTTATTATGGTATTCATCCCAGTGGAAAAGATCCTGGGTGACTAAATATATCTCTGGACATTCGCTGGTATTCTTCATGATCAATGGCATAAGGAATGCTAAATCTATCTGCATGGAAAATTGGTAAGTTTTGTAAATGGTATTTGGAAACAATTCACTCATGTTCACGGCATCTTTTTGGGGGACTATGGGGGTGCGAAACATTTTTATCGGTGATTTCATTTTTTGAGATTCATTAGAAGGGGAAATTGGTGCTGCACGGAGTTTATTTATATCCTCAATGGCTTTCTCAAAGGTTACGGAGGTCAGAGAAGAAGACTTTGTAACAAACGAGATCTCATCATCATCATCATCACTGTCGGATAAAACAATCACCTTATCTGATCCACCGATTTGTAGTTGTTCTTGTTCCTGCTCTTGTTCAGATGAGGAGATATCATCTACTATCTCAATTGGTTTATCTAAGCTTCCTTCTGTTTTTACCTTCTTTGTGGCACCATCAACTTTTTCAGGTTCTTCGGGGATTTTCCTCTTTTTTGTACCTGCAGTTGTACTGATGGTTCCTTTCTGATTTTCAAACTTTTTTAGCCAATGATCTCTGACTGTTTCTCTGACATTTTCTGTCATCCTTTTTTTTTTTACCTCCCTATCCTTTCACTGATGTATATATTAGAGGTTACAAAATGTCTTGGGGTTGTATAATTTTTAAAAGTTTGAATTATGGATGGGATGGGGGGGAAGCACATGTCATGTGATCATTTTGTTGTGGTTGTTACACACATCCTTTCTCAATTCCAAAAGGCTACACACGCTGAAAATAAACTGGTTTGCAGAATCTAGTTTTGCTAATTTCTTACAAGATGCACTGCTTTAATTGGTAAAAATCTGTGTTTATGTACCACCTTGGCGAGATCAAAGATCAGTTCCCTAAGGTTTATGCATAATCACCAGATCCTTGTGTAACTTAGTCATAACCATACTGTTGGCATTTTTCATCAAGATCAGTATTCAAATATATACATGACAAATATTACTAACAAAACGGAATTTTTTGTTTGATGGTAACCAGCAGTTGTAATGAAAGCCTCCCGAAAAACAAAAAACATGGGGCTTATCCTAAAAAATAGTATGAACCTGCGTAATGGCAATACTACTCTATATCATTTCAAAAGAAAAAAAAAAACAGACAGATCATTTGTTGTAATTGACTTCTTATTCTAGAGTGACTAAGAATCAGAATTATGAAAACTTCAAAACCAGCAAAATATTTTTTTTTTTCTATTCAACATTTTTATATATCAGCATTCATTGATTTATCCGCTGATTGACTATACGTATTTTTCAACTTAGTTTCCGGGAAGATGTAAAAACAAAAACATATCTTCTACTAATTACAATAATAGCCATCGAAAGACTGACAATGCCATCTAAAGGAAAAATATAAAACCTCAAAATCTATTACACCTGAATCCTGTTTGATTATGCAGTAATGAGAAGCCTTTTATTTGGCGTTTACAATATGTTTAGTTGTAGTATATTTAGCAAGTTTGGTGGTCTTATACAATTAGTGAGCGACAGATAATGAATATTTGAAAGATAATCTACTAAAATAACATGCAAGCCGGGCATTTCATGCCGGTCTTTCTAATAGATAAGTAAAATACTATAACTTTCTCACTACCTCACACTCCTTGCTTTAAGAATTAATCACATCACCGGTAAAAAACTCAACAATCAAGATTATTAAGGAAAAAAGGTGCAATGTGAAAATATGAGATGAAGTCACTAGTGAATTACCCATCACTAGGAGCTTCATGAACTGAGATGGAGGTCTTTGTTGAGGGGTTTTGGCACTATATCTCAAATACTAAGTATTTTCAATGTAGTGACCATCAGAATTCTGGGGGATAATAAAAATAAAAATAATAAAAATAAAAATAATGAAAATCAATAGAATAATTGAATCCAAGTAAAAAAATAATTCAAATAATCAAATAGACCAAATAATTCAACTAAGTCAAAATAATCAAGTAAACCAAATACAAAAAAATTTTTTTTTTTTTCCAATAATTTCGATTTATATTAAATCTCATAAGTATATAATTATATAAACTTGTTCTTGGTTTTGAGGAGGAAAATCTTCAAAAGACGAAGAATTTCAATTTTTTTAAATTAATATTCAACAGTGTGAGATTTCTACTCACTAAAAACCCCCTTTAAGATATTGACTATTTTTATTTTTATTTTTAATATTATTTTTATTTTTATTTTTATTTTGTTTTATGGTTATTTTAATTTTTTAGTAGACCGCTGTAATAAGATATAATAATGTTTTCATTGATTGATTTGTCCAATCTGCATTATTTGACCTTCGTACCCTATTATATTTTTCAATGTAATAAGCGAAGCGATCCAATTTTATCATAGTTTGTTTCTGATGTTGATGCAATATGATGTTATCCCATGTTTGAGATATTCCCATTTTTAATATTTTCCATAAGTTTCTTGATACTGTGCAATTTATGTAGTAATGGGTGATGTAGGCTTCCTTGATATGGTCAGGATCCCTGGGGTTGGTGTTCCAATTTTCTGGAGGAAAATTACAAACATGGCAACGGGAATTTGTTGATTTGAACAATGTGAGCCCCAACATCATGAGGTGGAGGTTCTCCATTGAACCCGGTACCCACCTTTTGATCTGGTTAATCTGTTTCCAAAATTTTCTTTGTTGTGGCTCCAGGGGGTATGTGATTTTGGTCAATGTTGTTGATGCTTTGGAGACGTCTCGTTTGAGTTGTTCCTGTTTGCTGCCGTTCTTAAAATCAAAAGTGAACATTTTTTGATGGTGGGCCTTGTATTTCTCTGGTACTGGTTTTGCTAAATTGTCCTGGATATCTTCAATCTTCAATCTTCAATCTTCTGCATCTGTGATACCTTGTTTTTCCCTGGTTCTCTAGATCAAATAAAATCGACCATGATTTGAGGTATTTTTTCTCTTCTAGTGAGAAAATGTTGCTTTTGACAATGTCAGAAAGGGTAATTTTCTTGGTGGAGCTGCCAGGATATGAGAGTTGGTAGCCAAGTAACGGAAAGTACCATATATGTGTTTGGATGGAGTTTCTGTCAATCATACTTCCAATTCTTTGAAAGTGAGATTCTGGATGGAGTTGAGATTTTTGGTATTGATCAAGTAGAGATTCCACTTGGATTTGGGTGTTAATGGCGTATTGGATTTTATATCTCAAGATTTGGTGATATAAATATTTTTCCAGGGATGTTAGTAGTTGGTATATGACGTGTGCGTACCGATATAGGAAGTGGTTTTTGAGATCGAGCATTCCATATCCTCCCATCTGGGTGGAAGTTTTGAGGGTGGAAAGGGATAGGCTGCCAATCCTGCGACAAAGGTGTTGAAATGATTCCTCAATCTTAGTGGTGGTAGAGTTAGAAAGGGGCTGATGCATTGCACGATATAAGAGTTTAGGGATAATGTAAGTATTGTACCCCAATACCTTTTCCGCTAAGCTGAGATGGTGCATTTGTGTGAGATAATATTTGTATTTGATGTTTTTCAATACCTGATCTTGATGTAGTGGTGTGTTTAGTGGAATACCCAAGTACACTATTGAGGGAGTGGAGGTAAAGACAGGGACCTGTTCATAGGGTAGTTTTGTCAAGGGTCCAAAGGTGCGATGATATTCGGCTGTATGGTATAGCTTGGATTTATCGGTGCTAAGGGTACTGCCTGAATATTTTTCAAAGTCCTTGATGTATTGGAGGGTGGTGAATAATTCAGTGTCATCTTTTACAAATATGGTGACATCATCAGCAAATGCTGTGACCTTTATCAGGATATCGGGGTTCATGGGATTCTGGATGGCAAAGTCTTTACCCAGTGGTTGCATGGAAATGGTCAATTCATTCCGGACTTCTAATTTTATGCCATGATTTTTTGTTTGAATATTTTCTAATAAAGGTTGTATGGCCAAGAGAAAGATACTGGGGCTTATTGGATTGCCCTGTAAGGTGCCCGAGGCTAACTTAAATAGCGGACCATGAAAGTTGTTGATCATTATGGAAGCAGTTGCTGATTTCAAGATGTTTATTAGTAATCGGCGAAAATTTGTACCAAGGTTTAGAATTTGGAAGAGGTGGTCTAGGTATGCATGCGAGATACTATCAAAAGCCTTTTGAAAGTCAGCCACAAGGATTTTGGAGGTGCGCAGCAATTGAAAAAGGTTGGAGTCTGGTCTCATTGAGTGGAAGACTTCTTTGAAAGCAGCAATTTGCTCGAAGGACGTACGTCCTGGGACGAAACCAGTTTGTTCGGAACCCACAAGCTGAGGGATGAATTTGAGTAATCGGTTGTTTAACACTATAGCGAGGATGCGCATATTAGTGTTAATTAATGAGATTGGCCTATAATTGGGTAAAAACTCTTTATTTTTCCTGGGTTTGAGGATTAATGTAATCAAAACCAGACTATAGTCAATAGGGATTGACCCAGCGGAAAGGATAGTGTTGAATTCTTGGAGGAGGATATGCTTAATGTTTTCCCAGGCTTCCTTATAGAATGTATAAGGGATTCCATCAGGACCAGGCTCACTCTTTGAGTTTGCCTGCCATATTGCGTCCTTGATCTCCAGTTCGATAATTGGGTTATCTAACTGTATAGCTTCGTGGGCCATTAGTTTCCTGGAAGAGATCGTCGTTAGGAGGTATTGGCGAATGGCATTCGGATCATGGTAGTCTTTAGCCGAAAAAATGTCCTTGTAATAGGACGTGGCATGGGCCAATAAATCTTGAATATCGGTGAGTTTCCTATCTCCAGCAATGACAAAAGCATCAATTGGATTTGTGTTTGGGTTCTGTTTAAAAACAGAGTTCAATCTTTCATAAGGGTCAGGTAAAATAGATGGGTCACTGCGTTGGAGAGAGTTCAATGCCGTTTTTGTTAGTGGTGCTAACAGTCGGATCTCTGCAATCAAATGGGATATGGATGGCAATTGTGATAACTTCTTGGAGTTAGCAATAAATGGTATTAGTTGGTTGTGCAATTTGAAACGCTTTGGTCCTAGTTGCACTAAATTAAAGGAGAGGGCAAATTTGATGCTAATTTCGTCATGTGTGGAAATAGTACCAAGGGTATTTGTCTGGCTAAGAGCAGTATTCTCCAACAAACCCTCAGAAATATAAAATCGATCTAAGCGACGATTTTTACCGTTTGAGGCTCGGTTAGTGGAAGGGAGACCTTTGGACAGCAGGAGGTAGAAAGCGTCTTTGAGATTGAAGCATTCAATGAAATCGTTTAGTTTTTTTAGATGTTTCAGAATTTTTTTATTTTTTTTTGATTTTGGAATTTCTAAGATATTGTTGAAATCTCCTCCAACCACTATTTCGATGTGTGAGTTTGGGTATTTGATAGCCAAATGGCCCAACAACTCACCGAGTAGCTGGTGCAACTGGGAATGAATAGTCAATTGGGCTTTTTGTTGTCCAGTTGGGTTGTATAGGTTTATCAATAATAATAGAGTTTTGCCATCATTCCAAGATATTACTAGATCAGTAAGGTATCCGGTTAGATGTGACTCAAGTTTATCGGAAATGAAATTTTTTAGTATTACCGTGCCCATGGAGGGGATATTTCTCAATAGTATAGCCGCTCGGGGGTAAGGGGAATTATTTACATGAAAGGAATGTTGATGGAAGTTTCGGATCAAAGCCTCACAGTCTTTCGGAAGTTCTTGAAAGAAAAGGATGTGCTGTTTGTTGTATTTGGAGAGGTGATGTTGGGAGGTGAAATGATATCTCTGAATATTTTGAGATATTAGATTGAAGGATTTCTTATGGGTAGTCATGATTAATTGGATTCATTTATGCTGATATCTGATATCAGCTCATCATCGTCATTATCATCATCATCATTCGGATTATCCAGGGAGTCAATTTCAATGTGATCACTCTGGTGATCATCTGGTTCATAATCTGAGTCATCATCGTCATTGCTTGAATAGTGTTCATCGAGGAAAGCCAGTAAATTTACCGGTTCTCCATCATGTTTGTCGGCTTTCAGGTTTCCCTTAGTCAGCCGTTCCAGGTCTTGGTTGCTCTGGTGAACAGTTGTATTTTGAGATGTCCTCCGGGTCTTAGAACTCAGGTTATGAGAACTCTTGTTAGGAGTGGAGGAGGGTTCCTTGGCTGGAGTTTTTGGCACGAGAATTGGGGAGGTGTCATGTTGAGAATAGATGGTGTTGGATTTTGTGGTTGAAGGGGATGAGACTGGGGATAATGGTTTTGGGGATGAATGTCTTGGTTGGGTAGGATTGGAACTGGTAAATGATGGGGATGTATTTGTGGATGATTTTTGGGGTTTCTCAGTCTTTTGAGATGGCTGGTTGGTGTTGTTCCCTTCAGCTTCCACGCCGGGTTCCGTAATATCCAATTCCGAAGTATCTCCAGCTAAGACATTGAATGGGTTTTGCCCAACCTGCTTATCTGGAACTTGTCTTTGGGAACGGTCCTTTCTGTTTGGTTGTAGTTTTGAGTCTCTGTTCAAAATGGTTCTCTTCTTTCCAGTAACAACTTTGAAGGAGCTATTTGCTTCATGTGCAACATTTTGATTCAGGGATTCTTTTTGTGGGGTGATCTTGGTTTTCTTAGAATGACGTTTAATTGGGCATTCTGGTCCAATGTGGCCTGGTTTTTTACAGATGATACAGTTCCGCTCAGGACAAGAGAACTTGGTATGCTTCCTGGAACCACAGCTAGTACAGTGGAAACAATGGGTCAAGAGTTTGATTTTCAAAATCTTGGATGAGATAATTGGTAGTTCTGTATCTTTTTCCAAGTTTATCATACCATAGAATCTATTTCTTTGGAAGGGGTCAGATGTTATGCAAGCTTGCAAATCAACAAAATTAAAGGCATCGTATGGGATCTTATGTTGTTGGAAGTGGGACTCCAATATGTCGTTTAAAGCATCTCTGTTACTAGTTTGGACTTCGATTTCAATAAAATGACGTTCAACATATTCGTCAATCACAATTTTGGGTTTATAAGTTGTGGTTTCAGTGCTTATTTGTAAAAACTCATTGATATGATTGATGAATGATATTTTTCTTTTTTTGAATTTGTCGTCTGGCAGAGGGAAATCAGGGAAAAAACTTCCAGGAATGACAATTTCATTTTCATCAGAGTTGATATAAATGACTTCCTGGGAATGTCTTAAATCATACTCCAATTTTGTTCTTTGATGACGTTCAGTTTCCTCGATGTTCCCAGATTCAAGGAGCTGTTGTTGTTGATTAGCTAGGTCCATCAAAGCGAATTTAATGAGAGCCAATTGGATTTCTGCGGAGCTTCCTTGCATCAATGGTTTTGGGATTTTGAAATGCAAATTACCTTGGTTCAATTTGTAAATTTGTCTGAAGAGCTGTAATTTTTCATTGGTGGTAAGACCTGCAAGACGTTTCATTTCCATGTCAATCTTTGTTCTAGATTGTTGGCTAAAGTACTCAACAATGAACAAAGTATTATGATATTCCATCATTCTGTCTGGATCATCTGGACGGATTTTATACAGTGTAGATTGATAAATATGATCATTATTGTTGTAGCATTCAATGAAGTGCTCCAACACTTCCCTGTAGTAGAACTTGAGGTCCTTGATGAGGAAAGGCCAGTAAAACGCGTTAGCGAATTTTCGGAAAAGAGGGTCATTTTCCCTGTCGATTTCTTTCCTCCCATTAAAGGGGTTGACCGTGGTCGTAGAAGAATTTTCCATTTCTTCTGGGGCAAGAGTAGAAGCGACAACGGAGGCGAAGGAACGGGCGGAGGTGGAACTAATAAAGGCGTTTTGGGTTTTTTGGGTTTTTTGTTTTTTTTCAGATTGGTTTTCAGTGGAGTTTTCTACGTTTTTTTCGGAGTTTATGGAGGATTTTTCATTTTTTTTGGTGTTTTTTTGTTCCAAGTTCGCATCCTCAACTTCTCCATGTTGAGGGGCCGTTGCGTGCTTAGGTGATTGATTACCTAATAATGCAGGATCGATTTGATTAGCAATCGAAGAATAAATTTGGGTTGCGGCGGGCAGATTTGGGTTTTCTACCGCGTTTTCCTCATCCCTTGAATCATTTGAAGAATAATCGCTTCCATAATTGGAACTTTCATCGTCAAAAGATTCATCTTCGTCATTTTCCGGTGGTTTTTCGACGCTGTTTTCATGAATTTCAGCGTTCTTGTTGTCACGACCTTGATGGTCGCCTTGAGAAGACATATCGACATTATCAGCCACGGAGGGGGATGAATCTCTAGTAAAGGACTTTGGGGGATCATTTGTAGGATCAGTTGAGTAATTAATACTTTGTTTCTTATAACTATCAGGACTTGACATGTTGGTTTTTTGTTGATTTTTTTTTTTTTTTTATTATTAAAAAAAAATCAACGGTTAAATAATCGATTTTAATTGATACGAGTTCCAGTGTATTTATTGAAGCCCTTATGGCCAAGTTGGTAAGGCGCTACACTAGTAATGTAGCGATCCTCAGTTCAAATCTGAGTGAGGGCACACTTTCTTTTTTGAACCTGTGTTCATTAACATTTTTACCATTTTGTCTTCGTTATATATAGGTCCCAATCATTACAGAGACCTTCTCAGTGACAGAGATTTGCTTTTCGGTTTTATTCATGTTGGGCGAAGCAACTTTTCTTTCTTTTTGTGTATTCTGGTGATGCAGACATACGGCTGCATGGCAATATGAGTCCCCGTGATCTTCTTCTTCTTTTCTTTTTCATTTTTTTTTTTTTTATTTTTTTATGTGTGAAGAGGCAAATGTCATTACTAATAACAGTGTCAATCTACTTACCCATCAATAATAACAATTATCTCTACAATGACAGTCCCCGATGAATATAACAAAGAGAAAGAGCCAGAAAACTGCCCGGGGCCAGAATCCGAAAATGCCGGTAAATCAGATGCTTGTAATGGCTGCGCAAACCAGAGTATTTGTGAATCGCTACCCAAGGGACCTGATCCCGATATCCCATTGATCCAAGACAATTTATCCCAAATCCAGCACAAAGTCCTAGTGCTTTCTGGTAAAGGAGGGGTTGGGAAATCGACATTTACTTCGATGTTGAGCTGGGCGCTTGCGTCAGATGAAGCGTTGGAAGTGGGGGTAATGGATTTAGATATCTGTGGGCCATCGTTGCCAAAGATGCTCGGCACCGAGAATGAAATAATCCATCAATCGAATTCTGGATGGTCTCCAGTATACGTCGATGACAATTTGGGGCTAATATCCATTCAATTCATGCTTCCTGATTCCGACGCCGCCATCATTTGGAGAGGCAGTAAGAAAAATTCGTTGATCAAGAATTTCTTGAAAGATGTCAATTGGGGCCCATTGGATTATTTAGTGATCGATACTCCTCCAGGAACTACTGACGAACATCTTACCATCAATAATTATTTGTCCAAGACCAACGGGGGTATTGATGGTGCAGTATTAATCACCACTCCACAAGAAGTGTCGCTTTTGGATGTGAGAAAAGAGCTCAATTTTTGCTTGAAGGCAGGCATCAAAATTTTAGGGTTGATTGAAAACATGAGCGGGTTTGTTTGCCCTAATTGTAAAGGAGAATCCAAGATCTTTAAGCCAACTACGGGAGGCGGCAAAGCGTTGGCCAAAGAATTTGGGATCAAATTTTTGGGATCAATACCGTTGGATCCTAGAATTGGAAAAGCTTGTGATCAAGGCCAATCATTTTTGGATATGTACGAGGACTCCCCGGCCACCGATGCAATTTTAGATATTGTCAATCAGTTAAGAGATGATGTTGAAGGGACCACTGAAAGTTGATTGTGGCAGCTGAATGTTGTTGTTTTTTATTTTCATCTTCCCCCTCCGTTTTATTTTGGATTGGACCTATTTTCTTTTTTTTTTTTTTTCCTCCTCATCTGTATTTTTATCATCTACAAATTTATCATTCATTAGTTCATAAATCATTCTATTATAATATAAGCCCTCTGTACTATACAATAACCAATTGGGTATTTTCTTTTTCTCTTCATTCAACGTATTTTGCATACTCCTGTAGTTCCTTGACTTTTGAAATAAAGAATTTCTCCAATTTATTGGCGTTCTTGTAATACGGAGTACTTTTATCGTTATAAATTCTGGCATTACTGCACACCAACTTCACATCATGCACGTAATCCTCGAACTTCTCATACTTATCATTTTCGATTTTATTTTGGATGGTTTCGAGGTCCATGGGCTCTTTGATTTGCACGTAATAATCAGGAACGTCGGTTTTACTAACTGGGGTCCTGAATGGCCAAGATGACGGGAAGTTGTGAAGTTCTAACAAGATCTGCTTCATCACCGGATAATGATGGCTAGTTTCCTTCTTTTTGGCAATCTCTTCCATTTCTGGGGTCCAGCCGCTTTCTTTAATTCCTGGGATATCGTACGGATCTATTTTAAAGCCATTGGGATGATCCATGAACGCTTTTAACCCGGGTCTAACCACATTGGATTTACTGATCGCTTTGATTTTCTTCATCACCGCGATTTTTTGCAATAGCAATATTTTGGAACTATCCAAGTATCGTATTTTCGGTAGCATGGTACACTGTAGTAATGTCGCCCCTTCGTAATCTTTGATATACCCTCTCCATACCGAAGGCGGTAAAGTGATTTCTTCACTGAACCCTTGTTTTTTGAAGTATCCAATGGCGTAATTGTCGGCATAGGTCAAAAAATACTTGATCTTGGTGGTGTTCAATACGAAATCTTTCAAATGATTCATCAAATGGGCCCCGTACCCTCTGACTTGTTCGGTGGAACTGATGGCACAAAACACAATTTCTGCAAATCCTCGGCTTTCAAAAGGTCGATAAGCAATACCACCTACCACCGTCATTGGTTTCCGTACTACGGCAATCGACACATGGGTTCGATCGTAGACTAATCTGGAAATATACTCTTTGGGCATCATTGGTAATTGCTTCTGGAAAATGTTTTTCAACCCCGTAAGAATGATCATATTATCCCTGCTGGTATCGTTGTTCACCACCCGGAATACGATCTTGTTTTCACGTTCTTCGATAACTGATGGTCGTTCTTTAAAAGTATGTTGTTCGCCTTCAAACCAGAAAGTCATGATCCGTTTTTTCTCTTCCTCGTCTTCTTCCTCCTCATCTCTTCTTTTTCCTTCTTCATCTTCCTCCTCATCCTCCTCATCTTCATCTTCATCATCATTATTCTCTTTTTTTGTAGTGGTATTACCAGCAGCAGTACCATCCTCATCGTTATTATTATTATTATTATTATTATTATTATTAAGGTTACTACTGCTCACTTCTTCTCGATTATTCCTCAGTCTTTTAGTGAGTGGTTCATTCTCCAACGCTTCATCGGCCTCCCTTTTTATATTTGCCATAATTGTTTCAATAATGAACTTTGATTGAATGGAAACCTTTTAATGAATAGAAGACACACTCAGTTCTATTATTGTTATTGTTATTATTATTATTATTCATGCAGATGGTTTATATCTGGTGGTTTTTTTCTAACAAAAAGCGTTTGTTTATTGCCGTGCGGGTAGTATTTTTCAGTGGTACAATCACTAGTCCTCTATGATATAGTATAAAGTTTATACACAAGTTTATACAATAAACTTATAAAATTTATACTTCAAATTATCATCCATATCTCTTTTTTTTTTTTCAAGAAAAAGTTTCCCTTCAAAGATCATTGAATATACATTTTTTGCACTTGATATTTTCAAAGTTGTTGATTTTCCCTATACTCTATATATGATGCAAGAAAAACTAAAATAAAATAAAATGAATAATGATAAAAGAAAAAAGGAGAATGAGAGAAAAGAGTTGAGTTGATAAAATATTGAGGTACAATAAAAAAAAAAAAAGATAAAAAACAAGTAAAAAAGAATGCACGATGGGGGAGAAAAAAAAAAAAGTCCAATTTTTGTTAACAACAAAGCTAATTAGCCATTAATGAATTGAAGCAGAAACTTGAGATGCAATTTTGTCAATTGGAATAATAATAATAATATTAAGACACGTCTGATGATTAAAGAAAAGATTAATCGTCTTAAAAAAAATATCATTAGCAAACATGAGGATGGTCATTAGTTAACGCTATTGAAGTTTTTTTTTTTTTTTTTTTTCACAATTTTTTTTTTTTTTCTTTTAGTTTTTATTTATTTATGGATTAATCCATTTAATAAATCTTCTTCTTTTCGTCAATAGACAATTCACCAGCACCAGTGTTGACAATTAAAAGCAAACCACCAACAATCGACAAAGTTTGGAAGAATTCGTATCTCAAGAAATCTCTTTGTGGGTCCTTATAACCATAAGCCCAGAAGTAGTTGACGGAAATATTGTAAGCAGATAACAAGAAACCCAAGACAACGGCGGAGAATTTGGTCTTGAAACCAATGACAATGGAGATACAAGCCAAAGAACCAATCATAATGATGAAGAACTTACCAAAAGTCCAAGAAGACGAGAAAGTGAAACCAATGAAAAGCAAGACCAACATGATTCTCCCAGCCAAAAGGAAGTATCTCTTGTTATCCTTAGAGTCTACCATTGGTAAACCAGCAAGAGATCTTCTGTCCTTAACAATAGAATCGGAGAACGCTAACAACAAACCACCAATGACCGAGAAAGATCTCAACAAGAAAGAACTTTCAGTGAACAAACCGTAAAAGAAACCTTGGGAAAGAACGACCCCGATCAAGACACAAGTGGAGATGTCAGGTCTTTTTCTACCAATCAACATGGTGGAGGCAATGGCCATGACAACAACGTTGACGAAAAGGAACAGGACAACGATAAAGTAAGGAATGTGTCTATAAGTGTTCAAGTAAAACACTTGGTCGGACCATTGGGAGACAATTCTGATGGCATCTTCGTAGAAAGTAGCGACCATCAAGAATCTACCGATGGCAGGAACGTATGGCTTAACTGGACCAGAGTACGCGTCGACCAATTCTTCAACCTTGTTACTGTACAATTCGAATTTTTCACCCAAATTTTTGGCCAAATCGCCATTTTGGGAGGCTGATTGGGAACTGCCGTATTGATATTGGGGTTGGTAGCCGCCATATTGAGGTTGGAAGCCTGGAGCTGAGCCAGCAGCTGCTTGAGGTCTGAATTGAGCGGACATTTTGTTATGAATATATTATGTTATGAGGAGGGGGAGACGAGTCAATAATAATGGTAAATAAGGGTCAATCGCGAGGGGAAAGATAGACACTGACGGAAACAACAATTGATGGGAGTGCCAATTGCTCGAATAGAAATGAAGAGAAATGAGATGGAGTCAAGTAGTAATTGATGGATGATTGGAGAGCGTGAATCAACGAGGGGGCGAGAGACACATATTAAATAAATTACAGCGTTGGCCTGAATCATCGACAAAACATGGGTTACCCTGGCAAGACACATGGGTGCCGACCCATGGATACGGTGGGTTATTTGCCGTCAATGCAGTGTGGGCGGTACCACATACCATTGGCAGTGGGAATGGGGAAGGGTTTACACTGTGTGGCAGAGGACAACCATGGAATGTCTACCAGCCTGTATTTTATCTGTTGTATATATTCCAGGGAATGGATAGGCACGTCATTACTATTATCGAGGATATCCAGTGTCACGGCTATCCCCAGTATTAATAGATCACTGAGAATTCTTTTTGACGATAAATACTAATAACATTTCTGTTTCTATATATGGTTATACAATAAAAGCCTCTCCTGCGGTTATTATTGTCATGTCTTACACTACCGTTATCACTGTGATCGCTTCTTTATAAGATATCTGTCTGTCTGTCTGTCTGTCTGTCTGTCTGTCTGTCTGTCTGTCTTTCTGTTTCTCGTTCCTATGGCAGATACACAATCATCATGGTATTAGTACAGCGATAACTGATGGCAGCCATAATGACCTATCCATTAAATATAACCGTCGTAATAATAAAATAATAATACCAACCATGTATAATAAACCGTGAAAGATCTATCCTTTTGTCTCACTTTACCCGCCCACAGAACCTCTTTTAACTCCCGGGTAACTGTAATGATCTAAAATTTTTTTTTTTTTTTTTTTTTTCCAGCATCTAACGGTAGTAGTGGTCCAATAACCATCATATCAACACATAAGATCAATCAATAATAGCCAATAACCATGTCTACTATAGTCTTACCTTCCGCTAACGGTCAATCCACCGGGGCCACTGGCAAGTTCTCCGAACCAGTCCGTCGTCCTGTGGAACCAGTCGGTCGCTACTTCTTGGCCCACGCCGCCAGATCTATCAGAGGCCACACCTGGTCTGAATATGAACAATTGGAAGCCGCTAAGAACGCCAAACTTGTAGATGAATCAGAAGATAATGGCTTGGACCTCGATGACGAACAACCAGAAGATTTGTTGACCCATGACCCAAGAGAATGGAAAACCGCCGACTTGTACGCCACTTTGGGTTTGTCCAAGTACCGTCACAAGGCCACCACCGAAGACATCAGAGTTGCTTACAGAGACGCCGTGTTGAAGCATCATCCAGATAAGAAGGCCGAAAAGGGAGGAATCGACCAAGACGGGTTCTTCAAGATTGTCCAAAAGGCCTACGAGACTTTGATGGACCCAATCCAAAGAAGAAGATTCGACTCTGTCGACAAAAACGCCGATGTCGAGCCACCAGTCATCAAGTCCGAATACGATTTCTTCGAAGCCTGGGGACCAGTGTTCGCCTCGGAATCAAGATTCTCCAAGAAACAACCAGTTCCTCAATTGGGTGACAAGGAAACCGCCAAGGCCGATGTCGAAGCATTCTACAACTTCTGGTATAAATTCGACTCGTGGAGAACCTTTGAATTCTTGGACGAAGAAGCCCCAGATGATTCATCCAACAGAGACCACAAGCGTTACATTGAAAGAAAGAACAAGGCTGCCAGAGACAAGAAGAAGACCGACGACAACAAGAGATTGCTCAAATTGGTCGACAGAGCCATTGGTGAAGATCCAAGAATCAAGATGTTCAAGCAATTGGAAAAAGAAGCCAAGGCTAAGAGAAAGTGGGATAGAGAAGCTGATTCCAGAAAAGCCGCCGAAGAAGCTAAGGCCAAGGCTGAAGCTGAAGCCAAGGCTAAAGCCGAAGCTGAAGCCAAAGCTAAAGCTGATAAGGATGGTAAGAAGAAGTCCAAGGAAGCTGCTAAGAACGCTAAGAAGAAGAACAAGAGAGCCATCAGAGGTTCTGCTAAGGACGCCGGGTACTTTGGTGACGAAGGTAAAGCTGCAGCAATTGACGCAGAAATTGACTTGTTATTGGGCAGTTTCGATGATGTTACTTTGGCTGATGTTGCCGGTGCCATCACTAGTGATGCTAAGGCAGCTTTGACTAAAGCTGCTCAAGAATTGATTTCTGCTGGTAAGCTCCCAGCCGCTTCCATCAAGTATTTTGTTTAAGCTTGATTAATATATATTAAGCTGAACAGGAATAGTGTTTTATGAATATATTACCATAGATGAAACAATCGAATCGTATATTTTTCATTACTATTTGTAAAGAAATTATGTTTATAGACAAACAATAGCCTTCACGTGCGTTGCGTCAAAAATCAATCCAAAAAACGGTGCGATAATTGTTATTTATTTTTATGTGCCGCCGTCACAACTTTGTTATATGTCAAGTGGAACAACACAAACACCGTTTGCTTAACGAAAGACGACAATAGTATAGGCTACGGACCCTTTTCTTGTTATTTTTTTTTAAAAAAAAAATAAAATTAACCAAATGTCTGAAACAGAGCATCCCAAAGGGATTTTGAGAAACAGCGAAACCCATGACTACTCTCATCCGGTGAACAGTGATTATGATAGAAAGCTTGTTTTAGAAAACACCAAGAAGAACGCCGAATTATTCAAACAAACTTCGAGTGAAGGGGATAAAATCAGAGAGGAAATTGCCAGGAAGAAGAAACTCCATGATGACGGTGTGCATTTCAATAAGGAGAACTTGGAAGAAAATGATAAATTGAAAGCATCAATGACGTTCACCAAGATCGACGAACCAAAGACACCGTACCAAGGCCCAATCAGCGAGGAGAACGATTATTATAGAGATGATAACGAAGACGATGAGAATGATAAACAGGCAAAGGAAAATGGCGGATCAATACCAGACTTCTCTTTAGGGGAAGGGGAATGTGATGTTTCTGAAGGAGAAGTGTTTTTGGATTCTTTACATGGTAGTAAAATTATTCCTTCAGAAAAAGAAGAAATCAATGAACCATATCCAGAAGCCGAAAAAGAATTGAGTCCTGAAGAATTGAAGCATAAAAAGTTTGAAGAAATGAGAAAGAAACATTATCATAATGAAGTTATCAATCCTTTAAAAATGGCATCGGTGTTGACCGAAGAAGAAGATGATGAGGAAGAAGATTAATTAATTAAACAATAGGTTACAAATTTATGAGATTTTTTTTTTTTTTTTTAAAAAAAGAAAATTATTATTATTGAAAGAATTTCAAAAAAGAATCAAGTAAACAAACCCTTTTTTTCCCAAAAATTTGACCGTTTACTTATCTAGTGGTATGTGATTACTGCTAGTCAAAATATTTGATGCTTGATTTATATATCTCTTTATTAAAAATGTGTGTTCTTTTTCACTTCTCTCTCTGATTTCATTTTATGATTTATAGTATGGTTTTTCTGGAAGTGGATGGATATATGTTGACTAGTATGTCTACCTGTCTTTTACGTTTTTCAGCAAATGCAACATTCGTTTGTATCTGGCTCTCCTTTATTTATAGCTAGCTACCTTACAAGATGGAATATACCAATATATCGTTGGAATAATGAGTTTTCAAAATATGTATTGTCAACGTTGATCTAAATCATTTAAACACCTAACATTAACCTTAACTTGGAAACTACCACCTCCCTAAGTCATTTGAATTTTTATCATTAATATAATAGACGAAACAATAGTTATGTGCCAATAACTCGATTGGTAAATTTTGGTGGTTTATGGAATGAGGTGAACTTATGAAGCTTACATGGGCTTCGCGGCGGTGGAAATGTAAATATTAATTTTGGCAAGCATTATGCCATAAATTCACTAATCAATGGGGTTTTAGTTTTTCACTTGTAACACATCACTCAAATTAATAATGAATGTATTCGCAACCTATTGTATGAATAATAATATATAATAGATGTCACCTATTAATCTCCCTTATAATACCAGCAGACTCTCAAACACGTGACCATACCACTTTTTTCCAATTTTCAGGGACAACGAAGGAAAGCAAAAAAAAACAACACTTCTAACATTTTGATTATGATATCTTATTACTGTTCTAAATCCTGGGAGAATAATAATAATAATATTCAGATTTTAACAACTGCTTATAGTTTATTTCTATTTCCTTTTAGTTTTATCATACTCAACCATTGAATCCACCAGATAATCAAGCCCCAATCCCACATATTTTTTTTATATATATATCATATACATCATGTCTGAAGCTACAGTGACCTTGATCAGTTCTGACAAGCAGAAATTCCAAGTTTCCAAGAAAGTTGCCGAAAAGTCCGTGTTGATCAAGAACTTGATTAGTGATATGAATCAAGATGATGATGACGATGACGAAGAAGAAATGAATATTCCTGTCCCAAATGTCAGAGCCGCGGTGTTGCAAAAAGTGATTGAATGGGCCGAACACCACAAGGACACCAACTTCCCAGACGTTGATGACGAAGACACCAGAAAATCTACCCCAGTTGATGAATGGGACAAGAAGTTTTTGGAAGTGGACCAAGAAATGTTGTACGAGATCATTTTGGCCGCTAACTACATGAACATTAGACCACTATTGGATGCCGGGTGCAAGATTGTTGCGGAAATGATCAGAGGCAAATCCCCAGATGAGATTAGAAAAATCTTCAACATTGACAATGATTTCACTCCTGAAGAAGAAGCCGCCATAAAGAGAGAGAATGAATGGGCTGAAGACCGTTAATTGACGGATACCAAAAAGGCACAAGCAAAAGGAGAAGAGGAAGCAAGAGTTTGAGAAATAGTTATTACTATTCTTTTTTTTTTTTTCTTTCTCCTTTTCTTCTTTATTATTATTATTATTATTATGTTTGTTGGCTTTTAAGTAATGTGTTTTATGCTATATTATTCTCTACGGTTTCCCTTTTATTTGTTTTTTATTGTATAATGTGATGCCCGAATTGTTATTATTTTTTTTTGTATTTCCCCATCTATATTTTGTATTTTTGGGGTCGACTATTGTAAATGCCATCAAAGAAATGGTATCAATATCAATAATAGCTCATCGGTGGCGATTTTCCCATTTCATTGACGTCCCTCGCAAGGGTTATGTACCCGTCGCCAGTGGCATTAAGAATTTGGGGGGGATTTTTAGACTCCCTTCATCGCTACTACATACAGCGTCAGAACAGATAGATATAGTTGAAAACCCCACAAGTATCTACAGCACCAATGATTACTTGAAGATTGCGTATCTATTTATCTATCATGTACTTGATCCATTCCATAGCAAAGCTCGTGGTGCTCGTTATATTCTGGCCCCTCACCTTGATCATCAAAAGCTATACCAATTATCATACTTTCAAGACCCTCCAGCAATTCAAGAAAGATCTTCGGAACACCACCACTTACGAACAATGGTTAGGAATTGTCGAGCAGATCGATAAATTTTTAGGCAAAGACGAGTGGCGGAAAAATTACGTTTCCAAAAAATTCGATTATCGATTGATTTCTGATCGAATTGTCTCGTTACGTCATGCTAGAGACGCCAATGACATTGGAAGAATTATTTCGTTATTGAATAGTAGCACCATTCGCAATTTTGGAGGGATAACCGACAAGAATCTATTTAATAACAGTTATATGGGGACGAAATTCATCATCCACGAATACATTGCCGAAGTACTAAAAAGTTTGGAATTTATCCATCAATATGACGATGCAAATTGTGCGGAAAATGATTTGATCATTTATAAACTTCGGGCGTTCCATAATGCTAAACAAACCTTAGGAAATACCGCGTTGATTTTACAAGGAGGGTCGATGTTTGGAATGTATCATTTAGGGGTGATTAAAACATTATCCAAAAATAATTTGTTACCGAAAATCATTAGTGGGAGTTATTTTGGGTCGGTATTTGGATGTTTAATTTGTGTTAGTTGTTTGAATAACCATCGTGGTTCACAAAACGATTTTTTTGACAGGTTTACCGATGAGCTTATAAGATTTGGATTACAACATGAACCCCAGGTATTTGATTCGAAACGGGAAAGCTGGTTAGAATTCTTGCTCAAGTTTTATCACAAGACTTACACCCCGGAGATTTTGTTGTTGATGAAATATGTCGAACATTATTTGGAGGACTTGACATTTGAAGAATTGTACAGCAAAACCGGGAAGATTTTAAACTTGATCATTCATTCTACCGATAAATCTTTGCCGACGATTTGCAATTATATTACCACCCCCAACATGATTGTTCGTAGTGCAATGTTTGCGTCGATTGGTAGTGATATTATGGGAGACGAAATCCTGATATTGGTGAAGAATTTGAAAAACGAAGTTGTCGAATGGAGCGAGTTCAATTTGTTCACCAGGTCGTCACAGACAATTATTCAAGATGGCAATAATAATATTTTCACAATTTCTAACGAAGAGAGTGTTGATAGCAAGACCAGATTTTTGGGCCCCCACGAAATCAACAATGAGCCGAAATCCCCGTATGAGCGATTAACCGAGCTTTTTAATGTCAACCATTTCATTGTCAGTTTGGCTCGGCTTTATTTCAAACCTTTGGTGATCAATGATATACGGCACGATTTGCATTTTGTGAGGCCGTTGAATGATGTGGATAAGATTATTGAAGAGGCCAAAGAGAAACGGATTCAACGAAAGCAGAAGCGGGCCGATGATAATAAGTCAATGATTACTACACCGGCAATAAGTCGAATAAGTACGATCATTGATTTGATTGAATTTCAAAAAGTTGCTGACAGTCTTGATGATGATGAAGAGGTAGCTATTGAGAGTGATGATGATGATGATGATGATGATGATGAAGAAGAAGGGATTGAAGACAGTCAGAATTTTTTGAAAGATTTGACGGTTAATAATCCGTTAGAAATTTGGTTATTACCGGTGACAATACTTATTAGTTTGGCGGTGAATCTCATGATCAATGTGACGACGTTGATTGCCACGCCATCTTATACTTATATCAATATTTCCAAGAACATTCAGAAGATCATTAACATGGAGATCCAATATCGGTTTAATTTGCTCACCGATTTGGAATTTTTCAAACTGCTTCGGATATTCCAATTATTGAAGAAATTGACGGTCGATGAGAAGACTCCGAAATTGAGCAGTAGTGAGATCACGATTGTTCCGAACGTGTGGGACTTTATCAGTATTTGGAAGACGATCTTTATTATTAATGATATTAACGAGGAGAGTATTACCGAGAGTATTGATAGCGCGATCAAGTTTGGAGAAAAGAGTGTGTGGGCGTTATTGCCGATCTTGAAGGTGAGGTGTGAGGTAGAGTTTGTGCTAGATGATTTGTATGACGATACCAAAGCTTTGAGGGAGATTTGATATATACATATATATATATTATATATGTATTATATATGTGTACTTTTATGTGGGTGAATAGTGGTGATGATGTATAACAACGATCCACAAATATGGGTGGGATACGGCACAACTGTCGCGTGCACACAATGAGCTTTGTTGAAAGGAAAGGAACGACCCAGAGATCGGTGGGGACGGTCGAAAAGGGAAATGATTCACAACAAGATTGTTTATATTGCCAGGGTAGGCAGGAGGGGGAGGGGGGAGTTGAGCAACCGCACTAAAAAAGAAACAAAACACAAAAATAAGTAATTCCACCCCACTGATTCCAAAACACCACTAAAAAAATAATAATAATTTCAACCATCATCGATTGCTGCGACGGTTTTCTGTGAGTGGAGAGGAGAAGTTGTGTACATCCCCGTTATCCCGGTAATGAGTATTCCCTTGCAATCAATCAATCAATCATCACAACACAACACACCACACATTGGGACCAGATATCCTGCTACGAGGATTGCCCAACAATTGTTGGGGAATGCGGTTGAACAGACAGGAAAATCTTGCCTGGCACTTTGCTCTGGTGGATTGCAGGAAAACTTTCTTCCCACGAAGAAAATAAAAAAAAAAAAAAAAAATTTTTTAGCGTTATGCATGCAGCGGCACAAACAAAAGGAAAAAAACCTTAACATTTCATTATTATGAGTTCTTATGACCTTTCTTACTTCAACTATATATTCACGGTGGGGCCCTGTGATGGTATACATTTTTTTTTTTTACTGTTCTTCTTCTTCTTCTTCTTCTTCTTCTTCTTTTCTCTATTAATTGTCCAAAATGTCGTTTTTCTCTCCAGCAACCATCACTGCTTTGATTCAAAGCCAAACCGACAATGCTGCCATCGGCACTGGGTTGATTCCTTTATTAAAAATGACCAAGGAAAAGTATGGTACCGTCCCAGCTTACTTGGAAAAGGCCGTCCAAGCCATCTTGCCTGCTACTTTTGGTGGCTACCCAACCTCGGCTGACATTGCCCCAAGTGCAGTGTTCCTCGCAGTGTTTATCGTCTTGACCGCCGGCCACTGTTATGTGTTTGCCAAAAACTGGTCCAGAGGCCATCGTTTTTACGTGTCGCTCGCCGTCATCCTTTACGGGTTCATGAACTGGATTGGTTACGCCCTTAGAATCTCTTGGGCCCAGAATATGCAAAGAGTCCATACCGGGTTGGCCAGTACCGTGTTGCTTTTGTGTAGTACCGTGTTGTTGGCCGGGACTAACTTGGTGTTGGCCCAAAGAATTTACACTTGGAGACACCCAAAGATTGGATCTTCCAAGGTTTTCGAATACGGAATGTACTTTATTTACTTCCTTGTCCTTGGAACCATCATCATGGGGGTTGTCTCTGGGGTTGTCCCATACTTGTACTTTTTAAGTGAAGAACGTTTCAACATGTGCAAGAAGGTTGCCAGAGCTGCTGGTTTGTTGACCGTCCTTTACTCTTTTGGCGCGGTTGGTTTGTTGATTTTGGCATTTGTCCATCCTCCAAAACAAAAGGACCCTAACTTTGCCGTTTACCAACCATGGTGGATCCAATCTTTTGGTATTTGCTACTTTGTTCCAAAAGGTTCTGCCAAGATTGCCAGAGACACTTTTGTCGAAAGACCAGACCACCACAAGAAGGCTGTCAGAGTCATTGCCAGTACCACCCAACATTACACCACCGTTGAAGAAATCAAGACTTTGGAAGAAGAAGCTGCCCCAAGCTTGCACCACAACTGGAGTATTTTGATTATTTGCTTGACCACCGTGTTGTTGTTGATTTCTTCTTGTTTCAGATGCGCTTCTCTTTTCATTGACAAGCAAGTGTATGAACAAACCTTTATTTTCAAGCCAGTGGTTTTGTACTGTACCCACGGGCTTTTGGAATTCTTGGTTTTGGTTTTGTACTTGGTTACCAGAATCGATCTTAGATTTTACAAGCCAGACCATTTAAAAATGGGTGCTACTACCGTTGCCACCACTTCTGACGATACCAACAACTCCAACAACTCTTCTTATGAAAAAGAAGTCGATGCTGTTTCAACCAACAGACCAACCGAAGCCGCTGTTTCTGAAGCCCCAGCTGCTGCTGAAGAAGAAGTCAACAAGGTTGGAACTCCAGTTGAAGAAAAGGCTTAATGATGTTTGATCTTTGTTTTTAATTGTTTTTTATTATTTATTTATTTATTTATTTATTTATTTATTTCTACGAATGCTACGTGCCTCAAGATGTGTTTTATTGTCCATCGTTTAGTTTCTAATTTTTTCTTTTTTTTTTTTTTTTACATATATATATATATATAGTAATCTTTCAGGCCACCAACTTAATGATATCTTTTATTTATTTTTACTTTAAATTGATATATATATATATATATATATATATATATATTTATACAATAAGAATAATAAAGTTGAAAAGAAAAAGAACAGGAACAAGAAAAAAACAACAACAATACCCTAGTTGTTAATGTACATCATATGTATGGCTCGTCCAAATATGCTAAGTGATTATTACTTGGAAGCACGTAGAATAAAAATTTTCTGTTGCAATGCATGCACCTAAGTGCAAATTTGCATGAAACAGGGGAAAAAAAACCAACCAGACAAAGCTAACTGTTGAATTTGTACACTAGTTTGATGGCTGGTCAATTACCCAATTGATAGATAAGATTCTTTTGAAATTGTTTCTATTTTTGGTGAAGAACACTTTCCTCAATTGGAATCGCATATTCGTAATTTTTTTTTTCATTCTCCTCTTTCTCATATGAGATGTATCTAATGTATTTATATATATTTATGGACAATCATATCGGATGATTTGTTTAGTATAACGTGAAAAACATAGGCAATTTGGGAAATCCATTAGTCAACTCTTGAAAGAAAAAAAAAAACGATTCCCTGACCATCAAACATGATTGTGATAGTTATATATATATATATATATATATATGCTAAATTGTATCTGAAACAAAAAGCAAACCCATGAATAGCTAGCGGTCTCGAGAAGTAGTACGAATCACAAAAGTCCAATGGCGATGATCATCGAGGGTAAAGCAGTCTCATCTCCTGTACTACGCTGTTTAGCTTGCAAATTTAGCTTGTAAATCACTAGAAGAAATATATGTAATAAAGATCTTTATAGATACGCCTATTGGAATCGACAGTGTTTCATAATCTGCCAGGAATACTACGACTGACATGGATAAGCAAAATTAATGAAGGAGAAGAAAATGTAGCGAAAAAATGGGATGAAGCAAACAACAGATAATTCTGCGACTGGGGAGCTACTGTTTATCATGTAAAGAACATGGAGGGAACCGTCTATATTAAAAAGAAGGGTAAGTTGCTGGCGAACGATCGGAAGCGTTGTAGAATAGCTGTTACGAGAGCTTACTAATACAACATCGTGCTATCATTATCTGCTACAAAAGCTTGCCAATATGACTACGGTTATTAAAGTATTATTACCCATCCACCCATAATGGTTGTAACCACCACAGTGGTATTCAATATCAGGTGACACAGCACTTGGTGAATGTGGATAATAAAGCATTGGCACAGCCATATATCGTAGTAAGATAATAATAATAATAATAACAATAATAATAACAATAATAACAACAACCTTTATCATAGATATGACTTACAGACCAATCATAACAAGCAAGGCAGCACAGCAAGCACGGCTATCTTATTGCACCCCGGGTGGAGCACCCGGTCTCGTTTCTTATCGAAAAGATCAGCAGGAAAAAAAAAAAAAAAAAAAGGCAGTGATGATTGTAATGGAAAAACCCCGGTGGGTGAATAAATATATAATTAAACAACACCAACAGGACACAAATAACCACTCGCCCTTGGTATCTGCCCCTTCTGGCTCGCATAGATATTGCCACCAACCAACCATTAATAATCATCTTATTACCAAGGTATTAATTACACTCTCCTTCCTTTATTTTTGATGTTGATAAGATCGCAATTCGGAGTAGGCTCATCGGTATACTACTAATACGGCATTATTGTTTTTTCCCCCCTTAAAAGATTAGTAAACCCGTCAATATATTGATCTTCATTAAAAAATTTAATTTTCTTTTATCTCTGAAGCCTCTTCTTCTTCTTCTTCTTCTTCTTCTTCTTCTTCCTTTCATTTCTACAACCTCGACAAATACTCTTTCTCAGATTATCCTGGTCATTTCATTGATGTTGTCGTCGCCATCATGTCCAATAATAACACTTACAACCCCATTCAAGATTATCCCAGGATCCGATTGCCTGGATGGGTCGATGAGATCTCCCCAGAATACAAGCGACTAAGGATTGCCATCACTAGAAAATACGGATGGATCTCATTCTTCTCGTCAACCTTCATATTACTTTGCATGGCCATCGTGAATTACGTTTACAAAACACATTATTACGCCATCAGCAAAAGGCTAAAAAAATTCTATCACAGCCATTCCCCGGTATATGGGTTTATCGTCAACTCACGAATCTCTCAGATCGTTGCCTTTTGGTCTGTTTATTCCCTATTGATCCTTACTCCCGAGTTGAATTACGATCTAATGTTCCTTACCAAAAGATTGGGGAGATTGGCAGTGACCTTGATGCCGTTGTTATTATTTTTAACTATTAGACCATCACCTATGCCAAAAAATTTATATCTCAGTTTATTACCAGTGCACAAATGGGTTTCAAGAATTGTGGTATGCCAATCACTTTTGCACTCCATTTTTTACACCGCCAGTTATTTCCATAAACAAACATTATCGAAAATTTGGAAAAAACGGCAAATTTTGGGATGGATCCCCATGGCGGCATTCCTAATGATAGCAATTACCTCATTAAGTCCAATTAGAAGAAAATATTTCAAATTTTTTTATATCAATCATTACCTTCTAACTTGGGTCTCGGTGATTTGTTTATTCTTCCACTCAAAACCTCCGGCAAACCTCGCGACTTTTTTGAATGTCGCGGTATTGATTTATCAAATCTACCTTCGGTTCACCAATACTTCTTTGGTAAAGCTCCAGATCATTCCATTATCTCCAAACTTGAAGGTCATTGAGATCGCCAAGCTGTCAATTCCAGAAGGTCGGTTCGAATTCAAACATTCCATCATGCCTTGTTCACATCTCAGAATGCAAAAACGATATACTAATCCGCTAATAAACTGGTGGTATAGGTTCATTTCTCCATTGGCCCATCCTTACACTATCGCGTCGCTTCCCAGCGACAATTCTATCGTATTGGTGGTTAGAAATACCAAGTTCGATTTGAATAATATCGACGAATACTATATTACCGGCACGTATGATCCCGACCTCGAATTTGTGGAATTTACTGAGAAACGTGATGATTTTATTAGCCGTCCTGTCAATAGCCACCACTCTTTTAGCAGATGGTTCAAAGACTCGCCGATCAAGAAATCACTTTTGAAAAACTCCAACATCGTGACCCTTACCTCATATTATAAAGTTTCGGCGTCCAGAATGTTGATGATCATTGGCGGGTCAGGGATATCTGTGGCATTACCATTACTCAGAATTTTGAGCATTCAAGGGATCCCTTCGAAAATCATTTGGGTTATCAAGGATATTCAAGATTTGAGACTTTTCAAACATTTTAAAAATATCGATGTCAATGCCATTGAAATCTATTTGACCAGCAAGACTTATAAATTTGAACATCTTCGAGAAAATATTTTAAGACTCGACGAATTGCTATTTGATAAATTGGATGATCATGAAAATAATGCCAGCGTTTTACCAATGATATCGATTAACGGGGTTAAAGACCTGGATTACGATACTAGAGAGGTTGATTTTACGAACTTTGGGGCCACGATGCCGCCAGTTGAGGAGAATGACCTTGGTGATAAACATAATTATTTCACGGTACCAATAATTAGAAAGACAAGGAGATCAAAATCGTTGTCATCGGTCGACACCCCACCTTGTTATGATGATTTGTTCAAAAGGAAAAGACTTTCGGGGAAGAAATCGATCAAGGATTTGATTACTGACAGATTGAATTTGGATACATTTCGTAAAGATCACCAAGAAAATGCTGATGATGATGATGATATCCAAGGCTCTAATGCCGATAATGTGGGGATTAATATTTCGAAATATTCAAACAATTACGACACAAAAATTAAGCAAGAGCGGGTACTCAATAAGAGCAAATCTATTCTGGGGAACTTGTTAACCTCAGACCTTGACACCATTTCTAATTACGGGTCGATCAACCACGACGACCACGAACCATTATTGCCCAGGACAAGTTCCAAGATTTGGAAAACCAATGAGGAATTCAAATTACCAATCATCATCAAAGCCGATAGAGCTTCCAATGGACAGTATGCCAGTATTGTCAAACAGCTCAAGATTTATAGAGGAAGACCGGTTTTAGGACAAAATGAGTTTAACTGGTGCCTCAACCATTTTTGTACCGGCACTTCTGAAAATTCTTCGATAAATACGGATTTCAATGCTATTGAAGAAGAGGAAACTTCTGATCTTTTACATCCTCCCGGAGGTAGTAGCCACTACCATCAAAAGAGACATGTCGATCGATCACCATCTAATGGGTCACACGCGGTTGTTGAGTGTTGTAAAGATATGGGATCGGTTGATCTTGATGAAATTCTTGAGAAAGTCTGGGTCGTTGGGGTGGGTCCCGAAGGATTAACCAAGAAGGCCAAGCTATGGGCCAGAGAAAATAGGTTGAACTTCCATGATGAGAGTTTTTCTGTTTGAAAAAAGGGATGTATATTTTCTATTGTATGATTTGTATTTTAGTTATCTATTATATATATATATATATACCTAATACGTTTCAGTGTCAGAACTCCAAACAGTCAATGTAGGGCTGTTTGACGTCTATTATGGGTGATTTATGTCACCGGGTAACGGTGGAAGGCTTGGACAGTATGCAACGTACAAGAAAACGAAGAAAAAAAAACTAAGCAGATCTGTTTTACCACACCTGAAATTTGACTAACTATTTGTTTTCTTTCGCTGGTTATTCTTTTCTTTCTTTTATTAATACTTCCCACTAGGTAAACCATTGCTTGTATTTTCATACTACCCGCCTTTTCACTCTCTTGTTTTATAGATATACATGCCACTCCGCTAGAAGAAGTTGTTCTGTGCGTTTCAAAAAAAATCAACCCAACGTTTCTTTTGTTTTACTCCAGAAATGCCAAAGAATATCATCTCCAAGAAGTTCCTGCAACTTTTATATTCGTTCAATACCAATGACAGATACGCCGACTATGGTGGCGATGGAGCTGGCTCTTCATCATCAAAGCTGAGGAAATCAAGTCAGCGAGGGTTCCTGCATTCGTCGAAAGACTTGATCTCGTCTCCCACCCTCAATGGTGGTGCCACCACCACCACCGCATCATCATCCCGAAGAAGTTCATGGTTTGGGTCGCCGAAATTAACGTCCCCGGTATTAGATCATTCGTTCAATTCTCCTAATATGGCTCTTTCCGGAGACTTTGATATCCATAACGAAGGGGTGAGCGAGACGATTTTGGCGTGGCGACACGTTGAATTATGGACTAATAAGCATCATAGCGATTTAAATGAGACTTTAAATCCCCCGGTGACGAGAAATGATATTGGGATGGCAGAAAAGGATTTGAACATCGAGTTTCCTCCGTCGGTGGTGACGAGTCTTAGGATCCACGACGGGCAAGATTTCACCGGGTCATTTAAGGATTATTGCGGGTTATTTTTTGGATTGGAATTGATGTCGCTTGACAAAGTGGTGGAAATGACGAAAAACTGGCGGAAAGTTTCTGATAAAGTCCTTGATTCGATCGTGCAAAACAAACTTAATCACGATATTCTCATGGGGTTAAAATCCCCGGAATTGACCCACGATTCAGAGTTTCATAAACGTACACACAAAGAAAAACAGCGCAGCACCAGTGCGGCAAATTACCAATCATTAGAGACTTTCAACTACGAGGTAAACCCTAACTTGGAGCGTGATTTAGAGAAAACTACTTTACAATATGATATCACTGAGAAAGAAGCCAATATTAGAGGGGTCAAATCAAGTTTGTTGAATCAATTATCGGTCCCTCCAAATGCCATTCATGGAACTTACGCTCATAGAGATTGGATCCCCCTCTTGACTGATAATTCCGGGAATCACGTTGCTGTGGATTTATCGCCTGCCCCTGATGGGACTTATGGCCAAGTGATTTTATTTGGTAGAGAGTTTGATACTAAATACGTCGTGGCACCAACCTGGGGGGATTTCATGTTGAATTTTGCTAAAGATTTGGAAAGTGGTAATTATATCATTAGAAGTGATGAACTAGTCGATGATATCATGGCCGGAGAAGGGGAGTTATGTTATTATAGTCGTGAAACCAAGCAAGAAATGGGGTATTTTGAAGTAATGAAGCAAAGAGCAGTCGAAGCATGGCAGGCCCAACAACAGATCAAAATTTCAAAAAGGCAGCATAGTAAACCAGCCTCTATGGTGGTCGGTGGTGAGGAAGAGGTTGGACTTTATAATGATAATACCAAGAATTATTCGTACGAAGAAAGTGAATTGTTAGATATTCCCGAAGGATCGGCGTTGAATTCCAGCTTCACCTTCGATGATATCAGTGGATTACACTTGGAAGAGTCGTCCAGGATTGTGTCGCCAACAAGACTGGAATCCCCAGTGAAGAATTTGGTGAATATTTTGGAAGAGGAGCCGTCGATGGAGAATCCTGCAAAAAATAACCCCTATTCTTCAACATCACTGTCGACAATTGTCAGTCCTGAAGAAGTCGAATTGAAAGTGGTGCATCAAGATACTCTTCCCGCAAATGACGATGATGATGCAATTGGTAAATTGGCAGGGAACTTTGAAAGTATTGCAATTTGAACAATTTGTTTTATGAATGGAAACTTTTTTTTTTTTTTTTTTTTTATTATTATTATTATAATTAGTTTTTCTTGTTTCTCCTTGTATTTTTCGATTTTTTTTATTGTTATTTTTTTTTCCTTTCGCATTGTCGCTTATTATTGTTGTTACATTATTATTTTGGTTTTTACGTCTTGTTTCTATAGTTCATGTCATCATAGATTAGATGATTTCTTTTTTTTTTATCGTTTTTTTTTTTTTTACAGTCATACCCATCATAAAAATATTTAAACGTCTATGAATTTATTATCAGTATGTCTATTATTTAGGTTTAGGTGTATCAGAATTAATATTTTTCCCAAGTGATGATGTTACTTATTCTTTTTTTTTTTTTTTTTCTTTCTACCAAATTATTCTTTGGATAACCTCTGGCTCACTATCCCATGAGAATTCAAAATTGATGAACACAAACAACATGGCAAGATTCACCACCAAATTCCAAATAAATTCCGCCCCCAATTTCGCCAAAATTTCCTGTTCTCCAGAGAATTTCCAACCAAATAATTCCAAAGTGTCATCGACCGATCCAGCATCGGTCAATAATCTCCAGTACAAGTACGGAAGGATGTAATATCTTGGTTCGAACAATGGGGAAGGAATGATGGTGGCAAATAAACAAAACATATACCCCAACACCAACACCACATTGGTCGTACTGCGATGTCCCTTGGCAAATTGGGCCAACATTAACACCATCAAGAAATGATAGATTGGAATCATCGCGTAACGACTATAGGTCCCGGAATCTATTACTTTTCTCCACAAATAAAACGTGTAATGGCGATTATCAGCCAATAAGAATGGGTGAACCACCGTGAAGTGTTTAATGGTATAAGCCATCATTGTATAAATCATTGCTGTACCGATGATTTTCCCCATAGATCCAAAACTGAACTGAAGATACCCCGCCAAAGATTTCCGGGATAGGATTAATGGCCAGCCACAAAATCCCATAAACAAGAAGCAATAATAGATTTGAGAGAAATGAATGGTGCTGACATGGTTTTCTTTATCACCAAAAGTGATCCCTTGGTTATATAATAAGAATACGCCAAATAGCACAAAATTCACCAAGAATGGAATAATCGCAAGGATATTACCAAGAGCGGTATCCATGAATACAAGAATTTCCATAATCATTGAATATACCTTCCAGGATTTCAAAAATTGGAGATACTTAGAAAGAGATTGATATTTCGTTTCGAATTTCTCCACGGTGTAATTTTCCAACCGGATCTTCTGATCAATCCCAATCACCAAATTAAAAGCAGACCATACGATATTGGTTTGCCGAAACCAAAGACTGGAAAACACCAATAATGACGAGAGCATCGAAGATTTCACCCCGAATGGGCACAAGTAACTGACGGTGAATGAACTTAGAATGAAGATGGTTGACCAAACCTCGGTGTAGAAAAGATTTAAATAAATCGTGATCAATGGGATCAAAACCACGTTGGAAATCCATAATCTGGTAGGATATCTTCTGGCTATTGGAATAGTCACACAAAGTGGGAGAATTATCGTCCCACCAATGGTGTTTAGTGATCGTAAAGTTGGGATATCACACTCCACGGTATCGATTGGTAAGAAACTCAACAACTTTTCATATAGGTACGCCAACACATAAAGCCCAGGAGGGGTGGTGATTTTGGAATCCCAATGGTGGAAATCACCATTACAGTACTTTTGAGCTTGAGGAATATGGAAGATTTCATCAATGAATTGATAGTCAACGTACTTGAAAGAAATCAAATAAAACGAATACGAGATGAGGGTCAAGGCTATCGGGTATGTGATATAGTAATTTAGAAACGATAGTAGCTGGGACGCTGAGCTTTTGGATTTGATATTCGCCTTATCCTTCGGCGACTGTTTTGTTGTCATTGTTGTTGTTATTATCACTGCTGATGGATAGATAGGCGTCTTTTGACACCGATATTTTTCCTTTTTTTTTTTTTTTTTAAATTGTGATTTTTTTTTTTTTTTTTTTTATTTAGTACATCACTGTCCATCATATATATACAGAACATCACCAAACTTTTGGAATATAATGATTGTGGGAGATCAATGAATCATCATAATAATGTCATCCGTTAAAATTCTACGAATAGCACTGATAATTTGGTTGCTTTTTGTCGCCACTATTATCCAGGCATCGGAATTTAATGACTTGCTCAAAAACGAACAATCCGTCAGTGAGTTTGGTCAAAAGACTCTTAGTTTCAACACCACCATCGATAAACTCCCATTAATCGGTATAAATGCTTCGTCAGTGGTGTTTACCCAATATGGCTACACCGATCAAGGATTGCTGGCGTTATCCCTGACGTTGAATAACTCCAACATCAACGCGGTATTGGTTGATTTATATTGGAATGATAAGTATGACGGCTGGCAAATATGTCCAATATCACTGGAAACCTTAACTTCAACTGATGATTCGATTATTACTTTCACTTCAGGAAACTCGACTTTGACTTGTGATATGAACCTAACGTTATACCAGGTGTTCGAGGCGATTCCTTTTAATACCGACAGTAATAAGACTTATATCCCCAACCTCACGCAAATTCTCTTTAATCTTCACTATTTGCAAACCTCAAACGTTTCTTATTCCATGGCAGTCACCCAAAGTATTTCAGAAGCGTTGAAAGAAACTTTTGGCCTGGCGTTATACCTGGCAACCGACTATCAAAATGCCAATTACCAGTATCCTACATTATATCATTTCACCATCGATTCTCAAAAAACCATCATCCCCATGCTTTGGATGACCGATACATCAATTACCAATGCTACTTCTATTGAAACCATGGCGTTGGAAAAAATCGTCTTCATGCCCAACCAATCGAACTTCTACCTAAATTATAAACAGAACCTCGATCCATCGACAATTATCAATAATACTGCATTGTCAATCGACGATTTCACCAATTTAGCCACCCAAAGTTGGAAATTCACCACCACGACTTTAACAAACTTCACTGATCTTCGGAATATTATGTTAACGGGTTACACCTCGATCATCTCCAATGGAAACATTTCAAATTATACCGATATCAACACAATTTCTTGGCTTTGGCAAGAATCTCAACCTTTGGACCGCAAGACCGTCCAGGTATTAGTGGATAACGACCAATATGTTTTCCAATCACAACAAGGGGTCCTCCAGGCCTATCAATGTGCAGTACTTTTCCAAGGAGGTTGGTACGTCGAGAATTGCTACCAAGCACACTTCGTAGCGTGTCAGTCGCGGTCCAATGAATCTCTTTGGAAAATCAGTACCGGTAAAAAAAGTTATTTTGATGCTTCAAAATTGTGCGCCGGTAATGATGATGAAGCTTCACCTCAGTTCAATTTCAGCATTCCTAAAACTGCGTTAGCTCAAACCTATTTGATAAATTTTGCCAAAGAACATTCGATCACTGAACCAATTTGGATCGATTATAACGCCATTTCAAGAGATAGTTGTTGGGTCACCGGGGGTCCCAACTCTCTTTGCCCCTTTGAAAATGAAGACCAAAAACACAGGTTCGTAGGGATTGTCACCCCAATTTCGGTATTCATCGTATTTGTTCTTTCATTCAATGCCATCACCAGCAGTGCACAAGTTCCAGTTCAGAAAAACCGAAAGTATTGGAAGGAGTTGGTGTCAGATTTTACAAAAAACGAATATGAAGGAGTGCCTGCATAAATATGGAGAAACGATTTTTATATTTTATAACAAGTATAATCACTGTCGTGTACTGCGGAATCTTACCTTTGTTTCACATACATATATGTACTTTATCATCTAATCACTTCAGCAACTTTATCTATGCCCTCGTATAACTCAATCAAATCACTTCCATAAAGACCATCTTGGGCATCACCAAATAAGCCAGTTTTTGTAGGCCAAAGTTTATAAAATACAAGAGTCTCATCATTAGTGCCAACACAAACCGTCGTATAATCCGGCGATATTACTGCAGATAAGATTCTTGAGTTTGGAGTCGCCGGAACCTGGACTACTGGTGTCATACTGGGATATGAATACACACTAACAAGTAGCGGCAGTACCAAATCACCGTACCCAAATGTTGCAGCAATTTGACGTCTACTTCTTGACCAAATAACTGATGTGACCTGACCTTTGGTACTCATAGATCCTAATAAAGTGCCCGATTTTGTATGCCAAAACCTTTAGGAAGTTAGTAAAAAGAACGAAAACAAGAAAATTTCATTATTATAAGCGACTTACCTCAATGTCCTATCCTTACTTCCGCCCCCGGTTGCCAACAAAGAGCTTGACCATGGGCAGTAAGCAATGGCCTTCACTGCAGCCTGATGTGGTAAAGAGAATTTCAAAGAGGGGGCCTCGAGATCCGTTATATCCCAAAGAGTACATGAATTATTGTTACTTCCTACCGCGATTTGATTTCTGTCACTTGAAATTGCAAGGCCTTAGACATTATAAGAACTTTTGTCAGTAATTTTGCATTCTGTAAGGGCGTTAAAAGGTCTGATATATACCACAAATTTGTTGTTCATGAGACCTAAAAGTGCTGACCAACTCTAAATTGAAGATATCTGAGGTCATGGCGATTTTGAAAAGACTAACTTCGCCAATTTCATTACCAATGAAAAAATATTCACAAGATTTTGGGATCCAACAAATGCAATAGATGGCTTTTTCAAAACATTCATATTGCGACAAAATTGCCTCTGCCTCTTGGGAGTACACCGTAAGCTTCCCCAGCTTAGTGCCTACCACTAGCAAATCATCATCAGAAAACACTAAAGAAGTTATTGTATCAAGATTTCCGTCAATGGGGATACAAACTGGTCCTGATACTTCAGACCAAAGGAAAAGTTGAGATCCCAATCCAACCGCAACTTTCCCAGTTTTAGCTGACCAGGAAACAACATTAGAATAGAAATCATTTCTCAATCCCGGTGCCTCTAAAACTTTATGAGGAATTTGAATTTTAATATTTTTTTCTCCTTTTTTGATATCATTGTGCTCATTCGCACCATCTGGGATTTCTGCCAAATATTTTGCCACTAGTTGTGGAGAGAGACTTGTCAATAAAGGACCCATAACCGCCAAAGTGCTGCTCACCGGGGAATTATCTGCCGCACGAAGAGGTTTGGTTGATTTGAACTGCCTGGAAGATTGTGAAGATCTTCCCATCTTAGCGCCCTTATTGCGATTATTAGATGAATGGAAGTTCAAGACCCTTTTCTTGGTACTGAATCCCAATGCTTGGGCAATAATGCCGCTGTAATGAGGAGGAGAAGATTTGGGGATGGAGAGAGATGAGGAGTTCAGTACCGAATCAGCAGTAGATGTTCTTGTTGGCAGTGGAGATATGGTGAAAGTGCTTATACTTGAGGACAGTCTATCTTCAATGGTAGAGACGTAGTATAAGTCAGGCATGGATTTCCTTGTCTTGACACTATTGGGCAAAGAGCGATAGTTTTCAAACGAAGAATCAGAAGGAATAAAGCGATCCATTATTACTGTAGCTTTCTTTATTTTTTCTAATATATCTATATATGAGAAGAGTACTATTACAGTAGCAAAGAAAATGGTGTTATTGACTGATTGATGATGATGATGGTCATCTCATCGCCCATCCATAACCACAAACAAAGAAGACCGCGCTTCACACCGACGCATGTTGAGGACCTATTAACTACACGGGGTCCTGTACCCCCTCATTATTGACAACAGCGCAACTGCATGACGTCAACAAAAACCGTTTCGCTTAACGATTTTAAACTTTTAAGCACAACAACATAATGACAGGAGCCGTTGAGGGAGAAGGAGGTGCTAACTTAAGTGTATTGGCAAATTAGGCAAGATGCCTTGGTTTGTCAAAGCACAGAAGTTGTCTAATGCTATCTCGGTCAAAATGTGTGACAGCTTAAAGAAAAAAAAATACCAAAACACCCCCAAAAACACAACCGAAATCGATGAAATAGATAATTGGATTTTTTATTATAGGATTTATAATAGTTGTTATATATATGTATAGAAAGAGAGAGAGAAGGACAGAAAACATATCACAAGACAATCCAAGCTCTCCTTCGAAAAGTGCAACTGCACATTGCCGGTGAATAGCGAAATATTTAGATACCAGGTCACGTAAATTAAAACCAGAAATCGCAACAGGAATTGTTTTCGAAGTATGTTTATGCATTCGTAACTAATATCATTAAATACTTTTTCTTTGGAAAATTTTTACATTAGAAGTACTTCAGGACAGAGGTGAAATTTCCAAAGTTACTGTCTCTCTCTGTAATTTAGTATCATGCTTCATTTTGTGTGAGATTTGAAGAATGAAAATTCAAGAATTCAAAAATTCGAAAAAAAAACAGAACAAGGGGCAATCAAAAGGTAGAATAGACAAAAAGGGCAATAACAAAAATAAATATTGCATATTTCAAACAAGCAAAAAAAAAAAGGAACTACCGGATTGACAACCTCAATGAAATTTCATTCCATCAATAGAAAGTATAAACCCCTAAAAAAGTGCAAATAGCTAAAAAAAAAAATACAAGCTCTCGGTTACCCAACTTGGCTTAATTTATGAAATTAAGTTTCAAGAATACATTTTGCCTGACATTCATTACATAGAAGTAGTTCTAGAAAGATATTTTCCTCGTATTACTCGAATATTGAGTGGAAGAAAGAAAAACATCAGTCCAAGATCCTTTTCATCATTTACTAATTAGGAAGCTCGATGTCCTGTCCATCTAGCATGAACATTTTGTTCGATTTCTTGAGACACACAGACCAGATAACCAAAAGAAAAAAGGTGAGTGTTTTTTGATAGTTGATGTTTATATTTTTTTTTCCGGGTGAATATTGATCATGTATAATATTATAGTGTTAGCGATGGTTTCTCTCTCTCTCTCTCTCTCTCTCTCTCTTAATTGTGCTGCCTGTTGATTAGAAAACAGTACATTTTTTGAAGGGCTTTATTTCCATTTCCATTTCCTTCTGCTTATTGTCACAATATTAATTCATGTAGAAGCTTCAACGCTGTTGAAAATTAAATAGAGTTAGACCTAAAAGTGACTAGTTTCTTCACAAGCGCGTGGCGAGAACTTAGACAAGTTATTTGACATTTCTCTAGCTTCAAAGGCCTGGCCACCTAGAGGTATGGAATAACACTCATCTGGGCGATCCTGGCCCTTCAACTCTGCAACTGGTCATTGCAGGTATATATATATATATATAAATGTTGCACTTTTCTATATCTAAATGTTGCACTTTTTCTATATCTAAGGCACTTGAATGTCGTGGTAATTTTGTCTCTCGAATGGAGTGGAAGGAGAAAGAAAATAGTCAAATTCACCAACCGATCTGGGGCACAGCGCTACATGCAGGCAGCTGCAGCGTATACATGCAAAATACTGTAAGACACTGTATCACGCATGTCCACTGTATGCACAGATCTGTACTGGTACCCCCCTAAACTGGCAATGCCAAATAGCCGTTTCTTGGTCAATAATACTTTTGAATTATAAATTACAGCAAATTTCTCGGCAGAACTCTTTGGTATTAAACATTCTTTTTGTTTTGCAACTAATCTTTTATTAAAAACCATCGCATTATGTCTACTCTCTTTGAAACCCCAATTCCTTCCAACCTTCGGTTCCACGCTGATGCGGTCTCGATCGCTTCCTCGGGGAAAAACACTCTAGTATCATCTTCAAACGATAATGTCTGTTTTATCGACAAGGACCACCCCGAGATCAGGATTTCACGCCAGAGCTTGGCCGAGTTGGCCTACTTCAATGAAAAGGAAATTGCTATTGTCAGAAATACCTGGGCCATTAATTTGGCGAAAACTAGGTCATCTTCCCCAGAAAATGAAGAAAAAAATGGTGCTGCTGCCAGAAAAGTTTCGCCAATTCTTGCTACTGATCGTTTTTGGAGAAAAGTTTATGAGTTGTTGCTTTCAAGGCATCCAGAGTTGTACAATATTTTGCCATCGATCAAACATCAAACAACTTCGTTTTCTGGTATATTGTACCTCACCATTATGAATTTGGAGAACTTGAGTATGATGAATAGCTTTTTGGAAAATTTAGGACGAAGACACTCGCGAGTCTTCGGTGCGGAGCCGGTGTTCTTTCAATATATGGGGAGTGCTTTCATTGACACTCTTGCAGAGGTGTTTGGTGACGAATTTTCTCAGGAAATTGAGACAGCCTGGAGTAAATTATACTCCTTCCTCTCAAATTCCATCATTTTTTCTGGAAACATACATCCAATGGTATTGAACAATGAGGAGGATGACTTCAACTCATTTATGACTGCCACTATTATTCCGAAAGAAGAAGCACCAATATTGTTGAAAAAACAATCATTTATTGAGACGCATTCACTTGTCGAAGATAGTGATAGCTCTTCTGAAACTCTTGTGGTTGATGAGAGCATCAACTCTGCCAAAATGAAGAGTTTTGGTAAAGCCCCAGCCGCAAGAGAGAACCATGTTGGTGCCAAACCAAAAAGAAGTCTTTTGTTTTTCAAGCCGAGACATGCATCTCACTAGTATTTTTATTGAACGGTCCTTTTTTCGACATTTTTTTTTCTTTCTGGTTTTTCGGGGGGAGGCTACTCTTTTGTAACATATCTAGCTATCATTTTTCATTTTTAATTGTTTTCTTTTAGTTCGTTTTATACACTAATCATTCGGTTCTCTACTTGTCCGACTTCTTTTCATACTATACTTTTACATTCCTGTATGTATCGGAGGCATCCATTAAAAATTTAATGCTTTAATTACTTAATTATCATCTACAGCGTGTGTATTCACAACGTGTGTATTCACAATAATCTACGGGTGTGTTAGTAATTTGTTTTTGAAATGAACTGATAACCAAAACAATTAAGCAAAAGCCTGCATCCCTAGCGTGTCAGGTATTGTTAATCCGGAGTCAATAACTGACGGTAGACTTCCCCGTGGCTTCCAAATAAGTCCAAAATAAGATTAGCTATCTGCTCATTCAACTCCATTTATGAAGGCATTGTTTCTTATGGTTAATATAATCTTAGACTCTGGACTTCTCTTTTTTTTTTTTGTCATCATTCGATTTGCAGTCTTGGTGCAACGACGATCTATATGCTAAAGCTGGGGGGCACCCCGCCTCTACCACAGATATCTAATAAATTTTGGAATCACTTTTAAAAATCAGACAGTGCACCTTCCTATCAAACCAACAGAGCTCCTGTAAAGTGCTCAAAGTTTCTCTTTGCTATTTTATTGGCTCTGAGAATCTTCAATATAAAGATTATTTATTGGCCATGGTGAAGACCAGATCGGTGGATCATTTTCATTCTACTGCCCGCACGGGCTGCGTAACACAATTTTTTTTTTTTTTTCTTGTTCATTTACGATGGGGAAAAAACACCACTTTTTGTGTTTCATTAATTTCCTTGTTTTAGCCACTGGCAAACACTAAAGAGACAACAATGGCCGTCAGTTTCGAGGAGAAGTTCCAATCCTTGAAACAATCTCAAAAACTTGAGGATGAAGTGAACCAAGTGATAAAGGATAAGCGCTCAATCTTTAAGCCGTCAACTAAAAACTCGACGAAAATCTTGGGTTCTTTTGTCTTCCCAAGATCAGTCGGTGAAATCGCTACTGATAAACCACCTCAGGGAGCTGACAATGGTAAAGGTGGCATCCCACTATGGGATTTCTTGAATTATAATTTCTTCCATTTGATTTTGGTTGCAATGTTTCTTGTGTACTCTATTATTAGAGGATGTGAATATTTTTGCCGAAGAGCTCGCTTAAAATTCTTGGAATTGGCGTACAATCCATCACAATCCCCACAATTGATTAGACAGGATGTCAATAAGTTGGAAAAAATCCCAAAAAAAGTGTCTGTTATCCTATCTTTGAAATCTGAACATGAAGAAGGTGGGGGCGTCGAAGGTTTGTTGAATGACGCCGGCGAAGTGACTTCTTGGTGTATTGGTTCAGGTATTCCTAACTTGACATTGTTTGAATATAACGGTGTTTTGAAGACACAGGTACCGACACTTATCCATTCTATAAACAAGTCATTATCCAATTATTTTGGTGCTAATAATTTGCCTACATTTGTGGTCAAAATTCCGAGACTAGATTTAGTTGCCTACGGTAATGGCGAATCTTCTCCAGAAGATTACTTAACCAATGAAAAACCAGCAGACATTGAAATCACCTTAATCTCTACCGTTAATGGAAAGAAAACTATCGCTGATTTGGCCAAGACAATGGCGGATTTGGCGTCAAAGCAAGAACTTCAATCCAAAGACATAACAATTGATTTAATTGACTCTGAGTTGACTGATTTGTCTGGATACGAGCCAGATTTGCTAATACTATTTGGTCCTGTATTAGACCTTCAAGGTTATCCACCATGGCAGATCAGATTGAGTGAAATCTACTGGGAACAAGACAATGATGATGTTAACTATGTGGTTTTCTTGAACGCCTTGAAAAAGTTTTCCACTTGTAAAGTTAACGTTGGAAAATGATCACACATTATCTGGATTTCCAACGATCTTTTTTTAGATTGATTTATAATATTAATCATTTTTTGTTTATTGTTATTATTATTATTATTACTTTTTTTTTTCTTTTGCTCTGAATTTCCTGCATCTTGCGTTGTCTATCATTTTCATCTCAACGTCATCATTTTCATCTTCATCTATCACGACATCTTTTTTTTTTGTTTTTGTTTTGCTTTAGCTATAATTATCTTGCATCTCATCATCCTTCTATAATCTTGTCAACATGATTTGTCAACTTGCATCGATGCTTCTTGATCTCCAGATTTATCGTTGTGCAGTCTGGGCAAAGTGAATGTTTCTTATTTATTTCTTTCTTGGCGTGCCACCATCTACTGCTACTCTCCTCTACTAATCTGCTACGAAGTTATGTGTTTTAACAGTTGTTTTGTTTGTAGATAACGCAATCGGTGCTGCCCAAATCAAATCATTCACTCACTCACCGACAAACAGGGGGTGTGTTCAACCATGTTACCAGGGGTGTTTGTCACATGACCAAAGTTGCCAGCTGTTCTTCAAATCTTTCGACCCAACCAAACACCAATTTATATTTTGGTGTCTTCCCCCCCTCCGTTCATTCTTTCTTTCGCTCATAAAAAACCAGGACTTACTTTGACAACCGTTTATTTCTTCCACCCCTGTCCTATTAATATATCTACACAGTAAGTGGCAACCTGTTCCAAATTATCTTATTCTCTCTATTGGCTTCTAATAGTTAATTATCTCGTGGGTGGTTTGTGATTATATTATGTTATTATTATTATGATTGTTGATCGATGTGTGTGATTTTTTTTTTTTCCAACCACGTTCGCCAACTCAAATTGAGAACTAGCTAAACTATGACGTTTTAAGACAAAGATAATCATCATTTTTGGGAATAATCAGACTTATACCAGCAGAAGTTCCATTTGTTCCCTCCATATGGCGTACTCAATGTGCCTTTTTTTTTTTTTTTTTCTACGGTCAACGAACGCAGTGGGATATTTTGTCACTATGTGGCAAAAAGTGATTGCCAGGAAAAAAAAAAAACGAAAAAAAAACACACACAAAAGAAAACCAGGTGAAACGATGAGACGAATTAGAAGAAGTGGCGGCAATTTGAGAGAAAGATAAATCACAATTATTTTTATTATTATATACATACTAACTTATTGTTTTTTGTTTTTTTTTAGATGGGTATCTTTATTTCTAAATTATTTCAAGGCCTCATTGGTCGCAAGGAAATGCGTATCTTAATGGTTGGTTTGGATGCCGCTGGTAAGACCACCATTTTGTATAAATTGAAATTGGGTGAAATTGTCACTACTATCCCAACTATTGGTTTCAATGTCGAAACTGTTGAATACAAGAATATTTCTTTCACCGTCTGGGATGTCGGTGGACAAGATAAGATCAGACCTTTGTGGAGACACTACTTCCAAAACACCCAAGGTATTATTTTCGTTGTTGATTCTAACGATAGAGACCGTATTTCCGAAGCCAGAGAAGAATTACAAAGAATGCTTAACGAAGATGAATTGCGTGACGCCTTGTTGTTGGTCTTTGCTAACAAGCAAGATTTGCCAAACGCCATGAACGCTGCTGAAATCACCGAAAAGTTGGGCTTGCACTCCATCAGACAAAGACCATGGTACATTCAAGCCACCTGTGCTACCTCTGGTGATGGTTTATACGAAGGTTTGGAATGGTTGAGTACCAACTTGAAGAACGCCCAATAAATAGGTTATAATTCTGGTTAAGTCATAGCTGTTTATTTTTATTGTTATTTTTATCATTATAATTGTTAATTATAGGAATTTTGTTTTGAATACACGTCTTCATTTATCGATTTATTCTTAATTATTATTATTATAATAATAATTGCTATTACGTTTGTATGTTACTTATTTCTGAATAATAGAGTAAGTGAATAATAATAATAGAAAGAAAAAAAAAACTTCTATTATAATAACAGCAGATAAGATAAGAGTTTTTTTTTTTTTTTTTTTTTTTTTTTTCTGGTATTTGTGCATTTAATCTTATTAATCTTTAGTCTGATTTGGTTTTTGCCAGGGATATGCAGATAAGCAAAAAATGTTTATATTACAGAGATGCGAAATATTTCCGGTTAAATTTGGGGTAATACTATGTATGAGTGTTGTTCTTGTTATTATCATTCTCATCCCTTCATTTCTTCTTGTGATTGTTCCATAAACTAGAATAAATTCATTCAGATCATTCTATATTCAATTCAAATGAGAAGATAAAAGAGAATCCTTGAATTAATTCATGAGGCAAGATCAACGGTGTAGAACTAGATCTATTTTTCCTAGATGGATGAGTGATACCCCGTAGTAAGCGGTAATTTTGAATTTTACAAAGCAATGAACCCAAACCAAAAGATGAAAGAATGTGATGAAGGTTTACAGAGGACGCCTGTATTAAATGAATGGTAAATCCATTATTGTGGGATGCCAAACACACAGTGCGTTTTTCGTTTTCGTAGCCCTAAAACAGAAACTAGTGCGCCCTGACGTTTCTTTCACCATTCACACGTGATATCTTTATGTGACTTTTGTTTTTTCTACGTCTTGTATAATCACGTGCCAGTTTTTTTTTTTTTTTTTCCTGCCCGTAGTGTCTCACCTCCCTTGTGGATGTGGTTGGGTGTGGGAGAAAAAAAAATTGAAAAGTGTTAAGCGCTTGCCTTGGAACGATCAGTTGAAAGAACATCATAATAAGTTAAAGCATATAGTAAAAATGGTATGTGATAAGATTATAGAGAACTATCAAAGAATATGAATATTGCAAGACTAAAGGAGATCGAAGAAGAGCATACGGAAATGAAGGAGCAATGTTTGGGCCACCATTTGGATGATGATTGAAGTTTTTGAGGAAAAGCAAAGCAATATCAACAATGAAACGAAATGATTTGGCTTGATGTGTTTGAATGTTTTTCAGGATATATATTTATACTCATGATATTGAGAGACCTGGCTGTAACTAGATAACTCATAGAATTTGTGTTTGTGTGAAATCAATTTATTCAAGGTGAAATTTTCCTAGAGGTCTTGTTTTTTTTTATCTATTCGAAGAGTCAACTATGAAAAGCATTCAAAAAAAAAAAGATAAGGCAAATTCGTGTATTGAGAATAATTCATCCATGAAAATTGTAATGATATTTTGTTTCCAAAGATAGTGTCTATTATGTTTGTGAAGATGAGTTGAAATTTTTGAAAAAAGTGCAAACAGAATCTAGAATGGACAAGGTTATTCATTAGCTATAAAATTGTTTTTCAAATTAACGGTCTCCTAATATTTTATTTTTTTTTGAATCTATTTAAATTTTAATCTTTCTGATGAAGCAAGGAAACTAACCGATTTTTCTCTAGGCCGGTGTTAAAGCTTACGAACTCAAAACCAAATCCAAGGAAGAATTGGAAAACCAATTGGTTGAATTGAAAAAGGAATTGGCTAACTTGAACGTCCAAAAGTTGACCAAGCCATCCTTGCCAAAGATCCACACCATCAAGAAGGATATCGCCAAGGTTTTGACTGTTATCAACTTGAACCAAAGAGCTTCCGTCAGAGCTTTCTACGCTGGTAAGAAGTACCAACCAAAGGACTTGAGAGCCAAGAAGACCAGAGCTATCAGAAGAAGATTGACCAAGTACGAAGCTGGCTTGAAGACCGTTAAGCAACAAAAGAAGGCTGCTGCTTTCCCACAAAGAAAATACGCTATTAAGGCTTAAATTTATCCATGAAAAATTCATTCAATCAAGTTTCCTTCCAAAGTGACATGTATGTTTAATATATTTTTATGATAATTTAATAAATTAATGGTGCTCTTTTTTCACGTTATATAATAAGAAGTTATCTTCTGAAATTGTAAGCTGATTTCAACTATTTTTTGAGAAATATAAACAGTATAGTAATGTACAAACATAATTACTTACCTTTTTACAAATTATATTGTAAAATGAATCCATGTTGATTGTTCATTAAATGAAGCTAGTAAGGATGAAGTCAAAAAGAGCGGGAGGGGGGGGAACAAAAAAACACTAGTATTTCATCTCCACATCACCGTCATCCTTTTTAGCTCTCTTTGCCATTCTCTTTTCCATCCTAAAAGCATCAATTTTGGCCTTCAATTCTGTGTTGGCGACAACTTGTTCAAGTTTCAAAGGAACTCTATTGAATGGATCAGTAGGATCACTGAGCAAATGTGCCTTAATCGTTGATCTGTCAATGGAGATCTTGGAGGATGGCAAAATCACAGGATCAACCATCAAGGTGTACATCAATGGATCCAAGTACTCTTCTGGAAGATCATCTCCCCATTCTTCTTCTTCTTCCTCTTCTGCCAATTTGATTTGTTCGGCCTGATTGGCAAATTCGATAAGACTGTCCAAAGATGTCGAATCAAGTTGACCATATTTCGATAAAACCTTGTGTGCTTTAATGAATAATTCTTTCTTGAAAGATCTTCCATCTCTTGCCACTGCAGTAATGAAGTCAATCTCTTTAGATAAATTCACAAAAATCTTGGAAATATCGGTCAACAATTTACGTGGATTGAATTGATACTTTTCTGGGTTTTGAACTTTTAAATCACCGTATTTTGGACCCACCAATTGATTAAGATTGTAATCCAACATCCCCGCCAATCTATTAACAATTTCCGACTTTGTGAAGGCCTTTGGAACTTCTTTAGTAAACAAATCAAACAATTCAATAGTTTTAGTACTCAAGCCAATAAAAGATTTTGCCAGCCTTTCAGATTGCAATAATCTGGTATTCAATTCTTCAAAGGTAGACCCATCAAATTCGGAATTGACAACTGTTTCCAAATCGCCACTTTGAGTCCTTTTATCAATCTCTTCGGAAATATAATGAATCTTTGATAATTCACTAAGCGATTCATCAAGTAAATAGGTGGTGTCGTTCAACATTCTCGCAACAAACCTAATGAAAAAATCTTCATTCTTCTCACTGTATTCTTTCAATTGATTCCGATAATGTTCGATACTCCAAAGCTTTTCGATAATCACCGAAGTATGGTATCTGCTATTGAATTTATCGTAAAATTGGGATGATGCCCCAGTTTTTTCCACCAGAACGTAAAAGTCCAATAAGGCATATAACATATGGCCCAAAACTACCTTATTGGTCATAAAAGATTGAATCATAAATCCTGGGTTATAGTCCATCTTAGAGAGTGGCACAGCGCCATAAAACAACGATTCCACAAGTTTACCTTTCAAATGTGGATTACTGATCAATTCCGGACATCTCAACAAAACCACCGCAAATTCAATAAAGAAATTCAATCTTTGAGAATTCTGTTGGAGCGAGTTCTTGGTATACTTGATGATGTAAGTGATATAATTAATGATACTTTCGATAGCAAATTCTGGATAGTATCTGAAGGGAATTGGTGACATTTCTCTGAGGGCTTCTGCATTATCAATATTCTCGAATACTTCGTTATCAGGATTCAAAGGAAGCTTCAAGGTAGTGCTAGGGAATGAATGTTGTGGATCAATAACCCTTGTAAAGAAGACACAACTCGATGATACATATTCAAAAATATCAAATTGGAATTCCTCGTTGAGGAAAAAGCAATGTAGTGAATCAACTTGGGCCTTCAAAGGGTTCAATTGTCTTTGAAGTCTTTCAATTTGAATACTGGCCATTCTCTCATAAGCTTGCTGGTTTGCCGCAGACATTTTCATCTTTTGTGCCTCGAGCGCTTTCACTTTCTTCTCCAAATAGCCAATCAAATCAGTAATTTTTGATTCTGCGTGAGAGAGACCAGTAATACCATAGTGTAAATATGTCAATGCCAAAAAAAAGCAATCGGAGATGAAATTCGGTGTCTCTGTTGATTTATGCTTTTCAAAATAGGAGTCCGCCTCTTTTGTAGTGGAGTTAATTCTGGTTTCTTCAGTGATATCAAGTAATTGATTTTTATTGAAATAATCAATGTCAATCTTCCCGAGCTTTTTGAAATCGGATTTCAAAAATGGTAGAGAGAATTTTACAAGAATCATGCTAATATTGCAAATGAACCCATGGGTCGACAATTTCGAAGGGTCTGGTTGAGTGGCCACTCTCAAATGATTGAGGTTTATGATATGGCTGAAATATTTCAACAAATCCTGCCTTGATCTAGCACCAGATCTAATAATTTTGTCGCAAATTGGAAACAAATAAATGTCCAACAAATTCCGATGTTGAGTGGCAACAAGCTTCTGAGTATTATAGATATCATATTTCGATTTATCTCCACTGGATCTATCATAGAGACGAAGTGATTCAACTTCCCCAAGTGGAGCGACTCTCAAAATCGGTCCTAACAAGCTCCGGAATTCAATATGAGGAGCAAACTTGATCGAGTCGGCAGAAAATGTGGCAATTTGAGTGAACACCGACGCAATGTCTTTGTCTGTTAATGTTGCTAAATAGAAATTGAGGATTGAGGTATACCTTTGATCATTCAAATCGGTAATCTTATTGACCAACAAGAATTTAGATAACGCTGGAAACCAAATGTCCAAAATCCCTAATAAAGAGTCCTGCTGCTTTGCTTCCTCAATAATATTGACACAATATTCATTGAAGTCAGGGTTAGAAATATGAAGGATGAATTCTTCCATATACTTTTCTTCCGAACCATTGATGTACATATCTGGCACTTGGAAGGCAAGAAATCCGTAGGATGATGTCAAGCGGATGATATCATTCAATACTGATTTCTGCTTATGAAAAATTTCTCCATCTTCAGCCTTCATGGAAGTTTTCTTTAGTGAAATCTTTTTGCTGACCTTTTTTAAATTTTCTTTGGCATTTTCCCAGACCTTGAATAAATACAATAAGGGTGATGGTCTTCCGAGCTCCGTTAAGTTCTCCAATATAACCCTATCAATCAAATTGTCTTCCATGAATAGCTTAACAAACCCAGAACTATCTGCATCATCCAAATTGCTAATTTCACTGAATGAAGAATCAACAAATATTCTAGAATCAGTATCTTCCTCCATTGGGGAAAACGATGAGAGTAATATTTGGGAGACTTCGGACATGATCCAACTCTTTAGGATTCCAGCAATATCTTTTGGATCAGGGGAAGGTAAAGCAGAAGAAGAAGAATTAGTAACAGTCTTCAATTCATCTTTCTTCACAATTTTTTGCTGAAGAATTTCTGGCTGCTTAAATTCAGGGTTTGGGGTTGAAGCTGTGGTGATGGTGCTCAGATTGGCGATTTCGCCGTCAGGGATACGGTCAGAGTCTTTCTTGCTTGAAGCACTCATAGCAGCAAGAAGGTTGAGCCTCTCGATTCTTTTGGCCCTAATATCATCCTCACTGCTCATTTTCGATCAAGTAATTATTATATGGTTCAATTTTGACATGTAATCGCCTGGAGAAAAAACGATAGGTTTTTGGATTCAATTTACCTTAAGGATCTCACATCACTGATTGGTCACGTGCGTGTGAATATAGGTAAATGTAATCACCCAGTATAAGTTATTATGTTGGCTTGAGCTGACTCTTTACAAAATTGATCCTCACAGGGTTCATCCTTGAAAGAATCTATTTCGTATACTATAAAACTTTTATAATACTCCAAAAAAAACGAATACATGATAAGAGAAAAGAAACTAGAATGGAATAGGGAATGTCACTCAGAAGGGATTGAGATTACAGAGTTTAATCAACATCTACTAATGATGAATCATGATTCTTATTATCAGTTGTGCCCTCATTAAACAGATCATCGTGTAATACCAGCCCACCATTAAACATTTTCTTTGATCCATCAGACTTGGGTTCTTCTAAAATGACTGGGCGTGTGTCAAAACGGATACTTCTTCTTTTCTTGAACCCTTCTATTCCATTTTCCGTGGCTTGGATACCTGACGCCTGGACATGTTGGATTTCTGGAGATATTGGAGACGTTGACATTGTTTCGTTCAAATACAAACTTCCATTACTTAACGTCAGTGTCTGGTTAGTTCTAGATATGTGGACGAGTTCTGCTGTACGCAACCATCTTCTGCGTCTAGTATACTTCCCAAATGAATCTTCGCTCGACGGTCTCTTCCAAGTATTATCATAATACACATATCCATCATCGGCAGCTGGATCGACCTTAGTGTTCTTTTTAGGGTTTTTAAGTGTTAATGCGCCATCATTTGTTAAATCCAATCTCCAATTTGTATCAACCCATCTCCATACCAAGTCTTCGCCATCTTCATTGTAATCAGGGAGCTTAAAATCATCCGGAGTTGGAGATTCGTTCAAAAATTCATCGGTCCAAGGCGCTCTTTCATAATTAAGCAAATTAGAAGTCCAGCCAATCCCAAGCCATTTTCTTTGATTTTCATGGATCACATAAGTAAATCTAATTGGCTTGCCATCATTTGAATGCGATAAAGAAGTGATATTATTTGTCTGTTTCACCTTGGCCATGACATTAGAAAAGAGTCCGGCATTTGAACCTTTTTCGAAATTCAATCCCGTAGCATAAAAGCAAAGGAGCCTAACCGTTTTGGATTTCCATAGGATTCTTCTGGTGACTCTTGAATATAACGAATGGTACGTTAGCAAATAAAAAATCCCCACTGAAATAAGGGAGCGCGCCCCAAATATAAAATGACTGGCCATGACATAAATTGGGGAAAGAAATATTATTGTCAACAATAATCTTTTCAAGTCATATTGTGTCAAATTCAATGTGGTTATTGGGGCTAACAATAAATCAGCCTTGATGGATACTTTGGTCAACACTTGGACAATGTTATCCAATGTTGGTTTTTTCTCTTGTTCATCCTGGATATTCTTTATCAACAAGAAATATAGAAAGAGAATTAATACTATAAGCACATGACCAAAATATGTCACTATAACGTTGAAATATAGTATGAAGGTCATGATTCCTGATACACATGCCAAATTTAAATACACATCATCGTTAGTCCATGTGAGGACCCCCAAGAAGTAATCGGCTATCAATAAATAAGGATATGACCTTATTAATGCTTTCGAGACGGTTGGAGGAGTTGTTGCCAATAGAGGCGAGGATTTGGTCTCTTTATTGAATATCTCATCGTTTGGCGATGTGTATAATCTGGCGAACGATGCCCTCGTGCTTTCTGGGTCCTCTTCCAGGCCTGCTGATGATGACTGCTTTTGATTGTTTGTTTTCTCTTTATGTTTATTGTTATGACCAGCGATCTGGGTCTCTGTAGCAGCTTTTGATTTTGAAGCCATTGTCGGTTGTGCTTCTTTTTGTATAGACAACTATGAATCAGGACGTGAGGGTGTCCCTGTGTGTGTGTGTGTGATCTCATCTCTGTAGTTTCAATTTTTCTTGTGGCAGCAATGCTCCACCCCAGGCATTGTTTTTTCGTGCACGTGAACAGATCGGGGCATCACAAAATTTCAGCTATAACCGGCCAAAAATTCCCTAATAACTGGTTCACTTATTTATCATTTTACAACACAACCATGTTCAAGAAAAGGAGTACGAAAAACAAAAAGCTCAAGTCGTCATCTTCGGCTAAGTTACTCGCTGACGATAATGGTGTTAGTGATGATGATAATGATCTAGAACAATTGCCAACCCTGGTCCCAAAATCCACCAAATCCCCATCATCAAGTATAATGGATGACAAATCCAATGAGATAAATAATAAAGCTACTAAACAATCTTCTGAGAGCAGCGCTACATTATCCAATAATGCCAAAAATTCAGCAACGAAGGAAGATAGATTGGCTGCCGAGACCAATGAAGAACTTTCAAAGAATATTCAAAGTGTCAATAGTAATGATGCAGAGGCGACACTAGGAACTACGGTGTACAAAGGCCAAAATCAGTATGCCACTTTCACTAAAAGTACAGAATATAACATAAAGTCAAAAGCTATTACAAATAAAGGTCCCGTTAAAACGGCTGCCAATATTCAATCTACAACAATAATAGATTTTGCGCCAGATATTTGCAAAGACTTCAAACAGCATGGCTTTTGTGGTTATGGTGATACTTGCAAGTTCTTACATGTTAGAGATGACTTCAAGAAGACCAAAGTTGCTGAGAAAGAATGGGAACTGGTTGCTGCCAAAAAAAAGAGGAAGATTACCAAAGAACCCAAGATGGAGAGGTTGGTGTAACCTTATAGTATAGATTGTAATATTAGCATTTTTTTTCCTTCTTCACATTCGTTTTGTAGTCTCATTAACAGTTATCAAAGATGTTAAACTAAATTAACCATAATTTGAAATGATTTCCTCAAACTATTACAGTCCCTCTTTTAGTTCTTCAGCAAATTCCCAATTCCAATCTTATCCCAACTAGTCATGATTCTCAATCCACCTCATTACATTCCCTAATTTAAAAAACAGAAAAAAGATTACCTTCGTTATATTAAAACATCATTATGAATAAGAAAATTTATGGGTTTTGAATTTAAGCGATGGTTTCAACTTTCAAGCTTGGAGACAAAGATTGTTGCAATTTGGAAGCCTTGTCAGAGTCGGTGAGGACAATGGTGTACAAGTTCTTGGTACCTCTGATCTTGAATTTGCTTTCAGTGTATTTTTTACCGTTGGCGTTAACCTTCTTAGCAGTCTTGACGGTCAATTTAGAAACGTCCTTTCTTCTAGACAATTCAACGAATTCCTTGATATCTTTGATTTCACGCTAAAACACATGTTAGTCACAATTCCACAAGAATAATACTCCCCCTTCAACAAATAAAGGAGCCTTGAACCCTTATATTGAAACTACTTACAGCCATTGTGGATGATTTCAGTTACCGATAGTGATATTACACGTTATTAGACGGTTCTGCCCAGTACCAGTTTTCAGATATTTTTTTTCAAAAACATCAAAGAGCCTTAGGGCGTGCAATTTTTCTCTGTCACAAAGGTCACATGCTACCACGTGCTCATGTTTGGGGCTTTTTAGAGAAATTAAGTCAGCACAGTAAACAGGATCAGTTCACAGCTAATAACCCTCACTGAAACGTCAGGAAAAAAAACCTTTATCGAATATATATATACATATTAATATCTACGAAAAAGTATACACATGAGGATTAAAAATAATTTGTTTTTTTTGCCGTGATGTCGTCGGTGTTACTCATAAATAGAGAGAGAGAGAGAGAGAGACCCACTATCATGTTCTATTCAAATACACGTGACTGGATTGATTTTTTAAACTTAATCAAAAAACGATAATCAACCAACAAAACGTGCTGGTTGTACGAGATACTCGGCTGATTGGCTTGTTATCATTGTAGAACTTACAGACCAGTTGGTTGGATTCTTTAGGCTTGATCCATATTACCAACCTCATATCACAATTTGATCACCAAGTCATTGTTTCAGGATAAGCAAGAGAATATGGTCGAAGGATTGCCAGCTATTCCTGTCACTTCAAATCTGGAAGCTACTCCCGAAATGGAGTTGGCCAAACAATATAATGTCTCAAAGAGTTTGTTCGGGGCGTTGTTCAATACCAAAGATCGTCAATTTGTGCTAAAGTTAGAAAGCTCGCTATTAGACTTCATTGAATCAAATGTCAACTCTTACAAATTGAGTCCTATGAATTCATATTTCAGATTATTGACACATCAAATCGCTGAATATCATGGACTTAGACACATATTATCTAATGACGGAGCTTCCGTCGTTGTTTTCAAAACATTCACTCCTCCAAATCAATTGAATATCACTGGTGATGAAGATAAATTAATAGCCGGGGAAGATGCCGCTCAAGAAGCTAATAAAAGCGAAGGCTCCGAAGATGAAAGCAAGAAAAAAGAAGTCTCTAATAAGGAAGATGGGACTGAAAAAATTGAAAAAAGCGCACCTAAACCAAGATTAGCGGACATTCCAATTCCTAATGGTGTCTTGAGTAAAAAAATTCATCCAGGTTACAAGAATCAAAATAATTATACATATCAAAGAAATGCCAATGGCACATACAGAAACAATCAACAGATCTATGTCAATGGATATAATAGATATTACAATGAAAAGGCCATGGATGCTTCACCAGAAGACCAGGCCGATGAGCAAAATTCTGATACAATTAATTCACAGGTCAATTCAAGTAGCAGTCTGATAAACTTACAAAATGTGAAAATTATGAAAAGAAATGGTCAAGAAAAGTATATTGCCAACGATAAAAATGGTGAAAGTAAAGAAATGTCAGATCTTAACAGTAGTGTGGAAGAATTAAGTTTGAACCTGGACAAAACTGCCGACTCCAAAATAACAGAACTTCAGCATGAAAGAGCTTCCAAGGAAGAGCTATACAAAAAAGCCAAAGAAAGAATATATAGTGAACAGAATGACGAAGGTGATCAAGCTGAAGACGGAGAAGAAGATGGAGAAGGAGACGAAGAAGAAGAGGGGGATAATTCAGACCAGAAGCAGAATACCTTTAAACCAGAATATAAAAAGCAATATCAACCTAGACATTATAATAGCAGGAACTATTATCATAATAACCACTATCAAAAATACAACCAAGGATATAATGGGTACATTGACAACAAAAATAATTTCAATAACTATATGCCTCAAAGACCAATGATGAATGCACCAATGTATCCACAAATGTCACCTCCTTCACAACATTCTCCATATTTACCTAATCAACAGCTACCAATGAATGCCTATTATGCAAGCATGGCAACTCAAGGCCATCTTCCTCCTCCTCATCCATCTCACCCTCAATTTATGGGACAACCAATGAAGTACCAATATTCCCAGCCTCCTCCACAAATGTATTCTCCAATTCCCCCAAATATGGCATATTATGGTGGCGGCCCAGTGATGATGAATAATAACCAGGGTCGTAGGTTCAATAAAAATTCTAGAAACTACAACAATAACAATGGTCTGGGAAATGGTTTTAATAATAGCGATAAAGTCGATGATGGAAACAAAAAATGATTATAATTTTGGTGTTAATATGATAATCATAACAGTCGGTAGGGGACCCTATTTATAGCATGTATCTTTTGTTTATTTGTAAAATATAATAGCAATGTGCTCAACTTACTTTTTTTTTTTTTGTTGCCCTGCCAGTGTATTCAATCTATCGTATTAGGGATATTGTTTCCGTAATACAAATTCCCATATTTTATTGTGTTTTTTCTCATAACTAAAGCATCGAACTACAAGCGTGGCTGAAAAATGTCAGCCTCGTTCCGGTAGTGAAGTATGATCCTATGGTAAATGCCATGTTACCACAAATAAACATGCTCACCGGAGTATTATTTTTTTTGACATATGCAGCATACGCTATCGCCAACAGATCGTGCATTTGCCTTTATGCGACACAGAAAGTTGGTTATATCATTGAAAATCCTAACCACGGAGATATAAAATTAAGCCAAAAGATATGTGTAAATATAAAACTAAAAATGAAAAAAAAAAAAAAATATCAAAAGATGATAAAAATGTATGAAATGGGAAGCATGGAAATTTGTATGTTTGTGTATCTAATCTAAAGTGAATTTAAAGGAAAAAAAAAAAAGAATTGAAGTGTTTTTGTGAATACAGTAGAGGAAATAAAAATGATCAACATTCGTAAACCTCCAAACTATAATACTGCTCGCGATATTCAGGGATTTCCTCTTCTTGACTCACCTTCTTTTCGTTGACTTTTCCTTCAAAATCAATATATTTGTATGGGTTTGATAAAGAAGCGGCGTAGTAGTTACTATTAGTGGTAACCACTGTTTCAGGTTTCTTGAAGTTTGTAGTTGGTGTTTGGATAAATTTTTCTAACGAGCTTGTAACGTTTTGAGGAATGTTCTGGATCTTGATTCCAGAATCATTTGACACACTGTAAACACTGGTAGTAGTAGAGTTTGGAGAATAGCTGGAGACAGAGCTCTGTTCTTCGGTGTAAGATGAGCTTGGACTGACTTCGGAAGAAGTTGAAGAAGAAGAATTTGGCTCTGATGGAGAATCCTTTGCTTGGTATATTGGCTTTGGAGATGGTTGAGGAGTTGGCAATGAAACTTTCTCTGGGGTGGCAGAAGTAGTAGTTGCGCCGGAACCATAGACTGAATTGAACTTGGCGTTGAAATCTTCGATATAGTTATTGAAAGGAGTGATCTTTGATTGTAAATTATTGTTGAATTTGACCAATTTTGATATGTTGAAATTCAAAGTCAAAGGCTGATGTTTCAAAATAACATTCAAAAGAACGAGTTCCAACTCATTGATCTTTCTGATTGGAATTTTTGTGAGCCTAGACCAGTACTTGGCCTTCATTGCAAAATCATTAGCGGACTTGTTGGCAACCATTAAGCAAACAACATAATTCAAAAACAAGTTGTCCTCCTTGGTTTTGTAATACGAAGGATATGCTTCATCTTCTGGCAAATTGCTATTTTCAAAGTTCTTGGTATAATCCTGGATCAAATCCAAAAAGTATAAAGAGTTAATCACGATAAAATTTGGAAATCTCAATCTGACCAACATCTTCTTAATCTTAATCAAGAACTGGGTTCTCAATCTAGTTAATTCGAAATCTTGCAATTCATTCTTGGTGTTGACTTTGACATCAAACCAACTGTTCAAACAATACAATCCAACAAAGTTTCCATTTAGTACTCTGTTATAATCATTTTTTTCGTCATTGATGAAGTTGACAATGTTTTCTCTTACTTGGTCGGGAGAAGCCGTCAAAGATCTCATTGTTGTGTTTAGTTGTTGATTGGAAATAAGTTATAAAAAGAAAAGTGATCACTTGATAACCAGTAATTATTTAACTATTATTGGGATGGTGTCAAAGCTTTATTTTCATTTTTTTTCCTTTAAGGAGGACTTTTCAGATAGTATTTATATCTTGGTATTCTGTTGCAGAAACCCAGCAACTAGGAACCCAAGGAGATGACGAGCAAAATTAGATGTAATCTTCATGCAAGAAGAAAAAGGAAATAACAGATGGTACTATTTCTTTGAGGAATATTTGGTGATGAGTAACCCATGGCCTCCTAACTTAACCGTAGGTTCGTCCAGACCAATGCATGAATTATGCATGTCATGCGAATGGTGGTAAGGCGAAAAAGGGTACTAACCAAGGGTTTTTCACTGAAGCGGTTGGAACAACGCAGTAAGGCCCAGTGTCAGTTGGCTATTAATAGGGGTAAGAAAGTAATTCAATTATGTTAGAGCCTTTCTTCAAAGAACATTGTTTTATTGTGATACGAACACCCTTTACCAGAAAAAAAAAAAAAGATATCGCAGGCTACTGATTTATTTCAGTATTTTTTGAAGGGAATTCAGTGCCCATAGTTGAATATTAACATCAATTAAGTTAGTTACAAACACTTTTGTGTAATCCACTCGTCCCACCCTTAATTGGTGTGTATAGAGCCAATCTCCTGAATTAATTTTCTATTTTTACTATTATTGTCGCTCACTACTTATCGTGGGGTTCCCGAACACGCATTGGCGACTTTTTCGCGGTTTTTCGAGTCTCCCACGTGACAAAGAAAGATTTCCCCAAAGTTGGTGAATTGTAAGAATTGTCGGTACCTATATCTGGAGAGAACTTGTCAAGGGGGAAAGGCAACAAGGGACGCGTTAGGATCTCTATAGAATTAGACACGGTATTAGATAGAATTCAGAAATTGCAATTTTTGGTAAAAGTCATGGCACCAAGAACCACTAGAAAGAAAAGTGATTCCAAAATCACAAAACCGGAAACCACTAGAAAGAAAAGTGATTCCAAAATCACAAAACCGGAAACCACAACAAAGAAACCTAAACAGCTACTGGACTCCATCAATAAAGACAAGACCAATAACGATGAAGTAATAAAACCTGTTCCTCTGAAACCTCCCAAGCTTCCTGTAAATGAAGATGGTCACAGATACTGGTTGATTAAATCGGAGCCGGTCAATCGAATACAAAAAGGACAGGATATATCTTTTTCGCTTGAAAGTTTGATGAAAGTCGAATCAGAACCATGGAACGGTGTCAGGAATTATGAGGCAAGAAATAATTTGCTAGCAATGGTAGAAGGGGATCTCTGCTTGTTTTATCACTCCAACTGTAAAGTTCCGGGGATCGTTGGGGTTGCCAAAGTTTACAATCAAGCGGTCCCTGATGAAGGGCAGTTTATCCCTGAGGATCCATACTATGATCCGAAATCAACAAAGGAGAAGCCTAAATGGTGGTGCCCTCGCGTTTCGTTTCACAGAAGGTTCAGAAGAAAAGTAAGTCTTCAAGAATTAAGGCTGGCTAGTACCGAGTCAGAACCATTGAGGGACTTCATGTTGGTGACCAGGGGAAGACTAAGTGTTATACCTGTCGGAAAGCACGAATTTGAGGAGATAATCAAGCTAGAACAAAATGGGAGTATTAGTGATGATATAGATTGTGATATTTCTAGGGATTTTATAACCGCAAAGTAACGAACGTAATATTTGTTTAATTAATGTTTCCATCAGTTGGCTATTTCTTCTATTGTAAATTTAACATCATTATTATTTTGTTTTCAACAAAAACATACAGCATTTCTAGTAAAATTATTTTTAAAATACATCCCGACCATTCAATGATTGCATATATATATATATGTATATAACTGATCATAGTCAAATGCCTAAGGGCATGTTGAGGGGGTCTGCATGTATTGGGGCACGGGGATTTTGTTCTGGAAGATTCTCCGCGAAAAATGCTGGAAATCCTTTAAAAGATTGCGACACAGATTTGCTTATGACAAAATAAAATACATTACAAACATAAACATCTGAAAGAAAATAATAACAACAATAATCAATTATGTCTAGTGATCGCCAAAGAACCTTTTTCGATATCTCCATTGGTGGCACTCCAAAGGGAAGAATTGCCTTTGAGTTATACAATGACATTGTTCCAAAGACTGCTGAAAATTTCAGGGCCTTGTGTACTGGTGAAAAAGGCGTTGGTGCATCTGGAAAACCATTACATTACAAAGGAAGTATTTTCCACAGAGTTATTAAGGATTTTATGATCCAAGGTGGGGACTTCACTAATTTTAATGGTACTGGTGGGGAATCTATTTATGGAGAAAAGTTTGAAGATGAAACCAAGGAACTGAAACACGATAAACCTTTCTTGTTATCCATGGCCAATGCTGGTCCAGACACCAATGGCTCTCAATTTTTCATCACCACCGTTCCAACCCCACATTTGGATGGTAAGCACGTCGTGTTTGGTAAGGTGATAAGTGGTAAGGGTCTTGTGAGATCCATTGAGCGCATGGAAACTCAAAGTGATAAACCATTGCAAGATGTTGTCATCGAAAACTGTGGTGAATTGTCTCCAGAAGAAGAAATCAGTGTTGGCGGTGTTGATGATGGTACTGGTGATATTTACGAAGACTACTTGCAAGATGATGATCAAGTGAACATGGAAGACCCTGAATCTGTCTTCAAGGCTATTGAGAGCGTCAAGAGTATTGCCACCAAGTTGTTCAAGGCTGGTGATAATGAAAAAGCTTATCAAAAATACAACAAAGTCATGAATTATGTTGATGAATACTTCCCAGATGACTTGTCGGAGGCCAACATTGAAAGATTGAATAAATTGAAGTTATCGGCGTATTTGAACGTTGCTTTGGTTGGTTTAAAGGTTGGCAAAAATAAGGAAGTTATTAAGGCCTCAACTAACGCTCTAGCAAGTGAAGTTATTGATGACAAACAAAAGGCTAAGGCTTTATACAGACGTGGTTTGGGCTACTCCAATGCTAAAGATCCAAATAACGCTTTGGAAGATTTGAGCGAGGCCGAAAAATTGAATCCTGGTGATGCCGCCATTTCAAAAGCTATCCAAGACGTTAAGAAAGCGGAGAAATTGAGAAAGCAGAAAGAAAAAAACGCTATGGCTAAGTTCTTCTCTTGATTTAGCGCTAAAGATTGAATCTCTTTGTCGCTATGATTTGTTTAATAGATTATGATATGAATGATAAAATTTTGGATATATCCTGTATTTGAAGCATCACTGTAAGAATTTCAGTTACCATTGTGGGTTCTCACGACGACGTCTTGCAACATTTTAATTAGGATCTTTGATCAAGTTTCCAGGCGTGTTTGTGGCGTTTGTCTTGCATGAGGCCATGGAAATAGAGAAACAGAAAGGTTCTCCTTATTAATATATATTAATAGCAACTATCAAAAATAATGAATCTGTAATATTAGCACTCCTCAATATTTGGGTTTTTTCTTTCTTTCTCATTGTGCTTTCCTTTTATTGTCTGCTTTACTAAGCTGGGCTTTGAATTTTCACGACATCCGCATCTCATCTTCAATTAATACGCCCTTAACTACATTTGAACGAATTTTGAGCTCTCAAGAAGCCACTGGAATAGCTTTCTGTCATGAGTTACTTAAAACTCTCTAAATCTAGTGAAAGGGAAGATCTTTCACGTTTCTTACAGAAGTATAATACTATCCAGTTTGGATTTTACGAGAAACCTCTGGGATTTGAACAAAAGCCACAATCAGTCACCATCTCTGATCTCAATAGGATAATCAATAGACTTGAATTGCAAAATATTAATATGTCTCAAATTCAAAACGCTTCAAAATCATTCATCTCTCAAAATTTCAGCTTAACTACTTCTCAAGAAATTGAAAATCAAAATGTATCTGGAGAGCAACCATCAACAAACTCTTCAGAGTTGATTAAAATTACTCAAAGTATGATCATTCACTATCCTCCTTTTCCAGAAAATACTCATCAGCCAAAAATTTCAATTAGAGATAAATTAATTAGAAGACATCAAATTTACGGTGACAATTTTGATGGATTAGTTCATTTCATGGAAGAGAGATTGATCAGATATAGACCGCCAAATTCCCAACATAATGTTGATAATGTACTTTCTGGAAATCATGTATTCCAAAAAGAGTCTTCGATAAAGGCTATCAAAAAAAAGAGCGTCTCACAAGGAAGTTCAGAATCAAGCTCTGTCTCGAAATTGTGTTCACTATTTGGAAAAAAGGGAAACGTCAACTGTGAAAATATAAGCAAGAATACTATTAATAAAATTGTGAATGGACAGTATAGTGATAATACCACATATCCTGAAGAAATACATATTTCAGAAGATTTCGAAGGGCTTTCAGCAGAGCAGGTGAGCAGAGAATATGCTGCAGAAGAAGATACTGAAAGAACAGTTCATCCACATCAGCGCGTATTACCAGGTAAGTAAATCAAGATGTGTGTTTTGCACGGGGGCGTCTGTGTTTTCATTCAAGACAGTTGCTTTGTATCTCATAAATATTATAAACTAACCATGTATACTTTAGAAGTAAAGACAACCTCCACAAGAAAAATGGAAAATCCTACGAATATAATTAATGCTCTTGCAGCTACTCATAAGGATATCAAGATATTATTTGAAAATGAAAAGGAGGATATAAATTATCAAGATTGTGACAGTGAGCCAGAAGAGGATGAGCGATTTTTCTGCGGACTCCAGTGGAATACATTTTGGAATACAATCGAGCATCTTTGGGGTCGATGATACTGCCAATATGGATGTTATGTAGCCACGCAGGGTCGGGCACCCGCATAAAATATCAGAGAATAAAACTGTAATATTAGAAAAAAATACACAATAAAGAACACAAAATCAAAAAAAGAAATAGGAAAATTTATCATTAATATCGTAATATAAACTCAACAAGAAGAAACAAACAAGTGAACAGAAAAATAGAAAATTTCAATCAAACATAGCATCCACAGAAGCACCAGTATATAATTTTATTTGTTTCTTCGTGGCAGGGATGATTTTACATTTAACCAATTTTTTTCCTCCCAATCTATCGTAAGCTTGAAATCTATGACAACCACCAAAGGCAAAATAGTAAGTTTTGCCATTCTCCCTAACTTTCATAACATCTACTGGTGGTAATTCTCCTTTCAATTCTGAGGCTTCAGCCAAAGTACAGGTAGCGGAGGCAGCAGGAGTTCCAGTCAACGTGGAAACCATGGCATCGATTTTCGAATGATCTAAAACAGGAGGAATAGGTCTTCTGATTTGTTCAAGTGGAAGATATTCTATCTTATTAAGCAAACTTGTTTGAAGTGACATGTTTTAAGTATTCAAGTATTTTATTTGGGGGTGAGTTTTGTAGATGAATTGCCGTAAAATTTCCAATGCGGTTTTAAACAGAAAACTAGTAAATGAGAAAGAAGGAACTATAACGAATAAAGAGAAACATAAATTTACCTTACCAAAGCAGATTTCCTTGGTTATTTATAATGATAAAATCCCATTTTATTGCTTAGAAATTCTTGACGCATCTAGAATTCTTTTGTAGCGCGGATAGCCATTCGTCGCATACATTAATAAGTAGCGTACGTCATTATTATCATTATATTATTTCATACATATCATAATTAAATTTGAATAATAAAAAAGTAAAGAAATATAGCAATGAGTCCCACTACAATAAAATCAGTCAAGATTGCAGTGAGCACTTTTATGCACGAGGATTTGAAACTACCCTTACTTTTATAATAGGTTGTATTTGCCCTGGACCTTGCCCGTTTTCTATAGCTGCTTAAAGACGACAGATAATCATCTCTATCATCTTCAATATCAATACTAAATGATTCCATGCCATTGGAAGATACTGCTGAGTAAGGCGATTCATTTTTATGAGTTTTGAAACTCTTGAACAATTTGGCTATGAAGTCCTTTGATCCACTTCCATGATATCTATTCATCTTGGAATAACCAGTACTTCTCATCGGGACAAAAAGACTTCTATAATCATAAATGATAATGATGATCCCTGAAAGTACTGCCAGAATGGCGTACGCGATGATATCGCTGTATGGTGTTGATGAATAGCAGATTTCCGTCGTGAAACTAATTTTGGATTTATCAAATTCTTCTCCCTCTGTGTTTTCATCAACTATCGTCAATAACTGGACGGCGGGCTTTTGAATCCCCATGGTCATCGATATGGACTTGACAGTAATCTCAGGGACAATGTATTCGTTGCCATTATATTCGTACGGATGCTCAACATAACAATAGTCATGATCATCACCCGAAAATACAAAATCTGGCCTGGTTTTCGTCAAAATTTCTTGGGATACATCTTCATCGAGTACTGTCTGATACTGATACCCAGCAAAAAATGGGAAACTATCTGCTTCACGTAACGGCCCACACGATGCTGCTTTAGGTCTCATTAATGGAACGTGTGTCAACAATATCCGCGGCTTATCCTTCTGCAAATTGCCTATTTTATCCAATAGCTTATGAGGTTTTTCATATATTCTCGGGTTCTCAGTATTTGATAATGCCAAAGTATTCAATGGCATAAACAACGTGTTGAAAATTTCATAGGGTATCGGGTCTCCAAAAGATTGTTCGAATCTTTCTAAAGAATGCTCTTTAATCCCATTCTTCCAACCAATGTCATGGTTTCCTGGAACAGTTGCGATAAAATTCTTTGATCCAATATTATTGTAGTCTTTGAAGGTCCTGTGGAATCTATCCATTTCTCGTTCATAGTAAACATCCGATGATGAGCGGCCATTATCATGGTAATCGCCTAAAAAAATAATGGAATCTGGTTTTAGAACTTTAGATAAATACTTGAAGCTTCTCTTGAGATATTTATCACTGGTGTGCTTCGTAATTGTCAAAAAGAAAGGGTTATATGAGGGATAAGTATGGTTATCTACAAATTGTGGATCAGCTACTAATAGCACATTGTGATGGTTCTTCAATTCAAGATGCTATGATAATGTCAGTAAATTTGGAATTGGAAATGGATAAATTCTAACCAATGGTTGGAATAGAAAGAAAATAACAACAATCAAATAGGAATAGAAATCGTAACATACTTTGTTCCAATTTGACCACTGGCACTGTTTTGCTAGTGATTTGGGAATATGCTTTTCATGGTACCAGTACACTACTATCCATAGTAGTGACAAACTTAAAAGAAGTTTGTAGCGTAGCACATATTTGAATAGCATTGTTGCCACCGGTAGATGTATAATAAGGGCAAAGCAAAACAACTAACACCAATGTTTCTGTAAGGAACACCGGGGGGTTATCGACTAAACTAATGATTTATCTATTTAAAAAACAACTTTTACACGAGGATCCAGAATAATGGGTCCTATTTTCACCATCTTTTTTTTTTTTTTTTTTCTTCTTTTGCTTCCAACATCACAATGTTTTTTTTTTTATTTTTGCTCCTTCCATTCCGACAAGTTGGCGATTAGGAAACACCACGAGAAGTTAAATGAATCAAGGGATTTTTTGAATCGCAGGGATGGAAAATGGTCAGAAGCAGCTATATTTCCAAAATGACGGGGGTGTACCAGAGGAAAATATTGATTTTCTATTGAACACCAGAAATGATGACAAGGGACATAATGCTGAGGACATTGATCTTGAATTTAATAGTTTTGCATTGGAATATAATTTGATGTCTAATGTGAGCACCCGAAAGTTTCACAAAAAGACTCAAGGAAAGTCATCAAAGACACACACATCTAAGCCAATAAATCACATGAACAGCAGTAATAACAGCTCTCTTAAGGATATATTTGATGATTTGGATATCGACATAGATGATAATGATGAGGATGATTTTAATGAGAACGATATGGATGACAGAGGCAGACCTAAAGCTGAAACCAAGGCTTCAAAGCCAATTTCAAAAAAACCAAAAAAAAGACACTCGCAACAACCAAAGTTAACCCCCACTTCGAATGAGCCCAAAAATAATGGCAAAAATCGTCACAAGCCAAGAAGAGACTTTGATATTGCTAAATTCATAGACGATAAGTTGAACGAGTCAAGTGATGCCGAGGATTGTCACAGTCATGTTCGAATTAAAACTGTACCTAAATTAAAGGTGGACGATGATATGCCTAGTGGCGCTGTGTTGACTCGCGATAACAGCAATGTAATAGTTAACGCGTCTACCACTGATGAGAGTAATCGATATCAACCTAAAGAAGATGTGGTATACAAAAGACTAAAAGATGAAGCCAAGAAAAGAAAAAATAAGAGAAAGGAAAAAACGAAGAGGAATAAGAAACCAAGTGAGCCAGCACCAATTTCCGTTGTTGATGCTGATGGTGCCGATAATGGGAAAGACTCTGACAACCAAAAAACCGGAGAGGTATCTGTGATCCCGGATAATGTAATAATTCCAACTGGTACTTTACCAAAATCAACAGTCGAAGATAATTCTAATAATGCTCCAACCATTCCAGACACAGTAAAATTTAGTGACAATAACCCACATAATCCTTCAAATGATTGTGATTTTGGGAGCAGGAAAGTTGATGATGTTGTAAGGCGCATTGATAGAAGGATCTTCTCAGAATCACTTACAAGCGATTTCATTAAAGATATCGTGCTTCATGCCAGTCCATCACTTCAAACAATTTTGAAAATTATCATGTCTGGTGAAGTCACTGTGAGAAATGTTCGCGGAAGCTTTTTCAGGTACATACTAAGAATAATAGCGTCGGGAAAATCACCTATGAAGATCTTGAGCAGTTTAGAGTTCGAAAAGGTTCGATTCATTACTGATCTACCTGATTTACAAATTGAAGATGGTGATTTGGATAGCCGAAAGGGCGAATATATTATTAATTTTGAGGCGTTGAAATATTTTGGATTCATTACCCTTTGGATCATTCACATGATGAAGAAGACGAAATGTTTACGTGAAACTGGACATTCTAAGAACTTTTTCACCACAAAATTTTTGACCCATTCAAGCCTACAACAGCATAAGGAGTACTTGCCGCACATTTGGTCGGGCAAAATCATTGCTAATAAAAGGGTCGAACATAAAGTAAAAGAATTGACTCACTCATATCCTTATGATGAGAAGGTGTTCGTTCTAATATTACGCTGTTTAAAGATTAAGTTTGATTCAAAACACCTTGATAAGGGAAGTTAGCGAGTGATGTGCAAATGCGATGGTTTTTTTTTTTTTTTCATTTACTTTTCATTTTTTTTTTTTTTTTTTTCTATTGTATAATATATTTGTAGATATAATTTATCATTATCAATTTCATATCACGGTTCAGAAGATAAGGACAATTTAAATGGGATGAAACAATAATTTAGGTGCTACTCATCTATAGTAAGAAAATGTAGAGTGTAAGCAATATATCTTCAAATTACAATAAATAAAAAAGTAATTATCAATTAAAAACAATCCAGGAAATGAAAACATAAAACACCCAGGTAAATAATATATTGATGAAAGAAGAAAGGTTAAGTAAATATCAGGAAAAAAAGAAACAACAGTAATATTATTTCAAAAGTGTCAAATGGCAAATAATAATAATAATAATAATGACAATATGTATAGTCCATAAGAAGCAAAAATTTATCAAAAGAAAAAGAATAGAAGATTACGGGCTTTGTAACGGAGAGGAAAACCGAGTCTTGCACAATTCTTCAATTTGGAAATCAATCTAACCATTCACCCAAGAAGTTCATAATTTCATCCTGAAATCCCTCAGGGTTATCCAAATAAACATGATGACCTGCGTTTGGAACCACCACGTACTGAGAATACTTTTCATCATTATTGTATATATCGTTATGAAGCTTATTAATTTTTGCACTTAGGGCCTTTCCGGCAGATTTATTCATCCAGTCCACATCACCGTACATCCAAAGACTAGGAACGTTCTTTAAAATGGTTGTTGGTCTGGAATCATTATAATGATATTCGTGAAACTTATTGGTGGTGATATCGTCAACTGAATCAGGAATTCTATCAAACATTGGGAAATATGCCATGGTGACCGGAGCTAACAATCTGGTGATACAACTTTCACCACTTTTTTTCAACCCAACCACTGAATAATAAACATATTTATGAAGCAAAATATACTCATCAACACTGTTCAAATTCCCCGAGAACCTTCTTCTGGACCAATTAGACACGAATTTAGAACCAAAAGGTCCGGCAAATCTCACTGGTGACAACGGGGCAATCAAGTGACGGCTCCAAAAGAATTCAACGAGTTTTGGTATCGAAGGGCCGGCTTTTGGCTGTTCTCCGGAGGATAGGTCATTGACGGCTTCATTTTTCGAATCTAGATGAGTATCAGTGTTAATGGAGTCTTCGGAAACCGTTGTGACTTCTCCAGCAATCTCCTTGGTCATATCCGAACTTTTTAATAATTCCGAATTTTTGAGATTTCCCATTTGAAACTCCGATTGAATTTGTGATTCTATATAACTATTTACCAAATTCAATTTAGCAGAAGTTTCGCTTCTTTCCACTCCAACGGGGCTGACCAAAATGAGCTTTGCTAAATGCTCAGGGTATTTCAAGCTGTACAAGAAACTGATGAGGCCGCCCAAGGAATGACCAATTAAGACAAATTCTCCATCGAGGTGTCTGTTAATTCTCCAAGCCTCGATTGCATCAATGAAGAAGTTTTCTACTTTTTTCAAATCTTGAGCTTTTGAATCTTTGGAACTGAATTTTGGGAATTTCGGTCTAGACGACGATCCGAACCCGAGCAAGTCAATGAAATGTAGTTTAGCGTTTTTCATATTTGACATTGCTTCAAAGTTCTTGAAGAAAAACCCGAGAGAAGCACCAAATCCATGAACAATTAAGATATGTTTTGCCTTTGGATCATCATAACCGACGGACTTATCGTTATCGATGAATAATTCATGGATGTAATCTCCTTTCTTATTGACCGGGACGTCAATAAGTGTGGCAACACGGTTGTCGTTGGCATCAGGATTAGTTGGGAAGAAAGAAATGTTTCGGGACAATAGCTCAAATTCCAGGGAAAGTAACCGAGAAGAGTTTGCGGTTAACCAATGGCCAAACGACTGGAAAACGTCTATGCGCGGAAGAAATTCATTATTGATAGTTGAAGGGTTGGTGCTTGCAGCTGCTGATGCCATGTAGAGAGAGTAGTAATGATAATGATAATATATATAAGTGTAGAACGGTTTATGAGAGCGTATGATGATTGTAAGAGAAAAGAAGGCGGTGGACGAAGAAAGTATAGAAGAAAGTGACAAAAAAGAAAAGCTGCTAAGAAACACAACAGACAATAGGAATTTGATAGATACGTCTCTTGCCGCACCGTGCACACGCTGTGTAACCAGCAATGTGTGTCATATATTACGTAAGTACGGAGACACACAACGCCCTCACAGGCAACGGGGATCAGTATCCAACACACAGAATTATATATATAAATGATATATATATATATTGCCTGCGTGGCATCGCTTTTATGTAATCGATGTGGGTCCTCTCTCCCACTTATTCCCATAAATGGCTGTCACCGCTGGTGGCACATGACCATCAACGTGACCAGAAGGGCCGCACTGAACAGAAAAAAGGTGAAACACAGCCTGAAAGTAAACCCACCATCGGTCACTTGTATATCCCACATATAAAATATAGAATATTGCATTCGGTAAACAGGAAATGGCTGGTGTTGATATCTCGGTGCTCAAGCACTTTATCAGCTTCGATGGCTTGAAAAACGACGCCAAGAGTAAAAATTTCAGCGTGTACGGCAAATGGTTGGGGATCTTCTCGGTGCTTTTGTGTCTTGCGTTGGGGATTTCAAACATCTTCCGTTTTGATTTGATCATCATCTTCTCTATTCTTGCCATTGTCCAAGGGGTCCTTGTGTTGTTGGTGGAGCTCCCGTTCCTTCTTAAGATTTGTCCTTTCAATGCTGACTTCACCGGAGTCATGAAGCAATTCAATAACAATTGGCCAAGAGTGGGATTCTATGTGTTACTTGCCGTGATTCAATGGCTCTCGTTGGTCATCAAGGCGACTTCCTTGATCACATTGGCAGTGTTATGGACGTTTTGTGCTATAATGTACGCTATTTCTGCTGCCACCCATCAAGAATTTCACAATGGCACTGAAGGTGCGGGTATTGCTGCCGTCTCCGACATTCCTCCAAGTGCTATTAGACAGGTTCTTTAAAATAGACTGAGCAAAGGGGAAAAAAAAAAGGAAATGGAATTGGGACTTAACGGGATAAAAGACTCCATCTATCTGGGAGAAATGTTGAGGATTTTTTTTTTATTTAAAACCAAAAAAAGAATATTTATGGGTGAATTGATTGATTTTGTTTGTTTGCTTTTAGTATGTCTCTGGCAGAACTTGCTAGCTAGTAAATAACTTCTTATTACGTTTATTTTTGTTTTTATTTTTATTTCTATCATTATTATTATCATTGAACAAAAAGCCCAGCCGATGTGGGTCTTATTGTTATGTAAATTATTCGGTTGGCAGCGTTATGTTTTGGTCACTATTGTTTGTAGGGTTGCCCAACCGTTGGTTGACACATGACTCTGTGCCATATTCTGATGGGTGGGTGAGATGCGTTTTTAATGGAAAAATCTTTGCAGTGCTTAAGCTCCATCGACCCCAACAATTACACCACATTATAATAAATAACATAGTATCCGGAGTTTGTTTCGGAGAAGAATACTATTCTATTAGTCAGCGAATGAGGTCATTTATGCTCCATCACAATTCTTAATAAGAAGGGAAGCATTCGCCTTATGAAAATATAAAAAACACCCAAGATACACTATCTCTGATAACAACAATGAATATTGGCCACGACTATGACCGAGATTATTTGTCGCCATCAAGCGATTGTGTCAATCTGGAAGAAGAATCCGAGTATTTCTCCGAAAAGCTGGAAAATATCGATGCGAATTTCATCGACAAAGATTTCCTCAAATTCCACCTTCCTCTGATCAACAATTTTCTATGGAATAATAATAACAGTACAACCGATGGAAAAGATACAACAAATGATAGGGAAACCTCTAATATTCCAGATAGTCGGTTCCAGAATACGCGAAAAGAACAACTTCAAACCTTCTTGAATGATTTATCAAATGGGTTTTCCATGAAATTTGCCGCACAAAGATTAAGTTATCTAAGATCAACAACAAGAAACTTCATGAATTCGTCCTATCTCTCCTATAATACTAATAACAATACTAATAACAATACTAATAGCAATGATGATGGTAACAATAATAATGCACCAACAAATAGTCTACCCGATAATGGCCCAACAATGGAAAATATCGAGCCCAGTGGGGTGGATCTTGCGATACAGCCCATTGTACCTCCATTGATTGATGAGGTAGTCTATCCTAAGACCACAAAAAAGAAAAAGAGGATCACAAAGCGGAAGAAGAAATCAGCAAAAATGAGAAGAAAGGATTTCAATAATAGGCCAGCTTTCTCTGAATCAGACTCCAATTACTATTTTTCAGAAACTGATGAGGAATACATGGATACCATGAGACTTTTTAAGAATTATGAAGCCTATGTGAACTTAGATGCAGAAGAATATAAGCATCCTGATATTTTGCGGAAAAGAATCATCACAATTACTAAAATTCATGGATTAAGTGACAAGCATAAGGGCCAATTGGTCCAGCGCTTAATGTTGGGCCGTACGAGGATCATTAATGAGAGAATGTCAGAGGAAATCGCTAATATGAAGATTGAAGAAAATGAAGATTGGGATATTGACGAGGCTGACGAGTCCGATGAAGAAATTGATGATATTAAGGGTGAAGAAGAAGAACAAGACGAAGAAATAAAAGAGCAAGAAGAAGAAGAAGAAGAAGAAGAAGAAGAAGAAGATGATGATGAAGATGATGATCAGCAAGAAACAAAAACAATAGGAAAAGCAACTGGTGATAAAATGGAGAATGGGAAACTTCCAAGTGTCAAGATTTTGTCAGTTGAAGAACGAGAATCTTTCCATAATGAGGACGAGCAAATTTATGGGTGCCCACATTATCAAACAAGTTGCAAATTACAGTGTCCCACATGCCTTAAGTTCTACGCCTGTCGAAACTGCCACGATGCTCAAGAACATACCCATTTGATGTCCAGAAAAGACGTCCATACAATCGCCTGCATGGTATGTGGTAATATTCAACCACCAGAAGAAGAATGTATTGAATGTGAGAATGTTTTTGCCGATTATTTTTGTGAAAAATGCAAATTATACGACAATGATCCCAATAAGAATATTTATCATTGTGAAGACTGTGGAATTTGTCGATTAGGGCTTGGTTTAGGGGTAGATTACTATCATTGCCATGGCTGCAATGCGTGTATTTCGGTATTGTTAGAAAACGATCATAAATGTATTGAAAATCGTACGAAATGCAACTGCCCCATTTGTGGGGATTTCATGTTCACTTCCAAGAAAAAAGTGGTGGTTATGCCATGTGGGCATGCCATTCATCAACATTGTTATGATGAGTACGTGAAGAATTTTTATAAATGTCCTATTTGCTCGAGAACCATTATTGATATGGCCGCCAGATTTAGAGAGATTGATGAAGAAATTGAAATTCAGCCGATGCCCGAACCTTACAATCTTTGGAAATGTGTGATTGCGTGCAATGATTGCAACACCAAATCAGTTTGTAATTATCATATATTAGGATTGAAGTGTGATATTTGCCAAAGTTATAACACTGCCCAAGTCCGATTGATCAAGCCGGAAGATAATGTTTCCAGGAACGCTGTTATGTCCGAGGATGGGATTATCACCAACACTGAATATGAAGAAGACGAGGACTTTACGGTAGACGATTATGCCAAAACTTTGGGGATCAATAATAATCAAAATAACAATTTATTAAAGACTTTCTTCAATGATAATTCCGAACACATTCCGTCTGACAAGGCCAAACTCCCACCAAAGAAGGCCAATAAGAATCAAAGACATAGAAGGGGCGATAGTGTTAGCAAAAGGACAAAAGGGCGAACTAAAAGTCGTTCTAATAGTCTCATGTATAATCAACAGGAGAATATCGGTGCTACTGGTGTTGGATATACCAAAAAATTCACCAGTCCAGTGATTTCCAATACGTTTACCAATAACATTAGAAGCATGATCAATTCTGCCACCACATCAACAAATAACTACTACAATGATTTCATTACCGCGGCATTAGAAAGTCTCGATAAAAAGAATTTTGGTGAAGAGGAGGCATTCACTGAAGGGGATCTTATTAATTTGAATAAAATCAACAATTTGAACTTTCAAGATTTTTTCAATGGGAAAAATTTCAAAGGCAAAGAAAAATATGGGTCATCCCAAAATGACAATGCTGCTACTAATAACTTGAATATCCATACAGAAAGTGGTATGGGAGGTAAAGCTGTTGATACTATTGACGAAGAAGACTTGGGACCTGCTGATAATAGCTTGCCATCCTTAGGATATGTGCTTAAAAAATGGGTAAATTCAACCGCAGGTATATCAGATACTGAAGATGAAGAGTTGAGTGATGAAGAAGAAGATGAGGCGAATGATGAGGCGAATGATGATAATGAAGAAGAAGAAGACGAAGACGACGAAGTGATGTACAATGTTCAGGCGCTAAATCAGAGGTAATTTGCATTTGTATCTTTTTTTCTCTGTCATATTTAAATTCAGTTGAATTGAATAGTGATATTATAGATTTATATTATAGATTTCCTAAAGGTGACGTTTTTATGATGATTTTAAAAAACCAGATTCTTATCTTCTCTCTAGTAGACTTGGTATATTATACCTCCCAGATACTTAACAAATTATCATCGATTTGAAACACCATGTAATTGAACGATATAATTTAATTATTTTAGGATCCACAAAGTTTTCTTTAAAAACACCTGAAACTTTTCAATTTGTGATAATAGACAGCGAAGAGATTTTCATATTTGAAATAAAAACCACAGCGCTCATACTCAACATCACAAAGTATGGAAGGTAATAAAAGGTAATGCAAGATAATAGTAAGTAGTGAAAAGTATTAACGAACGAACAGAAAGTTCTGAGAAATAATAGAAAAATCTTCAAAGAACGATTAATGACCGATCACATCATAAAGGGCCATTAGTAAAAGTAAAATGATTAAAAAGTCTAATAACATTAAAAATCATTAGGATGATCAAGGCTATGACAAAATAGTATCCAAGATACCTCAAGCATGCTTTATGCTACAACTCTGTTAATTCATCCTTTCATTATGGTATTATTATTGAGCCCTTATGACATTGCGTTGTTTCATTTATAATATATAACCGAAATAGAAGATATGTCCATCATTGCTTCCGCCTGACGTTTTCCAAACATTGCCAAAGCTTAAAATCATTGATCCTACCTGTATCAAGGATAATTCTCATCCTTTGTATTTTGGCGAACTCTGATTTCTCCCGTTACATAAGGCTTCCAATTCTGTGATAGCGCAGCCTTCAGCAATCTCTCTTGCAACAGAACAATCCTGTTATTAGATAAGTTCGAGATGTGTCAAATTTAACAATTCTCAAGATCATATCATTTAATTATTAGAAAGTAATCAAATTATATTAAATTAAAGAACACGAAATGAAAGAATGTATATATATATAAAGACAGGAAATTAAAATAAGTATCAAGGTGACTTTTGAGATACGAAATTCTTTGATCAAGAATCTACCGTTTTCACCTCTGCATCTGACTGAGGACCAGTCCCACTACCATTGCCACCTCTCAAGGGCTTAACAATTCTAAAATTCAAACCTTTTTTTGTACCGCTAATGTCAGAAAGTTGAACAATCGACTTCAGACTCCGATCCTTATCTTCAAAAGAGATATTAGCAGATTTTGATTCAGAATTATCAGATACCCCTTTGGTATTAATAAGTTCCCCTACATTGATAGAGCTAATGGATTTCTCTACATTATCCTCCAACTCTGCCGATTCATTAAACGTTGATTCAAATATTGGGGATGTAGGAGACATTAACGATGAGTAGTTAAAACGAGAATCGGACATGGGAGAAGTAATGATTCTATTTTTATTATTATTTTCATGCAATCTTTTGACAGTTTGAATTCTCAGACTCAACATGCCCAATTTTTTCTCAAACCCAAGACTTTCACTTTGCGCGGTAGTTTGTTGGGTCTTCACTACCATTTCCAAGGTTTTAATCCGGTCATTTCTGGTTTCGGCAATAGATCTGGTGGTTGCAATATCTTTTTTCAAAATTTGGTTTTGGGTTGCCATATCCTCCAATTTCCCCAGCAATTGATCTAATGCTTTTTCTAGCCCAAAAATCCGTTGCTTATCATTCCTTGTCATCATCTTATTGCGCAATTTATTCTTAAGAGCTTCAATTTCGTTGTTCAAAGACCCATTAGATAACTTTTCAATATCAAGCTGCGACTTGAGATACGCAAGTTCATTCCTTTGATTCCCAACGATTTCTGATTCCTTAGCTTTAGAGGCTTCCAATTCTGATATTTTCTCAATATAATTACTTACCATTGCTTGGGTGTCAGTAATTTCTCTCTTCAAATCCTCATTTTCCTTCAAGATTTGTATGTCGGTCGTCGAAATATTTGGATCAACTTTTTGACCTGAACGACTTAAATTTTCAAATGTATCTTCATATCCATCAATGGTTGTGTCATAATCATTCAAACGAGCTAAGATATTATTATCAACATAACTACTGTGATTAAGATCACCAACCTTGGACTCATTATGACTTCCATCTCTCGAAGAGAAGGCACTATCAGTAGGTATGGGCAAGTCTACCCAATTTTCATTTGCGGGCGCAGAACCATTTCTCCAACACCAAAGCTCATCAACAAGTTTAGAAATTAGCTTATCCTTATTAATACCTTCATTTCTAAGCTTCGCTAGACTTTTTTTCAACTCTTTGGTCGATAGTTCAGTATTTATATGGGCTCTGTTTTTAATTTTCTTTGCCCGAGAGCCAAATCTCAAGGTTGATAATGTTTCATGAGCATTGGCAGAAGATGGAGAGCAGTTGATGATTAAGCTCGTACGAGAATTCCCCCCAATAGACTCTTGTAGAATTCTCGTCAACTTAGAATCACGATATGGAATATGTTGAGATTTCCCATCAGTTAAAGCATTTATAACGTGACCCAAAGAACTCAACGAGCTATTGATTTTCTTTGCCTCTTCCAAAGTTTGACCTGAAGCACCTGTCTTGGCAACTTTTTCAGAGCCCGCTAAGTCAACCAAAAATAAGCTTCCACGCTTGATTAGTCCAGTAGAAATAACCTTCTGGGTGATGATAATTTGGAAAATAGCATGAGATCTCGATGATTCCTCATTCATTTTAGTTGATGACACTGATCTATTGGCCGACCCTTGTTTCATGAAATTATGTAGTTCATCTGGAGAAGTTACATAAACTCGGGATAAGCCCTTGACATGAACCCCATTTTCCTTATCTTCATGGATATGTAGATTTGTGGAATTTCCCGAATCATCTAGTAAATCACGAATTTTTTCCATGTAGATTTCCATGTATGAAACCCCCACAGTATATTCAATGTCTGAGGAACTTAGCATGATCAAATCAAATATAGTATCAGCAATTCTTGGAATCAACCCACGCTGTTCAGCATCATCAATACTCTTCCCCATCATTGTATAAGTCTTACCAGACCCTGTTTGGCCGTAAGCCAAAATAGTCCCATTGTAACCCTGTAGAACATCTTGCACAGTCTCATTAATGGAATAATCAAAGATATCTTGCTGGGTGGCTTCTGGAGGAAAAATTCTGTCAAATGTGAAACTGGAAAACTGATCCACATAATTAACCACAATCGAGGTATCTGATTGGAAATCAATTGCACCTTTACGCTGAGTGGTCTCCAAAGTGCCATCTTCTTTGATATTAAAGTTATCACTTTCCGAATTGTCGCCACGCATCTTAAGTTCGATCTCATTCTCAGGTCTAAACCTTGCAACCACTTTGATTCCATTTGATTTATTCACATTATTTGAACTCATCGGGGAGTTGAATCCAGACATTGATATTGAGGAAGATCTTCTCGGGGTTTCCAAATTCGAGCTATGAATCCCATTCCTGGTTGGACTTTGTAATAAACTATTCATGTTTGAGCTGGCACGAGAGCCTGTAGCATCGTTGATTGCCGATAGTGAGTTTTGAGTTGAATGATGTCTTGCTTTATGATTGCCTTTCAAATTTACATTTCCGGAATTATGAGTGGTGTCATGTACTCCTCCCGGATGGGTTGTACCCATGCTGTTTCTTCGACTGGAACCTATTGTGGGTATGGAAGAGAGACTATTTCTTGATGCCAAGCCTGAACTTGGCATATATTGAGGATTTTGAATGGATTGTACCTGTGTGTATGCTTTGGAACCATCATTGTAAGAAGATGTGATGGATAACGCAGATCTTCTTTTTAAACCAACGTAATCACCATCAATAAGTTTTGGGATCTTGGTGGGAGACGCTGTTGGCGATGATGACGATCTATCAAGAGCCAGTAAAAGGTTAAAGTTCTCAATGTTGCTGGTGGTGTATCTGTGATTCAGGATTGCTTTTGGAGAAGATGATGATTCTGGAGATGAATTATCTAATCTTGAATGATACAGCTGGTGTCTAGAGGAAGGCGACAATGGACCTATTGACGCCATCACTACTGTTTGTCTCTATGTTATATAAACCAAAAAACCACGCTAATGGAAGTCAAGATTGATAATAAGCAATAAATTGAAGATAATGGAAGAGCTAAAAAAAAATCGAAAGGCAATGAAAAGTCCAGGTTATTTCCTAATAATTTCTGTTTGCCACCAACTGGTGATTATGTGTGTTTGATCTGGTTTGACTTGGTTGGATTTCCCGCGTACGTTTTTCTGTTTTTGTAACCTGCGTGTGGCGCGCAAAGACATTTCTCCAATTATGCGCCATGGAGTTGGGTTACTAAGTTCTCTTGAGTCGTAGATTGAACAAATGACAACTCAAGGATACTATACTGTATCTTCTACATTCTTGAAAATAGAAGTCTCAAATAATATTAGAAATAACAGTGTAAAGTGAGGATAAAAGAAGATACTCGAATAAGGGAAACTAAGAATATTTGCAAGTTTATAATTCCTGCAAAAAGTGAAAGTAAATTGTATTAAAAATTTTAGATATAGGAATTGACTAGATGACAATTTTAATTTTTTTTTTTTGTTTTTCTTTACTTTAAAAATAACTCACAATGTTAAATAATGTAAGCATCACACCTAATTCACTTGAAAGGTATAAAGAACAAATGGCTCATAGTCTTGGTCCACCAAGCCAGCGTATTGATGTAGCGAAGAATCCTTCATTACATTGCCCTTTTTATCTTTATTGAATGCATTGCCTCCGAGGTACCCAAACTCTTTAACCAATTCTGATTTGGCATTAGCAATTGATTTTTCACCTTCAGAACCACTGTTTGTTCTCACAAAGTATGATTGGAAGTTTGGTGGCAAACCGTATCTCAAAATACTTTCCACAAAAACCCTCAAACTTTTAATGTGTACCCAAGCCGCAAGGACATCTTGGAATGAAGTTCTGGTGAGACGAATCAATTCCCCACGCATTTGGCTCTCTTTTCTTGACGCCAAGGAGTATTCTTGTTTCAAACTTTCAACCAATTCTTCAGAATAGTTGAATTCTCGTGGTAGGAACTTCAATTCACGACATTTGGCTAAGAACTCCGGAACTTTCTTCTTGAACAAAGTGACATTATTCAACACGTATTCAGAATCTTCAGTGATTTGATGAGACGATCTTGGAACCACGTATTCTGTTAAAGTTTCGTAGCTAGACAACCACAATTTTTGCAATGATTTTGGAACCACCACAAGTACGGTTACCAAATGTTCAGAATTCAATACAAAATCTTGTGGCCCAACAATGTCGTGCAACGAAATCACCGACAAGTCACCATTTTGCTTTCTGTTGGCAGCAGATAAGTTTGATTTGGCCACGTTATAAGAGTTGTACAAGTTTCTTAAATCGCTGTCTAAATCAATAGCTTCATTGGAAATCAAGTCGATCAATTCCTTGATGGATTTATTGTCAGTTCTGTACTTGGTGTCATTCCAGCGAAACTTTTCAATATACTCCACTGCGTTCTTATCCCCATCAATTCTTTTGCTACTGGCAACAAGCCCGGAGTTATTGTCATATATGGCATTCAAAATGTCATCAATTTTGTTCAAGATCCCATTAATGGTAACATCCATTTTTTCCAATTCATCGGATTGTTGAACAAGAGAGTCCAAAGTACCAATCTTGAATGTTGGAATGGCGAATTTTGAAACGACACCATGCCCACCAATCAAGTTCTTTTCCAAATATAATGGCAATTCTTCATTATTGCTTGGTGCAACATTAGAAGGCAAAGAAACGATTAAGAAACTTCCCGCGCCTGATGACATTTTATTATGAATATATTGGTGTGAATTGATGAGAGCAGATAATAAACTTAGATTTTGCAGTGAGAGAAAAAAAGTTTAGAGAGCTATACGAAATCTCTCCTCTTTTTTTTTTTTGTAATGATGATAACCTCTTATCAATATTCCTGGTAGTTTGAATCCTGTCAAAAACGGTTATATTAATTCCCAATTATTAGCAGAAAGTTTCAATGAACTAGTAGGTTGAATATAAGTATATGTATATGACAGAAGATAATCTTTCCCACAATTATACTCTTATTGCTTCCTGCTGACTGTTTATTGTTGTGTTTGTATGAGTTGACAAGTAGTTTATCAGCTACAGATACCAATTATTTTCATTTTTTCTTTTCTCTACATTGTGCCAATGAGGATAGGGTTACCTTTTGCGCCATGCCGCTCCTCCAATTTAAACATGGAATCCACGAAATTCAACAACAATTATTGCTAATAATAACACATAGAAAGTAGTTAACAATGTAAATTGGTGTTATTATAATATAATTTAATTAATATTTGCTTTCTCAAAATAAAAACAAAAAACGGGGTTTTGCTTCATAGTATTCATGGTTTAATACTACACTATATGCTCAAGGATTTTAAATAGAATTCAATCCCAACTCTTAGTAGAATATAATAGGTCAAGATATTTAAGTTAATTTGATTTAATTATCGTGGATTAACATTTGTAAAATGTTTGTGTTGTTAATAATATTACAAATTTGAAAGATATGCACTGCAGATTATTATTATAATTATTATTATTATTATTTTGGGAAAAAACGAAGAAGAACAACAAAGAAATAAACTTTTTTTTTATCAAGATAAGGTATTTTTAATATACAAATGGATATCAATTGAAGTAACTGGATATCTAGACACATGCACACCTGGCCATAACAGAAGTTGAGTTACAGAGTGAGGAACTATCACAGCTTCTTTTTCGACACTATGATCCAAAGACCATAACTGTTTTATTTGTTCTTCTGGGGGATTGGTTAAAGAATTGTCTGTGTCAATCAAGGGGCTAAAAGATTTTTGAGAGTTAAAAATCACACGAAAACAGCTAGCGATACGAAAAGCCAGAAACCATATCTATGATAATTTTTAGCTGGTCAGCGGATTGACAAGTCATAGTAGTAGTAGTAGTAGTATATTTCGAGGACCACCCATCTCTATATCTTTCTTCTCATTTTTTTTTTAAAATATTTTCATTTGAACGCTTCTTCACCATTTTTCAATCCCAAAACATATCTGACGTCAGTGACAAATCTCAATGAATTGAGCAATGGCAACAATTGTAGTAGTTCATTATCTGTAGGATCATCGATCCACCCTTCAATATCTAACGCATTTTCGTAATTCAAAGAGTAACTAATAGGAGAGTTGTCGACAAGAATTATTTTCGACAAATCTATCCCTATGATTGACAAGTCTTTGATGTAACCAGTCCCCTGTCTTAATGTGCAGGAATCACGATAATATCTTTTGCTGAAAAACTTTCTATCTTTTTCAAGCCAATTAATTACTGGATCCGCATATTCCTGGGCACTAGCAGTGAAAATGTAAAGTTCAAACCAGTTAGATACTAGTGAAAGGAACTCATCACAATAAGGGCGTTTGTAAACATAATATAACGAGGCCAAATTATTGTGAAGCTTGACTTCTACCATATGTGCGGTAGACATCCTATTAGTTTTTGACAAAGAGTGAATTAGAGTTTCATCTAAATCTAAAATTAATGTCTTTTTCTGATGTTTAATTGGGTTAAAATTCAATGGAGAGAAGAAAACTTTTGGCAATCTTGAGAAAAGTGTAGACATATAGGAACTTGGGGATGTGGGCGATTTCAATTGGTTGATCTCTGTTATCATAGAAGCATTGGAAGCAATGGAGTTAATGGTGGCTAAGTCATCATATTCATCATTCATGCTTTTTGATTTAGAAGTAGACAAGGGGATAGGCACTGATCTTATTGATGCTCTAGAAGGAGATATAGAACAAGGTTGATCAAAAGATTCGGGCTCAGTGTCTTCTTTAATAGTATTGTCGGTATCATCATCATCATTGGAACCGTATTTTTCTTCAAGAAATCTAAGGGGGAAAGTGATGACAAACCAAATGTAAAACAAAGGTCTAAGAATGAGTAAATTTGGGAAAAATATCACGATATTGAAGACGATGATTATAAAGCTCTTAATTTTTGATTGCAAAAATTGGGATTCGATGCCGGAGGTTGAGGAAGACAGTGAATCTTGGCGGTCATCCTCTTGATCCACAAGATTATCGTCTTCCAATATTATGCTATCACCTAATGTGTTGAATGGTTGACGATAATGTCGATTGGACAGATTATTATTATTATTATTATTATTATCAGTATTATTGGTTGATAGCAGAACAGACTCCCCGTCGTTTCTGATGGGGCTGGAATCTATTGTTATAGTGGGATGGTTATTTTGGTTGGATGATGGCGATGCAACATTGTTGACGATATCCTGTTGAGATGAGCATAATGTGTTTAGTTTGGAAGTCAACAATTGTATTGAATTCATTTGCTGTATGTTATTAATCTATTGTGGGATTATTAGTTATCGCCTCTATTCTATGGACCTTTATACATGTACGTGTGTATATATATGGCTGATATTGGTGTTTGTTTGGGTTGTTGGATAATTGGATTTTAATTTTTGTCTGGCATAACAGTAATACACAAATACTACAAGGACAATATAGCTGCTGGGATGGATAAAATAGACGATAAGAGGAGGAAAGATATGGTTATGGATTACCGGCTGTACTGTATGTTTGATGGAGTTATTTTGGGTCCACTTTTAGTGCAAATGTCGCTTTACAACGGTTGTTGGTTGTTGTGTTATAGTGGATCCAAAAAAAAAAAAATGAAGCGATGCACAAACAAAAATATAATAGGAATGAATAACTATAACGACGGTGATTGTGTATCTTACGATTTGAGGCCGGGCCTCCACCAGACTGACTGGTAAGGGAATAGTGACAGTAGTTTTGTCTTAATTGCTTAATATCACCATCATCAGCATTAACGTAGCAATAGAAATATATATGGGGAAACCCATTGAGTAGCGAGAACCCACGGGCCTTGCGAATTGTTGGATTCCCCCGGTGTATTTGTTGACTCTCGCGCTGTCTCCTGTGACACTAGCATAAACGTGCATTAATTGGTGTCACATGCCAAACCGCATCGACCACCCCGCCCTTCAAAATGGTATATATGCCATTGTGGCGGGTGTTTACCTCCAGTGATGATTTGCGGAGCAGCATGTAAAACCCAATGCTTTTGCCATCACCCCCACTTGGAAATTCGTCGTTGATTGCAAAGAAAAAGAAGAAGAAAACCAGGCTATAATGAACTTCAACGCCAAAGAAAAAATTGCCGTGGTAACCGGGAGCAGCAGGGGGCTTGGATACGTTTTCGCTGAAGCCCTCATCATTGGCGGCGCAAAACGGGTTTACATCAATTCTAGAAGCAAAGACGCTTGCGACAAAGCAGTCAGCTCCTTGTCGGAATTCTGTGAAACCCATGGGAAATCAACAAATATTGTGGCCATCCCATCAAATCTCAATAATGGTGCAGGGGTACGGAAGTTGGTGGATGGAGTCCTCGCAAATGGCGATTCTAAAATTGATATTCTTATCGCCAACGCTGGCGCTTCTTGGGGAGCCTCTTTCGAATCCCACCCTGAAGAGGCTCTTTCGAAAGTCATTGATTTGAATCTCAAAGGGGTGTTTTTAACAATTCAACAATTTGCTCCGTTATTATCAAAGCCGCAAGGTGTCGATCCTTCTAGAATCCTTATCAATGCATCGATTACTGGACTATATTCCTCGAAAAATGGTAATGTGTACGGATATACTGCTTCAAAGGCAGCAATTATTCATTTGGGAAAAACATTGGCTCTTCAATTGCCAGAAAGATATAATGTTAATGTCAACACCGTTTGTCCTGGATTTTTCCCAAGCAGAATGAGTAATGGAGTTCTCTCAAAGTTTGGCAAGGACTATATTAAAGAAAATCCGCGTAACAGAATGGGTGATGCAAGACAAGATTTGATTCCTTTGATTTTATTTTTGTGTGACGAAAAGACTAACTATTTGAATGGTATGGTGTTAAGTGTCGATGGTGGATATCATCTCAATGGGCCAAATTTATAAACAAAAGTAGCTATCTGTAAAGCGTATACTGTCAGGCCTTTTGGTCCATGGTATTATTGAGATATTGTTGATTCTGTTTTTAAATTTTCTTGGGTATATTGCTATTTTCATTCATGCCATATCAATGAAGACATAACGAAGACGTAATTTATAAAATGCTCTATTTTCCTTTTCTGCTCCATTTTTTTTCTGACAATTATAGTGAGTTTCATATTGAGTTATTTTGATTAAATTGTGATATAACTGTAGGAAAATTTGTCACAGAAACGAAACAAAGACAGCCAGATACCTAGCTTATTAATCATATTCCATTGAAATGACATATAGATTTAGCAATACAAACAAATGAAAACTCTTGCTATTCTCCCAAATATAAGATGAAATATGGTTACGCGGTGTTGGTAATCTTCGTATTACCCTAGCAGTAAGCAGCAGAGTGGAACATTTTTTGCCATCCCCCTTGGTAGATTGGTCTTAAAGAAAATTGGAGAATCCAGGATAGTACAGTCCTGAAGTTTAATCTTGCCGTTCGTAAACATATTCTTAAAGTTTTAGATCACAACACTCCAACTTACCAGTGAGAGATCGCTCACTTTTATCCTTTTCTATTGTCGGATCGCCGAAAGCACTTGCATCCACTAATATGAATGCCGATCTACAAAATCAATCGAAAAAGATGAATGAGAATATTTATATTTATATATATTTATATATACCTTTGGTACCAGATTCAAACATCCTAATTTTTTTTTTTTACATATTCTCTAGCAACCACCGAGTCTTCTTATTCTTACAATTCCGTGAACCAGTTCATGAGTGATACCCATCGACAAGTTTGACGCGGATATTTGAAATTTGGGTGCTGCAGGCTAGCGATCCTACAGATCAGGGTGTTTTACATTGAACATGGATGCATGGAATGGGGATCTATCAAATAATGAGGATATATATAAGGAGCAATCTGCTTTTCGTGATCTTTTTTTTTTTTTTTTTCTTTTTAATGTTACAGTACTTGTAATGAAAATAAGTATCTTTATTCCCAAATATAAGCCAATACGATAAATAAAAAACAAATAGAAAAATAAAGCAAACCAATAAAAGAAACAAATCATTTACGGCTTCGTTTACAATGTCTTCAACCGCGGTGAATCCATTACTTGCAGGTAAGATTGCTTCCCTGTTCCCAGTTATTGAGTCTGTGCAATCAACTCTTGATAGAAGTAAATTGATTGAAGCTCAACAACGAGAATTGATCAAACAGAGATTACTTGAAAGTCCAAATTTAGAACACCGTCTTACTGATTCTTCAGAATCAGAATTCGAAGATGATGGTGAGGTCGGGCCGTTGCTGAGGGACTTGAACAGATCTTCCAAGCTTTCAAGAAACAATATTCCTCCATCCTTGAATATCCATCACCAACAAATGAAGCACGTTCCAATGAGTATAAAAACCGCCCCAATGAGAATGGATTATCGAAAATCCATCATGATGAAGAAATATCAAAAAGGCTGTCTGTTACAGTACATTCCAGTTAGAAACATGTATCAAAATTCATTATTTATGATGAATCATCACCAACAGCAACAGCAAAAACAGCAGAAACTAGTACTGCCACAGAAAATCTCAAAATCTCCTTATATACATACATCTTCTTCCTCCTACATTTACAATCCCGTACCAATGAATTTCAACAAAAGTTCCAATCCACGCTACGCTAAAAGTATACTAAGATCCACCTCACCTCCTAGAATAACAAAGACCACAATCACATCATCAAATTGTCCTGCCTATTATTCACCAAAGACAGGCCATTCAGTTTCGGCAACATATAGAAAAAAGATTACTACCCCAATTGTTGCCGATGTTTTTGAAGATGCTCTTGATAAATCCAAACAGCTCAACAAATTGGCGCCATTTGAGAGTCAACCAATGTCTGCTCGCGGGGAATATTTCAATTTAAGTGATAAAGAATTTAATTTTGCAGAGGATGAGGAAGAACAATCTGGACAACGGTCAGAGAAAATTAGATCACAATCCGTTAAATCTTCATCATCAACCTCGGTAAACTTTGATGACATGGACGAAACTGTAGGAAACTATGAAGATCAGGAATACGATGTTGAAAGTTGGGCCATTGAAGATGGTGCCGAAACCCATTCTCCTTCATTAGAATTTACCACCAACAAAAGTTTAGTGAAAAATGAAATCAAAATAGGAGCCCAAATATACAGCTTTGATATGAAGCTTTCAATGACGATGAGTGATAACAAAAACAGTATCCACTTGATGAACTCTAAAATGATATTCTTAAACCACTGTGGTAATGTGTGGAACAAATTCGTGGACACCGAGTTGAGACAACAAATCAAGCAGTAATAATTTCATCTTCTTTAGCATCAAGGATTTTTCTCACTGGTTGACAATGCTTTTTCTTATGATCTTCTTTATGATGCAGATATTTCAATTCTAACATTCTTTTTTCTACTTTTTTTTTTTTTTCTTTTAAATAATATTATTGGTATACAAACTGGAGACACATTTCAATTCTACGCGACATTATTCTACTTGTGAAAAGCTTGCTCATCTCATCTTCAGAAAATCAAGGTGATAATTAATGCAAATCCCCAACTTGTAAAAACACAAATTGCAGATCAATCAAAAACAAGTACAGCACGATATTGTTGACATTAAAACGCGACCCGGGTACAATAATGCTGTATGATAGATGCTATGGACCAGACTTTATTTTGCAATATTTTGTATATGAGAAATTCCATATTCATATACTCAATGTTTTGTCAACTTTACTGTGGTTCCAGATAATTGGCATGTGATATTGTATGGAGATGCATATACTTACTCATTTGTAAGCAAATGTGTGGTTGTGTGTTGCTTACAAATGAGCAGGTGGTATTTATTGCTCTAATGATTTCTAGATCTTCTTTATAGTTTGTATATATCTATCTTTCTATTAACATACATTTGAAAATTACGACACTATGATTTCAATTGACGAACACGACCCCATTGCTCCAAAGTACGAGGCCCCATACCTCAAACTATATTCCTTGGCAACTCCCAACGGTCAGAAAGTTGGCATCTTTCTTGAACTATTGAAACCTTATATAAAAAAACCCATCCATGTCACTACCATAGACATCCTGAAGAATACCCAAAAGGAGCCTTGGTTTATTAACTTGAACTTCAATGGTCGAATCCCGACACTCTCTGATGTCGACGCCGACGGCAACCGCACCACCATCTCAGAATCTGGGGCGATCTTATTGTATCTCGCAGACAAGTACGACATCGAGCGTAAATTCAGCTATCCGCCAGGTGACCCATTATATTACGATCAATTGGAATGGATGTTCTTCCAAGCTGCTGGTTTGGGACCGATGCAAGGCCAAGCTAACCATTTTAGGGTCTTTGCTAATGAGGAAGTTCCTTATGCCATCAAGAGATATGTAGATGAAACTAAAAGACTCTACGGGGTTTTGGAACTAAAATTGAAAAAGACCGGCACTGGTTATCTTGTTGGTGACAAATTGACTATTGTGGACATCATGTGCTACCCATGGGTTGCATTACATAAAAAATCGACTGGTGAGAGTATCCAACATTTACCACTGTTAAGCACTTGGTTAGAAAGAATTGCTGCTCTTAAGGAGATCCAAATAGGTGCGAAGGTTGCTTCCAGAGGTAGTAAGCCACAATAAGTGAGTGGATAGGCTGAATTAATTAGTCTTTTTGTGCCTGGAATATGGTTATATGGTTTATTTAGTTTAGTATTTAATAATTACGAAACACTTTTTCAATAGTAAACTTAGTGGTGTATGTGCTAGCAGTCACTCTGAATAATTGTATAATCGAATAGTCTTTTTACTACTATACTCATACAATACTAGGATCAGGATGAATGTTCGCTATCTATAGTGGACTCGACAATGCCGACACGCAGCTACCTTCTCTGTTGTCCGCCTAGTCGCTACAGTGAATCCGACGTTTCATTAATAATACATTGGTTGAGCCATTCACTGCACTTTCAATCAATTTAAATTTCAAGTTAACAATTACAATTTTTTTTTGCTGTTTATAAATAAAAAAAAAAATAGCCTAAAATTGTTTTTAACATAATTTTACAGAAAGAGAAAAAAAAAAAGTGAAAAAGAAAACAGTTTCATAAAGTCCATAGACATATTCTGTAAGAAACGAAAACGTCACAATTCAGATAAATAAGGAAGAGTATCCACTATTGGGGGTGTAAGGGTGGTAGTCTTTAATCTTCTTCTTGCTCGTCAAGGGTCTTGAATTGCCAAGGCTTCTGATCTTTAGGGAATTCCGTACCTAATTCTAGCAACTTAGCAAATGCACCAGCAAAAACTGTAAACAATGTGTCTTGATCTTCGGCAAATTTTTTAGAAATCTTCTTGAACCCTGGGTCAAAACTCAAGGCGAAATCGGCAGGCAACATCATCAAGGATTGGGTCTTCTTATCTTCAAATTGGGTAGGGCCACTCCACTTTTTAATTTGCCAGTCTTCATTCAACAATAAATCAAAGAATTGGTTGGTGACCATGTTAGGAGAGAAGGTCCATGGACCTTCGTACCCACTGCTTTCCTTATGACATTTACCGATGGCATGGCCAACCCCGATAAGAGCGGCAATTTGCTCATCAGTAAAAGACTCCGACAAGCGGCTGAACACCGCTCTGATATGTGTGGCCCCTTGGGAAGCATCAGGGAGTCTGCCATGTGGAGGTTGGTTCTTCTCTGGTAAATTCTTTCTACCTGGTCTCCAGTTGATCTTTGGGCCAGCCATTTCTTGGATGGCACACACCCCAGCGAGAGTGTACAAATCACCGATGCTGATCCAGCCGTATTGTTTCTGCACCAGCTCAAGGAATTTACGGGCTTTTTCAAGACCGGCATTACCAGGATCACTGGCTTCGAATTTATGAACCATTGTCCCACCATATGACCCTCCCTTGGTTTCACCATGGTCAGAATGGGAGTAAGACCCTGACAAGTGCCAAGCAAGTCTCACAAGGATTGGACCATAGCCAATACCTCCGTCGTATTCATCTTCATCTTGAATCTTGTGGGCAACAGCGTTGTAAACTTCTTGGTACGCTTCTTTTGGTTTGGTGGTGGCAACCGCTTGGTACAATTTCGAAGCACCATCTCCAACCTGAGACGCATAGGCCTGGTTATCAGAGGTTACTATGCTTCCTGCGGTGACGGCAGAGGCAAGCTTCTTGCCAGAAGGGTGGTCGCGCGAAGTTAAGTAGTAAGCAGCCCCGGCACCCACCAAGAGGGAACCTCCAGCAATCAACCCAACGTTCGATGACCCCCGATTGGCTCCTGAGGAATTGAATCTTTTGAAATTCTTGACCGGCTGTCTCTCAATAAACGAGGCGACTCTTTTAGTAGCACCTTTGAACATCTTTATAAAATATTAGAGTGTTTAAAATGAAAATGGAAACCAAAAACGTCTCAATGAATGAATATTTTTTTGATAATATAGATAATAATGTTAATTATTGTAAAGGGCGGGACAAGGGTATATATAGATAATACATGGATATGACAAATCGCTGGCAGTTCATTGGAAGGTTGCTATACCTAGACCACCCATCCCTTAATAATCGTGGGTGGGTCCAGAGGCTGACTAATCGCTGAGTCCACAGATTATGTAATAGGGCGTAGTGTGGGGAAGCAATTTCACCGGCATGGAAAACCAATCCGAGAAGGCGAAGCACGTGCAGAGAAGAGGGAAAAAAAAATAAAAACCAGTAAATCATCATCACCTACTAACCGCCTACCTATAATAATTGTAGAAAATTTTTGGGGATTATAGCAATAACCAATGAGCTCTGAAAATTACACTTTAGCCCAGTTAGAGGACCTCAACAAAACCTTCAAAAAATCTCTTGCAGCGTATTTTCACCTTGTGTCGCACAATGGCAAAGATGATTTGAAAAAAATCGAAGCGGCTTCGGTCGATAGTCCTTTAGACGAATTCATTAAGATATCGGTATTGATCCATTCCAACGCCACCAAGCTTGGGCTTGTGTTCAAATATCCTCTTCCCCAAACAAATTACAATGCCGCCTACAAGCAATTGAAGGACTATTTTGAACTTTATGCGTTGTTGATGAGTTTGGTTAGCCAAATTAATAAGGAAAATAAATTTAGTGTGCTATTCTATGACACCATTTTGAGCACCCTTCTGACATTGTTTTCCATTAACGAATTCGTGTCAGAAGAGATTGCGAGTATTTTGGGATTTTCTGCAAGCTCTTCCAAAGAGGAAATCGAAAAGAAAAATAAGAATAGATTAGTAGTGATTGGAAAAATATGGAATACTTGTGATGAATTTAAAGAGCTTCTTCAAAATGGGGAACTTTCACTTTTGAATCTGGAGTTGAAACTGTCAGTAACCCTTATCGGTGATGCATTGCTAGATTTTGAAGCATGGCTCGAAAATCCTGAAGAAGTTGAGGATGATCCATTTGGATTTGATGATTTTTCTGATGAAGAAGGTGAAACTAAAGAAGAGACCAATGAACCAGTGAATGAAGCAGAATTAGCAGAAAAAGTTGAAATCGGCAAAAAGTGGGTAGAGAAAGTTAAGTTGATAAAAATTCTACTTTCTATCATTGGTAAATCCTTGGCCAATATCAAGAAAGAGAAAGGCAAAATTACCACTGCCCAGTTGAATGACGTCTTTAATTCTCAAAGCAATGTAGTGGGAGAAATTGATGAGTTAGTTTCATCACTAGCCATGGGTGGTAGTGTGAAAGAAGTGAAGGAAATTGCCGATGAGTTGGTGACAAAGGTTAAGCAGCTGAATAAATGTTTGGCCGATATCAATAACTTGCTCAAGGATACTGACAAAGCTAATCAACTAATAGAATCTTGGAACAAGAAGTTTGATTTATAATCATGTACCATAATAGAACTATACTTCTCATTCGATTGTCATTGTAAGACTTACATTTTAAGCTATGTATCAGATAAAGTAATAATAATACAATTGAAAATCTTCTATAAAAAGACTGTTTTCACCAAACTATCAACAATAATAAAAAGAATGAAATTAGTAAAAAAGATGCAGTAAGGAACAATTTCCTATTTTTTCTTGTCCAGAATTAGGTTATTAAAAAAGCAAAACAGGGAAATAAAAATCAGTGTGATTACCAATTTTTGATGCAAAGGGGATTCTTTTTTTTACTTAGCTTCAGAGAGATCTGGCAACCACATCGATACCTCATTATCGGCTGTAGCCAACATCATCATCTTAGGATTGAATAATACCATTCTAGGCGTAGCTTTATCCCCCTTTAATGCTTTTAATGGATTGAGAACTTTTCCTGGTGGCACAGAACTTTGAAGCTGATTCATATCCCACACTAAAACATCATTTGTTCCGCTACCACCAAATACGTATCTTCCATCAGGACTAAAAGAAACTGAGCCGGTATCTGGATAGTTACGAGGCTTGAAAGGTCCATGTCCTTTCAATTTTGTTACCAATTCTCCTTCATACGAGTCCAAGACATAATGATACTGATAATTTGTGCCGATTAAAAGGTGTCTTCCATCATTAGAAAAGTCGAGCTTATTCCAAAACAGACGTTCTAATGTCACTGGATCACGTTCGAATTTTTTGAGATCGAATACAATAAATGGATCTTTATCATAATTTCTGCAATCGTAAAGACCAACTTCTTTAGTATCTGAATTACCAATGGCAAACACGAGCCCACTAGGATCAAACGAACAAATACTACGGTTTCTGCATGTCATATACCCTTGGCAATTCGACGTCCGGAAATCCCAGACCCTGACAGAATTGTCAAAAGAAGTGGAAATAAACATATCGCTGGTGGGGCTGACTTCGAGAGAATTAACTAATGCTTTATGACCTTTGAAATAACGGACATATGTATTGTCGTGTAGCGAAAGGTATCTAATAGTGTGTTCATTTTTTGTGGAGGCATAGATACAATTCTTCAGATTATGGGTGAAGCGGGCTAGATGGGTCCCGTACTTCTTGGAAAGAACGCTCTTGACATGTTTACCTGATTTACAATCGTATAGTTGCATCGATTCATCGGCACCGCTAGATATGAGGAATTGGCCTGAGTCGTCGAAATCTAGCGATGTCACCGGGGCTTCATCGCGATGGTATCTGAATGTCTTTGAAGGTGCGAAAGAAGTGAATAACGACTCGGTTATTTTGGTGCTCATGGTTAATGATATTGGATACTGTTGTGAAGAATCCGTCTGCTTTCTATTAAAAGAAGATTTCAGTAATTTTCAGACACAGAAAGACGTATGGTTTACCCGGCCAAAATGCGGAGAACGTCCCTGCCCCCTCCAAATTGGCTCACTTCCATTTGGTGATGGAAGATGGTATTCAATTGATGAATGGAGCGACTTGAGGGCATTTATGTGTCAAGAAGGTAAAGATTCAAATGTATATGTCAATATATATTCATATTTATGTGTAAGTGGTGCACGATATAACAATAACATATTGACTGAGATGTTCACGTGGCGGTGCACACGACCAAAAAAAAAGCCCAGTGCTAATTGCCTCGCCCCTTTGTACTGTTATCTACTATACAGATCACTCGATGGCCAGACTCCAAAAGTGAATAATAAATACACAGACAATACCATGGCAGTAAGTATCATATTCTTCCCACACTGCTAAATAAATCTGTATATACTAACCGCCTTGCAGCTTGGGAAACTCACTCACTACACCATCGATCTCCTCCTTCTTTCTATGCTTTTTGCAGGTATCAGAAGAGACACTGGGTACTATCTTGATCCCTCCCAGTTCTCGTCGTACGATGTCAGAAGATACTTGGCCAAGTATCTCAGCTACGGTGAAAAAGCCTACGACTATTTCCTCACCCTCATAAAGTACACTGGGTACTTCAAATTGCAAAGATTCAACAATATTAAGCGGTTTGTCAACGACGTGAACACCACCCTCAACTCCGGGGACAGAATCCAGCCGCTCCACGACGAGGAAGACTTCACAGAGATCAATAGCAACCATTATTCTTAATGACTATCTACTATTATTGTATTATATATCATCATTATTATCATTATTATTAGTAGTATTGCTGTTGTAATGTACGGTTCAATCACATTTAATGATGTGAAATTACCTGAATCGACCTTCAAGACTTTCAACCCTCTGTTGGAAAGCCGTTTTTTCAAGTCTAATGAATTTCTTGGTGGCTAAAGAAGGCAAATCAATCACTCTTTCTTTCGTATTTTCTTATCTCCTGATAAGTCTTTGAGCATGGTTTGGAAAGCCGGTAGCTGCTGAGTCCCGTGCGAATGCAATTCAGAAGTACTGGAATCACAAGGAAGAAACAAATATTCGTCAACTTTGACAGGTTAGATGGCGAGCATTAACACTAAGGAAGAAATCACATTTGAGAAGTTCATGGTCTTCAGAAAGGGTAATGTCCCATTCTGAAAACCCCCAAACAGTGGAAAGAAGAATCTTTCATCTGGTTGCCTATGTTTTCTTGGATATGAGATGAAAAAATGAAAATAACATAAAAAAAGGGGGCAAAAAAAAAATTTATGGGGATTGTATACCTACATGATAAATAGCGGTTCGTCTGTTTTAATGAGCACAAAGAAAGAAAGAAATGAAAGAATGAAAGAATGAAAGAAATGAATGAAAGAAAGAAACCGAATCACAAACCCCACACTTGTTTGAGAGCGGTACCAAATCTTTGGAGACCCTTGTCCAATTGACATTAGTGGCAGCGTATGTAGCTCTGAAAAAGATGTCGGTATTTGGCTTTTCACCTTCTTCTAGCACTTCGAACTAGGAGCCAGGAACTAAAAGAGCATTTTTTTGGATAGTAATATCATAAATATCCTTTTCCAAAGCCAATGGATCGCTGTTGTACTTGGTCTTGAATTCTGGGTGCTTGGTAGCGTCAAAGCTAATGGTGAAAAACATGCCAGCAATTGGGACATGAACTTCAGCAAAAGAAGGAACATACTTGAAAGCTGAGTCGATGGCAGAATCTCTCTTGTAAGTGTATTCATGACGTAAGACTTGCAACCAATCAATGAAGCCTTCTTGACCCCAACGAGCTAAGGTACCATAGATAATGGCAGTGCAAAAACCAGAAGGAGTTTGGATAGAAGTTTCGTGGACTCTAAGGAATCTTTCAAGAATGGTCTTTTGATCAGTCATCCAACCAAGACGAGATCCTGGAGCAAACACTTTAGAAAAAGAGTCCAATCTGATGACTCTACCATCGACATCCCAATGAAGGAAAGATGGAACCAAAGATTTGATAAATTCTTCATTGGAAACATGGGCTGGCTTAGTACGTTCTGAAGCTTTGACGTGAGGGTCCAATTGGAGGAAATAGTATGGTTCATCTTCGACAATGATAATATCATATTTAGACGCAATATCATAAACTGCCTTTCTTCTTTCGAACGGCATGGAGCTACCGGTTGGGTTTTGACCAGTTCAAACGGTATAAATCAATTTTGGTAACTTGGCACCAGAACTCTTGATCTTGGCCAACTTTTCCTCGAGCATTTCTGGGATAATCCCAGAATAGTCTATTTCCATGGTCAAAGTAATGACACCTTTAGGAACCGCAGTTTTCATAGCGGAAGTAAAGGCGTATTTTTCAACGAGAATAGTATCACCAGGATCACAGAACACTCTGATACAACTGTCCCAAGATTGGGTGCTACCAACAGTAGGGATGATTTCCCAATCATTGTGAGGGCTGGAATGGATTTTCTTGGTGTGTTCGACAAGAAAGTCTACCAACTGTGCAGGGCTTTGAGGACCACTTATTGCAAAGCTTTTGACAATGGGATATCAAATTCGTCGCTCAGTTTGGTGACCGTGAAGCTAAGTTCGTTGGATGGGGTGGCACTGGCGGCGAGACCTTCTTCAAATGGAGGTTTTCAGGTGGTGGCCGAGATAGTATCCCAGGCAAAGTATGAATGCAAAGGAAGACCCCCGTCAAGGAAGGCAATATCAGGGGTAGAGGTGTGAGCATCAATTGCCTTAAGTTTTGAAGGAGAACGAGTTGTCACTTGTGAGAAGAACAAATGACTGAGATCAAGGGGCATGGTTGTTGTTGTTATTACACGTTAGAGATTTAATATGTACATGAAACCAACCGGGTGGAAACAAAATACAAGAAAGAAGGAAAGATAGTCCGTGAAAAATAGTGCTTATAATTGGATAATCAACCTTTGTATAGTAATATTGTCGCAATGAGTCATAAATACCAATATCCTCTACAACTATTAAAAATCAGAGTGGTTTCTGCGGGACGACAGTTTGTTTCGGACTTTGAATTTTTTTTGGCCGAGAATTTTTCCATTGGTTTGGTTATTTCCAATTTGTTTATTTTTTGCCATGTTGATGGCCTCAAGCTATTCTTCCGAGCCTCAAATTATTCTTCCGACTATTTCACTATTTTTTTCGACTTCATTGATTCATAGATATGGTCTATGTTTAAAAATGAAAAAATAATAATAGAAAACTAACAAAAATAGGGAAATAGCTGAATCCAGAAAGACCACTGTATATTGAGATGCCCACAATCGCATCCTGTAAATTGAAATCAGAAAAACTTTCAATTGCATCTCATCAATCTCGATATTTTCTTTCTTTATTGATGCCACCGAAAATAGTCTGCCCCGTTCAGACGGTAGAACAGGGTCAATATCTTCTGTATTATCAGAAGTTGTCTCGGTCAAAATAGTTGGAGGTGAGGTAATTCCCCCTTGAATTGAACATCTGAATTACATGACTTGTTCAAGTGGACTTTGGTGAGAGAAATTCTTGCAATGCATCATAGTAGGCGGCCCGTTACATATATACATATATGTATCAATCACTATAGTAAATAAATGGTGGATCTTCTTTATCGGTTGTTTTTCACCGTATGCGTTCTGGCCTGGGTTTAATGAAGGTTCATGGTAAGGCTTTTTTTTCTATTTTTCTATTTTTCCTTTGTTTTACCACACTTAAATGAGGCCGAATCTGTCAATTGATTTCCACGATTTGCAAACATAACAAACGCCATAAATATATTATATACATCACAGTATAGTTGGCCCCTAGTGGGGCCTCTCCTGAGCTTCTTCTGAATATTGCTAAACGCAGGTGGAAAAACCGGCTCAGCCTGCACGTGCCTTGAAGCTGAAAAAAAAAAAAATAGTCATCGATGCAGTCATCGATAGCTATTTAATACCTTTGTTGTCTCTTTAACTTGGTTTGAATTTCCACTCATTAGATATTATTTGAAGCAAAACAAAACAAAATGCTCAGACCTGCCTTCAGAATCAACACTCGCTTAGTGTCTCGCGCTTTCCAGCCACTCAGACAGTCCGTGAGAGTAAGTTGCCGTTCTCAAATTTTCATCCATCGATGATTCATTCTTGATATACTACATGTACTAACTAACTGCTTTCCAGCCTTATGCTCTCTCAACCAACGAAATCAACCTCATTTCTAAACATGTCGACGAAATCGATCCAGAAATGAACGAGATCCTCAAGAATGAAAAGCAAAGACAAAAGGATTCCATTACCTTGATCCCATCCGAAAATTTCACCTCTCAAGCCGTTATGGATCTCTTGGGTTCTCCAATGCAAAACAAATATTCCGAAGGTTATCCAGGTGAGCGTTACTATGGTGGTAATCAGTGGATCGATGCTGCTGAATCACTTTGTCAAAAGAGAGCTTTGGAAGCCTTTAACCTTGACCCAGCTTTATGGGGTGCCAATGTCCAATCACTTTCTGGTTCTCCAGCTAACCTCCAAGCTTATTCTGCCGTCCTCAATGTCGGTGACAGATTGATGGGTCTTGATCTTCCACACGGTGGTCACTTGTCCCACGGGTACCAAACCAACACCACCAAGATCTCTTATGTTTCTAAATACTTCCAAACCATGCCATACCGTTTGGATGAAAAGACCGGGGTCATTGATTACGACCAACTCGAAAAGTCCGCCGAACTTTTCCGCCCAAAGATCATTGTTGCCGGGGCTTCTGCTTACTCTAGAGTCATTGATTACGAACGTATTAGAAAGATTGCCGATAAGGTCAACGCCTACGTGCTTTCTGATATGGCCCACATTTCCGGGCTTATTTCTGCCGGAGTCACTGCTTCTCCATTCCCATACTCTGATATCGTCACCACCACTACCCATAAATCTTTGCGTGGTCCAAGAGGTGCTATCATCTTTTTTAGAAAAGGGCTTAGAAAGGTCACCAAGAAGGGTAAGGAAATTCACTACGACTTGGAAAAAAAGATCAACTTCTCAGTTTTCCCAGCTCACCAAGGGGGTCCACACAACCATACCATCTCTGCTCTTGCTGTGGCTCTTAAACAAACTCAAGCTCCAGAATTCAAAGACTACCAAAAGAAGGTTGTTGCTAACGCCAGCGCTTTCGCCGATGCTTTACTTTCCAAGAACTTGAACCTCGTTTCTGGGGGTACCGACAACCACTTGATCTTGATTGATTTGCGTAGTCGTAACATTGACGGTGCCAGAGTCGAAGCCGTTTTGGAACGTATCAACATTGCCGCCAACAAAAATACCGTTCCTGGTGACAAATCTGCGTTGTTCCCATCCGGTTTGAGAGTTGGTACTCCAGCCATGACCACCAGAGGGTTCGAAACCGGGGAATTCGAAAAGGTTGCCGACTACATTGACCAAGCTGTCAAGATTGCTATCGACCTCAAGGCCGAAGTTCAAGGTGACTCTCCAAAACTGTTGTTGGCTAACTTCAAGACGGCTGCCGATGAAAGTGCCAAGGTCAAACAATTGGCTGAAGATGTCAAGCAATGGGCTAACCAATACCCATTGCCAGGTGAATTTTAATTTTGAAGTTTACCGGTGAGCTTTTTTGTTTTCTTTTCTCCTTGTTTAGATTATTCCCAGCAGTCTACTTTTTTTTTGGTTCAACAGAAATCGAATTACTTAATAGATATGTTCGCTTTCAAAAAGATTTTAATTTTCTTGTAACTGTGTTAACATATATGTTGACATGACTCCTAATATCTCAATAATTTAAAGTCACAACTACGAATCTGCAGTTTACAAAGAGACAGAAAAATATCAAAACAGGAAAAAAATATATCTTTAAAAAAAGCCACAAATAAATAAATAGCAATAGAATTTAAAACAAAAAAAAAGCAAATATTTTATAACATAGACAAACACTGCATAAACAGTATAAAAAAGAGTTATCCATCAATCAAAGCCTTCTAAAGCCTTCAAGGCCTTAGATAATCTTCTAATGCCTTCATCGTATCTTTCGGGATCAGAAATCATATCAGCGGTCAATCTACTAAGGGAGTCAACTATTCTTTCGAGTAATCTCTTTTCCTGTGATGGTAAGGCCAAGTCTCTGAACTCCAGGCCAATCACAGTACCTTCAGTAGCCTCTAACATTCTTGAAACAGCCTTATAATCAAGTGGCTTCGTCTTATTTTTTCGTTTGCTTGAAGAAGATGAGCTCGATTTGGGTTTAGATTTGACCTTCCCATTATGGAGGAAGCTTCGAGCCTTATTTGCTTCTTCTGATGAAACTTCGGCTGCTGTTTGCTTGCCACCTTGGTCAAAAGATGCACTTCCAATATCAATATAATCTTCATTTTCGTTCTCCAAAATTTCAGTTTCAACGTTTTCCTTTTCACTGTTATTGGAAGAAACTGTAGCTTCATTCGCTTTACGCTGTACTAATTCTTTTTCCACTTCGGCAGTCAAATCTTGGATTGAACTATATTCAGTAATTGGACGAGTAGCTTGCAAATTATCTGAGCTTGGTTTTTTTAAAGTGGTGGTCCTGGAAGAGCTAACTGAAGTTTTTCTTGAAGTAGTATCATTCAAGGTGGTTACCGAGGGTGGTGAGGGCAATGGACGAGAAGTGGTTATCTGACTATTAGAGTCACGCTTTTTGACAAGCAAAGGTGATTCAGATTGTATACTATTATTACGAGTATTAAGCGTAATGGTGCTACCAACGGAAGGCTTTCTCTGATTGCTATTAATCATAGAAACACTTGACTTTCGTGAACTGGTACGAATTGAGGATCTAGAAGCCCTTCTTGAAGTCTTCCGATCTTCTAAATCATTATCTTCATCTGACTTATACCTTTGGTGGTGGTAATCGAGTGAATCTTTTGAAAATTCCAGGAGCGGATCATGACCTATATCACCAGAGGCAGCGGCATGCTTAACTTCTGGTGCAGAGTCCTTGGGTGTGGTACGAGAATCATAAATGGTCTCTTCCGATTTCTTCTTCAAGGTCAGAGATGATCTTGCAGTTTTCACACTTTCCATATTATTCTCATCAGAAATCTTTTCTCTGACAGACGGAGCCGATTCCATATGGGCGCTGGAAAATGATATATCCCTCAATTTCACAGTTTCAGACCTTTCTGGAATGGCCATCGGCTGAGGTGAGGATTCACTGGAAGATTCGTGTGGAACGAACGTGGAATTACCAAACATCGAAAAAGATTTATGGTTTCGCAGTTTAGGACTATACGGATTTTGAGTAGAGTTCCGTAGTTTCATTTCGTTAATCAAACTGGTAATTTGTTCATCATCGGTTAAATCCAAATCTTGCAGAATCATGTTGTTGTCCGATGGTGGTCGTAATTCAAAATTCAAATTCCTGGTAGAGGTCTCTGACGCTGGAGCCCTAACACTGGCCACGTCCTCGGAAGGTCTGATGATACTATGATCCCCATTTACAGATCTCAAGTCACTATTACGCAAAGTGTTAAGAAGAGTCTTATTATCAAGCGAAGTGAACGAAATCTCATCAAAATCACTGCCAAAAGTAGGTAGTAAGGACTTGTTGGTATTTTCCATAGATGTGAAATTTTCATCACTATGAGAATCAAATGAATCATCTTTTTCAATTGGCAGTGGTTTCTTATCACCCAAATCGTAATTGTGGAGGTTTACTGAAGATGGCTCACTAAAATCCGATGGCATAGGTCTGATTGGAGATCTTGGTGGGATCAATAGCTCATCAGGGTTTGCACCTGGAGGAGCTAAAATAATTGTGGATCTTATGTTAGAGGCTTCAGATCCTTCGTTTCCAAAGCTAGCAACGCTGGTTGGAGATTTTAATTCAGCTTCGTTATGGATGGAAGAGCTTCTAGAATGTCTCGAGCCAGGAGATTTAACTTGATCGTCCAGAGAGATGGGATTTTTCGAGTTAACATCAATTGATAATTGTTTTGTATTGAGAAATGATTTTCTGTTTCCCATGGCCTCTTTGCTTGAACTAGGAGTTTCCCCGGCACGAAAACTGTTGTTATAGGCGCCTTGACCAAAAAGTGAATTTCTCATGGAGTAATAGTTCAGTGGTATTCCTGGATTAGATGAGCCCATGGTAACGTTTTTAGTTGGAACGTTACTTTGGTGATAGTCCACAGACTGAGGCCTGGACTTTGGTTTTTGGCCAACCATGTGTGGAACTGATCTATCTGGAGCAGGCCCAGTATTGGAGACAGTAGGATGGGTATTGAAAACAAAGGATCCCGGCATTCTGTCAGAAGCATCCTTGATAATTCCATTGGGATTAGCGTGAACCTGAAAAGAATGATCTGTAGAGTGACTGGTTAAAGAGTTCAAATGTTCCGGTTCAGTGGAGCCGGCGATGATAGACCCATTGAAGCTAGCAATTGGATGATCTTGCTCATGAATCAAGTCAGAAACAACATTATTGTTTGTAGTTCCAACATTCCCAAGCGAGTTGTTTTCAAAATGTATTCTCGAGTTTATAATGTCCTCTGCATCATTAGAATCGACCGAACTCTCGTAATTAGAAACGGTGGTAATATCCTTGGGAGGCGAGCTCAACGGAATATCTTCTTCTAAGTTTTCAGTGGTATTATATTGAAGACCAAATGAATTTCTCAAAGGTGATGAACTTGAGTTAGCAGATGATGCTGTGTTAGGTGGCAGTTTCTTCAATCTAAGAAAAGGGAGATGTGGAGGGAAGGAGTCCAAGGACTTAGGCATCGCAGATTGCGATACTTGGCCTTGTGATTCAATAGTTGGTGATGGCGAGGGAGTATGAAACGAGTCCCCTTGGGCAATTCTTATGTCTTTGTTGTGATAGGTAATTGGAATGGCATCAGAGACCACGCCGGAATAAGCTGAAATATTAGACATATAGGAGTATCGCTGCGAGCCCTCATCACTAGACTTATATTGGTGAGAAGAGTGATTTTGGTTAGACATGATGGTAGCGTTTGGTTATTATTTTATTGTATATCTGGGGTCTTCGTTTTTCCTTTTATTGAGTTCCGATGATCTAGACTATCTCTAGCAAGGGAATGGGACTGATGGATGGGTAAAATCAAAAGAAAGCCCTAGATATCAAAGTCTTTGAAATTTGGTAGGACAAAAAAAAACAAAAGTGATACAAATTAAGAGCAGCGGAAACAGATGTGTCGCCTTATATTTCTTAATTTCCCAGAATATGGTCTAATAATAGTAAACGAGATGAGCATCCTGAACTTTTTTTTTCGCTGACCGCCGTCTAGATAGTGGCATAGCGGAAAATGTAAACAAAAGCCTTTGGTAGTGCGTTTAGACTCAGATCAAATAGATAACTCATCCCTTTGTTACCCGCCCATAACCACTACTTCTACACCTTTTTTCATTAATATTTTCTTATTATCTCCTTTATTATTCTTTATTATCTATTTTCTATTGAAATCACCGCACATTGAAATTATAGTTATCTATTATATCTCATCTCTTGATGATATATTTTATCTCATATATATCAACCCCAATGGTATAGAGTCCCGTGTCTTGATGCTAACCACCAGACTTATCGTTCTTTCTTGTGGTTAAAATAAAAACTTGATGATCTCTTTACAAGCCTTGTGATTTCCATGCTCCACTATTGCTAATCGCTTTACAAGCCTCGTGTTGTCCAAACTCCATTTTTGATAATATCAATTATACACTCAAAAAAATCTATGTATCAAAAAAAAGAGCACTTGAGAAATGAATAGCATCGAAATATGTTTGTAAATAAATAATAGAGGGGAGAAAAACAAAAAAAAAATAAAGCTTCTTATACACTACTCCGCTTATTGAGAGGCACACTGGACACCTGGACCGGATTCCTCGTAATATTCGTCTTCATCTGCAGCACCTCTTCTACCAGAGGCATGCTTGGATTGATCAAATTCTTCTAACTGAACTTCATCAATTTCCTTACCTGCAGGAATCTTAACCTTTGGTCTAGCAGGCAATACTTGTTCCAATAACTTGAGTTTGTCTTCAGAAGCGAAACCATTCTTAGGGAATTCAACCTCAAAAGTAACAAACAAGTTACCGTGACCACCAACTCTTCTAATTGGCATACCTTGGTCTGGAATAACCTTCACAACACCGTGAGAAATCACTTCACCTGGCAAGATTTCTGTCTTGATCCATGCACCACTAATGTGTGGGAAGGCAATTTCGCCACCGGCAATAGCAGTCAACAAGTCAATCTTTTGTTTCTTGAATAAGTCATTGCCCTTTCTGGTGAAGTCTGGGTGTTCCTTTTCGTGGATTATAATGATAACGTCACCGGTAATGGTGTCTGGAGCTTGATCACCTTCGCCTCTGAAAGTGACAGTTTCGCCATCCTTCATACCTGGATCAATGTGAACGACAAGAATCTTCTTTTCAGACACAGTCTTCTTACCTCTACAAGTGGTACATCTGTCTTTTGGATTGATGATACTACCTTCACCATGACAAGCGTCACACTCAGTTTGGAATCTCTGAATGACTGGACCCATTTGTCTAGTAACAAATTTAACACCATTACCACCACAGCCGGTACATTGTTTAACAGCTCCTTCCTTACCACCTCTACCGTCACAAGATTTACATAAGATAGTCTTGTTCAAGGCCAATTTTGTGGTCTTACCCTTGTAAAGGTCTTCCAAAGACACTTCAAGGCTGTGTTTGACATCTTTACCTCTTTTTGGACCTTGTGGACGTCCGCCAGCACCACCACCGAACATACCGCCACCAAAGAATTGTGAAAAGATGTCGTTAGGATCCATTCCTCCCATGCCTCCCATACCTGGACCCTCAGTACCGTATTCATCGTATTGTGTTCTCTTGGTTTCGTCTGACAAGACTTCGTAAGCTGAAGTGATTTCTTTGAATTTTTCGGCAGCTTCTTCGCTAGGGTTCTTATCTGGATGGTATTTCAAAGCAGCTTTTCTATAAGCCTTCTTGATTTGGGTGTCTGAAGCATCTGGTGAAACCCCTAAAAGGTCGTACAATTTGGTTTCCTTCACCATGGTATATGAATATTATGTGTGTAAGCTGGACCGCGGAATATAAAACTTTTGGAAATAAATTAAATAAACAATACACAAAAGAAAATAAAATAATAATAAACCCTTTTATTAACTGGTATTCCCCTTAAGTTTCTGTGTAAATAGTATTTGCCACTGTAATGTTACAATTGTTCCTTATCATGGGCAAAAAAAAATATAAAATTTTTTCACTTTGATTTATAAGAAAACGCCAAAAAAGAAAAACTAGAATTTTCCACGTGCCGGGTGACGTCTGTATAAAATTAACTGCTTCCTTTCTTTTTTTTTTTTTTTTTTTAGTATACAGTATTAAAACTATGGTAGTATGAAATCACAAAATTGAAGTCATTTTCATTATACAACAGAAAATAGAAAAGAAAAAGAAAAAAAAAATATATGGATAAATAGGAAAGAAAAAAGAAAAGACAAATCATCCCCAAAGACCGAACAAACCCTTCTTCTTTGGTTTCTCTGTAGTAGAAGTTGTGATACTGTCAGGTACTGGTACAGCGTCGGTTTCTCCAATCTTCTTTTGTGCAAGTCTATGTTGAGCACTTTGGTCTGTTTCACCAACGTAATTGAAAGCAAGATCGAAAAATACTGGCTTAACTGTCACTGGTTTCACAGACTCTATATCCATAAGTTTATTGGTATTCGTAAGCTCTTGAATGGTGTTGATTGAAACAGGAATATTAACAGCATCAGCAACTGATTGAACCACAGCTTGGTTTCTAGAGGATTCATGCTCAAACTGGGCCAAAACATGAACTTTCACTTTGTATTCTGAAACTTGTTTAGTGTAGCTAACGAGCTTTTCATTACTTAAAATTTCGCCTGGGAATTTTTCAATGTTCAATGGCTTCAATCCAGAAAGCTTCTGAGATATATTTTCCAAGATCAAGAGAGACTCCTTATGCTTCTTGACAATCTCGTAAACATTGGCGATAACCTGATATTTCAAACTTTGATAGTATGTCTTCAAAGCTTCAATATCTGAGCTTAGATCCTGATCAGAATAAACACCTGGTAAATCTTGAATTTTGCTAATTGTAGACAAAATCATTTCATAAATTCTAACAATATCACGGTTAATATCCACTAGAGAGTCATTCTTGAGCTTCTTAGCATTCAAGCTGTCAATCAAAGCATGGTCTCTTCTGACTTGGGCAAAGTGCATATGATATTTAATAAACGTCAACACAATTTGGCGATCTCTGATTTCCTCTTCATCTTCCACTCCCATAGAGTTGGCTCTTTCAGTATCGACTTCATGACTTTCTAAAGTTTCCTTCCAGCCAATCAAAACCGGATCAAACGATGAGATGTCACTGTTTTGTATCTTCTTTTCACTAGATTGAACCTCCATAATCATTCTTGCAATTTCTGAACTATGTAATTTAGCAGTATAACTGGACCATGTTACTTCGGTAATTAGTTGTCTGGTAGAAGCTTGGCTTTCATCAACTTCCAAGAAGCTTTCATCTTTCTCCTTTATGAGTTCAATCGCATCTTCATATACATCATCTTGAGAATCTTTACTAGATTTCTGGATCACAATCTTGGATACGATATTCAAGTCAATAACATTCTGCGCAAAAGATGAATGGGTGATTGCTAATCTCAAAGATGGATCGATTCTTGATTCGATTATTTCACGATATAAATGATTTGCTTTGTTTTCTTGATAATCGGTGTAACTTTCCAAAAATTCCAAAGCATTACGGGCAACTGATAAGCTGTACGCCGCTACACTCCATTTCTTTTGCTTGACCGCCAATAAACCTTCAGCAAGTCCAAGATAGACATATAATTCGATTTTCTTGCTCTTATTCGGTTCGTTGAACGAAATCATTATCAATTGCTTGATATGTTCGACAGTTCGTTTCAATTTGGAAATAATAAATTTCTCCTTGGAGCGAGATGAGCTGACCTCGGACACCACTAAAATCTCGAGCGCTTTAGATAAATCACGTTCTGCAAGATACAATAGAATAAGTCCGTAACGATCATCTGAATCATATTGCTCGGAGTCAATTTCTTGAGTCTTGTCATGGTCTTGATAATGTTTTGTGTCCTTAACCTGGATTCCAAGGTCCTTCTTAAGCTTGGCAACCCTCTTTTTAGCTTTCACGCTATGTTGGAGAAATTCGGGGCCACTCAGTAACGAGCTTCTTTCACCGTAAGTCAATCCGAGAATAGAGGTCATAGTAATGTGCTATTATTTTTAATGGATCAACCCAGAAGCTCGTGGGGTTATAGTTTGTTTGTTGTTGATTTCTGAAAATTTTCGTAACACCTGTGTGCCAGCGCATCTAACCACAAATCTCAGCGGCTTGATCCGGGCGAACATAACTAAATTTTTCTTCCCACCGATGTTAAATGAGAGATCATTGATATACAAGAATAATAGAAAAGAAGCACATATAATGGTATGTCGAAACTAAGATTATAGTAATACTGTCCACAAAGCTTTTTTTTTTTAGTGAACCTTGAAGGTTCTGGGCATATTTTTGGTGAAGAGGCAAAGTCGCACATATTAACTGGTTCAAGATTCCAATCATCATTGGATTGGGGGTCACTGTAGCCGCTTTAACGGTATGTTCTTTTTCATTTTATATTACAATTAATAAAAATATGCCATGAAAGCATTATTACGCCTTTTCTGTTCAGTTCGCTAATTCCAATATATTAGGTAAAATCGGGAATCAATGCCTTTGCACGATACAAACATCTTACCCCGGTAGAAATTGCTGGGTTCAACAATATCAAAATCAACTTTAATAGACCCGATAGGAATTTCATGACAAATAAAGGACTTGTCGATCGTAACCTACTAGAAAAGTTGAAGCAGTACCCTGGTGGGTTTTTGCCCAATATGAATGAAAATGAGGCCTGTTTGATTCTTGGCATCTCAAACGACGAGATCATGAAACTCGATACAAAGCTACTAAAGCAAAAACATCGAAAGTGTATTATATCAAATCATCCTGATAGAGGAGGTAGTCTCTATATCGCCATGAAAATCAATCGAGCAAAAGAGATACTAGAAAAAAGTTACTTACTTAAACGATAGTCATGCTTATCACCCTAAAGCTTCCAATTACACTTTTATTTCACAAGTACTATAATATATCACAAATTTTTGTCATTTCCTGACTTCTTTTTTTAATTCTCCTCATCTATAATTCTCTCAATGTCATCATAAAACTCTTGTTTTGCCCCAATCATCTGCTGAAGTTTATACACCATTGCTAGCTTCCACTCATCTGACATATGTTCAACAATCTTGAGCTTCCGTAAGTCGCGGATTTTCAACCAAGTCAAAAACAAATTTGCCAAATCTTTGACAAAAATCATCGCAACACATCCAATTAAATGTCTTATGAAATCCAGATGATCCGGAGAAGTCCCTAAATTGCGGAGAAATGGTATTTTTAATAATAAATGATCAGAAATCATTCTTCCGCCAATTGGCCACCAATAAGTAGTAAGCATTGAAAGAAAGAAATACTTTTGTTTGAACAAACCGCTATAGTCATTATTCAGAACAGCTTTATTTTCTCTTGCCCTTTGACGCTCTCTAAGCTTTCCTTTGGCGATTTTATTTCGGGTCATGATTTTACTTTCTGGCTTTCTTGTGAACCAGCTTGCGAAAAATCTCTTAATCTTTTGGATAAAAGATTCTGGAATCTCTAATGATGTGTCACTGATTTTAGTTTCTGCCAATTGTATTTGTTCTTCTTCTTCCAACTCCAATTTTAACATTTCTTGATTGTCGCTTTCAATTTGCCTTAGCTCGTCGATAGAAATCTTATCAGCTATGAAGCATGGCCTTAATGATCTAACCCATCTGTAATAGACCCTGTTTATGGTGAACCTAAACACCCAGTTGTAAACAACCCGGAGTGAAGAAGCAGCAACTACCCATAAACGCGGGTCTCTTAAGTTGAGTGACATTGAGGGTGAATCAACGTAAAATAAGAAAGGGAAAATATTCACCAAAGTATCAGAGATTGCTGAGCTGCCAGGTGTTGATCTAAGACTTCTAATATAAACAGGTAGTAATGGAATCAACATCATGGTACTTGGTTTTAAGAGGTTTCTATCGAATGCAGCGTCCAAAGATCCATTGTAATCAATACCAAAAAGTCTTGATTGTAAACTTGTAGGTACGACGCACCTAATCATATCCATGCTTATCTTTGACAAAAACAAACCACCCAGAAAAGCCACACCAGCAACTGCCGACACTACGCCAGTAGTGAAAAGACCATACTTCCCCATGGTCGATAATATGCCTTTTGTAATTGATACTGTATTAACCATCGGATTTGAAGGAATCGAGGCAAATATGGAATTCTGGCATTGAGGACACTTGAGATCAAAAGTTAAAGAGTTTCTATACCCTCCGGTATTAAAGATAAAGGATCTTCTCAAGTTCACAATATTGCGGACTAGCAGCTCTATTATCCCTGCATCATTGCCGGCATTATCGTCATTATTATTATTAGTTTCAGGCAATTGGTTGTATTTGAGAAACTTGACGTCAGATTCTGAGATCCAATCCATTAAACATCGTCTGTGAGCTTTCAAAGAACATGAACAAACTTTCACAAAATCTTTGGCATCTGCTAAAGTTCCCATTGGTGGGGGTTCATCATCACCACATAGGCAAATCCAACATTTTAGTTGTTCTGCTTCGTCATTATCATCATCATTTTTTTTTTCTTCTTCTTCTTCTTCTTCTTCTTCTTCTTCTTCTTCTTCTTCTTCTTCTTCTTCTTCTTCTTCTTCTTCTTCTTCTTCTTCTTCTTCTTTTTCTTCTTCTTCTTCTTCTTTTTCTTCTTCTTCTTCTTCTTTTTCTTCTTCTTCTTCTTGTTTCTCTTCTTCTTGATCTTCAGGAGATTCAATCTCTTTGGTATTAGATATATCCCCTTCGATAATGGAGTCAATGAAGCTTTCTAACAGTGTTTCGTTATTCATCAGATCCCTTTGTACAGTTATCTTTATTTTTATTCTTATAACAAGTGCAAGAAGCTGTCGGCTCGGCTGTGAAATCATCGATTTTTTTTTTTTTTTCTGGATTTTTCCATACTGCACATAGAAATATCTGACCCTTAAATCAAACATTGGCCAGTATAGAAAATGATTTTCCTTAATTACTGAGATGGCTTCTAAATATTATTAAAACAATGAAAAAGTAATCTGCGAAAAACTAGCAAAGAGCTTTAATCATTGCTAGACCCCTACAATCTAAAATGATAATATATCCATTCTAGAGTCAAATTATTCATGTGTTAAATATAATATATTATTGATAATTTGGGTTTTCATGGGTTATACACCATCTCTGGTACCTGGATCCCTGGCTGAGTCTTTCATCCTCCTCATTCTATAGTTATTCAACTCAGTGGCTAACTGGAGTTGCAATCTGGCATTGTAAACCAATTCATTATAAATATTCTCATTAACTGGATAGCACAACCCGTTCTTGAAATAATAATCTTTTGTGGTTGGGTTATTTACTATCGGAAGACACCATTCGAGCCAGCTATTCCCCATAACGGCCTTCCAGTTTTCCAGTTTAGTGCCTAAACTGAATAAATTACCATACTGGTCGGAGTTTGGCTTATTTGAGTACTGATAGTAGCTGTCAAAGGCGGCATTCAAATCAATCCTATAACGAGTGTAATCATATGATTCTAAAGTGGTTCTATTGGTAACTATCTGATATATTGAAAATCCATCAAACATTGCCACAGCAAAGAAGAAAGAAACGCCAAATATGAAAAGAAAGATCCAATTTATGCTGAAATGGTAATGCAAATAGATTCCCTTGAAAATAAAATCATAAAGGATTTGCAATGATGTGAGCCCGCAAAGCGCCGAAAGCAATGTGGTATACGTGAGGAATTGAATGAAGAACTTGTGGTTTTTGTAGCCGATACAGGTTGCAAACCACGGACAATGATGGTCCATTTTCAACACACACTGTTTACACGTAGAACAATGATGGCAACGGTCCGGTTTCCAGACCTTGCACTTATTGCAGTATCTAATAATCCCCGACGATTTGATTGTGAAAGTATGTGTGGAATAGTACTGGGGAGGAGGGTTGATGATTCCTGATTTTATGAATTGAATGAGGGATTCATCATTTAGATCGCCAATCGCCAAATCGTCCTCATGGTCATCGCTGACATACTTGATCCGAAGTTCAGGGTAGTCCACAGCTACGCCGGCACCCAAAGAAACAATCCTATAGTATGATAGTATTCCTCCCAAAGTCAAGAATAATCCGATTAAGCATAGAAGAAAACCAAAAAAGCCTCCAATATAATTAAGCGATATTTGCCAGCAATAGGTGTAGCCCGCCCAAATGTAAAATCCGTTACAAAAAAGTTTGGGGAAAAGAACCGTAAACGCACAGCAAAATCGCTCTATCTGGTGACAGGCTCTCATTAATTATGTGTGATATATGTATTATAGGACTAATGATAGATGAACAATCAAAAAAAGTACAATCTTATTTATCATGGGTATGTTTTGAGTGTGCAAAGCAATATTTGATTGTGAAATATGTTGGCACGTGACTGTGCGCCTCAGTGCTGGATGAACCACACAGACAATAGTTTTAGACCAATAAGTAGAAACAATAGTGTTTAATAAGATAAATAATAAAACAGGCAAGAATAAGCTTATCCTCAGAAGTATCAATAAAAGGAGGGATGGTCATAACACCTCAGTATTACCAGTCTGCTAGATGAACTTATACAACACTTTTGAACCTCACAAAGTCATATATTATAATAATTAAAAATAGATCATAGTTTAGTCGGATTAGTGAACAACCACGTCTACCGAGTATTCATCCTCCAATTCAGTATCACCAACGGTCAAATCAAGACCTAATTTCTCATCATCAAATATCAAATCAATCTTTGGGGAGGCTGTAAGACCCTTCTTTTTAACATAGTGATCCACAACTTTGCGCAAAGAAGTGTCTTTAGAAACCTTTATCTCTAGTTTTTCATTATCCTTATCCTTCAACACAATAGTGAAATAATCATCGTTGTCTGCATCTGCATCATTAACATCTTCAATTTCCTCACCATCGAAAATTTCGGCTTCGTAGTCGCTAGTTTCTTGTGCATCGTTAGAATTATCATCTTCATTATCGTTCAACATAACACTACTTATTGCTTCTGCCTCTTGGTCCAAGTTGTTTGCTTGTTCTTTGGTCATGATGTATACGGTAGCAAATGTTTTTTCACCAGTGACCAATGGAGCAGGCAAACCGAGATAGCTTGGCATCATGTAATCTAGAATTTTGATCTTTGATTTGTAGAGTAATAAAACATTAACAACCAGATATGCCAGTCGATTTTTTTCTTCGATGTGATATTTTCCGGCAAGATGTTTCAAACAGGCAAGGATCAATTTCTTAAACTTCTTATCACCAGTAATGTTAACTTTGACTTCAAATCCTTCTGTCCCTGGTAATTTAGAAATGATCTTGAACTGATAAACTCTTCCCTTTTCTTCTTGTAACGACACCAGCTTAGTCGAACTGTTCAGTACTGTCTGCTTTATTTGTGAAGATACCTTATTGAACTTCCTCTTAATTCGCAATATATCGTCATCCTGTTTCTCCTTGTTATTCTCTATCAGGATAGAACGCTTCAATGCATTACCAGTTTTTTTAAACTTATTTTGCAATTTCTGCCTCGTCATCAAGTCCTCGCGTTCCACTTCCTGAATTTCCTTCATGATATTTGATACTGCTTCGCTTTGCGGAATGATCCCCTTATCTATGTTGCTGGGCGAGCCATTAGACAAACTAGGGGTTCGGGCAGTGGTCAGGGTTTTTAGAATATCGCGGGTATTTTCTTTTGATTCCAATATATCGCTGTGTCGCTTCTGCTGCTTCTTCTGTTGTTTCTGCTTCTTGACTTTTTTCTTAATCACCTTTGCCTGCTGCACCATTTCCTTGAGCTGCTGATCAGAACCCTTTCTATCCAACACGAAAAAATCATCGTCGTCATCCATGATTGGTATAGGTATGTGTAGATTTAAATTCAAAATAGATTAAAAATAAAATATATATTAAATAAAGTCTCTTCTTCCATACTTCTTTACTTAACTGAATTATCGTAATTTTTTTTTCCTGCTCATCACATGCCCAAGGGTGTTTGGTGCCCTGTTGGGGGGAGAGTTTTCCTCAATGAAAAATTTTAAACAAATTGGCGGCTAGAAAACGCTGGGTTTCCCCATTACTTCCAAAAGACCTGTGATTATCGCCATTAATCTGCATCTGATTTATTAGAGGTCATCCCATCTTCAAAATGTCTTCTCCAGCCCCTCTTCCTTTAGGTGACTTGGCCAAGCTCAACATGAGTGCCTTGCCAGCCATCACCCAAGAAAAGCCAAAGCCAGGCTTCTGGTCGTCTAACCCAATATTCTCCTTTGTCAACGACGTTTACTCAGGCTTCGCTGACCATAGACAATCTATTGGTTTGTTGAACCCGGGTACCATTGAAAACTTGAACAAGGAAGTTTCCAGAGACGTTTTCTTGAATCAGTACTTTTTCACCGGTTTCAGAGCTGATTTGAACAAATCTTTCTCTTTGAACCCAGCTTTCCAAACTTCCCACACCTTATCCATTGGGTCTAAATCTATTCCTCCATACGCCTTCAACGTTCTCTACGCTAACGACAACTTGTTTGCCCAAGGTACTTTGGACAATGATTTGTCATTATCTGGTAGAATGAACTACGGATGGACTAAGGACGTTATTTCCAAGGCCACTTTACAAATTGCTCAAGATCAAACTATGGTTCAATTGGAACAAGATATTCAAGGTGTCGACTATTCTCTTAACTTGAAGACTTTGAACCCATCTTACTTGGATGGTGACTTTTCTGGTGTCGTTGTTGGTTCCTTATTGCAATCTGTTTCCAAGAAATTGGCTATTGGTTTGGAAGCTGTTTACTCTAAACAAGCTCAATACGCACCTGATGCTGCTGTCTCTTACGTTGCTAGATATAATGCCAAAGACTGGATTGCTTCTGCTCAGCTACAAGCCCAAGGTGCTTTGATTGCTTCTTTCTGGAGAAAAGTCAGTGCTAACCTAGAAGCCGGTATTGAAACTCAAATCCAAGCTGGTTTAAAGCCAATTACTGACCCAATGTTGGGCCAAGTCATTGGTGCTGAACCAGTTGTTAACGGTGTTACCACCATTGGTGCTAAATATGAATTCAGACAATCCGTTGTCAGAGGTCAAATTGATAGTGAAGGTAAGGTTTCTGCTTTTGTTGAAAAGAGAGTTTTGCCAACCATTTCCATCTTGTTCTCTGGTGAAATCGATCACTTCAAGAACACTAGCAGAATTGGTCTCGGTTTGCAATTCGAATCTGCCGGTACTGAACAAATTGCCTTGATGCAACAAGGTCTCGTTGATGCGGAAGGTAACCCTGTTCCAGGTGCCCCAGCCATTGCTTAAATTTGATGACCTAAATCTTTTGTAATGAATCATCATACGAATTTCAATAATTAGAAAACATAAAATGTACCCATCTGAAAAGGAAAAGAAAAAGGAAAAGAAAAAGAAAAAAGCGGGAAAAATGAAAAAAAAAAAAAGATTATGAAAGCTACAAGAGATTGAAATGGTGGAGTCTTTTATTTATTATTATCATTATTTTTTTCTCGGGAACTGGTCCATTAATTATCCTCAAAAGTGGAGACGACTATATCATGAGTTATTGAAATATCTTTTTGTGTTATGAACTTTTTTTCTTTTTTCGTTTATGTCTCTGGCCTGCTCTTTTCTCTTCATTTTCACTTTCTTCTTTAATTTCTTGTTCTGTTAATCTTGTAACTCCTTTTTTTTTCATTTTTGAATCCATTTTTTCTTTTTTCTTTGTACTTCTTTATAGCTTTTACCTTCTATTTCGGCATTTCACCTTCATGATGAAATAAGAAATGAACTCAATTCACCATGTACATAACTAAAACGAAAATAAAAAGGAAAAAAAAACTCTTGAAATAATAAAAATAAAAAAAAAAAAATTGTACTGTGAAAAGATAACTTCTGATAGATACTTTGATTTTAATGAAGGAAGACTGATAACGTTTACTACTTAATAACTGCTGAGGAAAAATATGCGGGTTCTATATATTCGTATGACATAATCCATCAAAATTGTAAACTAATAAAATAAAAAGCCCTAAAACCCTATGATAACAAAACCAAGCAATCTAACGAGAAGAGAAGGAGAGGCAAGAAGCGACAATAAAAGTGTGTGGAAAAAAGATATATATACATAAATGAACAAATACGCCACGCTCACTCCGATAACAAACTCCATAACCCATCTTCATCTTGGAAATTATTGTCGAAAATAGTGATCAAGTAAAATTCATCATGTATGCTTTTGATCAACTTGTATGCAGTTTCGTACTTCTTGCTATCCGCATCTGTAGAATTCTTCCATTCAATCAAGTACAAATTAGCCCATTCTACTAAGATGCCAAACGCTTCATCCTTCCATGCTCTGAAAGATTGTTCTTCAATAATTGTAGATTGCACAATTTCCTTGTTAGGGAAGACCCCCCAAGTGACAGCGGTGGAACGATTGTCAACACTGATATTTGTCTCCACAGCAACACCCTTGGCAGCATTGCCGGCATAATAGCTGATTGTTTTGTTGCAATTGCTATCTGTATCATCAACAGATTCATTATAATGATCAATCTTTGGCTTCAAAACCCTTTTCCAATCATTCTCCGACACAAGCAATTCAATATATGATTTCTGGTACAAATAACCATTCTTAGCACCCCATCCAAAGATACTATCGGTTGACAGACAACCATTCAATGCTGGTTGTGATGATAATGAGAACCAATTTTTGGCATTAACTTGGAATAATTCTTCCTGGATTAAAAGGGTTTCCGCACTAATTTCCAAGTCTGAAAAAGGTAAGGCTGGGATCTTTTTAGATAAATAATCAATAAACAAGTTTCCGATATCCCCAAGGTTTTGTGGCACTCCCCAAAGCTCTTTGCTTAATGGGTTCTTGACACCAAATGGGATTTTCAAAGATGGACCATACCCGTCAATTTCACCATATGCAGGCGACCTGGAATCACCAAATCTACCATTTGGAAATTCATCCCAAGTGGCCTCTTTACCAAGAGTACCGATACCTGTAGATATAGCAAGAATATCCTTTTTCGATAAATTGAAATTAGATATCTCACTGGCTGCAGAAGAAGTACTTTTGTCCTTTTCGGATGCAACAATAGCATTGGTGTCATCGGCGGCAATATGTGTATATTCTTGTAATATTGGAGATTTTTTCACCAATTTGGCAATGGAACTTTCCAAGTTCAATGAGTAAAAATGGAAACCTTTTATAGGAGAGTTGGATCTCTTATACAAATCACTAATAATTTCATCCAACACTTCTACCCCGATTTCCTTGACTTTTCTATCATCACTTTGCACTGACACTGGGAATCTGTTTAAAACAGATTTAGGAATTGTGGCATGAGAGAGCTTTGTGACTCTTTTAAATAGCTGGTAGTTGTTAATTGGAATGAGTCCGGGGATCATTGGGATATTTGCCAATGACTCAGTTGACAAAATTTTTGACTCAAATTTCAAATATTGATCTACATCAAAAAATAATTGAGAAATAATGAAGTCGGCACCAGCTTTGACTTTCTCTTCCAAATAAGGGATATCCTTTTCAAAATCTTGGAAAGAGTTGTCTGATCCATCGACGTGACCATCAGGGTACGCAGCAACCCCGATGGAAAAGTAGTCATCGTGCTCGTGTCTAATATACCTAACCAAGTCTGCGGCATATTGGAAATCCTTATTCAAACTGCCGATGGAGTCATCTAGCACCTCAGCTCTCGGTGGATCACCTCTTAATGCTAAAATATTACGGATTCCTGATTCCTTAGCTTTCGCTAAAGCATTATCGATAATTTCTTTGTTGGTGTTGGTGCAGGTCAAATGCAAACAGACAGTGAGGTTCAATTCCTTCTGACAGTAAGCGGCTAATTCTAAAGACTTTTCTGCGGTACTACCTCCTGCACCCCAAGTGATGCTGACGAAAAGAGGTTTCAAAACAGATAAACGTTCTATTCTCTGAAGCAAGTTAGTCAAACCGCTTTCCGTCTTTGGTGGGAAAAATTCCAAAGACACAAACCCCTCATTAGAGTTCTTAAGCTGCTTAAGCTTTTCAGCGATCTTTGACATGGTTTGTTTTTTTATTATTAATATTTGCCTGAACAATTAATGAGCTTGCGATAACCAAGAAAAATGCTCTGTGTGGTAACAATCGACGACTGCCATCAATAAGTAATTATTGTCAACAAGAAAAAAAAAAAAAAAAAAAAAAACGTCTTTTCTGTCTTTTTTCAGTGCCCCATCGCATGATAGATGACTAACGGGGCCCACAGAGGTGCATGGGTGTCTGGCAATCATCGGCAACACCCGGACATTGCTGGGTAATGCTAACTACTTGCCATGTTTGACAGTTTCTGTAACGTCAGATGGTTTATCTGTAATATTAATAAATAAAGTACTTATTTACAATGTTTATTTCATTTCACAGTCAGCACCAATTCAAGATTTCTGACGCAATTTCTAATCACTTGGCTAAATATAGTATAGAGGAGCACAGGTCGGCCACAGCAATAATTATAGTACAAAGGCAAAACTCAGGTCAAATATCTCATGAAAAACTCGTAGAACGTAAAACTGAGGGAGCTTGCTGGCCCGCTTTTGATTATGGCGATCCCACAGCCTCTGTAAAGGCCAATCAACCCCTCAGTTTGTACAATCCTGGTCCAAATCTTCCAGATGTTTTTAGAATTATAGACATCTTTCTGGGCTGCTAGATGTCGATATTCATTTTGCTTGGTTAAGCTACTACTTCCTCTGACTTGTAATCTCCTTTTCACTGAATCCAAAGGGAAAACTGCAGCTTTCGAGAAGCATCCAGCAATAAACCCACTAATAGGAATGATCATAGAATCTTTATCATTGATTTTCTCGTACTCTTGTTGGAACTCTCGGAGTCGATTATACGTCCAAAATGATAACCCAGTAAGAATGAACACTTGATAGATTGTCGGCTTCAAACCTTGATAAAATCCGCGCGCCGATTCTTTAGTTCTGATGTCATCAATGACTTTTAAGATGTGATTGAACCCTTTATGCTTGTCTGCTGCTAACCTGGTTCTTAGAGTATCAAATGGGTAGCTGACTATGGTGGCAGTACAACCACTTAACCCCCCACATATGAGACTTTGGAAATCTTTGGGAATCCCGGAGTCCTTCATCGCAGTATTCTTAACGAATGAATAGGCACTAAACTGAGTACCACCATACAATAAGTACATGATTTCCGCGGGTAAGTTCCCTTTCCAGAAGGCGAGAGCCCCTTCTTTTCTCAAAATGGATTTAATGACATTGGTGGCCGTGGTACTTTGATTGTTCTTCATGTTTCTTTCCAACTGCAAGCGAATTTTTACCACATCAAGAGGAGATATCACAAATCTCACTGCCATTCCTGATAGCGACCCGGCTATCACGGGCTTATAGAAAAGTGAATCACTTGTCTCCAAACTGCTTTTGCCCATTCGAATTATTGTTGGAGCATCTTAGCCATTTGTTGATTTTCAGGGAAGAAAAGATGAGAAAAAACCGTGAGTACTGAAAAATTCCGTGCAAGTAATAGCGAATGGCTTGAACTTTTTTTTTTTTTTTTTTTTTAATATTGTTATAAGATGAGAAACTATTGAATATAACCATCGAACATGTCACTCAGTAATATTTATTCAAAATTATTACCTTTTAGAACCTTTCTGGACCTCGTTTTCTGGTGACATCTCCCATGATGACGGCGGTTCTAGTGGCAGTTTCACTCAACACGTTCACGTGCCAGAAAATGGGATTTCAGAAGAAAAAATGACTTCTCTTTGTTTTGAAAGCTCATCTTATCTGCTTCTCTAAGACTGTATCAACTGATTTATATATGTATATCGAGGGAAACGAGGTACAGACAATCTTTATTTCTTGTTAATTTTCATTAATCATCTTCTGACAATATGAGAACTTCTGGAACTCCTGAATCTATCAACTTTATGAACTTCAATCAAGATGCCACTTGTATATCGGCTGGTACTTCTAATGGCTACAAAATCTTCAATTGTGATCCATTTGGAAAATGCTATTCTCGTCATATAAGCTCTGTTGCATTGGTGGAAATGCTCTATGTGACCTCCTTGCTTGCGGTCGTGGGCATTGGCGAACACCCGAACATGTCACCTAGAAGATTGAAGATAATCAACACAAAGAGACAATCGACGATTTGCGAGTTGACCTTCCCTACCACTATCCTTAGCGTCAAGCTCAACAGAGAAAGAATGGTGGTAGTATTAGAACAACAGATATACATATACGATGTGTCATCAATGAAGCTATTACATACTATTGAAACGTTACCTAATCCACATGGTTTAGTGGCATTATCACCAATAATTGAACATAACTTCTTGGCATACCCCTCACCACCAGCAAACAAAAATGGACTAAGTTTGAATACTGTTAATGAAGTAGCAGCCACCGGACTTCAACCTGCCAACTCTTCCATAACCTCAAGAGTGGGTGATGTTATAATATTTGATGCAAAATCCTTGCAGCCTTTGTGTGTCATCGAGGCACATAAGGCAGGATTGGCAGCAATATCATTGAGTTCAGATGGTTTACTCTTGGCCTCTGCAAGTGTCAAAGGGACAATCATTAGGGTGTTCAGCGTGGAGACTGGTGAGAAATTATATCAATTCAGAAGAGGGACCTATGGTACAAAGATTTACAGTTTAAGTTTTAGTGACGATAATAATTTTTTGACTGCCAGTAGCGCGACAGAAACAGTGCATATTTTCAAATTGAGTGATGAATATCAAGTTAATAAGCTTAGTGTTTATAACGATGTGAAAAGCAGGTCAAGTAGTTTCAATTCCAAGCCACCAGGATTGCAAAACGATCAATATTCAAAATCAAAACTTAGCCAAAAAGTTAGATTCGATGAGAATAAATTGGATAGTGAAGATGATAACGATAATGAAGATGAAGGTGGGGATGTTGAGGTTGACGACGATGATGATGATGATGATGATGAATACGAATTGCGAAATGAAGATTCCAATGAACAGGATGATGAAGTTGGACCATTGCCTTCTACACCAAAGAAATATCCAGAGATTGATTTGGTTGATGAGTCTGGGAAAAAGATTGAACCGATTATCGACCAAACCCGAAGATCAGTCGGCAGATTAATCAGAAAATCTTCTCAGTCCTTGGGTAGAAGGGCAGCAGAAACCATGGGTATTTATTTACCAAAAAGGGTTACGTCTGTACTTAAACCAATCAGACATTTTGCGTCTTTGAAGATTCCTGCTTCAAATGGAACAAAATCCGTTGTAGCAATGAAACATTTGGATGGTAATATTTCTGACAGCTTCTTGGAGAAATTGAAATTGGCAGCCCCTAATTTGGCCCAAGACATTATTAATAATGGTATAGCTTCCAAAACAATGTTGGAGGTTATAGTTGTCACTGGGAATGGTTTATTTTTGAAATATGCTCTAGAAGGAGACAGAGGTGGTGATTGTATTTTATTGAGTCAGTATTCATTATTAGATGGGGCTGCTAAATGAGATGGTTTTAGACTTGATCAAAATTTGATGACAGGGGGATTTTGGATGGTTGCTAATACCCATGTGCAAAAGAATATTCGATGGCAACCCTTTTATAATATACATCTTTGCTCCTTTTTTTGTTTATTGCCAGTAAGTATTTTTTGTTGAACAGCAGTAAAATACAGATATATAAGATAATTTTATATGTGCGCATAGTGATTTGAAATATACCTTTATAGCGGGTCTTTCCAAAAGGGTAACTTTGACAAAGAAAAAAAAAAAAAATTTTTCTCTAATCTCATCATTAGAGTATAAATAAAAATACAAGAGAAAATAACGGTAATAATAGGGCTAAAAGATATATATCTGCTCTGGTTATAAATTCTTGAAGTCTAGCAGTTGCAGGATCCAGAAAAGAAAAAGAAAAGGAAATGTCATCTTCAAAACAAAGAATTCAGATTGTACGAAACCCAGTGCTAGCCACTAAAAAGACTCCAGAACAAAGATATTGGAGATCGTTTGGCAATACTCAATTGGTAAAAGAACATAATGCTATCACACATATTACATTCAATCCTGCCTCACCTCATGACATTGCTGTGACTTCTTCCACAAGAATCCAAGTTTTTTCATCAAAGACCAGACAAGTGGTGAAGACTTTTTCAAGATTTAAAGAAACTGCTTACAGTGGGGAGTATAGATATGATGGTAAGCTATTGGTTGCCGGTGACTCGAGTGGGTTAGTGCAAATATTCGATGCTCAAAACCCAAGAACGTTACTTGTTTCCATACAAGCGTCATCTTATCCAACACACGTTACCAAGTTCCATCCTCTGATTTCCACCAGTTTATTCACGGCGTCTGACGACAAGATTGGGAAGATTTACGATATTTCTCAGTCTCAGCAACCATTGCTAACATTAGGAGGGCACGAAGATTATATTAGATCCGGGACGTTCATTAAAGACCAACCTAATTTGATCGCCACTGGGTGTTATGATGGATACATACGAGTTTTCGACACAAGAATTGACAGTGCAGAGACTCCAATTTTGAAATTCAACCACGATGCCCCAGTAGAGGATATTTTGTCGATCAATGAAACCAGTATTGTCAGTGGTGGTTCCAATTATATCAAGGTTTGGGATTTGCCTAGTAATAAATTGACCAAGAAACTTTCAAATTTCTCTAAAACCGTGACTACTTTATCGATGTCTGGGGACAGAAGCTTGTTAGCTGGTTCTCTTGATGGCCATGTGAAAATATATGACACTTCTGAAGTGAACTGGCAAGTGAAGTTTGGATGGAAGTTTGGATCAGGGGTGTTGAGTTGTGGAGTGTCGCCTGATTCCAAACATTTTGTTGCCGGGTTAACTTCGGGGCTTTTGTCAATTCGTACCAAAAAAGTTGGTAAACCCCAGCCAAAGAAAGGGGAATTGAAGCAAGAAAAGTCTAGAGCCTATGCTAAGATGCTTCGTGGGTCCGAGTACCATGGTCAATATGAGCATCGGATCATCAACGATGGGGCAAACAATGCTAAGAAACCACAAAAGTACGAGAAATTGTTGAATAGCTTCCAATGGTCAGAGGCATTTGACATGGCGTTTCAATCGGGGATTGCCAAGGATATTACCCTTAGTATTTTGGAAGAATTGAAGAAGCTAGGGAAGATTCACATTGCGTTGAGCAAAAGAGAGGATAGATCATTGGAGCCATTTTTGTCTTGGAGTATCAAGCATTTGGACGATATCAAGTGTTTTGATATCGTTGTTGACTACTTGATGATTGTGATTGCTGAGTACGGCAGTCTTGTGGAGAAGAGTTTGTTGATGGAGGAGTTGTTTAGTGGGTTGAAGAGAAAAGTGGATGTGGAGATTGAGAAGAGTAAGGAGGCGAACAAGATTTCGGGGATGTTACAGTTGCTTACATCGTAGATTGGTATAGGATTGGAATACATGAGATCAATTTTCTTAGAGGTGTTTTTGTAAATAGAGATAGATGGAGTAGATAAACGGTGTGTAGTAATAGTTACCCGAATCACCACATGACATACACGTGTCGTAAAGCAGAAAAAAAGAAAAATTCCGCGGGATCAGCGATAAAAAAAAAAAGAAACAGCGGAAAAAAAAAAGATAAAAAAACATCACCCTACTGATCCCCCAAGGCAGAAAATCCCTTAATATTCCCATAATCGCTTTCTTATCGAGCACTTTTGCCTCATCAAAAACCGAAGAAAAAAAAAAAAAAAAAATTGACTCTTATGTCATCGGATATTCTAATTTTTTTTTTGCCATTCAGTTATATTTTATCTCACCAGCTCTTCATCTCAACCTTTTATTAAAAGAGTCACACGCCTGTTCATATTCATACATAGTTCCCCATCGATAACATGACAAACCAGGCTTCGGCTTCTCCTTCTCCAAGGCCTCTTTCTTCTTCGGCCTCTCCGGGCGCTGATACTGCTCCCCAACCTGTGACCGCGTATCCTAATGGTGGTAATCGCCATCTTCTTGTCAATAACATAGCCTTTACTCACTCCCCTTCATACCCATCTTCTGACCCTCGTGGTGATCTCACTCCCAAGAAAATTCACACACAGAAAGAAAGTCTGGACACCAAAAAACTTTCTCTTCAGGCATCTTCCATGAAACAATCTGTATCACCAAACACCAATAATAACCATAACCCCGCTCCAGCCAGCACCTCTGCTGCGTCCAACAATCACAGTAGCAACTCTCCAGTTTGCAGTAATTGTAAAACTTCAAATACCCCTCTTTGGAGAAGAGACGACGCTGGGCACGTTCTTTGTAACGCATGTGGTTTATTTTTAAAACTACATGGGAAACCCAGACCTATATCCCTAAAGACAGATGTCATCAAATCAAGAAACAGAATAAAAAATTTCAACGGTAACGGGACCTCTGCAGGAAAAGATAGTAAGGGCAAAAAGATAACTCCGAGAAACAAAAAAAATAAGTCGGAGACTAGGAAAGCTGATAATCCCTCCCCACTGTCCAATACTGACAGTGACAAGTCAGAGTTTTCGAAAAGCGAAAACTTGATTCCTTTACTACCTCGCATTAATGGAGTGTCCCCGAACCTTCAAGCTACCTCTCCATACCCTTCGCCTCATTTCACTTTTACCTCTGGTCATCCTTATCAACCAGGAAACTCTTCTGCTAATAGTGGCAATGGAAACTGGAATCAAGTTACTCACCCCCTCAACTACCCAAGCACAGCGCCAATGAAGTACCAAACAAATCTCCACACCATAACATCACCTTTGTTATTAGCAACTACCCCTGCTGCAGCTCGTCATCCCCCTAATCATGTCGCCACTAGTGTTGAACATAATGTCGCAGGTGTTTTGGAAAGTATGGCCAACAGCTCTGGTGGAGCTAACCATCACCAGCATCATCATCATCTCCATCTCCCGCCTCCGCTTTCTCACCATCATCATTCTCGTCATAACCATGCTTCCTACAAGGGAAAAAATGGCATCTCAAATTTTTCTTTGAGTACCCCGTCTGATAAGAACAGATTTTCCGGTAACCAATTACCAGGGCTCCGCCATCTTCTGCCAATCTCTTCAGTGTTGAAAGAAAATTCAAGAGCTCCTCATAATCCTTCATCTATTCTTGACTCCGCTGAACCTGTGGAAAAACTACGAGTACCTAATATTTCTAATGAGAGTCCAATATTAAATGAACTAAACCGTTTACCAAGTGGCGCCCATGGTCAGCATACAACCTTGCCTCCATTAAATTCTAAACCGGGAAGCGATGCTACTCTTTTCAAATCACCTGGTCTTTTGTTTTCTGAAGCCAATACTTCTGTTACTAGTTTATCGCTAAACAAGTCGGCGCTCACCTCTCCTACTCTTCCGCCATTAGGTCATTCAAACTTAACACCACCTCAGAATGCCAATACTCCTAATTTGGGCGCTTTGACCCCTGAAATATCGCAGATCAAAACTCGCAATTCAGAATTGGAGTTGGTGAATGAGTTATACAAAAAGCGTATCTTGGAATTGGAGGCAAACGAAGCTGGTGCCAAGGAGAAGGCTGATAACAACGAGAAACTGCAACAATTGGAGGCACTCAATTTCCGTTTAAAGTTTACATTAAATAGGGTTTTAAAACTTCTCATCAGTGAAAAATCAGACCCTAGTATTGCAACTTCCAAAGAATTTTGTGTCGAACGTGATGAAGTCATTGAAGAAATTGAGCGCGAAATTATTAATCCTAATGTTAAAATTGGAAGTACATCAATTCTCAATACGCATAGCGCTCACGCGTCTAAAGCGCCTGGCCCTAACGATTACAAACCTTCGAATGAGCCTGTTAGTACTACTACTACTGTGCAAGAGGAAACACAAACTCATTCTATTGAAAAAGCTGGCTCAACGATTATGGAGAAATCTCTCGAGACCACATCTTCACAGCCGAGCGAAAGTAACTCTAAAGTGAGGGTAGCAGATACTAAAGACACAAGTGATGAATCTTTGAGAGATGTCAAAAGATTAAAAGTAGAAAACTGAATGTATCTTTAGATAGAGCATTACATAATTATACGGAAAGAATAAATTGAAAAATTATCTTTTTCTGGGAAAGAGAAAATGATTTAAAACTTATTGGTATAATATGTGTTATTACTCGCTTTAATGATTATGGGTATTAATGTTGCACTTATTGTGTTTTATTGTAAAACAATATGTTCTCTTTCTAGTATTTATTTGCACTCTTTTCTCCAAATATGATATTCTTCCTTTCACTTTCAACATCCTGATAAATCTTTGTGGGGAAAGAAAGAAAGACTAGCTCGCTTCAGAACTGATTTCAAATTTTATTCTGTATATTTTGATCTTCATCCTTTCAATTGTCTAATTGCTCTATGGTTTTGTGCTCCTTGATTAATTATTTTTCTTTTCGTTTCTTTTTCTTGTTTCTGTGTATAAATATAATCCTTTAAAGTAGATATATCTGATGAAATCTCGTAAGATTTTTGGTTATACGTGGTTGTGACTGACTGATGAGGGAGAAAAAAACGAAAAAAAAATATTTGGGCCGAGCAGGGAATTGAACCCTGGACCTCTCGCATACTTGTGTATATAGTACTCGAGTTGAAACTCAAGATCGCTACCCAAAGCGAGAATCATACCACTAGACCACGCGGCCTCAAATAATAAGGGCCGAGCAGGGAATTGAACCCTGGACCTCTCGCATGCTTGTGATGTTGTTCATGAGTTGTGCTCAAGATCGCTACCCAAAGCGAGAATCATACCACTAGACCACGCGGCCACTTACGATATCACGAGGAATGCATTTCAATATGGCTGAGCTATTTTTATAAGGTTTTGAGCCCGGGAAGTTTACAATTCAATTCAATTCAATTCAATTCAGCCCGGGGAGTTATAGTATTTTACTAATCTATTAGAAAGACCGGCATGAAATTCCCGGCTTGCATGTTATTTAGAGCCTCTGTGACTCGTTAATATACAATTCATTCATTCATTCATTCATTCATCCCAGAGTTCTGATGGTCACCACTTTGAGAATACTCAGCATTGATATATAGTGCTAAAACCCTTCAACAAAGACCTCCATCTCAGTTCATGAAGCTCCCTAGTGATGGGTAATTCACTAGCGACTTCATATCATATTTCTATTTGGGTTGTTGTTTTTTGTTCTGGAGAGCATTTTAAGGACGAAAGTTTTTCGGAAATAGTTATCTTCAATCCTAAACTACGCAAATTACAAAGATATGAAATGAAGAAGTACAGTGAGTAATGTGAACTAAAAAAAGAAAAAAAGGTATTTCATAATTACTTTTCCATTAAAGACCTCTTTTAGTCATTTATGGATGGCTGGCTGCTGTTTATAATTTGTGGGAATGAAGTCAGATCTAACGCTGTGCTCATTTCTCCACTGTTTCATGTTTTGCATTGTTGCCTGTATTGTAGCTGCCGTGACTAAGAGGAAAAAGACACTTTTGTTCATTAGAGTAGTTATTAGATCTGAGTCTATGGTATTGCACTTCTACTGTGCTCTTCAAACAGATTCTTAACCACTTTTTGTTTCTGGCTCAAGCTTCGGCTTAGATTCCCTATAAATCGACATTATGAAAAATGACACATTCAAAAGCTAAGAGAGGAAAATTCATGGCATGAGTTTGCAATTTTTCATTAATAGTATAAAAACTACCCAATTCAAATTGTTTCTGTATGAAAATATATAATAATATTTGTGCTAATAAATATCGTTAATTTATATTTCAAAATACAAATTTCAGCCTGCCGGTAGTACAAAGACTCCTTAACATGCCCGATGGCTCATAACCATAAATACTTCCACTACTTTTGTAGCTTTTGACGATTAATAGTTACTACTATCAAGTATATAGAATTATCAAGACTCACAACCAAAATCCTGTTTATATATTATTAAACTTTTACACCCCTTCTTTATATTTATTATCATTATTACACTAATATCTATAAACCGACATTTAGTTTTATGTCCAATCCAATCATGAGTCCTGAAACTATTTCCACCTCCAACGAAGCTATCACCGAGTCAGCACCAATTGCCACTCACCACGAAGCCCACGAAAATCCTGTGTCAACGCCGCCAGCGACCATCCTGTAACCAAACCAGTTGCGTAACAAAGATAAATAACTAGGAATTTTGAGCCCCTGATATATTACTGCAAAGTAACAATAGTGCATTTGGATGCACTAATAATTAATAAAAGTAATAAAAGTAATAAAGGCAAAACATAAATAGAGATTATATCTTTTAAGGAAGCATAATGATAACATAATAATAATAAGTATTTATTGAATATAATATTGCTAATTCATATTCAGAAATAACGATGGTATTTTGATCAGATAGATCAAACAGGAGCCAACAAAAAAAAGAGCAGGAAATGTTCAGCTTATCGAAGATCTCAAATTGCAGTTTGATCTTTAAATAGCTCACAAGGTCTCGAAATCAATCCATTCCAGTTCATATCCAAATATCTTAGTGAAGCTATAGCTTTTTTCAATATCACTATAAGTAAGCTCTGTTGTGATATTACCTTGAATTCTTGCTGTTTCGTTAAAACCTTCACCATAGGAGTTGAACTCGCCAAACAAAACTGTCAGTTCCAATGGCAAATTGCTGGTCCATTTTACGTATCCTTGTGGGTTAATTGTATGATCCATGTAATTATTAATCAATACACTTCTGTGACCATTATTCCAATTTCTGCCAAGGTAACATTTCCCCTTCAGATTTTCATAAATTGTTTCATTGGAAGCAACGAAGCGGGAGTTACTGATGTAACAGCCAAAGTTATTACTAGAATATGTCCCAGTGCCTCCATTTTGGGTCATATTGCTGCCTTTCCAAGCGATTATCCCACCACCACAACTTCGCAATTGTAACTCAGACTTGTCAATCCAAAGAGTTCCAAACCCATACAAGAAATCTGTTTGCCCGGCAATTATGCTTTCAGTAATGAATGCTGATCCAAGCTTCCCGATAAAAATGGTGTCTTGATAAGAGTAGAACCCGCATCTGTAAAAAGAAGTGTACGAGTACGCGGTTGAAAGCACCAAACTTGGCCCGCTTGAATACGGAGCATAGTCGTTATCGAAATCAATATTATATACTCTGAAATTTTTATTCCCCCAAGGAGTGTTTGGGGCAACTGGATAACCAGCAGGACCAGCACCAGTAGCCGAAGCGTTATATGTTGGGGCAACGATCAAATTAGCAGTATAAACATTATCAGAATATGATGCATTGTGATTAGCAGCTTGTCGATAAATAGTGACTTGATTGCTAGCAGCTGACAAAGTATTGTTGGTAACCCCAAGTAATGTGATAGGGGTTTTCTGGGTCACATTCACCTGCTCATTATATATTCCAGGCAAAATCAAAATGGTATAATCTAAAGGACTATCATAAGCGATGGTATCAACAGCACTTTGAATTGTTTTGAAGTAAGACAGATTGGTTCCGCTGCCATCAACCACCAATGTGTTGTCTGGACATCCTTCTAAAACATTATCAGTCAGGTATTGGCATGCAGCATAACTGTAACTATTTTTTGCGACTGAATCTTGCTGGCCGTCGTCTCTCTTCACCTCTTTATGGATGGCATAAGAGGAAACAGCGCTCACGAAAAATAGCTTAGCGATAAGGTCAAAGGATTTCATTGTTGAAAGTTTGAGATTCACAATTTGTAGAAATAGGAAGACAGGAAAATCCAGGAGAATAAAAAAAGGGAGTTATTAGTGTTATTATAGTTATTATAGTTGTATGTACCCCAGCTTTTCTGCATTTTTTACAAAATGTCTGACCTAGTTAAGATAATGCTGGAAAAGAGGAGAAAATGGGTACGATAACGGAGAAAATGGACAGGATAGGCTACAAATATTGTGAAAAAGAAGAAGAAAGAGGAAAAAAAAAAAGAGAAATCAAATCTTCTCCACATTTTTTTTGAGGAATAGGGTCAAATAAACTTCACTATCAAATAAGCTTCAGGCACTCAAGTCAAATAAACTTTGTTGAGGAATATGAGAAAAAGAAAATAAAGAGTTCAAATATAAAAAATATGATCTAAGTAATGATAATTATTATAAAATAGCAATAATCATAATATTAATCATAGTAATGACGATTAAGTGAAAAAAGTGTTCCCGGTACTTGTCGTGGAAATAAAATGTTGAAATCGCAAAATTTACGCGCCAAAGTCAGTTGTGACATGCAGTTCAAAACCATCACATTGAGGACGCTTTTTTAATTTAGTTGATCTTTAGGTACGTCATGATCCATTTATTTTCCTTTAATCCTTATGCTGGTCTTTGTCATACATTATTTGCACTAGACATCGTCAACTCTAAATAGCCTATCACAGTAAACCGTACATTCAACAGCCCGGAACATTGGCAGCTGCACCTCTTGGCGGAACTTGACGTATTTTTGACATCTTGGTTCCCGCGCATGCAGGTTCCCCCAGATTTTGTGATCCCAGCATGCGTGAAAAATGATAACCCCACATAATATTCATATAAATTGAATAGCGAACCCTTGTACAACAATATTTTTTTTTTTTTTAAAGAATAGAATATCTTTAAAGTAATAATATCTGCAATCTCATCCAAGGTTATGATTTTCGAAGTTTTCCACTTGCTTGCCTGTGCTGCTGTTCTCACTGGAGCATTCTATGTGCCACTTAACAAGCGCAACGCCAACTCATTAAGCGAAATTCCAATCTACTACAAAAATGTTTGCAAAGTTGAGGCTAATAAAAAAGGTGGTGACGATGTTCCTGAAATTTTGAAGCAAGCTAACAAATGTAATGGTGGTGGTGCTCTTGTTTTCGATACCGAAGATTATCTTATCAAAAGTCCTCTCAACTTGACTGGTTTCGAGAACCTTGATATCTATATTGCCGGTAATATTTCCTTGTATGATGATCCGGATTACTGGCAAGATAAGTTGCTTTTGATTGAGTACCAAAACTCATCCACTGCAATTACCATTGGCGGTACAAATGTCAACTTGTATGGTCTACCAGGTCACGTCATTGATGGTAAGGGTCAAAACTGGTGGAATAAATTTAACAATAAAAAAAATCAGAACTTTTATAGACCTATCTTATTGGTGTTTGATGGTTTGGTTAATGGGGTAGTTGACGGATTAAATCTTTTAAACTCTCCAAACTGGTTTAACCTTATTGCTAATTCATCTGGGGTTGCTTATACCAATACAAACATCGACGTTTACACTGTCAACGATAATGATTTTTACAACACTGATGGTTGGGACTCCTACAGAACCTCTAACCTTATTGTGGAAAACGCCACCATTAATAATGGTGATGATTGTTTTTCATTCAAGCCAAACTCCACTAATATTATCCTTAATAACCTTTATTGTAATGGTTCTCATGGGATTTCTGTTGGTTCTATTGGTCAATATTATGGTGTGACCGATATTGTTGAAAATGTTATTGTCAATAATGTCACAATGAGTAATGCTGATTACGGTGCCAGACTCAAGACATGGGCGGGTAGACCAGCTAATAGTAGCAAAACAGATGCTGGCGGTGGTTTGGGATATGTCAGAAATGTCTATTTCTCTGACTTCACAGTGGAAAATGTCGGTCAATCCATCTATGTCACCCAATGTTATAGTGCCGGCAGTCTCGCTACATGTTATGAATATCCTTCTTCACTTGTAATGAGCAATGTGTTTTTCACCAACTTTAATGGTACCACTTCAGGAAAATATGACGAGGCTGGTACAATGGTTTGCTCCAGTCCTTCTGTCTGCTACGATTTCTTCACTAAGCATATCGACGTTGTCAATAAAAAGAACGCAAGTGACACCTTTTTTATTTGTTCCAACTTGGGAGACTCTGAATTATCTGTGAGTTGTGTCAACTCTACTTCACAAGGAGGGTTGAATAATGGCTTGTGATTTTCAGATATTTTGATCATATAAATTGGTGCCCAGATTGCGTTCTGTTTTAGATTTCTACAGAAAAATTTTGCTCTTTTGTATTCTTGTTTTTGAGTTTTTTCATTATTTAGATTCAGTATACTTATTGAATATTATTTCTTTATTATTTTCAACCTTTCGTAGTAGTAACAAGATAATTTTTTTTTGTGTTGTTTCAACAGTACGCGTGTCGGGGCGTGTCACTCCCGTGGTACTATCACCTCCCTACCATTGACGAACTGTCAAATACCAGCCATATATTTCATTGGTGAGTGACGCATTGTAATATGGATAGTAAAACGTGGGCTCATACTAAATTGTATGGAGATGTTACGAATGTATTGTATTTAGATACCGGTGCTCAGTTTTCAGTTTCCAGTTTTGGTGGAGGGAAGGATGTACTAATTAAATATCCAGTAATCCTACAGCCAGCAGTACATGGTAGAAGTAGAGACCGGGAACTCGGATGCATGCTAGGACAGACAAAAAGGGACATCTCATAATTTCCCAATCCGGGGACAAAAAATTGTAGCTAGCAATTAATGTCATTTTTTGGGGTCTGTCGGCTATTTTTTTTTGCATTCCGCCATGGGTCACAAGCTCCGAAGGTGCAGGAAACAAAAACAAAAAAAAAACAAAAAAAAAAAAAAGAAAACGTCATATTTATTCATATTTCTGAGTTAGTGATAAAAAAAAACTCTGAGAAAGAACTTTTACCGTTATTCATGTAATTATATTCAGCCTATATTATTGGCTCAAGATCCATTGACGCATCTTTTGAAATTTTCAATTGAAGGTAAATCACTGAAATCAGGCAAGACCGTTGGTAGATTATCAGCACTTAGCTCTGGATACCACTCACTAATCACTTTGATTATTTGGTCATGTAAAATTTTATATCCCGAACCGTTAAAATGTAACCCATCTATTAAGAGATCTTTACTCCAATCACCCTCGTATTTTTGAAAAATTTCATACAAGTTGATTACTGGCAATTGATATTGTTCCCCTAACTCCAACAAAGTATTCACATATTTACTGGTATGACTGATGTCTTTATGCTTATCCAACTTCAGTTTTTCAGGGAATAATCTATCTAAAATATTTTGGTCATGAAATGTAGGAGCAATCAAGATAAGCTTGACATTATGAACTGCTGACAACTTAATTATGGCTTCTATGTTCGACCTGAATCTTTCTAAGGGCACTGAAAGCACTGCATCTTTGCCGTAGGTTGAATCATTGGTTCCATAAAATACTGTCGCCAACTTGATATCTGGCTCATTTTTCACCACTTTAGAGAATATAATGGCTCCTTGATCGGAGGTGTAACCACTATACCCTCTGTTGACAATATCCAATTTTCTAACGTAATGATTTCCGAAAGCTGCCATGAGACTGAAAGTCCGGGTCAGATCTGGAAGAGATTGCCACGAGAACTCGGTGATTGAGTCGCCAAACAATATAAACTTGCCTGGTGCAAGATTGTAGGAGGTCATTTTTCGGAGGGGAAAAGAGGAGAATTGTATGAGGATAACGAATGACAAATAAGATTGGCAAGAATTGGGCTGAGATTTAAACAGTTACCATTCTAATTACGTCCATGTTGGCAGCAGAAATTGAGAGCCGACTATTACCCAATGCGGTAACCAGCACACGTCAAGTGGTGACCTGCCCGGCCAATCTGCTGGAATTTTAGTTCAAACACAATTGACATCAAAAACCAGCGCTAAGGTTTCTTGGATAGTGGGGTACATATACTTTTGTGGGGTATGATGCTGCCAGAGATATAGCCTACATTTCCAAAATGATATATATAGTTCGTATGTCATCCTGTTTTGCTTGACGGTTTTCATCTGGCATCTGTTGTCTATTGTTATCTCCAAAAACAATAATAGTAATAAATAAATCATAATATGAAAGCTCCTTCTAAACAAATAGTTACTTTGTGGTACTATGTTGTCGTCGCTGCATGTTGTATGATCTTTTATGGTTACGATGCTAGTGTCTTCTCGGCAGTGGAAACCAACAAAAATTGGGTTGATCATAACGAAAATCCAAGTGATAATGCTTTGGGAGGGATCAATACCGCTTATACTGTCGGTGCCATCATTTCTGGGTGGTTCTTCTCCGGTTTGGCTGCCGATCGCTTTGGTCGTAAATTCCCTATCTACATCGGTTGTTTTTTAGTTATTATTGCCACTATCATGCAAGTTTGTCAACCAAGAGGTATTGGCGTGTTTCTTGGCGGTAGATTGATTATTGGTGTGGCCCAAGGTTTTGCCCTTCCTTCTGCTGCCATTTACATTTCTGAAATTTCCGTCACCTCAATGAGAGGTCAAACGGTTTCCATCTTCCAAGTCTTCTATTCTGTGGGATCTTTTATTTGTTTCTGGATTAACTATGCTTGTACTAAGCATTCTGAAAAGCTTGGTAATTGGGATTGGAAAATAGTGGTAATCTTCCAACTTCTTGCTCCTCTCTATATTTTGTTTAACTTACCATTCATGCCAGAAACTCCTCGTTGGTTGGTTTCTAAAAATAAATTTGAAGAGGCTAGAGCTGCATTGGTGAGAATTAGACCTCCTAATGAAGACGAAATTGATATGGAATTTCACGACATCAGAGCCGCTATTGAGTTCGAGCATGCTACCTCCAAACCAACTATTTGGAACCAATACAAGAGTTTCTGGGTCGATAAGTCTTTGCTTAGAAGAATCCTCATCTCTTTCGTGATCAATGGTGGCCAACAATTAACTGGTCAAGGTTCTTTGAATTCTTATTCTTCCAAAATTTATGCCCAGGTTTTTAAAAGTCAAAATACCATCCAGCTCATTAATGCTTTGAACGCAACTTTTGGTATTCTTTTCACCTTGAACGCTCTTTGGATTGTCGAAAGATTTGGTAGACGTCCTTTGCTTCTTGTTTCCGCCATTGGTATGGGCATTTCAATGTTAATTGTTTCCTTGGTTGAGACTCAGGTTCCACCGGGTCCAGATGGAAAACCAACTCACGCTATCGGTATCGTAACCGTCTTCTTGTTTTTCTTGTATGAATTATTCTATAAGCCAGGATGGGGTGGTACTGTTTGGATTTACACTTCAGAAATTTTCCCTATGGAAGTTAGAGGTATTGCCGTTGGTATGTCCTCGCAATTCCAGAATGTTGCAAATGCTATTGGTAAGTGATCCTCTTTTTATTTTTATTTTCCTTTTAGAAAGAACTTTTTTTACTAACATCAAAACCAGTCAATCAATTTTTCCCAACCTTTTTGGCCAAAAAGGGTTTCTATGCAATGTTTTTATTCTTCGCTATCAACACCTGTCTTGCCGTTTTTACCTGGTTTTTCATCCCAGAAACAAAGGGTAAGTCTTTGGAAGAAATCGATACCTTATTTGGTGGTGTCAACCATATCCAAAAAGGTGATCAATTACACAATGGCTCTTTGCAAAAGGAAATGGATAAGGCTTCACTTGAATTGATTGAAAAAGTTTCCACTAGAGAATCTTTAAAGAAGCCAGTTAGCCCAGAAGAAGTTTAAAGGGTCCTTTCATTCTGGAAATATTATATTCTACCAATTTCCAATGAAAATCTTATGAATCATGGATTATATTTAAGTTTTAGTTAGTTTTCAATTTTAGTTATTTTTTTTTTGCATAAATGCTTTATCTTTTTTACCGATAATCTTTTTAAATTTCAAATTTGCAGTGATCTAAGCTTAATAAGTTTTCATGTGTATGAGAACCAAGTAAGAAACCGTTCCAACATTATATCATAATTATCACTATTCAAAGCATAATTGAATGATTATATTTTTTTGCTAGATTCTCAGCTTGTATTAATGAGTATCATGTTGAGATGTTTGCTAACATAAAAAAAATCACACTTCCTCCATTAAATGCGATACTATAATGTAATGATCTAGACACTTTTTTACTTTTCTTTCTCTTTCTTTCTTTTTATTGTTCTTATCTTTTCTTCTCTCTTCTTTATTTAACTCCATTCCTTATCTCGGACAACCTCCTTATCTCCGACTACCTTTTTATTTCCCTTTGAGTTCCTTTTTAGGTAAGTCTTACTTTCTTTTCTCACCTATAAAAAGCTTACTTCATCTATTCATTTTAGTTTTTATTCTTCTTTAATATACTTTAACTACTATGTTACCCAACCAAACCATTACATATAATATAATATAGTGTAAATATTAAATCGCAAGGTAGGGTGACACATAGGATCCCCTGCAGCGTTGCAACATGGCATGTGCAGTTGTGCTGATAATTGTGGGGATGCCAAAATTGCTGATAGTGGATAAAATAATTGATAATTCTCTCATAACATATTTGAACATATGAATTATCAATTTTAATCACAAATTGAATTTTTTAACGAATGCTTAATGATAAATGCCTTGATCCCAATACTACAGCCCGAGTAGATAAGGAACATTGCGTCCGTTTATTTACGGAGGCCCCAGAAACAAAAGAAGACATTCCTTTTATGGATCTTGAAGCTATTGACCTATCTAGATTTGTGTATGGCTCTGAAGGTCTAGCAGAACGTCAGAATCTCGCAAAACAGCTCGAAGGTGCTTTGACTGCGCATGGGTTTTTCAAATTGGTTGGTCATGGAGTTGCAAAAGAGGAACTTGACAGGATGAAATCAATCGGTCAAGGAATTTTCGAATTGGATGAATCCATCAAAAAAAAGTTTCTTGCTGGTGAGCATAATATCCCTGAGGAAAAGGATAAGGAATTAGGAATAATTAGAGGAAGTGGATTCAAACCAAAAGGATACTGGGAATACTTGAATGGTAAGCATGACGTTGTAGAATTTTTCAACGTTCGTCACTTTAACCATGATGATTATTTTTTCAACAAGATAAAGTATCCTGAATTTGTGAAGTATCATCTCAATGAAATATCTTCCTATTTTAAATATCTACATTTCCAAGTATTGCGCAAACTTTTGAATCTTATTGATATCATTTTAGAAATTCCCGAGGGTTATCTTTGGGAAAATCATTTCAAAGTTTATGAAAATGACTTGATAAGATCTGGTGGTGGAGTTGGAAGATTTTTAATGTATCACGAGCTGGATAAAGACTACAAAGAAAAAACCCACGGAACTTGGATGAGAGGCCATAGTGACGCCACTGCTTTAACATTTATCATTTCTCAACCAATCGCTTCCTTGCAAATCAGAGACCATAACACAGGCGAATGGAAATATGTGTCCCATACAAATGATTCGCTTGTAGTGAACATTGGCGATGCTTTTAAATTTTTAAGTGGATCATATTTCAAATCTTCACTTCATCGTGTTGTAACCCCTCCTGATGATCAAGCAAAGTATAAAAGGAATACTGTTATTTATTTTTGCAATCCATCGTTAACCACTGTCCTTGATCCTTGGGCCATTGATTCACCAAAATTAAAAAGATTGGGGTATGTCGAAGCTTTTGAGGGTGAGAGATTAACATTTGGTCAATGGGATGAAGCAAAGGGGTCATTTTTCAATAAAAAACATATAAGAACTTCAAAAGAAGTTAATATTTTGGGAAGATCAACTTTAATGAGCTATATTGAGGAGGTCCCTAAAGAAATGGTAAACACTTGAAATTTACTACAGCAATACTTCAAATAAATATGTGAAATATATTTTATCTTCATCGTAAAAAGCTCTAAACATCTAGAGGACCTGGTGTAAAAGTGGACAATTTAAATGGTGCTTTGCTTTGTAATTCTTCTAGCTCATACACCATTGAGCCTGTTGCCAGAATCATATCATAATATTTTTTCTTGATGAGTTTGAAATTGGCTCTAACAGTACTATAATATTGACTCAAATATTCAATTCCTTCAGCGCTGGGGTTACTTGATTCCTTCACTTCTCTAACCAACATATTGTAGTAACTAACATCTTCTGGATGCAATAAAAAATGGAAATTTGGGGCATCATGTCCCAATTTTCCTTCACGATCTTTTTCCCACTTATTCATCAAATTGATACTAGGAAGATCAATCTCCCCTAAGAAAACTCTTGACAACCAAGCGCCTTGGACTTCCGCCAATGCCATTGGGCCCCCATATTTTGGCACTCCTGCAACTGCCAAACCGGGATATTCATAGGATAAAATATGTCTCCACAATCCGTGAATCCTATTCCCAGACTTGAGCAATGGTTTATTTGAGCTATTAATATCTTCAAGGAAAGGAAATGTTCTCAAAAACCCAGTAGCAAATATGATTTTGTTAATTCCCGTAATTCTCTTGCCATCTTTGAACTCCACACTTTGTTCTGAAGCATTGAATTGAGAAATCTCTGATACAGCAGTTAATCCTGGAATGGTAATGGAGCTGTCATTGTTTTTGCTTCTTATGGAATTATAAATATCAATTTCAGTGTTCCATTTGCTTTTAAGATGCACGATAATATCAACCGCACTGGCGGAATTCCCAATTATCAAGATTTTGTCTTTAGCAGAATAATCCTCAGGTGATTTGAATGATTTCGAGTGGATTATTGAACCGGGATATTTTTGGTGCCATGATTTCAACCCTTTGAAATCCGGAATTCTTGGGATATCATAATGCCCAGTAGCAATAACCACTGCATCGGCAATAAACACTCGGTCTTCAAAACCCAGCTCAAAAGACTGTTTGAGTGATCCTTCAGTTTCAGTAGACACTGGACGAACCACTACCTCCCATTTCAAATCATCTAGCTGCTTGACGCTCACAACGCTTGTATTGTATTCGACATAATCCTCAATGGCTTCACTGTAGGTCTGGAAATATTTTAAAACTTCGCTTCTGGTTGGGAAAAGTCTTCTTTTTTCCGTCCATTTAAAAGTGTTGTATTGCATCAATTCATACGGAATATTAGTATCCAAATCTTTATGAGCGGCAGTGGGCCATAAATATTTTCCCGTATTACTATTCTTTGGGTTGATGGCGTGTGTAGATGGGCCCAAGGTTAGCGGCTCATCAACATCATCATAATTCCATAATCCTCCCGCCACAGATCTTCTTTCAAAGACTCGGATACTTCTATACTTGGAACGATCTTGTAACAAAGATTTGGTAAAGCCTGCTCCACAAGGACCAGCTCCAATGATAATAACATCTTTGATTTCGTTGGGAAAAAAAGCGGACCTTGTCATGTTGGGTAAGTTGCTGACAATCTGTGCCTTGCAATTTTTTACAGCTACCAAACAAAAAATCAAGATGATAAATACGCTAGGGTTTATATTATATATGTTGGGCGCTCCGGATGAAATATTTTTGATTCACCGATCATTTTGGTGTGGCGGTTGTGGCGTCTGTGGAAAAGGGGGGTAAAAAAAGAAAGAAAGAAAAGTGGAGGTTGTGACGATTTTCATTACTTACAACTGTCTTTTTTCAAACACTTTAATTAACAGAAATTTAACATATTATTGGGTAAAACATTACAATAACCATTTTCTTCTATTTTTTTTAAAAGAAAGAAAAAATAACTCTAAGTAGCAACAGCAGAAGAATCTTCTTCTTCTTCAAATTCTTTCAACTGAGTCCTTTCAATCTTCTGATCTCTATTCGTAAGATGAGTAGCAATAACAGTCATGATCACCCCAAAAGACGACAACACAGCCGTGTAAGTGAAACCAATAAAATATTCTGGCTGATATTTGGTGTTAAATACTAGATTTGGTACCCATGCGTTAGTGACATATGCCAAAGTGTTGGTGCACACAACCACAAAATTACGCTTCATATCATCATGTCTTAATAGTTTGTTGACCCAGGCAAAAATTTGTGGTTGCCCCCAGGCAGTTGGAACACCGATCAAAAAGTAGCAGAACCAGTGTAAACCAAGAGGAATGTCCCAATGGGCCAACAAAGCGCACCCAATAATCGTACAGACAAAGAATGCCTGAGTGAAAAAGACATTGAGCCTATTCTTAGTGAAATCGGTGATATAAGCCATGAAGATAGTAACAGCAATAGAAACCCCACTCAAAATCGTTGGGTAGATATTGTATTTGGACGACGGCAATCCCAAATCATACTTCATCCAGGTAGTGAAAGTTGGCTGACCAATATCTTGACAGCTATTATTATAGGCCAAGAAAATCAACGGGAAAACCCAAATGTGCCAAGTGTTGAAAAAAGACTTGATTTTTTTCCAAGTATACTTGTGTCTAATATTTAATTCCGCTCCAATCCTTCTTCTTCTTTCTTTAACCACTAGCTTATCTCTTTCAGTGAAATAAAATGCTTTTGTGGTACTTGGGGTATTTGGATTAACCAACATGGTATAAAAGCCAACAGGAAATGAAATGATAGAAATGACGATGAACAACCATTGAAATGCTGCATATCTTGTACTAGTTTTACCAACTCCTTTCAAAACTGCCTCTTGTAGCGGGCCAGCGACCATGGAAGCAGCAACTCCCGCACATGCAAACAATGATTCCCGCTTATTCAACTCTTCGTGAGAATACCACGAGCCAATAAGATATTCAATTGCTGGGAAAAAACCAGACTCAGTTAATCCAATAAGAAATTGAAGGGCATACATTGGTTTCAATGTCTTGCAAGTGACCAACAACAATGTCAAAGTTGCCCAAATAAGTTCCAATCCTCCTAAATAGTATCTTGGAGAAACCTTATGTAAAATAAGGTTACTTGGGATTTGACCAATGATGTATCCAACAGTCCATAAACTGATAAGCGTGTTGTAGGAGTTTGCGTTCTCCCCCGAATTCATATGGTAATACTCAGACATTCTATAATATGAGTTAGTTTCAAGTATTACATTTTACACAAAGGACTATGCCAAGAGCCATTAAACTTACCCATTAACATAAGCGGTCGCCATTGAGCGCTGGCTCATTTGTTTAATAAAATAACCAAGCATAGCTGATGATAATAGAAAGAAATCAGTTTTGAGAACAGCAATTTGTTCATATGGATGTTTATCAACAGCATCCCAAAAAAATATGGCAACTTTGTATTTCCAATTCTTTCTAAGAGCAATCTGTTCTGGGGTAAGATTCAAGTCAAGATTAATATAAGGCTTTGAATCCGTGGTAGCGAAGCTGTGAACTTCAGAAACATGAACATGGGTCACAACCTTGTTTGATACATCATCTGATTCTGTCAGAAGCCCCTTAGAATTGATGATATCCGAATTATAGTCAGACATTATTGTGATTGATTGATATTTGTGATGTCTAGAAAATTATTGTTTCATTATCCTATCAAAGGTACAAGATGGCGCATCTATTTGTAGTTATTCCAGAAGGGATTGCGAATTAAATCTTAATACAAAAACCGTGACAATGAGAAATATGGATATTCAGGAGGTGGCAACCTCCACATCGGAAATCCTTATTTTTGATTCCACCACAATATTTCATCATCATAAACATCATATCAGCCACACCGCTGGTATAAACATTTCACCATAACACATACCAACATCATTGTCCAAAATTGGATTATGAGCATATTTCCTTCTTAATTCCATTGTAATTTCAGGGAAAGATTGAAGATAGAAGTGCTGCAGCTTGGAAATTTCAACAATTAGAAACTTTTAGTTTTAATAACTCGACACTTCAGTTAGCAATTCAAATCAACGGCTTATCACGTGCGGGCATATCAAGAACATACACACTTCAGAAATTGTGAATGATCTAATCCATACAATTAATACACACAAAAGGTATATAAAAGAGGTCGACTCTTTCAATATTTCCTTTAAATGATGATAATGAGATCACCAGCTAATTTCTTATTCAATATTTCTCTTTATTTTATTTCGATATATCCGCTTTTCTCAAATTATGTCTTTCACTCAAGTTGAACAAATATCCAAGACAATTGATAAAATCAGTCTTGCTAATGATAATGGTGGAACAGAAAATAAAGTCCTCGTCGATCTTAAAAACATCAATGGCTACAACCCTGGTTTCCAAGACTCATACCCACGTGAAAGTGTTCCCGAACACACCAGGAATAGATTGGAAAAGTACGGTATTGACCTATCAAGAGGCTATCCAGAGAGACCAGAAAACATCCCATACTATTTAGACGAAGGCTATGCAGTTAGAAACAGGCCTAATCCAAATTATGTCGAAAGAGGTAAGAATGCAGACCCTGAAAAGAAAGCATTGTTTTCAGCAGCCAAGGAAGTTAAGAATTTATCTACTTTCATCGGTACTGAATTAGTGGGTGTTCAATTGAATGATTTGAATGAAAAACAATTAGATGAATTGGCATTATTAATCGCTGAGCGCGTGGTAGTTGTCTTCAGGAATCAAGATTTATCGCCACAAAAACATAGAGACATTGGACAATATTACGGTGAGGTTGAAGTTCACCCACTAGTTACTCATGTTCCTGGTCTTCCTGGCATCACCACCGTCTGGGCCGAGTTTAACCGTGGAGGTCCATTGCTCAAATACAAGAAAGGTTTGCATCAAGGATGGCATACCGATTTGGTTCACGAGTTTTCCCCAGCAGGAATTACTCATTTGCACTTAGATTCTATCCCGGTAGTCGGAGGAGACACTTCTTTTGCTTCTGGATATGCTGCCTTTGATAAACTTTCTAAACCATTACAACAATTTTTGGAAGGAAAATTTGCCCTCAATAAGTCAGCACACAATTATTACAATCGTGACAATATCTTGGGCGGTGTTGAGCCTATTGTTAGAAAGCACCCGCTAGTCATTACCCATCCAGCAACAGGTTGGAAAAGTTTGTTTGTTAACAGAGCACATACTATTGGTATTGTTGGTTTAGAAGAGTCCGAATCTAAGGTGATTCTAGAGTACTTGTTTGATATTTATGAGAAAAGTTTAGATAACCAAGTGCGAATCAGTTGGCAACCAACTACACTGGGATTAGGAACTTCGGTGATTTGGGACAATAGAATCAGTCAGCATATTGCTATTCCAGACTATAATGACGAAATCACTGGTAAAATCAGACATGCCAACAGAGTTACTAGCTTGGGTAATGTTCCAGAATTTGACACAAATTCAAAGAGTCAACGAGAAGCGTTGGGTCTATCAATTTAATCTTCATAATGTGTTTGGAGATTCATTCATCTGTCTGAATTTGTTTGGCGCTGGTTTCAAAGTATTATTTTTTTTTAAATAGATCAGATTAATGTTGATGGATTTGTCCAAACAATCAATTTATTATCCATTATTATTGATATCGAATTAATACGTCATTTTGCTAGCAGCAAATGTAAGAGCAAACTTTAGGGTGCATGATTTTTGCGTTTTGGGAGGTGTGTAGGATTTTCAACCTCGATATACTAATTTAGTTGTGTATTCCTTGAGGTTGTCAACAAATCTTATTATAGCACTTACCCGACTCACAACTATAAAGGATTATGTATACCATTTACCCCGGGTCACAAAGCACTATATTCATGGTTTGTTGACGAAGGTAGTTATTTGAAGAAGAACGGATCTTGTTTATATATTTATTAGTTAGATTAAGGAATCATATTTAATATTTTTCTATTGCTGCAGACATTGATTACTGTATCCGCTTTTGCACTTTTCATAAGCATTCGTACTCACTATATCTTTCAGGCACATCAGACAGAACAATAGAAAAGCTCAGAGAAGAGGTCCTTGGTAAGTTCCCCTTAACATGATAAACAAATAAACAAGTAAATTTCTGCTTAAAATAAAGTGTCAAGCGATGTGATCTTTCTTGATCCTAGAAAATAGTTTTTCCTAAAGGGAAGATGAAGGAACAAAATGGAGAAAACAAGCCAAATGAGTCTGAAGATCCTAATAATGAAGATGCAAGCTGCTCTTAGGATGAACTTGAAGTATCAGCAGACTGATAAATAGACACACCACTAGACAATTCAGTAGGAACGATCCTCAGACAACATTCACCATTCACAACTGGGGGTCATCTTATTGCCTTGGCTATTGTTTTGCTTGAACATATTTGAAGTTAGAAACTATTTTTTATCGTGGAAAAGGTAACAAATCTTCTATTTAACTTTTTGTTTGTTAGCCAACGAGATACAATTATAAATAATATCAGTTTCAAGCTTTTCTTTTCATCCGTTTCTCGGAAGAGTGGCGTTAAAGCTTCTATTCCCAAGGCGAGCACCTAGCTTGTTAAACATCACAAGATCCTGAATGAAAGATGTAGAATATAAATTTCAAGATCACCATACCCTGATTTTGAAGATTATTGATGATAAATCTAAAGAAAACTTTCATAAAAATTGAATATGATTTTGGCTACCAACATCCTTGCTTGAATTATAAGTCTTGCGTAGTATTATTTCTAAAAAAAGGAATTGAAATGCAGTTGAACCCTGTGTGGAAATTTTATTAAATTCTATATTTTTTTTATCACGTAATGATTACAAACGTCCGTTAATGTTTTTCATTAATCGAGCTCTCCCCACTAAAGGATCGAGAATACACAGTAATGATACCCAATTACAGAGTGGGGGAAACCCAACGTTGAGATTAACTTGAGGGGTACCAAAAGAGAACAATTAAAAATCGGCCTCAAAATAAAAACTGGGATATAAAATGTAGAGAAGGAAATTAGATGCATAATCGCTAATATTCTGGAAAAGACCGGGTTTACTGCAGCAGTACAGCAGTAAGTCCGCGAGGCAAATATATACTAGCGTAGGACAGACGAGGGAATACCAGTAATAAAGTTTTACGAGATTCTAGAACGTTTGTGTACAAAATAGATTTATTTTGTAATTTTCCCATTCAATAATTGTTAAAAATAGCACCAAAACTTTCAATATTTGCTTCGGTTATTTCTGTTTATATGATCAGAAAATCGCTCGGCTCATTTGAATATTTTAAGTCTTCGAAGGAAAGTTTCTCTTTAAGTGGGTAACACTACAACATTTTTGTTGCACCACTTTATTTACCACACCACTATTCGTTACCTTTGTAAGTAAATATAAAGCATATTGAAGTATATACTACCCTTATTGCATGAATGAAAATTAAGATTGCTGATATTTTACGTTGGTAAGTAAAATTAATTAACCGGCTGTCAAAGCCTCAGAAACCGAGAAAGAAATACGAGGCATGATCATACTTCCGAAAACACACGACTTAGCTTGTCAGTTAAAATACTCAGAGAGATATGAAGGTCTTGAGGGGTTTTAGTAAGCCTTATGTGAAGCCAGCATTATACACCTTCCTGCATCAATTAATTTGTTGGGAAATTTTTTGAGTGGAGAAAAATGAAGCATCATGATATCAAAGAAAACTCAAAACCTCTGCTTTGCTATTGAGTATTATTTTTTTCACCCACCGCTTGTAAGTTGCAATATTCGTCACACAAAAGTACAATATTAATTTTTTTTTTTTTCTTTTTTTTTCTTTTACTGTTTTTTGTTTCTTCCAATATTGTTTAGTTTATGTGCTTCTTTCTGTTTGATTTTGGAGAAACATAGAACGAAGCAGATCGTTTCTATTATTAGTTTTGATTGCTAAACATCTTTTTTTTTGTGACACGCTTTTGTATTAATCGTGTGACTGACACTTATGTGTAACATTTTATGCCTTCTTCGCTCCTTATCTAACAATCAATATATTTTTGGTGTGTACAACTCCACATCGGCTTACCCCAGCTTGATCGTGAACGGTCATAGGCCCTAATTCAATTCCTGCATGTTGACGCTCTAATATCGGATTTAAGTACATTGAGGGTAATTCATGTAGCCGCTGATGAAATTAGCAGATATGATATTGAGGAGTGAGTGGAGGTCTCGGTCCGAAAGAATTAAAATTTATGAGAACAACAGGGGCAAATGAACTTTAATTTAAAGCTCTTAAATATTTACGAGGGATAGCATTGCTCTTGCCCGATGATGCGTGTGGTGTGCTGATACTTTGGTGTCACGACTTGATGAACTCTTGATTTTTTTTTTTTTTTTTTTTTTTTTTTGAAAGAGGAAATTAATAGGCATATTTGGTAGGCAGAGCTTCCGGTTGGGGCTTTTCCACTTCAGTGCTTCTATTTTGATTTTTGTTAGAATTATAAAGAACAAATAAAGACAATACACACAGCAAGGTTAAATAATAGCTTTTAGCGCACTAGGTTTCGTGTTGAGGATTCTAGATTCCGGTTCTTCTTTGATGTGTTGCCACTAATGTTCTATATCATTGTTTACGGCTTTTACTGTTGTTACTAGCTATTGTTCTCATATAATTATTACTCAGCTTTTGTGGTGCCAGCAGCATATCTTAGTACACGCATTATTTCCGGTTACACCAGTGGAGTTACAATCTATTGCATTTTAAGGTTTTATTAACAGATTTCCTTACTCATAGAACAACTGAACTTCCGACGTTAGCTGCAGAGCAATGTAGTGAAAATTCCTTTCCGTGTGTTGTTTCATCCTATGCTTCTAGAAGACTTGCTCTCTTACATATGGATGCGCGGATGCACATATAGACACATAGACTGTTTAAACAAAACAAAATGCCTCGTTTCTTCCATACTTTCAATTGATTGTTCTGCTGAGCACATTATTATGGTACTAAGTGATTTAATAATTTGTATCACTTTCATTTTTAATAGTTTCTCCAGTGACTTTCTTTTAGGTAGCACTGGAACTGCTACATTCAAATAGCTGCTCTTCTTTGAAAACTTTCCATTTTAAGTTTTTTCCGTAGACTGTTTATTCTTCATTTAGTTTTCCCCTCTTCGATTAGCAATTTTAAAATAGAACCAAGAATTCCAGAAATTATGTTATGTGTAATGATCGCAACAGAAGGCCCCTCATCTTGCATTTGGAAACCTTGTAACCATTTATGTCAATATCTCCTGAGAAAAAGAAAAGTAAAAAAAAAAAAAGTTTGTGAAAACAGACTAGTCCTACATATATATATATATATATATATAGTTAAGGTAGCTTTTACTTTTTATTATTATCATGGTTGGCCTTAAACAACAGCATATATATATTGACAACCAACTCTCAAACAACCGGGATCTCAAAACCTTTTCAAGTTCTTATTTGACTATATTGAGTGTTTAGAACTATTTTTGCAGAAGCTTTGCCTCTCAACTTCAATTGTTACAACCTTTTCTTTCTCTAGGCCTTCGAATGTTCAGCTCAATGAGTAACGAAAAACCTAAAGGAACAGCTGCATCGCTCAACTACGAGTTTCAACCAGAGCATTGTGTTCCAGTTCCCTTGAGCATGAATGATAACTACAATTCTATGTACTTGAATTCATTTCCCCAGCTTATTAATCAAGAATTCTCACCTCAACATCAATACCCACATCCAACATTAACAAATGTATCAATAAACCAACCTTCTCAATTTTTCCAGTCTTCACAAACACCACAATTTGTTAATCAGCCATTTAGTAATCATCCCCAAAATTTTTCTTACCCATTGCTCAACAGCTGTGGTTATGTTGGAGGTTTCCCCGTTGAAAATGACAGATCCAATAGTGCTAGTGATAAAATGAATTCTCTTAAGGATTATTATTTTTCACAACAGGATGTCAGACCTGCTTCTTCACCTTCCTTTCAGATCAATACTTCTACGAATATTCCAATGGTCTACGCCGACCCTCTTGGTCCTTCTCCTTCCTCCTTTGAAAATTTGGGTTTCCAAAACCCAAATTTCCAGATGAATGACTTCCTCCATAAACCAATCTCCATGGTTCTGAAAAATGACATACAGGTGCTTAATACTCAAAATACAGAAAGTGATACCGTGTCATCACTTGTTAGCCAAAAAAAATCTTCAGCATCAGCTCTGAGGTCAAACAAATCTGGTCCTAACTCCCCGATACTGGGCTTGAACAGCCCTGGTTCCAATCAATCCTCTGGTGCCGAATATAATAAAATCAATAAACAAGGAAAACCAAAGAAAAGATCCAGATTGGGTTGTCTAACATGCAGAGGTAGAAAGAAAAGATGTTGTGAAAGAAAACCTGTTTGTGTCGAATGTGAGAGGATAGGATTAAAATGTAACTGGCCAAAGCCGGGAACTGAATACAGAAATAGATCAAAAAACAACAATCTTACTGGGGATAGAGATGTCATTGAAACTTCTTTGGGTAAAATGAAGGTAATGAGAGGTGTTATTTCCAAAAGGAGCTATGAAATACAATAATCCTTTTATTCTTTTTGCCATTTTTTATTATTTGCTTTAATTTTTTTTTTCCTTAATTTTATTTCATGTATTATGCTTTCTTTATTTTCTTGGTTTATAGTCACAGTGTTAATTATTACGGATCGATTCTGCTACACGCTGTATTCCTATTTGACGAAAAATTTTCCATTCTGGACTTATCAAAAGGCATCATGTTATTTTGAGGCTTACTATTTTTGGCTTTTTTTTTTTTAAAAAAAAACATGGTTCCTTCCAGCTTGTACAAGCTAAAGAAAAGAACTTCAACTAGCTTCCAAGTATGTTGGCCCTAACTTGTTATTCGTATGTGTTGATCTTCCAACCTCACGCAAAAAGAAAAAAGAAAAAAGAAAAAAGAAAAAAGAAAAAAAAAAGAAAAGAAAATAAGGAAGTTTCTTCGATTAACATTGCCGGCAAAGGTGAAAACAGTTATAGGAGAAGCAAAAGAGAAATGAGAGAATTACCAAATAAATAAGATATCAACTGGTAGGAATCAATTTCTGTATACATGTAGAATTCATATCTTTGGCGTTATTATAGATTGGTGGGGGATTCAACAAGGAGACACATAGGTCTGAAACCCCCCCTCCCGCAGTGACCCAAACTTGGCAAGAAAAATGATCTGAGAATGATGACGAAAAGAGAAAGACCTTTACCAAGGTAGTTAAATGTTGATAAAAATGAAACTTGCAAATATAGAAGAATACCGGAAGAAAAAACTTGGAGTACAAAGCGTACATTTACCAAATATTAAAAGAAATTGGTCCTGTTGGATGTTTATGGTATCACATCCCCTACACAAACCTTATCAGAAGGTGAAACATTCAATGCTTGCCAAATTGAAATAAAGGAACACCTCCCTCCACACCTAAAAAAAAAAAGAAAAAAAATGATAAGGAAGCTCACATGAATAATTATAATAATGATTGTAATTAAATGAATTCTATTGCTATAAGATAATACCATATATCACATTGCGTACATACACGATAAAAAGTCTTTCCAGAGCATTCACAAATCTATTGAAACTAAATAAGTGCTACCAGTGGGAAAGAATGTACCAACCATCACACTCCTCAAGGAATTAAGCCAAGAAATCAGTGTGGTGATCAGTAAAAGTTCAAGTCTCATGGAATTAGCTGTTAGGGTCTTGTTAAAAACCTTTAGGAAGCGCAGACAAAATACGCCATTCCACATGAGTATTATGAACAAATGATAAAGCCAAACTTTTTAATCAATAAGGAAAATTATACGGACTCTTGTTTGGTATAATATTTGGGAAGAACATGAATGGTACAATTCAAAAAAAAAAAAAAAAAAGAGATGGAAATGCCATATATCGTAAAAGGTTATGTTTCTTGGACCAGGAATAAAACTGGGAGTCATATACTTTGAAATAGTTAGGTTTATTCAAATTCTTCTTCTTCGTCAGGTACAAGGCCTTCATCAACAGGATCCTTAGGTTCTTGGTTCTCTGACCACTGTGTGACGTCATCAATATAAGATAGGATTGTGGTGAGAGAGTTGGAATCATTAACATTTAACGGCAAATATTGCACCATTCCAAATTCATCGATCATATTGGCAATCAATTTATTCAACCTGTCAAACTTCTTATTAGCAAGTAAGTTATCATCGTTGCCGTCTTCCAATAATAGAGGATCAGGATTTAAAAATTGTTTGAGTTTCTTTTTAGAATATTGATCCTTTATTAAGTCCACTTTTGAAAGAATGTTAATATGCGGGAGTTCCAACAACAACATGGTTGACATAGCACTCAAAGTTCCAGAAAAGAACTTTGATTTATCAATCACAAAAGTTGATTCCATAAGATAAGTGCAACATAATTGGAAATTCATATTTCTGGTCAAGTGGTTTATGATAGTTGGGAACACTGGAATATGAGTATATAATTCAATCTGCCCTGGACAATCAATAATTAGAAACTCATCGTTATAATCACCAATTTCTTCTTCTAACCAATCCAAATTCTTTAAAAGAAATTCAAAACAATAAATCAAGCCCCCGTTGGGACCAAGATTTAGTTCTTCCATGACATCTTCAAGAGAAATCAAGTCTCTGATATCAACAGTAAATTCATACTTCTTAGCTTCAGCAGCAGGATCAAGATTGACAATGTGACAGTTTCTACCAATTTGTTGCATATGAGTTACCAATGAATTACAAAAAGTGGTCTAGCTAATGTTAGTAATCATTGAACAGAAAAAAAATACACACCCCATACAAAGAGTTACAAAATTTAAGTCCAGTAAAATCTTGGAGAACTATTCATGTCTTCGCAATTTAAAAAAAAATCAAAAACCAAGTTGAACCAGAAAGAAAAAAAAAACACTTGCCTTTCCTGCACCAGCAGGTCCTAAAACAACAGTTCCAACTCTAGACATTATTTATAATATAGTTGAAAATAATGCTACCCTAAAAAACAAAATTAGCTTATGATTCACAAAGTCAGTGCAACTCGAATTAGTAATGATATTTGAGTCTCATCACTGAAAAAAAAAAAAAAAAAGAAGAAAAAAAAAAATAAGCATCATCATCACGAGCACAAGCATGTGACTACCAAAATCACAAAATGTGAGGTCACTAAGATGTAAACAGAAAGAGCGACAACAAAGATAAATAAATATAGTTATATTTGAGCTACTATAAAATACCGCAAATAAAGATGTAGTAGACTTCAATTAAGATACTCTTTATCAAGGATTCTACGGAGAATTATACGTCCAGGGCAAAAAATGGTTGCCTCCCGCTGACAGTAAAATAAAATATTACTTATAATCATGTGTCAAATCAAATGAAGACATTTGATATGACATTTTGTTGGGTTTTCAAGACAAGCATGTGCTTTTTGACATCATTCAATCGTGCTTTTCAACTGTAGATACATTGTAAGAAGCCTCTTGCAAAACGTTTTTAGTGGCTGATATTTGGCGCTAACACAGATCGTTTCTTGCAAGGATATTTCCAAAATTGGTAATTATCTAGTATCTTTTTTCTTTTACTTTCGCTTGACATAATTGTTTGGTTATTATTGGTAAATCACTAGAAAATTCCGATGCCTTATTGGTAGGAGCTGCTGGAGTGGAATTTTTAGAGTGCGGCTCATGTTGAGAAAAAGGCGTTTTGCAGCCATGCAGGAATTTACCTCTGATATGCACGTCTATAAAAAAACACAACATGGAAAGATAATTCTCTTTTCAGAGATAAACGCTTTTGCAAGGCACAAGGAATCCATGGATATGTAATTTTAGTGTTAGGGATTGTGTATGTATAATCAATACATAAGACCAAGATATCCACTTGCGATACATTAAAAATTTTTTTTTTTTTTTTCTGATTTATCAATAAGTACAACTGAATAATACAAACATCCATCATCATTTTTTTGTTTTTTGTGAAACATTCAAGCCCTGTCATATCTCTGCATAGTTTTTAATAAAATATGGGTTATCTTACAAGAGATATCCCTTCATCGATGAAGGATTTAACTTATGGGTGGATTGTTAGAGCTAAGAATGAGACTGTTTTTAGTAAAAACCGTGAAATAGTTGAGGAACTGCCTGAAGAAGATAGCCCTCATGACAGAAGTGAAGTCGTTTTCAAGATTTTAACCGCTGGTTCTGGTTTATTCTCCGATGGTTATGTCAACAATTCCATTTCCACTGCTTCAACTTGTAAGTATAGCGATTTAGTTTTTTCTGTTATGCTTCTGATATTTCGAGAATTACTTACTAATTTTTCTATTAGGTTTGAGCACACTTTATCCAAAGGAAGTTGGAAACTCCTCAGCGTTGTCCAATGTATCATCCATTGCATTTGTTGGCACCATTGTCGGACAGTTATCATTTGGTTACATCAGTGACAAATTTTCTCGTAAACTCGGAATGTTGATTTCCAGTGCTTTACTTATCCTTTTTTCTATTTTATGTGCTGCATCTTACGGGGGACCAGGAAATATTGAAGGAATGCTTATTGCATTAACAGTTTATCGTTTCTTTCTTGGTATTGGTATTGGTAGTGAATATCCAACTGGTTCGGTCGCCTGTGCTGAAGCTTCGGCAATGCTCCCGGCAAAGAAAAGAAATCGTTATTTTTGCTGGTTTACCAACTTCAGTATTGATGTCGGTTTTGTATGCAGTGCGTTGGTGCCTTTCGTTTTGTTACTAATTTTGAAAGAAAAAAGATTGGACTTAGTTTGGAGATTGACCCTTGGCATTGGAGCAGTTTTCCCATTGGCGTTATTTTTGCTTCGTACCAAATTCAAGGAAGATAAACAATTCAAGAAAACAGGTTTCCAAAAAGTTGGTATTCCATATTTAACGGTGTTAAAATTCTATTGGTTTAGATTGATAGTTGTGGCACTTATTTGGTTCGTTTACGATTTTTGTACTTACGCGTTTGGGTTATATTCATCATTTATCATTAAAGTCATTATTCCAGATGGGGATTTGGTGAAAACTTTTGGATGGAATATCGTGCTTAATGTTTTTTACATCCCAGGAGCATTTTTGGGGGCAGTTTCCTCCGATTATTTGGGGCCAAGATTGACATTGGTCATCGGTCTTCTTCTCCAAGCAACATTCGGGATTATTTTAGGAGCACTTTTCCCAATCTTGAAGCACAACATTGCCGGGTTCGTGATTATCTACGGTATTTTTATGACTATGGGAGAATTTGGGCCTGGAGACAACATTGGTATTTTGGCGTCTAAGACCAGTGCGACTTCGATTAGAGGAACTTATTATTCTGTTGCTGCCGCTATAGGGAAAGTCGGGGCATTTACTGGAACGTATATTTTCCCAATTATCATCAAGCGTTTTGGAGGAGCGGAAAGCAATAGTGGAATGCAAGCGCCTTACTTTATTGCCTCTATTCTTGCGATCATCGCTGCATTAGCAGGATTGATTTTTTTGCCAGATGTGAGCCCAAGTGCCATGAGTTTGGAAGACAATAAATTTTTAGAATATTTGGCATCCACAGGGTTTGATATGAGTTCTTTGGGAAGTGATGATGGCGATGAAGAGGAAGATGACATTTCTGACCTGGTGAGTGAATATATTGTTAGAGATGGCAGTGGGAAAAAGATGGTGATCGAAGATTACGACAGTGGCCTGGATGCCGAATCTTTTGACAAGAAGAAGGAATCGCCATTTGTCAACGTTAGGGAGTTGTAACCAACTTATGCGTTTCGGTTGCACTCGCATTGGCATTGTATTTTATTTTATTTCTATTAATTACTTCATTTGTACTGCAACGTTTTTTTTTTTTTTTTTCATTCAGTTCTTTGGTCATCAGTGATTTGCCAGTCAGCCGTTTTTCAATGCGGCAGTTTTATATACTTTAATTTTTTTTTTCTCCCACTTGTCTTTCATTTCAGTTTCCTTTTTTGGCCGTCCATTCATAGCATTTAGTTCAATTCAATGTTTGTTTTGTTTGTTGTATATAACTTAAGAGCATAAGTTTGAACTAGTCCATATAAACACATGGTATTTGATATTGGTGAGGTGGGCTCCAGTGTTGTATCCAGTAGATTGGAGCCTGTGAACTGTACTGTATGTTCTGATTCAATTGCCCCCCTCCCCAAGTAGTAGTAGAAAGTTAAAGTTCCAGAGGATGACGGTTATGCCTATTCTCGTGAGCATGTGGTTTACACCGGAGGTAAAAAAAAAAAAAAAAGAAAAGGCCCCAATCCAAAACCACAGGACGGAGATAAACATGGCTGGGTGGGGGTGGGGGTGGGCTTCACCAACCAGTAGGAGCAAGAGGAGAGATAAGATTTTTGTGCAATAAACCCCAAAGCCGTGTCTGCCACACAATCTGGAAAACCGCCACTTCTGGACAAACATGTGAAAGTGGGAGTCGCACGTGCCTGTTCCAACAAAAAATATAGAGGGTGGACGCACCCTGCTTACGCCCTCTCTGGGGCCTTCTGTGGTCGATGTTGCAAAGAATAGCGTTGCCGAGAACAGGATACAATGCGATATGGAATATTGTTGTAGTGGTATACATCTCGTCAGTTCTATGGACATCGGACACCCCAACCACCTTGGTAATATAGTATGCCAACAACTTTTGCTACCAAACCCTTGACTGTCATTATCGTCCTCTCCCTACACTACTGCACCCAGCGGTAGATTCAGTCGTTCTAAGTGTCCCTAGTAGGACATGCAGGATCAAAAAAAAAAAAAAAAAAAATCCAATAAAAAAAATATGGATTCTGTAGTTAATTGGTATAAAAGGTCCTCCCTATCCCGATCCTCAATTTTCATTTGAGTTGAAAGTGCTCATACCAGACAATCAACTACATACACACAGAAAAAAAAAAAGAAATGTCTGTTTGGACTAGAGATCTTCCAAGCTCCTTCTCTGATGCCACTGTTGGCTGGATTGAAAGAGCCAAGAGAGAATATATCCTCACCAAAAATGATCAACAAATCAATGAAAATGAAGATATCGATGATGAATCGCCAATAGAGTTGACCACCAGTTTACAAACTACCAAATGGGATCAAATCAAAACCATTCTTTTCGCTGGTAGTGGTTTGTTCTCCGATGGTTATGTGAATAACTCTATCGGTACCGCTTCTACTTGTATGTATTGACTTTGACATTCCAACGTCGATTTAAGAATATCCATATTAACACATGTATTTGTATAGGTTTATCTACCCTTTATCCAAAAGAATACGCCGACTCTCGTGCAATCAATAATGTCGCTTCAATTGCTTTCGTCGGTACAGTGGTCGGTCAATTGACATTTGGTTACGTCTCCGACAAGCTTTCTAGAAAGACCGGTATGATCATTTCCAACGTCATCTTAATTATCTTTACCATTTTGTGTTCTGGTGCTTGGGGTTACCACGGCAGTATTAAAGGGATGCTCGCAGCCCTTACTGCCTATCGTTTCTTCCTCGGTATCGGGATTGGTAGTGAGTATCCTACCGGTTCTGTTGCCTGTGCTGAAGCTTCTGCCTTGATGCCTCCAAAACACAGAAATAGATACTTTATTTGGTTTACCAATTTTGCCATCGATTCAGGTTTTGTTATTAGTTCTTTTGTTCCAATGGTTCTTTTGTGGATCTGCACTCCTAAACATCTCACCCCAGTCTGGAGAATCACCATTGGTATTGTATGTATTATTTCATTTTTCAACAATTTGTCAAATCATCGCTTAGCGGATTTGGCGGACAGTGTACTCGGCGACTCACTCATGCATGATTCTATTTTTTTTTTTTTTTTTTTGACATGCGGTTGTCTGCATGATATGATTCCCATACTAACCTTTTTCGCTTTAGGGTGCCATCTGGCCTATGATTTTGCTTTGCTTCCGTACTACTTTGAAAGAAAATGAAAACTACCAAAAAACTAGATTCAAGAAAGCCAGAATCCCTTACTTCCACATTATCAAATTCTATTGGTTCAGATTATTTGTTGTTTCAGCAATTTGGTTCATCTATGATTTCAGTGTCTATGCTTTCGGTATTTACAGTTCTTACATCATTAAACTTATCATCCCAGACGGTGACTTGTACAAGACCTTTGGATGGAATGTTGTTCTTAACTTGTTTTACATCCCAGGTTCCTTCGTTGGTGCCATTGCTTCCGATTACTTCGGCCCAAGACTCACTCTTTTTGTTGGTTTAGTTATTCAAGCCGTTCTTGGTTTTGCCATTGCCGGTGCTTACAATACCTTGAAGCACCATGTCGCAGGGTTCACCGTTATTTATGGGTTCTTTTTGACTTTTGGTGAATTTGGGCCTGGTAACAACATCGGTTGTTTGTCTGCAAAGACCGGTGCCACCCCAATCAGAGGAACTTATTATGCCATTCCTGCTGCTATTGGTAAGATCGGGGCTTTTGTCGGTACTTACGCTTTCCCATCTATCGAAAAAAAATATGGTTTGCAAGTTCCATACTATATTGCTGGTGCTATGGCCCTTTTTGCCGCCTTCTTGGCCCTTTTCTTCTTACCAGACGTTTCTCCACCAGCCATGTTGAACGAAGACAAAAAGTTTTTGCAATACTTGGAATCCACTGGCTATGATGTTTCTCAATTGGGTGATCATTCTAGTGCTTCTAGTATCGACGAGAAGATTAATGTGGAAACCCACGAGAACGTTGATGAAAAATCCGCTTAAAATTAATAATGCTCTTTTTTTTTTTTTTCTGTTTCCTTCTATTTTTTTTGCTTGCTTTGCTTTGCTTTTTCTTGTTTGTTTCAGGTTTACACAGTTGTGTTCAAGTTCAATTTTTCTTCGAATTGGCTTGTTGACCCAATTCTCGCTTTGGTATCTATAAAGTTTCAAAAAGTTACAGTGGAAACCATTGCGTTTATTTCCAAATCCTTTTTTCTTTTTTTTTTTTTTACCCATTTAGTGTTTAATATATCCTAATATTGCTGAGCTTATATTTGTAATACCTCAATTATGCTGACGAACGGTTTATGGGTGTATATTGAAAGAAAATTTGAAAAACTAAGAGTAGAATAATTGCCATTACGACAAGAATAGTTCGATCGCGCCGCTGCTATCACAACATATACCATCAATAACCACCACTTAGTTAGAATAGTGTATCCAGAGCAATTCTTGCACAAATTAATTATACGGGGACCGAAAAATATGAGTAAACGAAAACAAAAAAATAGCATTATTCAACCAATGGGTTGAATAATGATAGTTTATAAATATGTACATCTATGATAGCTGAATCATAATAATCACTATAATAATACCGGGGACAACTTTTGTAACATGTCATGGTTTCAGGAGCACCACAGAACCGTAACTAGTTTTCATCCTCCAAAAAAACCTTAGCAGCGTTAGGTAGCACAAAACTGGCCGCATGCAATCTGCTATTATAATATCTCAATAAGTTATTTTGCTTTGCTTGGTCCCAGGATCTGGTCGCTACCGCAACATCCAATGCAGCATTCTTAGAACTGACAATTAATCCTAGCTGCCCAGAAGTGTAACTTGGGGTACAAGTGTAACAATATTTCACCATTGGAAAAACTTCTTTGACGGTGTGATAAATTTGCTTCAATTTCTTCAAATTCAACCAGATATTTTCGCTGGATTGCGAAATGACAATCCCATTATCATCAACCAAGGAATCTCTAAGTAATTTGAAATAATCTACTTGGAAAAAGTTTTCTGCAGGACCTTCAGGGTCAGAGGAATCGGTAATGATGACATCAAACTTTCCTTGGTTGTCTTTCAAATATTGAAACCCATCCATCAACACTATTTTAGCCTTTGGATGCTCGAAACCAGAGGCCATCTCTGGGAAGTACTGCTTACTCAAATTGATAACATATTCATCAATTTCCACAAGTACCACTTCTTCAATAACATCCTCATGTTTCAAAACTTCACGAAGCACCCCGCCATCACCTCCACCGATAATCAAAACTTTGCGAGGGCTTGGGTGGGCAAACATTGGAACATGTGCTATAAGCTCTTGATACGAAAATTCATCACGCTCAGTACATTGAACGACCCCATCCAACACCAACACGTTACCGTAATCGGTGGATTTAAAGACCAAGATATCTTGAAACTGGGACTTCTCGTGGAATAGAATCTTTTCAACTCGAAGCTCGAAGGCCTGACCTGGAAAATGTTCATCAGAAATCTCACGGAACCAACCGTCTTGAATTGAAGGGTGAGAGAGTTCGGCGGCCATTATTGTCTCTATACTTTTTTATTTTATTTTCGTTTTTAATTCTGAAATTGACGAGAAGTTTGATATTATCAAGTTAAGTATCCAATACTTCAATGATTCATAGAACTGTCAGTCCTTGTCAACTTACTTAGTCTTTCATCATCATCACACAGTTATTCCGGATCATTTTTTTTTTTTTTTTTTCAAACTTTTTTTTTTTCTTACCGTTTTTTTTTTTTTTTTTTTTCTTTTCCTCAAGATAGTTTTGTGGAGGAAGTTGATTTCAACATGGGCTTTTGGGAAAATGATTTCCAGCCCCCAGTAACACGAGTGGAGAGTTTGGAACCGGCCATTTGCCATTTATTATCAAGGAGATGATGGAATGTGCTGTTATTGGTGTAAGTAACAGTTGTGTGCCATTTGGAGGGGTGTGACACCCTGTACTATCGCGCGCGTGGAGCGGCGGTCGGGAAAAATAGACTACCTGGTAACCCTCTTCTGGTGGTAATCTACGACACGATGCGGGTACTTCCGATAGCCACACATCTTCGATATGTATGTATATAACAAGGGCTGCTCTTGGTATGCCTGTTTTTTTCTTTCTCGTTTTCTGTTCTCTTGGAAATCTGCAAGCATAACCCCAAAACCAAAACAACAACACCCCTCTTATATACACAATGGCTATCACTGTCTTACTTAATAAGAATAATTTCCCATTCATCGCTAACAAATGGGAGGAATTCCAAAAGACCCATCCAGAAATCACCTTGATTGAGGACACTTCCGCCAATTTCCAAGAATTCGAATCAAAGATCGCTAACAACACCGATGATATCACCTCTGTTTCCCTCATCGCTGGTGTGAAGAATGACTATAACCTCGATGCTAAAATCTTCGACGCTCTCCCAAACCTTAAGGCTGTGTGCTTCTGTTCAGCTGGTTATAACCAAATCGACTTTGCCGAGGCCACCAAGAGAAAGATCCAAGTGGCCAGAGTCTATGATCTCGACACCTCCACCGCAGACACTAACTTGTTTTTGCTTTTGGGTGCCATGAGATTCTACCAAGAAAGTATCAAAGATTTGTACATCCATCACAAGTTCCAAAATCCATCCAAGGTTGGAATTGCTCCAAACGGTCTTACTCTTGGGGTTGTGGGGCTCGGTGCCATTGGCCAGGCCGTGGTCAGACGTTGTCTTCCATTAGGTTTCGAAAAAATCATTTACTACAACCGTCGTCAAGTGGCTCCAGAACTTGAAAAAGAATTGGGGGTTACTTACGTTTCCAGTATCGATGAATTAGTATCGCAATCAGATGTCGTTGACTTGAACTGTGCTTTGACTCCTGAAACTTACCACTTGATCAATGAGGAACGTATTCTTAAGATGAAGGACGAAGTTATTATTGTTAACACTGCCCGTGGTGATGTCATTGATGAAACTGCATTGATCAAGTATCTTAAGAATGGTAAAATCTTGTCTGCTGGGTTGGATGTGTTCCACAATGAACCAAACATCAACTATGAATTGGTCGAATTAGATAACGTCATTGCTTTGCCTCATGTTGGAAGTTTCTCCAAGGCCACTAGAATCAATGCCCAATTGACAGTTCTCAAGAATGTTGAAAATTATTTGTCTACTGGTAAATTGATTTCCTTCATTGGTGAACAAAGAGGATTATTTGATTAAACTTGCTACTCCAGAAACATTTTTTGTTGAAAAAAACACACACACACACACAAATAAATCTATTCTTAATGATACAAACCAAATAACGGGCCGCTTTCTAGATATTTTATCTCTTTCCATTATTACTTTACTTTCCCAATATATATGTCATAAATCCGTTTTTCATGGCCGAAATTCCTGCTCTTTTTTTCGTTTTGTAGAAATATCATTGAATTTGAAGATCCTATTTTTTTTTCGAAGTTCTTTTCAATGAAAAGAATGAAAGGAATAATAAAAAAAAAAAATTAATAGTTAGAGGAACTATTCTACGAATGAATAGCTATCAAGATTTACGCTATCACTTAATATGTTGCTATAATTCTAGCGATATCATCAATCAATCTTTTTCATTTGCTTATATTTCCAAACATTTTGAAAATATCTAACAGCACCGACTACCAAACCAAAAGGGAAAATAAACCATTCAGTTGTACTCCAAAGTTTGTTGGGTTTGATATCCTTTACGATGCCATCCACACTGGCATACAATTCCTCTAGCGATCCATTATTTTCAATAACGATATTCGATAAGCTAGATTTACTGCTCATGCTCATCTGACTACCAATTCTCTTTTGGGCCTCGCTTTCAGATAGTTGGGGATTTCTGACTAATAATCTTGATAGTTGTAAATCCTCATCACAAATTACGTTTATGACTGTACCGCAATAATAATGGAAATTCGCCTCAAATAATAATGGGACGTCAAGAACCACCATATCGTATCCTTTAATATAGCATTTAATTACTTCGAGAATCATCTCCCAGCCGACTTTTGGATGGGTTATAGAGTTGAGTTTCTGAAGGTTGGACTTGTTGGCTGGTCCAAATACCAATTTTCCCAACTCCTGACGATTGATTTCACCATCTTGTTGTAGCAAGTTGTCAGAGAGGGGGCCAAAACATTTCACAATCTTATTATATGCTGGCTTTCCTTTGTCAACGATATGTTTAGCAATCAAGTCTGCATCAACAACAGGGATACCTTGCTCCTTGAGTCTGTTGGAGACAGTCGATTTACCTGTTGCAATTGATCCTGTTAAGCCAATTATCAACATTTTGTGAGATGGTTTGTTTTGTCTGTTATTTTTTTTTTTTTTTTTTTTTTTTTTTTTTTTTTTTTTTTTTTTTTTTTGCTTATCCCTAAAGATGCCAAAAAAATTTTTATGGGGAGGGGGGTTGGCCAAAGAGAGCTAATCTGCCTTTTCTAGAATGATAACCAGTCTAAGATGGGTCCAAACTGGGCTTATTGGTTAGTGTGGTTTTATATCTCCTGCATTTCCCGTTTCAACTTGGGATTTTCGCTCCCGCCAACAATCCAAAACAGAAACCCATACTAGACCCTCCTCCATGGTACATCGCATGCTGATAAGAAATACACGATGGTACGTACACTGGCAACAAAACATCAGGACTTCTTATAAGATGAACGTCTAATATTGCGAAAATCATCATATATTTGAGACATTCTCATTTTGCAGCCGCAGAGACGGCTGAGGGTTCTTTTCATTGACGGTGATTCTAGACTCGACCACCACGGTGAAACAGCATAACCTGGGGGTGCGCAGCGAACTCTAGAGGGTGGCTTTGTTCCCCTTTTTCTGCTAATTTTTTTTTTTTTTTGTCAACAGTTCGCACATAAAAAGGCCTACAAATTTCCTGTTCCTCTGTTGATTATCACAATTGCAAATTTTTTTTTTTATTTACTGTAATCTACAATTCTTGTTTTAGAAACATTCATACCAAAAGACATTCTCTCATTCAATAACCACTTCCAAATGCAATTCTCTAAGTTAGCCCTCGTTTCTTCTATCCTCGCATTGGCTTCTGCTGACGACGCTGTCACCGTCACCACCCACGAAACCTCTACCACCTACACCACCATCTGTACTTCTACTGCTTACTTGAACTCTACCACTGCTTCCAACAGCACTGCTTCATACAAGACTTTGACCTCATCCATCAACTTGTCTGCTACCGAATCTACTGAAGCCACTTCTACCACCTCCGGTTCCGCTTCTTCCAGCTCTAAGGCTTCTGCTGACACCGGTGCTGCTGGCAAGTTGTCCGTTGGCGCTTTGGCTGGTTTGGCTGGTTTGGCTTACTTGTTCTAATTTTTTTTGCTCCCCTCTCCCCCAATCCTTTATGTCTCAATACCCCCGCTGTTAAATTTGCTTGTCTCCCAAGACTCAATGTTTCATAGACTTTTCTAGATCTCTTTAGAAACCATAGATCTTTATTTTATCATTTTCAGTTATTGTTCTTTATGCTCCGCTTATGTCGTATCTTAGAGTTTTCTTGCTTATTTCTTAATTCACTTTAGTTTTTTCGTTCTTATTTCCCAGGATTTGATGTAAAATAACACTATTTGGGATGTTCAAACAGCCCCAAACAGCCCCAAACAGTGTTTTATGAAGATCCACAATGCACCCATATGTACATTTATGTAACACAATGTTTCCATCACACTAACAGGTAAAAGAAGACGAAAAAAAAAAAAAAAGATCCTCAAAATAGGGGTTCCGTCAAAGACCCGGTCGTCTGGTGATTATGCCTCACACCATAATGAGATTCCCGAATGGTACTGCTTGAAATATAGCCTACAATGAAACAAAAGCACAAAAGATCATTCAAGGGTTGCTGGACGTGTCGACGACGTCGTGTCCGATGCAATTTAGTCCAACCGGTATGCGGGCACTGCTCAAGACTACAATTAGAATGTGGATATGGAATCAAATTGACATGGTTTTCTACCCAATTTCTATCCAACAATAATGATCATAATGAGCTAGCTTCTTTAAACGACATTGTTAATGAGGGCTTGGAACCTGAAAAATATTATACTGTAAAACTTGTGGAATTGAAAAAGCAGAATGCAGAGCGAAGCAGATCGATGATCGATTTTGCAGAATGGAAGAAACCATATACAGATTATGATGCTTTGGATGCCGATATTGATATTGATATAGAGATCCCTTCTGTGAATGAAAATAGCTTGTTTGTTGTAACTTCCAAATTTCAAGGCCCATTTGGAATTTTTTCAATACCCATTTCCTCAAAAACTGAAGAATCGATAGCGAATCTGCAACCAGCTAACTTAGCTTTCAAAAATTCTCTGAAAGAAATTCTTCATGATCGTATGAACAACTATGCTCCTTTGAGGGCCGTGAATGATTGTTCACTGAGCCAGGATAGAGGGTCTATAGAATGTGTTAACTGGCTAGACTTCTCACTTGTGCCATTTTTTGCAATTTATCAAAGCTATCGCCAAAACAAGCTTGCTAAAAAAGAGCAAATTGACTTGAATGATCCAATGGTGACAACTTCAATCCTGGAAATCAAACAGAATTTAATTTCATGTGGGTTGTTGGATCCTGGCCTTAATGTGAGTGAGCAATACATCAATAAACTTACAGCTAATTTCGCTAATAATATTCTAGACAAGTTCAGTAACTTTGAAAACGGGGGTCACAATTTGTGGCAAGCTTATATTTGGCCAAAAGAATTGAAAATAATTCTTGAGCAGTTCCTGATTTCAGAAAAGAATTGGATTGAAATAGTGCTCTCATTACTTGAGAACGGATCCTTTGTCACAGAAAAGGAAGAATTGGATGTCAAAAATTTTTCTGAGGAGGAAATCGTTAGCTATATCAAGGAATTGACATTCCTTGTTCAATCATGTCTAGTTTTTCAAATTTTGGTAATTTCTAGTTTCCATTTGGGTCATTCACAGCAAGATCAAATCGCCTCATTGATGATGGCTTCTACAAATTTGAATTGTTTGGTCGACAAGCTTGGTGAACCATTACTCAAAAAAATCTCAAGATTTGTGCTGCAAGTCGAAAAAAATTGTTCTAATAACCTACAACATATCCAAAAATTAATAAATGAATTACTAAACCAAAGCTTGCTTCGAATAATATTAAAGATACAAATTGATTGTGTTCTTGGGACATGCTGCCGTCTATCAGAACTATTTAATTTGGGCCAATTATTAGTTGAAAATATTTACACGCTCCATGATATGGAACTCTCGGTGCTGAATCTCGGCCGTTTCAATAGTGTTATAGAAGGTTTAAAATCATCTGATTGCCATGATAAAGATAAACAGTCTTCATTTTTCATTGCTCTATATTTTCAAATCCTTAGAATATTCCATTCCATTACTACAGTCCATGATTTAAATGGATTTGATCCAGAAAAGGAATTCAACCCAACAGGAGCTCACAGTACAAAACCTTTTGTCGACGAAGTTCAACCCTTATTTCATAGTCAAATAAAAGTATTGCCCAAATTTTCGGAAATTCGCCTTACCGACTCAAGCAATATTACTGATAAAGATGGTGAATCACAAGACAATGATAATTTTCAAAGCGCAAATATTCCCCTCACTTTGCAGAAGAATATTAATTCAGATGGCGCAAGCATATACCGTAATACAAACGATGGAAAGAATTTTGATATTCATTATGACTATGAATTTAATGATGAAGAAGACCCTCCTCCTCCAGCGTTTGAAGTCATTTTCAATTACCAAGGAGAAAATGGGGCTGTCATTGATGGATATGGTGGAAAAGAAATTAAAAATGGGAAACACGAGAAATTTGAGGATACCAGACAAGATGATAATCCACAATCAAAACTAGAATTGAATCGGCCGAAATCCAAGATTACACTAATGGAGCTTTCACTTGGATTGCCTATTTCTTTGATCCTTCTTCTTGAACGAATTACTTCACTTATTAAGCATCAATATTATCTGCATCTCCATGATGTTCATCTTGTTGGATTTTCAAAACAGTGCGCCGATGTAGAAGATCAGCTATTGACTTGGAAGCTTTCTTGGGGACTATATGAATCAACCACTACTGGCGCTACTGGAATGGTGAAAAGAAGGTTTATAAGTTTCAACCATGAGATGCTATATCACCATAGCAAAGCATTTCATCACTCATTGATCATTTACTATTTTAGTAACATCAAAGATGTTCCCCCGCAATTCTTACAGCTTGAGGCACAAAAGGTGGTGCAGCACTTGAATTATTTGAAATACGCATTGAAAGATAATAATGCAACCGAACTTAATATTCCATATGAAGATCTGCAGTTAGGAAGTATCCACAAAAATGAGTCCGTCCCAAAATTTTCATCCTTCCGTCCCAACTTTTTCATAATGTTGATTACATCTTTTGAAATTTTGTCGCCAGAGCTTCGGTCAACCCTTAAACATCAGTTCTTTCAGTTTTATGAAGATAAGTATTTGTCAGGGTCATTGATTAATCAATGGAGGCCAAAGCAGGCGATATACGAGGTTTGGAGGCTAAGGACACTTTTAGGCGAAGAAGAAGTTAATTGGCTTGAAGTGATCAAAGAATTAGGGTATGAAATGTTAATCTTTTGAGATTTTCAGTGTTGCGGTATTATTTTTATTTTTATATTTTTATTTTTATTTTTATTTTTATTTTTATTTTTATTTTTATTTTTATTTTTATTTTTATTTTTATTTTTATTTTTATTTTTATTTTTATTTTTATTTTTATTTTTATTTTTATTTTTATTTTTATTTTTATTTTTATTTTTATTTTTATTTTTATTTTTATTTTTATTTTGTTTTGAATTCCAGATCCCAATTTGGCAAGGTTATAGAGATCGGACATATCAATTTTAATGTGGCAAATTGTCGCGTTTCAACCAGGTATATATATGGCCCTATAATACGCAATGTTTTGATGAAAACACACCTTTATTCTTACTGATATAAATCGTATACCCGATTTACTGTTTGTTGGAATCAGCCACAGGAGGTAATGAGTAGTGTGTGTAATTAACAAAAGTAGTCGATATTACACATTACAATCTAATGCCTGGGCCCGCGCGTCAAATAAATTAGACAGTGAAGTGAACCTTTTTGGGTACTTAATTACAGTTCATATGTTTGGCATATATACAAAACAAAGCGACAGGTGTATGTATATACAGCTCCTTTGGCCCAATACGCGCAACTGCCTGGACCCTGAAAGTGGAAATCCCGCCCTTACAGTTCGTCACATGACATAATTACAACTGCTAAACACCCTGCACCGCACGGGGACGAGGACCAAAAAAAAAAAAAAAAAAAAAAGCATTACATAGACAACAACAACACCAGCCAGCATCTTCTTCTGTTCTATTGATCTTAGAGAACCGCCCCCTCAACTTCCAACGTTTGTCACTCCTTTGTAACCAATCCAAAACAGTCTAGCCCAGCTGCTTAACCATAATAATTACCTTACACTGTTGATCAGTTATCCTTTGCCCCAGCCAAACACAGTTGGGTTAATAGAGGCACGCGATCAATCACCTTTCTGTTATTTATTGTCTACGTTACAATCATTTGCCATTGCAATATCCGTGAATGACACAATACCTTTGTCTTTATCTCTAGAAATAATGAACTCTCATGATCATTTGCTGTCACAAAACGACTTTGCAATTTCCAGATCCAGATCTATAGGTAACAGATCTCGATCAAATTCAGTTAAGCGGACCCCTAGACCTGGCTTCATCCAACAGCCCTTGCCAAACATCAATAACAACTATCAGACAACTACCAATGGCGATTTCATGGGTAATGCTCCCCCAATAAATAGTCCGAATATGGGTTATAATGCTACTCCAAATATGGGTTATAAGCAAGCCTACAATTCTCCGGGTATGCCCGCTAATGTTTCGCCTCTGCCAATGCCTTTGGGAAGAAGCAGAACATTGCCTGGCAAACCTGCGATTCAAAACGGTAGGATGCATCCTGGTCAATTTCAAAAAGCACCACCACAGCAACAACAACAACAACAACAACAGCTTCAGGAGCCTTACCAGTTTCATCAGTCCTCTCAACCACAGTACCAGACTAACTCGAATCAAAATATCCTTCCACGAGATCAAAGATCTCTGCCCCAAAGATATGAAGAAAATTCACGTTCTCCAGCTCATCAATCATTGAATCGCTCCAAAACTTCGGCTGGAGCTCACAGTTTGCGTAAAAACATGAGTTTGTTGAGGCGTAACCAAAACATGCCTTCTCCAATGCTACAAAAATCTCCCCAAAAATTTAATGGTGTTGCAGATAACGACGAGCATGGAGTCTCTTCTCTAAGATCTTTCGATGTGTTGAGTATTGATAGTGATGATCATGGTAGACAACCTAACCCTTTCAATGATGATGTGATTTCTTTGGACGATGGCAGCGTTAATCAGCATCAACAAACTGAAGAAGCCATCACTCTCAATACCTTATTGAAATCTATCATGAAGAATAGAAAAATTAACAAGATAAAGTTCGCCTGTGATCCAGCAGCGCAATATAATATCAAAACTGCAAATTCTTGGGTGGAATATTGTGATTTGAAACCCAGTGACTATGGGAAAATGAGCAATAGGTCCCTACAGAAACAAGAAATCTTGTTCCAATTGATTAAATATCAACAGTTGAATTCCAAAAATGATAAAAAGGATATTTGGGATACAATCGGTTATGACTTTTTATTTTCTCAAGATGAATCTATTGTTTTTCCTGAAACAAAAGCTGAAGTTTACGACGATTTCTTCGGTTACTTCAATACGTTACAGCAACTCGAAGAATTGTGTGAAAAGTATTTGTACCAGCCATTACTCGATGAATTAAATAAAAATAAAGATGAAAGTGAAAGTAAGAAAAAAACTTCATCGCATAGACTATTCAATATTAATACCATTTGTGAGATTATCAACACTTGGTTGTTTAAAATTATTGACAGTTATCAAATGTATATTAATCAATTGATTGTCACGAAATTTTGGCTTGAAATGGAGTTATTCAAAGACCAAAAATCCAATATATTTTTGAATTGGTTAAATAATAATTTCAAATCTAAGTTCCCATACCAGGAGCTCATTTCTAATTATTTGATTGATAATTTGATTAACTATGTGCATTGCTTGGAAAAACTTTTGGAATTGCATTCGCACAAAAAATCATCCACCAGTTACAAGAAAATTTCAATTGTCTTGAATTCTCTCCAGACATTTGTTACTCAATGTCACAGTCATTATTCAAGTATGGAATTCAAAAATTTCTTATCAAAGTTCAACTGGAATTGCTCCACTGCTGGTAATATCCAGTTTAAATGGAAGAATTTAAAGATTATTAACAGAAATAAAATCAACAATTCCTCCAACAATATAGATTATTTGATTTTATTTAATAATTGTTTAGTCCTTTGCAAGTTGGATATTTATCTTAAAGAAATTATTGTCAAAGAATATCCTTTCCCAATTGAGTTTTTGGAAATCTGGGATATAAATAATAATGAGTTGAAGCTCGTTCATCGTGGTAAATCTGGAATAAGTTATGATTTAATGTTCTTCGATAGATCTTTGAAAGAGCACTGGAAGAAATTAATCATGGACACTAAAGTGAGCTATATTACTGAAAAAGCTCAAATTGATCCATTCGAAATGATCCCAATCACCACAAATTTTGTTAATGGTGATAATTATATGCAAAATCCACAGGCAACCCAAAGTAAATTAAAATATTACGAAAGTCAGCCAATTTTGAACGCATTGAAAAATTCTAAAAACTTAGCTAATATTAACACAATTAGCGGGAAAATCTTGTGTTCTTTGACTATGAATTTCCATGGCCAAACATATCATTTAATTGGTACTAGTAATGGTCTATTCATTGATGATATTAATCGTACTGGCTTGAATTGGAAAAAATTGTCTGGGATCAGATATGTTAAACAGGTTGAAGTGGTGGAAGAACATAATCGATTGATTGTCTTTGCTGGTGACCAAATTGTTCAATTTGATTTTAATAATATTATTAAAAGTATTCTTGATACGAATTACCATTTGGTTGGGCACGATCTTAGTAACCAAAAGGTTTTATTTTTCAAAATGGGTTATATTAATGGAGAATGGTATTTGTTTTATCGTTATATCCCTGCAACCATTAAAAAAAAGGGCTTGGAGATGAATAATATCAATCAAAATCCTAGCAACTGTCATTTCAAGATTTTGAAGTTGAATCCTCGTGGAGAATTTGAAACTTTCAAGGAATTTGCCTTAAATGATATCAATTGTTTTGATGCCATTCTATTGAAAGACACCACCGATATGATTTATCTATCCACGAACAGGGGGTTTGCTAAACTATTATTGAAAACTATCACTTTGCTCCCACTTCAGATCATCCCAAGTTATGTTTACAATTCTCAGAACAATTATAGTTTAGACGATCGTATGTTTTTGCAGAAAATTGAGCAAAATTTGGGAAGCTCCAAACCAATTAAGATTATTGAAACCAATAATCCAGATGAATTGTTGTTAACCTTCGAAACATTTGCAATTTTCATCGATAGAAACACCGATTTGCTTTCAAGATTCGATATTATTCACTTCAATGTTAATGTTGAGAATATCGCATTCAAGAATAACGCGATTTTTGCAATCAGAAATAATGTTATTGAAGTCTTCAAAATCCATAATCATCGTGTCCTGGAAAATGGTCAAAGAAGCAACAAGTTTTTAAGCCATGAGCAGGTTGTTGTTGCTGAAAATATCAGTTTGATTGATTCCAGCTCGTCATCGATTACTGTCGTTTTAGATCATCCAACGGATGGTTCCTCTCATCAGCTAGTGTTGCAATTGGTTGAAAAGAAACAGAAAAAGGAGACACAAAAGGAAGTTATTCGTGTGCAACAAAGCTTAGTTTACCAAGCCGATAGTGACGGTAGTGACAGTGATGATAGTGATAGTGAAAGTTCTGAAAGTGAAAGTGAAGATCTGGAATCTGAAGGAGAAGATGATGATGATGGTTATAGTAACGATAAGCGCAAAAGCATGGCAAACAATAAGTCCAGGGAAAAGAAATTGGCTCTTGAGAAAATGAGAATTATGGATTCCAATACGAGATTACCAAACAACTGGATCTCTTTATGGGAACTAAACGTAAATGACTTCAATAGCAATTTCATCAAATGCCAAGAGCTTATTTATCAATTGATGAAAACCGAAGAAGAATTGAACTTTCAAGCAAAAAGTTTACACAGAAGTCTTGGATTTAAGTTTCTTAGTGATTCTGTGAACGATTCAATGATCTACCCAGACTCAAAAGATTCCATTTATCGTCACACGTTTGGTTGTTTGAACCCATTGATGAATTTACATGAAAAATTCTTATTGAGACCGATGCTTGAAATCTTGAATTTGAAAAGTAAAGAGTTACCATTGTATGACATCTTGACATTATACGATTCATGGATTAGTGAAGCTACCTTTATTTATCTGGAGTATGCCAGTAGAATGATCAAATCCGAATGGTTTTTCCAATTACAAGAACGAAACGAAAATGCCCAATTTTTGCACTGGTTGAACTTTGATCCAATCAAATTGAAAGAAAAATTGGAGCTTTTTTATACAAATTTGATTAACTTGGTGGATCATTTCCATATGATGATTCAAAATATTCAAATCAATAGAAATGTTGATTCTAATATCGAAATTTTTAAGATTGAAGCCATTGCCAACAAGATTCAATCTTTGCAAGAGTCGGTGGCTTTGAAATTAAAGACTGAAAAATTCTCAACAATCACAGAGTCTTTAAGTTGGGAAATTGAAGATGACTTAGCTAAAAAGAGTTTCTTATCCAACTGTGTGAAGAAAATGATCAAGTTTGATGAGATTTTCATCAAAGTAAATGACGGTCAAAATAAAATTTACAAGAAAAAAAGAATGATTATGTTGTTTCCAAATTGGTTGTTGATCATCAAATGTTACAAGGATCAGAAAGTGTTTAAGGTTGTGGAAAACCCTTTGAATTTGGACACTATTTCTTTTGAATATTCAAATTCAGACCATAATGCTATTAATGTTTATAACAATGGAGGTAAAATTTTGTACAAGTTTGGTTTTGGCAGTAGAATCGAAAAGAAGGAGTGGTATGATGCTTTTGCCGCTAGGGAAGAAAATAAATGAGACTATGAATTTGTTGTTTGTTTTTTGATGTCTGTTTAGTTATATTATCTCTTTTTTTTTTTTATTTGTTCATATTATTATTATTATTATTTTCAATTAACGACTTTTCTATTCAATTATTCAACAATGTATGTGCTAATTGTGTTTATCCTAGAAGCAGAAAAGGAAGCTTAGACAGTTGAGCTTCCATCTTTTTTGATCCTACGTAATTTTAATTTTCTTTGAAATCATTTCTATCATTTATTGTTTTTGCAGGAGAGTTCTCGTTTTCATCATCTTCATTTTCTAAGTTTGATTATCCAATTTCTGCAAATCTTAATTTGGTACTTATAGAAATGGTATAGTAATTGAATTGGGTATGCATATGTCGTACATGTTCTCTGCAACTGCAATAATTTCACATTCATACTCTCAACCATCATCTCCAAGATGTTCAAGAGAACAACATTATTTTTTTTTTTCAAATTCTGTTTCATCAATTGTTCCATTGATGAGAAAATTAATTTTTCTGAAGGGATCTTTGGCGTCACTATTTGAGATTAATGATAATGCCACAGTAGTTCGAAAGCTAATACTTTCATGATTGATGGAATAATCATTAAAATATCCAATGCTTTCTAAATACTTTGTTTTCTCATCATCTAGCATTTCCAGAATATTTTCCAGAATATCCACTGTTTCCCACTTGTTGGAATCAGATAAAATAAATCCATACTCAGCAAACAAAAAAGCATTGGAATGAGCCCCATAACTAAAATATAGTTCCTGAATCTCTTCATTAGAGGTTCTATAATTAGGATTTTCACCCGATGTGAAAACCGAAAACAGTGATTTATCAATCTTTATAGACGAACTGTTGGAATGAGAATCATCACAATGATTAATGAAATCTACCAATGGACATAATGTAAAGTTATCATCGATGGTCTTATTATCAAATTTCAGCGGTAACTCCATATAAAGACACCGTGAGTTGATGCAAAGCCAAGACCAAAGAAATTTTTCCATTGGAATAATATCCTGGATTTCGGTTTGGGATAACGTGCACCTCTTTTTGATCAAAGATATTATAGTTTGATAATCATTTTTGAATTTATAATACTGCTTCTTAACATGTATCTGCATACTAAATGGAAGCAAAGAAATTAAAGGATTCTTCATCAACAAATTTGAATTTTCTATATCTGATAAAACTCCACAGTCATCAATATCTTTGTGATTATTAATTTTGTCAAGGTTGTCGCCATCAATTGAGAATTCCAAGTTACAAATTTCCCAAGTTAATGGAATCCCGTAAAATGTTGGTAGTTTGGGTAGTACTTGAAGGAAAGGAGACCAAAAACTCGACTTTCTTTGACTTTCTATTACCAAATAGAATGTCACCAATTGAAAAGATGATAAGGCATAAAGATCACTGGCCTCTAGCTTTGAGTAAATGTTTCTCGAGAATTCATCATTTTCCAAAGAGCCCGGTAATTTAATAGAATTGTAATCCAAAGAATTAAACAAAAAGCAGTCTTGAGACCCTTTATATGATAGTATATGCTTAGAACAACTCAAATAGTTTATTAGCAACGATTTGGGGAGACTAATAAGAAGTTCACGTGGTGAAAATTGTGTTGAAGAGTTATAATAAAGACCATAGCCCGATGATTCAAAATATTGTACTTGTAGTTTAGACGAGAATTTTAGATTAGATTTGGCTTCCGGATCATTTTCTCGTAGCCATAGAAGTAAGCCATTAGTATCCATAATAGATTATAAATAATTATGCGAATGTTGAGATAGGAAAGCAACTACTTTCTTGTAAAGTGAAAAGATCTATGAGGATATTTATTCAGCTTGATCATGTGTATTTACACGTGCATATTTTAAAGGGCAAAAGTTGGCAGCCATTTATCTTCAATTTGAGCAGTTGTTGTTATTCTTTTTCTGATTCTCTGGTTAACATGAAACTGTAGTCGATTTGGAGTGAAAACTGGTTTCCATCCATAATGTAAATGAAGACTGAGTCATGTTTAATGTATGGTAATGTCTATCAAGTGAGCCCAACATCGCCCCCAAAATTGTTAGCAAGTACAGTAGTGTCAAGGCAGGGCATAATGGAAATCATTCTAATTAAAGATTATTATCCTCTTTGCTTTACCAGCTCCTAAGAATCTGTTACCTATAATCTCATTGGATGGCGATAACAGTACAAACCTGTAATGAAAGTAGCATGTCTAAAGACAATTACCTCAAGTCGTTAGCGCTGTCTTGAGTAACAATTTCAAATAAATGAAACCCAAAATAAAATCATTAACATTTATTATTCTTAAAATAATAAACAATTGAGAGAAAATATGGAACTCACATTGTTCGAAACCTTCCTTCATTCCATCCACACACACACACACACACACACACACACACACACACTGGCTGATGTTAGAAAATCAAACATCCATACACCAACTGCTCAGCTCATCCTGCAAAAAAGTTTTATATACCCAAAAATAAACCAACACTGGACGCTTATCCTTCATCGAATAATTATAACAGGCACCCGCCATTCATGAACCCAGATAGTTTTATAAATTACGGAGTGGTAAGCGGGACTGATACGTCTGCAGATCAGACACATCTTCCTCCTAATAATGAGTTCTCTCCGTTCCAGTTTGCCAACCAAATATCACCACCTCAACAACAACAGCAACAACAACAGCAGCAGCATATAGGCAACGATGTACATAGCCTTAATGGGCAGATGAACCTGATTCACAATAACATAGGTCATCAATTTCAACAACAGCAATTTATACACCAGCCGTTTCCTCTTCATCAGCAAAATTTCGGACCAACTTCCCAGCCTTTCTACCCTTATGTTATTGGTCAACAACACCAGCAACAACAACAACAACAACAACAACAACAACAACAACAACAACAACAACAACAACAACAACAGCAACAGCAGCAGCAGCATCAGCAAAACCAGCAACTACTACAGCAAAATCCACCACCACCACAACAACAACAACAGCAGCAGCAGCAGCAGCATTTCCAACCTCAGAATCAATCGCAGCAGCATCAAATCAATGATAATTATTATCAAATGATAAACAGTATGATGGATTTCAATAATCAGCACCAAATGCCTGCACCAGGTATTAATTTGAATAATTTTCCTAATCAAGAACAGCAATTTCAACTAAACTCATTTATACCTAATCTGGTTTCTGGCCATTCGCTGGCGAACACTGTGGCCAACGACAATGATAATAGTGACAGTAATGATGAAATAGTTGACATAACCGATGATGTTCAAAAAGATCCGGGGCTATTGGGAGCTGATTTTTCTTTATCTAACGATGCTAGCCAAGTGAGATTAGACATTGAAAAGTATAATAAGATAATACAACAACGAACTTTAAATGGTATTCTAAATAACACTTTTGCCACAGTGCCCTCAGGATCTACGGTGCCTTTGCCATCGCTTACAGCCATTAATTCTCCTATTAATCCTTCTTCTACTATTACTACTAATGCTAATAATATTAATATTAATAACTCCCAATTTAATAATATAAACTCTGGCCAATTGGCGCCGCTTACTGGCCAATTTAGAGCTGAAAAACCTTCTCAAACAATTAAAGTTAAAAGCTCTATACCGACAGGTGCTTTTGCTCCAAAGAATTTTAAAAAGAAGGACATAAAAGCGAAGAAAGATCAACTAAGCCCAACAGTTACCCCACAGGTGATTGTTCTGAACACGACTTTCAGGATAGATGATAATATCAAATTAGATGAAGTGTTTTTGAAGAGGATAGACTCATTACCAAATCTATTATCAAAGCTGTCAACAGGTATAAATGATTTGAAACTATTTTTACTTGCTAATATTAAACATTTTATTTCGAATGATCAGGAAGCGCTCATGAACCGACTTGCTTTGACATTGACATGTTTTGAAAGAGAGATTTGGGGTCAAAATCCGGATTGGAGATTTGTTTGTTTGCAACAAATTCAAGAACTAGCGAAACTCTTCGCCAACGTGTCAAAGAATAATTCTGGGATTAATTTCAATTTAAAATTTGGTAAGAAAAATAAGCTATTTAATAGAATTTCGAATTGGTTAAGGTTTGATATCACGAAAAATAATTTTGACAATTTGCGGTATACTCTTGAATTTTTGAAAACTGTTAGATTGAGTCAGTTAGGATTAGAAAAATTCAAGCTCGTTGTTCCTTTGAAGAAATTGCAAGTTTTAGAAAATCAAGAAGAAATCAGAAGAATTACAAATGAGATTTTTAGCATTGCAAGGAAAAGTACTGCTGGTGCATCGGACAAGGAAAATGGGCAGTCCATGAAAAAAGTTAATGTTGCTTCAAACTTAATTAATGATAGTGAGAAGTCAATCAATAAACCGAAGCCAATGAAATCGTCATTATTTAACAAGTCTGTCAGCGCCACTAAGCTCGTAAAGCCTGCTGACTCCAAGAAGAGACCAGCCAACACCAGCTTGTCTAATCCAAGAGGTAAAAAACCAACACATTCACATACATCGTCAACATTTGGACAATCAGAAGCAATCAAGAAGTCTACCAGCTTCGCTCTGTTTTTACCTGCGAAAAATTCTAGTGATGTTGACCGACCAAGTAAAACCGGCAACTCTAATGTTCAAGAAATGGACAAGGTTAATATTGTTGAAGTTGATGAACCAGCCTCTGTTTATGAGGGTGTGAAGAGTATTTTACGGCGTAAAACTGATAAATCGACCACAAAACGTAAACGAAGACCAGTCTCTTTACAATGGAAAGATGATAATGAAGGGTTGGTGCAAGTTAAGTTTTTTGATTTTGATCCAGATGAAAGAAAGTTGTTGGGAGTTCAAATTCCTGGCATTATGGGAATAGAAAAGTTTAGTAAGAGAACTAATACACCAGGTAATGAGAATATCATACCTTGGACTGTCAATGATGGCCAGGCATCACAATTATCACAACAAATAACACCATCGTCACCACCACCTCCACCACCACCACAACAACAACAACAACAACAACAAAAACAGCAGCAGCAACAGCAAGAAAAGCAAGAAAACAAGGAAAAGCAACCACCAACTCATGTACCATTCTCTGCTCTGCAAACACCGGAAGTTGTAGCCGCTTTACTTCCTATAGAGGAAGATGGTAAAGTTATGTGGTGCGTACCAATAGAATTTGATTTCACTAATATACCATGGTACGAATATAACGAAGATAATTCTGAAACTCGGGCTGGTGGCAAAATTCCTGTTAAATCAGATGAAAGAGAAGTTCAATTAAAAAGAGAAGCTGTAGTTGATGCCGTTGACAATAAAGAAGATAACCCAAGTGAGCCGCATAATGGGGGTATCAATGGCTTGACACCTGACGGGGGGAATGGATTGGTATTACATCCAAAGAACATGGTGTCTTTTGGTGCTGTGGGACTTTTGTGACCGATAGAATATGTAGTCTAATATATTATATTTATTCGTTATATGTTTTTGATTTGTAAAATATTTTAAGCCAAATGTTTATCACCAACCCCCAACCATTTCACATGCAGGATGAAAAACAAACAAAAAAAAAAAAGACAACAGAAAAACACAACAAATTAATTAATTAATAACAATAATACCCCAAGAGAGCGAGATTACCTTAGAAAATAACAAGCAAATTATAGAGTCTTTTCCGGTTTAATATCAAATCTTCAAGGCCTTTCCTCCCAATTCTTTTTTTTTTTTTTTTGGTTTCCCAAATTGTTTTTTCTGTTAGCGTGTACCGGTTCAATTTCTGTCAAATAATTCGCATCTCTGGATCGTTACCTCAAGATGGACTTTCTCTGGTCCTATTTTCGAATCCTTTTTTCCATGTTGCTGTACCTGTCAAATATTGATGAGACTCGGAGCCATAAAAGCGATTCTAAGATTCCTGACATTCAGCGGCCAGCCGCAAGAATGATTCGAACTCAATTGATCATTGCCGTCGTTCTAGGTCTCTTGAATTTCACAATGTTTTGCTTCTTGAGGAAAAAATTTCCAAAATTATATTGCGCCAGGATCCTCAAAAGAAGTGGTTTACCTTATATTCCAAAAAATTCGCTATTCAAATGGGTGAAAGTAGTGGTACATGATATCAATGAGAAGCAAATCCTTGAACATGCTGGTCTCGATGCATTTGTGTTTTTGAACTTCTTTAAGATGGCCATAAAGATATTGGCTGCGTGTTCTTTCTTTGGTTTCTTTGTCATTTCTCCTATTCGTTATCATTATACTGGTGGTTATGATCAAGGCGATGATCTAAAGCGTTCCGCTGGCAATGGTGGTGCTAACAGCCCAGAAGAGTATGAAGGTTATTTGTGGATGTATGTTGTTTTCACATACACCTTCACTATTGCTATTGTTTGGACTCTATATCGGCAAACGAATCATGTTTTATCAGTTAGACAAGAGTATCTTGGGAAACAAAATTCTATTACTGATAGAACTATCAAATTATCAGGAATTCCTCCAGATCTCCGGAACGAGATAAAATTGGCAAAGCACATTGAATCCTTAAATATTGGAAAAGTATTTTCGGTAGTTATTTGTCGTGAATGGAAGCCGTTGAATAAATTGTTCGATCAAAGAAAAAAAAAATTACAACAATTAGAAAAACAATGGAGTGCATATCTTACTCAATTGGACATTAATTTGAAAAAAGATTTTTCGTTCCAAGGCCTAGACAATGGTATATTTGCCTTGAAAAAATCAATTAATGAGCCTTATATAGACGAAGCAGTAGATTATCCTAGTACCATTGAGCATATTATCAATGGACTTTCGAATGGCGCTAACTATGGAAATGATGAAAATGATGATTTTGATGAAGAAAGTGAATTATTGAATAGAAGAGTGACTTACAGTAATAGCATTCATAATATTGACGATGCTAATTCCACAATAAGCGCCGGGGTTATAAATTTGGCACAATCTCAGCTCGAATTAAAGCGTCCAAAAATAAGAATTGGTTGGTTACGCCCAAAAAAGGTCGATGCAATTAACTACCTAACTGACCAATTGAACTCAATAGACTCTCAGATTAGAAAATCTAGACTAGAATACTATTCTCCAACTCCAACTGCTTTTATCACAATGGAATCTGTCGCATCAGCACAAATGATGGCCCAAGCAGTATTGGACCCACATGCAAACTTCTTGACCACTGAATTGGCTCCAGCTCCTCACGATGTGCTCTGGGGTAATGTTTGTTTATCTAGAAAGGAAAGGCTCGCAAAATCATATCATATCACAATAATTATTTGCATCATTAGTATCGCGTTGATATTTCCAGTGACATATTTAGCTGCTTTGTTGAACACTAAAACCATATCCAAATTCTTCCCTGAATTGGGAGAGTTTTTAAAGAATCATAAGCTCGTGAAGAACTTTGTTACCGGATTATTGCCAACCTATATTTTCACCTTGTTAAACGTAATTATTCCATTTCTATTTGTGTTGTTGTCATCAAAACAAGGATTTGTTTCTCATGGTGAGCAGGAGCTATCCTCAGTGTCCAAAAACTTCTTCTATTTGTTTGTTAACATGTTTTTAGTTTTTACTCTAGCTGGTACTGCTTCCAATTATTGGAGTTTTTTAAGTGATACTACCAAGATTGCAAAACAATTGGCCACTTCACTCCGTGATTTGTCTTTATTTTATGTTGACTTAATCATTTTCCAGGGACTTGGGATGTTTCCATTCAAATTGCTATTATTTGGAGCAACTTTCAAATTCCCATTCTTTTATTCGAGCTGTACAACGCCACGAGAGTTTAAAACTCTATATAATCCTCCAATATTCAATTTCGGTTTGGCATTGCCTCAACCTTTATTGATTTTAATTATCACCATAATTTATTCGGTGATGTCCACTAAAATTCTAATCAGTGGATTGGTGTATTTCATTATTGGCTACTATGTTTATAAGTATCAGCTCATGTATTCAATGGTTCATCCACCCCACTCAACAGGAAAGGTATGGCCAATGGTTTTTAGAAGAATCATATTGGGATTATTGATATTTCAATTGACGATGGCTGGTTTATTAGCTTTGCAAAATGGATTCATATTGGCGATTTCTCTAACACCATTGCCTTTCATTACTTTTGGCTTCCTCTACGACTTCCAAAAGCATTTTGCCCCATTATCTTATTTTATTGCTTTGAGATCAATTAATCAAAACGACTCATTGGAAAGTCAGTCGCGTTATTCTGAGACACCTGAGACTTTGGCAAGTGAAAGCTCTGATAATGACAAACATGGAAAAGCGTCGATTGAACCCGGAACAATTCAAGATGTTATTAGTGAAAATGAAGATTTTGGAATAGCATCGTCAGATTTGGGGCATAATATTCTTGAACAAAATGCGTCATTTTCCAGTGAATTCTTGTCGTCAACTGATCTGAATCGGTTTGACTTTCTGAGAAATCAAAAAAAATCTAATCATTTCGGGAAATCTAACGCGTACCCGCATTTGAAATCTGTTTCGCGGGCCCCAATGGGTGAGAAAACCTTAGACGAGATTAGAGAAAAGAATTCCACTTATGAGTATCCATATTTAATTCAATGTTTAGATGGCCCATGGATAGCGTTTGATGGAAATGAAATTGTCATGCTAAACGATGGGATTACTACCCACAAAAAAATTGAGTTTTTTGAATGGGAGTAGTTACTTAGACAGGAATTGAATCCATTAAAAGTTTTACGTTTTATATTAATCTCTTGATAGACGCTGTTTAGATCTTTTTTTGTTTGTTTGTTTGTTTGTTTGTTTTGTATTATTCTCTTGGTGCTTTTCTTTTATTTCTTAATTAATTAATTTTTATCAGTTATTTTTCCGTTAGCTTACTTAATGATGCCTTTGTATTGATCTAATAAATATATATATCTAAGTTGGCAAACCATTAAGGTGTGATATGCACATTGCAATACATATATCTGCGTTGTTTTCAGGATTTTTGGGAAAAAAAAAATTTTAACTCATCACCGTCTACCAGTGTTTATGAAATAACTCAAATTCAAGAATATTGAAAATGCTAAGGGCAAGAAGCCTTTTCGGTATCTCTGAAAGACTACCCATAGCTTCCAATTATTTAAGCCTAAAGGCACATAAAAGCTTCTCAAGTTCTTCATGTTTTTTGAATCAACCCAATAGTGCCACAAATGAATCGAAAATTATTGATGAAAACCCCGAATCGGAAGTAGCGGTGATCGATGAAGCTTCCTTCAGCAGCTCCAAAATCAATCATATTTTTGATGTTATCGATAACAAGAGGGAACTATCCCAAGTCCAGCCTGATGAAGACTCAAATGCAAATAAAAAACTATTAGCAGACTACAACTCACAAGGGTCTAATTTGATAATATTAAGAGACGTTAGTTCTTTCAAGCGTTTACCTAAATATATTGTCAAGTATAAGGATAATGCGAAAGCTGAAAAAAAGAAGAATGGGGGTAAAACAAAAGGAAGAAAATCAGACAACCAACAAGATGACGTTGCTGTGAGTAGTGCTCTTAAATCCAGAGGTAGTAGTAGTGGCCTCAATGTTTACCATCATCTAATGGACAAAGTTGATGAGCAAAACGATATATTGCCATTTGTGAAGGGAAACAGTGACAACGATTTACTACAATCAATCACTGAACTTAAACCAAAAGTCAAAAAAATTTCTCCAAAAGATTATAAGGAGCTTTATGATACGATATATAAGAGTTACACTAAAGTGAATCTTATGGACTACGTCAAAAAATTGCAAGGGTTTCCAATAGCCAAAAGCAAAGTAAAGAAAGTAATTATTGAGAAGATTGTTAAAGAGCTTTGGAATGTGGAAACTGATTTCAATGTTAAGAGTCTTCAAAACGGGTCTGGAATGGCAGAAAAAATCCAAACCAAAACATTTGATGTAAATGATAAAATTTCATTTTTTCTACTCAGTGAAAGTGGTCGCCTTCTTTTCAAGTATACTACGAATTTCATTAATATCATGTTTAACAGAAACGAAAGTGACAAAAAGTTGGTTGTTCAAGCAACTGGCTTGAGGTTGAACTGGTTTGAGGCTGATTTGAATAAAATTCTATCATCATTAAAGAAGCAATTCGTTGATTTGGGCGCTCTTAATAGTTTCTTCAACAAAGATAAGAATAATGTTAAACAAGTTTTACCATTAGATTATATTCAAAAAGTTTCAGATGTGTATTTTGAAAAAGTTGCTCAATTTGGTTACATCTTGAACGCGCGTTACAATCGCGCAATTCAAAAAGCTCAACGTTTTTTGGTGTGGTTCTTAAATTATAATTCCCATTTGCTTACCAACACTAGCAATTTCCAATCATTAATTTCAAGTTCAGACCTCAAAAAGTCGTTGAGATTTTATAGGTTTGCTGACTACATGTCTTTACCTTGGATTCACAGATCCAAAGTTTGGTATAGACTTCGGGCTCCTACTTTCAATAAAAGCTATAAGAAGGGGCAGGCATTCAAGACTCGGGAAATCAGCTTGAGCGATAAGCAAATTGATGAGGTTTATGATTCGTTATTCAAGTCTAATTTATCTGGCGAAACTGTCAAGGGCTTGCCAAGTGCAAAATGGAATAAACCTGACTTGACTGCTACTTTTGGGCAGTTATTAGTTGATGAAACAATGAAAAATGAAGCTTTAAAGAGTTTGAACAGTGATGCCGCTGGAATTATGGAAATCAGTTCTAACGATGCCGTTGATTCTTCAAGACCATACATTTTCTCGACATCTTTGCCTGATATTAAGAAGGAGGCTTATAAATTGCCAATGTTTTATCAAAGTGAGGCGGACACTGACATGGGTATGACTGAGCATGAAGATAACCATTCATATTATGTTCAAATCAAGTTTTCCCCAAGCCCTTTCGTTGATATTACCACATCAGAGGAAGATAGTGGAAATCTTATGAAAACTGAAATTGAGAACTATTCCAAATACCCACCAATCGAAGCCTGGGTGGAAATCAATGGAAAAGATGAGGTTCAATGGGATACTTTGTCAGTGATGACGGTTGAGAAAGAATCTAATGTTTATGTGAATTTCCCTGACAAGACTTCGGATTTAAATTTGAGCAGTGCAACTACAGGTAATTTGATCGATTTAACAACGGAAAGAACCGAAAATGAACCTTTTAATATAAATGAAGCTTTGAGAAAGCAGCCGGATTTGCTCGAATATTTCAAGGCTAGTGATCTCTCTTATCAAAAGAGAGATTTTAGACTTGAAGACAATGTGAAAATCTTTTTTGAAAACGAGGGTAGAATAACCCCAGTGGAGTATATGTTCATTAATGCTTGTTTCAGAAAACAATTGAACCTAGAATATAATAATGGTTATTTGTTGCAATTATCTAGTATTGAAGGAGGATTTCTTGGTGGATCAAGGGTTGAGGTAAGTTTGGTGAATTATAGAAAGGAAGGAGAGGAAGATATTGGTGGTCAGGAGTCTGCTGAAGAAAATGATAATGGTGAAATATCAAGGGAAGAGTTTGGGAGTTTGTTGAGGGAGTCCTTGAAATTCATAAACTCTGTCTCGACGAACTAAAACTAATGATGATTACGATTGTTTATATCTAAAGGTTCTTGTAAATAAAAAATTAGTCTCTATATTTTCTTTTTCTTTTTTTTTTTTTTTTTTTCTTTCTCAATATTATTGTAATAGTATACCCAGTCTTATTAGCTGCCAATGACCTTTTCCAGAGCGATATCGTCATCCAATACTTATATTGGTCATATTGTTAGTGAAAGCTTGGTTTCACAGGATTTTAATATATTTTCTTCATTTCAGCAAACATTATTGATGTTTAATTTCCCGTGGCTTATGAATTTAACTCTAACCAATAAATCAAATGATCCATAGTAATATCAACGTTGTGAAACACAGTAGGGACACAAATAGTGATGGCATAAAACGAAACGGCAATAAGGGAGGCTTGAACTAGCATATTTTATGGCGGAATTCTTCCATAAAATAGTCAAATGAAGAAAAGGCAAACTATTTCAGCACTCTTGCACAGGATAGAAGAAGTCAAACAGCAAATTGGATTCTCTGGGGACAATAAAAAAAAAGAAGAGGGGAAAAAAAATTAAGGAAATCCAGCTAAAAAGTACTGAAGCACAATAAATGACTAGAGTCCAAACATTGTGAGCAAGAACCTCAACCACGTGTGAGAGCTAAAAAATGTTTATGTATGCAGCGGCAGTTTGTACAAGATCTCGACATGCATGAAAAAAATCAATTTATATAAAAGAGCTAATGAAACAGAGAAATCAAAGTAAAATAACATGAAAGAGGTCGAAAAATATGGGAAAGAAGAAAAACTAACCAAGTATATTGAGCGTCTTGCAAACTGAGAAATTTATGGAGAATGAGGATTACGTTCACCTTATAAAAGGGAGACACCGACAGGGAAAATAATGCCACATGCAATAAAGATCTTGCTCAAACTTCTTTGGGAAGAAGCAATACCTGAATATGATTCAATGGTTACATTTGGAGTGACAGACAGAGATGATGACTCAATTTCTGGGGGAGGTGTGCTTGAAAGGCTACATCCATGAGAACAAGAGGTGATAGTCTCAGTAACGGTATCCATTAGGCTTTCTGTGGTATACTCAGCTTGTATTTGACCATCCGAAATTTGGCTTACCAAAGCAGCGGTTGTAACAGGAGTGTGTGTGGTAATAGCAGTGGCAGCATCACTGGTAGTATCATTGACAACAGCTGAACTGGTTGGAACGATAATGGTACTATGATAGGCAGCAACTGAGCTGGTTGGAATGGTACTGGTAAAAGTAGATCCACCAACAGTAGTTGTGGTTTCGGTACCTACCGAATAAATAGATGAAGCAGTAACATCCACATAGCTAGTAGTTACATCATCATCATCATCATCATCATCATCACCTGCTTCAATAGTGGATGTAGCATCATAGTCGGTAATTGATAAGACGGTGGTCGAGGAAAGGGCGCCATATATGGTGGTTTCTGCAGCTAACACGATAGAAGCAGTGATAGTAGGCGCAAGAAGTTTCTTGGTGAATTGCATGTTTAATGAATAATTTGGAATAACAGAAGAAATATAAGATTTTTAAAAGAGTGTATGGGGTTGGAGGCTTAAAGAAAGTTTAGGAAGATAATATTAGCACATCTAACAGTGGGTTATATCAAAGAGCGAATGACGGAGGAAATAAGTTAAAGTCTAAATGTAAAAGAAAGTGGTGAAAAGTAAAGGAGAAAAAAGGCGTGAATCGCTCGATCTTATATATCTCGACGGGATTATTGTTAACTTATTCATCAGATATTGCAAAAGAAAAAGGGCTATTATCCGTGGTAGGTTCCATTTCACAGGGGTCAATGAAGTGAAATGGGCGTGATGAAGGAGCAGTTTGGTTGGCCTTTATGATACACAAAGGGACACAAACACGCTTCTCGATTAAATCAGGGGTTTGTGGGGGTGCCCTGAAAAAAAAAAAAAAAGGGATCGCCTGGAACCATACCATGGCAATGGTGCACTCTTTTGGAATGCTTTTTGTCAGTGATCACGTGGAACAGCGAATAAAAAGGATGAAGAGTTATTTATTACTTATACTATAACAATACTTATCTTCACTGATTTCGCGTTAGCGATAGTAGTAAGAAAGTCTAATAGCTATTAAATTAATTAGTCTCTAGCTATTTGATGAACTCACAACTTAACGAATGGTTCGGGATGTAGCAACTTGCTATAACACTAGCTTCTACAGGTATAAACACAGTAAGGTATGTGATATATAAATAAAATGGGTGAATAATAAATTGATTATTATGAGTTAACATAATGATGGGTTAAGAATCATCAACGATAAAAAATGAGGACAACAAAATGAGATGAAAGTAGGGTGATTATAATCGTACTATGTATGATAGTACAATGCCAAATAAAATATAACATAAAATAGCCACAGGATATAATAATACTAATCAGAAGCAAATGCCATTAGGTGGCATTGAGCTTGAAATTTTCAGGAGCTCACAGCGCCGGCGGTACTATCCGAAAAGATCCCCTTCTCTACTAAAGATCTAATGACAATCAACATTAGGAAGCAATCATATAATAATCTATGTGCCAGAGACTGATTATTGAATGGACTGCTTGTAATGAGTAAGTAAGTAACTGTACCATAACAAATTAATATTTCAGGATTTCCCGCTGACAAGTTGGCACCATGCATAATTCCCCCAGCGTGTGCCACAAAAACAAATAAAAGAACACAAAAGCAAATTTGTGGCATCCCAAAAAGAAGAAAAAGAACAAAACAAACATGTTCTAAATTTTACTCTTTTAATTTATATCTTGGTTTTTTTTATATTTTATTAATCAACGCTCATAAGCAAATATTCCTCCGATATTCCCAGTGATGGCTGACACAAGAATCACTGAGACCGATGATGATGACGGCAGCGGCATGATCGATGTGCTTCGTGATATCTATGGAGAAGATGAGCATGCGGATTATGATCTGGAATTTGAAAGATATGACATCCCTGAAAATAATAATGAAAACAATCACCTGGAAACTCACTCGAGACTTTTCCTTTATAGAAGTTGTAAATACCCAGCTTACTGTGAAGAAAATGATCAGTCAATTACTCAACAAGAGATTGAAAAAATATTTTTGCGATTGAAAGATTTTTTCGGATTTCAAAGTGGCTCAATGAAAAACATGCTTGATCATTTTATGGTGCAATTGGATTCAAGGTCTAGTAGATTAACGTGTAAAGAGGCATTGGTCACTTTGCATGCTGATTATATTGGTGGCGATAATGCCAACTACAGGAAATGGTACTTTTCTGCAATGCTTGATGTTGATGGACTTGACGATTTGACTTTATCAAAAACAGAGGAGCTAACTGAGGAGCAAAAAAGAACAATTTATAAGCTCAGTACCACCCTTGAAAATCGAAGCAGTGACGAGATTTTAACTACTGAGATTATAAGAAATGATTTGAAGCACAAAAACTTCAAAGAAATTGAATATAGTTGGAAGCTTATGAATAATTCTTTGACTCCAGAGCAGTTAGTTGAGCAGATTGCCCTTTATCTTCTTATTTGGGGTGAGGCAAATCAGATCAGATTCACTCCAGAGACCTTGTGCTTTATTTATAAATTGGCATATGACAAGTACAAATCAAAAAAATTACTGGAAAATATTGAAACTGTCGCAGATGGGAATTTTTTAGAAAATGTAATTAATCCATTATATGCTTTCATCAAAATGGAAACTTACAAAAAATATGATGGGAAATTCATGAAGCGGGATCGTGACCATAAAAAGGTTATTGGTTATGATGATGTTAATCAACTATTTTGGTATAAAAAAGGTTTGAAAAGAATTTTAGTAAAGGAAAATAATCGAAAGTCCAGGTTACTTGATTACGAAAAAGGCCAAAGATATGACAAGTTGCCCAATGTTGTTTGGAAAAAGGCATTCTATAAGACTTATAAGGAGAGCAGAACTTGGATGCATTTGTTTACCAACTTTAACAGAATCTGGATAATTCATTTATCAACTTTTTGGTATTACACTATCTTTAATTCTCCAACCTTGTACACCCCGAAATACGTTCAAACTCTTGACAACAAGCCTTTGCCTCAAGTGACTTTCTCAATATTATCTCTTGGTAGTAGTATCGCCTGCTTGATCCAATTCATTGCTACTATTTCTGAGTGGTTCTTTGTTCCACAAAAGTGGCCGGGGGCACAAAATCTTTCTGTTAGATTCTTTTTGTTATTGGTTATCTTTTTTGTGAATGTTGCGCCATCTTATTATATTTTGGTACATGTACCAATCGATACCTATTCGAAATCAGCACACATTTTATCAATTGTGCAATTCATCATTTCTATTTTAACTTTCACTTTTTTCGCTTCGAGGCCTCTTGGTGCGCTATTTGGGTCCTACTTGAACAATTCAAGTAGTCATATTGGAAAATATTATGCTTCAAATGAGTTTACTGCCGCTTTCCCAAAGTTAGCGCCTGCTGACAAAACATCATCATACATTCTTTGGGTAGTAATATTTATCTGCAAATTTACAGAGTCATATTATTTCTTGACATTGTCTATCAAGGATCCTGTTAGAGTGCTATCAATAATGAGAATGACCAGATGCGTTGGTGAAATTTACTATGGCAATCTCATCTGCACTTATCAACCTTTAGTGGTTTTAGTATTGATGTATATAATTGACTTGATTTTGTTTTTCTTGGACACTTACCTTTGGTATATTATATGCAATTGCGTTTTTTCCTGTGTTTCTTCTTACAAAGCTGGTTTCTCTGTTCTTAGTCCATGGAAAGATCAATATGGCTCTTTGCCTGAAAGAATTTATACTAAGATTCTCGCTACAGCAGAAATAGAAGTCAAGTATAAGCCAAAGATTCTTATTTCACAAATTTGGAACTCAATAGTGATAACCATGTACAAAGAGCATATTTTGACCTTGCCATATGTGGAGAGACTTTTGTATCGTCAAATTGAATCAGAAACCGAAGGAAAAATGGCGTTGAAAGAACCAGCTTTATTCATCACTAAAGGAGAAGGAAAAAATGACATGGGCCTTGCTTATGTTCCTAAAAATTCTGAAGCTGAAAGGCGATTATCATTTTTTTCAAGATCGTTAGCCAGTTCAATGTCGGATCCCATTCCAGTTGAGCATATGCCAACCTTTTCCGTGTTAGTTCCTCATTACTCTGAGAAAATAATATTAACTTTGAAAGAAGTGATTAGAGGGTCTGATGATCACTCTAAAGTTAGCTTATTGGAATACCTCAAGATTTTGTACCCACTTGAATGGGATTGCTTCGTTAATGATACAAGAATAATAGCAGGTCAAAAGCTTGAGGAAGAACGAAAGAAACAAAACGAAAGCTATTTCTATAATTATGTCAGTACAGAAAAGGAAAGCATTGAAAATCCATATTGGAGTAAAGTTCTTGACAAGCCATTTTTACTTGTAGGTTACAAAAGTGAGATTCCAGAATTCACACTCAGAACAAGAATTTGGGCATCTTTGAGGTCACAAACGTTGTATAGAACTATTTCGGGCTTTATGAATTACGCTAAAGCCTTAAAGTTGCTTTATAGAGTAGAAAATCCAGAGTTGATTACTCGAGCAGTGGAAAATGGAACAGATTTTGAAAAAGATATTGAAACTATGGCCTTCAGGAAATTTAATATGATGGTGTCAATGCAAAGATATCAAGAATTTAATACTGATGAGATTGAAAGTACAGACTTTTTGTTAAGGGCATATCCATACTTAAAGATCGCATATTTGGAAAAAGTTCCATGTGAATCACAAAATGAATGGGATGATAGTTATAAATATTATTCATGCTTGATAGATGGAAAAAGTGAAATAGATTCCAATGGCAGAAGGATCCCATATTATAAAATCCAGCTTTCCGGGAATCCTATTCTTGGTGACGGCAAAGCAGATAATCAAAACCATGCCCTAATATTTTACAGAGGTGAGTATATTCAAGTTATTGACGCCAATCAGGATAACTACTTAGAGGAATGTTTGAAAATTCGATCTGTTTTATCTGAATTCGAAGAACTCAATGGTTTGAATGTCAATCCATATATACCTGATCTGAAACAAGAAACTAAAATTCCAGTTGCAATAATTGGAGCAAGGGAATATATTTTCTCTGAAAATACTGGTGTTTTGGGAGATGTTGCGGCTGGGAAAGAGCAAACATTTGGGACTTTGTTTGCGAGAACTTTAGCCATAATTGGTGGAAAACTTCATTATGGCCATCCAGATTTTTTGAATAGTATTTTTATGACCACAAGGGGAGGGATTTCTAAAGCCCAAAAAGGGCTACATTTAAATGAAGATATCTACGCAGGAATGACTGCAGTTTGTCGCGGTGGTAGAATCAAACACTGTGATTACTATCAATGTGGAAAAGGTCGTGACTTAGGGTTTGGATCCATCCTTAACTTCACAACTAAAATCGGCGCCGGAATGGGAGAGCAACTACTCAGTAGAGAATATTACTATATGGGTACGCAGCTACCGTTGGACATATTTTTGTCTTTTTATTATGCCCATGCTGGTTTCCACATTAACAACTTGTTGATCATTTTATCAGTGAATTTGTTTATGTGTGTTGTGGTGAATTTAGGAGCACTCAATCACGAGTCTATTAAATGTATATATAACAAAGATGTTCCTATAACGGATATCCAAATACCGTTGGGGTGCTATAATATTCAACCAGTTTTGGATTGGGTCACTAGATTTGTATTGTCAATTTTCATCTGCTTCTTTATCGCATTTTTGCCGTTGATTCTTCAAGAGTTTACGGAAAGGGGACTTTGGAAAGTTATCACTAGGCTCACATCCCACTTCTTATCTCTATCACCAGTTTTCGAAGTCTTTGCATGCCAAATTTACTCCACTTCCTTGACATCCAATTTAGCTTTCGGTGGGGCAAAATATATTTCAAGTGGTAGAGGTTTTGCAACGACAAGGGTTCCTTTTTGGGAGCAATACTCCAAATTTGCCACAACATCCATTTATTCAGGTGCTTACTTATTCTTAACTCTCCTATTCGCATCATTGACAATGTGGCAACCTGCCCTTTTATGGTTTTGGATTTCGTCAGTCTCGTTGTGCTTGGCACCATTTATTTTCAACCCACATCAATTCTCGTTCACGGATTTCTTTGTTGATTATAGAGAGTACATAAAGTGGTTGATTCGGGGTAACGATAATTTTGACTCACGGTCTTGGATTTCATTTGCTCGCCAAAGCAGATCAAGATTCACTGGCTTTAGGAAAGGGAAAACAAAGCCTACGTATAAGAACATACAGAAACCTAGCGTTTCAAACCTATTCTACAGCGAAGTATTGTCTTCATTATTCTACGCTCTATCGTCTTTTCTTGGTTATACATTTGTTAACGCTCAAAATGGCGTAAAGGAGGTTAAAGCAACCAACTCCGTATTGAGGTTAGCAGTTATTGCTGGTTTGCCTATTGCATTAGATACGATTATTGTTTCAGTTTTAGTCACCTTTTCAATTTTCTGTGGTCCTGTTGCCAGGTGCTGTTACTCCAAAAAACCCAGGATTGGGGGATATATTGCAGCTTTGGCTCATGGCCTTTCAGTGATTTGTCATATTGCTTGTTGGGAGTTATTATATTTCCTTGAGAGTTGGAATTTTCCCCGTGCATTAATGGGTCTTATCTGTGGTATTTCTACTCAGAATATCATATTTCAATTTGTCATAGTTTTATTTCTCAACAGAGAAGAGAGGCATAACCACGTCAATAAAGCCTGGTGGGATGGGAATTGGCTTGAAGCACAAACAGATACCTTCAAGGGCATTTTATTTTTCAGAGAATGGGCTGTGAAAATCGTAGAACTTTCACGCTTTTCACTTGACTTTATCTTGGGACACTTTATACTTTTTATTCAAACCCCAATACTTTTCTTACCATATATTGACAAGTGGCATTCTTTGATGTTGTTTTGGTTCACACCTACAAAGGACTCATTGGCCCCATCTATTTCATCCAAACGTAAATTGAGGAGAAGAAGAATAGTGATGAGATACTCATTGCTCTATTTTTTGATAATGATAACTTGCCTCACTCTGATTATTGTCGCACCATTTACTGCCAGTTACATTCCTAACCCTGAGCGATACCTCCCCAAATTTTTCAACGGCATTGTTCAACCAAATTACCAAAATAACAATGATACTGGCGAAAATGCCCCGACTACTGTTCTCAGAAATACTCCCACACTTGCTCCTATAAAAACAATGTTCTAATTTTTTTTTTTTTTTTCTCTCACTCCTCAGGGGCTGCACAACCAAATTTTTGTTTATGTTCAATAAAACCGGAAAAGGAATCCTTAAAATAAATCTTGTGACAAAATAAACGTTTTGTAACATCATCACCAGCAATAGGAAAAACACAATATAGCTGTGTCTATTTTAAGATAAATTATGAGTTTAGCACTTCAAAGCTCAGACTCTAGGTCCCAGCTGGTGCTGAAGAGTGCCATCATGGCCTGGAACACAGATTTGCCCATCATTTGTTCTCCTTTTGAATCAACATTTAACATTGCCAAATTAATGGAGTCCCAGAGAAACAATTGTGCTTTGGTAAAAGACTTTGGCCGTAATAAAATCATCGGGATTTTCACTGCAAAGGATTTGGCGTTCAAGGTCGTATCTAAGGGCCTTCATCCAAAATTTCTCAAGGCAAAAGATATAATGACCCCTAATCCGATATGCGCCACTGTCGATGAACCTGCTTCATCAGCTTTGAATAAGATGATCAGATACAAGATTAGGCACTTACCGGTACTTAATGCTCAGGGAGAATGTATTGGGTTGTTGGACATAACAAAATGTTTTGATCAAACTTTATCAAGGCTCCGAAAGCTTCATGAAAGTTCCAAACAGTTGAACGAGGCATTGATGGAAGTCCAGGAAAACATTGCAAACATGGCTCACGATAATGGTAATGTTGATAAGCATTCGGCGATGTACTACCAAGCCCAAGATATGGTATTGAAGGCTAAGAATAATATAAATAGTCTATATCAGAATAATCTTGCATTAACTGGTGATACCTCAGGCGATTTTGAAGATTTTGAAATGCTATTGAACTTAATGGAGTCTCCCACTTTAAAGGATGTATTGAATTTACCAAATCAACCTCAAACATTATTCATTGATGCCAATAATACAATTAGAAATGCCTCTGACATAATGAAAAAGAATAATACCACTGCAGTTTTAGTTCGTGACACCACCACTAGTGCGAAAAGTGTTATTGGGATCTTGACAACCAAAGATATTGTTTATAGAGTGTTGGCTCAAGATAATGAACCGGATTTCACTATTATTTCTCGTGTTATGACACCAAGTCCAGAGTTTGGTGATGAAAATATGGGTATCGTGGAAGCATTTGAACTTATGTTTAAAGGCAAGTTTTTGAACTTACCAGTAACAAACGAGATGCAGAATGTTAGTGGTATAGTTAGTGTTATGCAGTTGACTAGTATGGCACTTTCTCAATTGCACAAAGGTATGATGTCAAGTGGTGTTGATGGTATTGATAGCGGGGAATATCTAGAAAATCCTTTTTTCAGCTCACCCCTTTCTGATTCAAAATGGGACAACTTTTGGGGGGCTATTGACTCTCCTGGTCGCAATTTTGAAGATGAAACATTGAAATCAGATTATAGTATTAGATCAAGTGGGCCTGCTATACGGTCAACAAAATCCACAATCCATAGCACTAAGAAAAAAAGTGTTCAATCACCAAGATTGCTTCCCCCAAGTCAAAGTGTCAGATCCTTTAATGGCACTGCTATTAGCAACTTGGAATCACCAATCAAGAGCATTGGATATTATCAAGATGACATGGACGCTCATTCCGAACCTTCCTCAGAAATTCTGCCCGAGGATTCTATATCATGCTATATCCCGCCGGAAAGTGAAATAAACTCTGTGGTTCTGTATGCTAGTGAAATTCGAAAGCAACAAGGATCAGCCCTTATAAAAGCACAACAAAAGTCTTTTGGATTCAAAATAAAGGATCTTGATGATAATGATAGGGTATACAAGATTAAAATAATGCTTCCGAAGTCAAAGAATCTCCTTCCTCATTTGAAAAATGCAGTAGAAGATAAATTAGGTGATAATCAAAATGATTTCAACCTTAGTTATGTTGATGAAGATGGTGATATGGTGACCATTATGCATGAGGAGGATTTGAAAACATGTATGGAAATCTCTAGATTAGAAAAGAAGGCGAGTGTAGTGATTTGTTTAAGCAGAAAACAATCACAGGATGAAGAATTGTCGATATTGAAGGATATCGCAGTGCTAAAGTCAAAGATGGACTCTACTGATGATGAAACTGTTAGGGAAACTACCTCTGGTGTAGCTGACCTTCTATTAAAACCTGAAGTCTTGATCTCTGGCGCACTACTTACCATGTCTTTGGGTATTCTCCTTGGAGTGACATTATCCAGGCAACGGTAATATTAATAGCTAATTAATAGTAATTTAACCTGTCTATATATCAAAGTGTTCAATTAGTATAATATTGTTGATAGTGTGTGTACTTTGGAATGTTGTGTGTGAGGAAGACCGAAATGGTCATGTGACACTGTTGTACGGTTAGGGAGCACCGCATAAATTTTTTGATCCTGAAAAATTTTTTGTGTGTGAAAAATGCCAAACCAAACAAAGAAAAAGAAGGCAAGTGATTACGGGAATTTGATTTCTAAACTTGCTGTAGTCCAGGTGCATTATCTGTTAAGTGAAGATCAATTAGTGTCTGTGTGTCTATATACTAGACGCATTTGTGTATTGTTCCCTCACTCTTTACCTGAGAAGATCCTAAATAAGTGATCGAGTACCATCATCATATGCCAGCTCATCGTTAGATCATTTGATTTATAATATCTTCATTGTCAACAGGATACAACTTCATAGAATCAAAGTGTGCAACTCTTCCACAGAGCTTGAGTTTAAAAAAGAATACCAATAATTATCAAAAAATTTTCACTCAGAAAAAAAAAAAGGATATGTCTTCTTCTTTGCCAGGTGATGTCCATATGACATTATCTAGAATTATCGAAGGCTTGATATCCAGTGATAATCAAGTGAGATCTCAAGCAGAAAAGGCCTTAGAAAATGATTGGTTCACTAGCACTGGTGTCGAAATGCTACTCTTGTTTCTCGCTGAACAGGCTGTCAGTGGTGATAGTGAAACCAAAAGAGCCTTTGCTGCCGTCATTTTTAGAAGATATGCCTTGAGAATGCCGCCTGAAAGATCCCCAAGTATGACCGAAACCTCTATCGGTACGATCTCTGAACCTGTGAAGGCCGAAATTCGTAACTTATTATTTAACGGATTCTTTGGCGAGCAGACCAAGAGCGTTAGACATAAATTGGCTGATGCTATTGCCGAAGTGGCAAGAACCAGTATATCTCCTCCAGGTACCTGGGATAATTTGGTCCCTACCATGTTTGAAGCAACAGGTTCACCAGAGCCAGGTTTCAGAGAATCTGCTTTTAGAGTTTTTGCTGCTCAACCAGCCTTGGTGGTTCAACATCTTGAGCAGGCTTTGCCAACATTTCTTTCAGGATTTGTTGATCCAGATGATTCAGTCAGAGTTGCTGTCAGTAACGCTTTTGTTGCTTGCTTCCAGTCAGCTCCAAAGAAACAATGGTCCTCTTTCAGTCCTATGTTACCAGGTTTATTAAATGCCTTACCAAAATACTTAGAAGATGGCAACGAAGATGCTTTAACCTCAGAATTGGAATCCCTTATCGATTTGGTCACTTTGGCCCCAAAAATGTTCAAACCTATGCTACCTACAATTATTGAGTTCTGCTCCACAATTACTAAAAATACCGATCTTGAGTCACCGACAAGATTAGCAGCTTTGGAATTATTAACCACTTTCTGTGAAGCTTCACCAAATATGTGTAAGCAAGAGGCTAGCTACGCGGAAAATATGGTCGTGTTGACATTGCAATTGATGACTGAAGTCTGCATCGACGATGATGATGCCATTGAATGGCAAAACAGTAACGGTGGAAAAGAATCTTTATACGAAGAAGACAAGGCTGCCAGAAACTCCTTGGATAGAGCTGCTTTGAGTTTAGGAGGTAAAGTCTTGGCTGAACCTTTATTCAAATATTTAACTCAAATGATACATTCCAGCGAATGGAGAGAAAGACAAGCTGCGCTCATGGCTTTATCTTCGGCTGCTGAAGGTTGTAGTGATGTTTTGATTCTGGAAATTCCAAAGATTTTGGATTTAATATTGCCACTTTTAAATGATCCACACCCAAGAGTTCAATATGCTTGCTGTAATGCTTTAGGTCAAATATCAACTGATTTTGCTGACTTGATTCAAAAGAACTCAGGTGATAGAATTCTTCCAGCTTTGATCTCAAAGTTGACTAACGAATCTGTTCCAAGAGTTCAAACACATGCCGCTGCAGCTTTGGTTAACTTTTCTGAAAATGCGTCAAAGGACATTTTGGAACCATACTTAGATGACTTGCTCACAAACTTATTAACTTTGTTACAAGGACCACACAGATATGTTCAAGAGCAGGTGTTGACCACCATTGCCATTGTTGCTGATGCTGCTGAAACAAAATTCATCAAGTACTATGATACCCTCATGCCATTGCTATTTAATGTTCTCCAATCTGATTTGGACAAAGAAAATAGATTATTAAAAGCCAAGAGTATTGAATGTGCCACTTTGATTGCTGCTGCTGTTGGTAAAGATAAATTCTCTCAACACGCGGAACAATTGATTCAAATTTTTGGGCATATTCAGAAGGAGGCTGTTGATGAAGATGATCCAGTCAAACCATATTTGGAACAAGGTTGGAACACTATTTGTAGCATTATTGGAACAGACTTCTTACCATATTTACCTAGTGTTCTCCCGACCCTAATTGAGCAAGCCAAAGCTGAACAAATCATCAAATTAGTGGATGAAGGTGACGAAGTTGATCAGGATGAACAGTGGGATGTTTACTCTTTAGCAGGTAAACTTGTTGCTTTACATACTGCTGTCTTGGATGACAAAATTGATGCTATTGAGATTTTGAAATCATATGCCGATATTCTTAAGGGCTCTTTCTACCCATACGTTCCTCTCATTGTCAAGGAAATCTTGTTGCCTGCGTTAGACTTCTATTTCCATGATGGTGTGAGAAATTCTGCAGTTGAAGCTTTGCCAACTTTCTTGTCATGTGCAAAGATTGCTCAACCTCCAAGATCTCCAGAGCTTATGAGTTTGTGGAGTGCCATCGCTAGTAAGTTGATTGAAAGCTTAGCAGGTGAACCATTGACCGATATTTTGGTTAGCTATTACACATCTTTCTCTAACTGTGTATTACTTATGGGTGAAGATACATTGAATGAAAATCAATTAGCTGCATTCGTTACCTCCGTCAATGCGAACTTGCAAGGTGTTTACAATAGAATTAAAGAACGTGATGAGGCTGATAACTCTGAAGAACAATATGATGAAGGCTTGGAGGAAGAAAACAATGAATTTACTGATGAAGAACTATTGGATGAAATCAATAAGGCAATTTCAGGAGTTTTCAAATTCTCTAATTACAAATTCTTACCAGCTTTCCAAGAGTTGACTCCTACTTTGACTACTTTCTTGGTGGAGGATAATAAGGCCTTGAAGTTATGTGGTTTATGTATGGTATCTGAATTGATTGAGCAAACAGGTCCACAATCAGGCCCTTACAAGGATTTGTTCCTGAATGCTGTTCTTGAATCTTTGACTAGTAGTTATTCGTCTGTTAGAGAGATTGCTGCATTCATCATTGGTGTCGCTGCTTTGAATGGTGGTGAAAACTATGCTGACTTTGTTTTGGGTGCTTTGGAACCTTTGTTCAATATCATTACTGTTCCAGATGCCAAACAAGATGATAACATTATTGCCACTGAGAATGCTATTGCTGCTATTTCTAAGGTTTTGCATATTTATAATTCTAGAATTGATAATCTTGACGCCATGATTGAAAACTGGATTCAAGCCTTGCCTATTGTGGTTGACAACCAGAGTGCGCCATTTGCATACAGTTTCTTGGCTAGTCTCATTGAAAACAATCATCCAGCGATCCAAAAGAATATGTCTAAGGTTGTTGATTCTGTTATTCAAGCTTTGTTAAATGGCGCATTGAGTGGTAAGGCTGCTGAGAAGATTGTTTCTGCTACTAAGCAGCTACTTGGCAGTATTCCTCAAGAAAATGTGATGCCTATTTTACAAAGATACGGCCCTGAAGAACAAAATCTCATTCAAAAATGGTTCAGTTGAAGAAGTGAGAAGCTTGCCAGAGATGGCATTGATTTCTCAATGTTGATTTTTTTGAAGAAGTTTTTTGTTCGTTCATTTGGCATTGCTAGTTAGTGTTTTTGTTGTTCTTATGTTTAGTCATTTTTTTTTCTACCGACACTTTTTTTTATCTATTTTTTATGCAAAAGCTTTTCAACATGTTATTGTTTTCTTTTTCCCTTTTTTTTTTTTTTCATATGTACTTTTTTTTCATTTATATAATTATTTTGATAAGTTTTCTCCCCTCTTATTCTTTTTAATAACAATCCATTTTGCCTTAACCCTTTATTTTGAAGATTTTTGTTTTCTATCTGTTTATATTAAATTCATTTGTTTCAGTCATTATATTTTATTCCCCTTTTTTAAATAAATTCATACTCAGACTATAAATGTTATTATCTGTTACCTAATTTGGATATCAAAATTTATTTGTGGTGGTTGTGAAGTAAAAACAGGCATACTGCCTGTTTTTGCTAATTTTTTTTTTTTTTTTTTCTTGCCCGATGATCTGCGATGATAAAAAAAATTTTTTTTTTTTTTCTAGTCTGCAATTTACAATAAACAGTGTGGAGATAAACTAATCTTTGAGAAAACTAAGACACTTGAGCGTATATCAAATAAAACATAACAATACTACCATATCATTATAATGGGTCTTGCCGCTGCTAAGAGTAAACAGAGATTTGGTTTGGATCCAAGAAATACAAATTGGTCCAATGACACTGGTCGTTTCGGTGCCAAACACTTGACGAAATATGGTTGGAAACCAGGTCAAGGTCTTGGATTAGTATCTCATGCTACGGTCACCCATGTTAAAGTTGCTGTGAAAGATGATAGAAAAGGTTTGGGATCCAAATTGGCGAAGAAACATAAAAATCAAGATATGAACGACGATATTGTGGGGCTTGATGTTTTCCAAAGAATTCTTGGTAAATTGAATGGTAAGGAAGACGAAATCAGCGATGAACTTGAAAGACAAAGAAAAGATAAAATCATAAATGGGTCTTGGGGTATATCCTTTATAAAAGCAGAAACATTGGAGAGTACATGGGACGCCGAAAAGAAGAGGTTTGTAACGAGCAAGGAAGAATTATCATCAAACAAGAGATCACGAAGTGAAATCGAAGATGATGAAACTGAGCCTGAATCAAAGCACAAAAGATCGAAAAAAGACAAGAAGGATAAAAAGAAGCAAGAAAAAAAGGACAAGAAGGATAAGAAAGAGAAGAAGGATAAGAAAGAGAAGAAGGATAAGAAAGACAAAAAAGACAAAAAAGACAAAAAAGACAAAAAGGACAAAAAGGACAAGAAAGACAAAAAGGACAAGAAAGACAAAAAGGACAAGAAAGACAAAAAAGACAAATCCAGCAGTCCATCTTCCACTTCTGAAGCTACCGAACGAATTGTTTCCTCCCGTTTAGCAGCAAGATCCAGATATATCAGACAAAAGAAGGCAGCTACTATGGATGACAAAGCCATGAGAGAAATCTTTATGATTCCAAATTGAGGTTTAAAGAGCGAACTGGAGTTATATCTACTGTATAGATAGAGTTTTGCCATTGTAATATAGATTTTTTAGGATCGTGGATTGATTTTTTCGTTCGCATTTGACTACACTACACAGATGTAACTCTTTCAATAACACTATTCCCAATTTAATAATACAGATATCCAATAAGATTTCAAATTTTTTCCAAAACCAACAAAAAGTAGTAATATTAAAACAAGGCAATCTCAAGAGAATTAGGAAAAAAAAGAGAGAAAAAAAAAAAGAAAAAAATAAGCGTCTGTCTAGAAATTTAATAATCCAAAAATATTAATAAAGAAAGAGAAGAGAAGTAGAAAATTAAGAAAAGTAGGAAAAATAGAAAATTAAAAACATAGAAAAGTAGAAAATTTAAAAATATACTATAATTTTTCTTTCATCAAAAGAATTGAAAATATAACTGGTATAGGACAGAAAAAATGATACAATAATATAATATAATACAAAGAAGTTTGGCTTTTGCTAGTAGCCCATTTCACGTTGTCACAAGCCTTGCGAATATAAGTCACTGACGGTTTTGTGTCTCAGCGGATCAGGACAATTATATAATGTTTCCTCTATAATAATCTCATTGAAATCATGATTATCCATAGGAATAGCTCTACCAGTTTCAGAATTGGTATGTGATTTATCAAACTCAGGCTCATAAATAATAGCTGGCTTTTTCCTAATATAATTGATAAGAGATAATTCATATAGATCCACTAATTCATTCACACTAGGTCTCTTCTTGTAATCAGGTTCAATCATCCAGTGAACCAAGAGATCCAAAGTCTTTCCATCATTAACGAACCCAGCTTCATGATCCTGGGAAATATGATCACCTGACGAAATTTCTCCAACAGTCATAAGACTGGAATCCACCAAAGTTGACAAGTTACCAGCGTCAGAAAGATCACCATTTCTGAGTTTTTGCCATGAGATACCATTATCAGGTAAGTATATGTTTGCGGCAATTTCGACAATCACCAAGCCCAAAGAAAAAATGTCAGCTGAAGTATCGTAAGTTCCATTTGCAAGAATTTCTGGAGCGATATATTCACGGTCGCCTTCCTTATCTATTTTTAACAGTCTTGTATTATCTTCTCCGAATGAGGTAGTTTTGAAAGTCGATAAACCAAAGTCTCCAATTTTCAAGTAGCCTTCATCGGAAATAAAAACATTCGCTGGTTTGATATCCAAGTGTAATAAATTATTATCATGCAAGAAGCTCAAACCTTTGGTTAGTTCCAACAATATTTTCCAAATTCGAAATTCATCCAATCTATTGCTGACGCCATGACCCAATAAGAATTGATCCAAGGAACCATTTCCATAAAATTGGGTAATGATATAATCATTATTATCAAAATGGAAGAAATCAACATAGTTTATAACATGTTTGGCATTCTCATTGATGTTGTTACGGGATTGTATTTTTATAAAATTCAAGATTTCAACTTCATCACTAAAGGGAACTTTGTTGTTACTCATTATTCCCAAGTGCTTGGATATCTCATCGTTATTCAAGACGGTATTAATGAGGTTACCAGTGTTATGATTCCTATTTGAGAAGGACACATTCTTTTTGTTATTAACAAGCTGCTTAATGGCATAAAAATTCAGATTGAAGGATATTTTGTATACTTTAGAGAATTCTCCTTTGCCCAATAATTTGATTTGGTTATTAAAGCTCTGGGCTAGAAATGTATTTCTACTGGTCAACATCTCTGGGTCTGTGAATACTGGGGTGGTAGGAGTTCCCAAAGACGAAAACTTAGAAGACTGTAGATTACTATTATTGATCGACAATTTCAATTTTCTTGAATTTGATTTGAGCTCAGTACTTGATTTACCTGAATGGTCGTTGATATTTGCATCCAAAGTAACTGGTTTCAATCCTTCATTTTTTCTCAATTTTCTGTTGGAAAACTTTGACATAACCGGAGAGTGATATTCATCGAAAATTTCTCTTGATAATGGAGACTGGGTTGCAAAACGAGACGGCGATAGTTTGGCCATCACTGATATCGAGATATTCTTACTGTTTTTCCCTCTATTACTGAACTCACGATTGAATTTTTTATTTAGATTGAACAACCCATCATTATCATCTCCATTATTCTGATCTTTAAAAGTCCTATCTTGATTTTTGGCAGACTTGAATTCAGCCAATAGCTGACGAGCTGTTCTTTTCAGGTATCCCAACAAGTTACTGTCATTACTGGCAGATAAAGAGTAATCAAAGGATGAAGCATTGGCCGATTTGCAAGGGGTGTCAGGAAACGCTAAACTTGATTTCTTTTCAATAAGAATACCATTCTGATTAAATACCATTGGCGACTGCAAAACATTCTGGCCTCTGCAGTTATTCTTTTTAGAAAGAATGCCCGAAGAATTGAAAGCCGTTTGTAAAGGTTTAACAAATTTGAAAGAGTTATTAGGCGTTGACATTTCATTTGGCATATAATTTAAAGACAGCGATAAACTTTCTACTGAACTTGTTGTTGAATGTTGGAGTAACGATAATGAAGATTCGATAGAGCTTGATGACACAGAATTATGAACTTGTTTGTTGGTACTGAATGGCGTATTATGCTTTGGTGGTTTCGGTCTCCATAAAGGCACATCCACATCCATTTCTATATTACTGCTACTTCTGCTGATACCATGATTATTGTTGAAACTTATTGTATTGGTGCTGAAAGATTTCGTTATTTTGCCTGGGTGAAAATTAAAGCTATTATGTGAGAGATTCAATTTATGAGGGTTGTGAGTCAAAGGAGTCGATTGCGCATTAAGGAACAAAGAGTCCACAGAAGAAGATGACTCTCTCTTGCGCTTGCTCATGGTTCTTTGAGTGGTTTGTGGATGGCTGGGCGAGTGTTAAAGAGTTGTGGTGGAGTTAATACATGATAGAAAAATCAAAACAACAAAAAAAAAAAAAAAAAATTCCAAAACCACATCATTACCCGGTGCCATTGGACGATTGCAAGGAAACACGCTATGGCCAGAGAAACAGCCGCTAGACACACAGAAATTTCGAAGAAATATTATTTGCTTAATGACAATGTGAAAGATACAATCTGAATCAGTGAGGCTTCTGTGGTGAAGTATATTTGTTAGAGAAAAATTGGAAAATTGCTGATATGCTTCTTTATGCAAGCTTGCGTGTCTATCAACACAGCGCGTTTTTTCAAGAAAAAAAAAATTCGCGTTTAAATTTGAAAAAAAATGAAAAATTTATATCAGATTTCTTCTTCTTTTATTAACTGTTTTGTTTATTACAGCTTTACTTATAGTATTCAATATTGACATGGAAAAGTATGTTATTGTTTTACTTGCTTGGATGGTTGTTGATCACTAGAAGCTTATGATGATTTTTATAGATAGGGACAACTGAGTGTTCATTGAAGATTTATCTTTAAAGCCAATGTTTTTGTAGATACTGGCAGTTTCTGATCTTTCATGTGATAACATCATGGTTAATTTATGAAATAAGTGATTTTGCAGTGTTTACTAACCCCCGACAGATGTACATGCACAATGTAGTTGTATGGTCATTTAAAACTTTTATATGATTAATATATGTGAAATGTTGTATAAGTATTTTCAATAATATAAATGATGCAATTTATTATCACTATCGTAATTAAGATACAAACGAATGATATTTTAAAAAAGAGTTAAAAAAACGAAGCCGTTCTCAATAAGAACAAGCTTTCACAAACAACAGAATGAACTAGTTTGAAAATCCAAAGAAAAGTGATAAAACTGAGTCGAAAGTCTAAATGTAGCAAGAAAATCAAAAGAAATGAAAGTGAAAGAAAAAAAGAAGCATTAAAATAAAGAACTAAACCAATAGATAAATAGAGCCGAAAAGAAAAAAAAAAGGTCAAAATATACACAGAAAAAAGTAATAAATTAAAAAAAAAAAAAAAGTCATAATACAATCAATTCACTTCCTTCTCCTCATTTGGGGTTAAAACGGCATCAATGATGTCACCGTTGATGGATCTTAAATGTTGAAGAATTAACTTCTTCAACAAAGATCTTCTTATGGGCTTAGCCAAAAATGAATCCATTCCCTGTTCTAAGCAGTGTTTGACATTGCTATCATCGGTTAAAGCAGTCAAAGCAATAATTGGACCTCTGAAATTTAGCTCCTCTCTTATATACTTAGTTGCAGCAAGACCGTCAACCCTAGGCATTTGAATATCCATAAAAATCATATCATAAATTGTTGAACTTGTATCCTGATTATTGAGGGACTTCATTTCATATTCTGCTAATGACTGTTTAACGAATTCTATTGCCTCACCACCATCACAGGCCAAAGAGACATTATTAAATCCTTCAAGGCTGAGTAATCTTTGGACAACTTTTTGATTTACCAAATTATCCTCAGCAGCAAGGATCTTGAGTGGGAATCTTTCACCTAACAATTTTCCAGAGCCAATTCTATGAGTAGTTCCGCTAACGGGTGGTGTTGTTTGGCTGAAAAAGCTGGCACTGGAGGCTTTAAGATCTTCTCGGTGACTCCCCATATCATCATGCTCACCCCGAGAAGTCCCTAGAAATTCATCGTAAGGACCATAACTATTAGTTCTTCGCAACTTATTGGTTTTGTTCTCATCTTTATCCGTGCCTCTGTTATTGCTCAATGGTATTTCACTCGTCACTCCCTTTGACTTGTTTATATAACTTGGACTATTGACAAAATTGAAAGGATTCAGGATATTGTTCAGGCTGGCTGGTGAAGTGCCCCCATTTCTAAACCCATTATAAGATTGAGCCGTACCAGTGGAGCTACTAGTAACAAAAGCTGGTTTTTCAAGCATTCCCCTTTCAGATTCAGACGCAGTCAGACCCAGTTTTGCCTTCGATTTAATAGATCCACTTCTCTTGATTGATACCGCTGAGGAAACAGAAAGTCTTCTGGAATGCCTATTCTTATTTTCACCATCAATAACCAGCTCCCCAACTTTTAATTCTGGCAAAAGCAACTTGAAATTCGTATTATTTTCATCTAAGCTATTGACTGTATCGACATCGTTACTAACAATAGTGGAAGACACATGATTCAGGTGGTCTTTCGCAGTAGAATTAATGATATTCTCTGCTAGTGGGTCACAAGTGAAATGTTTCGTCAAATTGTTGTTGATATTAAACTCATCATCAAAAATAATTGCTTGATCTTTCTTATCGACCCAGAATATCTCATTTGTTTGCTTTATTGGAACTCTGAAAGTGAATTTGCTTCCTTTCCCCATTTCACTCTTCAAAGTAATTTTCCCGTGCATAAGGCCTGCCAATTGCTTACAAATTGATAATCCCAAGCCAGTACCACCATATGATCTTGATAGAGTCTGATCACCTTGAACAAACGGTTCAAACACTTGGGTTTGTAATTCGGGAGAAATCCCAGGGCCAGTATCAGAAACAACAAATTCAAACACCCAATATATTGGATGCTTTCTACTTTTAGTGATGAAATTAGAAGCAGCAGTGGAAATTGGTAAACCAGCAAGCCTTTTTTCTTCCAAATTTTCTTGGAAATTCTCGATAAAGGAGTGCACAGACCCATTAACAGAAACATTTGTACTACCATTTTTCCTCTTCATACTTTGGCTGCTATTTCTATTTGATGAGTTTTCAGAGTAATCAGTGTCATCAAAATCATTAACTTGTCTTATATGAACTTCTTCGTAGTTACAGGACTTGCTTTTATCTTCATCCCATTGACCCACAAGACGAAGTTCTAATTTAACTTCGCCATTAACAGGAGTGAATTTTAGAGAATTTGAAACTAGATTCATCAATACCTGGGAAATTCTATTATCATCCCCCAATAAGATGAAGTTTCTCATTCTTGTAACAATGATCTTATTTCTCTGTTTATAAAACTCGTCACTACCTTCAACATACTTTGATTTGATAGCATCAATCTCCTCACTAGTAAATATTGGTTTGAATTCATCAAATCTAATGGAATTCACATTATTCTCATCTGGACCATTAAAGGTCAAGGAGAAATTAACTCTTGAATCATTTGCATTTTTAAGAAAAATTGATTTAATTTGCTTCATCACATCTAACAACATAAACTTCTTAAATTCCAATCTTGTACGGTTCAAATTATTCTTTGAAAATGTCAATAACTCATTAAGCATGTGAGACAACAAATCACCGCTTTTGTAAATTAACGACAATGATTCGATAACATTAACAATAGTATTCTTTGAGTCAGTTAATGAAAATTCACTGTTTTCACAACCAATTTGTTCACAATTCTTTCCTTTGCAAATTCTGCCTTGGTACTCCAATGAATCCATAAAATTCTCTTGTAATTGTTTGAGGTCCTCCTTTGCTATGGCACACATTCCGAGTATACCATTTAAAGGAGTTCTTAATTCATGCGATATATTTGCAATGAAAACAGTTTTGGATTCATTAGCCCTTTCAGCTTCAACTTTGGCTTTTTCGAGCTCTCTAGTTCTTTCAAGGACCTTGTCTTCCAAGTCAGAGTATTGCCTTCTAATGAGATAGCTCATATTATCAAAAGTTTGAGACAACTCAGTTAATTCATCCTTCACAAAGATATATCTTTTTGGATTGAAAACGCTACGCTCTTTAGTATCAACTTTAAATTCTTTTCCATTTATGGCATTAACGGCAAGTCCAGTCTGTTTTCTATTGAAAAAGGAAGTGAAAGACTTATTTTGATTCAAGAATTTTAAAGAAAACAAATTCGAGCCAAGAACGGCAGGGTCTTCCGGCGTATTGTCTTTGATGTAATGATAATCTTCATTAGGAGGTTTCTGAGTATCATCTAAATCTTTCCTTGAAACCCCAAGCTGTTTATTACTATAGGGTAATGATTTAATAAGGGTGAGAGAATGTGAGTTATCGCTACTTACTCCGTTTTGTTCATTAGCGGAGCTTTGTGATGGGTATTTCGTGTTTGAATCAGTATTACTAGTATTTGTAACGTCCATCAGCTCATTATCATTGTGATTAACGATATGGTCAGGCGCCTTGGAGTGGGATACTTTATTATCATTTGACTTTATTTCCGTTCCACTAAATCGATCAAAGAGTTTCTCATTACTATCACTTTGCCCCCTTCTCTTCTTAATGCGACGGTGAAGAATATTGCCAAGAGCAAGATATTTTGTTAAAGTTGAAGACCTGAAAAACTTTCCGGTTGAGTGATCTTTATGATTATAACCATTTCCTGTTGCACTTCCATTCGAACCATCTTCCGGCTTTCCATTAAACATTGCATTCTTCACATTCTCGCCACTTCTCAACGAAAATACCTCGCTAGTTTCCTTTAATCTAGTGATAGGTCGAACCGCAAAGTGAGAAATAGGGAAAGTTATGATACACATGAGGATCCAAAGTCCAATGGCTGTTCCCACGATAATTTTTGTAAGTTTATCGCTTGGTTCCATAAACACAGAACTTTCTTGTTCAACAAAAACAGCCCAATCCACCAAGTTACTATCAATCTTGCTGTAACCGACTGCCATGTTCTTTCCATCTGGTGTGTTTGTTTTTCTTTTGGTTCCTTCATCTGCGTCCACTAAACAGGTTAAAATGACAGGGAACTCAGTAATTCTGAAATAGACACCTAAAACATACTCTGAGAAAGTGCTCATCGGTGGAAAGACGTATTTGATATAGTTGATGTTTTCTGAAGAATAATAATCAGTAACAATGGATTTTGGCAAGCTGCTACATTCTGACGAGCTACAATTAGAAGATGAAGATGATGATGATGTGTTAGTCAGTAATGAAGCATTGCTTAACGTAATCGTACTGTTACCGATGACAATAGTTGTTGCAGCAGCGATTATTGAAGAATATGTTGACGATGAAGATGATGATGACGAGAAACTTGAAGTTGTTGAAACACGACTAGTAGTGCTGCTGCCTCTAGTAGAAGATGTTGGAGTGGTAACAATCCTGGTCGTACCATCATTAGGATTAGCTCTTCTAACCAAAGAGGAACTTTTTAAGTTTGAAGCTTTGACCGCCTTTTGAATCTGTACATTCTTGCTTGTGGAGCTGTTGGAGTTGGCAGGATATCCTTCATTAACTAGAGATGAGTTGTATCCACCCTGTAAAAGTAAAATTCTTCCATTATCCACGGCACTATTATCATAAATCACGGATCGTAAAGCTTCTGCAGAATAAATAATAGTTATGTAACCAGCAATTAGTGATGAAGTTGATGAGACAGAGGAGTTTGGATACACAGGTAGAGTTAACGACATGACAAATCTTTTTGACTGAGAATCCATAACTGGTCCTGAAATAACCCCTGATTTGATGATATTGGTGGGCAAAGATGTGACGTTTGGATTGAGGATGTAAAGCTCATCTAGCGAAGCCTGCGAGTATGACCCAACAATAGAGACTGTATAATTAGTGTTGTTGCTATATGGACTCTGTGAGGTCAATGTGGCAGCAGGGGAACTAGATGACGATGAGCTGCTCTTTGTATGTCTTGGCGAGCTTGATGATGACAGTGAAATTGTTGGAGTTATCACTTCGGAGGCGTAAGATGACGCATTATTACTAACCAGTCCCACTTCTTCGAGCATTAAATCATATAGTCTTGCCTGAATATAGGTATCTGAAGAATCTATGAATTTCTGAAGGTAATCTAATGCTCCTTCGGATAACTCAGCAATATCCAGAGTGGAATTAGTGGTTTCTCCGAAATCCGACAAGCTGGCAACATATTTCTGGACTGTATCCCTTGTAGAGACCCAATAAAGTTGGTAGTAATTCAGCTGAAGATTTTGCTCCACTTGAGAGGCTTTTAATTTTGCAATAACACTGAGTCTTTCAGAGCGAAGCGACAAAAAGTTTCTTGAAAAATAAACCCCGGTGATGATGGCCATGAAGGCGAGAGAGAAAGTCGCCACAAACGAGACCAATCCAATTAACTGGGACCGAATGCTCACTCTTAGATACTTGGGGAGGCGCATTTTCGGTGAAGCGGACTCTTTTCCGGAAACAGAGCTTGTTCTAATCCTTTAACATTAACCTGATCTATCGCCAATTGTTTATATAGCTTCTTTTAACTTTCTTTTCTTTTTTCAGGGATTCTGTTTTTTTTTTTTTTTTTGCCCTTCGTGCAGCACGGTGTGTGGGTGCCCTGGTTTTTACTTTGCTCACTCAACATGAATTGAATAATTACTAGATATAAATTACACAGTTCCTAATAAAAAAGGATCTATATAGCCTGGTGGATAAAAGGACCGAAAGAAAATAAAGGGAAGAAAAAAATAATTGAAATGGAGAAAGGAGGGGAAAAAAGAAAAAAAAAAAGAAAAAAAAAAGAATGACAAAACTATCAATACATATAACTAACTATTCACTTGACTTATCCTCATCTTTAATTTGTTTGAATTCATCATCAATATTCTCATCATCAGTTGCCTTAAGCTCCTGTTGCTGTTGAGAAACAGCAGCAGAAGCAGTTTGAGTTGCGCTAGCAATTACGTTCGGACTCGGTATTGGCATTCCAGACTGATTGGCTTGTCCAGCACCATTAGCCACAGATCCAGTAGCATATTGATTGGACACATTCTGCGGAAGATAATTATACATATAAAACTGATTGCTTGCATTTGAATAGTTCTGATATCCCCCAGGTTGATTATAGTAGTAGTTCTGATGTGCCGGTGTTTGTGTTTGTGTCTGTGATTGCTGTTGGTGATCCTGATCTTTGATTGAATTATCTCCCATGGATCTCTTTTCAGCACCATGCGCAGGTGGTAGTTGTCTGATCGCCGACGATATCTCCGATAAGACCTTCAAGTTATTAACCACAGATAATGTGTCATCTTTATTGTTGATGCCATTAATACTGCTACCATCAGCAGGGCCTACTGCTGCAACAGTAACCTGTTGACTATCATCTCTTTTGTTTGATTTACGAACTCTGATTCGCGAACCCATGCTTTTCAAAGTTAGCGTAAGCTCAGGCGAGGCAGTTAGACCTGGGAAGTATTTGGCATTATAGACTTTGAAAATTTCTGATTTCATTCCTCCGCGATAAATCAATCCCGAACGGCTGCCAGGCATACCACTCTCATTGCTTAATGGGAATTCCCATAGCCTGAAGTTCAAACGATAATAACCTTCATACCGAACCGAAATATCGCTAAATACAAAAAAGGCCTTAAAATCATCTTCAGAATCATTAGAGTTGGTGACAACGTTAGCAGCAACGGTGGTAGTTCCAAAGATGAGATTACTTTTATTCTTTTCAAGGTTTGGTTTCCGTTTTTTGAAATTTTTCTTGGAAGCATCCGTACCCAAATTCTCTTCATTTTGATCCATCAACTCCGCAGTTGCTGTCATAATAAGGTAGTTGTAAGAATGATCGATCACGTTTCTGTTTCTTTTATTATAAAGGCACACCTTGACAATTGGTGGAGGGTCAATAGATCTCCGGCCAGCAACTAGAAATAAGTGTTAGTTAGTTAAACTAAAAAAAAAATCATCTGTGAAGATACCAGTCATCGGATAACGAAATTTGTGCTTCTTCTTCTTTGGAGAAGACGCGTCTTTTCCTGGAATAAAATAAATATCACACTGCTTAAGTTTCGCATCGAAAATTAGTAGAACAAAAATACAAAACATACATGACTTTGTTGAGCCACATGCTCTTGCCTGGATTGGTTGTTGTGCAATATCAATGGAGAAATTTGGACGAATTGCCTTTATTGATTCTTCTGGCAAATACCGAAGTTGATACGCGGTTTTGGCCATTATGGGATTTTCTTATTCTCGACCAACAGCAATAAAATTGGGAATTCTTTCCAAGTGAGTTGGGATTGCTAAAGTTTAGAAGGAGTGCAGTCTTCGGTAAACGAGGATTGAGTGGGCCTAATTACCGTAATTAACCAATACACAGGACCAGGTTATGGGTAAAGCAGTTGATGGATTTCCTCCCGGCTGTTTGGAATAAACATAAACAGAGACCAGACAAGCGGGTTCATGGAAATTCATGTTCCTGGTGGACGGTTCGCCTCCTCCGCCACGATCAAGGGAGGGTTACCTATTACCGACACAATCAATATGGGGTTCCAGACCCTTCATGTGCGCTTTTCAGATCATTATCAATCATTTGCGATACCTACAACAATATTAGTTTTCTGGGGTCAGTGGCGCCTTGGTCTTACGGTTTTCCTTTCTATTAATAAAATGATCTGCAGTTTTCATTTTTTGTTGTGAATATATAAAAAAAACCTATGACTAGAAAGTGTTGAAAAACCCATTTCCTATTTTATATTCCTTTGCTGTATTTTTCGGAGCTAATATTGACATGGAAGTATTTATTAATCTTGGTCAATAATGTCTCGTTTATTTGGCAGCAGCGAAGACCTTTTCAACTTCGGCAACCGCTTGTTGCAAGATCTTGTCTTGGAACTTAGGGTTGGTGATTTCCTTTTCAACCTTGGCAATGACGGTCTTGGCCAATTGTTCTTGTTCTTGTTGTCTAACGTTAGCTTCGTATCTAACCCAGGAGTCCAAGGTAGCCTTGGCTTCAGCAGCCAAATCAACCTTTTGTTTCAATTCAAAGGCCTTAGCTTCCAATTCAACAGTTTCCTTGGAGACGTCGAACAAAGCGTTGGTGGTGGAAACAACATCTTTCAATTGAGAAACAGAGTCAATACGGCTTTGGACGGCTTCCACGTGGTTAGCTCTGGAGGCGTTCAAGATATCGGTGACGGACTTGACTCTAGCATCGGCAAAGTCTTTGTATAATGGAGCAATAACTTTGGCAATGATGGCGGAGAAGGCAAAGAAAGTACCAGCTAAAATAGTTTCTTCATTGACAATATATAATTGATTGGAGACGGCGTAAGTCAAACCAGCAGTGACAGTGGCTAAAATACCGGTCTTGGAAATGGCGTTGTTACCTGGCAAGACATCAATGATACTGGCAGCTTTGGCCTTTGGGTCTTCTTGTTGCAAAGCCAATCTAGAAGTAGAGAAACATCTGACGGAAGCTGGGACACCGGCTGGGCGGGCGTTGAAGGCGGATCTGAGAGCGATTCTGGAGAAGCTCATAGTGACACTGACTCTTGATTTTACACTGTATTACTTATGCTAAGGCTTTTTCAATCTTTTGTTTCTTTAGGGTGTTTTTTGGATTGTTGGTGAGAATTATTGCCCCCGGGTAACTACGTTTTCCTCTTTCATGGTCGCTGCCATTGGCTGGAAAATGGTTATGTTCGTCGGGTGCGTATAGAGCACGCCACTCCTGCACCACCCATATGGGGAGTTTATTTCTACAACATGGAACCTAAGAAGTCGGTGTCAAAAAGGCATGATTACCATTTAAATAATGATGCTCTCAAAAACTGCACTCTTTTCAATCATCAGCAACTCTATAATATGCATGGCCTCAAGTCAAGAGTTAATCTGTCCTGATTTGAACCTTGAAAACTGCTTTCCAAAGAAGTTTGTGGCAACCAATGAGTGGCAAATCATCAAACCAGGTCAAGAAGTTCCTGAGGGGCTTCATTACAGACTAAATTTTGAAACAGGGATAAAGCAGGCAAAGCTATTGGATCCTAATGAAAGCGAGGATAATAAGGACCGAGAAATGGCAGTTTTGGTAAGTGATGAGTCCAATTCTATTCAGGAATTCCAGGATGAAGATTATGATAATCTTTGGGGAAATGATGATCCAGTCAATGTGGTTCTAGAAGAAGTGACTCCAGATGAGGGAAAGGGTGAAGGTATAAGCTTCCAACAATCCCTTCAAAATTTACATCATATTTTTCGCTCATCCAAGAATATTGAATCTGTGATTTCCAATAATTATGATGCTATAGAGAAATCACTCGATTCTTTGATCTATTCTGCTCATGATATCGAATTTGGGAGGGAATTCACTGCAGATAATCTGAATATTATTTTATTTTTCTCTATCATCAACAACCCCAACATCGCTCAAATTGATATCAAAGAGAAATTACTACGAATCATTGGCTCTAGTATAAGAAATAATGAAGAATCATTGCAAAACATAATGCAGTACAATCATGGAGGTGACCCATTACTTAACAGTCTAATAAGCTTCATTGATATTCAATTGACCTCATCGACTGCCAAGGCATATGTTGATCAGATATTGATCAAACGTACAGTTGGGGTTTTGAATGCTTTAATTTATAATAAGGGAGCATTGGCAGATTTCGAAAGGCTAAAAATCAAGGATTTTCTAAGCAACAGGTTCAATTTATTAAACAGTGATGTTAAGAAGAGATGTATCAACTTGTTGAATGATTATGACTTGCTCATAGGTGAACATGATACCAGAAGTGATGAACTATAAAATGCCAAAAATGTTATAATCTATTAACACATATTAGATCTAGATTTTGATACCATATGAAGTTGTTAAATAATGTAAAAATGATGTTTATGGCCTTCTAATATATGAGTCAAAATGTAATTGTTGCTACTTTAGCGTTATTCATGAAGATAAGGTAAAGATTTTCAATTTGTTGACAATTAGGAGATGTGCTATTGCGCTATGTCATCTAAGGTACATATATGCATTTGACGGTGCCTCTCAAAACCATTTGCCCTTAGGGCAATTATGTAATTAGTATCATGTGCTTCTTACTAGGGCTCCCTTAAGCCCGTCACTTACCTTATCGGGTAAGTGTTATGAAGCCCTGTTAAAAATGGCGAAAAAGGTTTGATAATATCAAGAACAATGCACCGGGTGACCTTTTTTTTTTAATGATGGAAGAAACTTTTCATATTTTTCTATCTTCTCTCTCCAAGTCATAGAATCTCTGTGTTAAAACAACGTCAGTATAAGACTTTAAAGATGCAAATGTAGGTATTGAGAATGGAGGGATGACGTTTTAATTCAAATCAAATGAATGAATAGGTGAATGAATGAATCATGAATTATTGAGATAGTACAGTTTAATTTATTAATGTCGAGCCATCTGAGATTTTATTTACTTGAGTGATTGGAGCTCATTTCATGGAGTAAATATATTGCATACAGAGAATATCAGTCAGTGAGAAGTGAAGTTAAAGTTAGATTATTGATGTGTTATGGAATGGATTTTGAACTTTTACCTGTCAGTCAGTGATCAAACTTTGGGGGAATTTTAGACTTAATCGTTGAATGTGATTATATTTCTGGATACCCAATTCATGCGTTATATCAAATCACATGTATCGAAAAATTTGCAGGCATTTGAGAGATTGTGGGACAATGTGATTAACTCTCATTCATGAGTGGTATTTATGTTTCCTCATTCATTTTGTTTCTATTGAATTACTATCAAATCCACAGTGACATGAAAGTCTTTGTGACCAAAGTTACTAACACGTTCATTTAGTTTTGTTAAAACTTTAACTGGTAAGACCATCACATTGGAGGTCGAATCCTCTGACACCATTGACAATGTCAAGTCCAAGATCCAAGATAAGGAAGGTATTCCACCAGATCAACAAAGATTGATTTTCGCCGGTAAACAATTGGAAGATGGTAGAACTTTGTCTGACTACAACATCCAAAAGGAATCCACTTTGCACTTGGTCCTCAGATTGAGAGGTGGTGCTTCTACTATCGATCCAACTTTGAAGGTTTTGGCTCAAAAATACAAATGTGAAAAGTCTATTTGCAGAAAGTGTTACGCTAGATTGCCACCAAGAGCTACCAACTGCAGAAAGAGAAAGTGTGGTCACACTAACCAATTGAGACCAAAGAAGAAGGGTAAGAACTAGATGTGGTTTATTATCTTGTTGTATACTTCACTTAATTTTCTTTGAATAAAGATGATGTTTTCTAAAAAGACTTGTTTTATTTCCAGTAAGCACCCTTGATAAGTATTTATCCATTTCCTCACTAGTTTAAATTGATGGTAATTCGACTCTAACCGCAATTTAAAATACACGCTACAATAATAAGATCCATTATCAGATAAATAGATTGTGAACTATTTTAATTTTTTCAAAAGTCAAACTCCCTAAAAATTTCCATTTGATTAATTTGAACATCCATAAAACCCCAAAAACAAACCAAAAAAAAAAAAAAAAAAGAACAAAGATTATCAGAATTTCAAAAACAAAAATAAAATAAAATAAAAAGAAACGGGAAAAAGAAAATACACATAAAGGATCTATCAGAATCTTTATCATACTATGATCCCCCGTTCCCAAGATTTCTAGCTGACAAACAAAAATCCACAACCAAATAAACCCTTAAAGAAGTAAACAGAATTAAAAATAACAATCTTTGTATCATAAATCATTCGCTTCGTAGAATCGATTAAGGCATCAACAACCATGGAAGTAGATAATGAATAACTTTGTCCAAATGATTCCTCGCCACTAACAATTAAACTTCTGTCACTGTAACTGGAGCTTTCATTATAGACCAATCTTTGGAAATTGGTATGTTTTAGGAATCTTCTCCATGCTGATTTTTCGATTACCTCTTCAGAAGTCACTACTGACGGTAATAGGTTTTTGTCATTATCAGCCCGAAGCTTATTATAATATACAATCACGGTGGCCAACGAAACAATCCCAAGTCCGACTCCGATGGTGAAAGAATTGAATATATAGCTCTTCTTTTCGTTGAGTTTCAATGGGTCTGAATTATTGATTTTGCTGTAAGATAGTCTCTTTCTGTCAAGCCTCTTCTTTCTACTTTTAGAAAATGAAAAAGAGTTACTGTTAGACATCCTGCGTTTCTTGTCAACACCTGGTGTCGCATTATCAATAACAGATGCCCTGTTGTGATGGCGGGTCCCAGCTTTCTTATTGTGCTCCGACTCTGACAGTATCGTATTCTGGATAATCGTGGTTGTCCAAATTGAAGCATTGCTCTGGATCATTTCTTCATTTTCTTCTTGATCATCATCTTCCTCCAACTGATTTCCGCGTTTGTCCACAAAATACGAGCTAATGATTTGATGTAAGTTCTGGAAAGTTAATGGTTCTGATTCATCAACTCTAATTGGGGAATTAAAAAGTCGAATTCCATTATTAAGCAACAAGGTGGTTAAAGCAGATTCACTAACATCAAACTTTTCATTAACAACATACATATTTTCATCGTAGTCAGATTCGCCATCACTAATTCCCCCAGCAACAATTCTACTTCTTCCTTTAGTTTTCTTCTTATTCTTCTTCTTCACAGGAGTTTCATAAATAAGTGGCAAAACAGGTTTCCTATACCTGGCCAAAATATTAAATAAATCTTTAGAGTATAAACCATTTGCCGAATCAAAGACCAACACAACAACATTCACTTTGCTGTTGAGATTTGTGAACAAGTATTGGAAGGAAAAAGTTGTCTCGTTGAAACCTGATTCTAGAAGCTGTTTTCCGTTGCAAATATTCAATTCTTTTTTCAACGTGCTCAAGCCACTACCGATAACACAAAGACGAAGATTATTTGCACTTGATACCTTTGAGGCAACCATCATCTTGGGCATAATGAGCGAAGGTGATAGCACGCCTGACGTCGTGCTGCCATTATTTCTTGTCAAAAGCGGGTTGTCATTATTTTTGATTAGGGCATTCACATCAATTTCGAAAGTCCCAGACTCATCAGAATCATAATCCTTATCAATTAATTGATCTGCACTCAATGTGTCAGCAATGTTGGTAGTATGATTTAATAGAGCGGAAAGTTTGCCGTTAACCTGTTTTGATTCAGTATCAAGAAAACGTTCCAGTTTTTTATTCTCAATATCAGTCACCCCATCTTCACCATCAGAGGATAAAGACAATATAGAATTGATATGGCTGTTTGTGTCATTACTGTATTGTCGATTAGGTGACATCTGCACTGATCCACTTATCGATTGCCATGAAGTGATAGAGAAGGGGGCTGGATCTTCGCCCAGTTCAGAAGCTGGAGTAGTATATTGCTTTCCTTCGTGAGATTCATTATCAATGATTTTTCTACCGCTCTCAGCAATACTTGATAAAGCAATATTGTTGAGCTCAGAGTTTTCCAAAGTCTGAAACACTGAAGTATGAGAAGATAACATTCTGTTGGAATATTCAGTGCACTCTGTAGGAGACATTGTCCTATGCTCATTCCTTATTGTCTTCGCTCGAGGTTGTAGTTCGATTTTCTTGTGTAACAGTTTCAAATCTCTGTCTTTGCTCATGATTGCGTTGATTGGCTTGCTTTTAAGGTTGTCAGGAAGAGGCAGAGCACAGGAAGAGCATGTAGGGAAAGGGCTAGATATTCTATTGGGTTCAGAACTATTTTTTAAAGCTAAGGATGAGGACGATGACGAGTCAGTGGCGGCAGTACTTATTTTATTTTTTGCATTTATGCTGTTAAAATCCATCATCCTCAAAAATAAAAAACACGCACAAATTAAATTGAGAAGTTGATGAGGTCCAGATGCCTTAAAACTGTATTTGAGTATCTGGTGAAGTACTGATGGAGCGCTTTGAATAGGCTGATTATATATAGGAAGGTAGAATCAAGTAACGGTGGAAACAAGCAAATAAAATGAAAACAGAGGAACTATTTAAGATGATATGATGAGTAACTTAGTGTAGCGATATTTCTTTATCTGCCTGTGATTCCCTTTATTGCCACTATTTATCTATGATTGCATCACATCGCATCTCATCGCACTCTCCTCCCATCCAAACACCACAGGGACATGAGCCCAGAAGCTACATCACAACACACGCTTTCTATTATAAAACCAGGTATTCGACACATTAATAAATTAATAATACAAGATATCATCACAAGTGAAAGAGTAAATAGGAAGAGGGAGACAAAAAGAAAAAAAAAGAAGGTGCCTATAGATATTAGGGTGAACAAAAGTAAAAAATAAAAAAAAAAAAAAACATGAATACAATATTCAGGATTCACTCTGTTTTTGGCTTCTTCTCTTCATTGAACATTTCCACAGTTTCTTCGGCTGCCCTTTTCTTGTCATTTAATTGACTAGATACAATACTTGGTAATGATGCCTGAATGGTATTGTTAGAAGCATTAGTATTGTCAATATTAATTTTAGAAACAGCGGGCTTCAAGGGGGATTTAGTTGGGATAGATGGCAAATCGATAGGAGGCCTACTAGTATTCTTGGTCAAAGATTCAATATTATTTGGTGATGGATTTTTAGGCCTTACCTCCTTTAGTGGGCTAACATCAATATTGTTGGGATCACCTCCACTTGTATACTTTTTAAGGGTTTCTTCCATCTTCTTAAGCTTAGTTTCCATCATTCTCGTCTTGATAGCAGCAGATTTTTGGCCCAAATCAAACTTTTTACTCAATTCAATTTGATGCTTGTTGTTTATTTCATTGATTTCTTCCTTCTTTTTTTGTTCGAAGAATTCTTTCATCTTCTTTAATTCTTCCGGAGTAGCCTGAGATTTATTTGTGTTTGCTTCTTTCAATTTTTTTTGATACTCATTAGTAATCGTTGCCACATCGTCATTGTGCTTCTTTTCCAAATCCTTAATTTTCTTGTCAAATGATTCCCTCATTTGTTTCTCAAGTAAAAGCTTAGCTTCAGAGTGCTTCCGCTTGAATTCCTCCACCTTAGCGTTAACTTGTTTTTCAACAACTTCCTTGGTTGGACGCTCAATTCTATCACGTAACTCATCTTTTGCTGTTTCGATTCGTTGCATGATTATCGGTTCTTGTTCTTGAATCCATATCTTTTTCGCTTGTTCGATATCAAGGCTTCCACCATCAATTTTGGTTTCAGATGACTTTAGTCTATCAAGTTCTTCTCTTAATTTTGCAATCTCCTCAATTTTACTCTTAGTTAAATTGACAGTAAGCTCTTGCTTTTCTTTTTCAAAAGCATCTTGCATCCTCTTCAATTCCTCACTTTTATCAACGGAAATTGGAATGTCAACGCCAGCTGATCCTTCTTTCATTTTAGTAAACAAACTCTCGATTTTTGCCTCTTTAGCTTTTATATCCTCTTGTAATCTAGCCAAAACTTCGGCGTGGTATTTTTCCATTCGAGACTTTTCGTTTCTCAAATCATTGATAACTTTGTCAAATTCAATATTTTCAGCATTTAAGCTATTAACTGAGGCCTTTGAAAATTCTAGCTCTTTAGTCAAGTCCGTGATCTTGACATTTAAGCCACCGATTGTGCTCTTTGACAATTCCAATTCTTTACCCATTTCAGTTACTTTAAGGCTCAATTCTCTCATTGCCTTATTATTACTGGTTGATCTGTTATTACTGTTCGTAGCACGGTCAATCAACTCTTTCTTTTGCTTTTCAAGGGTAGCAATCTTAGCATTTAGTTCGTTAACCTTCATACTAAATTCGGTGGCCTTATTTTTCAAATCACTCTCCAAATTCTCATTAGAAGCCTTCAAATCCTTAATTTCCTGATATCTTGCTTTAAGAGCAGTGTTGAATTTATTTCTTAATGAAACCTTGGAGTCGTTTGCCTTTTCCATTTCACCTTTCAAGTTTTCATTTTCTTTTTTTAAAGTTTCGTATTCATTTGGATCAATCCTATCAAATTTGCTCAAAATTCCATCTAATCTCAATTTCCATTCGGCACATTCTTTACTTAGCGATTGAATTTCTTGATCTTTCATTGCAGCTTCATTTTTCAATCTAACAAGAGCATCACTCATTGGCACCTTCTCAGCCGTCAATAAGTTCTTGGTGTTTTCTAATTCACTGATTTGACTATCCTTCATAGAGATTTCATTTCTCAAAACTGAATTACTCTCACGCAAGATGTTTAAATCATTCAACTTCTTAGACAATTCGGCGTTTTCCTTTTTGATAGTGTCCACATTATTGTTGGATACTGTCAAATTGTTCAATTCCAATTTCAATGCCTCCAACTGATCTTTGGATTTATTCAACTCTATGATAACTCTATCATTTTCTTGATTTTTAGATTCCAATTCAAGAGATAGCAAATCCCTTTCCTTTCTGAGGAAGGCAATAATTTTCTGGAATTCGCCAGCGCCATCATCATCAATTATATCATCACTATTTAAAGCAATTTTCTCCTTCGTAGTATTTTCCAATTGGTTATGCAAAAATTTGTTTTGATCAATGTACTCTTCTACTTTAACATTCAATAAAGCAATTTGTTCATTCAAATCATTCTTTTGAGCTTCCCAACTAATTTTGCTGTCACTAAAAGACTTATTAATAGCTGACATTTTCATGTCAAGCTGCTTGACGTTAACTGCAAAGGCTTCGTTTTCTTTCTTCAACTGTTGGTTTATTCTGATAGTTTCTGCATGTTTGGTTAACTCGTTTTGATAGTTTGCCTTTTGCTCATTTTCCAACTTAACATGTCTACACAAGTCTTTCTTAACTTCATCAATTTTAACATCAAATTCACTCTTGATTTTATCTGTGGTTTTAACTTTAGATTCCAAAGTTGATATGATGTGTTTCAATTGTGTTTGAGAATTTTCGTAATCTTTCAACTTGCTTTCCAAAACACTCTTCTCACCATTTAATTTTTCGATTTGTTGACCCAACTCCTCAATATTAGTTTTGTAATCACTAACAGCTGCCTCAGATTGCTTCTTGTAGTCTGCAAAAGTTTGATTCAAGCTAGCAAGGGACTTTTCAGCAGCATTTGCAATAGTCTTGAAATGCTCAATATCATTATTAGCACTCAAGAAATCTTCCTTGGCATCAGCCAATTCTTTTTGCAATTCATTGATCTGTTCCTTCAAATTATCTTCTTCAGATATATCTTCCTTATCTTGTCCAACAACACGAGATTTAGAAATAGTATCGATGTACGTCTTTGATGAGATAATTTGCTTCTCCAATAAGTCGACCTTGTTCTTGTAGACTTCCGATTCAGCATCCTTAACATTCAATGAATCCTTGGTTTTAAATAATTGCGCATTCAAACTATCAATCCTTTCTTGGTATGATTTAGTCTCCTTGCGTTGGTTCAACTCACTGTGTTTGATTTGTTCTTCAAGTTTACCAATCTTATCAATATTTGTTTGTAACTGTTCTTCATACTTTCTAACCTGTTCTAACAATCTTTCATTGGTTATCTTGAAATCAGTTTCTCTGCCGAGATTAATTTGCTGCAATTTTTCAATGAACTTGTTCAAATTCTGCTTCTCCAATTTCATTTCTTCACTCTCTTTGACAACTCTATCCTTGACAGACTCAATCAACAATTTCTCAGTAGTCAAGTTACGAACCTCATTCTTTGAGATGTCCAATTCTGCTCTAACAGCAAATAAATCATTTGCAAATTGTGAAGTTCTGGAATCCTGTTTATTCAAAGTATCAGTCAATTGTTTGTTCAAATTTTTCAATTTTTCAACCTCTTGAGATTTGTACTCGAGATCATCAGAGACATTTTTGTAACGGTATTGTAAAATAGTTTCTGATGACTTCAACTGAGATACTTCAACCAACAATGCGTATTTCTCTGATCTAAAGTTTTCAATCTTGAGGTTTAGGTCTTCAATGATTTTCTTAGTTTCTGTCTTGACGGTAATCAATTCATTCTCCAATGATTGATTCTCCTTTTCGAGTCTTTTGTTAGTTTGAATCAATTCAGAATCATTATTTATGACTGCGTGGTTTATTTCACCATTTTCTAACAATAGAGCACTACTATTTGGCTGTTTATCGGCTACCATATTCTTATAAAGATTCTTTTCATGTTCAGAGGAACTCAATCTTAATTCTAATAAATTAACATCTTCCTGAAGAGTCTTAATAGCTTCTTTGGCCTCTTCAATAGTGGAACTCTCAACTTCTGTCAAATGTCTTTGCTTTTGTAATTCTTCAGATTCCAACTTGCTGCCCAAAGTTCTAACAACATTGATCAATTCAGTATTTTTGATTTGTAGTTCATGGATATTTTTGAAAGTTATTAATCTCGAAGAAATCAACTGGTCTGTATCTGATTCTATCATTGAGCCAGTACTCTGTTGAACTTCATGTTGAATTTGCTGAAGGTACTTTTCAGATACACGATTATCATTCAAGATTCTTTCAACTTCAGCTCTCTCATAATCTGTGAGCGGTTCAGCAACGTTATCATTTGCCAAGGTTAATTGAATAAGCAAATATTGGACTTGTTTAGATAAATCAAATTTAATTTTCAACAATGATGAGATCGTCAAGTTCAATTTATTCTTTTCTTGCTGAAGGTTTTCAACTTTCTTATTTAATTGTTTTCTGTTATAAGATTCATCTTCCAAGATTCTCGACACAGAAACCAATTCATTTTCTAAAAATCTATTCTTGTTCTTGGTAGCCTCAACTAATGGGATTTTCTGCTCTAATTCAACGACAAAATTGTCAATTTGTTGTTGCATCATTTCTTTCAACCTTCTTTCAGCAACTAACTTCTTCTTAAGAAGAGAATACTCGGAATATAATTCAGATAATGATAACCCTTTTACTTTCGTAGCCAATTGTTTTGCGGAAAGGTTGAGGCTAAGAGAGTGGCCGTCTGCGTCAGCATTACCATCATTAGTCAATTCATCCAAAGTATTTTCAAGTTCATGAATCTTTGATTCTTTGACGTCAAGGAGTTTAGTTTGTGACTTAAGCTTCTCTTGAAGACTAGACACCTTTTGCGCTAGCAATGTTGATTCTTTCTCGTGTTCCTCATTTAAGCCTTCAATTCTTTCTTTAAGCGCCTCGTTTGAGTTCTTTAGCAACTCGATCAATTTGTCCTTAGAATTTATTTCATTAAAAAAGTTCTCTGAATCGATGTTCATTTGATTATTAACCTCATCAAACTTGAACACTGCTTGTTCATACTTCTTTTGTATTGAGGAGTTATTTTCCTTAAGTGACTCCAAATGAGATTTCAACAAATCAATTTCACTCTTTGTTTCATCATACTTTGACTGGTACTTCACAATTTGGGCCAGAGAACTAGATTTGTGTTTTCTCAATTCTTGAATCCTTCCTTCCAATTCACTTTTGTACCATTCCAAATTCTTTTCCAATAACACTGATTTGTTGACAGCTTCCTCACTTTTCAAAACCAAATTGCCGTTCTCAATCTTCAAGTTTTGAATTGTATTTTCATTAGAAATCAATTGTGATCTTAGCTGAACGTTGGTTTCCCTCAACTCATTAATATCCGACTTTAATAAAGAATTGTCTTCGTTGATTTTAGTTAGAATATGCAACTTCGCCTTCGATGATTCAGTATTATTATTTATTGAGGAGTTCAAACTGGAAACATCATTTTTCAACTTGGATATTTCAAAGTTTAAATCAATGACTTTTTTATTCAATTGATTATTTGAGTTATCCAAGTCATTATTGTCATTTTTCAATTTATCATTAAGAGAAGCCAAATCATTGTTGTTGTTGACCAAGTTCTCAATCTTCTTTTGAAAACCCCTTCCCGATTGATTACATTGAGCACTTAAAAGAGTTTTCTCAGACTGTAATGTTTCAAATGTTACAAGTTTCAAAGAAAGCGCGTCCACAATTTTTTTATCTAATTTGGATACTTCTTCAATCGGTAAGTCTAAGAATGACGATATTTGCTGCACTGTTATTGAAAGTGGCATAACTTCTACTTCCTCAGAAGTATTATCAATATCAACAGAAACATCATGATTGATGGAAATTTCTTTCATTTCACTGTTGGCAAGAGAAGACACATGCAACCCTTCTTGCACTTCCTCTTCCTCTTGTTGTTGCTCTACTTCTGGTTGTGGTTGTGGTTGTTGTTGTTGTTGTTGTTGTTGTTGTTGTTGTTGCTCTTCTTCTTGTTTTTGTTGTGGTTGTTGTTGTTGCTGCTGCTGGATTTGGCTGTCAGATTGTTCAGTATTTATCTGACCAGCCTCGCTGATCAATGCCAGTTCAGGTTGAGCAGTTGCTTCAGACAGAAGCTCCTTGTTTTGATTCTGGTCTTCAGACATTTACAAAGGGTGTTTGACAATACTTTTCAACTTGATGTGAACTTGTTGTATCAGATTTTGTTATTTTCACTTCGACTATTTTTCTTGAACTTTTTTGTTGACCCGCCCTGAAAAGTAGTAGCGGGTCCAACACCCCTATTAGCAAAGTACTCTTGAAATTTTTGGTTGTGACTCGAAATATTTGCAGTTGAAATCAGTCCTCTAGATAGCAACTGCTGACTACTATTTAAGAAGATATTATTCACAATACTCCCTTCCAATCATCTCACCGAAAGTTAATCGGAAAAGCAATAGAATTCTAGTATTATTGGGTCTCACTGTAGAACCACACGCATCATCTAGTCTCGACTTCGTCAGAATGACTTCAATAAGCCAAACAGCCAAAGAACTTGACGCCAAGTATCCAACTCATAGATCTGAGTTCAATATTCCGACATTCAAGTCTTTGGGGATCAAAAACTCTAAGTTTGAACCAGCCACTGAATCAACATACTTTTGTGGAAATTCTCTTGGTTTAATGCCAAAGCAAACAAGAAAATATCTCAATGATGAATTGGATAATTGGTCCGGAAAAGCAGTTGAGGCTCATTTCGACCACCCTAAGACTTGTTGGATGAATATTGATTTTCCTGTTGTTCCATTGTTGGCCCCGTTGGTTGGGGGAAAGGAAACCGAAGTTGGTGTGATGAGCACTTTGACCAGCAACTTGAATACTCTCTTGGCCGTCTTTTATAAACCTAATGGGAAGAGATCAAAAATATTATTCGAAAAGGGTGCTTTTCCTTCCGATTATTATGCCTTTTTGAATCAAATTAAGTTACATGAAAAAGACATTAGTGGTGGCATGAGGGAATTCAAACCAGAAGATCATTTACTTCAACTAGAACCGGAAAAAAATAGCTATTATTTGAAGACTTCCGATATATTGAAAGCTATTGAACAACATCACGATGAAATTGCGTTAGTTTGTTTACCTGGTATTCAATACTACAGCGGTCAATTATTTGAAATCAAACTAATCACCAATGCAGCTAAAAAGTATGGGCTCACTGTCGGTTGGGATCTTGCCCATGTCGTTGGCAATGTGCCATTGGAATTACATGATTGGGGAGTTGATTTTGCTTGCTGGTGCTCTTACAAGTACTTGAACTCGGGTCCAGGTGGTATTGGTGGTTATTTTATCCATGAACAGTATAGCACTAATACGACCCTTCCAAGATTAGCCGGTTGGTGGGGAAATAATGAAACAGAGCGTTTCCAAATGAAGGAAGTTTTCAACCCAATCAATACTGCTCTTGGTTTTAGACAAAGCAATCCATCTGTCATAGATGTTGTTGCTTTACACTCCTCGCTTGATGTATTCAAATCTGTCTCTCCTACTGGTGATATGAGCGAATCTAGAAGTATTTTGCGCGAAAAATCTATTGAATTAACTAAGTTTTTGGAGAAAATTTTAACCAGTTCCAAGTATTATTTGAAACCCGAAGATACTTTCCCAAATACAGAAATTACCAAGCCGTTATTTACAATCATCACTCCAAATGATCCAACCCAACGTGGAGCCCAGTTATCATTGTTGTTTTTCCCATTATCACAGATCAGTGAAAAAAACGTAATGGAAATGACTTTTGAAAAAATCAGAAGTAGTGGGATCATTGGTGATGAGAGGAGACCAAATGTTATCAGGTTGGCACCAGCTCCACTTTATAACACGTTCCAAGAAATTGTTTACATTGGTGAAAAGTTGAATGAAGCGTTAGATGAGATTGCCAAATCTTGGTGATTTATGGGATATGATAATATTAAATTAAAATACACATATACGCATGTACACATATTAATCTACAATAATACTTATAATATTAGACCTTTTTTTGTTTAAATCATATAAGTTTTCCATCTAAACCCAATTCATAAATCCTGCTATTAAGGAAATTCAACAAATATAAGATCGAATAATTCCCCTTAACCAACAAATCCTTGGAGCTCTCATTGAAATTAATTCTCACATTATTCAAAAATTGATGTAGCAATGAAAGCTTATCATCACCTTTACTGAAATCTAAGTCTGATCGACTCGTAAACTTTTTCAATTCATCTTTTTGATTCGGTAGACCAAATGAAGTAACTTCAATGGTTTGGTTTTTGTAATCTAGTGGAATCATTATTCTAATAACAATACTTTCTAGCTCCGTAAACAGGAGCTTAGCCTTAGTTATGTTAAACTCTTCACTCTGCTTTCCAAACGATGAATCAAGCATTCTAATTATCGATGGATCAAGTGAAAAGCTGTACACATAGCCAATTCCCAGATAATTCTGGAATAACAGAAATCTATTCTCGTTTTTCATGTTTAGTCTATGCTTGACATCTTCCAACAACTTGTTTAGCTTTTGGATGTCTTCCTTACTAACAGAGCTTCTGAAACTATCCCAATTGAGATCACCTTCAGCTTTTGGTTTTGGATCCTCAATAATATTTGAGTTTTTGTTAATTCTTTTAACTATCTTTATGGTTTCTCTCTTTTTTTGAGCTAAAAATTTTGCCAAATATTGATCCAAAGTTTGTACTATCCCCACTAAATTATTCCCGCCGACAATCTTTATCTCTCCTTCGGGATCTTGCTTCTTCTTACCTTTCCCTTTCTTCTCGCAACTTTTCTCCACGATTCCGTTGAATCCCCTTTCGATATTGATAGTAATACCTCTGGGGATTTCGTCATTCAACACCGTGATGGTAGGTCGATTACTGGTCGCATTCTCACGATTTTTCTTCATAGGATAATTTACTGGAACATTTAGCGATATTCTCAAAGCGTCTAGATCAAATGGAAAATCTGGATCTGATGGCACAACATTGATCACCAAATAAATATCATCTTCACTGGTTAATGACTTCTTGATAAAATTTGACATAGCCTTCTTCTGGCCTGGCTCAAAAACCTTGCCGTTTATCTGAGTTGGTGGGAATTTATTAATCAAGGAAATTATTTCTGCGGTTCTATAATCTGGTGATCTCTTCTCACCAGCAGGCTTATTATTGTGGGGACTTTCCTTGTTAGCAGGTTTTTGTGATTTTTGATTATGTCTTTTTTTTGGTTTGCCATTATTATTAGCACCTTTAGGACTTTTAGCAGGTGGTGGGTTTATATTATCTGTCATTTTGATCTTACTGAAAAGGCAAGATACGTTAGTCGTTGGTGAAAATGATTGAAAAAGTGGTATTTCAAATCAAATTTATACAGAAATTTTCTGTAAGCGTTTTTTTTTGGTTATGTGCCCTTGGAGGTGAAGCATATATTGCACAGCCATTTGATATATCAAATCATTCCGGATAGAGGTTTGCAAAAGAATGGGGTCAAGAAAAATGAAGACTTGTAGTGATGGTTGAAAAACAGATATTTATGCTGTTTTGTTTTTTAGCTTTTTCGCCGTCTAATGTTTTATGACATTCTCGACTGCACTGTTGAGCAACAAAAAATCAATTTTCAGAATTCTTACTTCAGAGTTCTACCAAAGCTCCTTTAGTTATCTACTTAAGAATAGCAGTATGATTGTTACCAAAACTCATTTGTAAATTCTTAGCATCATCAAAGTAAGCTATTTGTATTTTTCAGAAATAACTGATGACTCAGTAATGCCTTCTCTTGGTACCCTATCAAAAACACATTTTCAGTTAAGAAGGATTTACAATGAATGAATAAAATATACGAAAATAGAGCCTTAATATTTGGATAATAAATAGTATCTTTATGTTATTATAGTTATGTATAACGTTGATAGCTGCTTCGTGTTGCGAAAACTATCAGTTGTGAAATTGGCTGTTGTACTATGAGTAATGGTTTTCTACAAATTTTAAAAGCAGATAGGATCAAATGTATGCTGTTTTTCAATAGTAAAGCCAATCAGAATAATAATGAAAAATTACGATCGAGTTAGTGAGTCTATTTTCTTTATTATAATACTACTTTGCTTTTCTGGTCATTGATTTTGTTTATCGTTATTGTCTTACTGCTGAAAATTTTTCTTCCTATTCTCTAGTTTGTCTGTCAGGAAATCCAGTCTCATTATTAGCTTAACTCTTTGGTTTTTTTTTCCCTCATTTATTTAATAAATATAAAGTTGATATTTTTTAAGCTTAAGATACTAAATATTTGAAGAATAGATGATAGTAATAATGTGTATTTAATGAGTCCAGTTGACTCATATTTATCAAAATTTTACCTTTCTCATTTTTTTTCCCCACACATCATGTAATTGGCAATGATTGACAAATGTCAATTTAAATTGATGGAAGATCACATCCAAATTAAAACAAAGATTAGCTAAATATACGAAAAAGGTTATATCTGCTTAATTGATGGGCATCGACTTTTTTTTTCTTAAGCTTGTCTTGATTTGTATTGCTGAAACTCTTGTTTATAGCTTTGTTTTATATTATATTACAATGAGTCTTTGATCTTTGAGATCAGTAAAATTCGCTCTTAGATATTACTTGTTTCTTCTTCATAGCACTTTGTGCTCAACTAAATAAATGGAGTTTTTTCCAGCATAGAATTTTCAACTTCGAGACATTTGGTTGATATACTCAAAAATCGCTTTATTACCTATTTCTCTTACTGGTAGTCTTAGGACCCCACAATACTTTATATCCTTTTTAGTTCTCAGGAGTTTGAGGAAAGTGCCATAAAAGGGCCTATCAAATGTATCAAAAGTCGCTTAAATGGAATGCATGGTATGGTTAAAAGGGGACTAATGTTTAAATGCAATTATCAAGAACTATAGTTTGACAGGCTTTCCTATATTAGCAAACAAGGATCCTAAAAGGGAGCTTATATTACTAACTGCCCCATGTAAAATAAATTGAACGAAAAGCGAAGCTACGCTTCCCCGCCATTAATATTTTTGCCAGGCTAGTTATTCTAATTCACAGGAGTGAGGAAAAATTTTGACAAGGATCAGCGCAGGTGAAGCAGGCACACAAAGCCCCCTTTATTTTCTTACCCACAGCTTGCAATAGTTACAAGGAATAACAGAAGAGAAAACAATAGATTCTCGATCTTTTTGTAGTCCATTTGTGTTCCAATTACAAAACTTTTATTATTATTAAAATTCCTGTTAAGGATAATTTATGAGATCTGAGCATGAATAAAAAAATTAAAGAATTTCAGAATTTCATAAGCTTCAAGAGACTGAACCCAGGAAAGGTTTTTGGAAGCATTTTTTGGAAGCATCAAGTTAATTGATTTTTGTGAAAAACGCAAAAGCAATATAGATATTTACAAAGTATGGAAACCTCAATAGGTGGTGCGTGTCTTAGGTTCTGAAGGGATCCCAAACTGCCATTTTCGGTAAAAGGCGTTTAGTATGAGTGGGGCATAGCAGAATAACGTATATCTAGATGATCAATCCTTGTAAGGGCTGCAACCTGTGGCTTCCATCACCAGTAATAAAGAAAACCGACCAGTACTGCTTTATGATCTACAACGGGTATTGTAAACGAACTCTATTTTGGGAACGCTTGGGTGAGCCTAACTCAAGAAATATTTTCCATCACCTAGGAAAAAAGCATAAGAGGGGTCTCTACCACAGTAATAGCTTTATGATTTAGGACTAAATGTTTCGATAAACATCCAATTACAGAATCATATTCGCTGCTCTTTGTTTTGCTGGCACTAGTCTTGAATAGCTCTGTTTCGGAAGGTAAAATTCAACACTAAAAAGGCTTTGGCAGAAGATTATCTCAGCACTGCTGCTGAGGGCTGCTTCTGCACGCAAAGGATGCGTAAGCGTTGCATCCAATTAATTTGGCCGCTACTTTATATAAATATCTATAAATTTCTCCTTGCAAAACCATGTCTTTCTTCCAGTAGGTAGCTAAATAGCATTATATTTAAGAAATCTTTGGCAAGATGTCTGGCGCCCAAAAAGAACTACTAGAAGAACCATATCACTTGAATAAAAATAAAATCGACAATGTCGTGTCCTTCGCAGGGATAGACTCCGATTTGGCTGACATCCCTCAATACTCCAAAGAAACAAAAGACCTCAAGATCAAGGAATTGGCATCAATCTATAATGTAGATGAGAAGAAATTGTTGAGAAAAATCGACCTATGTGTTATTCCCCCATTCTGCTTGCTTTACTTCTTGGCCTACTTCAACAGATCGAGCTTTGGGTTCATTCAGATGGCTGGCATCGAAGAAGACTTGCATATGTCTAACTTGAGTCTCTATGCCAGTTACTCTGCCTTTTTTGCTCCTTACATATTTTTCCAATTCTTTGCTAATATCTTGATGAAGAGTGTTAGACCTCATTTTTGGATTTCTATTTCCGTATTGCTTTATGGTGTTGACACTTTAGCTTCTGCGTTTTCCAAAAACTATGCTGCCTATACTGGTCTTCATTTCCTCCACGGAATCGTTCAAGCTGGCTCAGAAACAGCTATTTTCTATATTTTAGCTCATTACTATACCACAAAGGAGTCTCAAAAAAGATTTAGTGCAATTTACTCTGTCAGTTGTCTTGCTGGCATCTGCTCCAATCTTATTGCTTATGGTGTCAATAAGAATTTGAACGGTGATAATGGATGGATGAATTGGAAATGGGCTTTGATCGTTTATGGATCATTGACTATGTTCAGTGCTGTTGTTCTATTCTTTATTCTTCCAGATTTCCCAGAGGGGGCCAGATTTTTCGATGACGACGAAACCTTCTTTTTGATCAAGAAGTTAGAAATTTATAACGGGAAATCTGGGTATGGATTGGATTTCCAAGTTAAAGATGTTACCTCAAGTTTGCTGGACCCATTGATTTGGTTGCCTGCTATTTCATCCCTTGGTATTTCGTACGCCACTTACGTTTATGCTTTCCATGAACCACAGATCATGTCTGCTGTTGACTTTAACGGTACCAAAAATATCTCTTACGGTTCTTATCCTTGGGTTGTGGCTTTCATTTGGTGCAACTTGTCAGCACACATTTCTGATTTTATTGGTAAAAAATATCCTGTCATTCTTGGTAATTTATTGATTGCTATGGTTGGATCTATCCTTATTTTTGCTCCAAGTGATTCTGAAAGCGCCACCAGATACGCCGGTTGCTTCTTGGTGGCACTTGGTGGTTACGCTGCATTGCCAATGATTTTATGTTGGAGCACTTTGAATGTTGGTGGTCATGTCCGTAAAAGTATGGTTACTTCTTTGCAAATCAGTTTTGGTTCTATCGGTGGTCTCATTGCCTTATTCACCTTTTACAACCAAGAGAGCAAGGCTAGAGTTCCATTTTATGTTTCCTTGGGCTTCCAAGCTCTTACGGCGGCTCTGGCTACCGCCTACTTGGTCACTTGTACTAGACAAAACCAAATAAAAAGAACAAGCCAATATAAAGAAAAGTACGAAGATTTCACGGAAAGAGATGCCATAATTCTTGGTGACAAGCACCCCAACTTCGATTATTTGACTTGATTTTCTAGTATTATTTTTTTTTGTTATTTTTTCTTTTCTGTTAATTATTTATGATTCCCGTTTTCTAAAGAATTTTTTTTGTCATCTTTTTCAGAGGTCACAGTTTGATATGTTTCAAATTTTTTCTCTTTTAATTATTTTGCTGCTATAGACTTTCTCAATTTGTACGTTCCCGTTTATTTTAAACCAGCTTTCAAGTTTCGTAGAATTTTGTCAGTAGTGCGCAAAAAAACAAAAAAACAAAAAAACAAAAAAACTCATCACAATCAATAATTTCTTTTCTGAGTAACATATAGAATTACGGCTGCCGAGGACCCATTCTGGCTTATATATTACCTTAAAATGGTGGACGAAGAAGATTTTCTAGCAGACCTTGAGAATGATTTTGAGTTGAGTGGAGAAGAAGAAAACGAAGAGGACGAAGATATCCAAGAAGTTGATAAGGCAGTAAGTAATGTTGATGATGATCAAGACATAAAGGATAATGAGGAAAGCAATATTAATATTGACTCTAGTACAAATGATGGCGCCAATGCTGCCGATCAGGCATTAGTAACAAGGATGAAAGAGTTGGTAAACAATGAAAGAAACTTGTCAACTGAGGATATGATACAAAGATTGGATATGAAATCCATCAAATCCATCAAAACGATAACGAAATTGTTGCTGTTATTAGACCCAGTATTGCAGAGAATTGATACATTAGAGAAAAATCAAGTTGATTTTACTAATAATCACTATCTGACAACCGATGCTCATTATGATTTTTTGGTTACTTCAAATGAATTTGTGTCAGAAATCGGTAACGAAATCTCATTGATCCATAGCTTTATCAAATCCCAATACTCACCTCAATTTAGTGAGCTTGAAACGATAGTAGTTGATCCCGTGGAATATTGTCAAACCCTATTGATTATAGGCAATGACCTTGGTAACGCTCCTTCTAAATCTTCTGAGCTTAAAAAAATCATTACCGGGGAAAAAATTCTCGTGATTAACATGTCCATTCTAGAGTTAAAAATATCTAACCTACCTCAAATGATCATGAATTCTATAATTGATGCATGTAATATCGTCATAAAGTTAGATGCTGCTCGGATAAAGATTACGAAATTTATTTCCGAAAAATTGTCGACATATGCTCCCAATTTATCAAGGATTATTGGGTCATACTGTGCAGTCCAATTGATGAGTTACTGTGGTGGGCTAGATAAACTTGCTTACACCCCATCATGTAATATTCCTTCTATTGGAACTAAGAAACCAGTGAAGATTGGCTTTGGGCAGGTTGGGATTAGGCAAAAAGGGTTCCTATATAGTTCACTGATCATTTCTGAAGTTCCTGAGAACTTTCAAAGGCAAGCCATGAGAATTGTTTCTGGGAAGCTTTTGCTTGCTGCTAGGATGGATTTAGCCGGATCCAACTCTGACGGACTGTTCGGTATCAAGACGTTGGAAGAGATTCAAAAAAAGCTAGAGAAGCTAATGGCACCACCAGATAATGTTGGACCTAAAGCCTTACCGATCCCCATAGATAAAACTTCCAAAAAACGTGGCGGGAGAAGATTTAGGAAAATGAAAGAGAAATACCAAATGACAGATTTACAGAAGGCGCAGAACAGAATGGTGTTTGGCAAGGAAGAGGATACTGTAATGACTGAATTTGGAGACGAAATTGGATTGGGAATGGCTGGCAGAAATTCAATGTTGGGTACTGGTAACATTAGAGCTGTTGGAAATACCAAAATCAAGCATAGTTTGAGTAAGAAGATGAATAATAGACTAAAAGGTGCTGATTCCGATGTATTGACTATTGGCAGCTTGGGTCATCACTATGGCAGTAAACATCTAACTAATGTCGATGATCTCGTTAATAGTTTGAAACGCAAAGCTGATGAGCCAGTGGGTAATGAGAAGAAGCGTCTACATAACTAGTTAGTAATAATAATAATAATAAGGCATTAGGTTATTGAAAAATAAAGCAGAAATGTAATAGATAAATAGCAAATAAGAAGCGAAACAACAATAATAACGATAATGAAAATAATGAAACGATAGCGATAATAGTAATACATCTTTTTTTTTAAAAACAACTTACATGAAGGAGAACCTTTTTGGAAATTCACGAGTCATAATGTTGGGCTAATACATCAGGGGCCGCCCAACATTGATATCCAAATATTTTGGCTTGATAACACAATCCTTCGGTTTCAATTCCATCGTAACCTTCGATTCTTTCCCAAGACGTCCCCACAATATATAAAGGTGGAAATAGAATCCCCTGTCTGAAAATCATTGTTTTCACAAACAAGATCGCACCACCAACCGAATCAATGGGATAGAAATAGTGAAATGCTTTTTCTGAATTAATTTCTAATTTTCTGGATAAATCTAGTAAAAGATTAGAATTGTCCGTGCGCCTTGGGACATAAACAAACCCTTGTTGTTGCTCGATAAAAGTAGTGATTTTTGATGATGAATCGGATGAAGAAGATCTTTGTCGCTCAGTGTCCAATTCGGTTTCAATTTCCTGCAAAGTTTCATAATCGTTATTAGATTGAAGAACTTCATCTTTTAATTTCTGTAATTTGATCTGCTTGTTTTCATTCAACTTTTTCAACTCTTCCGGGGTTGGTGCTTCTCTTTCTCCAACCCACGAGTTTTGATCATAATCATAACAATCTTTACCCTTTTGAATCCTCGGGACCACAATGTCTTTACCAGATTTAATAAAGTAGTTGAGTAAATTTCCTGGCATGGAAATGATATCACTATCCACAAATAATGAGTATTTCTCGTCTGACAACACTGTGTTGATCAAAAAGTTCCTTACTTTAGCAATTACTGACCTTCTTTTTATCTGAATTGCTTCTTCATGACGATAATCTCTATTGATTTTGAAAGAATTTTCAATGAAAGGAGCGTGAACAAGTACCACTTTAGCAAATTTCCCTCCAAATTCATCGTCTGATTCATCACCATCCCTATATTCTTCAACATCACGAAAGAATTGGATTATACTCAGTGCTTCATAATATTCGACCAATAATTGTTTTATATGTTCAAGCTCAACCGTTGATTTGACCAGAAGTCCTAAAGTAACGTACTGTTTGTCATAGTTTATCTTGTGTAAAACATTGAAGAAATGTTTGAAGTTCCGACTTCCAGCATCTCCATAAGAACTATGATCAATGATGTTCGATAGTAAAACAACTTTGTTTTTGTAGTCGAATTTCCCGGTAAGGCTTGAAGTTGATCTTGAACCTGACCCAGCACTAAGCTGATCATTATTCAAAAATATTATTGTTTCATACTCAGAGAACTTGTCACCTTCATTGAAAGATTCGCGAATAACTTCATAAGGTTTTCCAATGGATCCACTTGAATCGCCAACCAAGTCTTTAGCTGAGCTACCAATGAACTGGTAGTTATTATTCTGGCAGAACTGGCTGAAACGTCTCAAATTATCATTCAATACCTCATGGTCCCAGTTGGCCAATGCATGGTTTGCGATGTGCACTGAATTCCCCAATATCTGATAGAAGTTGATGAAAATCACCAATAATATTACCCCAACAAAAGCCAAATAAGTCCTGAGCTTCCTACCGTGCTTCCTGGGCTGCCACATGTTGGTCTGATGGCCTGATATCCTAACTGTAGCCATGGATTTAAACTACTCGTAAAAAAAACAAAAAAAACCGTTCCCCCTTGTTACGTAAGCACATATTATATAGGTATTACTACCCGCCCTTAATTTGCCTTCACGATATGCTCTAGACAGCAATCACCAACCAAAAAAAAAAAAAAATAAAAAGTTTGGCTGAGATCTCGATCTCGTATAGCCTCAATAACACAACCGTGGTACTAACATGCTAAACTTTGGCGGGTCTGTCAAGCTCAATACAAAGGTAATTGCCATTGCTGGTGCATTCCTCCTTTTCAATTTGATCCTAATTTCCAACAGCTATTATTCACATAATGGAATCTCGTCAACAATTGATCATTATCGTACAAAATATCAAAAGACAAATGACGTTTCTCAAACAATAGTGGACAGTAAAGATATTGAAGGCAATATATTATTCGAAGAACATTTCAAATCCCTGGGGGACAAGAAGAGTTACTATGAAAAATATTCTATGCAATATCTTCCCAATTATACTGGCGAAAATTTAAATCATGAGGAATCCACATTGTTGGTATCATTGATCTCTAGTAGTGCACCATACGGCAGGGATAGAACTTACGACCAATTTTTCAATGATGTATTAAATGGGTTCAATGAGGATTATGGCAAAATATCTTTGGGGCTACTTTGTATTACAAAGGATCATTTTGATACGATCAAGAACTATATGAGAGATTTCTTCCAAGATGAAAGAATCGAAGCAGAAAAGAAATTCAACAAAGTTACGATGATTTACGCCCCATTTTTGGACGAAAATAATGCTAGCGGTAGAGATGATCGTCAGAAACCATCATTCCAGAAAAAGCGTCGTTCATTAATTGCGAAGTCTCGTAACTTTTTAATCAACAGTATTCTTGAATTTGAAAAATATATCTTGACTATAGATTCTGACATTATTGAAATCAATCCTGACACTATCTCTATGTTTATTACTAGCAAGAAAGATATAATTGTTCCTAGAATTGAACGAGGAATTCAACAGGATTATGATTTGAATTCATGGAAAGGATCACGTAAAGTTCCAACTTCCGAAGAATTTGAAATGATGAAAAAATCTCAACAGAAAGCTTATCAACTGGGATCACGAGATGAAGAGTATATATTTGTTCCAATGGATCAAGAGGGGAAAATGGAACATTTGATTGATGCCAGTAACCGTTTGAAGTCAAACAGGAAGGCGAAGGTTAATGAGTTGGTAGAGATTGATTCTGTGGGCGGAGCAGTGTTGTTTTTAAAGTCAGAAATTTGGAAATTGGGAATCCAGTTCCCACCTTTCTATGTCATTGGTACAGATTGGAATTTGCCATTGGGTGGTTATGATGGTATTGAAACTGAAGGGTTATGCTATGAGGCTAAGATTTTGGGCTACACTTGTTGGTCTATGCCTAACTTGGTAGCGCAACACAGTGAAGTATGATCCTAGTACTTGTAAACATTTTCAGGTAGTGCTAGCGATCTTGACGGTGAGAAAAAGATAACTTGAACTCATATAATTTTTAGCAGACTATGGATGAGTTTTTATATTTGGCATTTTTTTTTTTGTTTTCTTTCAAGTAACATACCTCTTCCATTCGAATTTAAGTAACTGTGGCCAAGTAGATTCATTTTTTTTTGTTTTTCTTTCTAAGTCTTCTTAGGAAGAACTTGAATTTGATTTTTTAAGTGCACTTTTAATGTTTTTTGTTTTGTGCACAAACCTGTTGGTATTGACATGTTTATCACATACGCCATGACGTCATATATATTTTGAACGATATCCCTAGAAACAGATACAACAAAAAGCACCTGCACTTTCTTCGTGGAATATTGTCCCACATAGTCATACAATGTAACAGGCTTGTGTTGAGATTAACTGGTATAAACATCATAGTAATGGATCCCTTAGCGCTCATTACCCGGTATAATGCAAGTGTATGGCACGACCCAACACAAAAAGAAAAGACTTTTGAGATATCACGGATTGGTACAACCCTCTGCTATTATTTCTTTCTTTCTTTTCTTTTCTTGTCCTTTTTATTTTTTTTTTTTTTCCCCCTTTTGCTTTTTTGTTTTCAGTCCCCACCGTCATTGCTTGTTTTGGTTCTTCCTTGTTGTGAGGTGACAGCTGACAGGTCTTGCAGCATCAGTGGGGTAAGCCGCACACCCTTCAACGGACGGGAGGGACCTCTGCATGCTGTGGGGTACGAAGTGGGATGAGCGACTCCACAGACATTGCTAGATACACCCAACACTATAAAGGGCATTATCTGCCCGTGAAAGACCGCCTGTTGCATATGTTTTTTGAACCAAACTTACAATATCAAATACAATCGCTGTGGTCTGAAATAATATTAATATGAGTACGCTTGGTGACGAAGAAGTTAGACATTTCACTCCAGACTTGGAGAAACAAATCAATCGAATCCATACGTCTGAAGATGGTACTATTGTCCACATGGGACCATATTCCTTCCACAAGGATGAGTTGGTCAACGCTTTTGGTGGGAATTTGAACCCAGGGATTGCTCCAATGCCTCCTATAAGGGGTCTCAACTCCGTACCAATGGGACTTGCCTCTTTTGCTTTTTGTTCTTTCGTTGTTTCATTATTCCATGTGCAAGCAAGAGATGCCTCCAATCAATCGATATTGATTGGCTCATGCTTTTTCTACGGCGGGGTTATCGAAGTGATTTCTGGCTTAATGGCGTTGATTGTTGACAACACCTTTGCCGGAACTGCTTTAGGATGCTTTGGTGGGTTTTGGCTAAGTTACGGAGCTATCTTATGTAACGCTTTTGGAATAGTTTCTTCATATACCACTGAGGAGGAATATCATAGTGCTTTGGGATTCTTCTTGACTGGCTGGTTCATGTTTTCCTTTGTCATTTGGCTTTGCACTTTTAAGTCTACATGGCCGTTCTTTAGCTTGTTTTTTTTAATCTGGGTGTGGATTTTGGTGCTTGCAATTGGTACTTTTCAAAATAATGCCAATATAATTAAGGCTGGTGGTGTTCTTGGATTATTGGCTTCATTTAATGGGTTATACTTGATGTGGGCAGGGATGGCCACACATGAAAATTCCTACTTCACAGCTATTCCTTTGAGTCTTCCTTATGCTCCAAAAGTTGAATGATTAATCTCACTTCATAATTTGCATATAGTAGTGGTTTTATTATTTTTATTAGCAATAATCGCAATTGATGTTCTGTGTATTTATTTTCTTACTTCCTCAGTAGGTGTCCCAATAGATTAGCACTATAGGTGTTATCTGTTCCCCCACATAACATGGAGTCCAACACCCCAACACCCCAACACCCCAACACTTTACAAAGCCAGTAAAAGACCCGAACATTAGTAACATATGTTTTAATAAAACAAATTCATATAAACAAGCCCATGAGCGTGCCATAGTAGAAAAATAACTATTTAATATGTAAATCTTATTTTTTTTTCGGCTTTATTTTCCCCAGTAAGCGCTTGATGTGACTAATTGGAATCAATTTGATTCTTTTAACCCTTAGCAAATAATACATCAGAACCATCGCGATCAAATTGAAACAGATATAAACCCAAAAAAAACCAAAGTTTCTCCATAATGTACTATAACTAATGGAAATAGTTTTTAAATATTGATCACCGGAAGAATATGCGCAATATTGACAACTACCTGTGGCATTAGGATTCTTGACATATCCACCTCTGGTGTTGATGAATGGGTCGAGGTATTGACCACAAGTTTTGCTGGAAGGTGGATTGATAATGGCATACTCACTTTCCCGACAACGAACATCAATGCCATGAAGAGAAAGTGACATGAAAATCTGAATAAAATATGTAAATGGTGAAATCTTCCACATAAATGTCCAAAAACCAGGCATTTGCTGAGGAAAATTACTGTTAGTAAAATTATGAATAGAAGAAAGATAGTGCTGATGATAAAAATACTTACCGATTCTGGTTGAATCACTCCACTGAAGGCGATCATAAATGCCAAACATAAAGAAATCAACACCGTAGCAGATGGCAAATCAGGAGACATATAAAGAATCCAAAGGCCGAATGATAAATAATAAAGCTGGAAAATAATACAATAGAACATATAATAAACTCCCACTGTATAGGAATTATAGTTCCGATGGACTGGAAAGTACATAGCCACAAAGAAAAGCGTCGACAATACCAAATGATAGGGCAATTCATTGATATATTGAGCAAGCAATAATGCTAACCAATGATAAGTATTTGATTTTGATTCACGAATTTCAAATACCTCACGAGATTGTAAAGCACGACTTTGTGTTTGTTGTATCAACGGAACACTAATGATGATTGACATAAATACAGAAAATAATTCATTCCTCATTCCAATAATACCATTGTCGGCATCCCAAAACGTAAAGCCAATATATAAACCGGCCATCACCAGTAGAAAAAATTTACCCGTTATGTAAACTGGATCTCTCCAAAATTGTCTTGCAACACGATGTATAACTAATGCCAACTGATAATAGTAAGGGGTTTCAAATTTTTTTAACTTCTTATCTTGTGATGTGATAATAGCATCACCTGTCCTGGCAGTCGACGTTGTACTAAACAAATTGGTCATAGATTTAAGTAGTACTTGATATTCTTGAGAATCTAACCAATTATTACCCCAATCTTGAGTGACAGTGGCAGTAGCTCCGGCCCCAATGGTTTCAAGAATATATTCAGCAGGGTTTTCAAATTCTTCACATTTTCTGCCGCCATGGGCCTCGAAATAATCCAACATGATTCTCAGATGCTCTCCAATATCACCAAAATAAACTGTATAGCCACCTTTTTTCAATAACAATAATCTATCAAACTGTTCAAATAAAACCGCCGAAGGTTGATGAATGGTGCACAAGATTGCTTGCCCAGCATGAGCTAAGTCCTTCAACAATTTTACAATCGCAAATGATGACTGTGAGTCCAAGCCTGAAGTTGGCTCGTCCAAAAATAATAACAACGATGGCTTGGCAACCAATTCAACTCCAATTGATAACTTCTTGCGTTGTTCCACATTCAAACCGTATCCAGTCTTTCCGACAATAGCATCAGAATAAGCGACCATTCCCAAGATCTTGATGATTTCCTCAACATACTCGCACTTTGCTTGATCACTTACTTCTCTCAGCCTTCTAAGTCTCGCAGAGAATCGAAGAGATTCACGAACTGTCAATTCCGAAAAATGAACATCTTGCTGCTGAACATAGCCGGTTCTTCTTTGAAAAGAAGATGCTAACACACCACCATTGACAGAAATGTCACCAGTAACTATTCCAACATCAACTCTTTGAGATAAAATATTTAATAAAGTTGTCTTTCCAGCCCCTGATTCTCCCATCAAGGCAGTAAGGGTTCCTGGTTTTATATATCCTTGGATGTCATGCAACAACTTTCTGAAAGTGCCATCTCTCAATTTCACCTCATAATTGACATTTCGCCACATGAAAACATCTTCACTTCCAAGACCTTCAAAAACTTTAGTACTTTTAATAATATTGTTCACATTCGGGTTCTCTTCAAGATTGTCAACCATTGGACTGGAGCCTTCGCTCTGCTTTTCATAATCAACTTCATTTCTATGAGCAGCAATTCTGAGCTCTTGGATTATCTGCCTGGTTTCTTTGGTCTTTTTAAAAATCAAAACATCATAACCAACCTTATCAGTTCTAATGAACTCCGATGCAATCCCAGCAATAGATAAGAAAAATATAAGAAATCCCACTAAAATCCCGAAATTTTTCCACAAGTGGCTGAAATAATATTGATACGCCACTCTAAGATAATTATTACCAGAGACATAGTTTTCACCAGGCTGTGATCCGCTGAAAGCACAAGTCTTATATGTTATTGGTAAATCATTGTAATATGGACCTTGTGGTACAAGTGAAACCGTGCAAGGCATATTAACATTGTGGAACTCATCAACCAACATAGATTCGAAACCATACCTCACGGGATTAATATAGCTGATCCATTTAAACCAAGGTTGCATTGACGGCAACTGAATCATATAACTTGAATATTGAACCGCGCTCAAAATAATTAGCCCAGCAAATGGATTTGCCACAGATATGTTTGGACTCATTAGAGCCACAAATTGGAAAAGCGAGTTCATTGTTGCCGATGTGAGGATTGTAAATAAGTAAAACACAAAGAAATTACCAGGAGCTCGTTTCAATCCAGAGAGAAAGAAGACAATGATACAAAATCCAGTGATGCCAATCAATTTAAACGCTTGATCAACAATAAATGAAGAAAAAAATTCGGTAGATGGATGACAGAATGAGTAACCCCGCTGCTTTAATAATATTGGACGTTTAGCGAAGGAATTGGAGGTCAAAGCCATTCCAGCAAGAGAATAATATAACACAGCAAAGAAAAGAACTCCACCTCTGGAGAATGCTCCGGTTGTAGAATCTGTAATTTGATAGAATAAAGAGCCAATTATCAAAGCTTGTATGATATCAGAGGTAATTTGTGTAGCCAAATAGGTGAAATCACCTATAACTATTTGATAAGATCGAATGAGGTTTAGTTTCAATTGTTGAAAATAGCTGACGGTGTAAGAAGAATTGACTTTACTTTTTTCCTGTTTCGAAGATTCATAGAATAGGTTTCTGGTGTGTTTGGCATCAATTGACTCTTTATAAAGTTTGATTTCATCTTTCAAGCTGCTAAACTCAGGAGATTTTAACCAATATGCTTCAAATTCAGCAGCACTTCTCGGGACTCTGTTTTCAAAGCCTGGCCTAGGATATCTTCCATTTCGATCAGTAATTGCTGTCAAAAATTCTGCAGTTGTTTGACGTTTTGGACATTCAAACCCCATTTTTTCAAAAAAAGGCTTAGCGTGCTTAGTCGAACCAAAATAAATTTGACGACCCTCGTACAACACCATTACTTTATCAAACTTCTCATAAATGTTTTCCGAAGCTTGATAAATAGTCACAAAATTTGTAGAATGCATGACATTAGTCAAGACTCTAATAGCTGTGGCATATTCCAAAGCAGTAGAAGAGTCTAGTCCCCTAGTGGCGTTATCCCAACAATAAACTTTGCCATCAGCTGCTAAAGCTTCAGCAATGGATACTCTTTTTCTTTCGCCACCACTAATCCCATGGACAAAATCGTTACCAACTTTAGTATCATAAGCATGCCGCAAGCCAAATAAAGTTGCAATCATATCCACTTTAAAATTAACATATTGGTCTGTAGATATCTCACCAGGAACTACAGCAACTCTTACTTGTGGAACTTTGCAACCAACCGCAAACTTTAAAGTTTGATGAACTGTCAAATGAGGGAAATGGACATCTAACTCAGGGTTGTAAATAAAATCATTTTTATGAGTTTTCAACATCTCATTTAGAGAAATCCCATCAAAGCTAATTTCCCCAATGGTGGAAAAGTATTGATCCATTCCTTCTCCGGCAATGTTTTTAAGCAAAGTTGAGCAACCAGCACCTGGCCTACCTAACAATAGACACATTTCGCCTGCTTTAACAATGCCGTTGATATTATTTAGAATTCTCTTGGTTGGTTTTCGATTTCCTCTATTTTTGATCTTTTCCATAACTTTTCCGGGAATATTGAATCGAGATCCAACCGTTTTTGCAAATGTTGCGGACCTATCGATACCCAAAGTACAGACATTTTCCAACATCACCCCAGTAGAACGAAGATGAACATTTTGAATATCAGCATTTTTTAAAAAATTTCTAAGGATGCTTGCAAGATTGAAATCATCTGGACTGATAGTCAACGTATCCCTCGTGGTGACATGTGACAAATGTTTTGCAATTGTCTCAAGACGGTGGATAAAATGATGAGGATGATCTAAACTGACTCTGGTAGCAATATTTGAGATATCAGAATCCTCGCCTGATTCTTCTGTCTCGTTGCTCTTACTCGCTGGGTCACGGGAGCCGGTATTATTTAAAGAACCACTTGTGGCCGATGTAGCAGTAATGTTGGGTGACAATAACATTGCTCTTGCTGTGGTGAGTCTTCAGTTGGTAGATTTCAAAAACGCAGTGGAAAATATCAATGACAATTATAGCTCCTTTTTACTGATAAAGAAAAAAAATGTTATCTGGTAAATATATTTGATAAAGTAGCAAAAATAAAAAAAGTGAGTATATGATCTAGGGGTGTTAGGCGGATGCATGAATGACGCTTGCAGGAAGAGTATGATATTTTCTTTTTCTAAAATCATGAGGAGTTTTCCATTCTTTATTTTTAATACATTTTTGATTAAATTATCGTTTAATTACCTATGAAACATGATAACTCAGCTATAAACTCTTATGGAGTAAAAGAATGGAAGAAGTTATAGACAGGTGAAATTGTACTTGCCTTTGCACTGGGCCAACATTGTGCCACTAAAGCGATTATAAATTACTATATATCTGAAAAAAAAAAGGATCATGTCAAGTAGTTAGATAAAAACTAATTCAATATCATTATATTGTATTCAATTACGAAAATAAGCTCTGATAATTCTTATTGGAATGTAATATTTGGGTCAATCAAATGGCATTTTAGATGTTGACTCAAGGACTCCCACAGTTGCTAATTATTGTCTTACATCGCCAATACAAAAGAAAGCTGCTTCATAAAATATAGTTCAACAACAGAAAATGTTTTCCCGAAAATGGAGAAAAAATATATGCATAGCAATATTATATAAAAATCGTAAGGCGCCTGCTCAAGATACATGTGAAATCAAATTTGCATTTTTAAAACTTCATTCGGACAGCCTTAATTTGAGTATAATTATCAACAACCTCAAAGCCAAGCTCTCTTCCAAAACCACTATACTTATAACCCCCGAAAGGCAAATTATAATGATTATCATTATATGTGTTTATCCAAACCGTTCCTGCTCTCAACTTATTGGTAACATCAATAGCATTTTTCAAATTGGCCGTGTGAGCACCAGCAGCTAAACCATAATCGGTATCATTAGCCTTTGCTACAACCTCATCAATAGTTTTAAAAGTATCCAATACAAGCACTGGGCCAAATATTTCTCCCTTAACTATCTTCATTTTGTGTGTGGTACTTGTGAAAATTGTTGGTTTGATGAAAAATCCTCGATCACCATGACGCTCTCCACCAATGAGAACTTTTGCCCCCTCTTGCTTTCCAAGCTCAATATACTTCATAACTTTATCAAATTGTTTTCTAGAAGATATTGGCCCTTGGAAAGTCCCTTCCTCAAATGGATCACCAACCTTGAGCTGAGAAATTGCCTGGATTGATTTATCCACCAATTTATCTTTTATTCCTTCTTGAACAAAAAGCCTTGACCCAGCACAACAAACTTGACCGGCATTAACATAAATGGAAAAAATGATATTTTTAACTGTCAGTTCTATATCACAATCTTCAAATACAATGTTTGGAGATTTTCCACCCAACTCCAAAGTGACTTTCTTCAAATTCGTATCTGCTGCGTTTTGAAGAATTCTTTTTCCGGTAGCTGTTGATCCAGTGAATGCCACTTTATCAACTTTAGGAGACCTTGATAAATACTCACCAACAGTGGTACCTAATCCGGAAACCAAATTATATACACCTGATGGAATCCCTGCTTCCTTAATAAATTGAGAGACATATAATGCTGTCAAAGGGGTGCATTCGGCTGGCTTCAAAACCACACTATTACCAGTTACTAATGCTGGCCCAATTTTCTAGGATCACATTAAAAATGGGAAATTCCAAGGAATTATTTGACCACAGACTCCAATCGGTTCACGCCGAGTGTAATTAAGTGAATTAGGTCCACCATTAATCACCCTTCCAAAAGGGTACTGAGCCAAGGTTTCTGAGAATCTAAGGCATTGAATTGCAAAATCCACGTCCTTACAAGCGAGTGGTAATGCTTTACCGTTATCAAGAGATTCAATGCCGGCAATAACTTCTTTGTTTTCTTCAACCAAATCCGCTAGTTTATTAATTGCACTAGATCTAATCATTGGATCACATGTTGGCCATCCGCCTTGAAACGCTAATCGAGCTGCATCAATTGCCAACTCAGTATCGTCTTCTTTAGCTTCATAAACTGATGTAATGACCTCATCTATGGATGGGTTGATGACTTCAAAAGTCTTTTCCTGTTTTGATTTGACAAATTCATTGCCAATAAAAAGCCCGGTAGGTTGTTTGTATTTAATTCCATTAGGCAATTTGATATCAACCGAAAGCGATGAGCAGGAATAAGACAAACTAGATATCGAGAAGGCTCTCAATGAGAGTCCTACTCCTGGTTTAATAGACCTTAACATTTCTCTTTGTAGGCTATGCTAAATGAGAGCTAATACAAAAGACAAGAAAGTAAGAAAAGAACCACATATTATAATTAAATAAGTAGAAATCGAGATACTTCATATTTTATATTAGTTGATTGTTTATCTTTTATGGTTGCGCACCAATAGCTGCAATTGTGGGGAAAAACTAGTTGGCTGCAATTTGGAGTATATTGAGCAGAAATTTTGGAAGGCGACCAACGGAAAAATGATAAATACTTGCTTTTATATCACAAACATCCTGTATATTGCAAACACCACTACTGACAAACAGGCACTGCTATCAGGTAAGCCATCGCACTTGTCATTACCCGACTCAGGCACACCCATCGTTCCCCTTCTTTTTTTTTTTTGACGTATGTTGTGGCATTGTCTTTCACTACAACTGCTCTTCAAACCATAATAAATCTACCCAAAACGAAATGTTCTTTGTCTTAATAGGAAGTGAGTATCATAGTATCATATCTATTATAAATCCATTACCTAAAAAACAATACTAACCCTTTTGCGGGCCATGCTTTTAATAAGGAGATCGATCCAGCCAGCAAACCAGGTCTCTGTCCCCATTGCAACAATTACAGTGTTACCCCTCGTAAGCATAAGCGCTTTGTCACCCTTTTCTTTATACCTGTGATCCCAGTCAGCTGGAGAAAAGAATATCATTGCTCAATTTGCAACTGGACACAAGACATGTGAGAATCTATTTGGCATACCACCACGATCGCTGACTATCCCATAACCAATAGAAACCTCTATATTATTAAATCATTTATTATTATTGGCATGTAATGGCCAGTTTTCATTTTTGAATAGTCCTTCTCAGTGGATTTTATTGTTCTTATCACTATTTTGCTCCATTCATATGGCTCTATTTTTACAGCCCATTCGATTATAATTTCATGCTGATGACCCCATGTAATCGACTTTTGTAATACGATCCATCAATTCCCCAATCATACCTTCCAAAATTTCGTTTCGCTGCTCATATTCTCCAATTTCCTGTTCCTTGTAACGATCTTCCAAGTCCGCGACCGAATTTGGCAATCGCTGTAAAATCCACTGCTCTTTCATACTTCTAGTGATTAATAACAACTCTTCCAACAATCTGACGATGTTGGAAGCATTAGACTCAAGAGCTAGAGTGGAGGTGGCAATAACGTTAATGTTCATTCCTTTTTGGGGGTGCACATCATCATCTTCGCCTGATTTTGGGGTAGACGATGAAAGTTCCACTAATTCAGAAAATCGTTTGACAAGAAGATCTGTGTTAGCGTCTACTTTCTTAAGGTAATTAATACATTTCTGTTGCATTATTGCCGGTTTTTAAGTAGAATATGGATATCTGGTGAACGGTCAGTAGTATAACCCCTACTGTACAATAATCAATATTTTCAAAAAAAAGATTACCCGACCTGTAAACCCACGGGTAACATAATTTTCCGCAGTTGTCAGAAGGCTCTAATTTTCTGAGTACCAGCAAAAAGGAAAAAGGGAAAAAAAATTTGTTAGGCAAAAAAGGTCATCCCCATCTACAAATTTTCATATCATTCAAATTATACAGCACACCAAATATTACCATAACCAATACCCAAATCTACATAAATATATCCCATCTATAATCTAATAATATTTTTTCCACCACATTTTCTAATCTACTGAACAATGTCCAACTTGGGATTCTCATGGGACTTTGAACCCAAATTCGCCACAACCCAACAACAAGACGAATTGACCAAGAAACAACAACATCTTATCAACAGTAAAAAACATACGCCTCGCAAATTGAAACGAAGAATTCGTGATGATGAGCCTCAACTCTACAAACCCTCATCATATTCCAATAATACTGTTCGTAACCGTCCAGTGATTACAAAATCATTCAATAAAAGATCCAAGACTCAAGAACATGTCACCGGACGCCCATTACCATTATTTCGTGTTATTGAACTATTGGATAAGAAACAACTTAGCAGCATGATTCTTGGTCTTATTGACGAAAAACCAGAATTGAATCAAGTGATTTATAATAATATGGCGCATCGCTTTGATTCATTAATTAACCCTTCCGTTGATAAAAGTGTTGAATATTTGCGAAACTTTCTTGAGGAAAGAATTCTTGCTAAGTTGCCATATAAAGTCGAACCAGAATCAGAATATTGTTTTCTAAGAGTACAAAAGCCACTTATCGAATTTTATACCATATTATCAGATTTCATTTTGAATTACGTTCCACCAAGGGAGGACAACTTTGTTAATTGTTTGAAATTTCTAGATGAAGCTACAATGTTGGTCCACCGTATTCCATTTTTCAAGATCAATTCTTTTAATATGTACCACTATACCAATATCTATGATAGGCTTGTGAATGCATGGTGGACAGTCATCAGACATTTTATTGGAAGTCCAGCAGATGATGAAGCTGAATTCCAGTTCTCTAAGATCCAAACTAGTCCGTTAACCAGCTCAGAAACCGATCTTAATATTTTCCACATGGTCGAATACTCTCTTCCTGATCGCTTGAAATATCACCAATCAACCTGTCAATGTGATAGATTTGATCGTCTTGTCGAGTTTGTGGGCGTAAAAATTGATTCATATCATCTCAGCAATATTGATTTGCAAAGCAATTCTATTGCCCACGATTTATTTGCTCCACACAATACAAACAACCAACAACAAGAACAACAGGAGCAACAATATAATGGCGCTGGAACATTGCAACAACAAGGTAATACTAGCAAGACATTATCCGCTAATTTCAGCGGTAATAATAACCCTGTTGGTAATGGTTATACTTATAATCCGGCTATAATGGACGGGTCTTCATTCCGTTAGATATTGATATTTTGTTTTCAAAATATAGAGAAGACAAAGTCTATCAGAAGCTGACAAATGGATCTCAATACTTGATAAAAATCTTTATTTTATTTTGGGCTACCGTGGAAGCTACGCCATTTGAGGTCTAATATAAACTCTTCACTCATTTTTTTCGTCTTTTCTTGCTTACTACAAACAACTAGCATTTTTCTCCTCAATCAGTTCTCGTTTTTATCGTTTTGGCTCAGTTTGCATTTATTATTTTTCACTATCTTTTTATATATAGCTATGGCTCTTTTTCTGGTTTTTATGAACGCATTTTTTTGTCCCTGGTAAATATAGGTAAATACTTCACCAATGAGTTCAAGATAATTGTAAATGCCACAGAGTTGTTGTCAAGAAAATTTACGGATATTTTTTTTTTATTTCTTTTTTGCAAAGCCAGTAGCTACTGGAAACTCACTGGTCAACAATATAGTTTAGATAAAATGGAAAGCTATAAGCTGTATGAATGAGTTGATACTGGATAAAGCATAGATGTAACGCTACACGAAGACATATTGTGGCTCTACTGTCAGTTATTAGCATCAAAGTGAAGGGAAGTGAATGAATGAATGAATCATATATTAATGAGTCCCAGAGGTTATACAACTTGACAGCCGGGTGATTATCAGAATCACCAAGTTCTATATATTTTCAGTGAAGGATGACGTTGTTATCAAAGATCCAGTTATCATCTTTTTATACATTAAAAAAATTCTGGTGCCAGAACACCACTCTATGCAAAATCTTTCCTTGATTCTCACAATGATGACTATATTTAACAGGTGAAAACAGCTAATTAAGCGATATCTTCCACTGGAAAGTGCAAGGGACGATCTTAGCACTCACAGTTTAAACCGTCGATGGGATCCCTACGAATCCACAACTATATTCACTACGATGGTTGTATCAAACTTGGCAATAGATACTATATTTTCATTGATATTCATGTGATGGGCTTTGTAACTCATTACACTTTTCATATTGTCTTGTTGCAAAGAGCCTTGGTAACAAATAATTGGGTCAAATCAAATCAATAATAATATATTTGGGTTTCCTTTTCTTTGAGTGTTCTTAGAGGATATGCCATTTCCAAGGATAAGTAATATGGTGATCTCAGTGTTTTTACGAATATATTTGTGTTATCAACATGATAAAAAATTGTGAAACTCCAGAGAATATTCATTTTTAATTTTTCAGTTATTGCGATTTCTATTTGGTGAATATGGCTACTGTGTCTCTGATTCTGTTGTTTGTTTCGGTAAGATACGAAAAATTTCTAAAAACGGTTAATGCATGATGAGAATTTTTCCATTTTCGGATCAAAAATTATATATATGACTATTAAAAAGAGAAAAAAATATAAAAAAATTAAAAAATTAAAAACAATCAGTACTTCTACACTGCGAATCCTATCGGATGACCAGTTATTAAGGTCAATCGATTACTGTCTCGGATATTCTCGAGTATCTCAACTTTTGCTTTAAAACTCTAGCACTTATCGCACCCAAAGATCTTTCGGTTGGCCAAGATTCTTTATTACTAAACTCCGAAAATATTCCTTTCACTTAGAACAAACTTCTCCGAAAGAGTAGCCGAAATCACAAATTATAATACTTGATTATGACAGCTGAGATAGTTTCAAAAGATCTCTCTAGTGAGAAATCCCACAATGATGAAGGGATCAGAGAATATACTCGTGATCCTGAGACCTTTATGGGTGAAAAACCCTCAGACGGTACAATGACTCGAGTATCCACTCGTGCCAGTGATTTTGCAATTCCTGACGGGACATTCTGGGGTTGGATGTGTGTCTTCTCGTATTTTATGACTTCATTCATTTGCTGGGGTGGTAATACCGCCTTCTCTATCTATCTATCTAACTATCTTGAGCACAATACGTTTAATGCTTCAGCCGTGGATTACGCCACAATCGGGGGTCTTGCCTTTGGAGTAGGGTTTGTTTTTGCCCCAGTTAACACATACTTAGTAGGAATTACTTCCGCTAACTTTGTGGTGTTTTTTGGCGGATTATTACAATTTGTCGCCCTATTTACATCGTCGTACTGCAAGGAGATTTGGCAATTATATTTAAGTCAAGGGGTCCTAATGGGCTTTGGACTTGCCCTAGTATCCACTCCTATTCCTGCAATTGTCCCTCAATGGTTTGATAAGTATCGTTCAAGAGTTCTATTATTGGGTTCAGGTGGTACTGGTCTTGGCGGAATCATGTTCAATTTGGCTATTCAAAAGATTATCGAGGAATGGGGGGTTGCATGGGCTAGAAGAATCCAATCATTTGTGGTCATTGTAGTATGTACTGTATGCTCTTTATTGATCCGCACCAGGGATGAAAAAATTAAACCAGAATTTAAGGCCATAGATACCCAAATTCTTTTTTCTTTCCCATTTATGGTAATGTTGTTGTGGTTGGTGTTCACTATGTTGGCATACGTTACCACACAATACAGTATGACTAACTCCACGGTTGCTCTTGGTTACTCAGCCAGTCAAGGCTCCATTACAATTGTGTTGTTCAATGTGGGGGTATTAATCGGCCGTCCATCTACGGGTGTATTTAGCGATAAGTTTGGTCCAGTGACCGTTTCAGCGTGTATTTATTTCTTCTCATCCCTTCTCTGTTTTGCAATGTGGATTCCGGCTCGTAACTTGGCTACCATGTATGCCTTTGGTCTACTTGTTGGATTTATCACAGGCTTCGTGTTTGGTGCCGTCCCTGCTATTGTCCCTCGTATTGTTGGTTTAAGAAAACTTCAAGCAGCTTATGGTATGGCCTGGGTGATTCTTGGCGCATCTGGGGTGGTTTCTCCGGTGATTGGTTTAGCCTTGAGAAAAGATAAGGTGGAACCAGGCCAATATACCTGGGTGGCGATGTTTGCTGGGTTGGGTTTCTTCATGTCTGGCTTTTGTGCTTTGGTGTTGAGAGCTTATATTATCGCCAAAGACAAGCTTACAGGTTTCAAAAATTCAGACCGCGGCGAACACCTGCAAATTAAAGTACCAATGGGTATGATAATAGAAAATCTCCTTACAGTGAAACATAAAAAGAAAGTCTGATGCTCTCTACATTTTTTTTTTATTTCAGTACCTCATGTGTTACTTTCTTATTCGTTGTTTTTCTTGGCGAATTTTTTTCCAAATTATTTTTTTATAAACTCTCTTCTTTTAGACTCGCCTACTTGAATATTTTTTTTTTTTTGTTTCTGGTTTGAAGTTTTCTTATAGATTCCTTTTGCTGCTGATTTGGTTTGCCAATTTTAACATTCCCTTAGACTTTTAAAATAATCAAAAGCGTAGAAGGCAGACTAAGCCAATAAAGGCTGCGCGTGCGTAACAAAGTGTCGGGTCTTTTTTTCCAATTGATCAATTAAATACACGACAGCAAAAAATTCTAAACCATTTTAATGTTTAGAGCATTTTTCTTTACTGAATTCGTCAATTAGTATTCTTCTTAATTTTAATTTGCTCATTCTAAGGTAATTAACACCACTTATATATATGTAGAAAAACAGCTCATGAGTGCCCGTTTTGGGTGAATATTGCTCGTGCTTCTCGTTCTCAATAAACTATTTAAAGTGCGAAAGCCTCTAGGTTAATTGGCTTCCAAAAGTTCAAAGCTATTTTATAAAGATTCAAGCCAATTGTCTTCCTTCTTATATCGACAAAATGAATATGGGTAGCTCTTCTACCGCTTCTACTGGTGCGAAATGCAAGATTTCCATGTTATGGAATTGGTACACTATTGACTCTTGTTTTATTTCAAGATCATGGCATGTTCACAGCAAAGGACAATTTGCTGGAACTTGTATTGGATGTTTTCTCTTAGTTCTTTCCGCCCAATGGTTGCACCGTGTTGCCAGGGAATACGATGCTGCTATTGCCAGAAGAAGACTAGCGTTCATGAAGCAACAGGCAACAACTGACATTCACACACCCTCCAGTAATTCCACCGATTATAAAAAGGATCTTAACTGCTATAATCATGATTACTTTGATTCAAGAGGCACCTGGTTGTTGGCAAATGATAATGTTATTTCTAATTTGCTTCAGCCAATCTTGTACACTTTATCGCACAATTGGGTTTGGGATTCTAGAGCTGGATCATCCTATAATGCAGTGTACCCAACTTTGGCAGAGCACTTGGTTAAGGCCGCTATTTTCACTATTCAATGGGGTCAATCATATGTTATCATGCTTATGTTCATGTATTACAATGGGTACATAATCATCTCGTGTATTCTTGGTGCGTTGTTTGGAAGAATGATTTTCAATTATGAACCAATTACCAACTTCACGAGAAGTGAAAGTGAATCTAATGATAGAAAATGTTGCATGTAACTACAATAAGTGGAATATCTCTTGTGCTTCACTAAAAATAATTTCCCTTTATATTTCTTTCTTTCGATTATACACAGTTCAAAAAAAAAAATTGATATTTATTAATGTAAAGATGACCAATAAGCCATCCCAAAATCAAAAACACATTCATGAGACTTTTATGGAACAAACAAGTTCAAAATTTGAGCAGCTCAGATCTTCACATTACTCCCCACAAAAATCAATTGGTCATTGTCCCCTAATTCAAGGGACTTTTCAACCCCACCAAACAAATTATTAATTGGAACAAAAATCTGCTCAAGAACAATTTTTCTGAGTTTAGAAGTTATTTGGTACAACAATTTCTTCATTGCCCAGGCATCATCACCATAAAGTCCTTTCTGAAATTCTTTAGAAGTGATCAAGCTTTTTTCAACCACATGAAGAACTCTGACATCTTCCATAGGCCCTCTGCTTTCTGCTTTCAGAAGAGACATTGAAACATATTCTTGGCCTTCTTCAATATTATCAACCATTTTGTATTTTCCGCCGAAATTCTCTTCGTCCAAATTGTCAAGCTCAATCATCTTTAAAATTGCTTGTATTGTATTATCGTTGATCCGGACCTTATCCATAAAACCATACTTGACCACGCAGCGATATAACCCAGCTTTCTTAACGGCTTTAATTTTTTGCACAACAATATGATCTTCAGTAGTAATGTATGGAACAGAAGCAATTCTAATTGACAAAAAAATAAATGATCTGGGGCAGGCAGGGAAAGAAGAAAGAAGATGTTCATAAAGCTTTGGAACCGTGGAGGACAGATTAAGAATATGTATAATGTCAGTGTACATAATTCCAATGGCATTGTAACGAAGGAAATCATAACTGTTGTCTTGATATTTGATCTTGTAATATGGATCAATATAATCACATTCGCTCTCCTTTCTTCTAAAATTACACTGTTCCTCTTTTTTCTCCTCTTCAGAGCTTAAGTCATATGATCTTTTTGAACTAATATTCCCTTCAGGAGGTTCTGAAGAAGCATTTCTCAGAGCATCATAATCAAGCTGAAATGTTATTTTCTGCTTTCCAGAAACAGCATCTGGAGCGTTGATGGTATCATTTTTCCATGCAGATACCAATATATTTTGAACCTTGGAACGATCTTTGTATTCTTGATCAATCTTCAAGCTTCGAGCCCATCTCCAAAATGTAATAAACGAAGTCATGAGCACCGCCACCATCAAAGTGAACCAAGCTCCATGCACCACTTTCCTCAAACCAGATATTACCAAACACATTTCCAATGATCCAAATATCAAAAAAAATAATACGGCTAAAATCAAGTTGACTTTATAAACATAAAGTAAACAAATTGTGATCAAGAAAGTGGTCACTACAAAATCCATAGCCACTCCGAGTCCATATGCAGAAGTAACATTAGCAGAAGTCTTGAAACCGACACAAGTCAACACCACAGCAATCATGAGAATATAGTTAACCGTCGGAATGTATATTTTCCCAACATGTTTTGATGAGGTATGGACAATTCGGAAGTTTGGAAAACAATCCAAGTGAATCAATTGTTTGAGAATAGAGAAGACTCCCAAAATCAAGGCCTGGCTGGCAATAATGGTGGCAAGAGTAGCAAATACAAACACAATCCAATACAAAGGGCCGCCGGTACCACCAGGTATAGCTAAATAGAAAGCCATAGAAATACTTTCAGGGCTTTGCAACAAATAGGCGGCTTGGCCAAGGTATTGAATGATAAGGCAAGGAAATACCACAAAGCCAAGGGTTAATTGGATTGAGAATCTTGAAAAATGACCAATGTCGGCAAACATTGCCTCAGTACCAGTGATGGCCAAAATCACCGCGCCAAATTTATCAATATCTCCTTGTCTTTGGAGGAATTGGATCGCCTCCGCTGGATTCAATGCTTTAAAAACAGCTTTATCATACTTCACAATGTTAATAACACCGCAAACAAATAACAAGATTAGCCAAATGAGAATAATAGGTGCAAAAAATAAGGATATTTTCCCTGATCCAGCTCCTTGGATTAAAAAGAGAATTACCAAAATAACACAGGAAACTGGCAAAACTTTGTTGCTAAAAGAAGGAGCAGCAACTGATATACCGTCCACTGCAGAAAGAACCGAAGTAGTAGGGGTCAATAAGCCATCGCTAATAACTAAACCACAACCAAGAAAGCATAAACCCATGATGAATTTTGCTAAGTACTTATTGACCAAAGTTTTATTGTAGCGACCATCTTTAAGCAACCTGAATTTCCTTCTCTTAGAGCTGCTATCTTTTCCAGTAGCAGCACCAGACCTATCAAGAGTTTCGCTTCTTGTGAAAGTTAACAAGTCTTTCTGTTCTTCATTTATCATCACTCCCTTTGGGCCAATTGACAAATGAGAAGCAATTTTGGCATAAATGGCAATTTGGCCACCCTCATTATTATTGGGGCCAAAATAGAGAACAATAAGACAGTACTTGACGATGACAATCAAGAAAAACAACCAAAAGATACAAGAGCAGGCACCGATAATGTCGGGTCTAGATGGGGTGCCGTCGGGGAAAATGGACGCGTACACATAAAGTGGTGAGGTCCCAATGTCCCCGTAAATGGCGCCAAGACTGGAAAAACCTAAGAAGATGGTGGTTCTCCAAGGGTAACCACCGGTTTTGGGAGAATTATTGACGGAGCTCAAATTTTCAGAAAATTTGTTGAAGGATTGTTGGGATTCAACATCCTGATGTTCATTTTCAGTGGCCATGTATTGGGCACAACAAGTGAAGCAACTGTTATCAAAGAGAAAAGTGAGAAATTGAAAGACTGCAACGCAAACGATAAATGGAAAAGAAAATTACAGGAAATATTGATCTCAAAGTATTATTTTTTTTCTCTGGGGGAAAGAATTGGGCATTTTATAATCCCTCAAGGGGGTTGTTTGCTGTCCGTCCACCTAACGGTCGATGGGAGGAGAAGAAGGCTATAATCATAATGGTGCGAGAAACGCGTTCAGAGAGATAAAGAGGTGGTCACTAATAAAAAAAAAAAAATGAATATCAATAAGTGACGTCTTCGATTTCTGATGTTTAAGACCCTTAAGAAAATAGATAATGTATTCTGTATTTGCATGGCGGTTGGTATTGTCCATATCCCACAGCCTTTTTGAGCGATTATTTTCATTCGCTAAAATTGGAAAATAAACCTTTTTTTTTCACGAAATCTCTAATTATTTTCTGGGAAACTAGGAAAAAAAACAAAGAAACGAACAATTAATTGTCTTGAGGGATTTCTTTAGAGTTTGCGTGTGAAACATTTCATAATAAAGAGCCAGGAACAACTCAAAGTTGAAAAAATTTGACCCATAATGCATAACTATCTTACAAAGTGTTGTTGAAAACCGTTAGAAAAACAAATCGAGATACAATGTAAAAACTTTGGCGCAAAAAAATCTCGAGGTAATAAAAACCAGGTCTAGCAAATAATAAGACAGTAAATCATTTTGAGGGGAACGTGTGTATGTGTTAACATATCAATAATCCCTCAAATGACAATTAGCTGGGGTTCAGCCTCATGCGGTGATTGACTTGTCAAAAAAATTTGATAGGTGTGGGATGGGATGGATGATGGCCCCATTGCGTCATGGGAAACCTAGGGGAAAATCTTCAATTTTAAAAAAAAATAAAAAAAGGAAGATATCTTCCTTTTTTTATTTTTTTTTCTTTTCTGATCTCATCTCATGGAGTGCACGTGTCGATCCGAAAGGTGTACATACCCTTTGCAAATGGACATTTTGTTTTTTACTCAAATGGTTCTTTTAATTTGAAAAGCCAGTTGCGTCATATTCTATTCCGTCTATTTTTCATAGCCAGTTCTCATTTTATTAACATCACACAATCACTTTTTATGACAAGTTAAAACTTGCTATATTCCGAATACAGGAGTAACTCGTTCTTTACTTTTTTTTTGAATGCCGATCATTAATTTAGACTATGTAATATATATATATATTGGGGGCAGGGGGGAGGGCCTCCTACCTCATCTCATAATTCCCACCAATCCATAGTTTAACCATCTCCAAAGAATTCTCTCTCTGGTCATGAGATGCCATATTTCCTGCATCATAAATCCTAACAAATGTAAAATTCTGATAACTTTTAACTTGACCAATTTCCCTGTAAGTCTCACCATCATCTTTAACATTTAATCCTTTCATACTTTGGAGCCCGAACCCATTTTGCCCAGAATACTCCAATTCTTCCATCCATCCAATACTCCCTAGCCAATTATACAAATAATCTTTGTCCCCCGAGTAAACCAAAATTGGAATTTCGTACTCGTCCAATAGCTGTGTAATTTCTTTATGATGTGCATGCATTGAATCAGCATTCATTTCAAACCGAATCTGTATTTCATTATTACATGCCTGGAATTTGATATCCTCTTCAACACCAAGCACTGATTTCACTCTCTCATCATTCAAATATGCTTCCAAGAACTGACTTTCGGGATAGCATTCCTCTTCCCAGTATTCCTCTGTTGGTTGCTTCCCTCCACACTTCATTCTGATATCATATGGATTGATCCCATAATCTTCAACAGTCCCAATTATTTTACGTTGACAGTACCCCAAGGCTGCAACACAAGCAAATCTCTTGAACCCACTATCTTTACATATAGATAATAATCTGGAGCATTTGTATTCCTCATCAAACATTTGTTCACATCTTAAATCATCAATCAATTGTTCATGGCCCCCTTTTCCGCAAAGCATAGGCTGATGAAAATGTATTTGCGTTTGCAAATCAACCAACCCATTTCCAATCATTATAGATTTCAATTTTACCTTCTCATACTGTGGTTGATCTTCCATTAAATCGACAGCAATAGAAGGAATGTAAATACCACTATAACTTCCCCCAGAAATATGTAAGTCTAATTCACTATATTCTGGAAATCTTTCCATCCACATTCTCAAAAAATTCAGGACTTCTTTAGCTAGTTGGGCCGTATCTTCCACCTTATTGCCTTCAAAATAAGAAAATCCGGTACCTACCGGTTGATCGAGGAAGATCACCGAAGCATTATTGTTCCAAGAATACGGGTTATTGTAAATGGTTCCATTAGCAGACATCAACGAGGGACCAAGCTCCGTGAATAATCCAGTAAGAGAGGAACAACCGGGACCCCCGTTCAACCAGAGTATAATTGGATCTGTAGATGGATCATTTCTCAGCTCAAAAAACCAAAAGAAAAGATGATGGGAAGTTCCTGGGAACTTGGTAGTGAAGTACCCAGAATATTGCTTCACAATGTCAATATTTAACAAATTTGGATCTGGGCTAGATATTTGTAACTTAAATTTAGTTGGTTCTTCATCCTCATCATCATTGGTTATAGTATTCTTCCAACCAGTACCTAGATCAATATTTCCTTCAGTTTCAAGATGAGAGCTTTCAATTTTCCCCCGGAGTTCATTAAAGTCCTCACCAATAATACTTTTGATTTCTGAAGCAATCAAGTATTCTTCTATGTGATCCGTTAGATTTAAACTTCGAAGCGGTGATTGGGGTAAGTCCCTAATGTTGAAGCAACTTATAAAGTGCGGAGATAGCAAAAATAATCCCAAGATATGTGACTTTTTTGAAAATCTCATAATATTTTTACTCAAGTGGGATCGATTTATTCTCTTTCTTTCACTTTTTCTGTAATTGTTAATGTTGTCATCATTTTATAGATGTAGCTGGTTCCAAAAGAAATAATAATAAAAGGGGGCCGATGAGATGAATCCATTTTCCTGATGAGCTCCGGCCGGACATGTCCGGCCATCCAGGAGTCATCTACATACCGAGGAGTAATAAGAAGCGTGCTTCTCAGATGTACGTATGTATGTTAAATAATTAATTTATGAGGGAATGAGGAAAAGGGGAGACATAGAAATTAAAAAATTAAGGAGAATTTAAAATAAAAAGGCTTTATAGAGGCTATATCAGTGGTCAATAATATGCCAAGTCCCCATTTATCCATCTATTGATCATATCTAAGGCTGGTGCCGCTTGATCATGAGGGACCATATGGCCAGCATCAAACAATCTAATGAAAGTGAAGTTACCCCAGTTTTTAACTTGGCCCGCTTTTTGGCCATCCAATGTGACATAATCCCTCTTTTCAGCAAGGAACTCAAACTCAATATGCTGAGAATACTCCAATTTATTCATCCAAGCCTCATTTCCTAACCAATTGCAAATGTAATCTTTATCACCCGCATAAATTAATACAGGCAAGTGATGATCGTCCAACAATTTGATTATTTCTTCTTGATATGGGTACATTTGATCAGCTTGCATCATAAATCTATTTCCAACATCACCGCTGCAATGCTTGAAATCAATTGAATCAACCCCAAGAGCACCCTGAATGATAGGAGAGTTCAAATACTTGCTGATTTGATCCTCCTCAGGGTAGCAATCGTCTTCACAAATCATTCTAATATCGTAAGCGTTAATGTTGTAGTCACTAACGGCAGCGAACGCTTTCCCATCACAATATACGAGTGCAGGAATACATGCAAGTTTAGAGTAATGGGATAAATAGCAAGCATCAAGAAGCTTGGCACAACGAGATTCCTCTGTCAACATTTGCTCGCAGCGTTCATCAGGAATCACTTGGGGATGTCCACCCTGACCACAGAGCATCGGTTGATACCAGTGATTTTGAGTCTTTGGGTCTGTTATTCCATTACCAATAAGAATCGATGTTAGATTGAAACTGCGATCTTCATGGCTCAAGATTTCGTTGGCAATGACAGGAATATAAACACCGGCATAGCTTTCTCCAGCAATGTGGAAATCTAAATGAGAGTATTCTGGAAATTGAAGGAAAAAAAGATCCAAAAATGCAAACACATCCTTTCCAGCAGCCCAACTATTAGAAACGTCATTTGAAGAATATGAAAAGCCAACATTGACAGGCTGATCCAAGAAAATAACTGAGGCATTGGAATTCCAAGAGAGTGGATTGAACTCTAATGAACCATTGATAGTAATTAACGAAGGCCCTAATTCAAAGAATAGTCCCAAAAAGGATGAGCAACCTGGTCCACCATTCAACCACAAGATCACCGGATCGTTGGCAGGATCGTTTCTAGATTCGAAAAACCAATAAAAGAAATGTTTGTCCTCATCTTCTACATCAATATAACCAGAATATTGTGTGACATTATCAACTTTGAGTTTAGAGGGATCAGGTTTTTTACCTTGGAGTTTATAGTTTGGATGGGAATCATGCTCGATTTCAAAATCCCAATTTGTGGCAGCAGTCTCGGATTTGAAATTGAAATTAGTGGTTGAAGAATCTGGCTTTTGATTCAACTTTTCCAATTGTGAAATGAGCTCAGGATATTCAGCCAATGCGTCTTCCCAAATTTTTTGGACTTCAACTTTATCCGCCTTGGAAATATCACCATACCCAAAATTCTTGATGGTATCCAATAATAATGAGTTGCCGGATACTTGTTTGCTAACCAAAGGAATCTGCTCTCCACTGAAAAGGGCAGAGCATGATGCAAGAGTATATAAAGCTAAGAGAGTTAAAAAAACCTTCATCGCTTTTTTCTTTTTTTTTTTTAATCTATAATACTTCTATAGAAGTTTATTTGAAAAGCCTGTTCTTATCAGGGATGAGATGATTGTTTGTGTATTTTTCTGATATCTTTCCTGAAACGTACAGTGCGGTATTCCGGGTCGGCGAAATCTTGTAACGTGGAGATCATTACCATCTGCAGTAGACAATTGCGTCACTCCCAGTTGGTGAGTTGATGTTGTGACCCACCCCTTGTGTCTACTTTGTCTTACACTGTTTGTATTGCAGAAAGTCATCTTTCACAGTATCACTCTCTTGTGAAGATTTCACGATGAAATTAGCTTTTTATTAAGGTTTAAACTTATCAGCAAATAGATGGCTCAGCCATCCTGAGCATGTACAACCCAATTGGTGCTCGTTCTGTTACTTGTTGGCTTTGACAAGGCTCTAATTAAATGCCACCTCATCCGATCACAACAAATCCAGTGCGTGGTAAGCTCAATAGTACTGCACGTAACTAAAATAAATCATGTTTGAGCCAGTGAGCAACACAAAACAAAATGACTCGTACAATGCGGGTAATTTTCTGATCTCCCAATGGAAGCTCGAAGATGCAACTGTATCGTATATATATGATAACCTTGGGTCTAGATAGATGTAGATCTACATGAAGAGAGTGTGGCATCAATGCCCTGTTTAGAACTATCACATACCAATCATCATAGTTCCCAGATGATGTACCATGATGGTACGTAATTGCTTCAGAAAACCCAACACTAGTCTCGAAACAGTACTCACCTGGAATTACTGATCAAGATCATTTTCATATAGAATGTTTCAGGTAAATGTGAATTGCTGTGGCGAAAGTTGATCTGTCATTTTTCTCAGTCACCCAGACACACTCCAAAACTCAAAGCCATAAATTAGATGCACCTCCAGGTAGCTTATCCTAAAAACACCCGTACCCTAGACTCGTTTCAAAATAGAGAGGTCTCTGCATCCGAAGGGTTGAGTTGATCTCCCTGGGGACCGTAAGGATGGTATCTCTCCCGGATATCAACTTGTTCTGGGCCCGCTACCACACATCCATCCCCTATCACTTTTTTTCTTCACAAGGTTTTGATGGCCAAATAGATTCAAATCATTGTACCAAACTACAAATCTCTTAGTATAATATAACCTTTTTTGTTTCATGAAGACACTGTTAACTAAAAGAGAAATGATTTCCACTTCATGCTCCTCTTTTTCGGTGTACTATTTTTCATTCTGTTGGGGGCATTGAATACCGAGGGTTTACCCCTACATAAATCTAACTTGCCGGCTCAACTACCCGACGGTAATCACATGGTATGGCTACGTTTCACCGAAGACTATAAAACCCCCAAGTTTCCCTATCATCCTCTTTCCCTTCAGTGTATCTTCTTCTTGTCAGGATTTAGAGTCTCAATCACATCAAAAAAACAATTATTTGAAATGTCTGCCAACGATTTCTACAACAACAACGACAACAACTACGAAGGTGGTGAAAGAGGTTTCGGTGGTAACCAAAACCAAGGCAACGAAGGTGGTTTCCAAGAAGAGAACGACCATGAAGGTGCCAGAGGTTTCGGTGCTACTCTTGCTGGTGGTGAGTATTATATTTATTTTTAAGCACTATGCTTTTGAATTGCTATGTGGCATTGACACTGGTGTACTAACATTATTCAGGTGTCGCTGGTTTTGCTGCTGCTAAGAAATTTGGTGGCGAAAACCACCATGGTCTTAAGGAAATTGGTGGTGCCATTGCCGGTGCATTCCTCGCCAACAAGGCCGAAGATGCTTACGAAAACCACAAGAGAAACGATAGAAGAGAAGAATACTACGGTAACCAAAACCAAGGGGGTCAAAATGGTCCAGGCGGTCCAGGTGGTCCAGGCGGTCAAGGTAGATGGTAAGCTGCTGGTAATATGCTTCTTCTTCCTAATTACCAACGCTTCTCGACTTTGTAGAGAATTTTTATGATTATTATGGATTTCTTATGAAATAAACGCGTGTCTTTTATTTAGAAATTTGTCGTTTGTGACTGTAAGGTATTGATGTATATTGAAAAGTTATAGCAAAATGTTAGAAGAAAGAAAAAATTCACAGAATTTTCGTGCTTGATAGGAAGTAATGGCATGATTGTGAAGAACGATAAAGGGTATTATCATTTATTAAATAGCATTATATTCTAGTTCACGGATAATCCAGGGCAGGGACGGGATAAATTTTAAAATACCTTTTATCAATTAATCAAAGGCTCAATATACTTTTGTTTCCTTTTCATTTATTACATGTCTCTTTCCCTCTTCCTCATGTAAACCCGTGGTAATTTAAAAGATCTTGAAGAATCTTGAAATTGCACTCGAACTCAAACAGCTATGCATGTTGTTTCTTGGATAGTGTTGGCGTGCTTTTAGACTAGTTTCTGATGGTAACTGTGGTAACTTGTTCCAAACCAGTATACAAGTGAATAAATGATGGATGTCAATAATACAGAATATCAATAGGGATGGATTTATTGAATTAAGATTGAACAGGAACGTTGTACATGGATGTGAACAACCATAAATATACAAATTGGAGATACGAATTCTATAGCGTAGGTCAGCATTCTTATCTTGCGCTACAGTATATCTTATTTCAGCTATGGGAGCAAAAAAGAAAAAAAAAAAAGGAAATGAAGACAATTAATTGTAAAGGTGTCTTATTTAATAATACAAAAAATAAGAAAAAAATGGAGGTTGCAAAGAAGTTAAAGTTGGAGTGGGAATTAATAAAACAAAAACAAAAAAGTTGAAACCAATAATAGCTCCCTTCTACACAAACACGCTTTTAAAAACTGTTAATTCAATATGATACATTTCGACCATTGCTCCAATGATTCATTGACGAAAACTTCATAAGGAGAGGTTCCCATTAAAAGAGCCAAGAGTGATTTATTGGTTATTCCAGTCTGTCCTTGCCAAAATTGTGTCTAACTTTAAAGTTCTTTATTGTTTTCTACTTTCTTTCAAAAAATAATATCCAGCATAAATATCATTCATTAAATAATATTGCCAAAAAAAATCACCCATCATGTTCTGGAAGTCCTAAATCGGAAGGTCCAAAACTCAATGGTAGTATATCCTTCAACTGGACTCTGAAATACTTGGAACCATCGACATTGAATAAATATATTGAAACATTCAATCCAAACTCTCTAATGACTTGCCGACAAATCCCACAGGGACTCCCAATCTTATCCTTCAAGTCGGTACTGATACCAATAGCCCTAAAAGATTTGAAGCCACTTACAACTGCTCTGGTAATCGCGGTACGTTCGGCACAGATACAAGCACCATACGAAGCATTTTCAACGTTAGCGCCGGAAATATATTCACCACAAGTTGTAAGAATGGTGGCGCCCACACGGAAGTTAGAATAAGGTGAGTAAGAAAGATCCTTTGCTGAATAAACTGTTAGTAGCTGAGACTATTTTACATTTTAATTAATCATCGTACCTTTGATAGTTTTTTCTTTCAAGTTCGCAAACTCTTCTTGGGTGAGACCATTATGATCGGTATGTATGATAGATTTTTCAAGAGGAAGCAACTCTGTCATTGTGCTCTCTTTTCTAATTATATTTTGAGAACAAGATAAAGAAAGCGATAAGAAAAATGCGATCATGATTATTATTCAGGTTTTTTATGCCTGGAAATCGATCAAAGACCCATACAGATGGTACCATTGCGAATTAAAACCGAAGGAAAATATTTTAGGAGCATATCTTTAACATAAAGGCTGATTGATCAATAAACTGCGCCAAACTCCCGTAATGTCACTCTTAAAAAACTATCCGACACATATCCCAATTAAGGGTATAGACCGTTTGATAATGGGTGCTGCCTGTTTTTTTGGCGCCACTTTACACCCAGAAAATAATAACTACATCACAGGTATTGGTGAAATCACTGCGTTTGAACCGGTGCTTACAAGAATTCGTGACCTGATGCTCTCGAATAAAGTCGGCCGTCAAATCCTAAGGGAAAGACCACGTATCACTTCCAAAACCTTAGATCTTGATTATCTTAAGTCGCTTCCTCCTGACACTTTTGGAAACACCTACTACAAATGGTTGCAAAGAGAAAAAGTTAGCCCTGATACTAGAGTTCCAGTGCACTACATTGATGACGAAGAGTTGGCCTACGTTTTCCAGAGATACCGCGAATGTCATGACTTCCATCATGCAATCTCTGGCTTACCTATTGTTCTTGAGGGTGAAATTGCTGTCAAAGCATTCGAATTTGCCAATTTTGGGTTACCGTTCGCGGGGGCTGGGGCTGTCATCTCACCTTTCAAACTTACCCAGAAACAAAGAACTCGGTTATTTGATGTTTATTATCCCTGGTGTTTCAGTAATGGTTTGAATTGCAAAGGCTTGATTAACATTTATTGGGAACAACAAATGGAAAAAAAAATAGATGAGTTAAGGAGGGAACTAGGGATTGAAAGTCCTCCGCCAGACATGAGGACGTTGAGAAAAATGGATGGAGCCAAGAAAATAACCTAGGCCAGCCAATGTCTTTACTCTGTGAGTCGATCATCTTATGGATTTATTTATAACTTCAAAGGACCATTTTACAGGGGTTCTTTAAGAGATTTTTAGAAAGAGCATAGCGATGACTGCGCTGTGTGTCCCACCTTTCGTAATAGCAGTTTTGAATAAAAAGTGAGAACGTCATTTGTGGTTATAGTAGAGATCAAAGAAGAAACAAATAAATGAATAAATGGATCAAAAAAAAAAAAAAAAAAAAGATGATGATTCAAGTGCACATCTACATATTACTGTACACGAAACAGCGTAGACCACTTAATTGTGGATGAGGAGATAAGTCTAGGTTGGGCAGGTTTGCATCAGGGGCTATTTTTGTCAAACCAGTCGCCTCCCTAGCTTAAAGCCTATGTTTATTATATTCCCTATTGGCGTGTATATCCTACTGGACTCATTCATATCACTACATGGCCTAAAGTTCTAATGGACTCTGTAAAGCCTGTACGCCCGAAAGAAATAAAAAAAATACACGAGATGACTTACAGATTGATGAAACCAATCTAAAAACTGAATATTGAGTCTTCAATTACTATATGCAAGGGGCATACACAAAAATAGCACCGATAAAAAATGACAGAATACAATCAAAGAAAGTTATTAACTTTTCTAGTGTTTAGCACCACCGAGATTGATAGCAGCTGGAGTACCCAAACTAGCCTTCAACTTACCGTAGATGGTGAATTGCAAGGAAGTCAAAGTACCGACCATGACCAAACGGGTTGGCAAACCAGCGAAGGAACCCTTGAAACCCAATTCTTTAGCCAATTGAATCAACAAACCGACAGTAGATTGACCTGGGGCCTTCTTGGTCTTGTTAACCTTAGACAACAAAGTGTCAGCTGGTTGAGAAACGATAGCAGCAGTACAACCAGCAATGACACCAGCAGCAAGATCCTTAACAACCTTGTTGAAACCAGCTGGGGCAACACTGTTGATAGTTTCGGTGGCTCTTTCGTAGGTCAAGAACTTGGCAATGTTATATGGAATTTGTTTGAACAAGATTGGGGTGAAACCAGCGTAGAAAGAACCAGCACCTTCTTCCTTAAGAATTCTAGAGAAACCACCGACTAAGCCGTTAGCAAAGGTTGGTTGAGAAACCAATCTAATTCTAGTAGCTTCCAATGGACACAAGGCAATATCAGCAAAGAATTCAGCAATAGCAGAGGAACCAATGTAAATACTGTTCTTGTATTCACAAGCAGTTTCGTAACCAAGGACATCAACGAAAGCCTTCTTGAAGACTTCGTAACCACCGAACTTGAAAGCACCTTGAGTGGAGTAACCCAAGATGGTTGGACCCAAACCGGTCAAAAGAGCGCCGGCACCTTCTTTACCAACAATCAATTTGGCAGATTGACCCATGGACTTGTAGACGGTTGGTTCCAATTGAATTCTGGTCTTAATGACATCAATTGGGGTCATGGAACCGTGAGTGACACCACAACCGATGGCACCAGCCAAGGCGAATTTGGCATAATCACCAATAGTGAAGTTTGGAACAGGAGAATCAGCAGACATTTTTCGTTGTTCGTGGTATCTTTTACGAAATTTCGAGGTAGGAAGGAAAGAAGTGTCGAATATATTTTTTTTTTCTATTATTTCTTTTTGTCTGTAGACCACGTGATGATTCTTTGAGTGTCACATTATTGGCTGTTCAATAACCGGGTGACACGTGTAGGTTAGCCACTACGGAAGCCAGGGGATCACAATTGATAGCAGATAACACCCATATCTTCCGGGATCACTCACTGTAATGGTTTCATTCGGTGGTATTATCTCGAGGGACACGGGGGTTTCGGCAAGCGTGTGCGAAGTGCTTACTTTGACGAGATAGCCGGAGTGAATTGCATGGTTTCCAGTAAAAACAGAGATATTCCTTTTATCGATAAGCAAAAAAAGAAATAGCTTGGGAGGTAAAAAAAAAAAAAAAAAACGAAAGAAAATGAAATAAAAAAAAGAAATTAGAACAAGAAGGAGAAGAACAAAAAGAAATTAGATACAAGAAAAAGATTATCGACGATAATCTGTTGCAGCAGTCCGAGGTTATTGCACTGTAGGAGACCGAAAGATTCGAGGAGTGTCTTAAAAAAAAAAAATCCGTCTGATCGCTACTACATTTTTCAAAGAACTTTGAATGACCTTTCTTTTTAATTCAACATTTAAGCAAATATGTATTTGCAAAATACTACATTTTTAACATATCAGCTAAATCCCTTTTAATGAGGTTCATGAATCAATCATCTTAATGGACAATCTTCCCCAATGAAGAGAAACGATTGAAATTATGATCCTGGCAGAGATCTACTTAAAACAAATACTATTTTTTTTGTAGCATTTATTTATTCATTGGGACTAATATTTTCTTTTCTGGGCAGAGGAAGCAGCCTAGTGAATGTACCAAGATAAGGAGCACACATTCACTACTCCAATGTTGAAGGGGCTTTTGTTCAACTTTTCAAACAAGTGTTTGATACTTCATCAAAATCCTCACAGGCAAGAAAAATAAAAAGAGAAAGAGAAAAGAAGTGATTAGAGAAAACAGTTTAATTCAACAACCAATTTTAGATAATGGAAAAAAACCTTCATCAAAATTTCTCAAAGGGATATAAGGATAAGGAAAATCAGTTGAAAAAACAACACCTTCATTCATTCTGTCATTCTTCCACAGATGATTCAAGATAAAAAGCACGTAGCATTATGTACTTCTTCGCAAGCTAAGCTTCTTATAGAAGAAAAGAAAAGTATTGGGCCATCATCATCAGTTCAAAATCCATCTCATAGTTCTCACTTTGGGGCCTGACCATACGAGTAAAACTGAGAACCATTCTGCTGATTTGGTTGCGCCGGTTGTTGGGTTGAGGTACCAATATGAGATGGAACAGTTTGACCAGGATAATAATAATTGTAATAATTAAGAGCACCGTATTGATGGGGTGTAGGTGGTGGATACATTGACGCACCATTTGAAGGGGGGTAGTAGTATTGTTGGTAATTAAGATATGAAGTCCCGGTAGGAGTTCTAGGCAAAGCCGTTGCATCGGTGTTATTTACACTCGCTGCTATAGGAGAGTTTCCGGATAACGCTCTTGAAGCACTCCCTACAAGCTTACTCTCCAAGTCACTGGCCAACATTGGTTTTGAGTTAGGAGAAGTCGCATGATTCGACCAAATTTGATTTGTGAAAATACTAGATGTTGATTGTACTTTTGATTTGGCAAATGATGATTCAGGCGCTGGAGTAGAAATATTAGCGGGGGATTCCTTTGCATTGAATGTACTGAAAGTGATAGAATCATCACCTAACAAAGAGTCTACCATGCTCTGATACTTACTAATGTCAGCAGCTTCATTTTCATTATTTTGGACTGCGGTTGTCTGCTCCTCTTCAACTTCACTTTCAAAATCAGATTTTTCAGCAGACTCGAAATCTTCAAAATCTTCAAAGTGGCTTGCAGAAGGTGGAGAATGATTTTTTGGCAAAGCAGGTTTCGGATCAGTATTTTTAGTATTAACTTCGTCTTCTTTTTTGACAGGATTAATATTATTATTGCCTCTTCTAGAAGTTCTAACGTAAACACTTTTTTCGTCGTCAAAATCAGTATCCCTCTCTTTGTAACGATTCTCAACATGCTTATTTTTTTTTAGCTTTGTCTTTTTATTCCACTTCTTATTATTTGGCTCAGAAGTTTTCGATTTAACTTGTGGAAGTTCTTTAAACTTGTCATTATTACCAGCGGTGTCAAAAATTTCCTTCTCATATCTTTCTAAATTCCCGTACTGCTTAACACTATCGTCAAATTCGATTCCGAAGGAATTATCAAATACCAATCTCTTACCTAACCACCCAATAGCATACACCCTCAACAATTTCTCATTTCTAATGATTTCAGACTTTGGGTCTTCTGGGTCAACCCCCTTGCTCGACAATTTCAACATTTTTCTAATTTTTGGATCCTCGGCTGGCAACTGGCCCACCATTCTCATTTTAGAAAACTTACTCTCATTTTTGATGAAAGTGTCATTAAAATCCTTGAACGCAGAGTCCACTGGCATGAAACCTGATAGTGTCACATCTTCTTCAAAGAATCTCAAACGTTTGCAACGATGCGAGAAAATATCTTCAGAATTTTGGGTGTCGTAGGTTGGATTATGGTTTACCAATCCATCATACATGATATTGATTATAAACGCCATCTTAGAAACAAATTTCAATTGACCATGACAGTAGTTGATCAATAATTTGGATGGTCTGATCCAATTCAAGAAAATTCTCATCATTGGCAAATAGAGACCCATTCTATTCTGTAATAAAAACTCTGACTCATCCTGTTCCAACGAGAGAGGGCCTTTCAAAGAAAATTTCTTGTGATCTATAATCAAAACATTGAGAATTTCCACGATATATTGGAAAACAAATTTCAAATATTGTTGGGTTGCTGGAGAAAGCAATTTGAAATCTTTAATTTTCATTTTTGAAGGCTCGTTATTGCCATTTGGTGTCTGACCACTGACAGAAGCGACAGCCGAAGCAGTTTTTCTGGAAATATTGATCTCATCCATATCCAAGAGCACTTGGAATCCGCCAATCAAAATGACTAATTGTTTTTCCAAAACCAGAACATTCTTTTCACTAATCTGTAACCCACTCTTAATTATATTGAAAAGACTGTACTTCAATAATTTAAGCTGTTCATTCACATTGATTTGTTTCTTCTGCTTCAATCTTTGGACCATTTCATTGAATACTGAACTTTTCCCGTAAAAGTACCAGCTGAATAATAACAAAAAGTAAGTCTTACTCACTCGTTCCAACAATTTATTTCTTGTGATTCTATCGTTCATCTGATTATCACCAATTATACTGGAGTCATTAACCAATGAATGCTCAATTTCTTGGCACTTGGTAAACGCATTTAAAAAATATTCTCCTAAGTTCATTTCGTTTTCGGTTGACAACATGCGTTGAATATCAATCATAGACAGTTTAGTCCCAGATTTTTGGTTAACACTTCTAATGAAATAATAAACTGCTTCAAATTTATCGCCATTAACAATTCTTCCGGAATTAGGGATAGTAGTTTTATTGAACGAAGCTAAGATTGCATAGATATTGGCGTTAGTGATGCTGCCATAACTATTCATAATCATCCCGATATGGCTTAGTGGATCACTGAAGCCTGGTAGAACTTTGTTAGCAAAATTGAAATACTCAATAGATTTATCAAACGTTTCAAACCTAATAAAACGGCTACCATCATTAGCACCGTTATGAATAGTGATGGCTTTACCCGATATAATAGTCTTGTTTTTCAATACGTTTACTGAAGATGAGAGGATGTAAAGATAGAAAAGGGTTCTGTAACGTGAAAGGGTTCCTTGGAAAAAACATATTCTGTGCAAGAAATATATCAACACGTTCACTATTCTCTGGTCTGTAATAGGTGCAGGATTCGCCTTAGATTTTGGGGAATTAGCGTCAAACAAAGGATAATTGATTCTATAGAATTTGTAAAATTCCGGGAATAAGCGGTCACTAATATTGTAATTCTTGAGAATATGTTCAATCAAGGTAAGATAAAAGCCAACGATCATCTTATTGATTTTCGTATACTTTCCGTAAACTTTCTTGAAAGTTGCGTAACCTACTCTATTTCTAGCCTGTTTAGTTTCATCCAAATCTTCTTCATCTTCATCGTCATTATCATCAGCATCATCTTGGTCTTCATCAACTTTAAAATTCTGAAGTTGATTAGTCTTGAGATGATGGAACTGAAGATGGAAATATCTCAAGATTTTGCTATGGCAGCTATTCCAGATATATTCCAATAGTTGATCTGGTCTTTGGGTCAGAACATCTTTCCAAGAAATCAGTCCCAGGTCTTCAACTTCTTCAGTCAATCCGTTCATGATGCATGTCAAAAATTTTGAATGTGTGTAAGTCAAAAATCCACACCATGTCGGCTCATCAATAAATTGCTCATTCAAAAGCACGGCTAGTTGAGATTCCAAAGTTACAACTGTCGACTTAAAAGACATTTTGGGGCAGTAATTGCTGTAATCTTTTCTCCAGTTTCTTCTTTTTTTTTATTGTGGTGTTGCTTTTGGATATTACCTTTCCCTAAGATTTAGCAATTGATAAATGGAAAAGGCAAAATAATTTGTTAAAGATTCAAAATAATATTTTTGGTTATGATCTTTTTAAAACAAAAGTCATTTAATTCGTTCAAAATAGCTATCAAAAGATATATGAAGTGGCACCTAGATGAGGTGTGCTCTATTGCTCCTGTTTGTTTTTTTGTTTTTTTTTTTCAAGATTTTTTTCTAAAGCTGGCAAGAACAGGTTATTATAAACTATCAATTCATGGTAATGATTCCAAAATAACACTGTAACGCCAAAACTATAGAATTGTTGAAATTTAGCTTCGAAGTTTCTCATATAGAAGGAATGCTAAGTGTAAAATTATGAAAATTTTTATTCCATGTAATTCTTTGTAGTTGCATCACGTGTATTATATCCAACATGCATTTTTTTGAGCGCAGGAGTCATTTTTTAGATACAAATTCGATACTTTGAATCTACTTTTGATCTGTTTATATGCAAATATTGTCTTATATTTCCAAAAATTACATTGTAAATATTATGTTACTAGAAAGTGTTAGGATATGAAGAAAAACCTATCAATATCTAAAATGCCATGGCGTACAGATGAGTGTTCAAACTAAGAACCGCGTAATTCTATTATTAATATCCCACTGATTGTTAGAGTACAGAACTCTTCTTTATACATAGTGTGTGAGGATCCATTTTTATTTTGAATGGAATGGAATACCTCACTATTGCATGTAGTCTAGGGCACTATCCTTTCATGAAACGTCAATAATTATCTCGAAACTTTGCTAGTTTTGTTGATAATTATTGACGTTTTAAAATACTAAACTCATTTCGAACATGCAACTTTTCATCAATATTATCTTAGGCGGAGGAATATGGTAAAATCCAGAATAAAATCGCCAAGTGCAATTTTTATCTACAAAGTACATGCCCATATGTTCTAAACCTATTTTGAATTTCCTTTATCATCTATCATCTATTATAGACACTAAAAACAACCTCCAGAAGTTAAAATTTTGCAATATTATTCTTCTATATTTATTGCTCGCTTTCCGATTTTAAGGATTTCAATACTGTACCATGCCCCAAATTTCCTACCAAAACACATAATGCCAAAACCTAAAAATGCTAATTAACAATCGTAAGGGCGTGGGAAAGATTTCCAATTCTATTTTTTTGTTTTTTAATTTGAAGTTAGTGCCAATTTGACTTTGTTGTGACACTTATTTTGGAATAGCGATGCACTCCAACATTTCAGAACTAAGTATATAATTATTTGATACATTTTTTGCGAACTTAAATTGTTTTTTCTGAAAGTGTTCATTATGTCTCATTATTTCTCCTTGTTTGACTTTTCTATGAATTTGAAATTTTTTCGAAGAGAAATTTTGGTGGTTTGTCCAAACATAAATGAGATACACTCAAGCATGAATGAAGTTATTCTTCAATATTATTTTAATAAGAAAATTAACAGCAAGAACAAGAATAGAGTATGGACAATCATGATACGAAAAATTGAGATTGTGTCTACAATTTATAAGCCTTTAATTTCTAAACCATTAATTTCTACAAGCTCATAAGGTGTTCAGTCATATGGCATTAAGCCTCTCGACAAAGCAAGAGTTGTACGACTTTGACACGCCCTTAAGGTTTCAAGCTTCCACCGCTTTGATCTTGACATTGCACCGGCGAGGTAGCACGTGAAAATCAATATTTCAAAGAGTGGTCGTCAAACTGGCCAAAGCAAATGAGTTGGGCACCATAGATTTGACTTTCCAGAAGAGCAGTCGATTACGGAAAAGGAATTTTATCTTAATTCTTTTTTTTTGTCTTCTTTTTTTGTTCTTTTTCCCTCGCCGCTGTCAAAGATGTTGTACTTCCTCCCCTGTACAGCGCGAGGGGCGCACCGCACCGGAAATTATATTTTTAGTGTCCCTCGGTGAGTTGACTCATTAAGACGTTTTAAAACTGTACAGTATATTCTTTTTACGATAATCGGAGGATGAAAGCCAATATCAAAAATTTCGGATATGCGCAATTATGTCTAAGTCATTGATTAAACTAACAAGTGCGATTTTTAGATCTTTTGCCAACCAGTCTCCAATATTTGAAACTCCTATCAATTTGAGTGTTCGGGAAGGTGAAAAATGGGCGGTTGTTGGAAAAGGAATCTCCAAGACTTTACTATTGGGAGTCTTGAATAACCAATATATATCAATTCCACCAATACTGCGTACTTATCCTGCACTTACCGATAACAGTGTATTGCCATCTCAAGCGATCAAGTTTTTAAATTTCAACCAGCGAAGTTTACCAAAGGTTCATTTATCTGCACGATATGAATTTTTCAAGGAAGATTTAGATCAAACTGTCACAAACTTTGTAGAAAGCCAGCTTGTGAACGTTGGCAATATTAAAAAAGATGAGAATTTTATAAATTATGTGTTAAAAACTTTCAAATTGGATAAACTCAGTGATAATTGGCTAATGGGATTAAGTAATGGTCAGTTGCGCCGAGCAAGGTTTGCCCAAGCGTTGGTTAAGAGACCTCAAGTATTAATTGTTGATGACCCATTTCTAGGACTTGACCCAGAAGCCGCTACTATGATTTCTAATATTTTACGAGAAATGAGTAACACCGGTAATAAGGGTAGATGGCCAGAAACTATTGTTGTTGGATTGAGACCTCAAGACGAATTGCCTTGCTGGATTACACATGTTGTGGTACTTGAAGGCAACAAGGTTGTGGCTGTGGGTCCTAAGGAACAACGGCTTTTAGAAAAAATATCTCAAATTGAAACTAGGGAGAAGCAATTTGGATCACAAGAGGGAGCTCAAGTAGCACAAAAAGTAATAGAAATAGTTTGGCCTAAAATAACACCTACGAAAGAAAAATCTCACATTAAATTTGACAGAGTCGCAATTGCTTATCGTGGAAAACAAATCTTTAGGGATTTAAGCTTCAACATCAACCACGGAGAAAAATGGCATGTTAGAGGTAAAAATGGCACAGGAAAGACTACTTTATTATCTTTAATACTTGCAGACCATCCACAATCTTGGGCAGCTAGCATCTCAATGGATGGAATCCCAAGAAAGGTTGGCTCCACTAGTTATTTTGAAATCAATAGCAAAATAGGACTTACCTCACCAGAACTTCATGCAATTTTTCCCAACTTGAGTGTTTGGGACAGCATTGCTACAGGACTTAACATTGAGGTGAGTGGATTCACTGTACCAAAAGGGCTCAAAAAAGGAGCCTCACAAAAATCAAAAATGGAAATAAATAAAATTAATCAATTGCTTGAGCAGTTTCCGAAACTTGAAAAGCAAAAAGAGGCGAGGTTTGGTGATCTAGGGATATCGGATCAAAAGCTTGTTCTATTTTTAAGAGCTATCATTAAGCTGCCACAATTATTAGTGTTAGATGAAGCATTTAGTTGCATGGATGAAGATATGATTGTGATTTGCAAACACATTGTTGGTGAGAATTGGCCAGAAACCATATTATGTGTCGGCCATTTGATTGATGAAGTACCAAAATGTGAGAAATTTGTGGAATTAATTGGCCCAGGAAAATTTAATGTTGGAAAAGTTGAAGACTGATGCACGTACTACATTGTTTTTTTGTAAGCGAATTACAATCATATCAAATGATTTTTAATAATATACGATGATATATGTTAACATCTTGAATATTTTCTCCAATTATTAATAGGCTTGCCAGTCGGTGGATCTTAACCTGCATGTTCGTAAAAAAAAAGAAAAAAAAAAAATTAAAAAAAAAAAAAAAGGTTGAAAACTTCGAAGCCTATCATCTATCTTGCATCAGAAGATATATAGCTGTGTATATTTGAATTGCCAGGTTTACTACACTAAGATAAATCGTTTAGATTTACTAGCAAGTACACAAGCGAAGAAGTATCTTAAATAAATCATGTCTTTTTGGCTTAATAATAGTTTGGTTAACAGTGAAGAAATCAATGAACAGAGGCTCATGATTGCAGATTTTCAATTTACAGCTGGTTCAAAAGCTTATGAGAAGTATGTATCAGTCAAGCAGTTAGTCATTAGCTTCATTTTTTAAAGGACGCACCGTTCATTTACTGACAATTTTTCTTTCTCCTAGTGCCTTCAAAAGTTGCCTAAAACAATGCATACCTCATCATTACACCGAAGGTGAATTGAATAAAGGGGAAACAGTTTGTGCTGATAGATGTGTGGTTAAATTCATGAAGGCTAACCTTCTTATAGGTCAAGTAAGTTTAATTTACAGAAAAAGCGAGCTTGAAATTGAAAAATATGTTTACTAACGGAAACTCATATAGTATATTCAACAGACAAAATTTGCCAACCCACAAAACATGGGAGCGTATCAGAACCTTCCATTAAACAATAACAATAAATAAAATGTCCTCCCCGCCCCCATTATTTTTTCTTTCCCCCCCATCATTTTCAGGTAACTGATTTTTCTTGTATTATAGAACATATATTTTTTCTCAATAGATATGGTTTTTGTTTATTTATAATAATCAGCAGCTTTTTTGTAAATTCTAAATCAATATATTTAGAATTATTTAAATATATTGATTTAGAATTATTGTCATTATTACCACATATACTTACTTGCAACATTTAGAATACTCTCTTCTGGTCAACACCTACGATATAGGTAAATAAGATCAAGTTATTGGGTATTACGAATTCTGAAAAACAAAGTCAGGTGACATGTTAATACAGGGCACATACTATATCAACTAGTAGTAATAACAGCACCCCCTGACGTGTATTTTCTTATTCCTTGTTAGGCAGAAAAGGGTGTGATACACATCCGGGCAACCGCAGATCACCACCCGGTTGCCACCCTGCCCGTCTACTATACTATGCTCCTCCATTCTCACTGCCAAATTCCCTTTTTTTTTTTCCTATCAGCCTTATTATTGTGTGTTGCTTCCATACTACTAAGAAATTTCCCCCATACAAAAAAAATTGTACGTATTATTACTGACAATCACGGCTTGCGGTATTAACCAAACACACATACACACACACCCAGTGAAAACTTCCTAATAGAATGACAATACCCATTGATTGCCTGGTTGGCAAGAGTTGAGGCCCTTTTTTTTTTAATTTTTTGTTTATTTATTTTGTTGGTTAATTCCTAGTTGTGACTTTTCTACCTAGAATTAACGAACGCATGTTACCGAATTGCAGCTTCTCCGCTGTATGTCCTCCTATTGACAGCGCTGTGCAACACACGCCAATATCTACGCACCCATGATGAGGAGGGTATATTCCAGACAGTTTTTGTGATTTAAGGGCTATCGAAATCCGCCGTCACTGGCCAGCCTAGCCTCAACTACCAACAACTAACCAAAAACCCCGTCTTGGTGGCATTGTGCGGTGTGGGTTTTTTGTGCGACGTGGTTGTGCAGCCCTTGTTAGAACGTCGCGCCTGGTTTTTTTTTTCTCGCTGCGTATAAAGGTTTGGTTTCACGCACAGGTTTTTTCTCCCTGCCAATTTTTTACTAACATTATATAGTTTTTTTATTTATTAACCAAAAGTATTAATCATGGCTGAACCAAAGACTAGAAGAGCTAAGGGTACCAAGAGAAAGAAGGGTATGTTATTATTTATTACTGCGATACTATTGGAATAATTTTACAGTTTTATTTTTTTCCTTTTTTTTTGTTTTCTTTTTTTTTTTTGTTTACATTTTACGCGTCGCTGACATTTCCCTGACGCGTTTCATCTGAAAAGTCTTACTAACCAGACACTAGATCCAAATGCTCCAAAGAGATCCCTTTCTGCTTATATGTTCTTCGCTAATGAAAACAGAGACATTGTCCGTGCTGAAAATCCAGATGCCACCTTTGGGCAACTCGGAAAATTGTTGGGTGACAAATGGAAGGCTCTTACTCCTGAAGAAAAAGGTCCATATGAACAAAAAGCTGCTGCTGATAAGAAGAGATATGAACAAGCCAAGGCTGCTTATCAAGAAAAATTGGCCAACGAACCTGCTGAAGAGTAAATATATTTGACGCGTTCTGTACCTCTGAGTCTCTAGCTTTTTTTTTTCTCTCTCTCTCTCTCTCTCTCTCTCTTTATATAATGTATTGTTAGGGGCGGTGATATTCTTTTTTTTTAATTTTTTTGTTTCCATGGTGTGTTATTCTATTGTTATTTTGTACTATCTCCCTATTTTTTTTCTTTGTGACAATTTGATTAAATTGGAATGTCTTTTTATTTCATCAATGGATTATGTGTCGTAGTATCTGTGATTCTTGCCACGAAAACTTTGTTATCCAATGAATTGAATTAAATTTTATTGTTAGATGCCAGCTACGAGCATTGTAATATTTTATCTGACGATTTTTTTCTGAACTTAATGAGAAACAGAAATTCGAATTTATGAGAATTCCGCCAAGTACAAGGAATTCAGGCTTTCAGGAAAACAGAGTGCATTCTTCAGCCATACATAAAATTCCTATATGAATTTTATGGTAAAAAACAACAACAAACTTGAAAGCCTTGAACAGAAAAAAAGGATTATCAGAAATCATTTGCCAGAAGTTCCGACAGAATATGGAAGATAATACTACTTTTAATATAGCTATGTCTTTGACTTTTCCATTTTTGCGGTGCTTTGCTTTGCAATTAAGTTTGGTAATTGAGAAAAGCTCAGCACTGTTGATTCCTCCCTGGTTGCGAATGCTTAAGTACATGTCTTGAATCTCTCTAAAGTGTAAATCAAGAGTCTACATTTGGCTGAAATAAACACTTTTAGTGAGTTAAAGGTGACTCGAGGGGTGCCCTTCAGAGTTGGCTCCGTCGATTTTTCGGTTTCCATCATTTTCTCGTCTCTCATATAAATCCTGATAATGATTTCCATACGTTGTCAGGCACCAGAGTAATTGATTTTCAATGTGTTGATACATCGAAGATCATTTCCCGAAAATCTTATGCCGCCATCAGTATAACCAAATGCCCCTGACTGCTATGTAATAAATCCGGACAAAATGTAGCACCATAGCCTTGAAAAAATCTTTCAAGATTCTCCCAGTGGTCGTGTGATTGGGAGGGGGGAAGAAAGCGTACTTTGTAAAGTAAAGGCCATATAAATCTATGTTTTGTAAAGGCCACATAAATCGATGGTTTCTGAGGTAATAATATTATCGTATGCGACCCGTGCTTCTGGTTTCTCTTGACAGGAAAGTTACCCTCGGGTGTTTTTCTAACAGGGTACTGCCAGCATCACCCCCATTGATCCGCTATCCACGTGCCTTCAAAGCATTTTTTAAAGAGATTTGGGGGCCTTAACACCCTGTGAGACCCCCAGGCATTTTCTTGGCCTTGACACTTTATAGCAAATATATGCGATAAATTTTGTGGCGGAATATATCGTCTCCCTTACAAACCAGTTGAATACCTATCAATATACTGGATCCTTGTATAGGATTATTGTTTATTGAAGTACCATAACCTTCATTATTATTTTGACTGGAAACATCGAAAAATATAGCATGTCTTCCCTTTTCCAGAAAAGGGTATCATTCAATAACCTCTATAATGATGTTATTGACCCTGAACATCCTCGCCACTCCCCAAAATTCATATCAAATAACCAGGATTCATCACAGGATAAAAAGGACCTCAATTTTGGTTACTCTGTTTCTAGTTCCTCAAATTTAACCCCAAACGACCTCTCAAAAGTTTTCAAATTCAACGAATTCAATTTTATCAACCAAAATGATCGCTTTTACAATGACTTACAGAGTCAAAAAAACTTCAACGAGCAGGCCCTCCGAAAACAAAAGTTAAAGAATGAAAAGCTTCCTTTTATATCAAAGGATAAATCTATTCTTAAAGTCAGTGGTAGTGACTCATATACACAGCTGGTTACTGATAACAGGGATAGTCTCTACTTGAGAAGCAGCAATCAAAAATTTAATACCAATTCCCATGCACATGACAGTCCAACATCTTTCTCTAATGTTTCTAACCGTTTTAAAGCAGAAGACCAGGACCAAATAACTTTGAGAAATACTCAACTCAATATCAATCTTGACCCGAATATTCTACATGATGCTCTTGCCAGCATAGAAAACGAAACAGCTCCCTCGAGTAAACCTCAACAACTGAAAAGAAAGAGACTTACGGAAATGACAGATGAAGAAATCTTATTACTCGACAATCAGTTCAAACTGAGCTCTTTGGCTAACCTGGATTTCAAGAATGCGGTACTCAACGATCTTGAAAACTCAATTGAGCTCTCCAAATTTAAGGCTCTTGCGAATAGTTTACACAGTGCATCTCACGCTAATGAAAAATCTGTCACAACAAAATATTCAAAGGAGGGTGTTAATATAACTAACATTTTTGATAAAAGCTACCCTTCCAAACCAGTAGTTACCTACAAATCCTTTGTTTTGCATTCCCAGCATACGATTTTTGATGCTGTGCGTGATGAAAACGCAAACTTCACTTATTGCCCCAAAGATATTATTCTCAAAAAATTGAATAAGGAAAACAAGATCAGCTCTTTGGGCTCATGCAAATTATTAGACACCACAGAAGATATTTCTAATTTAGATGAAACACTAGGTTCAAACAAAACTGTGATGGTATACATTTCTGGTAGGAAGCATACATGGAGCTCCCTTGAATATTTATTTAATGCCGGAACTCCAGCTACCAGTAACAATAACTTGCTAAAAGATGGAGATGATTTAGTACTATTCACCGTTATTCCTAGCGACTTTGAACTGATTGAAGATATTATTAATACAGATAACGAAACAATTGCCAAATCTTCTGAAAAAAAGGATAGCGGCAACTCATTGACTCGTTACAAAAGCACCAGTATGTTGGACGATTTGAATAGCTACAATTTGCGGAAATTGAAAAGTAATACTGGCTCTAAAAGACTTTTGCCACCTCCGCCGAAGACTTCTAGGTCTTATTCTTCTGTTGAATTCGAGCTTAAGAGGATCACAAGCAATTCATCCTCTCCGCAAGTGGAACTGCCTGTCTTTTCATCAAAAATGAAGAAAGCGCCTACAAATCAAAGAAAGAAGTTAATCTGTGATAAGGTTTCTCTCATTGCCAGAAAATTGATGAAGACCATTGAGAATCTAGCTGAACGCAACAATGTTATCATTCGTATTACTGTGGAAGTTTGTTCTGATAAGCCGCTCGATGAAGACTTAGACACCTTTTATCGTGATGCAGCGACTGAAAGATCAGATAAGGCTATGAAAAGCGAAGAAACAACACCTAGTGCTGATTTTTATGACCCTGTATTATCTAGACCACTCTCCCATTTTAAAAAACACAGGGATACTGCCAAGATTGATATGAAATTCGTATTAACTAATATTATTGAAGTATATTCTCCTGATATGTTCGTTATTGGTTCAAAACCTGATCGTTATTCGGATTTGGCGACTAACAGATACCAAAACTCCTCTAATTGTGAAACATTGAATTCCTTGAGTGAGAACTTTGCTTCCAGCTATAGCGGCCCATCTAGCCGGGGTAGCAGCAGAAGACAAAGTGTCGTCGATGAACCATCCTCTTCTAGACCTTTATTTAGTGCTTCTCCATCATCTACAAGCGTCAGCTCTGTCAATGTAATGATTGGCGCAGATATGGCGCTTAGAAAAACCCTTACAAATAGTAAGTTATCAAGGGTGAATACTAATAGCTCAGTTGAAAATCTTTGGAGATCTGGTACTAATAATAGCCACACACTACCGCATTCTCATGGGGTTAAACTAAGCGAATTTCTTGTACAAAGGACAAATATTCCTGTGTTGATTGTTCCAACTGATAGTCTTAAGTATTTTGATGAAAGTCAAAAGAGAACATTGGGATCTCAACATGAGGAAAACTGGATGACAGATTGGACTCAAAGGTTTATTGATTTTGATGGACATGACGATTCGGAAAGTACTGAGTTTGATTATAGTGATGATAATGATAATCTCTCTCTCCATAACTCTAAAAGCACACAAACCGAAATCTCTACTGCCCATGGTGACGTTGATAAACTTGGTTTGATGTTGGAATCAATTTCTCAATCAATTAGCAACACCGTCACTGGTAAATGTCAGTTGAACCTGGCAACTGGAAATAACTTTCGGTGCCTGGAAACGTTTTTTAAGGATATGCTTACTGCTGCTTCTGATAAATCCTTTAATGAATCTTTGAATTTTCTCCAGAATTCCAAGCATTCAAATGACAAACAATTACCGCTCACTACTCGTACTCGCCGGATTTTGAAAAGAAAAAAATATGTCGATGGTTCAAAAGTCAATACTCATGACAAGGCTGGAAGTGGATATGGTGGCGAATATGTAGGCTGGAGAAAACAAGAAAAATCTAAAATTGGTAATGATCAAAAGGTTCTAGAAACTGAAAGCGACAGTGAAACCGATGGCGAAAGTAGCGAGGATGATGATCTCGATAAACCATATTATCCTAAATATTTAATGAAATCTCAGATGCAAGAACCTCCAAGAATTCATTTTGTCAATATTGGTGAGTCACCCAGAATCCAGGTTTCAAAGCTGGTGACTAATGGCAGTTCTACACAGGGTTCATTTCTTGCAAAGGCTAACACCAACTCAAGCAGTTTGACTTACCAAGATATTCTCAGGACAACAAAGAACCAGGTCGGTACAGTACCAAAGGAGAATTCACTAAAAGTAACCCATGCTTCTAAATCTTACAAGGGAAAGTTCAAATCTAGCTCCAGAGATAGAAGTCTGAAGAAACCAGGATTCTTCAAGAAGTTATTTAAAAAATAAGCTTTAAGAGTTTAATTTTTTTTTTTTTAAAAACAAACAGTCAATATTCATTTCTGTGGTGCTCCTATTTATAACCCCTATTATATTATATTGTTCTATACTATATTATACTATATTTTTTTTTCGAACAATTTTTTCTTTAAGAGTAAGTAAAGGGTATTTTTTTTTTTGAGGGTGGGGTTTACAGTGATGTCCCAGACATGACAGCCCTGTCAGCAACATCCAAGTACGCCAAATTTCTGGGCGTAACATTTACGGTAGAAGGATGAATTTGACATTTCCATGTTCCAGTAATCCTAATACATATGGTATCAAGGAGAAATAAATTGACATACAGCAAATGGTTAGTCATAAAATACAATAAACAGCAGGTATTCAACCCAAAGCAACCCTCACAAACTGCAAATCAATCTGTCGGCGATCTTTCGATCGTCCGACCGAACGACGGCCAGCATGGTCGTATCAATGTAGGCCGAATAGTCTAACGAGGAATGCAAATCAGAGCTATTATAGTCTCGAAGAATTATCAACTGAATAAATGCAATAAGGAAAACAAAAAGAATACATTTTGGTTTATAAATAGAAATCTGATGGCAGCGCAGAATGACTGTCATCGGCCGGGTAGTATCAAATAGTATCCCAAAAATTTTAATGCCATATTTCCGTCTTCAAAGTGATTGATCTATTTAAAGCTACATTAAAGCAGTCGACTCAAAAAGCAGACAACGAAACGAATATTGGAAACTAGTCTAATGCCCCTACTGGACTTTTCGCCTCATGCTTCTGAACAAGAGCATAATCTAATCGAGGAAAAGCGACGTGTTGCTCGTCGAGCATGTCTTAACTGTCGGAAGAAGAAAATAAAGTGTGACGGCGAACTTCATCAAGATGGGAAGTGTACTAGATGCAGAAACTTAGACCTTCCGTGTGAATTTATTGCCAGTTTAAGAGGAGGTCGTAGGAAGAAAAGAAATTTGGAGGATGATACGATGTCTACGATATCGAGTAATAACGGTGATCACCTTTCAAGAAATGATTCAGAAATCAACAATAGAGCCTCACACATTCCATCATTTATAAGAAGTAACAAAATTGGCAGTGAAACTTTGCTTTCTGACCCTTTGTTCATGAAATCCAGTACTTTAGATTCAGATTTCCGTCTAGGGCAGATGAAGTCGCCCTCAAACTATGCCAATCTTGACAATTTGGATAATTCCAGCACTTACAGTCCCACAATTGATTCGTACCGTGATGAGTTCACTGGATTTCAGCGACAGCATCCACAACAAAAGAACCTAGATCCTCCTTTTGATGATGAAAAAGTTAAAGCTATTGTGGACTCCAGGCTCCAAGAAAGATTTTTTGATGGGTCACGAGCATCATATGGAAGGCCTTATCATGACCATGGCCCTTTCAAGCACCATCATGACCACTTCGATGATCATCATCATCCTCCTCCTCCTCCTTTTTATGGCCCAGGGCCAAGCCATCATGGTCACCCGGGTGATCGGGACCGTTTTGAACATTTTGGACATTTTGGACATTTCGGGCCTCACAGAGGCGGCCCTGGCCCTGGTCCTGGATCTAACGGTGCCCCTGGTCATTGGCAACATCACAGGTTTCATGAAGGACCGCCACCGCCACCTCCTGGGTTTTACCCACCAAATATGGAACCATTTCCACAACCTTACAAACGTCACGAATTCGATTCACCAAGAGGGTATTCAAATGAATCAGTACTATCTGGTGGTGGAAAAAATCGTTCATCACGTTTTACCAATAGTTCTGACATATTTGGAAAGCCTACTTCAGAAGCTCTATCAGAATCTAAGAGCTCATCAGTATCATCTAAATATGATAAAGATATGCCAGCGACGTCAAACAACAATTATAAGGGGTATCGCACATTCTCAAATAATGGGACTGTGATATCAAAAAGAGAATCTACGTCCAACAGTTTATTATCATTAACTTTCACTCCCAGAATTTTAAAACTATTTGACATGCCACCCTTAGAAGTAATTGAAAAGCTCTTTGATCTTTATTATATCTATGCTAATCCAAGAACCAACGCCTTACCAAACTCAAAGGAGCTATTTCTACTCCAGGAAATTCACAAAGCTTCGTTTCCTGAGAAGTGTTCCTCTATTTTTGCAATATTTGCTACCAGTTGTAGCCAACTCGATGATGAGGATTATAATGATCCAGAATACTGGCTCCGTTTGGTTGCCAAATATTGGAAATATCAAACTAACAGTATTGAGCTGGTGTTTTTTTGCCTAAGTATCTTGATACCATTTTCCTTTTCCGATTGCTCTTTACAAGTCTTTAGTTCGGGAAAAGAGTTTGATTTTCTCAATGTTTTGAACCAAACATCAATATTGCTTTCTAAAAGGTGTGGAAAGATTTTTGCGAATGATGGTGAAAATGGATTTGAAGCTGTGTTAGATAGTGCGAAATCATTGCAGGAAGTAGTGAAAGTCATTCAAGATATTAACTCAATTTGGAATATTTGGATTACCCAATCTTTTTTTAAACTTTTGACTAATTGCAATGATGTCAACAGAACTTTCACTCATTATAATAATGGTTTCGTGGAAGAACTCCCATTTCCTATTGATGTGCCCTTACCTACTCCAACATCAATTCTATTAAAATTCTACGACAAGGTGTACAACGAACCAGGTGGCTTCCAGAAATTTTACGAGCTTTCAATAACTCAAAAGAAGCAATATTTATACAATGAATTCGAATCAAAGTCAAAACTCACATATTTCAGAGACCTTGAGATGATGTTGGAAAATAAGGCTATAATTCAGTCCAGCGCAGTTTTAATTTTACTTTTAAAATTACACTGCGATATCGTAGATACTGATTCTGAGCATGTGAAAGATAGCATTGCAAAAATCAAAGCTTTAGAATCAATATACTTCAAGGAATATAACTCAATGCTAAGAATAATGAAAAATGATGACATTGACATGTCTTTGATTGGGATCAATTCTCATTTTTTGCTCTCCAAACTCGTGATATTGAATTCTAAATTTACTATTTTTGAATTTTCAGAGCAGGAAATACTTCCTGTTAGACCGAAAGCTATTTTCAAATTGATTAAAAAGGCCAATTTCAATCACGCCGCTGAATCATCCACATCAATGATAAATCAAAAGCTTCATATTTTGAAATCACAGATTCTACCAAAGATTTCTGGATATAGTATTCTTGAGTCTGTCAAAACTTATTTTTCAAGCAACGCTACAGAAAATTTCATCAACCTTATTGATGTAGTTAGTGCCGCATTTGAACTAGATGATATCATTAAACTTGGGCAGGGAATAATATCTAGCAATGGCTCGAAGCAGCACACAGGCTACCAGAGCGTAGTTGCTTTGGAAGACGACAAAGCTATTGATACAATGATACTGAGAATAAGTGATATAAATGAAGATATTCTTTTGAAGAGAGTTAATCTACCACCAGTGGCACCCAATAGTATTGGGCAGATTGCTGACTGCTGGACTCAATATCCTATGATTACTGATGTTATTACGCTTAGGTATGGTGTAATTATTGCTTCTACATTATTATTGAGTAGCCAACTAGTTTTTCGACGCTCAGGCCTGAAATATGTTATCATTCAGAGATTTAATGAGAATGAACTTGCTACCATTGATCTAGTAGAGATGGGTCATACCTTACCAGAGTCTAATTTCCTTACTGATCGTTTATTTAATGAGCGAGAGTTGATTTATTTATTGGATTCATTTTGTGGATTTTTGAAATACAGATGCGAGAAAGTATCCTGGGGAAATTCATTGTTAGAATATTATGCTATTCTCAATGAGATTAAAGAATATGGTATTGGTTTCATAAATACTGGGGCCACTGTCAACGATGAGGAGGAGTGGTGATACGATTTTGCGAGCAAAATTATACTGTATATATATATGGGTTAGGAATGCTTACTTTTCTATTTTTATGTGTTGATTTACTATATATTCCATTAGTTAAATGATTTCATTGGAGTACCATAAATACCGCATCCCCATAATGTAGAGAAAGTATGCTTTTGTTTATTAGCAAATTCTGGTAGATATTACAAAAAATCATAAAATTTAAACACTTATCTAACTCTGGTGTTTGGAAGTTCAAGTACTCGTGCAGTATTTTTGTATGCTCTACGTTCTGTCTGAAGCATCAATAAATTATGAAAGTAGTCCTATATTACATAGAGACAATATACTAACCGCTCCAAGTCATATAATTTCGTCATAGATTGATAGTTCCTGAAACAAAAAAGTAATGAAATAGTTGCCTCTCTCCTAATTTATTGATATCACATTATAAAATAAATAAAATATAAGGCATATTATGTTAAATGAAACCGAGAGCCTAAGAACATCAAAATCTATGTGGGGAAGGCAGAATTTTGAATTGTTATGAGCGCTGTCATTATGACCTTTGGCTTTGACACAAACGCGCCAAAAAGGAAATTTAATGTATGGCGACTGATAAGGCTTGTATTCAGATAGATAACGGATTCTTGATGATAAAGGGGAGTTAGATCATCTAGTTTATGTGAAACCTGTGGTACTTCCCTGAAACTCTACCCCCATAGATCAAGATCATTTTTGGCTACATATTTATGAGCTGATAATTATTTACCTATAATGAGATACATACTTAGAACTTTTGAAAAATATGGAGCTCCTAAACCGTCACTGTGCGTGATTTTTGTGTATTCGACAATTGTTGGTCTCTGTTCAGGATTCCTTTATCTATATTCCAGCTGGGTACCGAATTTTGCCTCTCATCTAAAGCTAACTCCTGCAGAAACTGGCTATCTCACTATTATGTTCAGTGCGGGATCGACAGTGGGTGGCATTATTGTCGGTCATATTATTGATTCCTTTGGAACGGAAACAGGAACTTTGGTTGGTGGTGTATTGACAATTATTTCCCATTTGATACTTCGCTTCTTTTACATCCATGAAGTAAAAAATGTGGTTGTAATCTCGATATTTATAGGAATTTCAGCGTTTGCCGCCATTGGGCCGGAGTTTGCTGCCATGAAAGCCATGTCATCAACTTTTCCTGAAAACAAAGGGCTTGCCACTTCATGTGTTGTTGGTGCTTTTGCTTTGGGAGCATTGGTTTTTAGTACTGTTTTTGGTAGGATGGACACTCCGAATCTTTTGTTGGCAATTGGGTTAGGTAATGGCTTTATTCTTCTGGCTGGTGTTTTCTTTGTCAGAGAATTAGATATCAATGAAATCTACGAAATGATTGATCTGCCTGAAGAGTATCCTGGTGATTCCACTTCATCCTCGTTAATTAATTCTCCATGCTACCGAGACATTGATAATAATTATGATACTTTCAATCCAGGATATAACACAGCAACTGAAAGTCCAAGCATCACTGATGAAAATTCTGAATCCAATAAAAAAACAAGCTCTGAGCTTCATGAAACTTCAATTCATTATCGTGCGTCTATGTCTGTTGATTCGACATCACAAGTTGAAACCATTGCAAATAATTTAGATATTGTGAACCCCCAACCACAATTTTTTATTGACCGAGTGAACTATAAGCTCAAAGAATTTACTGATGGGCTAATTTTTCAAATTTTCTCTTCAAGATTATTCTTTTTGACTTTTCTCTCATTGGCATTTCTCGTTTCTGTTGGTCAAACCTACATTTTTTCTGTAGGTTATGTTGTTCAGAATCAATACTTTAATCCAGATTATAGTTATACCATATCTCAGCAAGATTATCAAAATGCTCAAGTGAAAATATTCTCGTTTTGCAATTTCGCTGGACGCTTTGCTTCTGGCTACTTTTCTGATATTCTTGTGTCAAGGTTCCAGGTTCAACGTCTTTGGAATATCACCATTTGCGTGTGCTTATTATTTCTTGCTCAGGTGCTCTTGACGCAATTGAATAACTTGGATCATCTTTACATTATTTCATTGATTACTGGGTTTGCCTTTGGAATAATATATGGCACATTTCCGCCTACAGTAAGTGACTATTACAGTTCAACTGTTTACAGTACAGTTTGGGGAACTGTAACTATTGGTCCAATGGTCACTAATGCCATACTTACCAGGTACTTTTCCTACAATATGGAAAAAAATGGAAATTTTGATGATGAACTTCAACAGTTTGTTTGTTATGAGGGAGTAGATTGCTATAAAAATACATTTTATATGACCCAGGGATTTTGCATCTGTGGATTAGTAATTGTGTTGTATACCATTTGGTATAAAAAGCACATTTTGAAAGACAAGGTTTTCACATAAGTATTTCTTGGCTTGGATTATGTATATTTTTTTTGTCTCCGTCCCTTTTGTTTTTTTTCTTTACTTGCTTGTTTTCTTTGATTCTTCGTATATTTGGTTCAAGGTAATTTTTAGCTTTTTTGCTTTATTTTGTGCTGTCATTTAGACCGTTTACACTTTTACACTATCTTTATCTTCATAATTATTGTAATATACATTATCAGTACAAAAAAAAAAAAAATAACAACAAATTAAATCAAAACCAGCTCAAAAAAAAACCACTCTTCATCATTTTGTCACACCTTTGCCCTTCTTCTTATTTTTTTTCTTCTCCTTTTTCTTCAAGCCCGTGATTCCAGACTTCAAAACATTGGTATATTCTTTCCAAAAGTTTTCCAATTTGTCATTAGTAACTACTGTGGAGTACTTAAGTTTCTTTGATTTATCACTGGCGCCATCCGTGATACGAAATAATATAGCGTAGTTTTCAGAATCCTTGATTATCTGGAAAGGAGTATTTTCACTAACTGATGCTGATCCACTCACAGAGTTTTGTGGTAGTTCCTGTTTTCCAGTGACTTCATCATATGGAATATCTGTTTGAAAAGTTAGTAAAAACGAACAATAATTACCCATCTTCAAATCAATAAAACCAACTTACACCTTTTTTGGGTCAAATAGAGCGATGACTGGGACAGGTTTGCACTAGTCAATAGCTTCCCCACTTCTGTCAAAAACTAGTTACTATTAGTAAAAGGAACCAACCCGATGAAGATTTTATCAATACAGCTATCCTTACCTGTTTATTATCTACTCTTCCCATGTTATTGCGTTTGTAACCTTACCGACTCTCCACTGGATGCCCTCTTGTATGAAAATTTCGATTTGGCACGATTATTGATTTCTCTGGCGCGCTCGTAACCAAAAAAAACCTGTTCATCTCGCAGCATATCAAAACGAAAGGGTACTTTTAAGAACCATATCCATATCTCTATTATTGTGCCTCCTGTGTCCTGCTATTTTTCCATGCTTACTATTCAGGAAGAGGAAATCTTGAGAACATTCCGCTCTATTGTCAATTATCAAGGTGAAGAAGCCTCCGCAATATCCATCCTCAGCTCCAACAATTGGGAGCTTGAACCAGCAATACTACAATACGTCAATAATAACACACAATACTATCAGAATCTCGCTCAGCAGGCACTGAGAACTTCCCTTAACAGAAATATGAATAATTCTACGTCAGTAGAAGACCCACAGGCTCGTTCGGAAATAAGTTTCATTACAAGAGCTCGTGATTGGCTTAATTTAACTTCCAGTGACCAAGCGCAACTTTCAGGAAGCTTTCTTGAGGATCCACCCAGAGCAAGCACCAGTGGAGTCATCATGTATTATGCCACTAGAGTGATAACATTCGTATTCATTTTACCTCTTTTTATTGTCTACAAGCTTACACCCTTGCTATTGCTGCTTGTCATTCATATTCTTCAGCGGCTTATTAGATTGAAAAATCGTGTGCTGTTTCTTATTAATAAGGATTCTGGAGCAGTATCCAATCAGGGTGTACTTTTTGGTAACCACCTGTCCAAGAGGGTAGACCCAATTGATACTGCTAGACAATTCATTGATGATTTCGAAAATGATGTGGTCAGAATTCTTGATGTTGGCGGTGATATTGAAAATGCGTACTCAAATGTTCTGAAACCCAATTTCTTTGAAGGCGGTTATACTCAAGCATTATATTTAGCCAAAAGGGATGCAAAATGGCTACTTGTTTACCTTCAAAGTGATGATCATGATGATAAGGACAAGTTCATCAAGAACATTCTATTAAGTCAACGTTTCAACAAATTCCTTTCCGGCAATGACATTGTGTTGTGGGGAGGTAATGTAAAGCAAAGTGAGGGATTTCAAACAGCAAATGGCTTAAGTTGTACTCGATTTCCCTTTTTAGCTTTGCTTTGTTTGACTACTCAAACTACAACTACCACCCAAGGAGTACTGTCGGGCTCTCCGGTTCTCTCAGTTGTATCTCATATTCAGGGATATCATCCACTCAAAAAAATATTAGTTAAATTCAATCAACAAATTGAAAGATTTGAGCCAAAGTTAATAGAAATTCGAGCAACTTTACGAGAAAGAGAATTGAGCAGATTAATCACTGAACAACAAGATTTAGCTTATCAAAGCTCATTACTCAAGGACCAATTGAAGAAACAAGTCAAACAACTCAAGCAAAAAAATAATAAATTAGTTTCTCAATTTGTACCCTTCAAACTCAAGCAGTTTGCAGAAAGTTCTCAGATCAAGAAATCACTTGACAGATCTGTGGATTCTAGTGAGTTTTATTCAAGAATTGCGGTTAGATTACCAAGTGGTGAAAGGATGGTTACATTTTTCGATCGGTCTTTGTCAGTTACTGATTTGTATTTGTACATCCAATTCCAAATAAATGGATTTTTCATCAAGGAAATAAATGCTCGCCCATCTGAAATGCTACTCATAAATTGGGAAATTTTGAAGGATTATTTGTCACATTTGGATACCGGTGAGGCCTATGTTCCACCCAGCACATATTCAGACATTAGTGAAAGTGTGGATGAGGACGTTGCCGTTCTGGTTTACAGGGTATCTTTCGTACTCTTTAGCCTGTTCCCCAAGAGGGAACTCCCATTTGATGATAAACAGATTGGTCAAATTGAATTTCTTGTCCCTGATGGCAACTTGATTGTGGAAGAAAAGGATGACATTGATAATGGCGGTGATGAAGCAGATATTGAAGGACAATTGGGTGCGACAATTTATGGTAATTAAATGAATGAACGAAACAATAAACCCTTGCTGAATGAATAGAGAACAAATACTCACAGAGATATTCTTTCCGCAATACATTTTCCGTAATAAGGGCATTGCTGTAGATATCATGATCGAGTTATTGCTGCAGTGTCATGTTCAAGGCGATGAGTGCGGCAGCATGTGTGGGTGGGCGATGTACTATTGCTATGGTACATCTATGTATACTATAGTATGTACTACATACTACTAATATGGTCACCCTACTTTACATTTTATCGTGTTAAGTTATTTTACTGTTTAATATTATTTGTCTTCCTTATTATTATTATAAGACAAGAACCAATCCTCTTATTATTATTCATTTAATACATTTACCTTTGATTTATTACTGAAACCGGAAATATGTTGTCGACTTCGCGCGATTATGGCTTGTAGTAGGGTAAGATCCATCCGGTCGGTGGTAGCGGCGGATGATCGGATTTAAGATAATTCTGGATTAATACAAACAATAACTTAATAAAGTTAACAACGTAGCAAAATATAATAATTGAATAATGCGTTGTCTCTCTAAAAATGGTAGAGAGATAATAAAAGTAGACTAAGTAAAATAAATAGAATGTAAGAAAATATGGGTTAGAAGTAATGGTATTATGGCTAACAGCACTCTGGGGGTGGTGTTAGCAAAAAGTGCACAAGTACGACTAGTATAAAAGCGATGACATGATAGGAAGACCGGGTGACATTTAATTTAATTAAGATGCATCGTGCTTAAAAATTTCACGTATGTTTGGAACGGTAATTACTATCGTAGATTTATCATAAATATTATTAGCATTGTCAGTATTACTGGCGCTGGTGATAGTGCTATTATCACTATTGGTATTACTACTATTTTTTTATTTTTATTTTTACTGCATTATTGCCATTATTACTACAAGGGGACCACCCCAATCAGAGCAATTCCCAAAAGTGAAATATTATCAACAAGACCCCAAAAGCCTAAATAAACCAAACTGAAGTGCTGATAATCCAAATAAAGCCGCTTGGGGAAGAACTACTTCATGATAAATTAAAAATCTTAAAATATTATAATATGGACTCCTTCCCAGAAGCTTTCTGCAAAGTCAAAAAGGCTTCAGTACCTTCCTCGGTCAAAAATAAAAGAAAAACTCACAAAAAGTCGAGAAATGGTTGTGTTGTATGTAAACAGAGGCGTATCAAGTGTGACGAATCACATCCAAGCTGTGCAAATTGTGAAAAGAAAAAATTGAGCTGCCGTTATTTGTCTGAGAAAGAAAGAAGTTACCAAAAAGCATTGAAATTCAAAGACATGACGTCTACTTTCTCCATGGATCTAATTCCAAAAGCCCCCGGAAACATAAAAATTATACCCTCAGAAAAATCAGAGATCCTCTTTCTGTTTGAAAATGAGGTTTCAAATTCCAGTGAGTTGGCTCAACCGTCGTTACCTAAGGCTAATACCAATTCTGAATCATCTTGCTCCAATACTTTTACCGATGCCACCAAAAGGTCCATGCCTGAGTGTTCATCACAAATGAAGCCACTGACGATGCCATGTATCCCACCAAAAATGACCAAACCGTTCTTCACCCCAAATGTAGATCCCTTAATTTTCCCTAGTGCAAAATCGAAAAAAAGAATTATCAATGATAATAAAAATTTTGACACTTTGCTCCAAGATTATGGATTCATGTCAGATTTTGTGATTGCTTTACGTGATTATTTCTATGGACCTTACTGTGAAGCAGTTTATCAATCTGAAGTTAAAATCCAAGCAATCCACAAACTATTCGATGATGTTGGCCGAAAACATCTGTTTGTGCGTCATATATATCTTGCTCTTGCTGCTTTACATATCTATCACACTTGTGAATTCATTGATGAGAATAAACCTGAAAAGTTTGTTGCCCATGACTTTCTTCAAAAGTTTCCAGAAATTGACAAATATTTCTTATTTCAAGTATCTATTATACATAAAAACAAAAGTCTAGAGGTCCTTCAACCCTTGCTAACTGATGGTGACTTGAAGGCAATTCTTGATGAAGTTGCTGCTGAAGCTTTGATGGTTACTTGTGCACTGGTTTCATTCCATATGGCTTGCCTTGCAGGTGTAGATCTTATCGATCTTAGATTTTATCAATCACTCAAATCTGTGATAATGCTCAGTACTCTTGAGGATGGGTATGGATGGAAACGGTTCCCTAAGGAAATAATCCAGCACTATACTCTCAAACCAAAAAATGAGGATTTGCAAAAAATGGAATCGATTTTACCTGCAAATATTTATGGAATATTGAACGTGCAAGATTTTGAGGTTCAACAAGGTAAGGTAAAGATTCTTTCTAATGGTGCATCATCTAATCTGAAGATTTTGAAAGAAAAGTGGCACAAGAGGCACACTGCGGGATATGCAGCCTCACTTCATGGTAAGGCCACGGGCAACAAGAATGATAAGATCAAGCAAACTAGTAAGCTTGCTATCCAGAGTATTCTTAATGCTTATTCTGATGATGAATGTTGTGACTCTGATGATGGCAAAGAGGAACCTAGAGACGATCAAAACTCTGAAAACATAAGATATAATGTTTTAAAGATTGAAAAGGAATATGAAATTAGTGATGATGACTTCAACTACGATAATGATACCACTGAGGAAGATGTGTTTGATGAATCGAATTTGATATCTAACTTTGAGAAGAGTACGCAGTCTGATATGATAAAATGTTGTAATTTCCCAACATACGTTGTTTACTCCAAAGATGAATATGGTAACGTTACAAAGAAGCTTCGTTATGAACAAGTTTATCGCGATCTATTAGATTTGATCATTGAACGCTCGTACGTCCGTGAGAAAGTGGGGGATGAAGATCCTATGCCTTTCCTTTTTGGCTTTTCTACCAGTGTATCATGTAACGATAATATTCTTTATTTGTTACATCATAAAGATCCTCGAATTTTGGTGATTCTAAGTTATTTTTATTCTTTGATATCTAATATGAGAGATATTTGGTGGTACAAAAGTATAATAGATATTTTTGATTATTTACATGTCGTATTGAGTGAAGATTGGAGAGAATGGATAAAGGCATCATCTGACAAAGTTCGTGAGAATGATTGGAGAGCTAGGAAAAAGAAAGTAGAACCAATGGTTGCGAAAGGATTCGCTAATCATAAAAAGTCAGAGAATTCGGTAAATCGTTGGAGAAGAAAGTATGAGCAACAACAACAACAACAACAACAACAACAACAACAACAACAACAACAACAACAACAACAACAACAACAACAACAACAACAACAACAACATATCTATGATCAAGGCGAGACTATGGTCGGTGTTTCATTTTCAAGAACTGTTGCCAGCACACCATATAATGGAGGTGATGTCTATATGAGGTAATTTCTATATAGAGGGCGTCAAAAAAATAATATATATATATAGCTATTAAGCATGATGAGCTGCTGTTTCTGTTCTTCATTCTTTTTATCTTTATGAGCTTGTCTGTTTACTTACTAGATTAACCTACAGGCATTTATACTATATATTATGAGTGTGATTCTTTTTTTTTTTTCGGTTGATTGCTTTTATACTCTCTTTCATTTTGAATTTACTGGTATTGCAATTGGTAGCTCTAATCTCTGAACATATACCTATATTTAAAGAAGCTTTCTATAAAGTAGCTATAATTTACAATAAAGTGCTAAATATGATAAGTGACCCAAAATGTTCTCTCTAATCAACTGCTATAGAATGTATCCACTGTTTCAAGTGATCTTTATCCACTGGTTCCCGGTTTTGAATTTCGTATTTATCAACAATTAACTGTTTATGAACGGCCACTATTGTTGGTATTTCATTGACCTAGAAAGAGATGTTAGTAGCTAAGTATTGAAATTGTGACTGAAGATTTGAACTAAAAATATTTACCCCATAAGTTAGCATCAAGTCCGTATTCCCTGGCTCATCGCATTCCACATCTACCAAATTCACTTTCTTTTGAATGTCATAATTCAATAAATCATATAATTGTCTTGAAATTTTGTTACAGTAATCATCTCCTCTCATAGTGAAATTCAATAATATTGGAATTTTGCCACTGGCAAGCAAGTAATCATGCAAATCGCTGTCGCCATATTTCACCGCTTGGGGATATATTTTGGTGGTTTGATGGATCCCAATTTCTTGGTCCGGATATACAATTTTTTTGGGTCTCAACCATTGTGGCAAGCTGAAAAAAGTTCTTTTACTGGAAACTGATAGTATAGTCCCCATACATGTATATTTATTCGCGATATACATATTTTTGTGACGCGAACGTTGTATCTTTTACGCTCCACTCAAGTAGCAATACTGTCAATGTCATCTGAAAATACAGTGTTTTCATTTTTTATTCGTACCAACCACCGGAAATGTTCATACCAGTGGCAAAAAATAATTCATACCGACCCCCGGTATTTTTCGTACCACCGCAGCGGGATTTATTCAGACCATCTAAGAAAAATAGTTCATACTATTGCACTTTAATTATTCATACCAACAGAATACAAAATTCATACTAAATGCATAAAATTCTTATGCTTTCATTAATATTTTATCTTTGATATTATTAAACATGTTACAGGGGACCCGCACACCCAATAAAGCCCCTTTGCAATACTCATTTACCATTTCAAAGGCTCATAACCAAATTTTGGTGTGGTTTCGTCCTTCCTTAAAATTTTAAATTTTCATTAATTTGTTTTGGAGCTTTGTTGCGTCTTTATGTAATTTTTTTTATAGTTTTTACTTTTTTTTTTGGTTTGTTTTCTGTATTTTGTTTTCTAATTTTTTTTCTTCATCTTTGGTATTTGTTTTCAAAAGAGCTGCTGTTGTAAACAGAGATCAATATGTCTAGAAGCATGTCTGCAGAATCCCTTGTAACTATCAAGGGAAATATTTTCTGTGGCTTCTTTCACCCTTGGAGTTAATTGCTCCTTCTTGCTCAAGTTTGATCTTTTGACTTTACTCTTACATACTGACCAGAATTCTTCTATAGCATTCAACCCTGGAGAATAAGGAGGTAAAAACACAAGTTCCAAGCCACTCAGTGCCACTAGTAACTGAAGATCACGTCGTTTATGAATGGCAGCATTATCAAGGATCAAATATTTCATACCTTTGAGCTCCTCGTTATTTTCTATTTGCTGGATCACTGACTTTACAAAACTGTAGAAGTGATTAGCTGTAGTACCTTTACTCACTTTGTCAATGGTCGTTTCTGAATCAAGTTTTCTCTTCTTATTGGATGTAGCCACTGGAGTTCTGACCTTTAATTCAATACAACCTTTGACAGAAATTGCCCCAATGAACGAAATATTAAGCCCTCTGGTTACGGGAACAGTAAGAACTGCTTTTTCACCCACAGCAGACCATCCATACTCACGCCGCATACTGATATTGAAACCTGCTTCGTCGATGAAAATACAGTTTTGACTAAAGTCGAGCTTGTCTTTATACTTCTCTGCCCACTCGAGTCTCTGTTTCTTCAATTCCTCCAGACTTCTTCTCAAAGCCCATTTAGAAATACGTTTGAGACTTAGCTTACAGACCTTGGTTACAAAGTTATAGATTGTTGTAGCCTTGGCTCTTACATTGGTGAAGGCTTTCTTGAGTCTCTCCAACATAAAATCGAGAGTCACTGTAGCATCTTCCTTTATCAATTTTTGAAGGAATTCCTTATGTTCATCAGTGAGAAGGGGTTTACGACCTCTTTTCTTTATTGGCTTCGAGATACCATTTAATTCATTGACAAGTATTTTGTTCCACTTTCTTTTCCATGTGTAAGCAGTTTGCAAAGGTATATCTTCTAATTTTGCAGCCTTGTAAGCTGATACACCTTCTTCCATGACCAAGTGCCAAAATCTTTGTTTGACAGCTTGATTATAATACCGGTACGAACCTCTATATCTTCGTTCTTTCATTTCAATTTCCATCTCGGCATTTTCTTCTTCTTCGAAAATAGGATCAATTTCCATGATATCCATGATACCTGGTTTTTCAAAATGCTTATAGTCACTGTAACTAAAGCAAGCTTCAACTGGTGCTATTTCAGACTCTAAAGTCATTTCACTGGGTTCAGCATAGAATCTATTACCTAGGCCATCAACATACCCATCAGTTAGTAGCTTGGCTTTCAAGTCCATACTTAGTTTTGATGGTAAAATCTTATGCTTTTTTTTGTAAGTAATCTGGTGATCACATAAAGACCGAATTGAATGTCAAAAGTGGGAATTCATCATCTTAAATGGAGAACAGCTCCTACCATACATTCGTTCCCATTTCTTGAAAACCGTAATCACGTGATATTATTGATATTATTATAGATATCCGGTTTTATAGAAAGTAGCACAGAATTATGGAAAAAATGAGTATAATTTGTTTAAACTGAGTAGCTTAGAGGCTTATAGAGCCAGTCACATAAAAAAAGAAAGGAATTAATATGAATTTTATATACTGTTGGTATGAATAATTGAAGTGCAATAGTATGAACTATTTTTCTTAGATGGTTTGAATAAATCCCGCTGCGGTGGTACGAAAAATACCGGGGGTCGGTATGAATTATTTTTTGCCACTGGTATGAACATTTCCGGTGGTTGGTACGAATAAAAAATGAAAACACTGTAAGAAAAAAAAAAAAAACATGCGTGCGCATAGTTTGGGAACATACTCCAAAAAATTGTCAGAAGACTAATAACAGATCTTTAATAAATGCTGCAGTTTGAACATTAAACTAACCCATTATTAGATACTAATTAATGCCCATTGTTTTCATTTGTTGTCTTTCTTTGTTGCTGCTATTGCTAGGATTGATTTTCATATCATTTAGTCTTCCGTTCACCAATTTAGCAAATCCTTTCTACAGTTTAAGGCATGATAGAGGTGCTTCTCATTTAATGGTACTTCTTGGATCAGGGGGACATACAGGGGAAATGATTAGATTGCTTGATGGCTTGGACTTCACTGAATATTCAAGGTTGACATTAGTCATCACCGAAGGAGATAATGGATCGATCAAAAAGGCGAGAGATTTTGAAAACTCAAATTTCTCAAGCAATGAAGAAGTTATTATCTCTGAACATGAAGCATCAATGACGAGTGTTGGTAATTTTGTTGTGGATTATATTTTTCTTCCAAGAGCAAGAAATGTTGGTCAACCATTGATATCCTCAGCGATAACAACAATTGGGTGTATAGTACAAACTTTCAAAATTATGTGGTCACGGAATACTTTTCCACACGCCATTCTTTGTAATGGACCAGGAACTTCAGTGCCATTGTGCTATGTATTTTATCTTCTATCTCTTGTGAAATTCCAAAACGCAGTAATTATTTATGTTGAAAGTCTTGCTAGGGTATCACGTTTAAGTGCAAGCGGATGGTTGTTATACCCTATCGCCAGCAGATTTATTGTTCAGTGGGAAATGTTGCACGAAAAATTTAGCAGAAGTGAGTATTATGGGATTCTAGTTTAGCAAATGAAATAGACAGAGAGGTATTGTAGTAATGGGTACAAAAATATATTATCACAAGATGAGAAAGTATTTTTGATGTTTTTTGCTCACTTCCGCTGTTGCTTGCTTTGATAGAATATATTTGATTTGAACTACATTTGGAAAAACTTTCAATAATTTTGATCCATAGTGCAGACAGAAGTGAAATATTTGAAATCATTTATCGTACAAGTTTCTAACGTTGCTGGCTTTTTTCATTTTCTCATTTTTGCTAAATTGCTGGAATGAGCTGGAGGTATTTCTGGTATACATGCTGGTTAAAATTGTTGAAAACTGAGGGTATATTGATGTTTAAATCACCAAGTCATATTTTTCACAACATCCAATCAATGATTTCGTTTTGCTCTCGTTATGAAACTCTTATTATGACAATATTATTCTGGGTCCTAGTGATCTATGTGATATGCTGAAATAACACTAGAAACTTTTTTGATAGCTCAATATTGCAGAGTATTCTATCTTTTAGAGACAAAGAATGCTACATGTATGACTTCTTACGTGCCCTGCGCTGTTTTAAATTCATTTACAATATGGTTTTTGCTGTGAAAATGATAGATAATTAGTAGAAAGCTCTATGTCCACAGATCTAAGAATTCTCTACCTATCATTTTAGGAAAAGTCTGGTAGGCTGATAGAATATAAAATGTAAAAAGCTAAAGTAATACGGCCGATGGTGTAGCTATTTGTATTAGTTAATTACATTTGAAGATTAATGCACTTTTTTTAATAATCTTATTAGAACTTTTCTCTTGATAAACATCGTGCTACTAGATAGAAATGGTGACGCTGTATAAATTATTCAGACTATTTTTACTTTGACTTGGCAGAGTTTCTAATCAAATTCCTATCAATGTTGCACATTAAATTGTTCACATGTGAAAATGAACCGCATCAAAATGTGAAAACAGATATATTATTAAAGCAGAATATACCATAAGTATCGACAGGCTTCATGCCAACCAAAGAAGGATAGTTAGAAGTTATGCCTTTATACTTGGAATCCCTGTAAGTATAAATGGTGGCTTGAAATTGTTCTTGATACTATTTAGCATTCAGTCATGAATTGACATTGCCTTACATGCAGCTTTCTAGTATATATATTCGGTTCACGAAAAGATATACAGGACTCTGATAACACCTGATGATTGAAATACATGTGTGCATAAGATTATTGAAAGATCCTTCCAACTGGGACACAAACATTTAACAGCATATGGTTACCCGGCTCACAGTCCGGTACGGTGCACTAACTCATAATCATCCGGCCTCTTTCCATAAAATTTTTTTTTTTTTTAAAAAAAAAGCCAGCAGTAGCATACACAATACCAGTTGAACTCATCGCACTAAAGAAGGATTCATCGACTTTCTCCGTATTTTTATAATAATAAGCCAATTGTTAACATGCTTAAGTGGGCGCAAGGAACGTATGTATAAGATTATTTAGTCATGCAGTTAGACTATTCTCTGAAAGTGTTTGAATGTTTTTTTTTTCTTCTTGGAGGGCTTTTTGATATTAACATCTATACACAGTCTATCAGCTGTCACAGGTATGGCTGAGCCTGAATATGGCCCTGACGCCATCCACCCAATTACCGACTCTGTTAAAAACAAGAATCCAATGAGATTAACTACAAACGATGATTTTAAATGGATTGCTCCTTTGACCACCAACGTTGAAACCCAGACTTTTTACTTCACTGATTTGAAATCTGGCAATTTGGGTTTTGCTCAAATCATTCATTCCGTGGTCAGCTCTGTTTATACTACTGCTCAATTTACTTTTAGACTTTACAACAAGGAGAATGATGAATTAAATACATGGACTTCTACTAATTTGGAAGACTTTGTGATAAAGGGTACCAATTTTTATGCTAAAAATTTGTCAATTGAACTAGTTGATGATGGCAACACTTATGTTCTCAAGTCCGCCGTTACCGAAGAATCCATTGTCAACTTGACCGTTAAAAAAATTGCTCCTGGTGTTCTTGTTGGTAAAGATGGTACTACTTTGTACGGCACAGATGTGACCAACCCTTGGGGGTCTATGAGGCATGCTTTCTGGCCTAGAAACTCTGTTACTGGTACTATTGAATTGAAATCTAAGGAAAAGAAAATTGAAATCAATGGATATTCTATGTTTGTCGCTGCTATGCAAGGTATGAAACCCCATCATGCTGCTGCTGCCTGGAATTTCCTTAATTTTCAATCAGAAACTTACTCAGCTGTTCAAATGGAATTCACCACACCAAACTCTTATGCTAAAACAAAAGTTAATGTTGGTATTCTTGTGAAAAATGATAAAATTTTGTCTGTTTCAGTCAACAACAAGATTTCCCATTTGGATAATGATGTTGATGAAGTTGGCTGGCCAGTTCCAAAGCGTGTTGAGATCGATTTTAAGGGTATCGAATCAACCGCTACTGACGATGATGTTGAGAAAGGAACTGCCAAGGTTGTGGTGGCCAAATGTGTGGGTGACTTGAGCACTCTTGTTGAAAGAGTGGATGTTATGGGAGAAATCCCCGGGTTCGTGAAAACTATCGCAGGTGCTGTTTCTGGAACTAAGCCATATATCTATCAATTTGCTAATGAGCTAACTTTAGAAGTTGAAGATGATGGCAAATCAGAAACCGCAAAAGGCCTAGCTTGGACCGAAGTCACTTTTATTTCGGACATTAGTGACTGAGGAAATTGCATGTGCCAATTTTCAAAAAAATCATCTGCTTCAATCTCATTTATTGTCATAATTATTTGCATTCTTATATCCTATTGTTATATTTTAATACCATAATTCTATTATTTTTCATGCTAATTCCTATTTCATTTTTCTTTTTATTTTTCTTTTTATTTTTCTTTTAGTTTTAATCTATCTTTTTTTTTTGTCGTTTTCCATATGATTTACTCCGAAGTTTTATCTTATTATCTTAGTCCATCAGCTTCTAATCATCACTGGTTTTACATGTGTGTATTGGGGCTCAGTTGGTTTATTTATTTCTTTATATTTAATAGAGGATTTATATTTAATAGATATAATTGCAGGGAATTACTAAGTAAGTTTTCATAGATATGAGAAAATATAAAAGTTGGCATGAGAAAAAAAAAGAACAAAGCTATAAGTTTAATTCACTCATTGAACAACCACACGATAATATCTACTGATTTGTTTTCAATCTTTTGCAAAAACTTTTTGAATTTGGACAGATTTTCATCCTGGCCTTCCATCTTTCTGTTGTTGAAATCATCACTGTTGACCCCATACTTCGTTGATTTGAGTAATAGTCTAGTAAATGACAAAATAACAAGAGTAAAATAAACCCTGGCAACAACCACAAAAATGCACGTAAGAATTGTGGTCATGAGTTCATAAGTCTCTGAAGCAGATTGAGATGAAAGCTTAGATTCTGTATCACGACTCACGAGAGCTAAGATGATATTAGTGCCCACAAGCTCGATTGAGCGTCTCAATAGTCTGTCAAAATTCTTTTTTGGTTCTTCCAATTCAAAGACTGCTACATCCTTATCACTACCGGACTCATCCGGTGATTCAATTTCATAATTCGATTCTTCGAATGATGATGAAGCAGTTGGAGAAGAGGTTGGGATTTTAGTCCTTGAGACCGAAGTAGAAGAATATGAAGAATCATGGGAAGCCGAAGAGGAGGATGCAACCTTAGATTTTGTAGTTGGTTCAGTCAAAACAGATGTTGATGTTTCTGTTGGTGTATTTGGAATCTTCGCAACTGAGGTGTCATTTGTGCTAAACCATTGATAGGCAAAGTGCAAAATAAACACAATTCCTGAAACAGTATCGATGAAATATATCAAGCTTATGAGCGAAAACCTGGCCAAATTTGGGTTTTTAACGTTTTGGAGACCATTCACATAGAACGGAACGATTAAAAGTGAAGAAAGATAAAATATCCATTGGGTGAACTCAATAGGATGGCCAGTGAGAAGCGAGAGAACACCATAAAACCCCGCCATCTTATTGAATATGGCTATCCCAAGAACCAACTCAACGCCAATGTATAAAGGTAATCCAAGGAAGGACTAAATACAGATGAAATGTTAGTAAAAAAAAAAAGCTCGGATACATAATTCATATATCAATTATTAAGTATTGATCCCATTGAATATCTCAGCGTACTTTAGGCAAATACAAAGCCGGCGATAAACCCATTTTAATGAAACACTGTATGTTTTTATGACAATCACTGTCAGTAATAACAACGTTGGCGCGGTATAATTTTTTATATTTTTCTCTGAAGTGATTTATTTGCTCTGTTTAGGACAGTGGGCATCTTCGCCTCATAACCAAGGGTGCCAGACTTTTCAAAGAATCACATCACATTTGCTTCCCTTTTAGAGTAGAGGCAATGATAATTGATTGCACAAATCCCTCCTCATTTTTCTTTTCTTCTTTTTTTTGGTTATGGTTTGTTTCTTGTCAATTCAAAAGCGTTGATAATGGAGCGTTACAGATAAATGCTCAGAATCCAAAAAAAGAAAAAAAAAAAAAGCTCAGAATGTTCAATTTTATCATTTCTTCCTCCTCATGAACTTATAAAAGAGACATTCCTTACAAAAATGTCTGTAAAGCATCATGATTCATAAATTTGCAAATTAATGGCAGGCAAGATGTGAAGTATCAATCCGTACTATTGATACGGCATTGTTGGCTAACATTCCTCTTATCACTGCCGCCTACCCTTGCTATCCGTGAAGCTGTGATTACCCATATAATTCGGTTACCAGGCATGCATAATAAAATTAGCTCAATTCTTTTTTTTTTTGCCTCCATAAATGTTAACGAAAGATGCTCTCAATACCAGTCGTTTTATCAATATTGTTGTTATTTTATAACTCGAGCTTTGCATTTCCTGTTGGAAGAACAATTGGCAGAAAGAGAAATTTCGATCCATTGAAACTTGATTTTGCTTTAGTGGAATCTCAGCGAAGAGTTGATTTGAACAGTGGTTTCTACAGACATTCTGTTGGCCCTTATAGCGAGGTAATTATGAAAATTGAAAACCAATATTCGGCCTACATTGCCACCTTGGCCCTTGGTACCCCGGAGCAAGAGATTAAAGTGGCCCTTGATACGGGTTCATCAGATCTTTGGGTTCCATCCCCAGGAACCACAACTGACTACACTACATTTGATTCCAATGCCTCGAGAACAGCTACTAGCCTCAATGAAACATTTTCCATTGTTTATGGTGACAGAACAGGTGCCAGTGGTAAATGGATGTCTGACAATTTACAAATAGGTAATGTCAACATTCCAAATATGCAGTTTGGGTATGGAACTAACCAGAATGTGGGGCAAGGTATATTGGGAATTGGACCAAAGGATTCAGAAACTAGTACGTGGTTAGATAAACCATTCACTTATGATAATTTTCCGTACAAGTTGGCAGCCCTAGGTTATATACCCAGAGCCTCATACTCATTATATTTGGACTCTTCGAAGTCAAAGACGGGAACAATATTATTTGGAGCTGTGGATACAGCTAAGTTTCTGGGTCAATTACGAATGCAAAAAATTTTGAAAATTCCTGTCGATCCCTTCTCGCCAAATGTGAAGTCGGGTTTTTATATTCAATTGGATAGTGTGGGTTCAGGCAATTATAGATACAATAGTGATCCTGATGATCCGTCCCAGCCCAATCCTGCTTTATTGGATTCCGGTACCAGTTTAATTTATGCTCCGCAAAGAGTTGTCACCGGGATCGGTAGTTTATATGGAAAATATAATAGAATGGTTGGTGGTTATGTCGCAAGTTGCAGCTCTGAAGGAGAGCCAATTAATTTCACTTTTGGGAATATGACTATTAGCATTGCTTACAAGGAGATTTTGTATCCGCTCTCGAAAGATTCTCCAGTTTATGGTATGGATGAATGTTTGATTGGGATCATTGGAAGCGGCAGCGATATTTTCACTCTTGGTGATGTCTTTTTGAGGCTGGCATATGTTGTTTATGATCTAGAAGAAAGCAAAATTGGTTTGGCTCAAGCAAGGTATAGTAATGAATCTGATATTAAATTCATTGATGAACTCCATTGAAAATTTCAAAGGCTATTGTGCGAACAATATTTCAATTCTAATGTTGTGAGATAAGCTTTTGAATGAATGCTTTGCAATATTATCAACGTGCATTAATCATTGAGAGTTATATATTTATGAAGAGATTAAGGTCATGTCCGTCTGAATATCAATATTAACGCGTATTAAAATGAAGCATCACTCTGTCTAGCAAACCATGTCAACTATCATAGTGGGTGCATCGTGGACGGGTATAGTACCTGTTTAACGAGGTTAATTTTGTTGACGATTGGTGGGTGCTGTCTATATTTATCATATTTTCCCTATTGTACTCGTCCTTAGCCTTCAAAAATTTTATTCTTTGACTTCCTTGAGTTTTATATTCCATGAGAAAAATATTTTATATTTGCCTCTATAACATATTGTTAGAGTGTACCACCACGGTGGCTTTTTAGTTTGAGATTACTGCTCATTGACGAATGATACAGTGCTTAGTTATTTTTGATGCTCTGAGCTCTAATGGGTCTCTCACCTGTATTTGAATATTATTATATTTGGGTTCTCCTGAGATATAAAAAGGCCTTTTATTCTTCATCAAAGGAAGAATTTATTATATAAGAAGATTGAAGGATCTTAACTTAATTTGATCGGAAATATGAATATTAACTCTTCTAAAAGAAGTAGATTAACTGATAAATCAACCAACTGGCTGACTCAAACTATTCACTAACTTCGTAATGTATACTTCATCTAATCCTTCCACCGCTGCAGAGCAATTCTGGAATGCTCTAAGTAATTTAGTCCTTTCTTTTCCAGCATCTGCATACTATTCTAATGATGTAACTCAACTAGGCTCTTCGTATGTTACAGCCTATAATTTCTCGACTTCAATAAATCCAGGACCTTTCGGAATATAATAACTTGTTTTTCAGAAGTTTAAGATATATGAAACTAATTCTTTCCAGTCAGATCTTGTGATCTAACGGTAAAAAATCTCTAGTAACTGGAACTATCAATGGACTTTTGTATAATGTAGTCGATCATTAATATTCCTTCCGGGACTTTCTGTTACTTTCTAAAATTCAGAAAGATTCTCTGAAAGTCTTTTAAGGAAGAGAATCATTCCATGTTGTCTTAGTGATGGGTGCATACAATATATATATAGAGTGCGTACTTATTATGTCATTTTTTACCATGCATACATTCTTGCCTTTTTGTTGGTGATCACTCAATATTATCATGCACTTGCAAAAGTGGCAAAGCATAAAATTATTTTATAGAAAATAAAGGTAAAATACTTTTTTTCATAAGTATCAAATAATAAGAAAATACAGAGATTTTTTCAGGAAAAGGGAAAACGATATTAAGCAAAAATAAAACTGTATTAAAAAAAAGAAAGGGGGTATGATGATGATTAATAATTAACAAAGATATGAAATAAAAATCAAGAGGAGATAGCCCAAAACACAAGGAGTGCTAGTAAACCCTGATGAAGCACCGTTATTTTCTGTAGGTTTACTATTCGTACTGGTGGAATCAGAAGCAGAAGCCAACACAGCAGAACTAATAGTTGAAGAGTTGTGGCTTAAGGCAGATGATATAGTGGATGAAGCCTCATAAGTATTGGTGATAGTGCTGGGGATAGTGCTGGGGATAGTACTGGCTGAAGAACTGCTAGTGATATCAGCAGTTATAGCAGCATTAGCAGTACCTTTAGCCAATAATATTTGAGTGGAGGCAGATGCTGGTATCATCCAAGTTTTCGCACCAGCAGAGTTACACAAGGAAATAGCCAATGAAGTAGCAGACACAACATCACTACCTGAACATTTTGAAGCAAAGCAATCAGCAACTTCACCTGACCATTGAGGCATAACGCAGAAACATCCTGTATCCCAGTAAGGACATGGAGTGTTGTCTGTATCAAATTTTACACACTCTTTGGCGCAATCCGGTAAGTTTGAGTAAATTGGGTCAGCAAAACCGTTAATGGAAGCCGTTTTCGAAATCAGTGGATAAGTGGACCAATTGTCAGCACTGACAAGCGTCAAAATTATAGTAATGAGAAATAGGGAGAGCATATTTAAATAATCTGTGTATTTTTTGTTTTGTTATGGATCCTGAAATCGTTAATAATAATAAATATTGAACGAAAATACGGGATTGAAAATAATATATTGATTCTACCGAAATTTTAACCCAATATTATATAAATAATCTTTCAAAGAGAACTACGAATAGTTAATGAATAACAGTAAAATTAATACACCCGAGGGTGTGCTTTAACAGAAATTAGACAGTTAATCTTATAATATACATAGATCTGCAAATGCATGCTATAGATCGATGCATTAGAACTTAAAGATGCATAGCACCCACAATTCAATAAAAGAAAATTTAAGATTTAAAATTTTCTTTTTTTTTTAATTTCTCAGTCACTGCCTCTCAGTATGAGAGAATATATTATATGAATTTTGTCCCATGTATTTCAATCTTCAAAATATGGGAACAGCTAAAAAAAAAAAAAGGAAAAAAAAAAAAGCATTCAGAAAAACATTCAAAATGACCATTCCATATAAAGAGCAGTACTATGTTGAGCAAAAGAGAAATTCTAAATTTGAATGGTTGAGCTTTGCTATTCCTTTTATAATATTAATCTTTCATGGTATTATAATTCATTGGATACCATATTACTTGAGAAACAAAAGGGATAATAATGGTCTCACCAACAAGGGATATTTCAAATTCCTTAAATTCCTGAAGTTCTTGGGTTCTAGTATCGCTATTCCAACTCCGTGGAGGAAGAATATAAAAAATATTTATATTCAGCCATCCTTGCACTTAGGATACTGGATTTATTTTTTGTTGTTGGTCATATTCTCATTTGCACAAACTGCAGACATTACTTACATTCCTCGCCATTATGTGATTGGCAAAAGATTGGGGAAATTGGCGACCGGCCAAACAACATCTTTGTTCCTATTTTTAGTCAAGAACGATTTTCTTTCTTCCATTACTGCTGTGCAGCCTGAAAGATTAATTAGATTCCACATTTGGGTCGGTAGGACCTGTTGGTTGTTGGCTACAATGCACCTTTATCTTTGTGCTTCATATTGGCTTGACATGGGTATCACAATCATGATCTATATCCCGCCTCAATACTTCGGAATGATTTCCTATGCCTCATGCTCATTATTAACTTGGGCTTCATTTAGATTTATCAGAAAACTATCTTTTGAATTTTTTTTGATTCAACATAGGGTGCTTTCTGCATTGATGATGTTATTTTTGATTTTCCACAACAGTTCCAGTAGATTGGGTGCCATTATTTCGGTGCATTTATTGGTCTTAGACAAAATAGTTAGCATGGTATTAGGAATGATTCAGAAAGCAAAATCCCCATCCATGATGATATCTAAAGTTGAGGTATTTGATGAGGAAACAGTCATGGTCACTATTCCAATGCATATAACAAAGGAGAGAGAATGCGAGGCTTGGTGGTCTTACATCATTCCTCAATTTGGCACCTGGAAAGCTGGTCAATACATTATGCTCAATATAAATTCAATTAGCTTAGGTCAATGGCATCCATTCACAATCTGCTCATTGCCTTCTTCAGGTAAAATAAAACTCTTGATTAGAAAGAAAAAAGGGTTTACAAGAAAGCTTCTCAAAAAAGCTATTGTACCAGAAGATGGTTCACTGAAACATTCTCCAAAGACAACAAAGATTCAAAATTTGAAGCTCCTGGTGGAAGCGAAAATCATCCCTTCAGTCACTCCGATATATAATAATATAAAAGGGCTTTTAAAATTAGGAAAATCCTCCGCAAATAAACATTTTGAATTTGAAGAAAATTCTATTACCTTCCAAGCTAGTATACAAGGTCCATACGGGGCAAATTTCCAAAAGCTAATTACATTCGATTCAGTATTATTCATGTGTGCCGGAAGCGGTGGCTCTGTTGCTTTCCCGATTTGTTGTGATTTGTTGCGGGAAATTCAAAGAAGAGACTCTATTGGAGATTTTGGATATAGACCACTCAACCCAGTTGTCAACCTTTTATGGTCAGTGAAAAAAGAGGCTAATATAATATGGTATAAGCATATTATTGACGAGCTAATACCTTTTTTGCGAAATGGGAAACTCAGTCTTACTATTCACATAACCTCTGCAAATAATGAAATTAACATTCCAAAAGATTGTGATTCTTTAATTGATAATTCATCTAAAGAATATGGAAATAACACTAGTCAAATAAGCGATATTACCTACCCCAAGGTGGTTATAGAGAAGACCAAAGAAGCCACTGAGTTTTTGAAGTTTATTAAGGAAACAGGATTGGTTGATATCCAATATCTGAGAATTGATATCAAGAGTAATATTGCCAGCAGCACAAATTCTGTGATCAAAAAGTCTACTTCATCGTCACAAAAATGTTTGGCGGTAGTAGGTTGTGGGCCAGCAGAAATGACTAATATTATGAAACAAGAATGTCAGAAAAACATAAGAATAAAGGACTCTCCGGATATATACTGTTTTTTTGAGTCTTTCTGACTTTATTTCTCCCCAAATTTGTTAGTATCCCAAATATCTTTGCCATAAAGTTTTTGTTAAATTAGTTGATAATTAGAAATATATATCAAACATATATGTCATTGATATTCATCCGCAATGATTTCTAAGGAAAAAAAGTTTTTGAGCTAGCTTTGTTTTCTATTAATGATTGTATTCCCATTATTAATGTTTTCATAAATGAATTTTTAGATTTTTAAATAGCAAAATGTCAGTCTTCCTGTAGTACAGACCTTACAACGGGAAGTTAGAAATTAATGATTATGAGTAGTTACAAGTTAGATTGGGGGCTGGATAGAATGGTTTGTGTGTCGTTTATTCCAGCTTAGGGTCCAGTCAAAATCGGATCCTCTCAAGCGCAGCTCCTCCTCCTACCAGTGGTGCGATATTATGCATCTATATATAATTATTTAAATCTCTGAAGATCAATCTTCTCTAGTATCAGGATAACTCTGATTGGCTGACTATTCGTACTTATCAATCCTTAGACTCGAATCGTCGTGTGTAACCACTCTCAGGTAGTGCAGTTAGTATTGAAATTTCATTAGAACTGACAATAATTCCACTACTTTTGTAGCTTTTAACGATCAATAGTTTCCACTATAATGTATATATAATCATCAAGACTCACAACTAAATTCCTGTTTATATATTGTTAAACGTTTGCATTTACTTTATACTTATCACTATTGTTACATTAATATCTATAAACCGACATTTAGTTTTCCGTGTATCCCAATCATGAGTCCTGAAACTATACCAACCTTCAACGAAGCTATTAGCAAGTTGGCTCCAATTGCAACTCACCATAAAGCCAACGACAACCCTATATTCGTCACTATCGAGAAGTTTAACGAACTCAAAGATATGGTCTTCAGCATGTCGACCATGATTAAATCCTCCGCCAGCGACCATCCTGTAACCGAACCAGTTCAACATTATCTTCTATTATTCTTATTTTAGAGGTCACGCTTAAACTTTTACACAGTATTTATACTTAATTCAACAATTTATTTTATTTCATTCGATAGAACCATTAGTAGGTCGAATTACGATATAAGACTCTCAATCCGTCGATTAACATGGGACGAAGCTTATATTAGAGATTTCTAACAATTTCTATTTCACATGTGAAGATAAGGAACCTGTCAAAAGAAACCTGAATCTGCTTCATTTTCACAAATTTATAGATGCGTTAAACCTACATACAATAAACACCCTAATTAAAGCCTAATCTATTCCATCTATGGCCCCTATGGCCCACCGTAACTTTCGAATATGTGAACTTTTTTTGTTTGTTTTGGCTCCTCTGATCTCAGCCGTAACCATGTTGCGAAGTTTCATTATCTCTTTGTTAATTTATTCCTAACTCTTCTTTGATAATCTGATAACTGACTTTCTTTTTAGCCTAATTATTAGTAGATATTTTATTTATCACCCCCACTATGTGCCATGCAAAAAAAAAAAAAAACTGCATATGTATATGCATGTACCTTAACATGTTTGAAATGCCATCCGGGGTGAAAAGATAGTGATGTGCTTGTAGAATACATAATAAAGGATGAGTAATATAGAAGCGCACTTACTAATATTCTCTATTGATTTGTCTGCTCTACCTATTTTAGAATAGATTGGAAATAGAGCACCAAGAAAGTCAATATATTCCTTACGGTTCAACAGAAGTTTTGCTGAATTCGGCTTCTAACCTTTCTATTCCCTAACGATCAATTTCATACAATTCACCATAATCTGTTTCTCAGACACAATAAAGTTTATTATGCTTTTTACCCTTTTTTTTTTGAATTTTCTTCAGACATAGGCTTAAAATGGAAATATACCGAAACTTAGAGACTGGGGTGGATATTAAAAATGGCTAAAAAATGAAAGCGCTTTGGGAGGTGTGTTTTTTTGTGTTTTTCTTTTCTAGTAAAATATAAAATAGCGAATCCTCCTCATGTAGATCTAGACAGGCTATTAGTTATAAATTGATCATTGCAAATTATTTATTAATTCCTTTGAAACAAAATCTCCAATCAATTAAAAATGTTGTTTCATAGAGTTGCTATTGTTCTCACTACCATTGCTTCCAAAGCCTATGCTGTGGCTGCTCCAGAAAAACAATTGTTCGCTTTGGCTCAAAATATGAATATGCCAAATAGTCTCTTGGATTCTGTCTTTGCCATTGAAAAGAGAGATGCCGCATCTTATAATTGTCACGCGTTATGTGGTAACATGGTATGTGGTTTCTCTATTTATGTATTATCATAACTTAATTTTCAATTACTAACATACAAATAGATTTCTGCGGCCGAAGGGTGTTCTTCTGGTGGCTCATATGATACCGACTGCTACTGTTCTACTGGAATTTTCGCTGAAAACTTGAGTGGTTGTTTGAGTTGTGGTTGGTGTTTGTGGGAGTACTACTCACCATACTTGGAAGCCCCATTGGGTTCTTGTGGTGAGCCAACTACGCCAACTGGTACTTTGTGTGCTGCCACGTCTAGCAGTGTCTCTTTTGAAGCATCTTCTGAAAGCATCTCCGTCACTTCCTCTAGTGAAACGTCTTCTGAATCTTCCTCAACCGAAACTTCTTCTGAAACCATCTCCGTCACTTCCTCTAGTGAAACGTCTTCTGAATCTTCCTCAACCGAAACTTCTTCTGCTGAAATCACTAACTCTGCAAAAAATACCTCCGAAGACCCAACCACTGTCGGAGAAGCTAGCTCATCTTCCAGTGATATTTCTTCTTCTTCTTCTTCTGTTTCTGTATCCTCATTTCAAGGAGGTGCTGGCATGATTTCCTCTGGAGCTTTCTTGGGTGGTGGTATCGCTTTGGCAGCCGGTGTCATTGCTCTTATTTAAGGTTGTTTGTGAATTGATCGAAACCATGTAATGATCTAGACACTTTTTTACTTTTCTTTCTCTTTCTTTCTTTTTATTGTTCTTATCTTTTCTTCTCTCTTCTTTATTTAACTCCATTCCTTATCTCGGACAACCTTCTTATCTCCGACTACCTTTTTATTTCCCTTTGAGTTCCTTTTTAGGTAAGTCTTACTTTCTTTTCTCACCTATAAAAAGCTTAATTCATCTATTCCTTTTAGTTTTTATTCTTCTTTAATATACTTTAACTACTATGTTACCCAACCAAACCATTACATGGAGGTCGTACCAAAACGCTATCGCTTACTTCAAACCGTCGTTAACTACCGCAGAGGAATCCTTTACATATAGCTAGATAAAGGCAGCCAGAGCGCAATCGCATACATTTTTGCAGCCAGAGCGCAGCGGGTTTGTATGGGGCGAAAAAATGGATGTTAGCAGAGTGCAGCGAGAGCGCAATGGGCTAGCAGCGAGAGCGCAATGGCGATTATGGGCACACCTAGGGATACAGACGCGCAATCTGGAGAAATGCTATACATTGCAGCACAACCAGGAGACATTTTTAAATGATGAATATTTGGTGGAAATGGCTAGTAAAGATGATGTTGGAATCTGGAGAGAATGCTGAGCAAAAATATATAATTTTATCTGAAAGATAATATAATGTGGTAGAGATATTGGCGTTTGAAATTTGCGTTGCACCAACAGGAGAAATTGATTGGCACAGTTCGGAGAAATTCGCAGGGGGTTTGGGACCCTATTGGGAAATCAGGAGAAATTTAGCATGATTAAGAGGTCCCAATGAAAAAAGTGGGATTGTCATTTGAAAATTATAATATAGAGTATGGAGATGTGATTGTAAAAGCTCATGAATGTAGTAATTTAATTAAAAGAAAAATCAATTTAAAATCATATAAAACTATAAATTTTGAAGGCGTGTTGGAAAAATATAATCTATTTTTGTTAAGTATTTATATTTGGGATATCTTGGATATTGAAAATGGGAAAAGCAGGGGTGCGGGACCCGCTCCGTAGTGGAAATGTACCAGAGCAGCGGGCTGAGCGGGGCCTGAGCTGGATGATTTGTGTGGTAATTAAAAAATAAAAGATGTGTGAAGAGAAAGTGGAGGTGATTTGATATATTATGAGGATAGGATGATTGATTAGGGTATTTATATTGAAAATCAGAGCAGTCAGTTGGCGGAGAATTGCGGAGAATTGCGGTGGTTTGTGTGATAAGTGATGAAAGTTTGAATGTAATGAGAATTATTTTGGGAAATAGAAGATAAGGAAAAAAAGTAAGTATATCATCAATATATTTAGGAGATCTGGAATTGATTGGGTCAAAAAAATGGAGAAAATCGTAGGAAAATGTAGGAAAAATTGAAGATGATAATTTTGATGGTCGGGGTTGGGTGTATGTATTAGATGATCCTATATTTTGAAAGATAAAAAAAGGTTATGAAAAAAGTAGGATCAGTTATGAAATAGTTGGGTGATTTGAATATAGGTTTGATGATAATAGTTAGGATTGGGAATAAAATGTGGTGGAAAAATAGGGATGGTAAAGTTTTGGTGAAGGTCGGGGATCTTGTATGGGTGTATGGTTGAGAGATGGGAGGTGAATGTCTATGTAATTTAGAAAAAAAAAGATTTATGAAAAAAGTAAGATCAGTTATGAAATATTTGAGAGATTGTATTATAGATTTGATTCTAAAATATCAGATGGAAAGTAGAATGTGATAGAAAAATGAAGATAATATGGAATTTTGATGGGATATGTGTAGTAGAGAAGGAGATTATGGGGATGATATTTTGAGAGTATTTTTTATTCAATAGAAAAAGTAAGATTGTTTATGAGATGATTGATTGATTTTAATATAGATTGAGATGTAAAATGTTGGATTGAGGAGAAAATGTGGGAGAGAAATGAGGATGATGATGATTTTTGATGGGAGTGGGGATGAATGTAGGTAAGAAATAGAGGTCTAGATATTTTTGAAAAAAGATATTGAAAAAAAAAGGAGGATTATTTATGGAATATTTGAGAGATTTTAATATGATTATAATCATAAAATAGGTGATTAAAATAAAAATGTGTAAGGGAAATCAGGTTAGATGAATTTTGGTGATGGTCGGGGGTCATGTATGTGTGTGAATTTAAGGGTGAGGTATTTTTGAAAAAAAAAAGTGAGAGAGAAAAAGGAAGATTGTTTATGAAATATTTGGGAAATTGTAATATAGATATGATTGTTAAGTAGGAGATGTAAATGAAAATGTGGTGGGAAATCAGGTTGGATGAATTTTGGTGATGGTCGGGGGTCATGTATGTGTGTGAATTTAAGGGGTCAGGTATTTTTGAAAAAAAAAGTGAGCGAAAAAAAGAAAGATTGTTTTTGAAATATTTGGGAAATGTTAATATGATTAAGATTAAAAAATAGGAGAGGGAAATAAAAATGTGGCGGAGAAATTAGGTGAGTAATTTTTGAGGAAGATCGGGATTATTGTATGTATGAGAAATAGATGTGTAGATATTAATGGAAAAAAAAAGAGAGAGAGAAAAAGTAAGATTGTAGATGAAATAATTGAGATCATTTTATGTGGATAAGATCATGATATGGAATATTGAGAAATAATTGAGAGATAAAAATAGGGTATGTTGAATTTGTGTGAAGGTCGGGGGATGATGTATTGTGGAGAAATGAGGGAGATTTATTTTGAAGAAAAAGAGAGTGAAAAAAAAAAGTGAGATTGTTTATGGAATGTTTGAAGGATTTCAATATGATTAAGATTAAAAAGTTGGTGAGAGAAATCAAAATATTGTGGAAAAATGGGGATGTCAAATTTTGGATGATGGTGGGGATGTATGTATGAAGATGAATTGAATGTGTGTGTATTTTAGAAAAAGAAAATTGAAGAAAAAAAGTAAGATTGGTTATAAAATAGTTGAGAGATTTTAAAATGAATATGATTAAAAAATGGGAGATGGAAGTGAAAATGTGGTTGAGAAATGATGGAATTATTTGTTAGAGAAGATGTATGAAGATGAATTGAATGATGAGATATTTTGAAAAAAAAGGGAGTGAAAAAAAAAGTGAGATTGTTTGTGGAATATTTAGGGATATTTATTATGATTTTGATTGTTGAATAAGATATTGAGGTTGAAATGTGGTGGAAAAATGGGGATGTCGAATGTTTGATGATGGAAGGTCATATATGAGTATAAGTGAGAATTGAATGTTGGGGTATTTGATGAAAAAAAGGAGTTGAGAAAAAAGTGAAGGAGATATGTTGAAAATGTGGAAGAATTGGTATGGATAAGAATATAATATGAAATATTGAGGTTGAAATGTGGTGGAAAAATAGGTAGAATGGTAATTACCTAGGGATACAGACGCGCAATCTGGAGAAATGCTATACATTGCAGCACAACCAGGAGACATTTTTAAATGAAGAATATTTGGTGGAAATGGCTAGTAAAGATGATGTTGGAATCTGGAGAGAATGCTGAGCAAAAATATATAATTTTATCTGAAAGATAATATAATGTGGTAGAGATATTGGCGTTTGAAATTTGCGTTGCACCAACAGGAGAAATTGATTGGCACAGTTCGGAGAAATTCGCAGGGGGTTTGGGACCCTATTGCGAAATCAGGAGAAATTTAGCATGATTAAGAGGTCCCAATGAAAAAAGTGGGATTGTCATTTGAAAATTATAATATAGAGTATGGAGATGTGATTGTAAAAGCTCATGAATGTAGTAATTTAATTAAAAGAAAAATCAATTTAAAATCATATAAAACTATAAATTTTGAAGGCGTGTTGGAAAAATATAATCTATTTTTGTTAAGTATTTGTGATAAATAATTTTTTCAGCGGCAGTACAAATATGGACCTGCATTTTATGGTAAATAAAAAAAAAAAAAAAAAAAAAAACATTTAGTCACTACCCACAGTAACCACAATCCTAAATGATTCAAGTTTCAGATAGAATATCGGTCCTGGACGGATTCGTTATAGATAAAAATGAACGAAGAATCATATCCACAAGTTCCAAAATCATTACCAAGCTTGGCCAAGCTCTGAAGAAGAATCTTTCAGCATGCGATCTTAAAGATATCCATTCCACTTTCAGTACCACAAATGTTAGCTTCTACGATCTTTCTGAGCTCATCCCACATATCACAATGACAGAAGTGTTCATCAAAAAAAGTAGAGATGGCCGTTACCAAACCAAGAGCCGTAAATTTAGCGGCTCCTCCAAGCACCAAGCCACCATTATCAAATTAGCTGGTAACAAGAACTATTACTTGATTCATCGCAAGAAAAGTGACTCTAGCATGGCTTACGATATCATGGGATCCTCCAAGGATATCCAGTTTGTTAAGTCCAACACAGCTTTGAAACTGTACTTAGGAGATCCCGTGGTGTCTCAAAATGATAAGCACTTATTAATCCAGCTTCAATCCCACGACATCAAGGAAGAAGCATCGGAATTATTCATTTTTGGCTACCAAAAAACACACCTAGGGATACAGACGCGCAATCTGGAGAAATGCTATACATTGCAGCACAACCAGGAGACATTTTTAAATGATGAATATTTGGTGGAAATGGCTAGTAAAGATGATGTTGGAATCTGGAGAGAATGCTGAGCAAAAATATATAATTTTATCTGAAAAATAATATAATGTGGTAGAGATATTGGCATTTGAAATTTGCGTTGCACAATCAGCCATAATGTTTTGGCACAGTTCGGAGAAATTCGCAGGGGGTTTGGGACCCTATTGGGAAATCAGGAGAAATTTAGCATGATTAAGAGGTCCCAATGAAAAAAGTGGGATTGTCATTTGAAAATTATAATATAGAGTATGGAGATGTGATTGTAAAAGCTCATGAATGTAGTAATTTAATTAAAAGAAAAATCAATTTAAAATCATATAAAACATATAGCTAGATAAAGGCAGCCAGAGCGCAATCGCATACATTTTTGCAGCCAGAGCGCAGCGGGTTTGTATGGGGCGAAAAAATGGATGTTAGCAGAGTGCAGCGAGAGCGCAATGGGCTAGCAGCGAGAGCGCAATGGCGATTATGGGCACTTAAAGTGGGGATATTTGGGATCTGAGAAGTGGAATGTGGAGTAGAGAAAAATAGTATTTTTTTTAAGTATTTATATTTGGGATATCTTGGATATTGAAAATGGGCAAAGCGGGGTGCGGGACCCGTTCCGTGGTGGAAATGTACCAGAGCAGCGGGCTGAGCGGGGCCTGAGCTGGATGATTTGTGTGGTAATTAAAAAATAAAAGATGAGTGAAGAGAAAGTGGAGGTGATTTGATATATTATGAGGATAGGATGATTGATTAGGGTATCTATATTGAAAATCAGAGAGGTCAGTTGGCGGAGAATTGCAGAGAATTGCGGAGAATTGCGGAGAATTGCGGTGGTTTGTATGATAATATGGTGATGAAAGTTTGAATGTAATGAGAATTATTTTGGGAAAGAGAAGATAAGGAAAAAAAGTAAGTATATCATCAATATATTTAGGAGATCTGGAATTGATTGGCTCAAAAAAATGGAGAAAATCGTAGGAAATTGTAGGAAAAATTGAAGATGATAGTTTTGATGGTCGGGGTTGGGTGTATGTATGAGATGATCCTATATTTTGTAAGAAAAAAAAAGGTTATGAAAAAAGTAGGATGAGTTATGAAATAGTAGGGTGTGTTTAATATAGGTTTGATGATAATAGTTATGATTGAGAATAAAATGTGGCGGAAAAATAGGGATGGTAAAGTTTTGGTGAAGGTCGGGGATCTTGTATGGGTGTATGGTTGAGAGATGGGAGGTGAATGTCTATGTAATTTAGAAAAAAAAAGATTTATGAAAAAAGTAAGATCAGTTATGAAATATTTGAGAGATTGTATTATAGATTTGATTCTAAAATATCAGATGGAAAGTATAATGTGATAGAAAAATGAAGATAATATGGAATTTACCTAGGGATACAGTCGCGCAATCCGCCGGAATGCCATACATTGCAGCACAATCAGCCGGAATTTTTAAATGAAGAATATTTGGTGGAAATGGCTAGTAATGATGCTGTTGAAATCTGGAGAAGATGCTGAGCAAAAATATATAACAGAGCTCGAAAAAAGTATAAAAAGTTTCGAAAATTCAAAAAAAGTGTTAATTTATACTTACCTAGGGATACAGACGCGCAATCTGGAGAAATGCTATACATTGCAGCACAACCAGGAGACATTTTTAAATGATGAATATTTGGTGGAAATGGCTAGTAAAGATGATGTTGGAATCTGGAGAGAATGCTGAGCAAAAATATATAATTTTATCTGAAAGATAATATAATGTGGTAGAGATATTGGCGTTTGAAATTTGCGTTGCACCAACAGGAGAAATTGATTGGCACAGTTCGGAGAAATTCGCAGGGGGTTTGGGACCCTATTGGGAAATCAGGAGAAATTTAGCATGATTAAGAGGTCCCAATGAAAAAAGTGGGATTGTCATTTGAAAATTATAATATAGAGTATGGAGATGTGATTGTAAAAGCTCATGAATGTACTAATTTAATTAAAAGAAAAATCAATTTAAAATCATATAAAACTATAAATTTTGAAGGCGTGTTAGAAAAATATAATCTATTTTTGTTAAGTATTTGTGATAAATAATTTTTTCAGCGGCAGTACAAATATGGACCTGCATTTTATGGTAAATAAAAAAAAAAAAAAAAAAAAAAAACATTTAGTCACTACCCACAGTAACCACAATCCTAAATGATACAAGTTTCAGATAGAATATCTGTCCTGGACGGATTTATTATAGATAAAAATGAACGAAGAATCATATCCACAAGTTCCAAAATCATTACCAAGCTTGGCCAAGCTCTGAAGAAGAATCTTTCAGCATGCGATCTTAAAGATATCCATTCCACTTTCAGTACCACAAATGTTAGCTTCTACGATCTTTCTGAGCTCATCCCACATATCACAATGACAGAAGTGTTCATCAAAAAAAGTAGAGATGGCCGTTACCAAACCAAGAGCCGTAAATTTAGCGGCTCCTCCAAGCACCAAGCCACCATTATCAAATTAGCTGGTAACAAGAACTATTACTTGATTCATCGCAAGAAAAGTGACTCTAGCATGGCTTACGATATCATGGGATCCTCCAAGGATATCCAGTTTGTTAAGTCCAACACAGCTTTGAAACTGTACTTAGGAGATCCCGTGGTGTCTCAAAATGATAAGCACTTATTAATCCAGCTTCAATCCCACGACATCAAGGAAGAAGCATCGGAATTATTCATTTTTGGCTACCAAAAAACACAAACCAACCCTCCTATCATCATTGCTTCGTCCTTTGGCTTGGGCTTTGAAAATTTCTACAAAATTCTTGACCCAAACACTGTCCATGCCTATGCAGCCGTTTTCCAACATATCTATCCCATTTTCAAGTATATGGCGCAATTCGAATATACGGAAGATGACCCGACCTCCACGTTGGACCCAAAAAAGCAGTTGAATGATGCACAAGATGTAGAAACCAGATTTGAAGTTCTCGCCAAATTTATTTTTTCATTGATTGAAACTGAAGCTTACCACTCATTGCTCAACAAGTTGGTGGTTTTGATGATTACCAAGAAAACATCTGATATCTCCGATACCACCATCAAAAGGTTTGAGTCTAATGAAACCATCTTGAGGCGTCTTGATGTCCTCAAACACATTATCCGGTTCGCTTATGTCAACCGCGATGTGGAGTCAACAATAAAGTACATTGGCAATTTTCCGATCCAAGGCTCCAATTTTATTTGGTTGACAGTATTGTACACCCTATTAGTAAAAGAAAAGGGCACGAAAAGGGTATTTGATTGTATTTTATTGGACTCAACTACCGTGGTCGTCGATGGCATCACCATAACGCAGCAACAGTTGTCTGAAGGCCATAAAAAATTGTGCACCGATTTTTTTGCAGAGGCGGGCAGAATGCAAGAGTTTGTCACGGGGGATACCAACATTGACAGAATTTTTGATAGCTTTGTCAAACTCTCCAAGGAAAATAAAATCTCCCACTCCTTTTTGAATTTGGTTGGAGAGGAAATTCCCGATGACTTGAGGTTTGGCTTAAAAGAAAATCTTCCAAATCATATTTTGAAATCAATCAAGGAAACATTCATTTTTTTGTCGTCGTTGTTGTTGAACTTGTTCTTCTTGGAGGCTGGAAGTTTCAGATTCCCTGAGGTCCAAGTCTCCAAGTTTGCCGCTGAAGATATCTGTCTCAATTGGGACATCGTTGAACAAACAATTTTCTTGGTTGCTAACTACTCCAAGAAAAGAGTTCGTTCTGCCAAGATGAGGTACTTGAGCCAAACCACTACAAAACTAACAATTTGGTTACTTCTATTACGGCCGGTGTTTATTGAGATACTCAAACTATACCCTGAAACTGACGAGTTGGACGAAAAGGGATTGCCCTTGCCTGATTCAAACATTTTTGCTGATATTTCTGTTGATGATGAAAATGGCGAAATCATTGAGATTGCTGCTTCAAACTTATTATCCACCTGTATTTTCACCACCGGTACCAATTTCATCACCAAGCAAAGTTTTAACAATATATTTCAAAACATCTTTCCCTTTGGAATCCGTGTTGGGCGCCAAGCATTTATTTGCTTCATGAATAATCCTGAAAATGCTGCAATGGCTCGACTTATTGATGCTGTCAATATTGCTGCCGATCATTCCAATACCACAGGTAACAATGTTTATGGGCAAAGAATCATGGGGCCTGAAGGAAGAAGGGCATTGAATGAAGTTTCCTCTTTTGACGTCCAAAAACTGTTATCAAAAAAATGGTTAGATTTTATTGGCACGCCAATCGCAATTCAAAATAACCAACCCGAGGCTGAAGAACGACAAAAATACATCTCCAGTACTGAGTTGTTGGCAAGTGGAAAACAATTATATGGAGCCAGCTTCGAGTTCAGGTCCGCCCAGCAAGCAATGTATACCTTGGACATTGCAAATACCAACAAACAAGCGGTTTTCTTAACAGCCTCTTGTGGTTTTGGAAAAACTACAATCGTCAATCTAGTCCATAACATCAACAAGCATGGATGTGTAAACTTTGTATTAGCGCCATATGTGATGTTGGTGGGCTATCTAAATAAAAGGTTTAAAAAATCCATAACGTGGAACCGCTTAATGGAGGATCCAATCAATAATATTCACGGTGTATTAAATATCGTCGGGTCATTTGAACTATTAAAGAATCAAAAGTTCAGAACGTTAATTGAGACCGGGTTCATATTTAATAAAAAGCTCAATCATTTGTTTGTGGATGAGGCTGACCTTTTAATTAGGGAGGATGGCTTCCGAAGCTTTCAGCGTAGCTTATATAATCTTGGTGACAAATTCAACAAGTGCTTATTTGTATCAGCAACATTTGAGCCTCAAATCATAACAAAGTTGGAAAAAATTATGAATTTCTCAAGTTCAATGAAATTGGAATCAATTTCTGAAAATCCCCTCGAAAAAAAGGTGTTGTTGAAAGTGGAATTGGAGGACTGGGCTCATTGCCAAAGACTCATCTTTGGGGTTTCCAAAACTTTCCAAGAAACGATTCTCATCTTTTGTGAGT